TACCCGCTAACCTTCTGGTGCTTAATATGTAGCACACACATTTGGGCGATCATTGGGAAGGAGGTTATGTGCGGATCAAGGGAACAACTAGTTGTCCAACCGTAGAGGTAGACCCCCGAGCCACCCACACACGACCTGAGCAACCCCAAGGGGTGCATGTTACACACCAACTGGCCAAGTGGCTAGCTGGTCACCCTCGGACCACGTCCATACCTCAATGTATGGACGCCTCATTGGGCGCTTACAAATACACCTACAAATCAAAATGAACCACGTTTACTCAACCCTGGCAACCCGACTTCCTGTCCCGAACTAGTATATCCACACTATATATTTATGTCTTTAGAATGAGTAGTGCACGTCGACTAAAGTAACACATAGCGCAAGTGAGTCAACGGAGCAGCTCAATAAGTTCAGCATCGAAGCATCAATCTCGGCAACAACCCATGCCGAGCCGGTATCCCGAACCAAAAGTAAATGGATAGTACTAGATTGACGTCAAGGTTCATTACACAGTGATAATCAATCAAATATCAGCAACTGCCTCCGGCCAGGTGGATAAAATCAAAGCACCGCATCTCTAATTTAAACATCTCTGTGGTCAAGTTATCAAGGACACTTAATAAACTGGAAATGGGTCTAAGGATAAATAATAAGAATTGTTAGTAAAGGTAATTTGGAGAAGTATAAAATCTTATGGAGCATATCAATTCAGAATACATGGATATTCTAAAAAGTTGAACGGAAAAATGATGGGACCCACCGAAGGAACAAAATAAGTTTTACACTGACCTTATTGTACTTTTTCTGAAAATTTGAGAACCCTCTTAAGTAATCCCCACAGCTTCAATCCACAAACCAAGTGTCCACAAACCAAGTGTCCACAAACCAAGTGTCCACAAACCTAGTATCCACAAAGTCAAAACCATAATATACATCAACGAACTCCATACAATATACAGGTCTTATCCGTATTTCCCGTATCAATAAATGACCGCATGAACTTTTGCTTAGTTACAAATATGTGCTGCATATGGTTTTGATAGAATAAGCAATTATTACATTTTTAATAAGGACGTTGGTACAGCTTAAAAATGATCGTTGATTAGCATCCTTTATGGGTGTATCAAATACAAAAGCTACTGGTGAAGACATTTAACTTAAATCATGAAGATACAAGGTCGCAATGGAGAGAAGTGACAGAGGAGGGAAGTGCGGTCTTACGTAACGCGGTACTGTACTATACTATTTACTATATAGTGAATTTGTAGTTATTCTCTCCTCTCCCCCCCCCCCCCTCTTACTGTTTCAATAATATCAATGACCATACGCACCTTTTTGTGGTTATAATTTGTGGGCTCATTGCCACATAATTTGGGAAACTGGGATCTTGATCACTCCTTGACCTCGTGTCCATTCTTCTTTTTCTTGTTGTTTTAGTACTTATTCCAATATGTCTTACTCTCACCCTTTGCCCATTTTCTGCATCTTTCTAGCACATCTACCCAAGTTGATAATTAAATTGACCACCCACTGTTTATCCATGATCTTAAAATCCTCCGTCCAATTTGCTGCAAAAGGTCGTTCTTCAACCATATCGGTGGTGCAGATATACGGAAAGATCTGATCTCCGCACTTATTTTTTACGCAACACATGTATCGCTGAAAGTTACAAAACCAACGTCCTACTACTGGCAATGATTGGATACGAACTTTCTATGATACCAAATCTAGTGGAATGGGGGGCGGGATTGTTGTGAAGTTGTACTAATTGAATATCATACGTTTAGCCGTATTACGAAGAAAGAGTTCACTGAGTCAAAGATGTCAGATCATTGTTTTATCATATCGCGCATTCAGTTGTATAACGCGAAAAAATATTTTTCGATGGACCGTTGGCTATAAATTAAATGTTGCTACACTGGTTCCTCCCGCCCCTGCCGGGTTTGTGGCAATCATGTTTTACGTTGTCAAATTTTGTTTGGCGGCCTGTCCAATTCAAGACATACTGATATGAGTCTCGTTGTATTCGGTTTGTTCGCAGTATAGTATGTCAAGTAAAATGGAGTCCAAGGGGGTGCAAATGAATTCCTTTTCTGGTATTCAAGTTTTGCAACAAAATTCTGTTCCAATTTATAAATAAGGTTTTAAAATGAATCACAAAACCTAAACCTTATCCCTAGTCTCCCATATTTTCTGCAATAATTATGCACCAGAAAAAGTACCACATTTGCAGCTAATTTTTTTTTACCGCCATTTTTGAAAACCTGAAACATCCGCACTTTTTACAAATTTTCCCATTAATTGAAGATGTAGTAGATCTTTTGGGTCTAGTGTAACCACCCTCAAATACATGTTTATATATCTCAAGTGAACCCGTGTTGGAACTCTATTAGATCACCTTTCAAATGGTATAATTGGTCATTCGACTGTATTATATTTTTTTACATGTCTCTCAATATTAAACCCCTTATCTCAACACAAATACAAGACGACACATCTAATAAAAAGTACTATATCTAAATATTTCAAACGGGGGGAGTCGATACTACGACTATCTACAGTATATTGATTTTCCATGTATAAATCGAAATGAAAAGAACTACATGGTAATAACGGAATTACAAAGCAACAGTGGTTGATTGACGGTGCCAAAATCCTAGTCCGGTGCTAGTCAATCCAAAGGGTGTGGACCCACTATCAATTGTGTATAGGTAACAAGGTATTGTTCTCTTCGTTCATTTATATTTCTCTGTGCTTTGACCTTGTAAATACGTAGGGCTCTGGAGACAAGTTCTAGAGACCGCCTCTCAAGGTGGCCATGTTGTTCTGCTCGTTTATCTCATTGAATTGCCATACCCTTGTCATCACAAATAGCATCTCTTATTAATTACCTGAATTATTTTATAATTAGTTCTGTAAACTACTGGGTACTGTAACTTTCAAAGTCTGTGTATGCTTAATTGATCATTGTTGTTGGGAGTATATTATACGCGTCTGTTGTACGACGCGTACAGACGCGTATAATTCTCTATAGTTGATATATTGATTCACGGCTAGCCCCCATTTTTGCCACCCAAGCTCTCAACAAAATGAATGAGCATATGCACCTTTTTGTGGTTAATTTCATGTAACTTGGTTGCCAATTCAAATTGTTGGGGTTGTCAAATTGAAACATAATAACTCCTTGATCTTGTGCCATTTCTTCATTTTTAAGTAATTTAAGTCTTTCTTCGAGTATAGTCTAATATCATCATGTGCGGAGTTTCCCCATCTCTCTACGATCTCTAATCGTGTTGATAATCATATTTACAGCACAATATATATCCCAAAATTTTAAATTCCCCCCTTCAATGTGCTGCAAAAGATTTGTTACAGAAAGTCGTGTGTTGTCCATATCTACACTCCGCATTTATTTTTTACTGCAGCATATTTATCGCCGAAAAATGTACGTCATACTACTATAGACGGGTTTCATAAGCAATGTGTTCCTCTTTATATTTGGTATATTTAGTATAAGAAGTAGAACTACTCTCAAGTAGTATTGGTATAAAAAATCGGTAGAATATACAATAAAAGAGGTCAACACTCAGGGGTGTCAAAGAGTTGTTTTGAAGTATCGCATATTCCTTCATATTAGCCGAAAAAATAATTTACGACGGAGCAGTTGGCTGCCAAAAAATAAATGTGGCCCCCCTCCTTCCTCCCGCCCCTTCCAGGTTTGTGGCAAACGAGTTTTAAGTTATTATGTTTTGTTTGACGGCCCGTCCAAAGCAGGACCTATTAATATGGGTCTCATTGTATTCGGCTCATTCAGAACATAACAAGTCAAGTCTAAATCGACCCAATTGGATGTCATTCTGATTATCTAGTTTTGCAACAACATTCTGCTCCACTATCTAAGAACTTTTCAAGATCCACAAAACCTAATTTTTATAATAAGTAAGATATTTTTTAGCCACAATATTGGCGCAATGTCAAAATGGTACCACCTCTTGACTGCGCTAGGTTTGGGGGGGATTTCAGCTGCAGTTTTAATTGATATCCCAACTTATCTCTAACCAAATACACAGACAGTTAATTATTAAAATATGCAATTTCAGCGTAATTTAAACGGGGGAAATTAGTACTGGTACTATCAAAAGTATAGTGAATTAACATATATAAATGTGATCGATAGTAACACTCGTTAGTAGTTTTATTCAAATACTTGTACCAAAGGGAGGGAGGGAGGTGGCAAACTTTTTGTACACAAGTAACTCCGTATTCTAGCACCCCCTTTGAATGAATATTTTTTCTGCAGGGATATTTTGGCTGCAGCATTAATTGAAAGCCCCTTGTTCCCTCCCAAATACACAGACACATTGGAGTTTTAGATCATACAATTTTGGCTTGTTTTAAACGGGGGAAGTTGGTACTGGTACTATCAAAAGTATGGTGAGTGTCTATAAAAAATGTGGTTGATAGTATCAACTCTTTCGCTGTACTAATTCCAATAAGAAACTTGCATTGAAGGGGGAAGGTGGAAGCTTCTAGTACAGCTGTAGTAAACTACTACATTTAATGGGACCCCTCTTATCTCCACACAAATACACAAACACTGAATTTTTAGATTATGCAATTTTAGCTTGTTTCGAATGGGGGAAGTTGGTACTGGGGCTATCTAAAGTATATTGAGTTATCATAGATAAATATGATTAATAGTATAGGTCTGGTGGGTTTTGTTGTTCCATGACAAACAGCTACAAAGGGGGGAAGGTGGAAGCTCCTGGTACGGCTGTAATAAACTTACTGCGCATATTAGGGGGGTGCAAATTGTGCACCCCATACACTGTAATTATGCATGGTAACAGGGTAGTACCCCATACTAATATTTCTTTTGGGATTGTGGTCACCTCTGTTGTTTGTGGTCTCTTGGATTTGAAAAATATTTAAGGACAACCAATTCCCACTTTTCCCCAAAATACTTTTTTCACTTTTCTATCACTCTTTTCTTCTCTCAAATTTATTTTCTTCAATTCAAAATCCAATACTGTGAGTAACCCACTCCCCGCCTCTTTTTTCATTCTTGATACAGCTTTACTATACTAACAACAATATTGGGCACTGAAAGGTCTTTGGTTAACAGTGACGTGTTTTGACTTCCGTTATTGGTCAATAGTAGTTGTCATTGTGAATTGTTGAAGTAGATTGACATCTCTCGTTGTTGGTGGTAGCTGATGCATTGATATTTAACTGCTTGTTTTCTCCGATTCTTGACTTGTTTAAGCGTCGGAAAATTTTCTGAATACATCCCACGGATGTGCTGTTCAGCAACCGGTAACTTAATTTGCATCTACACCACTGATCAGAAAGGTGGTTGATTTTAATTGATGATGATTTTGACTTCTGTTCTTGGTTGGCTGCAGTAGTTAATTTATGCTAGTGTTGATCATTGACTTACACCAAGGTTGAACTATGTTGCTGGTCGTTGTGAATTACTGTTACTTGTGCATCCTTCTCACTCATGTTGACCTTTGCTGTTGGTTATTGTTGGTCGTTGGTTATCATTATTGTTCTTCGTGGATCCTTCTCACTCATGTTGACCTTTGTTGTTGGTCGTTGTTCGTCGTTAGTTATTGGTCTTAGTATTCTGTTGATCCCTCTCACTCATGTTGACCTTTGTTGTTGGTTGTTGTTGGTCGTTGGTTATTGGTCTTAGTATTCTGTTGATCCCTCTCACTCATGTTGACCTTTGTTGTTGGTTGTTGTTAGTCGTTGGTTATCGGTCTTATCATTCTTCGTGGATCCCTCTCACTTGTGTTGAACTCCGTTGTTGGTTGTTGTTAGTCATTGGTTATCATTATTGTTCTTCGTGGATCCCTCTCACTTATGTTGAACATTGGTTATCATTATTGTTCTTCGTGGATCCCTCTCACTTATGTTGAACTCTGTTGTTGGTTGTTGTTAGTCGTTGGTTGTCATTATTGTTCTTCGTGGATCCCTCTCACTCATGTTAACCTTTGTTGTTGGTTACTGTTGGTCGTTGGTTATCATTATTGTTCTTCGTGGTTCCCTCTCACTCATGTTGACCTTTGTTGTTGGTTATTGTTGGTCGTTGGTTATCATCATTGCTCTTCGTGGATCCCTCCCACTTATGTTGACCTTTGTTGTTGGTTGTTGTTGGTCGTTGGTTATCATCATTGTTCTTCGTGGATCCCTCTCACTTATGTTGACCTTTGTTGTTGGTTATTGTTAGTCGTTGGTTATCATTATTGTTCTTCGTGGATCGCTCTCACTTATGTTGACCTTTGTTGTTGGTTGTTGTTAGTCGTTGGTTATTGGTCTTATCATTCTTCGTGGATCCCTCTCACTCATGTTGAACTCTGTTGTTGGTTACTGTTGGTCATTGGTTATCATTATTGTTCGTTGTGGATCCCTCTCACTTATGTTGACCTTTGTTGTTGGTTGTTGTTAGTCGTTGGTTATTGGTCTTATTATTTTGTGGATCCCTCTCACTTTTGTGACCTTTGTTGTTGGTTCTTGTTTGTTGTGGTTCCTTAATCCTATTGGTACGAGAATTTATTATGGTTAGCTGACTTATATCGACCTGCACTTGTGAGATATAGTAACCTTCTGGGAACTCTGCAATTATCTCATGCTTTCATTCGCCGTTTGATGAACTTGGAAGTATGGCGTACTGTTATAAGGTACATATTTAGTTCGGGACAGGACGTCGGGCTGCCAGGGTAGAGTACACACGATCCAATTTGATCTGTAGGTATCTTTGTAAGCGCCCAATGAGGCGTCCATACATTGAGGTATGGGCGTAGTCTGAGGGTGTGCGGCACGTGCTGGGGTGGGTCTCCAGAGCCGGTCTGCTAGTGTGCGGACGTCACTCGGATCCACTTTTACGAGTGGAGATCGAGTCGATGGCCAGCACTAGATTCTGACTCTGGGCGCTACTTCACCTATGTGCCGTACACGTATCAGCCTTGCTGGGTGACTAGCTAGCCATTTGGCCAGGTAGTGTGTAGCATGCACTGGGGCAGCCCTTCTAGGGGTTGGTCTGGTAGTGCATGGGTGTCGCTGGGGTCCACCACTACGGTTGGACCACTAGTTGATGACCTGCACTCCACACCACCTCTCCTTGAAGGACGCCCAAGGGTGTTTGTCACTGAGGTCCATCACTACGGTCAGACCTAATCTTAATGTGGTTTTGAATTCAATAGGATATATTTGTAATAGATCTAGCATTCAGTTTCCTAAAATATTAGGATAATAATAATAAAATTAAACAGCTTATCTAATATGTACTGTATATACTAATTATCTAGTCTTCCTTATAGGAAATGTCTTCTGCCTTTGAAATCGACATGAGCTCGAATTTGACGTCATATTCGACCTCTTTCCCCCGCCAAACATGTAGAGATTTCCTGCATATGTCAGATCTAAGGACTGCATAATACTTAAATAGGTTTAGTCCTGTAGGTAACACAAAAGTAGATGCAGGAGAGCTATAATATCCTGTATAATGTCATTTCTAACAGAACTAAAATCAAATTTGTAGGCAATAAAATATTGGGCAGAGAGCTTTCCTGTATATTGATTAAATTATTGGCTTGAAGTCCTTCATGTTATCATATACCTGCATATATACCATGCATCATGCAGGATAGTCATAGGCAATTGCAACCTGAACAGGTTGGGAAAATGACTTTGATACTAGGCAGAATATTTAGACTGGAAACGTCCTAATGAACCAATTTATATGTTTCTAGACGTCTCAGGGACCAGCTGCAAGTGTTAGAAAGTCAATAGAACGAAAATTGAGTATTTTGCACTTCCCCCCAAAAGCAAAACTGTATTTCTATATGCTCACCGATTCCGCAGAAACGCTCTCTTTCCAGATTCTACCACCACCAGCGATGTATTACAGCCTATCATGAAGCGCAGTGATGATTTGAAGTCATTTACGTGGTGTTCGCAACATCTCCTCCCAACCCAAGGGTCAAGAGTTTATCCGAGATTATGTAGCTTTCGGACGCACACGAGTAGCTGCAGCATGTATACCGTGGACCGGGAGTAGCCGACCGAATTCAGGTGGCTCTAAAGCTTAAATTTGGTCTCCCAAGGGTTTTTAGACGCGTAAATCGCGGACTTACGAACATATATGCAACCCCGGAAATCGATCCCGGAATTGATTATGCATATGTGCATTTCGGAAGTGGGATATGGGATTAAGGTATACGGATATGGAATGATGTGCATATCGGAAGAATATCATGCATATGGAGAAATACCAATCATCTACCCCGCCTAAAGCGGGGTGATCAGGGGCCTAGCTATTAGACATTAAGAGCTGATCAACTAAAGACTTCAACCACTAGCGATGTATTACAGCCTATCATGAAGCGCAGTGACGCTTTGAAGCCATTTACGTGGAGTTTGCAACACCACTTGCCAACCCAAAGGTCAAGAGTTTATCCGAGACCATGTAGCTTTCGGACGCACACGAGTAGCTGCAGCATGTATACCGTGGACCGGGAGTAACCGACGGGATTAAGGTGGCTCTAAAGCTTAAATTTGGTCTCCCAAGGGTTTTTAGACGCGTAAATCGCGGACTTACGAACATATATGCAACTCCGGAAATCGATCCCGGAATTGATTATGCACATGTACATTTCGGAAGTGGGATGTGGGTTTAAGGCATGCGGATATGAAATGATGTGCATACCGGAAGAATAACATGCATACGGAGAAATACCAATCATCTACCCCGCCTAAAGCGGGGTCATCAGAATTCTAGCTATTACACATTAAAAATTAATGTACTAAATACAATCCAAATCACGAATTAAAGTACTCCACGTTCTTCCAGAAGACCCACGAAATAGATACTGGCAATAAAAAGCTTAAAATGGGCCAATCAGGTAGTCAGTAGAGCGCAGGAATCAGGCTGGGTGTTAGAATGTTCAAAAGTGGGTGTTCGGATGTTAGGGGTTTTGTGCCCTGATTTCTCAAGTTACACAAAACTTGCAACCAATTTGAGGCGCACACGACTTACCCAGTTTTAACGTGACGGCTTATTTGAAGCTAGGGTAATGTCGTGGCGTGGTTAATGCTCTCTGGGCTTAAAATCAACCGGATCCACCGAGCGGTTGTCGAGATATCGCTATCGAATATTTGGAGTCGATTGTAAAAAAAGTGGTGTCTGGATGTTGAGACCGGAATTCAAAAATGACCCTGATATTTGGATTTTTACACTGATTTTGAATACAAAATTTTGAGATCCGGGGGAGACTGAAAATGTGCCATGCTCATATCTCGCTCAATTTTAATGTGAGGGCTTATTTGAAGCTAGGGTAATGTCGTGGCGTGGTTAATGCTCTCTGGGCTTAAAATCAACCGGATCCACCGAGCGGTTGTCGAGATATCGCTATCGAATATTTGGAGTCGATTGTAAAAAAAGTGGTGTCTGGATGTTGAGACCGGAATTCAAAAATGACCCTGATATTTGGATTTTTACACTGATTTTGAATACAAAATTTTGAGATCCGGGGGAGACTGAAAATGTGCCATGCTCATATCTCGCTCAATATTAATGTGAGGGCTTATTTGAAGCTAGGGTAATGTCGTGGCGTGGTTAATGCTCTCTGGGCTTAAAATCAACCGGATCCACCGAGCGGTTGTCGAGATATCGCTATCGAATATTTGGAGTCGATTGTAAAAAAAGTGGTGTCTGGATGTTGAGACCGGAATTCAAAAATGACCCTGATATTTGGATTTTTACACTGATTTTGAATACAAAATTTTGAGATCCGGGGGAGACTGAAAATGTGCCATGTTCATATCTCGCTCAATTTTAATGTGAGGGCTTATTTGAAGCTAGGGTAATGTCGTGGGGTGGTTAATGCTCTCTGGCCTTAAAATCAACCGGATCCACCGAGCGGTTGTCGAGATATCGCTATCGAATATTTGGAGTCGATTGTAAAAAAAGTGGTGTCTGGATGTTGAGACCGGAATTCAAAAATGACCCTGATATTTGGATTTTTGCACTGATTTTGAATACAAAATTTTGAGATCCGGGGGAGACTGAAAATGTGCCATGCTCATATCTCGCTCAATATTAATGTGAGGGCTTATTTGAAGCTAGGGTAATGTCGTGGCGTGGTTAATGCTCTCTGGGCTTAAAATCAACCGGATCCACCGAGCGGTTGTCGAGATATCGCTATCGAATATTTGGAGTCGATTGTAAAAAAAGTGGTGTCTGGATGTTGAGACCGGAATTCAAAAATGACCCTGATATTTGGATTTTTACACTGATTTTGAATACAAAATTTTGAGATCCGGGGGAGACTGAAAATGTGCCATGCTCATATCTCGCTCAATTTTAATGTGAGGGCTTATTTGAAGCTAGGGTAATGTCGTGGGGTGGTTAATGCTCTCTGGGCTTAAAATCAACCGGATCCACCGAGCGGTTGTCGAGATATCGCTATCGAATATTTGGAGTCGATTGTAAAAAAAGTGGTGTCTGGATGTTGAGACCGGAATTCAAAAATGACCCTGATATTTGGATTTTTGCACTGATTTTGAATACAAAATTTTGAGATCCGGGGGAGACTGAAAATGTGCCATGCTCATATCTCGCTCAATATTAATGTGAGGGCTTATTTGAAGCTAGGGTAATGTCGTGGCGTGGTTAATGCTCTCTGGGCTTAAAATCAACCGGATCCACCGAGCGGTTGTCGAGATATCGCTATCGAATATTTGGAGTCGATTGTAAAAAAAGTGGTGTCTGGATGTTGAGACCGGAATTCAAAAATGACCCTGATATTTGGATTTTTACACTGATTTTGAATACAAAATTTTGAGATCCGGGGGAGACTGAAAATGTGCCATGCTCATATCTCGCTCAATTTTAATGTGAGGGCTTATTTGAAGCTAGGGTAATGTCGTGGGGTGGTTAATGCTCTCTGGCCTTAAAATCAACCGGATCCACCGAGCGGTTGTCGAGATATCGCTATCGAATATTTGGAGTCGATTGTAAAAAAAGTGGTGTCTGGATGTTGAGACCGGAATTCAAAAATGACCCTGATATTTGGATTTTTGCACTGATTTTGAATACAAAATTTTGAGATCCGGGGGAGACTGAAAATGTGCCATGCTCATATCTCGCTCAATATTAATGTGAGGGCTTATTTGAAGCTAGGGTAATGTCGTGGCGTGGTTAATGCTCTCTGGGCTTAAAATCAACCGGATCCACCGAGCGGTTGTCGAGATATCGCTATCGAATATTTGGAGTCGATTGTAAAAAAAGTGGTGTCTGGATGTTGAGACCGGAATTCAAAAATGACCCTGATATTTGGATTTTTACACTGATTTTGAATACAAAATTTTGAGATCCGGGGGAGACTGAAAATGTGCCATGCTCATATCTCGCTCAATTTTAATGTGAGGGCTTATTTGAAGCTAGGGTAATGTCGTGGGGTGGTTAATGCTCTCTGGCCTTAAAATCAACCGGATCCACCGAGCGGTTGTCGAGATATCGCTATCGAATATTTGGAGTCGATTGTAAAAAAAGTGGTGTCTGGATGTTGAGACCGGAATTCAAAAATGACCCTGATATTTGGATTTTTGCACTGATTTTGAATACAAAATTTTGAGATCCGGGGGAGACTGAAAATGTGCCATGCTCATATCTCGCTCAATATTAATGTGAGGGCTTATTTGAAGCTAGGGTAATGTCGTGGCGTGGTTAATGCTCTCTGGGCTTAAAATCAACCGGATCCACCGAGCGGTTGTCGAGATATCGCTATCGAATATTTGGAGTCGATTGTAAAAAAAGTGGTGTCTGGATGTTGAGACCGGAATTCAAAAATGACCCTGATATTTGGATTTTTGCACTGATTTTGAATACAAAATTTTGAGATCCGGGGGAGACTGAAAATGTGCCATGCTCATATCTCGCTCAATATTAATGTGAGGGCTTATTTGAAGCTAGGGTAATGTCGTGGCGTGGTTAATGCTCTCTGGGCTTAAAATCAACCGGATCCACCGAGCGGTTGTCGAGATATCGCTATCGAATATTTGGAGTCGATTGTAAAAAAAGTGGTGTCTGGATGTTGAGACCGGAATTCAAAAATGACCCTGATATTTGGATTTTTACACTGATTTTGAATACAAAATTTTGAGATCCGGGGGAGACTGAAAATGTGCCATGCTCATATCTGGCTCAATATTAATGTGAGGGCTTATTTGAAGCTAGGGTAATGTCGTGGCGTGGTTAATGCTCTCTGGCCTTAAAATCAACCGGATCCACCGAGCGGTTGTCGAGATATCGCTATCGAATATTTGGAGCCGATTGTAAAAAAAGTGGTGTCTGGATGTTTCGACCGGAATTCAAAAATGACCCTGATATTTGGATTTTTACACTGATTTTGAATACAAAATTTTGAGATCCGGGGGAGACTGAAAATGTGCCATGCTCATATCTCGCTCAATTTTAATGTGAGGGCTTATTTGAAGCTAGGGTAATGTCGTGGCGTGGTTAATGCTCTCTGGGCTTAAAATCAACCGGATCCACCGAGCGGTTGTCGAGATATGAAGTATTGGAAAATGACCATTTTGTGTAACTTGAGAAATCAGGGCACAAAACCCCTAACATCCGAACACCCACTTTTGAACATCCTAACACCCAGCCTGATTCCTGCGCTCTACTGACTACCTGATTGGCCCATTTTAAGCTTTTTATTGCCAGTATCTATTTCGTGGGTCTTCTGGAAGAACGTGGAGTACTTTAATTCGTGATTTGGATTGTATTTAGTACATTAATTTTTAATGTGTAATAGCTAGAATTCTGATGACCCCGCTTTAGGCGGGGTAGATGATTGGTATTTCTCCGTATGCATGTTATTCTTCCGGTATGCACATCATTTCATATCCGCATGCCTTAAACCCACATCCCACTTCCGAAATGTACATGTGCATAATCAATTCCGGGATCGATTTCCGGAGTTGCATATATGTTCGTAAGTCCGCGATTTACGCGTCTAAAAACCCTTGGGAGACCAAATTTAAGCTTTAGAGCCACCTTAATCCCGTCGGTTACTCCCGGTCCACGGTATACATGCTGCAGCTACTCGTGTGCGTCCGAAAGCTACATGGTCTCGGATAAACTCTTGACCTTTGGGTTGGCAAGTGGTGTTGCAAACTCCACGTAAATGGCTTCAAAGCGTCACTGCGCTTCATGATAGGCTGTAATACATCGCTAGTGGTTGAAGTCTTTAGTTGATCAGCTCTTAATGTCTAATAGCTAGGCCCCTGATCACCCCGCTTTAGGCGGGGTAGATGATTGGTATTTCTCCATATGCATGATATTCTTCCGATATGCACATCATTCCATATCCGTATACCTTAATCCCATATCCCACTTCCGAAATGCACATATGCATAATCAATTCCGGGATCGATTTCCGGGGTTGCATATATGTTCGTAAGTCCGCGATTTACGCGTCTAAAAACCCTTGGGAGACCAAATTTAAGCTTTAGAGCCACCTGAATTCGGTCGGCTACTCCCGGTCCACGGTATACATGCTGCAGCTACTCGTGTGCGTCCGAAAGCTACATAATCTCGGATAAACTCTTGACCCTTGGGTTGGGAGGAGATGTTGCGAACACCACGTAAATGACTTCAAATCATCACTGCGCTTCATGATAGGCTGTAATACATCGCTGGTGGTGGTAGAATCTGGAAAGAGAGCGTTTCTGCGGAATCGGTGAGCATATAGAAATACAGTTTTGCTTTTGGGGGGAAGTGCAAAATACTCAATTTTCGTTCTATTGACTTTCTAACACTTGCAGCTGGTCCCTGAGACGTCTAGAAACATATAAATTGGTTCATTAGGACGTTTCCAGTCTAAATATTCTGCCTAGTATCAAAGTCATTTTCCCAACCTGTTCAGGTTGCAATTGCCTATGACTATCCTGCATGATGCATGGTATATATGCAGGTATATGATAACATGAAGGACTTCAAGCCAATAATTTAATCAATATACAGGAAAGCTCTCTGCCCAATATTTTATTGCCTACAAATTTGATTTTAGTTCTGTTAGAAATGACATTATACAGGATATTATAGCTCTCCTGCATCTACTTTTGTGTTACCTACAGGACTAAACCTATTTAAGTATTATGCAGTCCTTAGATCTGACATATGCAGGAAATCTCTACATGTTTGGCGGGGGAAAGAGGTCGAATATGACGTCAAATTCGAGCTCATGTCGATTTCAAAGGCAGAAGACATTTCCTATAAGGAAGACTAGATAATTAGTATATACAGTACATATTAGATAAGCTGTTTAATTTTATTATTATTATCCTAATATTTTAGGAAACTGAATGCTAGATCTATTACAAATATATCCTATTGAATTCAAAACCACATTAAGATTAGGTCTGACCGTAGTGATGGACCTCAGTGACAAACACCCTTGGGCGTCCTTCAAGGAGAGGTGGTGTGGAGTGCAGGTCATCAACTAGTGGTCCAACCGTAGTGGTGGACCCCAGCGACACCCATGCACTACCAGACCAACCCCTAGAAGGGCTGCCCCAGTGCATGCTACACACTACCTGGCCAAATGGCTAGCTAGTCACCCAGCAAGGCTGATACGTGTACGGCACATAGGTGAAGTAGCGCCCAGAGTCAGAATCTAGTGCTGGCCATCGACTCGATCTCCACTCGTAAAAGTGGATCCGAGTGACGTCCGCACACTAGCAGACCGGCTCTGGAGACCCACCCCAGCACGTGCCGCACACCCTCAGACTACGCCCATACCTCAATGTATGGACGCCTCATTGGGCGCTTACAAAGATACCTACAGATCAAATTGGATCGTGTGTACTCTACCCTGGCAGCCCGACGTCCTGTCCCGAACTAAATATGTACCTTATAACAGTACGCCATACTTCCAAGTTCATCAAACGGCGAATGAAAGCATGAGATAATTGCAGAGTTCCCAGAAGGTTACTATATCTCACAAGTGCAGGTCGATATAAGTCAGCTAACCATAATAAATTCTCGTACCAATAGGATTAAGGAACCACAACAAACAAGAACCAACAACAAAGGTCACAAAAGTGAGAGGGATCCACAAAATAATAAGACCAATAACCAACGACTAACAACAACCAACAACAAAGGTCAACATAAGTGAGAGGGATCCACAACGAACAATAATGATAACCAATGACCAACAGTAACCAACAACAGAGTTCAACATGAGTGAGAGGGATCCACGAAGAATGATAAGACCAATAACCAACGACTAACAACAACCAACAACAAAGGTTAACATAAGTGAGAGCGATCCACGAAGAACAATAATGATAACCAACGACTAACAATAACCAACAACAAAGGTCAACATAAGTGAGAGGGATCCACGAAGAACAATGATGATAACCAACGACCAACAACAACCAACAACAAAGGTCAACATAAGTGGGAGGGATCCACGAAGAGCAATGATGATAACCAACGACTAACAACAACCAACAACAAAGGTTAACATGAGTGAGAGGGAACCACGAAGAATGATAAGACCGATATCCAATGACCAACAGTAACCAACAACGGAGTTCAACTTAAGTGAGAGGGATCCACGAAGAGCAATAATGATAACCAACGACTAACAACAACCAACAACAGAGTTCAACATAAGTGAGAGGGATCCACGAAGAACAATAATGATAACCAATGACTAACAACAACCAACAACGGAGTTCAACACAAGTGAGAGGGATCCACGAAGAATGATAAGACCGATAACCAACGACTAACAACAACCAACAACAAAGGTCAACATGAGTGAGAGGGATCAACAGAATACTAAGACCAATAACCAACGACCAACAACAACCAACAACAAAGGTCAACATAAGTGAGAGCGATCCACGAAGAACAATAATGATAACCAACGACTAACAATAACCAACAACAAAGGTCAACATAAGTGAGAGGGATCCACGAAGAACAATGATGATAACCAACGACCAACAACAACCAACAACAAAGGTCAACATAAGTGGGAGGGATCCACGAAGAGCAATGATGATAACCAACGACCAACAATAACCAACAACAAAGGTCAACATGAGTGAGAGGGAACCACGAAGAACAATAATGATAACCAACGACCAACAGTAACCAACAACAAAGGTTAACATGAGTGAGAGGGATCCACGAAGAACAATAATGACAACCAACGACTAACAACAACCAACAACAGAGTTCAACATAAGTGAGAGGGATCCACGAAGAACAATAATGATAACCAATGTTCAACATAAGTGAGAGGGATCCACGAAGAACAATAATGATAACCAATGACTAACAACAACCAACAACGGAGTTCAACACAAGTGAGAGGGATCCACGAAGAATGATAAGACCGATAACCAACGACTAACAACAACCAACAACAAAGGTCAACATGAGTGAGAGGGATCAACAGAATACTAAGACCAATAACCAACGACCAACAACAACCAACAACAAAGGTCAACATGAGTGAGAGGGATCAACAGAATACTAAGACCAATAACTAACGACGAACAACGACCAACAACAAAGGTCAACATGAGTGAGAAGGATCCACGAAGAACAATAATGATAACCAACGACCAACAATAACCAACAGCAAAGGTCAACATGAGTGAGAAGGATGCACAAGTAACAGTAATTCACAACGACCAGCAACATAGTTCAACCTTGGTGTAAGTCAATGATCAACACTAGCATAAATTAACTACTGCAGCCAACCAAGAACAGAAGTCAAAATCATCATCAATTAAAATCAACCACCTTTCTGATCAGTGGTGTAGATGCAAATTAAGTTACCGGTTGCTGAACAGCACATCCGTGGGATGTATTCAGAAAATTTTCCGACGCTTAAACAAGTCAAGAATCGGAGAAAACAAGCAGTTAAATATCAATGCATCAGCTACCACCAACAACGAGAGATGTCAATCTACTTCAACAATTCACAATGACAACTACTATTGACCAATAACGGAAGTCAAAACACGTCACTGTTAACCAAAGACCTTTCAGTGCCCAATATTGTTGTTAGTATAGTAAAGCTGTATCAAGAATGAAAAAAGAGGCGGGGAGTGGGTTACTCACAGTATTGGATTTTGAATTGAAGAAAATAAATTTGAGAGAAGAAAAGAGTGATAGAAAAGTGAAAAAAGTATTTTGGGGAAAAGTGGGAATTGGTTGTCCTTAAATATTTTTCAAATCCAAGAGACCACAAACAACAGAGGTGACCACAATCCCAAAAGAAATATTAGTATGGGGTACTACCCTGTTACCATGCATAATTACAGTGTATGGGGTGCACAATTTGCACCCCCCTAATATGCGCAGTAAGTTTATTACAGCCGTACCAGGAGCTTCCACCTTCCCCCCTTTGTAGCTGTTTGTCATGGAACAACAAAACCCACCAGACCTATACTATTAATCATATTTATCTATGATAACTCAATATACTTTAGATAGCCCCAGTACCAACTTCCCCCATTCGAAACAAGCTAAAATTGCATAATCTAAAAATTCAGTGTTTGTGTATTTGTGTGGAGATAAGAGGGGTCCCATTAAATGTAGTAGTTTACTACAGCTGTACTAGAAGCTTCCACCTTCCCCCTTCAATGCAAGTTTCTTATTGGAATTAGTACAGCGAAAGAGTTGATACTATCAACCACATTTTTTATAGACACTCACCATACTTTTGATAGTACCAGTACCAACTTCCCCCGTTTAAAACAAGCCAAAATTGTATGATCTAAAACTCCAATGTGTCTGTGTATTTGGGAGGGAACAAGGGGCTTTCAATTAATGCTGCAGCCAAAATATCCCTGCAGAAAAAATATTCATTCAAAGGGGGTGCTAGAATACGGAGTTACTTGTGTACAAAAAGTTTGCCACCTCCCTCCCTCCCTTTGGTACAAGTATTTGAATAAAACTACTAACGAGTGTTACTATCGATCACATTTATATATGTTAATTCACTATACTTTTGATAGTACCAGTACTAATTTCCCCCGTTTAAATTACGCTGAAATTGCATATTTTAATAATTAACTGTCTGTGTATTTGGTTAGAGATAAGTTGGGATATCAATTAAAACTGCAGCTGAAATCCCCCCCAAACCTAGCGCAGTCAAGAGGTGGTACCATTTTGACATTGCGCCAATATTGTGGCTAAAAAATATCTTACTTATTATAAAAATTAGGTTTTGTGGATCTTGAAAAGTTCTTAGATAGTGGAGCAGAATGTTGTTGCAAAACTAGATAATCAGAATGACATCCAATTGGGTCGATTTAGACTTGACTTGTTATGTTCTGAATGAGCCGAATACAATGAGACCCATATTAATAGGTCCTGCTTTGGACGGGCCGTCAAACAAAACATAATAACTTAAAACTCGTTTGCCACAAACCTGGAAGGGGCGGGAGGAAGGAGGGGGGCCACATTTATTTTTTGGCAGCCAACTGCTCCGTCGTAAATTATTTTTTCGGCTAATATGAAGGAATATGCGATACTTCAAAACAACTCTTTGACACCCCTGAGTGTTGACCTCTTTTATTGTATATTCTACCGATTTTTTATACCAATACTACTTGAGAGTAGTTCTACTTCTTATACTAAATATACCAAATATAAAGAGGAACACATTGCTTATGAAACCCGTCTATAGTAGTATGACGTACATTTTTCGGCGATAAATATGCTGCAGTAAAAAATAAATGCGGAGTGTAGATATGGACAACACACGACTTTCTGTAACAAATCTTTTGCAGCACATTGAAGGGGGGAATTTAAAATTTTGGGATATATATTGTGCTGTAAATATGATTATCAACACGATTAGAGATCGTAGAGAGATGGGGAAACTCCGCACATGATGATATTAGACTATACTCGAAGAAAGACTTAAATTACTTAAAAATGAAGAAATGGCACAAGATCAAGGAGTTATTATGTTTCAATTTGACAACCCCAACAATTTGAATTGGCAACCAAGTTACATGAAATTAACCACAAAAAGGTGCATATGCTCATTCATTTTGTTGAGAGCTTGGGTGGCAAAAATGGGGGCTAGCCGTGAATCAATATATCAACTATAGAGAATTATACGCGTCTGTACGCGTCGTACAACAGACGCGTATAATATACTCCCAACAACAATGATCAATTAAGCATACACAGACTTTGAAAGTTACAGTACCCAGTAGTTTACAGAACTAATTATAAAATAATTCAGGTAATTAATAAGAGATGCTATTTGTGATGACAAGGGTATGGCAATTCAATGAGATAAACGAGCAGAACAACATGGCCACCTTGAGAGGCGGTCTCTAGAACTTGTCTCCAGAGCCCTACGTATTTACAAGGTCAAAGCACAGAGAAATATAAATGAACGAAGAGAACAATACCTTGTTACCTATACACAATTGATAGTGGGTCCACACCCTTTGGATTGACTAGCACCGGACTAGGATTTTGGCACCGTCAATCAACCACTGTTGCTTTGTAATTCCGTTATTACCATGTAGTTCTTTTCATTTCGATTTATACATGGAAAATCAATATACTGTAGATAGTCGTAGTATCGACTCCCCCCGTTTGAAATATTTAGATATAGTACTTTTTATTAGATGTGCCGTCTTGTATTTGTGTTGAGATAAGGGGTTTAATATTGAGAGACATGTAAAAAAATATAATACAGTCGAATGACCAATTATACCATTTGAAAGGTGATCTAATAGAGTTCCAACACGGGTTCACTTGAGATATATAAACATGTATTTGAGGGTGGTTACACTAGACCCAAAAGATCTACTACATCTTCAATTAATGGGAAAATTTGTAAAAAGTGCGGATGTTTCAGGTTTTCAAAAATGGCGGTAAAAAAAAATTAGCTGCAAATGTGGTACTTTTTCTGGTGCATAATTATTGCAGAAAATATGGGAGACTAGGGATAAGGTTTAGGTTTTGTGATTCATTTTAAAACCTTATTTATAAATTGGAACAGAATTTTGTTGCAAAACTTGAATACCAGAAAAGGAATTCATTTGCACCCCCTTGGACTCCATTTTACTTGACATACTATACTGCGAACAAACCGAATACAACGAGACTCATATCAGTATGTCTTGAATTGGACAGGCCGCCAAACAAAATTTGACAACGTAAAACATGATTGCCACAAACCCGGCAGGGGCGGGAGGAACCAGTGTAGCAACATTTAATTTATAGCCAACGGTCCATCGAAAAATATTTTTTCGCGTTATACAACTGAATGCGCGATATGATAAAACAATGATCTGACATCTTTGACTCAGTGAACTCTTTCTTCGTAATACGGCTAAACGTATGATATTCAATTAGTACAACTTCACAACAATCCCGCCCCCCATTCCACTAGATTTGGTATCATAGAAAGTTCGTATCCAATCATTGCCAGTAGTAGGACGTTGGTTTTGTAACTTTCAGCGATACATGTGTTGCGTAAAAAATAAGTGCGGAGATCAGATCTTTCCGTATATCTGCACCACCGATATGGTTGAAGAACGACCTTTTGCAGCAAATTGGACGGAGGATTTTAAGATCATGGATAAACAGTGGGTGGTCAATTTAATTATCAACTTGGGTAGATGTGCTAGAAAGATGCAGAAAATGGGCAAAGGGTGAGAGTAAGACATATTGGAATAAGTACTAAAACAACAAGAAAAAGAAGAATGGACACGAGGTCAAGGAGTGATCAAGATCCCAGTTTCCCAAATTATGTGGCAATGAGCCCACAAATTATAACCACAAAAAGGTGCGTATGGTCATTGATATTATTGAAACAGTAAGAGGGGGGGGGGAGAGGAGAGAATAACTACAAATTCACTATATAGTAAATAGTATAGTACAGTACCGCGTTACGTAAGACCGCACTTCCCTCCTCTGTCACTTCTCTCCATTGCGACCTTGTATCTTCATGATTTAAGTTAAATGTCTTCACCAGTAGCTTTTGTATTTGATACACCCATAAAGGATGCTAATCAACGATCATTTTTAAGCTGTACCAACGTCCTTATTAAAAATGTAATAATTGCTTATTCTATCAAAACCATATGCAGCACATATTTGTAACTAAGCAAAAGTTCATGCGGTCATTTATTGATACGGGAAATACGGATAAGACCTGTATATTGTATGGAGTTCGTTGATGTATATTATGGTTTTGACTTTGTGGATACTAGGTTTGTGGACACTTGGTTTGTGGACACTTGGTTTGTGGACACTTGGTTTGTGGATTGAAGCTGTGGGGATTACTTAAGAGGGTTCTCAAATTTTCAGAAAAAGTACAATAAGGTCAGTGTAAAACTTATTTTGTTCCTTCGGTGGGTCCCATCATTTTTCCGTTCAACTTTTTAGAATATCCATGTATTCTGAATTGATATGCTCCATAAGATTTTATACTTCTCCAAATTACCTTTACTAACAATTCTTATTATTTATCCTTAGACCCATTTCCAGTTTATTAAGTGTCCTTGATAACTTGACCACAGAGATGTTTAAATTAGAGATGCGGTGCTTTGATTTTATCCACCTGGCCGGAGGCAGTTGCTGATATTTGATTGATTATCACTGTGTAATGAACCTTGACGTCAATCTAGTACTATCCATTTACTTTTGGTTCGGGATACCGGCTCGGCATGGGTTGTTGCCGAGATTGATGCTTCGATGCTGAACTTATTGAGCTGCTCCGTTGACTCACTTGCGCTATGTGTTACTTTAGTCGACGTGCACTACTCATTCTAAAGACATAAATATATAGTGTGGATATACTAGTTCGGGACAGGAAGTCGGGTTGCCAGGGTTGAGTAAACGTGGTTCATTTTGATTTGTAGGTGTATTTGTAAGCGCCCAATGAGGCGTCCATACATTGAGGTATGGACGTGGTCCGAGGGTGACCAGCTAGCCACTTGGCCAGTTGGTGTGTAACATGCACCCCTTGGGGTTGCTCAGGTCGTGTGTGGGTGGCTCGGGGGTCTACCTCTACGGTTGGACAACTAGTTGTTCCCTTGATCCGCACATAACCTCCTTCCCAATGATCGCCCAAATGTGTGTGCTACATATTAAGCACCAGAAGGTTAGCGGGTAGGCTGGCTAGTAGATCAACTTCCATGTAGTATGCACGTAGATCAAATCGCTTGACCATTGTCCACTCGAACTTCAATTGTCAATTGGGTCTGCACAAGCGCAATAGCTGTCACGCGTGGAAATTGTATTTTCTTATACTTTAGATCTGATACACACACAAATCCAAGAAAGGTGCAGGGAAGAAAATAATTTATTTTTTATATATTGTTCGGCAGCCAAGGCTAAATATTCAGATTGTGCACGCAGTTGAGGAATGTGCATAATCTGAAACCAAACCTTTTGTAAATGTGGTAAAAAAGTATTTTTAGAAATGGACAATGCACGACCTTTTGCAACACACATTTTGAATTTACAACACATTTACTCCAAGGGTAACTAAAACAGACCACAACGAAGTATACGTTAGGAGTATTGTATATTCGTGATTCAGTTGGTAGAAACATTATGAAACTAGATTATGGAACAAGAGAGGAGTGGTAGGCGGGGAACATCAAAAAATGGTCCGACCGTAGCGGCCGACCCCAGTTAAATACACACACACACTACCCATAGAGACTTGGGTAGTGTATCTACAAACCAGCCTGGCCCTTGGCGGGTGTATAGCACACACCGGTGAGGACCCTCGCGGTCGGCATGGAGTGCAGGGTATCGGCCAGAGGTCCAACCGTAGTGGTGGACCCCAGCGTCACCCATGCACTACCAGGCCAATCCCAAGGTGGGGTCACCCCAGTGCATGCTACACACCAGCTGGCCAAGTGGCTAGCTGATCACCCAGCAAGGCTGATACGTGTACGGCACATAGGTGAAGTAGTGTCCAGAGACAGAATCTAGTGCGGGCCATCGACTCGATCTCCACTCGTAAAAGTGGATCCGAGTGACGTCCACACACTAGCAGACCGGCTCTGGAGACCCACCCCAGCACGTGCCGCACACCCTCAGACTACGCCCATACCTCAATGTATGGACGCCTCATTGGGCGCTTACAAATACACCTACAAATCAAAATGAACCACGTTTACTCTACCCTGGCAACCCGACTTCCTGTCCCGAACTAAATATGTATCACATCACCAGCTCAACCCACCAATGACCCCAGCACTTGTCATTGTACCGGTTGTCATTGCCCCACCTGGTGCGGATTACCTTTGTATCGGGCCCGATACACTGACCAGCCAGGCACTAATGTGCAGACTCAAGTACTCCAAAGTAACTGGTCAGCAACGCACCGCAGGTGACCCAAGACTTACAAACTGCTCGCGTATCACATGCAAACCCTACCCGGTGACCCCAGCAAGTAAAAACTTACCGGTTGTCACTCCCCTCCTGGTGCGGATTACCTTTGTATCGGGCCCGATACACTGACCAGCCAGGCACTAATGTGCAGACTCAAGTACTCCAAAGTAACTGGTCAGCAACGCACCGCAGGTGACCCAAGACTTACAAACTGCTCGCGTATCACCTGCAAACCCTACCCGGTGACCCCAGCAAGTAAAAACTTACCGGTTGTCACTCCCCACCTGGTGCGGATTACATTCTGACTAGTCATGCACCACTGTGCAACTCGAGTACTTCAAGACTAATCAGCAACGCATCACAGGTATCCCCCAACTGTACAACAACTGTTTACTTCATTTCAAATAAACCCGGTGACCCTAGCTGATAATTGTGCTATTAGATCACACTCCATCTGTGCGAATTACCTACGTATCATTGACGCAATCTAACTAGTGCCAACGATACACTGACCAGACTTGCACAACCGTGCAAACTCGAGTACTTTTAAATTTGTCTGGCCAGCAACGCACCGGAGATACTCCATTGTAAACCGTGCTAAAATAGCACAGAAGAAGCATCCCCAAACCCCACCAGACGCCCCAAGTGCTTTCACACTAAAGGGACATCTCATAATTCTCCACTGGATGACCCAAGTGCCAAAGCACTAGTGTGTCACCTACTAATTCCACTTCTCAACAAAATCTTCAACCCTGAAACTCCCTTGATTTGTCACCCTATTTGTGCAACCCCATCCACTTCTGTATCCTTGTTTCTTTTTATCTTTTCCATTTTCCTCTTGAATTCTCCACCATTAAATATTTATATATAGATTTGGCTAATGTTAACCCTTTTTCTTTAGATTATAATCACTTGTACATTCTTCATTGTTTTGCTTTCTTATACTTAATCTTTTTCTGCTACCAATTTCTGTCTCAGCACTCTTAATTGAGGATATTTAATAACATCGAGATGAGTATTCAACCTGATTCCCCAGATATAACTTTATTGATCGATTGAACCCCCAGGAATGAGTGACAATTGCTAAGAATGTATTCACTCATTATTCTTTCTTGTATTTCTTGATATCTTTTAGTTTTTTATTTTATTCTTGTCTTTTTGACCTTATCTGTTGTTCTTTTCTTTCTGTCGTTTTTTACTTCTTTTTAATTTTTTTCTTATACTTCTCTTCTTGTTATACCTTTTTCTATATCTTTTCTTTAACTTTTCTTTAACTTTTCTTTAACTTTTTGTTTTCTTAACCTTAACAGTAGCTTTTCATTTCTTTAACTCCATTTACCTTCGTTTAACTTTCTTTTGTTTATCTTTTTGTTTATCTTTTGTTTATCTTTTGTTTATCTCTTAACTTTAAATCTTGACATCTTTTGATCTTTTCTTTACTTTTTTATTGACTTCGCTTGTACTTTGTTTGTAATTTTTTATCTTTATCATTTTATCATTTTATCATTTTATCATTTATCTTTATCTTTATCTTTATCTTTTTTTTTCTATTTTTTTATACCTTTTTATCTTATCTTCATTTTTACTTTACCTTTTTTCTATTCTTCAATTTTACTTTACCTTTTTTCTATTCTTTATCGTTTTCTTACCTTTTCATCTTAAAGGTTTTATCTTTATATTTTTATCTTTATCTTTATCTTTATCTTTTTGTCTTTATCTTTTTATCTTTATCTTTTTATCTTTATCTTTTTATCTTTTTTTATCTTTATCTTTTTATCTTTATCTTTTTATTTTTATCTTTGAAGCCCAAAAACCAGCACTAACCAAATTAACTATTGTGTACTTGTATCTTTGTGTAGTCCAAGTATTTTTGAATAATTAATATTTTCTCTGCATGTTTTAAATTGGAGAACTTGAATAACCAATGAACTACTAGCCACAAGGGGTAACCCATTAGAAAATATGATGATCCTTTAGTGAATATCAAATTAAAGTTGATATTGTGGATACTCTAAAAAGAAAAGAGTGTATAAAATTTTAAAAATAAGAGAAAAATATAAAGTCAAGGTTGTGATTGTGATAAACCACAAATACAGGCGGCTATCACAAAGTCACCTTTTTAAATCCGTGAGCAAGAAAGGAAATTCTCCCAGTGTTGTAAGTGCTATTTTATATATTCATATCCTTTGGACAAGATCAATTATATAAATTCACACATCAAAAAATTGCATTCGATCAATCACTTCACTCTAATCATTAGTATCAATATATATATAGCCCCAAAACGGTAGTGTTGATGTAAAAATTATAGAGTTAGAAACTGAATCGAGGTAGATATCTTAATGTGTTAACGTGCAAAGAGAGAATTTTATTTGCTTGAAAGGGTAGGTATTACCATGGGTGAGATTGCACATTTTTTATTTCTATTATTTTTTCGCATAATATATCTAGTGCTATGTTCCACGGCGCGCGCGTTGCACGTATATATATCCACTAGCTTTTAGTTATTGTTTTAAAAAACTCAGTTTCTCCTGTTTCTTCCCAAATATGTAGATAAACAAGTAGGAAACGTCAAGACGTCTAAATCTACCCCTAGATTTTGTGATTCATTTTAAAATCTTGTTTTAAAATTGTAGCAGTGTTCGTAAAACTAGATATTCAGGAATGGCAGCCATTTGGGCCGATTTGACTTTTCATTTCACTTAACATGTTATGTTCTGAATGAGCCGCGTACAACGAGACCCATCTTGATAGGTCTTGCATTGGACTTGCCGTCAAAAAAAATATAACAACTTAAAATTCGTTTGCCACAAACCTGGAAGGGGCGGGAGGACGGAGGGGGGTCACATTTATTTTTTGTCAGCCAGGCTCCATTGTAAAAAATTTTTCGCGTTAGATAACTGAATACGCAATATTAAAAAAAAACAATGATCTGACACCTTTGACTCTTTGAACTTCTTCTTTGTAATACGGCTAAACGAATGCTATTCATATTAGTACGAATTTACAGAAATTCCGCCCCATTCAATTAGATTTGGTATCATAGACAGCTCATCTCCAAACATTGACGGTAATAGGTACTTGGTTTTGTAACTTTAGCGATGCATGTGTTGCTGTAAAAGATAAGTGCGGAGATCAGATCTTTCCGTATTTCTGCACCCCCCGATATGGTTGAAGAACGACCCTTTGCAGCAAATTGGATGGGGGATTTCAAAATTATGGATAGATACTGAGCGGTCCATTTAAGTATCAGCATGGTTCGATGTCCTAGAAGCATGTAAAAAGCGACCACATGTTGGTAGTTGGACACGGTGGATTAAATTCTAAAACAACAGGAAAAAAAAGAAAGACGAGGTCAAGGAGTGATATTGATATTGATCTGTGTTCCACAAAATATGGGGCAACGAACATTATAACCAACCACAAAAAGGTGTATATTATAATGACTTTCACTGAAGCTATAAGGAGGAGGACGGGGGAATAACTTCAAGCTCCAAAAAGAAGACCCATTATACCTTTCTTGCACTGTATACCTATGCAATAACAACCCTTGAAATAAAGCTAATGGTAGCTATTGCAATTCAAATACATAGTAATATTAAGCCTCTTTAACGATAATAAGTGTCTAGAAGAATATGGACTCAATCAAGATCGAAATATTGGGCTATTATAAAGATTTAACCTTACTTACTTATAAAATATACACCGAAAGAATTGGTATTACAAAGAACAGTATCCTGTTACATAGATAAAATATATGTCGAGCTCCGTAAATTTACAGGCGCCGCAAAAAATATGCTACCACTCCTCCTTTGATTACGACCTTTTATCCCCATGATTTAAGTACTATCGTCAGTAGAACTTTTCTTAGCGGAAACAGTTTATTCTTTATCTGACTATAATACCAACTTTTCCTATTCAGATCACGTCAAATTGCATAAGCTAAATGGTAGTAACCTTGCATCTGTGGTCTTGAGAGTTGAAGTCTTGTTATGACAAAAGCCAAATATATCTAAAGAAATACAATTAGCCAAAGGGGGCGACCCTAGTACCATGTCTTTGTATACACCGAGCATCGACGTGTACTCGTTTGCGAGGCAAAGGGATACAGAAGTTGTTCATGTCTTGAAATTTGAATGATACTGTAACACACGGGTGTCAACGAGCCCCATATCGATAAAACATTCTTTGAGTAGGTTAGGCAAGAAATAATGTATAAACCAAGATATGGTAAACCACAAATCTGGAGAGAGGGCGGACAGAGGTAAGTTTAAAAAATGCACACACACGACATTTTGTAGAAGATCAGGGAATGATGTCTTTTGCAGTACGTATATTAACAGCAGATAAACACAGTCCCATATGTAGGTATTTGTTTTACTACATCGATTAATAATGAAGATAAAAAGGTTCAGAAAACTAGAGTAAGTTGGCCACTGAGTATGTTTGATTATGATCTAAAAATACTATAAATAAATTGGCACGTGTCCAAGGGGTAATCATTTCAAGTCTCCAAAGCTATGTGTAATGCTTATTTGTAAATAAACACAGGGATGATGCATCTGGTCATTTATACTGGAAGAACGGAAAGATCTGTACAATATACAGGGGTCATTGTTTATTTTGTTTTCGAGTTTGTGGACACTTGGCTTGTGGATTGAAGAAGGGAGGAATACTTATAATTTTTTAGTTGGTTTCAAGAAGAACAGATCTTCTTCCAGCTCCTTCGGTGAGTTTCGTATTCCTTTTAACTTTTTAGAATACTGATGTATTTTGAATTGATGCACTCCACTACAAACAAATTTTGCGATTCATGGATAATGTCACTCTGTGTATCGGATTTATACGTAGGTGCACTGACATTTTACATAGCTTTTCATACTCTTTAGTGCTTAATCAGTTGAAGAGGTGATTCTACTTTATCTATCGGGCCATTTGTAGTCGTAGTAAGTCATGATTTGCCACGTCACAGTTGTAGCTACGTGATCGTGTACTATCGCTGCAGTCATTGATTAGAATAAATAAATGCAGACGGTCAAGTGCCATTCCTTTAAATTTGTGTTCCAAAGGGTGTAATAGTGGTGGTGACCAACTTTACTTGTGCCAGCTCCCAATTAATACAGTTAATATTTTCTTGGTCATTTGGTATGGGTGATTTCCAAGGTTTTTGCTTCGGAGTTACAGTTATGCTCACATTAAGCACATATGAAATATGCGTGACTTGGTTGTCATCATTAAACATCACTCATTCCAATCGAAAAGTTAATACCCAAGATCCCGGAATGTTATTTGTTCTAACACCTTTGATTTTAACCGTAGTGCCATAAATTCCAGCAATGTCAGTGGAGAATGCACGACTGTTGCAGACCTGTGCCGCAGTTCCGGTGTCACAAAAAGAAGACAAGGTCTCATGTGGTCCCTAGCACAAGTATCTGGGTTGTCCAACTTTCAGTGCCTTCTTCCATTTTTTAGGAGGCGTGGTGGCGGGCTCCTCGTTGGGTCTGTCTTTATCTTCCTTGCTAATATTGACCTTCTTTAAAAGAGCACGGTATTAAAATAAAATAAAAACATGTGTCTGCGGTATGGCCGGGTTGGTGACAAAATTGACACCTAACTTTCGACTAAGTTGAGGATCGGAAACACTTTAATAGTACCTGATTGAACGTAACCTTATGCGAAGATTCCTTTTTCTTTAAGAGCAATCTGAGGCCAATAACGAAGCCTAGACTCCAATTGAGAAGCATCAGGAAACAATTTACAGTACTTGAGGAGTTCTGAACTAACCTCAGGCTGAAGTGCAAGGAAATGTCCCGCATACTGCTGATCTAGGGTAAGTTTTGAAATGCAGTCATTATAAAAACTGCTTACCAGTCTCGAACTCGGTCGATCGGGATTCGGCTTCACGATTGTCAGCAAAAATTCCCCATAATCAAGGAGTTTGAATTTTCCAACCTGTTCTCTGACGACTTTCTATAGAGAATTAAATTTCCACTGCGCCAGAACTGATGGGAGAAGCAAACGAATAATTTTGGGGTAAGCTGATTTGTATTAATAAAACCAAGTTTGTCTTCCATTGTGGACGGACAAATTACATATATATCAGGAGCCAGGAAATCATTATATTTGCTTTTTGATTCTTCGATGTCGGCTCTCCCTATCATACGGAAGCAGAATAAGCAGGAACACACATTAATTAGATTCTGAGGAAATGTTTGAGTGAGTATTCGATCCCAATGGTACAATCAAATTATATTCCTTGAATATGCTCTGAAAATGATATTTACAGTAACAAATCTTCTACACCTCCTCTGAACTTTCCTTCTATAGCTGTGGAATAGAATACTCAGTATATTACAAACGAAAAGCAAAATTAGCACTTTTTGATGGCGTTTTTTCCGTTCTATTTAGTGATGTATGACATTGTTGTTTCGTTATTTATGACTGTAAAAATTACGGGGTTAAAAATAATTTCATGCACGCAATTTACAGCCAGAATATGCAAGAGGGAAACGATTAATTAAGCGACTGGGCTGCATCTAATCTAAATTATCAATACAATGTTACCTCAGGCTATATATGATGACGAACCCTCAGAAAATCCAATTATACAACAATCATATCATCCTTAGTATACGCTTTGTATCCCATCACTAGACCAGCGAAATCAGTATTGCGTACATCCATAGAAGACCAAAAAAATAATATCTTGGTCATGTATTTATCCTACTTAGATTATACATTCAGTTATAAACTTCTAATCCAGTAGTGGTTATTTTCTGGTTATTCCGATAGATTGGCCTTATAAATAAATACTACTACAATATAGATGCTATGTCGATATATTTTTATATGTGTATGTTGAGATAGCTCCGCTCACCTCAGATTCTATTCGACATCTAATCCCTAAGTATTATTGTGTCCACCAGACTCGGCATTAAATCACACCTGACGATGTTTGTGCACAGGACAAATAGATTGCTTTCTCTCAACACCTACGATATAATTGATCTTCGTGGCGATAGACAATATTTGTATTGAAAACCTTTTAATTGAAGTTAGCTAAGTAAAATAGTTATCTTCAGGGTATAGATATAAAGCATCTTCTTCGACTCCAAGATAGTTACTATATATATTAACGTCCTCGATATCCAATTTTTGCACACCATATAATTCTTTACGGTGTGGCTCTAGATCCCCGCCATGTATTAAACGATTAGTATAGTAATCATAAATGTTTTTATCAGCAGGTTTGGTATCTATATTTGAATCAAGGTTTTGATGCTCTCGTAAATTACTAGATGGCAATGTTATAGAAGATCTAGATTGTTCCATATAGAGTTTCTTATCTTCAGCTGCAACCTTCAGGTAAATTGAAGTTCCATTTTCTGTTCTAGAATATACTGAGTTATATTCAAGTCTCGGAGTTGATAAATAGGATGTATGGGTTGACTTTTCGCTATAAGATTCACTCTGTTTGCTACTATATCCCAATTTTTCAATTTTTGTTGTTAAAAAGCTCTTGATTTTATTAGAATGAGTTATATTCAAATAAGTGGATGAGCTTTGTCTAGACTGGAGAAGACTTTTATTAGTAGCTCCGCCACCTTTACTTTCATACTCTCCTTCGTCCTCCTCAATGTCATGCATACTTATATCTTGTCTATCATCGGGTGAACTTTCTAGATATTTCACATTTCCATTTCCATTAGGTTGTTCACCAAGTGCATCAATCGACTTTGAAGGTCTTAAATATGGTTTTCTAGACTCAAAAGGGCTATAATCAAACGTATTAGATCCATTGTTGATGTTTGAAGGAAAGTATCTAGCATTTGAATTCATATTAAACTGAAATAATTCAGTAAACGATTGATATTTTCTTGGGACATAGCATTCATTAAACCAGTTATCATTATAATCTGGATAAGGTTCTAATAGAGGGACCTTTGAATCGTATTGACTCTCCACCTTGCGATATTGTTGTAAATCAAATCTCGAGCTTTTTAAAAAGACATCATTAAACCAATGTACATAGCTTACTTTTATTCGAATATCTTCGATTAAAGTATCGTTATGTAAATAAAAATCATTCTGCAATTCCCAAAGTTTAGGTTTATTTGGATCATATGAATAGTTCCCCAAAAATAAATTAATAGCCTCTTGACGTATCAGATCCATAAATGAGTTAGAATATATACGTTTGATACTGTTTAACATATCTCTAGTATGAGATGACCATTGGTTAATACGTCGATAGGAGTCCATTGTATTTACTAAGTTCGATCCTCCATATTGAATTGCAATGGTATCACCATGGTCATGAAAAATTTCCGTGAGAATGTTAATCAAGTCCGAGTCATAATCAAGAGACCTATCCTTTGAGATCAATCCCAAGCTTGATAATTGATGGACAAGTACTTCTTTGCATACAATGAACTGAGCAGCGTTTGTTCTATCGAGGCAGTCAATACAATTTGTGCGCAATACCCCCTTTTGGACCTTTGTAGATGCTAAATCAACTCCGTTATGGAAGAAACCAGTTCTACTAATTGATTCAGCGGCAATACTTTGTAATGGTCCAATCACATCTAAGTTCTTCTTGGAGTGCTTAGACATATCAAATGAATGCATTTGTAATCTATGCTCTTCCGGTAAGAATTGGTTCAAATATTTTACACAATTAACAAAATGCTCGTTCAATTTCAGTTCTCTGGGTACTTTTTCCTTCGTTTTTATTAAATTTAAAACAATAACAGGCAGACCATACCTTTCAAATAAATTATTGAAATGAATAGCAGAGCTTTGATAAAATGGGTCTGATAAATTAATCTCTATTGGAGGTTTGGGAAGGCGATTTAAATCTTGAGTCCAATATAGTGGTATCGATCCTCGATGTTGAACGAAACTAGTATATCGGGGGTTTCCATAGAAACCATATTTGGGATCATGGAATGATGAAACAAGCATGTCAGACACTATCTGTTCCGTCTCGATCTCATTGGCAACATTGCCCTTGTCATTTACGCCTCTTTTCAAGAATCTGGCTCCAGCAAAATGATGTGACCGTCTTGCAATTATAGTTATATAGATTTTCTTTCCATATATGGATATATTTGCTTGGTCAATAAACCCATGTATAATCGGCTGGAACCATTCATATGTAGCAATATCTTGATTCAATAATACAGGATCTATTAAAAGTTTATTCCAAACAAATCTTTCATTATGATCAAAAGTATCAAATTGTCCAGGAGTTTCTGGTACATCCTGTGATTGATTGAATTGAAACTTTTCAGCATATTTCTTTTGACGAATGAAGTTAGTTTGTAACGTATTAGTAATATCATATGAGTAACTAAAGTAAAACGTCTTACCCAAGTCTAAATATTTAAATATGGAAAGTAGTCGTTCTTCGTCACTATATTTATCGGGACGTTTGTAATTGATATCAAGAGGGATTAGTTTTGTTTCATCAACATGATATAAGAAATGCCCACCTAGTATAGCTACCTGGCTACATTTTGTTATCAAGCTCAAATAGTAACCCTTAGTAAACTTTATGAGTCCAAGAAGACCATATCCACGAGCAGTTTTGTAAATACCACCTTCCACCGACTCGTTCAATCCATTGATCAACTCAACCATATCTTTTCTGGTGTAGAAGTAGTTTTTATCCTCTATGATATCTAATTTCGTCTCGTCATTTGGATCCTTACATATTTCAAGAATTCTAAATAAACTCTCTTTTGCATTGCTACCCACAATGTACATCGTAGTCAAGGAGTTGTATATCGTGAAACGCTGGAGCACAATTCTCTTGTTATTGAATTCTTGGGCGTTCTGTGACTCTTCCTCATCATCTTCATCCTCTTCATCATCACTAGCACCCCTTTCGAGTTCGGCTTCAGATTCTATGTAATTAGTTGATGTTGCGTCATTGTGCACCCTTTGATTGGCATATACTTTACTCCTTTGTTGTGAGCCCGCACTAGCAATTACATCATTTACAGTTCCGCCTCCATCCGCAAGTACAGACCTAGGTGTGTCCATATTATGTGAAGAAAGTCAACTTATCAAGGATATGTTTCAATTGTGTACACATTTTTAAAATGTCTTGATAACAACATGCAGGACACGCGATCGTAAATGATAAACTTTAGTGTACGAAGAGGGATACACAAGGATAACTCTTTCAACGTATATTAACTTAAATAGTATACATCAAAATAAACAAACATTTCCATTTTTTATAGTGTGATTTTTATGTTTTTGTAATGACATATTCGTATGAATCAAAGGGTCACGAAACCAAAAAAAAAAAAAACATAAAGGAAAAAAAGGGGAAAAAAGACAGCTTTTGCAGCTAAAACATGTGTTACACTTTTTGGACAAAAATTTATTACATAAATTAAATTATTAATTTGGGGGTATAAGCATATTTCATTATAAATTATTAGCATTACTCTTTGAGGACTTTGGCTTCGTGAAGGGGAGCAGTGTCAGAACCAACCACAGGTTCAGAGACTGGTGGCGTAGCAACATCTGTAGTTGAAATATGAGGCGGCTCTTCATTGTAGCCACTTTCGGTTGTAGGTTCTGGAAGTTCCTTTTGATCCAGCTCTTCACGCTCTACCGGGAGACCGGCTTCAAGATTCGCATCTTCTGATACAGCGAAGTTGGTGACTGGGAAAATAGACCCAATGGAAATATTTTTAGTAAAGAGTCCCTGTGTACCACTTTTTACAGATGGAATAACCGTAAAGATAATGGACAACACAAGTGAAAGAATAAATGTAATCCAAGCCAAGAATGCAAAGGCAATATTTGCCTTACCTGAAGTACATCCATTTGAAGAATAAGAAAACCCCCAAAAATGACCAGAACCGAAACTACAGGAAACGCTAGCCCAAAAATCGGCCACCACCGCAAATGCAACGAGCCAAAGTAGGGTGAGGATCGATTCACAAATAATAACCAGGAGCGGTACTGCATAACGATAAAGTGGCGTCACCGTAAACACAAGGTAAGCAAACGAGATGACGGATACCGCAAGTGAAAATTGAATTCTTTCATTGGGGAAATTGGCATCAGAAGCAGCAGCTGTTGCTAAAGCAATGATGGTCCATAAAAACTGAATTGAGCGAATAACAATAGAAATGACGAAATGACTAGAGTAGCCACGAAATCCCAAGTTTACTGGTCTCATTGTACTTTATATCTTGAAGTTAAATGTAGTAGAGAAATCACTAAGAATATTAAGGTAGAGCAAGGGCCTTATGTTCGTATATATATAGGAATTGTGATATTTAAATTAGATAAATCATTTTAACTTGGTCATTGTTTTTAATTTACAATATTTTTTAGTCCCTAAGGATATGTTTATCGTATTTGTTTCTACTATTGGTCCAGGGTATTTATTTTTACGCGTATTCTGTTTCCAAACTCATTGTCAAGCATTAATACATATGCTGATTTATATAATACTCTATCTACCCCCTTTCACTATTTTATCTGTTATGTGATTCAATTTGCCAACATGAAGTATGGCAATTAAATTCCCAGAAGATAGTCATTTAAACTCGTTTCACGTGCATATTTACTTGCAGAAATCCTTAATCATCTCTTCGCACGGCAGTACACCCCACCCCAAAAAATTAAACTACCAATTAGTCAGTTTTGCCACCTTTCAAGTACTGTCTCAACAATTTAGAATGTGAGTGTGGTGAGGGGACTTGGCATTAGACAAAGCGTAATCGCGCCTAATAAGATTTTTTCATGTGAATTAAAGTTTTAACAATATGTAGTATAGAGAAAATAACTTTTCCAGGAGGGGGGGGATAAAGATTTAAAGAGATTCTAATCATAAATCGCCGTGGCTTAACACTTTATTTTTCAAATACATATAGATACATTCGCTTCAGCTTCTTGAATTTTTTGAAAATTACAACCCCCGCACTTACAGATCTAGTATTTAGAAAATGTATCATTCTGGTTAACTGCATGAAAGCATTTGTGTACCTAAGAATTTTACAAACATGCAGATTAAACAACACCAAAATTAAAGTATTATTTTCCACAGTTTTCTGGAAAGGAATGTATTAAGTTTGTAAATCTGTTTTAAGCTTGAGGTCACATTCTTTTATAAGAAAAAATATTGGATTTCGAAAGTGTTAAACTGATGAATAATATAAAATATTTTATTTAAAGTTTATTTTCTGTTCCACATGTAGGATTACTCCCTCTCGTCACCCTTTTACAAAAATGCCACAATCACAGTACATTAGCTACAACCAGACCATGGTTCTCTCATATTCTATTAATAGTAAGGACAAATAAGAAAATTTTCAACATTTTCAAGTATATCCCTCAAAGCAAAACTTTCTATCGGAAACTAATCTGTGGTGGCTGCACAAATGATGATTCCTGCCTGCACTATTCCTACCTGCACTACATAAAATATTAAAGATGAGGTTGTATATAATTCTATCTATCTCTATTGATAAGTACTTTAATTCATCTAAAATGTCAGATTGTAACAGAAGAACCCACGCCAAGTTCCATTTTTCTTGCAAGTGAATGATATCTCTAAATATTCACCGTAGAATTTATATCACATTACTTTCGAGGTTTATTACTCGGAAATAAATCCAAATACTTCTAGATAGTGCTGCCTGTACACTCCTCTTTATATGTGCAAATTATATATATTAGTAAGGGTCAAAAGCTATTAATTGTTAAACTTTTTTTTAACCTTGGAGGACCCACAATTTAAATATATGCAACTAATTCTCTAATTCTCTAAGCTGCAATCGCTGTGGAGGTCCAAGAACCAGCCAGATTTCCACACTAAGATATTTCAATAGTTCGTGCTTTAGTTTTTTGTTTTCATCTTTCAGTATGTATTTATCATATAAAAAGGAACCGCTGTTTCGTTTGTTATTTTTTTTTTTTTTTTACTTCATTCTATGTTTATTATCCTATAATTTGTCTATATAATCGTTGGTTATATTGGCTATATAACCTCCTTCATGTTGTATATTCATTTCATAGTTGCCATATAATAAACGTGTCGTCGTTCCCGAATATGGGCGTGCGCTAACCGTTTTATGGATTCCTAGATTGAGATATTTTCCGCAAAAGAGTTTTTCTCAACAAATGGCTCTTTGGCCGAGTGGTTAAGGCGGTAGACTCAAGTTCTACTATCGTAAAGATGCAGGCGTTCGAACCGCCTAGGAGTCATTATTTTTTATTTTTACTATTTGTGTTTTTTCTTTTACGATTATTCCTATTTATTAGACACGTAGCTATATCTCTCCTATAATTGGCATTTTCCATTTGAGACTATCGGGATCATATGTACAGACTCTTTCAGAGCCATCTTCAGAATCTTTATCCCAATCAAGTTCAAAATCCCCAAATCTATTGACAAATTGTCTCCTTTGATAAATTGTATTAAACTTGAAATACCGCTTACCAAGTCGGTTATTGAAGTAAAAATTTGCATAAAGAGCAATCAGTTCTGGATCTTCCGGATCTCCTATAACTTCGTCTCCTGTAGTGGTTAGCCATTGAATATCATGATCATACGTGGTTACTTCGGTTGGATGACCTGATCCATATGGAGGCGTATCTATGTTTTGAGTTTGGTTGTTAGTCAATGACATCCGTTTACTTGGATTCCCATCTCCACTTTGAATATGGTTGAGGGCTTTGTAGAAGTTTTTGAGAGGTATATTGATGAAGTAGCGATAATCTGTTTCCTTCACAGTGTAGTAGAGCAAGTCATAGTCATTAAGCAATGCGGAAGGTTGTGCTATATCGATAAAGTAGATTCGGAACCCAGACTTGAGATAGAGTCCAATTTCCTCCATAACAAGCTGAACTTTGCGGAGTTTGTTACCAGTACTTGTATGCGGCGTGGGGACTGAAAATTCCCCTAACTTTAAAAGACAAAATTGCGCCTTTGGGAGTATATCATTAATGTTTGTTGGTGGATAAAACTGTTGGCTGACCGTATCACCATTATCATCTTCGTATCTAATTTCAAATTTTGTTGTACCGAGTCCATTACCATGTTTGATCACAAGCCCAATGTTGAGGTTATAATCCCCCGGGGCAATCCAAACATCTTTAGAATAAGACAAGAGATAAGTTCGATTGATCTCAACGTAATGATTGAATATATAGTTTATTGGTTCATCAATTTTATAATCAGAATATTCGGCGAAGAGCCTCTTGTTCTTGAGCAATGAATATATATATTTCCACAGGTCCTTGACATAAGATGTGTGAAGAGGGTAGCCCGTGAGCCCAGTGTCATCTTGAAGTCCAAGCCTATCAGCTAGAAGACGGCGCAGTTGGTAACGTATGGAGTCCAACGTCTTGATATATTGTTTGAGCCATGGTAACACCTTAATCAACACTGCCACAATTTCTTCACCAAAAGTTTCAATTATCTTGGTATAGAATAGATCATTGTACAAGACAAAGAAATGCGAATTTACAAGCTTCAATGAGCTTTCAGGAGCTAACCCGAGCAATTTCACTTGGATTTCCACCGGTAGCCGTCCTATCATGATAAAGAAAGTGTGTGAGCGATTCGTTTTATCGGAATTTCCTATTTGAGCGGGCGATTGCGCACTAATTCTGCCACACACCCCTAGATGAACTAAATTGGCCAAAACACATTAATAACAAAAGATCCACAAATAAATCTTTACTAATCCAAATTACTTCTGTTTGGTATTGAATTGATCGATATCTCTGATTTAAAACAATTAAACTTCAATTGACCCCAAAAGAAAAATGGTGGACATTGAAAAGCAACAAAGTGCAAGCGCTACTACTACCAGTAAGCTTCTTCATTTTATAATTCGTTCAATCCCGGCCATTATATTGTTAGGTTTCATTGCAATTACTGGTAGCGGGGTGCTTTTAAACAAAGATCAAGATTACTTTCCATTGAGTTCCAAAAATTGCGGGAGTAGACCATTATGTCCGATAATCCCTTATGTTCGGCCCGATTCTTATCATTCCGATAACTCCACTGTATTAAAGATTATTTCAGATGAACTGTTCCGAAACCTGTCTGCCAAGAAGCTTTCAGGTGCTGTTAGAATTAAGACCGATGTTTATGATGATAGTCCATTGGTTAAGGAAGATCCAAAGTATTGGGATGATAAATTTAAGCCATTCTATGAATATTTGGAATCTACTTTCCCTAATTTATTTGAGTTTGCTGAAGTGGAAAGAATCAATGGATGGGCTTTGGTGTTTACATGGAAAGGATCCAACCATTCCTTGAAGCCAATCTTACTCACGGCCCACCAGGATGTAGTACCAACCCAGGATGCAACTTTGAAGGATTGGACTTATCCACCATATGAAGGTGTCTATGATGGAGAACATCTTTGGGGCCGTGGTTCCGCTGATTGTAAGAACCTTCTTATTGGGGTCATTGAGGCACTCGAAGAACTTCACGCCAATGGATTCAAACCTAACAGAACCATTGTTTTAGGCTTTGGAATTGATGAGGAGATTGGTGGGGAAAGAGGAGCTTCGAAAATTGGTGAAAAGCTTCTTGAAAAATATGGCAAATCATCATTTTATGCTGTTATTGATGAAGGGGGACAAAGTTTGATTGAACAAGAGGGTATTTTTTTGGCTTTACCAGGTACGGGTGAAAAGGGTATCGTGAATGTTGTGATTGGATTGAACACTCCAGGAGGGCATTCATCAGTTCCGCCAGATCATACAAGTATTGGTATATTATCCAAATTAATCAGTTCGATTGAGGATGAACCATTCCATGCTATTTTCTCTCCAAGAAATCCAACATTCCATGAATATCAATGTATTGCTACCCACTCTCCATCACTTCTGCCAGCAGTTAGAACTGCTATTTTGAATGCCGAGGCAAATCCACTTGCAAATGAAGTTGCAATCGAATACTTGACTCACCAATCACTTGCCACTCGGTACCTTATCGAAACAACTCAAGCTGTTGACTTGATTCATGGAGGTGCTAAGCTGAATGCCTTACCTGAATATACTGAAGCGGTAATCAACCATCGGATATCTGTTGAAAGTTCTGTTAATGAAACTGTCTCAAAGGATTTGCGCCATGTTTTGAAGATAGCCAAACGTTTCAACTTGGGGGTTCTATACGAAGATACAGAACTTCTTCCCAAAACCGATGCTGGATATTTTACTGTTCACAAGGAGGGCAGCTTAGAGCCTGCTCCACTCACTCCAGTCAATGATAAGCATTGGGACATTTTAGGAGGTGTCATTAGACATGTGTATGAAGAAGTGGCCTACCCTAGTAAGTTTGATGACAAGCCTGTTGTAGTTGCCCCTGGAATCGCAACAGGAAACACCGATACTCATTGGTATTGGCCTCTTACTGAACATATTTATCGTTATAGACCAGGCCTCACTCCTACTGTCGAAACTCATGCTCATGGTGTGGATGAGCACATTCCGTTTGACTCTCACTTGCAAATTATTGCATTTTACTACCAATATCTTCAAGTGATTGACTCGTTAGAGGATTGAACAGAGACTTTATATTACTAACTACATTGGACAATAGATATATAATACGTTGAATATATAACTGCTTCTTACTCATACAAGAATTGAATGGTTTGTAGAATCACAATCATGACTTCATTTGGACGGTTAATTTATTTTTTCGCAAACAAAAAATAAAGTATTTATCTCTTTGGACTTCAAATTCTATGGTTCAGATTCGATATATTTATTCAGATTTAAGCTGTAAAAGCTTGATATTCATATTATTCCATCTTATCGTCCCTTACCTAATTCAATGTATTCATATCCTATATCTTGTATCAAATAACGTGACCATGGTAGTAAATTATATTCGATGATGTCCTTTATACAGGACCTTCTGGAAACTTCTTAACGTGTCCGGCGTACAATTTATGGAGATCTCGACACAGAGAGGCGAAATCTATAAAGCCCATAATAATACATTGTTTTCGGAACTTTAATCGACTAACAAATTACGATATATATACACAATGAGCACTACAGTAAACCCTACTCTCTTATGGGCCCAGCGTTCCAATGCTACTGAGGCTGAAAAGAATGTTCTTTACGTAACTATTCAAGTCACAGACCCTGTTGATGTTAAGGTCGATTTGACCAGCACCACCTTGGAATTCTCTGCTTATACCAGCGACAAGAAGACTCACTACCAATTGAAGCTCGATCTTTTTGCTGAGATTGACGTCGAACACAGTAAGAAAAACACCGATTCCGGTTCTCATGTGTACTTGGTTTTGAGAAAGAAGGTTGCTCAAGAAGAATACTGGCCACGTTTGACCAAGGAAAAGGTGCGTTTACATTACCTTAAGACCGATTTCGACAAGTGGGTTGATGAAGACGAACAAGATGAACAACCAGAAGAAGATGAAACTGCTGGTATGCAAGGAATGGGAGGTATGCCAGGTATGGGTGGCATGGGAGGAATGCCAGGTATGCCAGGTATGGGTGGCATGGGCGGCATGCCAGGTATGGAAGGTTTAGGTGGTATGGGAGGTGCCGGTGGTGACATGGACTTTGCCAAGTTGATGCAACAAATGGGTGGCATGGGAGGTGCTGGTGGTCCAGGTGGTGACTTTGACATCAGTAAATTGGCCAGTCAATTGGGTCAAGCTGGTGCCAACCTTGACGGCATCAATGCTGAAGATGATGAAGATGACGAAGCCGAAGCTGAAGTTGAAGAAGTGAAGTAAATTCGATGAGATTCATGTATTAAATAAAAATATTTCTTGTATACAAATACCAATTAGGAAGTTAATTTATTCTGTAATGAAGTACTATAATAAGATGATTACAATTCATAGTGAGTGAAAATAGCATAGTATCCCACTTGATGGTAACCTCATCATGGGTCGTCAATTGTTCATCTGGGGTAAATCACGTGCATGGACAGAAATTAAGATAAATCAACAAGGCTATAAGAATCTACTAATAATAAAATAGTACCTAACTGCTTACTAGTAGTATATATGATTTGGACCAGGTTGTTATCTATGAAAATGGGAAAGGGGTATATCTTTTTCTTCTACTAGATGAGACTTTGTAATTCTTTGGTCAGTTTATTTATTTTTAGTCTATGGTATTTGCAGCCAAAAGTTTTTGTACTTGGAGATCATAAATACTACTTTTTCTTACCTATTCTATAGAATCTACAATATAAAGACGGGAGAGTGGTATAGTGAGTAAGCATAAGTAGAATTTATTGAAATTTATTATTCCGTTTACAAAAATCAAGAATTACCAATAATTATATATATAAATATATACTCCACTAAATTGAATGAACCCCCCCTTGATGGATTAGGATATCAAATGGACAGTATAAGTTTACATATCATATAACTTACTTCATCAACTTCAAATTCACTTTAAATTCTATTATATTTTACTCATATATATCGATATTCAGGCAATTCCATTTAATTGTCTGTTAAATAATATTTTGAACCCATTTGGAAAGTATTACCCCAATCTCAATCTCCATAGACATATCATCATCTTCAACAGTCTCACAAAAGATGTTGGGAAGAACGTTATACCAAAAAGGTGGATATGAATTTGTATTTTCATGAAATCTTGGGCCCTTCTTTGTCTCACATATCCTTACTTCAATTTTGCGATAATACGCTAAGTTATACAAGAAATGCATTATATAATTGACAGATTGTGCAGAGAAATCCTCCATATCCATGAATGATACATCATCTGATACGCCACATCCCATTTGAAGTAAATACAGAAATATTCCGTAGAATCCAATCGCCGAATCATGGTGACGAATGACGTCAGTATCTCCACCGTAACTGCTTCTCTTGAGAATATCAATTAATTCACTGAGAGATTCCACCAATACAACATTTGTACGTTCAAATTTGTTGATGAATGCTACAGATTGCTTTGAAGATGGAGGTCGATCCAATATTTCCAGAGTGAATAGAGAAGGATCTGCTACAAAGATTGTTGACGATGACGATGAATTCGATTCCACCAAATTGAGCGAAAAGTCCGCAAAGGACTCGACGTTTTGGTGGAATGTGATCATGGACTAAATATCATGAATTTATACAACACAACCTTTACTTTAAACTGTCAGTACAAGTAGGATCAATATATGAACCTATTAATTTTAGTTTGTTTGTGTCAGATCGTGCGAATACCGAAACTAATTTGGCGGAAGAAAAAAAAAAAAAACTGAACCAAGTTTTCGAATTCAAATGATCAAAACTTTTTGGTAGAGATATATATAATTAAGGAGCAAATAATAGGCGCCCACAAATGCTTTCATTAACCAAAACGCGAGTATTAGGGGCACGTTCGGTCCGTCGTTCGTTGCCCGGGTTTTCCAGAAGCTACGCAAGCACCACCGGTGCAACTGAACAAGAACAAGCTTCTCAACGTGACCTTCGTGAAAAATCGGTTGCAGACGCTTTGGCCAAGGAAGAAGAAGCACTTGCCAAGACCAAGCAGTTGCGCCAGTTGAAAGAGCAGGCTCATGCCATGATTTCCACTTTAAACAAGACCCCAACTACTTTGGTTCATGAACGTTTGGAAAAGCTTCAACGTGAAGTGGACCTGTTGGCTAATCAAGACAAGGTTAAACAATTGGATGAAGAGTTGGAAGACTTCATGTTAAAGCAAATGCAATTACCATACTCCGAAATCGTCAACCACCCATGGAGTGTAGCTCCTAAGCCTAGGGGTGCCTCCAGTGCTTCTGGTACTTCTGCATCCGAAGAAGAAGGTGGTCGTACTCAAATCAAATCCACTTCCACTAACACATACACTAGTGACTTCCCTCAACTTAAGCCTACTCCTGATTTCAAGCCTTATTCCGAACAGGAACTTTACTTGAGACAACTTGCTCACACTCGTCGTTCTGGTACTCTTGGATCGGATTTGACCAATGTTTACAAGGCAAGAAATGAAGTCAACAGACCACGTCAAATAGAAGACACCACCGTTGCTTCCTTGATGGCTGCCGGATGTCACTTGGGTCACTCAAAGGCTATGTGGAGACCATCCACACAACCATTTTTGTATGGAGAATACGATGGAATCCATTTGATTGATTTGAATGAAACCATGCTGGCCCTTAAGAGAGCCACCCAAGTCCTTAGAGGCATCGCCGGAAATGGTGGTGTTATCTTGTACGTTGGTACTAATAAGAACTGGGAACAAAAGAGAGCTGTTGAAGAAGCTGCCAAGAGATCACGTGGATACTACGTCCACAAGAGATGGATTCCAGGTACTATTACCAACTTTACTGAAGTTACTAAGCAAGTGAACTCCAACAGTAGAATGGAAATTGATATGGGAGACGTTGCCACTAAGCGTGAGCTTACTGAAGAAAATGACCGTATCATCAAGCCAGATGTAGTTGTTATTTTGAACCCAGTGGAAAATAGAAACTGTATCACTGAATGTATCAAGCTGAGAATACCAACCATAGGGTTGTGTGATACAGACATGGAACCTTCATTATTGACATACCCAATTCCATGTAACGATGACTCCATGAGAGCCACGTCTTTGATGGCTGGTGTTTTGTCCAAGGCCGCCGAAGAAGGATTGAAGAGAAGACTTGAGGTTGTTGCGAACCTGAAGAACGTTAGAGAAGGTAACTTCTCTAGAAGAGCCCAAGCATAGATCATGTACATAGATAAATAAAATAGACGACTAGTCAGTGAGAGTTAATTGTAGGCGAATGTGTTTATACATGATACCAGATGTGTTGTTTTCACCACGAGCATCTGTATTCTTTTTCTACTATATATGGATTATGAAGGAAAATCTCTATATTATATAAATTGTGTAACTGATTTTAATAGTTCATGGGTGCCGGTGTTGGTGTACTTTCTGATTGTGGTTTGACCTGCAAGCCCAACAGTTGTACTTCTTCTCTAAATCTCATTCGATGTTCTCGTTGTGTACGTTCATACTCAGAAGTATGATCGACTTCCATTTCTTCTAGTTTGGCTTCAAGTGTATGAGCATCTATCACAATGTCAGTAAGATCAAATTGTGCTGCCTGGTACAGATCGGATGTCGACGGTTCACAATCGGCTAATGTAATACGGATATGGTCCGTAGGTCCTAAATTCACCTTGTGATATCGAACTAGGTCCTCAACCGATATCTGAATCATTGATGAGGGGTACTTTAAGTGGGTAAGTGTGATGGGTTTGTGTAGGGCAAAATATTTTTTGGAACTCTTTTCGCACACACACACACACGGCTGTAAAAAAAAAAAAAAAAAATCAAGCTAAATGTATAGGTGGTAAAGAAAGTTGCCCGCACTAAGACTGGAAGGTCTAAGAGAAAGATAAAGCCGAATTTTGTTCATTCTAGAAATGTGGGGTAACCTTTTTATCCAAGGTATGGTTTATATGTACTCAGTTAATATTTTCTAGAAGTCTTGAAGTTTCCATGAGGAGTATATTTGTAGATACCTTTCAAGAATTTTAGACAAGAAATACACAATTGCTTGATCACTGAAACACTTTTTTGCAAAGAAAACCCAAGACTTACAAGACAATGACCACAAAACACTTATTTTAGAGAGAGTTAAATTGGCGAGATTGATTAAACCTCTACTAGGAATGTATAAACCTTCGATGTTTCAAATCGCGGAATTGAAATCATGAGGCACTTCCTGCTAGATAATATTTCAAATTCCCCTCTAGTCATAGATAAAATTATAGATAACCTATATTAGACTTTCCGCTAGTAGAAGATATAAACTTATCTTATCGTTTGAATCTTAGTCATGCAGAAAATTGTATTGAAAGCTGTGCGACAAACTCAAAAGAAAAGTTCTTACTAAAACGTGGGGTAAGTCAATCTCCGAAACAAGTCAAAAAGGATGTACGAATTCTCATTATGAGGGGAAATTAGAATTAATATCGTCTGATATGAGCTCTAATCCTTTGTGCTGTTTTGTGTCTCGGTCTACTCCAGGTTATGGTGAGGGGGGTCCAATATTGTATTAAAAAATAAACTAGATTACCAAATATTGTAGTCTTTGTATGTTTTTCTGGATTCATATTTCTTTTTCTTGCTGCGAAATGTGGAGAACATTTAATCCAACAGTTATTGGAGTGCTTGGCGACTTGCCGCATACTAGAATTATGTGTGTACGTTTTGTTTGTATATGAGACACAAGGTTATTTTTTGCAAGGTGGTAGATGCGAGAGTGAAGGGAGGGGATTACAGCCGAGTTCTTATTGTCTTGCCAAGGGCGGGACCAACAAACCATACTTAGATGGAAGGGCTGTATCTTACATTTATAAATATGGGACCTAGGCCCGTATATATGTCAATGTATGAATTAGTTCTTTAAATCTATAGAACCACAAAGTTAATAATTAATATGTCAAAAGATCAAACTAGACCATCGATTGTACTGCTCGATGATGAGCTTGAAAGTCAAGAGAAAGACCAACTTGAAACAGTGATTTCGTCTGACACAAATGCTCCACAGCAACATGTCTTGCTGTCCAAAGGTATGGATGAAGCCATGAGGTATGCAATTGAGAACCATGATGAAAACATTCAACTTGATCCAGAAACTGAAAGACGACTCATTCGGAAAATTGATTTGTATCTTCTTCCAGTTATGTGCCTAGTTTATTGTGTTCAATTTATGGATAAACTGTCCAATTCATATGCCTCGGTTTTGGGACTTCGTAAAGATTTGAAGATGACGGGTGATATGTATGGATGGACAGGTAGTGCCTTCTATATTGGGTATTTATTCTTTGAGTTCCCAGCTTCCTATTTACTTCAAAGACTCCCAGTTGCTAAAACTGCTTCGGTGTTTATGTTGTTATGGGGTGTTGTCTTATGTCTTCATGCGGTACCCCAATACGAAGGATTTATTGCCTTGAGAACACTTTTAGGAATGCTTGAATCATCGGTTACTCCAGCTTTCACTATCATTACCCTGCAGTGGTACAAAAAGGAGGAACAATTCTTAAGAGTGGCCATTTGGTTTGCCTTTAATGGTGTTGGTATAATCCTTGGGGGGGGCCATTTCTTATGGGTTATCCATCCATGGCAATTCTTATAGCATGGAAGCATGGAAGCTCATTTTTGTGGTCACAGGTTGTATCACCATCTTCTTAGGGCTTCTTGTGTTGGTTCATATTCCAGACACTCCAGCAGGCGCATGGTTTCTTTCAGACAGTGAAAAGAAACTTGTAATTGAACGTATTAGATCTAACCAACAGGGGTTTGGTTCTAAAAAATTCAAAAAGTATCAATTTGTGGAGGCACTTTTAGACTATAAGACTTGGCTCATGTTTGCATTTGCATTCTGTAACAATGTACCCAATGGAGGTATTACGAATTTCGGGAACATTTTACTTGTCAGTGACATTGGTTATACTCCCAATGAGTCACTTCTCATGCAAATGCCTGCTGGTGCCGTTCTCCTTGTTGGATGTATCGGATTCTCGTATTGTGTTCGTTGGTACCCACATAGAATGTTCTGGGCCATTACTGGTACAATGGTGGTTGTGTTTGGCCAATGTCTTTTGGCATTCGCCAATAACAACAAGATGAAATTGGCAGGATTGGCTATCTCCTCCATGTCTTCTATCGGTATTATCTGTATTCTTTCTTTGATTTCTTCGAATGTTGCTGGTCACACAAAGAAAGTTACAACCAGTGCCATTTTCTTAATTGGATATTGTGTGGGGAATTTAGTTGGCCCACAGACTTTTAGAAATTCAGAGGCTCCAGGTTATCAAGGTGCAAAAACAGCCATTGTTTCCTGTGGATTTATTGGTTTATTTGTATTATGTGTTATCTGGGCATCCTACATTTGGGAGAATAAACGTAAGGATAAGATTGATTTATCAAAACATCAAGCACTTGAGAATCAAGAATTTGCTGACTTAACTGATAAGGAGAATGTTTTCTTTAGATACTCTACATAGAACTCCATTCTATATAATACACAAATTATGTTAAACTCCTTCACTCTCACAATTTCTCTATTTAAAATTAAATTATGTATTGAATACAGCGAGATTAAATATTTAATAATCAACCGAGTTGATATGACAATCTACTCACTAAAAGATTGAGACATCTATTGATTCTTCTTTTCTTCAACTTGTTCCTCTTCTTCTTCTTCTTCATCGTCACTACGTTCATCAGATGGGTTATCACCCTTGAGGTATCTTGCCAAGATTCTCAAAATCAAAAATAACCAATACCCATTGACAAGTTGCAAGGCACCGATCAAAAAGAATACAATAGGTTGGGAGATCCAACATTTGTATTGTTGAGTGTCCCAGTTAAGTTCCCATTCACCAACAGTTCTGAATTCAGTAAGAACAGACCACAAGATTTTCAAGTTCAAATAATGACGGAGGTAGATCCACAGAGCAACGAACACAAGGAAAAATGGAGTTGTGAGTCTCAGATTGACGTAATTGAGAGTTTTCAGGACCAGGAGGAAAAAATCAGAAACGTCCATAGTGATGTAAACTGCCAAACCCATCCAAGTGAAATGGAATCTGTAGGAACACCAAATAAGAGCAATAGTAATGATATGATGAAGAACCAATTCCTTGAAATCCTTACGAGGCTTTTCCAATTGAAGCAGGAGAACAACGGTTTGTTGGACCCAGTAAGCGGCTTGGCCAAGGTAGTAAAGCTTAAAGTAAAAATCATTGGTTTTGTGTGGGTAGTTTGTGTAGAAAGGGGTGGTTTCAAAGTACCAAAGTGGGAGTTTCGACATGATCCAAAGACCAAATGGTCCCAGACACCCAGTGTAGAGAGTGGCATATGTTTGTTCCATGAATCTCTTTTGCTTTGCTTCACGACGAACACCACAAGCAGAAGCAAGAGGCTTGAGAATACAGGTCATGATGAACTCACGAAGGAAAGTGAAGACCAACGAGTAGAAGAACACAAAATAGAAATCATTGACACCCTTCCCATATTGATCAGTTCCCGGGATATGGTATGAAAGAAGAATACCACGAGCAAGTGTTTCATGGACCGCGCTTCCTGCTGGCAGAAGGAAAAAAGTAGCAAGGAGGGAAACCATGACTAAACCAGGACCAATCCAAGTGTGACGGTAGGCCAATTCACGGAATGCAACCCAGATCTTTCCAGCAACTGCCAAGTCCAGTTCTGGGGTGGACAGAAGTTGGGCAATTCTGGCGTCCAGTCTCTTACGCGAAGAAGGAGAGCGGTACATAGTGGTGAGCGATGGAGAAGTGTTGTCTCCAAGGTCGATGTTTCCCACAGATGAGCCACGACGACGGTGGCCCTCAGGAGGAGGTGCAGCCAAAGACATAGTTCCCAGGTAGATGTGTGGGGGGCAGTGTGTGACGGTGACGACGGTGGGTTGCGGTTTACAGGAGTGTTCAAGTGCGACGCTACTAGGGGGTGTACGGAACTACGGGTAGCGGCGGATGAGGTGTTGGCACTGAGTAAGAGAAGAATAGGGGTAGAACTTTTTGAACAATAATAAGCTTTAAAGAAAAACCCATTGGTGCGCGCGGTTGCGCGCACTGCTCACGAGTACCACTGACGCGAACTAGTGAGTAAAAATTTTAGAGACAAAAATTCTTGCTTATGTGCACACAGAGCACATTCGGAAATCGCGGACAGTTGACTGAAAAGGTTTCTAGATTGAAGAATTGTTGAATACGGGGAATTTGGTTGTATACTAGCAATGTACCAGTATAAACTTGTAGTTGATGATCTTGGAGAATTTTAGTGTCACGAGGGCTTAGTGTGGGTATTTCTGGGAGTATGTATGGTTCAGTTAATTTAGACAAGTAGCTTCGGTGTTCACGGATGGAGGTAATTGTAAGAATGACCACCTTTATCGAATTAGCGGGAGACGTATCATCATATCATAAACTCATGATACCATTCTAAAGAAATTTGACGATCTGGTTGATGTTCTTTCTCGTAAATTATGTAGATGTATATATGGGGAAGTAGGAAGGGAGTCAATCATTCACAGCGAGTGATGTGAGATCTACCATTGGAAGTATAATCTACTAAATGACATCTAATTGGGATATCTTTAGGGATATAGGGGACACAGTTGAACCCAAAAAAAGGAATCCCTGAATCGACGGCACCTGGTGTCATATATTTGATGCGCTAATGCATAATGCATCGCGAGATAATTTTTGAGATACTAATCACAGTTGATTGAATATGAAGATCATTCATAAAAGTTCTTTCGTAAAACGAGTGTCATCATTGATATTTTTGGGATAATGTAGTACTTGTAATCTAGAAAACCACACATGAATCATATGTAGCTCCATACACCATATTTCACTCCTATTTTTTTTTTTTGTGCTACACCAACAACTATGAGTAGAAAACAATTTGAATATATATAAATATACGTAGAAATTCAATAGCGATATATGTGATTAGTCACTGGGGAAATATCCTTGTGGAATTAAAAAAAAAATTACTTACTTGAACTTCTTACCAAACATAATCATTTGGAATTGATCATACATGGAAATGACACCAGCACTAGCAACCCCTCTTAAGATGTTTGCACCACAACCTTTGAATAAAGAACCAATTCCTTCAGTTGCAACAACCTTTGTAAAACAATCGAGTGCACCTTTATATTTAACAGCTTGACCCGAAGTCATCATCATTCTTCTACGAACGGAATCCAAGGGATAAGAAGCAGTAGAGGCACCAGTGGTAACTGCCCAACCCAACAAGAAGGAAGCTAAGAATGATCCTTCTAAAGAACCCGTAAGCAAGACTGGCTTTAAAGAATCATAGAGACCAAAGTACAAACCACGATAAACGACAATTCCAACCACAGATGGAAGAAACCCTCTATATAATCCGGCAATCCCGTCAGAAGCAAGTGTTTTTTTATAAACGTCAAATAACCCATTGAATTCTCTCTTACCGTCACCTTTGGATGATTTAGCATCATTGGCAAGTCTAGTTCTAGCATAGTCCAAAGAATAAACAAATAAAAGAGAAGTTGCCCCAGCAAGACCACCAGAGGCCAAATTACCCCCAAACCATTTCCAATAGTTTTCATCCTTTTTAAATCCGAAAAGAGCCTTGAATTTATCTTTAAAGGCAAAATTCAATGCCTGAGTAGGGAAGTACCTAATGACATTGGCTGTGTTACCTCTCCAGAAAGATCCAATTCCTTCTTGAGATGCAGTTCTACTGAAACATTCGATGATTCCATCGTACTTACGGGCCAAACGACCTTGTTTGATCATTTCATCTTGGTTTTGGATTAAGAGTTTAACTCTTTCAATAGGAGCTGCTGCAGTTTTAGAGATGGCGGCGGAAACACCGCCCATCATGAAGTCAATTAAAAATGTAGAATCAGACATGGCTGCAATTAATGAAGGAAAAGAGAAAACAAATAAAAAATGGAATACACTCGTCTACAAAAACTGCTAGTAAAATATAAGAAAGAAAAATGTGCATTGTAAGTATGGGGGTATGGGTGTGAAACAGGAGGAGAACGTGGCCCCTTCGCTCTCACCTATACTCACTCTGTAGAAATAGTACGAAAGTGCGTTTACGAACACAGGTACAAAGAGGAAGAGTGTAAACTAGGCGAACTACAAGGTAGTCGGATTGGTTAGTGGGTATAGTACCAGAATCAAGAGATTAATAAAGGGGTAGGTGAAGCTTGTATAAAGTGAGTGCTTACTTCGGGGATTCTGATACTTAATTTGAGGATCAGACCCCTAGGTGCATTTTCAGCAGCCGATTAGATGTACGAATTACCCTCGGTATTGAGTGAATACCGGGGATAGCAACTGAACCAATGGGATGAGGTTTTCTCTAATAATCCTTTTAGGACAAATTTAAAAACATCTTAAAATATTAAGTATACAAATTAGAAGGAAATTGAACGAAGACAAACTCTATAAAACCAGTTAGAAGAAAATCAGAGTTATATTGACAAAAGAGTGTAGGATTGGTTTTAATTTATTATTTAGTGTAGCCGGAATTGATGCACGTGCATCTGTTAGAACTAGATTTGTTATTTCCGAGGGCAGATCCTTTTTAGTAAAATATGTGATTTAATTATACTCCGAATATCTTCAACTACTCACATAACTATCCATTAGATAACAAGCTCTGAATCTTATCAATCTATTTTCTATTATTTTCCCTAGGTACATACCACCACAAAATATTTCCTCTTTGTTCGGTTGTAAGTCATTAAAATGACCAGGTACACAAATACATACAATTACAACATTATCATGGAGTGCTAAATGAAAATGGGATTGTTGATCATACTGGAGATACGTCTTACTACCTTTAAACCTCATAGTACTACGAGTAATTTTTTTTGAAAAAATATAATCATATTTTTACCCTATATTCTTTACTTTTTACTAACCAAGACTGTCCAAATACCTCTTTGTTATTTTGCCGCTATTAATCACTCTATCTTACCCAACTCCGCCTGAATCACAAAAGTAAAACAATCGTTACTACTCAAAAAAAAGGGAGATCCTGCATGCTATCACTGTATACACACCCACAGTATGCTTGTATAACCGCCACTCAATGTATACGCAAATCATTAGTGAATCACCCCCTTTTAATATTCAAACATTGATTACGAAACCACAACTTGAATTCATTAATATATGTTTGGAAATAGTTCAAATTCAACCCCAACGGATGCGGCGTTGGATAAGTTAATTAAAAGAGCCACAGATGAAACCTTAACCAATGATAATTGGCAGTATATCTTGGAGGTTTGTGATAAGATTTCCCAAGATCCTGAAGAGGCCACTAAACTGGCAATCAAGTCCATATCACAAAGACTTGCCCTCAAGGATGCCAATGTCAACCTTAGAACATTGTCATTACTTGTGGCGGTTGCTGAGAACTGTGGATCAAGGATGAAACAAGAAATTGCCACCACTCTGTTTCTCCAAGAACTTTTGAAGAAACTTGGAGATAGACGAGTGCATACGACCGTCAAGGAGAAGATTGCTGAAGTGATTAGCCAGCTCCATGAGTCCTTCAAGGATGATCCATCTTTGAAGCCAATGACCCAGGCATATCAGAAGTTAAATAAAAGCCATAGAGGAGGTGCTGCGCCAGTGAAGCCAGATAAAAGAGAAATGACTCTGGCAGACCGGGCTAGAGAAGAAGAAGAATTGCAAAGAACGTTGAAACTTTCGTTGAATGAATACGAAAGAGAACAACAGATTTTCAAGCAAGGGAAAGTACCAGGTCAATTGCCAGGAGTTGATATGGATTACTTAAAGACTAAACCTTTACCTGAACGTCAAGATTCACAAGAAAAAGTTGACAAGAAAAAACTGGCAACTCTGTCTCTGTTGGGAGGAGAAAATTCCAAACAACTGATTGCAACAATATCGAAGGTTCGGGCACTTTATGATCTCATATCGTATGAACCTGATGAACTTTCGTTTCGAACTGGAGATATTATTACAGTTATCGAATCGGTATATAGGGACTGGTGGAAGGGTACTCTACCATCAGGTAAGACTGGAATTTTCCCTCTTAACTATGTCACCCCGGTGGTGACAAAATCACCTGAAGAGCTCGCAGAAGAGATTGCCAATGAAAATAAACTTCTTTCCATTGATCTGAAGAAGGTAGATCAGCTTTTGGCACTTCTTTCAAACCCATCCACAGCATCGGAAACAGATGTGACCCGTCTTTACAATGAGATTGTGCCAATACGTCCTAAACTCGGACAATACATTGATAAATATAGTGTACGGAAGGAAGAGCTTATGCAGTTGAATGGACAACTCAATGCAGAAGCCAAGGCATACAATCAATTGATGGATCATCTGATTTCTCAACGAACAAAGCAGCAACAACAACAACAACAACAAACTGGCCAGGGCCAAGCGGGACTCCCATACCCATTTGCTGGTGGACAGTATCCATCACAAGCATATGGTGGACAGGTGCCACAATTTGGTGGCCAGATGACATCTTCGTCGAGTCCACAAGCTTCCCAATACACACAACTTGCGCAACAGCCTACAAGTAATGGATTTGGGAATGGACCAGATTACTCCCAATACCTGCAATTGAACTCTCCTCCCACACAGCAGACATATTTCCAGCCCCAACAGCCACAATACACCGGTCAGATACAACAAACAGCTACGGGCCAACCACAACGTACAGGCCCTAGGGACCCGAACCAAGGTCCAGGGTATCCGAACGGGAACGGATATGGCGAGAGAATCGGTGTAGGACAGGGACCAACTCATTACCCAAGTCAACAATTTCTGAATATCAACAACTTTCCGGATGTAAGTAGTATGTAAGAAAGAATATAATAACAACAATAATCATAGTTCAAGTATAAATATTTAAGTGTAGAAAATTAAGGAGAGAATTGTATTTTACAATGCAAGACGATAGGAAGCTCAGTAGATAAAAGAAACAAACGGCTAATTATCAACTATATACAAGAGGATAGATACTATGATCGCATGGGAGGATAAGGATCCCAAATTGACCTTTTAGCGAACATCGCGATCTGCAGATATAGGAACACCGATATTTTGAAACAATTATTCTATACACCACAAGAAAGTGCGCGGCGCGCAAACCAACAAGTACAGCCAAACAGAACAGCACACCAACAGACCCTTTAAACCACAGGGACACCATAAGCCATGTCGGACTCTACGTACGCCAACAGAGAACAGCAAAACAACCAGAGGTTTGACCAGCTTGCGCTGACTCTCCACCAGTTCCGTACGACAGTGAACAACGAGATTCATGGTGCCATACAACTGGAGAACCTGACTCTTGATTTACTTGGAGAGAACTTCAACCAATTGATGTCACAGGTGAAAAGGACCAGTTCTGACTTGAGAGGAGTTATGACACGTAATGCTAGTATTACCAGAATTGTTGGATTGATATTACTTGGGTTTGTGGTTATCTGGATGATACTGAAGTTGCGCTAGAGGTGATTTGATGCTTGAACGCGAGATATATGAGAACAAGGGTGTGAGAGAAGTACGTTACATAGTCTGGAAGAAGCCACGAGGTGTACGTGGCAAACATAGGAGAGTTTATAGGGTTATAACATATACGAAAGAAAAAAAAATCATTGTAGAGATCTTGAATATGGATGGCCAAGAGAAGAATTATTAGATGGTGACCGACAAGAGTTCCAAAAACCAACGTTCTCGAATTCCCCAAAATCTCCAATATTTCCAACTATTCGTTCTACAGTGTTTTTAATTCATCCGTACGTTTCTTTACTTGCTATTTACTACATCGGAGCCTAATCTATAGTTTCCAATGGCCTTTCCCCAATTAATCTTTGCTCTGGTAACTGGTAATAATCTTCTCAAATTCTTGAATGATTTTTGATTCAATTCGTTGAATTGGGTCATGATCTGCCTCGTGACATCTGATTCAGTGGAATTGATGGCATTGACGATGGCCAGAGATTCATTCCCTTGACCCAAGCGAACAGTTTCAATTGGCTCGTCAAATCTAAGTCTAACGTTACCATCTTCGTAGTAATGAATGTCAAGACTAATTCTCCCGTTAAGTTCCTTTGTAGTCTCATCATACAAATAGTCCCCCTTCCATTGTCCAGTGTAAAAATTGTCCCCGTTTAATCTTTGACCAATGATGATAACACGAACAGTGGATTCGTTGGAAGTAGAATCACCTGGAATGACTGAGAATGCATATCCAGATGGGTAATGGTCTTCACCATATTGTTGAAGGTTACTGACAAGTTGATCATAATATGGGGGGTACTGCACATGATCGGACTCAAACTCTTCCACATCAATGGCTCTTTGAGACTTCAAATCAACATTGAAAAGTTGTTTGGAGACATGGTCAATGTATTTAGACAGATTAGGGTCTTTATTATATTTACATGCAATGTATTTGTCCAGAAATACGCCACCGTGGCCGTTGATAAAACTCTCTTGAGCACGACTCACCACCGACTTCAGTTGTCCCGGTAAAAGAACCTCTAAATCTTCTGCCACTCCAGCAAGTTCACCAGGAGGTGCAGCACTGACTAATTGATTGACTATGTTGTCTACAGAACTCATCGTTTCCAGGTCTGGGTGTGTTACTGTATATGTAGATCTAGGGTTTATACGCAAAGATCCTTGATATTGGAAGTACCAGAAAATGATCGAGACAGGACTCGAGCCCAGGGCTCAAACCTAGTATATATTGCAATACACGACCTATTAGATGTAAGGGGGGGGGGGAGCAAGTTATGGTTGCAAAAACCTCCATAAACTTTCATCCTACTATACAACACAGATGATGGTACTCAATTCTTACATTGTTCTAAAGAGAAGGGGAGTCTAAAATCTGCTGAGGGAATGATTGTAACGTTAGCCCACATAACACATACAATTGAATGGTGGCATTTCTTATCGAATTAGTGTACATTGATTTATTATTTGAACACTCAACACAAGCTCAAGGTTGAGGTTAGTATAAGTTGCTCAATATGACCCAATAGAAAATTTGCAACACATGTACAAGCAACTATAAGCTATATAAACTTGCCGTCTAACCAAAATTTAAGTAGTTAGAAAATACCCAATTCTCATACTAATACAAAACTTCAATAGGCAATAGCCAAGTTAATTGCTTTTTAGCCCCGTGTAGAGTGGGACGATCTGAAGTCACCAATTACCTTCGCTTAGTTTCTATAAAACTTAAAAGTTTAAAATGAAATAAACGAATAGAATAACCCACGAATAGTTTTCATCGCGTAGAGATATATACCCAGGTCTTTGGTGCACAAAAGTACTCAATTATTTACTGCCTACACTTGACTTTTTAATTTGTTTAATGTCTACTAGACTCTATATATATATCCCATTCACCAGCTGGTATGTATTCGCACTACGTTCTATGATAAAAGGAACGCACCTGCACCTTCACTCATCGCTTGTAATAATTTCTGCTTCATAATATCCTCTGAAGAATAATTGGGCAATTTCAAATAATTTGCACAGGTCATTACACTTGGCAAGTAATCATCATCTTTTAACCCATCATCCGCCAGTTTCTTAACTACTGTGAGCTCTGGTCTCAACAGTTTGAATCCACCCACAGGAAGTTTTGGAGCCCCAGTAAGGAATTGTAGGAACAGTCTTCTTTCAACCTTGTCAAAGTTGGCCAAGATGCCCACCAACCGCTTGATAGCAACAGACTCTTTGGTATATCCGTGATCAGCATTAACTACCGAGAAAAGGGTATCTGTTGACCAATCCTCTTCAGCATTACCAAACATATGACAAAGTTCAATAGCCAGGAAAATTGCAAGTGAATTTACTGGGAAGACTTTCAGGAATCCATCCATAAATGCTCGAACTTGATGGATTACACCATTGAAAAGGGTTGCCTCCACCACTTTCTCAACGTACGACTCAACATTGGAGCTTGTTACTGGAACATTCAGCCCATCTGGGATCAATTGATAAGAAGGATATCCTGGAAGTTCAAATGTTAAAGCTAAATCTTGCATTTGATCTGGTCCATCAATTGTGGAATATTTCAATAATCCTTCCAAACTAGTAGCCAATCCTTCATCAACTTCTCTTAACATACCTAAATTAGCAACTCGTTTAACTTCATTCTTCTCCAATTGAACCAATTTTAAGAATACTGGATTGAAATTAAAATCCATAATTCTAGAATCAAGCATGGCCCTCGCAACAAACTTCCCCAAGACTGCAAAGAAAAACAAAACCTTTCTTCCATTATCAGAATTCACTTTTGATTTGTCCATTGGATACGGGAAAAGTTTCTTTCTTATATATAAATCATTTTTCTCTTCGGAGTCTTGTCTCCAAAGGTGCAACTTTTTACTGGCAAATTCATGAGAAACGGTAGAATAAAATTCCAAAGTAGGTCCTAATCCAGACCCAACTTCATCAAAGTATTCTATTTCTAACACGCCGGGAGTCGAACCATACATTCCTAAGACCTTAACAGCACTTTGTAACATCAGTTTTCTTGAAAGTCTAACTTTATGACGTGCTGGTCGTCCCAATGGAGGACGAGAGTTCCCTGAATTTGATCCATTTCTTGATCCTTCAGCACCACTGTCTCTAGAATCTTCTTCTTGTTGCATTCTTAATTGCCAGTTATGAATCAATCTTGAATATCCAAATGAAGTCAGTTGTAAGAAAAACATTCTTGTATCTAAAGGGAAAATGAATGGGAATTGCTTTGGAATGGTGACACTCCAACCAGGTAAAGTTCCACTCGCAACCACCAATGGCTCTTCTAATTGACGATTCAATTTCACTGTCAATTTCCAATTCTTAAATGATGATAATGGTACCATCTTCCCTGTTCCTTGTCTTCCCACCACTTCATTCATATCAAACAATATTCTTAATAATTTTAAAATTGAGATGGTAATGTTGTTATTGTTCATTATTTCATCATTTTCCATTTCTTCCAGAATTCCATGCAAGCCACCTCCTACTGTTCTCTTCCCCAATGTAAGTACATCAGGCAGAGGCCCAGAAACTTTTCTAAAGCTGACCTTGTGAACACCTGACCAAATTCTATCAGGATTAACCATTGAATCCTTTCCATCCTGCAATGATTGATAAATGGCTCCATATATGGTTGTTTCATTTGGAATAACTTCTCCATTAATCAGAAATTCAAGATGTGAATCTTCATTATCATCAGATTGTGAATTGTTCTTCAACTTTTCTTCTTGATGGTCGTTCTCACGTTCTTCATCTTCATCTCTGTCTACGTCGTCTTCATCTTCCATTTCTTCATCAGAACCATCCCTTCCTGGAATGTTTCTTCCCAACCCTCCAAAGATCGATCCTCTACCATGGGAAAGTTCTTCCCAGATTCTTAATCTGCTCTTTAAAAAGGTATCTACACTTTTGAAAGTAGCAATAGCATGTACACTCAACACAAAATCCTTCATTGGACCTTGTCGAGCATCTTGCCCTTCCAATTTAATCTTGACTTGTCTGGCCATGATTGCTGTCTTAGACAGACCAATTCTTAATGCACCACCATTTCCTGCAAATGATGCAGAGGTTGATGAGTTCCCACTAGCACTTGATACAATATCAAATGTTTCACTTCTGGTTAAACATTCCTGAAGTTTTTCAATGAGGGTATTGATTGAAGGCTCATTCAAAAAGAAATACTTAATGAAATTTTGATAACATTCACTAGAATATCCAGATTCATCCAGAGAAAACAATTTTACTAAAGATTCAATGATCCCGGAAGAAACCAATTCAAATGAAGAAATTGAATGATTATCATTTGGTTCGAAGATCAATGAAAGTTGTTGGAAAAGACTTGTCCAGTCAGGGTTATGGGCAAATTGCTTAATAATCTGATCGATGTGATATGATGAAGATGTGGTATTTGAAGTGGCAGTTGAACTTGAGCCTGAAAGGTCCGAATTGAATAGAGATATAACTGAAGTCCCCAATGAATACAAGGCAATTAAATTATTGGCATTAGACGTGGAACTTCTTTGGTTGAAGTTTAAAGACCTCAAATTTGAAGAGTCAAATGCATCAATTGATGGGATACTTGAATGGTCTAAACTGACATCCACAATGGCAGGGTCAGCAGCTTTTTCTATATATAACGGATCGTTCTTAATTTCATCCATGATCCTTTCAACATCCTGTTCTAAACCTTCTCTCTGGAATCTCCCCAATAAAAATGTACCTGCTTCTAATAATCTTTTGATTATTTTAAATGAAAGCATCAACATTTCTCGATGTCCCTTCAACCCCTGACTACAAACCAGTGCTAATAATGCACCAACTTCTTCAATTTTGGCAATTCTTTGCACGATTTCATTCTGTCCATCCTTATCATTCTTCTCAACAATCTTCAAGATGTTGGCAAGGATTTTTTTCCTAATCTCAACATCCATACTGGATTCAAATGATATAATATGAAATAACCAAATATCATTCAAAAAATGTTCAAATTCCTTTGGGATTATCTCCATACAAAGATCTCTTCGTAATCCAGTCTCTGCCGTTGTACCTATTTCATTTTCTGGGATCAACTTCCCAATCAAGGTCAAATATTGTAACAAAAGTTCCTTTGGACATGACATTAAAGATGAAATAGTGATGGTATTTGATGACGAATTCAATTCATTCTTGGATGAATATCTCTTCAAACTATTAACAATAACTTCACCAATTCTCTTCTCCAATAAAATCTTGCATACTTCTATCCCATCAGAAAGCAGGACAAGTGATTTGATTATCGAGAGACAGATTCCAAATGGGAGTGAAGTAGAATTGGAAGAGTCGGATGATTGTTCTTTTCTTTGTTGTTCTATACCCTTTCTTATCATTTCTTCAATCAATCCTTCTTCCACAAAGATCTTTTCTAATTCACCTCTATCTGGACCATCAGATCGTCCTCTTAAGACACATCTCAGAATAGCCAACCATCCATTTTCCAACACAATCAGGTCTTCATGTTCTCTTACAACAGACGAAATATTCCCAAAGACCTCCTTGACGTGCACAAAGTTCCTTGAATTGACTCCATTACATGCATTGGCCACGATGATCAATGCCTTTCTTTGGGCATGGACAGTAAAGAAATCCAAATATTGTAAGCATGCTTTCAATCCATTGGCTTGAATAATCTGTCCATGAGACATAGGATCTCTACTGATCATCTCAAGGGTTTGGAGTGCCTGTTCAGTCAAGTCAATGTACGAGATTTCCATCAATTTTTCACAGAGCGCTTCTACAGCACCCTGAGTTAAAACCTCGTGTATAAAGTCCTGGTTCACTTCAAGGAAGTTGTAAAGACATCTACACGCAACCAAATGGACCTCCAAATCTTCACTCAATTGAACGTCAGTTAAAATCGAAATTAAAGTCTTTGCCAATTTAGCCGCTGGGATAACTCGCTCGGCCGTGATCCCGTTCATCATAAGAAGACGTTCAGAAAGCTCGTTAAGGGTTTCTAAGATTAGATATGGATCATCTCTTTGATTCAAGTTATTGATGAGCCCATCAATTTCGCTAGAATGTGGTCCACCAAACATGATTCCACCTCCCATCAACCGATGGATAACATCAACAAATTCAGACGGTGGACCTCCAGCCCCTGCATCTGCTGATCTGTGGGCTCCACGACCGGATCCAGGGTTAGCTGTGGCGTTTCCGTCCTCCACGTCACCCTCTTCATACGGCTCATCCAATCCACGGAACCCGTCCTGACGTGATCTAGCCAGTATGAGTCTCCTCAAAAAATCCGCAGGGTTGAGATCTTCCTCGTCGTCATAAGAGTCATTATCATTGTCTTCATCGTTATCGATATCCTCATCTACGCCATCAACGTCATCCTCCTCCAACGACGATTCTCTTCTTCTCATGGCTTGTTGTGAGAGTCTCCAGAGGGCATCGCCATCCTCCTCATCCTCGTCTCCATATTCGTCGTCCTCGTGGTCATCGTCCGCTACATCGTCGTCGTCCTGATCAACCTCATGGTCATCCTCCTCAACAACTTCCCCATTGCCACCAAAATAAATGTCGTCATCTTCGTCTTCAAGGACGGCCTCCACGTCACTTGTTTCCATCTCGGTGTCTACAAAGGGCGTTTCCTCGCGCTCGTCTTGCCTCTGACTATATCTCCGGGGCTTCGACATGCTTGTAAACTTTGTTGGATAAAAGATTTTTGTTGTGTAATGTTAATCATTTCTTTGTAACCCTAGTAAACAATGTCGTTCTTTTGCCCCCGGCCGAGCGACATCTTCGCGCAACGGAAATTGCTGCAAATACCTTGCAACAACAATGTCGCGTATTTTTAAGGGAAACTAATACATACAACTATCCTACAGTCCCATATAATGTCCAACTATTCTTCTAAATCACAAAGACAATACCTTCATACGTTTATTCCTTATTGTGTTATTATATCTTATTTTTTACTTCCCATTTTTATGACATTGAAGTGTAAGGATAGTATCTATGAGAAGTAGATGAGTTACTTCTCCTGTAAAACCTTCACTACATTAGATAGTACTACTGCTCACAGATGGATAACAATAACAAATACAAGGGATGAGATGTTGTCTCCTTCTCAAGTGAAAAAATTAGACTGTATGGCAGCTCGATTTCTCCCTAATAAAGTCTAGAGCCAAGACATTGTATATGCAGTGTCGTATACAGTGTGCCCATAACCAATGCGAGGGCGCCTACTCTCTTCTCCAAATTCAGTAAATATTCTTGATTGAGGGGCCCTTCAAAAAGCTGCTGGTACTTGTACGTACCACCACAAATAGATATATATATACACGCCCAACTACCAAACATATATACAATTACACTATTTATATCTTAAGTTTTATTGCAGAAACTTCTCCAAGTCATGTAGGGGCGAAGTTGCCCTACAGAATCATTCCAATTGATTTCGCTAACATCTACTACCATTCCTCCCGTCTACAATTCTTGCCCCACATTGACAGCAAGCAAATACCATTTTCAACACCACACTTACTACTGGGGTATCTGAGAATTCTACATTAACAAAATTAATCCGCCTCACGTGACACCCACACCGTTTCTTTCACAACAACCCGTTAATTCTTTTCGGAGATTCATTTCTCCTTTACTTTAGAAAATTCGCCAAATTTCCATCACGTTAATCTTGTTGTAGATCCAAATAACGTACTTCCCCACATTTTAATGATTCATCCACTGCACAGATACTTCATAATGTATGGTCACAATACGGTACTTTTAATGTAGTAGTTGCTCACCTCCCCCCCTCTACGCAACTACGCAAATCCATACACCCATTTAAAATTTTAGTTTTCATGCATTTCTTCCCCGGTTTTCTCCCCCTCCGTAGTAAAAGTCTCCGTAAATATCCCGCCCCACAAACTAAACTCCCCACAAAGCCTCCACGTCGAGTTTCATGTCGCTAAAAATCGTCATATTTTCCAATTTTCTTCGGAAAAATCATCCCCCATCCATGCGGCTTATGCATAAATCCCCCACGGTTTTGTTAAAAAATATCGAAAAACTTTAGGTCGGGGAAAAAACAAAACCATTTAACTTTTCCCAATAATAACTGTTGATGAATTATAGTCCCATACAGAAAGAGGGGGGGACCCTTGAAACTCGTATAGCCCCCGACTTCACAATTATACCACTTCTCATTCCCTTTCCGTTTTAATCCAAGAAATTTTCGTCGATGTAGGCCTACTTAAAACACCGGAACAGATTAAAAAAACAAAACTTTTACTTTTTGTGGGGTGCGGGGCTGAAGTAGTGGGGGATATTTTAACCCGTAAAATCAAGACGCGGAATTGTTCCAATTATTGCAACCTGGGCATCTTGTCACTCTGTGCATTTGTTGGGAACCCCCGGGTAATATGACGCAGACTTACGACGAAGTTCCGGCTTCTGTATAAATAGTCTCATGGCCGCTGTATATATGTAAATTCTTTTTCATCTTTACTTTGCTCTTTACTCCCACTCTATACACTTAATACATATTCATATAATGGACAGATCACCAAAGACATCATTGGAGATGGTCGAAAAGGTCGACCCGGAAGCCAGACTCCATGCAGCCGCTACATTCACAACTCCACTCCCAGAGTCTCTTATTTCTCTCTCTCCAGAAGAATTTGCTGACCTCGAGAAGAAAACCCGTTGGAAGATTGATCTTCGTATTCTCCCCATGCTTGTTTTCATTTATATCTTAAACTATTTGGATCGTAATAACATCGCTACCGCAAGATTGGCTGGTCTTGAAGAAGATATTGGCCTTAAGGGAAGTGAATATCAAACCTGTATTTCTATCTTGTTTGTGGGTTACATTCTTATGCAAATTCCTGCCAATATGTTCCTCAATAAAATGGCCAAGCCATCTCTTTTCCTTGCTGGAATCATGACAGTTTGGGGGGTTATTTCCGCTTGTACCGGTGCTGTCAACAGTTTCGGTGGTCTTATGGCCATCAGAGTCTTGCTCGGTGTCGTGGAAGCTGGGTTTTTCCCAGCTGCTCTTTTCTACCTCTCTTGTTGGTACTCTAGAAAGGAATTAGCAGTAAGAACCAGTATTCTTTATTCTGGTTCTTTGATCTCCGGTGCATTCTCTGGGTTGATCGGTGCTGGTATTACTAATGGTATGGAAGGTACCGGTGGGTTAGAATCTTGGAGATGGCTTTTCATCATTGAAGGTGCCATCACCGTTGTCACTGTCCCATTTGCTTACTTCATTTTACCAAACATGCCTCACAACACTTCTTTCCTTTCTCAACAAGAAAAGGACATCATTATGTGGAAACTTCGTTCTGAAGTTGGTCAAGATGATCTGGATTCCGAATCTAGTGAACAAGGTGCTTACAAGGGAGCTCTCATGCTTGCCTTCAGCGACCCAAAGGTCTGGATGGTCACCGGTATCTTGTCTTTTCTTGTCGCTGCCTGCGGTGTTACCAATTTCTTTCCATCGGTTGTTCAAACCCTTAAGTTCAACAGAATTACCACCCTTTGTCTTACCGCTCCTCCTTATCTTCTTGCTGTGATCTCCACCTTCTTATGGGCTAGACATGCAGACAAGACTGGTGAACGTTTCTGGCACGTGGTTTCTCCGTTGTTCGTCTCCCTTATCTCCTTCATCATTGCATGTTCTACCATGAATACCGGTGCCCGTTACTTCTCCATGTGTATCATGATCCCATCCCTTTACTGTTCATTTACCACTATTCTTTCTTGGATGTCGAACTGTGTTCCTCGTCCACCAATGAAGCGTGCCATTGCCCTTGCCCTCATGAACTGTTTGTCCAACTCCACCTCCATTTGGAACTCATACCTTTACCCATCTAGTGATGGTCCTCGTTACCTCACTGCCTTTGTATGCAACTGTGCCTTCCTCTTGTGTGCCATTCTCTTGACAGTCTTGTTACGTATCCGTCTTTTGAAGTTGAACAGACGTATTGAAGATGGTACTATGAACTGGGAAAAGGAACTTGGTAAGGGTAATGACGGCTCTAGAATCTCTCCAGATTTCCGTTTCTTGTATTAGTTACGAATCGACTATGTATATTAATTAATTGATGACTTACGTATTCAAATTGTAGAATGAAATAGTAAATAAAGCAAGCTCGAAATATTTCTTATGATGGTAGCCAGTGGTAATTGGACTACGAAACATATATACTTCCGGTCAAAGGAGCATTAAATTTCATAAAGTAGACACCACACACCAAATGACGAAAAGACACCATAATTAATGAATGTCAGATGATGTCTCCTCCTACACTATTCTATTTCAGCCTTCACCCATTTAATGTCATAATACTACTATATAACTCCTTCTTCAAATCTAAGATCGTTTGATCTCTAGAATCAAAATCGAATTCATCAACCAGTAATGAATCCGTGGATGGTTCATCCCCTGGGTCATGGTAAACAGCAAGATATGGATGCTCAAGAGCTTCTTGGACGGTGTACCGGTCCAGTGGATCGAACACAAGTAATTTCGATAAGAGATCGATCCCAAGTGGATGTGCTGATGGGAACTTCAGGAAATATCGTTGGAAATCCAATGGTGAGTATTTGGGGAGTGTTTGAATATATGCAGTGGCCCTTCTGGATCGGATGAAAGCCATATCTTCAATTTTTGGGGTCCCTAAGAGCTGAAACAAGAGCAAGAGCTGGTGTCGGTAGTCCTTCCCTGGTAAAAGTGGCTTCCCACTGAATAGTTCTGCAAGGATACACCCTACAGACCACAAATCCATGGCAATGGAATATTGTGACGCTGCCAACATCACCTCTGGTGCTCGGTACCACCTCGTGGCCACATATTCAGTCAAGGCAGAAACATTACCTCTATCTAAATTATTATCAATCCTAGCTAACCCAAAATCACAAATCTTAAGATCACAATTGTTATTAACCAAAACGTTGGCAGGTTTCAAATCTCGATGTATGACATTGGCAGAATGGATGTACTTGAGACCACGCAACAATTGGTAGGTGAAGTACCGAACATGTTCCTCTGTGAGTGGTTGCGTGACTATGATCTTGTGTAGATCTGACGGCATGTACTCTTGTATAAGGTAAACCTCGTCAAAATGGTCGAAATCGAGCGGCTTTTGTATATCAAAGAGCTGCACAATGTTCTCATGATGACGGAACTTGGCCAAGAGCTTGATTTCCCGAAGGGTTCGAAGACAGAAAAGATGTCTATTGAAGGGAACCACCTTTTTAATTGCCACTTTTGTCCCCGTAGGCACATGAATGGCTAGACACACAACTCCAAAGGACCCTTCACCGAGCACATGAAGAATTCTGAAGTTTTGTGAGATATTGAACACTATCTCTCTTCTCTTGGACATGATTTACAGCAATACACAGATTGGACCCCTCTCTGAGATTATAGAGAGTGAACCTGGATACATTTCCCTCATTTTCAGGTATCCATGTTGGTATAAATACATCCCTGACGAAGGTATGGTTGTCTAATCTTTAGGTGCGAAGATCTGAAACAAAAGGGTGAAACTACCACATGTTGAGCAAGGTCCCACATTTGGCCTCGCTTAGCTCCGTGTGTGATGTTTATCACTTCTTTGAGCAGAATTACAAGTCGAAAGTGGAGAATTACAAGGGACACCCCCTGGGTTCATTTAGGCTATGGATCGCCAAAGGGAGACACAAATACATCCTCACTTATTTTCACTAAAACTACATTAAATCTTACACGATAAATATTCATTACACCATATCTACTCCTATTGCAGGTTTATATCTATATAGTCGCATTGACTGAAAATTCTAAACCGAACTCTGTACAGCACTGACCCAGTACAAGAAACAGGGGACTGGTCACAACCAACTTGGGTATCCTGTATTATACAAGCTTTTGATATGAAATTTGTCTTCATAGCAGCCAAGGTCTTCTTCGTTTATCGGGTTTATATTCCCATAAACTTTTCTACCAACAAGTTCTTCTCTTTCTTCTATCGCTCTATACTTTTATTTTCTTTAATTTAAATGCCCAAACCAGCAGCAAATGCTGAAGTAATGTTGAGAATACTCTCATCATCAACATCCTTCTTTTCGTATTCATCATTCAATTTGTTCAACAGTTGAGCAAAATTGGAAGAATATTTAGATGAACCAAGGGCTGGCCACATTTCCGGGTTCACTCCTTCTTGAGTAACAACCCCACCAGCTCCATCTCCACCTGTTCGATCACCGCCAAATGAAACGACACTTTCCGTATCAAATGCATCTAATCTTCTTTGTGCTTGTGCAGGTCTTTGACCACCATCTCTCTTGACACTATTCAATTGAACCATCAGCAATTGCAAGTTATCCAACGGACCATCCACCAAACATCCCTTTTCTCTGAAATGAACTAATAAATGGTTCCATAAGGCATTTCTACTCAAGGCTCTTGGATTACCCAAAATGACAATCCCATACTTGGCACGGGTGAGCGCAACGTTAAGTCTTCTTGGATCACTTAAAAACCCAATGATTTGTTGTTCGTTGGCTCTAACACAAGAAAGAATGATGAAATCCTTTTCTCTACCCTGGAATGCATCGACTGACGTCACTTCCACGTCCAAATATTGTTGCTTTTTCTCTGCCAATGTGCTGTTCATAGACATATATTGTACAACATAAGCTCTTTGACCCTCATATGGAGTGATAACCCCAATTTGATCAGGGGTAACTCCGTCTCTAAATAATCTTGTGATCACTCTTTCCACATTCATTGCTTCAACACGATTTAAAAATGAGTTCCCAGACCCAGAGATTTCTTCACGTCCATAATTACACCAAAACATCATTGGATGGTTTCTTACTGGCCAAGGGAATGTGGAGTTCTCTAACAATCTTTGGTCGACAGTAACACCGTTTTGTAAGGATCCTTCATAAAACATATTGGATGGGAATTCAGATAAACATGGGTTCATTCTATATTGAACTTCTAATCTGATTGGAACATGTCCCAAGACCACTAATCTTTCAAAAAGAGATTGCTTCAAACCTGCATCTCCAGCCTTTTTATCCAAGATAACTGGCCCCAATTGTTGATGATCACCAACAAGAATCACTTGCTTGGCTCCCTTCACCATTGGAATTAAAAGTTCCGGTTCACTGGCTTGAGTCAGTTCATCGATCAAAACTGTTCTAAATTTCATTTTTTCCAATCTACGGTCTCCCGCACCAACACAAGTGCAACAGATGACTTCACATTCACTAATGAGCTTCCTTTCAGAGGCTCTAACCGCCTTGAACAAAGCATTGGAATCCTGTTCACTCAATTCACCCAATTCATCACGAAGTCTCAACAATTTCTTGAGTTTCCCCTTAGCTGATTTATTCACAAGGTTATGAAGTGACAAGTGAGACGTGGACAGTTCCACATCTTCTCTTGATTTGGCAGTCAATCTTACCACTTTCAATCCAAGTAAATCCAACTTATCGGCTAAATGATCAACGGCAACGTTACTTGGAGCACACACAAGCAATTTTTCTTGAACTCCAGCAGCACCTCCTTTATTTTTGTTCATTTTAATCAAATGGTACACAATGGTGGCGGATGTCACAGTCTTACCGGTACCTGGAGGTCCCTGGATTAAACTCAATGGTCTTTGTAATACAGTTCTCACTGCGTTTGCCTGTGACGCGTTCAATTCAGTCAATTTAGGATGCAGAAATGTTTGAGGAAGCTTGACATCAAATTCAATAGGTTCCACATCGTGGCCCAAAAGCTTATGGTATATGTAACCAGAACACAGTTCCTTCTCAAGGGCAAACACCCGAAGAGCATGTTGCATTCTATCGTACAGAGTACCCTTCCAGACAAACTCGGCTGTGAAATCAGTGGTTAAGTGAGTAGGAGGTTGTACTTTACTAGGAAGCAATTCCAATGTAAAAGTTTCATGGAACTTATTGGGGAGTCTTACAATAAAACCTTTACCCTCCCAAGGTTCCATATTCATCAGAGAATGCCTCAAGACAATTTCATCTCCAGTGGCGACTTTCAATCCGTTACTTTCAAAAGTGGAAAGAGCAAAGCTTGCCAAATGACGGTTATTCAACCCCAAGGCCCATGTCACTTGGATATGTTCCAAAGCTTGTGATTCTTTCAAATTTTTGTCATAATCAGCTTCCAATTTCACCAAGGGACCAAACGATCTCTGGTATTGGTAGGCGTCATGGTATCTCATCAAGATGGGCAAGATTTCCTCCTCTTCGCCATCCTTCAGTTCCAACTCGTCAATTGTAGCCTCCGGGCGGTTCAATCTCCATTGGGCTTCCAATTTGGCAATCTGTTGGTATGTCACCATTCTGGCCTCAATTTGTTCCTCTTCACCTGGGATGGATGCTACCCAGGGGAGAAACTGTCTCTCTTCGATCAACGCTTGCCAGTTGGAAGTGTCCCAATTTACATCCTTCTGTTGAGCACAGGGTAACCGACACAAGATCACTACAATGGACTCTTGCTTGGCAGATACAAACCCCAAGATAAACACGTTTTTGTTACCACAGTTGTAGCATTCCAAAGTGGTGTCACCAAGGTCTGAATCTTCATGAAGAGATACCGCATGGTGTCTAGACATCACCAAATGTGTCACAATGTGAGAGCCACTGGAATTGTTTTTGGAGTTACAAAACCATTTGTTGCATGTGTTACACTTGACCACACAGTTGGCCAGGTGGATTCCACAGTACGCACATGCATGAGGTGGCAATTCGGCAACGCCACTGCCGTCAATTTGGCCATGGTCATGATCATGCTCATAGCCTGCCTCATGTTCAACATCTGATTCGAAGTATTGAAGCTCGGAATCATCCAAATTCAGGCCCTCGATGTCCAGAACATTCTGTTGTGCAAATACTAAATCTGCCATTCTCTCCAGAAAGTGTCTGTATTAATCCTATGACTCCTATACAGTGGATGATTCTGTTTCAAATTTGATGTCGTCGTTTGGTCCTCTTGACTTTTTCCACTAGGAGAAAAAAAAAAATAAAATGGCCAGTTCTATATGCCGTCCAGGGGAGGTAGAATATGGAAGAGATAAGGGAACAATGACTATTTGATAGTGGAGTTGGAGGAGATTAGGGGGCGTCAGAGGAGCTTTGAGTTAATAAAGAGATCTTATAGAAATTGGTAGAGAGTATTAGAGAAATTGTAAATATAATTGAGAACAGGAAAAATGGTGTCGGGGGAATATCCTAATGGATGGAAGATGTGTACTCCTAGATCATAAAAAGGATCCTCTTTCATCAGAACGCGTCTCACCTCGAAGAGGAATCATGCCTCCGTGGCTAGTGGGCCATGGAGTGCTAGATCAGAGTCTCAAGAGTCCAGGAGGGATTATTCGTTGTACTCCATCCAGGTGTCGTTGAAACCCTCCTGGGTACAAAGACGATCAACTAGCCGTGGATGCTTGGCACCACTTCGAGAAGAACCCAGTAGAAGATAAATTGGACGGAGGAGATAACCTGTAGATACACATGCTCCACGTGTCAGGCCCTCTTTCTCTCGCTGTATTCTCCACCGCAGTCGTTCAGTAGTCTACTCCACAAGGAATTGCCCCCCCTAAAACCCGCCACACAGCTTTCCATGCGTTATTGTTAGGAGCACTACCTGTCCAAGCTTTTTACCATTTCCCTCTCTGCCCCTGCAATGAGCTAAAATCACGCTCCTACTCCACGATCATATATCCGCCATTATGCATCATCTAGGAACAATTACTACCAAATACTATCTGAAACTCATCACATTGGTGTATCAGATCAGAATTATGCCAAATTGAGAACAAACCAACTCTCCTTGCATCCACACACCCAGCCGCGCGTGAAACACCCCCACACCCAGCAAGCGTGCCCCTGAACGTTACCAAACATTACTGTACGATCTATTCTAAATGCCCAGAATGTAATACCGTCTTGGCCTCTCCTTTGTTCTATTTTACTTTTATTTTATCCATATCAGTACGCACTACCAGGAAATTTAGACTCCTCGTTTCAAATCGCCTATCGTGTACTTATTGTGCAAAATTAGTCTTTCCCATTGTGTTAATAATTTTGTGCTGACAAAAAAAAATAAAAGATTTAGTACCACAGCTAGACGAGAAAGCGCCCTTCAGAGCGCGCGCACACGCACGCGCGCGTGAACGAAAGATGTCAAATTTTGGTAACAGCCATTTGACGACGTGTTTCGTCTATCATCCCTTATAATCCACCCATTATTTGTCCTGTACCCCAGACCTGTCGCCCACAACTTGTCAGCAAGCTACCACCACATCTAATCCCCGTGCTTCCCCACAGCTGCTGTTCAACAACACACAACCAGCTATGAAATATCAAACTCCGTTCCACAAAGTAATAGCGCGTGACAAAGGGGTCTTCAATGGACGTAACCTTTACATGTCCACAGACGCCGTGACGTGGACCCACCTGTATGCGTTGATGATCACAGACCAGGGTCTGTTGTATCTGTCTGACGAGAACGACAGTCCCTATGTTGTGTTGTCACTGTTACAATCCTGTTTTGTTCAAGTGATCCCCGACGTGAATGGTGGTACCCATCTCAACAATCCAATTCTCCCCCACAACAATCGTCGTCGAGTCTCTTCTCGCCGTGTGGCTAGCGGCGGCAGTGCCAACGCCTCGGCTGAGGACTTGGGCGGTAACGGCCACCATGGGTCCTCCAATGGGTCCATGACTGCTGCCAATGCAAATGGTGGTCTCTCCGATGAACCACCAGTTGTTTTCATTAAAACTTTTGATAATGAAAAACTTTATATCAAAGTACCCAGTAAGACCAATTTCGGTAATCTTCTTGCCCTGTTGATTGTTTGGCAAAACCTTAAACCTCAAGGTTTGGTTAAAAAATGGTACAGTGAAAATCGTGTGAATCATAATTCTTCATCTACTCATGAAGTTTTAGTGTGTAGATTTAAAGTTTATGGTCCAATTCCTACAAAAAGTAAAAATCTTCGGATTTTACCAGGGGTACCTGCACCTTCATACCAACCTCCTAAACGTGACCAAGACGGCTTACATCATGTAACTGGAGGAGGTGGTGGTTCAGATTCAGGTACTCCTCATGCAAATCTTTCCACACAACCAATTCAAGAAGGTTGGTTTTATACTATGGGGGTTCTTAAACTGAATGGGATGCTTAATTTCATCACTGAATTAGATGGAACTTTGCTCTATCTGATTGATGTTAAGACTGTAATGTCATCAGAAATTAGAGAAATGCATCATCTGATTTTTGATAATTCAAATGTCTTGTTTGTAGGACGAATCAAAGAACTTCGATGGAATAATTGTATTAAAACAGTGACTCCCAATAGTTTTAATGATCAAGATGAACCATTTTTATTTAGAGATGGTAAAATATTGAATAGTAATCAAAGAATTCTTATTGAATTCCCACTTCATATTGATCTTGAAGATTGGTTTGTTGGATTAAATTATTTTGCTAAAAGAGAATATATTGGAAGTTTCAATCCAGAACTGCCGCAACAACTGCTGCAATACAATAATGGACATAAAAAGGTCACTGCCACAGTGCCACCAACTACAATGAACTCAGATGATGCTAATACTAGTATTGCTCTGTCTACGGGTACTTCTGCCACTTATATAATGAATGGTAGCAAAAATGCATCTATGGGTGATTTACTGGTGAATTCAAACAATCAGAATGCAACCAATACCACTGTATCCACTTCACAAAATACTACTAACCCTTCAACTACTTTGGATGATTATACAAAGGATAACTTGAGGGTATCTAAAAATGTATCCATTGATATCATTGAGGCAAAATTCGATTCTAATAACAACAAGTCGGATAAAATATATGCAGAAGTAGTGATGTGGGGGCTCCCATGGTCAAGAACTGCCATAGTAGCTCATACACATAATCCATTTTGGAAAGAAGAATTTTCCACCAATCTCCCTATATCGACACAAATTGTTCATATACTTATCAAGCAATGCTCTGGTAGCACATATCTGCTTCATGATAAAGTTATTGGAACGGTTTACATTACACCTGATATTCTCACCAAACAACTTAGTACCTCATCTACTATGATGACTGGATCTCCATTGGGTATGGGGATCAATGTAGGTGGTAATGGAGGTTTCAGTGCCAATACGGCAGCTGCAAATGCCCCCACGGGGAACGTTGCAATAAATGATATTGTAAGATTATCCATCTATGATTCTTCAAATCTCCCAATGGGTAAACTTCTTCTTACTGTAAATTTGAAAGAATATCATATTCTTGCACCTCGAAATTTTAAAACATTGGAAAATATGCTTTGTAATGCACCAATGAAGGATTTAATTAAATTTTGTAACAATAACGTTCCAACTTCAGACTTTGAAAATGTTTCATTAATAATGTTGGATATTTTCCAATCCCTTGGAATTGAAGATCTTTGGTTTAAACTGTTAATGGAAGTTGAATTAATCAATGTTGATAAGATTACCCGCAAGAATTATGTTACTAACAAGAGAAATAGTGGAGTGCCACTGGCAACAACCACAAAATCAAGTAATAATGTATTCAATACTCTTTTTAGGGGATCTTCAATTTTTTCGAAATCTTTAGAAAAGTATAATCTTCGTATTGGACAAGAATATCTTGAAAAGGTATTTGGAGATTTTTTCGCTAAAATATCTCGTGAACGTAAAAGTTGTGAAGTTGATCCAAGATATGTAAAGTTACAAACAGGTTTAGGAGGATTAAGAAATGGTCATAGGAATGGGAATGGAGGAGATAGTAGTGGGAACCTGGACTCAGATGATTCTGATAGTGATGATTCTGATGGATATGATTCCGAAGAAGAAAGAGAAAAAGAAGCTCAATTGAAATTAATTGTTGAAGAGAATTTCATTAATTTATATGAATATGCTGAAGAAATTTGGAATAAGATTTATATTACAAGTAATGATCTTCCACAACAAATTAAGACTCAATTGAAAAACTTTAGAAGTAAGGTTGAATTAGCTTGTGATCCAGAAGATAAAACAACTGCATTAAATTGTTTGTCAGCTTTTATATTTTTAAGATTTTTCTGCCCTGCAATTTTGAATCCAAAATTATTTTATCTTACAAAAGATCATCAGACTGGGGAAACTCAAAGAACTCTTACACTTATTGCGAAGATTTTGTTGAATTTAGCTAATCGACAAGAATTTTCTCCTCATAAGGAACCTCATTTGGTGAAAATGAATGAATTTTTATCACGTCATCAAGCAGAAGTTTTAGATTATTTTGATAAGATTACTGGAAGGAAAAATGATTTTAATGAAAAGATCTTGGATTTATCTCATGAAGTGAAAAGATTTGATTTAGGATTGAGTGGGGATGCCACGTCGCTGGAGTTGCCAACCACGCCATATCTAATCGATAAGTACTTGAGATTAACTGAATTAATTCACTTGTTGGATTATAATCAACCAACAAGTACTTCTAATCGGTCATCTGTGGGAGGCCAAACAATCAGATCGTCAATCAGTATTCCAAGCAACTCCACCAAACGCGCTAGTGATGGTGGGTATGGATATAATAATGGACGAGAATCCCAAATTCGAGACTCATATGCTGCTCGAGACTCCTTTAGAGAAAGTAATGGAGACATTCATGTTAACGCCGAACGGAATGTATACCAAATAGGATCACTTGAATTTGAAAAAAGTGAATTTCTCGATTTGGCTGGTGATAATGAAACTGAAGGATTTCTTAAATCATTATGTCGAAGTAATGAGAACATTTTCCTGTTCATTACATCAAATATCACTCTCAAGGACTTACAGAAACAAAGTACAAATCTAATGAGTAAAGTTAATAATTTAGAAATGTTCTTGGAGTCAACTGAATTACCTATCAACTATCAAACAGATCTGAAGATGTGGGATGCCTTTACGGAGGAAATTTTATCTAGAGCTTATTTGGATACCACCAGAAATTGTATTACGTATTGGCATGGACCAGAAGATATGACACCTCTGAGTTTGAAAAGATTGACCGATAATGCCTTGACAGGTTTGAAATTACGATTCCCTGATACACTGAGATTTGATACAGAAAGTCCAAGGGTTAGCAGTACTTTCAGTACCAGTACTTTATCGAGTGCCTTAAAGGGAGGTAAGAAGAATCCGTTCAAGAAATGGTTGAGTAGAGAAAGGGGAGTTAGCCGATAGTCAAAATCATATAGATCATTTAATATAATGAGTAGGTTTAAGAATGAGAGTAGAAATTATGTGACATTCATTATTGATTTTTAAGGTATTGGGGAGAACAAACAAGGTGATTTCTTCAATAAACGATCCACATCAGACGGGTAGTATAGATGGGGAGTCAATATAACGTCTTGTTAGTGTATCAGGGGAGGTGTTCTATACCTCTCCACCAGTGTGACAGTAAACAGGACGAAGTTAAATATAAGACCCTCCAAGTTGAGGAGGTACCCCTTGCAGCAGTTTCTTGGTAAAGACAGTGGTTCAACAAAGTATCAACTAAGCTACTAGCAGGACCATGGGGTGGACACCAATCCTTTTTGGGGTGAATCGAACCCCGTGGAGCTGGAAGACGCGTGACTAGTACCTAGTCATACCGTTCATACTTCCCAAAATACATCCAAATTGGTTCATCACAAATTCATTTCCTCCACCCAATGACTCCTGGTCTCAATAATCCTTGTCAATCGACGCCAATATCTACTACAATACGTTCAATATACGTCTACATCTACACTATCGTTATCTTTCTTTGCAAAAACTGATTTACCACATATATCCCCTACTCGATGCAAAGCCTCCATCAAATTAACTTGGCACTGAAATGATGATTAAAAGCTTACATTGCCGCCTCTTCCCTACAAATCATTGCGCGCCACCACGTTTTACTTTTTCCTCCTGACATTCACATCCGCTAAATATTAACAGTATTGCTCGCAGTATCCGGATCGATTGCTTTATGGCCGTTCAAGTCTGGCCGCCAATTTGACGGCATTTATTTTTTTTTTTCTAGCCATTTTTTTGGTTTGTTTGTTTTCTTTTTTTAGCGGCGGCAATAATTTTTTTTTTGTTGGAAGACTACTGAACACACTCATTCTCAATCTTTATCGTAGACACATTTCGCTTGCGGCGGGATTTACAACACAGTTGATTTTTTTGTTGAATCTTTTAAATTTTTTTTTAAATTACTTCTCTTCTACTCCATACAGCCATGTCTACGGAACCAGAAAAGGTCGCTGCCCAGCCAGAAGCTGCTGCCCCTGCCACCACCACCACCTCAATTTCCGAGGAAGAGCTTCTTGCCTCTTACCCGCAAATCAATGAGCCAAACGGTCAAACCGGATACACTTGTAATCTCACCGATGACCAACAAGTCAAGCTCAAGCAATTCCGTGAGGAACTTACTGCCGCCGGATTCACCGATCGTCTTGATGACGCCTCTCTTTTGAGATTCCTTCGTGCCAGAAAGTTCGACGTGGCCAAAGCAAAGGAAATGTTTGAAGATTGTGAAAAGTGGCGTAAGGACTTTGGTACCAACACCGTCTTGACCGACTTCCACTACACCGAAAAGCCATTGGTTGCCAAGTTGTACCCTCAATACTACCACAAGACCGACAAGGACGGTCGTCCCGTGTACTTTGAAGAGTTGGGTCGTGTCAACTTGACAGAAATGTTGAAGATGACCACTCAAGACCGTATGTTGAAGAACTTGGTCTGGGAATACGAACTGTTCACCAAATTCCGTCTTCCAGCTTGTTCCCGTCAACGTGGTTCTCTTGTCGAAACCTCTTGTACCATCATGGATCTTAAGGGGATTTCCATCTCTACTGTCTCTCAAGTCATTGCCTACGTCCGTGAGGCTTCCACCATTGGTCAAAACTACTACCCGGAACGTATGGGTAAGTTCTACTGTATCAATGCTCCTTTCGGGTTCTCCACCGCATTCCGTTTGTTCAAGCCATTTTTAGACCCGGTCACCGTTTCTAAAATCCACATCTTGGGTTCTCTGTACAAGAAGGAATTGCTCAAGCAAATTCCAGCTGAAAACTTACCTGTCAAGTTTGGAGGTTCTTCCGATGTCACTGACGATGAATTGTACTTGAACGATGATGGTCCTTGGAGAGATCCTAAGTTCATTGGACCTGAAGGAGAAGCTCCACGTGCTTTCAGCACCAAGTAGAGGTCTATATTGAGACCAAGAATGAGCACAAGTACGAGAGAGAGAAAGTTACAAAATGGAAAACGTCATACGCTAGAGGTGTGTGTTTTAACGTCTGACTATTTGAATCGAAGTTATTGTTGTTGTGGGTTAGATATATGTATACATTTATAAACAGATAATACCAATCAGGAGAAGATATGTCTATTCAATTGTGTAGAGTTGTCATTTGTCTATGTCAACATCATATTGATACTGCCCATTAATAATATAGACTTACAAAGGAGTGTACACATGCTAAAGAGGATACTAGATATTGTATAGATTTAAAAATGTGTATCCTGATTTTCATACAAATCTCCCTCAACCTCAGAACAATTAGAAGAGTTAGTTTCGTATCAACGACAGTATACGGAGTGCTAGCATTCTATTAGATAAGTGCCAGCAGAGCGTCTTAACCATATAAAGGGAGGTGTGCAAATCCCAGGGTATACACCTTCCCCACGAAGGTCCCAAACTTACTTAAATCACTGGTGGGTCCTACCGGGATCTCTCTGATCACTTTCTAGGTAAAGAGTTCTAGCACCTCTAGTCTGTTAACTTACATACACCTCCAATAAATCTTGACAGACTATAATGAGTGCAACGCGTCGCGCGATAAAAAAAATAAAAAGTTCTTAGGTAGATAGAAAAACACAACTACTACTTAGAAGAAGACTAGCTTAGTGTATCATAGTGCAAGGAATGAGAACTGAAAGTTCGGTAGATACCTTGAACGTGAACGCTTCCATGATATCCTCGGACGTGCTAGATGCACAGGGTCCTGTAGACCCGGTCCCATCATCTCTTGGAGAATCATTTCTCTTCGGATTCGCGTCTACCACCACCACATCATCATCCAATTCAACCCCCTTGGAGACAAGTAAGGACAACTACAGCAGCAAAACAAACTCAATACTGCCTCCCGAAGATGGTGAGAATTTCCCCTTGGGTTCCTTTGCCACGAAAACTGCTCGTCTCGTTGATGGAACGACACTTGAACTTAAGCCAAAGAAGAAATCACCAACCAATCAATTTACCACTTCTTCTAGTACGGGTAATATGGAATTTTTAACTGAGACATCATCTACTTCAATTGTATCCATGGACAAGCTCTTTGCCCAAGTAACTTTCAGGCAATCGTTGAGGGCGTCAAATGAGAAACTCCACAAGAATTCAAGTCGTAGTCGTCAAGGAACCACCACCACAGGCACGGCATCGTTATGGACTGAAAAATATCGACCATCTAACTTCATGGAACTTTGCTCTTCTGGGAATGACAGACAATACCGGTCTATTCTCCATTGGTTGAAGAAATGGTCTGGGGTGGTGTTCGGTGAAGACGTAGTTCCACCTCCAGCTCTGGGGCGAGGCTTTGCCAACCAAAACAGCTCCTTTGATACGGTGGATGACCTTGGAAGACCGTATAAGAAGATATTGCTTGTACATGGACCACCGGGGGTGGGAAAAACCCTCACGGCTCATATGTTGGCAGAACAATTGGGATACTCGGTGCAAGAAGTCAATGCTGCCAATTCGATGGATTTACTTCCTGGAGGTGGTGATACTTCCACCACCAATGCTCTCAAAATCAAGATCATGAACGCTCTCACATCAAATACGCTTACTTCCAAAGGAAGACCCACATGTTTGATCATTGATGAGGTGGACTCAAGTGTTAACTCTAATGAAATCATCCGTGTACTCACAGACTTGGTGTACGCTGATAACCGTACTACAAACCATCCAAACATTGCGCAAAAGGGGAAGCCATTCCAATTGAACCGTCCAATCATTTGCATTGCTAACGATATTTATTCCGGTGGTCCTTTTTCAATGGAGAAATTGAGACCACATTGTGAGATGGTGGCATTCAGGAAACCCATGTCTTCTAGAGGAGCATCCGGGATCCGGACCAGTGGAAATGCCCAGAGATCCGTTAAGGATTATTTAATGAAAATCAGTGATGCGGAGAAGTTGGGGTTGGATAATCGAGGCATAGGTGAAGTTGTAGAAGTTTGTGATGGGGATTTAAGAGCATGTATAAATTATTTGCAATTTTCTGGGAGAAGAATTGCTGGAGAAGAAGTATCTAATAGAGGTGGTGGTATAGCTGGACATTCGCTATCGCTCAAGGATAACCAACTCTCATGGTTTGCTATGGTTGACCTTTTATTCAAAAGAGACCAGAGTCTTTCCAAGGATGAGAATTTCGATGTTCTAGTTGATCTTGTAACTAATGGGTCTGGGAAGGCTGCAAGTACAGGTGGTAACATTGAAAAAGTTATTAAAGGTTGCTTTGCCCGGTATTTGGATGTTGAACACTACCAGGATGATTCCTTGGTGAAACCGGGCATTCTTAGTGATTGGCTTAGTTTCTATGATACTCTTGGAGGTGGGGGTGGTGATGGAATAGCCTCGGATAACTATAGCCCTGCAGTGTGTATGAAAATATGGTCTCTTTTCAGTGAGATAAATCCTAATAAGGGTCAACAACAACTTATCCCCAACGCCAAATCTCTTGATTTTGAATCATTTGAACAATCCAAACAAAATAAAGCCATATTGAAGCGTGTGGTGAATTCATTACCATTACCCCTTCGAGTTTGTCTTGGTGACTCTATCGATTCGATTACATTTCCTGGCTACTTTTTACCTTATTTGGAAAAAATGTTAACTCCAGGTGCTACATTATCATCAAGAAATGATGCAGAATATGAGCAGTTGATGATTTCTCATATTGCTGAATTGATCAAGTCGTTGGATATCCGATTGGAACATCATAGAGACTTGGAAACACATCAAGTAAGGCTATTGTTCTCTCCCGAATGGGAAACAATGACCCAATTCGAAACACTGTTAGCACCTATGTCACCAGCTGTTCTCGATAAGTTTGTTCAGAATAAACGACAATGGATGTTCCCCATGATAAAAGCGGAAATGGATAAAACAGATTCATTTATGACTAAGAAACGAACGTTGGGCAAATTGGAAAGAAGTAAGATTCCAGATATAGATGAGGATGAAAAGGAATCGAAAAGAGCCAGAGTTACTACTAGTGCAGACTATTTTAAGGCCAGGTACGATGATTTGGCAACTCAAATTAAAGATGACCTGACGAGCAAACCTGTTAACCATGAGACTTCAAGAATATGGGTCAAATATCATGAAGGGTTTTCCAATGCGGTACGTAAAAATGTTGGATGGGAAGATTTGTGGATACCGACGCACAAACTTGATAAATAGATGTATATAGGGAATGGAAATATAAATATTAAGATGAAGAGTGAAGTGAAGTGGAAGTCACTTAGTAGAGTGTAGGTGAAGGGAGTTTCTACGACCAGCTCGTTATGTCGGGCACTCTGTGAGAAAGTCTGTGGGTACATTTATTAATTATCTTGATATTGTCATTACTATTACTATCATTATTATTATATTATTTACTCAGAGTCAGAAATGATATCCTTTTCAACTTTAACATCAACGATTTTTTCACCTCTTAATTCAGCGGCAAAGTTTTCCACTTCGGCCCATTCTTCATGCCATCCCTTTTCGAAAAGAGTGGTTGGACATCCATCAATAGGCGAAATATAACAGAAAAAGGCGTATGTCAAGAATGAAGCAATGAATCCCAAGGGAAAATTCAAATCGTATACACGAGTGGCGCCAATAGGAACCTTGTGGGTTTCAGTGGCACCAACAAACCCAACAATGTTGGGTAAGATTCCACAAATGTAGGCCGCATAAGCTCTCCAATTGATACCAAATCTACCATATCTGTAGTAAGAAGGAGTGTTAGGGTCTTCTGGTGCTTGTAAGGAATACAAATGGGTGAGCTTAAGATAACCTCTTCTCACGTAGTAGTAATCACAAGCCACAACACCGGCAATGGCAGAAAGGAAAACGGCATATGCAGACAAGTAGGTGGTAAACATATTGGAGGAAGTTAATAAATTCCAAGGACAAATACACAAGGCCAACATGGCACAGAGGAAGCCACCTCTTCTGATGTTGATGAATCTTGGTAAGATGGCAGTGACATCGGTACCAAAGGATAAGGAGTTAGCCGAGATATTTGTACCCATTTGGGCCAAGGCAAAGGATAAACCGAGGAAGAACACCCCAGCTCTACTTCCAGAAGAGTTATGATCTAAGAATCTTTCCAAGACATCCAATGGAGACCAATAAGTTTCACCGTACATGCTGGTTGAGGCAGAACTGACCAAAATACCAATCAAAGACGTAAGACTGAAACAAATAGGCACAGAGAGCGTGTACACAATGTACTTCATGGCAAATGAAGGTTTATCAGCAAAACGAGAGAAATCAGGAGCATTGACAATTAAAGTTGCAAAATTGGCAAGAGAAGTCATGATTGCTGTAACAAAAGCCCAACCCCATTCAGAACCATGGAGTGAAGAGGATTGATGTACCACTGGACCAATACCATTAGCCTTGACGATGGTCCATACAAGCAAACCTACACCAGCGACGGGGGAAACATACGCCTTGACGGTGAACAAATGACGGATTTGATGAGGAGGGAACCAAATGGCTGGGAGGGAAAAGAGCCAAAAGAGGAAGAAACTTAAAAATTCAAACGATGTGGTACCTTTAAGTTGAGTGCCCAAAGTAGTTCTAATATGAGGGAAAATGGCTTGTAACATCAACTGGACACATTGTCCACCAATCCATCCCTGTACGGAATACCATACACATGCCATGACCACTCGATTGATGATTGGCCACAAGGAACCAAAGATACCAAATGCTGGTCTTGCGGCCACAGGGAAGGAAACATGGTACATAATCCCAACTCTAGAACCAATGGAAACAAACATCCCACAGAGAGCATACCCGATCCAAACTGCGATCCAAGTTTGCCACCAAGTCAAACCAGCAGTGACCCCAGTGGCGGCAATTTGCCAAGTATTGACATTAAAGGAGTCCGAGATCCAATAAAAGACATAGTTATACCACGACCATCTTCTTCTTTCTTCTTCAACGGGTCTGAGATCGAAGTTGTATAAGAACAACTGCACGGTAGACAAGTCTCCCTTTTCTTGGACCTCAAGAAATGACATGGCTTTACTCCAAAATGAAGGAGAAGATTTAATTGCAGACTCCTTTGGTTCAGTAGTCAGAACAGAGTCGGAAACATCTTCTACTTCATTTTCCCGAGTGGCTTCGACTTCAAGCGGGTCAGCCTTGCTGAGTTCGTCCTTGCTCATTGTACCGTAGATAGATCCGTTGAGAGATTGAAGAGATGATATTTAATTGAATAAGTGGGAAGATATTTCCAGAGAGCCGTTGATATGTGGTAGGTTGTTGCGCCCCGGGCTGCGTAACCGCGATGAGAAAATTCTTTTAGATCTGAATCATTTAAAATTTTTGGGGGGGGGAGTGCGTGCGGCAATGAATCATAAGATAACGGTTTTTTACCGAAGAAGAAATATATACGAGACTATAGGAGATTGTGTGAAGTTCTGGGCAGTATTAGCAGATTGTTTATAGCTACATATATATATGAATTCGTTGAATGTGAACCAATTGGTTTCTTCAACTTTTAATGAAAATTTTGAATATTTTTAAAGCTTGGTGGTGCGCGTGATGCTAAAGTCAACTTTCTCTTATCTATGAAAATTTAAAAATTTCGACCTATTAGGGCAAAAAGTAGAGCAGAAAAGGCGGCGTGCACGACTCAAATGGCAATTCAAAAGTTTACTTGAACTGAAAATAAGTCTTATGATGTTTAAGGGGGTTTGAGTAACTAATTGAAGGGGTGGGAGATATGATAAAAAAATTCTAAGATGTAGGAGTTTGATGAGAAATGTAGTTATACATGGAAATTATCAAAGTAATGATTAGTTGAAAAAAAAAAAAGACTAATTGCTTTTTTTGCTAAAAAGTCACAAGAATAGTACCACATTTAATACTCTGAGGGCAAGAATCCCAGCCGTACTGTTTCTGCCTGATTGGGAAGTCAACCTCAATACATGTTAGTAAAAATTCAATTACTATTTAATATATACATCCGTTGTATAGGTTTATCTCTGAAATTAATATCAAATATATCATCTCCACATTCACAGTCTCTATTCTCAGAATGAACTATTTCTACTATTTCTGTTTCCTTTTTTGAGGCATCTTCTTGCTGTCCTTTATTTAATATCTTTGTGTGTTCCTGCACATCACCATCATAGTACATGCTCCACCTTAAAATCTCCACAGTTAAACAAATGCCTAAATTCTGTATGAATAGTACCAACTTTTAATGTCATATCTACCGCAATTTGTACAGAATTTACAGAGGAATTCGGATTCAATTTTACCAGAAAATGCTCGTATAGGAAACGGAGGACCGCCTCGGATACGCTATCTTGCCGTGTTCAATGCCAAATTAGCTGATCAGTTGGGGGAACGTAATGCAGACCTTATCAAGCAAATCGCATGCTTTGAGACTGATTCAGAACATAAGGATATGGATATGGATGAAAAATTGAATGTTATTGGCTTCTGTAGTGGCATTGAAGCTTTTGCATTGGGATTTTCTTCAAAAAGTGATAAGTCTTTAAATGAAAATATTATCCGAACTGATGGGTCTACCATTCTTGTCAAAGAATTGGAAAAGGATTATCATTTAGTCTGTTGTATAGGTTCGTTAGACGACCGTGATTCAGGAATGATTGGTAAACAACTTCTAGCATCCTTGAGCACTGCATATGACTACTACAGAATGTTAAACAAGTCCATGACAGAAGTGTTGTCAGAGTATGACATTGAAGTTCTACAAACATCCTTAAGCGAGTTTTGGGGCGGGTATCTTAGGGACTATAACGAAAGTGCCGATAGATGTATTCATACTCCGTTCAAATGGGTCAATGATACAGCCAATTATCGAGGTGTATTAGGGCTTTTCCCCCTGGCATTCAAGAAATCATCACTTCTGCTTAATTTCAATTGTAGAAATGAATTTGATCTGATCTTGTCTGAACTGTATCCTCTGAAGCCTCCTGCTGCCTTGATGGTGGCCAATTTTGATGAGTCCATTCCAAAAACTTATGGTGTAATTCATGTGGGGAGCAATGGAGAAATCGCAAATCAATCTTTACGTACCGTGTATAATTGGTTGGAACTTCACGAAAGGAGTAACAAGTTGGGAGGCACACATCTTGCATCTCCTGGAAATGGAGAATTGTTTAAGCGGGTGGAAGTGCCACAAGAGGTTCTACTCCAGGCAGCAACAGCTGCTGCATCTGCTTCTGCTTCTCCTTCCACTTCTACATCGCATGCTAGAGGTCCAGATGATTTAACTTCTGTACGGTCGTTCCGCACAACAGCACAATCAACTTTGGATATTTTGAATCCGGTAAACCTTACAAACAATTTGGTCATACTGCCATTAAATTATACAATGAATGGAATGATGAATATGGGAGGGAATGCCAACCGCTGGCTCGGGGGGCCCTCTTATTTACTGTTTGGCCAAGGAAACTCATCGGCATCACAGGATTCAACCTCCCATAGTCAAAATGACACAGATGATGAAGGAGGAGCAGATGATCATACAGGAACATATCTAGTCGGATTGGTGGCGAATTCTCTGGGTGATACCATCCATAGGAAACTTGTTTATCTCGAACAACTGGATTCTGGGAAACTTCAAGAGTATCTGTTGGTGATTTATACCAAGGGAAACCTTGTGGTTGTATTGGTCTATGATTCGGCTTTGGAAGAATTGGACCAACCTTCTTTCTATGAAGCTCTCCAAGAAACTATCCTAGAGCCAGCTATCAATGAGATTATAACATCACTGATGGTTGGTGTCAGTGAAGGAATGACTGGTAATTCCATCAACTCCTTAAAGTCCTTGAATGGGATAATTGAAGACGGTAGTACTGCCCAAGATTTTTTCTTTATCATTTATGATCCTGAAGAAGGAAGCATTAAAACTTCACTCCCATACTTACCCCTGGCATATCCATCTGTGGCCACCACTACGATGGCCGTCAAATTAAATAATCTCATATATTACCTTCATGATTCGCTTTCAGATCTTTTCATCGTACAGGAAAACCCAGAGTTCTTCCAGAACAACAAGACCATGAAGGAATATTTCCACAAGTTTAATGCCGGGCGCTCCACTGACTGGATGTTTTATTATATCCAATACCATGGGAAGTATATTATAGTGATCAAGAACCATAGTTCCAATCGGAAAACCTCTGGTGGTGGTACTAGTAGGAAGCCCAGTTTGGCTGTTAACCTCACTCCATCGTCTCCTACAGGCACAACTAATAATAATAATGCAAATGGGTTTTTGGATGGGATATATGACTACGCGCATCTTGGGTTCTTGGAGAATCTTGGAGACGACGTGAAGGTGTGGCTCGAAGGGTTCAGTATCAATGGAGAAACATAATTATATATTTAGTATAGATATATACGTATAGACTATAGAAATAGAATATTGGGCTAGCTCTTTTCTTTCCAATTCAAGAAACTTGGAACATCCTTAACAACAATGCTATTCATTGACATATTTGCTAAGGCATCGGGAATTAGTCCACCAGGACTTGAACATGTAGCCATACACCATATAAGAGAGCCAGAATGTTTATCAAATGAAATCCGTTCCACTGAAGAGTAGCGGGCATTCACTGAAGAGCCAGCACCCAATGCCGGTGTTTCAGTAAATAAGTTTGACATGATTGGTACTGATATTACATAATATTCATCGGGTTGATCTTGCACTATATAAATCAATTCATGGAAAAGTCTTTTCTTGAAGGGGAATGGGGTCTTGTATACTAATTGTGCTAAGTATGTAATGGCGTTTGGGGCACTATTGAATCCAGAAGGAGTGGATTGAATAGAAATTGAATCTAAATCATGTATGTATTTCTGTTCATAATATGAATGTGTTCCATGAGAAGATGAAAAATCCAGGGCATCAAGAGTTCCTACAAGGTATTTTACAAGCTTCTTGTAGCAATCTTCACGTTTGTCCCTTGGTAGTTCATCCAATGACGTTGATCTAGAATACCACGAATTTCCCTTTATTGATTTATGAGCTGTGGTGACTTTGATTGTTGTTCCACAAAATGGAACTGGGTATATTTTATCTTGCAGCCAGTTTTCAGATACCAGGTTTATGATCGACTTAGACTCTTCAAGAAGAGTATCCAAGGAGACCTCTGTTAGGGATTCCAATGGTAAGACGTTCATTATGGATTATTCTAATGGAAAAAAGGAATGTGACTAAAGATAAGTATATGGTTTCAAATTGACATAGTTTTATCTTTCGCACACATTCATGTTTGATAAGAATACGTTTAAATTATACATTGCAAAAGAGGTGATGGATGACAAATATTACATTGCTTTATACATTATTCATTATGATAAAGAAGGTGTTCCCTCTGATGTTCATGAAGAGGGAGTTGCCCTGTTTTCCACTCTTTAATTTATATATGCTAAATATTTCATTTTTTCAAGAAAATTTATTATAAAAGATATATATTTGGCAACTTTTTACAAGGAAAATTCATTTTAGAATAGGCTCTAATACAAATATCATTCAAATAGGCTTTCTCTACTTGTTCAAAGGCTTCATTCATTCAGGATGGATCCCAATTCAATTTTACAGCTTCCAACTTCCCATTAAATCAATGACACAGACCAACTCATATAGGGGAAAATCGTATAAAATTCTAGCAATATTGCTAGCCAAATACTATCTCAATCTATATAGAGTTCTTACCCATTCACTAAGTTCATGGAAGCCAGTATGGTTTTTGGGATCCAGTCTTAGATGAGACTTCCACTTTCCTTTCTCTATCTTATGAAAGAAAAGCTTTAAACCATAAATTTATATTTATCAAACTATTCATACTTCTCTACAGCTCTTCTTGTTACACAATATATCTTCTAAGTATAAATTAAATGAATAAAAGGTTGATATTCATACTTTTGCAACTATAATGAGCCACTTCTGCCCGAGATCACGTGAATGAGAGACATAATTGGATATTAAACTGGAAAATTTATAATCTCAATAACGGGTTGTATAGTGTAGTGGTTATCACCTTCGGTTTTGATCCGGATAACCCCGGTTCGAATCCGGGTACGACCTTTCTTTTTTAATTTTTTTCGCTACGCGTTCAATTAAATTTTTTTTTCTCATTTGCATAAATTTTTTTGTTTTCTTTTCTTCTTTTGGATGCGGTATGTATGAATATCGCACTCATAATCATTGTTTACAAAAATATTTGACTGTTTGTGTACTTTTAGACGACGAATTCTTATGCATTCTCAGGGGAACTTATTCGCTAGTGAAAACAGAAAATAAAACATCACTTTGTGTCCAAACATCTGGTGGCACTTTGTTGATCAGTATTATTATTAGTACTATTATTATTATTATTATTATTGATACTTTTTTTTTTTTCCTTCTTGGAATTTTAATACTCTGATACCCATATCTATTTTTTTTTTCCATTGAATTTTATTCATTCTTCTCTTAGATCATAGGAAGAAGTTCAATAGAGGAACCCCGGAATCAATACTCCAAGTACCCAAGATTCCAAGTTGATTTAATTCATCTCAACTCTCTCCACAAAAAGTATATATTACCGAAAAATTAGTGGACACCCATCTAAGTTGAACTCAGAAACTTTAGATCTGCCACCTATTAACCAACACCTAAACAACACGTTCAACATAGACGAACAGAAACAAGTGAAACAACCAGATCTCATTTTGTTTATAAACTCACCATGGAAGATCATTTAACATCCCCCGTCAAAAATAAGGCCACGTCAAGAGTGATTGATTCACTCCATTCCCAGATTGATGGTCTTAAAACTGAATTTGAAACGGTTAAGATGTCTCATGACGAGTACAAGAAGAAGTTTGAAATGCTTTCCAAGAAAAACGACCTGTTTGTAGATCAATTGGCCAATGCCAAGCATGAGAACGATATGGTGAATGCGTTGTTAAGACGTAAGGAAAGAAGAATTGTTGACTTGGAAGATCAATACAATGAATTGTCACTGGACAATGAAACTGTTCGGTTGAGTTTCAAAAACATGAAGATTCGTTGTGAGAACTTACAAGAGAATTCTGCGTCACTGACCGCTGAGTATGAACGGTTAAAGATTGCGTATGATGCGTTGATTGCATCCCAACAAGAATATAAGAGACATTACTCTCTGGAAATCAATACGTTAACCAATCGCTTCGATACTTACAAGAAGGAACAAGAAGAGAAATTGGCCAAACTTTCCGACCAATTCTGTTCCAACGACAAGGACGTTGAAACTCTTTTGGATAGTTTGACCAACAAGAAACGTGCCATGGAAACATTGTATGTTAATAAGAATAAGCATGTATTAGATCTTTTGGTTAAATTGAGTAAAGTTGCCAAGTTACATGGTCAAGAGTCTAAACAAGTTTTAGCTGAAAGTATAGAAACTGTGGAGTTACTTGTTGCCAAACATCCTGATTTGGCAGAAAAGATCAAGGAACATGAAAATGTTGACATTGATTTAAGTGAGATTTTACAAGAACTGAATGAGATGGCTAATTCTTCATTTGATGAAGAGGCCACCTTGATCAACAGTCCTGAGCTTGCCAGTGAGCCAAAGATGAAGCAACAACAGCAACCTCAACAACAACAACAGCAACAACAAACTCAACCTTCCAACAACCAGGCTAACAGGAGAAGGAAGAACAAGAGAAATTCCATGAGAGTGGACTCTAATAACAGCAACATGCCTGACTTCAGCCACATCAACACCCCAACCGGTCAACCACAATTGAACCTCCCAAAGAGAAACTTCAACAGTGGGCCACATAAAAGCGGAGGGTTCAATGATTCCAGACAACGTACTCCGACGCCACCACCATCTCAGCAACAACTGAACCCTCAAAGAAGGAACAACAGTAACAACAGCAACAATGGTGGCCATAACAACGGTAATGGTAACAACTCGAACAATAACTCCAATAATAATAATAATGTTAATGGTAACAATAACAATAACAAATCCAAAAGAAGATCCATGTATGGTGCCAATAATAACGCTAACAATAACGGTGGCTACAATGGCAACTACAGAGGCAACAGACAAAGTTTTCATGAACTGCAGCCCGTAAATTATTAAATATCCGAGCCATGCTCAATAAATTAGAAATATATAATTGATGTAGACTGTATTTTAATATGGTTCTCATTGCGAGAGGCATGAAGTGTAAAGTATCCAGAGAATGAAGCATGGGCTTGAGAGTTATTGACTCTTTTCGCTTGCGATAGATAAATTATCTGTAGATAGAGGTTCATTCTATTTAATTCTCTCTGAGCATTTATTTCATGGAGAGTTTTGATGCCAGATAGTTCTTTATTCTTCCTTCTATAATTTGTGGGTAGTCAAGTGTGCTGTGTAGATTGTTATTATCAAAAAAAGGAGTGAAATGTCTTGTTTAATGTGGTCTATGTTCTCATTAAACTTCATAGACCGAGATGATTCCATTTTCATACCCAATTGCCAATAAATTCTTATCCAAGGTGTCTCGTTTCATTCGTATCAATTCCTTGCTGCTTCTGGTTATTTGGGATTCTCGTGGCGTTGCAACTTGGAAGGTCATACTGGTGACTTTGAGTCTATTCGATTGGGTTTCATCATTTTTATCAATGGTTGGTAAGATTTTGTCAAACTTCCAAATCTCATCCATTGAAGCCGAAACAAATCCCTTGGTGATACCATTCCAGAATGTTATAATGGTTATATCACCAATGATGACCATATGACTCAAACCAGCGTGTTTGATTGAAATTGCCTTTGATGAATCTTCAATCAAAGAGGAGAAACTCTCTGGGACATCAAGAGTTAATACCAGCTTCCCAGAGCTTCCCGCAACCAAGACGTTCCGTTTGACATCATATGCTATAGATAATATTGGACTTGGACACAATTGGTCAGATATATGGAATAAATTAATTTTTGGACCTCGATTGATCAATGATGAAGAAGTTGTAGTGGTAACACCAACTTTCTTTGTATGAGACACTTGACTGGTATCATCTGATTCTATATAGAAACCAAGAATATGTCCTGATTCATATGCAATATAAAAAACTTGATCATTAATCCATATAGATTTCATCATAATGCCAAACTTGTCACGTTTCGATAAGTCATCATCTAATGGGATTGGTAAAGTTTTAAGAGCCTTTTGATACAATTGCCACGGATCAACTTGATGACATATACGACTGAACTGAAGTGGATGACTGGAGGTTATGGAATAAATATCAAATTTATCTGAATCAACCGTTGATGCAGTTAGAAGAAGTCTCGAAGAATTAATCGCTACATTACAAAAATTTAGTGAATTTACGGGTAATTCAGTAACTGAAAGTTCCAAGTTTGAAGCTTTTAAATCCCAAAACTTGATACTAGAATCTCGACCATGAGTCAATAGAACAGTATTGTTATCAAACAATTGGATCAGTACAATTGTTTCATCATGAGCTTTCCATTTCTTTTGTGGTCTCTTCAGTTTGACATCCCACCAATATACGTATCCTTTAGAATCACCTGAAAATAGTCCTATCGACAGAAATGAACTGCACACAACTGGAGCACCATGTCCACGAAGTGAACATAATAACAATGGTTCCATAATTGAGATAGATTAATCGAGGGAGTAGATGATAATGGGTGTCTATCAGTATGTATTGTAAGTGCAGGAAAAATGGAATCTTTGAAGTGAGAAGTGCCTTGTACTGCGAATAATTTTAATACTGTATACAACATAATAATCACGTGAGGAAGGAATCAGGATAAATTACCCTGATTTTTAGTCTAGTTTATGGATTTGGTCAATGTTCATAAGAACAAACTTTTTGATAACAACTCATAACCATTACCGGTAGTGTTAATTTTTGTTCTTCTTGATATTAGACATTAATAGTTTTGTACAATGAGCCTCTCAACCTCTACCACCTCTTCTTTTTCATATTCCTCCACAACTCTACTTTTAATTAAACAGTCGACCAAATTGTTAAATTCTCCTCGCAATCCGATCTCGGGAACTCCTACACAAAAAGAGGTAAAAGTTTTTCCCGAAAGAAATTTGTTCACACTCGTGATACAAAATAAATTCAGAAAAAAAAAAAAAAAGGATTCGCTGGTCGTCCAAATTCAAATTGAAGTTCCCTCATAATATCATATGAGATATGTCAATGTCAATGTCACGTCAATATCACGTCAAGAAAAGCCAAGAAATATGAGCCAAGAATTCCCAAATTTTTTTTCAAAATGCCAATGTTTCTCTCCAACAAGAATACAAATTTAACCTGTACGGCTTAATGACTTCAAAGGAAAAGTTATCTGATCAATCTACCCATTCATGGCACTTGTTGTGGCACTCGCTGATTGGCTAGACCGCTCCCGAAACGGGGACATGGACGCACGAACCATGCATAGCCGTGCGCGCTCAAAACCAGGTCTATCAATTTTTGTATGAGAAAGTGCATAAACCTAACCATTTTTAACTATTTCACTTCGTGACGTGCATGTTTCATGCATACTTTCACACTTTTTCCACGTTGATTGAATTGATAAAAATTTTTCTCCCTTTCCACACCTCTCCCATAATGTTTCAGGTGGGGGCATAAATACCTCCAGACTTCTCTACAATTTCTCTATCATCTTTTCTTTTCTTTTCTTTCAGTAGAGTGAATTCTTCTTTAACTTTTCTCTCTTTGCTAATAATAGAATCTTGCAAAGATGGTTAATGTATTTAATCCTCAAATTTTCTTCATTGTTTTCCGTGAAGCCTTAGAAGCCGTGGTGGTTGTCTCTGTGTTGCTTGCCTTTTTGAAACAAGGTCTTGGAGGTGCCACGTCTGATCCACTCATCTATAAGCGGTTGGTTCGACAGGTTTGGTGGGGTGCCGGGATGGGGTTGCTAGTTTGTATTATTTTGGGTGCTGCCTTCATTGCAACCTTTTATACTCTTGGAAATAATATTTGGTCCAAATCTGAAGATTTATGGGAAGGTATTTTCTGTGTCATTGCAACAGTTTTAATCTCCATGATGGGAATTGCCATGTTGCGTGTCAATAAAATGAAGGAAAAATGGAGAATAAAGTTGGCCAGGGCCTTGGTTCAAGCTCCTTCCAACAAGAAGGATAGATTCAAAATTGGGTACTTGACCAAAAAATACTGTATGTTCATTCTCCCATTCATCACTTGTTTGAGAGAAGGTTTGGAAGCAGTGGTCTTTGTTGGTGGTGTTGGTTTATCCAGTCCTGCCACCGCATTCCCAATCCCTGTTATCACCGGGTTACTTGCCGGATGTGCTGTTGGTGCTCTTTTGTACTTTGGTGGTACCACCACTTCTTTGCAAATCTTTTTGATCATTTCCACTTGTATTCTTTACTTGATCTCCGCTGGTTTGTTCTCCCGTGCTATCTGGTATTTTGAAATGTACAAATTGACAAAGATGACTGGTGGTGACGTTGGTGAAAATGGATCTGGTCCAGGTACTTACGACATCTCCAAGTCTGTTTGGCACGTCAACTGTTGTAACCCAGAAAAAGATAACGGTTGGGATGTGTTCAATGCTCTTTTGGGATGGCAAAACTCTGCCACCTACGGGTCTGTTATTTCTTACAATATCTACTGGCTTGCTGTTATTGCTACCTTATTCTTGATGTTGTACGAAGAAAAGCACGGTCACTTACCTTTCCTCAAGGGTGTTACATTGGTCCAATTGAACCCAATGTACCACATCAAGGGTAAGAAGAAAAACAACTTGTCCAAGGAGGAACAAGATGAATTATTCACCAAGCTTAGACAACAGAAAATCGGCCAAGATGTCGAAGAAGACACTGCTTCTTCCACTACGAAGGATATCGTTGGAGTTTCTACAAACAAGAAGCTTGAGGTTTCTAACAAGTAGAAACAATTGTAATTTTTTTATTTTACACTGCTACACATGAAAAACTTCTCTGGTGATCTTCTTGTCTCAACACACACACACACACACAATAGATGTATTAACTTACATCTCTCGAGACAGCTGAACACCTTGAACTTTTCATGTTTGGACAGTTGGGGTTATAGGTATTTTTTTTTGTTTATAGAGTCGGGTTTTTTGTAACCATTTAATAAATATACGGGTATACTAGAGTGAGTAAGGTAACTTACAATTTAAATGAAGTCCATTAACATATATTAGGGTATACTAAACCATCTAGAATATCTAGAAAAAACAGTCAAATTCATTCTCTGACTCCTTCAAATTTCTGGCTAATACTGTATCGAATTCTCTGTCACTATATGGAGGGTTTCCAGCCTCATCTATAGTATGGAACAAAACTTCCACCAATTTCAAACAATATTCATTTAATTGAAGGCTCTTACTTTGTTGGAATACTTCAAGGAAGAAATGGATCCCAACCAGCAAGTTTCCTACAATCACAAGGTAATTCTCATCATGGGGCATCGATCTTAAATGTTCAAGAGTTACCTTGAGGAAATAAGTTTGAAGTTCATTTATGATTGAAATAAAGATCTCAGCACCGCTCAATGGTTTAATAACGTGAACAAGCTTAACAAAATGAATCAATACATTGTAGATGAACCCATCAACTTGAAGGTCCACTGGTGGTGCGTTGGTGAAATGTTTACTCACAAGACTATCGATGAAATTCTTTTCCTTTGCCAAAATATCATCCAAAATTGTAAGTCCAGCCTTATCAATGTCTGCATAAAGTTTAAGGTTTTGTTCCAGAAGGTTATTGGAGAATAAGCGATCGAACTTACGGAGTAATCCTGGGTAGGTGACCCGACCAAGTTGATCAAAATTGTTCATTGCAAGAACCTTATAAAGAGATGTGGTACTTTCAGTTTGACTTTGACTCTCCAAACTATATCTTTTCAAAATGGAATCCACCAATACATTCAAACTTCTCATGAATTGGATTTCAATACTGACCAATACTCTTTTACTGGGGTGAGCCGACACAATACGAATGCCACTTTCCACCAATTTTTCATCATCGTTATCACCATCGTCATACACATCGCCGTTATTGGAATCTTCACGTTTACTGAACACCAACAGAGCGATCTTGGACAAGACATATCCTTCGTAACATTCCATTATGGAAATAGCACGGGTGTACTTGACTGCATCTTTCCCCGCCCATTCACTTTGAACATCCCAACCTTCCAAATCATAGAATTGCAGACAATCATTCACCCAGACAGCACATACAGCTTCAATAATTCTTTGGTTTATCACAGCCGATGAGGAACGGAGGTTTTTGATTACGGTGTTTGTGTTGGTGGACGTACTACCACCCACCACAACCACACTCTCCCCAGTTCTAGTTAAAAAGTGATTCACTCTCTTATTGACATTGGATAAATAGAAAATTGTTGAAAGGGAGTTACTATGATTCGGTAAAAAGGAGGAGTAATTGGAAGGTGAAGATTCAAGTTGATTGGTGGATGGAGGTGTGGATGGATCATTGAAGATCAGCACCAATTTAGTAGTCACTGATACAACGAACTTTATATAACTGTCTCTTATAGATCCACCAGAATCAACCTCAGTAGCACTGTAATGCTTGTAATTGTTGACAAATTTAGATACCTTTTTAAGGAAGAGGTCGTCCAAATAAGTAACGAAATTATGTAAGACCAACCAAGCTTCATTGATGATGGAAATATCCAAATTATCAGGGGTATTGAACACCAGTAACACAATGGATTCAAAGTCTGCAACATCGGCAATGCTGGAAATCCCATCCAATCGTTCCAGCACCATGGTTTTGACACTATCTTCCACCCCGGCAAACTTCTCACTAATAAAGGCAATATTGGATCCACCTTCACGATGTTGTGTCAACAGGTTCAAGTAGTCAGTTAATTTCCTTTGCATCATGCCAAACTTACGTTCGAATTTTGAATGTTGATACTTGAACTCTTTTTTAAGACCATCCAATTGTATATTGAGGAATTCATAGATTGGCTGTTGTGAAGTGCTTGGTTCGTTGTTTAACTGGTACAATTTGTCCACCAACAGAATGAATTTAGCATTTGTGGCGTTCCTAAACGTGCTTCTAGGACCGCCTGCCTCATGATCAATTGATAGAAGCTCCTTATAGATTCGTTTGCGGTATTCAGATATGATATTATCCACCTCTTTGAAAGTTTTGGAAAGGGCAAAGTTTATCGATGCATTACCACCGGTCTCATCCCCATTCAAATACTCATTCTTCTTGCTTAAGTACCGGTTATAATCGTCAATGAACTGTTCATGATCATGTCGACTCAAATGACCGACCAATTTATTGGGGAGATCAAAGAAAAATTTATTTTCCAGTACAAATTCAATGAATTTCGTCAATTTCACTTCTTTATTCTTATGGTCAAGAATCGGTTTGATCATCAAGGACGTGGTGGTGATAAGATTCTTGAGAGATTCATCCAAGTCAGTGGAAATGGCAGTATCAACGTTGTTATTATTCATGTTGTTGGTGGTGTTGGAAGAAGCCCCAGTGCTGCCTATTCTACGGTGTTGACGAGTAGGGTTGAACACCTTGGTATTATCACGTTCCTTCTGAGCAGCGGTTTTCGTCCTTCTAAACTCAATCAATACATCATCTATGGCCTTTTTACATTCAGCAAACTTCAAGAAATTCGCATCAATGACGGATTTCAATTCTGAAGATTGACTTTCAATGTTCCGTTCAAGATATCTTAAGGACCGAACCAAGTCATCAATGGAAGAGTCCAGATGGACCGTGGTAAGATATTGTTGTGGTTGGAACAACTTGGAGGAGACTAAAAATTGTGCCAATTTTGGATCTGATTTTGATTCAATTGCATGTTTGGCCACAAGTTGGTCAACCATTCTTGGGAGGCCCAAGGGGTCTTCAAGATCAGAGGGCAACGTGCTCACAGAAGGAGCAGTGGTGATTGCAGAAGTGGCTCCCTGGATTAACCGGGCCAACTCATCATATTCTACATCGGGGTCCAATTGGGCGTTCTCCACATCTTCAATGGATACTGACCTAAATTCGTCCTTGCCCGCATTTGGAAGGATCTCAGAAACCGTGGAAGGGTTTAAAGTTTCCACCCCGTAGAAGACTCTCAAGTCTTCCTCCTTGGCCTCGTAATTGAACATATTTTTGGATGTAAATTCCTACTGTTGTACCACACCTTGGACAACATTTGTCTTTGTTTAGGATTGATAATTTGGAAACAAGTCACGTGATACGCAATATACAGGAAACCAAATATAGTATATCTCCGTCCTTTGGAGAAAGAAATTTGGTAAGGTTTAACATATCATAGTATATTGTGTAGTTATTTCATTGATGTACTGGTATGTAATAATACTGTAACTTTCTACAAATTTCTATTACTATTATTGAATATTAATTATACATAGTTTTATTTTCCCTTATATCCGTGATCTCCTTGAAGAGGAGCTAGGCACCATGCAGTGGCTCTCCCCGAACAGGGGCCCAGCGGAACGTCTTACAGACTCCATAGTGTAGCAACTTACCTCCCTACCGGGGGATGTAAGCCACTCCGCTGGCACTTCGTAGACCTTGTTCCTCTGACGAGGAAATTCTTTAATGATTCCATTGAATGAAATCAAAATATCTAAAATTACATAGCATGAAATTTTTGCTCTTACCGCCACAAACTGTATTCCTGGTGTTGAACATCATCTGAGTTGACTGTGGTCACTGCAGCAACTGCAGCGTTGGCAATTGAAGTGGCATCATCGACTTCCTCATGACGTTCTCCATATGTGTGGTGTAGTTGTGCCGGGTGTGGTTGGAGCTGCTGTTGCACTGATTGTTGTGATTGTTGCTGATCTTGCACTTGTTGGGATTGCTGTTGTGATTGTTGTTGTGATTGTTGTGGCTGGAGTCTATGTTGTCTTTGTGTTACCGAAGGACGTTGCTGCTCTGCAGTAACATCTCCTACAGTACCAACTTTAGAATATATCTCCTCTAATTCATTGACCACATCCACCAATCTTCTCTTTTTAAAGTCCCGTACTTCACTTTCCATTCTTTCAAACACCGCTTGGAAGTCAGCAGAAACCCAAGACTTCTCTGGATCCTTTTTCCCCTTATTCTGCTCCTCATGTAAATGAACTAAATATTGCCAATCGATTGCATCTCGCGTGAGGAACCCAAGACTTTGGATCTTTTGTATAAGCCACAACTTTGTAGCGGTATCCATGTATGAGGACCTCAAGGTGGCCTTCTTCTTCATGAGTTTATTCCATTTGTATCTACATTGGATTCTCAGTCTTTGGCCATTCATTCTTTCGGAAACTATCGTCCAATTAAGCCCCGTGGTGGACCCTCCAGAGTCTTTTACATCCTTCATATTCTCCTTGTTATCACCAGTCTTGTTACCATTGCCCTTATTCAACAAATCCTCCACAATCTCCTTCAAATTTGTTTCTTCTTCTTCACTCCATTTGTTCGACAGTCGATTCTCTCCACATTTAATATAATTTCTCCACCTATCACGAACATCTTCGGGCATTCTCCCCATCATTTCACCAATTTCTTTCCAATTCCCCTCCTTGGTGGCACCCAATTTTTTTAAATATTCATCTTCTGGAGGTGTCCACTTCCCTCGTACTTCAAACACATGGAACTGTCTACGAACATGTTTATATACCGAGGCCCGCGACCGATATGGAAGAATCCGCGTGAGTGACTCCCAAAAATTGTCCTTCTTCCGTTCTCTTGACCAGATACGGTTACATATATCCTGTCTGGTAGCCTTATGAAGATGTCCATATCCACTAATGAAATGCTCCACCGCGTTGATTTCTTCCTGAGAGAACGTCCGTGGTCCATTTGAAAAAGGCTGTGGGAGAGAGTTATACCAAGCACAAGCTTGAGCTGCTGCTTCTTCCACTAAAGACTCAACCGTGGTATGATTGAATTGTGTTCTTTGTTGAACTTGTTGAAGTGGTTGTACTTGCTGATGCGATTGAAGTGTTTGTTGTGGAAGATCCTGTTGAAGTTGGTGGAGTTGTTGGAGTTGCTGAAGTGGTTGCTGAAGCTGTTGAATAGGTTGTTGTTGTTGCAGTTGGATGGGTTGCTGTTGTTGCTGTTGCTGTTGCTGCTGCTGCAGTTGGATGGGCTGTGGTTGTTGTTGCTGTTGCTGTTGTTGTTGAAGTTGTTGCTGTTGCTGCTGGAGTCTCCTTTTGATGCTTTTACGATGTCCACGCTTATCTTCATTTACAGCCGCAGTCGCGGCAGCAAGCACCTGTTGAGCCTGATGTGGCGGTAAGTTATGCAATGAGTTGTGAGCAGCCAACACGTCATGGTCTTGTAAGGCGCCGTTTCCTAAATGTTTCGCCAACTCTCGTGCATCAAGAATTGCAGCCTGCACAAGCTCGTCATGTTCCGTGGAGTCTAAGCCGGTTAACTCGGGGTCGACTGTCGTGGAAGGCACCACGCCTGTATCCTTCCGCCTTCTCTTATACTCATCATTTGTCTCTGGACCAGGCGCATCTGGTGGTGGTGCAGTCATATCTTCATCCAAGAATCCTGTCCATGGACCAAAGTCGTTCATAATATCGTCTACAGGGGCATGTGTATGTTGTTGAGAGGGCGTATTTTGAGTCTGTTGTTGCTGTTGTTGCTGTTGCTGCTGTTGTTGTTGCAGCTGTTGCTGCAGCTGTTGCTGCAGCTGTGGATGGGGACGTCTTCTTTTACGGTCTGTGAGTGTTCCTCCAACATAGCGCATCACTGCAGCCTCGACAGCATCATTCAATTGCTGGTTCTTTGAGTCTTCGTCACTGTCAACAAGCGCATCTTCGACATTGTTGTCGTTGTGGGATTGATCAACTTCGCCATCGCTTGGTCCATCTTCATTGAAAACAGAGCCATCTTCGGCCTGGCCTCCTTTCTTAGTTCCAAGCTGAAGAAGTGCCTGTGCGCCTAGTTGTTGTTGCGCCTCCATGCTTCTACGCTATCGTTTACTCTCTATTGTGACCCAGTACGATCTATTTTCAATTTCCAAATCAGAGATCTTTGCCTCAAAATTCTGTTTTTGTTTATGTGGGATACTATGCGCATATTTACGCACACAGGAAAATTTCGCGTAAATCCAAGCATAACCATTGAAAGATTTATTGAGAGTACAGTGAAGTATACAGGCTTGCGGAGAATTTATGCGTAACTAAAATGGTTGCAAATTTATTCAAAACTTAGACGAACTTTTAAATTTGAATTTGGATTATGTGGAGCTAATGATCTACACTTAGATATTTCGATTGTAACTTTAATGAATTTATACCCCCATCTTTTATAATACTAGGTAATATTCAGTTGATCGCCAGGTAAAAAACTTAACTTCAATACCAGTCACCAATGAGGCAACAATGGCAAAGATTGTAAACATTAATAAAACTCGGCGATATGGATATGCTGCTTGTGGCAATTTCTTAACGCGTTTGTATAAGTACCTCAAAAGTACGGTCATATATCCAGCATATGGAACATATGAGAACTTCAACTTAGTTGATTTCATTACCAAACATACCGATATAAAGATAGCTTTTGCGATGAACAGAAAAATGACAGCCAACCAGGTAGCGGAATAACAGTTTATCCTAAATTTATAATAGATACCACTAAGAAACCCAAAACATTTCTCCCTAGGATCGTTTAAAGCTGCTTCCACCGAAATTCCTTCTCTATAGACCCTTTTCGCTTCTTCGGCGAGCTCTTTTCTTTTCCTTTTCTTGTCAGCTTTCTTTTGCTTATCTTTGTCTTTTGATTTTTTTTCAGCTTCAACTTCATTATCCATCTCTGAGCCAATAGTATTAGCAATTTTATGCTCTGGAACTACTTCTGAAGTGTTTGAAGTGTTCTCTAGAATTTCCTCTGCAGTAGACTCTGTAACTTCCTCGACAGCGCTATCTCCAGAATTTGGCTCTGGAATTTCAGCGCCGGTAAGACTTTCAACTGGATCATCTTCTCCTTCTTGAGGACCAACCAGCTCCAAAATACCCCCTTCAATGGTATCGGTAGTTCTAGACATACACATTTAGAGAAAATGAGGTTAAAATAGAAGAAAAGAAGAAATGTTCGTTGTGTATTATAATACAAATCAAAATTTGCAACCACAATTACAGAAAGAGAGCTCAAATTCTAAATTGGAGATTGTTACTGATATAATATATATATATATATAATTATACATAATTACTATTTCTTTTAGATCATGGCTATTATTGCAATCTTCCTTCAAGTCCCCATTGCAATACAATCCCATTACATCATAAGTATGTAGTGTAAAATATCTAAAAAAACTAATTCAAGAAAGTCTCTTGATATATCTCAGCCAAAAACCATGTACATCCCTAATATTCTAAATACTTCTTGATCTTTGATAACACGAGAAAAAGTCTTGATATGGTTAGCTAAATTACCCAACAATAAATGAAAAATTCTGTGATTCATGAGTAAAGCACATTCATGACAGTAGAATAGTACCAGCTTAAATTTATTTGACACCTTGTAGTACGCTCCAATTCAAGTGGAAATGATTCACTTTTAAATTCAATACAAACTATATTCAATAATTGATATGCTAACATTCTTACAATTTACAGAGTAACTATGGAAATCTCTTCTTTATTTTCATAAATATGCACCTATATAATACCCCACCACAAACAAACATATGAATGGATATGCGTTAGCTAACAAGTATGTTAAAAAATAAACAGCCATAGGAATATATGACCAATGATCTGTATAATCATAGTGCTCTTCTCTTTTTGCTACAGTCGTGTAAAATATAAGCCAGATTGAATGTGTATAAAATAAAACAAACGCACCACCTTCATATTGCCAACTTTTACTCAAATGGCACATGTAAACTTCCACACGGGAATTTGCTTTATTAGAGCAGACGGCACTGGTTGTAGCTGAAATTATAAAACAAAACAAGTAGTAAGTGTTTATAATGAGAGCTAAGACATGTAGGGTCATGATCCACCATTTTATAAATTTCGGTGATTCCTGAAGATCAGTATCTGAACTTTTTGAAGATTCACTACTAGTGTTAGTATTGGACCCGTTGCTAATCACAGTTACTGGCATAATGTTACAATTAGTTTTACAAGTCAAACATTTAAATTTTGAGAAATGTTTCTTAATATATATAGTCTCTCCATTGCTATAATTTCCTAGTACCGGGAATTAAGATGTAGTTTACTCCTTTTAGGTCATGCTAACAACACAAAACTTCGACCTAACCACCACGTTCTCTTTTGAGATTTGAAATGACTACATAGCATCTAAGAATTTTTGCGACCAATAACTAGGTCTCCGCCATGATATAACTTTAACTTAAACGATCATGTAACACTTTGAGAAGTGGTAAACTTTTCAGCACAAAATGATCTTCAGAGTGAAAGAAGAGATTCTCCCATCACAAATGGAATAATCAGTTCCGAACGAATATTATTTGAAGAATTGCAAAGGGAAATGATAGAGACTAATAGATGTGATGTAGAGGGCAAGTCCAACAGGGAGATGGCAAGTCCAGTTTTGCTTTCGCAAAGAGAAAGAAAAATCACACATAGAATAGATATTAGGACGACGACAAGAAGATAGAGATTGATTCAAATCCGAGACTTATCGATGCCAGATACTCTATTCTCATTCATTCGATTCTCCTATCTTGGTTTCTTATATAATATCAATACTCTACACTTTCTAGACGGCTGCAAAATACATATCAACACCAATTTTTTTTTAAATTAACACCACCTAGTAAAGAGTTGAATCATTTATAAATCTATTTCATTCACCCAACCCTACTAGAATCAACTAATATCTCCATATTCACCAAGTATTTCCTATAACTATTCATTTACTGGCATTTCTCCTGCATACGCCTTATCACTAGTCTCACTCTCTAAATTTTTTTTTTTTTTTTTGCTCTACCACAAAAAGTAAACAAAGATCAAAACATCAACAAAATTTGAAGAGCATCTTTCAATGGACGATTCTCCCAGTAAACCTAAACCCAAGACTGGTGCCATATCAGACCGTGAAGGTATATGGGAGCTATCCAAGGAAGCTGCCATCGAAAGAGTGGTGGAGCTAGAGACCGAGCTTATCGAATTCCAAGAATCAAGTAAGGAACTTGAACAAGCACTTGAAGATGAATTACATGAATTAGAGCTTGCCAATGAAAAACTAGAATTTAAATATGAAACTGTAGTTTCCCAATTAAATGTTGTCAATGCGAAAAACGTTTCCCTCACGCAAGAATTGACCCGTGTAACAGAGGAAAATCGAGCTCTGATGGAGAGATACGAAGACACAGTTGCAGGATTAAGACTGCAATTAGTATCGGTTGAAATAGTTAATGATAATATGGAAAATAATGATAGACTATTAGAAAGTAAATTAGAAATTGCCAATCAATTCAATAATGAGTTGTTAGAGAAAATCGCGATTTTAGAAAATGATTATTACAGAGAACGGAAGGATAACATTGAGCTGAAGTTACATATTAGTAATTATGAGAATGAGATAAAACAATTGAGGGCTCGGTTGGACGGGGTAAAGGAGACCTCAGAAACTGAAAAATATCCCGATTTCCATCATGAAGCAGATCGTACCACTGCCACATTTGCCGATGAACTGTTTCTTTCAATGAAGGATATTTTAAACGCTGGACCTCCAATACTGAAGGTACTGGCCATCCCCAAATCAAATTCATTGAAAAAACTTCATGAATTGACGGAAAAATCTGAAGAATTGTCTCAAAAAGTGCATAGTTTCAAGACGGCTTTGGTACCGGGTGGGTTGAAATCTACATCCACCACACAACTATCAACCATGTCCTTATCAAGAAGATCAAGTCGAGAAAGTCAAAGAAAGGAAAAGGAACAAAAGGGCCAATTCCGGGGGATTTCTCCGTCTCCATCGATCATGAATCTTGCCCTGATAAGAGGAGGCTCAACCCAAACTGCATCACAGAGTCAAGTACAAGTACCCATTCTTGTAGGCACACAATTACAAAGAATTGAAGGGTCACCAGCGAAACCATTCGAAGGGAAAGCTGCAACTACATTAATAGCACCCAGAAGAAAGAAGAAGGGATCAATTTTCAACTCTTTAAAAAGTATGGGAATGTCATAAAATATCCTTGAACGTTCACGATAATAAATCAATACAACAAAATCTAGAAGTCAATCTATACATAGAGACGGAGCGATGAAAAATTTGAAATGTTCAATTTCGAGATATCATTTTTTTTTTTCTAGTTGCCACATATTAAGTTCCTAAACATGATATACAAGACTAGACATAATCATGAAATCTAAACCTTAACATCATGTTGATCCAGACTTTATTTTCATAAATAGAGAAAGATAAACTGCGTTCATGGATAAAGGCTGCGAAATATAAGGAAACCAAATAATCAAGGTCCTCAGTTTTTTCTCCCAGACGCGGCCGAAAACTTCTTAATAACCCTCCCTATAATCCATATATAGTAGTAAACCAGAAACCAGGGGTGGGTTCTGTCCTCCATATTACACCTTAATACATTTCTATTATTGTATACCTCATTATATATGGTATGCAATGCCTGCATATAACCAACTACTTTACGTATAGACATTCATTGAAACAAATCACTAAACGTCGTCAGAAAGTAAGAGTAAATACAATCAGTTTAAATACTATCTAGATAATTATCTTCACTTTAAATTTAGACAATATCTTTTAGTTTGTGAATTGATAACCTCTGAGAAGTGATAGAGCTATAATCCGCTGGCTGAAGGAGAAAAGGACAACTCACCGATTACGAAAAGTTGAGTCTCTCTCATAACAAAAAAAAAACCAAACAGCACATAGCCCATTCCTCTCCTCTATCCCCATTTTTTTTCCTTCATTGATCTATCTCTCCCTAGATGGACCAACAAGAACTCACCCGGGCCCTTACGGCGAAAGACACGTCTAGCGTTGTAGGCTTGTTGATTGACTTGCACACGGAGCTTGACAGCCACACAATTGCGGAAGAAACTGGACAAGATCTGGACACTACACAAGAGCATGATTTCAACTACTCTGGCTGTTTGGACCAGCTCACGTCCATCTACGATACATACACCAAGGAGGAAACAACAACAAATAAGAAGAAGGCTACCACAGCAGATGAAGGAGACACCGATCCGGATCTACAAGCCGAATCATCCATTGCCCTTTCCAAGATTCTCTCTCGTGATTTTGTGTTGACTTTCCATCACCTTCCAACAAAAGTGTACGACTTTGCCAATCTGTTGCTCGGGAAATTGGCCGTCAACAACGATGAGTTACTTGACCCACACGCGCAAGTGGCTGTGATTCTTCTCATTGATCTTTTCGAGTCCTTCCCCACTTCCTTGGGCTCATTGATAAGCTTTGCCGTTTCCCAAATCTACAAAATCATCAAGAAACTGCCACATACCGCCAGTCACTCCATAGTGTATCTTCTCGCAACCATCACCGAGAATGCCACCAAGTTTGACATTGACGACAAGCTTCAACAGAAGCTTTTGAAGCTTGTTTCGAAGGCGGTCGTCTCAGTGCCAATTCTCACACAACAACGGGACGACGCTGAAAGCAGCACCCATACAGTGTCAACTACAGTGCTAAGCAAGAGAAATTATGTCTTGGTGTTGAAAAATTTGCTTATACTTACAGTTTCCACCCATTACGAGGGACTTTTGGCTCTTTCCGCCAGTCTGCTGGGTGCTGGTCTGAAATTGAAACCGGAACAAATCATGGTCCAACAGCATACCTTCCAAACTTCCTTGTTGACCCAGTATGAAAAAGTTATCACTTTTGGACTCACCAACTTTGTTCAAGAAATTAGACTTGCCACCGTTGAACTTTTGGCCCATTTGTTTGTAAATTTCATCCCTACTGGGAAATTCCTGGCCATGGAATATCTTGTGAAGGAATACAAATTCCCAGAATTGAATGATTGGGATTTATCTACCAATAGAGAAAGGGATGAATTTTCCGAAAGCTCCGATAATACAAGTGTTTCGAATGGTGGTGTAACATCCCGTGCCTTCAATTCTGTCGCCTCTCATGATAGCACTGCTATCATCAATGTGTCCACCACACAACTACTTCACCAGATCAGTATATCGGAAACAATTGTCTTGTACGTTCAATTGGAACAATTCCAAAACTTGGACTACTTATCCAACAACTTGATAAGCCATTTGGATTTAATCTTGACGAAATTTGGTGAACTTAATGTTGCTATAAACCATATACAGAACCAGCATTGGTCCAAGGTGCTTGCCCAATGGACGAAATTGGTTGGATTTATGATTCGGGAATGTGGCTCAAGCTCACATGAAATGCTCTTGAGTTACATATCAGAGAAATTTAACGGGAAAAATGGGTTGGGCCAAGGTGCTGGATCTTCCGAACAACCTAATTTTTTGAGTAAGGATAAACGTAGAGAATCTGGACTCTTTAGCTTTAAATCCGGCAAACTTCACCAAAAGAAACAAGCGAGAGAATTAAAGATTAAAGAAATCAATCCTTTTACAAATCCTTATCAATGTTACTTTCTTCTCAAGATTCTTGATAAACTTCTTCCCTTGGGGATTAATTTTACCAGTATGAATAAGGAAGAATCGACCATCACTGAGGATGAAGAAGATGGTCGGTCCGGATCATCAACTGAAGAACCATTCATTAGAGATATTCTTTTCAAGTTGATTCTCAACAATAACCAATACATTAGAAACTATGCCTTAAAGACCTTTTTGGTTTATGCCGCAAATAATGAAGTAGAAGTTAATCAACTCATTCTTAAGACTTTCAATTTGATCAATGCTGAATTCAAATCAACAAGCTCCACTACTACGTTTGTCAACAATTCCAATGAAAATATGTCTTCTTCTCTTAAGGTACGTTTGATTAGCTATTCGTTGACTTTACTGTCATTTTTGAAGCAGGCCAACTACACAGACTTGCAAACGTCGACTATTGTAAAGATTTTGAGTTTCTGTACCCAGAACTTGAAGCTGAACAATCACAGTAGCAACTCTCATTTGAAGAACTCATCATGTTGGATTATTTTGACTGCTCTCGTGACCATGTACAACGATTCAGATTTTGTTAAATTGAACTCGTCTTCATTCTTGGTGTTCTGGAAGAGTTTACTTACCACCCAATACATTTCCACCAATACTTCAGGAGAAAATGAAGAAGTGGACGTTATTAACAACTTGCAGTTGAGAAACTTCAGTTTGGTATGCTTATTGAACTATTTGAACACAGCAGATATGACCCCAGAGGCATTGAAACAATTCCAACTCTTGCTTGCCAAATCGTACAATTATTTGACCCATTTAGAAAACATCTATGAACTGGTTGGAGCAGTGACCAATTTCAACAATCAAAGATTTAATGAAAATGACTATAATGTGAATTTATTGAACAATATTCAATACGGTGATGATTGTGACGTGTTGCTGTCTGAAAAACAATTGATCAGTTTGATTCTCTACAATAAAAAGATTCTTTTCCAGCTGTACACCAAAATTGCCGGCATGCTTAAGAATGACATCAATTCGAACATGGTCATCTTCCTCTTGAAGATTTTCAGTGATTCGAAGATATTCTGTAGGACTTCGAGCACTTCAGAGATAGCCAAAGAAAAACTGAAGTCTTCCAAAAATAAGAGCGGTAAGGATATTTTAAATGATTATGACGAGTCTGCCATTCTTTTACAAGAAGATTATAACTACAGCTTTGGGGTGACTAGTAAATGGATTCCTTCAACCAGCGAGGTTGACGAGTTAAAGGTTAAACACTCGGAATCTCAATCTGTGACAACTTTGAGGGAATCCAATACAAGTTTCTTGTACCAAGATCCGTTTGGAACCACTGGAGAATGGTTCAAATCTTTTGAGGATCTTGTTTACCAGAACACTGATAATAGTATTAACTATGATACTAGCGCTTTTGTATTACAGGAATATTCCCAACATCAACAATATTCTACCAATTTAACCACATCTTTAGTTGATTTGTCCATTGAGCTTTTCCAGATTGTTTTCCCATTCCTCGCACACAAGATTCAAATGTCATTACTCGAACAAATGCGTAACTCTCTTACAGGTTCTGGTAGTATAGATCCATTACGTCTTAAGGCTGTTGGGATCAACATTTCCATTGTAGCTTATGGGTTAGCACATGGAAATCACAAGAAGGCTCTTGACAAAGATATTGTAGCTGTTTTATTAGACATTTTGTCAAAGGTTCAGACCAAAAATAAACAGCTCATGGAATTAAATTGTCAATCTGTTGGTGCCTTTGCAAAATCTAGTGATCCAGCTACTGTGAATATCCTTATTAATAAATTCATTGCCGATATTGTTGGTGATACTGACCCTTATAAGCGTGGACAATCAATTTTAAGTTTGGCCCATATTTATCAAAACACAGACTTAGAATTTGGTGAAATCTTCAATGTAACCCAGCAGTTACTTGCCGACCCAAACCCAATTGTTTACTACTACTCTTTACAAACTATGCAAGTTTTATTCGAAAAGAATTTGGAAAATTTGCATTTAATTGCTGAAGTTTTGGGAAAAGTCTATGACAACTTTTTGAATAATAATTTTGGATATGATATCAGTAGTAAGATTTTGATTAATTCCAAATGTCAATATAGTGGCGTGGGTCAATTGTCTGCCTTGCTCAGATTGTTCGTTACTATTTTGGGTCCCAACTTACGCGAAGAATCAAGTGGAGTTAGACTACAATTGAAGAACTTGTTGATCTTGTTGAGAGTAGGTGTTGGATGTGTGACCAATCAGGATAGTTTCCTTGTGAATAAAAACTTACTTCTTCTCTTCCAGGAACTTGTCATCTTTGATCCAACCCTTATCGAAGAGGAAGTGCAATTTATCACAAGATATGTAGTTCTGGTGATCCTGAAGAACGTCAAGGTAGGTTTATCATGTACATCTGCGACCTCTCAACAACGAGAACTGCTTTTCCCTTTCAATTCAAGTTTTGAGCTTTATAAATTGGCATATGTTTGCTTTGCCGAGCTTATCAAGATCCATGGACCGGAAAAGATTTTGAGCAAAAGTGCTGTAAACTTGTTATGGATAAGTATGAACATGAAACCATGCGAAGAACTGAAAGAATTGATTAGATTTTGGCTTGGATCATCCAATTATGATGCTCACTGGTTCAACACTTTGAGTTCCATATTCAAGATTTCATCGAAAAAATTAGTTGCGCCATTCATAGAAGTGAACTATCAACAAAAGTTGTTACCATTGCTGCAAAGACAAAAGAAGAAAGCTGCTGGTGTGTCCAAGGCTGTGATATTTAGAGATGAAGAAATTGAAAATATCGTCAGCGAAGATGCTACTTCCTCTGACAAAAACGAACCAATCACTTGGGAATTCAAATTATTCATCTTTGAATTATTGAACGAATTATTATTGGCAGCTTCAAGGAATGATCAACTTCTTCAACATTTGAAATTGAAGATCCAAGATATTGTAAATATATCGTTCTTGGGTTCAACATCTCCAATTTCAGAGATCAAGTTGCAAGGGGTAAAGTTATTAGACAAGGCTCTTCTGGTTTTTGGAGACATACCTGATCCATTATACCCAGGCGTATCCATTTTGGAACAACAACAAGCACAGATTATTAGTGCATTGATGCCATGTTTCAGTCCAGACAGTGGAGCATCGATTATCGTGGAGACCATTAACATCTCATCCAAGTTTATTAATCTTCCAAGAATTAAGTTTTATTCCAAGCAGAGAATTTTAAAGACTTTGATTGATTTATTGGAAGAATTGTCATCGAATAAATTTTTAAGATTTGATTATTTGGAAAATATGTCCGAGTTCAACAAGAAGTCTATTCAATTATCTATCTTGAACTGTTGGGCCATCTTGAAAATTGATGAAGATATTTTGGGTAATGCAGCTGAGACAGAACTTACCGAGACTTTGGATAAATACTCAGACTTGCTCACTTCTCTCTGGATACTTGTACTTCGCGAGTACTCCACAATAAAATTCAATGAATCCTCATCCTCAGAAAAGGAGATTGCGAATTACAGCAACTATTGGATAAATTTCATCAGTGTGTTGAGTTTAGAATTGGGTAAGAATGACCATTTCATTAGAGACACTTTAGGAGATGATGCTGGAAATTTCTTCTTTATCCTATTCAGTCAATGTGTTGAATCACTTGTGAAGAACAAAAACGTTACTGAAATCTTAGTGTCCATGAATAGACTAGTCAAGAGTCAAGATCTTATTGTTTATATTTTTAATGATGAGATATTTGGCGAGCTTGTCGATTTATTTGATCGGTTAATTTTAATTGACGAAGATCCCGAAATCAAGTCTCAAGTGATTGAAATTGTTAATGGAATGTTTAATACATATTTTGATATACAGAGTGATCTCACTGAAGGTCTTGATAAACTTTTTGAATTGATTAGAGTTTCAATGCTACCACTTTTCAACATCTTGCCTATTTTAAAGAGCGATTACGATCCAGAAAACAAGGAATCACAGTATGCATTGAAACATGCAGACAGCGCTCCAAACTTGTTGATGTTGAAGAAATGTTTCAGCAGCGTCGTGGAAATGATGTCACGATTCCCAGATTTAGTTAAAGTTGATTTGTATTCTTGTTTGTTGTTTATGTTTGCAAAAGTATACGAATATGGTAATCCATTATTGATCCTGACGGTTCTTCTGCATTTGAAACAAGTTCTTGGTGAGTCCAAAAACTTTGCCAATGTCGATCTTGTGACTCCTTTCAGTGGTTTGATCCAAAGCCATTACCAAATAAGTGCCGACAATGTAAATTCAGTTTTGACCAGTATGGTGCTCATTACGACTGGAGATGTACAAATTCTGAAGGAAAACTCTCAACGTCTAGGTGATGCCTTGGTAGAACTCTTGGCCAATGCAAACTCTGCGACGATGGCAGTCCATTGCATTAAGACCTTGATACAATACTCCGGGACTCAAGTGCAACTACCAGTTGTTCGTTTCTTGATCAAGGCAATGGTCGAGGTGTTGGTTGAAGGCACCAGTGAGATTGACAACAAGGTTGCCATGGAGATTCTTCTTGTGTTTGCCAAGAGCAAACATGAAGAAGATGGTGTACAGATTTATAGTTTGTTGGTTCCTTTGTTACTCAAGTTGGGCGACGGTGGTGAATTAGACTCCACTTACGTTCGCGGGAAGGTGACCTCATTAGTCGAGCTGAATGCAACTGCTTTCAAAGTGGTGTTGAACGATGTCTTAACCACAGAACAAAGAGCTCAAATTGAAGACTTGGTCAAGGGCCGCCCTGGTGCAGTGAACCAAAGTTTACCTGATGAGCAACCAGAGATCCAATTAAAAACATTTGGAGAAAAATAAAATGCTATATAAAATTATTAAAATATAAAGAAATTATAATTAAATATCGAGAATAATGGGTTTAATTCGTAGCGACTCTCTGTATTCAAGAAAGGTAGAATATGTAATTCTCAACCACCTCTGTAGAAGGAATGGAAATATGGGGTAATATGGAACTTCGAGCCCTTTGATGATTTCCTGCACAGCCATCTCGAATACATTTTCATTCTTGGCAGGCAACTCTACTGGCTTGGAGGACAGTAAAACTCCTAAGCATGAAGTTATTGTACAGTGTGATATGGACGTCCTTGGTGTCCGTGGTATCTGCAGCCACCCACACGCTCAACTTCAACGCATCGTATGTATTGCGTAATCCAGACGGGGTGCATGAAAGGCGCGTGATTGCACTCAATGACGATTGGCCCTTACCAATAATCCGAATCAAAGAGGACGACCGGTTGGTGATCCACTTGACCAACGGATTAGATGACGGTCGCAACACGTCGTTGCACTTCCATGGGATCTTTCAGGAAAACTCAAACTGGATGGACGGCCCAGAAATGGTTACCCAATGTCCCATTCCACCAGGTGAGACCATGACTTACAACTTCACGGTTCTGCAAACTGGGACGTATTGGTACCATTCTCACTCTGGCTCGCAATACTCCGACGGTCTTCGTGGGCTTCTTATTGTTGAGCCGAAGGAAAGGGACACCCGTTACGACGAAGATGTGTCTGTTTCCGTCTGTGATTGGTACCACCAAGAATCTCCAGAGATTATGAGGACCTTTCTCAGTAGATACAACCCCACTGGAGCAGAGCCAATCCCACAGAACGCGTTATTTAACGACACAAGAAACGCCACTTGGACCATACAGCGTGGGAAGACGTACCGGTTGAGAATCGTCAATACCGGTATGTTTGTCTCTCAATACGTGTACATCGAGGGGCTCAACATGACTGTGATAGAGATTGACGGTGTTGACGTTGAGCCAGTGGAGACAGATTCTCTTTTAATTTCTGTGGCACAGAGATACTCTGTGTTGATCCGTGTTCCGGATGATATGAAGGTGGATGTTCTTCGGTTTGTCAATATCATTAACCAGGACATGTTGGATTTCCATCCTGCTGATTTGGAAATTGTATCTACCAATTGGGTGGAGATTGAGGGCGGCAACCCAGACACCAAGTTGCCAAAGGCTCTCTCTAGTAAACATTATGACGATATCTTGAAAACTATTAATCCATTGGATGATTTTGGATTGGTTCCAGTTTCAAGAACTCCGCTTTTCAACCAGCCAGACTACCAGATTGTTCTCAACTTCACAATGGACGTGTTGGGAAATGGTGTCACCTATGCAATGTTCAATGAATTGTCATATACGCCACCAAAAGTGCCTACCCTCATGTCTGTATTGTCCGCTGAAGATGATGAATTGGCTTCTAATTCACAAATATATGGGTCCAACACCAACACGTTTGTGCTTCAAAAGGATGAAATTGTTGAGATTGTTCTTAACAATATGGACCCTGGTGATCATCCATTCCATTTGCATGGCCATGTCTTCCAAACATGTGCTCGTTCCGAGGGTACAGATGATGAAGAAAACCCACAAATGTACGACGGTGTTGACGCAAAGTTCCCTGAAATCCCCATGCAAAGAGATACTGTCGTGGTCAATGCTAACGGATACCTTGTGATCCGGTTCAAGGCAGACAACCCCGGTGTGTGGTTTTTCCATTGCCATGTCGATTGGCATTTGGAACAAGGATTGGCTATTACTTTGGTGGAGGCACCATCGGAGATCAGGTCAATGACCAAGAAAATGGGTGGCATTCCACAGGACCATTGGAAAGCGTGTCATAAGGGAGGTGTTCCAACTAAGGGTAATGCGGCTGGAATCACTTCCAACTGGTTAGACCTTGCTGGTGAAAACACTCAATTCCAACCATTACCAGAAGGATTCACTTCCAGTGGGTATGTTGCTTTAATATTGTCCACCTTTCTCGGGTTGTTTGGGATTCTTACAATCTACAAATACGGTATGGAAGACATTCGTAAGGACCAGAACCCTCAACTTGCAAACAAGTTGTATGCCATTTTGGAGAAATATGGAGGTGTGGAGGATGAAGCACTCACGAGTTTGAACAGTAGAGGAGAGAGAGTAGTAAGAACTGATTGAAGATCGGTTGTATATAAAAACAATATAATAGAGAAACGATACAGAAAATGAAGATATATATCTGACACGGCCATGTAAATGTAAGAAAACACACACCAACACACATCTACAATTGTAGATATATGACATGTATTTTTAGCCAATGTATAATTAATTAACACATTATGGAAAAAAAATAAAGATCATTATTGACCAACCACAGACAGAGAAATTTTCAATTAAATCGATAACTGTCGCGGATAAGCGATTATCAGACAATCAAGGGTTCCGGATCGCACAATCCGTCGTATCTGCCGTATTGTATAAAATAGTATTGATTTCCCCCACCACTGGGACAAAAAAAACCCACTGAAAATTAAAACAAACGTGACTCGGGCCTTGACTCAACAAATACAATGACGAAATACGTTGTGATAGGGTGAGTATACAGAGAGTGACATTGACCATTAGACAGAGTGTAGCTGGAGTACTAACAAACCAGTGCTGGGATCATTGGGTTTTATACAACCTTCAATCTCATTGAAAAGGGCGTCAGTCCTAAGGATATCACCATCATCGCAGAATACTTGCCAGGGGACGAGTCAATTAACTACACATCTCCGTATGCGGGAGGGAACTTTCTGTGTATCACTGGAGATGATCCAGATACTTTGGCGTTCGATAAGATAACATATTTGAACCTTCAAAAGATCCAGGACACTCTTGGGGGTCCTACGTGTGGGCTTGATAAGATGCCCTCATTTGAAAATTGGGAAACAAGACCAGCAGATGTAAAGATTGAGTCTTTGAAGCTGTATTTGGTTGATTACAAAGAGACTGCAGCAAATGACTTGCCCAAAGGTGCATCATTTGGAATTACCTTCCAAGCATGGAATTTCAATTGTCCTAAATTTCTTGCCAATTTCAGAACCTACCTTGAACAGAAAAGAGGTGTCACTGTATTAAGAAAGAAACTCACCCATGTTTCACAGGCATACTTGCCACATACCAAGGTTGTAATCAATTGTACCGGAATTGGTGCCCACAAACTTGGAGGAGTGGCAGACTCGAAGGTGTATCCGACCCGAGGACAAGTTGTTGTCATCAAGGCTCCTCATATACAAGAAAATGCCTTCTTATGGACCGCCGATACTGCAACATATGTCATCAAGAGACCCTATTCGAATGACCAATTGATTCTTGGTGGATTTATGGAGAAGGACAATTGGACCGCAGACACATTTGCAGACCAAACTGCCGATATTCTTAGAAGAACCACAGAGTTACACCCCAAGATTTTGAAGGAAAACCCTGCTGGTAGTTCTATCGAGGACTTGGAAATCATTAGAGTTGTCTCAGGGTTACGTCCAAGTAGACATGGAGGGGTCAGAATTGAGAAAGAATTCGTCGATGAAGGGAAGATATTGGTACATAACTATGGCGCTAGTGGATATGGCTACCAAGCTGGATTTGGTATGGGTGAGAAGGCTGCTAGATTGGCTTTAGAGAAATCCAGTAAGTTGTAGATAATATTTAAAGGAGCGTTTAAAACAAATATTGTAGATATTGACTATACATTGAAGACTTAAGACAAGTTGAGATCGGAATAAAGCTTCAAACATTCTACAGAAGCTGAGTATCTGGTTGAAATCAATTTTAAAGTCTCGGGCTTGATGTTTCTACAGAAGCATAGTTGATCAAGCTAGATTTAGAGAGTATGTGATGCAATTGGAGAGGGATTAATAGATAAGAGCTAGTATATATGGCTGAACCCGACGCTGTATAGATAGAACTATACTATAAAAAACAAATAAATGAACCAATTTTACGCCGGAAAAGAAAAAGACTTAGTAGTAATTCGATTGAAAGTTCAATTGACTATTGAGTTTATTAATAGGATTATAATCCCCACTTGAAAATAAACTAGAATACCAAATAGGAGATAATATTGACACTCTTGGAATGTGGAAGGAACTTTAACAAGTGAAAGATCGTATCATCCTTTCAAGGTTTGAATATTTCTTGGCAGCCCGTAATCTAGAGTGTATTTATGTATATATAGAGAGTGAGTAGAATCACTGATATGCGGTAAAATTGTAGAAAATAATGATAACAGACTTCAAGCCTTAGCACGGCGTTCGACAGAAGTTTATGAAAAGAAAGTATGGGCGATGAAGAACTAGAAGTCAACGGGTAAGTTCTGTGAAAGTGGGGACAGAAACCTGTTATTGGTATCCTTTTAAAATTCAGTATAAGTAAATGTAACACATAACAACTCTAAGTGTTGGCTTTCGCCTGTGTCAAATCATGTGTCAATTTCCCGTCACCCAGGGTTAATACAGTTTATGGTGACCATTTTTTCATATGTACAAAAAAATTAGACCTAAAAATAAGTGTTCAAAAAAATATAAGCCAGTAGCAGAACAACTGCATGTTACCACTTTGAAGTGGTCGATTCGTATTAGAACAGTATAAATATAGGCCAAAATGAGTTTACCCGAAGCTCTAAATTATTAATTCTACCTCCTTTCGATATTAATCAAACAAGCACTTCTATCTTTTTCTATTCTACTTACTGTGGTCCATGCGGCTGATGCAGCAAGTGAACGTACTATTTTGACTCCCTCCATTGGAACTGACAATGATGCGCAACCATAGCTGTCCGATAATCCATTTATGAGGACTCCGGGATCTTTGCCTCCTCCGGATGTCACTTCTCCTGGTAGCGTAATTGTAGACGCTCCACCAAGCAATGGTCGTGAAGAGATTAGTGACGGAGGAGGAACTCCAATCCCGTGTTCTGGAGTTCCACCCAAGATAAGTGGTGATGGTTCTGATCTTGGTTCGGTTAGTGATGGCGGTTCGGTTAGTGATGGCGGTTCGGTTAGTGGTGGTGGCTCGGTTAGTGGTGGTGGCTCGGTTAGTGATGGTGACTCGGTTAGTGATGGTGGCTCGGTTAGTGATGGAGGTTCTAAAAGTAGTGGATCTAATGGAGGCTCTAACAGTGGTGGATCTGTCTCATCACCAAATGGAAAGACATCTAACAGGTTCAAACATGGCTGGCTCCATGGTTTTCAGCGGGCCTGTTGGAATGATTGTAAGAGTGGTTGGAATCCTTCTTATTTAGGGTACGGCTAATATACTACACTGTGCGCTTAGATCTAAATATATTTAGGAAATTTATACTTTCTGATGATTGGAAGCTCTTGTATAGTTTTGCAGCACTGGATACATCTACAAAATGAAAGTGCTCATGTACTCAAAATCTGCTTTTTTCATTGTTCGCATTTTTTTGCAGCCATCGTTACTATGCAAAATTGAAGGAAGATTTGTTAAACAATCACAAAGTGCAAGGCAGGTTTTACATTTAAACATGGAGTTAGGGCGGTAATAAGTTAAGGTTCAAGAGAGAAAATCATATGTTGACTCTCAGTCACATAAGTGTAAATTAAGTTATACAGAGTAGAAATAAATCTAATGTCAGAAGTGAACTTAGAATAGTAAGAAAAAAAAACTTACAACTCATTTCAACTTAATCATATGTAACATACACCACGAGCATCTACATTATACCTTGTTTCATGTAATGCATTCTAGTATGGCTGATCTTCATCGGAAAAGTTTACATCTTTAACGTGTGTTTATTCATTGATGTCTATTCTTGCTATCACGTAAAGCACTTCAATTGCCGGTAATAAGCGGCCAATTCCGGTCTAGTTGAAGTCTCAGCAAACTTTGCTGAAGCGATGTTTATTATACTACCATAGAAATCACAGAGGAATCTAGTGAATTTGCTGTCATTGGTCAACTTCATAGTTGCAGCATCACCTTTATGTCTTATGTAATTGTATAGGTACACCTGATCACCTAACATTTGATGTTCGGTGGCTAAACTTAGAGCCAGTGTAACAGAGACGAGTTTATCGTAATTGTCCAACGTCACAAATTTCAAGGAGGGTATGAACCTGGAACCATCATTACCTGGTTCATTGGAATTCACAACAATTGTCCCTGCCCCTCCCGATGGCTCGTCATTTTTTCCATTCAAAAGTGACTCTAAGATACCATCGTAACTATTAGCACTAGCTATTACAATGAGTACGCTAAGTAATGTCAAGGATATGAATCTCATTTTTGAACCACCTCACATAAGTTTGAATCGTTCCTATGAAAAAAATGACAAGGTGTATAGTATATATATATATATATAAATCTTTACCAAGAATAGTTGGCCCACTTTTTCGCGCCCATCTCACCAGCCTGAATTTGCAATTGTAGTGGAATCGGTATTAGAAACAGCTTACAATAATACCTTCTTTCCTAGCCGTGGATAGATTGACTGTAGATTGCCGTCTTATACTCATAAATAATTATTTTTCAAGAGAACTAGTATAAAATTTAAATCCTGGATAATTAATTGAAGAGTTAATAACAGATCATCATTATCAACCGCCTGTTTCACATGAGGTTACACGGCAATAATTTGACAAGTCCGTCCAGTATGTTACTTTCTGCTTATTATCCTGACTTACGGGCTATCCGACTACCCCAAGTATAGTATGTACATAGCAAATGGAGGGGTATATATTGCTGGTGACCATATATATAGATATATATGTATATATATTGAAAGATATGTACGATGAAATTCATGAAGTACAAAGTTACAGAACAGGTTAATTTAAGGTTAATTTAGTGCTATGTTTATATACTTATGATGGCCCAACAATGTTTTACTTGGCGAAAAGGCTGCATGTTTTGAATAAGGGGTTCTTAGTATTCACATGTAAAATTCATATAGTGTTTCACAAGCTGTATAGACACCGCCTTATCCACATCATTTTTATAGAATTGACAGATATTGTGAGCTAGCAAACCTTAGTCGACTGAATATTTCCATTATAAAGTATGTATTGGGGAAGGTAGACTTCATCACCAGACCACTTATTCCCTCTTCAAAATATCAACTACATTCGTAATCTTCCCGAAATTGTTGAAAGTATGCATATTGATGGCAGGTTATAGGTTCTCACCAGATGTTCTGGTCCAAATACTAATCACCAGAGGTTGGGTGATTTGAATTAAGGTCTGCAAAAAGCATCATAACTATCATCTGCACTTGCAGATTACAACTAATGCGCTAACTAATGTTATGGATATGAATCTCATTTGTCACCTACAGAGATGCATTCAAAATTGTTATCCCACTTGTTTGATTGGAATTAGAGCAGGATCGAGGGTAAATTAATGGATGACGATCACACCTACATAGACTTGAAAGCTAAGAAAGTAGAGACAATATTCTCACTGTGAAATAGGTTACCTACCGGAACATAATAAAGTAGAGTCGGCAATACATATGCCGACTTCCATTTATCATTATTCTAAATTTCCTGAACTAAGTGCCCAACATAAGTAGCGCCAACTCGCGAATTGGCTGCATGAGGGCCAAAGTGACACTAACCATGATTTGCTTTTTTTATCGGCTCGGAACTGACTTTCCGATATCACGTGGGGACTTAAAGACATTTTCTATAGAGTAATCTTGAAAGAGTGATTGTGGTAGAATCTTTCTAAAACCAATGACTGGGGTTCCGCGCGCGGGGCAAGCGTGGAATTGGTATACAAATCTTTTAGAACACCAACCCCACATGCTAAAGACGGTGGATTCTTTAACCCGCACTGAAACGATGCATCCACCTGTTTGAGGGGTGAAATTTTGCGACATGAAATTTCTTCAGAGACATGCATTAGTTCAACACATATAGCATTTCTGAGGAAGCCACTAAAGTACTTCCAATCTACCAAGATAACAGTTTGCAGCCAAAACCCTACAGCTGTACACCCACACACACTTTCCATTTCCTAAAATATAGTAACACAACAATACTTCAATAAACCTGAACGTCTCTTGTAGAGGGAACTCTTGGCAGGGTGTGCGGCACCGCCTAAAATATCTTGGCAGACAATCAGAGGTATCATAACCAAACTTTTAGACCCTATCATTTCTACCTATTTACTTATCTTTCCACCCATATTGCTGCTTATTTTGCCCTGGAGTTGGAAATATTACGACCTTTCGTGTTTGTATACAACGACATTGATGATCGTACGGTCTCCAGTTTACTGGACCAAAATGCGATTCCGTACGTAACCTATTGTTCCACGAACGTAGCACTCGATTTGGATGTTTGAACCGAAACCAACTCCCCAAGAAAAAACAGTCACCCGCTCCTAATTCGTTTATCCGCTAAGATGATAGAGTAATCTCTCCTACATACATATCCCAATTTCCCAAAGTCGTTATTCGCTAACCATACGTAGGCGGGGCTCAGATAAGAGATTCTTCTTTTGATCTCATCGGGTTGTATATATATAGATCTATGTATGTACTAAAAAAAGATTTTATAGGCTACTTACTATTGATGAAAAGTTCACAGTTGAAAACATTGACATGGCCACGCCTCTTAGTACTGTACGATCGGTTGTTCATGTCGATGACCTCGGGATTAAAACTATTCTTTCCGACCGAGGAATCTCCATCAATGTAGATCATAAGATCAACGAAGACGAGGCTAAAATACTTGCCTTGGGATATAAACAAGAATTGAAGCGTGAGTTCTCTTTGTGGTCTATATTTGCTGTATCATTTTCGGTTTTGGGCTTACTTCCCTCGGTTGCTTCAACTTTTGACTACCAACAGCTTGTAATTGGAATTTCTCCTGTTCCTTGGATTGTCGCGGTCTTGCTTAGTACTACTGTAGCTCTATCGTTAGCGGAGATTGCTTCTGCATTTCCTACATCTGCGGCTAGCGCTTACGCCGTGTCTCAATTGGCACCCAAAAAATATGCCCCATTTTGCACCTGGATTACTTGTTTCAGCAACTGGATGGCTCTGGTGACTGCAGCACCATCTGTTGACTATTCCTGTGCCGGGATGATCTTGGCACTCTATTCCTATAATACCACGAGTTATAAACCCACCACCGGGCACGTATACGGTCTCACAACGGGTATTCAAGTGACGCATGCAATTATCAGTTCACTTCCTACAAAATGGTTGGCCCTATTAAATAGTGCAGGAACCCTGTTTAACAGTTTGGGCTTGTTAGTCGTATTCATCGTGATTTTGGCAGGAAACAAAAGAGATGAGCTACACCCTGGAGCTACAAAGTTCAACTCGAGTAGTCAAGCGTGGGACTTGGAAAACCAAACTGACTTTCCAACTGGTTTCGCTATGCTCATGTCATTCTTGGGTGTCATTTGGGCCATGTCTGGATATGATTCTCCATTTGTTATGTCGGAAGAGTGTTCCAACGCCTCTATTGCTGTCCCAAGGGCAATTGTTATGACTGCAGTTGGTGGAGGAATTTTTGGGTGGATCTTTATGTTTGCAATTGCTTATACTTTGTATGATATTGGTGCAATTTCTGAAGATGTTGATGGTTTGGGTCAACCATTTGTACTATATTTAACTCAAATCTTAGATAAGAATTTGGTTAATCTCGCTGTTGCATTGACCATCATCGCTGGGTATTTTATGGGATTTTCATGTATGTTGACAACTTCCCGCCTCACGTACTCATACTCACGGGATGGCCTTTTCCCTGGATCTCGATGGTGGAAAGTGGTCAATCCAGTCACACAGACTCCTATTAATGCTGTGTGGATAAATTTCCTCGTTGGACAATTACTACTTTTACTCATGTTTGCTGGTGATTTAGCTATAGGAGCAATTTTCTCCATTGGTGGTATAGGAGCATATGTAGCGTTCACCATGCCTACGCTCTTCAAAGTATTCTATTGTAAAGACTTCCAGAGAGGTCCGTGGAATTTAGGGCGATGGTCCACTCCAATTGGAATGATTTCCGTATTTTTCGTGGCCCTTATGATCCCGGTTTTATGTTTCCCATACGTGAAAGGTTCAAATCTCACTTTAGATGAAATGAATTGGACTGTACTTGTCTTCTTTGGACCGTTGTTATTGTTTACGGTGTGGTTTATCGTTGATGCGCATAAATGGTATCATGGTCCCAAATCAAACATTGACGAGGAGGATATGGTATACAATTCAAATGTAATCATTGGGGTTGAAAGTGAAAAGGACTGCAGCCGTATGTCTATCAAGGATAGCAACTAAATATATATACATATATGTGATTTTACGATAAATGCTCTTTGAAGCTTATATTATACTTTTAAATGATAAGTATTTATTATTAGATATACCTATTTCTTACCAGTTTCAGTACCATGATCGACGCTAATGATATTATCCGAACTGGAATCACCTACCTCAATCTCTTTACCACTCGAATCGTGTGTGGCATCCCAATCTTCAACTTGATCAAATGGAACTTTGACAACGGTATGGCCCTTTTCACCATTTTCCAATGTATAATAAAGAACTCTGTGTTCATAATTGAAAATCTTCGGCAAAACCTTTGCCCAAACGTAGTAGTAGAGGATACATACAATGAAAATTCCAATAGTGGTCAACGCATACGTACAATAGAAGAATGAAACATCAGAACCAATCAAACCAGTTGCAGGTGGGACAAATGCCATGGCAATGACAAAAATTTCAAAGAGAATTGTAAGAATCAAAATTGGAAGTGGAACCTTGAAGCCTTCATAAGACAATCCTGCAGCCTTTCTATGATGTCTAGCCATGAGCAAACCAACCACAAGAGCTAATTTAAAAATGTATCCGGAAAAAGAACCAAGGTCAACAATGAAGTTATAAGCATCACCTGGTGGGGGGGGGGGCAATTAAAACAATCACATTGACAATGTAAGTAGCAACAAGAGGTAATACTGGAGTTCCAAATGGTTTGGTCGTAGTCCACAATTGAGGATATGGTAAAACACCTTGTCTTCCACATTCTCTTAAGGATCTAGAATGTCCAACAACTACTGCAAGTAAATGACCCAAGGCAGAAAATGCAACCATTACATTAAGGGCTTTTCTCGATGACTTAGTTCCAAAAACCTTATCGAAGAAAGAACCTGCAATCAAAGTACCAGAACTCTTGATTTGCTTGATATCATTGATTCCAGCGTAATAAGCGGTAACCAATAAAAGATATAAGATGAAAATAGAAAACATCACAGCTGGAAGGAAGAATCTAAACATGTTCTTTGTCTTTCTTGGGTCAGATTCACCTGCGACAGCAATGATGTACCCAGTACCACCATAAGTGAAAGAAACCTTAAGGATAGCACTCGAGATAGCATTACCGTCGGAAGTAGAACCCTTCCAAGAATCTTTAAAAATATCTGTAGGGTTTTTAACTCTAGTGTTGTTACCAAGAACAACAAGACCAGTGATAGCAATAAAAAGAACGAAAACAATCTTAATAAATCCTAGGATGTTGGAGAGTTTAAGAGCAATTCTGGAATTGATTATCGATAATCCACAAACGAACGTCAATACTGCAACACCAACACCTCTTTTTTCCCAGGGAGTTGCATCGTAGTCTGCAGCTGCAAGGATATATGAAGAGAACGCAATAGCAGAAGATGTCAGAAATGATAAAATGACAGAAACAGCAGCATAAGTTGTTGCAACCAAGAACTTGGGTCTTGGATATGCTTGTTCCAAATAATCAACCTCACCTCCAGAACGACGCTTGAAGTACATAACAAATTCAATGAATACAAACACTTCAAAGAGGGCAATGATAAATCCAACAACCCATAAAACATAACTGGCACCAATTGAACCAATAGATTTAAGAATAGTGGCAGGGGTTGCGAAAATACCAGTTCCAATCATACCCTGAAGCACCATAAAGTCTGCGGTGACATAGTCCAAGTTGTAACCCAAGGGGTTGACAGTTTCAACAGGTGCCCCGATACCAAGTTGATGTTCTGAATCGTTCTCAGAGGCGTATGAATCGGCAGGGGTCTGTTTTTTCACCTCCCCATATTGGAGTAAGAATATACTTGATGTACTTGGACATTTGGATGTATTCTAAGTAGAGAGAGAGAGATGAATTCAAATTCAAGCATTCTACCGTGCCCTTTTAATACCTGGAGCATTCTACCACTTTAATATTTTGGATGTTGTATCTAAACAAAAATTCGTACTCAAATCTAAAAAAGCATCATGAAATCTTGTTCACTCATTGCAACAATATTCGTGCCACAGCCGCACAGTGTTCGACATTATTTCAAGAATTTCATCTGTGGAACCCAAACTGTGGTGTAGGAGAAATGTCAAATTAACCGCTGAGCAGGAAAAGAAACTAATTTACAGTGCAGCATATTGTATCACCTCGTATTATGTATCACCTCGTATTATTATACTTTTCGAGACTCGTTCCATTCCCTATAGTTTCATGAAGAACTTGAAGCTTTCTTTCTAATTTGCACTGGGTATAATTTAATTTCGCACCTTACTGTGGTTGCAATTTAATTGATTGCAAAAAGTAACGAATATTTTCTAAATTCGGACACATATCCCCTGCCAAGATTTTTTTGGGGGGATAAGAACTTTTTTCGTCATTTTGAAGTATTCATAGCTTCGAATGTCGTTATCTTACAATTCGATGAGACTTATCTTTTTACAGCCACAAACCTTTTTTACCAATTAAATTCACTTTTTTTAAAATCATCGTAAATTATTCTACCTATCCAATTGGACCTGTAGTAGTCAATTTGAATGTGGGAAATCAATCCCATTTTAGGTAGCGAAATACCGAAAACCTACACCCTCGAACGTTAACCTAACAATTGGGTATGTTAACCTAACAATTGTGTAAAACTCCTTGTTACAAATAGCTTTAAACCACGATACCTATCTCTCTCTTTAACTCTACAGTGCATATCCTTCTTTTGGAAAGAAGGGATAGTCGATGTTGGAACAATTTCCTATAATACATCTATATACTTGTTGGTTAAATTGGCTATCTAATCTTATCTTATGTATCCTTGCACGTGATCTTGTTACACAAAACTGACAGAGTTTAAAGTTTCAAAAACCAGCAAAATTAAGCTTCAACTAAAAAGCCTGGTTAGCTCAATCGGTAGAGCGTTTGACTCTTATGAGTAGCAATCAAAAGGTTGCGGGTTCGACCCCCGCATCGGGCTTAATTTTTTTTTTTCCTTACAGGAACGGTTGTTTGTTTTTTTTTTCATTTTCTTTAGTGTCTTACATTAACTTCCAAGTAAGAGAATCATTTTATTTTTCACTTCCATCATAATAGACTTAACACGAGAGTCTTACTTTATCATGAAACTCTCAGAATTGAGAAAAACATTGTAATCATAAATTTCCTCAAAAACACTTTGAAAATTGTTGTGTGCAGGGTGTAGGATCTCAGCTAGTTGCATTATGATGGCCCAACTAAATATTTCCTCGTATAATGGAGGTCTTGTTAGCCCCGAAATTGCTTCATAGATATAAGGTGTGAATTTACCAAATGAAGTTATATATTCCTTTCAAAGAAGCATATGGGAATGTATAATTTGTGTTTAGAATCATAATATTAAACGAGCTCTAAATTGTAATAGGAAACTCTAGCGATGTATAAAACACTATTAAATCAAGAATCATTCCTCTCATTAGACTTCTATATTCCAGTAATTGTACCTTCTAATGGAAACAAAACTTGCACATATCACTAAGATATCTCCATGGTCAAACCAGAGTCTACCGGTTACACTTTCTTGAATCGCGTTTAAGGTAAATGCACATATGATAAATACTACTTTCAATATTTTTTATTATTTTTATTCATTGAGGCTTTTGATAATATCGAAATTTATAAAATTGGTTGTTGTGACCTTACATTCATCGGCTCTAGTAGTGAGTATTTACCACTCTACTTGCTTTCTACTTTCAACTCTTTATACATCTGTACTCATTCTCAAGAAGCAACATCCCGTGAGTGATTATATGAGTGCCATTTGGGTAAGTTGGCAAGAGAAAGCTGGTACAATGGTCCAATTCTACACACTCATTCTGGATTGCACTTTGGACAGTTTACGCAGTGAAAGCTAAATACTACGAATTTACAGATTATACATCATATGTTTCTATTCCAGTTTGTGTTGTATCATTTATATTTGGAATATCATATTTGCCATTGTGTATTTTAGGGGGATGTTGTTATGTATATTTATAATTATGAAACTTGAGTGGAGATCTAAATACTCTATAGAATGTAAGTGTATCAAAAATTAAAGGTTGATACGTTAAAGACTCACCAAACTTTTTGTATTATTTTTTTTTTTAAAAACCATGGAGGAAATCAATTATTATATACTACTATATAGGTTCACGGATATTCTGAGATTCATTCTTACTCAATATTGTAACAAATGTGCCTCAGTTTTCACTACTATCCTCATGGTGCCTCGGACAATACTCGGCAACCAGGATGATATACGGTAGTATGGATCTTAATCCAGAACTAAGAATGCTACTTCAGGGGGGGGGTTACATGGGACTTCGGAAGTCGCCCTGATATTATTTGGTACTTTCAGGCAAATATTTAATATCTAATCTGCAAATGTGATAATGATGGAAAATTCGTTGGTGAATTTACTGGTATAAGACAAGACATAATTTGCAGCCATATACACAAGATTTCGGTTTTGTGTAACAAAATTAGGATTTTCCCCAACTTCAAAAACCCGCCATTTTTTTACTCAACGAAAATGCCTGGTTAGCTCAATCGGTAGAGCGTTTGACTCTTACGAGTAGCAATCAAAAGGTTGCGGGTTCGACCCCCGCATCGGGCTTATTTTTTTTTTTTTCCTTTTGTTGGTATCTTTCTTCATTTCCTTATCTCACATTCACTTCCCAATGGGGAAGTCTACACTTTTTTACCACCACAATTCAATTGATAAACCCATACAACAGGGTCATAAACTAGACTCTATCTTCAACCAATTTACTTAAATATCATATTATGTCAGCGATATTTGAATGGGCATTTGGGAAGAAATTGACGCCGCAGGAACGGCTCCGTAAGAACCAAAGAGCCTTGGAGAAAACTCAAAGAGAATTGGCCAGAGAAACAACAAAACTTCAAGCCCAAGAGAAGAAACTTATTAGTGAAATCAAGAAATCCGCTAAACTGGGGCAAATAGCTAGTGCCAAAATCCAGGCTAAGGATTTAATCCGAACCAAGTCATATATCAATAAGTTCAACTCAATGAAGGCCCAACTTCAGGCCATTCTGTTAAGAATTCAATCGGTTAGAAGTAATCAACAAATGGCCATGTCCATGAGAGACGCCACTCGTTTACTCTCAGGGATGAACAAGTCAATGAACTTGCCACAACTTTCCCGTATAGCCCAGGAGTTTGCCAAGGAAAACGACATGATGGACCAGAAGCAAGAATTTATGGATGATGCCATTGATGATGCCATGGCCGATGATGAGGATGGATTGGGAGAAGATGAACAAATTGATGACATATTGAACCGTGTGTTGGATGAGATTGGAGTGGATTTGAACGCCACTCTCAAGGATACCCCGAGTCTGATTGCTGCTGGTGAAAGCACCGAAAGAGCAAGGGTGGCGGAGGCCGAAGGTGGGCTCAGTTCTGGCGGTGCTGGAGCTGGTGATGAAGATGACTTACAGGCAAGATTAGATAGTTTGAAGAAATAATATAATGATATATTGATATATTAATAAGTGGAAAAACAGCTGGATGTACTCTGAGCTTCTTATATACCCCTGGCCGGGAGCCAGTGACCCATGGAGTTTCTTCCCCAGCCCCATTTTCCTTCCCTGTTCGGGGAGAGCCACTACTTCTCTCTCTACACTCCTCGTCAGAGGAGCAGGGCCTCCACGGCTAGTGGCCCACGGAGTGCCAGCGGAGCGGCTTGAAAACCCCGTAGGGGTGGGCGAGCCGCTCCGCTGGCCCCTGCTCGGGGAGAGCCACTGGCGTGGTGCCTAGCTCCTCTGCGAGGAGATACCTTTAGCTGGAGACTTCCTCGTCAGAGGAACAGGGCCCCCACGGCCAGTGGCCCACGGAGTGCCAGCGGAGCGGCTCGCTAACCCCGTAGGGTAGGACCCGGTCCCGTCAGACCAGGGTCAGACCAGGGCCCTCTCTAGGGAATGGAGTAGAGTACAGCCCTACGCTACGGGGTTCTTCTATCGTGCAGTGTCCGTATGTCTAGTGGCGGGGCTACAAGGTCCATCATCTATCATTCTTGTCATTCTCTCTTTAACTATACAATTTAAATATACTTCTTCTCAGCCAAGTACTCAATGATTTGGTTGGCAGCATCTTCAACAGAAACACCTTCATAATTCTTCAAATGGATTTCTGGCTTTTCTGGCTCTTCATATGGAGCACTGACCCCAGTGAACTCCTTGATGATCCCCTCTCTGGCCTTCTTATAAAGACCCTTAGGGTCTCTTTGTTCAGCCACCGACACTGGAACATCAACATAAACTTCAACAAAGGCCAAGTTATCCTTTTCATGCAATTCTCTGGCCAAACGACGATCTTGTCTGTATGGAGAAATGAAAGAGGTCAAAGTGACACAACAGGAATCATTGAACAACTTTGCAACTTCAGAAATTCTTCTAATGTTTTCATTTCTGTCAGCTTCACTGAACCCCAAATCCTTGTTAAGACCAAAACGAACGTTATCTCCATCAAGACGGTACGAGTTGAGACCACGTGCAAGAAGAGACTGTTCTAATGCGCATGCAATGGTTGACTTTCCAGAAGCTGATAACCCGGTGAGCCACACTGTGACACCCTTTTGCTTTCTAAGCGCAGCTCTTTCGTCATGCGTGAGGTTTTCGTGCCAAGTGATGTTAGTAGCCATTTTTCTAAATAAAAGTACAACGCGGTTCTATGAAGAGGAAGTTGAACTAGAAATATATATTTTTAATTGTGGGTAAATTGCTGGAAGGTTTTATCTTGGACCTCTGCAACCGTCTTGGGGAGGTCCTGCAGAGGGTGTTTCCTCATAGCACGTGACATAAGATAATGCGAGTAAATCGAAAAAAATAAAATAAAAAATGAATAATAAAATCTACCCTGACAGATAAAAATGAGAATGAGTGGTTTTGTGCAGCATGTCAAAAAATGACAGTGGGGAGACAATTAGGTGTATAAGGGTGATGAAGATTAGCTGGGGTGGGGATAGTGGAGTGTGTGGGGAAGGTGATGGTGGGGGGCGTTGTATACAGCTGATTATAGGTGAATTAGATAGAGGTATCCAGGTAAAATAAATAAATTTTAATTTGCTGCAAAAAAAAGCAAAATATTGATAGAAGATTATTTATTAGAGAAATGATTGACGATGATGTAGTAGGTGGCAAAGTAAAGATCAGGTTAGAGAGAATCAATGGATATGGAAGACCAACCAGTGTATCAATGGGAGGAGGTGGAAGACAGAGTTGTAGATATATAGAAACGAGGCCATACGTGGAAATGACCGGCATGGCTCACTACTACTACCTACGGGGTTGAATGGAACTCCTCGTAGAGGAGCAAGGCCACCACGGCTAGTGGCCCACGGAGTGCCAGTGCAGCTCGAAGACCCCGTAGGGAATGGAATAGAGGACCACCCTGCGGGGCTAGTGAGCCGCTCCGCTGGCCCCTACTCGGGGAGAGCCACTGGCGTGGTGCCTAGCTCCTCTACGAGGAGATACCTCTAGTTGGAGACTTCCTCGCTAGAGGAATAAGGCCCCCACGGCTAGTGGCCCACGGAGTGCCAGCGGAGCGGCTTGTAGACCCCGTAGGGGATGGAGTGGAATACCACCCTACGGGGTCCGTAAGACGCTCCGCTGGCCCCTGCTCGGGGAGAGCCACTGCGTGGTGCCTAGCTCCTCTACGAGGAGATACCTTTAGCTGGAGACTTCCTCGTCAGAGGAACAGGGCCCCCACGGCTAGTGGCCCACGGAGTGCCAGCGGAGCGGCCCACTAGCTCCGCAGGGTGGTAATCTACTCTACTCCCTACGTAGTCTCCCTTCGTTCTCTAAAGGACGCTCTACTTGTTCCCTGCTCTGGGTGAGACATTTAAAGTGGACGGGGTCTATTCAACTCTCCTCTCTCCCATTCCTCCACATTTCTACTTGCTGCAACTCCACTCCCGCACGTGATCACCATTTTCACACATCAAAAGTATTTTTTTAATTTATTTTTTTTGCTTTTCTTACTCTCCACTTTTGTGTAACTATCGTCCTCAATAAAGAAAAAAAAGAAAAAGTTGTAACCAACCCAAAAAGACACACACCCACCACCCAATACAACCCGCTAAAACACCATCAAAACATGTTTTACGAACTCATGGCTATTGCGCGGATCTCGGACCCGCTCAAGACAAACAAGGAGACCGTGAAGATCGTGTCGACCTTGGGTAGATTGATCTTGGCCAACAGAGGGGTCATCAGAAACATCACCAACATGGGCCCAAAGAACCTCCCTAAATTGGTCAGAAAGGACCAGGAGAGACATTTCCAAGGGTACCACTTCATGATGAGTTTCGACTGTTCGTCCAAGGTGCAGCAGGAATTGTTGAGAACTTTGCAAAGAGATCCAAGAGTGCTCCGCGCCAACATAGTGAAGAACGACATGAACAAGGGGTTGAACCAAGGCACATCTTTTGAAAGAGCCTACCAAAGCATTTCCAAGGAATAGAGATCCGATTAATCTGTATATAGTAATGATAAGATAGAAGATAAGAGCTGTGACTGTAGAGAAGGGGGACCCGTCTACCACCTGAAGATCCTTGTGAGAAGACGAGGAGAGCCACTGGCGTAGTGCCTAGCTACTCTGCGAGGAGGAGAACTGACTGGAGACTTCCTCGCTAGAGGAACAAGGCCCCCACGGCTAGTGGCCCACGGAGTGCCAGCGGAGCGGCTTGTAGACCCCGTAGGGAATGGAGTAGTGTACCACCATGCGGGGCTACTGAGCCGCTCCGCTGGCCCCTGCTCGGGGAGAGCCACTGGCGTGGTGCCTAGCTCCTCTACGAGGAGACTCTTGTAGCTGGAGACTTCCTCGATAGAGGAACAAGGACTCCACGGCTAGTGGCCCACGGAGTGCCAGCGGAGCGGCTCACTAACCCCGTAGGGTAGGACCCGGTCCCGCCAGACCAGGGCCCTCTCTACAGTTCTTCCTTCTTTCATATACGATTATTATTATATTACTACTCTTTATATTAGGTGGAGGGTGTCGCCCATATGTCAGGGGGGGGGGGGGGGGCAAACATGTAACGTTGCAGGGGAAGCATTAGTACTGGGTTTATATATGGGGCGGCGAGAGACGGCTTATCTGCTGTTCTTGGACAGCTTCTTCTTCAGCTTCTTGGTTTGTTGCTTTTTGGGTTGCACGGTTGGGGTGGTGCCAGCAGCAGCAGGAGTGACAACTGAAGATTGAGGAGCTTCATCTTCCAAAGACGTGGTGGAAGCGTTCGAACTGATCGATCTTGCGTTGCCATGTTCTCCTTCAAAGACAGATGGAACTGCACTATGTTCCATGGAGGATTGGGACAAAGTTTCTGAAGCTTGGATGGATTCTTCTTCTTCTTCATGAGCAATGTTTAAAGAGGAGGTAGATCTCAAGGCAGCGGAGGAAATCCCGATTTGGGCCAGGGCCAGAGTCAGAGAATCTGCTGCCAGGGTGGGGGGAGCCAAAGATCTTGAAGGTTGTCTTGATCTGGAAAGAGTAGACATTTCGAATTCATTGACGGAGGGAGATGAACCATGGACGGCATCAACAGAAGGATGGTTATAGAAATTGGAAGAAGTAATTGAAGAATCAGATGGTAAGCCAGTTTCAAGATCATAAGCATGAGGAAGACTTGAATAAGCGGAAAGAGGATCTGAATTGGCCACATCGATTTTTTCAATTTGAGTATAAGTCCAACGACAGAAATTTGAATGATTTATCATTGGTAAATGCATATATTTGGTGTAATTGAACACCACGAGGGAAAGGACGGCACCACCAATCAAATCGATGAAATAATGATGGGTGAGGTACATGGTACTCCACCATAACCACAGGGCATACCCCCACCAAAGGACTTTATATTTGGGGAAAAGCCAACATAAGAAATAAACATCCAAGACGGCAGCACCTGAATGTAACGAGGGGAAAGCTCCAAATACAACGGGGGCATTTGAAAAAGTTGAAGTATACATATCAATTCCAAGTAAAGCATCGATTCTTCCTAATCCTCCCGGACTACCCAGCATTGAATAATCAGCAGGTTCTAAACCATGAGCATTTTTATACCAAGGAGGAGCTGCTGGGAAGAAAATTTGAGTCATTACTCCCAATAAATTCATATAACCAAAGGCAAACCCATAAGATCTAAGAGAAGTGGGGGGAGCAAACACAAAGATAAAGGCAGCCACGACAAAGGGGGCACTAAAATGAAGGATACCATAAGGTAACCAAGCCCAAATATCCAAAAAGGCGGTGTTAATGGTGGCCAAAACATTAGATAAATTATCACCATACATGATAGTTTCCATTGCTGGTAAGACCTTGACGGAAATGGCAGGTTTCCACAGGTTAGGGATCTTGCCAGCAGAGAAAAATAGCGCTAACCAAGTGAAAATTGGCAAGGCATGAACGAAAAATTGTGAAGTTAATGGAATTAAAAAGCACAGCACAAACGACGATAAGATGAGCAATTTCAAGAAGAAATTGGCGGGGAATATTATGAACACAAAGAAGATGATCAGCAGTAAGAAGGAGTAATGACAAACTTCTTGGATAGTCCATGGATGAGATTTAAATTTTTGGATGGAGTATTTTGGATTTGTTTCGAAATTGAGGTCTGCTAACGTTGAGCCGGGTCTTTTTTCCAGAAGGAAGTAGTAATGGAAGAGTTGGTATGGTTTTTGGATGATTGGGGAGCGCAAGATAGCCATGATGAGGTGTTAGTGAAGGGGCTAATGGGGGGAGTAGTAGGAGGGAGTAGTTGAGGAAGGAGTTATGACGGCGCGTTGTATTGTTGTAAAAGATTTGACAGACTTTATATCAAAAATGTTTTTTTTAAGGGCTGGAATTCGGGTAGGATATCCTTCAGAAGAAGGGCTTTCGAATGGACCCAAGGAAAAGATTCTAAATTGAATCTATAAACAAATTAATGGATGATGATTGACAGGGTTAGATCAAAAGAGATGTTGCTAAGAATGAGAGAAAAAAAGAACGACAGAACAAAAAAAAAAAAAAGATTTGACCGAAATTGGGATGTGGTTTGCATATAGGCCGGGAAGAGAAGAAAGGGTACGGAAGATCCGGTTTAGAAATAAGGGGAGAAGATAGATTAGATGTGAGAAGAAGAGGAGGTGGGGGGTTTTAAGGGAGTGAAGGACAAGGGGATGTATGAGCGTGCGGATGAAGAGCAGGGAGTTCCCCCTCTCCAAAAAAAATAAATATAGGGGTTAGTAGTTGAGAAGAAGAAAAAAGAAAGGAAGGCAAAAACAAAGGGCAAAAAAAAAAAAAAAAAGAAAAAGGAGAATTTGAGAGAGAGAGGGTTCAAAGAGAAGAGAGGGAAATTGAATCAAATTCAAATTTCAAACTGAGGGAAGGAGAGAAGGGTGGAGAGAGGGGGGCGGGGGATGGAGTAGGACACGTATATATGATTCGGGTATAAAAGAGGTAGGGAAAAGATAATAGGAGATAAATGATATGTTTGATAGGCTTGGTCACGTGCGTGCAACGGGGGAGGGGGGGTGATACTAACTTCCCTACGGGGTTTGTAAGCCGCTCCGCTGGCACTCCGTGGGCCACTAACCGTGGGGGCCTTGTTCCTCTATCGAGGAAAGCCCAGACTACACGAGGACTCCTCGCAGAGGAGCTAGGAACCACGCCAGTGGCTCTCCCCGAGTAGGGGCCAGCGGAGCGGCTTATAGACCCGCAGGGAGTAGAGTAGAGTATCACCCTACGGGGTTTGTAAGCCGCTCCGCTGGCACTCCGTGGGCCACTAGCCGTGGGGACTTGTTCCTCTGACGAGGAGATCTCCAGCTAACGGTATCTCCTCGAAGAGGAGCTAGGCTCCACGCAGTGGCTCTCCCCGAGTAGGGGCGGGCAGCGGAGCGGCTTATAGTCCCGCAGGGTGTAGAGTAGAGTGCTACCCTACGGGGATAGCAAGTCGCTCCGCTGGCACTCCGTGGGCCACTAGCCGTGGGGGCCATGTTCCTCTAGCGAGGAACCTTTACCGGGTCTCTACAAGTGTCTCCTCGAAGAGGAGCCAGGCCCCACGCCAGTGGCTCTCCCCGAGTAGGGGCCCAGCGGAGCGGCTTGCAGACCCGACCCGGTATGGAAGTAACCTACTCCATTCCCTATGGGGTTGTGACAACCTTTATGGCGTTGTTTATGACCGCCCCTTGCTGCAAAAACGAGACAATTCATTTTCCGACCTTTGGTCACGTGCCACGCTCACTATTTCGAGGGTGTGACACAAAGGGAATAGAGGATATCTTTACGATTCAAATTGTTTTTATGGGAATAAAAATGATGATAGACTTAATGGTGATGGTATATCTCCGGGGGAAACTCCCGTGGGAACTCTCTATCAAAACTCTAAGCGTTTGTAAATTCATTATTGGCCATTTTTTGTAGGTCATACATTTCTTAGTGGGAAATTGACTTTTGCAGAGGAAATATATATATCTAAGAGCCAAGCCACTCCTTCTCCTTCCCACTACATTATTTCAATAAAACAACAATGGGTGGGGACGACAATGATAAAGAAATTGTAATCAATAGAGAACGCATTTTACGGGTACTTGAAGTTTTTTGAATGAAGAGAATCTTAAGAATGTTGTGGGAATGATTTGGTTTCTTATATGATGAATAGATGCTTTAGAAAGAGATTTTAAAGAGATTTTAACACCTCCCATCATGGTCAGAATATGGTGGGACTGGGAAATTGGGGAATTATTGATGAACAATAATTTAAAAGATACAGGAAGGGTGAGAGAGGAGTAGGGACTGGTCCCTACTACTCGGGGAGATCTAGAGACTTCCTCGCTAGAGGAACAAGGCCTCCACGGCTAGTGGCCCACGGAGTGCCAGCGGAGCGGCTCACTAACCCCGTAGGGAGGTACTCTACTCTACTTCCTACGGAGTCCGTAAGACGCTCCACTGGCCACTGCTCGGGGAGAGCCACTGCGTGGTACCTAGCTCCTCTGCGAGGAGTCTTCGTGTAGTCTGGGCTTTCCTCGATAGAGGAACATGGCCCCCACGGCTAGTGGCCCACGGAGTGCCAGCGGAGCGGCTTGTAGTCCCCGTAGGGAATGGAGTAGAGTACCACCCTGCTGGGCTAGTGAGCCGCTCCGCTGGCCCCTGCTCGGGGAGAGCCACTGCGTGGTGCCTAGCTCCTCTACGAGGAGATACCTCTAGTTGGAGACTTCCTCGCTAGAGGAACAAGGCCCCCACGGCTAGTGGCCCACGGAGTGCCAGCGGAGCGGCTCACTAGCCCCGCAGGGTGCAGAGTCGAGTACCACCCTACGGAGTTAGCAAGCCGCTCCACTACATTCCCCTGTATCACTGTAACCCCTGCGGGGCACCACCCGTGGGAGAAACGTTGGAAATGGTTGAAATACTTTGTATGGTGATTTGCAGCCAGTCACGGGACCTGGCCACCCGCACGCGCCCTACACACACTCCTAACACCACCTGCAGTACCCCGCTTTTTAGGACTATTATCAATTTTACTTTTGTACCTTCAAATCTCTTTCCCAACACGTTTCTCTCTCCTTTTCTAATTCACAATTAATATTATCTATATTAGTATATCATGTCAATTGAAGAAACGGAAACCGAGGTTATCTTAACCCATAAAAATGGATCTGTGGTCAAAATCTTGAAATATGGAGCCACTGTGACTTCATGGACCACCAGTGATGGTAAAGAGCAACTCTGGTTGTCAAGTGCAGCCAAGCTTGATGGATCCAAACCAGTAAGAGGAGGGATCCCATTAGTTTTCCCAATCTTTGGGAAATGTCAAGATGAAACTCATCCAACTTTTAAATTACCACAACACGGATTTGCTCGTAACTCCGTGTGGGAATTTCTCGGACAAACCGCGGCTAACCCCTTGACGGTAGAATTTGCCCTTTCTCCAGAACAAGTTTCAAATGATTTAACAAATCTTTGGGGGGATGGACAAAATGATTTCACTCTTATCTATACAATTCAATTGAATGAAAGTTCCTTGAAAACTCAAATTGAAGTGGAAAATGCTGGCAAAAGAGAATTTGAATTCAAATGGCTTTTCCACACTTATTTTGCCGTTCCGGACATTACTGACGTTTTAGTAACCAATTTCACCGATGCCAAGTGTTATGATCAATTACTTGCCGAGGAATATCTGGAAAAGGCCCCCATGATTAGTTTCCATGAAGAATTTGATCGTATTTATAAAGGTGTAGATCAAGATAAGGTGGCTCAAATCGTCGAATTAGGTAAGGTCTTACATAACGTCAAGCGTACAAATTTACCTGATTGTGTTGTTTGGAACCCATGGATCAAGAAATCTGCTGGTATGGGTGATTTTGAACCGAAGGATGGATACAAGAATATGCTTTGTATCGAGCCTGGTCATGTGGACAGTTTTGTTAAATTGGGTGGTGGTGAGAAATGGACCGCGGCTCAAGAGCTTTCCATTGGTGGTGACATCAAGGTTCAAACAAATATATATTAGATAGAGAAATATGACACACTCAAGCTGCCGTTTAGTTGTAGACACCCTCCCCCGCCTCTCTACACTCCTCGGTAGAGGAACAGGAGCCCCCACGGCTAGTGGCCCACGGAGTGCCAGCGGAGCGGCTTGTAGACCCCGTAGGAAGGACAGGTGCCCACCCTGGCGGGGCTGTAAGCCGCTCCGCTGGGCCCCTGCTCGGGGAGAGCCACTGCGTGGAGCCTAGCTCCTCTCCGAGGAGTAGTGTAGAGCGGGTGGTAGGGGGCAGTAGGTCTCCTCGTAGAGAGCAAGGGGCGCCGAAGGAGCGGCTTCCTAGCCCGGTAACTACATGTTCACTACAGTTACTACGCGAGTCTTCATTGATGCAAAGTATATTAAATTAGGTATGTAGGAAAATCTGGGGGAACCCCAATGCTAACAGGGGTGGTGGAAGAAGCGTAGGACGCCAGCCAGACGAGAGTGTGAGTCTTTCCAAGGGTGCAGGGCTGCATGGATCACAAGCCCATGAGAGCGGGTTCCAGACCCTCTAGGAGATGCTCGTAGGTCTCCTCGAAGAGGATCTAGGCTCCACGCAGTGGTTCTCCCCGAGCAGGGGCCAGCGGAGCGGCTCACTAGCCCAGCAGGGTGGTACTCTACTCCATTCCCTACGGGGACTACAAGCCGTGGGGGCTCCTGTTCCTCTAGCGAGGGGTGTAGGGGTAGTAGGTCTCCTCGTAGAGGAGCTAGGCACCACACAGTGGCTCTCCCCGAGCAGGGGCCCAGCGGAGCGTCCTGCAAGTCCCGCCAGGGTGTGAAACTCTCCTCATTGGCAGGACTGTAGCCCAGCGGGAAGAAGGGGTCGTGGGTGGCTACGATGTAGTGTAGGAATAGGTGGAGCTGAGCTGTCTACCACGCGGACGAGGGCTTGTCTCTGCTGGAGCCCAACTTCATGAGACGCAGGAACCGAGACTCGGTACGTTTTGTAGGGGGCAACGAGGAGTTTGAGCTCTTGTGCTTCAACAGGCGTGCTGGGGCGGCGGGGTGTGCGGTGGTCTGCTTGTCTATGGACTTCTGAGACGAGGAGATTGTGGGCTTGTTGTAGAGCGAGAACGGCTTTGGGGTGGTCACATGCGGGGTGAACTGGTGGGAGAAGTGGGTATCGGCTAGTGTTGAGTGACTGGACTTTCTGGAAAGAGTTGGGATGGATGGCTTCTTTTGGAGCGTGGGTATCGATGTTTTCTTTTTGAGGGTTGGGATGGAGGGTGCCGGCATGTGGGAGGAGGTGGAGGTGGAGGAGGTGGCCAGGTTGTTCATGACCGGGATTGACGTCTTGCGGTGGAGGGAAGGGTGTGAGCCAAGCGAAGTGTAGGAAGGTTTCTTGTGGAGTTGTGGGGTGGTGGAGGAAGATGGTGGTGAGGGGGCCTTTATGAATGAGTTGATGCTTGCGTTGCTGGTTGATTTGACTCCAGCCATTTCTAAGGAGGAGATCCGTACTCGTCCAGGAGATTGGGGTTGGGCGTGAGGTTTGAGTACGGGTCTTGGTTTGAGGAATTCTCGGCGGGTGGAGGCCGAGGCCGAAGCCGAGGCTGACATTGAAGCTGAGGAGTAAGTTGGGGCTGCTGAGGAGTAAGTGGATGCAGAAGCTGAGGAGGCCGTGTTATTAAGAAGTTGATTCAAATTCATGCTCCCCTTGGAAGGGGAGATTTTCCGGATAGGACTACTGTTGATGGAATGGACTGGAGAGACCAGAGCCTTTGTTTGAGGACATGGAGAAGGTGGGTGGAGAATTGGATGAGGGACAGCACTGGTGGTAGGACTCGATTGAAGTACAGAGACAGGGATGACCTCCTCGGGTCCATGCAAAGTTCTTCTTCTCTTGGTGACACTGGAGACGATTTCCTCAGGTTCTCGCTTATCATCGATATCCATTTTGGTGGGGATGTTCTGATGATGGACTTCATTGCGGATCATGGGGTGAGGGGTTTGTGCTTCCACTTGGACGCCGGAGGGAGTGCAACTACCGGGAGTGGTGGTGGTGGTAGGACGTCTTACATGGTGATCTCTCGAAGCAGCATAATGACTGGAAATCAGGTCCATCTTATTGAAACGGTCTCGATGGACTCCTGAGTACCGTTTACGTCGGGCCGCGGCGGCTCCGGCCCCGGATCCGGATCCGGAACAGCTAGCCAGTGCACCAGAACTGTGTCCGGGACTCATTATATTAGTCGAATTATTCAAGGGGCTCATGTAGCGAGAGATCTCTGAAGCTCTAGCATCAAGCTCATCCAATACGTTGTTGGTGAGTCTACGGGAATAGCCCTTATTGGCCATTTCTGTGTCCAAGTCATTCAACGTGGGATACAAATTCTTTGGTGCGAACTGAAACGTTGGCGAGGTGATGTGAAGGTTTTTGATCCGTTTGATTGGAGTGCTCAACTCGGCAGAGATGTTGGAGATGTCCATTGCGGGCAGAGACCAGTCTGTTCAGCAGGGGCAGGGGAAAGCTAAGGCAAGAACGCGGCGGTGCGGGTTGAGGAGGAGCTAAAGAGGAAGGGATACCTGCGCGGTTGTGGTTCGCTCCAGATTGAAAACCTGATGAGATCGAGTGCTCTCCTGCCGATTTGGTAGTGAAAATGTCTGTATTTGATGATTTCCCGATTAGGCGTAAATGGCGACACCCCGTTTCCAAATGCGGCAAGGTGTAAACAAAGACTAAAAAGATAAACAAATGTTTGAGAATGCGCTGTGTGCAGGTTTTGCAACCTCCCCCCGTGATAAGACACCAAGGCACTCAGAGGTGCTAGGGGTCCGTGGCTAGTGGCCCGCATGGAGGGCGAGGGGTGTGGGTTGGAGGACGGGTAGAGTGGAGAGTAGAGGGGTGCCCTGCGGGGGCCAGTGAGCTGCTCCGCTGGCCCCTGCTCGGGGAGAGCCACTGCGTGGAGCCTAGCTCCTCTGCGAGGAGATGCCTCTAGCTGGAGACTTCTTCGCTAGAAGAACAGGGTGCGAGTCCAGGGGCAGGAGTGGCTCCCTTCCATGCTTGTCCACTAATATCCAATTTGTCCTTGGAAATGAAATCCAAACGGCTCAAGTCTTGGTCGATTTCCTTTTGAACTTTTTCACGATTGGCAAGAAGTTCCCTTCTTTTACCATCAAAGGTTCTATGAAGCAAAACTACAAAGTCAAGTGCCTTCTTGGTAAGGATATCTGCCTGTGATGTGGGGGAGCCAGCATCAGAAATAGGTGCTAATATTTGTAGTGCTTCGTGGAAAAATCAAAACTGAAGACAGTGCCACCCATACCGCTGATTAGTATGGGCCACTAGCCCTACGAGGTATTTGAATGGTCCACGGGATTCTCCTTTGGAGTAAGCTTTAGCCGTACGGTACATACATGTAGCCAGCTCATACCAATATCCACGGATAATTAATATGCGCATATTCTTGTTTTCTATTGGTGTATGGTGAGGGAATATGTCCACTGGGGAAACACACCTGGAGGGCTAGCGGGAATCATGGCCCCGAAGAAGAAGGGGTAGTAAGACGCTCCGCTGGCCCCTACTCGGGGAGAGCCACTGCGTGGTGCCTAGCTCCTCTACGAGGAGACCTGTCTCTATTCCTCGGTAGAGGAACAAGGCCTCCACGGCTAGTGGCCCACGGAGTGCCAGCGGAGCGGCTTGCAAACCCCGTAGGGTGGGTAGTACTCCCTATCCTAGTGTGACTGTAAGCCGCGCTGGAACTGCCGCATGCTGCCAATGCCCTCCATTTCCACACTAACACCTTTTCAATCTCTTTTTGGACCATTTGACATACAAAATATTGACTTGTCGTTAACTGCAAGGGGATTATAACCCTCATCATCCATGAGAGTCCTTATTGAATGAATTAAATGGAAAATTCGGAGTATTCGGGCAGTTCCTCCGAGTGTCACACCTTCACATTTCGAAACTTTGATATTAAGCGGTTTTAGCTCAGTTGGTAGAGCGTCAGATTTGTGACTGAAGTTCAACTACAGTCACAGTTCTGAAGGTCCTGTGTTCGATCCACAGGAATCGGTTATTTTTTTTTCTATTTTTCCCTTTGTGTGATTTTTTTAAAACAATCTGTCCCTCTGATATGTCTGGAATAACCCCCAGGATCTCTATATTTTTGCCCAGGACTACACAGCTAATCTCTATATACAAATACATCTCCTCCGGAGAGCTTTTTTACCTTCCTAATGTTTCTAATTTATTGAGTAGACTCCTCTATAAAAGAATATGCTATGTACAAATGTTCGCGGTTGGGACCCCTCAATCGTTGACCTTCCCTCTCAACTTAGGGTACAATCTCGACGCGTAGTAGGTGACGGACGAAACCTGGCCCTTGTCCGGCTTCTGGGCCCCCATACATGTCTTCTAGTCTAGTGGCCCGCGGAGTGCCAGCGGAGTGGCTTGTAGATCCCGTAGGGAGGAGAGTAGAGGGGTGCCCCGCGGGGCTAGTGAGCCGCTCCGCTGGCCCCTGCTCGGGGAGAGCCACTGCGTGGGGCCTAGCTCCTCTACGAGGAGTCCAAAGCCGTGCCTCTCTCCACTCCTCGTTAGAGGAGCAGAGCCTCCACGGCTAGTGGCCCCCGGAGGGCCAGCGGAGCGGCTTACAGCCCCGCAGGGAATGGAGTAGAGTACCACCTTACGGGGTCTCTGAGCCGCTCCGACGGCACTCCGTGGGCCACGAGTCGAGCCAAGTCGAGTGGAGTGAAAGCGTTGGGTCTACGAGCCGTTCGGGGGGCCTACGGATGGTATGAACACAGAGATAGGGACAGCGTTAGACCACCAGGGGAAGTCGATTAGGAGAGGTGCTCCACATGATGGTTGCAAGTGCGTACCATTGAATGAGACCACACGCTTCGGAGTGACGCCGGGACCATTCCGTGGGGGCAGGGAGGTGCCACCCGTGCGCCACCAAGACACATCACCCGTCTGTGTGTGTGCCGCCCCCACTCCCTCCCTACAACCCCGGGGGGGCGTTCCCTTCCTACAATCTACTGCTAGAATACACACAGGACAAGGGCAAGGGCAAGGGAAAGGGCGAGGGCGAGGGCGAGGGCGAGTGCGAGGGTGAGTGAGAAATACAAACAGGAGACACCTACCCACACACACACACCTCGGGGTAATGGTCCTCGGCGAAGGGTGGCGATTTCAAATAGTGCCAAAATCTCGCCGTGGGGCCGCGATCCTCACCCCACACCGTTAAGTTGCTGCTAAACTTTTTTTTTTTTTTTTGGTCCGAGCTGCCTACGAAAAATAAAATCAACCTCGGAAAAAAGTTGTCCCTGTTGGAGCATATTGGGGTATATCTCACATGACGGGGTGGAATGAGCCGAGCACCACTTGGTAGATCCTTGCCTCTTTTTTTTTTTTTTTTATTGAGTGTGGCAGAGGTTGGGGCTCGCGGGTCAGCTGGTGCTACCGCTCTGGGGGGCAGGGGATGGGATACTTCACCCAGATCTTGGAAATATGCTTGTCTGGCAACTTTGAGATGGTAGTGATTGGCCAGATTATGGGGATGTCCTGTACACAGGGGTCCACTTTTTGTGGCGTTAAGCGCTTCCTCGGGGTTCGGCTAGCCGTTCAATTGAGTGCGCTCATGCGAATTTTGGAAATTTCAAATTAGCGTGCGCGCGCGCGCGCGCGCTCATCCGGACTGTGGAGGGGTCCGAAGTGCGAGTCCGAAATAAGTCCGAAAAAAAAAAAGTAATCAAAAGAAATCCCTCGAGTGGAGAACCTCTTACAGCATGGGACGATAGTGGAGTAAAAAGTAGAAGAGGAGAAGAAGAAGAAGCGTCGTCGGCTCTTTTTTTTCCAGGAGGAGAGAGCTGTGCCGTGGGCTCTGTGTAGTTGTAACTGTAGGTGGAGGTGGTGGTGAGGCGACGGCACCGGATCGCACCTGCTGCCCGGAGTCCCCGACTCCGGTCATTGTATTTCATGTACTTAGCAAAGGTCTCTTCCCCCCCGATGACTCCAATGATTCACTCCGGAGCTAGGTTCCGAACGCACCCGAGTGTAACTAGAGCGGAAAAAAAAAATAAATATTAAAAAAAAAAAAGTTTGCGGTTTCACCCGACCTTGTCCGTTCCGATCACCCCCGTCACTTCGGCTGAATGGATGTGACGAAACGGTGACACAAAGCAACCACAGTTGGTTTTGTGGTAGGAAAGTAGACGCATTCCGAGAGTCGGAGTAAACCAAGCGGTGGAACAGCATGTGAATGACGGGGAGGAGAGAAGAGCGGGGCATTTGGGAGATGCCGATGGGGCGCTCGACCGAGAGAGAGGGTGTGCAGCCGTGCAGTAGCCAAGATTGAGAAAGAGCAACAACGGAGCAGTGGATCTATCTATCGCATCGTATGCTCGCCATTCGCCCCCCCGCGCCCCGCTCTAATGGTGGTGAAGCATTAGGATGCGTGTGAGTGAGAGAGTGAGTGTGCGCAGAGTGTGCGCGCGTGCGACTCATTTTTTTCAAATGGTGCTGTTCCTAAAACGCCCGACCCGCGCTAAGCGGACGAGTCTGAGTGCTCCGTCTCCGAACTGGCCCATCAGATGATGGGGGGATTGTTGGAGCAAGGCCAGACCCGGAGGAATAGACGGAGTACATCCCAAGCAGGTCAGACCGCACACTGACTGCCAACTGACCACCGACCACCATGTCCCACCATCTGCGTCCCCCTCCTCTCTACCTGCTCCCCTTATCAGTCACCGCGATATCTCAACCTCCGCCACTTTTTCGCTCTTCCGTTTTCCCTTTCCTCTTTCCTCTTTTGCCCCTCCTCAATCATCGAGAACACCCGCCGTACCGGGATACCCCAGAAACCGAGGCCTCCCTAAAGATCACACGCTGAATTTTCTTTTCTCTTTTTTTTTTTTTTTTTTTTTTTTTCTTGTAACGCCGCCTGTCGTTATATATACCGTTGGAATTCTTCTCCTTGACATCTTTATCCCGGATCATTTGAAACCTTGGATTTCCATTTAATCATTTGCTTATAATTAAGACAAATATTCCAATTCATTCCCAAAAGGTATCCTCACGCTTATACACAGGTGGACAAGCCCAACCGAGACACCTCGCCAACTATTTCCATTTCAAAAAATTTTCCCGTTAATCTGAGTTCATCCATCATGTACTCTCAATCACTTTTAGCATATTCAATCACTAATCCAATCAATACATCTCCTCATACCAAACCATCATCATCAATTAAATCAAATTTATCTTCAACTCCAATTGTATTACCCCCACTCACCTCGCTATATGCACACCCGGACCGGCCAGTTTTACATCCTCCAACAAATAATTTCATCACCAGAAATGTTCCAAAATTATCACAATCTTCCTCATCTTTGAATTTGAATCCTTTTACAAGTTGTAATAATTATACATCTTCTTATACATCATCATTAGTGGCTGGTCCACAAAGTGTGAGTTCTTCTTCTTCTTCATCTTCTTTATCCGAGTCACATGCAGGAACACCAGAAAATACAGGAACAACACAGCACACAGGAGTATCTCAAGGTACAGGATTATCACCACATGCAAACCATCATCATCACCATCACACTTCATCCTCCTCCTCAATTCAACTTACAGAAAAAAATCTTGTTAATAATAATTATTATAATGGTATTCCTTCACCTCCAAAATCTTCAGTTTCTTCATCAATTGGTTCAATATCTCCAGTTTCTCTGCCTTCATTAATGAGAATGAAAGATTCTTCAATAAATTTGGTGGAGGCCAATCCGGCACACAAAGATACTCCTGCACAAACCACCTCTTCCACATTAGGCAACTCAAACCACGACACCACTTTGGTTGCAAAAAAGAAAAGAAGACAAAGATCAGGACCTTCATGTGATTCATGTAGACAAAGAAAAGTTAAATGTGATGCAGAAATTAGAGTAATATCAACTGATTCTACCCAATTTCATGATTTATGTGAAATGGAATTTCATCTTTCTCAAGAAGAAATTTCAAATCTTATCACCAATGGGAAACCATACTCTTTGGGGAATATGAATCAATTGATTGTACAAAATCAGAAACTTGTCAAGTTTAAGTCTTGTAAATCTTGTGAGAATAAGCAATTATCATGTTGTTTCTCTAAAGGTTTCACCAAGGAGGATATAATCTTTTTGGCCAAGAGACACGACTCCTCGTCCTCCTCCAACAGCTCTAACAACTCCTCCTCTACTGTTTCCACCCCTTCCATTCTTTCCAAGGGTGGAGACTCTGGCAAGGTTAGCAAGCCATCCACAAACACCACCCATCAAGTCAAAATTGTCCCAGCAATCGCTGAGCTTTTGGAATGTGCTGCACTCATCCAAAACAATGAAAAGACCCGTAAGTCATCAAAACCCGTCAAGGATCTGTCGGACTCTTCTAACCGTAAGTCCTCGTGCAATCTCTGCAGACAGCGCAAGGTCAAGTGTATCTTCAACGAAGAGCTTGGCATGTGCGAGGGATGCCACAGAAAGAACAAGGTGTGTTCCTTTGACAGCTAAGGGACCTTCAAAAGGAGAACGTTCTACCTCTCCATTGCATATGTAATTGTATACCTAATACCTATAATACCGTTACCACCACCACTGTAGACCATGTACAGCCCCCCTCACAATGTTCTAGCGATAGGACAGGCACCTTCCCTCCTGGGAGGTGTAAGCCGCTCCGCTGGCCCCTGCTCGGGGAGAGCCACTGGCGTGGTGCCTAGCTCCTCTTCGAGGAGACTACGACTGGTTTCCTCGCCAGAGGAAGAAGGCCTCCACGGCTAGTGGCCCACGGAGTGCCAGCGGAGCGGCTTACATACCCCGTAGGGTGGGTCGTACTCCATCCCCTAGCGGGACTAATGAGACGCTCCGCTGGCCCCTGCTCGGGGAGAGCCACTAGCGTGGAGCTTAGATCCTCTTCGAGGAGACTACGACGCGGCTTTCCTCTCCAGAGGAAGAAGGCCTCCACGGCTAGTGGCCCACGGAGTGCCAGCGGAGCGGCTTACACACACCCCGTAGAGTACGTCACCTTACTCTACCATGGGCTAACGTACTCTACTAGATCCTTCTCTACTAAATCTCCTGTTCCCTTATATATTAAATACCCTATAAACCAATTCTATTCATTCAAAACTTTTGAAAAACAACCAGAGATTGTTCGTAACACCGTGTCCAAGTACCGAGAGTTGGTTAAGAGGATGTCGTGGTTCAACTTGATGAGCGACTCATCGCTCAACTCGCCTATGCTCAGAAACAACGTCTCAAAGAGCTTCTTGTATTTGATGTTGTTGGAGTTGAAGTTGTTTTTGTAGGAGATGAGGTAGAGCAACTCCTTACCCCCCTTGATGAATTTGTTTGTTCGCATGCCCACGTTGATGGCAATGCGGTCCTTGTTCATCTTTTTCGAGCCATTGGGGAAACTTTGGATGCTGAAGAGAAGTTGCAAAGTGTCAAAGTTTTTGTACGAAACGTCCATCAACACCTTGGACATGCCATTGGCAAGCTTTCCCCTGGTGGCCTGTTCTGTGTTGAACTCGTCCTTGATGGTGGTGATGTATCGGAGCGGAGGCATGATCTCCTTGATGTACTTGAGCACCCCAGTGATGGTTTCTTCCGAGGCGTCCGGCGAGGCCAAGTATCGGTTGACATACTTCATCAAGATTTGTACAAGCTTGTTGGTTGAAGTGGACGTCAAGCTGATGGTTCCATCGTTGGACACTTGGAGAACAAGATCTCCCAACTCTGCATCTATGGAGAACTCTACACGGTCCAACGCCTTGATGGTGACTCTTTCCACCGTGGTGAATTCTTTCAATTGGTTCATCACCACAATGAGTTTCGAGAGTTTGGCCAACGAGGCAAAGAGCAGGGAAAGTAGATTCCCTTCAGTGGAAGTGACAGAGCCATTAGAGTCAGTAGATGCAGTAGAATCAGCAGATCTAGAAGATCCTGATCCCGATACTCCATCAAATGTTTTCCCATCAATTGAATTGTTCATAACAATTTCTTGTTGCACTTCAAACGAATCCTTATCAACTTTCAAGTTCTCATCCTGATGGACAAAGTTTAAATTCAGAAGTTTACCGAAAAGGGTCAATTTCATGACAGAGCTGCTGCTGGAGCTGCTACTACTACTGCTGCTGGAGGTCTCGGCCTGGGCCAATTGAACGCGCATAAATATCACCGTGGATGAATTCTTCAATGGGATCAAGTCCCGGTTGAACAAACCAATGATAGTCTCGTACAGAATATCCTGATCGGTGGTTTCCGATGTTGTTGGTTCAGAAATGTCAAATTTTTCCTTGAGGGACAATTTGTCTCTTTTCTCCTCGGGGATGCGAAGATATTTGATGTTGCGACCGTCCAACTCTTCAAGAATGATGTGATCTACAATCAAGTTGGAGCAGAGAGTCGAGAGAGATGAACAGAAGGAGTAGGTGGGGGCAGAAACCACATCAGTGGATGCGGAAGAAGCGGAAACCGAAGAAGAAGAAGAACCATTGGCGGTGGTATCCCTCTTTTGTTCCTTCAACTTCTCAACCCATTGGATTTTCCATTCCCCCTTGACCATTTTAATTCTGGCGACCCACCAATGACATTTGAACCCAACCCCACTCATCATACTCAATAAGAACCAACTTGAAGGCCAGTTCTTTCTTCTATAGAATTGGGTCTTCAGACTACGAATGTCCTGTTCTTGCAAGAAATGGTGCAATCGCACCATTTCGTATTCATTGAGGGCAATAATATCGTTGGGGATCCATTCGGTGGTGATCAACTTGGTGTTGATTTCTCGTTTGTAAGTTTCCAATCGGAGTTGGACAAGGTGGGAGATGATGGAGGAGATCATTTCCCTTTCACTAGTGAAGCTTGAACTCGTCGAGTTGGCGTTCGAGGCACTTCTTGGCGCCAGGTTGATGCTACGGGTGATTTGTTGTTGGATGGGCGAAGGGTCAATGAAATAGAAGAACCCGGTGAGGGGGTTTATCGCAAAGACGGTAGACTTCGTGGGGGTCAACTTCAAGAGAAGTTGATGCGAGGAGAGCAATGAACAGTCCTCTGGGGAGGTTAATTCTTGAGAAAGTTTGGTGTAAAGTTTGTTCATGAGCGTTTCGGAATGTTTATTGGCGATGACGTTGAGAACGTGTTCGATGGAGAAGTCTTGACCGGGACGTAAGCCATGATCTTGGGAATCAAGCCCAAGTCCAAGCCCAAGCCCGAGCCCGAGACCATTGCCGAGTCCATGACCTTCAAGGTTGGATTGGCTGGAGCCATTATTTCCGCTAGAGGGGCCATTGGCATGTCCATTAGCACCATTAGCATGTCCATTGGCATGTCCATTAGCATGACCATTAGCCTGTCCATGGCCATGGCCATGGCCATGCCCAGGCAACGCATACCTCCCATTTTTAAACCACCTAAAGTTCAAGTTATACTCACGATCGACGCCCAACTCGATGAACGACCGCCACCCACGACTCAAGTAATGGCTGGACCAATAATTAATAAGGATGAGCGACTTCCCGTTCTGGTACTGGTACTGGATGTTGTTCCGCCACTTGGAATTCGTTGTTAGTTCCCGAAGTTGTCTCGATATGAGATATAGTTTAAACGAGATGGAGTACCGATGGAGGAGAGTATAGAGCCCGGAGAGTCCCGAGGTTAGAAGAGTCTGATTGGCAAGCTTTTCAAGATGGAGGAAAGACGATTGTGGGAGTTTTGTCGAGTAGCTTGAAGCGGAGGCAAGCGACGATTCCTCAGGATCTGTTGGTCCTGTGGAGATGAGCATTGTTTCTGGGTTGATCGAAAAGAGAAAGTCGAAATCAATAAAGTAGAATGGTGAGCTAGAGTAGCCCAGAGCAGCTACTGCTGTCTCTGAATCCCCACCACCAGCAACACCTGCGCCATTATCTGCGCCCGCGCCGCCCTCAGCATTCCTCGTCAGAGGAACAGGGCCCCCACGGCCAGTGGCCCACGGAGTGCCAGCGGAGCGGCCTACAGACCCCGTAGGGCTTTCCTGACCACCCGCACTCTCTCGCTCGACCCCACCAGCTTCAGTATTATTCTCGGTCTCTGACGAGAACTCTGGGTCGACGATCTGGTCGTCTGCGACACTGACACTGACCCTAAACTCACCGGCAACGGCAAAATAGATCCGTCCGTCTCTCACCTCATAGCCCTCCAACATGCGCTGCGGAATCCCCTCCAGTAATGCCATGCGCGCGGCCAACACCAAGTTCAAGTCCTGGAGCACCGCCAAACACTTCTCACTGGAGATACGCTTTTGTTTGACCATGCCGTAGCTCGGCAATTGTGGGCGCTGCTGCACCAACACCTCCAACGACGTGAGCAAGTCCGGATTGGGCAACTTGGCGCCGGCAAACCCGTTCAACTCGTTGATCCCGTACGCCAAGTTCTCAAAGTACAGGTCTTGGATGCGGAACCAATTCAACAAGTCGATCAACTTCGACACGTCCTTGGCGTTTGTCGCCCACTTGACGAGCGTGTAGATCTTGAGGAAGTCCTGGCGGAGCGCCACAATCGTCTGGAGGAACGGTGCCTTCCTCTGTGAGTCCGTCACCTCAGTCCCAGAGCCGTGGTGGTGGTGGTGGTGGTGCTGCTGCTGAGGGCTGTTGGCAGACAAGTTCTCAATCACGGTCGTGAGTTGCTTGTAGGACTCCTGGGCGTAGAACTTGAGGATGTTGCTGAGAGGGATGATGTTCAGCGTGATGTGGGGGATGTCCCCCAACTTGGGGAAGCCCGAGTGGTCGTGGGGAGTAGTTGTCCCGCCGTCTTGGGCATGGCCGTTCGGATGGGCGTGCGGCCCGCCGTTCCCATTGGCATCCGGGGCGGGTGTCCGATCCACAGACCGCACCGCGGTGTCGCTGTGCGTGTTCCCGTTCATTCTGTCTCTTCCAGGGCCTTAGAATCGATAGATTAAAAAAGTTGGATGGCTGTTTGTCTCTTGTGGTGTTTTTGCGTATGTCCTCCGAGCTCTCCTGTGCAGAAAGTCACGTTCACTTTTTTTTTGATTGAGAACTTTCTGTTGTGTGCAGCTTTTGTGTAATATTCGATAAAATTCGCGGATCCGCCGTGAGTGTTTTCCCCCACGGCAGGACCCCCACGTTGGTGCGGAGAGCATTGGTTGCAAAAGAGAGGGAGGCATTGGCAACCCTACGGGGTCTGTAAGCCGCTCCGCTGGCACTCTGTGGGCCACTAGCCGTGGGTCCATGTTCCTCTAGCGAGGAATTGGGTGTACAGGACTCCTCGAAGAGGAGCTAATCTCCACGCAGTGGCTCTCCCCGAGCAGGGGCCAGCGGAGCGGCTTGCACGCCTCGAAAAATGGATGACTGTGGTTTTCTCCTGGGGAGTGTGTCGCCACTCTACTTGCGCTCCATGGGCTACTAGCCATGGAGGATACGCCTCTGGCTAGGCTGTGTGATGTAGGGGAGTGACTTAATGGCTGCAGATGTACAAGCAATCAGGGAAAGGGTGACACGAGGAGTTGTCCTACAACAACGCGGCCAGTAAGTTTTCACTATCTATCATCCCAAGCTGTAGATATGGCGAAATAAGGGGTGACCCCTCTGAGAAGTCAAACAGAGACATAGAGCTACCACCGCAGTGCTGTAGCCCCATGAGCTAGAGGTTAATGGCCACCATGACCCCTCACAGAGTGACAGCCGTGAGGATTACATAACCCCGTAGGATAGGCAATACCCGCCTAAACCTTTCACTGGCCCCTTCTTGGAGTCGGTCATTGGAGTGGTGCTTACAAGGAGTCTTGTGAGTCCAATTCCTCGTTAGAGGAACATGGCCCCCACGGCTAGTGGCCCACGGAGTGCCAGCGGAGCGGCTTACGCACCCCGTAGGGTACCCACTCCCTTCCCCGTGGGACAGCAAGACGCTCCGCTGGCCCCTGCTCGGGGAGAGCCACTGCGTGGAGCTTAGCTCCTCTTCGAGGAGTCCTGTGCACCCAATTCCTCGCTAGAGGAACAAGGCCCCCACGGCCAGTGGCCCACGGAGTGCCAGCGGAGCGGCTTACAAACCCCATAGGGTGGGGTTGTACTCCTTTCCTGACAGGACTGTAACACAATCTCTCTATCTCTCTACTGTAACTCGAGCTCTATTGTACACGTTCTATTATTATGTAGTATCTCTATATTATTGTTGTCCGGGCGGGGTTTAGGTCGCCACCCATGGTCCCTCCACTTGTTACCGTAAAAGCAGTTCTGGAACACATTCCTTGATCCATTTGTATTTGTCGTCTTGCAACACCTCCAAGATCTTCAATCTCTTTTGTTTGCGGACCAAGAGTGCCTCTGTGAGTCGTTGCAATTTCTCAATTATTTGTTTACTCTCTGGGTCCAATGCCGTGGAGACATGGAGTTCAGTTGCCTTGAACCACCCCCAATCGATCATGGCAATCCGATGGGGTGTCTTGTTGCGACTACGTTGTCTTTTGAGCACAGATGGCGAGATCCCCGGTCCTTGGTTGTAGGCACCCCCACTACCAGCAGCACCAGCAGCAGCGGCAGCAGCAGAGGTCATGAGTTCAATCAGGGGTAAATCGAACGGGAGTCGATTTTCCACCAATGAATAGATCACCACACCAACAGACCATGCGTCTGTGAGCTGGCCATTATATTTGAGCCCCATTAAAAGCTCAGGGGAGATATAATCTTCAGATCCACATCTGGTGGAGAGTTCTTCATCTAGGTCTTGTACCACCTTCAGTAGACCGAAATCGGTCAAACTGATAAGACTACAAGAAGATGAAGTGGAAGATGAGGTGGAAGATGAAGTGGAAGATGAAGTGGAAGATGAAGTGGAAGATTCGGGATTTGAAGAAGATGACAAGGTAGGATCTTCTAATCCTTCTCCAAGGATGTTATTGTCACGGGTCTCGAAAAGTCTTTCTGGCTCTACATTCAAAAGAATGTTCTCCAATTTGATATCTCGATGAATGATGTGGTTTATATGGAGATATCCTACTGAAATTACGAGTTCTGCCACCATCCTTTGGACATATTTCCAAAAGGATAACGTGAGGTGATGCGATTGATATTGATTCAGGGAGAATTCAAATAGATTCCCTCCTGGAGAGTATCTTAGGAACATGAGTTGATTGGGACTTTCCTTAAGTTTGGAGAATTCTTCATCGGAAATGTTACAATGGGGTTGAAAAAGATCTCTTTCTATGAGATTTTGAGTGATTTGATCGGAATTTCCCACTCCTTTCTCTAAATTTCCCACTCCTTTCTCTAAATTATACCTAGAATCAGCCACAGTCACTCTAAAATCCAATAATTTTGTAATACATGGATGATTTAATTGACTTAAAATGGCCAATTCTCGTTCGATATAAGATTTAAAATTACAAAGTTCTTCTTTTGAAGAATGTGGTACAGATATGATCTTGACTGCCACTTGGTTTCCAGAAGAATCCTCGGCTAAAACCACTTTGGAAAATGATCCAGCACCAATTTGTTTGATTTTATGATAAATTACTGACGATCTCGTGCCACAAAAAGTGTCTAAATTTGAGTCTGATTGGTGGGGGAAAGTCCCTTCATTGTCAATATCCATAGGGATATTCATAGGGTTTGAGAGTGAGATGGAGTTGTTTAGAGTGCGAATGTTCTCGCGCGGACGAAGGTTCTGGTTCTGGTTCTGGTTCTGGTTCTCGTTCTCGTTCTCTCTCTCTCTCTCACTCTCACACCCTTCATCAATCACACTACCACGCTCAGTAGGATTAGAAACAAACCGTTTGGCTACAGGTGGTTGGAGACTACTGGGTAATTGTTGATTGGTGATCTGTTGGAGTTTATATGATCGATCTGCCACAAGATTGGGCCGGTACTCAGAAATGATACGAGACCTTGGGATGGATGGTTGGAAAGGGTGGGCCTGGGCCTGGGCTGTTCTCTTGTCCGGGGGCAGACGTCCCAAGTCGTGCAATTCGCCGTGACGTGGGGGTGAGGCCTGAAACACAGGGAATGAGTCGCGTCCACCGCCTGGGGGGCCGACAATGGGCGTGGGGAGCTTGGTGATGTAGTCAAAGTTTGGCGACACAACCAGCGACAGGTGTGACGGATGCGTCGTAAGAACGGTTTCCATGGGGGCTCCAAGGGTGTTGAGACCTCCGTATGACTTGGGGGTTCGTCCAGCAGAAGCAGCAGGAGGAGGGGGAGGAGGAGGAACGGTGGTGGTGGCGTCCGCGTCCGCGGCGGGGTGGACAACAACAACATCAGCTGCCACTGACACGATTTCTCCCTGAGCGGCTGAAGGGCCCGGGGCTTGTGCGCCTATTCCCCTGGACAGCGGCGATATGAGGTCAACCGCATTGTGGCCATTGTTGGAAACAGCAGCATTGTTATTGTCGTTGTTGTCGGGCTCCTCGTCACTGTTGGTGTGACTGTTGACGTGCAACTCTACGGGGACTTTTTTCCGGCGCTGGATGAGGGGCTGGTACATGATTGGGGGAAGCGGCTCTGGGGACTGCAGCAGTCCTCCAGACATAGTTACACACGGGGGGAAGAAGAGGGGGGACCGGGGGGATGGAAGAGGGTTACGATTTGTTATTGTGCGCAGACCGGCGGCGAGCGGCTATCTTTAGCGCTTTGCGAACTTTTTGCGCGATTCTCGCTGTATCGGTCCCAAAGTGGCAACCCCAAGGAATGACGGTCAGGACGTTTCAGGCAGGAAGCCCCGCGAGTTACTGTGGGAGGGGGCACTGTGCTACAGATGTACTGCGTTTCAGGTGGCACCGGGCCCGTGCGCTGCGGAGTCTAGATGATGGGGGGCGTTTCAGAGTTGGTGACAGGATGCGGTTCTGCTTCTGCAGGAAGCGGTGGCTTTTACGGATATTTTTTACGGCAAGATAACCAGCAGGAGAGAATGGGGCTACTACCACCATTGATTCCTCGCTAGAGGAAGAGAGCCTCCACGGCTAGTGGCCCACGGAGTGCCAGCGGAGCGGCTTGTAGCCCCCGGCAGGGGAGGGGGGGTATTTCCGACCCTTCCGGGAGGTGCAAGCCGCTCCGCTGGCCCCTGCTCGGGAGAGCCACTGCGTGGGGCCTTGCTCCTCTGGCGAGGAGATTTTGGAGTTGTAGAAGGTTGGGAGGGGGCCACATGTGAGTTGTTTGTGTGTTTGTTTGTGTCTGGAGGGTGCCTAATCGGGGTGGGTGGTTAGTAGACTTGGGGTCAATGGATAGAAAGTGTTCTTTGTGGGGAACCGCGTAGACAATGGGTGTAGGGAGGTTGACAGTTTATTGTAAGAAGTGTATTTATAGACGACGAGTAGAGTAGATTGTAGGGGATGTATCGTGTGAGAGTAGGACTGGGGAGAGTAGAGTTTGTAGGTTCGGATGGATTAGAGAGGGGTAAGGTGGAGGTAGAGGAGTTAGGTGGCGGGGAGTATTTTGGCAACGGAGAGGAAGAGAGTAAACAACAGCACCACTGGAGTACAATTTGATAGAGTAGAAGAGATCGAGGTGGGCTACAATGGACCATTGTGATAATCTGTGGTCTAAGATTGATAAGAATGAAGTAGGCGTAGTATATGGCTGGGTGTCTTCTCAAGGAGCGACAGAAGAGTGACTAGAGAAATGTAGAGATGCTTGAGATAGAGAGTAGTGGATACTATGGGATCACAAACGAGAGACGTAGTAAGTACCCAGTTGAGCGCTAACGTGGTTGACACCGGAACACATACTCCAGTTTCCAGGAGAAATAGTGATACAGCCGGTCTCATATAGGATCACACTTTAACAACCGTGAGGTGTCCTACTCTCTATGCCCACTGTACACGAGCACAATGGACGTAGGACTTTCACAACGACTACAACTTCACTACACGTTCCCCAGAATGAGTTTATATTCAGGGGGAAGGGTGGGGGGAGTTGAAGTTAAGCACTAAAAATGTACACACCACAGGCTATTTGGGGTCACCAAGCCGCTCCGCTGACACTCCGTGGGCCACTAGCCGTGGGGCCTTCTTCCTCTGGCGAGAAAGGTTGTAGACCCGTAGAGTCTCCTCGAAGAGGAGCTAGGCCCCACGCAGTGGCTCTCCCCGAGCAGGGGCCAGCGGAGCGGCTTACACGTCCCGAGATGGAAGATAGTACTACCCACCCTACGGGGTCTCTGAGCCGCTCCGCTGGCACTCCGTGGGCCACTAGCCGTGGGGGCCTTGTTCCTCTGGCGAGGAAAGCAGTTGTAGACTCGTACAGTCTCCTCGAAGAGGAGCTAGGCTCCACGCAGTGGCTCTCCCCGAGGAGGGGCCTGCGGAGCGGCTCACACCTCCCGGGAAGTTCGGCCATGCTACCCACCTTTCTATGGGCCCCACCGGCTTGTACAGCTAGTATTCTCCCCACCAGGCTCCTAGACTAGACATCTACATTCAGATTCATTACTCCGTTGTGTATATTATTATAAAAATCCTTCCAAGACTCTGAGTGCATTCTCCATTCGGGAAATCCCCACTTCATACCGATCCTTGTCAAGAACCATATCGGCACTCAATCTCGAGAGAGCATCGACAATCTTCTCAATGAGTTGTTTCTCCTTTGCAGGCAAGTCCAATTGGCTGAACTCTTCTCCGATCACCGTCCCGTTGGTGCTCTCCAAGAGACTGATCAATGTCTGGTACGAGAATGGCTTGAGCAGTCCCGAGGTGGCGTGTCTCGACGAGGACGACTTCTTCTTTGTAGTCTTGGACTTCCGTTTCGTCTGTTGTTGTGGTGCTGCCGAGGTGGTGGACTGTTTCACTGACTTGGCTCGTGCTGGCTTGGTCACCACTGGTGGCTCGATGTCATAGTACTCGTCTTCCTCAGGAGACGCCTCTGATAGAGCGTGGGTTTGAGAGGTGCCTTGAAGAGTGTCATCGGCAGCCAGGGAGTTGTCACTGTGACGTGTAGTGGTGCCCACAGTCTCCAAAGTCTTCCGACCACCAACTGGCGGCGTTTCAAGGGCTCGGTACCCACCCAATGGTGGTGCCACCTCCGGGGTGGATGCCAACCCGGGAGTGCTATACAAATGGTCACTAGACTCGGAATACAAGCCAGGGGTAGCAGCAGCAGGCTGGGGTTGAATTGGTGGAAGAGCTTGTGGAGGAGCTTGTGGATGGGCTGGTCTTGGACTGTGGTGAGGTGTAGTCTGTCCATGATCGTCTAGTTCTTGGCTCTTCAACAGATATTGTTGGGACACCTCTCTAGCCTTCCGGAGGTTATCAGGGGTTGGACGTGGAGGTAACAGCGATTTTTTGAGAGTGGGGGTTGATGATAAGCCGGGGGAATTGGCCGATACTCCACCAGTGCCAGCGGGGGGATTGGCTGACACTCCACCACCAGTACCAGCAGGGGTAGGGGACTCTAACCCAACCAACTCGGTACTGGCACCACTTCCTCCATAATCAGCAGTCATGAACGAATCATGAGACATTTCAGAATGGAGTGGTTCATTGGCAGAGGAAGTATGACCTGAGCCAACTGGAGGGAAGTTCCCATCGATTGGGGTTTTGAAATTCCCACTATCAATCGATCTGAGAGAACTAGAAGAGGATCTGAAAGCTCGAGGACCAGAGCTTGTCACATCTTCTTTTGGAATTGCCACCTGTTTGGCATTCTCCCGTTCTTGTTGCTTACGCTCTTGTTGTTCCTGTTGCATCAAATTAGCATTCCTCATCAATTCATCCAATCCATCGGTGACACTTAGAGAAGATCTCTTTTTAGAATGGCCACTCTTTCTTTTCCTTGGCGTGACATTTCTAGAATCGATCCCAGAGCCTTCCAATAACTTGGAAAGCACTTCTTCTTCATGTGGGAGCAAACTACCACTCATAGGACGTCTACTAGACCGTGGTGGGACTGGTGCTTCAATGTTGGTATGGGTAGAATGATCAGGTTTCAATGCTCCGGTTCTAGGGAATTCATCAGAATATTGAGATGTTGGAGTATAAGAAGTCTTTTGTCCTTGATTAGAAGTATCAGATCTTTGAGATCTTTGATCAGTTGGTAATTTAGGAGTATCATTCTTGATTTCACCACTCCTTATTGTTTCAAGAGCTCCCAAGGGAATTTCATCTTCTTCATCTTTAATTTCCTCTCCGGCTCTATTCACAATCACAACATGACTCAAACTATCGGCCCTTACCAATGAAGGACCTCTTCTAATCTCTACACCTTCTTGTACCTCTTCATTCTTCTTATTAACATCTTCCATGTTGACTGCCAAATGGACCGGTTCATTAACCACCTTGCCAGAATATTGAGAGATTGATGAAGTGAATGAAGACGTATGATGATGGGAAGGTCTTAAAGATCCACTAGATACATTCAAACTGTCCAAATTATTTCTAATTTCATCGAAAAGTTGATTTGATTGTGGTTGATTAGCTTCATTATTTTCTCTTAAAGTTGATTTTGACGATTGTGTTGTTGATAAAGAATCGTTAAATTGAGGATGATCTGACATTATAAATTGTTTGGGTTAGTTGAATTGAGCTTGATAGACCCACTCAAACAATTAAAGTTGATGGAAATGATTGATTAAATAAGTTATGGACTCAATGACTTTTAATGGATTGATCTACCTGAAGTAATGGGTTGATACTTTTTTTTTTCCCGCTAATTATGATCTTCCTTTTTCCCGCTAAAAGTTATGAAGTCTATTAAGCTATTAGTATGCTTCTTTTAGTATGCTTCCTTATTGACAATGGGTGTGTTCTGTCGCACTACTCTTTGTTTCTTTTTTTGACTATCTGATCGATGCCGTCAGGAATCTCTGGCTCTACTATCTGTCTCGTATAAGAAGTATCACCACAACTTTTCACAGAGTCTTAATTTGTTCCTAATGTCTTTCTTTCACGGTAGAACCTGCGTATTCCTAATCTGGCGAATGTTTGTAATTGCACCTAATTAGGTAATTAATATATTTTTAGCCGCTTCCTCAAAACAGAAAAAAAAAAAAATTAAAACCCTCAAGCGACAGGGGATGTCACAAATATCGGTCACGAGGGTTGCATCACGTGTAGGATTGAAAGACTAGTTGAGTAGAGTCACACGATACTCCTCTAAGGCCGCGACAGTCCGTGGCCCATCGAGTGCCAATGGAGTGTAATGGACCTCCATGGAAGCAGGAAGGAACATACCATCTACCCTACGGGGTATATAAGACGCTCCGCTGGCCCCTGCTCGGGGAGAGCCACTGCGTGATGCCTAGCTCCTCTTCGAGGAGTTTTGCAGTCATATCTTCCTCGGAAGAGGAACAAGGCCCCCACGGCTAGTGGCCCACGGAGTGCCAGCGGAGCGGCTTAGAGACCCCGTAGGGTAGTACCCACTCCATCCCCTAGCGGGGCTAATGAGACGCTCCGCTGGCCCCTGCTCGGGGAGAGCCACTAGCATGGGGCTTAGCTCCTCTTCGAGGAGTCAAGTACATTCAATTCCTCGCTAGAGAAACAAGACCCCCAAGGCTAGTGGCCCACGGAGTGCCAGCGGAGCGTCTTGCATTCCTCCCCTCATCACGTGCTCAATGCTCTATCACATGCTCTAATCCCCGTGATTACCACACGTGATCATCTCTCGATATGGGTATCCAATTTTTTTTTTTTTTTTGTATGTCAAATGTTTCATGTTGTTCTTTACTCCCATATTTTATTCCCACATCACCATTACCGCCCCTTATATCATCTCTATGAATGCATAATTCCATTAAATTATTTGAGAAATATATTAATTTTTCCAAACAACCACTTAATTATGAAACTTGGTTAAATCGTTTATCGTTGTTACATAAGCAAAGAAGACCTCTCCCGCAATCTTTAAGGGATTGTATTACTTCAGCAAGATCTCTTGAACGTCAATACAAGGATTCACATAAACTATATCGTCATGACACTCGATATCATGACCTATTATCGTTATCTGGTCCCAATTCCCTCTCTGATGTAGAATATAAACTTGTGGAGACTTTGGATAAATATCCATTGAATGATGAAATCTTGACAAATTATTTATTGTGTGATCCTATACCACAAAATCTGTCTAAAATCATCCAATGGACGAAGCAAGTATTACAAAATTCTTCTCGCGAGAGTGCAGATGATGTCTCCAACCAAACCTCTATAGTCTGGATCTCTCTAAGAACTCTCCTTCATTCAAAAGATTATCATAATGCATTCAATCTTATTGATGAAACCATTGGTTCTGATCAATATATTGACTCTCATATGGAGAAATTATTTATAAGAATTGGTAAAAATGGATTTGCCTTACTTTTATGTAGTGCCCTTATGTCCATCATATCTCATCTGATGATGATTGGTGGATTATGGCTAGGAATAGGCTTTGGACTAAGTTATGGATTCCACCGTTTGCACTACCCATTCACCTTGAACAGAGTCTCTTGGAGACCTCATTGTGGTCTTTTGTATCGCTTGAAAAGAGAACAAGAACTCTTCCTTGTAGATAAAATCATCACTCATTATGAAGAACATTCAGAGGTAAATATAAGAAATTTCCATCATAGTGAAGTTAGAGAGATCCCAAACCTTCAAATGTTTGAACAGAACAACGGGCATATTCTTGAGGCTCCACCAGACAATGATCAAAGCAGTCTAGAACTCATGTTCCGCGAACAAATCAGTAAAAGAAGATTGGTTTTGAATGACTTACAAGAAGAATTGATGTTTTTGGATTATTGGTTGGCCCAGGGGGAAGACTATGATTGGGTAGAACCAGATCAAGATCCAGCAGAGATTATAAAATTGAAGACTCAGCAAGAGTAATAATGAATATGGTTGGATTGTATCGAATGTTGAAACGCTTGGAATGTGATAGAATGGTACATGAAGAATGCCAAGTTGTTACAAAATGGGGAAAAAAAAAAAGAACTGTAGGGACTGGTTCAGTGGAAGTCAAAGTCTACAACCATGTGACGCTTCGCTGGCCGCTGCTTTTAGAGAGTCACTGAGTGGGACCTAGCTCCTCTTCGAGGAGACTCTACGGGTCTACAACTGCTTTCCTCGCCAGAGGAACAAGGCCCCCACGGCTAGTGGCCCACGGAGTGCCAGCGGAGCGGCTCAGAGACCCCGTAGGGTGGGTAGTACTACCTTCCCTCCCGGGAGGTGTAAGCCACTCCGCTGGCCCCTGTTCGAGGAGAGCCACTACGTGGGGCCTTGCTCCTCTTCGAGGAGACTATACACCTTTACGACTTACTCGCCAGAGGAACAACGCCCCCACGGCTAGTGCGCCACGGAGTGCCAGTGGACAGGCTTGTATAGTATATATACCCAGGAGGGAGTTAACTTTTCTTTTGGAGACATGTGTAATCACACTCCATTTTGGGTTTCTGGACGATGAGACTACATTGTGTGAGACCCACCTTGTAGTTGTGTTTTATTCATACCATAGTATATATTAATACCGGCTGGCGGGATACCCACAATTATATACTGATTAAGTTAACCTTATAAGTTGTACGATCTAGTGGTTGATACTTATTTATATGCTACACATTGACTTTAATAGTACAACAACGTCGATTAATGACCAGTATCTGGAGATCTTCCTAAGGATCTCACCGTACAGTTAAAAGGATATTTGACGACCATAACAGAATACCACAAACGTAGTTCGAATTGATATTACTTACGACATCGATACATAAAGAGTAGCGAGACTAACAACTTTAAGTTGAAGTAACCACATTCTGAAACAACAGGAACTCTAGTAACAACTGTTGGTGTGGGGGGATTTCCAAAGAAGTATTGGTGTACCAGAACTTGAACACCAGTGCTTTGTACTAAACTAGAAGCTTTAAAACCGAGGGTCTGTACATCACATCAGATGATGCAGAACTAGAAGTGCCGGAAATAGAGCTTGATACAACGGTAGAGCTTTATGTTAGCACTAGAACTTGGTACAGTACTAGAGCTCAGAACTAAACTAGAGCATGGAACTACCTAGGGAGTACTAGTAATACAGGGTCTCGAAGCCGCTCTACTGGTACTCCATGGAAAACTAACCTTGGGGGCCATGAGGAAGTCTTACATCCTATTCTATGGGCCTCCTCGTAGAGGAACTAGGCCCCACGCAGTGGCTCTCCCCGAGCAGGGGCCAGCGGAGCGGCCTACACCTCCCGGGAGGGAAGAGAGCACTACCCATCCTACGGGGTCTCTAAGCCGCTCCTCTGGAACAGTGGAATCCATCTGCCTCTAACGAGGATGTCTTACCCTCACTTCTCCCTCTAGTTGTCTTCTCTCTCCTTGTATACTTTGTCTGATTTAGTCTCCCTTTGTGTAACTTTCGGTATATGTTTTCAGTAGATATGCGCACACACAAAATTGAAAACACTTTGTATTTGAGTTGTAGTACCCTACATTGTGTTAATCACTTATTATGAACGAATTGGAGGATTGTCCTGGTGATAGAGTATCTTCGCTCTTGTTCACGCCTCAAGACCAACTTCTTGTGACTGCTTGGGATTGTCAGACGCGTCTTTACGACGCGTGCGACTCATCGAATGTGGTTGCCAAGATCGCGTCTTCAGTGCCAATGATTTCATCCCGAGGTCTCTTCTCATCGGTGTATACCGGCGGGTTGGATGGATCAATTCGACTTGTAGATTTGGAAAACCAATCATTGAGCCCGCTTCCTGTAGATAAATTGGAAGGTGGAGTCGCCCACATGGTAAATAATAACAATACTAACTCGCTCTTGGCCGGGTCGTGGTCAGGTGTCATGGCCCAAGTAGATCCTAGAACCAATAAAACCCTTGGCCGGTGGACCGTTCCACACAAAATCGTGGCCATGGATGCAAATGACCAATATCTAGCCGTAGGGATGACCAATCGAGTGGTCCATGTGTACGATCATCGGAATTACTCAGTGCCATATCAAGTGCGCGAAAGCGGACTCAAGTTCCAAATGACCGATTTGAAGTGTTGGGATGAAGGATATGCACTTTCTTCAATCGATGGCAGGGTTGCCATCGAGTTCTACGATCCATCAGAGGCTGTCCAAGCCAAAAAATATGCATTCAAAGGACACCGAACCTCGGGGCAATTGATGGATGAAGTGTACCCAATCCACGGGCTTTGTTTCAATGCAGGTCTCTTGTACACAGCGGGGAACGATTTGGTTTGTCTGTGGAACTTCCAGGCAAGGAAACGGGTAAAGCTGTACAAGGTTCCTAGATCAACAGTGGCTCCTGAGATAGTCCCAGAGGTGACCCATGTGAGCGTAGACTCCAGTGGGAAATACATGGCAATTGCTGTGAATGAGCTGCACCAGTTGAATATATCCTCGAATAACCAGCAGGCGCACCATCCGAACACCACGCCGCACTCAAAAGTTTATCTCAAGTCGATGAGATGACCTTTGACCCCCCCCCTTCATCACTAGATATACAATTAGAAGATGTCCTTCATTAGTAAGACAAAGGCGTACGAGAAATGGTTGGTAGAGTCAGGTGTGTCCATTTCCGAGAAAGTGGCCATAACTGATTTCCGTGAAGTGGGCCAAGGTCGTGGGATGGTGGCAGTCGAAGATATTGCCAAGGGAGTTGATCTCTTTACCATTCCAAGAACAAAACTTCTCAATGTCAAGACATGTAGTTTGGTTGTAGAGCGTCCCGAGTGTGTTGAAGCGGTGCTTGCCATGGACAGCTGGAAGCTGTTGATCGTGGTGCTTGCCTGGGAATGGAAAAAGGGTGCAGGCAGCGCATGGAGCCCGTACTTTGATGTGTTACCCTTGAATGATCCAGTTGAATATAAATCCAACCAATTGATGGAATGGAGTGAACTGGAATTGAAGATGTTGGCGCCATCGTTGGTGGTGGAGAGAATTGGTAGAGATACCGCCGAGGAAATGTATGACCAAGTGATGGAGGTCATCCGTGAATTGAACCTCAAGGAGTTGGAAAGTTTAACTTTGAAAGAGTATCACACTGTAGCGTCAGTAATCATGAGTTATTCCTTTGATGTTACTGAGAGAGAGAACAAGGAGGAAGAAGACGAGGAAGAAGACGATGACGAGGAAGAGGAAGGAGATCACCTCAAATCAATGGTGCCTCTTGCGGACACTCTTAATGCAGACACAAACCTTCACAATGCCAGCTTGGTGGATTACCCCGAGACCCTCGTAATGAAATCAATGAAGGCGATCAAGAAGGGTGAACAGGTGTACAACACGTATTCAGACCACCCAAATGCCGAGATTCTCAGAAGGTATGGCTACGTGGAAGCAAATGGGTCTACACAAGACTTTGGAGAAATCCCATTGGAAACAATTGAAAAATCTTTTCCTGCTGAACAAAAGGACTTGGTGACCCGGTGTCTTGAAGTTGCTAAAACCACTTCGCTTGGAGAGGACGACGATGAAGACGTCGAGCTTGTGAGCGAGGCGTATGATTGCTTTGCCACTGGCGAAGTGATCCCGGAACTTGTGGTTCTTGTCCAGTTCCTTGTGGTCGTTACCAAGATCAATGAACAGACACCAGTGATGGATGACGCTGGGGAAATCCTGAGGATCCTCAAGAAATGTGTTCAATTGATAGAATCACAGAGATTGACCAAGGGGTTTGCTGAGAAGTACACCGAGATCCTCAAGTTGCGCCTTCAAGAGTACCCCGTGGAGGAAAAGGAAGACCCTCCTGTTGACATCACCACACGGGCAGGAATGGCCACGGTGGTGCTTCGATCAGAAAGAAAGTCTCTCGAGACCTGTGCCAACTTGGACCGGGTGTTTGACGAGTACAAATTCATCGACGATGACAAGCTCTTGCGTAGCATTATGAAGAAAAGAAGCGGGTCCACCGACCCACAACCCACCAAAAGATCAAAGAAATAAAGATATAGCTTACATACATGTTATATATAAATATTCTCTATTAAACTAAATTACCTCATATACCCATCATTTTTCTCCTTGTCGGGAGTGGAGACGACCGTACCGCTATCCAAGCGCTCGTCTAGAGAGCTGTCTTCCGCCAGAGGTGGTGTGACGAGTTGTTTCACCACTATTTGTCGTGGTCTTGACACAACAAACCCTGTTCCAGAAGGGGTGATCTGGTTGCTCCGATTGGTATTATGGAGCCCAAACAACCCCTGGATCTTGTTCCATGTAGCTTCATACATTGAAGGTTTACGATTTTCTGCTGGCGATGGTCGGACTATGTGTTGTGGATGTGCGTCAACAACCGTGGTGGCGCCTGAGGAGCTTGATCCTCCACCACCCATGGCCTGGGCCATGGGGTTTGTCTTATGCTCGTTACCAGTACGAGCATCCCACAACGCCTTGATTTCCGGATCGATTTGGTCCTCGGCGTACTTCTTGTAGATCAAGTCTCCCTCACGGAAAGTGTAATCATTGAGTCTTCTCCGCATGTTGGAACGTTGTTGTTGTTCATGGAATGACTCCAGTGAGGGTAGTCTCAAGAGGAGTTCGTCCTGTTGAGCCAAACTACATTTGGTGGGCGACCTACAGCACGCACGCTCAGGGGCACCGAAATCAAATGAATCGTCAAGCAGCATCATCCCTAGGGCTGACACATCTGCGGGGAACTCTTCATCGGAAAACAAGTCACCCGTCACTCTCGGAACAGTTGGTCTTACACCTCCACGGAAATATAAATCCTTTTCATCGTCAATGTTGCTATCACCGTCGTCATCTTCTTCTTCGTCCCTACTACGGTCCAGTACAGGTGTCTTCATATGTCGTATCGGATGATATTCAAACTCATCCGTAGCATAAAATAATTGTTGACTCGACACTTTTGAGTCTCTTGAAGCCAACGAATTATAGTCATGACCATCTTGAACATTCTTCCTTCTGGCCTCGGCAATGGACATCACTGTGGTGATGAAACAATACGCCAATTGGCCCAAGAACACCGCGGCAACCACCACATGGATCACAAACTGGGAATACGCCACGTAAGTTCTCTTGGCCTCACTGACATCCAATTCGCGTAGAAATGGGATCAAAAGAATGGTGACAAGACATCGAGCGAATGGTAAGAACCATCGAGATGACCACCAAGTCATCTTGACGTAGTATGGCCGTGCTACCAATAGATATGCAAAGTCAAATATTTCAATGGCTACAAGGCATATGACTTGCACACAGCCTTGGAATTGAATAACTCCAATCACCACCAGTCGCGCCACCACGGTGGCCCATGACACTCCGACATATGAGAGCTTTGCCGGGTCGAGATGGTTGTAAATCAACCCCCAGAAATGGATGGTTTTCATGGATGTGTACAAGCGGGTGACTCTTGGGTTCTTGACGGGTCTAAAGTTCTTGATTCGAATCAAAAAGTAAAAGATGAAAAACCCGACAATTGCCACCCAGAGAGCAAGAATGATCCCTGCTGGTACAAGGTACTCTACAGAAGAGTCCTCGTAGAATTTGGTGGCGGGTTCCTTGTCGTAGTAGTTGCTCAGGGTGGTGGAGGAGTTTCCCACAGCAGATTCGTCAGCGAACAAGCTGTTGGTTGTGTTCTTACCACCAGGCGTGGGGAAGCACGCCGAGCCGGCCAATGAATCGTATGAAATGCCCTGCTTGAAGATTTCGGTGGCCATTGCCACGATTCTACTGTTGGTTAATCTTTGACGGGTCAAATGCGATGCATTAGCGAACAAGTTGAATGTGATGGTTAGAAAGGGCAACAGAAAAAGCATAACAAAGCTGTGAATGGAGTCACCCACGGTCACGTAGAACATGCTTGTCCATGTGATAAAATCGTGTTTTGGTGGGCCGGCGGTGTGGCGCTGCTTCGACTTGTTCCTGTGCAAGATCTTGGAGTAGAGCATCTCGGCTGGTCTTTTACAAACCATAAGGATTTGCAAGGACAAGATCAGCAAGCCACACCAAATGGCTAACACTACCATAAAGTTGGGCCATATGGGAACTGAGTCGTTGGCATACGCCGAGAGTGCCGAGAGTCCACTGCCATGGAAGTTCCCGTACAAGTGGGACTCCTGGAACCCAGTGTATGATTCTTCGCGACGGCCAAAGAAGCGTACTCCCATGAGACAACTCCATCTTACTTTCGTCACCAAGGGCTGGTAGAACCCCGGGTATTGGAGGTCTAGCGCGCCGGTGAAGGTGATGAATTGGATGTATGGGATGAGTCTGTACACGGTGGCGTCCAACTGTTTGAGTAAGGCCTCATTACACATGGTGGAAGCGGTGAAAAGGAGCGGGTTCGATGATTCTTGGTCGGACGAGTATGTCACGGTGAAGAAGTTGACAAGGGCTGTGACAATGGCTAGGACCACGACCGAGTAGAGAATGGCTTTACGCGTTCGACCGTTCTGGATCTGGGTCACGTACGCCTTGTTACAAGACATGAGCTGAGAAGGTTGGTCGTTGGATACAAGCGAAAACGTGGCGGTATAGGAGCCGAGCTTGACAAAAGTGTCGGAGATGTCGGCCTTGTAGTAGAAGACAATGGTATCATTGACGTACAAGGGACAATGGACTTCGTTGTTGGAGGCGTTGAAGATTGAGTTTGTCAAGTCATCCCTTGGAGAAAGATGAGTCAGGAGATATTGGGCCAGGATATCCTGGACCAGAAGCTCTTTATCCAGACGTTCCTGATCCGGGAGTATCTGTCTATCCTCTCTCGATTGGATATCCAGAAGCAGACCCAAATGGAATACATTGTCGCTCTCGCTCGCATACTCGTCCTCGTTGTCTTGTCGCCTATTATTTATCTGAGTCTCATTGACCCGATGAGGCCCCATGCCCGGGATAGAATTTTCTCCTCCAGAAGCATCAGTAGAGTTACTGAAGCGCGGACTGGAGTACAAATCGGTGGTGTTCTTCACCGAAACAAGGTCACAAAATCTCAAGTTCTCCTCAATAATGGTCCGGCCAACAAACAATATCTGTACGTGCAAGGTGGTGAACATGTTTGTGGTCATGTTGACGTCGTTAATCACAATATCACGGCTCGTCGGGTCCTCAGGGTTGAGTACCTTGGATGTCACATAGAAGTTGAGCGACTTGTTGGACTCGTCCACCGACACGTCGAGGATGAACTTTGCGAGTCGCAAGTTCCGCTCGGGGATGTATCCACATGGAATAGACTCCATGAGAGCCGCCTGGGCTGCTGGTAGGAGCACCACGAGCGCCACGCACGCCCACCACCACCGAAGCCAAAACCTCGTCATGGCAGAGGGTGTTCTCGTAACGCAGTGGGCGGGGGGAGTGGTTGGGAAGGAGGGTGAGCTCCGAAAGATTGGCTGCTGCTAATCCTGCCACTTGCTGATAGCTCTGCCACTTGCTGGTAGTGCTTGGGCTACTGTACTGCTGGGGCTGGGCTGGGCTCTGTCTGCGCACGGGGGAGGTCCTGCCGTGTACTGTGCGGTGGAAAAGGAAGAGTCCGGGGGTAGCCTGGGGGTGTCCAGTCACAGTTTAGTGGCTGTATAGGAGGTTAAGTGCAGAGTTATGACTGTCCAAACACTCTGGCACATCTGAGACTCTCCCAAATTTGCCTTGCGCGCGAAGAAGTAGTCAGTAGTGTACAAAGCGCGCGCGCACAGGAAAAGTAATTTTTTGATTAGGGACCCCTCGGGAGCACCAGGTGACAAAGATCTCACAACGACAAGCGGGCTGCATGCTAGTGATCCAGGCCAGAGCCAGTCCCATGGATATCCTTGGGGCTTCTTTGTTCGTAGGAGTATATCCTCGTGGGCATGATAGCACCCCTAGACGGGCCCACTGGCGGGCCATTGGGGCGCCGCTTGACCGGGCTGAGACTTTTGCATTTCTTTCTTTTTTGACACTCTGCCAAATATGCGTGCCCGCCCCGGGGCTTCCAACCTACGGAATTGGCACAACCTAATTAGTGGAGCGTTGTGCATGAGCAGATGAAATTGGGAACAATGCCATACGAAACGCTCCCATTGATCCAAAGTTTTTCCGTTCCTCTACGAGTAGGACTCATAGTCAGGCTCCACACAGGTCACTGGAGCGTCTTACAACCCCGTAGGGCCATACTACCCATCCTACGGGGTTTGCGAGCCGCTCCGCTGGCACTCCGTGGGCAACTAGCCGAGGAGGCTTTGTTCCTCTGGTGAGGAAGAAGCCACAACCTGTATGTAAGCTGATCTTATCGTGGAGGTGCTAGGTACTACGCCAGTGGGTCCCCCGCGAGCAAAGGCCCAGGGGAGCGTCTTGCCCGAGACGAGTGGATGTCCCGGAGGAATTTCTTGCTATTTCTGCCGGGCATTGTGGTGCGTATCGTTGGCCGTATGGTTGGGGTATGGTAAAGCTATTCTGCGGGGGGGGGGGGGGGGGGGGGGGGGGGTGGGGTTACGAGGGGTAGTGTGGAGGGAATAACGGGATGTTATAAATAGATATGTAGCGCCGTGGGGTTGACTCGGGGCGAGTCTCGGAGACTCTTTTCTACTCGGAGAGACCCTACTCGGGTAAACCACTGGGGGTGCCACTTCTTGAGGCTCGATTTCTCTTCCCAGACATGAGCCTTCGTTACCAAAAAAGCCTCCACTGGCTACTCTGCTAGGAGTTTTATAAGTAGTTGTAGCTTCTACCTCGCTAGAGGAACAGGGCCTCCACATCTAGATGCCCACAGAGTGCTGGTGGAGCGGCTCGCAAACTCCGTAGGGTGGGTAGAACTATCTTCCCTCCCGGGGTGTGTGAGCCGCTCCGCTGGCCCCTGCTCGGGGAGAGCCACTGCGTGGAGCTGGGCTCCTCTTCGAGGAGACTTGTAAAAAAGTGTAGATTCTTCGTAGTTTAAAGCTCAGCGGATGATGTGGACCACTTGATCTGTCCTGTTAAGGAGTAGTGCATTCCAGGTCTTTTGGAGATCCTGTGTGTTTCAAAGGAGGCTGAACCTCGTTCTGGTTCTCAGCAATAATCTTCTTGATGGCCGGGTCGGTTGGCTTGATCGGGTAATTGGAACTGGACGCAAACACCGGATGGTGTAGAGCCATGTGGAATAATGGGATCCGGTGGTTCACTTGGGTGAGATCAAGCTTCTTCTCGCGCAGTAAGATCCCCATAAAGTAAACAACCAACGGAGTGGATATCTCCGCCAATTTCCTTGCATGGTGTAATTTCTTCTCCTCATGTTGCTTCGTGCAATCTCCCTGAAAACTCAATAGGAGTTTCACCAGCATCATAGGGTAGTAGAAGAGGTAGTTCACCGCTCGGTACTTGAAGTATTCAAACCGGGAATCACGGGAAATCTTCTGGTACTTGTAGAAATTCACCATGTACATCATGGCCCGTTTGAGCTCGGGGGCGCAGAACAGGACTAATCTAAGGAATACTTCAAGCTGTTGGCTCTTATTGCCAAGACGCTTGCTCTTCTCGACGTACAGCTTGACCACTAGGGCCTTGTGGTAGAACGATTTTGTGGGTCTATGTGGACTTTCAGGTGGCAGTTGTTTACCCTTCTTATAAATGATATCCACATGCGCGGTGTATTGGGCGAACTCCTCCAAGGTCTTACCTAAGAGTAGGGTAAGTGTGTACATATTTCTTGCTGCTGCTGGAGGGTGCTGATCTGGGTATTTTAGGAGTGGGTTGTTGCGTGGCTATATTGTTTGTTCCATTCTTTGCAGCCAAAAAAAAAAAAGATACAAGTTGTCAATTTGCCACAAATACAAAAATATTCCTTGAAGAGGTGCTAGGATTCATGCTCGTGGCTGTAAGTAGGGGCCCATCGGGACATCCCATACAGCGCCGAGGGTCACTACCTTCTTCCCTTAGATGTGTTGGCCATATGTTCCTCCGGCGAGAAACAACCTACAAAACTCCTGACAAAAGAGCCAGGTCCCACGCAGTGGCTCTCCCTCAGTGGAGGCCAGCGGAGCGACTTACAACCCTGTAGGGCAATACTACTTCCTATCCCACGGGGTTAGCGAGTCGCTCCACTGGCCTCCGTGGGCCACTAAACATGGAGGCCTTCTTCCTCTAGCGAGAAAGTGCTAGGGGCCCCCTGTCTCCTCGTAGAGGAGCTAGGCACCACACAGTGGCTCTTCCCGAGCAGGGGCCAGCAGAGCGTCTTGAACAAGGGACCACTATTAATTACCCTGTGGGCCTGTCAGTCTCCGGCTCTGGCACTTCCTTGGCCGTGAAGGCTTTGATCCTTTAGCGAGAACCTACAGTGGATAAATATTGAGCTCATGAATTCATACTATATGTGAGCGGCTCTACGATATTAAAGCTAACCAGAATACTTGGATCTGGTTCTAAAAGCTGGCCCTCTCCAATAGAAACACACAGGGATACCAATCATTGCAACGCAAATAAACCCAAGAATTGAAGACCCCCAAGCTACTGGGTACTTCGAGGTGGCAAGATTGTTGAACATATCAGCTCCGAATAAGGGGAAACAACCCGCCAAGGCTCCTCTAAATAAGACATTACCGGCAAACACTGAAGCGAGATATCTCCTGAAGGAAAAACTCAAATAATTAAACAACGTTTGGAACATGATAAAGGCGCCAAACACAAAGATTCCAGACCCAATAATAGGACCGACCCAATGAGCGCTGGCAGTGGCTGACCAACCGAATATAAAAATACCTATGGGCATGAAAACACTCCCAACTATACACAAGGGAAGGAAGACTTCTGGGACCATTTCCTCTCCAGCAAGTACCTTGACTGTGAATATTCTATAAGTCATTGGGATGTAAAATGTCGCTGAAAGGGAGCAGCCAATCAATATACCGACAAATGAAACCCCCATTTCAATCAAGTTGAAGTGGTAGGTCTCAAGGAATAAAATTGGGAACGCCTCAAACCATAAATATGTGACAGAATAGACCAAACCAATATATAAATTGATGAAGAAAACAATCGGTTCAAAAAAGGAGATCTCGATTGGTCTCCACAAGGTGTTCACCAACAATTCTCTAGGGGTAACGTGCATATTTGAAATCTCTCCCTCACTGACTATATTTTCGTTCTGTGTGAGTGCTCTCAATCTTTTTGCCTTTCTGTACAATAATGTAGCAGTGGAAGATTCAGGCAAGAAAAAGGAGAGAGATAAGAATGACACACCGGAGCAAATTGCCATGAACCAGAATGTCCATCTCCAACCTACAAGTTGGACAAAGACTGAACCGATTAAAGGACCCAAAGAAGGACCAACAACAATCGCGGTACTCCACGCTGCGAGCCCGATTGGAATGTATGGGAAAGTAATAACGTCACCTACCGATGCACCACCGGTAGCCAACGCTGCTGATGAAATAAAGCCACCTATAAGTCTAAGAACACACAAGGAAGCAATATTTGGAGCTAAGGCAGTAGGGATTTGCAAGATAAAGAAAATGAAGAGAGTGATGATATAGATGTAAGTTCTCCCGATTGTGACATTCTCTGAGAATGGTGAGAGGATCATAGGTCCTATACCGTACCCTAAAACAAATAATGACAATGGTAATGTTGCTTGGACTCGACTGATGCCCCATTCCTCCATCATTTGCTCCACACCAGGAGTATACACCGCGGAACCAATGTATACTGAGGTGGTCAAGAATGCAATTTCACAAATGAAAAAGACCTTGTGGAATACAGGCCAATTGTATGGGTTTTCAGGATCATCTTCACCATCCCAATCAACAATGATTCTTTTATCATTTGGAGAGTCAGCTTGCGAAAATGTTTCTTCTTCAACCAAGCCTTCCTTACTTACTTCAGATGAAGATACAGCGGCGAGATACTTCAGTGGGATGATGTACCCTTCTTCTTCTTCCTTGTGAGCGAAGACTCTATGACCGGAAACATGGTACGCCAAACGGCCCCAAAAACTATCACGAATAAATCTGTAATGCATGCCTGGAGGAGTTGATGAGGTTAATGTAAAGTCATGAGATATTCCAAAGGAGAGTTCGGGACACCTTTTATATGAGAGCCATCTTGAGGTCTCTCTATACGACCTACAAACGAGGGAGCTCTCTATTCCGGGTCACTAGCTTACAAATTGGTGCATATTCATATACTAATGTGGACTTTGTTACTTCTTTCAGCAGTTGAAATTCGTGCGGCTTTGCCATGAGAAATGCAACCGTTGAGTGATCAGCCTCGTAAGCAATTTTTTTATAGAGCTGACTGCGAAAAAATATCGTACTACCTCTTCAATCAATTGGTTAACTTTCTGGCCACAGCATATACAGATACCATTCAGTGGGAGTTGGCCCTATGATTTTTCTACCTTTTGGACACATATGGCTCACGGATCCGGATCGGTGGACCATTCATTAGCGATCATAATTGATTAATAATCATCATGAGCAATTTATTGGTAGGGCGGATTTGCTTTCTTTATATTTCAGATGAGAAAACTTCCGTCCTGCATACACAAATTCAACTTGAATCTTCGCTTATACACGTTGAAATCCGCGAAAAGAACATTTTTTGAAATTGGCTGAGCCCTCGAAAAAATACTAAGCACAGGGTTGTGCCGAACAAGGCCTACCAGGTGTTTTCTTTATTTTTTTGTAGCTGTCGATCTACTTTTCAGATGCTATGGAGTAGTCCACAGTCTCCCATTGGCGATAGCACATCTTATTATACTTCCAATCTTTCAGAATGGTTCGATGTATCTTGTTTCTATTTTTCTTTGCAGCCAAAAAAATGACTCAAATGGTCTTTTTGCCGCAATTAGAAAAGGCACTCTAGAAAAGAAGGTCAATGGGATTTGCGGTATTTTGTTTTGTAGTAGCATAGTGGTAACTACAATTGACACTTATATTTATACTCCTTGATTTCCCCTTCATCTTTCCGCGCCAGGTGGCACTCCCCGATTTACGGCCCGGTCTTACAACCCCGTGGGGCTACTGCGTGCTGCCCTACGGGGTTTACGAGCCGCTCCGCTTGCACTCCGTGGGCCACTAGCCGTGGAGGCTTTGTTCCTCTACCGAGGAAGTGGTAGGGGGCTCATATCTCCTCGTAGAGGAGATATGCACCACGCCAGTGGCTCTCCACGAGCAGGGGCCAGCGGAGCGCTTGAACAAGGGACCACTATTTCTTACCCTGTGGGCCTGTCAGTCTCCCGCGCTGGCACTTACATGGCTGTGATGGTGTTGAGCTTCTAGGGGGGACTTACAGTGGATAGTTCTTGAGTCTGTTGATTTCTAGTATATGTGAACGGCTCTACAATATTAAAGCTAACCAGAATACCTGGATCTGGTTCTAAAAGCTGGCCCTCTCCAATTAAAAATCACAGGAATACCAATCATTGCAACGCAAATAAACCCAAGAATTGAAGTCCCCCAGGCTACTGGGTACTTCGAGGTGGCAAGATTGTTGAACAAATCAGCTCCGAATAAGGGGAAGCAACCCGCCAAGGCTCCTCTAAATAAGACATTACCGGCAAACACTGAAGCGAGATATCTCCTGAAGGAAAAACTCAAGTAATTAAACAACGTTTGGAAGGTGATAAAGGATCCAAAAACAAAGATTGCAGACCCAATAACCGGCCCAATCCAATGAGCGCTGGCAGTGGCTGACCAACCGAATATAAAAATACCTATGGGCATGAAAACACTCCCAACTATGGACAAGGGAAGGAAGACTTCTGGGACCATTTCCTCTCCAGCAAGTACCTTGACTGTGAATATTCTATAGGTCACTGGGATGTAAAACATCGCTGAAAGGGAACAACCAATCAATATACCGACAAATGTAGTCCCCATTTCAATCAAGTTGAAGTGATAGGTCTCAAGGAACAAAATTGGGAACCCCTCAAACCATAAATAAGTGACAGAATAGACCATGCCAATATATAAATTGATAAAAAAAACAATCGGTTCGAAAAATGAGATCTCGATTGGTCTCCACAAAGTATTCACCAACAATTCTCTAGGGGTTACGTTCATGTTGGAAATTTCTCCCTCACTGACTATATTCTCGTTGTTTGTGAGTGCCCTCAATCTTTTTGCCTTTCTGTACAATAATGTAGCAGAAGAGGATTCAGGTAAGAAAAAGGAGAGAGATAAGAATGAAACACCGGATAAAATTGCCATGAACCAGAATGTCCATCTCCAACCTACAAGTTGGACAAAGACTGAACCGATTAAAGGACCCAAAGAAGGACCAACGACAATCGCGGTACTCCACGATGCAAGTCCGATTGGAATATATGGGAAAGTAATAACGTCACCTACGGATCCACCACCGGTAGCCAACGCTGCCGATGAGATAAAGCCACCTATAAGTCTAAGAACACACAAGGAAGCAATATTTGGAGCCAAAGCCGTTGGGATTTGCAAGATAACAAAGATGAAGAGAGTGATAATATAGATGTAAGTTCTCCCAATGGTGACATTCTCTGAGAATGGTGCGAGGATCATAGGTCCTATACCATACCCTATCACAAATAATGACAATGGTAATGTTGCTTGGACTCGACTGATCCCCCAATCCTCCATCATTTGATCGACACCAGGAGTGTACACCGCGGAACCAATGTATACTGAGCCGGTCAAGAATGCAATTTCACTAATGAAAAAGACCTTGTGAAATATAGGCCAATTGTATGGGTTTTCAGGATCATCTTCACCATCCCAATCAACAATGATTCTTTTATCATTTGGAGAGTCAGCTTGCGAAAATGTTTCTTCTTCAACCAGGCATTCCTTACTTACTTCAGATGAAGATACAGGGGCGAGATACTTCTGTGGGATGATGTACCCTTTTTGTTCTTCCTTGTGAGCGAAGAATCTATGACCGGAAATATGGTACGCCAAACGGCCCCAAAAACTATCACGAATAAATCTGTAATGCATGAGTGGAAGAGTTGATGAGGTTAATATAAAGTCAGGAGATATTCTACAGGAGAGATCGGGTCACCTTTTATATGGGAGTCAGAGGTCTACAAATGAGGGAGCTCTCTATCCCGGGTCATCAGCTTACAAATTCGTGCATATTCCTATACTAATGTGGACTTTGTTACTTATTTCAGCAGTTGAAATTCGTGCGGCTTTGCCCTGAGAAATGCAACCATTATCAGCTCCTGATGACTGCGAAAAAATCTCGTACCACCTATTCATTCAATTGGTTAACTTTCTGTCCACGGCATATACAGTTACCTTTCAGTGGGGGGGGGGGGGGGGTTGGCCTTATCATGGTTCTCTCTTTTGGGGACGTAGCGCTCAGACTTGGACCCAAATCGATGGACCATTCATTAGCGATGTCAATTGATTAATAATCATTGTGAGCAATTTATTCATACAGTGGATTTGCTTTTTTATATATCAGATGAGAAAATAGCCGTCCTGCATAAAAAAATCAACTTGAATCTTCGCTTTTATATCTTGAAATCCGCGAAAAGAACATTTTTTGAACTTAGCAAAGCCCTCGAAAAAGTGCGAGGCAAAGGGTAGTGCCGAACCTGACCATCCAGGTGTTTTCTTTTTTTTTTTTGTAGCTGTCGACCTACTTTTCAGATACTATGGCGTAGTCTACATAATTATATCATCATCGTCGATTTCTGTGATTTATCATTTTCATCAATAGTGGTGATTTGAATGGTGGTGCCATTTGAAGGTTGGGTAGCAGCCCCCTTATCATCATCTCCATTACTTTCACTTGCAGCCATGATTAAGATAGGTTGTATTACAAAATATCAACGATAATTCGTGTATTTTTGGCGATAACGTATCTTATTATACGTTCAAATTTTCAAAATGGTTCGATGTATCTTGATTCTTTCTTTCTTTGCAGCCAAAAAATACTCATGAGGTCTTTTTGCTGCAAATACGAAAAGCACTTTCGAAGAGAATGCAAATATAATTTTTTGTAATGGCGTAGTGGTAACCACAATTGGCACTTCTTTTTATACTTCCTTGATTTCCCCTTAATCTCTCCCAGCCATTGGCATTCCCCGATTAGCGGCCAGGTCTTACAACCCCTTAGGGCTACGACTTGCTACCCTACGGGGTTTTCGAGCCGCTCCGCTTGCACTCCGTGGACCACTAGCCGTAAGGGCTATGTTCCTCTACCGAGGAAGTGCTGGGGGGCTCATATCTCCTCGTAGAGGAGCTAGGCACCACGCAGTGGCTCTCCCCGAGCAGGGGCCAGCGGAGCGTCTTGAACAAGGGACCACTATTTCTTACCCTGTGGGCCAGTCAGTCTCCTGCGCTGTCACTTACTTGGCTGTGAATGCATTGAGCTTCTAGGGAGGGACCTACAGTGGATAATTCTTGAATCGATTGATTTCTAGTATATGTGAACAGTTGTGCTAAAGTAAATTCCCAGAATACTTTGATCTTGTTCTAAAGGCTGGGCCTCTCAAGTAGAAGAGTATCGGAATGGCAATCATTACAATACATATAAAAGCAAGAATGGAAGACCCCCAGGCAACAGGGTACTTCTTGGTGGCAAGATTGTTGAACAAAGGTGCTCCAAATAATGGGAACACCGCGGCAATGACAGACCTAAATAAAACATTTCCAGCAAACACTGAGGCGAGATACCTCCAGAATGAGAAACTCAAGTAGTTAAACAAGGACTGGAAGATGAAGTAAGCCCCAAACACAAATATCCCCGTCCCCATGATTGGACCCATCCAATGGGCGCTGGTGGTGGCCGACCATCCGAAAATAAAAAGCCCTATGGGCATGCAAACACTGCCAAATATGGCCAAGGGAAGGAAAGACTCGGGGACCGTTACTTTGCCGGCAAGTGCCTTGATTGTGAATGTTCTGTAGGTGATTGGAATATATACCACTGCTGCCACGAGTACCCCAATCAAAATCCCCACGAATGCAACACCCATCTCGATCAAATTGAAGTGGTAGATCTCGATGAATACAATCGGGAACGCCTCAAACCACAAGTACATCACTGAATAGACCATGGAAATGTACAAATTAATCAAAAGTACCACTGGTTCAAAGAGTGAGATCTCAATTGGTCTCCATAATGTTTTCACTACCATTTCCTTGGTGGTAACATTCATATTCTCGATCTCTCCAGCACTGACAATGTTTTCATTTTGCGTAAGTGCCCGCAATCTTTGAGCCTTTCTGTACAATAATGTTGGTCCATAAGTTTCAGGTAAGAAAAAGGATAAGACTATGAATGACCCACCAGAAATGCAAGCCATGAACCAAAACGTCCATCTCCAACCTACAAGTTGGGAAAAGACTGCACCAACTAAGGGCCCCAAAGATGGGCCACAGACTGTTCCAATACTCCACATAGCAAGCCCAATGGGGACGTAGGGTAAAGAGAGAACATCACCTACCGATGCACCACCGGTAGCCAATGCTGCTGAAGCAAAGAACCCTCCGATAAGTCTAAGAACGCACAAGGAGGCAATATTTGGAGCTAAGGCAGTGGGGATTTGTAAGATAAAGAAAATGAAGAGAGTGATGATATAGATGGAAGTTCTTCCAATGGTGACATTTTCTGAAAATGGAGAAAGAACCATGGGACCAATCCCGTATCCAATCACGAAAAGGGTCAACGGTAAGGTGGCCATGACACGGCTTAACCCCCAATCCAGCATTAATTCATCTATCCCAGGAGTGTATATCCCCGCTCCCATGTACACTGAGGTGGTCAAAAAGGCAATTTCAAATATAAAGAAGACCTTTTGGTATACCGGCCAATTGTAAGGATTTTCCGGATCATCAGCATCGTCCCAATCGACAATAATATTGTTTGAAGTTTGGATAGAACATTCAGTAGAGGCATCATCTTTAATTAAGGACTCTTTACTTATATCTGAAGATGGTGGATAGACTGCAAAATACTTGTCGGGTATAACATATTTTTTCTGTTCTTCAGTGTGAGAAAAGACTCTATGACCGGAAATATGGTAAGCCAAACGGCCCCAAAAGCTATCGCGAATAAACCTGTAATGCATAACTAGAGACTACTGGTTGATGAAGAAGTTAATCCAAGGAATGTTGTAGTGGATAGTTAGCTGGCTCTTTATAAGGGAACCATATTGCAACCATTTGTAACCTCGGTACCGGGGATTCCTATTTGGGCTCACCCGAAAAGTTGGCTTACAAACTCGCGCATATTCGAAGTGTTTGCACACTAAATTGAGAAGATTTGGTGCGGCTTAACACTTGATAAGGTGCAGCCTTACGAACAACGCGCCATTGATTAATCATCACCAAGAAAAACAATTTTGATAACGTCGATTAGAAACAATCTGCTTACATATATTATGTAATGGTGTACTGTTGCTGATAGGTGGGGCGGTAATGGAAGTTGTCTTACCTTGTATGACTCTTTTGGGGTAAGAACTCCACAAAAGGTGGGTGGCTCCCTGGTGACACAAAGAGAGATTCTATTTGCTGGGCTCTGGGCTGGGTTGGCGATACCGTCAATTGTAAATCAAGAGTGGAGTCTTTTTTGCAGTTTCTTGAGGGTTTCCAGTGGGGGAAGTCATTCTTCTGGCATTTTGTCCTCCCCGAGCAGAGAATCGCCCCGTGCGAAAGAGAGTTCGAGGATATCCCTACGGGGGATGCAAGCCGCTCCGCTGGCACTCTGTGGGCCACTAGCCGTGGAGGCCTAGCTCCTCTTCGAGGAGTGCCCCCTTGACCTAATGGTGTCTTCCCCCAAGTATGGGGCCACGAACCCCAATGAGGAGGAGTTATGGGAAAGGCGTCAGGGGACCTATCTGACTCTTTTACGTTGAAGTGCTAACTCTCGTAAGTAGAAATCAATGGGTGACTCGTTTTTACACCCTGTACATCTGGACATTGATGTGCTGGTTTTCTTTATGGGGGGATTTGGGTTGGCCCTGCAATTCTTCTACAATTTTATATCTGGGGAGTACATCTTAATATATATATATATATATATCTAATTCCCAGAATACTTGGATCTTGTTCTAAAGGCAGGACCCTTCATGTAGAAAAGAACAGGAATGGCTATCATTCCAACGCAAATGAAGGCAAGAAGTGAAGACCCCCAGGCCACCGGGTACTTCTCGGTGGCAAGATTGTTGAACAATGGTGCTCCGAATAACGGGAATACACCTGCCAAGACTGATCTAAATAAAACGTTTCCGGCAAACACAGAGGCTATGTATTTCCAGAATGAAAAACTCAAGTAATTGAACAAGGTTTGGAAGATTATGAAGGCACCCACACAAAAGATGGCAGTTCCGATAATGGGTCCTATCCAATGTGCACTGGGGGTTGCAGACCATCCAAAGATAAAGAGCCCTATGGGCATGCAAACACTGCCAAAGATAGCCACTGGTAGGAAAACCTCAGGTGCAACCTCTTCGCCAGCGATAATTTTCAAGGAAAAGCTCTTGTATGTGATGGGGAGATAAATCATACCGGCTATAAGCACCCCAACCATGACCCCGACATATGAAACCCCCATCTCGATCAAATTGAAGTGGTAGATCTCGAGGAATACAATTGGGAATGCCTCAAACCACAAGTACATGACGGAATAGACCATAGCAATATAGATATTGATCAAGAGAACCACTGGTTCAAAAAGAGAGATCTCAATTGGTCTCCACAAAGTTTTCACTACCATTTCCTTAGTGGTAACATTCATATTTTCAATCTCTCCGGCACTGATAATGTTTTCATTTTGGGTAAGTGCCCGCAATCTTTGGGCCTTTCTGTACAATAATGTATGTCCGTATGATTCAGGGAGGAGGAAGGAGAGGACTAAGAACGATGCTCCAGAGAGAATCACCATAAACCAGAACGTCCATCTCCAACCTACAAGTTGTGCAAAGATCGAACCCACTAAAGGTCCTAAGGATGGACCACACACTGTCCCAAGACTCCAACCACCAAGTCCAATGGGGATATATGGCAATCTCACCATATCTCCCACTGAAGCACCACCAGTTGCCAAGGCTGCAGAGGCAAAGAACCCTCCGATGAGTCTAAGAACACACAAGGAGGCGATATTTGGAGCTAAGGCAGTGGGGATTTGCAAGATAAAGAAGATGAAGAGAGTGATTATATAGATGGAGGTTCTCCCAATAGTGGCATTCTCTGAAAATGGAGAGAGTACCATGGGACCAATTCCGTACCCTATAACAAATAATGACAATGGTAGCGTTGCTTGGACTCGACTGATCCCCCATTCCAGCATGATTTCGTCTATCCCGGGTGTGTAGATGGCAGAAGCCATATACACAGAGGTGGTCAAGAATGCAATTTCGAATATAAAGAAGATCTTTTGGTACACCGGCCAATTGTAAGGGTTTTCCGGGTCATCATCACCATCCCAATCGACCACAATTCTATTTGAAGTTCCCAGGGTGAATGGTTCTGATTTGGGGGTATCCGCGGCTTCCACTAAAGACTCCTTGCTCACATCTGAAGAAGATGGTGGGAAAAGATACTTCTCAGAGATCACATAATCTTTATGTTCTTCCGGGTGAGAAAACACTCTATGGCTCGATAAATGGTACGCCAAACGGCCCCAAAAACTGTCACGAATGAATCTAAAATGCATTATTAGGTGGAGAGAAAGCTTCCCTTGACAGATAGTGGTCTCTCTAAAAGTTTTCAACTCATTAGCTGAAGAGTTCACTGTCAGTTTATATAAGAATCAACTTCTGTAGAAGCCTTGTCGGGATTACCTATTCAGGACCGACCGAAATTCTTGATTACAATTTGTGCATATGTGCATTCAGTCACATTCAGCAGGGCAACCTTCGGAGTTTCCTATTTGGGTCGGGCCGTGTGCTCGTCTTGGTGCGTCGTGCTGTTCGTATAAAAAAAAAAGATTTGTTCTCGGTGATACTACAATGGGAAACCCGATGCGGCTAGTTCATCTACGATGCAGCCCTTTCAAATAAATATTACTCATCAGAGAGTAAGTTTACGAGGTGATTGAAGACCAGAAGACTTGTCTTAATAGTGCTAAACATTAGAGTCGGTGCTTTGTGGAAAATTCAAAACTGAAGACAGCACCACCCAAACCGCTGACTAGTATGGCTCACTTGTCCTACGAGATATTTGAATGGTCCACGGGATTCTCCTTTGGAGTAAACTTTAGCCGTACGGTACATGCATGTAGCCAGCTCGTACCAATATCCACGGATAACTAATATGCGCATATTCTTGTTTTCTATTGGTGTATGGTGAGGAAATATGTCCACTGGGGAAACACACCTGGAGGGCTAGCGGGAATCATGGCCCCGAAGAGGAGGGGGTAGTAAGACGCTCCGCTGGCCCCTGCTCGGGGAGAGCCACTGCGTGGTGCCTAGCTCCTCTACGAGGAGACCTGTCTCTATTCCTCACTAGAGGAACAAGGCCTCCACGGCTAGTGGCCCACGAAGTGCCAGCGGAGCGGCTTGCAAACCCCGAAGGGTGGGTAGTACTCTCTATCCTAGTGTGACTGTATGCCGCGCTGGAACTCCCGCGTGGTGCGCAAGTGCTCTATTTCCACCTTTTAACACCTTTTTCAATCCCTTTTCGGACTATTTGACATCCAGAGTATTGTCTTCTCATTCACAGAAAACGCTTTCATACCTTCACCATTCATCAAAGTCCTTATTGAGTGGATTAAATGGAAATTTCGGCCAAAATGAGCAGTTCCTCCGAGTGTCCTTCCTTCAAATCTTAAAAATTGCATAATAAGCGGTTTTAGCTCAGTTGGGAGAGCGTCAGACTGAAGTTCAAACTACAGTCACAGTTAATCTGAAGGTCCTGTGTTCGATCCACAGAAATCGCATATTATTTTTTTTAAAATTTTTCCCTTTGTGTGATACTTTTAAAATTGTCTGTCCCTCTGATATGTCTAGAATAACCCCCAGGGACTCTATATTTTTGCCCAGAACTACACAACTGCTCTCTCTATATAACTACATCTCCTCCGGAGTGTTTTTTTACCTTCCTAATGTTTCTAATTTATTGAGTAGACTCCTCTATAAAAGAATATGCTATGTACAAATGTTCGCGGTTGGGACCCCTCAATCGTTGACCTTCCCTCTCAACTTAGGGTACAATCTCGACGCGTGGTAGTTGACGGACGAAACCTGGCCCTTGCCCGGCTTCTGGGCCTCCATACATGTCTTCAAGTCGGTGGCAAACATCGAACAGGCGGCAGAAGCTTCACCGTTGGCAGCCCAACAGTTCAAAAGAGAAGACATCAACACAAAACATTGGTTTGTGGCGGTATTGGTGGTGGTCTTTCTGATCTTAAGACGGGGTAATGGGGGCAACGAGGTGGCCACCCTGGTCTTCTTGATAGGCATGGTATTACAGTGGTGTTCTAGACAAGTTGTAGCAGGTTGTCTCCCTTTGAATGAAGTTTGGGATTTTTCGAAGTTTCTCATACAAAAAAAAATAAAAACTGAAAATGTGACACAAAGCTGTGTGCAGGTGATTTTAAATTGGGGAAAGGTTGCAAAAAAGGAGAAGGCACTATGGGCTGTCAAGGGTTAATGATGGAAAGGAAAAAGTTTGAAGGGAGACTGGTGGAGATCTGGGGAGAGATATTGGTTGAATTCCGCAAGTTGACAAGTTGGTTGGTCCAATTCAGAAAATATTTTTCAGTATTTATTTTAAGGGTTACCAAAAATTTAGATTAATATATATAAAGAAGAAGAAAAGAAGAAGAGAACAAACTCAAAAGGTACAGTTAACAAAGCCATATGCCGAAGGAGAGCATTCTAGAGCTGGTTAGTGATTCCCCTTCTTGCGTCTAGATTTATCCAGAGACATGACAGCGGCGAGAATTACTCAAAAGTTGAGGATATATCCTCTCTACAGATTGACTTCACTAGTTACTTTTATATTACTATTTCACTTAGCTGTACTATAATAGGCCCAGCCCTACGGGGTGTGTAAGCCGCTCCGCTGGCACTCCGTGGGCCACTAGCCGTGGAGGCCTTGTTCCTCTAGCAAGGAATAGAGACAGGTCTCCTCACAGAGGAGCTAGGCACCACGCAGTGGCTCTCCCCGAGTAGGGGCCAGCGGAGCGTCTTACAGCCCTATACGGTGATACTACTTCTCACCCTGAGGGGCTATATTGGACTCCCTATGCAGCCACCACATGCAGACCTTTTCCAACAATATAATCTCTCCACACACCTTTGAATACCTTGGAAAGTTCATGTCTCCCGTCCCAAAGAGGAAACAATCCAACGACAATAAAGGCGAGATAGAGCCACAAAAGACTAACAGTAGTCCATCCAAAGAAGAAGGTACGACTGAAAATCCAATCACGATAGAGTGGCATTGGCCATGCAACCCACGTTAACAATAATGTGAACACAGTAGACCCATATGCGAGCTTGTAGTACAAGCTAATGATCCTATCTTCCTCTGAAGTCCCCACCTGTGCCTTCTCTTCGTCTTCATTGCTGACATCGATCACCTCAAAACCAACATCGTTTTGCTTACTGATGGGAATATCCAGACTACTGGAGGATCCACTAGAAATTTGAACAGAATCAGATTCTTCTTCATCATCAACCACAAGAATGTCAACTTCTTTAAACTTATTCCAATCGAAAGTGTACGGGTTTATGGTAAGGGATATCAAGACTGAAACAATCCCGGGCAATAAAATTGTTGTCAACGAGCCATAGAGACATGGAAGTTGAGCACCGGTGGTAATAATTGTCACCTCTCCATACAATGCGTATGCGGTAGACAACCACACCGAGATTCCTGCAACCATCCCAATAATCGGGGATAAAAATGCCGCCAAGGTGGTTTGCCTTGACCAAGTTAGGGTCAAAACCAACGGGATAACCCCAGGACAAATAAGCATGGAATAGAAGTATCCCATCCATGTCATGTCCACACCAACAAAGTGAAGCATTACAGAGAACCCGGCTGCAAAAAGTCCAAAAGAGATCACTCCAAGATGGGAAATTCGAATCAATTGTTTGTTTTTAGCATCTGGCTTGATGTACTTCTTGTAAATATCAAAGGAAATGATACTACTTACAGATATCATCTGGGCACTGACGGTGGAAGTGACGGCAAGATAAATGACGAGTAACAATGCGCCAAGGGCACCATCTCCAAGGACCGCTTTCAACACATAGGGTAAACCAAACCCACTGTTTACTTCAAAGGAGGTCATCTGACGTGGATAAGTAGGAAAAGAAGGACTGTCTTCCAAAATAATGCTTGCTAATCCAACAATAGTACCCAATGCCCAAGGATTGGCAAATGCTACCGAACCACCAATTATATAACCAGGCACTGAAGATTTAAGATCTGCACTGAAACTTTTTTGCCAGAAGGAGCTGTCCATGACGGTTAACCCGGTGTCACCTATTGCATGGATCAACCCAAAAAAGAGTGCACCTTCTGACTTCCCGGTTAAGATCGAACCTTTATAATTGCCCTCGATGTAACGCTTCCCATCGTGTTCAAGTGCCAAGTCATAGAGACCTCCAATCCCACCAATTTGGTCACTCACCAATACAGCGGTGGTGATGTAGCAGAGCACCACCAAGAGAATAAACGAGTGGACGTAATCTGTCAAAAAGGTGGACTTTAACCCACCCACTGTAGTATAAAGAATCACACCAAAAGGGATCAACATGGTACTGGCAACGATGTTGAGATTCCCGGCAATGATGGAGATGGCACCTGAAGCTCCTAAAATCATAGAGGAGCACGACAACAAGTTATTCACCAACGACAAGAACATATACAACAAATGACATGCTCTACCATATCTGATTTCTACGATTTCCAACGAGGTATGACTCCCTGGGATCTTTTTCTTTGCCTCGATCCCAAGAACAGCCATGAGACATATTTGAACAGTTGTCCCAGCCCCAAACCATAGCGACGACATGACTCCGTACAAGTAAACCATGGTGACACACCACAAAAATGCAGTGGCCCATGTCCACGACAGATACACCGCACTGATGGTCAATCCGATCCCTACACTTCTATTTGCAACCATAAACATTTCCGTGGAGTTTGAGTTTTCGTTCAAGTACTTATTCAGGAGCTTGGTAGCAATGACGATTGCAATTGCAAAGAGGGCACCGACCCCCACAAGGATACCATAGCCTGCGCTTTTGCCCAAGAGCTCAACTGCTTGGTCTTGAGTTGACATGTGAATAGATGAATAGATGGTTAGTTCTACAAAGCTCTACATATCCACGTACACAGACCGACTCTTATATGCCACTACCAATATTAAGCCAACATCTTCTATCGATAACGAAATAGTTGACTCTGACAAATTTCGGAGCCACAGAAGTTTAGATTGGTCGGGAAATGGTAAACTAGATGTTGGATCTAGATAATGCATGAGATAAGTATTGTTAGTATGGCGAGGAATATGCAAGGTAGTGGTCTACATTGAGCCACACAGTGTTTGTTTTAGTACTATTCCTAATATGAATGATTTTGCAAAAGATCCGGGCCGGTTGCCGCAACACGGGTCGGATACAGCATCTCGGTTCGAATCCAACTATGATCCATCCCGACGAGCCACAATGAAATCTAAATACAAACGTCAGTTTACGAATGTACGTTCAAGTAAACAGTCCCAGACCTCTGAGATTTCACTTACACTTCAATCATTCCTTCAAAATTTAATCTATATTACATATAAATAACTCACTTTCTAACAATGTAATCCCTCCAAGCACCTCTAAACACCTTTGCAAGTTCATGTCTCCCATCCCAAAGTGGGAATAACCCAACTACTACGAACGCTAAGTAGATCCAGAAAACACTCATACCAGTCCAGCCGATGAAGAAAGTTTTGCTGAAAATCCAGTCTCTATACAAAGGCATTGGCCACGCAACCCATGTCAATAAAAGAGATCCAATGGTGGAGCCGTACGCCAACTTATAGTAGAGACTGAATATTCTGTCATTTTCCTTGTCATCTTCCAGGACTTGCTTTTCACTGTCACTTTCATCCACGTCAATAACTTTCGTATTACCTTCCAATTTTTCAATTGGAGGCGTATCCAAATCTGAAGAAGACCCGTCTGAGATTTCAGGATTGACCTCATCTTCATCAACAACAAGGATATCTGTTTCCTTGAACTTGGCCCAGTCAAACTTTGAAGGGTTGATGGTGAGGGAAATGAGAACGGAGAGAATACCGGGCAAGAGAATAGTAGTTAAAGATCCGTACAAGCATGGCAATTGCTGGCCTGTACTCAAAATGGTTACCTCACCATAGAAGGCATAGGCAGTTCCCAACCAAACAGCTATTCCAGAGAGCATACCAACTATCGGAGACACAAATGCAGCCAAAGTAGTTTGTCTTGACCAGGTGATCGTGAGGATTAACGGGATGACTCCAGGGCAAATAAGCATAGAGTAGAAGTAGCCCATCCATGTCATGTCCACACCGACAAAATGAAGCATGACCGAGAACCCGGCTGCAAAAAGTCCAAAAAACACCACTCCAAAGTGAGAGGCTCTGATCAAGTGTTTGTTTTTAGCATCTGGTTTGATGTACTTCTTATAAATATCAAAGGAGATGATACTACTAACGGAGATCATCTGGGCGCTCACGGTTGAAGTAACGGCAAGGTAGAGAACAAGTAACAACGCTCCAAGAGCACCGTCTCCGAGGACTGCCTTTAAAACGTACGGTAACCCAAAACCACTATTGATTTCAAAGGAGGTCATTTGACGTGGGTATGTGGGGAAAGAAGGACTGTCTTCCAAGATGACGTTGGCAAGACCAACAATGGTTCCCAAAGACCACACATTGGCAAACACAAGCGCACCAGCAATGATATATCCTGGAACTGAAGATTTCAAGTTGGCACTGAAACTTTTCTGCCAGAAGGAACTATCCATGACAGTCAACCCGGTATCACCAATCGCGTGAATTAACCCGAAAAAGATAGCCCCCTGGGATTTCCCAGTCAAGAGAGAGCCCTTATAATTGCCTTCAATGTACCGCTTACCGTCATGCTGAATGGCCAAGTCATAAAGACCACCAATTCCTCCAATTTGTTCATTTTGCAAAATAGCGGTGGAGATATAGCAGAGAACAATCAAGAGAACTAGTGAATGGACATAGTCAGTTAGGAAAGTGGATTTCAACCCGCCGACTGTAGTGTATAATAAGACCCCGAATGGTATCAACATTGTACTGGCAACAATGTTGAGGTTCCCAGCAATGACAGAGATGGCACCAGAAGCTCCCAAAATCATCGAGGAGCACGACAACAAATTGTTAACCAAGGAAAGGAACATGTACAAGATGTGACAGGCTTTACCGTATCTAATTTCTACAATTTCCAACGAGGTATGACTTCCAGGAATCTTCTTCTTGGCTTCGATCCCAAGAGCAGACATGAGACAGATCTGGAAAGTTATACCCGCCCCGTACCACAACGTGGAAGTGACCCCGTACAAGTAAACCATGGTGACACACCATAAGAACTCGGTGGCCCAACTCCATGACAGGTACACAGCACTGATGGTCAATCCGATCCCTACACTTCTATTTGCAACCAGGAACATTTCCGTTGAGTTTGAGTTTTCATTCAAGTACTTATTCAGAAGCTTGGTGGCAATGACTATACCAATTGCAAAAAGGGCACCCACACCCACGAGAACACCATAGCCTGCGCTTTTGCCCAAGAGCTGAACTGCTTGATCCACAGACGACATTTTATCCATGGAACTCGTTCTTTACATCTACAATTCCCCTACAGAGATTTGTACTCTTTTATATAGCGTCTACAACACTTCACGTTGGATTGACATATAGCAAATAGTGGAAAATTTGCAATACATGCAATGCAGAGCCACAGCTACAACGAGAACCTCATCACCTGAAAAAATATGACAAAGATTCTACGCGAGACCTTAATCACGGTCTGGTGAACAGAAGGAAAATAATGCGCCAATACAGGTGAGCACATATAATAATGAGGCATCCTAGAAAGTTCTAGCCAGTGCTAGCTTATGTGATGCATTGATCAGGATATTGTGGAAGAACGTGGTGGGATCCAGACTCTCCTAATTTCATTTATCAATTGGTTCGCCTGTGAAGTCCTAAACGCCGATGATGTACGAGCGCCACAATTAGACTAGTGTGCGGCAGTGCGGCGGTACGCAGGGGATTGCAAATTAAGAAGCAAAAGAGGACAATCACCCACAAACAAAAGTTTAACAATAGCCATTCTGGGAGAAAATGTCCATCGATTGAATGCATCTTGATTGCTAATATCATTTAAAAGAGCCACACAAAGTTATCGTTTGTAGAGACTACTTGGTGGATCAATGCATGAGCTCGATTGGCTATCGTACATTGGTTGATGTACCTTTCCATGATATGTCATTTTTAGCCAAACTACTTTATGACTCACGGCTCTACGTCTTCGTCATGACATTCCAATTAGAATCTAGGATCTCGCCTGATTCAAACTCTCTGGAACAATTCGCTCTAATAAGTGTCAGGATACAATAGACTTTAGTTCTGCTGTAGGTCTTTCTAACTTCTAAAAAAAACTTTAAATGAAGCATCCATGTGCTTATACATTGTAGGATAGAGGAGTATGAAGAAAAGCACCAGTGGTACATTCTTCTCAAAAATGGGCTCGAAATGTATATTTGGGGTTAGGTTGGGAGAGCCTGTAGATACCAAATATAGTATTGCCGGTTAAAATAAAGTTATCCGAGAGTAGTAGTACTTTGAAGTAAAGTCAATCCAGTGGTGTGAATATTTAGTTTACAAAGAACTACGTCGTAGAAATTTGTTTCATTGACTACCTGCCCACCTGGTAGCCGTGTCTCTTTCCCACGAGGAAATAAGTGTAGATGGTAACGCCAGTAGAGGAGCTGCGAATCATGCTTTGCTTTATTCCTCAGCAACCATGTGAGCTCTCTTCTACTGTAGGTTCGTCAGGCTTCAACTACACTGATGTCTCACTTAAATAAATCTCAAATAAATAGTTGCAAATCTACTGTCTAACAATGTAATCTCTCCAAGCACCTCTAAAAACCTTTGCAAGTGAGTGTCTCCCATCCCAAAGTGGGAATAACCCAACCACCACGAACGCCAAATAAACCCAGAAAACACTCATCCCAGTCCAGCCGATGAAGAACGTTTTGCTGAAAATCCAATCACGGTAGAGTGGCATTGGCCACGCAACCCACGTCAATAAAAGAGATCCAATGGTCGAGCCGTAAGCCAACTTATAGTAGAGACTGAATATTCTCTCATTTTCCTTGTCATCTTCCAGGACTTGCTTTTCACTGTCACTTTCATCGACTTCAAGAACTTGTGTATCCGCTTCCAACTTCTCAATCTGAGGCGTATCCAAATCGGAAGAAGACCCTTCTGAGATTTCAGTACTGGTCGCCTCTTCGTCAATAACAACGATCTCCGACTCCTTGAATTTGGCCCAGTCAAACTTTGAAGGGTTAATGGTGAGAGAAATGAGAATGGAGAGAATACCGGGCAAGAGAACAGTGGTTAAAGATCCATACAAGCAGGGCAATTGTTCACCGGTACTAACAATAGTCACTTCACCATACAATGCGTATGCGGTAGACAACCAGACAGTAATTCCTGAAATCATTCCAACTATCGGAGACACAAATGCAGCCAAGGTTGTTTGTCTTGACCAAGTTATGGTAAGCACCAATGGGATAACCCCAGGACAGATAAGCATGGAGTAGAAATATGACATCCATGTCATATCAACGCCGGCAAAATGAAGCATAACTGAGAACCCGGCTGAAAAAAGTCCGAAAAAGATCACTCCAAGATGGGAAACCCGAATCAATTGTTTGTTTTTAGCATTTGGGTTGATGTACTTCTTGTAAATATCAAAGGAGATGATACTACTGACAGAAATCATCTGGGCACTGACGGTTGAAGTGACGGCAAGGTATATGATGAGCAACAATGCACCAAGAGCCCCATCTCCGAGAATGGCTTTTAAAACGTATGGTAATCCAAATCCACTGTTTATTTCATAAGACGTCATTTTACGTGGGTATATCGGGAAAGAAGGACTGTCTTCCAAGATGACATTGGCAAGCCCGGCAATAGTACCCAAAGACCAGACATTGGCAAAAACAAGCGCACCAGCAATGATATATCCTGGTACCGAAGACTTCAAGTTGGCACTATAACTCTTTTGCCAGAAGGAACTATCCATCACTGTCAATCCCAAATCACCAATGGCGTGAATTAACCCAAAGAATAGAGAGCCCTGAGATTTCCCAGTCAAGAGAGAGCCCTTGTAATTACCCTCGATGTACCGCTTACCGTCATGTTGAACGGCCAAATCATAAAGACCGCCAATGCCTCCAATTTGTTCGTTTTGCAAAATAGCAGTGGAGATATAGCACAAGACAATTAAGACAATGAATGAATGGACAAAGTCGGTAAGGAAAGTAGACTTCAAGCCCCCCACGGTGGTGTAAAGCAAGACTCCAAATGGGATCAACATGGTACTAGCAACAATGTTGAGGTTCCCAGCAATGACAGAGATGGCACCAGCAGCTCCCAAAATCATCGAGGAGCACGACAACAAGTTGTTAACCAAGGAGAGGAACATGTACAAGATGTGACAGGCTTTACCGTATCTGATTTCAACGATCTCCAACGAGGTATGACTTCCAGGGATCTTCTTCTTTGCTTCAATCCCAAGCACCGCCATGAGACAGATCTGGAAGGTTATACCCGCCCCATACCACAATGTGGACATAACCCCGTACAAGTAAACCATGGTGACACTCCACAAAAAGGATGTAGCCCAACTCCATGACAGGTAGACCGCACTAATAGTTAAACCGATCCCCACGCTTCTATTTGCAACCATAAACATTTCCGTGGAGTTTGAGTTTTCGTTCAAGTACTTATTCAGGAGCTTGGTAGCAATGACTATACCAATTGCAAAAAGGGCACCCACACCCACGAGAACACCATAACCTGCGCTTTTGCCCAAGAGTTCAACTGCTTGGTTTTGAGATGACATTTTTACTGATTGAACTTGTTCGAATGTCTACAATTTTCTACTGAATTTCATATTCTTATATAGACTGGACTGCAACACCTCATGCGGGCTGGCGGTTGCACCAACGGAATCTTCCCTGGCGTTTCAGAAATTCCATAGATAGCAGCTGATCCACATATTTTTTTAATCAGATAAAATGTGCAGCCACACATTGAAATAGAGTTGGACAAATCAGAGAATTTCGTGTGACATCCGTACCACCCCGAGAACTTGAGTGTAGTATTGAAGAAGCAAAGATGAATGTTGGTGTGGGATCAATTACTAAGTGATGAGTAAGTCAGATGGGCCCATTTATCTTTTCATTGTACAACATACGTTAGAGGGTCCGGCTTGGAGGTTCCACGCCAAACTCGGCTCGGGTTAACACCGTTGACACACATAAAGACTGCCACAATTACCAGTGACATGGTGCGGCGCTACGCAGGGGAATTCAAAGTTAGAAAGTGCTTACATAAAACGCCTTGGAGACCTAGAACCAAGCAGCTTGGCTATATTAACCACTCTAGTAGAACAAGGTCTTCAATTTAATGAATCGTACATTAACAAATTTACTTCAACAGAATTACTTGTGAGTCTAAGTACACGAATGATGTGATCTATGCACCTTTGACAACACCGGCAAGCACGGCGCGCCAGTGGCTAAGTAGATCCACATCAAAGTATCCAATTTTAACCTGAAGTGTTGTATTGACAAGGGAAACCACCGAAGGTGGGAGTCTTGTTAACTCAGGACATTTTTTGTTTTTGGCTGCAAAAACTCCACGAATCACAGGCATACCAAGTCTCAATACCATGCAAGAGGTTCGGCTGCTTGAACGCTGGGGATATCTGCTTCAGCTTATCATTGTCATAAATAGAGTTTAGTTCTCCAGTACGTCGTCTAAAAAGAATATGAGGCACTGCGGAACCTTATACCTTGTTGCGCATCCTTTTTAGCGCCAAGAGGAAGCAAGTATTAGCGGATGGGTGGTTATTTCCGGTCAAGGATAATGCTTAGCAAGTGTTTGCTAAGGATGTTGTGATTATGGCTAGAGATTTTGTGGACCAGAAGAAGGACTCCAACTGAGCTAAGTGGAGGGTGGTCAAGAAATACGATCAAATGAGCAGTATAAAACAAAATATGTATATTTAGTATGAGTCTACCTATTGAAAGGAGACGGTTTAACTATTGATAGACTCCCTTTTAAGCCACCAACAGTGGCTCCTCTTGGCCCTTCTGATGAGCAAATTAAATGATTGTGGTCTTTTAGAGGAAGGAACCACAGTGGCTCAAGTAGAGTCCAATGGGGGAATTTCTCTGCCCACACAGGCACCCCGTGATAGGGATACTGCTGTGACTACAGTAGGACCTCCTAATCCCAACTACAATAGCATCTCTTCCTTATACTATTGAACATATAAATAGGTGTAAATTCACTTCTTCACAAGGTAATCCGCCCAAATACCTCTAAAGACTTTGGCAAGCTCACGTCTCCCGTCCCAGACAGGATACAAACCAACCACAACGAACGCTAGGTACACCCAGACCATACTCATCGACGTCCAACCAATGAAGAACGGACGACTCCAGATGTAATCCCGGTAGAGAGGTAAGGGCCAAACGACCCATGTCAACAAGAGAGTGAAGATGGTTGACCCATAGGCAAGCTTGTAGTAGAGACTGAACGTTTTGGCAATATCTTTGTCAATAGCATCTTGTTCCAGAGATTGTCGTTCTTCGTCACAGCCATTAACATCAGCAACAACCACTTCACTTACCACCTTTTTAGAAACAGAGTCATTGGACGTATCTTCCAAGACAGACTCCTTTTCAGAAACAGATGAATCGTCGTTCACCGCTACGATAAGCTTAGCCTCTTTGAACTTATCCCAGTCGAACTTGTATGGATGGATGGTTAAGGAGATGATTATCGAGAGGATGGCCGGCAATAATAGAGTGGTCATAGACCCATATAAACAGGGCAATTGTGCACCGGTAGAGACTATAGTCACTTCACCATAGAATGCATGTGCCGTGCCCAACCACACTGCAATACCTGCAATCATACCAACGATTGGAGAGACTAAAGCTGCCAATTTGGTTTGACCTGACCAAGTGATAGTGAATACAAGAGGGAACACCCCGGGACAAACAAGCATGGAAATAAAGTAGCCCATCCACGTCATGTTCACTCCGACATAGTGGAGCATAACGGAGAAGGCGGCTGCAAAAAGTCCGAAAAACACCACTCCAAAGTGTGAGGCTCTGATCAAGTGTTTGTTCTGGGCGTCTGGCTTGATGTATTTCTTGAAAATGTCAAAGGAGATGATGCTACTGACAGAGATCATCTGGGCACTAACGGTGGAAGTCACGGCAAGGTAGATGATGAGCAACAACGCCCCAAGAGCACCGTCTCCAAGGACGGCTTTCAACACATAGGGCAACCCAAACCCACTGTTAATCTCGTAGGAAGTCATTTGACGTGGGTAAGTAGGGAAAGAGGGTCTGCCCTCCAAGATGACGTTGGCAAGCCCAACAATAGTACCCAAGGACCAAACATTGGCAAACACAAGTGCACCAGCGATGATGTACGCTGGGACCGAGGCCTTTAAGTTGGCACTGAAACTCTTTTGCCAGTAGGAGCTGTCCATGACCGTCTTCCCCGTGTCGGATATGGAGTGGATCAAGCCAAAGAAGAGAGCTCCCTGCGACTTCCCCGTAAGGAGAGATCCTTTGAAGTTTCCCTCGATGTACCGCTTGGCGTCGACCTGCACTGCCAAGTCATAAAGACCACCAATGCCACCGATTTCCTTGTTAAGCAAGATGGCGGTGGGGATGTAACACAAGACAATCAAGAGAATGAAAGAATGGACAAAGTCGGTAAGGAAAGTAGACTTCAAGCCCCCCACGGTGGTGTAAAGCAAGACTCCAAATGGGATCAACATGGTGCTTGCAACTATATTGAGATTTCCTGCGGTGACCGAGATGGCTCCAGCAGCACCCAAGATCATGGTGGCACACGACAACAAGTTATTGACCAAGCACAAGAACATGTATAAGATATGGCAGGCCATGCCGTACCTCAACTCGACAATCTCTAAACAAGTGTGACTTGCAGGGATCTTCTTCTTGGCCTCGATCCCGAGCACGGACAAGAGACAGATCTGCACCGTGAGGCCAGCACCGTACCAGAACGCCGACATGACCCCGTACAAGTAGACCATGGTGACACTCCACAAGAATTCGGTGGTCCAACTCCACGACAGATAGACGGCACTTATGGTCAAGCCAGTCCCAACTGTTCTGTTGGCGACCATGAACATCTCGGTGGAGTTTGGGTCTTCGTCCAAATACTTGTTCAGAAGGCGGGTGGCCACTACGATACCAAGGGCAAAGAGGGCACCGACTCCGACAAGGACGCCGTATCCAGCGCTTTTCCCCAAGAGATGTACTGATTGTTCTTCTATTGCGGACATGTTTTGTAGTTTCTTGAGGAGATGGACATACTGGAGGCTACAGCTCTACATGATATAAATAGCCGTGAATAGAAGGCATACGTGCCACACCAAGTTCAAAGAGATACGTAAATGGCTGAAGTATAACCTAATTGATCGCCACAAATTCCTCATAGAGAGACACGATAAGAGGACGTGGGCTTAGGGAAAGAGAGGTGTGTGATAGGAATTCGAGCCACTGTTACTCACTAGATACCAGTCAAGCGTGGATATGGGTTACTGCTCCGGAGTGCGACACAGAGTTTGAGGGATAAGAGACTTCCACCGGGTGCTTCATACAGTTAGGCTCATCCAATTCCAAGAACTGGGACTCAACAATACAAAACAAATTGAGTAGCTATCAGCGAATTATGGATGGAATTTCATATCCCTAAACCTTAATGGAGGTGCCACAATGTGTCGGGTCGGGTCGGGCCGGGCTCCATTCTTATATTAAAGCTAAACGATTGTCCTCAGTTTCAGCCATTTGTCAGCTTCCAGATTCTTTCATGGCCAGTCTTGTATATGACCATAGGGGGGGGGGGGGGGGGCATTGACAAAGGAAGAGGTCGGTCATGATATTTTCCACAGGTCGGTACAGTTGCGAAAATTCTCTCAGCCTGGCCGTACTACTATGGTGAAGGCTACCCAGAGAGACGAGGAGACTTGGATGGCGGACAGGTGTAAACCTCACGTCTCTGGGGAGCGGTACCTTCTATCTCACTTCCTGGAACTATTGAAAGGAAGCACAAGATATGTGCCTGGGGGGCGAAGGAAACGGACTCGGGTATCATGCTGCAGATCTCGACAGGGGTCAACAAATAAGCCATCTTGCATGCCACACACAGTTGGTACTGGACGGTGAGAATGACGTGCGAGTGGCTCTGCTGTAGGGAAATGCAAAACGGGTACTTTGGAAAATATCCAAGTAGTAGCTAGTCTAGGAAGACTAGGTATACACGAGTCATGTGTGCCGTTCCGCCACTTGCCATGGGCCACTAGCGTTAGCGGCCTTGTTCATATGGCAAGGAAGAAGCTACCACTACATATAAAACTCCTCGTAGAGTAGCTAGCCACCACGCAGTGGCTCCCGCCGAGCGGAGCGGACCGTCTTAGAGTCCCACCGGGGAAGTGAGAGGCCACAGACCCTACGGGGTATGCAAGCCGCTCCGCTGGCACTCCGTGGGCCACTAGCCGTGGATGCCTTGTTCCTCTCACGAGGAAGTGTGTGGGGGCCTCTGATCTCCTCGTAGAGGAGCTAAGCACCACCCAGTGGCTTTCCCCGAGCAGGGGCCAGCGGAGCGTCTTACAGTCCCGCAGGGGAGCAAGTGGACCCGATCCTACGTGGAGGGAGCTGTATCCAAGCCTGCCCTATGATGTCTACCTCTTGGTTTGAACTGTATTAGTGTCTTCATAAAGCTATGGTACATAAATAAATAGTTGTAGGCTCACTTTTTCACAAGGTAATCATTCCAAACACCTCTGAACACCTTGGCAAGCTCGTGTCTTCCATCCCAAAGAGGATACACACCAACAACAAGGAACGCCAAGTAGATCCACACCACACTGACAGCCGTCCATCCAATGAAGAACGGACGACTCCAGATGTAGTCACGGTAGAGAGGCAAGGGCCAGACCACCCACGTCAACAAGAGAGTGAAGATTGTGGAACCGTAGGCGAGCTTGTAGTAGAGACTAAATGTTCTTTCGTTATCCCGGGCAAGAGTATCTTCATCCAGTGATTGTAGTTCAACATCACTAGCCTCGATGTCATCCACCAGCACGTTGTCACCGATAGCCTTTTTCGACTCGGTCTCATTGGTTGAGGGCTCTACAATAGATTCCTTTTCGGAGATTGAGGTGTCATCCTCCTCGACCATCACAATGAGCTTTGCCTCTTTGAACTTGTCCCAGTCAAACTTTGAAGGGTTGATGGTTAAGGACAAGACGATCGAGAGCACGGCTGGGAGAAGCAAGGTGGTCATCGATCCGTACAAACAGGGTAATTGCTGACCGGTACTGAAGATGGTGACCTCGCCATAGAAGGCGTAGGCGGTTCCTAACCAGACAGCAATCCCTGAGAGCATTCCCACGATGGGGGACACAAATGCCGCCAACGTTGTTTGTCTCGACCAGGTGATTGTGAAGATTAAGGGGAACACCCCGGGACAGATGAGCATGGAGTAGAAGTAACCCATCCAGGTCATGTCGACACCGACATAATGGAGCATGACGGAGAACCCAGCGGCAAAAAGTCCGAAAAACACCACTCCAAAGTGAGAGGCCCTGATCAAGTGTTTGTTCTGGGCGTCTGGCTTGATGTATTTCTTGTAGATGTCAAAGGACATGATACTACTGACAGAGATCATCTGGGCACTAACAGTGGAAGTCACGGCAAGGTAGATGATGAGCAACAATGCACCAAGGGCTCCATCCCCGAGTAAAGTCTTCAAGACGTAGGGTAAACCAAACCCATTGTTGATTTCATAGGAAGTCATCTTACGTGGATAGGTGGGGAATGAAGGACTGTCTTCGAGGATGACATTGGCAAGTCCAACAATGGTTCCCAAGGGCCACACATTGGCAAAGATGAACACAGCGGCAAGAATATAGGCAGGGACAGAAGATTTAAGGTCTGCACTGAAACTCTTTTGCCAGAAGGAACTATCCATTACCGTCAACCCAGTATCACCAATGGCATGAATTAACCCGAAAAAGATGGCTCCCTGGGACTTCCCAGTCAAGAGAGATCCCTTGTAGTTACCCTCAATGAATCTTTGCCCGTCATGTTTAAGGGCAAGGTCGTAGAGACCACCAATGCCACCAATTTCCTCATGAGCCAAAATGGATGTAGAGATGTAACACAAGACAATCAAGAGAATGAAAGAATGAACAAAGTCGGTAAGGAAAGTAGACTTCAAACCCCCCACGGTGGTGTAAAGCAAGACACCAAATGGGATCAACATGGTACTGGCAACAATGTGGAGGTTCCCAGCAATGACAGAGATGGCACCAGCAGCACCCAAAATCATCGAGGCACATGACAACAAGTTGTTGACTAACGACAAGAACATGTACAAGATGTGACAGGCTTTACCATATCTCAACTCTACAATTTCCAACGAGGTATGACTAGCAGGGATCTTCTTTTTGGCCTCGATCCCAAGTACCGACATGAGACAGATCTGCACCGTGAGTCCAGCACCGTACCAGAACGCCGACATGACCCCGTACAAGTACACCATGGTGACACACCACAAGAACTCGGTGGCCCAACTCCACGACAGATAGACGGCACTGGTAGTCAATCCCGTTCCTACAGATCTATTTGCAACCATAAACATCTCGGTGGAGTTTGGGTCTTCGTGCAAGTACTTGTTCATGAGCTTTGTGGCCACGACAATGGCGAGGGCAAAGAGCGCCCCGACTCCGACAAGGACACCATAGCCTGCGCTTTTGCCCAAGAGTTGCACTGTTTGTTCTTCTGCGGACATGTTTGGTGGGTTAGTTGGTTATTGTCTAGAGGGGGAGATACGGCAGTATCATTATATATAGCGGAGGCTAGAATGCCACACTTGTTGCAGCAATAGAGAAACGAACAGACCGCCACACATTGAAGAATGGGGGTTTGATTGTAGAGGCGGGGTCATGAGAGTAGGGAGGAAGTCATGAGAGTAGGGGGGGGCGAAGAGCCTTCTTGAGAGTAGCAGGGACTAGCCTAGAGAGTAGAGATAGTATCGATGGGCATAGTTAAACAAATAAGACGTATATAAGCTATACACTCTACTCATTGTGTACAAAGGTTAATATCATGACTCGGGTCGGGACGGGGCAAGATTTATTTTTTTTGAGGAAATTTTGATAGGTAGGAACACCTGACGTATATCGAATAGTCCTGTCTCGGAATCCATTACGGAATCCATCACATGTGCGCCAAGCCTCAGGCTATTTGCAATGCCATGCTGTCATCGTGAACAGGTGTCAAATGTCCAATGATACGCCTGTCTCGGCCCGGCCCGGGTGGCAGCCGCCACAGTTTGCGGAACCGCGAGATTGCGCAGGTTGCAAAAATTTTGCAGCCGCACGCGCAACGTGAGTGTTGCAATTGTGGCGCCAGCTTGCCAGAGAGCACCCCGAGAGTGGTGCTACCTGCTGATTGTCGAGGGGGAGGACCTTGTCCTAGTATATGAATGGGCGGGAATCGGCCCGTTCCAAAGAAAGACGTACGTACTGGACAACCACAAATTTCAATTTTTTCTTCATGACTCAAGACAGAAAACCACTCATTATCACCGCCTTCGACATGGGATGCCTGGGGCTTCAAGCTCCAGGGCTTTGGAAACATCCCAAGGACCAGTCGGCCAAGAAAGACTTGAACTACTGGACCAACTTGGCCAAGCTCTTGGAAGAAGGGAAGTTCAATTCTTTCTTCATTGCCGATGTCATTGGTGGGTACGATGTTTACAATGGCCCACGTAACCTCACGGCTGCCGAGACTTCTGGAGCTCAATGGCCTGTTCTTGAACCAAGTTTGTTTGTTCCAGCCATGGCTGCTGTGACCAAGAACATTGCCTTTGGGGTCACCTTCAGTACCATCAGTGAATCACCATATCTTTTCACCAGAAGATTGGCCACCTTGGACCATTTGACCAATGGACGTGTTGGATGGAACGTGGTGTCTTCCTATTTGGACAGTGCTGCTAGAAACACTCTTGGTGGTCAAGACTTGCCTCCACATGACGAGAGATATGTCCGGGCCGAGGAATACCTCCAAGTCGTTTACAAGTTATTTTTATCGTCCTGGAGTGATGATGCCGTCAAGTTGGACCGTGAACTGGGAGTGTTCACCGATCCAGAAAAGGTTAGAGAGATCAATCATGTTGGTAAATATTTCAATGTTCCAGGACCAAACATTGTCCATCCAACCCCACAAAGATTGCCCGTGATCTTACAAGCCGGTGCCTCATCTGCCGGTAAGGACTTTGCCGCCAGGAACGCTGAAGTTGTGTTCTTGACCGTGTTCACTCCAGAAAAGTTGGCCTTGGAAATTGCTGCTGTTAAGAAGATTGCCAAGGAAAAGTATGGAAGAGAAGAAGGGTCCATCAAGTTTGTTCAATTGCTCACCACCATCATTGGCAAGACCCACGAAGAGGCTGCAAGCAAGTACAAGGAGTACAAGAGCTACGGGGACAAAGAGGGTGCCCAAGCCTTGTTCAGTGGATGGACCGGGATCGATATCGGTAAGTACGGAAAGGACGAAGAACTTGTTCACGTTGAAAGTAATGCCGTGCGTGGGTTTGTCGAAAACTGGACCAAACTCTCCCCTGGAGATGACCCAAATATCAAGAAGACCAGAGACTACGTGGCGGACCAGATCACCGTTGGAGGACTTGGTCCTGTTTTCTGGGGTACTGCCGAAGAAGTGGCAGACAAGATCGAACACTGGGTGGACGTGTCCAAGGTTGACGGGTTCAACTTCACGTACGCCGTGACCCCAGGCACTTTCGAAGACATTGTCTACGAATTGATCCCTGTCTTGCGTAAGAGAGGCTTGGCATGGGAGGACTACCCTAAGGAAGGACTCACTTTCAGAGAGCAATTGTTTGGAACAGACCGTGAAGAGTCAACCTTTGTCGAAGAGTCCCACCCGGCACACAAGTTGAGATGGAGAGCTGGAGTTTCCAAGGAGGAATTTGAAGCTCTGTTGGAAAAATAGGATATATGATACATAGCACATGAATTGACGTTATAGCAGACTTCACTGTAGGCCAACAGGCAATGTAGCTTGAGACTCGGAAGGGAGTGCAAGACGCTCCGCTGGCCCCTGCTCGGGGAGAGCCACTGCGTGGTGCCTAGCTCCTCTACGAGGAGACCCCCTCCCACTCGACTCTATTCCTCGTTAGAGGAACAAGGCCACCACGGCTAGTGGCCCACGGAGTGCCAGCGGAGCGGCTTGCATACCCCGTAGGGCAGGTGGCCACTCACTTCCCTGTGGGACTGAAAGCCGCTCCGCTGGCCCCTGCTCGGGGAGAGCCACTGCGTGGTGCCTAGCTCCTCTACGAGGAGATCTATTATCTGGACACCTTCCTCGTTAGAGGAACATGGCCTCCACGGCCAGTGGCCCACGGAGTGCCAGCGGAGCGGCTTGCGTACGCCTGAGAGTAGTGTAGGAGTCCTGGGAGTAGTTCCGAGGCCTCGGGTCAGTACCGAAGTTGTAGGTGTGGTGCCATAGGGTCAGATGGGAATGTTCTCTACAGATAGGAAGAAATAAATAACCGTGTATGAAAACTAAACTAATATATGAAATGCAGATCAATGGATCAGGACCACGTACTTCTCGGCCCTGGCGCCGATGTCCTCGAGGTCCTGCAAACCGTCGCCAATCAGGTGGAGCCCGCCGCTGTAGGACTTGTGTCTTACGGGCTGAATGGCCCGGTTGTGAATATATTCGGTGGTCACGTCGACGAAACGTTTGCCGTACTCGACGTCCTCGTGGAACAGCTTGATGACCACTTCTCGGAACTCCACGTTGGTGGGGAACTCTTTGGGGAGTCCCACGATTCCGGCAAAGAGCGGTGGGGTGGTGGAGGCTCCGCTGGCATTGGCACGTTGGCTCAAGATGTCCAACACCACCAGTGATGTCTCCTTGGACACACAGTCCACGCCGTAGTCGACCCGTTCTTGCACGAGATTGGCGATTTCTGTAGCGGATAAGTGACGATCAATGACAACGTCGGCACCAAGGTCTTGCAAGTATTGTTGGTGTTGCAAGCTGGCCACGGCAATGACCCGCAATCCCGCGATCTTGGCTAGTTGGATGGTATAGATTCCCACGACGGTGGCACCTCCCCAGATGAGAATGGTTCCGTTGACCGGTTGTGGAGTGGTTGAGAGCTCAAAGCCAAAGCTCTGGTACATGATGACTCCTGCAGTGACCAAGCCAACGCCGAGCGTGGCCCCATGTTCGTAGGAGAGGAACTCGGGCAATCTCCATACAAGTCGCGAATCGATCGCAGTGTATTGTTGGAAGGTGCTGGTTCTATTGTCTCGGTAGCTGGTACTGCTGACAATGACATCGTCGTTGGGGGCGAGATGGGTGACCTTGCTACCACATTTCACCACGACACCACTACTTTCACGGCCATTGATCCAGGGGAAGTTGTAAACTCCGAACCGGTACTTCTTTCCCTTCCAATCGATCGGGTTGAGTCCAACCACCTTGTTCTGCACAAGGACGTCATGGTCTCCTAGCACCGGGATAGGGATCGATTGCACGGCTAACGGCTCATGGAAAGCAGTGATCAACAACGCCTGTTGGAGTTGTTCTGGCGGTTCCTCACGGGTTATATTTGCTCCGGTTTCAAAGGTTGGGATCACCAATTGTTGGACCTGTGTCATGATAGAGAGAGTGTGTCTATGAGTGCTGGAAGCTTATGGATGAACAGCTTGGTAGATGAGCAGCTTGGTGGATCAACGAGCAAGAGTGTTGGAGTCCGGAGAAACCCCTGTCTTGGCCTTCGCTGCTCTTCTATATAAACGCTAGACAGTCAGGTCCACTTTGCCTGCATGGCAGGCAGGCGGAATTTTGCACCCACACCCGAGAGCCAACCGAGATTGCGAATCAAAACGTAATCAAGATGCAAGACGCACGACGCACATCGCACCCGAGTGTGGCGTCAAAAGCCACAGTTTTTCCGTTTTCTCTTGCAACCAACCAGATCATCCGGGGGGGGGCCAACTCATACTCGCAGCAGGGGAGTGCCCGCCACAGTCGGAGGTCCTTTGGGGTCTCTATTGGTCCACAGTGATAAGTGCTTGGAAGATCTATTGGCCCACAGTTAGGAGGTGACATCCTTATCCTATTCGTGATCAGCCGCGCCACTACACTGTGCTATAAGTAGAGGAGGTGCAGTCTTCTTCTGTAGCTCATAGCCCCTCTCCCCCTCCCCTCTCTCGCTACACTCCGACTCTTATGACCTTTCCCGAAATAGAAACCGTAGCCATCGTAGGTGCCGGCCCTGGTGGTCTTGCATCGCTCTATGAATTCCTCCATCTTAACAAGGATGGAAGTTCAACCGTTGGTTCGGCTCCGTCAGCCGACCCGAAGTTTGCAGTCACCGTGTTTGAGCAGAAATCAAGTGCCGGAGGTATTTGGGCCCCCAGTGAAGAGGCAGACTTGCCTGTCCCTCCACAACATTTGTTGGACACTGACCGGTACAACGAACCGGACGTCATCCACCCAAAGGTCCCCATCCCAGAGGAGGTCCGTGCCGATGGAAGCGCCGCCACCTACAACTCTCCATATGTCACCCAGCTGAAACAACTCGATCGTGAGCTTGAATGGAAAAGAAGTGGGGTGTATCCAGACTTGTTCACCAACATTCCTTCGAGATTTATTCGGTTCCTGTACCAGGACAACGAGCCAGAGTACAATGACAAGAAGCGGGCCATCTACCCATTCCTCACTCAAAAGGAATTGGCTCTGCGGTTTACCAATTTCATTGCCAAGGAGCAACTCTCAAAGCACATCCGCTACAACACAAGGGTTGAAGAAGTCACCAAGGATCAAGCCCGTGGCAAATGGATCATCACTGTGCGTGAGACAAACGAGAAGGCAGGTACTGAAAGTTGGTACAAGCAAGAGTTTGACGCAGTGGTGGTGGCCAATGGCCATTACACAGTGCCCAACTTCCCCCGGTTGAAAGGGTTGGCCGAGTTCAACCGTAAGAACCCAGGCGTGTTGATCCATGCCAAGTCGTACCGAGACCTGAACATCTTCCGGGGCAAGCGTGTGTTGGTGGTTGGAGGAGGAATCTCTGCCGCCAACTTGGTTCAATACATTTTCCCCTTGGCCCTGGAAACTGTCATCACTCGTAGGGGTCCACATCTTGTATTCCCCTGGATTGATCTGGGATTGGAATCCCCTGGTATAGTGACCAAGCCTCCTATTCAGGAGTTCCAGGACGATGGGTCGGTTGTCTTTACCGATGGCAGTGTGGCCGACAAGTTTGACGTGGTTCTCCTCACCACGGGGTACCATTACCATTACCCATTCTTGGACAACTACTTGAAGGTTGTTGATCCTTCCAATTTGAGTAGAGTTGCCGGGCTTTACCAGCAAACATTCTCCATCGATGACCCAACGTTGGCGATCGCCGGGGTTGCCGTTTCCGCCATCAACTTCCACACCATCGAGGCCAGTGCTGCGGCCATTGCCGGGGTTTGGTCTGGTGCCAAACAACTCCCTCCACGCGAAGAGCAACAGAAGTGGGAGACCGACAGAGTTGCTGCGTTGGGCGACAACTTGTTCTTCCATTACTACCCCTATGCGACGGTTGAGGCCGATTACATTGCCCAATTGCACGCATATGCGGCCCATGGCAGACCTAGTCCGTTTGTTGAGGACGGCAAGTACGTGGCAGACGTTGGTGTTGGGCTTGACTATTTGGAGCAATTGTTCTACAAGTTGAAGGAGGGCAAGTTGACCATCGAGGAGACGAAGTAGCCGGTCCCCACGGGAGCACGGGAGGCGCGTGGGGAGGGGCGGGTACGCGTACAGGGACCCCGGACAGGGATACCGCCGTCCACGAGTATATATACTTTAATATGAGATAGTGACGTTTGAGACGAGTGTAGGAGTGGGCTGTAGGGCACGTTGGGTGGGAGTCGACCTGGTGGAGAGGCGTGCATGGGAGAAGGTAGGGGGACTTGGAAACCCTACGGAGTCTGGCAGGCCGTGCGCCACTGGCCGTGGTGGGTTCTCCTCGAGAAGGGAGTAGTAGAGCAGCTTGGGAGTCCCACGGTGGAGGGGGGGAGGGGGTCGAAACCCTACGGGGTCTGTGAGCCGCTCCGCTGGCACTCCGTGGGCCACTAGCCGTGGGGGCCTTGTTCCTCTGACGAGGAAGGTGACAAGGTAAGTAGATCTCCTCGTAGAGGAGCTAGGCACCACGCCAGTGGCTCTCCCCGAGCAGGGGCCAGCGGAGCGTCTTTCAAGTCCCACAGGGAAGTAAGTTGCCACCTGCCCTACGGGGTATGCAAGCCGCTTCGCTGACACTCCGTGGGCCACTGGCCGTGGAGGCTTTGCTCCTCTATCGAGGAGAGTGGAGAGGAGCCAGGCCCCACGCCAGTGGCTCTCCCCGAGCAGGGGCCAGCGGAGCGTCCCTCACGCCCCTCGACTAGCCACCCACACCCTCCCTTGACCTCCCCGCCGCTCCGTCCATGGGCCACCTCTGCCCGTCCATTTGGCTGCAAACACCTCCCTCCTCCTCTCCGGCACATAAGCCCCCTCCCCCACACTCTGCGGGATCCGCGCGCGCGCGCACCCATCGCTCGAAACCCCCGCGATATGCCTCCCCTACCTCGCACCCCCTGCTGTTGCCTACTGCCCTCCCCTGCTCTCCCATGCTCTCCCCTGCTCTCCCCTGCTCTCTGCCACCCTCTTCTCTCCTCCAGTGAAAGTGCGCCCCCGCCTCCTCGTCACTCTCCCCAGCAAGTGACTCCCTCCTGACTCACACCCGCCATGGCAGACCCTACAATCAACTTCCATGTCCAAACGAGACTGACACAATTTAAAATCCCCACCGAACTTCTCAAGAAAAACTTCAAGGCGGTACAGAAATTGCTAGAGAAACAAAAGAAGACCTTGGCTGAAGAGGCGACCAAGGTGGCACGGAACGAATCACTCCCAGCCCCCATGAGACTCCAATTGGTCCGCAAGTTGGTACGTAGTGCCGAACAGTTCCATCAACGACTTGTCGCATTGGCAGCACTTGATCGAGAATATCGCGAACGTTTGGTGGCGAGAAATGCGAAACTTCAACAATTGCGACTTTGTACCGTCAAGGGGGGCAAACAAGATCAAATTTTAGATTTAAATTCTTATACGTTGATCAATTGGTATAGAGACGAGACAAATTTGGCAATTGTTGAGTATTTGATAAGGACATCTGGGAGTGAGTTGGAAGTGCCAGTAAAGGTGCTGGATACTGATGAATTGGTAGGGGTGCTGTCAATTGAAGAGGAGGAAATGGAAATTGAAATAGCCCCTTTTCTGGGAATCGCGCGCCCGGGGATCGAACCGGGGATCGCCCCCCTTCCACCGAAAAAGAGAAAGACTATAAACAGGGGGGTGGCAAAAGTCGGTGAGGAGGGTACATCCACCACCACCACCACCACCACCACCACCAGTGCAAGCACTGATGGAAGCACTGGCTCTGTTAGCCTTGGTATTGACCTTCTTAATCATCTCCTGCAAAAAAACCCCGAACTTTATAAATTAATTGACTATGACGTCTATCACGAGTTCAATCACGTGCACCGCTCGATCCAAAGGTTCCATACCTTGTCCCCTGTATCAGCTTGGTTCAATGAAAATAAACCTTTACTCAAGAAGATCCATTCTAATTTGGACTTTGAGATTAAGTATTGTCGTCTCCTCTCTCTCATTGAAGAGGGGAAAGTCGGGGAAGCCATGAGGTACTCTCATGAGAACTTGTCGCTGTACGGCAATAAGGACAATTATGATAAGGAGAATGACCATCGGGCTGCTAATCTTGATAAGTTGAAGAGGATAGGTGGGCTTTTATTGTATTTGTCGGTCAACACCACCACCACCACCACCACTAGTGGCGTAGCCAGTGGTGGTGTTGATGCTACTACTGCAGCTGGTGCTTCCTCTACTGGTGCTTCCTCTACTGATTCTGGAGGAGCTTGCGCCTTCGGCTCCAGCTCCCTCTCTAATTCTGTAGCAGCTCATTCCCCTGGCTTCCAAGAACATCGCAAACTCCTTTCCCACGGCCGATGGCAATCACTCGCCCAATGCTTTGTGGATGACTTCACACGCTTGTACGGAATCAGCAAGACTTACCCGTTGTTCGTCTACCTTTCGGCCGGGATCTCCTCCCTCAAGACCAAGAGTTGTTACTGCAACTATGAGAACACCGTGTTCGATCGGCCAGACACCCCTGGCGGCATTGACACTCATCCAGCAGCAGGGGTCGCCGCCACTACTCCCGTAGCTCCTCTCAGTTCCTCTCCAGCGGGAGCCACCCTTGACAGATCCTCTCCAGGGGACGTTGCCAGTACTTCCCCTGGTCACACTTCCCCTGGTCACACTTCCCCTGGTTACACTTCCGCTTCCACTTCCACCGGTCTGAGGTCTGCGGCGACCCCTGGTGTCGGGCCCAACGAGTACTACAAGCGCCTCCACAAGGTGAACAATTGCCCCGTGTGCTCACCGGAGCTCTTCCAACTCGGCCAGAACTTGCCGTACGCCCAGCTCATCACCCGCATCTTCAACAACCCGCACGTGCTCCCCAACGGCAACATCTACGCGTTCGACAAGCTCTTGCAGCTCGCACAGCTGCGCAACAAGCTCCACCCACAGCTGCTGCTGCTGCTGCTGCTGCTGCTGGCCAAGTTGTTCCAGACCGTCCAGGACCCCTTGACCAAGGAGGAGTTCCTCGTTGACGACTGTGTTCGTGTTTACGCGGCCTAGGCCCCGTCATATGATCCCCCACCGCCTGCTCCCACCGCCTGATGTGCTGTCTCCAGTCTGGAGCTTTGCCCCGCTCTCGCACAGGCTGCTCTGCTCACGAGCGTCATGTAGGCCGAGACCTACCTCGCTCCCCTCGTCAGAGGAGCAAGGCCACCGCGGCCAGTGGCCCACGGAGTGCCAGCGGAGCGACTTGCACCTCCTCCGAGAGCTGTCCCCCTGACCTGCGGGACTCGTATGCCGCTCCGCTGGCCCCTGCTCGGGGGGAGCCACTGCGTGGGGCCTGGCACCTCTTCGAGGTGTCCTTGTGACGTGGTACGCTCTCCTCGTCAGAGGAGCAAGCCCTCCACGGCTAGTGGCCCACGGAGTGCCAGCGGAGCGGCTTGCTCACCCCGTAGGGTGGGGAGTACACCCTCTCCGCGTGTGACTCTCTGACGCTCTGCTGAGAGCTACTGGAGGGGCTTTCTCTCCCCGTAGGGCGTCCAGACTATGTGGCAACTTACGGCTTTCCTTGCTGGGCCTTGCACCTGGTGCGCCGCCACTGGGGGTTGGGGTAAGCCGCTCCGCTGGCCCCTGCTCGGGGGGAGCCACTGGCGTGAGGCCTGGCACCTCTCCGAGGTGTCCCCATGACTCAGCTCTCTCTCTCCTCGTCAGAGGAGCAAGCCCTCCACGGCTAGTGGCCCACGGAGTGCCAGCGGAGCGGCTTGCTCACCCCGTAGGGTGGGGAGAACACCCTCTCTCCGTGGGACTCTCTGACGCTCTCGGGGCCCCTGTTCGGGAGAGGGCCTCACAAAGCTCTCTCCTCGTCAGAGGAGCAAGGCCTCCACGGCCAGTGGCCCCCGGAGGGCCAGCGGAGCGGCTTGCTCACCCCGTAGGGCAGCCAGACTGCGTGGCGACAGACTACGGGAGGAGAGGAGAGGAGAGGAGAGGAGAGGTGGGGACTGGTACTGCTGCTATATAGCTTACATGGGGGCAATTGTATACATTAGTTTTAATAAAATGACGACTGGTGGGTCTCTACGTAAGTTTTGAGATGTACTCCTTCATGGAGAGGGTGGTGAAGCCGTCGACGGAGGTGGTCTGGGGTGGTGGAGGAGACGACAGGAACGTGCCCACCGCGGGGGGTGCGCTTGAGTGCACCTCGTGCGAACCCGCGGCGCCCGCAAAGGAGAAGCCCTTGAACGTGGGGGAGTGGTGGTGGTGGTGGTGGGGGCGCGCGGACGAGGGCTCGGAGTCGAGATCATCGCCCAGAAAGCCGGTCTCTGAGTCCTTTTCCTTGTCGAGCATGTCTGCGTAGGAGTAGAAATTGATGGTTTTAGCGTCCGGTGCGAGCGAGGGGCTGCCGTGGTGGAAATGACTCGAGAGCGAGGCGTTCGACAAGTTTGAGCGAACTGACGGAGATTTGGGGCCCAGGGGTGGCGAACGGGGACCGGCACCCGTTGCCAGTGAGTGGGGGTGCAGGTGGGGGTGCGAGTGCGAGTGCGAGTGTGGGTGGGCCGTCAGAACTGACTGGGATGTGGGGGGCAGTGACATTGAGCTCATGAGGGAGTTGCAAATGATTGAGCGCGAACGAGACCGCGAACGCGACTTTCTATACTTTGGGTGACCACAAGGGCCAGTGGTGTTGTCTCCCTCGTCGACACCAGAGGAAGAGGTTAGCGGTGGTGCTCCTGGAACAGGAGCAGACAAAGATTGGACACCGGAGGTGGAGGAGACGGCATCCTCGTCCATGGAGTCACGGTCGGTGTCTTCACAACAACAGACAATGTTGACGTTGCTAAAGTCAAGCGAAGGGTTGGAAAGAATCTCGGTGGTGGAGTCTAGTACGGGGGCAATAAAGTCCTCGGTGCTGTGATGGGTGGGGACCGCGTAACTACTGGCCGAATGCTGTGAGCAGTTGGACATGGTTCGCGCGAGTTTGTGACGAGATTGTGGAGGGAGGGACAGCATTGAAGTTGAGAGTGACCGTTCAAAGATCCCCTCTGAATCTGGCGGGGAGGAGAAGGATTTGGTTCTGTTCATGGATGGAAGTAGGGGGTGCAAGTTGTATGGGGGGTGCAAGTTGGGTTGAAGTTTGGGGGGTGCAAGTTTGGGGGGTGCGAGTGCCAGGGAGAGTGCCAGGGAGAGTGCCAGGGAGAGTTCCAGGGAGTTTAAGTTGAAGTTAAAGTAGAAGTGGAGTGTCTAGAGACTAGTAATATAAGCGTAAGCTACTGAATAAATGTAGATGTCGCGAGAGACGGAAAAATTTTGACACAAGAGAGGAGCAGAAAATTTGAATATATACAAAGAGGAAAGATTTAATGGTCAGTGCTCGGCGTCATTCCTTCGGGGTATCAATGGCGAAAATGCGCATAGAAGGTGTGTGTGGCAGTCGGGTATGGTGCGAAGTTTCGGGAGTTGACAAGACATGGGATCGGGAGCCGGTTGCGGGAGCCGGTGCTGGAGCTAATGGGGGGGGTGTGGGAGCAGCTACGGGAGCCCATGACAAAGGATAGGAGATGGGTAAGGAGAGGTAGAGAGATCTAAAGGTGGTGTGGGTAGGGCTAAACCATTAAAAATTGCTGTTGTCTATATGCATTGCTGATTTTCTCAAATTGCCTATTTTTACGATTTTTGTGTTTCCAAGCGCACAAAGTTCTTCTCTCGCAGGAGAGTGCCAATAAATTTTGGGCGAACTAGCGAGGAGACATATAACAGAGGGAGTAAGCTAGGGGGTAGAGATAGGGGGGGAGATGTTATTGCTAGCGGGTAGGGGCTATGGGATACGGGTCTTGGACGGGGTATGGTGGACGGTTTCCGGATGGACTTGCCGTTTGCTGACACGATGTCGGTCACGGCTGGTATAGGTCAGCAATAACCTTTTGAACACACCACTTTCTAAGGATTGATTAGCGGAGTTAGCAAAAAAAAATAAAAAAAAAAAAAAAAAAAAGGAAAAATTTTGGAGAAAAAAACAAATAAAAAAAATTCGAGAAAAAATAAAAAAAAAAATTAAAATTAAAATCTCGTTGAGATCAAAAGATAACACGGCCGACGGGGGGTGGGAGAGGAGGAAGTAGCGAGTGGGAGGGAGGAGCTGGATGCTGACTGGATGCTGACTGCTGGAGGAGCACTGGTAGGCTGTAGGATGCTGGAGAGGACGGTGCCCTTGGCTGGGCTGGCCCGTACTTCTCCTCTCCTCGCTTCACTGGTTCTCCTCACCCACCCCAGGCCTTTGCAACCATTTGGTAGTTTTCCATTGAATGTCACCCCCCCGGGGCGGCGGGGCTCCGAACCGCACGGTGATCATTTATTTTAGCGGGAAATCCAAATTGGTGCGCACAGACGGGCGATCCTGCACACAGTGTGGGTAATTACAGAGAGAGGAAGAGAAGATAGAGGAGACAACACGGGGGGATAACTCGGTGAGAAAAGAGGTAGAGACAGGGGAATCGCTTGGGTGTGTGCTGGAAGCGGTCCGCCCGTAACTCCTCGTCAGAGGAGCAAGGCCTCCACGGCCAGTGGCCCACGGAGTGCCAGCGGAGCGGCTTGCACCTCCTCCGAGAGAGCTGTCCCCCTGCCCTGCGGGGCTCGTAAGCCGCTCCGCTGGCACTCCGTGGGCCACTAGCCGTGGAGGCCTTGCTCCTCTGACGAGGAGAGTTCTTTTGGGTCAGTGTGTTGTCTGGGGGTAGCTGGTGCCCGTGTGTGTGTGGGTGTGTGGGTGTCCCGATTGGGCCCCCGGCCGCAAGAAAATAACACAAAAAAATATTTAGACAAGGGGGTGGGGAGAGAGAGAGGGAGAGAGTGAGAGGGGTAAAACGGCGGGTAAGAACAAAGAGAAGGAGAAGGAAGTCACAGAGGTGTCATATAAACTTTGATGACCCGACGGGTACAGAAGAAGAAAAGGTTAAAGTAGAGGTTAGCTCCTTCTCAAGCAAGCACACGAGTTAAATGGTTGTTGTAATTTTGGGGGGGGGGGGGTGGCGCGCTTTTGTGTTATTTATTTTTTAAAATTATTTCTTCATGACTTTGTGTCATGTAGATGTCTTTTAATTTTTATTTATTTTTTATTTTTTGTTCTTTCTCCCACTCGCTTTGTTACAAGGTGACATTTTTTTTTGTTTGTGTAATTTTTTGTCATTTTTTTTTAAAAAAAAAAAAGAGAAATATGGGGTGATTACATAATCACGAGATCTTTGAGGAAATGCGGGAAAAAATGGCAAGTTATCGCGAGATGATGAATTGACGGTTGTCAGGGGGCACAAAGCCCCCGATCTGATGTGTGAACGATACGAGAAGAAGGGGAGGAAGGACAACAGGGGGGGGGGGGGGACAGATGCGGGATATGCGGGAGGATTCCGATGGATGGGTGTGTGGCGGCTTTTTCTTGCACGATGATGACTGACGACGATTGGCAACGATGGCTGCGAAAATGAGACCAACACTCCTCGAAGAGGAGCAAGGCCCCCACGGCTAGTGGCCCACGGAGTGCCAGCGGAGCGGCTTGCACCTCCCGGGAGGGCAGCACTCTCCCAAGGGGAGCGGGGGTGCAAGCCGCTGCGCTGGCACTCCGTGGGCCACTAGCCGTGGGGGCCTTGTTCCTCTAACGAGGAATGGTTGCCAAGAGAAGAGGAGGAGGATGTGACGGAGGATGTCGACCTCCCGTCGGGTGTGACAGACCCTCGGTGATGCGTGCCCCCAGCCCCGCCACGGGTCCTTGTAGTTCTTGTTGAGGACGTTCATTGAGGTTGTCAAGTGGAGGGGGTGGAGGGGGGGCGTTGAATTGAGTTGATGGCTGCCGAACGGTAGGGACGGGGGCGTGATCGCGGAGAACGTTTTCTGACTCCTCCTCGTGTGGTAAGTCTTCCGAGTCAACTTTGTCCCCCCTCCCCCTCTTCCTGCCCCGGGGCCGTTCGGGTGCGGGTGCGGGTGCGACTCGTGGCCCAATCTCCATAGGTGTTGTGCTGTGATACCCTACCAGCGACTATCAGAGGAGGCCCTTCTCTTCTCGAGAGGAGAAGGTACAGGCATGGACGTCACAGGAATCACCTCGTAGAGGTGCCAGGCCCCACGCCAGTGGCTCCCCCCGAGTAGGGGCCAGCGGAGCGTCTTGCAAGTCCCACGGGGAAGTGAGAGGTCACCTGCCCTACGGGGTTCGCAAGCCGCTCCGCTGGCACTCCGTGGGCCACTGGCCGTGGAGGCCTTGTTCCTCTGACGAGGAAATTTAATGGTCTCTTTGTATATGGAGCCTCCCCTTTGAGGAAGGGGATTCGACGTCACGTGTTACTGTGGCATGTGATCCCGGCACGTGATGTTCTCCCTCGAGAATTATTATGTAAGCTTGTAGTGAGAGTAGAACTCTTATAGAGAGTAGGGGGGTAGGTCAGAGAGGTAATAGTTCTGTAGTTGATATGTTTCTCGGGGTTGACACCTAGTGACCGTGGTCCCAAGAGAGAGAGAGGGGGGAATGAGAAGGGGGGTGCAAGATGGTGGTCACCGCCAACTTTCTGTAAACAAATAAATTTGAAGGAATTTTTTGTAGAACGAGAGTAAAAATATCGTAGATAGAGAAAGAGAGGAGATGGACGGGGGAGTACAGAAGACGAGGGAAGAGAAGGATTCCAGGAGATAGGGAGAAATACTTTAGAAGAGTGGATACGGACTGGGTAGATGTTACGAGTACATTGGAGGGTGAGGATTTTCAGGGGGTGGCGAGTCAACGCGAAGGAGGGGGTTCGCGCACTTTTGCAGCCAAAGTCCTCAATTTTGCGCCGCCACTTTAAAGGAAGGTCCACGGTGTCCACTATATCAGCCCATGACACTGGCCCACAGGGTGTAGAGGAGGGTCGGGCGGTACGCCGGTAGGGAGATCAAGGCACCACGCAGTGGCTTCCTCCTCCCACGAGAAGGGGCCCGGGCCCAGGGGGTGGAGTAGGGCGTCTTGCGAGTCCCACCAACGAGAAGGGGGTAGTCCTACCCTCCCGGGAGGTGTAAGCCGCTCCGCTGGCACTCCGTGGGCCACTAGCCGTGGGGGCCTTGTTCCTCTGACGAGGAAGTTCGCAGTCGCTCGGAGTACCATGGGAGGAGCTACTGGCCGAAGGTATTAAGTCTCTACTTCAGAGGGGCTCCTTTGTGGCCACAGATCCTTAGGGGCCCGAGCTACCAGCACTGGCGCTACACTGGAGCTTTCTGAAGCTCTTGAGATCGCCTCTCTACAACCGCCACGAGCCCCTCCCTGAAGGCCGTTAGCCCTCCACCACTACCTACCCTACAATTCATCCACAGCTCCTCCCCGCCACCCCAAGCTCCCTCACGGCGAGCTCCTACACCCTTCCTCGTAGAGGAACAAGGCCCCCACGGCTAGTGGCCCACGGAGTGCCAGCGGAGCGGCTTACACCCCCCGGGAGGGTAGCACTCTCCCCAGGGGAGCGCGCTGGTCCCCCCTGCTCGAGGAGAGCCACTGGCGTGGTACCTAGCTCCTCTAGCGAGGAGGTTCAATCTATATACGACAGGATCCCTCGTCGGAACCCCGTGGAGCTCCGATATACGCACCGTTGCTTCCGGAACACATTTTTCCCGCCACTGTTTCGCAACAAGCTACAGTCACACGCTGCCTCACTACGTAACGCCGAGTTGACCGCGGCCCATCACATGCATCCAGATGAAATTAACCAAAGCTCACTATTTCATCTGTCCATGCATGTGTCATCATCTCAAACGGTGATGGGAAACAGTTTCCTCATCTGGTCTGCGCCACAAACACAAAGTAAACGTTCCCCGAACGCCCAATGCAAACGGTTCCAGCGACAGGCCCTGAGATAGCGATCGTCATGGTCTTCACAGGGGGGACAAGCCGCTCCGCTTACACTCCCCAACACCGCAACCCTCTAGCCCGCTTCTACCAGAAAGTCTCCTCGCCAGAGGAGCTAGGCCCCACGCAGTGGCTCCCCCCGAGCAGGGGCCAGCGGAGCGTCTGAGAGAGTGCTGCCCTCCCGGGGGGTGCAAGCCGCTCCGCTGGCACTCCGTGGGCCACTGGCCGTGGAGGCCTTGCTCCTCTGACGAGGAGATCCCTCGCCCGGAGTCCACCGTCCAGTCCAGAGCAGTGGAGACCTCGTTCCCCCGCCGTCTCTTTCAGTGTTGCCTGGATGCCAGGGAATTGGCAGCCAGTCCTCCACATAGAAAGAGACGGCGGGCGCCCGATACGGCGAAAAAGGAGAGGAAAAAAAAAAAAAAGAGAAAAGAAAATCGCTACAAAAATTTCACGATAAGGACCCCGAAGAGAGCTCCTATTGTGCCACCGTTCGCATACCACAGTCCCCCGACGAGCCAGAGTCTTGCCCGGTGTCTGAGTGGTGACTCGGCCGTCCCTCGACTGTCCCGCGTGGGCGGCTCGTCTGGAGAGAGAGAGACCCCTGGCCTGTGGAGCGTTCTCTCCCCATCAGCTGCCAACCGGGGCCTGCGACCCACCGGTGCGCTGCGCTACGTCTACCACCACTCGGAGAACAATGGCCGGTCTCCAAGAATCGAAACTTATATGACGTCCAGGAAAACACCCCGACAGATACGAACCACGAGCCCGCGCACCACAAGGTGCACGCGCACCCTCTTGGCTGGAGCAATTTAATTTTCGATTTTGCGACATTTGATAAGAAAATGAAACGATTGCTTGAAATGAAACAATCCGCCGCCGTAGAGCAAATATCCCAAAATGTAAACAAACAGTCCACAATAGACAAAGAGAGACAGAGATAGCCCGACAGTCCCCCCACCACTCCCTCTCTCCTCCCTCGCGTTGAACCTCCCTCTCCTCTCCACTCCACCCTCCCCACCTGTCTGCCTCTCCCTCCCTTATCTCACACCCCACCCCTCGCTCGGCTGGGTCCGGTCATTTTACCACCCCTCGTGGACGTGTGGCGCGCACCAAGAAGATCCCCTCCGCCATTGGGAATAAATGCTCGGAATTACGCACAATCTAGAAGCTTCTCGCGCGCCGCCTGCACACAACCTATCTGGCGTTCCAAGACATCTTCTTCCTCGCCAGAGGAACAAGGCCTCCACGGCCAGTGGCCCACGGAGTGCCAGCGGAGCGGCTTGCACACCCCGTAGGGCAGGTGGCCACTCACTTCCCCGTGGGACCGCAGGACGCTCCGCTGGCCACTGGCCGTGGAGGCCTTGTTCCTCTGGCGAGGAAGAGGGGCGGTCGGGTGGTGTTGCTGTTCGGGGTATATTTATTTTTGGCGTATTGCCTTGCGAGGTGCGGATCTTTTGATTTGCGCCTTCTGTTGAGCTTTTGAATTTTTTTTTTTTTGTTTTCTCGTTTTTATTTTTTTTTTTTTAATTTTTTTTTTTTCAGATTGTGGAGATAAATCGACGTGCGCGCAATTGTTCGTAATCGGAAGAAATTTCAAATGTTCTATGGCTGCGACTGTGACGGGTACAGATACGCAATTCTTATATATATGCGGATCCCGCAGCGGGAAACCGAGCGAGCGAGACACCACGACATTTTTTTATTTCCTCATCTGTTTGCAGCGACCCAGTGGATGGACCGCGCTGTTCTGTTTGGATTTTTAGTTTGCAATACCGTCGGGTTCTGCTCGTGAGCATGAGCTTGAAGCGAAGACGTCTAGAGGAGATCATGGCCACGTCCATCGAGGACATCGAGGACATGTTTAGTTGGAAGATTGGGGCGCGCAAAGTTGGCCAAATTGCGCTGGGGAGGACCGCCACCACCACCACCAAGCGGGGTCGGGCCGGCGATTCGAACTCGTGTTTTTCGGGGAGACGAGGCGAGAGAGGAGGAAGAGGAGGAGTAGGAGGAGGAGGAGGAGGAGGGGAAGAGTCGTCGATCTCCACCACGTCGTCGATGTCGAAGGACGGGAAGAAGAGACGAATAGAGCGTGCGAGCGCCGCCGGCGGGCCGGTCACAGGAGGAGGAGGAGGAGGAGGAGGAGCCGCCACGACGCCACGCTACATCCCACGGGTGCACAACATCGTGTTGAAGTCGTCGCCGACGGCGACATACTCGAGGATTGTGACGTCCACGTTCTTGGACGGGCTCGACGACACGGACGATCTCCAGGACGTTCCGGGCGTCGACATGATCGACTCCCTTATCATCCACAACCACACCAACGAGGTCTCCTCGTAGAGGAGCCAGGCCCCACGCCAGTGGCTCCCCCCAAGCAGGGGCCAGCGGAGCGTCCTGCGGTCCCACGGGGAAGTGAGTGGCCACTTGCCTTACGGGGTGTGCAAGCCGCTCCGCTGGCACTCCGTGGGCCACTGGCCGTGGAGGCCTTGTTCCTCTGGCGAGGAATTGGCGCTGCGACTGCGGTGGTGGTTGCATTGTGGGGGAGTGACCGCCAAAACAAAAAAAAAAATAGTCGATAAAAAAAAAAAAAGAATTTTTTTTTCAGATAGCGCGCCGCGCAAAAAAGGTGATGGCTTGTCCGAGATAGCGGGCTATCAAGTACGAGCCACACACCCAGAAGGTGTGTAGAAGAGACACAGAGACAGAGAGAGACAAGGGGGAGCGGTGCAGTAGCATGGAGTCCGTCGCCGCTGGCTGTGGCCGGCGCCCGAACGGGCTCTACCACTTTATAGGAAATATTACACGTATACCAAAAAGGGTTCCTTGTAAAGACGACATTTTACTTCAATTCTCCATTTTTTGCGCTTTTGGGCAAAAAAATTTCGGGGTCCCTCTTCCTCTACAATTTTTTTTTTTTTTTTTTTTTACTTCAGATTAGTTATCGGTACTGCAGGCAGAGGGAGGTGTGTGCAGTCCGTCGGACCCATCGGAGACATCCTGCAGATAGTGGCACAACGAGATGAATGGTCAAAGTGATGATGCTGTGGCTGTTGATGAAAAGAGTGTCTCTGTTTCGCTGCCTGTGTGGGCTGGCTGGGGGGAGACACCAAGGACGGTCTGCCAGAGTCAGAAGTAGTCCAGAGTCCCCTACTCTTATCAGTAGACTCCTAGTCCTTATCTTTGTCCTGGCCCTACAAGGAGATTACCTCACTATCTAATCGCGCGACATTTTTTTATTTTTACTTTAATTTTTTTTTTTTTTTGTCTTTGTTCTCGCAAACGTTCGCTCTATCGGGCGAAATTCGCGACATCCAGATTTGGCCCGAAACACGACAAATGGAGTAGAGAAGAATGACGTCTAACAATAGAACACTAGTAATGGTTTCCATTTAAGATTTAGGCAGTGACGCCATCAACTTTAAATAGATAGCGGCTTAATTTCTCAATCTCAGTCTGTTGCCCGGCCGTGTCACCCACTAAGGTCTTGGCCCAACCCCCCCCTCTCTCTATGTCTCCACCCACGCTGTCTACTGCCAGCCCTTGCACGGAAGGAGTCTGCGACATTTTTCCCCACCAAATCTTTTATCAGTTCATTGCCGTAGCGCAATGCCAAATGCAGAAAGTCGATCACGGAAATTTCCATAACTTTTTTTTTTTTTTTTTTTTCTCCCTCATATTTTAAGTTGACACAACTGAGGGTGATCGATCGTGGTGTGACGGTGTGACCGCCTCCCTCCCCCACCATTGTTTCTCGCGGGGGAGGACGTCCCCTATCATGAGCACACAACAGATGCAGCTCAGGAAAGTCCAGCACTTACGAGCATGCCCCTACCACAACCCCATGGTTGCATCTGATGGCCTTGATACGGCGTTGATAGACATTGAGAGATAGCGACTACACACGTGCCTGTGGCCTCTCTGGCTGGCCACTAATTTAAAAAATGAATATAGGGGCACATGCAGGTCGGATTCCGCAATCAGGTTACAATATAAATATGTGTCACAAAAATAAAAAGATCATAAATCTGTTGCTAAACTGTAAATTGATCGAAGTTTGCGAGGGAGGAGCGGCTATTTCCCATTTGGGTAGTGGATCCGCAGAGGGGGTGGGGTGCGCGAAATGTCTGACAAGGACACCTTACACCATAGAACCAGACGTTTTGTGGGTAAGTAGAAGAAGTACCCGGGGGAGACAGCGTGTTGACACTGTAGGTAGGTTGTAGTGTAGACCCTGGAACGTTGTATTATAACGAGAAGATCTCGGCGATCATGCCAGTTCCGGAGGGGAGGGGAGAATGGCCACCCCCTACGGGGTTTGTAAGACGCTCCGCTGGCACTCCGTGGGCCACTAGCCGTGGAGGCCTTCTTCCTCTGACGAGGAATTGGGTGAATAGAACGGACTCCTCGTAGAGGAGCTAGGCACCATGCAGTCGCTCTCCCCGAGTAGGGGCCAGGGGGGCGGTTTACAACGCTGAGGGTGCAAGTACATGTTGTGCGCTGGCACTCCGTGGGCCACTATCCATGGATGCCTTCTTCTTCTGACGAGCAATTGGCCGAGAGAGGACTCCTCGTAGATACTTCTCGTAGAGGACCTAGGCACCACGCAGTGGCTCTCCCCGAGTAGGGGCCAGCGGAGCGTCTTGCAAACCCCGTAGGGCCATGTCCATCCAGAAGATGAACGACGTACTCACCTCGTAACAACCCCTAGCCTCGTGTCTCATTGAGAGGTATGCCCCATGCCATTCAATCCTCATTACCACCACTCGGTGGCTCGGTGGGCTGGTACATTTTGGTGTAACTTCCCGAGGCGCTAAATTCTCCCCCTGTAGAGGCTTAACCTTTCTTATAGAACACTATACCTCACCCGCCCACATCTCTCGTTCCTACACATACGGCCATTGGGTCCGTTTAGGCTGTGTCGATTGACTCACCAGGGCCCGTGGCTGCAAGAACATGCCTCGGAGTCCCGTGATGTGGCACTTTTTTAGTCCGTCGTGCGGCCCCGTGCAGTTCGCTTAGACTACGCATGGACGAAGGTACACACATCCTGCACTCTTCTGGCCCAGGAAGCTACTCTCGCTTCAGCATGGAATGTAGTCTCTGAGGTCCCACCTACCCTAGCTGGAGGTCCTGCCAAATGCGTTCATCTACGAGTCCCGAAGAGTGTTCAATTTCTTTCAAGGATACTGGGACTCTCGTCTTGCTTTGTGCTTCCCTCGTCGGATGGTCTGATTGGTGGGTACACCCAGAGACGGTGGGCCGCAGCTTGCATAAGCAGCCATTCACCCATATATCTCGTAGAGGTCGATCTTCTCTTCAGCTCGGCATGGCGGGGCCTCACCATGTCTAGGCAAGGCATTGGGGCCCGTCAACATTCGTCATATTTTTTATGCTTCTCTCGCAGAACACGCTTACATGTTCACGTCCCTTCTAAAAAGGTCTGGGAATCGCCTCAAAGTAGAGAGAGAGGCTTCCACAGTTAGTGGGACAGCGACAACTAGAGGCCAGACTCACAGACCATCCAGATAGAGTGCTACATTGTGCCGCCGCTCTATCCAGAGTTGCCAGTTTCTCCGCTGGTACTATGTGGACCACTAGCCACAGGGCCATACCCCCACCCCTTGACCGAGGAAGGGGGGGCTACAGAACAGACGACTCATGAAATGCGTCAAATGGAAGTCCCGATTTGAGGCGGTCTGTACCTTCCCGTACGGGAAATGTGAGCCCCACCGCTTGCACTACAGGGGCCACCAGCCGTGGAGGGTCCTGTTCCTCTAACGAGGAAGGAATCTTCTTGGTCTACTCCTCGAAGAGGTGTAGGGCTTCCACGGCTAGTGGCCCACGGAGTGCTAGCCGAGCGGCACACATCCCCTGTAGGGTGGGCAGTGTCCTAACTCACAGCTGGAGGTTTAGAAAGTTGCGAACGCCTCACTTATCTATAACAGGAACTTATGCATGGAAGATATTTTTCGCCTCAAGAAATAAATTCCTTTGTTCCATTCTTCCTCGCGTGGTATAACGCAACCCATTAGTCAGGCCAGGAATTTCTAGACGAGCACTCATTGAGGCACCGCCATGCAAGGGGCTCACCTTCGCTCAAACTTCCACAAATCGTTTGTTGTCTCTGGTGAATCGCCTACCATAGGACATTCCAGTCCGCAGATAATGTAGGTGTACCCGGCGTTCTTTCATTCACCGAATCCCCCACTTGACTCTGACAGCACCCGTTAAGATCTCCCTCCTTCAAGGAGGATCTTTGCATGCACATTTAGTCCGGAAACAATCGCGCTCATGCACGATGGCGCCCTCTACCTTGCGTCCCGTATTTTGCATCCATGGGTCCCAACGTGTACTTACGCCCTCCAAAGATGCCAGATACAACCTCACCAGAGCTGGTCCCAGCAGAGAACACCTTGGAGCGCATCGAGTATATAACCTTGGCATGTTCACCTAAAACATTCTCTTGACGAACAACTAATTCAACCAAAAAAAAAGCAATATCATGAGGTTTTCCACTCTAGCACAGAGTCTCTGTGCCTTCGTGGCAGTGACCTCTGCTACCTTGGCTACCATTCCGGCGTCTTGTCCAGTTGAATGTTCAAGTGCCCCAGGATTGCATGGGACGCCCAGTGCCGGGCTCCGTGCGGTCTTCTACCCCTACACGTTTGCGGACGACTCCACCAGAAAGAGTCTTTCCTACTTGACCAGTGGGTACAAGAAGAGCAACAGCTTTGCCACAGTCCAAAACGTTGTCGACTTTGCCTTGGACATCGACCAAGGTTCCAACTCCCAAGCCACCAATGTCATCTATGGAAAGACGGTCCCTCAAAACTTCTTGGTGGAACTTACCGGATACTTCAAAGCCCCCAAGACTTGCGATTACACCTTCTCCATCAACGTCGATGACTCGATGATCTTCCAGATCGGTGCCGGTCAGGCCTTCTCCTGTTGCGACGCCAATACTAGTGGTAACTGCAACTCCGCTACCTTGAAGGCCGACTGGGTCCCATACAAGACTGGTAAGGATTCAGAAAAGGTCTTCCTTGTAGCCGGATCCTACTATCCTGTCAAGATTGTCTATGTCAACCAGGGTGGTCCAATCATGTTATCCGTGACTGCAAAGACTCTCCTTACATCTTTGTCAGTCAAGGACTACTTGTACACTTTCCCCAACTCCGGAAACGGGTGTCCACCTCTTGTTACCACCATAACCACCAAGTGGACTGGTACCGTGACCTCAACCACCACCATCAAGCCAACCAACAATGACGGTACAACAACCATTGAGATCTTGACCCCTACAACTGCTTCGCCAACCCCAACCAAACCAGCAACCACTCCAACTGCTTGTCCTGTTGAAAATGGAAGCTCTCTCGGATTGCACGGAACCCCAAGCCGTGGTCTTCGCGTGGTATTCTACGACTATACCTATGCCGATGACACCACCAGAAAGAGCAAGACATACTTGACTAGTGGATACAAGAGCCGTCGTGTTTTAACCCTGGTCAACAACGTCGTTGACTTTGAGTTGGACATCGATCAAGCTTCGAGTGTCCTGGCAGTAAACGACATCTACGGACAATATCCAAACCAGTACTTTGTTCTTGAACTCACAGGGTACTTCAAGGCTCCAGAGACCGGAAAATACTCTTTCACTATCAACGTGGATGACTCTATGATGGTTCAAATCGGTGCTGGAGAAGCCTTTTCGTGTTGTGATTCCACCTCGAGTGGCAGTTGTGATACCACCTTGTATGCTAACTGGGTTTCATACGTAGTCGGGGTGGACACGCAAACTGTCTATCTTGTTGCTGGTGCCTACTACCCAATCAAGATTGTGTACGTCAACCAAGGTGGTCCAATTCTCTTGTCCTTGACTGCAAAGACCGCTTCCAAGTCGATCTCCGTTAAGGACTACTTGTACTCCTTCCCCAATTCTGGAAAGGGATGTCCATCTCATCTCACCACCATCACCACTAAATGGACGGGTACTGTGACCTCAACCAGCACCATCAAACCAACAAACGATGATGGAACCACCACCATTGAAATCTTGACCCCAACCACTGCTTCGACCCCAACTAAGCCAGCAACAACTCCAACCGCTTGTCCTGTCGAGGACGACAAGACTTTGGGATTACACGGAACACCAAGCACCGGTCTCCATGCTATCTTCTACGAATACACCTATGCCGATGATACCACAAGAAAGAGCACCGCCTTCTTGACTACTGGGTACAAGGAAAACCGGTCCTTCGCACAAGTGCACAACGTGGTTAACATTGACTTGGACATTGATCAGGATTCCAGTTCTACTGCACTCAACTACATCTATGGCCAAAAGCTCAACCAAAACTTTGTTCTCGAACTCACCGGTTACTTTAAAGCTCCGGAAACTGGCGAGTACACCTTTGCCATCGACGTTGACGACTCAATGGCCGTTCAAATTGGTGCTGCCCAAGCATTCTCTTGTTGTGATACCAGATCGACTGGTAGTGGAGATGCTACTTTAGTTGCAAGCTGGGTTCCACATGTGACTGGTAAGGATGCACAACGTGTCTCTCTTGTTGCTGGTGCTTACTATCCAATCAAGATTGTGTACGTCAACCAAGGTGGTCCAATTCTCTTGTCTTTGACTGCAAAGACCTCTTCGAAGTCGATCTCTGTTAAGGACTACTTGTATACCTTTAAAGATTCTGGAAAGGGATGTCCATCTCATCTCACCACCATTACCACTGAGTGGACAGGTACTGTTACCTCTACTACCACCGTCAAGCCAACAAACGATGATGGTACCACCACCATTGAAATCTTGACTCCAACCACTGCGTCGACCCCAACTAAGCCAGCAACAACTCCAACCGCTTGTCCTGTCGAGGACGACAAGACTTTGGGATTACATGGAACACCAAGTACCGGTCTCCATGCTATCTTCTACGAATACACCTTTGCCGATGATACCACAAGAAAGAGTACCGCATTCTTAACTACCGGCTACAAGAAAAACCGGTCCTTCGCACAAGTGCACAACGTGGTTAACATCGACATGGACATTGATCAGGATTCCAGTTCCACGGCACTCAACTACATCTATGGCCAAAAGCTCAACCAAAACTTTGTTCTCGAACTCACCGGTTACTTTAAAGCTCCGGAAACTGGCGAGTACACCTTTGCCATCGACGTTGACGACTCAATGGCCGTTCAAATTGGTGCTGCCCAAGCATTCTCTTGTTGTGATACCAGATCGACTGGTAGTGGAGATGCTACTTTAGTTGCAAGCTGGGTTCCACATGTGACTGGTAAGGATGCACAACGTGTCTCTCTTGTTGCTGGTGCTTACTATCCAATCAAGATTGTGTACGTCAACCAAGGTGGTCCAATTCTTTTGTCTTTGACTGCAAAGACCTCTTCGAAGTCGATCTCTGTTAAGGACTACTTGTATACCTTTAAAGATTCTGGAAAGGGATGTCCATCTCATCTCACCACCATCACCACTGAGTGGACAGGTACTGTTACCTCTACTACCACCGTCAAGCCAACAAACGATGATGGTACCACCACCATTGAAATCTTGACTCCTACCACTGCTTCGTCTTCTCCTGTTGCCACACCTACCTCCTGTCCGGTTGAAAATTCAAACACTTTAGGCTTACATGGAGCTCCAACTACCGGTCTCCGTGCGATCTTCTATCAATATAGATTCGCTGACGATTGGACTAGAAAGAGCCTTTCCTTCTTAACTGGCGGGTACAAGAACAACCCATCATTTGCACAAGTTAACAACGTTGCTGACATCAATTTGTACATTGATCAAGCGTCCAGCTCTTCGGCCCTTAATACCATCTACGGCAAATCAATCAACCAAAACTTCTTGGTTGAGCTCACAGGTTACTTCAAGGCTCCTGAGACGGCAGTTTATACTTTCAGTATTATTGTTGACGATTCTATGATCGTCCAAATTGGTGCTGACCAAGCCTTTCCTTGTTGCGACACCACTTCTAATGGTAGTGGTGAAACTACATTGTTTGCTAATTGGGTTGCCCACGAGACCGGGAAGGATAGTAAATCCATTGCCCTTGTCGCTGGTACATACTACCCTATCAAGATTGTCTATGTGAACCAAGGAGGGCCAATAGAATTGACTTTTTCTGCCACTACTTCTTCTGGTTCCGTTTCTGTCAAAGATTACTTGTATGATTTTGGTGATACAGGTGTTGGGTGTCCTGGTACCTCAAGTTCGATTGAATCGAGTGTTACACAATCATCGAGTGTACATGCTTCCAGTTCCGTAATTACATCAAGTTCTGTAGGTCCATCTAGCACCATTCACTCCTCAAGCGCTGTCCAGCCATCCGGCTCCGATGTGTCAACCTCAAACACTGTTTCCAGCTCAGCTGCATCATCTAGTACTTCAACTCCAACCACTCCAAGTCCCTGTAACCAAGTCCCTGCCTCCATGAACACCGGTCTTAACGCAGTCTTCTATCCGTATGGATATGCCGATGACGACACCCTGAAGAGCCTCGACTTTATGACTGGAGGCTACAAAAGTGGGCCTGTCATTGCACTGGCTAAGAATGTGGTAAACTTTGTTGTTAACTTGTATCAAGAGCAGAGTGAAGTAGATAAGAACAATATCTATGGACAGTATGTCAATCAAAACTTCCTTGTGGAGCTCACTGGTTACTACAAAGCCCCGAAGACTGGTGAATACGAATTCACTGCATATGCTGACGATGTTGTCCTTGTGCAATTGGGTGCCAATGAAGCTTTCTCATGTTGCGAGTCTACATCTACTCGGTCAACTTCCAGTGCTCTTCTCTTTGCCCATTGGGACAGCGCTACCCAATTCATGGGTATAGAGTCGGCAACAGTGTCCCTCGTAGAAGGGTATTACTACCCTATTAGAATGGTGTACGTGAACGCAAGGGGCGTTATAGGATTCACCGTTGTAGCTGCTATAGATTCCGACTACATCAACATCAGTGACAACTTCTTCAACTTTGAAGATAGTGAAGGGAGATGTCCTAGCATGTCATCTAGCTCTATTCTATCATCCAGTTCATTCCAATCATCAGGTCATTATGTACCATCAAGTTCTACAGAACAATCTACATCTATTACGCAATCAACCTCTACAGAAGCATCAGAATCTGCTACGCAATCAACCTCTGCAAAAGAATCCGGCCCAGTCACTCCATCTGGTTCCTCTGAAACATCTGAATCTGTTGAACCATCCGGTTCTGTTTCTCCATCTGGCTCCGCCACTCCATCTGGCTCTTCTGAACCATCTGGATCTGTTTCTCCATCTGGCTCTGTCACTCAATCTGGCTCTTCTGAACCATCCGGATCTGTTGAGCCAACTGGTTCTATTTCTCCATCTGGCTCCGCCACTCCATCTGGATCTTCTGAACCATCCGGTTCTGTTTCTCCATCTGGTTCTGTTTCTCCATCTGGCTCCGCCACTCCATCTGGATCTTCTGAACCATCTGGATCTGTTGAGCCATCCGGTTCTGTTTCTCCATCTGGCTCCGCCACTCCATCTGGCTCCGCCACTCCATCTGGCTCTATTGAACCATCTGGATCTGTTGAGCCTTCTGGTTCTGTCACTCCATCTGGCTCTTCTGAACCATCCGGATCTGTTGAGCCATCCGGTTCTGTTTCTCCATCTGATTCTGTCATTCCATCTGGCTCTTCTGAACCATCTGGATCTGTTGAACCATCCGGATCTGTTTCTCCGTCTGACTCCGTCACTCCATCTGGCTCTTCTGAACCATCTGGATCTGTTGAACCATCCGGATCTGTTTCTCCGTCTGACTCCGTCACTCCATCTGGCTCTTCTGAACCATCTGGATCTGTTGAACCATCCGGTTCTGTTTCTCCATCTGGCTCCGCCACTCCATCTGGCTCTTCTGAACCATCTGGATCTGTTGAACCATCTGGCTCTGTCACTCAATCTGGCTCTTCTGAACCATCCGGATCTGTTGAGCCAACTGGTTCTATTTCTCCATCTGGCTCCGCCACTCCATCTGGATCTTCTGAACCATCCGGTTCTGTTTCTCCATCTGGTTCTGTTTCTCCATCTGGCTCCGCCACTCCATCTGGATCTTCTGAACCATCTGGATCTGTTGAGCCATCCGGTTCTGTCACTCCATCTGGATCTTCTGAACCATCTGGATCTGTTGAACCATCCGGATCTGTTTCTCCGTCTGACTCCGTCACTCCATCTGGCTCTTCTGAACCATCTGGATCTGTTGAACCATCCGGTTCTGTTTCTCCATCTGGCTCCGCCACTCCATCTGGCTCTTCTGAACCATCTGGATCTGTTGAACCATCTGGCTCTGTCACTCAATCTGGCTCTTCTGAACCATCCGGATCTGTTGAGCCAACTGGTTCTATTTCTCCATCTGGCTCTTCTGAACCATCTGGATCTGTTGAGCCTTCCGGTTCTGTTTCTCCATCCGGTTCTGTTTCTCCATCTGGCTCCGTCACTCCATCTGGATCTTCTGAACCATCCGGTTCTGTTTCTCCATCCGGTTCTGTTTCTCCATCTGGTTCCGTCACTCCATCTGGATCTTCTGAACCATCTGGATCTGTTGAACCATCCGGATCTGTTTCTCCGTCTGACTCCGTCACTCCATCTGGCTCTTCAGAACCATCTGGATCTGTTGAACCATCCGGATCTGTTTCTCCGTCTGACTCCGTCACTCCATCTGGCTCTTCTGAACCATCCGGTTCTGTTTCTCCATCCGGTTCTGTCACTCCATCTGGCTCTTCTGAACCATCTGGATCTGTTTCTCCATCTGGCTCCGTCACTCCATCTGGCACTTCTGAACCATCTGGATCTGTTTCTCCATCTGGATCTGTCACTCCATCTGGATCTTCTGAACCATCCGGTTCTGTTTCTCCATCCGGTTCTGTTTCTCCATCTGGTTCCGTCACTCCATCTGGATCTTCTGAACCATCTGGATCTGTTGAGCCATCCGGTTCTGTTTCTCCATCTGATTCTGTCATTCCATCTGGCTCTTCTGAACCATCTGGATCTGCTGAACCATCCAGTTCTGTTTCTCCATCTGGCTCCGCCACTCCATCTGGCTCCGCCACTCCATCTGGCTCTATTGAACCATCTGGATCTGTTGAGCCTTCTGGTTCTGTCACTCCATCTGGCTCTTCTGAACCATCCGGATCTGTTGAGCCATCCGGTTCTGTTTCTCCATCTGATTCTGTCATTCCATCTGGCTCTTCTGAACCATCTGGATCTGTTGAACCATCCGGATCTGTTTCTCCGTCTGACTCCGTCACTCCATCTGGCTCTTCTGAACCATCTGGATCTGTTGAGCCAACTGGTTCTATTTCTCCATCTGGCTCCGCCACTCCATCTGGATCTTCTGAACCATCCGGTTCTGTTTCTCCATCCGGTTCTGTCACTCCATCGGGCTCTTCAGAACCATCTGGATCTGTTGAGCCATCTGGTTCTGTTGAGCCATCTGGCTCCGCCACTCCATCTGGATCTTCTGAACCATCCGGTTCTGTTTCTCCATCCGGTTCTGTTTCTCCATCTGGCTCCGTCACTCCATCTGGATCTTCTGAACCATCTGGATCTGTTGGGCCATCTGGCTCCGCCACTCCATCTGGATCTTCTGAACCATCCGGTTCTGTTTCTCCATCTGGTTCTGTTTCGCCATCTGGCTCCGCCACTCCATCTGGCTCTTCTGAACCATCTGGATCTGTTGAGCCATCTGGTTCTGTTGAGCCATCTGGTTCTGGCACTCCATCTGGCTCCGTCACTCCATCTGGCTCTTCTGATCCATCTGGATCTGTTGAACCTTCTGGATCTGTTGAACCTTCCGGATCTGTTGAGCCATCTGGCTCTACTGTACCATCCGGATCCTTGTCATCTTCTGTTGAGCATTCTAGTTCATTCTCTGCGTCAAGTTCAGCACCACCAAGTAATACGGAGACATACAGTTGTACTGTTACATCTATGCCTTCGTCCTGTCTGCCAAGCTCCCCAGGTACTAGAGGTCTCCGTGCTATTTTCTATCCTTACGGTTACAACGACGACGATACTCTGAAGAGTCTTGGATTCATGACAGGCGGATATAAGGCATCGGCCAGTCTTGGGCAAGTCAACAATGTTATCGATTTCAACTTGAACATATTACAAAAATCAAGTACTCTGGCCAAGAATATCATTTATGGTAAGTCATTGAATCAAAACTTCTTGGTCGAACTCACAGGTTACTTCGAAGCTCCTGTCTCTGGTCAATATACATTTGATCTTACCGTGGACGATGCTGCCATTATGTTGCTTGGAGCCGGCACTGCCTTCCCATGCTGCAACAACGACTGTGACGGTAACAGAGACGCCTTATTTGCCCATTGGAATAACCTCAGCAAGCAGTACGGTGTTGATTCCAGAAGTATCACTCTCGCTCAAGGTGAGTACTACCCTATTAAGATTGTCTACCTGAACATGATCTCCAACGTCTTCTTGTCCCTAAAGGTAAACTCTCCACAGGGAAGCATCGAACTTTCGGATTACACCTACACTTTTGCCAACTCTGCCAATGGCTGTGCTTCCGGCACCAAGGCCCGTCGTCAAACTTTTGAAGCGTTTGAAAATATTTTGGGACCTGAAAGTCCTTCAACCACCACTGCTCCATTCATTGTCTCTGACATTGTCATTGGCAGTTCGTCCAAGTTGGGACTTTCCATCCCAATGTTCCTTTTCACTTTCTTGGTCGCATTGTTCTTATAAGCGAGGAGATGTGGGGCATTGTCCCTTCTCCGCCTTGACACCATGTGTACTGTCTATTTGTTTTTCGGTTCCAAGTTGGTAATATCCGACGCTGACTTTTTACCCCTTTGTCATCAACAAAGCCGTCCCCAGTTCCCACTATTTTCCCAGCCTGTAAGATGGCCTTCTGTTTAATACTATACCCTTGTGTATATGATATATTTTGTTTAATAAATTTGATCAAGTATGGACATTGTAGACACTATATAGCAAGGTCTTTCAGTAGCTCAGCTCCCAGAGACTCACTCACCTTATTTTGAGAGACACAAGTAATCACATCAAACAATGTATGATCCGCGTATTACCTTACCCCTCAGAGAGGGGAGTACCACTCTACGGGACAGTAAGCAGCTCCCCTGGTCCTTATTGGTGAATATGATCTAATTGGTAGTTTCCACGCTTAGAAGAACTGGGCCACCACGATTAGTGGCCCACGAGGTGCCCGCGGTGTGAAATGAAACCCAGGTAGGAAATCTCTCCCTACAATTCTTTCTATCCTCTTCTTTCCTCCACAGCCCATCATGATCCTACCCTCTAGTCTCAGAGTCCTGCGCTTCGCAGCCAAAGTTTCAACATGTAAAAAGAGGGTCACGTGATCTCACGGGGAAGTTGGAGAAAAGCATTCGCCCAATTTTGTGTTATGTGCTGTAACCTGCAATATCTGAACAACAGAAGTTTCGCTGTTGAGTGGGAGAAGAAGGAACACACAACCAAGTTAACACAATAAACTGTAAAAAGACATGGTTTTAGCCGACTTAGGATCTCGACTTCGAGGTGCGCTTTCCAGCGTTGAGTCCGGGTCCGAGAAGGAGATCCAGGCGCTCATCAAGGATCTTTGCACTGCACTTTTGGAGGCGGACGTGAACATCAAATTGGTGGCGAAACTCCGTGACAACATCCGAACCAAGGTGGCTAAGGAGGTCCGTGAGGACGAAGGTGGTGCCAACAAGCGTAAGAAGCTCCAGAAGATTGTGTATGATGAGCTCTGTGGGCTTGTGGACTCGAACGAACAACCACCACAGCCAAAGAAATTGTCGCAACAACAACGTCAACGTCCACTGACCACGACCCGTGGTGGCAAGAAAGTCACCAAGGTGACTGGCGAGCTGTATGTTATCATGTTTGTTGGGTTGCAGGGTGCCGGTAAAACCACCTCGTGTACGAAATTAGCGCTCTATTACAAGAAACGTGGCTACAAGGTTGGGTTGGTCTGTGCCGATACTTTCAGAGCCGGGGCGTTTGACCAATTGAAACAGAACGCCACCAAGGCCGCCATCCCTTACTATGGGTCCTACACGGTCCATGACCCGGTCCAAGTGGCCAGTGAAGGTGTGGCCAAGTTCAAAGCCGAACGCTTTGACATTATCATTGTCGACACCTCGGGTCGTCACAGACAGGAACAGGCGCTTTTCGATGAAATGATTCAAATCTCGAGTTCGGTCCGCCCGGCACAAACCATTTTGGTTATGGATGGGCTGATTGGTCAAGCGGCTGAATCGCAAGCCAAGGCTTTCAAGGAGTCTGCCAACTTTGGTTCCATTATCCTTACCAAGATGGACGGCCACGCCAAGGGTGGTGGTGCCATTTCTGCCGTGGCCGCTACAAACACCCCTATCATTTTCATGGGGACTGGTGAGCATGTCGGAGACTTCGAACCGTTCAAGCCAACGACATTTGTCTCCAAGTTGCTTGGTATTGGTGACATTCAGTCGCTCTTGGAGCACGTCCAGCTGCTCAACCTCCAAGATGACGCATCTCATAAGCAAACCATTGAGAATTTCAAAGAGGGGAAGTTCACCTTGCGTGATTTCCAAACACAAATGAATAACTTCTTGAAGATGGGACCTCTCACAAACATTGCCCTGATGATCCCGGGGATGTCTGGGATCATGGAGCAAGTTGGGGAAGAGGAAACCTCACGTAAGATCAAGAATATGATTTATATCATGGACTCGATGACTACACGTGAGTTGGATAGTGATGGCCGCATTTTCACCGAGCAACCAGAAAGAATCATCAGGGTGGCCCGTGGGTCCGGATGTCTGGCGGTCGAAGTTGAAATGGTATTACAACAACAACGTATGATGAGCAGCATGGCCAAGAACATGGGTGGAGCCATGCCCGGTGCTGGAGGGGCCATGCCTGGAATGGGCGGTATGCCCGGCATGGGAGGTCCTGGCGGTCCTGGTGGCATGAGACCACCAGCCGGGTTCATGCAACAGGCGATGAAGATGTTTGGCGGAGCTGGTGGTGGTGCTGGGGGCATGCCGGACATGGCATCGATGATGAACAACCCTCAAATGATGCAACAGGCACAACAGATGATGAGACAAAACCCGGGCATGATGCAACAGGCACAACAGATGATGCAGAACCCGGGCATGATGCAACAGATGATGAAGCAGTTTGGCGGTGGTATGGGTATGTAAAAAAGAGAAAGAAGCTAATAATTTTAACCACAATAATACATAGTACGAGACAATGCAATGGGGTGCAAGTGTAGATCCGAAGGAAGTTCGAGGGTGTGCCCGTGGAGCGGTACTAGGGGTGGCGATCATGGCGAGTGTGGAGTGCAGTACTACCTTAGGGGGTGTGTGAGACGCTCCGCTGGCACGCCATGGGTCACTGACCGTGGGGGTCCTGTTTGGGGGTCCTGTTTTCATCTATCGAGGTAGGTCCCGCAGTAGTAGTACTCTCCGTTGTCGTCTAGTGTTGAGAGCCCCAGTATAGAATAGCTAGAAATATACCATGAAACCACCTGGTTCTCTCTGGTGGTAACTTCTTATGGTCAGTACCCTTCAGTATACAATTCATTAAAGAAAAAGTGTAACGCTAGTATGTCACCATATTGGCAGGATGCTAGAGTAAAGTAGTTAATTAGCAGTTAAGGGATGACGCTGAGCTTCCCTCTACCAAAATCTATAGACACATGGATTAGTACAATCACGGGGTTCAGGTCATTCCCCTGGGATATATCTTGGAATAGTTTCGCTTCTGACAGCTTGAAAATTAGTACTGACACTTTGGTCGTCTCCGCATAGTCCCCAACATTAGAGCTGAGGGAATGAATTGCCTGTGAGGGGTACAGATAGTTTATCACCCTTTAGTTGAGTATGGAGAACATTGGCCAGGACAATAGATGCAAAGATGATATATACCAAAGAATTTCATAGAGAAGTTGGCCTTACGTAACATCAAAATTGTCATTAGAAGTGAACTGGTACTAACTATATCTACTAATATAGTAGTAACCACCTCTTATCAAGAATAAAAGATGGATTGAAATATAATAAAGTTCTTATAATGACACAGCACAAAGTGCTGCAAAAAGCATTTTGTGAGTAACGGTGAGGGCATGGTCACGTGGTCTCTGAAAGTCACTCTGGTTACCCTTGCTCCTACTTGGGCAAACGCATTACAGCTCCTATTATTACCTCCCTTTACCTCTTTATCTATAAAACCTTCATACTTTAAACTTAAACCTAATTCCTTATATTGTATATATATCTATGTAATTTACTCAAATATCAGACATCCTAAATAGTCTGAGATTTCCCGTTGTACTCTTTCTTTTACATTAAGCCCACTCCAGTCTATGGTTATAGATTCCTTTTCTTTCTTTTCCCTCGTCTTGTCCTCGCTCTGGTTTACAAGCCACATCATTTCGTGTTCCAAACTGGATACCAAGCGATCTTGAAACTGTTTGATAAGAAAAAATGAGTTCCCCTGTTCGTTGATATCATGCGAAATAGTGCTATGTTGGAATACTTTAGCCCCATCTCCATTGACGAAAAGTTTATCAAATGCTAAAAGAGTTGTCTTTGTCCGGTTTATATCATTAACCAGCACATCTTTCCAGCTGTCATCACATACTTTGGTGAGAATTTCGAACCCCTGTTGGAAATTCCGTTTCAAGTCTCTATAAGAAGCAACACTGTCCAAGAGTGGAGAATGGTGAATTCTCATCAAGATCAACATGGAGAGTTCAAGCATGAACCGGTAATGGACGGGCACTTGTGCAAAGTTGGAGATGGTGCAGAATTCCTTTTCAAAGAGTTGGATGATCTCATAGCAACATTGTAGGGCCTTGACAGTGTAAGACTTGTACTCTTCGCCGGTCAAATTCATGTCTGTCTTGTACTTGTCCAAGGGGAAGAATGTGAACAAGTAGGTTTGTAATTTGATGTAGGATACAGACATCAGCATGAGATTGGCATGCTGGTGGTGTTTCATCAAGGGACTTGATGAATGGGCCAATTGTTGGAGAATTTTCTCAAACATTCCCAAGTTGAGAAATCTTTTTGTTTTGTTGATTTGATAAAGTCTTGTGATTGAAGTATCTGAAGATTGGAAAGTGGTGGAGATTTTCAGTTGAATAAGGGAGAGTGAAAGAAGAGAGGTAATATAAACTAATTCCAAGTCAGTGGAGTTTTCTTCCTTTAACTGGGTAGAATTATCATCTTTCTTGGTCTTTATATTCTTTTTATTCACCATATAATCTTCATCTCTCTGAGGAAGTCCCAACATTGTATACCAACAGCTTGAATTAATATGAACATATTTATAAATCCTCTCTCTAAGAGCCTTATTATTATCGGAACTATATTTCGAAATCCCCACCACAGTCTTATGACTGAACTCATTGATAAACTCTGAACGATGAAGACCAAGTTGTAATGCCAAATTGTTCATAAGAGCAAGGTATTTGATACTGAGTTGGTCTTCTGAGTCTGGATCTTCTGGCAACGGCCAAGTGGTCAAGATCAGCAATGCAAGTAAGGTGTGGACGGATCTTGGAGTGTTATACCAACATTTAGCCACCACGAGCGATTTAATCGATGCTGAGAGTTGTTGATACTTCTCACAGGCCTCTGGTCCACCGTTCAAATAGGAAACACACACGATAGACCAGAAAAGAAGATCACTTTCTTGGTAAACTTGTTGAAGATCATGCAAGAACTCATGCGGTAAGATGGGGATAAATCGATGGAAATTGGATCTATAGTTGGCAAACTGACGTTCTGCCTCATCCATCGAGATCACAAAGTTGCCATGGGAGAGCGTGAATAACAGAGACTCTTGGATCAGAGTTTCTCCCTCCAGACATGAACTATTTGTGTTTGGAGTAAGTGGTTGGATTATGGTTGTTGCCGTTATTTTAGATGAGAACGCAAAATCTTCTGGTTCAGAGTTCTCATCGGAAAACTCTTCTTCTTGACCCTTACATTCATTCTCCGACTCTTCAGACTCATTTTCTGACTCTTCTGACTCTTCTGACTCTTCATATTCTTCATACTCCTCATGCTCTTTACTCTCGTCATTCCTCTCCATATGCCCGTACTGTATCTCGGTCAGGAACTCAACCCCTCTCTTGATCAACATCTCTATCATCTCGCTCTTTCTACTGATCAACAGGTCCAAAACTTTCTTTAATTCTTGCACTTCCAGAGTGAGCAGTTCCACGACGTCAGTCGATCGTTTTGGCGGCGTGTGCACAACCTCCAACACACACTCGAGTCCCTTCTTCAAGCAGTGTGTACAAGGGCTGGGCCGCATGTCCATGGCATCACACCGAACCTTGTTCAGTCTGCATCTCGAACAGGACTTGAGAACCTTTTTGAACGATGGGCTTGCAACCTCGACTCCCAGCGCCTGCACTGAAGCCATGCCTTCTCCATCATCCACACGTCTTCTCTTGTACCCATTCGGTACATCGATCTTACCAGCCAACATATTCTCTCTATGGTTTGTTAAACTGGATTAAAACCTTTTTCTTTGATTATATTTTAGGTTCCAACCTTTGTCTGACTCTAACAAGGAACCCCTCCCGTATCTGTGCTTCGCGGTGTGCATACAGGCGGGTTAGGATAAAAGCGATCGGACTTTGCCAATTTTGTAGCATAAGCACATTTTCGCGGCCTGTGATTGGCCAGGTGGACCCTGGGTCCAAGAAATTGATGCGAAAACGGTTGATATCAATAAAGTGTTACAGTATGAGGGGAATCGAATGATTCCAATATACAACCTGGAAAGCGAACACGGGAAATAACAGAATTTTATCCATCTACTGTCTACATATTTCTACTGTTATATTAATCATTACCCCCGTGGCGGTATTTACCCTCTGACTTCCCCTACATCCCCATACAGTCTATTACAAACTCTTCCTTCTACTTCTCATTCTCATTCTACTCTCCTTCACTTTTCAAACCTCCTACTTATCTCATTTATTACCCTTCTTAATTTGACGTATTGTAACTCGTTAACCATCAATCACCGATTCGGAGATCAAACTCAAAAAAAAAAAAAAAAAAAATTTAATCTAAAGCCGGCACGTGATTCACAGAGTAAGCAAGATTTAATTGGGTATTTTTTAGTATTTATCGGATATGGTATGAAATTTGGCCAAGAAATAACGGTATTGATCATTTCCGACATAATGGAATAGAGTTTTATGACTGATAGGGAAAAAAGGATTTTACTTACTTCAACAAAGGTGGGAAATTGCCACCTTACCACGAGGAACCATTGGAACTCGCTATACTTCGAGAGTACTTCTATGAATCTTCCCACTAACTGTATAAGTTTCCCGAATCTTCTTGCCATATTTGATGATAATTATCCCTCGTTAAAAGTTCCATATCCAAGTAAAGAAGGGATAGTTCTGTATCACGTGACTAAAGGTGAATTTAAGTTATTTTGATCCTTCCCGACATATTACTCCCCAATTGGGAAGTCTAGCGTTCTTCTCTCTCTCTCTTCTCTTTTAGGCACTTATAAAGGCCCTCTGCAACCTATGCAGGCCTCTGTTTAATTACCTTTATAAAACTAATCTAGATGACATCTATAGAAAAGGCAAGAACTCCAGCACAGGCAACTGCCCTAGAACTTCTTGACTTGGCTCATAGTATCCCGTTGAACCCTCTCAATAAAGTTTATTTCACCAAGTTCACCAACCATTGTGCTGAAAAGGCCATCAATCTTCCCGATGGCTACACTTTACTGAAGATCTGTCTAAAATGTGGGGTCTTGTATATCCCTGGAATCACTGTATCTATGCGTATCACCTACGGAAAGACATCGTCTCGGAAAAGAGGCTCCAAGAAATCAAAATCTCCTACAAAAAATGTTGCTAAAGACACCACAAAGTCTCGTCCAAGACGTCTTGAATACAAATGTCTTCAATGTCAATCCGTACAAGTGGTTTGTCAAGACCTTCTAGCGCCTAAACCAGCTCCGGTGGTGACCAAGGATCCCGTCTACGAAGCCACATGGCCTCCTAGCTCATCAATTTCAAAATCAAAGTCGTCTTCTCCTGCACCTGTTTCCACTCAGGGGGGTACTCATACAAGCTCTGGTTCACGTTCTGGGTCAGCTACTCCTCCACCATCGTCCCAGATGGCAAAAAAGCGGTCCAAGAAGAGAAAGGACCACAATCTCTTGAGCATGATCAATAAGAAAAAGGAGGAGTCCTCGAAAGTTCTGCTTAATCTCATGGACTTTATGAAGTAAAGCACAACCGGTCAGCATACCCCCTGGTCAATCTCCATGGTATGGATACGTAGGCAGGGTTGAAACCTTGGTAGAATTCACTCGGACTGTTGTACGAGGGAGGAAAAATCTCGAGGGCCGTCAGAAGAAAGTGCGAATCCACCGTACGGGTTTGCGGTCCGCTCCGCTGGCACTCCGTGGGCCACTAGCCGTGGAGGCCTGGTTCCTCTAGCGAGGAATTTCCAATAATGAGGGTTCTCCTCGAATAGGAGCTAGGCACCAAGCAGTGGCTCTCCCCGAGTAGGGGCCAGCGGAGCGGCTGGCAGCAGGGAGTAGCAAGGTGAGGTTAACGTTGTAGCTCTGTCCTAATAGTGACCGCAGCGTGACTTACAAATGAAGTAGTCATTCATAATAGAAGATGTGGATTCAATCAATTCACAATTCCTTTCCCTCAATGGTTCTATCTCACATGTAGTAATCTCTGTCCCCGGGTCCCTCGCTCCACAACTGCTAGGGTCCATACTAACAGAACGGTAGTCGTACCCGCTGAAAACCACAGGTTATCACCTCCACTTCCTGTAGAGAGACACATTAGAAGCTCCGCTTGTTCTTACTTATAGCAGCAGTTTCATCTAACGAAGAGTCAAGTGCCCCCACGAAAGTCTCCTCGTTAAAGGATGAGTGGCCCATGGAGTTCCAATAGAGCAACTCACAAGCCCCATAGGGCCAGTCTACGTTTATAAAAGAGTTAGTATTAATCTTTGTTCATTATTATCATATATGTAGAGTCGTTGAGGGATGCCTTTATTTACATAAAATAACCAGAAAAAGTCTGTGACAGTCTCTTGGATTCTCTTGTAGTTTCCCCATCAACGTTGGGCAATTCTCCTGCCAATCTTTTCTGACGTGTACATGTCCGGATCCAACGTCGGCGTCTAAACACCTCCTCCTTGACATTGTTGTGGTCCGCCAGTTCCGTTTGATCTGTTGAAATGTCATAAACCCATTTTTCATCTGTATCTACATCAACCACGTCTTCCAAGAGATTCTGAACCACCCAAGCAGACGAGTCCAAATCCAACTTCCAAGGAGATTCAGAGAATTCCCAGTCTATTGGAGCCTTGATGCTGGACAAGGAGGCAGCACTACGGATCGGTGGTGAGTATTCCTCTTCTTCAACAATTGATGTATCTTCCGACAGATGTGACATTTTCCTCTGATTTTGTGCAGCGGGTGATCTATCGGTGGTGGTGGTGGTGGTGGGATCATTCAAAGTCTCTGAATTGAGAAAATCATCTTCAACGACGTCAGTGATGGGTCCATCACCATCTCGAGATTGTTCCTCCATCAATCGGAAACTCATGATTCGATGTGGACTATTGATGGTGTAGAAATCGGTACTATATCCAACCAATTCCCATACTTTTGTTTTCATATGTAAACGTTGTAATTCAAAAATTTCCACCTCTTGAGTGACATCTTCTGGTGAAGTGGGGGTATCATAGTCTAACCCCCACTCCTGTATGATCCTATCCACCTTATTCCCCAAAGTCAACCAAGTTAACCTTGTATCTTCGTCATAGATCCATTCCAAGATCTTATTTCTCAAATGGGGGTGAAGAGCAATGGTAATGGTCCAGATATTGAGAATTAAAAGAACTTTGATTGGGGTCCAACGGATTAACCAGGGGAGAACTTTAGGTAACACAAACAAGTTGTGAGTAACCATAAAGACACATCCGATAAGAACCATGCTACTGATATGTTCCTCTTTGAAATAAAGATAATCTCTAGTGATCCAAGTGATGAAATCAAACCCAACCACATAAAGAAGCATATAATTTTGTAAATCGGTTAGATTTAAAATGAATTCTCTTGAGAATTCAGGGATAGCATGCGGGACTTCTGGTGGTGCTAAGGCCAGCTCGGATGGGATAGGATTACATTCATAGTATACATTACCTTGAGTCACCGACCGATCCGGTGGATAAACAACGAGATAATGTGGCACCATAATGCCAACTATAATGTAAATGAAGGGTACTACAGTCAAGAGAATGGGTTGGAGAATCACATGGGTTGCTGCTAGTAACACCCCCATGGTGAAAGCCGGATTACACCACAGAAAGAATCGAATGATTTGATCCAACGTTTGGAACGCCACCGACAATCTTCGGTTCAATTGAATGGAATTCTTACTCATAACATTGACCAGAAGTGAAGGACGAGTCTTTTGGATGGCCAATCTTTCCTTCAAGATGGTTTGACCCTCGGTGGTGGATGCATTCATGGGGAGAACCATTGAGATCATTTTTTCCATAAGTTTGTCTGTGAGCACTGATTGGTTGACTCCAAGGTTATAAAATGAGCTTGATGGTTTGGATTGGTCTGTAGTCAGTGTAGAGTTTGGTGCCAGTGTCCCCAGTGGTGTGGGTTGGGTTCCCGAGGTTCCCTGAGTTCCCTGAGTTCCCTGAGTGCCCAGTTGTTGTTGTAAAGCAGATGGCCAAAATGAACTAAAATCATAGGAAGAGTCACTTTTAGCTCGAAGTGACGTTGGAATGGCAGCCTCGGGGTCATCTGCCACCAACAGATCTACTCCATCAGTGTCCAGTCCCTCAGCATTAACTTCATCTACCCCATTGTCTTTGTTCTCCACACCTTTTGCATGTGAAGGCGTGGGGTGAGGTGCGTCCACCGTCAAGATATTCTCGAAAAAACTCGAAACTTGGTCCATATGAGTGCCCCGGTGATGCCTTAGTCTGTTTATACTGTCCCAGGCTAGAATTGGGGTCCAAGAATCGTTCTTTCCAAAGATATACCCTAGTCCCTACTGACTTTTATGTTGCTATGGATTAGGAAAAAAGAGCAAAATAAAAAAAAAAGAATTCCAAAATGTTTTGCAGACCACTAATCCGCGGGGCGCACCAGGGGTTCGATTCTGAGCTGAGCTGGGCGACAAAAAAACAGAGAGACTAGGATAAAGAGAGAGAACTCTAGTTTTGAAATGCACAAGACAAGGGTTCTAAAAGAAATAACAAGCTTACAGTAGTTGTTTGGTGGTTCTGATAAGCTAGCCCGAGAATCACAAAAATCTGTTATTTGGTTTTAACCGGGCCAATCGGTTGGCTGCAAAACAGAGAGAGACACCACCGAAACCAGCGATTTACGGAGAAGTAGGTTATATAGCACCTGTTTCCAAGGGACCACCGTACGGGGTGTGTGCGAGCCGCTCCGCTGGCACTCCGTGGGCCACTAGCCGTGGGGGCCTTCTTCCTCTACCGAGGAAAGTATCTGCCTAGAACATCTCCTCGTAGAGGAGCTAGGCACCACGCAGTGGCTCTCCCCGAGCAGGGGCCCAGCGGAGCGTCCAACAAAGGGAGAACTACTCACTCTACGGGGTCTACAAGAAGATCTCTGCATGGTAGTTTCCTCGGTAGAGGAAGAAGGCCCCCACGGCCAGTGGCCCACGGAGTGCCAGCGGAGCGGCTCGCACACCCCGTAGGGTGGGTAGTTCTTCCCCTGGGGCTAAAAGTTCCCACTCTAGTCCTTGTCTTTTCGGAAAACTACAACCATAAGCACCTAATTGTACTAGAGGACGGTCTCTCTACTTGTATGTATATCAATTCGTAACGTCGTTATTAAACTTCTATCTATATTTTGACTCTTTTAGAAGCACCTCTCCTTATAATTTCTTTATCTTCATTGTGCTCTCTTTTCACTGGAGTGTTTACTTCCTTCTCCAATTTGATTTGATTTAATTCTGAATCTGTTCTCATTCTTAATCCATTAGTATGTTTCTCATCAAAACTCGAGGCTGGCGTAAGTTCAGGGGTCGGTATAGACAAATTAAGTCTCTTTCTAGCACTTTCCATGCCAGGCTCAGTTTTCAATTTGAAAAGAGCCTCTGATACTTCTCGTTTCAATTTCGTAGGGGTACATGGAGGAGTTGTCAATGCATTACCACCCATAGATTTGATTGGACTTGATTTATATTTCAATTTTTTGGAATCCAATTGTTCTTGAGTTAAGAATAAATCAGGGATTTCTCGTTTCACAGCACGAACAAATTCGTCACAATCTCCAAGAACTTGATAATCAATGATACCTGACCATGATGTACTGACTGGAGTCTTGTTGACAAACACAATTTTCCCGCCTTTATCATGAATGGATGATGCAAGTGACCTTACAAGTTTCTTAACTCCATCCACTTTCAAGGAAGTACCCATGATAATAAGTAAATCAGGTCTTGATCTAAGATCAGTACTAAGTCCACGAGCTAAAAATTCCGCTTGAGGATGATTTTCACCGTATAATACAATAGATGGTCTTAAAAGTCCAATATTCCCCGTCATTCTCTTACCAGAATAAAGTCTTTCCATATATTTTTCATGACAATTGGAACATTCTGGATTGGTTCCATCGGATAATTGTACTTGATATTCTCTTGTCCAGTTATAATTGGTGAAACAATGTGTACAAGAAAGCTTATGAAGATCTCCATGTAATTGTACCACATCTAAATCTTTCCACAGTCTGGTAAAATTAGATGAATTCATTTCATTAGTAAGTAATTCTTCACTTAATCCAATGTTTAAATTAAGATTTTTTTCTAACCCATCAATATTTTGAGTATAACATCTTAAAAGTTTTTTCTTCTCCTTTAAAGTTTTAATAAATTTATGAGTTTCGGTTGGTTTGGCAGCCAATGTAGACGTGTAAAGTGCCTCCATAAACGTACAAAACACAGAGAGTGACGTCTCGTCACGGAAGAGTGAGATGTCAAAGAGATCCTGGCCTCTTACCACCAGTTTCGGGTGTTTGGCCTTGACCATGTTGTAGAGACCATCGGAAGATCTAAAGTCTGGAATCCCGGCATTGCACGAGATCCCGGCCCCAGTCAAGACCGTGGTCTTTTTGGCCTTGTAGATGATCTTACTGATCTCGGCCATCCTTATCGAGGATTCAGAAGTCACCTCATGGCTTCTGGTTAAGTCTATGGTCTTCATGTTATGGTCTACAGTACCGGGGGGTTGTTTTTTTTTTAGTCTTCACGCGTCTTTGTGCGTGGTTTTTCCCCTTCTTTTTCTAAGGCAAGGGGTGGATATTAATGAATTAGCAAATCCTTCAGAGTATCCTCTATTAAGTTTTATAAATTGTTGGTTGGAAAAGAAAACAAAACAATGTTTTAAATGAATGATTTGTTCGTGAGGGGGGTGTTCCAATCTCGTTCCTTTTGTGAAGAGATAAAATGAGATTTACATGTTGCGTGCGCGAACCACGTTTTTGGTGTGTGGTTTGTTTTGAGGAGGTCCGAATTAGGAAAGTGCATTAAACCACGGCAGCAAGGGAGATTAAGAGAGAAGTAGAGAATGGGTAGTAAGTGGTGAGTAGAAGGATAGGGAGAGTAGATGTGGAGTTAACTACGGGAAAGAAGGAAAAATAAAATGAAAAAATACTGAAAAATACTGAAGATTTAAATTGTAGTTAAACTTGGTGAGTTGAAGTTTCTGTAGAAATGTAGAAAGGGTTGAAAAAAACAATATAGATTACCTTCCACGGTTAGTGGCTTAGGTAGTACTTCCGGAGTGGCTCGCAGACCCCGTAGAGTGAGTAGTTCTCCCTTTGTTGGACGCTCCGCTGGGCCCCTGCTCGGGGAGAGCCACTGCGTGGTGCCTAGCTCCTCTACGAGGAGATGTTCTAGGCAGATACTTTCCTCGGTAGAGGAAGAAGGCCCCCACGGCTAGTGGCCCACGGAGTGCCAGCGGAGCGGCTCGCACACACCCCGTAGAGTGAGTAGTTCTCGCGACCCCGTGGGGCTGTAGGACGCTCCGCTAGGCCCCTTCTCGGGGAGAGCCACTACGTGGTGCTTAACTCCTCTACGAGGAGGTTTCTCTTTCTGTAATACCGTAGTGCACAATTCCCTCGTTAGAGGTACAGGGCCACCAAGGGTAAGGCTAGCGGCTCACAGACCCCCACAGAATATGATATACACCCCCCTTCATGTGACATCTGTTCTTGTTCGGTTCCATTCATTCTTCTTTTTCTTCTTCTTCTCCTCCTCTCTCTCTACATCTCTGCTTCTATTATTTCATTTCATTTATACATACTCATTCTGACTTCTCTAGTTGCTCGAGTCTATCCACTCTGACTATTCACTGCCAATTCCATGATCAATCTGGTGGCCAAGTGAAGGAAGGGATAAGCAGAAAAGGAGCTCATTTCGTCGACATCTTGCTTGACCAAAGGCTCTTCTGGGTTTGAAGTTGGGTTGGCACCAACTTTTTCCCAGCCATCAAACTTGAAATCAACCAAATAATTATTTGGTTCAAGTTGGAACAATTGGATTTGCATCTTCATCATGTCCGGGCTTTGTTGCAGTTCCTGACCTTCAACAATACATGGCCCATACTTCCATCGTACACGGATGGTCCAAAGTTCCTCTTCGGTTGGTTTCGACCATTCGGCACCCAAGTTCTTCAAGGCTCGGTATATCTCACCCATAACGTCAAGTGGGTAAGATCTGGATCTGATCCCGAAATGCCATCTTGTTTTCAGTTTCTTGGTGGATACTGGAGAAATTTTCGCTTGGGCCGGGTCTGCCGTGTCTGCCATTACCGCACGATGTATCGATGGGAGAGATGATGGGAGGATTGCTATCGTTGAATTGGGGAGTGTAGATAAATCAGGAACGGTGGCCAATGTTTGATAGGTGAGAGATTGTTGCACACCAGGCGCTCTGTGCAGTGGGGGGCCATTCCCAGCCCCCGCGGCGCCAGCCCCGCCCTGCTGGCCGGCACCTGGTCCACCCACACCTCCCCAGGTTGGTGGTGGTGATTGAGACAAAAAGCCATCCATCTTATCATTATGAGATTGTCTTAAATCCTTAACCAAGGTACTATTCTCCTTCATTAACAAGTACGCGTCAAGAATCTCATTCAGTTGTTGTTGTGGGGAATTGTGTTGGTTACACTTGTTGATCACATGGAGGATCTCATCTCTATCATAGCCCATGGTCATGGTCAAGGCACGGATCACATCCTCATCAACGTCAATCTTATTATGTTTTGTTTTCGACAAGTCTGGAGGTAAAAGGTATTCTTCCATACCCTCTTTGAACCAATCATCCTCCAAAATCTCATGAATGGTGATTCTATTCAAAGGGTTAACCACAAGCATTCTTGTGAGCAAATGCTTGGCACCACTCGAAAGATAGTTGGGGAGTGTATAAACCCCATTGGAAATCTTTTTGAAAAGAGCTGGGATGAATTCATCATCAAAGGGTAATCTTCCGCAAAGCATCACATATAAAATAACCCCCAGTGACCATACATCAACCTCAGGACCAGCATACAATTTCCCACTAATCACTTCAGGTGCAGCATAATTGGGTGAACCACAAGAAGTCTTTAAAAAATTCCCATCGGTCATAATATTCGAAAGCCCAAAATCGGCAATCTTAACATTCAACTTGTCATCAAGTAACAAATTCTCGGGTTTTAAATCTCTATGAACAATTTTATGTCTATGGCAATATTCCACAGCAGCAATAATCTGTTGAAAGAAACGTCTTGCCTCATTTTCAGGCATCTTACCTCTTTGCACAATGTAATCGAAAAGCTCCTTACCGGCATATTCAATCACCATGATGATCTCATCTTTAGATTTGATCACATCGTAAAGCTTGATAATATGTGGATGTCTCAAAAGACGAAGGTACGATATTTCTCTTTCCACTCGTCCTTGCATGTCAGACTTGGCCAATGTCTTCCGGTTGATGATCTTTAACGCCACTTTTTGTCCCGTGGTAAGATGTTGTGCTAACTTAACTTTCCCAAATGATCCTTCCCCCAAGGTTTGAAGGACTTGATATTTCCCAATTCTAACCCCGCCAGCAGCATTAGGTGGAGGAGCACCAGCGTTGGGAGGAGCCGATCCAGGAGCATTGCCAGAAGCATTTGCAGACTGGTCGGTCAGATGATGGTGATGATGGTGATGATGATGGTGGTGATGTTCCCTACCGTCGTTCTCAGACATATTTTATTGGTATTATTCGTTGTTTTAAGGGTGTTTCTCCAACCTTTTATCACCCTATGAATGGTACCCTTTTCCTCTTTTTCTGGACACATACTAATAAAGGGGATGGTTTGCACACGACTCGATATGTTGCTAAGCGGAGAACTTTTAGGACCGGAGGTCACATGACCAAAGTTAGTGGGGTGAGTATATATATATATAAAAAAAAAATGCAAAAAGGAAAATAAGAAAAGGGTGGAATTTCATCTTATCCTAGGTCCCAAGAAGTACTTGAGATTATTTGACACATAGTCTTTGAAGAAATAATGTACTAGGAATATAGGATAATTAGTCTTCAATTGCTGGATTGATCTGTTTTTTTTTGTGTTGTGTTTATTTAAAATGATTCGGTTAGTCACGTGATGTTCGAGGCGGTTATAAAGAAGTGGGATTGTAGTGGAGTTTGTATTGTAGGTTGATGATATGATAAGATTCTAGATGTGTATTTATAATGATTTTTATATTTTCCTTTAGGTTAGTCGAGAGGAGATTGTTGGTGAGGAAATCTGTTTCAGCGGAGCAGCTATCCCAAATTCGTGCGGAGCAGAGCACTACCTGTCGTACGGGACTGTAGGATACTCTAATAGTCCTCTCTACGGGATTAGCAAGCCGCTCCGCTGGGCCCCTGCTCGGGGAGAGCCACTGCGTGGTGCCTAGCTCCTCTACGAGGAGATGTTCTAGGTGGGTACTTTCCTCATTAGAGGAAGAAGGCCCCCACGGCTAGTGGCCCACGGAGTGCCAGCGGAGCGGCTCACAGACCCCGTAGGGTAGTACCCACTTACTTCCCCGTGGAAAGCCGCTCCGCTAGCCCCTACTCGGGGAGAGCCACTGCGTGGTGCCTAGCTCCTCTACGAGGAGATCTGCTAGGTGTATAGTTTCCTCGGTAGAGGAAGAAGGCCTCCACGGCTAGTGGCCCACGGAGTGCCAGCGGAGCGGCTCACAGACCCCGTAGGGCAGTGACTAACGGTGTATGAGATGTACACTCAAATACCTCTTCGGATCCATATAAGATTCAAAGCTCCTCATCGATCGTAGAGAATCCTCTGATGTTCTTGCACCTCTCATATCTATCTATTCCCGTGTTCAATCTCTCTCGCGATAGCTTCTATTTCCCCTCTCTGGACTTCTAGTTCTTTTGCTTGCATTGTATTGACTTCGATTATAATTTGTCTTTGGACGTTTCTCTTCAAATTTCTCTTCTTTCTTCTCTCTGATAATTTCAGTTCGAGACTCTCTCCTGTTTCTTTTAATCCTTTCAGCTTCAACCAATTCTTGTGGAATACCATCCTTATCGTCTTGAGCACTGACTAACAATTCCCAAAGTCTCGTGCAAAGTTTTAATGACTCTTCATCACCAAGAAAATCTGCCATTTGAAGATGAATCAGCTTTACATCCGGCTCATTATTGGCCACCAATAGCTCTCCAAGGTAGTCTGCCACAATGTCGTCATCTGGGAGAGCCTTGTCAACTTCCACAGATATCCATCGTTGAATCACTTGAACGTTCACTTTACTCATGTCAACTTTCTTTTTGAACACTTTAGGAAACTTTTTAGATTGTTTATCCTTTTGTTGTTTACGTTCCAATACATCTTGGTCTGCTTCTTTGATTCTAAACGACATTATACGTAAGGATATGTATACAAAATAATGATGAAATTGATTAGTACATGATAAATGAATAGTAATGATGGGTGTACTATTTATATAGTGATGATGCGTGTGTGCAGGACGGGCCACGATTAATCATATTACAAGAGTAATAAATTAATAAAAAGAATAATAATGGGACCATGTATAAGTCAATTGTGGTACTCAATTTAATACTTTACTCTCTAATAGAATTATATGGAGCATGTGGTAAAATCTACCCCATAAAAAAAAAGTTTAATGCCACTTTTAAAATTTTTTTTTTACCTTTGCAGCAAATTTTGAAGTTTAAGGGGGGGCATATGTTTTTGCAACCACAAATGTAAAAAAACATTTTTATATAGATTTAAATAACTACGAACTCTTCTAACTAATCTATAATGAATCGCATTCAAGTAGGAACCAATAAGAAAACTGACCCATCTGGGTATCAACCTAACACATTTGTACTTTCTCGATACTGTTCCAAACGTTCTCTTGTCACTCTTCAATCAATGGGGATATCTCTTTCAATAACTACCCCTAGAAACATTTGGTCTATGAATCCATCATTTTCCCCAATTTCTACAACTCCCATGTCTTATTCCAATTCCAAATTCTTTGTGATCAAATCTTATAACCTTCAAGATGTAAGATCCTCGTATCATCATAAGATTTGGTCTTCTACGAGTTTTGGCAACCAAAGATTAAATAAGGCATTTTTAGAAAGTGAAAGGGTTTTTTTATTCTTTCTGGTTAATGGATCAGGACATTATTGTGGCATGGCAGAAATGATATCCAGAGTTGATTTTAATATTGCAAGTGATATATGGCAAGAAAAATCAAGATGGAAGGGAGTCTTTCAAATTAAATGGTTGGAAATAAAGGACATACCAAGCAAAAATTTCAACCATTTACTTGTACCTAGCAATAGCTACAAGCCGGTTACATGTTCAAGAGATACACAAGAATTACCAATGGATGTTGGGATTTCAATGATGAGAATATTTCAATTATATCTACAACAGCCTACCTAGGAGGGAGGCAATCTTACTTTCCTCGTACGAGGAACTAGGCCTCCACGGCTAGTGGCCCACGGAGTGCCAGCGGAGCGGCTTCGTAGGGAAATGAGTACTAAACTCCCTACGGGGTTGCAAGCCGCTCCGCTGGCCCCTGCTCGGGGAGAGCCACTGCGTGGTGCCTAGCTCCTCTACGAGGAGATGTTCTAGGTGGGTACTTTCCTCATTAGAGGAAGAATGTTCCCCCACGGCTATTGACCCTTGGAGTGCCAGTGGAGCGGTTGGGCAGAGTCTAGGGGTATGTGTTCCCGGACGGGTTGTAAACGTACGATTCTCAAATACGTAAACGAGAAAGAAAAAAATAAAAATAAAATAATTGTTCAATGTGAAAAGTAAAAAGAAATAGATACAGCAATCTCAATTCCAAGACACACCCCAAACATGTACAAATCCACTAGTTCACGCGTTGCATTGTATAGATGCAACCAATTCGTGCGTTGTCAACTGACTGCAACCACTGAAGCAGTTAAAAAATACCATGGAGACGATGTAGAATATGGTCTGTTATCCAAGGCACAAAGAGCATTTCTTGATAGAGTTATCAGAGTAGATCAAGCGGGTGAACTTGGAGCAAATTACATCTATTACGGTCAGTATACAGTTCTTGCTGCCAGATTCCCCCAATTGAAACCCGTTTTGCAACACATGTGGGATCAAGAAATCCATCATCATAATACATTCAATAAACTTCAAACGGAACGCCGAGTACGGCCTTCATTACTCACACCCCTTTGGAAAGTGGGTGCGTTTGGAATGGGTGTTGGTACGGGTCTCTTGGGAAAGGAGGCTGCTATGGCATGCACAGTTGCGGTGGAAACCGTCATTGGTGGCCATTATAATCAACAATTACGAGTCTTGATGAATCAATATGATATCCCAGTCTATGACAAAATCACTGGGAAAATTATTGAAAATCCTGACATGGAAATTCAAGAATCACCTGAGTTAGCTAATCTTAAACATCTCATCAGTACTTTCAGAGATGAAGAATTAGAACATCTTGATACTGCCATTGAAAACGATGCTGAAAAGGCCGTTCCATATATGTTATTGACAGAAGCTATCAAGTTGGTATGTAGAAGTGCCATTTGGACTGCTGAAAGAGTTTAATATAGATGAAGATATGAAGATATGACTTAGAAAAGATGTAGAGTAAACAACACAGATGAATGTGAACAAGTGATAGGGAGTACATATAATGAGATGAAGAGATGATAAGGATAATTAATGAGAACAGTACCCACCCTACAGGGGTAGCTAGCCACTAGCCGTGCGGGTCTTCTTCCTCTACCAAGGAAACTACACACCTAGCAGATCTCCTCGTAGAGGAGCTAGGCACCACGCAGTAGCTCTCCCCGAGCAGGGGCCAGCGGAGCGGCAGTCCCACAGGGAAGTGAGTGGGTACTACCCTACGGGGTCTGTAAGCCGCTCCGCTGGCACTCCGTGGGCCACTAGCCGTGGGGGAACATTCTTCCTCTAATGAGGAAAGTACCCACCTAGAACATCTCCTCGTAGAGGAGCTAGGCACCACGCAGTGGCTCTCCCCGAGCAGGGGCCAGCCGAGCGGCGGATTACATACCCAGGTGGAGCTGGAAGGTCTAGTTACTATACTGGGTTACCTCTCCCGTTTTCTCTTATTTACTTTTCATTCATTCTTACAGTATAATCACGTGCAATACCACGTGATTGTTCTTCTTTTTCTCTTTTTCTCTTCTCACGTGACCGTGTCTCCAACCTGCATATTACCTACATCAAATATTATAATCAAAACATAAACACAATCATAATCTATTCTCTTACCTCCCCGCACCATTCAGGTATGTCTCGACCTTCTTCAGTCTATAGATCGTCTGCCATGTTCCGCCGTGGGTTGAGTGGCAGCATCGCCCCTCAAACACCCATGCAACAACTGCAACTGCAACTGCAACAACACAATCATCAGGATAATTTCCCATTACTTGATTTTAAAGAGATTTCAATTTGTTTACAAAGTTGTAATTTCCGAGCTAGTGAAGAATTAGTTTCGAAACCTTCAAGTCTGTACATCCGTACGTTGTTCGAACAAGTGTTGGACTCCTTTTTGGGAGTTACCACTGAAAATATTGCGAAAAAGGCTCAACTTTTAAATAATTCTAAAGATCAAAATGTTGATGAATCAATAGATCAAGATGATGATACAACAAATTCAATTAAATTATTGATTCAACATCGAATTATGTTTCAATTTTTAAATGATTGTGGAGTTTATGATTTCACCTTGATGGATATTATGAGACCTGAACCATTTAGAATTAGAAGAATTTTAAGTGCCATTGTAAATTATGCCAAATTTAGAGAGGAACATTCGATTGATTGTGAAGAATTACTTGGTATAAGTGAAGCTAATTTAGAGAAATTAAACAAGGTAACCACCAATAAAACTCAATTAAATGATAAAATTTTAAGATTGAAAAGAAAATTAGAAATTGATGATACAAATAATAAAAAGGCATCATTAAAGCAAATTAATTCATATAATTCTAAAATTGAAAATGAATTGAAAAAATTAAAGAAAGCTCAAGAATTACTCACGTTGGAACATACCAAATATAAAAATGAGAAACTTCGACTTATTGAAAAATTAGAAGATCATAATTATTTAATAATAGAATCCAATAAGGAATTAGAGAAATTGAAGTCATATTTAATGTCCAATCCAGGAGTGATCAGTAAAGTGATCACAGATTTGAAATTAAATTTGGAAACTGATCAACAAAGAATTGGAGAATTAGAACAACAAAATCGTAATTTATCAGTATCACTGGAATCTTTCCAATTAGTTGAGCAAGAATTAAAGCATTTATTCAGAATCTTGGAAGAAATCTTGAATGATTTATCCAAGGAGGAACAATCTTTGGATAAACTTACCCGGTATCAAGAGTTTATGGATCAACAAATCCTTGAAGCCAGTGATTTAAATCGACAAACTCAACAATTAACTAGACAATTGAATAATATAGAGGAAAAAATCAATCGATTAAGAGAACAATCGAGAGAAAGAAGTGAAACAAGTAAACGTCAATTGAGTTCCTTGAATGAAAGTTACCTTGAACTTTCTAATGAACGGAAGGAAAAGGAACAAGAATTGGATGTAAAACGGACATATATCTCTGATTTGGAGAAGAAAATGACCATGATAAAGAAAGAATATCAAGATGAAGTTAAAGATGCACATCTTGGAGTGGAAAGATTGAATGCACATGTCAAATTGTATCTTACAGAAATGGGTAAAAAGGTTGAAATGAAAGATTAAGAAGAAATTGATGTTAATAATTGTATAATATGTATAATAGAATAGATGATAAGAATCAGAGGGTGAGTGTAGAACCAGACTTCCTCGGTAGAGGAAGAAGGCCCCCACGGCTAGTGGCCCACGGAGTGCCAGCGGGGCGGCTTCCTTCCCCGCAGGGAAGTAAGTAGCGACATCCCTACGGGGTCTGCGAGCCGCTCCGCTGGCCCCTGCTCGGGGAGAGCCACAGCGTGGGGCCTGGCTTCTCTACGAGAAGATGTTGAATCACTTTCCATTTATTGTTATGTATCATAAAATTATCACCTCTCAGAGATCAAAAGTTTGGAATCAATATTCCTCTTCATAACCTCTTTATCTAACTATCAATCAAACTAGCGTTATACTTGGTAGTCTCATAATCCCAATAGAAAGACACATCGTGGGACACATTATTAAACACTTTACATTGATCAACAAAATTAACACCATTCAATCGTTCGTCAATGTATTTCTCGAAATCTGAGAATTCACAAGAGAACCCTGGTCCACTAGAACAGTCCTTAATTGGATAGACAGCATCGTTAAGAATATATCTGACATATGAACTATTACCACACTTGTATTTTTCAGTGTAAAGTCTAGCACCTTGTGGAACTATTTGAGAATGTACATAAGTGTCTGGGAATTGTACATACCCAACAGGTAATGGAATTTCTGGACTAGTCAATCCTAAGGCAGCATGTACAATTTCCCAATCGGTATCATGAGAAAATGATAACCAGATTTTATTCTTAGAGTCAGAATTCTTCAATAAGGTAACTGATGCGTTTAACAAGGTTGATCCCACAACCTTGCTAAGATTGTAGCCTGGGCCTTGTGAGTAATAGTAGGATACATCATTACCATATGAATATCTAATGTACTCTTCATTGGTGAAAATATCTGCAAATGGTGAATAACCTCGAACATTAATTTCATAGGCAACGTAACCAAACAAATTTTCAATATCACTAGTACTAAGGTTCAAACCAGGGTTAGAAAGTTGAAGTCTTTTCAAAATCCCCTTTAAATAGCCTTTATCGTACTTTTTAATAAGGTCAGAATTCGCATTGCCATCCCAAGCATTGCACGCCAGTCTAGGAGTCAAAGAATTGGCGCCACTGCTTGGTGATTCGGAGATAACTGAAAATTTAACGGTAGAATCTGAAAATTGATCTCCCAAGAATCCTCTTGCAAAATAATTTGAAGTTTGGTAGCATCTACCAGAGTTTGAAGAGAAAACTGGTAATACTTCGCTTGCATTGTACAATGCATTGTACTTGGCCCTAAATGCAGCACCATGTTTCAAAGCGTCGGAAGTCCCACTAAAGTAACCTTCGGAATTACTTGGAGTGGTTTCCTTTTCATACCAATACGTATCAGGTACAAAGTAGGTATAATCATCATTCAAGAATGCAAGTTCACCTTTGAAAGTGCCATTGTATGCCTTGAGTTTCTTGTAGACCGCCTCGTAAGATTTCCCTGACCCTTTTGAAGGAAAACGTTCACCATGCCTAGAAAACAATTGTACTTGTTCAATGGTACATTGAGAAGGAATATCAGTAGAGATACCAAATCCAGGGTGTTGAATATAAGGAGCTGATCCCGACAAGAATTTGATGATATTATACTGTTCAATTGCCGCTTGTTCAGGGGAGGAGAGATCTGAATATACTGATTGACCTGCCAAGATTAAGCCTCCATTGACCAATTTATTTAATGAAACCATAGCGAGAGTAGTTATTGCTTCTGCATTCTCCCCAGCTACAACATGATTGCAGTCATTTCTATATTTATATACAAAAGGGAGGTAGGCTTAAACTGCCAGAGTCGAGTCCACGTTGCAGGTGGTCTAGCTCAAAATTTCACAATTTCACAATTCACAACTAGTGTCTCGAATTATAGTTTACAAATATTTCTAAAATAAAGATTACTCAACTCATTTAGGTCCTTATTTGACGGAAAGGGGTCCATACACGTGGGGGAAAACGATTTAATGGTTACATTCTGATATTGCTATTGTTCGGACATTTCATGAAGTATGCCGTTTCGGGTTCCCATTTCAAGGTATAGCGTTTTATTTTCCATTCGCCGGAATGTGCCATTTGACAAAGTGGCACATAGGTAGAAGGTGGAAATATTCCGCTGATCCGTATTTGACCGGGGCCCCTATTAAAAGGGGATACTCGTAATTAGAGAGAGAAAGCTTAAATGGCTATTAGCCCCTTGGATAGTGCTCCCACAGAGAGGACCCACAACTCGATGGAATGTAAAAATGGATGTTCTGCCAACTCCTACGGGGAAAGAGATACTGTCTAATTCTGGATCATCTAGGATGAGATTTTACTAGTAATCAGGTAGCATGATAATAGTTGATATTGTATTGTATTGTTTGTTCTTATAATTCTAGAGCTGTTTATCTCTTGTGTAATTTTGTCAGATTGTGCGAATTGGTTGCAAAAATCATTTGCCGTCAATACAGACCCTTTAATAAAGGGAGTGTGGGAAAGGGATAATATTTGGTAAGATTAGTGAAGCTGGGTTCCCTTCGACAGTAAAGCGGGTGTAAAATGGTGTAGTCTATGGGTATAGTCAAAATAGTGTTTTAAAAGATTTAAATTTTTAAATTAATTCTCAACTTGTGAAGTTTCCTACAAATTATATTTATAATGAAATCATCATTGATTGTAAAAGTGAGTAATATTAACCATTCTGTCAATGACACAGAAGTATAAGGACAAATATACGCCATATAGAAATAGTACCTAGAATTAAATTATAGTTCCCTCTGTTCAAAAAAAGTTATTGAAACCCTACTTTTTCTTTCGGGTGAGCCAATTCCTTGTCAGTAAGCCTCCCTGGCTAGTGGCCCACGAAGTTCCAACAGAGCGGCTTACAGACCCCCGTAGGGAACCACATTGTAGCTAAGGGCCCTGTACTGAGAGTGACCAGAGAATACTTGGAACGTTCCTTACAATGACCTAAATTCATATTATACTAATTGGCATACTCTATTCATCATCATTATATAGAGTGACCTCTCTAGTGTCATCTGGACATTATTATATTTATAGACATTAGTCTTGGGATTACTTTGTTTTAGAACTTTCTCTCTCAGACAGATCACATTCTTTAGACGTTCCATCAACACTAATTCTCTGATTAGTTTCCACACCTTTGCTTTCCACGTCTCCTTTCTCTTCATGATGTCCAATGTCCTCAGTTTTAGGGATTCTTCTGTTTGTCAGGAAAAGACCAGCAATCATGGCCACCCCTGACAAAGCAAGAGCAAAATAAAAGACATTGTATAATGCCTTCATCACCAGATCAAGCACCAAGTCCTTCGCTTCCTTAGGAAGCGTTTGAATAACTTGTGGAGCGGAAAGAACAGAATGAATCGGGATATTGGCCAATTGACGGTATGTGGGAGAATTGGCATCTACTTTCGATAATCCTTCGGAAATATAATTAGCTCCAGTGGAATTGAAAATAAGTTGAGCAAGTGCAAGTCCAATGGCTCCACCTAAAGATTTACCAAAATTCATAAAAGTTGTCACCAAGATAATTGAACCAGGGACTTTCGCTGGGGCTTTCAATTGGGCAGAAATGAGAGAGGATTGGAATTGAAGTCCAATGGAAACTCCAATGGGGATCAAGAGACCAATACGGGCTGGGGAAGCTGAATGACGGTCCAACAATAAGAGAAGACCACAACCAAGAGGACCCATGAAATTGGATAAGGTAAGGGTAATCTTGACATAACGGGTTACTTTCATGAACACCCCGTTGAATACAGATGCAAGTGACACGGAAACAACCATGGGGAGAAGATCAATCCCGGATTGCCACAGTGATGCATTGAAAACCAATTGGAAATACACAGCTAAAAAGGTGATCAAGGCCATGAAAAAGGCGAAATTGAACGTCCCACTGATGAAAGCCGCTAACAATTGAGGCACAGTAATCACTTCCTTGATAAGAATTGGATTGGAAGAGAATTTGAAGTTCCAGACAGTGAACACAACTACAAGTAATCCACCCAAGACAAAGCAGAGAATGACAGCAGCTGATTTCCAAGGGAAGTCATTGCCACCAAAAGTAAGACCAAGAAGAATTAACGTCGTTCCAGCCACTAACAAGGCAGTCCCCACGTAATCGATTCTTGCCAATTTTTCACGCAAGTTCCCCACGGGTTTTGGTGGATTGAACCCAAAGGAGAGCAACACTATAGCTAGTCCACCGACGGGGAGATTCACGTAGAAACACCATCTCCACGACACATGTGTGGTGAAGGCACCACCGATAAATGGACCCAATACAGATGCCACTGAGAAGGTGATCCCAATGAGGGTCATGGACAATGGACGACGCGAAATGGGCACGGATTCAGAAAGAATAACCATAACCATGGACTGAATGGCCCCACCACCAATACCTTGGACCACTCTGCCACCAATAAGCATGTCCATGTTGGTGGAAAGAGCAGAGATTAAGGAGCCAATTTCGAAAATGACAAGCCCAGCAATCATCGTATATTTTCTACCAAAGGCAATGGAGATCTTCCCATAAGATGGCGCCAAACACGCCATGGGGAGAAGAAACCCTGAAGTCAACCATCCGATTTTTTCAAACCCTTGGAATTTCCCACCAACGGTGGTAAGAATGGTGGTGACAATGGTTTGGTCCAAGGCTGAAACAAAGAGTGATGCCACACACGATATCAATGTTAAGGCGAGCTTAACCCCGGTGAGGTGTTGGTCGGTTGCCCTGGACCCATCACCAGCGTTACTCTCGTAATACTTCCGTTCCCCTGACATGGTTTTCTAGGTTGCTAAAAGAAAAGGTGGGTTGAACTGGAATTGTAATCAAGTTTTCCGTTTCAATGGTGAGGAGCCTAAACCTAAAATTCACTGCGGCTTAAGTGATGCACCAAATGAGTGCGATGCCGTAATGAGCGACTATGAGAATCTCACAGTCTTCTATTTTGAGGAGGAGTAGGACTGGATACTGGGTTGTTATATCGGGGTGGATAGGAGGAAATACACGACGACTATACCCAGCGAGGCTGGGGGAGCTACTAGCTAAATATTAGTTGAGTAAATTGGGGGAACGGCAAAATATTTGTCAAGGCCGTGCACGGAATAAGCCATTTCTGTGGCGCGGAAAATAATATCTGGAGTATGTGTGGAGTGGTTTTAGTTACTGTATAGGGCCAAACATGAGGAGAAGCGGGGAACAGAACCCTTTTGAATATGGAATATAATGGGTATGACAAGTAAGGGGGTTCTGAGACATAACAAGGACCATCTAGGGGCAATGTGAGTAACATTTCCAATCACACAATGGAATAAAGTTTGACAGATTTTTTGACGTGAATCAAATTCATTGTATATCCCAAAGTGGAAATGAGTAGATATATCTGAAAAAAATCACAAACCGAAGGTTTAGATCAAGAAAGTTAATATGAAAGTCCTTTATCCTTATAGCCGGATATACCTTTCTCTAGGTATACATGACTGGGTAACATTCCAGGGAAATGAGTACTAAACTCCGTACGGGGTTGCAAGCCGCTCCGCTGGCCCCTGCTCGGGGAGAGCCACTGCGTGGTGCCTAGCTCCTCTACGAGGAGTTCTGCTAGATCACTAAATTCCTCGTTAGAGGAAGTAGGCCCCCACGGCTAGTGGCCCACGGAGTGCCAGCGGAGCGACTTGCAGACCACCCCGTATGGCTTTACTAGGGTTCCCCTTCCCTGCGGGACCGTCAGCCGCTCCTCTGGGCTCCTGCTCGGGGAAGAGCTGCTGCGTGATGCCTCACTCTTCTACGAGGGGAAGTTTCGGAGCGAGAGAGTTAAATAACCTACACTTTTCTAAAAGTACTTTCATTAATATAAATAATTTTTTTTGTTTATGGACTAACCTGGTCCTTTTTGTAAAAACTCCATAAAATCCATATCATCGTCATCTGTAAGGGTAGCTGAAGATCTTCCACTAGTAGGATTGGTTTTCTTTGGAGTATTTAATGCAACGGACGTGGAGGTGCTGGGTTGTCTCAGGTAAACTTCACCTTCCACAATTACGTTGGGATCTATTATTGATTGTTGTCTTGTTTTTCCCAGACGACTAGTACGTTTGCTACCACTGGATGTAACGGAAACCCGATGAGAAAAATTCATCAGGAATTGATCCAAATTTGTTCTATACTCCTTTTCAGGGACATTCCCACTTAAAACATTTGAGAAATCGTGGCCAAATGGTTGTAAGCCACCAGAAGAAGGGCCTCCTCCATCTTGAACACGATGCTTTGTGTTTGAATGATTAGAACCCGCAACTATCAGATTAGTGCCTCCAGCGACACCACTTCCAGAGCGATGGCCTGAACTCTGCAGACGGATGGCATGGTTCATATACTTGTCATGGATTTTGGCTACATTGTTCTCCGAGGGGAGTTCATACAAGGGGAATCGCAACCAATGGAGCCATTGTCTCCATTTGGAATATTCTGACAAATCTTGTGCCAAACTAATGCTGACACTTTGCTTATTGAGAATGGCCGAGGTGGCAATGGAGTCGGAATCCTGACTCACATGCACGAGATTGGCCATGGTATGACCATGTTGCTTCTCAAAGTTTTTCATAATGGTATATTCGGTGGGGATTTCTCGATAGAAAAATACCAATGAATCAACAAATCCATTCAATGGTTGCATGAACGCCCCCATACAATTGAGCCAATAGATCGGCGCATGGGTTTGTTCATAATTAATCTGAGTGACATAGAGAATGAAGGGGAAAAGCCAAAGGAAAATGTATGCCAATGGATAGATGAAAATGGATTTCATTTGCTTTTCAATGATTTTCTGTCGTTTACGGAAATTTGCCAAGTTTTCCTCGTACAAGTCTGGTTTGATACAATTGTCTGAAGAAGAAGAAGATGAACCAAGACCTGTTGGAGAGCCATGATCATGCACAGCATCATCATCATCATCAAGCTCTTGATCTCCTCTATTGTTTTCATTTGATACTTTTTCCAGAAATTGTCGTTGAATCAGAACCAGCTGTCTCAGAAGTTGTTTAACAAGTTCATTTTTATTTATTCCAATTGAATTTTCATTTGGAGATGGTGAACGGGGAGATCTGGTATTACCTTCCAGTTGAGTGGTTTTATCGGGGAAGACCAATTCCACCATAAGATAATTGAAAAGAGATCTCATTGAATATCGTAAGGCAGAGAAAAACGTTGGTTTATCATCAATTTGGCCTCTTTTCATGGTTTTGAAAACACCACCCAACGTTTTAAATTCTCGAATCACATGGAAATAAATCATCACATATACAACCAAAATGGTCACAATGATGATATATCGAGGTAACCAACTAAGAACTAATCGATACCAAACAGGACGTTGTGGAAGGGAACACCAACAAACATATGAGTTGTAACCATTACCCTTGACATACGCCAAACTGGCCAAAACCAATGGGATAAGCACCGAGGCCACATAGACATACTTCCGGTACAAGTATAACCCACCTTCGGTCCGGCCAGAGGTGAGACGTACCGTGAAGGACGTTTTAAAGATAAGAAGGAATGTATGGACAGCAAACGCTAAAATGGCCAAATCTGCCCCTTCAACCGAGGTGGCGGTGAAAAAGCCAACCACTTGACAGAACTCGTTGTTGTAGTAGGCGGAGTCGGTGGTAAGAACCCGTACCGGGTAAAGTAAAAGGATGACAGCCTTGATAAAATCGTAAACGATGAGGAAGAAAATCAAATGATGGCGGAAAACAATTCGACGAGGGTCAATTGCCCCAAACAGATAGAGCGCCGCTAGACAGAAGACGATGGAGGTCGTGGACGCGGAAATGGCAAGCACTCGTTGGACGTACACCTGACGATTGGTGAACTTCAACGCTTGGTTGATGGCACCGTCTCGACGGTCGAACATTGCCGCCGGTAGGCCCGCTGTCCACGACTCGTATGCGGCCAAGAGGTCCATCGGGGGATACACGGGTGCAGTGAGGGGGAGTTACAGGGGTTGGTATGGATGCCCTAGGCTAGAAATGTGGATGGGTGGAACGGTTGACTGGTTGGCTGGTTGACTAGACACTCTCTCAAATTTCGACCGTTTTTTTTATTTTTAGTTTTTTAGTTTTTTTTTTTATTTTCCGCCCTTGAATACTGGATTAGGTAAAATAAGCGCGGGATTATAATTGATGGCAAGAGAGAAAAGATGATGAAGGGATGAGCTCTTTAATTATAGCCAGGATTTGGGAGGTATGACGAGGTTGTGTTGGAGTGGGTGTAGGAGTGTGGCGGGATTGATGTATATTTGAAAAAAAAAGAATATGGATAGGAAGTGGAGAATACGATTATCAAGTCATGCAGGCGTTCCAATGTTAGATGTAGATTTAGATTTAGATGTAGATATTAACAGAAGAGAAGGTAAATTGTAGAGTATGAAAATGACGCGGGGGTGGCGAGGTTTCCTGGTTAGTCGGGGATAATAGAAAGCAATGGTAAAATTTGTATTTGTATTTGTATCGGGATTAACGGATGGTCATCGAGTGATTTAATCGAAAAAGGGGCACAGCGAAAATTTTGTATGACCAGATAGTGAGAGAAGATAGTCTAGGAGAGAGTAGAGTGGAGAGTCATAGATATTCTGGAATATGTCCCGCGGGTTGATGAACGTTCGTCTAATGTCTATAGAATGTCAGGGAATGATTTACCCGTCTATTTACCGTAAATTTAATTTAGTGTACGGAAGATCTTAGCGCGCATTAGTGACACTACCCTGAAATTGAGGGATGCTCACCACGTTTCTACGAACTAGTGGAAGCCTAGTGGAGACTGTTTCGAGCACTCAAGGGGATCCAAAGAGAAGAAAATGGGTCACTCTATGGGGTTAGAAGGCCACTCAGTGGTGGCACTCAGTGGGCCACTAACCTTGGGGGCTCCTGTTTCTTTAAAGAGAAGTAAGTGCTACAATATATATAGACACTCCTCGTAGCAGGAACCAAGAAATGGAGACATCCATAAAGAATGTATTTGTGTAGTGCAGGGTTTAGCCTGCTGGGGTCCAATAGACACCACTGATATTATTTTAGTAACCCCACACACCAAGAAATTATGAATTAGAATTGCTTTTCTCTTACGCTGAATAAATCCCCACCTTTGGATTTGGTTGGCAAATCTGTAGACGATGCAACAATATAATTGGATTAAGATATATATATATATTTAGAATCTCCTATCAAGTTGTACCATCAAGCTAAATTGCTTCCCTACTAATTTACAGGACTCGCTTTGTAGTTCAACCCTTTGCGGTAACCCGCTAAGTACGGGAAAGAGTGGTACTCAACGTAATAAATATTTTTTTGATATGCATTGTTTCATGCGCCCTGGTGCAACACAAAGCTTAAATTGTACAGCAGTCTGGAACTACAAACTTCTTTTTAACTCTTTAGACAATTGATATTTTTCTAAACTAATTATTAATTTACAGACATTGGATCGTGACTAGCACATGCTCCTAACTTTTTTGAATTTTTAAAAGATTCCTTAAAGAACCAAAGCAGCAACAGCAGCAAATCCAGCAGCGCCGACAGCCAACTTACCGGCACCGTTTTCGGATTGGGAAGTGACAGCTGGCTTACCGGTACATTCAGTACAGACGGTAGAGGTCAAAGTGGATTCGTTGGTGACGGTAGAAGTAGCAGCAGTGGTTGGGACTGGAGCTTCAGAAGATGGAGCTGGGGCTTCGGAAGATGGGGCTGGGGCTTCGGAAGATGAAGCTGGGGCTTCGGAAGATGGAGCTGGGGCTTCGGAAGATGGAGCTGGAGCTTCGGAAGATGGGGCTGGAGCTTCAGAAGATGGAGCTGGGGCTTCGGAAGATGGAGCTGGAGCTTCGGAAGATGGGGCTGGAGCTTCAGAAGATGGAGCTGGAGCATCACCACCAAGGTTCAATTCAATGGACTTACACTTACCATCGGCATTGTAGTCAGTGATAATAGTACCAGCATCACCATCACAGGCAAAGAATTCAGTACCCAAGACACCGAATCTCAACTTGTTGTCTTCGTAACCCCAAGCGTGGGCAGCTTCACCTTGGGAACCAAGTTCCAATTCGTTGATACCAGTCAACTTCTTGTGGACGAATTCATCACCAACCTTAAGAAGACCATCTGGGGCAACAAGGGTGAAAGTAGCAGCGGAACCACCAATGATAAGGGTAGAACCGGAAACACCAACTGGACCAGTGGCACCACCAGAGGCGGTAAGGGTGAAGGTGGAGTCAGCAGCAACGCAAGCAGCGAGGGCGAAAAGAGCAGCGGTAGATAAGAATTGCATTGTAATTGTATGTGTGTGTTGTTTGGTGGAGAAGAAATAATTGGACCCTTTTTCTCAAGAATCTTCAGTCTTCTTATACTTTTTGGTCCCATTCCTGCGACCCCGGAATAGAAAAAAAGTCACGAAAAATAAAAGTCAAAAAACTAACACATGATGCAAGATTATGTAGAGAAATGACAGACCATTAGGGCTTTTCCACGTATAGAATAAAAGTAGTACAGGGCTTTGCGTGTGGCTGGTTCTCGGCTGAGGAAAGGTCGGAACACACCTCCTACCTGGCCAATCAGCGGCAGGCTCTCAGGGGAGATGAATGGCTGGCCGACTGTACCCCATACTAAACTACCACTTAGTGGTGTGGTGCTATTTTTTTCAATTTAACAAAAGTAACACGTCCTGCATCCCGTCTTGCTATTTGCATGCTAAATATAACACTGCACTAAAAAAAGGTGAAATTCGAAGTCTTGGCGAAATCATCGAGTATGCGATCTTGAATGGGAAGTGAGCACAGGGCCCGCAACCAAAAACGACCGAATCGGGCTACCATGAGTATTGATATGGGTAAACGTTTTGCTAGAAGCCCTGAAAGACTATGGTTTTTATTGTATATGAATTATATTTAGTGACAAACATGCATGAATATCAGGGGATAAACCCTTAAAGAATATGGGGAATAAAATAAATGTTCATATGCTTTGTCGAGATTTCTTAAAAGGGAACCATGTTACATTGCGTTAGAGTCACTCATTACAAAGAGTAAAATTTTCAACTTTGTGCATTGTAGTAACTACAAGCCCTTTCTATAATTAAACTTAATGTCAAGCTTATTCTTTCATTCCTATTATCAATTAGATCTCATACATTTCACTTTCTATGTTGCTATAATTAGAACCCGTTTGAAACAGCATCCGACTAAAATTTCTTTTACCTTCACCGCGCATTTGAAAATATGACACACACCAGCAACTAACGGTGGTGGAACGGCTATATGTGGAAGTAGAAAAAAAAAATGGGTGGGGGGTTAGTCAGAGTGGGCTGAGATTTAACGCTGGGGAATATTTTCTCTCAGATGTGTACCTGAAAGTGAAGGTAGTGCTGAGACCAGGGGCTGGCTTGGCTGGGTCAAGTGTTATGGGTGTGAGTGATCTGTTACACTTGTGTGTTAATTTCATTTTCTATAATATTTTGTATAATTCTAAATATGTAAGTTGGGGGGATTGGTATGTTTTTAAATTTCACTACCAAAAATAGCTACTGAGACTCTTTGATACCAAGTCAATTTGATTTCTCCTTCCAGATTGACTTTGTTTCTAAGCAGTAATTCTTCGTAGTATCTAGATTCATGTAATTCCACTTCACGTAAACCTGTAACTAAATCCACTTCCTTGGGGTTTCTCCATTTAGTTCTCTTGATAAGTTTGTATCCGACAAAGATTGCCACATCGATAAAGATCATCAAGTACAGGAATAAGAAGGACTTAACATCCCAAGCTCCTGGTAAGAATACCTCATAACTGGTGACAAAGATCATTACAAAGGCTGAAGTGCCACCAATTATTGAGAGCCAAGGTTGGAACCAACCTTTGAAAGGGAGAGAATCACGATCGATTCCCTGAGCCTTAAGAGCTCTATGAAAGAAGAAATAAACAACACATAAAACGGTGAAATTAATCAATTGACAAGAAGTGATCAAATTAATGATCCAATCAAGAACAACTGCGGCACTTTCACCAAGTTGTAAGAAGGAAAGAAGTGCCCAAAGTAATGAGATCAACACACAATAGATTGGGATCCCGGTTTTGGTGGTGGCGGTTAAGAAATGAGGAGCAAATCCATCAAGTGCAACTCCATACAAAGTTCTTGATGAACAATAAGTGTATGAATTACCGGCCGAGAAGGCAGCGGTAACCAAGAGTGCATTAACAATGTCGGGTAACACATTGATACCCAAGTTTTGCATGGCAATGACATAGGGAGAACCACCAGCACCAGGTTTACTTGCACCCAAAGTCAGGGTAAGTTTGACATCATTATAAGCAACAAGAACTCCAACACAAAGAGAACCACCAATGAAAAATATAGACAATCTAATAAACACTTGTTTGAACGCTGAAGGTAAAGTTTTCCTAGGGTTAATTGTTTCTGAAGCAACACTCGCAATATATTCTGGACCGGCAAAGGTGAAGCATGCTTGGATCAAACATGCCAAATACCCTTGGAATCGACCCAAATCACCGGTATGGATATAAGTGTTCATGGGACCTGGATCCTGCCAGTATCTGAACCCATATGCATCATGTTGTGGGTTCCCGCCCACCATGGTGATGAAAGTGAAGACAATCAATCCAGAGGCCAAGATGACTTTCCCAAGACTTAACCAGAACTCTGTTTCACCATAGATTGCTACCCCAAACACATTGACTATGAAATAAAGAACAGTTTGTAAAGCCAAGGGGATTGCAGGAGAATAATCATCTCTCCAGAAATGAATGATGGAATTGACGGTGGTGACTTCAAAGGGGATTTGGGCACAACAAAGGAACCAGAAATTCCAAGCGGTTGCAATTTCCAACGCTTCATCACAACAACGACCAGCCAAACGTACAAATGGTGAAGTTATGGGCAAATAGGTGACCATTTCAGCGGTGGAAACAGTGATAAATAAAATGGGGATGGACCAAGTTACAAAGGCCAAGAACAAGCTTAGTGGTCCACCTTTGGCTAGAGCCTTACCAATGGAAACGAAAAGAGCAGATCCAATAGTTGCACCAATTCCCAAGAGTTGAACATGTCTACCCTTGAGAGATCTATGTAAGACGTTTTCACTCTGGGTTGTCAGGGATGTGGTTCTGGTACGAATGGAGACATTATCATCGATATCCTTAGATTCTTTCAGAGTGTTTGAGAGTTGCGGGCCCAATCCGAAACTAACCCGAGATGGACTAGCACCATGGTTGTAATTTGTAGGGTCCAGAGTTAAAAGTTGTGAAGACTGATCGAGCTGTACGGGCTCAAAAGCCACGGGTTTTTCCGATTTTCTCGGTACATGAGGTACAAAGTTATCATGTAAAAATGAAACGAATGCCATTCTTTTAAATATTGGGAAGAATTAAAAAAAGGTTTTTGGAGGGTAGGTGAAACTTTTTTCCGAATGGTTGAAAATTTGAATTACATAAATAGTCCTCACAAAAAGAAAAAGAATGTGAGAGTGGTGGTAATCATCACCATCGAAAGGTTATTCGAGAAATGCTGGTTTATGTACAGGAATTTATGGGGTTGAAACAATAGGGGTCCTACAAGGGGATATATAATAGAGAGGTAGATAGTTAGAGAGTTAGAGATTTGGAGAGGATGTGATATTGGTGTTTTATGGACTCATTAGACTGATTATGGTTGTATTGAGGGGAGACTACCTGCAAATATAGAGTGGTATAGAGTTACTTGTATGATTAGTTGATGAAGCTTTCATGCCGAGTCATGCAGGAAAATATGGGGGACAAGACCTTCCTATGCCGAGGAAACAAAAATAATAATAATAATAAAAAAAAATTACCTACTCTATTACATAAGCTAGAATTAACGGTTTATAATACAAATTAAATAGGTAAAAAGGAAAAGTAATTAAGAGAGTTGGGAAGAGTGTAAGGAGGTATAGAAATAATTTAGAATAGCGATTATTACATTGTGTGTGATTTAAACTAAATTTTAAGAAAATTTTTTTAAAGGCCTTTTCCAATCGAATTGTACCTGTTTTAGGATAATGTGGGACCATATAAAATATTTATTGCGGTGACATCATAGTTAGAAAATAATGAGTGGTAAATTACCAAGAAAACTATATTGGGAAGATAGTACCGATTAAAAAAAAAAGTAATGGTAAGTCACTGCACATATTGGTTCATAGAACATACTGTACAGTAGAGAACTAAGATATATCTTATGGAACTGCTTTTCAATACCTTTCGCCTCCTGAGACCCCTTTTTTTTAGGGGTTACAAAAAAAAAACAATGACTCTAAAAGTTGTAACTTTTTTTTTTTTTTTTTTATTTAATTTTTTTTTTTCTCAAAATTATATTTTTACGTAAGCTTAATAAAAGTCGTGCACATTACACATATATACCTTACATAATCAAAGCTCCCATGATTGCAACACCAGCAAGAACTCGAGGAGCTGCAAATGAAGATCCAGAGTTTGGTTTTGGAGTGACGTTTTCAACCTTGGTAATATTGGAACAAGCAATTCTGGAGTTGTTACTGGCGAAATGAATGGTGATTGACAAACCACCTGGGAATGCCTTATCGGAGGGGTTAAGCGATACGTATGGGTCCAAATAGGTTGCATTGTAAGAGGTTCCCGAGATCTTACCATGTCTCCCGGATAAATCACCAACTTCCAACATGCTTGGAGTGGTTGCATTAGCAAGTCCGTGGTATGGGTTGAGATGTAACTTAGTTCCTGTACAATTTCCATCACTTGGCACCGGAGCTTCATGGATATGGTACGTGAATGGACCGCCAGAGCTAGGGAAATTGGAAAGATCAACTTCTACTTGAACAGTCCCATTGGAAGTAGTGGTGAAATTGACAGATCCCTTGATACTTTTTTCAAACAACGCACTGTATTTGACTCCCTGGGGAGAATTGGAAGTGGTTGGAGCTGCATCAGCAGAAACCAAAGCAGAAACAGCGGCAATAATAGATAAGAACTTGAAAGATACCATGATTATCGAGGAGAAGAGGAGAGACAGAGAAAAAGAAAATAATAAACATCACTACACAAGTTTTCACTACACTATTTATATGACAATTTCGCAGCCAATTTGACCCAATCATAGATTTTTAACTTACGTGCGAACTCGGGGAACCTCTATTGATTCAACACACGTCCTCACCCATTGTTCTCAAAAAAATGTCGGTATCGTAAGTATATATGTGACTGACCAATGTGGGCAATGCTAGCGACATTTCCTTTCTAATCCAACTGCTCGAGACATCTTAGGATCGAAGAGGCAAAGGATTGAACTCTTCTTTTATACTTTAATACAAAAATTATTTTGCTCGTGTTAATCTGCTCATTTGACACAATAAATCTGCTCATTTGACATAAGTATGGAATTGATAGTGCAAGGGGAGACCAGTTACACAAACGCACGTATACTAGATCTTTTGTTTAGCCGGTAAATTGTTTAAAAGCCACTAATTTATTATTTTTAAGTTCCGTCTCCGCTATTGAGATTCTGTCATTACTATTTTTTTTAATTTTTTTTTTTTCCATCCAGAAAATGGCAATGCCACTTGACGAATAATACAGGATATGCTCCATCCATCTATTCACTCATCTTGCAATGGGGATGCATACATATCTAGAACTAGAAAATCTTACTTCCATCGGGCCGTACGGCAATGCTAGTTACAACCAGCAGTCATAAAAAAAAAAAAAAAATATTCTGCAGGACCAATATCAGGATATACGAACCCTCCCAAATAATCACTCTTTGTTCCCCACCTTTCCTCACCATACCACTCCTCCATACCCAATAAACATGGCCATCCCCTTACTAGGAAGAATCTCTATCCGAGAATGGCCGCTCTTCATAATATCACTCTCGCTTGCCTGGCTAGAATACGTCAGTTCCCTCATCACTAGTTTGCTACCAGCGCCAATAATTCAAATATTTACCTCGGGTATAACTCTCTTCTATCGGTTTTCCGCCGAGCCTATCAACCTCATCAAGGGGGTGTCTGACCTGGACAATATCTCAGGGACAACCACCTACAAGTACTTGGATTCAGACACACATGGTGATGTTGAAGATGAAAAATACCACCTTATGATCGATGTGTTGAACGCTCCAGATATCCAACACATGTGTTCACTCTTTGGCTACAACATCGAGTCGCATATCGTCAAGACTACCGACAACTACTTGCTTACCCTTCATCACTTGGTCCGTCCGGAGTCGCACATCCCACGCAATGGGAAAGTTATTTATTTGCACCATGGTCTCTTGATGAGTAGTGATATCTGGGTCACCATGCTTGAAAGACACCTTAACTTGCCCTATCTTCTCCATGACTTGGGTTACGACGTCTGGTTAGGAAATAATAGGGGGAATAAATACTCGCAGAAACATCTTTTCTACAAAACTAATTCAGAAAAGTTTTGGGACTTCTCCTTGGATGAATTTGCTCTCTTTGATATCCCCAACACAGTTGATTACATCTTGAATTCCACCTCGCTGAAGCAACTCACTTATATCGGGTTCTCTCAGGGCTCGGCCCAATGCTTTGCCAGTATGTCGGTGAACCCGGAGCTCAAGGACAAGATTGACCAGGTGATTGCCATTTCCCCAGCCACCACTCCACATGGCCTCTATTCGAAGCTCTTGGACATTCTTTTGAAGGCGTCGCCATCCTTGGTGTACTTGATTTTCCTGAGACGTGTTCTTTTACCCTCGGTATTACTTTGGCAACGTTTAATGTACCCACCACTCTTTGATAGTCTTATTGACGCGTCCAATTATTTCCTTTTCAACTGGAAGTCTCTCAATATCCAGAAAATGCAAAAGATTGCCAGTTATGCCCATCTCTATTCACCCACATCTGTCAAGTGTGTGGTACACTGGTTCCAAGTCATTCTGTCTAAGAAGTTCCAAATGTTTCAAGACTCGGATTCCATGTCTGGCCTGAACCCGATCTATTACCCGTTGAAGAACATCAAGACGCCTATCCACATTATTTATGGGGATCTGGACTCGTTAGTTGATATTGACGTGATGAAGAGCCAACTTCCCTCGGACAGTACCACCGTCCATAGAGTGCATGGACATGAACACTTGGACAATATCTGGGGCCATGACGCCAAAGAAGAGGTGTTTGAACACGTTATTCAATATCTTGGCGAGACTTCGTTCAATGCGTCCAATATCAAAACGAAAAAGTCTTATTTACAGTTTGTAACAGCTGATGAAGATTATGTTCGTGATGGAGAGGAAGCCGTTTCGGGCCAGGCGTCCACGGTTGAAGACTTTGTTATTAGCCATAGAAAGCCATCCACTGGAGGGTCTGTATTTGTTTAGATTTAATATAAAATGGAGGGGAACTCCAAGAGGCTATATGTAGTTTACTTTGGCAATACTGGTTCAAGTTCTTGAATGATAAACTGGCGATTTTTCTTAAAGAGGAGTTAATCACTACGTAGTGGACCTCCGCGCCGTGGTGGAGCGTCGACTAGTCCTACTGTGAAGGGGAAAACTATCTGTGAGCTGTTCTGTTGTAGGCTACTGGCCGTGAGAGGCGGCATTGTTCCTCTCACGAAGATCAAACGATAAGGAGTCTACTTGTAAATGAGCTAAGCACCACACAGTGGCCCAGTGGAGCGTCCTACAGTTCCACAGTGAAGTGGGTTAAAAATTAATAATAGCCACATATCTAACTACATCCTTCCAAAGTATATCTAGTGTACCTTCTATGATCTAGATAGTACATCTTACCTAGTTATTCTATCATCTACTACAGAGCGGAACTCCGATACATTTTAATCTGATTGGGTTCCTTAATTCAAATATCATTAACCAATTCAGTTTAATGTTCCCGCCCCCATGTAGATCACTAAGAAATGCTACATATTAGCCTATTTCATCTCCTTTATTCGATATGCTTCTCATAAAACCTTTGTACGGATCTTCTCTCCGTAAATATCCGGGACCGTCATTTTCATAACAATTTTCATTCAGAAAAGAGAGAAAATTGAAAATTTGTCACACTCTCCTTAAACGGTACGTTTACACTAAACCTATTGTCTAGTTCTGCTTCCTCCTTCCATCGTATATAGAAAAATATTACAAAAGTGTATGTATGAATTTTAGCCCCCTATGTATTTTTTTTTTATTTGCAACCCAGAAATTGCTGCAAAACAGAATCGTGTCCGCACCAGAAAATGCTCCAGCCACATTTTAATACCAGGTTCATACACATCCATCACTAGATATCTGAAATGTAATTGCTTGCATTGTTAGTCAAGTATATATCATCCCTATCCCTCTGTATACCCCATCTATAATCAATGCATACCCATTTCTCACTTTAATATACAATATCAATGGTGTACGGGACCAGAACCCGTCACAGCTGAGTGCCGGACTTCCGCTATTGCCGAATGCGGCAGTCTAGCTTTTGTCTCACACACGCCCTTTTTGCTTTTGTTGCACATTCGTGTTGCAGAATGATCAATGATGGCGGAAGCGTATCGTGTGTTGCAGGGTGAAGTCTAACATCAAGTTATTGTCCACATATATAGTCCTTTTATCAGAGACCATCCACGGACACCCGAAGAGAGTCGCGTACCTGCTAAGAGACTACAACTGACTTCTGGGCATGACCAACGTGGAAAGACCGCTAGACGTAAGTTCCCATTATTTATATTTTATTTTTCTTTCACTTTGGGCTACTCCTTTAGTTCAAATTGACCCTGTCGGGCGAATTATTGCCCCGTGGAAGGTCTGATTGTACCGAATATAATACTAACTCTCAACAGGATATGGTGCTAAATGGTCAAGCTTTATTACCACTGGGTATGTATTTTTGGGCGCCGCCCGGGTAGTTGGCGTTGAGGCGTCTAAGCATCTTTGACCAACTACGGTCATATAAGAGATTAATGGGGTGACCCTTTAAGATATAAGGGTCAACGTGGAAAATGAACTGTGTGGATCTATTTTCTAGAAAGTGACATACTTTCAAGAAACAAACTATATCACCGCCAAGGACACTGGGGCTCACAGATCTCATACGGTGGACAATGTTCCCTTCCCTGCGGGACTGTCAGACGCTCCGCTGGGCCCCCACTCGGGGAGAGCCACTACGTGGTGCTTAGCACATCTACAAGGAGAGACCCTTATATCTTTCTTTTTCTTTGACTTTTCCCCTTTTTTTTTATTTCCTCTACTAACAATCTAGCACTCTTGCAAAGAGTCCAAAATGATATCCCTCGTTCTATCCCCTCATTAAATGACGGGACCGCGAAAAAGGATCCAATTATGAGGGACCTTTTGAAATTAACTCCTCATGGAGTCGATATAGTCACTGAAAAGGGACCTGGATCTCAAAGATTCCTATTATCCATCAATCATTACTCCTACCAACTCCAAGAATTTCTCTTTTTGTTGAATGATAAACAAGGGTTGGATGAAAATGATCGAATCTCTATCGAGGCTAATCTTTTCGAATTAACGTCTTATATCCCCAAACCCCCATCGTCCAAGTTTGACGTGGTGGTCAACAAGGATGCAAATTCGTACTACCCGAATAACCAACTCTCAAAGATCGTCATTGATAACTATCAACAACTTCTCAAGCTTTCCTCCACCTATTTCAACATGTCGTTGGCTTCTCATATCACAAAGTATATGGTTGAACTTATTTATTCACTTCAATATTGGGAGATTTATCATCTTCTTTACCTTTTACCCGAGTTGGAGTATTTCTTGAAGTTGTGTGATATCGAGGTTACCCAGACTCCATTTGGTCCCTTGGTCCGTCCTCCAAGCAATCTTTTCAAGGAGTCCATGTCTCAAGGGTTTGATTATCCATTCCCATATCCATTCTACAACTATTCATGTCATTCCATGGACCCTGAAGTTAGGAAAAGAAAGTTTGAGAGAATAAATATTGTTCCTTATATCGATATAACGTTGAAGAATATTCCTGAACCAACTAGAAAGAGAAAGAAGAGCGCCACACCTTTGGAGAGCAAGACGCCAATTGTGAAAATATTGGATGAGAATACTCCATCCCACGTCGCTATTCCTACTATACACAATCCTGCGAACCAGAATATTATTAATACTACGATTACTAGTGGTACCAATGGCACTCCTAGTAATATTAACCCTATTGCTACGTCAAACGTTAATATCAACAATAATTCCACCAACACTAATACTAATAACAATAACAATGCCAGCACTGACTACAGCGACCTTGAAGGTAGCGATGATGAAGAAGCTAGTGCTTTGCGTGCTGAAGATGATAGAAGTCCTACAATGGAAGTGGGAGAAGTCGATGAAGAAGGAGCCAAGAGAAGCGCTCAAAAGAATAAGTCGGGTGTTATACACCAATGTCATTTGATTGATCCAAGTTCATTACAACCATGTCTCAAGATTTTCTATGGTAAGAATGAACTTTTAAGACATCAAGAGTTTGTTCATGCCACAAAGAAGAAGATCTACAAGTGTATTTATTGTTCCAGGAATGGGACTAAAGTTCTGAGTTACCCACGTCACGATTCATTAGCCAGACATATCCGTAGAAAGCACGGGATCACCGGGAAGGAGAACAAGATGGCTGTCAATTATGCGAAGGAGAATGTGGAGATCATTGATGATCCAAGTAAAATGTCCGGCCCAACTCCATATGATAATCAAGCACAAATACTGGCCAGAGCACAGGCTGAGTTTGAAGCCAAGGTGAAGGCACAAATGAAGGCCTTGAGTGAAGTTCCTGAACCACGTGTCACTACCAAGCTTCCTGAAGAAAGACACGAGTCTGCCGAAGATGTCGTTGCCTCCACTTCTGCCATTTCTCTGCCAGTGGCTCCACTTTCAGCTGATAAATCAGAAACTGTATCACTTCCACCAACTTCCGCATCGTCCTTGGCACCAGCTCCATATGCTTCTGAGTTCCCCAAACAACCCACGTATACTGGATTTCTTCTGTTCAACACCAAGCAAGACCAACGACCACAAGACCCTCCAAACGGACCTGGAATCCCTGTACGTAGATATTCAAGACATTCAGACGCTGGGGTAGAACCTATCATCAATGTGGAAAATGTGAATTTCAATAAACCTGAAAGTTCTGCATTGAAGGAAAATTTCCAAAAATTCAGATTATCAAATTCTCCAAATTCAGCCAGTGTTATTCCACTGGTTATGCTTCCGAAGGAGTCTACAAGTCCCTTGATGAAGAGAATGTCTTATATAGAAGAGAAAGTTGGAGCTAGACTCCCAGGAATTGGGATGTATATGAACCTGGATTGGGACTATAGACGTCAACAAGAGGCCAGTGTACATGGTTCTCCACCAAACATCCATCAGAGTCCTAAGCCACACTTTCAGAACTCAACTTCTGAATTGAATGATCGTTCTTTACCACCAACTTCAAATTCGTCGTCAACATCATCTGTACCACTCTCGACACAACCCAAACTTCCAACACTTCCACAACTCGTGGGAACACCATCACAAACAAGGGTGGTGGGACTCCCACCACCATCACAATTAACGGTGGGTCCTGGACCTCATGGTAAGGCAATCACACCATTCCAATCCCCACCTCAGCATTTCCCCACGCATCTACAAGAACAACCATTTACTCCTCACGACAAGATGAAGGAATCCGAAAAGTAAGACAATCTGGAGTAATACAATAAATAATACATATCTTAATCAGATGTAGAATAGTAGAATAAATAGGTGACACCTTCTCGTCATTGATATATATATACCTTTAGTTTAATTGACCTGTATGCCGTGCGACTCGTAACCCAAAGAATGGCTGCAAAACAGATTAATGGCCGCACACGACTAGGTCGTGTACATTGACCGAACCATAATGATCGCAAAATTATCCACGCAACACCAAGGGCAACAGAGTGACCAAGTTCTATTTGCAACGACAAAACACGTCTAGACCCCGCGTTCCAGAGAGTCCATCAGTTGTACCCCGGCTACACGCACGACGCCTGCACCCACACCAGCCCGACCCGAGACACAGACCTCTTTGATTTGTCATAGTTTTGTATATTTTGCGGTAATTTTTCTCCGTTAACTTTTTTGCATTTTTTTAACAGCCAACAACCAAAAAGGGAAGTGGTAGTAAATTGGAGACTTTAGACTTCAACACCCACACACACCCACACCAATCTAGCGACTCGAGGACCAGGACCAAGTGTACCACACAACCAGCCCTTTACGATACTTGCTAGTCCGAAGCTACCACCATAGAGCTTGAGTGGCCATATTTGCGATAAGGACAAAAGCTCCTCGGCTAGTGTGTTTTTTTTAACTTCACTTCTAATACCACAATAATTCAATAAGATGACTACCCCAGGAGGATTGCTAGGGCATATACTGTCAGTGTCAGTGCCCTTCCAGAAAAGTTCATCGGTGATGGACTTGCTCACGAAGAATGACGGACGGCCCGAGGGCGAGAGTGTCACCAAAACTGTGGAAACACCCATCAAAGCTGTGGAAGGGCAGCCCCCTACCAACATAGTACCGGAAACGATACCTGCTGATCTGGTCCAGGTGAATCGTTTGATTTCCCCTCCGACCATACTTCGACAACCAATCCCGCAAGTGTCGGCCCGGTCCGTCGACTTGGTTCAAGAACAAAAACCAGCATCCATTTCATACACCGAACAACTCACAGCCTATCTCCCGCTTGGTGAGATTGTGGAGGTGCTTCGGGTGGGTCTGCCATCCACCATGAAGGAATACCTGGAGCATATCTTCAAGATCATCAGTCTTCTCCATGATGACAAACTCTCCCATGAGCAATTCCATATCCTTGAAACCAAGCTCTTCCAATTGATGGAGCAACTCCCAAACTACTCAGACCCTTCGGAATACATCCACTCACAGTTACACGTTCTTGTGGAACGCAACTTTGACGTGTTCATCAAGGTTTCTACCGGGAGCAAGCACGTTGAGTTGGCCACACGTACCACGCGCTTCCTAACCAGTGTGATGATGAGCTTGAATTATTGGGAGATCTACAATCTATTGGCTTGGAAACCGGCCATGTATCACTTTCTTATGGTAATTCAATTTGATCTTAACGATTGTTACACCAAGTTCTTGCGCGAATATGGGAAGTACACCTCAAGAAAGCAGCAAAAGGCGGAAGAAGCAGAAATAAGACAAAGAGAAGCGCGTCGGAGTCGCTCGACCCGAACGAAAAGACTTTATCTGGACGATGCCAGCTCGACATACTTATCCGATGAAGATTCTACAGGCTATTCCGAAGTCAGTAATGACCATGATAAATTTGTATCTGAGGCCATTGCTGGGAACCCCAAGACAAAGAGAAAGTCTCGTGTGGATACGAAGTTGACTGCACATCGAATAATTAAAAAGACCAATGCACAAGCCGCTGCCGCAGCTGCAGCGGCCGCTTCGGCTTCGGCTTCGGCTTCAACGTCCAGGTTTGATACTTCAGCGGACGCAGCATACATGGACGACACGGGCCATGAGGGCAGCTCACAACATTCACTTATGTCACCATCTAACAAGTCCTCAAACAAGTCTTCCAACTACGACCCGGACGTCGTTCACGAGTGTCAACTACCATCTGCGGATGAGCCTAATAAGATGTGTTTGCGTAGATTCTCACGTAAATACGAACTCATAAGACACCAGGAAACGGTTCATTCAAAGAAGAAAAAATTATTTAAATGTTATGTGTGTGTGAAGCAAAACCCAAGTATAGGCCCAAGGATCTTTACCAGACATGATACCTTGGCCAAACATATTAGGGTGAACCACAAGATCTCTGGCAAGGAAGCCAAAGCCGAGGTTGCATATTCGAAGAAGCACGCCGAGGTGGTGGAAGAAGGTGATATCACCGTCCATGTGGGGAGAAGGAAAACTAAAGTTGACTTTGAGTTGCGAGCACACATGGAAAAGAGAAAGATATCCAAGGATGATGACTCTATGGACGATATATCTGATGACCCATACGATGAATAGTATAATAAACACTCCATACCTACATACCATTAAATTACCTCTACAGGTTCTTGACTTATATATATAATATTTCTACAAATTTCCTAATGTACACATCCTCTGGGATATTACAACCCTTTTTCAAAAGCTTGTTGTTCCAAAATGGCCCGTTTGATCTCTGGGTCTTCCAATTCTGCAAAGATATCGGCGGGCACGTTCTTCAATCCGGTTGCCTTTCTTCTAATATCGCGGTTGTAGAAGACGGTGTCTGTCACGATCGAATCGTCATCAGCATTTCCATTGGCCAACTTAACCATCTTGGCATTGGAGGCCTGGGTGATTGTGGGGAAAAAGTTCAATCCAGTGTAAACGTCGGTTAACCCTCTGAACGTGGCCAGTCTATCATCCTGGAGCTTACGGTTGTACGCTATCGTCTGTAAGACCATCTGGTACATCCAGGAGGGGTCGGTCTGGTACTTGATCAATGCAGTGGCTCCGGCAACCGAGTTCCCGTTCGGGGTACCGCTACCAAGGGCACCGCCTTCACCGCCAGGACCCTGTAAGCCGCCAGGCATGAGTCTATTGATGTACAACTCTGCTGGGTCCGCGTATTCACCCTCGACGTCCCCGTTGTCTCTGGCTCTTTGTTCCCAGAAATCATCGGTGACCTTACGACCATCATGGATGATCCGTGCACCAAACTCACGGTAAATGGACCGTGCGGTGACCAAGTTCACGGATCTACCCTTGTAAGAGTTGGGGATGATGTGTCTATTGATCAAGTCCATTTTTTCCTCGTGGGTACACACCTTCTTGAACAAGGACTTGTGAGTCTTGAAAAGAAGATAAGAGTCACGGAACCCAACCAAACGAGCCGGCTCGGTGGAAACCATGTACAATTGGTCACCCTTGCCCAAAAGAGTGAAGGTCTTCATCCGGTAGTGTCTTCCCCCGGAAAGATTCCCATTGGCATCCACCTTCTCCAACCCCTTGGGATCTTCATCTTCAAACACAATCTCGTCATTATTCACGTTGAGGGTGTTCCCGTCTTCATCCATGTACCCATCTTCTCCAAGAATCAACTTGATCCGCTTACGACCTCTCTTCTTTGGGATCTTACGAACTTGTTTATCCTTAGGTTCTTCGGTAGTCTTTTGTTGTCCATTCAGGTCAACCACATCAACCGTCAAGTCGTCTTCCTCCTCCTCTTCTTCCTCTTCGTCTTCCTCCTCGTCGTCTTCATCCTCGTCGTCCTCGTCCTCGGCATCTTCATGGCCGACTTCTACGTCGCCATCCAGCTCCTCGGCTTTCCTCTTTTTCGTTTGTTCTTCATCTGCTTCTTCGAAATCGTCCTGTTCGACAGGCGCGACTGGTTCTTCTTCATCATCCTCGTCCACAATGCTCTGGGTTCTTCTCGACGTTCTGGTTCTTCCAGGACTTTCCTGTATGGCCAGGGCACGCGTAGCACGACCCCTAGTGGTAGATCTGGCCATTTTATGAGTGGATTTTGTATTGATTATATGGTCTATAGGTGAGCGCGTGTTTTGTACTCTTTTTTGTTTTCATAGAAAGTGGATATTGGTCGGGGCACGTCCGTGTTTGTGTGATTATTTAGAAATATTGTCATTAGAGATAGAATACAGAAGTAAGACAGTACAAAAGGGATGGGGTATAGTACTTTTAAGAACAAGTAGTATGTTCAATTTGATGGGTTTCAATAGAATGAAGTGTTGAATTGTAGAGCTTCTTTGATTATTATTTATTATTGATTATTGATTATTTGCCGTACCATGTGTAGGATATATGACCTAATGACATAGAGAATGGTAAGTTTCTAATGATGCAAAGAAAATTGTAGAGAGGGTGGTCCAACAGATATAGGGATTTGTAGCTAGTTTGGATTCTCGTACAGTGGTAAATGAATTTAAAAGAGATCAAAACTGTGGTGTGAAATATAAATTTGTAACAAAATTTCGCAAAAAGCAGCTAAAATAGGTTCAAAAAAAAAAGAACAATGATTAATTCGATAAATATCCCCTTTTACTTGTTTTATAATACAGGCTGATAGAAGCTGATCACACTAGGTACTGTCTCATTAATACAAAAGTGAAATTGATTGAATTTTATATCAATTTAATCGATTTGCCCGACTAAAGTTCAAGAAAACGATTACCATCTACTAGATTTTCTTTCTACCTACATCCTAATTAATAGGGAAACTTTTCTACTCTTGAATCGAAACCATGTAGGAACTATTTCCTTAATGCAATCTTTCAGAGTTAGATACTCCTACATTTTATTTGTATCGAAATTTCTACATATATGAAGAAATACACCTATTTATCACTAATGGTGCATTAATTGTTCAGTTTTTTTTTTAGTTCAGATATAACTTCCAACTGTAGCCCAAATACATTACAGCTCAGGTCCTGTATAATGAGTCATGGAGAATCCTACGGATTTTTGCATTTTTCTCCGTTATTAAAATTTCACAATCCTGCACATTTATGAACTCCTCATTATTTTTTTCGTACCTATTTTTCGTACCTGGACAATAAATGTGGCTGACGATCAAAAATATTGTGGGGATTAGTTTCACCCTAATTTCATATTACCTACAACCATTTATTCATATACCATACATCTCTACCAACAGGAATGATACATCTATACCAATAGGGATAATATTTCTACCCCACTTGATATAAATATTGTATACATAAAAAAGCCACAGCCACAAAACCTAAATCTTTCTATTTTTCTCTCTTTCTCAATACAGTATATCGATGCGACAGATAAGAATGCATATTGTTGACGTTATCATTAAATTAATCAACATGCAACCAACAGAAATAATATTTCTACTCCACCTGATACACCTGCCGTATACATAAAAAAAAATACTCAGCTACTCCATCTAAATCCTTCTATCCATTTCTCATTCTCAATACAGTATATCGATGCGATAGATAAGAATGCATATTGTTCATGTTAACATTAAATTAATACACATGCATTGGAGACCGATGTCCGCATTCTAACTGTAGTATTCCGCTCTCCTATCCTTACGAGCCTCCAGTTGGGTGGCCCCTTCCTGATCCTGTGACTATATATTACAGGAGCATCTGCCCTCGAAACTGAATAAATCTTGAAGTATACAAATAAGGCATTCTAAAACCCTGATTTTCTCACTACTACCTCTATAAGATAAAAACGAAAATGACTACCAAAGCTCCAAAGTATGAAGCAATTGTAGCAAAGAAAGTTGCTCAAAGAGATTCAAAATTTGTTAAGGAATGGTTAATTCCAAAGGAATCACTTCCAGATCTTACCGATGTAACTGGCTGGATTCCAAAATCTGGATTTTTAACCGAAGAAGAATTAGAAATTACTGAAGCAAATGTTTTAGAAATTTCTAAAAACATTCAAAGTAAGAAATGGCGTGCTTTGCAAGTAACTAAAGCATTCTGTCATAGAGCCAGTATTGCCAATCAATTGGTGAACTGTTTAACCGAAGTCTTTTTCGATGAGGCATTCAAACAAGCAGAAGAACTTGATAAATACCAAGACGAAACTGGATCTTTAAAGGGACCTCTTCATGGTTTACCAATTTCTTTGAAAGACAACTTAAATGTCAAGGGACAAGCTTCAAGTATTGGAATTGTTCAATTTTGCTTTGAACCAGAACAGATGGAAGAAGATTCATTAATTGTTGAAGTTTTAAGAGGATTAGGAGCTGTTTTCTATGTTAAGACTAACATCCCAGCTGCTATGATGATGCCAGAATCAGTTAATCATATTTTTGGCCATACTGTAAATCCTTTGAACAGAAATTTGAGTGCAGGTGGATCTTCTGGTGGTGAGGCTGCTCTCTTAGCCTTGAAAGGTTCACCACTTGGTGTTGGTACTGATATTGGAGGAAGTATTAGAATGCCATCTTCATTCCAGAATTTGTACGCACTTAGACCATCTTTTGGAAGATTCCCAAATTATGGAGGTCGTTCTGGACTTCCAGGGTTGGAATCGGTTAATTCGGTTAATGGTCCTATGACAACTGACTTGGAATCTCTTGAGTACTATTGTAAATCGGTCATTGGCGATGAACCATGGAATCGTGATGCAAAGGCTATTGAACTTCCTTGGAAATCGGTTACTCTTCCAGAAAAGATGAATTTTGCAGTTTTGATGGATGATGGTGTAGTTCGTCCTACTCCTCCAATTCGTAGAGGGTTGCAAATCACTATCGATGCCTTGAGAAAGGCTGGCCATGAAGTCATTGAATGGGATCCTGCTGAACATTTCCGTTTATCTGAAATTATCACTTCTTTCTTCCTCAGTGATGGTGGAGCATATATCAGAGATGCATTTGAAGCCACTGAAGAACCATTTTTCCCATTTATGAATGCACACAAAGTTGCACCAGAGGTGAAGGTGAAGGATCTTTGGAAATTACAATCTGAGAGATCGGCTTTACTTAAGAAATACCTTGAGAGATGGAATGCTACTGCTGCTCAAACTAGTAATGGGAAGCCAATCGATGCCATTATTATGCCTGCAACTCCATTTGCTGGGAACCCTACCGGTAAGTTCCAAGACTATATTGGATATACTTCACCTTTCAATGTTTTAGATTACAGTGTGGGGATTTTCCCAGTCACTAGAGCTGACAAGGATCTTGATCCAAGAGACGAAGCAAGTACCGGCCACTCAGCTACTGATGACAAGGTATGGGAAGATTACAACCCAGAAGAAACCCACGGAGGTGCAGTCGCCTTACAGCTTATCGGTAGAAGACTCCAAGAAGAGAAGGTTGTTGAAATGCTTAAATTATTTAAAAAGTTGATTAAGTATGAACACTAGAAGATGACTGCAAAATTTCAATAAAAATATTAAATGCAAATTATGACCCGAGTTGTATACTGAAGTAGAATGACCAGAAAGTAGAATGAACAAAGATGATGAAGAAGGATCAACAAGTATTGTAGGCATATGAGGAGTAGAACTCGACAAGAGACAAATTGGCCGACTTTCCAAAATTTTAAACAATAGATAGGGCGTATCGAGCATTTCGAGATCCGATCAAACAACTGTTTCTGTAATATTCGTGCTACATAATTACGAAAAAAACATATCATAGATAGAAAGAGTGACCAATCAACCAGGGCATACATTAGTTACGTATGCGAGAGATAAACGGAGATATCTAACAAGGTTAGGATTTGGAATCCCATACCACTATATGATCACTTATGTGGTTTTGCAACCCGGACAACCAAAACTGGCGCGGCCAAAAAAAAAAAAAATTCTGCATTCTGTTATGGGAACAGTGGTAATGTGTCTCAAGAAGATAAGAAATATTATACAACCACGACGGCTGCAAGAAGTTGGAGCATGCAGAACTGTTTCATTGTATATATAAAGAGGAGGTGATTTTTGGTAGTTTCAATATTTTTTTTGGTGGCTACACTCTTCAAAGAAAGCAAAAACTCAACTGCATCTCTACTACTAGAGACATCTTCTAATGAATGTATTGAAGGGTATTCGGAAAGTCATCTGGGGAGAAATTCCATCAGATCCCAAGGAAGCCAAGCTTTTGGTGAAAATCGACTGGTTCGTATTATCATTTGCATGTCTTTTATATTGGGTTAACTATGTCGACAGACTCAATATCTCCAACGCGTATGTCTCTGGTATGAAGGATGACCTTCATATGAAGGGCAATGAGTTTAACTACATCAACACGGCATTTAACGTCGGATACATTGTGTTTCTTGTTCCAAATAACTTGATCTTATTGAAAGTTAGACCTAGATATTGGCTTACATTCTGTGCCATTGCTTGGGGTATTCTTACTCTTGGAATCTACAAGGTCACCGATTACAAGCAAATCATTGTGATTAGATTCTTTCAAGCAGGATTTGAATCTTCTACTTTCGTTGGGGTTCATTTGATTCTTGGGAGTTGGTACAAAGAGGAAGAGTTAACCAAACGTTCTGCCATTTTCACTAGTGCTGGATTGGTTGGTAACATTTTCTCTTCAACCATGCAAGCAGCTATCTATACGAATATGGATAACTTACACGGGATTGCCGGATGGAGATGGCTATTCATTATAGACTTTATTATCACAATTCCTATCGCCATCTATGGGTTTGTGTTCTTCCCAGACACTCCCGATACTTGTAAGGCATTTTATTTCACCGATGAAGAAGTTGCCTTGGCAAGATCTAGAATAAAGCAAAGAGAACATACAAAGTTGGACTTTACAATTTTCAAAAGAGTTGCTGGGAAATGGCACTGGTGGTTATTTTCCTTTTTATGGATCGTTGGAGGTTCAAACGAGTCATTTGCGTCCAATGCTATTTTCTCTCTTTGGTTACTGTACTTTGGATATTCTGTTCCACAAAGAAACCATTACCCCATGGGTGTTTATGCTGTTGGAATATTTGCAACTTTCACCTTTGCTCTCTATGTCGATAATACTGGTGCTAGATATCATTGGAGAGCTGCCCTCTTTATTATGGTGTCTATGTTGATTTCATCGATTCTATTTGTTTGTAAACCTTTGGAAGCTTCATATGTGTTTGTTGCTCAATACATTTCCGGTATATCGTATGCCGGTCAAGCAACCTTCTTTGCATGGGCCAATGTTGTATGTCGAAGTGATTTAGAAGAACGTGCTATTGTGTTGGCGTCGATGAATATGTTTAGTAATGCCTTTAATGCCTGGTGGTCGCTTCTTTTATATGCTGCTTCAGACGCTCCAAAGTTCAAGAAGGGTTGTTATTCCATGTTTGGAACTGCAATTGCCAGTGGTGTTATTGCTTGTGCTATTAGATTCTACCAACTTCGTGATGATGAACACGCAAAACTTGCAGTTACTATGGATGAAGAGGGCTCTCAGCTGTCTGATTCAATTCATGAAAAGAGACCAATCATTGGTGTAGAAGTAGCATCAGTTAAATAGATATAATATATTTAAAGTTTATGAATTTGTTATTATTCTTTCTCAGGAAGTATTACTCAAACCCACCAAATAAAACCTTTTTTTAATTGTGAGACTTCAAAGTCATGCTCCCGAAGAAGAAGAATAATTTTAGTTACCTTCTTAAAAGCTTGGCTGCTTGATATTCTAGATGTGAATTTTGGGCTCATTACTCCCCTGATCACGATTGAGAAGTTTCAACCAGTAAATCCAAGCTCATATGATCTTGATGTGTTTGAATCGGTAGTTGGCATTTTTGGATAGATTCCGGATCTTTTAGACTGTGCGTTTTGCTTTCATCTTTGGATATATCCAGTTGAAATATTGATACAACAGTATTTAAATCATATTGCAACAAGAATAGAAAACATGTTTCAGTTTCACCCCTAAAAGTGAGAATTGGCAACCATGGAATTATTTTTTGCAACCAAATTTGAAACAAGAAATATGAAACAAAGTAACACGAAGGGGAAACTACCCACTTAAGGATCCCTAACCATTATTTGTAAATTGTAAATTGATAGGATGTAGATATATTATATTCCTTCACTCATTAATATACGGGGGGAGTTCCCTTTACACAGCGAAAAAATGCAATATATTCGCCACAGTATAATTAGTGAACTGTAAAATATCGCGTGTCCACCCTGTTAGTAAGATAAAACCACTTGAATATATATAAAGAACAATACATGGGAATAAATTGTGACGAATCTACAATTTCAGCAACTATCTATCAAATTCTCTATCTACTGCCATATGATTTTTGATGAGTCTTGTGTTTAAAGGTACTCCTGAATTTGAAAGTATAAAGATGAATCAACAAACAGAGATACCTTACTTACTATTGATAAGATTAAATATCAAGGGTAATATAACCAAAAAAAAAATAGTAATACTACAAAAAACCATTTTTTTTAGTATAGGTTTTCCATATATTTATTCTATTCGGTTATGTAAACTCATCTAGACCTTACTCTATAGAACTATTTTTTTGTAGTAAAATTATTTAGAAACAGCAACAACATGTTCCAACAAGTCGACAACTCTATTGGAGTAACCAAATTCGTTATCGTACCAAGAAATCAATTTAACGAAGTTTGGGGACAATAAGATACCTGCCTTTTCGTCAAAGATTGAAGAATGGGTGTCCAGCAAGAAATCAGTGGAGACAACAGCATCGGAAGTGTACCCAACGATCCCCTTCAATGGACCATCAGCAGCTTCCTTGACAGCTGCGGCGATTTCAGCATATGTAGCCCCAGTCTTCAATCTAACCGTCAAATCAACAACAGAAACGTCGGCAGTTGGAACTCTAAAGGACATACCAGTAACCTTGCCGTTCAATTCTGGAATAACCTTACCAACAGCCTTGGCGGCACCAGTTGAGAAAGGAATAATGTTACCAGAAGCAGTTCTACCACCTCTCCAGTTCTTATGGGAGGGTCCATCAACAGTTCTCTGAGAGGCAGTGAAGGAGTGCACGGCAGTCATCAAACCTTCCTCAATACCAAACTTGTCATTGATAATCTTGGCCAATGGGGCCAAACAGTTGGTAGTACAAGAAGCATTGGAGATAATCTTGAGATCTGGAGTGTAAGTTTCATGGTTGACACCAACAACAAACATAGGAACATCAGAAGATGGACCTGTAATGATAACCTTTTTGGCACCACCTACGAGGTGCTTTTGGGAACCTTCCAATGAGGTGAAGGCACCAGTAGACTCAATTACATAGTCAACACCAAGCTTTCCCCATGGGATGGCAGATGGGTCCTTTTCGCCTAAAACCTTGATGGCCACTCCATCAATGATCAAAGTATCATCTTCAGAGTGAACGTCACCCTTGTATCTACCATGGGTAGAGTCGTACTTAAACATGTACGCAGCGTAGTCTGGTCCAATGAAAGGGTCGTTGATTGCAACAATCTTGATGTCAGATCTAGACAAGGCAGCTCTCAAAACGAGACGTCCGATACGGCCAAAGCCATTAATACCAACAGTGATAGTCATTTTTGTAGTTTAGATTAGAAAATTAGAGATTCTATTTCGATGATGAATGAATATTAAGACTAAAAACAAATGAAAGGAGGTTCTGCTATATATACTCCTTAAAAGTATTCACCTGACGGTGGGCGTGGGAACTGGAATGACTTGACACATCATACGGGTTCCCAATTTCCGAGGTATTTACTCACTTGTGGTATAATTGCTCTCGACATTACTAAGATCACTTTAGTTGGGAGTTTGTATATTTCAGTATATAAAGATTACCAAGGGTTACCCATGCGGACAACTACACCTAGATGTCCCTATGACAGTGGCATATGCTCAGGGTTTAAGTCTCGGATGCGTTATATTCGAACTCCGACGTTCTGTTTTGCAACCCTTTCTCCCTGTTTTGGGAGTTCATTCGCGCAACACCCATGATCGGCCGAAAATATGCGAATTGGGTATAACTCCGTTTTGATGAGTAATTTGTCATCATACCCACCACTCATCAATTAATTAATTTTAACGCTATCGGGAGATTGTGGCACGAGAAAATTTCTCTAGTATTTGGTTCAAATAGTTGTAAATACCTCACAAAATGTCCTTATTTTTTAATATTGTAGAATTTTAGTCGCTAGAAATGATTTTGTGTAGTTGCTCTAGAAGTGAATGTTAGACAGCTTAAAGATTTGAGTACCACTAGTAGTTTTTTGATGTGCTGTATACAAGTTGTCTATATGTAAACAGATATTATTATTGTATTGACTTAGTGGACACTGAAGTTCAATTAGGCTGAGAAAGTCAGATCGTAAAGGTACCAGAAGCCTATTCATATATATTTATTAAAGTATTAGAAAAACATTGCAGCTACTAATTCTATAAAAATAGCCATTATCCATGGACTGTTAGAGCTAGTGTCGTTAATGGAAGATAAAATAGTAGGGATCGAAGTCAGTAATGAAGAAATATAGCCCTTTCCTGAAGTTATCAGTGAAGGACTTGTATATAGGGAAGCTGGTGTGTCAGAAAGTACACCAGAGAGAGGACAGTAAGTTGTATATGTCGTTAAATCGTCAGATACAGTTGTGGTGATAACTACTATTTCACTAGTTTGGGTAAATGTTGCGCATATACTCTCTGAACAGATTATGATTTCAATAACAGTAATCGAAATAGTTGAGTTAATGTATGAAGTTGCGTGATACTCACTGCTCAGTTTTCCCATTGTCGTTGGAACTGATGAGCTGAACGATGATGTGGTTTCATCCAAGTCGATAGAAGAAGTTATATAAGTTGTAGTGGAGCTAACACCCAAGGAGCTCGTGGATGAGGAGAAGTTTGAAGAGCTTGTACCAAGATGGTTCGTACTTGAGGAAAGCAAAGAAGTAATAGAGGTACTGGTGTATGAACTGCTGATATCACTTTTAAAAGATTCCGTAGAGGTTGCAAACGAGCTTGTATAACTTGTAGAACCCGTATCACTTATGGAGATTGTAGGGCTTGTCGAGCTTTCACTTGCCGAACTTTCAATTGTTGAACTATCACTTGAAGAACTATCACTTGAAGAACTTACAGTAGAGGACTCCATACTAATCGACGAACTTGAAACTAAACAATCAGATTCTTCAAAAACCACAGAACCAGATGATATATCCAGACGTACTCCTAATGGATCTGTGATATAGGGAATAGGGAAAGAACCCAATGGTACCAGCTGCATTAGTATAGACAATCCGAATAGGATAGTACGTGTTACCAATCAATGTAACTTTAGATGATACCTCAACCTTGTCATAAGTGAATAATAAAGGGACTGCCGTTCCAACAATGGGACTCGAATTACAACAAGCAAATGCAACACCATCACCAATAAATAATGCTGCAGAATCATCAATCTGACTTAATGATATTGTGTAGTCACCATCAAGTTTGGCAAAATAATATCCTGTAATTTCCATGGTGAAGTTGGATATGGTTGTGTTATACCCATACACAAAATCATAGCCTACTCCATGGTACCAAATGTCAGTTGAGTTCTGCCAACTAAATCCATACCCACTATTTGCAGCAATTGTATAGTACAGAGGATTTTCGGCATACCCAACTGAAACATAGTCCAAGATTTTCAAGGTAGTCCCATCCTGATTTGTGTACGGATATAATTTAGTTTGGAACCCATTAAGGCTAATCCCACGAGGAAGACAACCTTCTGGCGATTCACAAATAGCCAAGACAAGGAAAACCAATAATGCAATACAACGTGTGTACATCATCTTGTCGAGGTCCTAGGAATCAACAAACAATCCTCGATTACATGGTGCTTTTGTAGGTCAAATATTTACGAGAGATCTCCTAATTGCAAATATATGCATAATGTAATGCAACCTTAAATCGCATTATGATGTATCGAGATCGGAATCCAATAATTAGCGGGGAAATAAGCAGCACAGCAGAAAGTTAGCCATACCCGCCTTAGTTCACACCAATACCCGTAAATGATGCACAGATGTATCGATCTTCTTTCCTATTACGGATCCCCAACTGTGTGAATTTTTTATTGCCTAAGTGGCTTTGGGTGAAAAATAAAAAGAAATAGCCCCATAGATTCATAAGAAGAATCGTAGATTGTTGCCACTGGTAGATACCCTCGAATCCTCGAGTGTGAACACAGCTTCAAATTTTGGTTCTCACCTGACTTTGTAGCATGTAAAACATATACATACATATATGCTCTTTTTGATTGAAAAGGAGTGAAGCAAACATTTCTGAAGGTTTTATGTAGTTTCGCAAATACCATAGTAATCTGCAATCATTTACGTATCTTTGACAAGAGAATTGTCAAATTCCTTCTACTTTCCACACTCACAAAACTTTGTTGTAATCATACAACCTGGGACAACAGTTCTTTGGAAGGGAAATACCCACTATTACTTACTGAAGATTCAACTCATCTTGGCACTTCATTTTGAATTCTCCACCAACTTACACTCACTACACCTCCCTATTTATATCTATTTATTTCAATAGTTATCCATCTACTACCTTCTATTTACATGCAATTTTCACCTATGGTGAGTCTCTATCTACTCGACTTCGCTATCCTTTCTCTCAACGTCCGGCTGAAGGTTCTGGAAAGCAGGCTTCCCGTCAAGATATTTGTCGAATGCATCGTTGAGCTCAGGGAATGGTCTCTTTCCAAGCATACGGATCATATCTTCTCTGGTAATGAATTCTTTCTTAATCAATTCCTCTGCGACCATTTGAACCTCCTTAGACTTTTCAGTCAACAATTGGGTACATTTATCGTAACATTCCTTGACAATTCTTTGAACCTCTTGGTCTACAATTTTATTGGTTTCTTCACTGAATGGCTTGGTCATATCGTCTCCATCTCTGGAGTCAGCGTAGTTCACCATACCAACTTTTTCTGACATACCAAATCTCATCACCATGGATTGGGCAATGTTGGTAACCTTCTTGAAGTCATCATGGGCCCCACTGGTGACAGACTTAAAGTTCAATTCTTCAGAAACTCTTCCTCCTAACGTCATGATCATTCTATCAGTCAATTGTAATCCAGACATCAAGTATTGGTCTGCAGGCAAGTATTGGGCATAACCCAAAGCACCTTGCCCTCTTGGAATAATAGACACTTTCAACAATGGACTGGCATACTTTAAGTACCAACCACAAATGGCGTGTCCAGCTTCATGATAAGCAACAATTTTTTGTTCTTCAGGGTTTAAGAGTTTCGATTTCTTTTCAATTCCTCCAATGACTCTTTCAATGGCCAATTCAAAGTGTCTCAAAGTCACAGCGTCGGCATTGTAACGGGCACCGATCAATGCGGCTTCATTACAAACATTGGCAATGTCTGCACCACTGAATCCAGGAGTCAAAGCAGCAAGTCTACCAGAAAGATCAGAATCGATGTTATCAATCATCTTGATTTTCTTTAAATGAACATTAAAGATTTCCTTACGGCCTTGTAATTCTGGATTATCAATAGAAATATGTCTGTCGAATCTACCAGGTCTCATTAAAGCCTTATCCAAGATATCAGCTCTATTGGTACCTGCAAGAACAACAACATGGTCATCAGTATCAAACCCATCCATTTCCACAAGCAACTGGTTCAAAGTGGTTTCACGTTCATCATTGGCACCACTAGCGTTACCCTTAGAACGTTGCTTCCCAATGGCATCGATTTCATCAACAAAGACAATCAGGGGAGCATTCATTCTTGCGGTTTTGAACAAATCTCTAACTCTAGAAGCACCAACCCCAACAAACATCTCTACAAATTCTGACCCAGAGACAGAATAAAATGGAACACCTGCTTCACCGGCAGTGGCCTTGGCAATCAAAGTCTTACCAGTACCCGGTGGACCAGATAAAATGGCACCTCTTGGGATTTTAGCTCCTAATTTTTCGTATTTCTCAGGATTTTGTAAAAATTTGACAAATTCCATAACTTCTTCCTTAGCTTCACTCATACCAGCAACATCCTTAAATCTAATTTTAATGTCTGCCTCTTGGTTGAATTTCTTAGCAGTGGACTTACCGAAACCCAAAGGACCTCCCATACCACCAACACCAGCCTTCTTAGTCATGTAATAAATTGCACCCAAAAAGAGAAGAGTTGGTAAGAAATTGATAAGCATTTTGGCGGTGTTTCCCTCACTGACATACAAAACAGGAAGTTTCATTGTTTCATCGATATTAAGTTCGTTTTGAACGTGACGCAAGTTCTTCTCGAATGATTCAATTGAACCAATGTTGAAGTAGTAACCTTGAGAGCCTCCAGGGTATTGTTGACTACCGTTTTCGTTCAATTCGATCTTGGCAATCTTGTTGTTGACCACTGTAAGTCTGGACACGTAATTCTTAGCAAGGAACTTCAGGGTAAAGTCTTGGAAAGAAACTTCTTGGTTGGATTGCAGACCAAATCCAGTGAATAAGTAAAGTCCAAACACAAAGAAGAAAGTGATCGAAGCATATCTAATCAACTTATCACCGTCAACGTCAATGGTAATTTCTCTTGGAGATGTTTTCTTGTTGTCGGATTTAGAAGTCTTTGCAGACTTGGTAGGCTTGGTAGCCTTGCCAGTAGACTTATCTTCATTCTTATCACCGGTGCTTTGATCAAATGGTTCCATTCCTAACAATTCAGCCATTTTACGGCTAGCAAGAGCTGGAGGTTGCAAGGCATTACGATAGCCTGGGATTGGATTCAGTTCCAGAGCAACTGGAGTTTCCTCCCAGATCTTGAACACTTCAACCCATGAATTAGCCAATGGAACATTAGGACCAGTCATCTCAGCTCCTTCCAAATACGCAAACATCAACTTGTCGACAAGTTTATCTTCAAAGTCTAAGCGGTCAAGACCATTTTCCTTGGCACTGAGGAAGTAGATTAAAGCATAATGTTGAGCTACTTGTTGTCTTGTGATGGTGATGGAAAGTGGTTGATTTTGCACCTCCGCCGCAAGTTCCAGCATGACTCGATTTGCCACCATGATTGCATCGGCGTTATCGGTGCTCTTTTCTTCAAACTTTCTGTTTTCACGAAGATATGATTGAGACATGAATCTGGCTACCTTAGCAAGAGATTGAACTTGTTTAATATCTGCTGAGTCGTCGACTCCGAAACCCTCCAAATGGAAAGTTTGTCTATTTGCTCCCGAGGAATTACCTCCTGGGAACCCTGTGGGTATACCAAACTGTTCAAGTTTGGCCTTGAGCGAGGAAAATGCGTTCTCCAATTCGCTATTATTATTATTGTTTTCGTTATGGTTATTGGAATTGTTTTTAGCCTTTCTCTTCCAAGTTGGAGGAGTGCTATGAAGGCAACGCTTTGATGCGTTGTAGTTGGCCCAAACGGACGGACTTAGCATCGTTCTAGCAAACGCGATCCCCTGATGACGTCCAAGGGACGCCATGGATCTAGTGGCTAAAACAGACATGAATGCTAATGAAATATAAGAATTAGATACTCGTAGAGATTCATTAGAGTGGTTAGAGATTATTAAGAGTGTACGAGAATCGGATTTAAGATCACAAAAGCGAGTTTTTGGTGATTTTCGCCCTCGATGTTGACTTCCTAATCGGGAATAAAGGGGGGGGGGCCTGGGAGCATACTGGTAAAATGATGTTTTTAGAATGGATTGGATTGGTGTTTTATGTCCTACTAGGGGGATTACTTGATGAAGGGATAAGAGTAATGTCTGATCTATCATCTAGTATATACTCACAGTATTGTTTCTTTTTTAATTTTTTTAGAGGAAGAGTTGTATTTATAGTTTGTAGTGATGTTAGAGATAACAAAGTAATACCAGTAGGGTCTAGTGATTGCCTATCTGTCCCATTAGAAAGTGAGAAATTCCCACACTATTGGACTCTAATTGGAGTCTACCTTGTTTCATAGCGGATATTCTCTTGGCTATGTATTTCTTATTATAGTGGAATAACTTTTGAAAAATTAACCCTAGAACCCATCTCTGAGATATATACATAAGAACCATACTCACTTCACTTCTAGATTTCACCTTAACAATAATCGTTGACGATTACCGAAATTAATTTACCTCTTCCCACCCTTTCTCGTCTTTTAATGTCATTTTTGGTTACAAAAAGAAGTGCCACAAAGTTACCACACCTCCCTCCAACAAATAAACCTCAGTGGGCTACACACGACCATCTCAAATATAGCACTTCATAGTTTTATATTTGTTTTAGCTACTCTCACCCCACGATATCGACTGTTTTATGAGCTAGATGCATATAAGAATCCCAACATTTCATATATATTATATATATATATATGCACGCTTCTCTATCCCACAAAATATTCAGGTGGGCCTTTGTTCCACAATTTAAGATTGGACTATCGCCAGTGTTCTGGCTGTAGTTTATCTCCGGTCGGAAGTAAAAAACACTAAATCAACCTCCGGCCCCGCCCTCCACAATAACAATAAAGTGGAGAAATTTCAAAATACTAAAATGGGTTGAGCCAATTTTATTTTTTAGTGAGTTCGCCACCATTGTAAAGTCATAATCTCAACCTGTGGAACGACAAGATATAGCCGCCCAGATCCGGGGCCATGCCTTGACCGGAATTACATAAGCGCACCAAATCTCTTTTTACACAAAAGCATAAACCTTAATTTCAATATTTTGGATTAATTTGGTATAAAATAATCGAAAACCACAACACACGTGTGTGATAAATAATCATTACGAGGGTGGGTGACACATTTTGCTAATGATGCATGCTACCTAAACCCCGTGGCTTAATAATGTGATACTTTTTCTTTTTCGAACAAATTCCCATTGTGTGGATAAATGGACCTGCACCTGTAATATGCGAAAGAAGGCCTTCCCTTCCACTATGCTAGATCTTAAGACTGTCAAGTAGTCTCAAAGATTCCACATCTGGCATTGAAGATCTAACAACAAGAACCTGAAATATCTGGACATGTTGAAATGCTTTTTTTTTTTTTTGGAAAGAGCCAGCTCCTTTGGAGGCGGTGTTGATTCAGAACAGTCACATAAAGTTCCATTAGGGACAGAAACACAATGGTGATACCGGATTCCCACTGAATGATTTACCCAATCTCTACCCAATCTCTACACCCATTCTAATGGACCAAAATATCTATTGCTAGGTACCTACCACGTGTCCCAGACGTGTGCTTTTAACACTACTTGGATACCAAAAAAGAAAATAACAAACTACACATCTCCTACCCCTCCCTCTACACTAACATCACTCCTCTCTACACTCACTCTCTCATAAATATTATTCATTCTATCATACAATTTCTATCATATACGTCGCTTCAAGTGGTTTATGATCGGAAAATCTAACCCCATTGTTCTCATTAGGTAATATCGTGAAGCTCTCAACTTCAACAAAACTGCTGTTATACCCACTATAGTACCAGAGGAAGTCAATCACAGTATGCACACTTTCCGGCTCCCAGCCCGTGTACGTTGTGGGGTCTTCAACGTGGTTATCCTTTTGTTTTGACAGTGCAACCAAAAACGCATCCTGCATGGTGTGAGCTATCGTTTGGTATGCAACCTCACTTTGCTCGGAATTGAAATCTCCACTGAGAAACGTGGGATATTCATTTGGAATAGATTTGATCCATTCAATTATAAGATCCGCAGATCTTTTCTTGGCCTCGATACTCTTATGGTCGAGATGTGTGTTGATGTAGTTTATATAATTTCCTGAGAGAACGTTTTGAAACGTTGTAAAAGTTATTACTCTTTTCGTGGCAGCACCCCAAGATCTTTCCGGCACATCCGGGTGCTCAGAAAGCCATTTTGTGGTTCCGTTTACAAGAGTCCATACATTTCTATTGTAAAGAATTGGAGTATATTCACCCTTGGTATCTCCATCATCTCTCCCCACCCCATAATGGGTCCAGGGTGATTCATCATAAGACTCATGGTTCAACCCTTTCAAGATATCATTGAGTTGATGATGCTTTAATTCTTGAAGTCCTACAAGTGTCGGTACTTCGTGTCCGTCTTCCTCTTCTTTGCCACATTCTTCAATGCTTCTCACCACTTCATGTAATCGATCCCTCCACTTCTTCTCATGAGGAAACCGGTTCCTCGTGTCCACCCGGACATTATGCGAATATATCTTGAATTCAAACTTGGCTGATTGCATTTCCGGAAGCCCTAAAAACACTTCGGACTTCTCCAGATGATGGAAAGATAAAATCTCTGCACCAGAATGCCTGTATATGTAATTGTCTATGTCAGAGAGATGAATAGCTGCATAGCCAACTATTACTAGTATCATCCCTACAAGGGCAACGGTTCCATGCAAGGGCGAAATCATTTTTGACTGTGAGCTTCTAAACACGGCCGCGTCTTCCTTATTTTTTCCTCTTCCCTTGTTCAGCCACACAGGGGGGCATTTGACAGTTTATATACCAACGCCATCCCTCACCCCCCCTTGAAGTCGGGGCGGCAAGCGCGGCTTATTACATGCATTGAAATGACAGGACCGGAACTCGCATTTCATCTTTCTATTTCCGGGATAATTTTTTTTTTTTTTTTTCACATGACACATCCGGAACTCAACAAACGTTTTCAAAAAGAAGCCACAAATTCCAGCCCCGTTGGTGGCCTTGTTTCTCCACTAGACCCCTAAATTGCGGCTCCAAATCACCGACCTGTTTAACAAGCTCACCAGTTCAAGCCTTCCTGCCAAGCACCACTAGCGTCCCATCTCTACGCACGGAGTTTGTCATCGGACGGGACTGTGGTACATACCGTATTTGTAATTTGTAATCATAAATTAATAAAAACGCATATGCGAAACAGCTGGAAAAAAAATACTATGCGGGAATAAGCCCAATGCGGGTTTTTGCGAAAATTCCTCTTCTTTTTGTTTTCTTTCACATTTCACTTCCGACCTTCTAATTCGAGCAACACCCATTCACCCAGTCAGTACGAGTATTTACTTTGGGCGGGGGGTCAATAGTTTAATTACGGAGGAAATGTGGTGTTTTTTCATTGTTTGTGAAAACAAGGTGGTGGATTCCCACATCAACAAATCTAGACACACAATGGAAATACAGGTTGTATCAAATATCGGATCAGCTCAATTTCGGTCCGATGTTCGACTTGCTTCAAATACGAAGCTGCTCCCCCGTGCGCCACTGCCTCTCGCATCTCCTACAGGTGGTATAACCCCCATTCTCTTATTTTGTACACTGGCAATTCTGTCAAGTAGCTCAGTAGGATCCAACATGGCGCACATTGTGTAAAACCCAAATATTGTAGAACTCTAATCAGGTTGAGGCATTCCCACCCCCCCAACTAATTTAAGCACCCCAGTAGAGGACAATAGGATTTTAAATTGGGTACATGTGTCATTGATGCATACGGGAGGCTGAGCCCAAATTAGGGGGTATCCCCATATTTAGACTTTTTTGACAGGTACAGCCCAAGCTGTCAGTGGAAGGGCGTGTAAAAATCAGATAGTTTAAATTAGTAGCCATAGCCTTGAAGATGAGGAGATATGGAGTTGTTGTTTAGGAGGTTGAATGAAGAATGTCTTTGAGGAGTATTCAAGAGTACCTTGGAAGAGTACTTTATAGTGTAGTACGATGATTGAAATCCGAGAGGGTCAGCGACCCTCCGGTCAAGTGGGGGACTGTTAACAAAACTTTCAATTAGTTCACATAGAAGTTCCAATGGAAGAATTGGGGAACTCGTTGGATCAGTATCTGCTGGGGCCCACACTGCGGAGAAGAGGAATGGGTGCAAATAATTGTCAGAGTCGAACCACATTGATTCTACAACCTCAGGGAATTCTAACCAAGGGCAAATTGAAAGATAGAAGCTGCAAAAGAAATACAGTGTACCATGATTCCCACTCGGGACTCAAATGGTGGATGTTCTCTATCCTCTAAAGAAAAAGATGGACAGAATTGACGTCTCAACAACAACTGAAGGTCAGATCCTTCTTAACAACTGCTGAAGGTCAGATTCTTCACTTGAGAATGGTAAAAAGATTCAACTATATTAGCTGCACTTAGCCCCACTCGTCCAGATCTCCATTTTCATTTTCATCTACATCTGGAACTTTTGTGGAGATCTATACGTACTACATGCTACATGCGTGTGATGCATCGACTCTAAAAAGTTCTCTAGTACAACCCGTTCGCTCCACTAATACACTACATGAATATATTTCATTCTACTTCCATCAAGAGAGACACAACATAAATAATGTCAAGGGACCGGTATTTATCCAGTACCTTCATTAAAACACCCTCGTAAACGAACTTCCAGTCTCCCCCCTCAAGGATTTATACAAAGTGCATCACGACTCCTACAAATTACCGATTTTACTCAGTTTCAAACTGCCCCATGGGGAACATATCCACCGTATTGAAATAAGTCTAGTTCAATGTGTAAGCATGATTTCATGATTAGATCGGTCCTTACTTGGAACTCTTCAAATTACAAATAGAATTGACAAATCGGACTTCCGACCTGAATGAACCGGATCTTGTAAAATCCGGGGTTTTGTGGGATGAGGATTCTGATTGAATTATCATTTGACTTTCGGGAAAATCACAGGTGAGGTCCACTTGTGAGATTATTGTAGATGTCTGTCAGTATTAGTATCGCACCAGGAGCTTAACGAATGGGTACTAAGGGTAGTGGCAGCTTGCTTTATTTTGCTCATTTAAGTGACCCTCGTATTTGGTGCTGGATTTTCATGCAAAAAAAGAAATACTTCGGTTAAGCCGGTAATAAGACCAATTAGGAAATTTTGGAGGAATGCTCGACCGGTCAAGATTTCGGAGACGGATATAGAGACGGATGTAAAGGATAGTCCGAGTGGAGTTGCACAATTGAACAAAGGGTGTAGTTGGGGAGTTCTTGGGGAGTTCTTGGGAATCTCTTGGAATTTACTCTACACGGATTTAAAGAAATTTTTAGTAAGCGCATTGGCACTAATAAGGATCGGTGAAACTACAAGGAGGAGTCGGACATAATACCGCAACACAAAATACCGCACAATTTTGAGCTAGAATAAATCTCTCTACTCTACAGTTCTCATAACATCATATACTTTATGCCGCTGTATATGTCAGGTTGAAATGTTCTCTATATACATTTTCCCTACTACTAAACGATGAGGTCCAACGTTGATCTCTATGCAAGTCCATTCCGATCCTTGCTAACATACCTCAATTTCATTCCTCCGACTAATTCCACTATCTCCGTCCGACAATATTACCACCCCATTATTATGAAAAATGTCGATTCTGCATGTGTGCTTATTCAGAGCCCAGGCCTACCACTTTACTGAAAGTACCACTTTACTGAAGGAGTTCTTATTATGATGTATATTGCCAATTGGCTCACGAAATGCATACAAGCCGAGAGGATGGTTAGGAGTCTCTACAGTTGCAGGCTCCTCCTCAGTGTTAATTCTATATCTTTAGCAGTACATGTCAGTTAATATTGGCTGTGATTCATTACTGTCTGCCCATGGTTTCCCCTTCAACCAACTCTCAGATCGGCTCTTTTTTAAAAGGGAGATGAACTTTTAATTCAAACCATCTGAAATGGTATACTTTTGTGACTTGTCACGGCCCATAGTTTGACAGCTTTGTGCATATACCGTGCATCCGGCACATAAACAAGCTTTAAAAGAAGTTTGAAGGATCGGCGGTTATCCGGCGACAGTGACACAGTTTAAATATCGCAGAACAGTTTTTCTGTTCATTCAGTCAAAAGTCCATAGTTCATCCATAGGTATAAGTCTTCTCCCTCTTAATAAAACTTTTAGAACCTCCCTTAACCCTCTGCCAATGACAAGACTCCTCTGGAAAATAAAGCACTTTTCTTACTTCCTCCAACTCACAACATAACCCGAGATACATGAAATGAAGTCTTCACCCGTCCGCGGGCTAAACAATGGAACCATTTCTCATCATTCCACAGCAAGAAGCAATTTCACGTTTTTACCGGTTCTGTTCTTTTTTTTTTTATTTTCTCTCTTTTTTTTTTTTTAATTTGTTTCGGGAGCTCGGATCTTTGTGGAGTTTGCGCAAGGTCTTTAAATGGGGGATCATAGAACAAACAGGTATTCTTTCTACACAACAAAAAGCACCAGTTGAGGAATGTCACAGGCAATCGACGACCTCAATCTACTGGACATAGACGATTCGGACGAGGTGGTGGACCCGGTAGACTTTGATGGGCCGGCTAAAGAGTATGAACTGCCCAGTGTGGACTCATTGCCATCTACTAAATTGACTAGAAAGCATCTTTCGCAAACCGATGCGAGCTCGATTATCGGGGGAGATTCGGTCGATGAAGTCGGAATTCAATTAATTGATGACGACGATATTTTGGAAGTGGAGGAGTATGATGGACCTAAGGGGACCACTGAGAAGCTCTCTGATCCAATCAAGAAGAAGACAATAGGTGTCAAGGCGACCCAGAAGGTGTTTCTGTTCTCGTTGCCATTTGGAGGACTTTCTAACATCCGGTCGAATTTGTATAGACAAGTGCAATCATTCCGGGCACAGAGTAGTATCCCATTGATCCATAGTCCCACTGCCGCAGCTGCCGCAGCAGCTGCAGCTTCTACGGGGAAGGTCACTGGATCTCTGAACCCTGACTATGACGAAATAAACCTCAAATTGAAACGACTGCAGTCATTGAACACCATCCAAGAAGAGGCTCTCTTCCGGAATTACCGGGGAAGTGATGACGCCAGACTCCGGGCCATGAGACAATCAATTGCAGCCAGTGTCAATGGCATGGTGCATCCGATCCGGAAACGCGAGAAGCCATGGGAAACCGCCTTCAATGAACTAGATGGGAACGTGATCATCTTGGGGGGATACCGTGGATCGGTGCTCCGGGACGCGCGCACCCACAAACGTGTGTGGATCCCGATCAAGGCCGGGTTCAACCTCCGTAAGGTTAATCTCTTGTTGGGACCGACCAAGCAAGACGAATTAGAGGCATCTAAATTCATCTATCCGGACGGAATTTTGAAGAATGTAGGCCCCATGGATATTGCCAAACGTCTCATCAAGAAAATCACTTCCAATCCAAAAGTCAACTTCAATGACTTTGGGTACGATTGGCGACTTTCAGGAGAAGTGGTGTCCCGCCAGTTAGAACAATACATGGATGATATATACTGTAAGACCCAGCAACCGAGTCTTGTTATTGCCCATTCGATGGGTGGTATGATGGCCCATTCGGTGATGCAACGCCGTCCCGAGCTTTTCCGCGGGATTGTTTACGTCGGATGTCCTTCGGAATGTCTCAATGTGTTGGGCCCCATCCGATTTGGAGACACCGTCGGGTTCCTGGACCGGATCTTGACCCCGGAAACGAATTTCATGATGAGATCCGGGTTCAATTTCTTGCCCTTGAGTGGGAAAGTGTTTGTCAACAAGACAACCAAGGAGCTGTATGACTTGGACTATTTTGATCCAGACACTTGGGTTGAGTATGATCTTAACCCGTTGGTTAGTAGGCGGCGTAGAGATGAAGCAGCAGCTGGCGGTGGGGCTGCCACGACGGCTAGCATAATGAATAGAACCGATCTGGGGTTCCTTCTGCTTTCTGATTCCATTTCACTCCCAAGTATAAATAGCATCAGTAGTAAGATCAAGAGCTATCGTAGAAAGAAACCCACGTCACTTGGCATTTCAGGCTCTTCAACTCCATCCTCTTCAGCTCCATCCAATGGAAGTGGATCTGGAGCAGCTGGCTCCAAAAGTCATGCCGGTGCAGGTGGACCTCCAGTGGGGAGTTCACCTAGTGGACCACCAGCCGCTTCAGAAAATCCAAACTTTTCTATCTCACCAATAGCTCCTGGTCCACAAGACCAATCTAGGGCCATTTGGGCACGTTCTCCAACGTCTCCTGAACCCACTGACAAATCCTTCCTTTCACCATCTTCTCCAGGACAGACTGATGCGTCGCTTTCACCGAAAAGATCCACTTCAAAATCTCCAGAAATCACTGAAGATGACGATTTCATCTCTGAATCATACTCCATTCTGTTCCAACAGGCATACGATTACCTTAAGGAAGCCTTGGCCAGTGCTAAAAAGTTCGTTCTTGGCTTGGAATACAAGCCAGAGTTGGAGTCCAAGTACCCACCGCTTGCCGTGGTGTACGGCAACCAAGTGCCCTCGGTGCGTGGGTCTCATGTAGATAGCATTCAAGACATCAAGGACGGGAACTACTACCACTTCTACTACGGCCATGGTGACGGGGTCATCCACCAGAAGTGGCTCATGCCCGAGACCAGAGGGTTCCAATTCTATGACCGAGAAACCGGCGAGGGCCAGATCGTGGGGAAGTTTGCCAGTGCTGCGGGACACGTCAACTTGATGACTGACTTACGAGCCATTGGGAACGCATTGAATTCGATTTTAGAGGCCGAGGGGAATTGGAAGATTGGCAAGAGTGTTCGGGCCAAGGCTAGTAAGACGGAAGAGTCACTCAATGGCACCAGCTCTGTCCCAACTGCTTCTTCTACAGTCGAGGTTTCCACCACAAACTAAACAAAACGCGTCAACAAACTGGGCGCCAGCTTATGACTTATACTTATGATTATGTCCACTTGCATGGACAAACCAGTTCTAGAACTGTTTCTTGATATAGCTTTATATTATGTACATATTGATAACGAGTAGGTATCGTAGATGAAGTCTTTCAAGGTCCATTGAAGGGGACGACCCGCCCTATGGGGTCTGTAAATCGCTCTACTGGCACTCTGTGGGTCACTAGCCGTGATGGCTCTGTACCTCTGAAGGGGAATTTTCTACAAGGTAGATCTCCTCTTAGAGGAGCTAAAAAACGCTCGGGGCTCTCACCTAGCTGAGCGTCGTATAATCCCACGGAGCTGCTATGTTGTCCTCTCCACACCGTCAGTCGCTTCCCATACAATCAGACGAAAAGTCTCTACCACGGCAGAGTAAGGAGCACCTATGCCCACTATCGAATACTGCATGGGTATAGTCATACTGCACTCTAAAACTCTAAGATTGACGTAGAGTACACTAACAAAGACATATAATAGCTATGGGTGCTACTATAAGTTCTACAACCATTTCTATGCTCTATATATTTCTTTCCATACTTCCAGTACGTTCTATAATCTCTCCTATCTATAATACACGGGCTCCAACCACATTATACCCGACAGGTTCCCACATCCCTCCCGGGAGATGCAAGCCGCTCCGCTGGCCCCTGCTCGGGGAGAGCCACTGCGTGGTGCCTAGCTCCTCTACGAGGAGTCCACCTGTAGTCTGGGGCATTCCTCGATAGAGGAACGGGGCCCCCACGGCTAGTGGCCCACGGAGTGCAAGCGGAGTGGCTCACAGACCCCGTAGGGTGGATAGTCCTCCTGTAGTCTGGGCTTTCCTCGATAGAGGAACGAGGCCCCCACGGCTAGTGGTCCACGGAGTGCCAGCGGAGCGGCTCACATACCCCGTAGGGTAGCTACTAACCCCCAACTCTCCTCCCAGGTCGTATAAGCCGATCCACTGAGCCCCGTCCCGAGACGCAGCCACTGGAGTACAACCCTCCTACAGCTAGTTCCTAGTTTGTCTACTCATCGGCCTCTTCCATGTACCGCACCTTGATCCATAAACTACAACTGTTACATTGAACCACCAATTCCAACCCTCCCTCTCCATCATCGGTTCCAAGCTCGAGATCCAGCTCTTCAAGCTTGATGGCTTCTGGGGCCTGACACCTGCAACACATCTTGTGCCACAAAACGGCGTCTTCATCAAATTCAAACTCTTCTAAACTGTAGATATCCAAGCCTTCTCCATTGATATTGAACCCTTGTTTTTGCAACCCGCGGGCCAACTCGTCGTCATACTCCTGTCTATGCGTCTCGTCAGAAAGAACCTTGTAGGCCAATTGGATCTGTTGGATCAAGTCCGTCGAAAGCTCACCACCAACTTTATCGGGATGAGTTAGGAGAAGTTTTTCCCGATATGCCCTTTTGATTTCACTTGTGGTTGAATTTGGGGCCACTCCTAGCACATCATAATGACTAGACATCTTTTTAACCGGCTCTAATTGCGTACAGTAAGGGTTATTATTTGGTAGCTGATGGTAAATGTCGCCCGATGTGTCTCTCGATGTCTCTCGCGATGTCGCTCTGGGGTACGGTCGTGCCTCGACCAACTCTTCGGGAACTTTTCTTTTTTTTTTTTTTTTTGTTTAGTGTTTAGAATTTTTCTCAGATGAGCGGCAGGACTTAATCTTCAACCCGTTTATTCTCCCTTCATCGGTACCGTAAAAATGTCACTCAAGAGAAAGAGAGAAGCTAGAACCACCGAGTTGAGGGTTGCCTCCTTGACCGAACAGCCGCTGGTCGTGGTGGGGTCCTTTTTCAACGGGATTTCGATCGATCAAGCCACTGAACTTGAATTGTATCAACACAAAAAGAAATCTGATTCCTTTGTAGTTCATGGGGAAACGGAAAAACTTGACTATCTGGGCCAATCGGTCGATGAGGCTCCCACCAACGATTATGTTGTGGCCGTCTACGACCCACTCAACAAGTCCGTGGACTTGTACAAGGCTCCCTTTGTCAATGCCAAGGTTGTGGCCAAGTCCAAGAGATCTTACAAGGGACCATCCATCAAGCTGGCTGGTGCCCGTAATGTAGACCAAAGAAACGCCTTGGGTGAGGCTTTCGGTACCAAAAAGGCCAAGTCCGCCATTGTAAACTACGACAAGAACAAGATTGACGCTGAGAAGTTGCAAGACGTTGAAGTGGACATTGTCGACAACTTGCAACAAAACACCGTTGAACTCCCAACCAGAGAACAAATGGATCTGGCTGTTGTACTGGACAGACCTACCCCAGAGGCCAACGTGGACGCTACCAACGTCGAAGACGTCTACCCGCCACAAAACATAATACCGAAACACGAATGGTCTGTCTTACGGGTCAGCTCATTGCTCGAAGCCGAAGGAGATCTCAAGGAAAAATTGGAGTATCTCCCATATTCCAAATCTCATTACGTCTCACAACGTTTGGAACGTGTCCTTGCCACGGGAAACACGGAAAAATTACAGCTTTTGTACTATGCCTCGCTTCTCTTTGGTGTTTATGAGAACCGTAGAGTCAAGGACAAGCAGTCCTTGATGACTCGTTTGGAAGACAAGCCATCCGAACTCTTGATCGACGGGATCTTGGAACGTTTCACCATTGCCAGAGCGTCGCAATACGGGAAGTCCAAGGACAGATCGTTCATCATCGACCCACACCACGAGGACAAGTTGTTGTGTTACTTGTTAGCTTTGATTCTCCACATTGACAACTTTATGGTTGAGTTGCCACCATTGGCCCACGAGTTGAACATGAAGCCCACCAGATTGGTCAGTTTGTACAAGGCCTTGGGTGCCGTTGTCAAGTCGGCCACCGTTGGCCAAGCTGAAGGGTTTGGAATTCCAAAGGCCAGTGCCAGTACCTACAAGGTCGCCAGCTTGAAGGTTCCATTCAAGCTCCCAGAAATGAGCAGAAGAATGAGAAAGAGTAACCGTTAGGGGGAGATAGATAGGAGAGAAGTTGCATATATATATAGAAGTGAATTCTAAATGACATTTAAGATAATACTAGGTGTAGGCCGTGTGAGGGTTAGTGTACATGTTATTAAATATGCGGGTTGTTTATTATATATGATCGAGTGTGATGGTGCTTGTCACGAGTTAGTAGGCTAGGAGTGGTGACCTTCCTCGGTAGAGGAACAAGGCCCCTACGGTTAATGGCCCACGGAGTGCTAGCGGAGCGGTTCGCAGACCGTGTAGGATGGGTAGTCCTCACATCCCTCCCGGGAGATGCAAGCCGCTCCGCTGGCCCCTGCTCGGGGAGAGCCACTGCGTGGTGCCTAGCTCCTCTACGAGGAGACTCCTACGAGGCCCCCACGGCTAGTGGCCCACGGAGTGCCAGCGGAGCGGTTCACAGACCCCGTAGGGTGGATAGTCCTCACATCCCTCCCGGGCGTTGTAAGCCGCTCCACTGGCCGTGAGTGTGAGGGTGGGACGCGTACACGTCATGGTAGACTGGTGTCTTTTGAGTTTCTTATAAATTATCGTGTTTCTTTCTCACCATTAACTTGGCAGCCCATTTGGCAACAATGTCCTTACGTACTTGTAGCCTTCTTGCAGTCTCCAATACCGACTTGATTGTGTCCAAGTTACGACTTGGATCTTTTTCGGCAATCTCAACAAGTATATCCATCAATTGGATCGTTGTAGTGACCCCCAATCGATTAAATTTGTAACCATTTTCCTTTAGAATGGCTCTGAAATTCGTATAATTTGAATGTTTCTCCTCCGTGGAGATTTTCTCATTGGTTAACAATCCTCGGATGATCCCTCTCATGAGCGGGTTGACTAAGAGGGGCTTGTCATTCTTGTACTTTTGGATGATCACGGTGGAATAATTGGGGTCGTATTTCACCATGTATTGGAACACCCCGGCCTGGGCCGTCAAGGATTGGAAATTCAATCTCGATAAGAGATCTCTCATTTTCATGATTGCGTCCTTTGGGGACATGCGTTCTTGTGAGACCTCTCTATCAATACCAGTGATAACGTGCCGGATAACGTAGTCCATGACATATTGCTTGCCCAAGTGGGATTGTGTGAATTTGAAACTTTCACTGAACACATAGTTGTTCAATTCGTTACAGATGTGAGATATGTCTTGGGCCAGTGGGAGTCTTGATAAGTTTTTGGAGAAATTTCTTATGGCAAACAGAAAGATTGAACGATCCTTTTGGGTTGCTTGTGCATACAAAAGACTGAAATCGTTCACCTTTTCGTCATGATTTGTAAGTTCCACCACGACGTTCAGGTCAAGTTGATTGAGCAATTGCTCCTTATCCCACACATTGTCCAAGGTCTTACTGAACAAGGTGTGGACGTACTGGATGTCATTGGTCATGGGACACTTTGTATCCCAAGAATATTCGGCAATTTGCGCCATATGATTTGGGGTGAGTGTACAATTTTCCATTAAGTTTGTAAAGAAGCTCTTATTCAAATCGTCTCCATTGATCAATACTTTCAGAAAGATCAGATTCAAGAGATTTAAATGACTTAGAAGTCCAACTTTAGATAAAACCTCGCACAATAAATATAACTCATGGAGGAATTTATCGTAGTCGTACTGTTGTAGAGATTGGGTGACTTGGTGGAGGAAAAGTGACAAGATGCGTGACTTGTCACCGTGTCGCACTAATCTGTCATTGACAAGAATGGTTTGTAAGTCGGGAATGCTGAGCAAGTGTGAGATGGCAGTGTTGGTGTTGGTGCTGCTGGCGTATATGTACAGGAGTCCGTATGCAAGGGTTCGACGATGGACCAAGTCGTAATGTTGTTCTATGCACTGCAACACAACATCGTTGTGGTTATATTTGATCAGATTCATGACAAAATGAGAGGAGATGTCTCGATTGTACGGATGACTCAGGTTGTATGCAAAGTGTGACTCGTACAATTGGTGCACCATATGGTGGTCCTTCGGGTCACACACGTTCAAGAGCGTCAAGATATCAAACGAGTTCAATTTGATGGCGTTCTTTTCTATAAAATGGATCAATTTTGGGATGGTTACTCTTTCCCCATGCGATTTCAACAAGTATGACGTCTCGACTCGCGATTGTAAAAGATATTGAAGCCACCCAGGATGGGTGAAGATCTTGCTATCGGCGGTAAGAATCATATCCAACTTGTTGGCGTTGTTGCGCTCTTCTATAAGCTTTCGAAGCAGTACGAGCTTGATGTATGAACACGAATAATCTGTTTGCTCCGTGGCCCTAGTCACCTTCACCGCATTGATAATATTGCTCTTCTTGAGGTTATACTTCTGCACAAACGTGTCCACTACACTGTTAGATATGTTCGGGTTGGATATCGTGAGAACGGCACTGGTGACACACTCCATGGTCCCATAGTACCGGTAATTAATCATCTTGAGCTGTGAGACAATGGCGTCCACATAGTCCTCGATGTCCATGAGAGTGGCCTCATTCTTATTCATCTCAATGATCGTCCAGATCTCGTTAAACTGTCGATGGTACGCCAATCTCGTCACAAGCTTCAAAAGAAGATTCTTATCGGGGAACATCTCCAATTGTTGGTAATGATGGAGGTACAATTTCGGGTCCACCCTCGTGGGACTGCTAGTCAAAAGTGCCGAGAGCCGCGCCATGGGGTCGATTGCCCCCTGGATACGTTGACGAACTTGTTCATCTAATCGATAGTACGCCTGTTGAAGATCTTCGGGCCGCGGAGTTTCTGCCGTCATATCGTTTATGGCACGAGATATCAACTCGGTTTTCTTCCTGAGGTAGCCCATCACCCCTTCTGTGTGAGTGTTGTCCGCTACATTAGTCTCTGAGGTCTCTCGAGGCATTACCCTGTGGTCGGGACTCACTCTAGACTTGTACCTCACCGAGGATTTGCATGGAGTTAGAGATCCGATTCTCGCTATCGGTCGAGATATACGGAGCCGATGCATTTATAAAACACCCCTATTGAGCTAATGTGTGTCTATGTACAAGGTTTCGGGCTGTGCTGTCCGGGAAGCGTGTTCTTGATGGAGATTGTGGGTGATGTCTTAGTTCTATGGGTTGCATCCACACCAAACTTTTTTGTTCTTGTAGATCTGAATTTTTTTTTTTCTCTCAGAATTGTTTTTTTTTTTTTCATCTTATTCACTGAGAGGGTAGTCATAAGGTCTTATGATCAATATTTATGTAGTACAAGGTATCTCATAGGTCTTGTTCTCGGGTGTCTGTAATTATGAAGGATTCTTGTATATGCGGAGGAAGTTTCCGGACATTTATACGTAGTATGAGTGGATAGAATAGTTTGAAACTGAGAGAGAGAGTGTGTGTGTGTATATATTTAGAGTACTGGTTTCCAGAGGCGTTACATCTGGTAGCGTCACGTAGAAGGTCAGTGGGAGTAGATTCTGGTCTTGGGGGGTCACGTATTACGTGGGGGGGGGGGATCAAAGAGTACGTTGAGAGGGGGTATGTAGAAGTTAGGGGTAATTGAGACGCTCCGCTGGCACTCCGTGGGCCACTAGCCGTGGGGGCCTTGTTCCTCTAGCGAGGAATTAACCACTAGAAGTCTCCTCGTAGAGGAGCTAGGCACCACGCAGTGGCTCTCCCCGAGCAGGGGCCAGCGGAGCGGCTTACAGCCCCGCAGTGAAGAGAGTGGGGCAACCCTTCGGGGTCTGTAAGACGCTCCGGTGGCACTCCGTGGGCCACTAGCGGTGGGGGCCATATTCCTCTAACGAGGAATATGAGCAGGAAACGTGTTCTGTGACTATAGAATAAAATAATGTCATACTTAATAGCTAGACGCTGATAACTGATATCATGAGTACATCATCAAATATGGTAGGTGAACTTCTCCGTAGACTTTCTTCAGATATATCGCTCGGGTCAAGCTTCTCTTCTGGGAATTTTCCTAATAGTGACTGTTGTAGTAACAGCCTCTGTGTATGGTCCTAGTGAATAGCAGGCCACTTTGATAGGTCCTCCCGTTCAAAGGTAGAACATGAATTATCGGCTCAACACATTTGCAACCATTGGATATGCTACAAAATATTCTCTACACATTTAGTAGAGCACTACATTGATAATCAACCTTTTCTCCTGTCTTATATCAGATAAACGGTACATAACAGCAATCAATGGCCGCTCAAAAAGGAAAGAATAGAGCTGAACATGTAATGAAAAGTAATATACACCCCTCTATCTATCTCCTCATATATATCTTATATTGAAAGGTACTCAAGTTATTTGTCTGGTCTATATATTTGCGATTTAGAATGACTTCTTATTTTGGAGTTGTTGTAGGTAGAACAGTGGGAGTATTCGGTTCTTTGAAAAATTGTATGAGACTGGTGGATAAGTTTAAGGATTCGAAGTATCAGGAGTTCTCCAATATTGAATCTGCAGTAAAATATGTCACCGGAAGTACTCATCCGGCTAAATTGGTGTTTGTTGATGGATCGTACAGAGATATCAATGGGTGCAAATCTTGTGGAATTGGAATTTACTATGGGTCAAAAGATGGAAGAAATCTAAGCATTTCCTTGAAGATGGAAGATACAAGTCAAACAAGTATGAGAATGGAACTTTTGGCAATATGTAGAGCTTTAAAGAATGTACAAAGAGATAGCCTGACTTCCAAATATTGTATACTATCAGACTCAGCATCTTCCATCCACGCAATAACTGTGAGTGCTCCTTCTTGGGCAATTCGAGGTTGGTGTAGCAATAGAAAGAAGCCTATTCCGAATATGCATCTTATTAGAGAGTGCTACGGCTATTATGAATTTATTAATAAGAAGTACCAGAAAAATGGTTGGGGGAAATTGGATATAGTCTATGTCCAGTCACATTGTGGGATTGAGGGAAATAAGGAGGCTGATTCATTGGCATGTCTGGCAGCCAAAAGCAATCCAATATAAATGGATATATCCGAGAATGGTCTCAGAAGAAACGTCATACTACATGAGGCAGGTATATATTTAAAAGTTTATCAGCTGTCTAACTCTCTGACAGGAAATGATATAAATTGGTGAAGAGGTATGTTGCGATAAATGTCATACGATATCAATTTGTTGTTGTGTGTAAGCAGGTAAAAATATTTATCACTTCTAAGCAAGATAAAGTTCCTTTATGCAATAAAGGGGTGTATTCTACAGGGTTTAGTTCTGTTGTGCAAGATTATGCTACATTGCGTAGGGTATATTAATCAGTCTCCCAATGATTATGTATACCAAATCATACGATATTGAATGGGTTTCATCGACTAAGTATTACCACAGGCCAAGTAAGAGTAGCAAAGCTCATGGTATTATATAAAAGGAGTATCGCATAACATTTTTTTGAAGATCAATGGTTGGATATACCCACTATTGAAGATGATCTACTGCGCCGAAAAGAATTTTGGGATTTCCACAGTATATTCTCACTTCGAAGAACAACCACTCCGTAAGTCTTGTGACAACATATTGGATGCTGTCCAGTTTGTTACTGACGATCCTCGAGAAACAAAGCTAATATATGTCGATGGATCTAGTTTTGAACCAAATTTAAGCATTAGCGGGTATTCGGTCTACTATGGTAAACACGATTGGAGAAATAAAATAGTTCCTATGTCAAGACTGAAGTTCAATGACTACTACCACGAAGATTGCAGCTATATTTCAAGTTTGGATATTCGGAACGGGCAATATGATGAGAAGTACACTATTCTTTCAGATTCAGAACATTCCATTGATGCTATTGTTCATCGTGCCCCAGAATGGAGGGCAAACAATTGGTACAATAATTCATTTCACAAGGTTAAACACGTTGATATTATTGATCAAGCTAATAGACTCTATAGCTCACTTTGTAATAGGTACAGGGCCAATGGCTGGGGAGAGTTGAACATAATTCATGTTCATGCCCACGATGGGATTAAAGGGAATGAAATTGCAGATGGAATGGCAAAGACAGCTGCTTTACAAATGTATAGAAGATGAAGAAAGTAGTCTTTAATTTCAATTTCTTACGGTATATGATTTTTAGTTTAATAAAGCCTGTGATAATTCTTAAATTGGACATGCACCAAAGATCAGTTTGATGCCAAAATCAAGATTCCTAATTATTAATATAGACGATCATTCTTTTCTACTTTGCTAACAAGTCTACACATAAATCCTGGTACACCTAAACGTTGTTGGTAACACCCTTTATCAATTTGCAGCCATTTACTCTGTCAATTCTCTTTGTACCACTTTTCATTTTGTTACTCAATTCTGTACCTCCACTTTTTTTTAAAGTCTACGATTATGTCATCTTGTAAACAAAGTAAACATCTTATTCTTATCATCTTCTTTCTATCATTCTTCATCTATAATGTCGGAAGAAGAAATCAAATCACTCGAAACTTCATTGGTTGCCCTTGCCGGATGTGAACTCCTCATGGATCAAGCGGAAAAGGAGGCAGAAATCTTTAGAATTAAGAAAACTCAAGGAATTTATGAAAAACGTCGTGAAATCTTAAACAAAATTCCAACTTTTTGGTACATTGTGTTGGCTGAAAATGATGACTTTGCTGAATATATCCAATCTGATGACTTGAAGTATTTGGAATGTATTACAGACATCTACGTTCTGTATGCCGCTGCTAATGATGAATCGGCCAACCCACGTGATTTCTCAATCACCATCGCATTTGATGGAGGGGAAGACAAACTTATTGCTACCCAAACCGTCACTAAAAGTTTCCAAACTGTAGTTGTAGATGGGGAAGAGAAATTGACCTCTCAAGAGGTTTCCATCCAATGGCCCTCACAATTGGAACCTACAAACCCTTCTGCCATTAAAAAAAGATGTAAGGAAAGCGGCAAGGAAATGACTGCTGATGATAAGAAAAAGTATCGATTAGGAATGAAATCATTCTTTGCTTATCTTTCCTGGACTGGGGAAAAACCCGGTAAGGAGTTCAGACACGGTGAAGACTTGACAAGATTGATTGTAGACAATTTATTCCCATACGCTGTCAAGTACTACAGTGAAGCATTACCTGGGGATGAAGACGACGACGAAGATGAAGAAGATTCATCTGAAGGTGAAGCCTTGGATCTTAGTGATGATGAAGATGAGCCCGAGGCAAAGAGACAAAAGAAATGATTACACAATAAAAGGAAAGTTAATACAATAGATACAGTTCCGCTAATTAATAATATTCGTGGGGCCGAGTAAGTTCGTGTAGATGTTCTAATTGAGCAGTTTGAGTAGTGACAAGTAGTTGCAAGTTCTTGAGTGTTTCAACAGCAGGTGAAATCCAACCTCCAGACCGAAGAGCCAAAAAATTAAATACAAAAAGAGAAATAAAAGGGAAGCACATTCCTCCGTCAGCTTACAGAAAAGTTATTCCCAACCCCCCATACTCCTACTTCAATACACCACAAATCCGCTGACCCATCTATAAACCCCTACACACCTATGTAATTGCTTACCTAAACGTTTGTAATACGAATTGTATGTAATTTCTTTTCCCTATGGTTGCGCATTCTTGGCGGGTCCGATAAGTCCGCGACATGGAATTTTGATTACATTGCTTACAATTTGCAGCCACACACACATTCACAATATAAAAGATTAACCAATTCCTCCAAGTCCAGCTTTCATATTCATCATCATTATCAACCTCTCTCCTCTTTTATTAATATGACCAAAGTTTTCCTTACAGGTGCCACTGGATACATTGGTGGTGAAGTTTTGTACCAACTTCTCAATTCAAAAGACCATCAATTTGAAGTTTCTGCCTTAGTTAGATCACAAGCAAAGGCTGATTTACTTGTCAAGAAGACTGATGGCAAGGTTACCCCCATTTTAGGACTGCTTGATGACCTTGAAGTCATTAAGTCTGCTGTATTCGATGCTGACATTGTCATCAACACTGCCAATGTTGACCATGTCCCAAGTGCCCAGATTCTTTCTGAATCTTTGCTTCTTAAAAAGACTCCTACAATCTTGATCCATACTTCAGGTACCTCTGTTGTTGGTGACGATCTTTCAGCGGTTAAGGGCCCAACTGATGAAGTTTACTCCGACATCAGTAGCATTGCAAAGATCAACTCCTTACCAGATGAACAACCTCATAGACCGGTTGATAAGATTATTTTAGATATTCAAGACCAAAATCCAAATGTTAAGGTTGCTGTTGTTTGTCCCTCTACTATTTTCGGTCTTAGTAATGGTTATGATAAGATTAACTCTGTTCAAATTCCAGATTTGATCAGGTATTCAATTAAGAACAAACAGGCCTTTTCTGTTTATTCGGGTGCTTATATTTGGAGTCACATTGATATCAAGGATTTGGGTGATTTGTATTATTTGATCTTGGACTCATTCTTACAAAAGAAAAATATCCCACTGGGTAAGGAAGGTTACTATTTTGGTTCTTACACTTTGGAAAATGAAACAGTCAAGGCTGAGCCTTCTGAAATTGAACACACTTGGAGACAAGTGTCACAAAAGATTGCCGATGTGTTACTTTCCAGAGGATTGATTCCTACTTCTGAAGTTGTTGATCTTACTCCAGAAGAGATTGTCAAGTTGAGTGGTGACAACTTTGCCCCATACTATTGGGGTTCCAACTCCAGAACTAGAGGTGATAATGGGAAGAAGATTGGATTTGCTCCAAAGTACACCACATTGCAAAGATTCTGGGATTCTATTGAGATTGACTTGGACCATATCCTTAAGGCTTAAATAGGTGTATAACGTGAAATGGATTTTGTTCTACAAGAGAGAAATGTAGAGAGAGAAGAGACCAGCGGAGTGGCTTAAAGACTTTACAGGGGAAGGGCGGGGTCTGCAAGCCGCTCCGCTGGCACTCCGTAGGCCACTAGCCGTGGGGGCATTGTTCCTCTACCGAGGAATTCCACCCCTCTCCAGCGGTCTCCTCGTAGAGGAGCTAGGCACCACGCAGTGGCTCTCCCCGAGCAGGGGCCAGCGGAGCGGCTTATAAACCCCGTAGGGTACCTACTAGTACTCGTGGCCCTACAGGACGGCAATGTTAATGATTGTTATTTGAACGAGAGACAACCCTACATTATTTCAGGTACAGGTATTTACTTGTGAGGCTGTCACGGTATAGGTACTGAATCCCCAATAATCTGAAGTTTCCTATTGGTCACCATCTCTAACCTACTCATAGTAAAACTGATTCTTATTCCACTTCTATATGTAACACGTGACCTTCTCACGTGGTGCATCCACGTGATCATTTTTTATTTATATACATCATATGTAAATGATTAATTTAACCAAGAACCTTGTGCCAGTGACCTCCCAATTACGTCATAGATTATAGAGAGTTAGAATGTCCACTCTATAAGGTTTTTACCTTTCCATCTCATTCATTTCATCATATTTCCCCGGCTCTTTCAGGCTCAACTGACGGCCCTTCCCATATGCACACCCTCGGAATTACCACATTCAAAGTTTCTCGTTCCACTTTTTTACTAGTACAAACCTTTTTCCTCAATTAAACACCATGTTCAAATCACTTTGTAGGGGTCTTGCTACGTCCACGGGCTCGTCCGTGGCCAAGGCAGCCAAGAAGTCTGTGCCAAAGTTGCAAGACGTGGTAATCATCGGTGGAGGTCCCGCCGGGTTATCCCTCTTGGCTGCTTTGAAGGCATCTTCAGTGACAAGCCATTTGAAGTGTACCCTTGTCGAAGGATCAAGCTTAGAGCCTATCCGGAAGTTTGGTCAGGACCCACCGGAGGAGTACACGAACCGTGTAGTCTCTCTCACCCCTAAGTCGGTCGAATTCATGCTGCTGAAGATTGGTAGTTGGGAATATATGAACCAAGAAAGAGTCAAATTCTACGACAATATTGTCGCATACGACTCGCAGGACCGTGCTGCAAGAATTGCCTTCGATGGGAGCTCCCTAGCCGAAGATGGTGGCTTCTTGGCTGTCATGGCGGAAAATATCAACATTCAAAGTTCATTGCTTCAAAGAATTGAAGCTATGGACCCGGAAGTCGCACCTCGGATCTTGGATAACACCAAGGTGGTGGACATTCAATCTCCAGAAGAAGGGTCCCCAGTCGAGGACTGGCCCATTGTCAAGCTTTCCAACGGTGAATCCATCCAAACAAGACTTTTGGTGGGTGCTGATGGATACAATTCCCCCGTGAGGAAGTACGCTCGTATAGAGTCACGTGGGTGGATGTACAACCGGTGGGGTGTAGTTGCTACAATTAAGTTACAATATGAAGATTATAGATCAATTGCATGGCAAAGATTTCTCACCACGGGGCCCTTGGCCATCTTACCGTTGACTGAAGAAAATGCAACCATTGTGTGGTCGTCTACCCCGGAACTTTCCGACATTCTCATCAAGACAAATCCAGCCATTTTCCCGGAATTGGTAAATGCCGCTCTCACTTTGGATGAAGTGAGTCTTAACTTCATCTATGAGAAATTGAGGGTTAACCCTGATGATATGTCTGTGTTGGAAGATATTCAATGGAGACAGACCAGATTGAAAATCACCGACCTTGAAGAAAATTACCCCTTACCAGTGGTGGAAGTTATTGAAGGATCAAGAGCAAAATTCCCACTTAAATTGTCACATGCAGACACTTATACTGCCCCTCGTGTGGCTCTTGTTGGGGACGCTGCTCACACAGTACATCCATTAGCCGGTCAGGGGCTTAACATGGGTCAAGGAGATGTTGAACTGTTGGTTGGTGCCATCGAAAAGGGTGTACTTCGTGGGATGGATATTGGATCTCCATTGGTTTTGGAACCATACACAAGTGACCAATGGCCCGGAAATCATGCATTGATGGGTGTTTGCGATAAGTTGCACAAAATCTTCTCCACTGATTGGGCACCAATTGTATTTGTCCGTGGGTTTGGAATGAAATCTTTGAACATGTTTGATTCTGTGAAAGATTTGATGATTAAAAGTATCAGTGGGAAGTTGTAAATAATGTCTTATGATAAAATAAATAGAAGAGAAAGAAAGAATGTAGAAAAATCCGGATTTCATCAAGAAACGACGGTGGGTCACGTGCATGCGGGGCCATATCCGGTCGAGGCGATATAGCAAAGTTGATTAAATATTATATCCTATAAACCCTTTTGTAAATATTAAATTATAATCTTGTTATGAAACATTGGGTTCGTTTGGTGGGGTGTAAACGGTTCTATAGTCTCCCCAAGACGACAAAATCGTCACCAAACCCAATAAAATTGGACGAAAAAGTGATCACTGACCAATTCCAAGCACTTCGAGATAAATATGAGGCACCTCGATATCCGATAGTACTTTGTCACGGATTCTCCGGATTTGACCAACTCTCGATCCTTCCACATAAGCAGAGAATGGAGCATTTGCTCCATGGGGCTGGTTTCCTCAAGTTGGACTATTGGTTTGGGATCAAGGAGGCATTACAAGACATTGGATCCAATGTGTTGATTGCCAGGGTCCCTGCATTTGGCCGGATCAAGAACCGGGCCAATCTGTTGAATGATTTTATAAACCAGCAATGCGAGACTCTACGCAAGCTGGAGTCCAAAAGGACCATGTACAATGAGAAAAGAGCGAGCTCCTCTGGGGGTAACGAGGACTCCGATAGTGGGTCGGAACTGGATTCCTCTCACACTTTTGAACAACGGGAAAAGCCAATTAAAATCAATTTGATTGCTCATTCTATGGGTGGATTGGATTGTAGATACCTTATTTCTCAACTCAAGCACTCCAATTATCAAGTGGTGTCGCTTACCACGGTGGCAACCCCGCACCATGGGTCTGAATGTGCAGACTTTCTTATGGAGGTTGCTCGTGGCACTCCGCTCCAAAAATTGTTCCCTGCTTCCATTGCCGAGCTCACCACCTCCTACTTGAAGGAATTCAACCGGACGGTTCCGAACGACAGAAACGTGGCATACTTCTCGTACGGAGCTCGGTTCAAGCCGCATTGGTACAACGTGTTCTTGCCCACTTGGAACATCATCAAAATGCAAATGCGTAAACATAACCAAGACAAGAAGGTCATTTCGGTGGACAACGACGGGATTGTCAGCGTCGCCAGCTCCAAGTGGGGTGAGTATTTGGGCACGTTGGATGAGGTGGATCACTTGGATCTCATCAACTGGACGAATCGGGCCCGAACTACCGTAGACAAGGCTCTTTTCCGCAAGGAACCGAAATTCAACGCCATTGCCTTGTACTTGGACATTGCTGACAATTTACGGAAGAGGGGCTTTTAGAGGAGCCGGGCCCCTATCGAGTCTGTGAGCCGCTCCGCTGGCACTCCGTGGGCCACTAGCCGTGGGGGCCTTGTTCCTCTACCGAGGAATTCCACCTCTCTCCAGCAGTCTCCTCGTAGAGGAGCTAGGCACCACGCAGTGGCTCTCCCCGAGCAGGGGCCAGCGGAGCGGCTTATAGACCCCGTAGGGCTGTCTGAATCTCTTCCCTGCGGGGCTGTAAGTCGCTCCGCTGGCACTCCGTCGGCCACTAGCCGTGGAGGCCTTGTTCCTCTGGCGAGGAATTGGTCTACGAGAAGAGCAGGTCACTACTTAGTGTCTGAATACCCGTCTCTGTCCAGCATTATAGATATTTAGAAAGAAAAGTTTGTATTACATAATTTATACACCCCCTGGTTTCTTAGTTGACTGTCGTAGTCTGGATATAAGTGAACTCCTCTACCCCCCAGGTAGAGTTGAATCTCCCAGTCCCACTCTCCTTCACCCCACCATGTGGGATTGTAGCCTCGTCATGGATACAAGATCCATTGATATGAACCCCACCACATTGAATCTTGGAAGCGGTTTCAATTGCTGTCAATCTGTCTGCAGACCAGATGGACGCCTTTAAGCCATATCCGTCAGAATTGACCATGTCAACAACCGTATCTATATCCTCGTATTGGTAGATGCTGAACACGGGTCCAAACGTCTCGTGTGAGTAGATCAACATATCTGGAGTTACCTGCTCCAAGATGGTTGGACCGTGTGGGTCTTGGAATAGAACAGTGGCCCCCTTCTCAATGGCATCTTCCAATTGAAGCTGAACTTTGCCCTCCACCAGTGAGTCTCTCGATTTGATCTTCATGTCTGGATTGGTGGCGCACACCTGTCGAGCTACGTCAAGACACTTGGCTTTAAAGTCATCGTATCGATCGGAATGGACGTACACTTTATCGGTGGACATGCAGATCTGGCCCTTGTGGAGCCACGAGTTATTTACAATGGTGGGCACTGCAACGTCCAAGTCAGCATCCTTGGCGACAATGGCACAATTTTTGCCCCCCAACTCTAAGAGGTACGGTTTCAAATGTTTGGCAGCAACCATGGCAATCTGACGACCAACTTCAGTTGACCCCGTGAAGTTGACCTTACGGATGTGCCGGGATGCCAAGAACCGTTCGGTGGCCTCTACCGTGTCTTCTGGGGCCACGTGTACCAATTGCAAGGCCTCGCTCGGTACCCCGGCGTCATGGAAGCATTTCACTAGCAAGTAAGACAACATGGGAGACTTCTCCGATGACTTTGCTACCACTGAACATCCAGCCGCTAGTGGGGCGGCAATGGCCCTCGCACCCAAAATGACCGGGGCATTCCATGGCGAGATAGCGAGCACCGGGCCCAATGGTCTTCTACGAGTAAGGGCTAGCCGGGTAGCTGACGTCTTGGGGATCACTCCGTCGGGAGCAGACATACATGCGACGTACTGTTCGATCTGTTTGATGGCTCCATCCACGTTGAAATTGGCAAACCATCCGGGCCCTCCAATGGCCAAATGGCCGTCTACAAACGCATCCTTTCTCTGGGCAAGCAACTCGGCCGCTCTCTTAAACACGGAGATCTTGTGGGTGTAAGGGGTCTGCGACCATTCGACAAATCCGACATTAGCGCTGTGGCAGATGGTTGGAATGTTCTCCTCGAGGTCTGTCAAACACTCGAACTTGTGGAGAAGTTTATTCTCGGGGCAGAGCACCGGAAGTGTCCTGGTCGAGCCCTTTGGAAGCTTGGCTAGTAGCGGTACTACCAGAGGCACTATGAGCTTGGCAGAAGGTGTCATGGTGGAGTAAACAATGGATGTCAGGTGAGGAAAAAGGAATGGCTGATAAGAAACGTTCGCGATCTTTTATGAGATCCACCCCCACAATTGTAGTTGTACGACCTACTGCAGGTCAGCTGCTCAGGGAGAGCCACTACGCTCCTCTATGACGTGAGCCCATGGCCCTGGGCACTTCCTCGCTAGAGGAACAAGGCCCCCACGGCTAGTGGCCCACGGAGTGCCAGCGGAGCGACTTACAGCCCCACAGGGAAGAGATTCGGACAGCCCTACGGGGTCTGTATGCCGCTCCGCTGGCCCCTGCTCGGGGGGAGCCACTGCGTGGTGCCTAGCTCCTCTACGAGGAGTCCTCGTGTAGTCTGGGGCTTTCCTCAATAGAGGAACGAGGCCCACCACGGCTAGTGGCCCACGGAGTGCCAACGGAGCGGCTCATAGACCTCCGTAATGTAATACTCTACGCCTGGTGGAACCGTAGGATGTCCCCATGGGTTCCTAAGCAAGGCACTAACTTTTGTCTTGTCCTATTGGACGCTTCCCTTGTAGTTACTCTCGAATTGCGAGTTTCTCTGTAGTAGTTTTCTGTTTCATTCTTATACAATTACATATCTAAGACTTTGCGAGGCTTCGTTCTACAACAACGACAAGTGCTGGAGCTCGGAAGTGCAGCCTCTACAATACTCTATTATCTGGTCTACCCCTTCGTCATTCACCTCCATGTCAGACTCCATGACATACTCGCATCGTTGGATCTCACTCAAGAGCCAGTTTTTCCATTCTCCCTGTGCAATCTCTTCTTCCATCAGATTCAACATCTTGAGGTTCACCAAGAGTTCATTCCTCTTGATTCCAATCTCTTGAAGAGATTTCTTCAAGTTTCGGGCAACTTCACGGGTGTCTGCATCGCCGTACTCGGCGTTCCATTGTGGATACCTCTCGTGATTTAGCGAGAAGGATGTCTTCTTGAACATGTCAAAGCAGCGACTGTCGTTCATCGACTCCGGGGTGCGGATTACCTGGAGCATGTCTTCTGTGTCCTTGATATAAACGGCCCTTTGTAACACCCAGGGGTCCGACGCAAGGAACTCACTGGCGATCTTGGAAACGCGTCTAGCGTGCCAATACGATTGGGTGGTCTTCCCCAACATACAAAGGTTTAGAAGCCCCGACCCAACCAACAAAATGATGATGAACTGATTCATTCTGATCCCCTTGATAAGGGTGATGATGGCATTTGCTAGGAAATGAATGAAGAGTGCAGAGAACCGCAAAAGGAGTAACATTGCCCGGTGGAAGACGAGACGGAGCGCGGAGAGGAGCCCAAAGTACGTCGCTTCGACGTCAGGGGTATCCTCAGCATATGTAGAACGTGTAAGCTTACCATACATGTAGATCGCCTTCACCACTTGGCCATGGGTGCCGATGGCCTTCTCGGCGTCTCCAATGGCTCGGTGTAATGAACGTACGTCCAGTTGTGTGAATTGAGAACAAATGGCCTTTGTTAACCATAACACCGGCAGCTTTCCTTCAAACTCTGGTGCTCCATAGATGAAGACCCTTGACTTCTGCTTACCCATGGAAATGATCACCACTCGATACTTGATGCCAAATGGAGACCCAATCAAAAGCTTGAACTTGCTCTTCGAGTGGGTGAATGTGTAATACTCGTCGTTTCTCATCTCGTCGATCCGTTGTTGGAACTGGATCACGGCCCTCTTTCTGGTGTAGTACGTGACGGTGGCATTGAACTTCCGGAACAATTTCCCCTGAGGGTCCGTGTTCCAACTCTTCTTCAGAACACTCTGCAACCGCGCAATGGGGGACAACTCACGGAACAAGATGGAGTCGTCTCCAAGAAGGATATGGAAAATCGCCTTGGCGGGCAAATTGTACGTGTGCAGCGAGATATAGGTCAGTTCCTTCGAGAAGTCCACATTCATCTGCTCCAGTGAAACCTTGTCCGGGGAGATCGTCTCCACCGACTGTGGGCTCGAGTCTACCAGTGGGAACGGTTCCTTGTTCAAAAGCAGCTGCTCGGCCTTCAAGGACTCCAACTTCCGTTGCGTATCGATTTCCAAGATCCGGTCAATCACCACCGTCTTTGTGTCGGGGGTGTCCTTGATGTTGTTCTCAATCAAGTACGTGATCTTCCGCTTCAACGCCACGGCATCGTCCAAAAAGAGCTTCATCTTGATCACCCCGTTCATGTTGTAGATCCGGAGAATATCATAATCGCTCTGTGAGACCAGCTCTACCGAGACCAACTGATCGACGCGCCCCTTGAACAACGCCACAAACCCCAAAGCGTTCATGTAGATGTAGATGTGTTTTTCGGTGAGGAAACATCTCCCGCCAAGCTCCTGTCTCGAGTTGGGCGACCAGATCGATCTGAACGAGATGAGACACGGTTCGTTGGGCTCCACTGCTGTTTCAAAAAGTGCTCTCATCTGGATGTCCTTCGGGTACATTGCCTTTGGATAGTTTGGTGGGTAATCGACATCTACACCACTTTCAGAGCCACCACTGCTCAGCGGCTCTGGTGGGGTCACTTCAGACTTTCTATCCAAAACAGTGGCATTTTCCCTGGTGGCGTCATGCAAATAGTACAACCCCCAGTTGATGGACCCCCATATATTCGCCGTGAGAGCCGTGGGCATTGCCGTGGGCTCCACGAGACTGTACGCAAGAATGGCCGACTTGGTCGAGTCTGTAATAAATGGAGGTCTGATCTGAAGCAACTCGTAGTACACATGTTTCTGGAAATCACGTTCATTCTTCTCAATGTGTGCCGAAAGACGACTCAGAGCTATCACTTGTCCCATGTTGTTCACAATCCGTCCGCTGGTCAACTGCTTGTCGGTCTTGGTGTTGACAGTGCTGGCCAATTCTTTCAAAATCGGTGGGTATCGCCCCAGGGCAATGGCAAGAAGATTGCTACCGTGTTCGTTTTTGCTGCTCAAGACGCGCTCCTTTTCGTTTTGAAACACCTTGAGCCACGACTTGAGCTCAAGAACGGTCTCACATTGGAAAAGGAACGTTGAGTCCACCGTCTTGATCTCAAAACAGTACCGTCTCTCCTCGTATGCGGCAAACTTGACGTTACAAACAAGAAGTCCAATCTTGTCCAGTTCTTGCACGAAATTGTTCGAAGGACTCAAGTTCAAAAGCCCAAACACCCCACACTTGATAAAGGCCCATCTACGGACCCATGTGGGCTTTGTTGACCCTCCACGCCAAGTCTTCATGAAAAGGTACCCATGTTTCTCCAATGCTTGTTCGTCAATGTCGGCAAGAATGGAGTTGTTGATGAGTGAGGCCCGGTAATCGTTCAAGTTGTTCAGTGGCTGGAATTGCAAACTGGTTGAGTTCTCCACCTGTACCCGTGCTGCATTCATATCTCTTGACAACTTCTCCAGTGCCAAATCATTGGAATCACACCAACTCTTGATCCGATTCACCTTTTGCATCAGAGCCTGGAAGTACTTGGTTGAATGGATAAACTTCTCAAACGCTTGGTGCTTCGACTGCCACAATTCAGTGGTCAACAGTACAAACATCCGGTCCAACGTGTGGCCCAAATTGGTCAATTCTACCGAAAGATCAATACACACATGGATGTACTCTCTTCGTACTTCATACAATTGGTACGCATCCTCCATGACAATGGAAGGGTCCTTGATCTTTGGGGTCAGTTGGTAGATCGATAAGTACCGGTCATACTTTTGTTGCAACAGTTCAAACTTGGCTCTCAATTGTTTGTACTGTTGGATCTCATTCTTCAACACCATCCGTAACATGTTCGTTGGTCCGGGTGTCACCATCAAGACCAGAAGCGCCATGTCCCAGAGCTTGTGCATTCCCTCAGTCACCGTTTGTAAGGACTGTACCGTGTACTCCTGTTCTATGAGTCCATCTTGTAAGAACGTTGGCGAGAGATGTTCCAAAAATGAGTCCAGAAACGTCTTGAGTTCCTTGACATATCGTGGGAATTTCCCCACCGTACTAATAATGGCAAGAAGCCACTTCTCAATGTTGTCCACTTGTGTGTCAAGATGATTGACACTAGCCCGGAAACTCGGAGAGTCTAATGCTGCCTCCTTGAAGTCGACGGAGATAAGCTTGAACTGTTGGAAAGATGGATGTCCCGCGGTCTGCCCGGCCTTTTTCGGGTTCTTCTCGGAGCTTCGAGAGCGGTTTGGCGACGGAGTAGTCATTTGAGATACTGACGCTGGTCTACCCGAAGTTGAGATTGATATACCCAAAGGCTAATTGGATGAATTGAACCCTAGGAGTAGGTTTCAAATTGTTTACAGCAAGGTTAAAGTGTTCCATACCGGAACACAAAAATGAATGATACCGGAGTCACGTGGGGAGGGTCACCTGATTGTATCCTCGGTTAGAAAGACCACCTTCAGTAAGGCAAATCTTAACTGCAGTTACTAGAGTATTATGGTTGATGAAGTGAAGGTGGGTCGGGGAAAGAGAAGTATTCTTTACTGGCTTACAATAGTTGGGGTTACTAGAGCTTTAGGTGAAAAGAGTACGGTGATATTCTTCACTTCAAGGGTTTGTCGCAGCCAAAAATTCCCCGATAGAGGAACCACGCCGCCACGGCAAGTGGCCCACGGAGTGCCGGTGGAGCGGCTTACAGTCCTACGGGAAAGGGGGACGAACAGCCCTAAGGTGTCTGTAAGCCGCTCCGCTGGCCCCTACTCGGGGGGAGCCACTGGCGTGGTGCCTGGCTCCTCTACGAGGAGACCGCCCGCTGGAGAGAGGTGGAATTCCTCGGTAGAGGAACAAGGCCCCCACGGCTAGTGGCCCACGGAGTGCCAGCGGAGCGGCTCAAATACCCCGTGGGACTGCTCTACTCCCTTCCCTACGGGGCTGTGAGTCTCTCCGCTGGCCCCTGCTCGGGGAGAGCCACTGGCGTGGGGCCTGGCTCCTCTACGAGGAGTCCTCTTGAAGTCTCGGCCCTTCCTCGCTAGAGGAACAAGGCCCCCACGGCTAGTGGCCCACGGAGTGCCAGCGGAGCGGCTCGCACACCCCGTAGGGTGGGTAGTCCTTACATCCCTACGGATCGAGCCTACTCTCTCTCTCTCTTTGAAATTTTAACGCCTCTACAGACCCACGTTGTGACCCGATGGTGGTGTCCATTCTCTCTAGATGGTCTACAATTGTATTCGTTAAATGCTCGTAATATTAATGCCTAGGATAGGACTTCCTTTGGGGAGTGTATGCGTTCAACACCAGGTGTTGTACAATCTATAATACCATGGTCTTTCTGCCCATTCTCTTCTTTCCTCTTCTCTTTCCTGGAGGAGAACATCAAGGTCAACCACTCTGCGTCCAGTGGTGATGTCCATATCTTCTGCCCTGATGTACAACTTCCAATTCCGTGTGTAGAGCTTGTGGCCAACATAAAACACAAGCACCACGGGGGCGCAAAGATACACCTGTAAGAAAACTTTAATGTTCAAATCTGGACCGCCCACCGGGTACAACCCCACGTAGAATTGGGCAATAAGAATCAAAACGTTGATAATGATCAGGAACCAAGCCCCATAATCACCTCCAGTGGCCAAGAAGGGGAACTCCTCTTTGGAAACACCTTGCACTTTGCAAGCATGACTGACTCTGAGTTGGGCCAAAGAAATGGATAACCATGTGAAGATAGCCGCCAATCCTGAAATGGCCAATAACCAATTGAATACTTCTGCCTGTTTGGAAGATGCAGAGACGAAACTGATCAAACCAAAGGCAAATGTGAATAATAAGGCAGCCATGGGTCTTCCCTTTCTGTCGATGTACAAGAGGATCTTGGGTCCATGGCCTGCTTCCGCAAGGGCAACCAACGGACGTGAGGTGGCAAAGACTGAGGCGTTGGCCACTGAGAGCACAGAAATCAAAATGACCACGTTGAAGATGGAGGGGAGGACCCTGATACCTGAGGATTTGATGGCAATCACAAAGGGAGAGGTGGATGATGCAGAGCCAGTGAACAAGTCTGGACTGTTGGAAGGGACCAAGAAACAAATCAAGATGGTGGAGAGAAGATAAAAGATCAAGATTCTCCAAAAGACTTGCTTGACAGCCTTGGGCATGGCAGTCTTGGGGTTTTCAGCGTTGGCGGCTGCCAAGGCACAGAGTTCCGTGCCAGCAAATGAAAATGCAGCGTTGACAAAGACGGAGCAGACCCCCTTGAATCCGGTGGCAAAGGCGCCCGGATGGTGCCAATAACGGGCCCCAATGTATCCCATATGGTTGGGACTGCCTCCACAGATGAGAATGACAGCAAGGATACAAAATCCCACGATGGCAACCACCTTGATGAGAGAGAAGATGAACTCACCTTCTCCATATCCCTTGACACCAAAGATGTTGATCCCACAGATGAAGACGTAGAAGATGGCGACCCAGACCACGGTGTTGATCTCGGACCCCCAGTACTCGATCGTCAAGGAGGCACTGACCAACGAGAGGGGCAACGTCACCATCCATTGCAAGCAGTAGTTCCAGTTCATGGCAAAGCCCCATGACTCGTCTAGGAACCTTGTGTTGTAGGCAAGGAAGTTTCCCTGGGTTGGGAATGTGGAGGAGAGTTGACCAAGAGATTGGACGATGAAATAGAGAAGCACAGAAACGACACCATAAGATATGATGAGACCAGCAGGTCCAGCTTGAGCCAACGCGGTTCCTAGCGAGATGAAGAGCCCGGTACCAACACAGCCGGCAATGGCAATCATCTGCACATGTCTGTCCTTCAAACTGTTTTCCAAGGGGAGAGATGGTACGATGGGAGGTCCGCCGCTGTTAGCTTCTATATCCAGAACTGGGGGCACTTCTGCACGACGGAACGAGTCGATGAAGGTTGCAACCTTGGCCTTTGCAGCCATCGATCTCACCAGCAGTGAGGTATCTGCGGACAACATGGTCCCAGACTCCTTCTTTTCTAACATGGTGTGGACTGGTGGGAGGGGGAGTGTTGATAGAAAGGCCGTCCCTTGTGTGAGGAAGAATTTCAGTCGATGGGTTGGGGGAGAAGGACGATGAGTTTCTCTCGATTGAATGGACGAGGAGACAACAGGATCCGATTGAGGGACGGGTAATGGTCTTGTACACGGTCCTACGAGTGGCTCGGAAGGGTATATCTATGAAGAAGTGCCTGGCAAGATATATATAATGGTGGTAGAACCGCTGAAAATTTTGACATCATGTCTTAGAGTCAGCATTAAGAAGCAACGGCATTCTTAAATTGCCGTGTGCATTTGCAGCCAAGTGGAATTATTTGTCCGAAAAAAGAACGACAAGCGAAAAATAAAACGGCGCGAATGCCCTAGAGAGGAAAATGCCGAACGCATTTGAAAACTACGAAAAGGGACACTCAACACGAGATAAGCGGTGGCGGGAGTTGGAAAGGGTCTAGGTGGGTAAGTGATGCAGGGTGCTACATAGGTGCTCATTGAGCAGAGCTGGATAATATGGCTGGAGCATTGGAGGGAGCATCTGACTATGGACAGATGAGGGCGCACGTACAGGACAAGAACACGGGCGTTCTCTAAAGCCTTGGAATGAGCCGCCTCCGCGAATTGCCGAAGTGTCGATGGGGGCTTTAAATTTTTTTTTTCCTGACCCTGAACTCCGACTCGGGCGCACGTGACGTTCCGGAGATCGATGCAAGAGATGGTCCTTGCCAGCTCCAGGGCTGGTCTGGAGAGCCGGGTCTGTGAGACGCTCCGCTGGCCCCTACTCGGGGGGAGCCACTGGCGTGGTGCCTGGCTCCTCTACGAGGAGACCGCCCGCTGGAGAGAGGTGGAATTCCTCGGTAGAGGAAGAAGGCCCCCACGGCTAGTGGCCCACGGAGTGCCAGCGGGGCGGCTCGCACACCCCGCAGGGTCATACCCTACCCCATTCCCTGCAGGACTGTACACCGCTCCCTAGACCCTCTGGTCACAGAGAGACCGCCTACCCGGTGACAGCCCCCTACTCGGTGCCTACAGGCCAGACCTGCTGTGTCATCTCCTGGGGCGACTACCCTTTACCCTTCCCTACGGGGGTAGTGAGCCGCTCCGCTGGCCCCTACTCGGGGAGAGTCACTGCGTGGTGCCTGGCCCCTCTACGAGGAGAGTCCTCCTGTAGTCTAGGCCCTTCCTCGCTAGAGGAACAAGGCCCCCACGGCTAGTGGCCCACGGAGTGCCAGCGGAGCGGCTCGCACACCCCGTAGGGTTGTCCTACTCCCTTCTCGGAGGACCACTAAACCGCTCCCTGGGCTGCCCCGCTACTCTCCTAAAGCCCCATGCCCGGTGACACCCCCACTACTCGACGACAATGTCTACAGGTCTGTGTAATGTAAATTATTCTATTAACGAACGTTCTCTCTATCTATATATCCCAACCGGACGACTACCTGAGTCTCCATAAATTATTTTAAAAGTTGTATTTCCTGGCGAAGGGCGGCGATTTCCTCGTTGGCGCGCTTCTGCTCTTGTTGCAAGTGCAAGATGTAGTCAATGGCCTTCTCGAGGATCATTGACTTGTTGAGACGATTGCACGGAACTTCGAATTCTTCCGTGGGCTCCTCCTTAACGGGATTGCCGCCGGTTTCAAAGGCCGTCTTCTCGGACGCCACCCAGGGGATGATATTTTGAAGACCGGCAATCTTGGCATTGATGTTTATTCTGTACTTCTTCTCGATCTTGTTGTGCGCTTGCTTTTGTGAGTCGGTCAATCTTTTCCGAGGTGCTCTTTTCTTGCATACTCTTGGCTTGGCAAGGTTATCGATTTCATTGATGGTGGAGGTGGAGGAGGTGCAGGAGATGTTTGGATGTGAGTTTGTTCTGGTGATGGTCCCCGAGGGGTTGTAGGTGGAGGTGCTACTGCCGCCGACAGTGCTGCTCAGCTTGCTTCTGCGGGATGTTGGAGTGTAGATGGTGGAAAAGTCATCCTTCAAGATATCCTTGGTGTTGAAAATTGATTCCAAGGACTTCGGAGTTAAGTCATTGGATTTTTGAATTGATTCCAATTTATGAGAAAGAGTAGAGGAGAACATTGGAGGGATCATATGTTCATCGTCGCGAGTCTCGGCCTTGACCGTTGGACTGTTGGTCCGAGAAGTATCAGAACTCGTACAAGCTTCTCCATTACTGAACAAGCTATCATTATCAAAATAACATTGAAGGTCTTCCGGAATAGGAGGGTTTTCCGTGGCAAACGGTCTTTGTGGCATTTTCAAGTCATCCGCACTAGTGGAAAGACTCATGGGGGCAGATTTGGAAAGAAGTTCATCCCAACCTTGTCCCACATTGGTGGGGGAAAGAGGTGCAGAGTTGAGATCAAACAAATTGTTTTCTTGACAGATGTTCCAGTTGTTGGTGAACATGGTTTCTTGTGGTGTGGTGATGAGGATGGTGAATATAATCTAAGGTGACGGACTCATACCCCTGTATATATATATACCAAGACGCTCGCACTTAACACTCCGAAATTAAAAAATAATTCTGAATCGTTCGTTTTCGGAACAACTATCACCCTATTTTCGGATTCGCTAATGTTCGGACTTTGCGCGATCAGGTCATGTAGCCGGATTGCTCCGATCGGAAAAACTCACAAAACGCATGCGCTTACAGGTGGCTGTTCCTATCTTGACATGTAATGTTGATCTCTCTAGCGCATGAGTACGAGGGTAAGAATCTTACACAAGTCCGAGGTCGGTTACATAGTACTAGGGGATTCTTTCACTATAGATTGTAAAGAGATGTCCATCTGTTACCGTGTCACCGTACCACCTCTCCACCTCTCCATCTTTCCATCTCTCCAAAATGCCTCACTGCTTGTTCCTCTCCCCTCACTTTCCATCCCTTGGCTAAACATTTCCAACTATCTGCAAGGTTGCAGAAAAAAAAAAAAAAATCATCCTACATGAAAATGAGGAAAAATTAACATGTGTTTGCGCGCTGCATGCAGGCCTCGCACCAACTCTTTGATGGCCTGTTTCTTTAGTGGTGCCAATTTTCAAATGTATGACCTGATCAGGGGGCAAACTATTCACTAGGTACCGGAAAATTAGCTCTACTTACGAAGACTAATTGTGGGCTCTTTAGTTGCATCCAAACGTCCACATCGCCAACACTACCATGATGGAAGGTATCTGCATAGGTGGCTAGAAAATAAAGGATCTGGCCCCCCCCCCCCCAAAGTCCGTCTCTCAGTTCCAACTTCCCCCCCCTTTTTTTTCTCTACGTCATTCTTTTTAACACCAGAACCTACCTACGGAACATTTTGCCCTTCGGACATACATGATCGAAACGAAAAAAAATTAATAATCTTCCAAACCCTGTGGTATGTAATATTTTTTTTTTTTTACCACTTTCCATTCTGAGACATGTTGGTACGAATCCGAGTTAACCCGAACCCAAAAAATCGAATGCGTGTGGCGAGAAAATAGAATTAGTAGGAATTTTTATTTTTCAGTTAATGCGGGGCCACGTGACCGGGCGAGTGCGGCCGTATGATCAAGATCGGGCAACTTCTGGAAAGAGAGAGAAGTTTGCTGCTAAAGTGTGAATGTAATTGACGATATGTAACAAGTGGGAATGAGAGGGGAATTTGTTGCTCGGTCTCGTCGGTCGGTCAATGGGGAGGGGGGACAGATCACTCTTAATTTGTGGGCGGTTTACAATTCGGTGGGAATTTCTCGTGAGGGCGTGGCTGCGAAATCTTCTTGTAGGGCAAATTACCACGCAGGTGGGGGGCCTTTCTCTGGGTACCAGCGGAGCGGCTTGCAGCCCCCGGAGGGAAGGGAGTAGCACCAAAGTACGGGGTATGTGAGCCGCTCCGCTGGCCCCTGCTCGGGGGAGCCACTGGCGTGGGGCCTGGCTCCTCTACGAGGAGACCGCTGGAGAGAGGTGGAATTCCTCGGTAGAGGAAGAAGGCCCCCACGGCTAGTGGCCCACGGAGTGCCAGCGGAGCGGCTTGCAGCCCCCGGAGGGAAGGGAGTAGCACCAAAGTACGGGGTATGTGAGCCGCTCCGCTGGCCCCTGCTCGGGGGGAGCCACTGGCGTGGGGCTTAGCTCCTCTACGAGGAGACTTGTAGCTCGTGGTGATTCCTCGTCAGGGGAAAATGGCCTCCATGGCTAGTGGCCCCACCGAGTCCTATTGGGGCGGAGGGGTGGCTCGCCAATCCCGGACCTCCTTCCCCGTGAGGTGTCCGTGCGTCTACACTTACTGTTTAATCGACGAGGGGTTTTGGGTGTACTGGTACGGTACTTGATAAGCTCCTCAGTGCTCTCTCTCCTATGCCGTATCTCTTGTGGATATGGGCTCCCTTCTAACGCGCGTAGAGACTAGCTCGACCCGTGGTCTAACCATCCTGTGGGCCACTAGCTGTGGGGGCGTTTTTCCTCTACCGAAAAATCTACCTGTCGAAGAATCACCTCGTAGAGGATGTAGGCAGGGGCCAGCGGAGCGGCTCCCCGTACTCTGGTGCTACTCCCTTCCCTCCGGGGGCTGCAAGCCGCTCCGCTGGCACTCCGTGGGCCACTAGCCGTGGGGGCCTTCTTCCTCTACCGAGGAATCTACTTGTCAAAGAATCACCACCTTGTAGAGGATGTAGGCACGACCCTTTTTGTATGCTATTGTTTAGAATATTGGAGATGGTGATGTGGCTGGCTCCTACAATTTTTGGTTCAGTAGAACGATCGGCCAGTCAATTCTTTGAATATGGATCCTTGTGACCTTTCTTTGTTGATGTTGAGTAGCATAGTACGGATTTAATATCCAGTAGAGCTAGTCTTAAGAATTAAATATAAAATAACCAAAGAAAGATGTTACTCTGTAAGATGGCGGTAGCCCTTCAATATTGGATTGAAATAGACAGGTGGAACTACTGCACACATTAAGGGTGGGTAAAGAGGTTGAAACGTTCATTTACACGTTGTACTTCATTTGTTTTTCTTCATTTGTTGTACTTCTTGTGTTTTACTTCCTTTGTTGTTTTTCCTTTTATTGTTTTTCTTTTTATTTGCAAAATTTGCTATAAATATATTTTATTTACATTATTCATCTTTTAAAATCTACAAGAAGATCTATACAATAAACAAAGTAAGCTTTACCTTCTTCGCCTCTATATACATTGAAATATTTCCTACTCTCCACTTCAATCTATAACCCCTACATTACTCCTCCTCCATTCTTGGTGGCTGCAAAAATGGCCCTTTTTTAAAAATCTCGCGAATTTCAAATCTAAGGGTTTGTGTAACTTTGTACGTAAACATTAACGGCGTCTATGTAGACACCCACCACCACCACCCAAAATTGGGTTACCTCTTTCACTAGCACTCTTTTTCATTGCCAATCACATGTCGTCTGTCCAGCAACTCACGTCGGACGTGACGTCTCTCTCCACCGAGGCCAAGCGGCGAAACAATGACATTCGTCAAGCTTGTGATCGGGCTCTTGTTGTGCTTAAAGGGTACACTCCAACCCAAAGCATTTCATCGCCTGATTTCGTGCCCAACTCACATGACAGAGAAGCTTTGGCCAAGCCTTTCATGCTCTCCTTGACCCATGGGAACGTCAAGTTTGCCACCATAGCCATCCCAGTGCTCCATCGCTTGATAGGTGCACTGGTGGTGCCGTCACTGGCCTTGCCGGAGCTTCTTGAGAGCTTGAGTGAAGCCGCCAATTTGGCAGTAGATATCCAATTGAGGATTCTTCAATGCTTGCCCAGTGTCATGCAGGTGTATGGAGAACATATCCAAGGAGACTTATTGTTGAAATTGCTCTCCATCTGCTCGAGTTTAACGGCAAACAACAAATCAACCGTTGTCATTAACACTGCTCTGGCCACTCTACAACAACTCTTTAGCTTTGTGTTTGATGGGATCAGGGAAGAGTCATCAACATCTTCAACTTCCCTCACTCCAATCACAATAGATAACGCTGAAGTAGTTCAAGTCTCCGCCAGATCTCTTGAAGGATTTCGAATCTTTGAGGATTTATGTAGACTTGCATCTCAAGAAAGGCCAGAGTATCTCCCACCGTCCATGCATATACGTAGTCTTTCCGTGTTGGAACTTATAGAAAGCATAGTGGCCAGTCATCGGGCCACTTTCCATACCCATCGTGAATTGGGTTATCTACTCCGTCAAAGAGTAATCCCCACACTTCTCCGGGCCTTAAATTCCACGGGGAAATCTTTCCAAATGACCGTCAGGGTGCTCCGTATCATCCAGGTGTTGCTTGGCACTCAATTGGATATAGTCGAAGTAGAAAGTGAGGTCATTTTGACCTTCTTGAACCATATCCTCTCTAGTAATGATCTGGTCCGAACAGAAAATGGAGATCTTTTGGAGGTTCATGATTGGGAACAACTACTTATTCTTGAAATGTTCCGTAACTTATTCCGTGATTTCCTGACCGTGAGGGCCATTTTCGAGAAATATGATGAACGTGAAGAATCAAGAAATATCATCCAGGATTTATCCTCCACATTCAACCTGTACTTACAGAGGAACCCACCGAAAACGACAGATATATTGAAACCACTTCAAACGTCCTCTCTCCCAGACCCAACTGGCCATTCCAATGGGAATTCGAATTCAAACAACCTCAACAGCATTTCCTACTTATCGAGACAAACATCCAACATGAAGGTTTCCATCCTTGATCATTTAGATAAACATGACCCTCCACTGGTAATCCCACCAACGTATGCTCAATACCTTATTTTTAACATTCTCTTGGTGTTTTCTGAAGGGGTGGCAAAGTTTGTAACAAATATTTCCAACGGTGGCACCACTGCTAACCCAGAAATCCTTGAAAAGGATGTAGATTTCATTTCATCAATCATTGAAACCACGTACCCGGATATAGCACAACTCTATGAAGTGTACTTATTCTCCACCATGGATAATGAAACATTCCATCAACTCATTAGGTCTCTTCAGAAATTCACCCATACTGCAGGATTATTGGGGTTAGGATCTCTTAGAGATGGACTTTTATTACTCATATCACGAGCCATCATAAAGATCGATATACCAGAAGAATCCAGTTCTTCAACTCCCACCAATGCCACATCTTCATCATTACATGAACAAGGTAAAAATCTCCTTGCGTTTGGAGAATCTATAGTGGAATCATTGGGAGGTGGGAGTAACGATTCACCAACATATTCCAATGCCTTACTAAAGCCAAGAAGATTCAACTCCCGTCATGTGACATGTTTCCGAGCCTTGGTAAACCTTGCAGTTTCACTCGGATCAACTTTAGATCAGTCATGGAAGATTATCTGGATTACATTCCAATGGTGCAATTATTATATCCAAGGACCAGATGAATTGAGTGGACAGCTCAACAATAAGTCAAGGGATAGCTCCAGAGAGAATTTAACTCCCAAATTAACCGCTGCTGACTTGACCAGTCTTGACAATTCTAAAAAGAAACTTTATGAGAGCATTAAGGAGTACCCCAAGGCATCCATCCACAATTTGATTTCTGCATTGTCAAGTCTTTCAGATCGTCTGTTTGTCGATCCAAGGGAAGAAGAAAAATTCGAGGCTGTGATTTCATCTGCTCAGGATCTTCAGGTGTGTCCATACAATCGTTCATATTACATGTCGAAGATTTCCGAAGTCTTATCGGTCAATTCAAGACAATTCATCATCAATGATGATAATACATGGAAACTAGTAAGTGATTATTTCATTAGGAACTCTATAAATCGGTCAATGTCCTTCAATTCGAGGATTCACACTGTCAAGAGTTACCTTCAAGTGATTCAAACAATCACTGCTGATGGGTTTGCCATCGAGGACGTGAAGATGAATAATGCCACGGCCGAGAAATCTCTACAGGGACTCCTTGCCTTGCTCAACGGACTCTACAATTTAGGGGCTCCTCTGGAACTTTTAGTGATCAATTGTGAAACAGAAATCGATCTTCTTTCATTGACAACTTTACATCAATTAATCGATCATTATGACAAGTTTTACCAACATTCTTGGGAAACCGTGTTTGAGATCTTGAACACTCCATTCAAGGCTGGCAGGTCAGATGCCAACGACAAGGCCAAACTCTTGCTCAACAGCTCCTTCGAAACATTGAAACTTATTTTGGATGAGTTTATTTTTTCACTTCCATTTGCTCAATTGAAGATTTTGATTGATACACTTTTCAATTTTTCAATGCAAACTACTGATTTGAATATTTCGTTTAGTGCTGTAAGTTATTTCTGGTTGGTGAGTGACTCTATCAAATCAAAATTACAAGGAAAATCTGAAGGGAAAACTCAGATATCCACTGAGATTAACAAGGAAGAAGAATTGGTAGCACAAATCGAATCTGCCCATGATTCTGATGACAGGTATCAATATGAACTTTTGGACGTTTACCTTCTTTTATCACTTTCTAAGATATCCACCGATTCTCGTGCACAAGTTCGTGATGGTGCCATTCAAACGTTTTTCCAAATCATCGAGGTTCATGGGAACCTTTTACGTTCCTGGCGATTGATTTATGACCTTGTGTTACCGAACTTGTTGAATATCGAGTTAGATATCCTGAATGAAAAATTCAACAAGAAGGAATGGATTGAAAGTTTGAATTTGATTCTTTCTGGTTTGGTGTCTTTATATTTGTCATTTATGATGGACTTTGACAATGATGCTACCACTGCCACGTACTTCTGGAAGGGCCACGTGCAGTATTACCAAAGATTATTGGACTTGAGATGGATTGACTTGAATGTCATCATTTTTACATCTTTCCATGACTGTCTCGTGTCATTTGAAAAAGTAAACGTTACTGGAGAAATCCGGAAATTATTGTATGATTTCTGGATTCAAATTCCAATTGAATATGATTTCATCAATCCATTATTCCAGGAGTCTCTTACTAAACTTATGACGTGTTTTCCACCGTTATATCATCTTGTACGTGATACACTCACCGTGGAAGAAGCAAACTCCATTCTCAATAATTTCAACTCCTGTGCACGTTACCCCGTACTCCAAGCAAACTATTCAGATAATGTGAAACCATCTAGTTTACAACTGGTGGTACTTGAGAATTTCAGATTGTTTGACCTGAAGGATAGTAGAACAAGCTCCAACGTCATTCAACAATTGAGTTCTATTCTTGTGTATCCATTTGCTACCCGTGCACGCATTGAACAGAAGTTGGGTTCCACTAAACTAAATGGGAAATTGAAAATCCCAACCTTCATTGCCATTAGTAGTTTGTCACTCGGTATGTTGGAAGATAAGATTGATAAGTTGGATGATTTTTCAATTTTGATCAAGGATAAAGGTATTCTCAAGTTGATGAAGTCTCTCATAGAAGTCGTCAAGGAAAAGTTCCAGGGGATTGAGAAGAATGAGGTTCCTCTATGGGTCGATGCCAGCAATGTGTTGAAAAAAGTGATCATCAAGATATTTGACCTGGAACCTGGAGAAATTCAAACAGAACTTTGGGTGTTGATCTTTACCACTATGCAACTATGCTTTGACACTGTGGACAAGAGTTACGAAACCGCTACTATCGGACAATACTTTGATCTTAGTAAAATTGTATTCCCTCAACTCTCTATCGCGGGCGCGTCAGACGAACTTGTTAAGGGATTCGTCAAGGAAATATATACCAACTCTTTCCTTTTCGAAGCTAATGAATTAGAGAAGTCACTTGACTCGCTGTCAATCGTTGAATATTCAGAAAAATTAGCACAATTTGATTTTGAATTGTCATTTGGAACCACTGAACCATTACGAGCCACCAGAAAGAAACAAACAGCCGTTGTTTGTTTGAGAGAGCTTGTCAAATTCTCCTCTTCGACAGATACAAGCGTGTTGAAGCAAACTAGTTTGGACTACTTTGTATGTAGACTGGCATTCAGTCTTCGTAGATTTATTGCCGATGCCACGTTACTCTCTAGAGCACCTTTGCCACAAATTCAACAAGATGAACTTCGCATCATCATGGAAGGGATTCTTCAAGTTGTTGAAGTGTTCAAGGGCGATGGGGAACGTCTAGCAAAGGTGAAAACTTTGTATCCTCTTGTGACCAAGACGATTTCTCTTACTTCGAAAATTAAAGGATTGGACGTATTGGTGGAAAAAGTTTTGAGTAGATAGATTATTTATATATATATACATTTATATATTACATTCCTATTGTATTGTACAGAAAAAGGAGCTCCATCATAAAAGACCTTGCTTTTTGAGCTCCAAGTAGTCTTTCTCAGACATCACATTCCCCTCGGAATCTTCCACTTCAACGGCATTTTCCGTGTCACCTTCACGGATACGTTTTTCCTTCTTGACACCACGCCACAACTCTACCGCCTCATCGATACTCACAATGCTCTTGAACAACGACAAGTATTCATCGGTGATCCCCAAACATTTCAATCCTTGTTGATGTTTGGCACTGGAGAAATGCTTATTAAACACAGCACGACCTTTGTATGTGACATTACCACAGATTTCACAGTCATATGATTTGTTATAGCCTTGGAGTTTGTACAACCAAAATGGCATTGGTTGACCGTCAGCGCCCACCGGGAGGTTTTTAAACCCATATGCATCATCATCGTCATCATCATCATCATCCTGAGGATTGGAGTCTTGATCATCATCAGACTCAACTGCAGTTAATTCATTCTCTTCTGTGCGGGTAGCACTGTCTTCAATCATCCGTTCTCGTTCCGTTAGAGAGGCCAATCGTTCAATATTTGCAATTGTATCCAATTTAATTTGATTTAAATGGGATGCCAAGTATTGCACTTTGAGAAGAACTACAGCAGTGAGGGGTTTAGTATTTACTACCAGATCTGATTTCTTCAAATTCTTTAAATGTTTCTTCCCCGTAAGATGGCCCTTATAGACAGACTCCTTGGTAAACCATTTGTCACACGCCAAGCAAAAAATCTCACCTTTATCATTGACAGCCCCATCAACGGTTGCATCCAGAGAAGTATCCTCCGCAAGGTCCTGTTCAACCTTCTTATCCATCTTGATTGAAACTTCATTCAAATCAAGAAATGGCTGACTACGACTAAGAAATGACTCCAAGTATTCTTTCAAATCCTCCAAATACGACTCATCTTGAACTTTCAATGTTTCAAATTTTGTTAAATAATCCACATAGGTGAGTTCACTATCCTTAGATAAGGTTCTGTACCGGTCATAGAACTGTGTCAAGTCCAAATATTTCCCATATTCTTCAGCAGGACTGAACAAAGTGTCTGGGTTGATCTGTGCTTCTGCAGCTACACTCAAGACATATCTACGTTTAGCTCTGCGGGGACCTTCTTCCTGCAGTATGGGGCCACCACTAGAAAACATCTTGTACACTTGGGAAATGTCTTCATTGTTTGTATCTGGGTATAACTCATGATGTTGTCGTATAGACAGTAAGAGAGAATCAAATTCTTTAAATTCGAACCGAGGATCATCCAAACGTTTCAATTCATCTTGTAGAACGTCTTGATTTTTATGCTGCTTCTTATCTACATCGAACGACCCTTCGGCTAACTCCTTGTACTTGGATACAAAATATTTCACTTCATGTTGTTGTAGGATCGTTTCTTGATGTGATCTTTTCTTAAATGAGGGTATTATTGGGATGTTGTTTACTAATGAGGTGGGCAAAAGTTGAGGATTTCGTTTAAATCTCAGAGCAAGGGCATTTTCAATAGTCTCCAATTCTTCAAGAACCGATCTTTGACTCTCTAAATAACCAGACATTAGTTGTTGTGGGGATATGTTCAATACTTTGATGTAAGGTGTCTTGAGATGTAATGATGATAAATAGTTGGAAATCCGGATATTTTAGAAACGGTCGGTCATGTGACCAACTAGTATTGGTTTTTTAAATTCCGAGGATGGGACATTTTCTGGTAGTTAGTAGAGTTAGAAGTAAAAGTTTTCTAAGAGGAGAGAACAGTATAAGCCAGAAGGGCCAACTTAGGAGAATGCAGGGACATAAAACAGTAGTGATGGGCTAGTGAGTTCTTTATTTTTTTTTTTGATAGGAAAGAGGGGAGTAACAAAGAATAATACGCCTGCTTTTGTCACATGATCAGCCCAATCTCATGTCTCAAATTAATGTATAGCAACAATGACGTTTCATATTAATTTACTGATTAACATTCAAATATAAAGAACGGGAGCTCTAATTGACCTACATTTGTTACTGATTACTAGATCATATTTCTTATTAACAATTTCCTATTCCGAATTCAAGAAGAGTACATAGTTTTTCGTCCCCGCCTTTCCCATAATGTCACAACCAATTGATTTATATCTCTTGACATATAATTGCAACAAAAGATCTTTGGATGCAGAAAACTTTGTATCTAGACTTCTTGAAACATTCCCAGATGAACCTGCTCAGCTATATGTTGTTGGAGTGCAAGAATTGTGTAGTATATTAGATGGATGCTTTGAAGAAAGCGCTAGTCGTCATCTTATAGCTCTTAATGAAGTGTTGATTGAAGCACTTCAAGAGAAATATGGCCGTGAGACGGTTCTGGGATTTCAAACCGTGGGGATGGAACATGTTGGAGCCATTGGAATGGTTGCAATCACCCCATTCCCTCTGAAATTCCATCATGTGAAGCTGGCTAGAGCAGGTTGTGGATATCTACAATCATCCATGAAGGGAGCTGTGGCGATTAGAATGTCATATTCACCCCTTGGCCGCTACTCGGGCCAGTCAAACACCAGCAGAAAGGAAACTACCGAGCTTACGTTTGCCAGTGCACATTTGAGTGCCTATGAAGGTGAAGTTTACTATAGACGGAGAAACTCTCAAGTACATGACCTCATGCGAGGTCTTGACTTTGGCGATGGATACGGGTTACTCAAGCCAAGTTCTCATTGCTTTTTCATGGGTGATTTGAATTATAGAACCACCAAGAAATTCGATGTAAATGATAATTGTCTGAAGGATCTTTTCAAACTTCAAGACCAACAAATACAATCTACTCCTACCATTGAATCTTTGGTACTTCAATATGATGAGCTTACCATGGCTAGAGCCAATGGTGAAGTATTCACCGGGTTTGGTGAGGGATGTATAGATTTCGCACCAACTTATAAATATCAAATAGGAACCGCGATATATAATCCTAAACGGTCACCATCTTGGTGTGATCGGATTTTGTTCCAATCTACCTATAAACACCCTGAAGGTGGAACTATTCAACAAAAGGCAAAATTGAGAAAAAATGGTGACGTGGCGGAAAGACTCCCCAAAATCCACCGCTATAATTCAATCAAGACCATCAATTCAGACCATCAACCTGTATATTTGAATTTAACAGTACCATTTGAAGCACCAGAATCCATCATTTCTTCAACTGGATATCTTCAAATACTCCCTAGTTCAACCCCAAATTCCCATTATCGTCACGATGAAGCTGAAGAAGAAGATTTACTTCTTAGAACTAATACCACCTCAGAAGTAATTAGTGGTCCGACACAAATATACATGCTGCCAACGAAATGGGATACCTTTGTTCAAACTTATGTTCGATGGTTTACAGACCGTGCTATAGGTTATGGATTATGGTTTGGAACTGTCCCCAAGGGCCGAATCTCCGTATTAGTGTTGGTCTTATTGATTTGGGGGATATATTCTATAAATTGAAATATATATAAAGAGATATTTAATAGTAACTACTCATAATTAATCTTCAGTTTTGGTTGCAAAAAACAAAAATTAAAGACTCTCTCTCCTCTTTAAGGGGCCTGGGCCTGGGCCCGGGCCTGGGCCTCGAAACGTTTCTACCCGGTTTCCTGCATGTGCCCACAAATTCTGGTGAGGCTCGACCAGGTCCCGCCCGCGACTTACCGTGGATTCCCGCGAATTATCTACACAGCACCGCACTTGACAATATTTGAGCCTCTTGCACCAAAAGATGTGGTTGCAAGGAATCAATTTAAGCTGCAGAATATATAATCTACACGGCTGAATCAGATTAGATGCTTTTTCTTGCAACCATTCTCAATTTATTCTATCCATGGAGGTTTTGCCTTCCTAGTAGTAATTTATTGATGGATAAATGGATGTTATACAATAGCTCGCCTTGGCCTTCCGTCCGGATATGAGGCCCTCGTAAGGCATCTGGGAAAATTTTTTTAACCAAATTTGAGGTGACCCCCATTAATTTGTACAATATCCTCTCTATATATATAGATTGACTAGGTAATATGGGATACATTCGATTCCCAAGACCACGCCGAAGAAGTATATCGCAGAATATTAACCCTTCCACTATCTCCCCATGGAGATAATCTTTAATAAATGCAAGACACCTGTTGTACCAGAAACGCCGAACAACTTTTCCAAAGTGTCATATTTTTTTTCCTCTTAATTTTTTCTTTTTGCATCCATTGGCTCATACTTACTGTTAAAAAAGATGAATCTTTCATTCACCTTCTCCACATTGAATAGTCACAGAGGGGATTGGAGATCCAAGATAAAAAAAAATTATTAACTGTTTTCCGTAAAGTTTGTAGTTCTTCTTCAATAGTTCTTTTTAAATCATCATAAGGGTCATGTCACTGCTCGACAAGACAGATGGGACCACGTCCCACATGACAACCGACACCAACTCCAATAGTAAAGTCGGAACTTGGCAATCTTTCAAAGATTCGTTCCAAAGAGCAGACGTGGAAACCGTGGCCACAGTAGGTCTTACAGACATTGAAAAGGCTAACCAAGGGTCAGCTGCAGCTCCTCTTTCAAGAGACCTTAAAAATAGACATCTTCAAATGATCGCCATTGGTGGTGCTGTTGGAACTGGTCTTCTTGTTGGATCTGGTGGTTCTTTAAGAACCGGGGGTCCAGCCGCCTTACTTATTGCTTGGGGGCTCGTTGGTACCATGGTCTTTTGTACCATGCATGCCTTGGGTGAGCTTGCTATTGCCTTCCCAGTCAGTGGGGCATTTTCTGCATATGCTACAAGATTTGTAGATTCATCATGGGGGTTTGCAGTTGGTTGGAACTATGCCATCATGTGGTTGATTGTTCTTCCCTTGGAACTTGTTGCTGCTGCCATGTGTATCTTGTTCTGGAATAGTGAGATTAACCCAGTGGCATGGGTGACGATTTTTTACCTCGTGATTGTTATTATCAATCTTTTCGGGGTTAAAGGTTATGGTGAAGCTGAATTTTATTTAGCTATTGTCAAGGTTATTGCCATTGTTGGATTCATTCTCTTTGGTGTGGTGATTGTTTGTGGAGGTGGCCCAAACCATGAAATTGTTGGTGCAAAGACTTGGAATGAAGCTGGATCATTTGCCAGTGGATTTAAAGGGGTTTGTACAGTGTTTGTCACCGCATCATATTCTCTTGCTGGTACTGAACTTATTGGTTTGGCAGCAGCTGAGCTGGAAAACCCAAGAAAGGCACTTCCAAGAGCAATCAAACAAGTCTTTTGGAGAGTTTTCATTTTCTACTTTATGTCCTTAACCTTTATTGGATTGTTGGTTCCTTCTAATAGTCCTGATTTATTAGGATCTTCCAATACTTCTGCATCTCCATTTGTTTTGGCCATTAAATATTCTGGTGTGGAAGTACTTCCTTCAATTTTCAACGCAGTTATTTTAATTGCAGTTGTCTCCGTAGGAAACGCAGCCGTTTATGGATGTTCTCGTACCATTCAAAGTCTTGGTGCTCAAGGATTGGGTCCTTCATTCTTAAATTATGTCGATCGTAAGGGTAGACCACTTGCTGGATTGGCAATTTCTGGGATTTTTGGACTTTTGTGCTTTTTAAGTGCTTATGAAAATGAAGGTGAAGTGTTTGCATGGCTTCTTTCAGTTTCTGGTCTTCTGACCATTTTTTCTTGGTTTAGTATTGGATTATGTCATATTAGATTCCGTATGGCTCTCAAGGTTCAAGGTCGTTCCACTTCAGAACTTACCTTCACCGCATTAACTGGAATCTGGGGTTCTCTTTATTCCATGATTCTTTTAGCCGTGGTATTGGTGGTTCAATTCTGGGTAGCCTTATTCCCAGTCCATAGTGATGGTACTCCACAAGCCAAAAACTTTTTCCAAAATTATTTGGGTGTTTTCGTGATTATAATTTTTTACATTGGTCATAAACTTTATACAAGAAATTGGCGTATTATTATTGATTTAAAAGATATTGATTTGGATACTGGAAGAAGAATCACTGATTTTGAAGGTCTTCGTCAAGAAATCGCTGAAGAAAAGGAATTCTTTAGTAAAAAGCCATTCTATTGGCGTGTCTACAACACTTGGTGTTAGACAATGCATATCCCCCTGTAATATAGTACATTTAATGAATAAAGATCAAATATAATGAGATATATATATAAATATTTATATGTATCTATGTATATAATAAGCTATGTAGAAGAGATATGACCTTGCGTCTTCGTGCGTGTATGTGTCTTTATTCTCGGGTTTCATTGTAGTTAGATGGTGATAGAGATGTGTCATATGGTTCTTTAAGATATCGTCACGAAATCATGAAGGATTATTGTACGTCAATATTGAGCGAGCTACATTTCATGAGAAGTAGCTTGCAGTTCGTAATGCATAAGTACTCTATTTTGCAAAGAATTCCTTTCAACGATCATAAGATATAAAATCCTAACAGTCTTGTTCACTCTCCTTAAGAGTAAGGATTCTTCACTCGAAGGTATTCCACGCTGTAAGCGAGTCTGAATATTGAAGAAGAACCGGCGGACATCGGCTTCCAATCTATCTGGCTCAAACAAAGTAAATGTACAAACAGTTGTAATGTGAATTGTTAATTCTTCAAGAATCAGCTCTAGGCACCTTAAAAATTCAGTCATTAATTTCAATGTACCACGCCAGGCGTAAGGGAGAAAACTGGATCTATTAATACCACTCTCCCCACTATTAAAAAATACCACACTTAATCAATGTGCATGAATTCTGAAACAAACTTGAAACAAATATTATGGCATGTAATCAGTAAGTAAGATTCATTCTTCTTTAGCTGAACACGACAGGGTACGCAGTAGTACGGCCGCAACTGGCCTCAATTATATTGCCGCCTCATCAAAGAGCATTAGTAACAAAAATCGAAGTCGTGTATACAACTTTTAATTGCTGCGCTTAAAATCTATTTTAAAGGAGGAGAGGCGTAAACATATACTAAAGGGATTAAACTACAGATCATTGTTTTGGGCACGTTGAGTAAATTGAAGATAAAGAAGACACTGTCTGAGTCAGACCTGGCTAGGGCCAGCAAAGAAAGTTTAGTGTCACCTAGCGATTCTAGTGACGAAGTTGACGAAATAGGGACGGAGAACCAATCTATTTTACTTGGAATAATCTCTCAATTAAGACCAGGTTGCGATTTGACTAGAATCACATTACCTACCTTTATTTTGGAGAAAAAGTCCATGCTAGAGAGAATAACCAATGCATTTTTCACTCCGCAGATTGTTTTGCAGGCAAACGATACTGATGATCCTGTCGAACGATTTCTATTAATTGTGAAATGGTATTTATCTGGTTGGCACATTGCCCCCAAAGCAGTCAAAAAGCCATTGAATCCAGTATTAGGAGAAGTTTTCGCTTGTAGATGGGAAGGCTTACCGGGAAACTGCACTTCATACTACATATCGGAACAAACATCTCACCATCCCCCAGAATCATCCTACTTTTACATTATCCCTGAGCACAAGATCAAAGTGGACGGGGTAGTGATCCCGAAGTCAAAGTTCCTTGGAAATTCTTCAGCAGCAATGATGGAAGGAATTGCGAGATTAACATTAGGAGAAAGAGGGAATGAGGTATACACTATGACTCAACCAAACGTATACTGTAGAGGAATTTTATTTGGAAAGCTAAGATATGAACTAGGCGACCATATGTTGATCAAATGCCCAACCACTGGATTGGAAGCAGATATTGAATTCAAAACAAAAGGCTTTATCAGTGGCTCATACGATTCAATTGAAGGGGTCGTGAAAGATGGGGACTCAAAGCAATTGTACTCCATTACTGGGAAATGGAATGGCGTTATGGAATTTAAGAAAATATCAGACGAGTCAAAGGACATATTCTACGATACAGCTAGTTCAAAATTGTACAAACCTATTGTAAGACCAATTGACGAACAATATGATTACGAATCAAGAAATTTATGGGACAGTACCATTCAAGCTTTGGATAAAAATGACCACGAAGTTGCTACAGAGGAGAAGTTCAGAGTCGAGGATAATCAGAGAATCTTGGCAAAGGAAAGACTTGAACAGGATGTGTTGTTTGAAAGTAGATTTTTCAAGGAGACCGGAAAAGATGATGACTTACCTTTTACTTTAAGTTCTGAAATCGATATAAATGATGATTCGCCTGAAGTTGTTAGAGAAAAGTTGAACGAGACGGGTTTATTTTCCGAGAAATAAATTAGACTCTTGTAAAACCACTCTATTCATATCCTTTAGCATATGTATTCTTTATATAATTACAGTAGATATTAAATGTTTATTATGATCACATTCTTTATGTAAGCAAGAAAATATCAAGATTCAATTCCGACATATAGCGGACAAGGCAAACTTGATTGTAATGAAAACGTCAACATCTTTTAGTTTTCCATTCTTCGAACTGGAAACAACACAGAATGTCGGAAGAGTATCAACATATATTAACTGACACAGATGCTGTATCGTTTGATGCTTTCCAATGCATTGACTACCTTAGGCTCTACCCACATAATATAGGTGTACATCAATTTCTAGTCAAGAAACTTCGCGCCTTCCCATATGACGAGTTAGAGTTCTTCATTCCCCAGCTAGTTCAACTATTTGTTGCGTTCGAAACCGAATCTATGGCTATTGAAGATTTTCTAATGGAGTACTGTACTTTGTACCCTCATTTCAGTTTAATCGTCTTTTGGTCTTTGCAAGCTTACATCTTCGAATTGAGAAATGATCCAGAGTCGTATTCTTTCCAAGCAGTCAGAAGGTTTATCAATAATTTGCAGAATGTGATATTTAATACCGACGTTTCGATGAAGGTTCATTCACATCATATTGAATTTCGGGAAAACTTACAGCCATCCGTGATTCTATGTGGAATGATTGCAGCCTCCATTGCAGCTCCTAGAGTAAATGAATATGCCAGTGGGCTAATCAGGTCTCAAGGAAGGCAGCAAAAGTCTTTTGTATTTAAGTTGGCTAACTTTCAGAAAACATTGACGAAAAACCTTACCATGAAAAATACAAGACTTTCATTGGAGGGGGGAACTGCCACCTTATCTGACGACGAAACAATATTTACAACTAAGTCGAGTGGCTCAAATCGAAAAATCAGTTTACCCAACAACGACGTATTGCAAAGGTCATCTTCATTGTCTCATTTATCCACTTCCAGGAAAGTTAGCACATCTCTGGTTTTCCTGTCTGATAATGACTCTGAAACATACACTACGGATGACGATTTAGAATTAAAGCTTGCGTCCGTCAAGACACACGAGTCAAGGAACGAGTCAGATTATGAAGTGAGCCATAAAAAGTTCTCTGATATCGAGGAAAAATTAAAGATTAATACGCAGATCAAGTCCAAGAAGAGTATAAGAAGGAGTGGATTAGGAAATGAGATTCTCGACGATGACAAAAAATACAAATATACCTCAAATGTAGATCAGAGTTTTGTTTCACGTTCCATGCCCGATTTGTCGAAGTCTGGTTCAGACTCCCAACAAGATCGACCATATTTGTCAAAGGTAGAGTCTGCATCTTCCGTATTTAATGCAAGACATTCAACAGAAGAAGAACATCCAGGAAACACCGCTATTCAACCTAGTCAGTACAGTAGCCAGGAGGGTTTAAAATTATTACAGGTTAATTACGCGCGCAAAGAAACGGAATTCATTATGTCATTGCAGAATATATCGATAAGATTGTCGCAAGTCCCAAAGGAGGCAAGACTTTCCGCGTTAAGAGCGGAACTCTCTATTATAAATCAAAAAGATCTCCCTTCTGAGATTGACATCCCGCAATTATTACCCGTCACCAGTAACAAGAATAAAAAGTATCATAAGATTTTGAAGCTTAACGTAAACGAGGCTTGTGTGCTCAACTCTGCCGAGAGAGTTCCATTCTTGTTGCTTATCGAGTACTTAAGTGATGAGATGGACTTTAATCCATTCAGTGAGGAGAATCAAAAAATTCTCAAGTCAAGAATTAGCTCACACCATGAGACTAGAAATAGAAATGAAAGTAATGCTTTACCGAAGGCCGGTCAATATAAGACTGTATTGAATGATTACAATTCACTTGATGATACCTTGGAGGGGGAAGCGGATCTCAGTGATATGAAATTAGTTTATAGAAAGGAAACTTTGCGCGATTTAGATAATCCAGTCCTACTTACTGAACGTTTATCTCAAGTTTCTCTTCAAGATGAAGGGGGATTTGAAGTACCCGCATTACCAGCATCCAATCCCGACGTACCCACGAAGGTTCTTGCTGATCAGATGAGAATTGCTTCTGTTATGTTACAACAATTAGAAAGTTCAGGAAAATCCACATCTGAACAATCGCAAGCTATCAGGAAGAGAATTATCGAATCCATGAAATCCTTACAAGATCAATTTGATTCCATTGATTATAATAAGATAAAACAACTTGAAGGAAACATTCATAATGCGGGAGAAAGAAAATTAGAAAATGATTTTAAACTTGGAGAGGATTGGAATACGAAGAAATTGAGAATAAGAAAATCCAGTGTTTACGGTCATCTTAAGAACTGGGATCTTTGCTCAGTAATTGTCAAAAATGGTGATGACTTACCTCAGGAAGCATTTGCTTGTCAGCTCATATCCATGATATCTAACATTTGGAAGAAGAGAGGGATCGGTGCTTGGACCAAACGTATGAAGATTCTAATTACGAGTGCCAATGCAGGCTTGGTAGAAACAATTACCAATGCAATGTCAATTCACTCAATCAAAAAATCATTAACTGAGTTGTCAATTACGGAAGGTGAAAATACCAAAGGAAGAATCTTCACTTTAAAAGATTATTTCGAAAGGATGTACAGCCATGAAGACTCACACAAGTACAAGCAAGCACAAAACAATTTTGCTTCTAGTTTGGCGTCTTACTCTATAATTTGTTACGTTCTTCAAATAAAGGATAGACATAACGGTAACATTATGCTTGATAATGAGGGCCATATCATTCATATTGACTTTGGATTCTTACTTTCAAATTCACCTGGAAGCGTTGGATTTGAAGCTGCACCATTCAAATTAACCGGAGAATACGTGGATGTCTTAGGGGGGGTTGATTCAGAAGCTTTCACAAAATTCAAGAAAATCTGTAAAGATTGTTTTAGTGAGCTTAGAAAGAATAGTGATCAAATTGTTAACATTGTGGAATTGATGCAAAAGGACTCAAGTCTTCCATGCTTTAAGAATGGAGAGAATACAAGTGTATTATTAAGGCAAAGACTTCAACTTCATTTATCCGATGAAGAATCAGACTCATTCGTTGAGAATATATTGATTGGAAAGAGTCTTGGAAGTATGTACACGAGATTGTACGACCAATTCCAGATGGTTACACAAGGGATTTATAGCTGAGGAAACGCGGACTGCATATATTGCGCATATTGATCCCACAATTTTGAGTAGGGTGCATATTCACACACTCTAGGAGTGTTTGATAAATAATACCACATTAATTAAGGAGATAGTATCAGTAATGTAATTGTTCTCTTTCAAAACCTCAAGTAGCCATGGCCACTAAAAAGTCAGTTCCTAAAGAATCAATAGGAAAGTTTAAAGTGGTAAGTCAGAGGCTGCATCTCGATAAACATGTGTCTGGAGAAAGGTCCTTCTATTTATCCAACTTCCCTTATATACCACACAATTATCATCTTTTCTTGCGACAGCGTGGCAGAAGGAAGGAAATAAGGAAGTTTGGAATAGATTTGCTGCGGAATATAGTGCTCAGGCTACAGATATGGGGTTTCCTCAATGGTTGGACAATGTACAGTCCAAGACCGAAAACTTGGGCTTCACTTACGTGAAGTACAACAATATGACATTCCAATTTAATGAAATTGAAGATGTATTCTTACCAGAAAAGAATATTGGAAAGATGCATTATATAGATCACGAATAAATAAGCTATATATGGACATATCTGTAAGCCTCTGCTCCTAATTTGTGGCTACAGAAACAGACGAGTTTGACAGAATACTTTTTGGTCTCTTCGCCGCCTCAACCTTTGGGTCCTTCTTCCGTTTCTTGTTAGCTTTACGAGGCCTTTCCTCTCCTTCGATATAAACATCATTAGGTAAGTCATATAATTTCACGTTTTTAATTTGAATATGATGTATTTTCTCATCAAAATGTTGCCAGCCCTTACAGAAGTTGTAAAACTCTGAGCATGGGTATTGAATATCTAGCTTTTTGACCCCATCTGCATCATTTGACTTGGAGAGATTGATATCGAGCCCAATGAATAACTTAGTGAGGTGAATTTGTTTGCCTGTTTCTGCTTTGTTAGATACAGGGGTTAGCGATGACAAAAATGACTCTCCTTGTAAAGTTCCGTAAGCATTAATAATATCTTGCGGAGAATCAGTATCAACTAAGTAAGAGCTGCTGAAATCTTTTACGTAAGGATGCGCTATTGTTATGCCTTCAGTAGTCTCCAATTTTTGCACCAAAATACGAAGCTTACTTTCCACCATCCCGCTCCATTTCAAGTGATCTTCATCAGTTGATTCTGTGCTTGCCACTACACACAAATAAAACTTGTAGCGAAAGAAGAAATCATGTCTTAAAAATAAATCTGACCAACTTTTCTTCGAAGCATTGATTTGATTCATAATGTCAGCCCCTCTTTCCAATTCAGACATAATAATAGATTGGGTGGAGCTAGTTATGTTATGCGTTGAACACATGGAAGGATATGCAGGTGTAATTACGGGCATCCTATGTTGACGATCATGAGGATACAATCTTGGGTTCCACACTCGGACTTGTAATGGTCCGTCCTCAATTGGCTTTAATAGAACAGGCTGTGGCCAACTCCACTTAGTGTATATGTGAAAGAATTTCTCTACTATTACTGCACTGACAGCATTTGGATATAATTGGCAAATTCTGGCTACCAACATCGCCCATGCAACACCACCAGGAAATCCATATATGTTTCCATAAATGGCTCTTTGTTTAGCCCACATCTTAATACATCTCAAAGCATGCTTAAACACGGTAGGCTTCGGCACTAATTGTAGAATTTCATCGGTTACCCGTGTACCGTTCAAAGCTCTCAAATCTTTCTCATCAAGGTTTCTCAATAAATTCTTATCTTCTAAGGTCATATCGACTGGAACTCTTGCGACATCTAACTTGGCAAAAATAAGATCGATATCAATCCCATCAAACTCAATTTTAATAATTGGAACAAACGCATCTGGAACTGGTGTGATTTCACCTAATTCTGGTCTATTTTTTAAGATTTCAACAAAAACTGTAAAAAAATCTTCTCTAGCAACGTGTTTTGGGACTACAACTAATGTATCTATATCTGACCCTGGTCCATAAACTCCAAGTCTATACGAGCCAAATGTAAAGATCTTTCCTCCCGCATCTTTAGCCATACCATCACTCATGTTCTTAGCTTTAGAAACAGTATAAACGAATTCTTGAACTAGCTTTTGAAATAGAGAAAGAACCTCAACTCTCTTCTTTGTTGCTTGTGACCCCTCGAAGGATCCCTTGACTTTGAGTTCCTTGATCAATAAATCATTTAAATTGTTTTCTTTGGGAGTTGGATTTGCAGTGGATATTGGATCAGTGACCCCATAAGTTCGAGAGCTCATGGTATCCTTAATGCTATAACTAAAATAATTTACAGATACAGTTGAAAACTTTATAAATACGTTTTGAGTAGCGCACGATTTTTTGTGAACCTTTACGTAGATCTAGTACACCATAGAACCAACTATTTCCTGCAGAGCATATCATTTCTTCAAAATTTATCTATTTAGCCACCAATGTCCTAATAACTGTATTATATTATGACACCCAAGTTACGACCAAAACTGTGATTTTTGGGATTATATATTAGGAATTACAGGTTCCAAATTTACTGATTTTGAATCCACATTCGTTAAGGATGTCACTTCTCTTTTTGATTTCTGTATCGCATGAATTGACATAACTGGAAACCTGGATACCATACTTGCGAAGATGAGTATTAGTTTTTATTCTCGTGTAGCTTTCCGCTTATCAACCACCTGGGTTCAGAACCTATCTACTGGATTACGAAAATTTTGGGCCTAGATATGTTTGTTATTTGGTACTGTCTTTTAGATTCGACTATCTGTACATGACCTCTGGATTTCACAACAAAGAGAAAACAAAACCAAGCTCCTTCCCTCATTCTCAAGCTGGTCATCTGACATTCATACAGACCCAATATATATACAATTTCACCCTACCATCTTCCTTTTCCTTCTTATTATCTTTTCATTCATTCATTCATTTTTTTTTTCTATTTTTTTTTTTGATATGGCTGCACTCAAACTACCCATTCTCTCTTGCAGTAGATTCCATTTCATTATTCAATTTTTTTATTTTTATTTTTTTTTTATTTTAAGATTTCCTCACTATATTTAGCCTGTCACTGCGAAATTAACAACGGTACTACAGTTCGATATCCAACCCAATTTGGAACATCCCATACAGACAATGGCACAGGTGATATGGAACTCCGATATCGACGTGTACAATCCGCAGGTGATGCCTGTTTCCGTGGCGGAAAACATCACGCGGTACTTGAACGTTCAAGACCTTATATCCTTTGCAAGAGTATCCAAAAACACTTATAAAACAGTACATAATCCTTCACTTTGGGTTCATAAATTGAAGCAATTAACCTGTTGGGAAGATGCAATCATCCCGGAACGTGATTTCAAGCCCAAGGAATTCCTCATGGAAAATTTCAATAACCCATTAACATGTTTGGATACCATTGTTAAACTTCCAAAACTTGCACGTTTCCAAATCTTGAAGATTTATAAATGTCTTCAACCATATTATGGAGATTTACTTTCAAATCAAGCATATGAAAAGCTTCGAATGTTTAAAGATTTCCGTACCCCGGCAGATCAAGCAAAGATCCTTCAAAATCTTGTAAGATTTAATTGCATTGATTATGATGAACGTTCAAGAGAAGTAACAAAGGAAAAAATTAATGCCCTTTTCGAAATGTTTGAAAATGCATTGTTAAGAGAATTAGAAATTCATTATGATATAGAAGATTTCCCCAAGACAAAGTCATTTGTACTGATCTTACTGCTGTTGGGGAATGATCAAACATTGATTGATTTCTTTCTTCAAAAGACAATTTTTGATAATGATGAAAGTGGAGATTTTTTCAATGTACAAAAACTTGATGTAGATTCATTTTTCGATGAAAATGGTCAACATTTACAAACAGAGACATTAGATCAATTTGTTGAATCATTAGCCACGATTTTCAACAAGGAGGCACATATCATTGATTTGATATTTCCTCAATCTATCCCTATGATGTATAAAGTATGTGAGGAACTTATTTCGAACCAGCTTATGGAAGTTATCATGGTACTTATAGATCTGGCCAAAAAGAAGAGTTCTCATGCATACATCTTGTTGGCACCTACTTTGTACACATATTTGACCACCAACTTTATAAAAAGATTAGAACCATGTGATAACATTGGACCCTCTTATAAGCAATTGGTACGAGAATTACTTGACATGCTGTATGAGCTGTTTGCAGTGGAATACGTTCGTGAAGAAGATCAATCATTCAAGGCATTTTCATCTGAAATTATTCTTAAATGGCAAAATTCACTTTCTGAAAGAGAACAACAAACAGTTCAAAATATTTTGAAAAATGTTAGAGTGGAAACTAAAAATGATTTCTTATCTTCATTTAAAAAGGTATTCACCATTAATAGTAATAGTAATTCTAATTCAAATAAATCTGAAACTGTTGATGATGAAAATTATTCTGAATTTGAAGCTAAAACCAAAATTCTTTCTGAAAATATCAAGTCTTTGAACAAGATTTTCAGTTTGGAAATAGCTATGGATATTCTTAACCAGGCAAAGATCACTTTACATCGACTTCTGTCCTTTAAAGAATTTTCCATTGCTGCTATTCGAGCTGATATCTACTCAGGGATGCAGGACATCTTTGTTAGTGTGATAGATTCAGTGGGGAACGAACATGTCAAACCAGGTTTCCAAAAGGCATTGGAGTACCTTGAAACTTACAAACCAAATGAATTGGAAGGTGGTTTGTCTGCTCACAATAACTTCAATGCTACCGGTGATCCCTTGGTCCTCTTTTCAGAATTGATCAATATGGCCGATTTAATCATCCAAATGATTGATATCTTTTATAAAGAGGAGATGATTAATACACAAATCGTTAAAGTTGAGAATTCCATTCTTAATCCTTCTTTACAACATAAAAAGAAATTCGAAGGATTAGTTGATAATTATGTTGCTGATGGACTTAATGTTGGTATTGATCTTTTGGTGGGCGAGATAGAAAATGTATTCGATGTTTACTTATTGGATAGTGACTACAATCCTCCAATGACTTCTAGTGTGGTATTAGATGGCCCCACTGAAGCATCTAGACGAGTGGTCAAGATTTTGGAAGAGAATATTGATTTATTGGTGGGTTGTACCGATAAGTCTATTGTAGAAGTGTTCCAAAAGGAGATTGCGGAAAGAGTATTTCAGACAATTGTCAAGACTTTGAAGAAAAGAACAATCTCTGTCACGGGAGCCATGAACCTTATCTCCGACTTGAACTTGTACCATGACTTCATTGTCACTCATATCAGATCAAATAAGAGACAAATCGTTCCCTTGTACCAATCGTTGAAGAAGGTTGGAAGTATATATCTCATCAGTGGACAAGATTCCAAATCCATTGGGAAACTTGTTAGTGACTTGTCGAAGTTCAATGGGATTTTCAATCAAGAGGAAATCTACGAGTTTGTTCAAAGAAGACTGGATTGGTTACAAATCAAGAGAGATGTTGAGAAGGTTATGTATGGCTTGAGTTTGGGTGATTGTGTGATAATGTAGAGAGAGAAGAGTAGGGGAAGGGTGGAAAAATAATAAAAAAAAATTAATAAAAATGAGACAGATAAACCCGGTAAGGATTTGCTGGGTGGACCACAACTACTATAGAATAGTCATTAAGTATACCAACCCATCTAGTTGGAGACATTTAAAGTCCAGTAGATGTAATATCAAACAATATAGATCTAAGCAAATTTGCCTGTAGTGTATATAGCGCGATATGATTTCCATTATTTTTCTATTATTTTTTACTATGCAAAGACTGTAGTTGTACCAGGTATACTATAGCATTATTTACCATGATACGTCCCTCACATACACTGACCCGAGTATGTAGGCGACTATTGTCGACCCAGATCCAGGATTTGAGTGAACTAGTGATACAAAGAGCCAAGGAACTCCCCATAGACCCAAATAACCCTATCGAACGATTATCACTGATGAAGTTGGTTTTAAGAGAGTCCAATAATCTCAACAGGTCAGTGAAACATTGTCTTAAATTGTACCAATCCTTACCCACGACAATGTTTGAAGACATACATGAAAATCCCTACCAGGCAACTGAGCTCGTGACGGATTTAGCGAGGAAGTACACCTACTCGAGTGCTGTGAGAGAATTGATCTTTAATGATCTTATAGAAATGTATCGCCAGGGGAAGTATCAGTCGTTACAACAAACGTTACAAACCATCAACTCTTGGAAACGTAGACTTCCTTCAAGAGTTGTACAAGACCCAAATTTTCAGCAAGTGCTTACGGGAGATATTCTGCAATGTAGTCAGCAGCAAATCTTTAATGTACTTGTAGTTTTATTTGCATACTCTGGGTCACCACTATTGAGTACATCACTCTTACTTGCGCATTCCAATGTTTCCGGGCTTGAATTGGAGGTCCAATCAATTCATTTGGTTCTCCATACCCTTTGCTCAGATACAGTGGTGGGGAATACATATGGTTGTTATTCGGTTCTCACTTTACTCAAACAGTTCCCTGATATACATATACCACTCACATTGAATAATAGAATGTTGGATTATTTCTTAGCTCAATATTCATTCCCATCATTTGTCAATAAATTGGTACAATTAATTAATATCCAAGAGAGATTGAAAGAGCCTATTGATGACGAGGAAACACATAAAGAATTTATACAACTATGTAGCACTGTGGTGCTGCGTAATCTTGAGTTTGGGAACGTTGCCCGAGCTCTAGCCATTTGGGAAATGCTCCCATTGGATTTAATCCCGTTACAAACTACACAACTATTAATAGATCGTCTTGGAAAAATTGACATTAAACGAGCAAATGAAATTCTTTTCACATTGGATAAGGAAACTTACAAGTCTCCTGAATTGCAGAGTTTCCTATTGAGATATTTTGGGAACCAAACGAATATGAAACTGTATTTCCAAGCACAAGTTAGAAACATACAAGCACCAGTGCCTCGACATGCATTGGAACTGATGTTGCAAGTATTCTTACTTCGTGGTGATAATGAGGCTTCTGAAAGAATTCTTGAAACCATTGTTGTTTCCAAGGGAGGCTTGAGTGCAAATGGAGTGAATTATATTGTGAAGAAATTTCTTTCGGAACACGAACCTAAACGGGCCATGGATGTTATAACTAAACTTAATGATAGTCAATTACAAAAATATGCATATGTGAGCATGTTGGAATATACATTAAAAGAGAATTCCAATAATATTACATCACCAATGATCAATCGGATGGCGGAAACTATAGCTAAGACTTTCAAAGGAATACTGAAAGGTGATGATGCCTTGGATATGTTGTCAACCACGGTTATTCAGCAAGTGATAGAGATCCAGGGTTCCCGTGCAGCCCAAAAGGTTTATTGTATTGGTAGAAATAATTTCATCAAGGATGGTAAATCTGATAGAAATACTAAGAAACCGTTACCGATCTTGGCACTTTCCAAGATTGAACATTTACTTTTGATTTCAGATAAAGAACGGATTCCAAGATGTGTACAGATATTAAAGACTGCTGTTACAAAAAACGAACGAGGACCAGACGTTGGACTCGTTGAGTGGTGTGTTGAGGAGATGATTTCAGGAGGTATGACCCTTCCTGAGGTTATGGATACTATACGGTTGGAATGCCCTGAAGGGATAAAGGTGTTTAAACAGGAGTATGTAAATAGAATGTAAATATAGAGATAGTCATAATAATAAGAGGAGAGAAAGAGAGATGGTTAAAAAATGTTATTCGAAAGTAGGTATGTGTTCTTCATTCTCTGCTACAATTCTGCTCGTATCAAACCATATGCCGGTTCTTGTTCTCTTTCTATGTATATATACAGGGGTGTGTGTGTGTGGATGGAGAGTGTCTCGACGTCTCGACTACTTCTTCTTTCTGTTGGCCTTTCTGCTAAAGACTTGACCACCTTTAACTTCTTGTACGTTCATTCCCATCAATTCGATATAATCGTCAGTTTCTTCTTCAACAACAACTGGAGCTGCGGCATTTCCGGTGGTTTCGGTCTTTTCATTGGCAGCAATAGTCTTTCTGATTCTATCTTGTTCAGTTTCAAACTTATCAAAAGATGCAAATCTTTGTTTAAACTTGTTGACTCTGTCAGCAGCGTTTGCATCCACCGAAATCAAATCAGATCTATTAGGGTTCCACAACATGCTGTTACGTTGGTCGTTGATCATACGGATTTCGTCCTTTGGCGCTTGAGAAGTACGTTTCACTACAGAACCATCACTAAGTTCCACCAAAGTTTCAAACTGATGGAAAATGGCAGGTCTAGCCTTACCAACTCTGATCTTTCTCATCACTCTTCTGTTGGAAAGATGGACATCCCCCTTCATGGCGATGTTTCTACGGAACACCAACGCCGTGTTCCCCACTTGGGATACAATCTGATTGGTTCTAAACATCCTCAATATATGTGGTGGTAGTAGTAGTATATCTGCTATTCAATCGTTTCTCAATCTTTTCTTTCTTCCTTTGTGTATGTAAGACTTTTCGCGGTCGTGCACACACCGGGCGAGTCGATAAAAAAATCAACGAAGAACTAAGAGAGAAAAAAAATAATCATTATATATAGGTGGTCTGTGTGCAGGAAATCTCACGGTATTTCGAAAAATTGAAACTATTGAAAGATACAATGGCAACGAAAAAGGTTTAGTAATTAAGGAAAGCTCTGATACATTATAATAATAAAGTTCTACTTGTATTGAACCATGTCCTTTAATACACAATCACCCACCATTGTGGTGTTGAAAGAAGGAACCGATGCCTCCCAGGGTAAGGGCCAAATCATTAACAATATCAATGCCTGTTTGGCCATCCAAGATACATTGAAGCCAACCTTGGGTCCATTTGGATCGGATATTCTTATTGTTTCATCCAACGGTAGAACCACCATCTCCAACGATGGTGCCACCATCTTGAAGCTTTTGGACGTTGTACACCCGGCCGCTAAGATGCTTGTGGATATTCTGCGTGCTCAAGATGCTGAAGTTGGTGATGGTACCACTTCTGTCACTATTCTTGCCGGAGAACTTTTAAAGGAAAGTAAAACTTTCATTGAAGATGGTATTTCATCCCATCTTATCACCAAGGGTTTACGTAAGGCCTGTGACTTGGCTGTTGCCAAGGTTAAGGAACTTAGTGTAGAGATCAAAAAGGATGATCCTAAGGAATTCCGTCAACTTTTAGAAAGATGTGCCACCACTGCTATGTCTTCTAAACTTATCAGTAAGAACTCTGAATTCTTCACCAAGATGGTGGTTGACTCTGTTCTCACCTTGGACCAAAATGATCTTGATGAAAATTTGATTGGTATAAAGAAAGTTCCTGGTGGAGGAATGGAAGATCTGCAATTCATTGATGGGGTTGCCTTCAAAAAGACTTTCTCATATGCTGGGTTTGAACAACAACCAAAATCATTCACAAACCCAAAGATCTTGAACTTGAACGTTGAATTGGAATTGAAGGCTGAAAAGGATAACGCTGAAGTTCGTGTTGAACAAGTTAAGGATTATCAAGATATAGTAGATGCTGAATGGAAAATCATTTTCTCCAAATTGGAAGCCATTAAGGACTCTGGTGCCAACATTGTCTTGTCCAAGTTACCAATTGGTGATTTGGCCACTCAATACTTTGCTGATCGTGACATTTTCTGTGCTGGACGTGTTGCTGCTCAAGATATGGATAGAGTGATCAAGGCTGTTGGCGGTAGTATTCAATCCACCTGTTCGAACCTCAAAGACCATGAATTGGGTACCTGTGCCGTTTTCGAAGAACAACAAATTGGTTCGGATAGATACAATATCTTCAAGGGATGTCCACAAGCCAAGACTTGTACATTGATCTTGAGAGGTGGTGCTGAACAAGTGATTGCTGAAGTGGAAAGATCCTTACATGACGCCATTATGATTGTCAAGAGAGCTGTTAGTCATAACCTGGTTGTTGCTGGAGGTGGTGCCATTGAAATGGAACTTTCTAAATACTTGCGTGGGTACGCTAAGACTGTTGCTGGTAAGCAACAACTCATCATATCTGCGTTTGCCAAGGCCTTGGAAGTCATTCCAAGACAACTTTGTGAAAACGCTGGACTTGATGGTATTGATATCTTGAACAAGTTGAGATCTGCACATGCCAAGGGTGAAACTTGGTTTGGTGTGGATTTCCAACAAGAATCTGTTGGTAACAACATGACCAGTTTCATTTGGGAACCAGCTTTAGTTAAGATCAATGCCATTCTGTCTGCCACAGAAGCTGCCACTTTACTTTTATCTGTTGATGAAACTATCAAGAATGAAGATGGTAATGAACAACAAGGTGGAAGAGGTAGAGGAGCTTATTAGTGTATATAAGGAATCTATAGAAGAAGGAATAAATTACAATTCAGAGTATAAGATGAGTATAGTAGACTTTTAAAGTTTTTTTAAAACTGGCAAATTATACTAAACTTATATCTTTTATGAGTGTTAACATTATTATGGATTTAAATCTTGGAAGGTAATTAAGAGTCTGGTCCATGAGAGATTCGAAATTTTGAAACTCCAACTTCCCCTCATTTTCAGGTCGAACTGTCCATATTTATAGCCAAATCACGTAACTTTATCCACTCACTCACTTACAATCTATACGCTTATACTATTAATATCACTATTCATTCTAAACGTACTAATTCCCCCTCTACACTATCTGAAACTTAAATTACTACTCCTACCGGTTTCTCTTAATATTTTTATGTACTACTAGATTATATATGTAACAGGTTGCCTATATTATTGAATGTTAAGTATCCCCTGAAAATTCGTTGTGTGAAATAAAATAATTACAAGTATCCATCAAGTACATTCGAGATATACATCTCCTAATGTACCCTTAACCATAGTGGCTATTTACGAACTCAAGTATAGTTCGCTAAAACCCACCAAAAGGAGGAAAGGCGGGCGCAAATTCCAAGATAGATTGCTAACAGGGCCCACAATAGAAAAAAAAAATAAAAAAAAAAAATTACTACCCAGAAAAATAGTGCGCATTATTCTACAGATTTTAACTGATAAACCCCCCTAGCACTATCTATCGCTGACTATCTTGTTCTCTGGTCACTGCATGTCAACCATACACCCCCCTACTCCACCAAGATACATGCTCCTTAAGATACCTACTCCTTTACATACATGCTCCTTCGTCCTACAAGGGGTAATATTCATCTAGAAGTTACCACATTTCATGTGATGAACAACGTTCGCGCACCACTATTCGGCTGCACGAATAACGCATTTTTGCGAAAGGGGGGTTTGTACAGTCTCGTAGATTAAAATCCCCACTGCCTAGTAAAATAGAACAAAGATTCTGCACCACCAATTAGAAAAGCCTTGGAAACTAAACTCTTTCCAACTGTTAAAATACCTTTTCAAAAGGACCTTGTTCTTCTGGAGGGAGGTTCTTGTAAAGTGCCAGGGCCCGCCCCATGGGCTCAACTCTAACTCTAATTCCCCTCCGTTACATCCATGCTACAAAAAATATTATTATGTTCTAAGACACACTTTAGCCAGACATTTTTTGGAATTCGCGTTCCGCGTAGCAGGAGGGCCGCTGTTCTCGTTTTGCACACGTTAAACGCGCAGCCAAATTGACATACTCCACCAAAAACATACGTGGGCGCGCGCTAACAAAACCGCAAACTCTCTTTTTTTTGTAAAAAAAAAATAAAAAAATAAAATAAAAAAATGCCAACCGTGATTCTGTAAAATTACTTACGGATTGGGAGGGGGGCCAGAGCAGTATATACTTTGGCGAGGCTGCTGAGATTCTGAATTCCTCTTCTTTTGATACATGTCCATTTGAGTGTCTTTTCCCCCATCCCATACAACGAGCCTACCCGCCCTAATATCCTCCCTTTTGCGCCCTGCTCCTTGGTTCCTGCTCCTTTGGTTTCATTATCTTCCCTCCATCTTTCTCTCAGTCGGTTTAGTTCCACTTACCTCCATTCATCGCTCTTTATCTGTAACCAGTGGTGAGTCTTGCTGAACTGTAGTGAGTCCCTCTTATTCTCTCTAACACACACACACACACACATATTGCATACAATGCTCGGACCTCCATCTAGATTGAGACCAAAGCCATACCCATTGGTGTTGGAACATCTCGAGTCCAGAGCCAACAAAAGGTTGACCAACGAGTACCGTGCCGACAACATACGGGCCTTGGCCAGTCTTGAGTCTTGCCAGGACATCAACCCTGCCATGATTGACTTACAACCAGAAATCCAATGGTTCATGAGACCTTTCCTTTTGGATTTCATTGTGGAATTACATTCCTCTTTCAAACTTCAACCACAAACTCTTTTCCGTTGTTTCAATATCGTTGATCGGTATTGTGCCAAGCGGATAGTTTTCAAACGTCATTACCAGTTGGTTGGATGTACCGCTTTGTGGATTGCCGCCAAATATGAAGACAAAAAATCTCGTGTGCCAACCTTGAAGGAATTGGCATTAATGTGTAGAAACGCATACGATGAAGAAATGTTTGTACAAATGGAAAGACATATCTTATCCACTTTGGAATGGTCTCTTGGTAGACCTACTCTTGAGGATTGTTTACAATTATCGGTGGAATATTGTAATGAATTGAATGAAAATACTACTCCATTCCGTTACAATCGTAATCACATGGTTGATACCCCTAATACAAACTCTACTGCTACTAACATGTCCTCGGGATCTTCCACCACCTCGGCAATCACCGCCATTGGTCGTTTCCTTTGTGAATTGTCCTTATATCTGAGACCTTTCTTGGAATTTGAAACCTCTCAAATTGCCATTGCGGCCAATCTTTTGGCTTGTTCCATGTTACAAATCCCCACCGCTTCCAGAGCCTTCCATGACATTGCTAGAAAGGCATCGTCATCTTCAGTTTCAGTGTCAGTGGCCACTACTGCTCATGAAAATCTTGAAAATTTGGAACCTGAAGTGTTGGGGACATTCCTTAATGGATTTGATGAAACTACACCCTACAAAATACGGAAAATCGGTCTTTTATTCATGCAAGCCTTGAATAATATTACTGATGTTCTCTCTAACAAATATAAACCATTGGGGGTTCTTGCCGTAGTCCAAAATTACATTGCTAAAAATATGAATTTTTTAGAAACTCTTCATAGCATGTCCAATGAAGTGTTGGAGTTCTCGGTCTGTGAAATGACCAATACTACCCTCACATGTATTGCTGACAGTTTCTTGAGCTTGAATTTGGTCGAAAGACCTCAACATCCACAACAAGATATATTCCCAGTCACCCCACCATCTACATCTCAATCGGTGTTTTCTGACCGGAACTCTTCGTCGTCGTCACTCATCACTCCAACGACAAACGTTTGCAAGGGGAACCCATTCTACACGTTCTCCCCTGCTGAGTGTGCTCCGGTCGTGGAGGCCAGTCCTTACTATCAAAAACAATACCAAGGACAATAACTACATTCACAATAAAACAAAAGAAATAAACCTACTCCACCCCCACATCCATTCAACAAAACATGTACCTTTATCTCCAAAAGTACACTACATATACCAAATTTGCATTTTTTAGATTACATAACAAACACGACAATGACTTTGAATGACCAGTGTAGACGAACCCTTTAGCAAGAGAATGGGGGAAAAAATAAAAAAAAAATAAAAAAAATTATTCTATACAATAACAACGTTTCAATGTTCATAACAATGAGGCGCTCATCTGACCTTTCATTCTATTCCTACACCGTCAAACACAAACTATCGCGAATAATAAAATTTTTGTAACAACTTTTTAACTTTTCGGTTGTTTATTTTCCTGTCTCACAATTCTTTTTTTTTTGCAGCAAAAAAACAGTAAAACGCGTATCAACGCGTGAAATGCGCGAATCGAAGATTTGTTTGTTTTGGTTGCAACATGGAGTGCAGACAGGCCAATCGTCACAAAGTTAGTTGAAGGAACAAATTTCCAATTTCTTATGTAATCGTTGACTATTTTTGTTTACCCCGTCCATTTTGGGTAAAATAAATAAGAAAAAAATAAAAATAAATGATGATAATCAACTTAACGTGCGGATTGAACTAAAAAGGGTACTGGCACAAAAATAATTGATTTGATCTGTCGGAGGATACACAACAAGTCCACGCCACACGCAATTATATATATATAGACATGTCCGGGGAAGACGATGGATTCAATTCGAAGAACTGGGTCTGGGTGCCAGACTCAAGGAACTTCTTCAGTAAGGGATACGTAACGGATTATTTGGCGGACGGACAATGTAAGGTTACAGTGATGGAGGGGAATCAAGAGCAGCATCGGGTTGTTGCCAGCAACACTTTGGAGAACTGTAACCCGGTAAAATTCAACAAGTGCAACGATATGGCCGAATTAACCCATTTAAACGAACCTTCAGTGGTGTACAACTTGTATCTTCGATACAATGATGATATGATCTACACTTATTCGGGTCTCTTTTTGGTTGCGATCAACCCATACAAGCTGTTACCGGTGTACGATGCAGCCACCCTCAAACGATTCCATGACCATACACATGACAAACCACCACCTCATATCTATGCTACCGCTGAAGGAACATATCGGAACCTTCTTGCCAATGGTAAAGATCAATCGATTCTTGTTACAGGAGAAAGTGGAGCTGGTAAAACGGAAAATACCAAAAAAATTATTCAATATCTCTCCTCCATTACTTCTGAACATGACTCAAATTCTGGATCAAATTCTGATATTGATACAAAGATTCTTCAAGCAAATCCAATTTTAGAAAGTTTTGGTAATGCCAAAACAATTAAAAATAATAATTCATCAAGATTTGGTAAATTTATCAAGATTTTCGTTCTGCAAAAGGGAAATATCAGTGGAGCCAACATAGAGTATTATCTTCTTGAAAAATCTAGAGTCGTACATCAAGTAGCAAATGAACGGAATTATCATGTTTTCTATCAATTTTTGAAAGGAGCTGGTAAGGAAACTCTTTCCAAATACAAGTTGAACAAAGATGTGAAACTGCACAACTACTTGAAGGAATCACAGGCTGAAATCCCCCATGTAGATGATGCTAAGGACTTCCAATCGTTGGTTGAGGCCTTTGCCATCATGGGATTTGCTGATAAGGAAACAAAACAAATCTTTGCCATGCTTGCCGTTGTTTTACATCTTGGTGACTTGGAATTTACATCTTGGAAACTGGAACAAGCTAGTTTCACCTCGACATCACCCACTGAAATCATTGCTAATCTCCTTGGCATTAAAAAGCAAGAACTTGTAGATAATTTACTTCGTCCAAAAGTTAAAGCTGGAAGAGAATTTGTTCTGAAATCTCAAAAGGCATCTGCGGTAAAATATGCCATTGATGCATTTGCCAAATATTTATTTGAAAGGATATTCCAATACATTATCCAAAGAATTAATGATAATTTGGATATTGCACAAATGGATAATTCAGATTCAAATTTTATTGGAGTATTGGATATTGCTGGGTTTGAAATCTTTGAACAAAACTCATTTGAACAATTATGTATTAATTATACTAATGAAAAATTACAACAATTTTTCAATCATCATTCATTTATATTGGAACAAAGTGAATATCTTAGAGAAGATATTGAATGGGAATTCATTGATTTTGGTCAAGATTTACAACCAACGATTGATTTGATTGAAACCAAGAAACCTATGGGGATCTTTGCCATTTTAGATGAAGAATGTATGGTTCCTAAATCAAGTGATAAGACTTTTATGGAGAACCTTGCATCTCAATGGGGTAATGGACAAAATAAGAAATTCCAACAGAATAAGTATAAAAGTGGATTTATTGTACATCATTATGCTGGTATGGTTGAATATAATGTCGATAATTGGTTACAAAAGAATACCGATCCGGTCACTGAAGGGTTACTCAAATTATTACCAAACTCTGAAAACTCATTTGTAAGTGAATTATTTGTTAATGATGAACATTTGGTTGCATCCAATAATAATAATAAAAGAGGTGGGAAGTTGAAAACTGCATCTCAAAAACATAAGGAACAATTGACCCATCTTATGGAACAACTTGGACTTACAGAACCACATTTTGTGAGATGTATCTTACCTAATCTTGAAAAGAAACCCAACAAGTTTGATAAGAATTTGGTACTTCTTCAATTACGATGCAATGGTGTATTGGAAGGAATTAGAATTGCTCGTGCTGGATACCCTAACAAGATGACATTTGAAGAATTTTATCAAAGATATTCTATTCTAGACGTTAAGGAAGTATTTACCAAAAACATGAAGACTAATAGTGAACTTATTATTAAACATATTAACTTGGATGCTGAAAGTTATAAAGTTGGGATTACAAAACTTTTCTTCAAAAATGGTGTATTGGGTAAACTTGAAGAACTTCGAGATTTGAGTTTAAAGGGAATTTTCACTGAATTTCAAAGTCTTGTTAGAGGGAAATCTACTCGTAAAACCATCAAATCCAAAATTGCTGAAATCCAAGCTTCTCAACTAATTGCAAAGAATTTCAAGGCTATTCACGAAACTAGAAAGAGTAGTTTATGGCTTGATTTATTCATTAATATCAAACCATTGTTGGAAGATTCTGTCAAGGTACTTGATTCCAAGGAAGTTCAAGATAATTTAAAATCTTTGACTAAGAAACTTAAAGAAGCAGAGATGAGTAAGGAAAAACTTGAAGGTGAAAACACTAAACTTCAAACACAGATGCAACAACTTGAAAATGAAGTAATTTCAACCACTCTGTTGATGAAGGAAAGAGATTCTGTTGTTGATAAGTTGAAGAGTGAAGAAAAGAAGAGTAGATCTAAAATTGAAACCTTATCATCTGAAATAAAATCTATACAACAGAAGTTTGATGTGATTTTCAAGACTAAAACGTCATTAGAAAGTGACATTGAAGATCATAAACAGAAACTTCAAGAAAGCTTACAAAAACATGAAAAAATTGTGGAACAACACTCCGCTGCTGAAAAGAATATTCTTGATCTTAATGAGAAACTTAAAGTTCATGAAAAAGAAAAATCCAAACACCAAACTATACTTGATCGTACCATCATGGATCATGAATCATCTGTGGCCACATTGACTGCTAATTCTGAGAAACTCAAGGTTGAGAATGAAAGAGTCACCAAAGAAGTCAATACATTAACTGAAAAGTTGAATAAATTAACAAAGAAACATGAATCTTTACTTGAGGAAAAGAAATCATTTTCTTCTGGTAGTGATGAATTGAAAAAGGAAATTGAAAACTTATCAGCCAAATGCGAACTGTTATCTAAGGAAAGGGACTTATTGACCCAAAAACATGCAAGATTAACTGAAAAATATGAGACTGTTAATAAAGACTTGTCTGCTTCAACACTGAGTGCACTGGAAAAAAATGATTTGTTAAAGTCATTAAAGGCAGAAATTTCTAAAAATACTTCCACGACAGAAAAATTATCTAGAGATAAATCTTTGGCTGAGAATTCATTATCTGAATTGCAATTGAAACTTCGGGAAAGTGAAAAGAGTAAGTCTTCTCTTCAAAGTAAGTGTAATAAGTTGGAGGTTGAGGTGGAGAATTTAACTGGACAGATTAAAACATTCTCTGATAAGGAACGTGAGCTCCAAGATACCCATAAAAAGGAACTAGCAAAACTTGAACAGTTAGATGATTTGAAATCTGAATTACAGACCATTACAAATGAAAAGGAGCAAATATCTGCATCGTATCAGAAACTAAAAGTTGAATATGAAACTTCCAAGAGTGCCCAACAAGATTATTCAAAACAAATTCTTGACATGAAGGAACAAATGAAGGAATTAGAGAGTAATACAAATAGAAATAAGGAGAATGTGCCACCACCTGAACCTTCATTTGTGAATGAATTTGCCAACATTAAGTTGAAACTCAATGAACAAAGTGCAAGTTTACGAAAGGAAAAGTTTGAGAATCAAAAGTTGAATGAAGAACTCAAACAACTCAAGGGCAGAATTATCTCCGGTGATTCGGAACGCAAAAGTGCAAGCTTTAGAAGATCTTTAGCTATTGGAGAAGAAGTCACATTAAATCTGAACTATCTTCGTGAAGAAATTGATGCTCTTAAGTTTAGCTTAGAACAAGAAGAATCCAATGCTCAAAGAGCAGAGAATTATGCAATTGAACTTCAAAAGAAATTGAATAAGTTGCAATCTAGTCGTGGTATTGGTAATTCAACTGACTTTGAAAAGAAATATAAGGAATCACAAATGAGAATTCAGGAATTAGAAGACAAGATCAACAATATAGTTTCACAAGAAGATTCTCCGAAAAGACTTTCCAAGAGTGAAAGCTTTGGTCGGAGTTCACTCATAAATAAGACATTAAGTAACGCAAATCAAGATTTTGTGAAGATTTATCAGGATGTTTCCAAAACTCTTAAAGTTACAAGAGATGAATTATCGGGATCAAAGAGTGAAATTTTAAGATTAAAGTCACTCTTGCGAGAATCTGAAGATGAATTATATGATGCAAAGAGACAAACCTTCAAGACTTCTATTTCTGATTACGAAAGTGAACTTGCCCAACTCAAGGTTAGATACGATAGCGTTAGCGCTCAGAATGTCGAAATAAATGCATCCGTTTCATTATATAAGAAACGAGCAGATGAATATTATAAGAAATTAGAACTTGCAGAATCTGCAATTAACATTTCTCAAAGACATGAACAAACAGCGGCACGTGAATTGGCAGAGGCTAAAAACCAATTACATCTTGCTCGTGAGGAAGCTCGGGCGTCCCAGATTCTTATAACTGATGTTAGAAGACAAAATACTACTTTGGAAAACACGATCAGCGATAAAGAGTATGCTATAAAGCAATCTAAGGAACAAATAAAGACATTGGTGGATAAGATTGAATATTTCACCACCAACTATGAAAATGTTGAAAATCAAGAAAAGTATAAAGAGGAAATCCGAGTCTTAAACAAGGATTTGAATTTCAAATTAGAAACAGAAACTATACTCATTAAAGACAATAAGAAACTTCAACTTGATCTTGAAGAAATGACTCGTGAGAAGGAAGAATTGGACGCTGAATGTATTGAACAACAACAAAAATTGAATGAGTTTGAAATAAATCTTGCCGAAGCCACAAAGAGAGTTCGGACCCTTGAAAATGAAAAGGCCATTCATGAGAGAAAGATCACAAACTTCACCAAACAAGTGACATCATTGAAAGATCTCGTTGGAGAACTTACTCAAGAGAAGGATAATTTATTGCAAGAGAAGGAGACTTTAGAGGAAGATCTTATCAAATTAACTCAAACCCATGAAGATACTCAAGCTACATTGACACAAACTGAAGCTGACATGGCTGTTTTGAGAGATCATTTAGAAAATCAACGTGAAAGTGCAGATGCAATTCGATCTGAACTTAATCAGTCAAAGATATCTACTACGAATGATATTCAAGATTATCTGAAATTGAAAAGAGATCTTTTGGTTACCAATGAAGAGAACGATTCTTTGAAAAAGGTCAATCAGGAACTCAATTCAAAAGTACACAGTCTCGAAGAAAAACTTTACAGTAATGAACAATTGAAGTATTGGGAATCTAAGGTTAATGAACTTACTGGAAAGTTGGATCAATCAGAAGGTTCGAACTATGAATCCTCCAAGACAATCAAACTGTTGGAGAGAGAATTAAAGAAATTGGAGATTAGAGTGCAAAACGAATCCCAACTCACCAAGAAGTATAACGATGAGAATTTCGACTACCAGAACAAGGTGAACCACTACAAGAGTACGATCGATATCCTTCACAGTGAAAGTCTGGAGAAGGAACTTTTGTTAAAGGCAGCTGAACGTGAAAAGATTGAAATGAAGGAAAATATGCTCATTCTTGAACGGGAAGTTTTAGAATTACGTAGTAAACTTGGTATTTAGAAACCCATGATAAAAACTTATAAAATACATTTCATCATAAGAACTATGTACGGTGTTGGGATATGTTAAAATGTGTGTGTCTATATATATATATTTCTATTTTCTTCCCAAATCAAAGTAGGAAAGAACTTGTTGGACATCGCCAATAGCTTGTCTGTCACCTTGCATGACTACAGTGGCCAAACCAGAGCTGTTTCCCTTGGTAGCAACCTTACCTGAGAGGACTCTTGCGGCAACACTTCTCACGTCTTCTATCGTGAGAGCATCGATCTTTGCAATCATCTCTTCGACAGTAGTCAACTTATTTTGGGCTTGGATTTGTCTTCCCAAATCCTCAAGAGATGATAATTTACTTTCCAAATTCATAAGCAAGGAACTGCTGAGCTGGTTCTTAGCTCTTTGAAGTTCGTCTTGGGTGATTCCACCCTTTTCTGGGCTAACAATCAAGAGATCAGAAAGTTCTTGACAGATAATTTGGGCCATGACATTTCCATAGTTTGGCATACATGAGATAGTAACTCCAAATACACCAGAATCAACGTAAGAATGGTTGAATGCCATACAGTTCTCCACAAATGAATACTTGTTAAGTACACGGGTGAAGAGACGAGAGAACATACCCTTCCCGGGACCACCAGCAGAAAACGAGGACCCGCCTCCAAGAAGCTTTTGAAGCGTGGCTAAGGCATACAAGTCATCGTTCAAAAGACCGGTTGTCTCGAAACCAATCTGCATGTGATAAAGCTCGGGTAAGTTTGGTGTTACGGGAGGTTGGTAAGGCAAGCATATTTCGCCACCAGTGTATGTGATCTTGCCCATATCTGGCTTAGAGAGGGTATTAGCAGACCAGTCACCCAAGTGCAGCATGGCTAAACGAACTGCTTGTTCGTGTTGGACACCAACTAACGCCACGATGACATTTTGTGGTTGGTAGAAATGACGATGGTATTGCAAGATCTCCTTACGAGTGATGGAGGGGAGTCTTTCTTGAGGACAGAAAAGTGGCAATCCCAAAGTGTTACCCTTGTACGCAGCAGCATGTAATATTTCTGGAAGGTATACGTCAGTTTTGTCATACATGTTACTCACTTCAAAGTCCACGGTCTGGAGAGTTTCATACATTTCCTGGTCGGTGATCTTGGGGACTCTGACAGTCTGTGCCATGTAGTCAAACATCTTGTCTACATCCTTGTTGAAAACAGAAGCCTGGTAAAGCATAGACTCCCTCTGGGCTGAAGCAATGTAGTTCCCACCAACCTTAGCGAGATTCTCCATCATTTCAATCCCAGTGTAATTTTCAGTAGACTTCCAAGCCAATCTGTCGAAGATATGGGAAAGCCCAGGCTTGCGTGGGTTTTCGTATCTTGAACCAGCGTCTACGTACATCCCAAGAGCGGAAAAATGGCCAGGAGTACTATCAGTTACGACCCTAAGACCATTGGCAAGGGTTGTCATCTCTATGTTTGGCTTACTGAACGTTTGCACAGTGGAAGACGAGGCATATCTACGCACCGGCAGCAACGCAGACTGCTTGAATACATTTGCATAAGCAGTTCTAAGCATTTTTGAGCTGGATTATTCAAACGATAAAGAAAATTATAAAACAAAGGAAAAAGAAAGACTACTACTATAACCCTGCGAATCCGATTGTGTAGTCTACAATGTTCCGACTCAAAAAAAAAGAAAAGAGAAAGACTGTTGATGCTTGTGTGCAGTCCGGGTCCCATTATATGTATCTATGTGCTATTCTAAAAAATACCTATTGTATCTATCTATTATCTACTTTCTTTCGACAGTGGCACCTTCGTAAGCCAAGTCCAACAACTTCCAAACACATTCAATGCCTTCCTTCTTGAAGAAATCAATGACTGAGGTTGCTATTTCTTCAAAGTTGTCAGTAGCTAAACAAAGAATGGTTGGACCAGCACCAGATAAACAGATCCCACAGGAGCCTGGGTGCAGGTCTGGGGTGACACTAGCCAAAACTTCGCAAAGTCCAGGAATCAAGGTGGAACGGTAAGGTTGATGAATCTTGTCCTTCATGGCTTCATGGATGAGCCAATGGTCTGGTTCGTTCTTAGTCAAGGCAGTGGTAAGAACGGCCAAACGTTGCAAATTGTACACAATGTCCGGCTTGGAGTACAACTCGGGTAAAACGGCACGGGCCTTATCGGTAGAGACTTCAAACTGTGGTATTATAGCCACACATTTGATCTTCTTACACCAATCGTATTGAATATATTGACCAATTTTTTGAGGAGGAGGAGTGGAAACAATTTGTGATTCATCTGTCTTATTATATTTAGGTAAGATGTACTCCAAGTCAACGTTCTTGGCAGTAGTCTCCTCTGGAGATAATTCATTAAGGTATGAACCAACAAATCCACCCAACATGGCGGCAGCAATGTTGTCTGGATGTCTTTCAATCAAAAGACAGTAGTCAAGCATACGTTCCTTGGAGAACCCCAACTTGGCCACTTCATTGGCGAGCATAACCCCACCAACAATGGCGGCTCCAGAAGAACCAAGACCTCTACCTAATGGGATTGGGTTCTTAACATGGATTTGAGTACCAGCTGGGAAGGCCTTGATATCGTTACATCTCAAGACATAGAGAGCTGTGTTTGTGATCAAGTTCTTACCAGAGTCCAAGGGCACGTTGGCGGCACCATCACCTTCGTAAGTAATGGCAGCGTTAAATGGATCAGAAGAAGTATCAACCTTTGGGTCAACCTTAACATCGATTTCCAAATACAAGTTCAAACCAATCCCCAACACATCAAACCCGGGTCCGATGTTGGCAGAGGATGCTGGGACTTTCAAAGAGAAGGTGTCAGACATAGTTTTTGTTGTGTAGGATATAAAAAAACTTGGATGGTTTCTGTATCAGTAAATGGAGTCATTCTCTCAAAATGTCGACTGATTGATGAATCATACTTTAGAAATGTACACAAAAAGAATATTTCGCATATTCACTGAAACACAAGAATTTTACGACCAAAGAAACTACATGGGAAATGGTGTCTTATTTCTTGATTTCAGCCCTTTCCTAGCTAGTTTGCGTTCAAGAGAAAGGGAAATTGGATATGAAAGATATTGTTATTCTAAATTATACACGGTAAGTCTTTACTGGTGTGTATGTGTCTTTTTGCTTGATTTTGGTAAAAGAGAAGAAACGAAAAGTCACTGAAAAAAGTGCGGATAAACACAGGGAATATTTCCAAAATGAGACTGTTTCGAAAATTAAATTTTGCAGCCAAGATTCTAAAGGATTTGACCAAAGATTCAATGGTGGTATACTAATATCAATTTATTCTCTTACAATTTATTTCTCTAACGTCATATTTCTATTAGTATCTTAAATAACACAAGTCTCTCTCTTCACCCACTTGATCTTGGCTGGTTCTTGTGGCAAGGTAACCATACTGGTGTAATCAACGTCTGGAACAGTGGCACCTTCTTCGAAAGTCCACTTCAAGTTGAAAACATAGGTAGCCAAAATCGTTCCTAATTGAACATAAGCAAATTGTTCACCAATACAACGATGTCTTCCACCACCGAATGGCAAGTATGGAGAAGAAACACCCTTGGAAACAGCACCGAAACCGTAATCAATAGTATCATCACCAGTAGAAGTTTGGGCAGAGGCATCGTCCCATCTGTGTGGGTCAAACTTGGCAGCATTAGGGAAATATTTATCATTGGTTTGAGCATATCCAGGACTCACCAAAACATGGTGACCAGCTGGAACAACGTACTTGGTGTTTGGGACGACAAGAGGCTTCATCACCTTACGGAAAATAGAGTGCAAAGGCATGTGAATTCTCAAGGTTTCCTTGATGACATTGGTAACCAATGGCATCTTTTGGAGATCATCATAGGATAAGTCTTCCAACTTACCGCCCTTTGGAGCCAATACAGAAGTAACTTCTTGGTAAAGTTCTTCTTGAAGTTCAGGTCTTTCAGCCAAATGTAAGAGGAACCAAGCAGAAGTAGCAGCACTAGTATGTTGACCACCCATCAAGACACCAATCAACAAGTTGGCAATTTCTTGGTCGGTCATCTTCACACCATCCTTATAAGTAGAGTGGGTCATCAAAGAGTCAATCAAATCACGTTGTGGGTCAATGTCACCAGTAGCTCTTCTTTGGTTAATCAACTTCATGTAAGTACCAGAAATCTTTCTTTGGGCTTCATCACGCTTTCTGTATTGAGGAAGAGGCAAGTTAGGGAAAACAAAGTTAATTGGAGTGAAACCTTTATCCAAATCAGAATAAAGTTGAGCAAAGGAGGCATCGAAAAGTTTACGCATCTCATCACCCATTAAGGAACGAGAAGCAGTGAAAATGGTAAGTTCAGGTTGAGTAAGCATAACATTGGCTATACCAGAGTTCTTACCCTTCATCTTGAAGTTTTCAGAATCAACAAAATAATCCAAAATTTCTTCTTTAATCTTTGGAACATAATTGATAAAGGAATCCTTTGTAAGCGCATACTTGGCAAACTTCTTTTGTTCCATCAAACGAGCGTTGGAACAATCGTAGATGACACCCTTACCAAAGACAGGGGTGGTGAGATGCTTGTAGGCCTCTTCGGCAGAAACAGAGGCTCCCTTGGAGTTCAAAACGAACTCATGACCCTTTGGTCCCAAGTAAACGGTCATAACCTTACCAAGCAAAACGAAAGCAAAGACATCTCCATGCTTAGCACGACACAGTTCAAAGAAATCGTATGGTTGCATACCATATGGAACGGCAGAACCAACCCATGGGATCCAGTAGAAGACAAGAGGAACTCTATCCTTTCTGGTGGAATAATAAAGTTGCCATAAAATGTTGTACACGAAAGGTGTGAAGACAATGATCAGGATCTGTTGAAGCAAAGTAAGAGCAGTGAACAGCGTGTATGCTGTAACTGCGAGATCAGCTAAAGCCATGATTGTCGTTGATCTTTGGAAATTGAATGTAAGAAAGAAAAAGAGGAAATTTTTTGTATCAAAGGGAAGACCTAGATATAACGAGATTTTGTATTTTTGTTTGAACACGATAGAACGAATATGCAGACAACAACTCTCAAAAGACGCCGTGTTGAAAAAATCAAATTGTTCTGAGAAAAATAAATCTAAAAATCCCTAAGGGCACAAGTAAAACTCAAAGCTAGTGTCCGTAGATAAACTTGGAAAGCGTATGGCAAAGAGTGCAAGTATCCTGATTTTCCAACTACTACTCCCTTTTTTTTATGGAGAATTTGGAACCACCTTTTATATCTATACCAATGGGAACGGATGTAGAATAAGCATCGTTTACACGTCGTATATCTCGTTTAGACTGCATACAGTATGGCATCATATATCACGAGGTGCTTTCGATATAAGCTGGATTACGCGTTAAAAATCAAGTGGCATGGGGTATAGTTTGACAGAAGATGGGAATGATGTACGTTCCTCTGGCGGTGGCTCTGATAGAATCATCAGCTTTCTCCTGGTGAATGTGAAAACTTGGAATTGACGTTAGTAGTTGTCTTTACGAATGCGACTGTTTTTTTTGCTCATCTTGTTTTTCGCCATCAATCGAGGCCCTGTTGTTATTCTTGGCTGCAACAACTACATTACTAGTATATCGACTCACCTCACCCGACTCATTCACAAACGAACGACCGAACACTTTTCACACCATTTTTTTCTCTCTAACGCATTTCCAGCCGTTTATCCATACGTTGTCGGACGATATGACACCATTTATACTCGAGGTAAAACCCCATACGGCTGCAAAAAAATGAAATTTCTACTTCTTCTTCTTCTTCTTCTTTTTCCTCGTACACATCTTACTAATCAACGCCCGCTTGAAAAAAATATGTTCATTCATCATAAATAGTATCTATACATTAAATTAAATCTTCTTGCTCAATATGGACCCCCATCATTTGTGCCTTAGCAAGAAGCTCCTCTTGTTGCAACTTCAATCTTAGATTTTTTGTTTCCAAGAATTTAATATATTCTATGGATTTGGTAAGAATTGTCCCCTTACTTAATTTCCTGGCTGGTTCGAGTCCTTCCAAATCTATCACCTTGGGTATACCGTCTAATGGGGTCACCATGTCACTTCCCTCGTCTTCCTCCTCGTCTTCATCGTCTCGTTTAGAGTGACGATTATTTCCAAGATTTTGCGACACTACACGAAGTGTGGGCACGCAATCTTGAAGTGCTTCAAATCTATCATTGATTTTATTCCGGTATCTTTGTTCAATAAGGTTGTGCGATGATTTTGCGCGAGGTCTTGAACTTTTATCTGTTGGCAGAAACATTGGTGGAGGAGTCATCAGATCTGCCGCCAGCGCCAGTTGATGCCTTTTTTCTTCTCTTTTGACCCTGGTGTTGGTAGGTTGATAAGGTTGGTTCACTTGCATTGCATCTGCACTTGTGGGTGGTTGCAATGAGATAGGTGAATAAGGTTCTTGTTTTATCAATCTTTCTCCGAAAAGGTCGAAATTTTGATCTGGAAGACTACTTTCAAGTGCAAATTCTTGATTAAGTGGATCTCCAGGTGATTTTGCAGCTCCAGGTATTAACCCAAAATCAAAATCAAGTGGGAATTCAGAAGAATTAATTTGTGGAGAATCATTCATCTGCATAATATCTTGTTGCATTTGTTGTTGTGATTGCAGTTGAGCTTGTTGTTGCTGCTGTTGTTGTTGCTGATGTAATTGTTGTAATTGTTGTAATTGTTGTAATTGATGTTTCAGTGCCATATCTCTCATTTTTCCATCATCACGAGTATTGCGATCAAATAACGTAGTCAAATATGCATTATAATCGTTGATTTTAAAAGACATGTCTTTCAATTATATGTATTCATAACATAAATATCGGTCATTTATTGACTCTCATGACTTTTAGCTCCATTATATGGATCAATTACGTGTCGGCTGCATCTTTTTTTTTTTTCTTTTTTTGCCCGCATCCATTAAGAAAAAAACACCTGATTGATCATACGATTGTACAAAACTGTGTGTCAAATCGCAGTAATTATGCATGTCAATTCTGGGGACCCGTACAGGAAACGATGTGTAAGGGGCCACACGCAGTACTCTGATTGTTAGGACCGAGGCAGTTCGCTGTATCAGTATGAACCTGCCTCTAACGCCGTTTTAGTCTAATCTCCTATACTCATTCAATTAGGTGCAAATTTTATAACCGAAATCTTTTTTTGGTTAAACTAAAGCTCAACATAAATTATGTGTGACTTTCGGAGATATGTTTTCTTTTTCTCGAAGTGATTCCTTTATGGTAAGAATATCCGCAACTCATCTCGGGCCCTATTCTCAATATCAACTTTGTCCTCTTTAAGATGTATTTTAGTTACCCCTTGGTACATGATACTAACATCATCAATCGGGAATGTGTATCCCATGTTGCAATAGAATCATCAAAATCAAAAATTATCCTCGATAAAATAAATTTCTTAGTGCGCACAATTTGGATATACACCTGATTATCTGCACTTTTCTTAAAATTTGAGATCTACACAGGTCATGCATATTTCTAAAGCTAACTAACGGGCTCGGGCTCCGTTTTATTTTTTTCAACTAGAGTGAATAATAAACTAAAAGGGAATAATTTAATTCGGTAAATAATTATTGTCATAAAGTGCTTATTGCTTTTGTTTCATTCGCCGAATGGTTATCCGGGCGTATATGTTTCAAAAATACTTTTTCTTGTTTATGTTTAATTTTAGGTTTTAATTCATGCATACATGCCATCCTGTTTCTTCCAATACCTTCTAAAGTTCCCCAATAAAGCAAATGTTGTCAATAATCTTTGTGCAACCATACACATTTTAAATTCAAAACTATGGGTAAACACCCGACCTCCACCCCCACCCCCGCTTGTAACTTCTCTATTCACTTATTCCTTCTTCTCACTAATCGGCGTTAATCGATCAGTTCCATCTATATTAATTTTTGAACCAGGCGGCATTTTCCGGCTGACCAGGATTTTCCCCGGCTGCAGGGTGCAGTAGCTCTTGGGACTGTATTATTCCGCCCCTTTCATTGGCGGTGAGTACGTGACTCTCTTTACTATATTTTTGCAAGACTAATGATGATGGCCACGGTAGTGCTTAAACTTGTCGTATAGCCTCGTAAATTAAGAGAAGGTAACGCATATTACTGTTTTGGTTTCACATGCAATAATTCCCTCGATTCCCATGGTCAGGAATTTCATCAAGTTTAAAACCTTCCGATTTTTGCAGATCGACTTCCCATTCCAAGTATCTACAGAATCCAGGAACGACCGATTCAAAAGGCTAATATCCGAGGTTCTTTCTTTTGTTTCCAATGCTATATCTTGCTACTTTGAAATTTCTGAAGTTCCCAATGCAAAATATATCACGAAAATCATTGAGAACCCTTTTTCTCATTTTTAAGTTGCACTTTTTTTTTCATTCACAGTTATTTCAACAATAACATTATGAATGTGGATACCATCTTTCTAAATCCTCTAAACATGTAGGAGAAAAGGGGCATCTTGTCTTGGCGATGGTTTGAAATCCACTGTACCCGAAATAGAATTTATTTATTTTTTTCCCAATCTCTTCATCCTCTGATCAAAATGTGTATTTCAATTGAAACGTGGCTATTACTTTAAAAAATAAATGATAAAAGTGTATTTCAAACTGTAAAATGACCTTCTTTGAATTATTCTACCAATAACTGCTTTCGCGTGACTTCAACGAAAGGTTTGTTCAAAAGAAGCTTGTGATGTTGAAACAACAAATACAAAAGGGAACACTTTATTTTTAGCCTTTTGGCTGTAAATTCTTCCTAAAAATATACTTTTTACAGAATGTTTTTTTTTTCTTCAATTTTCTCCACATACTAAAGAAATATTGTCTAACCCCCCCCTCCTATAGCACTTCTCTAATCTAACACACCTACAATATATATTTATCTTTATTCTTTATAATAATCTTTTGCAACCAAATGAGAATTATTCGAAATAAGATAAACAACGTAACTCTGCCTACACATAAAAAAATTCCACAAAGATTAAATATTTGGGAAAAACTCATCTCGGTGTGTATACAGGCCACTATGAATAGACCGAATACACCTTAACCTATCTAACAAGTCTCTGGATTTATATAAATTATTCTTAAAAAGATGACAGATCTCCACGATTTATGCAAGTTCACGAAAAGACCACTTACAGAAGAGTATGTGGACAATCTCAAATATTATTTGAAAAATGGTATACCTTCGACTTACACTGTAGAAGAAGCATACAACTTTGAGAACGGGAAAGAAGATGAAGAAACAACTTCAAACACCACACCACTTCATTTGATCTGTAGACACATCCCAGAAGATTGCACCGAGGAAGAAATTGCCATTGCTAGCAAGATGGTTGAAATTCTTTTAGAATATGGTGCTGGATGGTGTCTTGTAGATTCAGATGAAAACACTCCAGGGTGTATTTTAATCAAGAGGAACCTCAAAAAGTTACCAATTTATACACAAATTGTTCAAGCTGGGGTTAGAGCTGAATTGCTTTTAAGAAAAGTTGAAGAGATAGAATTTGTTGATGAAGAGGATTATTTACATGATGTAGAAGTGAATGGTGAAGAAGTTCCTGAATTAGTAGAGGAACTGTCTGAGGTTGTAGAAAAATCAGTTGAAGAACCACAGCCGGTTGAAGAATCAGTTGAAGAATCAGTTGAAAAACCAGTTGAACAGCCAGTTGAAGCTATCGACCCTTATGCTAATGATCCAGCAACTAATCAAGAAACTTATCTTAAAACAAAATTAGAATATAAGGATGGAGCACTTGTCACAAAAGAAAACAAAGATGGAGTTATGATGGAATGGGAATCTGAATTGATGCGTATGGGTAGCGATTCTCTTTTCAAGGGAGTTCCAGAAGATGCTGAAGAAAAGAAGGAAGATGATATGGTTGTACTTAACATTGGGTTTGGAATGGGGATCATCGATACTATGATTCAAAATAAAAAACCAACCAAACATTACATCTGTGAAGCACATCCAGATGTGTTAGCCAAGCTTAAAAGAGACGGATGGTATGAAAAGCCTAATGTTGTTATTTTAGAAGGCAGATGGCAAGAACAACTTACCAAACTTTTATCTGACGGCAATGTTTTCTTCAATGGGATCTACTATGACACTTATTCAGAACACTATTCCGATATGTTGGACCTTTTCGACTTTGTGGTTGGTTTATTAAAACCTCATGGGGTGTTTTCCTTTTTCAATGGACTTGGTGCTGATAGACAAGTTGTATATGAAGTTTACAAGGAATTGGTCGAGATGGACTTGAATAATTATGGGTTGGATTGTAAGTTCACAGAATATGAAGTTCCAAAGGAAACCATGCAAGCTCCAAACAACCCACAACCAGAGAGTGTTTGGGATGATATCAAGAGATCATACTGGTCATGTCCTGTTTACTACCATCCTGAGGCAAGATTCATGGAATATTAGATTATGTAACATACTATAGTTAAAGGATAAATAAGATAGATTAAGCAAGATAAACCCAAGCTAAATGGTTATATAGATTGTATGTTCTATGGTTTATTGTCCTTATTAGTTTTATTTGAGTAGTGGCTGCAAATTGTAGATAAACACAATGAAACTGATTGTGTGCTGTACAAGAAAAAAAAATATTAAACTAAGTAAATCACTTATAATGGAAACGCTTATGATGAACTATACTATAAAAAACAAATATCTATTTCTACTAATGGTTAGGACTGCCTTCCCCCCACCGAATAAAATCGACCCTACACATAGTACAAATATACTTTCATATACTTGCTTCTTTATAGTTCCCTTTGATTTTTATTTTTTGCACCACACGACCCCCTCACTATTCACAAAGATCCAATCAAAAGGTGTACCACCATGACCCAACATAAGCTGTAACAAGTTTGACCAATTTCAACATGACCAGTGATCTTCAAACCAAATTGGCCACACAGGACATTCTTGAGAGGTCCTCGAACCAACCAATCTACCTCTCTTCTATTGAGGTTGTTGGCGGGGAAACTTTTTCAAGCAATTTCTTTAAGAAGATTTTATCTCCATTGTCAGAAAAGTCTGATTATACTTTAGGTCAATTACTTCAAAAGATTGACATTCTGTATGGTAGATTGATGAAGACAGACGTGTTCAAAACTGTTGATATCACGCTCCATTCAGACTATGCCAAGTCGTTACCAAAGGTTGCTCTGTACAACAATGAGCCATCCATTCCAACCAAGGTTGTGTTTGACTTGAGTTCTGTAGCTTTAAACTGTGGCCAAGCGTTTCTTAACTTGAACAATGACGATATTCTCAACGTCAACTTGAACTATTTGAATAACAATTTTTTTGAAAATGCAGAAATGATCAATTTAGGAGTTAATTATAATCCATACAAGCCAAACCAACACTTATTCTCCAATGGTAAGCTTGCCTTAAACTTACCAAACCCATCATTCAAGTTATTAACTGATTTCTACAACACAAACTCCAACAATCAACTGTGGCAACAAAGTACTGAACATACCAGTGGATTGTTTTCCGGGTTACAATATATTTCAAATTGTAAGAAATTTACAGGAGTCTTGGGATTAAGTGTCGATAAGAGACTGCTCACTGATATTCATGATGGAGCTTCTGATGACTTGAAGTTTTTCGGAGGTGATTTCCTCAGAAAGGCCATTGTGAATCAATTACTGTACACCAATCTTTCGTATTTGAACACCATAACGAGAAACTTCCCAACTGATGGGTATTTGGTTCAAGTATCCAATGAAATTGCCACCAATCAGGAGGCCAGCACTAATGCTGATTCTGGGTCCAGTAACCCTGCCAGCTTTGTTAAGTCTTCCATTTCCACCGATGTCTTCAAATCATTATTTAATAATGCAATCACCACTCATTTCTCTCTTGATATGGGTGGAATTTTCTCCAAATCTGAAAAATTCCCAATTCATCCTTCAGATAGATTTTATTTGGGAGGATATAATTCATTCCGTGGATTTACCAAGAATTCTGTAAATCAAAGTGGAGGACTTCAATTTGCTAAGGCTTCTGCTACGATATACTCCAAATTACCATCTTTTATTTATTCTCCAGTGAGTTTCAAGGACTCAAAGTTACAAGATGGTCGTGGATACGAAGCTAATCCTCTTCGTCTTTACGTCAGTGGAGGTGCTGGTAGCGTTAGCAACAACATTTTGGAAGATAACAGCGGCATTGCCACCAATGTCGGGGTTGGTTTGCGTTATTTCAACAATTGGGCCAACTTTGATATAGGATACTTTGTAGCCAAGAGACAAAATGGAGAAACTGCTGGAATTAAGGATGGATTCCAATTTTCTGTATCCATTGGAGGATCCAACAGTACTATATAGAGGGGTAGAATTACAAAATAAGAGACAATTAGAGATAAAGAAATATGTAAATTAATGTGAAAGAGAAATAGAGTCTTCAAGGACTCAAAATTCTTGTTTTATAAAATTAAGAAATTCTATTTATAGTAAGAGCCTTAAACAATCATTTGTATTCATTAAAATTCATTTCTAATTGGATTCTAGTTGACTCTTACTACTTGACTCTTATTAGGGTGAATTCCACCTTTTCATTATCTGCTCATGAAAAGAAATAATTCTCTTTGTTTCAGTTTATAGCAATCGTGCCTTTACTTGAATAGTCTCAAATTTGACTATCTTGTGCGGCTAAATATTTAAAGCCTACATTTTTACTAAGAACATTCTTCTCTTTGAACTTGTGTTGTTAGCCATATGCTTCGTGAAAATGAAATAATATCCAAGGTCTTGCTCACGGTTGACCAGTACAAGGGCAAGGTATCCTCACTCCGAACAGGGATCTCTAACGATACTTATCTTCGATCGGAGAACTTCTCACGATTACTCCTTTGGAAAGTGTGTCTCATTACTGATTCGTTAAATATCCAGAAATGGGATGAAGCACTCTCTGCCTCTCGGATAGTGTACACCCAGATCCTCAAGCGTCCGGACATGGCTATCCCCTGGGATCAGTTGGAGCCAGATAATGTGTTTTATATACCGAGGAAGACCACTCGTCGAGAAACAAACACGATCAAGAAAGTCATCAACAATTTGGAAAGAGTTCATATTGACGATGATCCATTAACTGCAGACAACAACAAGCAAGGAAACCATTCAAATATTCATTTACCGACAGATTTGGAACTCTTGGAGATCATTACGTTGGATATAGAACGGATCTTCCCCGGGAACGAACTCTTCCATGCACCTACAACAGACGCACTCAATCATAGACGAACATTGGTACAAATTCTATACATATGGTCGAAGTGTAACCCATCGGTTGGCTACAAGCAAGGGTTACACGAGCTCTTGGGACTTGTCTATTTGAATCTTTGGCGAGAAAGTATCGAGATCCCCAACACAAATACAATATCTACCGATGATCTTAAAATTCTTAAACTTTATAATGTTAAATATTTAGCTCATGATTTATTTCTGATGTTCAACAAGTTTGTCATGCAATCAGGGATCGGGCCAAAATATTTTGAATCTGAACAAGAACTCTTCAAATCCATTCAAACTTTTGACATGTATCTCTTGAAAGTGGACCAATTGATTCATTACAACCTAACCAACAAGTTGAAATTGGAATCACCACTTTGGCTCATCAGATACTTGAGATTATTATTATCAAGAGAACTTGGCAATGATTTGGAGTGTGTAAGCATATTCTGGGATAAACTTATTGGAGGGAATTGTTCTACGACCAGCAGCAATACTAGCGGCATAACGATAGGAAATATCGGTATAGGAGGCGATAAGCCAAATGGGAACACAATTACCACCATCCCGGATTTACTCACTTTCAGTGTGATCATTTTACTCATACATATCAAGACAGATTTAATCACTTCAGACTTTAGTGAAGCACTTTCACTTTTATTACATTATCCTATTGCTAAAATTTCCGGGAAATACTCCTCAAAGGCTGATTTCATCAGTAAATTGTATAAGGATGCAGTATCCTTGTACGAACGGAGGGATAATGACAAAAAATTGTACGAATATGGATTAAAATTAAACACTCATTATAATCCAAACTTGAAAATTACCATGAGTTATAGAAGTAGTGAAGAAGTGGAAAGATCGAAAGAAGAGAAGTTGAAGTTTGAAAAGTTACGAATGGAGATGAGATTGAAGAAAAAGGTTAAACTGATGATGGGTTGAATCTAACGTTAGAATAGAACTGGTTGTCTATCCTCTTAACAATAGTCTCTCTATATAAATTTCCTGCATAAAAAAACACAGCATTATTTTTTGTTTTCAGTAAGTCAACACAAGTCTCTTCAGGTGACCTTCTCTCACTTAGCTACACAACCATGGGTAAACGGAAGTCATCGGCCAAGCCGCAGAAGAAGATCAAACAAGTGTTGGAAACAACATTTGCCTGTTTGTTTTGTAATCATGAAAAATCAGTGATTTGTACTTTAGATAGAAAGAATAGTTTGGGTGAGTTGCATTGCAAAATCTGTGGACAATCTTTCCAAACCGCTATTAACTCCTTATCACAACCAGTTGACATATACTCTGACTGGATTGACGCATGTGAGGATTTGGCTGAAGAGGCTGATGCTGACGGCGGGGCCGGAGGCGAGGACGACGGTGCCGAAGAAGGAGAATATAGTGATGATGAATTTGCCAGAACAAAGGGCAGAAGAGACCAAATCATTGGATCTGATGAAGATGATGATTATTAAATAAAATGTTATATATTTAGCAAGAATAGAAGATGCTAGACCAAAAAAAGGGTGAATATATGTGTAGCTTGAAGAGAATATATTGCATTGCAAGATATACAGGGACAAAAGAAAATTCCAAGTGATATGATAAAATCTCCCACATGGGAATTGAAACCAGTGCAAACTAACTATTATTAGTAGATGTACTATTCAGTTGCTACACAGTGGATATATTCTTAAAATTTATATTACTCGCTTCTATATAATCAACCGATTCTTCTACGTTCTAAATCGTTAAGAATCTGGTCATATGTTGCACTTAGTTTATCCCCGTCTACAACTTCCAGATCATTCTGTATTTCATTAGCACTTTCAGATTGAGAGTCAGATACTGTTTCATCATTCCCAGCCTCTAACCCTGCCCTTTGGTTGGCTAAATCATTCAATGTCTTCTGAAGATGATTCAATTTCGTATGGATATCTTCATCTTGACTGGATTTCGATCCCAGTGCTTCTTGATTAAATACACTCCCGAGAGAAATATTATGGTCCTTAAGATCTCCAAGATAATCAATAATTTTATCCAATTCTCCCAAATCTGCAATCAGTAAATTCTTTCTAATTTCTTCTCCGGATAATTCACTAAAATCTTTGAGAAACTTATTACGTTGTGGATTGTCGTCAGCTGCTGATTGAAGATTTTCATGAATCTTTTTAAGTTTCAAGACAGAACCTTCATTTCTATCCATACTAGCAAGGTTTGATTTGGATGAAGTTCTCGAAAGTGAAAGGGGTGATTTACTTGGGGCTATCCTAACATTTGGTGAAAGCTCTGTTTCATTTTGTGGATGTCTAGGGCCCAACAAATGGGCATTTCTTGTATCCTCAGCTGAATTTCTCATACATTCAGTTGCAGAATAAGAATCCTTTGGATCAACCAAAGAATTGTCAATCAATTGTAATCCCTTTTCAATGGATGATTCGATAAAAACAAACCTAATAAGCATTTCTTTACCTTCAAGGTTCAATTCATTCAGAAGTTGTAATTTGTAAAGCTCATTCATAGACCCACGTAAATCGTGTCTAATTTTCCTTGCCTTGGCAATAAATCGTTGAACATCCGGAGCATTAAGATCCAATTTATCATCAGCTTTCTTGGCAAGAATGGCGTTAAGTTGTTCCGTTAATGATGCTGGTTGATCTTGGGGTTCTTGTTGATCTTCAACCAATTCTGATGGCATAGGAATCGATTTCAGATCTCCTGATTTTCTCAGGCCCCCTGATTTTCTAGTAGATGCATAAAGAAGTCTTTCCATGTTTCTCATGGTATATAACCCAATCTTCTCCTTGAATAGACTTGGAAATTGCTCATAATCACAATCAAGAGTAATCAATGTCTTGGAATTCTCCAATGCTTGAAGAAGAGCACTTGCAGACGTCAAATCAATTTCATTCCCATGTACCGAGAAATACCCAAGATTTTTACAAAATGGAAGAGTTCTAGCAATGGCAATAATGGAATTCCCACTCAAATTATTATTTTCCAAATGAAGTCGGATAAGTTTGGGAAAGAGTGGAAGTTTCGAAGTGAAATATGAAACAATTGCATCTTGATTGAAATTAGTAGTACTAGTGGATAATGAAGATGATGAAGATGATATAGATGCAATTGAAGTGTCTGGATCAACTGTATTTTTGGTGGCTGTCACTGAATTAGTTGGTGCAACTGAGGTACCAAATAATTTACCATTATTAGACATATCCAAATATTTTAAATTTGGAAATCTTAACAATATGGTTTCAAAGAATTCTTTAAAAGTCTCAGAAAACCTCAAATTTGTAGCATTAAGACTGAAAAATCCCAAGTTTGAATTCTTTACTAATTCATCAAACTTTGGATCCTTTCTCTTTTCCAAAAGCACGTTAAGAAATTGTAAAGACAGGAAATCGTTATATCCAAGATCCAATCCACGAGCAAATGGCTGGAAGAGCCAACAGTCAACAAGTGTCATCACTTGCTTGACGGAAAGTTTATTGTAAGCCAAACCAAGACGAGATGTTCTTATCAGCATTGCCAATCTAACCAATTGTTCAAATACATGGCTATCTGAAATACAACATCCACTAAGAATAAGTTCATCGATACCACCTCTTGCGATAATTGAAGCTGTGAAAAGCCCCCAATCCATGTCTGATCTATTCTCTTTGTTACAGCTCATTCTAACTAATTCCTCTTCTTTAACTTCAGTAGCTGACTTTTTCTTCTTCTTTTTCAACAAGTTTACCAGTAATGATGGACATTGAGTGATATCCAACTTATTAAATACAGTATTTCTAGAAAGAAACCAACAGAGCAATGACCAACCTTCTTGATCAATTGGGGTGTTTCTTAAACTCAATTTTTCCAATTGCTTTTTAGCACTCATTGCTGAAAGAACCTCCTTAAATTGATCATAAGAAAGACTAACTCCATCCAATGAAACACAAATAATTGGTGCAATACGAATGAAATCCGCAAACGTCTGAATTTCAACCATGGTTGGAGTAGGATTCCTCAATTGAAGAATTGGGATAGGTGACATTGACCCGGCAGGGATCTGCTTGAGAATCGCAGGAATTGGTAAGATTTCTCTTAAATGACAACATCTGGTATACATCAAATCAAGCTGCATCTTCTGTGCTGGGGCAGTGTAATTGTGAGCATGATGTGAAATCATTGGCTTGTCAATTGCCAACAGCTTTGCATGTTTGTCAACCTTGGTGTCGTCATCGTCAATCGATTGAATGTTAATTTTTTCATCAGAAGCATCCTTCTTGACAAGTCCCAATGAACCGGACCCGCCGACTACAATGCCACCACCTTGGCCAACTTGAGACTTTTCCAATGCTACTTTTTCTTCTTCCGAGAGTGGATGTATCTTGAGTTTCCCATTAGGAAGAATTTCTACATTTCCCTTACGTGGTTTCCTGGATGGAATCTGTTGAGGAGGGTCAATTAAGAATGTCAGTGAGTGAAATGCCACCCGTCTCAATGGTTTGACATCTGCGAACTCTGGTAAGACATCTGAGTTCGTAGGAGTTGGTGGCAGAGCGGTTGAATTAATGGAATATGTAGACTCTGAGGATCTTCGATTATGTTCTGTAGCAATCTGAACCAATGGAAGAGAAGGTGTGTTCTGCAGAATTGACTTCCTTTTAAGAAATGAAGTAATCTTTGCCGCCCCAGATGATGGCGAAGTTGATGCTAAATTGTTTCTATTATATGTAACGTTTTCATATCCATTTAAGAGTGCGCTTGGAAGTGGAGAGTCATGAGGATGACCTGGGATCGCATTCATTGGCACTGACGTGGTAGATCCATGCCCAGAAAACGAGTCGTTCCTTGAACCAGAATTTCTCTTGAGACTCTTTTGTTGATAAAACTTGATATATTCATCTAAACGAGGGTCAGATGTATTCTCAGAATAATTTGGCGTTGACATTGTTCTAGTGAGGTTTAATCCTCCTCCATCGGATTTTTCTCTTGAAGGAGTTCTAGTCTTTGCTGAAATAGTGCTTGATCGCGTGAGTCCATTGGAATCTATACCATTGCTAGGTTTGGATGAATGGTTTCCAAACAGGTAATCTTCTTTGAACAAATTGTTTGACGTGACTTTTGATGGCGGTGGTGAAGTAGACATGGGAGAAGTTGTTGGCGAGATCAACAACTCTTCAGCAGTCTTATGGAATTTGCCCTTGAGTTTGGAAAAGAACCCACCACCACTCCCACTTCCGCTTCCGTTGCTTCCGATAGAAGAAGAAAGTGATGTGGCACTCGAAAGTCTTCTCCGATTAGAAGAATTACCATTGTCTAGGACAATTTTCGTGCCAGTGGAAGGATTACTGGCCGACCGCACTCTACGTATTGCCGAACTAGTAGCTTCATGGACAGGAGAAACGGATTCTTCCTGGATGGGCGCTACTGATGGTTTAGTCTTGGTGGTAAAGTTATCATTTGTATTTGAAATTGAAGTTTGAAGATGCAGACTAACGGGGTTGAGCTTGGATTGAGTGGACTCTGGAACAGACCCAGATTTGGTAGGCGATACATTACCGGAGCTACCGTCAGCATCTGTAGTTTCTACACCATTCGAGGTTGCAGCAGTGGGGCTTTTGGTTGATTTGGATGTCAAATCTGGTTGGCTTGGATCGATATGAGAATCTCTAAGAAACCAATCAACGTCCCGATTGCAAACCCCCTTAAGATATTTGTTTGCATCCTGTTCAAGAATGCTTCGGATCGCACCAAGGTCAAACCCTCCTCCGCGCGGGGTATCAGGCATGGTAATATATGGATTCGATGATTGTTTGTAGTTGTAGTTGGAAATATCCGGGGCTTGTTTTCTGATAGACATAGCAGCTTCTAATGTATAAAACTGGTGCAAACACTACACACACACTATATCAGCTGATATAAAAAATAAAAAATAACAAAAACTAAATTCAAGTTACAGTAAAAGTTTGCCGATCTAAGATTTATCGGGTCGAATATAGGAAAGAAAGAAAGAGTAGATAATGTTTTGTCTATAGTAGCGCTCGCAAAAGATCAATTTTGGTTTAGGGGGTGCCCCACTACTTCTACACATCACGCTTACATTGTTACGTATTTTTCCCACCAATTTGGCGGGGAGTGACTATCAAAGAAAAGTCGGCCACAAGGTTCAAAACGTGACCGAGCGATATGATGATGTTTTTTTTTTCCCACGATAAATATAGTGAGTGTATTGAAATGATCATCAGTTAACAACCGAGAAATATGAACCGAATTGTCCTCTGGAAAAGAAAAAAGAGCGGTGGAGAGTATATCCATTTTTTAAAACAAGGTCGTAGAAATAACTTTAAGAACTCTAGTTAAATTGTGGTGTTGATATTATTTTAACCCCTCCCCGACGGAGATTAAATACAATTCTGGTTCGTATTAGCTAAGCCGTTCACACAAAAAAATAATAAAAATAATAAAAAATAAAAGTCATTTTATTGATTACCAAAACTTCCGATAAAGGACAAAGGAAAAAGGTCTGTATACAGGAGTTGCAACATTGGAGTATTTTAAAATTCAGATGATTTTGTGTAATTAGCAATAAACGAGTAAACTGTACAACCCCAGTTCAAAAAGGTCAACCATTTAATACAGTTGTTTATAAATTGCACTATTATTGAGCAAATTTATAGATTTAGAACTCTTGTATTTGAACTTAGTATTCTCTCATAAGCCTCATAAGCTAATTCACATAAGCTAATTCACATAAGTTAATTCTCATAAGCAAATTCTCTTTAGTCATATACGTATATCCATGATTCCCTCAAACAAGAGATACCTCAACTTTTGGTCAGCATGGTCTTAGTTATAGATTCTTTACTAGTTAGTCATTCATTTGCTAATTTGATGTTTACTTCATATAATTATAGATGCAAATTTAATTAATTTCGTGTTAATTAATTAATTTCCGTATTGTACAATGGAGAACACAAATAGCTTAAAGTATATAATTTATGAAATTAGATTAAAGATCGAAAAGACAATTAAACAGTCAAAGTTAGAGATTTTTACTAAATGCATACACCTATGATACAAGTTAGTAGGAGAATGTAGCTGATTATACCATCTTGGACAAGTAGTTCAGATTTAATGTAGAGGATGTCAGTAAATCGTAGAAAAGAATTTGTACTGTTACGGCAATGTACCTTGAATTATCCCCAACTTGAAACACATGCTCAATGGTCTATATTTTATTTTATTTTAATTGCTTCGTGCCTCGAGAATAAATCTCTAAAGCCACTCCTTTAACACTCTTACATCATCCACAGTTAAATTCTTAGCACCAGGTGACGACTTACCCAATTCAAGGAAATGAAACGACTCATACCTGCCAAATGCGGGGTCAAAAAAAACGGATTTATGTATTTTTTGCCTGCACTCTAAGGAAAATATTTAATGTGATGGACCAAGATCAGGAGCAATAGAGTACCGACACGGTGAACCTAGAACTAGAATATGCCAAGTTGCATTCAAAATCAGTGACTAATATTTTATTACTATAGAAGTATTTAAGGTTTCAAAGCTTTAGTGGAGTTGCACAATGTGACATGAACAATTTTTATCTTTTCAGCTTTTATTCACAATCTACTCTTTGGAAACAAGACAGTTCAGGTCAAGCTAAGCCGTACATGCTATCAACAGCTTCTACAAGTGTCAGATAAAAATAAAAATACCCGCCTCGTATTGATCTCTTGTTCGTTCCCCTATATTTATTTTTTTCTATAATTATATTCTTTTCTTAAATTCGCCAACCCTTATTGTTCCCAACTAAAAACAAACCCCTTCTCGAGTTGCCCAGATGGCGTAACTGTTGTGAAATCAGGCTGCATGTCATTCTTGACCACAGGTGCTCTTTACTCGAACTGGTAGGCTTTGGCGCGTCAACCAAAAAAAAACAACCTCACTTTTATTGCAAAAATTACCCTTTTAGGCAGTGATGGAGTGCTGCAATCTCATTTCCACATTCAGTATATTCTTTTTCTCGCTAATTTTTCTTTGCACCCAGCTAAACTGTAGAGGAGAACAATGCACCTTTTGCCTCCTTCCTAGTATAGAAATGTGCCAATTGCGTATGGCAGGAAGAGGAGGGAGAAGAGGAGAATTTCCAAAATGAGACTGAACGTCGTACTTCTCGTCCATGCACATGGTAAAATCTTTAAAAATCTTCTTTGTATATAAGGCGTCCATCTTCCTGTGGTAATACTTACTACTTTCTTTTAAATCATCAATACAGCCACCAAGTGTCTCTCTTTTAATCAAGCACTCTCCTACAAAACACATATAATTATACAATGAAGTTGTCCAACGCCACTCTTTTAGCTGTACTTGCTACTGCTTCCTTTGTTTCAGCTGCCCCAACTGAACATGCCTTTGAATCCACCGCCCTTGTCACCAGACAAGATGCCACTGATCTTCTTGATATCCTTTCTGAATTGAAGACTGTAAATGCTAAGAGAGACTTGGCTGAAGGTGATGACCACACTGAACTCTCCAAGAGAGCCGACTCCCTTATTGGTCAATTGATCACCGCCCTTGCCAACTCTGGTATCATTGGTGAAATTTGGACCACCATGACTACCGACCCAGCTATCAAGTCTGAACTTGGTGCTTTAATCAAGGGTGCTGTTCAACAAGCTATTGTTTCTGGTCCAGCTTTAATCAAGGCTTTCTGGAACTCTGGTTTGATTGGAAATGTTTTCAAGACTCTTCTTAACGATGCTGACTTGAAGAGTGTTTTACTTGGAATTGCCAAGTCTCTTTTCTCCACTGCTTCTAACATTTTGCTCAGTTACGGTAAGGGTGGTTCTACCACTGCTGCCGCTGCTCCAGCTCCAGCTGCCACCCCAGCTGCTTACAAGAGAGAAGATGTCTTGGACAAGAGAGATCTTGCCTCCTTGATTACTACCATTGTAACTGAAATTAAAAACTCTGGAATTGTCTCCTCCTTGATTAACAAGGTTTTGGCTGACCCACAAAAGTCCATCTCTTTGTTGACCACTGCCTTGTCTAAGGGAGTTGTTCTTTTCCAAGATGTGTATGGCTGGGCCAAGCAATCTGGTGTTTTGGACTCTGCCCTTAACTACTTGAAGAATAACGGTGGTTCCATTGTTAAGGCTTTGGGTTCTTTCCTCGCTGGCGAGCTTTCTAGTGGTGGTCTTTCTGCCTCTGACATTAATAATGCTCCAGGTACCGCTGTTGGAACTACCACTGCAACTGCTGCCGCTGCCCCAGCTGCTGCTGCTCCAGCTGCAACTACTGCCGCCACCGTTTACAAGAGAATGCTCTATTAAGCACGTTTGCCCCAAAAATGCATTGAATTTAATACCGGCATTGATTGCCAAACAGAAATATACCCTCTGTTCGCATCGAGTATCCTCCTCAAATCAAACACCCTACCTACCCATAATTACTTAAAAATTTCTCCAAGGTTCTAATACCTTCTTACTCTTCGGTTAACAATCTTTTGTTATTCAATATTTAGCACTTTAGTTCAATTCATACGTATCAAAAAGGAAATATATGTAGTATAGTAAATTGCAAAGAAAGAAAGAGTAAGATTAATAATAATAATCACCTATTATATAAAGTGAAAGACATGTATAACACCCGAGCAGATGAATATAAGAATGTGAATGTGTTTTCTGATTAACAAAGAATTACTCTACAAGAATTAGGAACACCAATATAACACGTGGAAGATAAACAGCTAAACTTTGGCCCAAAGATGAGTCGCTTCAACAGCCTACGTAGTGCCACACCGTCCATATTGTTTCTTGCTTATAGATAGTTAGGTATGAACGGTAAACTTCATAAGAATTTGAACTCTTTTTTCATGCCTAAAATGGGGGGAAATCAAATGAAAAGCTTTTCACTCTTCCTTATAATAATTCTCCTAATCAAGTATAAAAACAAAGCCAATTTCAGCAATGAGCCCTTATACTTCTTGAAGCTCTTGGAATATTCTAATAACTCAGTACTATAAGTGGTTAAAATGCTATTTTTATTTGTTGTTATTTTCAAGACTACATACCAGTGCACCTAGGACCACATGTTTTCCCTCCTTCCAAACTCCTCGATGGCAGGCAGAAACTTGCATATTCTTGTCCTTTTCCGAGTGATTCTCGAACCAGCCTCAAAACAAGCGCTCAGGACTTCTATTTTTCGCTTAAATGTTAGACAAGTACCAAATATAGAGATTCAAAGCTTCATATCTTCAACAAACCAAGACCCACCTTCAAACTTATCACTCAGCACTCGTCTTGGAGTTTTATCCAACCAAATCAAACACCAGTAATAGATTGAATGTCAAAAAAACAAAAAAAAAAATAAATGTCGAATTCTCGAGGACTTCTATGCTCTTCCAAACGAAAGGAGGTGCAGGTGTAAAAAATATTAGTTGTTTTTCCATTTTGGAAAATGTGATCACAATCAATATCCACCTTCAAGAGGAATTTACCAGTCTGCAACGCTCGTGCAATTGACGACAAGTGACAAACAATCTGGTGATACCGCTACTTCAGATTCACTTCGTGTTTACACATTCCAGTCTCATTGCCCGAAAATAGACTAATTGAGCGTTGTATATCCCAAACTAGAAATCGAATTGGTTTTTGTGGACACGGAATTGCTCATTCCTATCTGTTAATTGCATTTGTTCACATAAAATTCTCCGCTGGACGAGCATTCAAGATTTACTTTAAGCCATAGTTCTCCTATTATTCTACACAATATTCAATCTACCGTGTAAGAACGCGTTTTTAACCCTTTTTCTCCTTTAAAGTATTCATCATGAAGCCCAAAGGAATGCATAGAGCAATCGGATTTATCAAAGAGAAATAAAAAGGCGTAGTCACTGCATTTTCGCCAGGAAAGAATTGCCGCACATACATCAGGGAAAAATAAAATTCGTGATCCTGAGTTATTCTGCATCGATTAGGTCAACTCTACATTACAACTGGCTCGCATAATGCGATCAAGTTTGTGTTTGAGGAGACCTCGCACATGTTTAGTTACTGAACAATGCCACCCTCCCGCAATTAGTAGATTGAATTCTCAAGGTGAAAACTTCTATGTTGCCAAATTTTCCCTCTTTTTATTTTTCATAAAAATTTTTTATTTTGTAGTATTTTTTTCACATTCAGATTAGTGCCCTGGAGACATATCTCGAGAATTTTTCACTCCAATGCCCTTGCAAAAGTAGGGCCACTTATACTGTGTTTGTAGGCGACATGTAGGTTAATTTCAATGCCAGAAAGTATGCCCTAGAGCTTATTATATTTCCGCTTTCGCTTGAGCTTTTAGCCGACTCTCTTCCTTGCTTGAAAGGAGGCCCTACGTTTATTGTATTAGCCATTTCGCGCATACACCACTCCATGCATGTAATCACTTTCAACACCAATGCAGATGCCTTGCATGATTGATGATAGGCAAGACCCACACTCGGACTAAATGCGTGATTCTGTGCATGTACTATTCTCCTTAATTGTGCAAGAGTATTTAGCCAAGCGAGTCGGCGTGCAGGGGCCAAATTAAGGCAGCTAACATAGTACACAACCAATTATAGTTTCTAAGCTAAAACCTCCTCTTAGAGTGACTTAGACGGAAGCTCATACGATTATCGGGGAAATTCCAGCAATTTAGGCTAATTGTATTGTTTTATCATACGCGAAGTCTAACTGTTAAACCCTTTTTCTTGTTCTTTTGTCAAAGTAGACGAGCTTATTGTTAAGCGCGCACGAATAAAAAATACGCATATAAGGCTGCAGGATGCATACTTCTATAGGAACAAGGGGGGGTCCACAAACAAGACATTCAGCTTATTGCGGCCTTTGATTGAATCTGACTTCTTTAATATAAATACAGATGAAGAACGTCCAGTAATTGGCGATTCTTACTTCATCATACCTTATACACATATTCAATACATTATTAAAAAATGCTTTTCGCTTTAGCTACCCCAGGCTCAGCCTTCAAGCCATCTCTCAAGAAGCCAAACAACACGTGGAGATTGAAGAAGTTCAAGTCTGTCTACCTCCAAAAGGGTGGTTCTCCAGACGTTTCCAGATCATCATCCTCGTCATCCAGTATCCAAAGTGACCTCCGTTTTTAAAGCGTCCTACTTCAGCTAGCTGATTAGCTTCATCAAATCCACAACCCCATATTTACGTCACTAGTTCATTGGACAGTGTACGCCAAAAAAAAAAAACAGATATGTATACATATTTTTTTTTTTCATTTTTAGCGCCCTGGCGTTCGAATTTCAAACATACAATTGGTACCATTCCAACCATCATAACCATTAATGACAACAAGCCATCTATGCCGACGTTTCGCCTGAACTGGATTCTAGGTGCACTCGGCCTTTTAGTATTCATATTTAAATAATATTACATTTTACTTGGGAAAATACATTCTAGAGACGGAGATCTCTGTGTAGATTTAGTTTGATTTTCAGCGGGTCTAGATTTAGATTTAGTTCTATTGTGGTTTGCATACCTTAAAATTTTGTTTTGTGATACGTCAAAAAAAGAGGGTTTCACCGTAAAGGTTAAAGAGGTTCTAGCATCTGTTTATTTTGAAGTTACTGGCAACCATTCAGTTTGGCTTGTGCCATTTCCGATCAAACATTCTTCGGAGTTCATTTTTAAATTCCTTCACAATTTTACACCATATGTGTTCCCCCTCTAGTTTTGAAAGAAAAAAAAAGATTTATTCTTTTATCATTCGGCTTATATATTAGCCCTACTGTCTTTTAGACTTAATTTATTGACTTGCCAGTACAAGGAGATGAATAAGTCCGCCTATTTATAGGAACATCACAGCCCCATTTAAACTTCAGTTGTACCATGTATGACTTCTTTTCCTAGTATAAAACTGTCTAAACTGCTAATAATCTACGATTCATCTATTTTTAGAATGTATAAAATGTATTTTTATACTATGTAAAATCCGTCTAACTTTTAAATTTTCTATTAGGACTCTTATAACTTACTCAAGGACTAACTTCACTGTAATCCTCCTCATCCTTTTCCATGGCAGGATCCCAAGTGGCTCTAGGAACAGACAATCCTTCACGACTACGTCTTTCTCTCTCAAACTCTCTCCAGCGCTTCATTTGAATAGATGAGGAGTCAAACTTACCTTCCACTTCACCATGATTTCCCTTGTCACCCCCAGATACCAATCTTGTTTCACCCCAACTAAAATCATCAAACTTCCAATATGAGTAAGAAGGAAGCACGAAATTCCAAATAGGTAAGGCAAGAATGTAAATGAAGAAATATACAACATAAGACCATGAAGAAACGGTAATGACAATCATCATCCCGGGTAACCCGAAAATAATCGCCAAAAGAACTAAGGACATGATTGGAGTAGGATGGGAAACAATTGCAAAGACAACAACATAAATGGTAAAGACCAAAGCAACTGGTAAAATCAAGGTACCGACTAATTCAATGGCAATAACGAATTGCATAGAGAAACAAAATGTACCACACAAATCCTTAACAAGGACCAATTCCATCAAGTTATGCACAGTAGAATTAATCCAACGACGACGTTGGGAAAGTAACACCTTGAAAGTATCTGGTACAATAGTTTTACAAGCAGCCTTTGGAATGAAGATCTGTTTTCTTTTAGGGAAAGTTCTCAACATTAAAGAAGAAAGATAACGATCTTCACCCAAAAGTAACAAATTCTTTCTGTGTAAAGTATCAACAACATTATCTGAATATCTTTCGACAATATCAGGATTGGCCAAGATTGGAACCCAGTATCCGTCATTACCCTTTGGAGCCTTGATTCTATACATACAGAAACACCCAGGTAAACATGTAACACCACCGAAAACGGATTCGAATGCCTTGGCAAGATGATGGGAAATATAGTATTCAAAGACTTGAATAGCTGTAACCCAAGTTTGTGACTTATTGGAAATCTTTGTTTCCCCACAAAGTCCCATGACCATTGGATCTTTAACCATTTCTGCAACCATATGGGTTAAGCAATCCGGATACACTTTAGTATCAGCATCCACCATGAGAAGAATTTCATAAAACTCTGCCATTATACCAGTGACTCTCCAGATAGAATTAAGCATTTCAAATTCAAATTCAGTCATTCTTTCGTCAAACATAACCTTTTGTAAGAAAGACATAAGCAAGATTTGAGAGTCACGCTTACCTCTGTTACCAGGCTTTGCAGCATTGGCTTCTTCAGGTGTACCACACTTCACAACAGTAAGAACAGGAACTCTTTGTTGCTTTTCAAGAGGAACACTGTCAGTGTACTTGTAGAAACCAGAGTACAACTTGGCCATGTTATGTCTCTTGGAACCTTGGGCAACAGCAACATAGGAACATGGTTTCACGTCTTCAGGGGCAATAGTAAAATCAGTCATCATCAGAAGTGCAATTTCAGGAGTAGTCAAATCATTACCGGAACCCTTGATGAGACCATCACATACAACAACAATAAGTTTATGAGAGTTTGGATAGTCAGTAGTACAAAGAGAGTCCATAGTGGTACGTAAACCTTCTTCATCTTCAGAATATGCTGTGACAATAATCATCGTGTGAGCCAATGGATACCCAAAAGGCATGTAATTAGCAGGTGGCTGAGGAACAACATCTGGATGAATGATATCTTGAGAAAGTCCACTGACTGTGAAGTCATCAAATGGGTTGTAAACAGAGTTCGGTCTAGATGGCGAGAGCAAATCTTGCGTAGATGAACGGTAAAGAGTTCTAGATGCCAGCTTGCTATGTCCCTTTTTAAGCAGAGCAGCCTGAGTGGTCATGGTAGTATATTTAATTCCACCTGGAGTATTCAAAGAATGGTCTTGATTGGCCAATCTTGTTGCACCACCCTTGATGAAAACACTCTGACGATTAGTTTTAGCAGTGTGATAGTTTGCTCTTTGTTCTTCAGGTACGGTATTAATAGGAGCTCTTGATGATGGATCATCTACCCAATTTTCAATTTCCTTGTTACGAGCATAACTTGACTTATTATCTAAGATATTAGCCCCTTGCTTTGCAGAGATGTACCAACGGAAATAACAAGCCATTAAAAACTTGGCAACCACAACAGCCAAAATGAAAATCAAAGAAACGTATAAAACAACTGAAGATGCGATACATCCAATAGTTTCAGAATCGATGGTACCAACCTTGATGATTTCAGTAAGACATCTAGCAGCTCTTCTTTGTTCACTATTGGTAAGAGCCAAAGAAATATCATGACCACGGAATGCCATATCATCTCTAATTTGATTGAAAAGTTCAGGATAAGTGAGATCATCAGTTTGGAACCAATTGATAAGGTCCAAATCTAAAACATCCCCAGAATAAACCACAAGGTTTCTACTGGAGTTTCTGATATCATCCCAAGTGAAATAAACGTCACCGTTAACCTTTAACCCGTAGTAGGCGTCTCTGGCTACGGTACTAGTATGACAAGCCCAACCATTGTAGTATGGCTTGGAAAAGTTAGCCTTGGTGGAACCATCTTGGTTCATCAAATGACATGGCATATACCAAGCCAAATCTTCAAAATTATCACTATGTGGGATGGTACTGTTGTCACGAGCCTTGATCAAGCCCTTACAGTTACCGTTCACATTTTGGAACAAGAAGGAAGCATCCATTCCCCCAGCATTAATTGGTGGATACAAGACATTGGCACCAGCTGTGATACCAGCAGCCTTTGGATGTTGGGATGCACCCAAGTCATATGCACGGCCATTGATAATAAGGTTATTTGTTTGAACCTCATTGATTCTAGTTCTTGGTCTTTGTTCACCACAAACAGTACGGGTAAACCCAAAAATGATATATGCAACAATGGCCCCCATCATGAAAATACAAGAAATAAGAGCGATTTTTTCTCTCCAAGCATATTGTTGTTCTTTAGTCTTGATCCCGAAAAGTTTAAGTAATGGGGCTGGAGCCCAAAAGGTCACAATATAACAGTAAACCTTCCAGAAATCCACATCTTCACGTTCGGAATCCTTATCTGATGCAATTTTGTTGGGGAGGATTTTCCCACCAGCGTTAGTGGATCCTCTTTGAGTAGGCTTTGAGGTTGATTTGATGACATTGTTTTTATTTGGGGAGTAGTCAAATTCGTCATTAAGCCCGAAAACTTCTCGACCACCTCCACTGTTGCTGCCTGTAGGCAGCGAAGCCTTATGCATATCCATAAGAGGAATACTGGCATCCTCACCATCTTCCATTGCCTCGTTGTGGGCAGTGAGCTTCGATGCTTGGGAAGTTTGTGGAGCTAACCCAGTGGATGATGGGAGAATCTTCAAATGAGAAGATTCCTGATTAGCAACTTGGGTGTAATGGTATCTAGGATGAGAGGGATCTATTCTTGACCGTTCAGGTTTGACGAGTGATCTCTTTCTTGTGACGTCACCGGACTCAGGGTCAAACTCCTGGTACTTCGACGAGTTTGCACTATGTCTCATGGACATGATGACTAAGGTTTGGAGATGCTATGGTATGAATGGTAGATGAATTGAGTGGTAGATTGATCTACGTTGTGAGGACGGCGGAGGGTGCCAAACTGGTTAAACAGGGATCCTAATTTATGAATAAATGGCTTCCCTAGTTGAGACAGTGTTCTCTTTCTCTTGTAGACTGGTACCTCAAGCACAAGGAGGGTCGGTGTGTAAGTACAGAAGAGTGAAGAAAAAAGACACGAATAGGTACTATAGGCAATTTTTACAGGGCGGGTATTTTTTTTTGATCTCGACCTGCGGTAGAAAATGAGGGAAGGAATTTAACCCAGAAAAAAAAAAATAATAATAATAATAAACAGAAACCTAAAAATATATAGAAGTTGAGACAATGTGCAGACACATCAGAGGATGAGATCGTTGCTGATATTTAGAGATTAACATATTTGTCAGTATCAGTTTCGGGGGTACCTTTCAAAGGAAAGAAAAAGGAAATGTAAACAACCGGTTGACTAGCGACAATGTGTAGTGTATGCTATTTTAACCGCTATTGTGTGTACAGCAATGGCCATTTGTTCGCTGTTGGAAGTTTTTTTTTTTTTAAGTGTTGTTGTTATTTACCATTTGGAGTTAATTTAGTGCAGGATCGGGGCACTGCTGCAATTATGGACTTGTAAAGGAAGGGAATCTTGGCTAGATAAAGTGGGATAGGGCCCATATCCAGGGTAATATATATAGCGAGAATGAGTTTCTAGAGTGAATATTGAAAAATTCATTGTTCCTTATTTTGAAACTGTTTTAGTAATTTTGCATGAAATATAAGAGACACGTTAAGGAGTAAGTTTAAGAAGAAAGTTTAGGAGAAAATTAATGATAGAAAATATGATATAGGGTTTATATGGATTTTGTACTTATACGATGAGCATGGATGGGAATGCTGTGTCTTTATTTTGAAACAATTTATTGTCATAGGGATTCAAACGTTAACCATGGTTCCTATGTTTCTTCATTCTGGATTTGAATTTGATATGTTTTTTTTTTTAATTCATTTATTTATTTTTGACAAAAAAGTACAAAGGGTTAAATTTAAATTTTGAGAAGAATTTGACATTTTGAAATGTATTTTGTTGAAAGTCACATGATATGGATCACACCAGCATGGTCACATGACTTACTAAGAAAACTCTAATTCTTTTAGAGTATCGATGTAACTATATTTAATTAGTTTAGTTTTGAGTACATATTTATTATTATGAAGAGAACAGCCTCTCCATTACCAAACCCTACAAAGGGCAATAAGATAAGAGATTCTTTGGGGTTTAGAATAAGAAATCAAACCTTGGAGAAAGCTAACCGTACTGCATTTGATGTTCTTGGAGAAACTCAAGCAGAAGATCTTTCACGTACTAAAACGATCAATGAAGAAGAAGCTGAAGGTGCCAGCTATGTAATTGATGGACCACTCCGCCGGGTGAATGCGTACTACTTCACTTACCTCACCTACTGTAAACTTCGTTGGAGAGATAGAAAGCTTGTAGATCTATTCACTGAAGAGTTTAGAGATCGAGATGCTGATTTTTATCGTAAAACGATTGCAGAAGGACAAATCATGCTTAATCGGAAACCAGGAAACCTTGAATCTGTCGTTCGTAATGGTGATCTTATCAGTCATAGATGTCATCGTCATGAACCACCAGTTCTGTCTAGACCTATCAAGATCGTTCATGAAGATGACAAGATCATTGCCATAGATAAACCCTCTGGGATTCCAGTGCATCCTACGGGGCGTTATAGATACAACACAATAACTAAAGTTTTCCAACACGAGTTTGGAATGGTGGTGCATCCATGTAATCGATTGGATAGACTTACGTCAGGGCTCATGTTCCTTGGGAAGAGTGCTAAGGGTACTGATGAATTTGTACAACAAATCAGAGATAGAACCGTTAAAAAGGAATATCTTGCAAGATGTGTTGGGAAATTCCCCTTGGGAGAAGAAAAACCCGTGCTGGAATCTGGAGAAAGTGTCAGTGATGGGATCAAAATACTAGTAGATAAGCCATTAAGAACAGTTGCTCCTAAGGTTGGATTGAATAGAGTTGATGAAGTCAATGGTAAGGAAGCCGCCACAGAATTCCAAAGAGTGTCTTATGATCCAGAAACAAATACATCAATTGTCAAATGTCGACCACTTACTGGTAGAACACATCAAATTCGAGTCCATTTACAATATTTAGGACATCCAATTGCCAATGATCCTATTTATTCAAGTGAATATGTATGGGGTCCTGAGTTGGGTAAAAATGGGGCTGGAGATGACGTTGAGATCGAGGCAAAATTAGACTCTGTTGGAAAGACAAGGTCAGCATCCACATGGATCCATAAGGAAGCTGATGGTGAAGCATTGGCTGAAAATCAATGTGAGATCTGTGGCACTGATTTATATACTGACCCGGGCCCCAATGATTTGGATTTATGGCTCCATGCTTACAAGTACGAGGCAGCAGACTTGTCTTGGTCATATCGAACAGAATATCCAGAATGGGCCATTGAACCACACAGAAAATACATGGAAATGGCCTTGGAAGAGGCCAATAAGTGTGGAGAAACCACTACCCAATACAATGTTGGGGCTGTATTGGTCAATAATGGAGAAGTATTAAGCACCGGTCATTCCAGAGAATTGGAAGGTAATACCCACGCGGAACAATGTGCCTTGAACAAGTATTTTGAAAAAACAGGTACCACCAATGTTCCTAGAGGAACAGAAATATATACAACCATGGAGCCTTGTACATTAAGACTCAGTGGAAATTTACCATGTACAGAACGTATCTTACTGTCAAACATCACCACGTGTTTTGTCGGGGTTGTTGAACCAGACACTTTTGTACAGAATAATAGCAGTAAGAGTAAGTTGGAGAAGGAAGGGATTGAATATATTCATATCAAGGGGTACGAGGAGAAATGTTTAGAGATTGCGAGAAAGGGACATGAAAATATTAAGAAAGAGTAGTTAATAATAATAATAAATATACACTACATTTATAAATAATAAGAGGAGAATTCTTTATTTCTATTACTATTCGCTATCAGAAAAGTTTATCACTACTTCTCTTCTGGAATATAAAAAGACATCCCTTCTATTTCTACTGCTACCAACAGCATCTGGTTCTTCATTAACAACTTGGCTGGTTGTTTGTCTTGCATTTGTTGAACCAAAGTTTTCCAATTGTATAGCATCTCCTTGAGCAACTTTAATTGGTGGGGTTGATACACTGACTGATCTTGGAATTGCCAAACCGGTGGCAATAATAAGATCGGTAAGATTTAATATCGTCAGTTTCGTTTTACCCAAAAGGGATACAATTTTGTTCCCTTGTACCAGATGTGTTATATGATTCTCCTTGGGTCCATTCTGGGAGGTGGAGTTTTCGTTGTCATTATCATTATTATTTTCGTCATTTTCATCATTATCATTATCATTATTTTCATTTTCAGTGAATAGTTCAAATCTATCCAATTCATATAGTTCATCTTCGTAGAATCTTCTTCCCAAGAGTCCATCCTTTTCTCGTGCTCTTAATATCACATTTAATCTATTGCACCATTCCCATGGAATCACCACACAAATGACATAGGTGACACACAGAAACACTTCAGACAATTCCGAAACCCATGAGTTTGAAACATCGGCTATGAAAAACGCCACATGACTGTAGATCAAAACTGAAGTTAAAAAGGTAAGAAGCCATAGACTTCTATTACCAATGATTAAATTGATTTTGGTAAATATGTATACAGAAATGATTGCTGCGTAGCATACCCCCATAGCGATTCGAACCAAATAGATGAACGCTGGGAGAATATCCCCAGCCTCATCGTCAAGACGAAAGTCATGGAACTTTGTTACTGCCCATACAACTTGTGAGGTTAATGTACACACGACACCAACCAACAAGGTGAATCTTTTATCCTTCTGACGCAGGAATATTCTCATGATGACTTGGGCCTGGTTTATTTGAAGAAGGATAACTACAATAAGATCTAGAATGTTCAACACGTTACTTGTGTTTATGAAATCCAATAGTTCAGCTCCATGGAGATATCCCTCTGCCTGTTGTTGGTTCAAAAGCTGTATCGTTAAGATCGTCGTAACCAAAAGATAGATCGACAGGAGGGTTGTAGATGCCCTAAGAAGAAGAGACGCCTTGATCGTGTAGTTTGTAAGCACAAAGATGGTTAGAAACCAAGTTATCACTGCCAGGGCAGATATTGAATACACCACGGGAACTACACTGTAGGCAAACGCACCCATGTCACTGTCTAAGGTCCACAGGTTCCACGAGTCCGCCATAAGCGGTAAAGGAGTCGCGAACTGGTTCATGATGAACCCAACGTTGGTGTCCAACATCGGGATGGCGTCCTGGTAGCAGGACTGCCGGTAGGCAGCACTATGAATGAATTGCGCTTCATCGATCTTGTTGGAAACTATCACCCCCTCCGGTAAGGTGATCTGCGAACAAGACGGGAAATGTGTCGAGTCATCTGACGGATCACGCCAGTGCATCAACCTAATTTTGGATTGCATTATATTAACCTCCCTTATTATTTAACACGGCTCTACTACAAGTACTAATTCGTACAAAAGTCAAAAAAAAAAAGATTTAGAAAAAGGATCGCCTTTGCAGCGGGACTGCATTTACGCCACTCTACCAGTTTTAAACGAGTGGGGGAGATTTTGTCATACAGTCATACTGAACCGGATAAGAACAAACCCTGTGCAAAGCAAAAAAAAAATACAAAACAAAAAAAAACAAGGGACTTAGAGCATACGATTAATTTTCGGGTTTGGTCTTTCCTAGAGTGGTAACTTTTTCATTCCCCTACAAGGCCAATAATTACGTACATATGTTACCTTATCTGTAAATTCGCAACCTTTTCTTCTCTCCGTTTCGTCTATTTGTGAAAATTCGCATTAAATCCTAAAAGAGTAGTGCCCATTGAACAAAGTTGCCGTACCTTAGTTTGTAAACGTGACGATTTCTAATCTCTGTCTTTGCAGGGTAATTGTTTCTGACTTCTGCTACTCTTTAATTCGGGTGTAGAGTGGTGAAGAGCAACTAATACTCCATTTCCTACTGTTTTTCCCCTTTTTTCTTTGCATTCTTTTATCTTGGGGGAATCAATTCATTTCAGTTTATTTCCAGTTCGGTGACTTTTCTTGCTTGATGTACAGTTTGATTTGCTATGACTGGTGATTCTAAATCTAGTGGCTCCACTTTAGTGACACCTGTTCCTCACCGGCCCGGTAATGGCGAGTCGACACATTCACGGACGGTGTCTGCGGTGTCCCATAACTATTCCTTATTGGACATTTATGACTCCCCGTCTCCACCTCCACCACCACAAGGATTTGGACACACCCAGATTGACGAGAACACCGGTTCTGTTGATATAGACGATATCTTGGAACAGCCGGATATCACTGCATCTACCAATGATAACACAGACTTGGAGATCAAAACAGTTGACGACGAATCAACGAATGCATCCATTGCCGTTGATCTCTCGTCATCAACACAAACATCCACCACAGCTTCAACCAATGATTCACAACAATTCACCACTCCAATAACTCTGTATCCAAATTCCGAAACCATTCTCAAATCAAAGTTTGATCGGTATGGATTTAAAAAGGTTTCCTCTCAAGTTAACTATTCAAATGACGAATATAATGATTGGTTTGTAGGCTATACGAAATATTCTTCAGTCATTAAGAAAAAATGGACTCTTTTACTCAAGAGCAACGGATTAAAGTCATCTACATCACCACCAACCAGGTTCCCTCCTAAATCCGACAAGGTGAAAAAACTTATTAGAAAGGGGATCCCGCCAGAATGGAGAGGTAATGCATGGTTCTTTTATGCTGGCGGTTATGAGAGACTCAACAAACATACAGGGGTATATGAACGCATTGTGAAAGACACCACAGGGATCCATAACAAGGACACTGAGGTGATTGAACGGGATCTTAACCGGACATTCCCAGATAACATTTATTTTAACAAGCTGTTACAGGGGTCAAACACAACCAATGAGGATATCTTGGAGGCATCTACAATTACATCACTTCGAAGAGTCCTCACTGCATTTGCTCATTATCAACCTCAAATTGGATATTGTCAATCACTTAATTTCCTTGTTGGGTTATTATTGTTATTCATGTCGGAAGAACGAGCGTTTTGGATGTTGGTGATTTTAACTGAAAGGATCATCCCCAAGGTTCATTCTGCAAACCTTGAAGGAGTTCATATCGACCAAGGAGTTCTTATGTTGTGTATAAAGGAGTACATCCCACATCTTTGGTCAATATTGGGGAAGAATTTTGAAGGGGAACAACTTTCAGAAGATAAGATATTGACAAGATTACCACCTATAACGTTAGTGACATCTTCATGGTTTATGTCAGTGTTTATTGGGTTACCAATCGAAACAACTCTTCGCATTTGGGACATACTCTGGTACGAAGGGTCCAAAACATTATTTAGAGTGTCATTAACTATTAGTAAAATGTGTTTGGAGAATCCAGAATTTCAAGTATCAAGACAAAATAGTAATAGTGAAGTTGAACAAATTGAATTATTTCAATTTATGCAAAATTTCCCGAAAACCATTTTAGATCCAAATATTTTGGTTGATCATTGTTTTAAAAAGATTGGAGGATATGGGTTTGGATCACTTTCACAGGATGAAATCAATCAATGTAGAGAGTTTGTATCGAAACAACGGGCCAAATTGAACAACAAGAAGCATACGGCACTTACGGCAGAGATGAGTGACGACGAACGAAGAGCATTGGAGACGGCTGGGGCCTTTGATGGGGATATCCATGATGTTTATGGATTCCATAGATCGATCATGAGTGGCGTTGTATGGAATAAGAATATTAGCAACATCATGAAGAAAAAATTCACTAAAAAGTCAAAATAAAGAGAATATATAAGCAGGCGGGACATTAAAATTTGGGATTATCCATTATATATATATATATAGTAGTTAGCATATAAACATAGCATTAAAAAGGTTTTGAAGAGAACTTGTAGATCGTTTAAGATCGTTGTAGCAAATTGTCTCTTTTTTTTGTGCGCATATAATGTGCTCATATATTCAAAAAAATGAATGATGGAGAGTTTGTAGGAGTAGGAAGAGAAGCATAAAGAAAAGTATTGCTAACTACTAGAGCTTTTAGGTACAATGCAATATCCATACTTACTCTCCAAGAGACTTGATCCTATATTTGCGATTGCCATCGGCGTGGCTTCGTATTACTCATATGAAAAGAGAACTGGAAGACCAGAAGGTCGTACATTGAATGAGCTTTTAGTTAAAAAGTATCAACAATTAACTAGTGGTCAATAGAGAAGATACCAAGACATGAGAGAATCCAAGATAATGAAGTGAAGTGACGTAGGGAGAAGTCGAGCTTGCTGAATGATAAACCACGTATTGGTTCGTTCCAAGGGTTGTTCTGTGCTATGACTATATTTAATGTTACTCAATAGACCTTCCTATCTTGTAAGGTCTCTAAATTTGTTACGTACTGGTATATGTATTATAGTAAATTGAATTTATTCTTATTATGGTCCTTGTTATTATTAATTCACACTTTTTTGTAATCTTTCAAATGCTATCTCAGCATTGGCAGAGCCAAGATCTTCAACCAAGACAGCCTTAAGTTTAGTCCAAGTTCCCTGCGGTATAGTTCCGGGAGAGAAAGCAGCTGGGGAAACGGTTTCTGGATCGTCCAAAGTAGATGGTGTAGCCTCGACTGTGTTTACCTCTTGAGGCTTAGGAGGACTAACCATGCACATAAACGAAATTTCATCACTGGCAGCAACAGCTACGATGGAAAGTGCAGATGTGTCCGGGATGACCTTCCCCTTGACCAACATCTTGATGTCCGAAGCAGTGACACCAGCATCTTTCAATAATGGCAATGCTTCGACTAAATCAGATTTCACTTTGTAAACAGTATGTGTTTCCGGGACGTTCACCAACTGTGTACTGAACTTGAATGGAGGCTTGATAGACTTGAACGAGAGCTTGAACAGTCTGGTTTCTGCGACACTGGTCTCAGCACCCTTCTTAGGTAATACTGCCTTCAATTTAGGAAGGGTTGGACCTAATGATGCAAGCTTTCCGTATTCAGTAGTTGAATAGAATTCGTTGGCTCCGGCATCTTCCGACAAACTGATAAGTTCAAGAAAGGCAGAAGCGAATGGTCTTTCAACAGTGGTCATACTTGAATTTCAGGAAGTGTTGGGTATTAATGCGTGGCGCAAAAATATTAATATAAATATATGTATTATATAAATATAGGAAGGCTTTGATAGAGGGGCGAGCCTATCATATTGTAAGTGCGAATTTGGGAATTGGGATATAAATGATATAGTACGCATATGCGCACGACTCCACTATTACACTAAGAATCGTTACACTTCAACCATATATACATAGAAGGAACAAATCTACCGGAACAATGAGTTTCTTCAAAGCTTTCAAGCTGTCCTACACACCATTGTCACAAGAGGATGGTGCCCCCTTACCACCCCCAGCAACAGCATCTACTAGCCCAAACTCATTCAAAACCAAATTGGCAAAACTTAACCCTTTCAGAAACAGCTCTGTCTACCTTGAAGATGAAGAAAACTACGTCACTTCCGAGCCAGGAATGTTTGAACTCTCTAGATGGGATAGAATGCTCATTTTCGCCTTGACATTTGCTGGATCAATGTGTTGTTATTTGATTTGCATCTTTTTATTCCCGGTCCTTTCATTGAAACCAAGAAAGTTTGCCCTTTTATGGTCTCTTGGATCAATTTTCTTCTTGGTAAGTTTTGGGGTTTTACAAGGGTTCCAGGCTTATATGTTACATCTTTTCCTGTCAACCCGAATTATATTCACAGTGGTGTTCGCTACTAGTATCATTATGACTTTGATCAGTAGTTTATCCTTGCACAGTGCGCTTTTATCGATTATATTTGCTATCATTCAACTTATCAGTGCTTTATGGTATACTGTCAGTTACTTCCCCATGGGGACCCAGACTCTCAATCTTGCTAGTTCGGTTGCCAGAAGTCAAGTTGACGGTTGGATAAATTCTTAAATAGTGCAGTTCATATAATAAATGAAGATCTTTATTGTACTGTAGTATTTTTATATATACATCTATATTCATCTATGGTATTACTTTCACTTTCTATTTTTAAACAGTGAAGTATTCAGGGAATGAAGTGGACAATCCCTTTTCAACAACCTTGACAATAGCAGCATTTGCATCAGGATCAGATCTAGCAGTTGAGGCCAATTTGTTCACCATTGTATTAATCTCTTCCACTTGAATATCCTTGTATTTCGTCAAAATGGAATTCAAACTCTTGATTGCTTGCATGGCCAAAATGTATTTACCTTGTCTCAAATATAATTCATAGGCAAGTTCCCATGTAAGTTTGTTCAGTTTAGCTTCAGTAAGTAATGGTTTAAACAATTCAAAGAGATTATCCAAAACCTTACCATGACTATTGGTAATTAACCCAGATAACAAGTTTGAACCTAAAGGATCTTGATCGTCTGCCACTGATGCAACCTTAGCTACAAGTTCCTCCTTCTTCTTCATCACTTGAGCCTTGGCTTTCTTCTGCTTCTTACCATTCTTCTTTGGCTTGTTACTACCTGCAAGATCTCCTGATTCATTCTTCAATTTCTTAGATGCTTCTTGTTCTTCATAAATTTCCAAATAAATTTGAGATAATCCCTTAAGAACTCTACTGTAGATTGGTGTACCATGGATGTTGTCTTCCCATTTGAGTGTTTCGACATAATCTCTTGGAGTACCTCTTCTTAAACAATAAGAGTGGAAATCGAGTTGATCGTTGTAAAAGATATCAAAGACCTTAATAACGGCATGATATCTCTTCAATGCCAAACCTTTATAAAGTTCAATGTTTTCAATCAATTCATTTTCAATTGATTCAACAGAAATTTCATCACCGTCTTCTTCAACTGGTTCAGTGGTGGAACCGGCGCTAACACTGGCTCTATATTCACGTAACTTAGCTTCGAATTCATGATATAATCTGGAATAAGCTTCGGCACTTTCAATTAACACCCAATTCACTTGCATTAAATGCAAATCTTTACAACCATTGACAGCACCATCTTCCAACTTTGTGAATAAGGAAATAGTATCAATAGCCTTATCAACCTTGTTGGCTCTGAAATAATACTTGGTTGCCTTGGAATTGATAAATCTATCTTGAAGATCTAATTCACGGCCTTCATTCATTGCTTCTGCCGCTTGTTCAAATTGGCCTAAATGCTTCAAAATTCTTGCCTTAACAATATACAATTCAACTAAGGTTGGTGAATGCTCTAAAGCTTGATCAATATACTTAGTAGCATTTGTTAAATCATTCAAATATAAATAATGTTGAGCCAAAAAGTAACGAGTCCAAACGGTGACAGTTGGGATAAGTTTGGAAACTTCTTCCTTGTAGAACTTCAATACAAGCTCTTCAATAACCTTCATTTTAGCCTTATCCTTGTAGACTGGCTTAATGTTTACAAAAGTAGCAGGGATACCTCTTTGAAGTTGACTCAAAACGTATTCCTTTGCCTTATTCAAAAATTCAGGATGAGAAGCAGGTAAAAAGGTCAATGGTAAAAACTTGGGAGGATCAGAGCGTGGGTAAAATCTAGCCAATTTTTCATATAATTTAAGCCTAATATCAACTGACATTTCCAGAGTTTCCATGGCAACTTCTAACAAAGTGTAGTACAGAGAATTGTCTGGGTTTCTTTGCAACAATCTACGGTACACCAATGCAGCTTCCTTCTTCTCGCCCAAGAGAAGGAGGTAACGAGCACGATATTCCAATACTGATAATTTATCCTTAATATCTGGTTCGTCATGATTAAGACATTTCAAAGCCTTTTCAAAATCTCCAGCTTCACTCATAATGGAGTTCTTATACAAAAGACATTCGGAATGTTCAACCATATCAGAAGCCAGAAGATGTTCCTTAATAAGACCTTCGATCTTGGAAAGGGTAGAAATAGCTCCAGAATAATTTTTATTCAAATGTTGAGCAACAGCATTCCCAGTCCAGTTAGCTCTGAACCCCGGTTGTTCTTCAAGGAACAGTTGTCTTGAATCTTTCAAATTCTTATAGTCTCTGTTGTGAACTTGCATAGTGGCTAAATCACGTAAGATTTGCTTATTTTGAGATCCATTATCAATGGCAGCTTTATACCACTTTGCTGCTTCAGCATAATCTTCTACGTTACGGAAATAAATCCCAGCCAAATGATTGACAAGATGGTTTCCTGGAGCACGAGCAAGACCCTTTCTAACATAAAGGTCAGCTTCAGCCTTGGTGCTTACAAAATGGTTGATACAACCTTTAAGAGCTAATGATTCCGCATGATTTGGACTTTTCTTTAACGTTTGTTCAACAAGTTTAAGTGCCTTCTTATATTGTTTGGAATCATAAAGTGAAAGAGCTTCACGAAAGGCTGTATCCTCCTTGGAGGACAAAACTGGTGTACGTCTTACAACCATCTTAGAAAGCCAGTTAAACAGTTTGAAATGTGTGCTTTATGGACAACCAAAAAAAAAAAAAGAAACTCTATCCTCGTATCTGTGATCCACCAAACCGAGACCTCTATATCTCTCCATACTTTCGACAAAGTTGAAAAAGTGACACAAAAAAAAGAAAGAAAAGGAAATCACCTGACCGCATAACACGTGCTCGTGCCATGTGATCCGGAACTTATCCTCATAATTTTATCTTCCGAATAAGTTCCGGTGCGACTACCTAAAGAATTAAAAATGGGGAGCAGGAAAATGGAGAATAGAGAATTTGCCTTCGACCCAAGAGTGACATTCCCAACGGTTTAATCTAAAATATAACACTCCTTCATACAGTTATTGAGAAAATTAAAAATTGTTTAAAATCTCAATCTCCAAATTTTAGTAATTAATATTACACCACATTCACACAACCAACTTTCAAAGCTCTGCAACAATGACAGAAGAGTCCAACATAGAGCAAAATGAAGGGGTTAATAGTAATAAAAGACAAAGAATTTCTAAAGCTTGCGATGCATGCAGACGAAAAAAGCTGAAATGTAACGGTGAAATACCATGTCGAGGATGTTCTTCCGCAGAGGTCTGTACTTATAGTGCTCACAAGGAGAGGAGGAAAAGAAAGGCTGCTTCCAAAGTCGACCCTCCAGTGAATGATTCCGATCCCACAACCACCACAGCAGATGAACCAACTCCGGGATCCGGTATAGCTAATGCGGTATCTAGCGCCACTCGTAAAACTATTCAAGGACTTAATTCAAGGATCGCTTCACTTGAGTCTCTTCTTTTCACTTTGGTAGAAAAAATGGAAGTGCCGCAAACGAATGAAACTGGATCCGATCTGGACTCTCCTACATCAAGTACATCTACAGAAACATCGCCAGAAGAGGCAACCACTCCACCCAATGATTTGACTACCGTTTCAAGTAGTAAGAATGCATTCACGAGATTTACTGGTATAGCAGGTCGTAAGATGGCAAAGGCACCACCTGCAAAGGCAAAATGTCATTCTCTCCTTTGTATAATTACCGAAAATTCGCTTCAATGGATTAAATCAAAACTCAGATTCCGAGATATCAGTCTTTTCTGGTCTCTAGAAAGACTACCCCTTGCATTTAACGCTACCATGTTGTCACTGGTGAGATCGTGGATAGATACCCCATCCAAGTCAAGAGGCGGCGCTAGTATACGTCATAAGAAGGAATTGACACAGTATGGTGATTTCCCACTTGATTCCAAACTTGTTTTTGGTCTCTTAAGTAGCTACTATTCACGAATATCAGATGCAAACATATTATGCCACGTTGATTTTATCCGAGAATTGTTTGACCGATATTATGAATCTGAAAAGGAACTGAGTATTCGAAGAAAATTCAAATATTCGGAGTTACTTATTATGAACATTTCACTTGCAATGGCTCTTGAAAATAAAGGTGATGAATGGAACAAAGCCACTGAACTCTATTCTGATGTGGAATTGAAAAATTTCCAGCAAGTTTGGTTTGAAAGTTCTGTTTATTATTACGATAAGGTTAATGTTGTCAGTGAAGGGTTAATAACAGTCCAAGCTATTCTTTTGTTACTGTGTTACTCTAATGCTCATTACGCTACTGATATACAAGTAAATAATATGTTGACATCTGTTGCTATACGATTTGCTCAAGAATTGGGATTAAACCGTTTAGAGTTGATTGAAAGCTTGCACTCAGAGCAGGCTGAATTATGTCGGGGAATCTGGTGGTACTGTCATTTCATGGATTTGGATACATGTTACAAGACTGGGAAACCATTATTGATTAACCTTGATGACGTCTCTACCTTGACAGAATTTGACACTGGATGTCCATATTCTGTACCTTCCGATCCAATATTTACCAGAGAGTATTTCAATCAAAATTTAAGTCAAACATTGGTTTCTTTGTCTATGGACAGTCCCCACGTTTATTACCATCATTATATGCTCTTACTCAATAGAATCAGAGCAAAAAGTTACAACGAACTTTTCAGTGCCAAGGCAAGACGTACATTAATGAATCTGCTTGATATGCAAGTTTCTGTGATCTCTCGTATCAATGAAGAAATGATGATCCTTGCAGACCTGATGGATCCATTATTTAGGCCCATGTTGTACCCAATGCAAGTTTCAGAACCTTCGAGCCCGGAATTCATACTGTTTTATCGAAAACATGAACAATATTTATCTGAAGTAAGATTGATTTTCCAAATGACCTTTTTCTCCCATTTAATGATCATAAATCGAGTGCCGTATCTTGCCAACTTTCCTAATATGGAAGAGAATCTGTCATATTCTAGTTTGGCCTTTGTTGGTGCAAGAGCATTGCTAAATTCCTTGTTGGCTTCGGTGGATGAAAACATCAGTAAATTTGTTGGAAATACTATCCAAGCATATGCATTTATTGCATTTTTGATTCTTCTTACACAATACCTCAATAGTAAGACATCACCCCATCTTGTTGAAGACTTTAATTTACTTGCACGTGTCTCCATGGAGGTATTCTCCAAAGGGTGTGCTAGTAAGACAAAAGAAGATTGGGAAAGAGAGAGAATCGTAAACGCGAAAAATGTCATGGCTGTTCTACTGGCACGAGTAATGTTAAAAATTATGGTGGGAGTTACTGAATCTGAATTAGGATTGGATTTAATACAAGGAAACTCCAAACTACAAATTCATTTAGATTCGTGTGAATTAATTTATCCTGAATTATTTGAAAATCTTGGTAACAATGAAGTACCAGATTTCTTCAATGGAGTATTATTTTCTCAAAAGCAATCAGTTTCTTCTACAGAAGGTAAGGTTGGAACTGTAGATCTGGAGAGTAACTTTGGATCGACAGAACAATCTGACGTTGGTCACCAAACAATGCCTCAATCGCCATTTAATTTTCTGGTACCACTGCCAATGCCTTCATCTAGGCCACTGACAGATCCATTTTCTAGGTCATTATCTCAATTCTCGCAAGAACAAGAGATTAATGATGTTCAATTAGCCGATTTCAATGATGATGCAATCAGTAACCTACTCTATTCACAAGCATATGGCTTTACAAGTGTTTTATTTGATGGACTTAATCAGAGTAATTGATTTAAATAGAAGTACATCTCCTTTTCATTTTTTTTTTTAATAGAGCATTACAATCTCAACTTGAATGTAGTTGTATATGTCAATACGTCCCCATAAGCCTTATTTTTTATTTTGACCTCTTTTTTTTTGATTCGTTAGGAATGGTCTCATGGAATTCTCGGAAGAAAAATAAATGAAATGACCAAACATTAAACTACAAATGACACTACAATTTCTCAGCAAATGTATCAGGGGGTTACATTTTCTTGCATAGGGATTATCTAACTCGCCTTTCCGTGGCTTGTAAAAATATTCTTAATAAATCCTTATGCTGTACTGCCTCTAAAATTAGTAGTATAGGAGGCTCATTTATACGATAACCGCCATTTGTTAATACTATTTCTATCGATATATATATATATATATATATACTCTAGCCGATTAATTCAATTTGTTTCTGTAGCTCAAATTTTATTAGCGGTGTATTAGATTCCATAATTAGGCTTGTATTAGATTCGCTGTTATCACCGAAGGTACTGAATAACGGCCGGCCTTTTATTTTTGTTTCCATGCATTGAATTAATATTATTTATTTTTTCTTTTATAAAGACGGTATCATATTCTTTAAGAACATAAACAATAGTCCTACATTTGTATTATTATGCTGCAGGATGAAGGATCGTCGTCAAAGCGTCGTGAAAGGGTCTTGAAGGCGTGCGACTTCTGTCGTGGTAGAAAGGTTAAATGTGATGGTAATCAACCATGTGCAAATTGTACCCAAAATCTTACTGAGTGTCACTACAAACTTACTCCAAATAAACGAAGAGCCGTTAAGCCCAAAGTAACGCAAAAGACTAAGCTTGAGTTCATCGATGATCGACTTTCTAGATTAGAAGGAATCTTGCTGAACTTTGTCGATCGATTCGATGGGAAATATTCAAGCAGCAATAAGAAAAGGCAGTCTCATCATAAACAAAAATCAGATGATGGTGGGAGCGTTGATGATGATGTAACAGACTCTTGTGCCACCACAGACGAAGAATCTAGTGAAGTCGAAATCAGTTCTTCTCATGATACCAACATCAAACCTTTTAATACTGGCAGTGATGATAAAATAACTACAAAGAAAACTAAACATAGCCTCGACAATAATGGGGAGATTAAACAAGAATCAGAAATAGCGACAGCTCCTGATAAGAACAAAAATGGTGAAAATACAGAATCAGAACCCCCTTTCAAGGAACCAAAAACAGAGGAGTATTTTGGAAATCATTCAATTGTTTCGATGTTTTCAGAAAAATCTCTCTCAACAATTCAAGAAACCTTGGGGAATGAAAATGCTAATCTAGTGGATCCAATTAGGAAGATCCCCTTTGTTTTCCAAAATATTCTGAAACCAGCGTTACTTAAATGGATAGACCCTCCGTTATTGGATCCAAGAAAAAAGAGAAAACTTTTCCAGGGTATCTTTCCTGAAGATAGAAAATTCGTTGACGATTTGTTGAAATTGTATTACAGTGACATGTTTTTACCCTCGTTCCTAGTTCCTACAGATCATATTCAACATCTTTTTGATATATACTATAGACTGAGACGTCCGACTGCTGCAGCTAGTGCATCTACTGTGGAAGAAGCGGCGGCTGCTGACACTCCACCTCGTACAAGACGACTCAAGATATCTGAACTTTTGATAATGTCTTTATCCCTCTGCTTCTGTATTTCTTCGAAAATTGACTGTGATACACGTGGAGATGGCCAATATGGTTCATCTTCAATACATAAAAATCCAAATTCTTTGAAAGATCTCAGCACTGAGAAATTAGTGAAAATAAGGGAAGAATACTTTGATTATGCTGTGCAATATTATCGTATGATTCTGGTGGTTAGTGACGGAGTGGAGACGATTTTAGCGATTCTTTACTTGCTCATCTACGTTGAGAGTAATTTCCTCACCATTCATGTCAACTATATCTTGATTGCGGTGGCCATTAGATTTGCACAAGAAATCGGTCTTCATAGGCCTGAATCGTACGAAGTATTGCCCCTCGAAGAAAGAGAAACTCGTAGGCGATTATGGCTTGCATGTCGTGCACTTGATATAGAAATCTGCTATCGTAGTGGTAAACCACCATCGATCAGTTTCCACGATGAAGAATTATTTGCGGTCCCAAGTTATGGTAATCCAAGCTTAACGGGCTTACCATTCTCATTACTGCTGCATGAAAACTCCTGTGTATATTTCATGCTGGAGTTCACTCGTTTAAGAGCTGTCAGTTACCACAAGCTCCTCTGTGATTCTACTCTTAATTCTTCATTGGAGAGTGTTGTAGAAACACTTAGTACTCTCAATAATGGTCTATTCGCCATTACCGACTTAATGACTCCAGAAACAAAACCAAGACTCTTTTATGACGCACAGTTCCAAACCCATGTTTTCGATGGGAGGCAATCCAAAGTGGGACCAGGTCAATGGACCATAAAGTTAAGTTTCTTTTCACACTTAATGCTCATTAACAGAATTCCTTCGATGTTGGTGATGGGTACTCAAACGGAGGAGACTTCGTACTTTCAGGAATTGTCTTTAAATAGTGCTCGGACTGTTTTAATGCTTGTGAATGACGTTCATCGTTTAAAGTTGGCAAACTTGGTATGGAATTGGAATTTCTTTTATCCAATTGCTGCTTTCTTGAATTTATTGGGGAATTGTCTTTGTAAACCAGAGTCTCCTGATTTGTTTAATGATGTTAATTTATTGATTGAAATTTCAATGGAACATTTTGCAACCAAGGAACAAGTTAAAAATATGGAAGATAATACTTATGATCTTCGAGCAAGAATGATGGATCTTACCATTAGGTTATTATTAAGAGTTTTGATCTGCTTTACTGATAGATTCAGTACTTTAAGATTCCAGGAAACCAATCCAAAGCTCAAACTTCATCTTGATGAAATTGAAACAAAGTTCCCTGATTTCTTCGCTATCTCATCGGGTGTAGTTGGGATTTTACCTCTGGGATTCCGTATGACTGATAGTTTTGAGAAATATCATGGTAAACATGCTTCCTCTGTGAAGGAAAATTATCTGTGTGGTAGTGTGTATGGCAGTAGTGGTATCCCCCCTAGTTCTGGATCTGATTCTGGCGTTTGCGGTGTTGGTCTCAACCCACAAGGTACTGCAAGTTTGGTTGATCCGTCTACAATCTCCAATGCGGATAAAATCTCAAAATCTTCTAGCAAATTTAATGTTAGCCCTGAATCAAATAACCTGCTTCCAGATTCAGGAGTTCCAGAAATTGATGAGTTAATATTTGATACTATGTTCCAAGCCCAATTATTCGGAATACCAAATCCATTTTTTGACTCCAGTATGGGATTGTGATAATTGGAGACTTTTTGAAAACGGTAAGTATCCTACGATTGGATACCAACAAAACAAAAAATTACTATATATGAAATAAAAATTACGATCTTTAAATCTCTTGTAATCAGCAATTCACACTAATAAGTAGACCATTTTTTGAATCGGTTTGTCAGTAGTGCGTGAAGAGGGGATGATTTAAATATCAGCATAATATTCAATTCTATAATGATACATTTTTTAAGCCTAGGGCAAGTGTTTGGAGAGCTTTTATCTTATGCATATGCAATACATGTGTGTATATGTCCGGTCATGCGCATCGGACTTAGACAGCTTATATATGTTTTTGTAAGCTTCAATTAAAAAACTGAAATGAAAAATGGGAAATTACTAGTGCCATATACATCAAACGGTATGTGGAATATATTCCAAACAGCCATGAGAGAACTACCTTTATATGCACAAGCATGTAAGATCCAACCACAATAAATTTGTTTCTTTTTGTTTTTTCACAAGATGCACAATTATGCGGAATTTCGAGAAGATGTATTTGGAGAATAGTTGCATGCGGAATATTATAATTATTCAATAGATCTTTTCGAAGGTGAAATATCCAAGTCTTCACATGTTGGGGCCCGAATATCCGCATAAGCGTCGTCGTGTTTTGGCTGCGTGTATCTCGTGTCGAAGCAAAAAGATCAAATGTGACGGGCAGGACCCTTGCCACACATGCCAACAATCACGTAAGAGCTGCAAGTATGACACCAAGTCAAGGAAACAGCGCAGTGAGAAGACTCCAAAACGTCTAACAAACTCCGAAAGCATCCAGTCTCTTAATATTAGACTCGGGAGGATGGAAGTTTTGTTGGAAGCTATTGCGGCAAATATTAAATCTCCTGTCGATCTGCGGAGCTTTAGTGTAAGTAGTAGTGGTACGGCGATTGGTGATGATGAAGCGGATGACTATCATCTGGATGGAAATCTGGGTATTGGTGAAGAAAGTGATGCTCAAGAGAGTAAAATGGATGAAAACGGAGATATGCACGAAGGTGTTGAAGTGCAAACTATTGACAAAAAACCGATTGGTCAAAATCTATCTGAATGTTCACCAAGTGAAATGAATTTTACTAAATTGATTTCAAATAGTACATCCGTGGATTCTACTGAGGGGGTTTCTGGTACAAGTACTCTGTTGGCTAGCTCGGGTACTCCTAAAGTTGATACAAAAGACGTTGGGATGTCAAATGACTCCAATGCGGATAAAAGCATGGATGCTGGGCAAGGAAGGATAAAAGAGTATTTTGGAAGCCATTCACTCTTTTGCATATTCTCTGATAGCAGTATCAGATATGTTAAACTAAAACTTCCGCCTAAAGATGTGCAATATCTCACACCCATCAGAAATATTCCGAAAGTATTTGAGCATTGTATGGTTGAATTTACGAAGAATTGGGTTGATCCAAAAATTCCTACAACTATCGAGATGAGACAGCTTGCGGAAGGTACATTCCCTGAGCGTCAAGTTGTCTGGGACTTACTAGATCATGCGTACGTCCTACTGTACCCCGCAATTCACTTATGTGAGACTGAGCAAATCAAAGATTTATTTGATGTATATTACTCAAGTGAACGTAAAAGGCGGATGACTAATTCTGAGCTATTGATTATGAATTTAGCACTAACTTTGAGTGTGACTGAACTTATTGATATAGAGAGTGGGCAAGTTGGGATGCGCCGTGGCATAAACCTTCCTCAATCACTTTGCAGGCTCTCTCAAAACGACCTTTTCACTTTATATTCAAAGTTATTTTCATCTTGTGCTCATTACTATGCCCGCATACTGACCTTTAGTGAAGGGATTCGAACAATCCAGGCAATCTTACTTTTTGTAATTTTGATTAATACAAGTTGGATAATCTCAGAAATTAATTATGTCCTTATATCGTTGGCAGTGCGCTTTGCTCAAGATCTCGGACTTCATCGGTTTGAAAGTTATGGAAATGACCTGCCTGAAATTGGAGCCCTTAAAAGAAAAATATGGTGGTTTTGTCAATACTTGGATATGGATGTATGTTACAAATCAGGCAAACCTCCGCTAGTTAATGTCGATGATGTGCTGACTTTAACTGAAAGGGATACACACTGCTCATTCACCCATGATATACTTAGATTTACCATGGAAATCAATGAAAATCCTCCAGACAAACCTATAAAGCCTTACAATATATTCTGTTTAAGGGGATACTACGAATACCATGCATATTTCTTGCTTGGAATTTCTAGAATAAGATCTAAGAGTTATGCACTTCTCTTTAGCGCCAATTCAAAGTTTCACACTCCAAAATCACTTCTGGATACTGTTCGTAAACTTACTTCTGAATTGTTTCATTTGAGTCTACAAATGGATCCAAGAGTACGGCCGAGACTTTTTGATGACCAAGAGTTTTCGATTTCTGTTTATGAGGATTTGTTCGTTGGATATGGTAATGAAGGTGAAATAACTGTCAGTAAACCAGAAAACTTTTTGGATGTCCACTTTGCCTTCCTCTTGCATATCATGACCATTAATAGGATTCCATATATGGTTGAAGTTCAACACAAAGCAACAGACACGGTGGAGGGAAGCTTGGAATTCCGTAATTTAGCGCTCAACAGTGCAAGAACAATCCTTATAATATGTACTAAATTGGATAAACATACTACACCACGATCATTTGTTAGAGGGATACTTTTTTATCCGCTAACGGCCTTTTTAGTTGTTCTTGGAAATTGTATAAATCAACTGAATTCAGCGGACACTCTCAGTGATATCAAGCTATTGTCGGATGCATCAATGAAATTCTTTTCATATCATAAACTAGACAAACTAAGCAGTCGCCTGATGAATCATCGAGAAACTGTGGTTGATTTAGTTACCAGAGTTATGTTTCATATCCTCATCAAGATTGTGGAACTGCAATCAAGCAACGCCATTCTTGCGCACGACCCAGCGTTGAAAGAACATTTGGAAGAAGTCGGAAAGGTGCATCCAGACCTATTTATTGGTGATAGTGATAAAGGAGATGGTAATGTTGTATATGATCAAGTAAACTTCAGGGATCAAAAATCGTCAGACTTTATTGACGGGCCTACTAGATATGCCGGGACTCAATTTTCCCATAATGAAGATTTCCAATTTGTGGACCAGAACATAATATCTAAGCCATTGCAGATAGATCAGTTACATGATCAACCCAATTCTGCCATTTTACCACATACATATAAGGTGGGCCCAACAATGCCTACACTCTCCAATATTGTTAATCACAATCTGCAATTCCCTCCACAAAATCAATTTCCAGTGGTTGCAAATTCTCAAATCCCTTCTGAATTTTCAGGTGAAGACATTTTTGGATCCATGATGTATAACATGCCAAATTTCTTTCATGATAACAACTTGGGATCTCAAGACTGATATATGCAAACATGTGCATATACGTACAAATCTATGGTTATATATAAAATTACAATATTTAACTTCGTAGCGTGTATTTACATTTATTATTGAACTTATCTAGTACGGATGACACCAGCAGCAATCAACATGTTAATCTTCTTACTGACTTCTGGGTTTCTCATGTGATCTTGTAAAGCAGCTGGGTTTTCTCTAGCTTGACCCAAGATACCTTGCATGACTGGATCTTGCAAGATTTGAACGATTTCAGGATCTCTAGAAACTCTTTCCATGGTTTGTTCTGATGTTTCACCTTCGATGGCTTGGAATCTTTGTGAAACAGCCTTGTTGTACAATTGATCAATTTCAGAGACACTCTTTCCTCCTAATTCAGAATCCTTTTCACGGGCAACTGTCAAAGTTTCCATAACTTGAGAATATTCTCTCATGGCCAATTGTGCATTGGCCTTTCTGATGTAAGCTCTGATGAATTTAGGATCCTTTTCAATAGCAGAGTTACAATCTCTAACAGCGTCTGGGAAAGACATCAACTTAGCTAAGGCGGCAGCTCTGTTGGAGTAACCTCTAGCATCTTCAGGGGCTCTCTTGATCATTTCACCGTAGGCCTTGACAGCAGCTGGCCAGTCACCCTTGGTGAAGTGTTCCTTACCTTCTAAACGGGCTTCTTCGGCCTTTTCTGGGTCAATATAACTCAAAGCTTCTTGCACCTTCATTTCCTTTTGAGTGGCTCTCAACTTGTTCAAAACATCTGGAGTTCTATGTTCAGTCAAAGACTTGTCAAAGTACTTAGCAGCACTGGCCAAGTCATTCTTCTTCAAGTAAGAGTTACCTAATCTAGCAAATGACTTGGCAATGATCTTATAATCGGCTCTAACTTCACGACCTTCTTCAATGGCAGTTTCACAGGTCTTGATGGCGGCATCATAGTCACCCTTTTCGTATTCAGCAGCTGCTCTGTTGTTCAAGTATGTGATATCCTTATGAGTTTCCCAAGCCTTTTCGTATTGAGCAATGGCTTCATCGAACTTTCTTTGCTTGTAAAGGGTGTTACCTTCAGCCTTGAAAGCATCAGCTTCATCCTTGGAAGAAGCTTCTTCCATCACAACGTCTTCAGGGTCTTCTTCTTCCTTTGGAGTTGGAGCAGCTGGCTTTGGAGCTGGGGTAGAAGCAGGCTTAGGAGCTTCCTTTGGAGTTTCCTTTGAAGCTTCGGAAGAAGCTGGGGCTGGGGTGGAGTTTGGAGCAGATGCTGGCTTAGGCATGTCTGGCATGTCCAAGTCAATTCCCATTAAAGTGGCCATAATGGTCATCATTCTTTGGTCGGAAAGTAATTGTGTAGGATTGGCCAGTGGGTTTTGTTGCATGTTCAACACCTTAGCAACCAATTCAGGATCCTTCATCATTTCAGCGGTTTTAGGATTACTCTTCAACTTAGAGATCAAGTTTGGATCGGAAAACATAGCACCTAATCCACCATCTGGTTGAGAAGATCTAGCATTAACAATGTCTTCAATAGCCTTAAGACCTTCCTTGGCCATAGCGTTGGAGGAATCAAGTTCTAATGCCTTGGTGTAAGAAGCCTTGGCATCTTCAAAATTGCCTAATCCATATTGAGCAGCACCTACACGGTTATATCCCTTAGCCCAGGTTCCGTTGACCTTAACACATTCTTCAGCGTCTTCCAATGCCTTACCGAAGTTCTTCAATGAAGCATAAGAAGCAGAACGGTTAGAGTATAACACATGGTTTGGGGTTTCAGAGGCTTCGATCGCCTTGGTGAAATATTCGATAGCGCTAGTAAAGTCCTTAGCGGCAAAGTACTTGTTTCCTTGTGCTTTAAATTCTTCAGCTGACATGTTTATTATATGATTTGCTTATAATTTTTGCAAGAAAGGTTTAAATCGTTGAATGTTCACCTTCTTATTTAATATCGCCCTTTCCCCCCCCCCACTACTTGTCGCAGAGAAAAATAGATTTTCCAGAACATTCTCCCAAAAAAAAGTACACAAAAAATATTTCCTAGTAGAACAAAATAGTTGCAAAAATGGAAACACCCCTTTACTTCCTATAAATACATAGTAATTGATTGTTTATGTTTCTTTTACAGTATATAGAATTCGAATTCCACGTTCGCGCACACACAGTGGCTTTATCCCCTTTTCTCTTTCTCTTTTCTCTTTCTCTTTTCTCTTTCTCTCCCCGCCCCCCTAAATAAAGTCCTATCGCATACAATCTTTAATAGCCTCATCAACTAAAACCAAAGGATATGCGGGCCCAAACCCATGACATCTTTCATGTCCTTTCAACTTGTTCATTATTCCTTCTACATCAAAAGAATAGTCATCAATTTCAAATTCTTCTGCCTTTAATTGTAGATAGTCCCACACTGCTCCAATCGCTAAAAGTTTGGTGTCGGGGTATTCTTCATTTTCATACACTTTCTTCAAAGTTTCACGTTTAACCGGGTGTCCCTTTGCCAACACATTGATAAAATCTTCTTGAGTCTTTGGAAAGGTAAACTTATCAAAATCATTATTGGCTCCGGATCCAGTAAACCCATCAAGATTGCCATGGTATTTGTTGTTTGATTCATCTCTCCTTAAAAAGTCTGTTGCTGACTGTATGGTGTTGTTCTGACGGTTTGCGTTTGCTAATTGGTCTAAAAGCTTTTGCTTTTCTTCTTCGGATTTGTTAAGCTTAGCCTCAAGTTCTCTTAGTTTAGATTCTTTACGTTCTCTAAAAGCTCTTTGAGCGGCACGATTTTGGGCCTTCTTCTTCGCTTGTAATTCTACTTCAGTGAGCTCAGAATCGTCTCTAGCAATAAGTATAGCATCTTGTTCATCCAATATTTGTTTCTTTAACTTAGCCTTACTTGTTTTCACATCTTCAATAGATTCAGGGGTGGCACGGTCCATGCCGATGGAATTATCAACTGCAATTAGTCCTAGATCTGAACTCTTGTCGGTATCAGGCGAGTGGAATGACGTGGCATTCAAATTAAGGTTGGAGTTAATGTCAAAATTAGAAACTTGAGATTGTTGACCGTATTGCATAATTGGAGGCTGTTCTTGGTTTTGATAGGGGTTTTGATTGAAGTGGAAGTCACCCACTTGGTTAAATTGTTCCATATTTTGTTGGTTGAGTTCACCATAAAAGTTCGACTCTACACCGGGTGTGAATGTAGTCTCCCCTGACATATTGATGTCATCATTCCAATACTTCATATCTGGTCTATCAAATGACATGGTAGACAGGAAATAAATTTATGTATAGTTGTAGAGAGATTGTTGAAGTGTAATACTTGTAGTTGTAACGATTCAAATTAGATAGTAACTTGGTATAACTTCGAGTCGGGGGGTTATATATGTACTGTTGGCAATATGTAGTTCATTAATTATGAGGCTCAATTTTTTGTCAGCAAACAATAAAGGGCGTGAGGAAGGAAAAAAAGGAATTCAACACAGTATCACATCCTACACCCGAACATAATTAATAGAAATTACAGTGAGAAATAAGGTGCAGTAAGATTTTAAGTTGTGGGTGAAATGAAGTACAGTGAGATTTGAAGTAGACTTGAAGCTGTTTATGTTGAAGTATAGTATCAATAGTATTGTTACTATTACTTCTAATAGGTTCTTGGGGTGCAATGTGGCTTGGATATATCAGAAAAGGTATAAAAGAAATTGATCCAGACCGATTTTCAGCCGCATTCTCTCACGATACTCATCGGACATATCGCCAAATTAAATGATGGCCTCCAATACACATGAATACACTCATCTGGAACATGCAATATAGGCACGTATATATTAACGCCGTGTATACAATGCACATATATGTATATGTCTATGCATATCTATGGTGATATATAGTCATGTATCAAAACCTATTAATACTCAATTACCTGGACAATTGACCATTTAATATGTCCTATACTCTAACGCTACTAGATCAACATATACTGTGCTTTTTTAGGATTATCTTAATATACTACACTCAAAGATACTACCATGCACTAATCGAATATTTTTCCTCCATATTTTTATGTTACTTTATCTCTCCTTTTGTGCATCTTTATTGTGCACCTTTATTGTGTAATAGCCGTATACTTTCTCATGGACCTCTTTCGAACATAGTTCAACTGTAGTGGTTATTCACAAACTTCTTTAAACCCCAAGCTTTATATATTTCAAATTTCGTCCTCGGTCAAGGTCTCACCATCATTTAATAATATTCCTTATATTAATACCATTCAACTCCTTCAATGGACCATCTACTGAGGTTTTAGTTTTGTTAATTTTTCTGTACATAAAACAATTGAAAAACTGTGGATTTCTAATCTTTTAGCAAGTTTGTTTCTTTCCATAGTTTGTTATTCCCACATTTTAAATTTCACTATGAGTGTTCTTATAGAAACCACAGCTGGTAATATTACATTGGATCTTTTCGTTGAATCTCAACCATTACCATGCTTCAATTTTCTTAAACTTTGCAAGTTAAATTATTATTTCTTTACTCCATTCCATACTATTGATAAAGATTTCTCAGTTCATTGTGGTAATCCAAATTATCCAAACCCTCCCAACATTATATCTTCGAGCATTATAGAGGACACTCAATTCCAAGACCAAAGTTTATCCCCTTACTTATTGGCCCCCAAATCAACCATAAAGCCAACTCTTGGGACATTTTCATTCGTTAAATCAATTCATGAAAATCAACAAGTATTTGATTCAAGATTTATAATCACCTTAAGTGATTCATTCGATGACTCTTTAGAAAATCAAGTGATTCCATTTGGACAAATTATAGAAGGATTCACTGTTTTAGAAACAATTAATAATACCCCAATAGAATCCATTGAATTGAAACGTCCACTTCGTGATATAAGAATTACATATATCCATATTTTACATGATCCATTCCCTGATCCTAACAATTTCCATCCATATCCATTAGAACCTTCTGAATTCCAACTATCAACCATGAGATTCCCAGAACTTTCAAAAACTACAAAGGATATCAATTCTGATAATAACAACGAGTATAATGCATTGACACTTGAATTGGTTGGAGATTTGCCTCATTACTCGATAAAGCCATCTCCAGAAACATTATTTGTGGCCAAATTGAATCCAATTACAACTTCTGAATCTTTAGAAATTGTTTTTGGAAGATTTGGAAATGTTAAAAATGTCAATATCATACTTGAACCAAAAACTAAAAAGAGTTTATGTTATGGATTTGTTGAATATAATGAACAACATGAAGCTGAATCAGCATATAGGAAACTATCCAAAGGATGTGTGATCGATGGTAGAAAACTTCATATTGATTTTTCCCAATCAGTAAGATAAAACTACAGCATTTAAGCCTTTACTACAATCAAATCTTACTTGGAACGTACTATTATTAGCCTAACTAAAGAGGATAAAATCATGAAAAAGAGATCATTAAAATTGTAAAAAAGAAACCCGGCTCTTATTTCACACAACCAACGGCAACCACACATATACAACAACGCATCAAACTTCAATCTTCACATCTTCTTTTATATAAAATCTCCTTAGCTTAGTTGTCTCTGTCACATTCCTTGGAGATGTGTCCAGCTTCACCACAGTTGTAACAAACCTTGGAGACAGCGTTGTCACCACCAGAAGCAGAAGAACAGTCCTTGGAAATGTGACCGGTCTTACCGCAGGCGTAACACTTGACCAAACCAGCTTGGCAGTCTCTGGCAAAGTGGTTTGGACCACCACACTTGTAACAAGTGGTACCCTTGACAACTGGCTTTCTAGCAATTGGGGCAGCACCAGTGGTGGCACCAGCAGAAGTACAGTTCTTAGAAATGTGACCAAATTGACCACAGTTGTAACACTTGGCACCTTGGGCTTGAGTAGGACATTCGGATTGAACGTGACCTAAGTCACCACAAGAGTAACATTGCTTTTGAGTAGCCTGCTTTGGTTCTGGACAATCAGAAGATTCATGTCCGGCCTTACGGCAGTTGTAACACAATCTTTCTTCTTGTTGACAGTTGTCGGCCAAATGTCCGACTTCACCACACTTGTAACAGGTTCTTGGGTATACAGCAGCCATGTTTTTTATGTACGTATCAATAGATAGTTGAAGGGAAAACTTTGTGAATTACGTGTAATTTGTTTTTCACTAGAAAAATTGTCCCCGACAGGTTGCCTACCCTCCAATTAATTTTTCTTTTTTTTTTTTTCTTTTTTTTTTTCATAGATAAATTGATGTGTTTACCCGGATATGAGCGTTTGGTTGCAAATTTCTCAAATATGAAATAAAAGATAATAATAGATAAGAATTAATAAAGCATATGGTAAGGGTACTTACAATTTTAATAAAGCTGATTAGTTCATAATTTCGAGGTTTAGGATATGTATCTCGGTAAATCCCCCCACCTCTTTGATTATATAGTGTATTAATACTTGCCCTTGTAGATAGCATCACCAGTAAGACATACCTTCTTCATTTCTGCAACATCATGAACTCTAACAATATCTGTGTTTTGTTCAATACAAGCCATGATAGAAGCAGCAGTGCTAACAAGACGATCACTTGCTACTGGCTCATTACAAATAGTTCCCAAAAATTTCTTCCTTGAAGGACCTAAAAGTGATGAAATACCATTAAATGAAACATATGAGTGCTTAACATGATTATTTTCATCACGTTCATTGACTAAAACACCATATTTCTTGAAAAATGAAGCATGACGGATAATGGTTAAGTTTTGAGAAAGAGTCTTTGCAAATCCAATACCAGGATCTAAAATAATTTGCCATTTCTTTACCCCATGATCAAATGCCTTCAACATTTGAAGGGCTAATTCACGTGAAATTCCATGGGTAAGATTCTGCACTGCAGAATCATTAGATTCGGAATATTCTCTTCTTGGATCAGTAGCATATTCAATGATGTCTTCATTGGTATTGGATTGGTAGTTGGTTAATTTGGACATGGTTTGAGGGGTACCTCTGGTATGATTCATAATATATGGACATCCATATTTAGACACAATCTCAAACATTTTCTTATCATCATAAAGTCCCATAGATACATCATTAATAATATCAGCACCTGCTAAAAGACATTTTTCTGCCACTCCTGATCTATAAGTATCGATAGAAATTATACAATTCAGTAACAACTCATTTGAAGAGCTACGAATTGCTTCAACAACTGGGATTAATCTCTCTAATTCTTCCTCTTCAGTTGGCTCAACGCTTCCTGGTCTTGTTGAAACACCACCAATATCAATAATGGTAGCGCCAGATTCAATCAATTGTAAGGCATTGCTACAAATGGTTTCAATTGGATTTCCAAAGTTTTTACCCCCATCACTAAATGAATCAGGAGTAACGTTAAGGATCCCCATAATTAAAGTACTACTAGTATGATCCACTTGATCAAATTTAAGTGGGTTACTAGAATCTGGGATTCTTGGGATCGGTACAATTTGTAGTAAATCTGCAGATTCCTGAATTTGATCGTTTGGTTTACTCTTCAAAAGTTCCCTTAAATGATTATGTAAAGGCTCTGCACTAACTGGATGAAGTTGATCAGGAACAACTAATTCACAAAGTGGTTGCATAACAAAGGATCTTTCAAGCATTGAAATGTGAGGAATGTTCAAATCATTGGAGTTGATAACAACGTCATCATATAACAAGATATCTAAATCAATAGATCTTGGTCCATTTGTAAATTCTTTAACTCGATTCATTTCTTGATATTCAATCTGTTTAAGAGTTTTCAACAAATCATGTGGACTTAAATTCAGAAAGGATACCTTGAAGACTCCATTATAGAAATCAGCTTGATCCTTGACGTACATTGGTTTAGAAATGTAAAGTGATGAGGTTGCAAGAACCTTAATTTTAGCACTTTCAAGAAGTTCAACTGCCCGGTTAATGTTTTCCACTTGTTCCCCCTCGTTTGATCCAAAGGCAATGTATGCTACATGTTCGGAATCTTTATTAAAATTTGAGTCTTCAACACTGGTTGGTAAATTAAATTCATTGGAATTAAGGGTAGAAGCATTGGATAAGGCAGACATATCAATTTTTTCCTTAACATCTTTGAAAGATATCTCATTCATTTTCGATGTGACACCAACCCCGTCAGTGAATGTTATGGCATTTGGCTTGGTGACCTTGGCATCTACAGTTTCAATCATGACATCTCCACCATGGTTTTGAAGAATCAATTGTCCTATTTTCATCACCAAAGTTTCCACGGTTTTAAAGTTTGAACTTTCAACATATAATACAACATCATCAATGATTTTATGAATGGTTAAATTAGCTTCAGGTTTTAATTTGATACACAAGTCAACGTCAACAATCTGACGTTGTAATCTTTCAAATGTAAATACCCCAATGATAGTAAGTAATCTTAATCCATGAACAATATATTCATCTGGAGTATCGATCAATTTAGCTCCGGTCTTGTCACGTGAGAGCACATATTCAACAGAATTAGCTCTAATTTCTGATTTAGTGCTTTTAATACTGACCTTTGCCTGGAAATTATCATGTTTAGCATTGGTTTTATATAATAAATCACTTATAGATTCTCCTATATTAGCAAGAGATTTAAAATTATGATGTTCATTTTGTTTCATATATTCGGAAATATTACGAGAAATCACCGCATAATTCAATGAATACTTCAAATTATCAGTCACAGAAGCATTATGGAAATCGGTGGCAAGCGACACCGTGATCCCAATCGGCTGTGGAGTTGGCCTGTTCCAGGCATCCTTTCCTGTGATGGCAGTAGCTGCGAGGTTGGAGATGAACACTGTATCTTTAAACATTGGTTTGGATGTATGGAGTTGTCTAGTTGTCGGAATTGAAACCGACCTGAATTTGCTCAAGAAAGACACTGTGGACAATACTGGGCGGACAGAAGGGTGGATATTAACCAGAAAAGCAGTGTTTCTACAATGCAATTAGTCCGAAAAAAGTACTTAAAAAATATTAAAAAAATTAATTGGGTCCGAGTCTGTATTCGTTATCTGGAAAATTGTTCATGTCATATCCAAAAAAAAAAAAAAAAAAGAAAATCCTTCAAAATCTCCAAAAAATGACTGCCGTATTTGTGACAAGTCAGATCTATCAGTATGGGGAAACTCAATTATTTAAAGTATTAAATATATATGTATTTATGCCTTATGTATACCTGTGTCCTGTTATGTATAATTGTCCCGTTTGTCTATTCGTCATCAGATGAATCTTTATCACTAACATTCATAATTAAATCCAATACATCATGATGTTCTGTAGTGGATGGTTTCTCCAGTTCACTAACTAAATTGTCCTTTTTCTCTTTATCTTCTTCTCTGGTGTCTATTATTGATCCAGCTTCAACTAAATCATCGATCATATCAATCTCATCGCTTACCGCAACCCCATATTCAGTACTTTCCTTCATTATCTTCTCTGCCTTGTCAAATTCACATTGATAATCCTCCATAATAAGTCGTATAATCACCTCATTTGCTAATACAAATGTTGCAAACCCACTAATTGTCCAATAATTAAGTAAGGAATTCTTTTTGCTTGCCATATTAAGCTCGTTGTAATACCTGGTTGTAATACGAGATGCAATAAATGATTGTCGTTGGAATCCAAAGTATCCTCCAAAATACTTTTGCCAATCAATGTCCCATTTTTCTTGTTGTGTCATAGTTTCATGGGTTGATTGTTCATATTGCCTTTTCGCCATGGGATAGATGTAGCATGTGTCCAATTTCCCCTTAAGAATCTGTGGCACTACCTTCAAATACTTTTCTATCCTATTAACCAATCTTTGTTTGGATATTATTGATTTCGGGTATTTGGCATCCTTATATTTTTCCTCCATAAGTTTCTTTTCGTACTTCTTTCTACCTTCAAGGGTAGCCATAAAGTCTCCCTTGGCTACAATTGCTGCTAGATCTGGTGTTGTTTGTTCGCTAAGTCGTAATTTGTGGTCATTAGAGTTGCTGGTTGTTTCTTGCAGAAGAATCCGATCAAGCTCTTCAACATCCTTCTCGTGGCTCTTGAAAGGGCTACTTGAAAATTTGCCCACTTCAATTAAGTTACCATCGATGTCACTATCGCTCGCTTCGTTAGCACTAGACTTTTCCTCGTCTTCATAAGAATACTTTTTGGTATTGAAATTATTTAATATACTGGGTGGAATCCTCTTGTATTCATCTTTATGTTCTACACTTCTTGAAGTTGGTGGACTCAGTGAAAATGGTGATTCAACTTTCTCCTTCTTACGTCTCTTTGAATCCAATGTGTTTATAATTGGTAGTCCTCTATGGCCTCTTATACGTTTCTTCGTGGTGGTTGCATTTTGCTTCATATTATTAACTCGGTCGTGTCTATCAATTGAATCTCCTGGTGTACTTCCTGCAAGTCTGTGTGGTTCAGACAGTCGTCCGTATTTATCTTGAGCATCATACCCCATGGCGTACTATACATCTATTATACTTCTCTTCTATAGTCCTTAAAGTCAAACATCTCAGAAAACAAAAAAATAATCATAATAAAAAAAAAAACATCCACCAGACACAAACTACTTTAACTATCTAACTACAATGTTGCAAATATCAACTTTAAACTTTTCTTTATTCGGGACTATATATAATACATACTTTTTGGAATTACACTTATTGGTTCATTCCTCTTTGGAAAAAGGAAGCCATTTGATTTCCAAGGTTTGGTTGAGATCCGTTGTTCATACCATCTCCATTACCAAAGTTTTGGCCAGCGGATGGTGGTGGTCCTTGTTGGAAACCAGGTGCAGCTTGAACACCACCTTGGCTTGCAAATAAACCTGCCAATGGATTGACAGATGATTGAGACATTGTGGCAAAGTCTGGTTGAGCACCATGAGACATAGACGAACTACTTTGTTGTGGAATTAAAGTCGTCTTGACGTAGTCTTCATCAGGTTCACCTGGTCTATTGGATTTTGGTCCATTTCTGGCAGAGTTGGTAGGCATCTTCTTGGACATGGCCTTGGATGAAATACCAGTACCAATTTCAATATCTGGTTCATCGATAACCATACCACTCAGCAATGGTTGACCACCAGTACCACCCCATTGCGCTTGAACAACCCATGATCTATCAGCATCTGTCAATCTTTGGATTGGGATAATAGACACACCATGTTGGTAGTTGCAACAGTCTCTAGGACCGAAACCAACCCCCCAACGAGTTCTCAATGGTAAGGCATTATCCTTGTTGAAAGAAGTAATAACTTGTTCAGCTTCTCTTCTTGAATAAACCTTGACGAATGCATGCTTTCTTTCACTGTTCAAGATAACAGATTGAACTTCAGCAAATGGTCTAAGAACAGACGCCAATTCTCTTTCACCCATGTTACGAGGAACACCACCAATAAACAAAGTTCTGGATAAAACCTTGAAAGAACCTTGTGGTAAAGATTGGTCGAATCCAACGTTACGTGGACGGTAGTGGGCAGTTCCTTGCAAGTTCATTTCACCTTGCAATTGTGGAGCAAATCCAGGTTGACCACCTGGTGGTCCACCTTGTGGACCTCCTGATGGTGGTCCTTGTTGGAATCCACCTTGTTGGAATCCACCTTGTTGTGGTGGGAAACCTCCTTGTTGGAAACCTCCTTGGAATCCACCTTGTGGTGGAGGTGGTTGTTGCTGTTGTGGTGGTTGGTTCCATCCACCTTGGTTTCCACCTTGGTATGGTTGTTGATATTGTTGTCTTGGAGATCTTTCTCTGAATCCACCTGGAGCACCATTTCCATATCTGTTTGGAGATCTGGATCTGTTTCTTCTTGAATAATTGTTTGCTCCATTATCATCACGTCCACGTCTACCAGTACTGTAATCAGCTTGGCCACCCATTTGTGGTGGTCTTTGAGGTACTGATTGTTGTTGAGATGGAGGTTGTTGTTGATTGTTTCCATTTTGCATTTGTTGTAACATGTTGAAAATGTATTGTTCATTTGGAGCTTGAGGTAATCCACTAGATGGAGGTGGTGTTTGAGTGTTTGCATTGTTCGAGGGTTGGTTACCACCAGCCATGGCAGATAATTGAGATAAAATGTTGGTTGCATTGGCTACATTTGGTTGTTGAGCAGGAACTGCTGGGGCGGTAGTTGGAGTTCCATTGTTGGAGTTAGAGGTCTTGGCTAAGGAAGCCAAGGCCAGTAAAATACTTCCTGAATCAGTGTTGGTAGAAGTCTTAGTTTCACCAACAGCAGGAATGGTTGACTCATTACCGTTAGAAGTAGCAGTATGTGGAGGAGATCCAGGTGGAGTAGAAGAACTAAAATGCTTTTCTCTAATTCTAGTAAGAATTGCACTATCAAAAGTCTCAGCTCTTTCCCAAATGTCTACTAATTTACCAATTTTAACAACTTGAGATTTGTTAATCATCAAATCTAAAGCGTTATCAATTATAGGTTCAATAAGTTCGGTGATTTTGTTTACACCAGCTGCAAATGTACCATTTGGAGCATCAGACGTAATGTCTTGTTCGGCCTTCTTGGCTTCTTCAATATAAACTCTTACGATAGAATCAACAACATACAAAATACCTAATTTGTGAGATGATGGGGTTGACTTACAGTTTGAATACAAAATAGTGATCAATTCTGATTCTTCCTAAAAAAGTTGTTAGTATATCAATACGCTCACTACGTGAGAAGATGCAAAAAAGGATATGAGGTGTGTGAGGATGGAACAAAGAAGGGATTAAACTTCATTGTAAAGGGGACAATACGGTGGAAAATGGGATACATACAGATACGTTCTGAACGGCAAGGTCGGTCAACTTCTTAATACGAGAACCAGAAACACCTGGGGCCTTCAAAGTTGGTAATTCTTTCAAAATAGTGTCAAATTGTTCAGCAACTGACATTTTTTATGAATTTAATTCTTTACTATCTTCTTTCTTTGGAGGGGATGCTTGAAGTAACTATTACGAATCTTTCGATGTTACGGGGATTTTCTAATATTTCTGCTTGAATCTGTCGATACTCTTTTTAATTTTAGTTGGTTCCTTCACTACTAAATCTTACTAAAGGAGCAAACAATCAATTAAAATGAATAAAAACAAATAAACCGAAAATGGGAGAGAATCAAAATTTGTCTCCTCTTGTTACGTCAATATTTTTTTCTGGGGGAATGTACTATTCTTTTCTTTTTCTCCTACTAGCAACTTTTGTGCAAAAATTTATGTTAAAAGAAAAAAATGAATAAAATATGGGAGGGGTCAGGCAACCTTTACAATTAGAATTATTAATCTAAATTTTAAAAAATTTTAGAAATTAAATGAGATTTAAAGTTCCTTTTATAGTTTCTGGCCAGTTATGGTAAATGCACACAAGAGAGTTCTGATATTTACGCGTGCGACAGGATGATGTATACACAAGTGAAAATTTCGGTGAACTGTACAGAGAGATCGAATACTAAAAAGTAACTCATTTAATAAACTGGAGCCTTTAATTAAAAACCGAACATGATTGGAAGGGCAGCCGTTCGTAGTAGTAATGGTAGTGGTTTTAACAGCCTGCTCTCCTTGAGAGCAGGTAGCATGATGTGCTACTCCACTCAAAGTTCTGCCATTTCTTCAACTCTTTTGTTGTCGAGAAATCCAGTGATAACATCAGATGTACCTAAATTTGAAGCTCAATATTATAAATATCAAAATGAATTATGGAAAAGATTGATGTGGACCTTTCCTAGCTGGTTTTACTTCAAGAAGGGTACCATTTCCGAAGTTGCCTACAGAGAATTAAACCCACCTCCAGTATTCAACAACCCTCGTATTGAGTTCCCAAAGGGTAGACCAGTAATTGTACATCAAAGAGATAGACGTTTCAAGCAAGAAATCAAGGTGCCCAAACTGTACAAGGATGCCAAGGCTGCCGAAGAAGGCGAAGAAGTTGGTGCTACCTCGGGTGATTCATCCAAGGGTGACAGTATGTCTAGACAAGTTATTCCAAACTCTAGAACTACTGAAGCTGACAAGACCAATGACTTGAAGAGTTTAGAACGTAAGCTTGCTCGTACTTTATACTTGACCGTCAAGCCTCAAGGTAAATGGATTCTTCCAAACTTCCCAGAAGAAACCGCCAGCGAAGAAGTCAAGCCATTGCATACTTTGGCCGAAGAAGGCTTGTATAAGTTGGGAGGCTCCAACATTAACTACTTCAATGTCTCCAAGACTCCATGCCACGTATATAAGGGGGACTCGGCACAAAAGGAGTACATTATCAAGTCTCACATCCTTGCCGGAATATTCGAACCTCAAACTGCCGACTTGGATTTCAAGTGGTTGACCAAGGAAGAACTTAAGGATACTTTGGATAAATCCTACTACCAAGACATTGAACACTTGTTGTCCGACGTTTAAACTGTACATAGATAGACTACATTACACGTAATCAGAAATTAGAATTAATTGTATAACAAGTTAATATCTTTTTGTCTTCATTTTTTTATAAACTACCACTTAAATACTTATTTTATAAATCCTTCTTTTGTCTAATAACTTTTTCAGCAGCCCAAACAGATCTATCTAAAACAGCTCCAACCATCAATACACCAGCGACGGAACTAATAACTCCCAATACAAACCCAGACCAAGTTTTGGCAAATTGTTCCTTATTGATGATTTTCATGGGAGAAATATCAAAGTGGAAGAATACACCAGGAATTCCACCTCTTGCGTGAATTGTATGTTGATGGTCTTCATCTCTACCACCTTTCATTGGTCTATCATGAGTGATCACAGAAAATTGGTTTGTATCCAATGAAGGTTTAGTCAAGAATTCGAATCTAGTGGCAACAACCTTCAAGTAATAAGAAAAGACATGTTCCTTAGTTGGTCCCCAAATCTTGTAGTTATCTAAAGGATGGCTTTGTTCATCTTGACCAGCCTCATTGATAGCGGCAGGGCCAAACAGGAAATGATTAATGGTATGATCAAAGTTAAATTTATCTTTGAACTTATCATACAAGGACAAGTCATGAACATGTCTACCAGTGCCAGAATGACTAGCACCAGGAGCGAAATGTAAATTACCAGAAATTCTATTGATTTTGGTGGTACCTTTAACTCTACAACCTTCTTTGGCTTCAATTCTTTCTTGTAACTTCTTAACATATCCTTCATTTTCACATTGTTCGATACCTTCACCGTCATAGAAAGCCCATAACTTGTCGGCATAAGCCAATTTAACCGTTTGACAATCATTACAACATTTCTTCTCATTATCAGGGACATTATCGTTACCATCTTGAAGTAATGCACCCCAACATGACCCACACTTGCCATCCTTATCCGGGCCAGCAGACAATTGAGAAAGAGAAAGATCATTACCCAAGACTGGTTCATTGTCCAAGATTTCTTCATTCCCATTAACGATTCTATATTTCAAAAATCCTGAGTTGATGATATCAACTTGGGAATCACCGGAAATATCCAAGATATCCATGGTAAACAATTCACATGGTAAGTTGGGGAATGTAATGTCAAGGTTGATGTCCAAGGGCTTGTTGATGTCCTTGTCAACCACCAATGTTGGAAGGTTGATTATACGGGTGTAATCCTTGTATTCATTATTGATTAAAAACATCACCACGACCACACATAACAAGGTGATAATCCCTCCAGATGCGGTTTTGATCTTTGCATCCTCGATGGTTTTCGAGAACGCATCAATTGAGAGCAACTTCGGTCTAGAATTAGACATGGCTTTATCCTCTCGTGAATTGAGCTTATCTATCAATTTCCAAAAACTTTTTAAGAATTTGGACGATCGACGTGTCAAATCTTTTTTTTTTCTGCAAATTTAGGACGAGCTTTCTGGGGGGCCTTTCATGAGAAAAAGTGCGACATACTTAGAAAAACTTGGTAATGAGTGTGAATACAGAAAGAATAATACAACAATCTGTTTGGTAATTGTATATCAAATATGCCAGTTTCTGTAAAATCGCCATTTACTGGTTTGCGATCAACAGTGTACAAGGACTCTCCCTTGGGCGGCAGTAAAGGAGCAGGAAACTCGGAAATCATTCTATTATCAATTAATCCTACGGGGAGTCGACTTGTCAATGCTAGGACCGATAAGGCTATTAGAGTGTGGAAATGCCTGCTGGACAAGCTTCATGATCCCATTACCGTGGAACAGCCCCATGTAAAGGCTGTCGAAAGTGTCTCGTGGCATCCAAAGCATGAATATACGTTTGCAACTGTGGGGAGAGATCATTTAGTCAAGATATGGAAAACTTCTTCGAGTGGGTGCACAGTAGAAAGAGAAGTGAGAGTAAATAGGAATGACAATTCTCGTCATGGTATGTCTGTATGTCAGATAGTGAAGTATTCCGCTGACGGGGAAGTTATGGCTGTAGTTGACAGAGATTCGACCATTCTGTTGTTCAACACTCTGAATTATACAATGTTTAAACAATTCAAAATGGGGGAACATGTATTTGATTTCACATGGTTCAATTCAGGTCATAGTCACTTTATGATTGGTCTTCATAATGGGACTGTGGAAGTATACAAAGTGAAAGAAAATGATGATGAACCCGTGGAGAAAGTACATACGCTCAAAGGACACCGATCATCGGTTACTACGGTGGCACTTGATCCAAGAGGTCAATACATTGCCATTGGGTCTAATGAAGGGGTTGTATCACTCTGGAATACTGAGAATTTACTCAATGAGGGAACAATATCATCTATAGATGAATCCATTGCTCAAGTAGATGTAAGTCGAGATGGAGCATATTTGGCACTAACATTCGATCGAAACATAAACATACGTATTTTTGATTCAGAAACTCTTAAAGAAATCTATGAAGTGGAAAACAGTTCAAGTGGGAACTTGGTCTTGAGTACATTCCGATGGTTCCCCAATAGGCAAAATTTTGTATGTACAAGTGATGGGGGGAAGTCAATGACATATGTGAGAAAATAGAGATGTGTTTATTAATAGGATATATAGAAAATGAATGAGATTAATGAAATAACCTTGCAGAATCATTAAAAGATTAAACATGAGATATACCTATTTAATGGGTTTTTAGAATCTAAATGAGTCTAGACCCAATTCTACGAATAAATAAAGAAAGGCTACAGAGTGATACGGCGTGAGTGAGACGATTGAGTGCTAGTCAATGTGGGTGGGCAAAGTTTGTCTGACGAAGAATTTAATTCAGCTAACAATGAGACAATTTGGTTGAAGATAAGCAACGGGCCGAATATGCACCCCTCATGAAATTTGTTGAATGAAAGAGCATCAACTACCTTCCAGACTAATCAATTTGTTTGTCACATTCTACGTTGAACTTTCATACTTAGTTACATTTACTGCAAATTCTACACATTATCTCTAGAAGTAGTTTCCATCTAAATATAACTTTGTGTTGGTCCGGTCCATGGTATGAAATTCATTTCGGAACTATATACCAATAACCCGATTCGATTGATATTATTAAAAATAATTTAGTGTGTCGTACTATAAAATAATTTATCCACTCACAAAATGTCTAAAATGTAGTTTTGCCCCAGGATTTGTGAAATTTACATCTATAATAGTTAATTTAGCCTCGATTACATGTCAAAAAATGTGAGGTGACTAAATTGAGTTAGCTCTACCAATTAACAATATCAAATGTTAGTTGCGCCTCGATTATAACCACTCGAGCCTTTAAGCCTAATTGCACCCAAACTCAATTTACTAGACACTCACCCCCACCCCAGTCTATTAAACCCCTTGTACACAAAAAAAAAAAAAAAAAAAAAATAAGGTCCAGATTTCTCACAAAGATTGCCTGTTCGTTAGACAGGAATTTTTTTTAAAAAAAAAATTAAAAAAAAACGAAAACCTACACAAAAGCGGAATTTATTAAAAAAAAGTAGGCGAAAGAAAACACTAACTAAATCCCCCTCCACCACACACGACCTTTTGTTGATATTAGTACAATTCTGCGATTCTCTCACCACATAACAACACCGCGAAATTACCTGAGAGGCATTTAAGTTACGTACGTTTCTTTTCTAAACAATCATACTTTGAAGCTTCCAAAGGATATCTTTCAACTTCAATCGACGACTAATAGGTCAGACATAAAAGGACAAGCGTTGCTTTTTACCCCTGTACATTTGTTAGACTTCTGGCATCTCAGAAACACCTCATCAAGTTTGTATTCGGCAAAGCATATTGATACATTTCAATTATTTGTTTTTCTTTTTGATTTGTTTACTGAAACCATCAAGACTATTTATTAACGAGGAGTTTGAATATTTTTTTAAACTCTTATTGTTGTCATTCGTTCTTAATCTAATAAGTCTTTTAAAATGGAATATAATCACGCTCCCCAAGCAGCTTTCCGGTCATTTCTGACCAGTTCTATACTGTCACTGCATTCATCCAACCCATCCACAGCTAGTATCACCAGAGTTTCGTCTGGTCCACTTCAGGCTATGAATTTATCCATGAATAGACAGAGCAGTGCACAAGAACATTTATATTACCAATGTACTTCATTGAAACGTAAATTGTCGAAAATTCCAGAAATGGCCCCGTTTTTAGCACTGGCATTCAATCTGGCAGAATTATGTGCTGAACAACAAGCATTGGCATTATCTCAACAATTACAAAATGAAGGAATTGGTGGCGGAAGTATTGGGAATAGTTCTGGAAATGGGAAATCAAATGGTATAAGTAATAATTCAAATATAAATAATGGGCATAATGGATCAAACAATTCGAATAATTCAAATGGTGATGGAAGTGCTTCGGATGCTCGTGCCTCCGTGGGATCCAATGGGTTTTCTATTCATTCAGATACCTCAACTACTTCACAAGCAACTTCAACAAACATGTATTCCCCATCATTTAACAGTAACAGCATATTCACATTTACTGCCGGTGTTCTTCCTGCTACTCTTAGTGCTGATCCAGTGACTCAAATCTGGAAACTTTTCCAACAAGGTTCACCACTTTGTCTTTTATTTAACACAGTATATCCACAAAGAGAATGTCATTTACCAGTTATTCCAAGTGAAGATTTAAGAATATGTAAGAAATCTGTTTATGATTTTTTAATTGCAGTTAAAACATATTTAAAATTTGATGATGAAAATATGTTTACCATTCTGAATGTTTTCCTGGATAGTACACATGATTTAATTAAAATTGTGAAAGTTATAAATCGAGTAGTTGATGAAGCAGACTCTGAAGAAGATACGAGCATCGGAGAAATCATAATTACAGATGATAGATCAAAAGTCTTAAAAGAAATGATTGAAACTGAAAGAAAATATGTTCAAGATCTTGAAATCTTATTACAATATAAAGATGAATTATCCAATGCAGAATTGATTTCAAATGAACAAATCCATATTTTATTCCCAAACTTAAATGAAATTGTTGATTTCCAAAGAAGATTTCTTATTGGACTTGAATGTAATAATAATGTCCCAAATAAGTATCAAAGAATTGGGTCTATATTCATCCATGCAGCAAAGGGATCTTTCAAAGCTTATGAACCATGGACCATTGGTCAATTATCAGCCATAGATCTTATCAACAAAGAACTGTCAAATTTGAAAAAATCATCGACATTATTAGATCCTGGATTCGAATTACAATCCTACATCATTAAACCAATTCAAAGATTATGTAAATATCCACTTTTATTGAAAGAGTTAATCAAATTATCAAGTGAGATTGAAAATAATGCATCATATAATGAATTACAAATGGCTCAAAGTGCAATGAAAGAAGTTGCAAACCAAGTAAATGAAGCACAAAGAAGAGCTGAAAACGTTGGTTATTTACAAAGTTTATTGGAAAGAGTTAACAATTGGAGAGGTTTCAATCTTAAAGATCAAGGAGAATTACTTCATCATGGAATTGTTAGTGTTAAAGATTCTGATGTCGAAAAGGAATATGTTGCATATTTATTTGAAAAAATTATCTTTTTCTTTGTTGAAATAAATCAAGAAAAGAGTAAAGAAAGTAAAAAGAAAAACATTTTGAAAACTCGTCAAAAATCAAATTCAAATGTTTCAAACTCCACAGCAAATTTACTTGAATCAATGAATTCAGCCAAGGAAAAGGCACCTCTTGAATTAAAGGGAAGAGTTTACATTCTGGAGATTTATAATATTTCATGTTTGAATCAATCTGGTTATACTCTTGTCATTTCTTGGTCTGGGAAGAAGGAAAGTGGATCTTTCTCTTTAAGATATAGAACTGAAGAAAATAGAAATCAATGGGAAACATGTCTTCGAAACTTGAAGGCAATTGAAATGAATAATCAAATTCATAGAAAACTTCGTGATTCCCATGGATCCAATTATGGTGAATATGATAATAATACCATCACATCCGGTGCTACAGGGACTACTGTCACAAACAGTACTATTCAAGAACATAAACCAGCGATAACTGAAGTTGACCAACGCCATCATTCTTCTTCATCCACCTTTAGCATGATGAGATTTGCAAAATCTGGTGGAAAAGATTCTTCAAGACAATCTTCTTCAGGAACTATGTCTGATAAATTTTCATCTTTAAACATTAATGATTCGTCATTTTCCTCTACAGCATCAAGTAATTCAACCAATTCCAATTATATATTGATCAAATTGATATTTAATCACAATGAAGTCAGTGAACTTATTGTGCCATCAAATACTCAATTCCTTGAATTACGTCTGAAAATCTCGATCAAAATTAGTTCACAAACGAGTGACGATGTTATGATCAATAAATTAAAGTATAAGGATGAAGATGGGGATTTTGTGGTTATGGATTCTAATGATGATTGGGTTTTAGCTGTCGATATGCTCGATGAATTAAATGTAGGAGAGGAAAGAGCGCTTACTATTTGGGTTTCATAAGCCTGGTGCATATAAAACCATATTGAGTACCTTTATATATAAATATATACATGGATGAAGTGTTGTTCAATGAAGGGGACGTGTAGATAACCTTAATTTTAGTGGGGTAAATTACTCCATTAAGAGTGCTATTTAGTGTTAAGTGGCCCTACTTCGACCCGCGCGGGACTTCCAAATTCGCAACCAAATTCTCGTGAGTCATGTACCATATCCACCACCATATAGATGGGTCGATCTAGATGTATATAAGCATGGATATTCCTGTGAGTATGTGAGGTCAGCAGACTCCAATACAAAAATAAAATACATTACCTCCTGGTTCCGTCCATATAGAATAGATACAATTCCCAGTCACATATTTAAAAACCTCCAAATTTGTTCTTAGGCTGACTTTTCAATTGAAGCTCATTCGCTCAGAACTGATTGTATTTTTCAAACCTCTATAATATTTTTATTTTATTTTTTTTTTTGGTTTAAAGTTTTCTGTAACTGTCGACCAACTTCAGGATAAAACCGATACAACTGCCAATGTTGAGAACATCTATGCATCCAAGGCTCCGATGTGCTGTTGGCACAGTCAGTCGCTGTATTTCCCCAAGAGTAAGAGCTCTTGGAGTCGCTGTGAGAGGCTCAACACACAGAAGTTTTCTGATTCTGAGTCATATACAAATGATCCCAACTACAAACTCCATCACCCGAGGATTCCATAGATCTTTATCCACCAAGGTAGAACTTACTGAAGAGGAATCCGAGATCTTAAACGAAGAGCGTGCCGTAGATTACGTTGACGTTTGTATCGTTGGTGCAGGTCCCGCCGGTCTTGCAACTGCAATCAAGTTGAAACAATTGGACAATGAAGTAGGATCTGGTGATCTTCGAGTTATTGTTTTGGAAAAAGCCAGTGATTTTGGCTCTCATATAGTCAGTGGTGCCGTCATAGAACCACATGCCTTGCGTGAGCTTTTCCCTGACAGTGAGCATCTCACTGAATCAAATCAAATCCCACTTCCTGAAGATTTGGTCACAAAGGTTACGAAGGATTCGATGAACTATCTTACCGAATCATTTGCCTTCCCATTACCTGAACCTCCTCAAATGCACAACGCAGACAAGAACTATATTGTTTCCCTTAACACCGTGGTGAAATATCTTTCTGAACAAGCTGAAGAATTGGGTGTAGAATTGTACCCCGGCATTGCTGTGGAACAACTTGAATACAATGAAGATAAGACTGCTGTCACCGGTGTTTCCACCAAGGACCAAGGAATTGACCGTTCTGGAAGACCAAAGGCTTCCTTTGAGCGTGGTATGCAGTTTCAAGCCAGAGTCACTGTACTTGGTGAAGGTTGTCATGGTTCATTGACCAAACAAGCAATTTCAAAATTCGAATTACGTAAAAATGATGAACAAACTTATGGTTTAGGTATCAAGGAAGTATGGGAAGTTAAGCCTGAAAACTTTGAAAAGGGTTATGTGGCACACACCATGGGATATCCGTTATCTGCAGACTTGTACGGTGGTGGGTTCATGTACCATTTCGGAGATGGTTTGGTTGCAGTTGGTTTAGTTATTGGTTTGGATTATAAAAATCCATATGTTTCCCCATTCCAAGAATTCCAACGTATGAAGACCCATCCTTTCTACAAGAACTACTTAGAAGGAGGTAAATGTGTTTCATATGCCGCTAGAGCTCTTAATGAAGGTGGGTTACAATCTGTTCCTCAATTATACTTCCCTGGTGGGGTTATTGTGGGATGTTCCGCTGGGTTTGTCAATGTTCCTAAGGTTAAGGGTACTCATACTGCTATTAAGTCCGGTATCTTGGCTGCTGAGAGCATTTTTGACTCTGTTAAAGAACTTGAAGCTTTTGATGAAGACGTTGCTCAAGCTGAAGTTGAAGAAGAAGTCACTCCACTCACTTTAGAATCATACCAAAAGGCATACGAGAACTCGTGGATTTATAAGGAGCTTGACGAAGTACGTAATGTTCGTCCTTCATTCAATTCTGGACTTTTATTTGGTTTGGCACACTCTGGTTTGTCTACATTTGTCACAAGAGGTGCTGAACCTTGGACATTAGGTCATCCTCACACCGATTCCGCTGCCACAGAAGATGCATCCAAATATTCTCCAATTGAATATCCAAAGCCAGATGGAAAGCTTACCTTTGACTTACTCACTTCGGTGTCAAGAACTGGTACATACCATGATGAAGATGAACCATGTCACTTACGTATTCCTGAACAAGATTCCCGTAAGCACGCTGAAGTGGCCTATCCAAAATATAAGGGTATTGAACAAAGGTTCTGCCCTGCAGGTGTATACGAGTATGTTGAAGATGAAAAGGAACCACTTGGGGTCAGATTCCAAATTAACAGTCAAAATTGTATTCATTGCAAGACTTGTGATATTAAGGTTCCTACCCAAGATATTAATTGGACTGTGCCAGAAGGTGGTGATGGTCCAAAATACTACATGACATAGAATGTATGTAAGATAGATGTACAATAATAGAGAAAATTATAAACAAACCTACAGTCAAATCATTATAAACCCGTTAGTAATTTTTTAGTATACACAATGGAGGCCATAAAAAGAAAGAGACCTCCAACAAAGGAATTAAGTTCCTTTTGTTTTTAAAACATTTTTTCTTTTAAAACGTGGTAAGAAGAGAGTAAGAGAGAACGCCGATTTTTTTTTGAAATACGTAAATAGAAATTAAACCATTCGTGGAGAGGAAAAATCAGTTGAAGAACTTATCCAAGTCCGACAAACTAATGTCTTCAGGGGTACCGATATCCTGAGTCAAGAATCCAGATCTGACAACGTTGAGCCATTTCTTGTTTTCAAGACTGGAAGCGGTCTTAATTGTTGTTTCAGATGAGCTAGCGTCTGAAGTGGCAGGTGAAGAGCCGGTTGAAGCTGATGTGGTGGAGGAAGTAGTTGCAGATGTACTGTGATTTTGCAACATAGCCTTGATAGCTGCAGCATGGAGAGCAGCTGCTGCAGCGGCTGCATTTGGACTATGTGAAGAAGGGGCTCTAGATGCTCTTGGAGCAGCTGCAGCAGCTGTGAGAATCCGAGGTTTCTTGTTCATTGTAAGGTAAGACAAAGATTTCGAACGTTTAGCCTTATTGAAAGCTTTGAAAGATTCGATGTCAGCCATATCATCATCCTCATCATTGTCATCAAAAACTTCAAAGTCTTCAAATTCCATATCAGACATATCCATCTTGGACATTGTTGGTGACTCGTTAGAGCTATGGTTATCATCATTTCCAGCTTCATCTGTGCCCTTTCTGATATTCAAGCTATTGCTGTTGTTGCCATCGCTATTGTTATCATTGTTTCTTGCAAAAGATGCTGTCACTGGAGCAGACGAGTAAGGAACAAACAAGTTAGCCTTGTCAATGGGAGTATCCAAGAATGTGTTCTTGGTAACCCCCAAGTCATACATTGTTTGTCTTCTTGGTTTTATGTGTGGTTGTTGGTTTGATTGGGCTAACAGTTGGTGAGGCAAAGTAGCTAAACTGCCACCAAGAACATCCAATTTCTTACCACCAAATTCACCACCATTACTTCCAAAGGAAGAAGAAACATTAACTTGATTAAGTTGTTGTTGTTGCTTTTGAATTTCCATGGCACTCTTGACATGAAGGTGGAAATCATCAGTCAAAAGACCACGGTAAACATAAACCATTCTTTTTGGAGAAGCATCGGCCCAATCTCTGGACAAGGCATACTTCAAGTTTGCATCACCTTTTTCCACTCTCTTGACATATGCATTTAACTTGGCACTGACAAGATTGGAAGTTTTTGTGGAAAGGTTAGCCATCTCAGGGTGCTGTTCAACCAACGTATCACAGATTTGCTTCACAGTCATGCCTTGACCCTCTGGGTCTTTCTCATACAAGATCACAAAGATTGCATACAAGACGTCGTCCTGCAACGAAGCATCGTTTTTCTGTTCTGGTCTAGGTTTTTCACCAGTCACCGGGATAGTGGTGGAAATACCGGTAGCGATAGGGGCTCTACTCGAAGTTTTAATTTTCTTCGGAACGGCACCATAAGATGGTGGAGAAGTAGAGCTACTGGAGCTCGAATTCAATCTAGTTAAAGAGTCCGGGTTCATTAAAGAATCCGGAGAAATACTTCTCAGAGTGGGGGATAATTCAACGGGGCTAAGACTTTTTTCAGGAGTCAAAGGCTTAACTTCACCTTCAGCAAATTTACCCTTGATCTCATTCACCTTTGACTTGTAAGTAAAGGTGTCAGAGGACACAGAACTTGTAGCACCAGCCAATATTGGATCGGAACTGCCGTTAACGGAAGATGAACCATTCGAGGAGGATACTAGGTTGAGCGTTTTAGGATTAAACGAAGGGGACGCTGGGGTCGAGGACTCAGGAAAATTAAGAGGTCTTCTGTCTGCCAAAGCCATATTCAGGGGGATACCAAGGGGAGGGGAGAAACACTAATACTGGTTGTTATAAAGAAATAATCAAGCGGAAAGATGGGGGTCTTTAATCCATATGTTGTGGTTGAAGGTAGTTGGTTGGAATAAAAGATTTGTGAGTGTAGTTGTGGGGTGTATAGTTAATGATTTATTTATCGGAAAATTCCACAAGATAATTAAATGTTGCAGACGATAAACTGGAGTACCGCGTATTGGGTCAGAAACAGAACAACGAGGAGGTGATATATGAAAGTGAACTGGGGGTTACTTATATCTTTCTTTCAAAGGTTCTCTGTTTATTCTATTTTCTTCTTTCCCTGCAAATACAAAAAAAAAAAATAAAAAACAAAAACTAAAAAGAAAGGGGGGGGTTTGACAAAGTGGTCAAAAAAAAACTCTATAGGTGTTAATATGAAATGTTCTGAGAGTATAAGCAAGAGTAGATCAAAGACTTTGGGGTCAAAATTTATGATATCTTTTGGTACATCATAGCAATAAGTGAAAAATTTTTGATGTGTATATTTCGTACTGGGAGTACCACAATATACGCAGCCAAAAATATAGTAACCAACCCTTGTAACAAGGGTCTCCTTCGAGATAAAGGATTGGGACCACGCTCCTGCCGTCGCTATGCCAGTCTCATCTTGTTCCTGCTCGTCTATGTTCTGTATATCCGTACCGTTTGCTTTCGTAGTTGTAGGTATTAGAAGTAGATCTTTGCAACTTTTTTTTTTTCCTCCTTTATGTAAAATGTGCGACAGTCGCACAAAATCTGATAAGGGTTTGCAGGTAGCCAACCAGAGCCTTGCGATCAGAACATATGCGATTTAGGGCAAAAGATTGATACATCGAAGGTTTGATAAGAAAGTGATAATTAGTGCCGTATGTGTATTGTCATTCAACTAAAAGCGGTCCCAACGTTTCGGAGTAGACCTATTGCAGCTTTTGTAGTTAAGATAATCTACTTCAGTTTCTCAAATATATTGGAAGTCTTTGACATCTATTTTTAATTATTATTAGTACTATAAAATAGAAAATTATACTATACTTATGAGCTTTACATGTTTCTACTATATTAGGGTTAGATCTCTACCTTTCTCTCCTTTAAAAGTATCTAAGGATTTAATATACATCTTGTAGCACGCTCTTACTTCATTAAACTACTCACTATTTTACCATCACATGTTGTTGTTTTGCTGCAAAAAAAAGTATTCCTCTACTTCGCGAAGAAAATTCAGGTGCCGATAAGAAAACAAAAGGGGTGTTCTTCAGCCATATCATTACAAATAAACTTACAATTAAACTACTGCTAAGATAAATCACGAAGATGTCACCATGAAGTGGCATTCAATTGTTAGCGAATGACTAGCTATTCATACAATCTGAATTTATATAATGTATTATTATTATACAAGATACATCATTATCTTCAGGAGTCTTGGCAGTCACAAGTCACATTGGATGCGTGCACGTGATCAGGGGATGAGCCCTGAAATTAAGGGTTTAATCCCTAAATTTCACGAAGCCGCGAATTACCCTTTTTTATAGTCTTTTTTTTTTCCATGTCATGAATTTTGAAAACTGGAGAAAAACTAAAACTAATAGGTTGAAATTTAAATTTTAATGACATCACGAGGAAGACCCTTCATGTAACACTCGCATGGTTTCATGAAATTAAAAATATTTTAATAAAGAATATTTGAACTCTAAAGTGACATTCTGTAGATTCGTATTTGTATATGTAAACATTTCCCTTATTTTTTGTGCATCCCCCCGTGAACTAGACATCCACTATTAAAGTTTAAGGACTTATAAACCAGTTGCATGATAATATGTTGAGGTTTAATATACCCGAGAGTATAAAAAGGTTTGTACCGAAGGCGGTAACACACCTCCTTCGTTCAAAAAATTTTATTCTTTACTTATTTATTCTCTGCATGAAATGAGACGTATATGCATTAACCTAATATGCTTAATTATATGACAAAAAGATGAAACTCGGCCAGCCTCAGCTGGAATGAACCGAGGTCATCGCTTACCACATCGCATACATTTTTACGCAACCGGTATTGAATCGACCCGACTAGATTGTTACAAAAAAAGAAAACCTTTGCAACATTTTCTTTTGATACATAATTTCCATCTGACTATAATTGCCCATCGCTAAGTTCAAATTGAGCTAAAAGTTAGCTTATTTTATGCAGTCCTGTACATAGCACCCCCGTTGAATGCGGATTTTTCATTTAGCGAATTTCCACATTTGGAATTTTGAACTTTACGAATCCAGGGGTACATGAAAATATGCATGGCATCGACCATTTGCTTATTTCATCTGACGGATTAATATATCGACTCTCTAAATAGGATATCAAATGTTTCATTATCTAAATTAAAACTCTAATTATAACCCTTTCAATCTCTCAATCCCCTTTAAAGTAACTTCAAAATCGTCTTGCCAATATCTATCATTGTATGGTTTTTCGATGGAAGTACCATTTGGCGGTGCAAACCAATAATTCAAAGCCATATGAACTTGGCTAGATTCTCCTTTCAAGTCCGTGACTGCCCCTTTATTGCGTGGGTCATACCCGTATGAAGTCACCTCATGAAACCATCCTGCAGGAAGAAACAACATATCGCCTGGACCGAGATATACTTGAAGTTTATTTAATGTTAGGAAATCAGGAAAATAATCCTGTGCCAATTTCTCAAGTTCAAATTTTTTAGTTGCATCTTCGACCTCGTCTAAATGTAATAAAATAGGTGGAATTTTCGAGAAACTAGGAGGTGTTTCAGTTTCTTGTTCGGAACTTTTAGTTTCCGATTCTGAATATTTCCCACCTTGCGTATGTTTATCAGTTTCCGACACCATAGCTCCATCATCTCGAACATGTTTCCAACCAGGATGATTATAATCTATAATCCCGGTATGGAAAATTTTGTATATTTCCCCCACAGTAGCCAATGTTGCAGCATCCGAAGGAGGATAGAGGGTGAATCTCTTCCACCCGTGTAGAAGTATATATAAATTATCTGAATGGTCATGATGAAGCCCTGACGATGTGCCCAGGTTGGGCAAGAATCTTCCTAATCCAAAGTCAGGTTTCAGAGAATTTATTTTAGGAATTTCCTCTTTAATCGCACTAGTAGTGTTAGCACCCATCCAAAGATTAATTTGCTGTGGAACCAAATATGGCAATATTTCGGGGATTAGCGGAAATTTCTTATTGTATAGGTTTGTGAGGGGTGCCTGTAGGAGCAGTTGAATGCGCAGGGTAACTTCAGCTTCACCATCGTCACCGTCTGGATCCAGATCGACGTAATCGTCTTCGAGGTTATTTAAATCCATGGATTCTGTGTCGGAGAATGCCAATGCAGCATTACCAAATGCAGACTCCTCTTCTTCTTCTTCCTCGTCGTCTTCATTTTCTTCGTCATTTTCTTCGTCTACTTCGCCTTCTTCGTCTACTTCGCCCACCTCACTCTCCTCATTATCACTGTCGTTGTCCTCCTCCTCCTCCTCATTCTCATTCTCATACTGGGTAGTGAGGTAGTACTCACATGCACCATTCTTAAACCTATTCACCAATTCATCCAAGCCCATTAATTCTCTCTTATGGCCCAAACCAAATCCAGAATCTTTCTTACATTCAACTTGTAAAATTTCTTGGTATTCAAGGTAGTCATACAATGTATCAAGTTGGAACTTCTCCACTTCCAAGTCCTTGATGGTACCTTCAACAATCTTAAGTGGCTTACGGTTAAGTATCCCTTGTTGGAAAAATTCATCTGGATCACTCCGCACTTTTTGTAATGGCCATTCTTCCACTGTGGTTTCACCCTTCGAAGGCTTATACCCGCAGTACAGTTCCAGTGCTAGTTGGTCTGGGTTCTTGTTCGATCTCTTCCTCTTATTATCCAACATGTTGCCAACTCAAAACCCTTGCTATCTGTATAATGTGTAGCCCCTGTAAACACTCTTTAAAATATTTATTGGGTTGTTCATCAGTGGTGTGATCTGATGTATCTTTATTTTTTGTGAGTCGGTTTTTTTTTTTTTTCTGGTAATGAGCTAAATTGTTCAAATGGCATGTTTTACAATACTATAAGGTGACAGTAAGTTACGACCTTCCGTTTCAAATTGTAATGAATATGATGTTCAATTTCATTGATATGAAACAATGATTTGAAATCTATTACGTAAATATTTTTAAAATGATATGTGGTTTGTATTTCTAATCTAAATTATTCATATCTATATTAATTTCACAATGACCGAGTTGGGAAGTAAAAAATGCAAAAGGATGTTGGTAGTGACTTGAGCTTGTGAGATAGATAGCTCAATGTAATGTATAAATGAACTCTAAATGACTCTCCATTCTTCAACTGATGAAAAATACCGGTTTCTGAGATTTTGATCTTTTTAAATTATCGTTTTCATCAATAGCAATTGAATCTTGATCAATTGAAAGAATTTGATAAGAACGCTTTTTATTTAAAATTGGAGCAGAAATTGAAGTTTTCATTGAAACTGCAGATGTTGATAAGAAACTTGAATTGTTACTAACAACAGATGGTGGAGAGAAAGATGGAGAATTCGTTAATTTCTCCTCAGATTCAATCACCAAAGATGATGAAGAGGAAATATTCTTATTATTCATGGTATCGTTTTCAGTTATGTTATGTGTAGTAGCGGCCAAATTAACTCCACAAGCAGGGTTGTATGCAGCATTCGTAGAAGTAGCAGTAGTAGTAGTAGTAGTAGCTTGATAGTTTGACCCTGGTGCAAGAACGGGGATATTCATAGAATCATTTAAGGATTTTACATCCAATGGAGTAAATGGTGGACTACTTTGGAAATAAGTGGTGGTTGAATTATGAGGAGATAATCTTGGACTGGGCAAGAAATCTTTATATGAATCATTGTTATGATTATGAGTATTATGAATATGATTATGAGCGTTATTAGTTGGACTAATATTGGAAGATAATGGAGTAGGAGGGAAATGATTCAATTTATGAATTGAATTCTTTGGAGTGATTGGATTCAGTGAAACTGGAGTCAAATTAATATTGCAAAATTTGATTAATAATTGCATTAAATTAAGATTTTTATTCAGTTTATTGAAATATTTTAATTTCAATGATGGTGGTGGACATTTAAGAACTTTAATTAAAGAATTGAAAAGTGAAATAAAATTCTTTAAATTAATTAATTCTTTGGAACCAGCTAATTTATTCAATTTCAAAATTTCAACTGAATAATTAATCTTAAAATTCAAAATTAATAAACTTATTAAAAATGAACTTGAAGATATTTCACAACTATTATAATTAAAATAAATGTTTGGATAGAATTGAATTAATTCACAGATATAAATTGATAAATATTTCACTTGTTTGAGGGTGAAATTAGAACCATTAAAGATTTGATAAGTGGAATATTCTTTACAAATAATATCAATAAATGAATCAAAAGTTGGGAAACTTATCATCCAATTTAAAGATTTAAGTAAATGATTTTCCATTTCCAAAAACAATTTTTTATCATAACAATTGCAACACATTTTACATAAATCATTTAAATTTGGAATTTTGATTTTAGAATCTGAATTTTTACAACTGATCCATAAACTTGTTAATCCTAATAATTGATAATGTTGTTTCTTGACAATTCTTGTAGAACAATATCTATCGATCAAGTTAACACATAATGGGAATGTTGACTTTGATAAATTCAATTTATTGATTACATCCATCAAGAAGTCAAGGAGTAATGGTCTCATTTTCAAATTAATTTCTGGTTGTTGTTGAATAAGCAGTAAGTTTGGGTGAGTCTTACATTGAATATTTAATAAATGTTGAAGCATTTCGTCACAATATTCATTGACAGTATTGTTATGAGCTCTAAATTCCATGGATTGAAGAAATGGTTGTTGAGACTTCAACGAGGCACAATGGTATCGTACCAGATAAAACGAATCTGGTGAGTTGTTCATGATATAAAGTGTTTAGTTTCAATTTTATTTGAATTGGTTGGTTGTAAAAATTTAATAGGTGGGGGGGGGGTTTTGCTGCTAAAATTATTTTTTAGCGAGAATTTGTGAAAAACCTCAAATTTTTCTGGAAAAGGGTTGAGGGAAGTAAATTGTAGATCCCCTATATATTGACGGTTTATCAATTGATGCAATTGATGGTTGTAGGTTGAGTTATTTTTGTATGCTAATGAATGAATTCCTGAATAATTTTTTTACTCCTCCTTTAAATGATCATAAAGTAGTAAAATGAAATAATTTTCGTTTTCGAAATAAGCTGAGGAATAAGCTGAGGAATAAGTTGAGGAATAAACTGAAGGGGGGTAATGAAAGAAGGGCAATGTCTTGATGTATCAAATCAACTATTACCTTTGAGAAAGTTTTTTTGTTGAAAGTTTTTTTAAGTATTTGAAAAGAATGTCAATTTCTAAACCTAACTAACTGAAATGGTTAAATTGGTGAAGACGAAAGGAAATGATCCAATGTGAAGAAATACGCTTTGATTTAGACTGAAAATCCAGTCAGCAATGGGGCACCAATTATTCCACTAAAAACGGTATGTTGAAAGGAATAATCGCTATATATAACATCTGCGGATGTGACGAGATGGAAGGCGGTTGGCGAAAAGTGGGCCATGTAAATTTACGCCGAATTTGGAACATTTTAAGATTAGGATTCCGGTGAGAGCAGGGGTAGGAGGTCCTTTGAAAAATGGAAACCTCCAAAAAAAAAAAAAAAATTAAAATTATATTATTAAAAAAAAAAAACAATTATACTCCTCGACTCAATAAAAATGTTAATGTGAGAGAGGGGCTTCCCTTTAGTTTCAGCTGTATGCAGTATTCACGCCATACAATTCTCGGCATGTTTTTGAGGATTGCCATGGAAAATCCGGGTAATAGAATTATTTTACAAAATCCCCTTAGGACAATTATTGCTACAATGAAATTATTCCGGGATGAAAATAACCCGAATCGAGAGTAGTACATTGTTTCAGGAATGGATATTGTTTTGAATTTTAATATGTATATATATATATATATAGATTGTTAGGTTGGAAAGAACAAACCCTATTATCTGTACTTTAAAAAGATACCTTAAATCAGAAACCACAATTTATTTTCCTATTATTATTTTTTTTTTTTCTGAAAAATAGTTTTGTGTTCGCAACATTCTTGCCGGATAGTACAGGTTCTGTTGCTCCTTGCGTCCATGAGACTGACATCCGACAATGCAATGTTCTTACTTCTCCAACTTTTTAGAGGTATCAATAAACCCGAGTTTTGGGCACTGATGAGCAGTTGTCCGATTCATTTGTCATGGTAACCCTATTATTCCAGTGAAATATTTTATCATTGAAGAGTGAAAGAAGATTATTGATACATAAATAGAAGAAAGGGTCAAACTAGTAGATCTTTTGATCTCCTGATAAGACTACCACTTACGACAAAATTATAGGGGGGTGGGGTTATGGCTTTTGGTCAAGATAATATACTGTGCCAATCAACTGTGGGCTGCTGTGCATATCTTTTGACAAATTCAATCGAAAAATAAAATTAAAAATAAAAGAATTCATATATGATAGGAGGAAAGTGAAAAATAAATGCTTACGTTACAAGTTATACAGCACCTCCACTAAAAAGTGAAGCCAAGTTGGAAATATTCTCAACTGGTATTAAATTTACGAGGACGGCCTGCATGTACTTTCCTTAATCGGTTAATTGAAGAAAAAGTCGTAACCGTGGCAACCACAAATTCTCGTTAGGGGGGAAACCAGTTGATTATGTGCCATACACCGCGGACGCGCGTGCGGTCAACCGCTGAGCAACTTTTGATGTATAATTACATGGCTGGGTAAGATTATACCCTTATAATGGGAACATTGTAAGAGTCGAATTTAAAGTTTTAAGATTTGGTTGCATGAGTTGTTTTACCTTTAATTGATACTCCTTTGACAATTATTGGAATTTGTAGTGTCATGATAACATGAATCTTATTGATAATAGTCATCGTTTCAAAACATCTGTCACCCGACCTGCTGCCTTTACAGCTTATTCTGCCGCAGTTGATGTAATTACTCCTTCTCACCTTATCCATAATGCGCCAACACCCCCTTTCGGTGGACGAAATAACCCTAGAAGTTTTCCATTCCCACTCTTTTATGCCTGCATAGTGCGGGTATCCTTGTTCTTTTTTTAAATTTACTCTTTTTTTTTTTTATATTCTACAGGAAAATTTTCCAATTTTTGACTAGGAAAGATACGGGTTTTCCCTTGCCCCTATTCGATCCGGAAATTAATCCATACACACGCACGATACGTTTTCCTGTTGAATCACACAAATTGTTTGTCTCAAGCATAAGATCTACAGGTAGTACTAAATTAAATCCAACGTCTCACTTCCAAGTAGTATTCCTCGTCATCGTCAACTGAAGTTAAACTCCCCCCCTCATTGTTCCCTTGATTACATGGACCTTTGTAATCAGACTGTGCCCCACTAATATCAATTAGCCGAAGACATAATATCACCACCAGATTAGGATACGGGGTTCAAAAAGAAATAAAAAAATAATATTAATTGTAACATCAAAAAATGAGTAACCCTAATCAAGAAGAAATGTTGCAAAGACATAGAAAAGAAGCTAAAGATTTACAAGCCACCATTACAAGTTTGAAAAAGCAAGCCACCAAGAAAACAAGAAAGAACGTTGTAAACAAATGTAACGACATGGAAAGAGATCTTAAGGAGAAACAAGCGCTTGAAATTCAAGAATTGAAAAGTGGTGGTGGACACGAACAAAATGCCGAATCTGACAATAAATTTGTGGGAGGAGGAGATGAAGATATTAGCGCCGCATCAACCCCTGAAGCACTCTTAGCTGCATTAGAGCTAGAAAATAAGAATCTGGATGTGGGAACGACGTCAGTAGAAAATATTAACAATGGTAAGGGACAACCCCTTGAAGGTAGTGTTGCTGCTGCTGTTGTTACTGGACGTCCCAAGAGAAATAGACAAAAGGAAAGATTGGCAAAAAGACAACAAGAAATTGACCGAATTAAGGAAGAGGCCAGATTGGAAGCACTTGAAGTGCCAGATTACAAAAAGCTTGAAGAAGAAGGAATGACGGAAATGATCAATTTGAATGGTTTAGAGTTAATTGAAATCAAACCAGATGGGAATTGTCTCTTTTCATCGATTCAAGATCAACTTTCAGAGAAACATGACATTGAATTACTGGTGGAAGAACTCCGTCGTCAAGCAGCAACGTATATCAGAGAAAATAAAGACATCTTTGCAGCATTCATGTACAATGAAGCAACAGACGAACTTGAGGATATAGATGAGTATACGACGAAATTAGAAAGCACATCAATGTGGGGAAGTGACAAGGAAATTCTTGCATTCACCAATATTTTCGAATGTACTATTTCTGTGCTTAGTTTTGATACACACACGAAAAGAACAAACACATTATTAATAAATGAGGGACAACAAAGTAACCCACAGTTGAATCTTGCATATTACAAACATTGCTATGGATTGGGTGAGCATTATAACTCCCTTAGAAACAAATAAATGGTAGATAATCAATAATAAATCAATAATAAATCATATGTTGATACTTCTCTGGCCGGCCCCTCCTTTTGTTAGCTTTCGTTGTGTAAATGGTCTCGACAAAGAGGGGAGTGAATCAAAGTTGAATAATAGTTTAAAAATTTTTTTTTTTTTTTTTTCCTTGGAAACGGAAATTCTTATCTCGATTTTAATCTCGAATAATCTAATTATACCCTTTTGAGACAGTGAGTGTCAATTGAAGATATTCACGTGATTAAAGAATGTGTCTAATGCGAATTTACGGGGAAATGACAAAATCAATTTAGATTACACAAGATGCATTCCAAAAAACCCCTGTATTCCGATGTACTGTATATAAGACGGTGTAGTTATTTTTTTGCCTTTTTCCGTGCTTTGGTCACCTGACTACAAAAGAGATCGAAAAAGAAAAAAAAAAATTGCCAGAGTATTACATAATCTACAATTCATTATGAAAACTTTATCATGCTCAAATTAAAGACTCTCATTACTAATTGATAAAAGGTGAATTATTTAACCAAACAAGGAAATTCCAATACTTAAATTGATTCAAGGTTTGAGAATTAATAGCTAATTATCTTTGTTAAGCAAAATAATATAATTTTTAAATAAATAAATAAATAATATACTAAAGAGGAAAATGGGTTGGTTCTGGGCCACAAATGGAGATAGCAACACATCTGGAAAATGTCCAGTTGATCATAAGAAGTTTGCCACTCCCACCAATGCTGATGCTGCTCCAGCTTCTGGAGGATGTCCAGTAGATCATTCCAAGATGTCTATTGCTGCATGCCCTGTAGTATCTCGTAAAGGAGAAGAAGTACTTAATCCCATGAATAACATGCCAGAATATATTTCTTCAGAAAGGGCACCAGGTCAAAAGATCTCTCTTCCAACACAAAGAACAATCTCCACTATTCCAAAGGGAGAAAGTGACCTGGAAGGATTGTGGGAATACCCATCTCCACAACAAATGCTTAATGCCATGTTAAGAAAGGGTAAGGCTAAAGACATCCCTGAAGATGCAGTTGAATCAATGGTTGATGTTCACAACTTTTTGAATGAAGGTGCTTGGCAACAAATTCTTATGTGGGAAGAAAAATATACGGAACAAACCAGAACTGAACCAAGATTACTTAAGTTTATCGGTAAGCCACATGATTTGTCACCAAGAGCCCAAATGTATTTGGCTCTTGCCAAGGTATTCCCAGAAACATTCAACAGTCAACCTCCTTTCGATAGACATGATTGGACAGTCCTTCGTTCCAATGGTAAGGATGGCTGGGACCAAGTGAGATATGTCATTGACTATTATTCTGCTCCAGACGATGAGGACACTGGAATGCCAGCCTTCATGTTAGATACAAGACCAGCTTTGGACTCTGTTGGAAATTGTGTCGATAGATTCACCCACTGGTCTGTCCCTTTATGGAAAAAGGCTATGGGAAATACTGACGTATAACCACATTATTCATAATTGTTTTATTTATTCCTTGTACATATCTTTATAAATGCATCTTAATGATACATGTAGATTATTAATAAATTTATTCCTATATACAGATGTTATTTTGTTGGGAGTAACTTGGCAGAGATGTTGTATTTACCTTCAAGTCTCTTTAATACACGGGGAATTTGTTCTCCCAAATTTTTTAATGCTCCAGCATTCAAGTCATCAATCAATTCTTGAACCTTGTCTCTCTTATCCTTCCCATTGAAATGGTTCAAAAGGAAGTAATAAGTGAAGAAATTAGGGTCAGCCTTTGGTTCCTTCTTTAAACGGTTGAAGTATTCAAATGCCAAGTCATCATTCTTGTTCAAGAGTCCCTTGATCATTTGATTCCACACTCTAGTTGAATTGGAAAAATCCTTGATATACAATTCAAATAACTTTTGCAGTTCTTCGATTGAACCAAATTCAAGTTCGGTGGTCATCATGGTGGTGACAAGTTGTGGAGTAAGTCTCATGCTCTTCTTGGCATACTTGAACAATACTCTGGCTGCTTCAGTGTTGACACCATCCTTACATAAACCATAAATTAAGGTAGAAATGGCAACTTCATTTATCTTAAGATTGTTGGCATTGGCATCCTTAAATAAATCAAGAACAGTCTCTAAGGATGCTTCTTGACCCTTTTCATGAGTCAACTTGAAATGCATATCAATCAAGATAGTGTAAGTAGCCAAATCGTAAGCGACGTGGTTGTCCTTCATGTAGGTTAAAATACCATCAACAGCGTTAAAGTTCTTAGCCTTAACATAGTAAGACAAATAAGAGTTCATAACTGTTACACCTGGGAAATAAGTTGGATCTTCTTCTTGGAATAATTTCATCTTCTTCTCAGCTTCAGAAACATTTCCAAATAAAATTAAACCGTTCAAAATGTTATTTCTAGTAAGGTGAACAATTGGGAGTGGTTTATCACTGTCTACAGTAAATTTTTGTAAATATTGATCAACCTTATCAAAACGGTTCAAATTGGCAAAACATCCAATAATGATAGCCAAGGTCTTTGGAGTGATTTTAGTACCGTTCATTTCCATGGTAGATACAAATTGTTCTACTCTATTGACGTTTTGATCTCTTCTATCCTTAGGTTGTTCAGAAAGATAGTTTGGATGACAACAAGCCAAAAGCATGTTTTCCCAAGCAGCAGTGGATGGTTTAGAAATACCTCTATTAAGTAAATCTTGGAAAACTTCAAGGGTCTTGTCAAAGGCTTGAAGTGCGGCGTATGCAGACATGATTCTCACCAATGTAGATTCCATAACTGGCTTACCATTAGACTTGGATGCTGATAAGATATCTCTATAGGTATAGTTAAGCTTACTCACACTGTTCTTTTGGACTGCTTGAACAATTCTATTGATAGCAAGTGGACCATTTGGATCCAAAGTCTCAATATTAATGACATCGATGGCTTTACCAAAGGTTCTATGGTATTCTTCCATGGAGGGTTTGACCTTGAAACGAACAACAGTTTGTCCCACGTTATAGACTTGAGGTAAATCTTCAGTTGCAAAAATCTTGTAGGCAACCTTTGGATCAAATTCAATACCTTGTTCCAAGATAGATTGCAAAAAGGCATAAAATGACAAATGAACTACATCATTACGGTAGAATTTGTTTGGGCCATTGTTGTGAGCACGAAGGTGAGTCAGTTCACAAAGTGGTTGAGCTCTCTTGTACTCGACATATTTGACCCACCAGTTTAATACAGCCTCATAACCTTGCAATGGTGCTTCTGAGTTAATGAGTTCACTGGCCATCACTTGACAGAAATGGTATCCATGGGCAACATTGAAAGAAATATACAAGTTAAGAATATCTTCCATAGAACGACCACCAGTCTTAACGCCTGGCTTAGAGGCCTTTTCCATTAAGCTTTGAAGGATTTCTTGGAAGGCGGTGTAAAGTACAGGTTCTGGGATCCCTTCAGCAGTTTGGATTTGTCTCAAATAAGCCAATCCTTCTTCCAAGATCTGGAATGATTCTTGCAAATCATCACCGGCCTTGACAGTAACACCTCTAATTTGATTAGCAATATCTCTAACCTTAGGGAAGTTTGCGGATGGTCTATTGCCGGCCTTATGGTCGCCTCCACGTCTTCCTCCTCTAGAATGTTGTTCTCTTGGCTTGGATTCACCATCAGGTCTCGACGACTTGGTGACTTCTACTGGATTGGTAGAGGTTGATTGGAAGCGGTTCAAAAGCGCAACTTGAGTCGAGGTGACTGACAGTCTTGCAATTCCATTTCTAAGCAAGCTCCGGCCTACCGCTTGTCTTAAGGGTATCATCCTGGATAGAGTAGCTCGTAGGTATATATACTTGTTGATTCAATTCAATTCCAAGAGTTTGGATTCAATGAAAACGAAAAATTTGGTTAATTCTCAAAATGACACAAAAAGGAAATTGAAAATTTATTATTATACTTACCCACCAACCAAGAATACAAGAATTCAAGGGAATTTGATCAATATAAATTTTATAAAGTATACCAAGCTTGTGAGCCTTACGACAAAATTAGAAAACATTTAACTACACTATTACACTTCTTACTACAATGAATAATTTTTAATTAGCAAACAATTTATTGGAACTTATTTTTATTTAAGAACTTTGATTTATAAAACTGGATTGTTAGTACAAGATTTCCAAAGATATATTACTTTCTTTGAACAACTAATCGAGATTTCTTTATAGTATCAGATATCTAAATTTTCTTATCATGAACAGATTTTGTCAATTGAGCTGGGTTTAATATAGAGTACTTGCGACTCATCTCATCATTATAAAAGATCCATTGTTAGTTGTTGTAAAATTAATAGTACATACATTTTTTTTGAAAATTAAAAATTAAGAAAATTTTATCACGGCTCTATACGTGACACTGAACCACATCAACCTACACAGTTGGCTGGCGGAGCTTAGTATCACATGCAAAGATGTGCAAATCAAATCATGGTGAAGAAAAAAATATTCCTTAAGAACTTTTTCTTCAATAGTTTTAAATTTTTTCTCAATGCTCCTTTTTATACAAGAGCTAATAATGTCGTGTACAACTCGATCTTTGCCGATTTTTTCAAAACTTAGGGTTTGACTTTTCTGTATTCGCGGCAACCTGGGTGCAAAAAACAGAATTTGGACATTTTATTGAATTGTTTATTTTTATATTGATTTATGTCATCACCAGTATACATGCTGGAATACTTATATATTCAAATAAAAGTCGAGGTGTACATGTGGTTTTACCTCTTTTTATAATAAAAATACATATATACACTGGTTGAACTAAATCTATCTATACATTTTTAAAATCACCGAATTGTTCTATACGGTAACCATCTTGGGTATATTCTTCCTCACAATCATCTTCTGAACTTGAGTACTCTTAAGTTGAATCATCTTTTTCACTATTGCGCTCCTGTGGGTCTTGCAGAATGGAACTTTTAGAGACATCTCCTAACTTATCTGCTGATATTATCACTTGATATACTTTCATCACATTCGTTGGCACTATGAGTCTTGGAAAAGTAGTTCAGGCAAGGTGAATTGGCACAATAGTGTCTGGTTTTCCAGGTCACTCAAGATTTTTGCTCAGCAAGATCATAGACTAAAATGTCCTTTAATCTATTAAACCACTCTCGACTTAACGTAGGAAATTAAAATTTGTATGTATGTTTTATTTGTTCCACCATTTTCTGGCCATGAATTTCTTCAAAGTAGAATATAGTATCATTTTGACTTATAAATGGTTGTAAAGAATACAAATATTATCTCTTTTCCAAAAGACATTTGACATCGTCTCCAGCTATTCCCTGCTCTGAAATTTCACTTGTAATTAAGCTCGCCTCTAGGTTGAGGTAATCTCTGAACCCCCTTTCACATCACATCTCTAATATTTTCATAAGGATTATCATTCATTCTTCATGTGTGGAGTAACTTCAAGGTGAGAGAGTTCGTAAATTCCCTTTTTTCTCTTCATATACATGATCAATCAAATGAAAAACTCCAAGGGAGATTTCATAATATCGGTCGTATAGCGCATTAGCATTCAGCCTTCTTGCGCATTAAATATATATATATATCAGAACTACTAAAGAGTTTAAACTAGATCCACTACCTTCTATTTCCTACAATAGTTTCGTCTAGCTTTTGACATTATTTTTACTTTGTATTGAAGTTGATCTTCCCTTTATTTTATTGGAATTCAGTAAAGGTACCTGCCGGTCACGTGTTCATGAAGGATTCATTTCTGAACAAAATTTCAATGAAAACGGATACTTCTCCTTGCATACCTAGCATAAAAACGTTTGTGGAATGTCAAAGTTAGCTACGTTACGTTTTTCTGTGACATTACCTTCAATTAACGACTTTCAGTGGGATTATTCAACATATTTTGTGGTCGTGTCCGCACCGATTATCATTACATTTTTCTCTTTGGTCATCAAATTTACATATTTTTAAAATTCAATAATGCGGTTTTAGCTCAGTTGGGAGAGCGTCAGACTGAAGAAAATTCAGTCACAGTTAATCTGAAGGTCCTGTGTTCGATCCACAGAAATCGCATTCTTTTTTATTTTTGGGAATAGTACTCTCAATAAGATAATCTTACGAATATTCTCTATTTCAAGGAGAATAATGTGATCAGTAAGTCGAGTGAGGTCATGTTGTTCTTCTTTAAAATAACTCCAAATTATAAACACACAAAAAAAACGTCACAACTTACCACATTTTTTTAAAAATTTCTCAAAAGGTAAGCATACCCATCTCCTTACTTTCCAATCGTCAAGAACCAATATGTATTCCAGCTTGAAGAGCAAATTATGATCACTTCAACTTCTTTTGATTCTCTTTAAACCAAGTCGCCTCACGAGATTAAAATCTCTCGACTGGTGTTCAAAGAAATAATTTTGCGATAGAGGTACTAGAGTGTTGTATCAGTATATCCTTGTAGATCGTAAAAGACATACAGACACAAGAAGTATCTTCGTTCGCAATTATAATTTGAGTGTGTGCGTCTACATATATTGTAAAGTCAGCGGTAGCATCTGCCTGGAAATTGGTCTCGTCATAGGTTTCAACTTGGAGAGTTCGTTAATCAACAAAATCATCATTTAATGGCCATTCTTGGTGGCGATATGGAAGTTATATCAAACAACTATCCTTTACGTTACCATCTGTAAGTGGAACCTTATTTTTTTATATTTGCAGCCAAAGTACTTACCGACCCGGTTTCTCCTTGGCTACCTGATATTATATATATATCAGAAATATTCTTGTTAAATTCTGAATCCTTAGAACTTTTCATCCAATGAAATAATGGTAGAAACCATCTGGCACTAGTTTGTATAGAAGAGGATTTTCGATTGAGGCATACGCATAAAACGACAGCTGCTACATAAACTACTATGCATTCCAACAGAATTTCAGAAACATACACGTTTCGGCCTTACTCCTATTGACAAGAGAGCAACCTTCATTGATAGCCGTCGATCGCAACGTCTGTAGACAGCCCTCGATTGCCAGCTTGAGTGAAGCTCGAAGTTGATAATTTTTATGTCGTGCTTTTTTTTTTCTTCTATCTTTACGTATTTATTATACAAAAAAAAATGTCTACCTATGTAAACATCAAAATCGTATATAAATACATATATATTAGCCCAGAAGATCATCCAGTAGGGGGGGGACAATTGCTCTCAGCTCCAATCCTAGTAAAGGTCGTGCACTTACCGTTTTACAGCCCCAATATGTGCTATCATCTCCTGCAAAAAAATAAATCAAATAAGCGGTTTTAGCTCAGTTGGGAGAGCGTCAGACTGAAGAGAATTCAGTCACAGTTAATCTGAAGGTCCTGTGTTCGATCCACAGAAATCGCATTTTTTTTGGTTGCAGAGAATTAAATAACAATAAAACCAAGCATTTCCTTCACCTTTTTAGTTAAAGCATTTCTGGTACATTTCTGGTACAAGCTCATAAATTAAAATTGGATAGGCAGTCAATATTTAAATATTTATAAAAAGACAAGAATTTCCGTTTCTTACTGTTGGGCAGATTTGAAGAAAAGTTCTCATATTGCTGTAAGACTAAGGCGTTCTAACATGAAAATTAGAATCATCTAATGCATACATATAGCAGTATAAAATTGTTCATTAACAAGTACTACAATATTAATCGAGAATTATATGTATTGTATGCTCTTTAGGTGTAATATAATTTAATATTCATCTGTATAATATTTTATTTTGTTTTGAGAATTTTGTAAGTATATTATATAAAATTTATATTTACGCAAATAATCACTTTACCTCACAATATTCTAGGATATAGACTTAACTTTCTTTTTGTATTATTGACAGATACTTATATTAGCTTTTTCTTGGATTTTGACATTAATGTCTATTTATGAATTTTAATGCCAAAAGAAATCCCGATTTTCTTTTTTTTTTTTTCTTCAATCGATGTTTTTTTATCACGTAATATATCTATATAATTATTGGTTATATTGGCAATATAATCTTCTCTTGTATATCTATTTCATAGTTGCCATATAATAAACCTTTTGAGCAAGAGGAAAAAGTGTGAACTTTGAAAACTCTTGCAGGTTATATCATGACTATTTATTTAATTGTTAATTTAAACAACGTAACACAAGCTGTGATATCGAATCGTTAAGGTTATCCTTAACTCTGTTGAAATCTGTCGTAGCTCTCGAAAGAAACGATGGATAGCTTGGAGGTAATGATTTACATTTAAAGATTGTAGAATTGACTGAATTTGCAATTTTTTTTTTTTACTTCATTCGATGTTTATTATCCTATAATTTGTCTATATAATCGTTGGTTATATTGGCTATATAACCTCCTTCTGTATATTCATTTCAAAGTTGCCATATAATAAACGTTATTGAGTGAGAGGAAAAAGTGTTGACTTTGAAAACCTCTCACAGTTTATTGTTCATATTATTTTATCTAATTGTTGATTTAAAGAACGTAACCCAAGCAGTGATATCGCGAGACGTTAAGGGGGTCCTTATTGCTGTTGAGGTCTGTCGTCGTTCCCGAAAGAAACGATGAAGTGCTTGGAGGTAACGATTTACATTTAAATATTGTAGGATTGACAATGTCGAGTTTGCAACTAATAGCTTTATCAGTAAATTGTAATTTAATCCCTTTTTTTTGATTTTTGCCTGATTTGGACAATGTATCTGACAGTTTGAAAAACAGCAAGTTTTAATGAAACAAGGAAAAGGTTTCGTGGTCTAGTAGGTTATGGCATCTGCTTAACACGCAGAACGTCCCCAGTTCGATCCTGGGCGAAATCACTCTTTCCTTGGTTTCGTGGTCTAGTAGGTTATGGCATCTGCTTAACACGCAGAACGTCCCCAGTTCGATCCTGGGCGAAATCATTTTTTTGGATCATTGCCCAAGCCTCTAATCTTGTTTTTTTTTTGAATCAATTGTTTAACATCTTGCTACGTCCACTTCATTGGAATAGACATAAATGCCAAAGACACCCTCTTCTTTCCCTGGCTATACAGATCATAGTATTAAAGTTTTGGGTGTTCAAGCAAATGATCTGCGTGAACCTGAAGAACTGGAAGAACCGCTTCAATTTTTTAACTACCATGAATTTTTGATCCCTAACTATGAAAAGCTAACATCTTCAAATACTCCAACTAATAATGATAAATCCCTTTTGGCAAGTCATTTCCCTAATAACCACTCTACAGTGACTTCATCCACATATAAAGATACGAGAATTGTTAGAGTTCCTAGAGTGTATGAAACATTACATATGAGTGATCTAATTCCTCAGTTCTCGACATATGTCCTTGGAAAAGAACCGGCAGCTCTAACTCTTGCGACAGTCGAGGCGAAAACTTATTCTATGGGTGGATCTTTTGATGACAACTACTTTGGTGAAACGTCTTTAACGCCCTTAATTCCCGATCTAATCTCAGAACAAAAGTACATTGAAATTGTTGAAAGAATCAACTTGTACTTACTCAATGCATTCAATCCATATAATATATACAATGCTATTGAAGGTTTACTAGATATAATGACGGGAACTCTCTACTCAAGAATATTCAACAATTATGTGCGAGAGAGCCACTGCAAAAGAAATCTAATGGAATTAGAATCGTATGTGAACAACACTAATATGCAATTGGAACCTCAAGGGATAAAAATTATTTCACCTAGACGTAGTGGGTACTTATCCTTGGACATTCAAATTCCTAGACCAAAACCAGTCTAGCTTAGCGATTAGTTCCTATTTTGAAGTTAACTATTAATGTCTATTAAAGGTAGTCAGCTATAAACTTATTTCTGATAAGATTGTCTTTTTCCTCATTTTCAGGTCCTGACCTGGGGAAGAGAATTCGATATATATCACGATAATATCTGTATATGTCATTTGAAAGCATTAAGTCATCAACGGCATCTTCCATGATAAACCACTCAATGAAAAACATTAAGATTCTATAAGTATCAATATCCATATCATGCAGGGGTATGAACATGGAACGGAAAAACTCTTCAATAACTGGTCGTACTCCCGCGTTATACTCCGTGTACTGATCCAATTCGGTTGTCAAGTGTCTGATTGAAATTATATGTGGTGTCACCCTAGGTTGAGTTTGTAATACCAAGACAGTTATTGCGGTTTGAAAGATCGCAAGATGCTCTTTCAATCCATTCAAGTCTAATTGCTTATATTGAAGTTCCTTTTCTTTAAGTATTGTCTTCAATTTTTGGTCTGTAGGTAAAATGGGATATATATGCAAGATATTAGGTCCGGTATCAATAAAATAGATAGGCTCTACGAATGAATGGAACATACTTATTCGATATTGAATTCGTTTCATATCATGTTTCAAAGTTGGAAGGTGTCTTCTGATATATGCATGATGAGTATTAACGTTGAATGAAACTAAGAATTTAACGTTTTCGAAAGAGCTCCCAAACTGTTCTTCATCTGATTTCATCAATGCTTTTATCAGAGCCATCGTGTATACAAATACAAAGTTCAACATATGATATTTCATATACTCTATATCTGAATCTTCAGACATTGTATCAAACTGATAAAACTTTGTCAAGTACATTAGCACCTCTTTTATGATCGGAGTGGTAAGCAGTAAGAAATCACGATAAAGCCTTTGAAATAATTCCAGTGGATAAGGCCCAGTGGACATTTGATCAATGCGACCTATATATTTTCGAATTATTTGAACCTGTAGAATGATTTTCCATTGATTTGGACGATATGGATTGTCAGGTAACGGTATGTTAAGTGCCTGGTATATTTCTTCAACAAGTTTTAATTTTGAATCGATTTCACTGAGTGTTTTACCCATCAATTTCAAGCATCGAATCAAGTGCATCTTAAATCCATCTTCAGCACTCATGGTTTGACATTCATCTTCACCCATTTCAATGTATTGTCTATTGAGATCCATTTTTCGTAGTATGTGGGTTGTAAAAGTGATATTTTAATGGAGCGCGTAACTTTATGCATTTATTGATATCGATATCGATATCGATGGAACATGCGAAGAGAGACTCACATATTGTAGAATTTTTTTTTTTTTTTTGTATAGAACCGATCTGAAGGATTTATATATGCTGATATATCGATACACAAGAGGGACAATGAACGGTATTTTAGCTATAGAAAAGCCTTCTGGTTTGAGCTCTTCAAAGTTTTTGGATAAACTTCAGTCTGTCTTTAGTAATTCCGTCGTTTTTGAGAAAGATTTGCAAGCTGCCAAAGAACTTAAACTCAGTCAACTTAAACTGGATACAAAATGGACAGAACAAAGAATTGCAAACAAGGTAAAGAATCTTAAGTTGAAGATGGGTCATGGTGGAACTTTGGACCCTCTTGCTTCAGGGGTAATGATTGTAGGACTTGGTCTGGGAACTAAGAAATTACAATATTATCTTACGGGATGCAACAAGACTTATAAAACCAAGGCTCTTCTTGGGATATCAACCACTACAGGAGATTCTGAAGGTGAAATCATTACTAAGAATCCTGTGGATCATGTCACCAAGGAGATGGTTCTTAATACGGCAGAAAAGTTTGTTGGAGACATTAAACAAACTCCACCTATTTTTTCAGCATTGAAAATGAATGGTAAGCCATTATATGATTATGCCAGAGAAGGTATTCCTCTTCCAAAGGCCATCAAACCAAGGGAGGTTAAGGTTTTTGGAATCGATGTACACGAAGAAGATTCTCTTTCAACTGATCATGAATTTGTCAAATTAGAAAGTCAATTAGATGAAAATGGAGTTCCAAAGGAACATCAATTAGCCAATAATCCAACATTGAATGATTCTCCACTTTACTTTTCTCGTGAATACCTGGAAAAATCTGGAACTGAAGAAGAAACCAAAGTCATCCCTAAGGCATTTGCTGAAGGTGAACAACTTCCAGAAAAACTCCCAATGATTCATCTTACTTGTGACGTTTCATCTGGAACATACATCAGATCTCTTATTAGTGACTATGGACGTGCACTTGAAACTTCTGCCTACATGGTTGAACTTATTCGTAGTAGACAATCTGCTTGGGAATTGAACAAGAATGTATTCAAGATGGAAGATTTCACCGATAGAGACCCTAGAGTATGGGGACCAGTTCTTGAAAAAGTATTCCAAGACGGAGACAAGGTTATATTAGAAGACTTATTTAAGGAATATACTGAAAAGGTGAAAAGTGAAGACGAAGCAAAAGAAATAGAAGAATCTACCCCATCTGATGAAACTAAAGATGTCACTGTTTCCGAATCAGAACTTCCTAAAAAGAGATCTATTGAAGATGTTGAATAGATAGATAAATAAATAAATAAAATCACGTACATACAACTATAATTAACTTCATTTTTTGAACAGGTTTCATTCATGTCAATATGACTGTAAATCCGACGATGACTGCAAAAATTATTATGCGCACTCATTTTGATCTTAACATAAATTTATTATTTATATTTTGAGTTTTCGATATATTCAGAGAGATTCACAAGGATGCTTTCCACTATACGTCGATTCAGCACAACTGGACTGGCCCTTGACCATGCTAGGACCATCATCAATCCACTGAACTATGTTCTCCGTAGAGCAAGCCCACAATCTAAGGCTTGTTTGGTGCTCTCCACTCAATCGATGATCAACTCTGTCATTGAACAAGTGCTGCAATTACATCAAGAAGATCCATCCATACAAGTAGCAGTTGCCGCCGTAGACTCCATGGTTGGTTCAAGACGTCATGGGGTATCCGAGCTTTGGCTAGACGAGCCGATCTCAGTACGAGAACATGAGCTTTTGATAGATGAAGATGCTGATAAACCATTACGTGAGAGTGACGGAATTAACGTTGTTCTGGCCCGTCTGAATTGGAAACTTACTCTGGCTCGCTTAGGGCTTTCCTTTAATGATAAGGTTAATGTAGATGTGAGTTTAACCAATACCCTTTTTTCAACAGGACATCTGTCTACATTGTTTGTAGTTGAAGAGGGACAAAAATATTCTGGACAAGTATTAAAGAACGTACGTATTGCGTTGAAGACTAAGGATTCTAAGATAATCAACTCTACTGATAAATGGACAGCATTGGGAGACGAAAATGAAAAACCACTCATTATAACGAAAAGTATTGGTAACTTGGTAAAACAAATTAACAATGGATCAGCTTCTGCTTACCTCCAAGATAACGAAAAACTCATGAGCATTGGATCGAAGGACACCGAAGTCTATGTTAAGTTGTACAAGAAGGATGCGGAAATTGGAGAAGAAAAGAAAGCACAACGATTCCAAGTTATTGCAGGAGGAGGTGGTTGGGGGGCCAAGGCAAGTACCTTGGTAATTTCTCCAGAAGCTGAGATCCAAGAGGGAGATAGACTTGAGTTTTTCATGCTTACGCCCACAGATAAGTTTCTGGGACCATCCAAGGATGACTTGAAAGAAGCAAGTAGAGAATCTGGTAATGATATTGCAGCTTTTGAATGTAGTTATGAACAGGAAACTTACGAAGGAGAAGGAAAGTATACTGAGTCTAAGGTGATTGAAGGAATTTTTGGAGGTGGATCGGAGTCTGGTTTCAAGGTTGGAAATGTTCAACATGGATCAGCTGGAGAAAGAGTAGATATACAATTGTAAATAGAATATACATAGATATTAAGATTAATGAATATTAATGAATATTAACTTTAATTAGAGATCTAAGATGTTTGAACAATTGAATCTACAAGGGAATAATATTCTTGGTATGGTTATATGAATTGTCAAAAAGTAGAGGCAGGCATGGATTGGATTATCTAGGGTCCATCGGAGATATATGACTACTACATTTTGTCCGTAGATATATTAGCAGATCTATTTGATTGGGTTATAATCCTGTTCGTTGAAGGAAATTGGATTATTTATCCATTCTTTATTTTAGAAGTTAAAATCCGTACAATAAATACACTGGAGTTGGGATGTACCTTCATATGGCGAGAAAGAGCAGAAAAAATATGTAGAAAGTTGTTTTGAGCTTCTTTGATATTTCATTATCACATCATGATAGAGTACATCCAGGGAGATCTATTTGAATCATCTTCCACTATACTTGCACACGCATGCAATTGTCAAGGTACATGGGGAGCTGGAGTGGCAAGAGTATTCAAATCAAAGTTTCCTACAGCGTTCAAGGAATACAATGCACATTGCAAGAGTCATTCTCCAACTGAACTCTTGGGAACTACATTCTTGGCAAATATAGGAGATGGAAGATACGTAGCATGTATGTTTACTAGTAATTTCACTGGAATCCACAAACTTTCGGTTAAAGAAATTGTACATTTCACTAATCTATCTACGGCTGATCTAGTTCTGCAAATCAATGGAAAGGATGTTAGTATGCCTAAAATAAATTCGGGACTTTTCGGAGTGCCTTGGGAGGATACAGAGGAAGTATTAACCCCATTTACCGATGATGTAGACATTAAAGTTTACTGTATATGAAAATGATATAAAATAATGACTTCTAGCTTTTTTGGCTTATGTAGATACTATAAGCAACCTCACTAAATGTATTATCTGCATCCGCGGCTTCAAGTTATTTTTCTGAGGATTTTTAAGTTTTTTTTTTGTATGTAGATATTTATAGTTCTATTCTGGAGGTTGTTAATCAATGGGTACAAGTGTTTAGTCGTACATCCATTCTTAGCTGATCCTGAACCTTGTCCAGGAGCAATACCTATTCAAACCAAATTTCTTCTTCTAACTGGCGGACAAAACAATGCCAGTGTTTGACTTTGATGAAGAGTCCTTTGCAACCGACTTCAGGAGTTGTAATGTAGAGGATAATGATCCTTTGCAAGAAATAGATGGACTCGAAGAAGAGTTCGAGCCACCACAGAGCTACGAGGTAGAAGATAGTGGGAACTTCACGCAAGCAAGGAACATTCATAGAAGGAGATCGTCGGTTTACAGTCGATTATCAATTAAGTCTGGGGGAGTGGGAAGTTATGGTGGAGGAAGTCATAGCCAGGGCCAGGGCCATAGTCATGGATCATATACAAATGAATTGAAAATTCCAATGAATTATGATAATTCCAAACATAAGCTGAAGAAATTACTTTCAGATTTCAAGCCACTTCGTGTTTTGGGACAAGGTGCATATGGAAAAGTTTACCTTGTGCAAGATACTAGTACTGGGAAATTATTTGCACAGAAGCAATTAAGGAAACCAACTATTAATATTACCAACCAACCTGAAGATTTCCATGCCAAACATATAGCAAGAACTATTTCAGAGAGAGAGATTTTAACCAACATTACCCATCATCCAAATATTGTAAAACTTTTCTATGCTCTTCAAGATCATGATAAGTTTTATCTTATTTTAGAATATATCCCAGGAGGAGAACTTTTCCATCATTTAACATCATCTAAAAATTCATTAGGCAATGTATTTAAGGAAGATCATGTTGCGTTTTATGCAGCACAAATGGCATTAGCTTTAAAGCATCTACATGAATTAGGGATTGTTTATAGAGATCTTAAACCCGAAAATTGTTTACTTAATTCATTTGGAAACTTAGTGTTAACTGATTTTGGACTTTCCAAATCAATTGGAGAAGATCAAGAAGATGAAAGTTGTACATCAATTATTGGTACTCCTGAATACATGGCACCAGAAGTGTTAAAGGGAGAAGAATATGATTTTAAAGTAGATTGGTGGTCTTTAGGTTGTGTTGTTTATGACATGATGTCGGGGAAACCTCCATTCACGGGGAATTCTCACAAGGCTATTCAAGATAAAATCATAAAGAATAAGTTAAAATTACCATATTACTTCACAATGGATGCAAAGGATATTTTAAATAAATTATTAAACAAAAATCCAGAAAAGAGAATGTCGGTTGATTCTCAATGGGAAACATTTAAACAACACCGATTTTTCCGCAAAATTGATTGGAAAAGTTTGGAAAATCAACAAGCAACTCCTCCGCTTGTACCGGTTATAACTGACCCAAGTCTTGCCGAAAATTTTCTGGAGGAATTTACCGGCATGAAATTAAGTTTAAATGAAGGATTAGATATTCCAAAAACTTTTAACAGTGCTAATGATGAATTTAAGGGATTTTCTTATACTGCTTCAGAAAGTTTTATATCCAAATATATAGACTAATAAGAAAGATAACAAGATAATAGGAGAGCATTATATAAGATTTGAATTTATTCTAACTACAGAGTACTAATCAATTATAGTCAACATACTATTTATTTATTTATTTATTTATTCATGTCGTATTTTTCTTTGTTTGTAGTCTTTTTTTTTTTCTAACTACTACTTCAAATCTGTGTCCCCGTCTATTTCGGATCACTGTATTTTTACGCATACTTTGCGTTGTGCATTTTAGTTTTTATGTTGCGCCTCCTACCCCCCGGTTAAAATAAAGACGTGCTCCTACCAATCTAATTCGTGGCAACTTTTTGTTGTCGTTTATCGCTATCCATAATAATTTACCTTAAAATATATACAAAATATCAGTATATTAATTGTGGGTTATTCTAGCTTTAAACTTGAAATACATATTTATTATCTTGAATTAACTTAGTTTCCAATATGGCTATGGATGAACACTTGATTGCAACCATTAATAAACTTCAAGATGCCTTGGCACCTCTTGGAGGAGGTTCTTCTTCCCCAGTTGATTTGCCACAAATTACTGTTGTTGGTTCTCAATCTTCTGGTAAATCTTCAGTTCTTGAAAACATTGTCGGACGTGATTTCCTTCCTAGAGGTACTGGTATTGTTACCAGAAGACCGCTCGTCTTACAATTGATCAACCGTAGATCTACTACAAAGGATAAGGGAGACGACCTTCTTGATTTAAACACCACCAAGCCAAATGGTGAAACCTCAGAAAACAATGCTGATGAATGGGGTGAATTTCTTCATATTCCAAACAAGAAGTTTTATAATTTTGAAGACATTAGAACTGAAATTGTTCGTGAAACTGATGCTAAGACTGGTAAAAACTTGGGAATTTCTCCAGTACCAATTAATTTAAGAATTTATTCTCCACATGTTCTTACATTAACTTTAGTTGATTTACCAGGGTTAACCAAGGTTCCAGTTGGAGATCAACCAAAAGATATTGAAAGACAAATCAGAGAAATGATTATGAAGTTCATTTCCAAGCCAAATGCCATCATTTTATCAGTTAATGCAGCCAATACCGATTTAGCCAATTCTGATGGGTTGAAATTAGCTAGAGAAGTTGACCCTGAAGGATCTAGAACAATTGGTGTTTTGACCAAGGTTGATTTGATGGATCAAGGTACTGATGTCATTGACATTTTAGCCGGTAGAGTTATTCCATTAAGATTTGGTTACGCACCAGTTATAAATAGAGGTCAAAAGGATATTGAATCAAAGAAAACTATCAGAGATGCTTTGAAAGATGAAGCTCAATTTTTTGAAAATCATCCATCTTATAAGGCTAAAGCTCATTTTTGTGGTACCCCATATTTAGCTAAGATGTTGAACGGAATTTTATTACATCATATTAAGAGCACTTTACCAGATATTAAGATGAAGATTGAACATTCATTAAAGAAATATCAAAATGAATTGAGTCTTTTAGGTCCAGAATTAGCTGAATCTCCTACTTCAATTGCTCTTAATATGATTACAAACTTCACTAAAGATTATAATGGAATTTTAAGTGGTGAATCAAGAGAATTAAGTTCTCAAGAATTGAGTGGTGGTGCACGTATTTCATTTGTTTTCCATGAAATCTTCAAGAATGGGATTAATTCTTTAGATCCATTTGATCAAATTAAAGATGGTGATATTAGAACCATTATGCATAATACATCAGGTTCTGCACCATCCTTATTTGTTGGTACTCAAACTTTTGAAGTTCTTGTTAAACAACAAATCCATAGAATGGAAGAACCTTCAATTAGATGTGTTAATTTAATTTTTGATGAATTGGTTCGTATTTTATCACAAATTATTAGTCAACCACAATACTCTCGTTATCCTCAATTAAAGGAACAATTGAGTCAATTTTTCATTCAATATTTAAGAGATGAATTAGTTCCAACTAATGCCTTTGTTACTGATGTTATTAAGGCTGAAGAAACTTATGTGAATACTGCTCATCCAGATCTTTTAAAGGGATCTCAAGCAATGGCAATTGTTGAAGAAAAATTCCATCCTAAACCTCAAGTTGCAGTTGACCCTAAGACTGGTAAGCCATTACCACCAAGTCAACAACCACCTCAACCAACTGTGCCAGCCGGATCTAAAGATGAATCTAATGGATTTTTCGGAGGATTCTTTTCATCAAAGAACAAGAAGAGATTACAATCAATGGAAGCTCCACCTCCAGTGTTGAGAGCTACAGGAACCATGTCAGAAAGAGAAACAATGGAAACTGAAGTTATTAAATTATTAATTTCTTCATATTATAACATTGTTAAGAGAACTGTTTCAGATGTTGTACCAAAGGCAATCATGTTGAAATTAATTCTGAAATCGAAAGATCTGATTCAAAAGGAACTTTTAGAAAAATTATATAATTCTCCTGATTTAGCTGATTTAGTTAAGGAAAATGAACTGACTGTTCAAAAGAGAAAGGAATGTTTAAAGATGGTTGAAGTTTTGAGAAATGCTAGTGAAATTGTTTCAAGTGTTTAATAGAATAAATAAGATATTTTGATAAAGATGTAAGGTAAGAATTGATTTGTGAAGTTGAACTGTTATTCTTATTTTAATAGTTTGATCAAAATTATATTGTAAGGTCCATTCAGTATTTTTTTTTTTTTTTTTTAATTTATGTAGAAAAAGAAATGACACCTCAAAATGCACTACAGGATAACAATAATCACCAAAAATGTAAATTTAAGGAATAGGCGAGATCAATTATTGGGCGATAGATACATTCCTGAACTCATTTAGCCTATCAATTGAACACTATTTGTCGAACGTCTTCTGACTCATATGACTTCTAAACGACTATATATGAGTCAAACAAGTAGAATTAATTTTGTTCGCGTAACATCATGCACCCGCTCCTTTTTATTGGGGTCAAATCATTTGCCAAAATGCCCTCAACGTTAAATTTTAAGCCTTTTCTCACGTTAAAAAAAAATTTTATTGTATGCAAAATTCATTAAAATTTTGCTGTGCATATTCAGTCACTCCAAGAAAATTTGACTTGAAAATTTTGATAAGAGCAGCAAATAACTATTTCAACAAACTTTTTCTTCAGTTATCTTCATAAATACCGAAAGAAAACGCCCGATCCCACTCCGCATCTTATCCAAGAATCTCATCTCAGTAGCAAATTACTTTATTAGCTTCTCGAGACCCTCAACTTTAATCCCTTGTTAGAATCGATTGCAACTCTCATTTTGGAAACTAAAACCGTTTTCGAAAACTGAAAAGAGTTCAATTGTCCATTTCTGTTTGAGTCCAAGTTACTAGGTGTACCACCTTTTAGCTTGTTTCGCTCCACACACCACACGCTGTACAGCTTTCGCTCTTCTCTGGTATATGCCTAAGAAAGAACCACGACGTTCCTACTTTACTACCTTACACGAGCCTGGATAAGATAGATCAAATTTTATTAATTTTTGCATCTTTTTCTCCACACCCCAATATTTTCCAAGAAATCATATTCACCATTCCATTCGTCAACCTGTACTGACACCCCCCCAACACTAGGCCCATTAACCCCTACCCCAACCTGTGTGATCACCCACTGTAATTAGCTACCTAGAAACGTTTCTTGCTACTTCTCTCTTCGTTTCTATTGTTGTTAATTCACAATCCCCACCCTACTATTAAGAGCAAGTTTCAATCCCAAAGAACTTAAAAAAACAAACCACTAAAAAAAATCTCCAAAAAACCACTTAAAACCTCTCTCCGGATCAATATTCAGAGTGACAAAAAAAAATAACGAATAAGAAACCACAGTCAAACCCATAAATTAAAAAAAAAAAGAAATCAAATGGTTGCTCCTGCTTACCACGAAGACACTTATGTTGACACTGAATTGTCCGCCAACCTTGATTCGACCTTTGCCTTCGAAGGACCAGAAAAATTACTTGAATTATGGTTCTTTGATTCTGACAAGTCTATTCCTGACCATGTAGCCAAGGAAGGTTTACGTTCTATCCCATTGGAAAAATGGGTAGATGTCTTAGATTTGGTCAGTTGTAAGATTTTATCGATGAATTCTTCTGATGAAGTCGATGCTTATTTATTGTCTGAATCTTCTTTGTTTGTCTTTGCCCACAAGATTATTTTGAAGACTTGTGGTACTACCACTACTTTGGCTTGTCTTGATAAACTTTTTGAACTAGTTAATGAATATTTATTCAATTCTATGGACAAAGTTTATCAAGGTACTGATATTTTGAGAATCTTTTATTCCAGAAGATCTTTTATGTTCCCTCTTAAACAGAAACATGTTCATAAGGACTGGAAACATGAAGTTGCCTTATTGAACAATTTCTTTGGGAACGGTAAGTCCTATGTAGTTGGAGATTTTGCCAGTGATGACCATTGGTATTTGTACATGGGGGGTAATTCTCCTGAATCCAATGATTCCAACTCAAGTACTGACCAGACTTTTGAAATTTTGATGACAGAATTGGATCCAATTAAGGCTAAAAAGTTTGTAACCACCAGAAAGCCTGGTGGATCTTCTCTTGTTCATGAAAATGAAGAAGATGAATCTGATTTAGGCCATGATTTAGGACTTGAAATGATGTCTGAAACAAAGTTGGACAGTGTATTTGCTGAAAATCATTGTACCGACGTTTCTACTCATATGCCATCTCCTTCATTGTCTGATAGTCTTGAATTTGAGGAAGATACTACTCCAATCATCAAGGAATGTTCTTCTTCCAAGTTTCAATTTATTCATGATGCCTTTGCATTCACTCCTTGTGGATTCTCATCAAACTCTATTTCCAGAGTGGGTAATTACTACTACACTTTGCACATTACCCCAGAATCTGGTTGGTCTTATGCATCATTTGAAACCAATTACCCATTTTATAAGTCTGACACTCTCAACATCACTGATGTTTTACTTCGTGTGTTGAATATTTTTGAACCAGGTAAGTTCTCTGCCACATTAATCACCGAACAAGGTGACGATGCTAATGTGTTGGAGAATTTCAATAGTTTGTCAAACTGTTCTGATCTCTTATTGAAATCTTTCTCGAAGTTTGGATATGAAAAGCAAGAACGTGTTTTATATGATTTGAAGGGGAATTACAAATTATTATATTTAAACTATGCCAAGATTTCAAAAGAATAGGTATGAACGAATTAATTGGTTGAAAGTGAATGCTAAGAGATATTAGCGGTTGATTTTTCAAGTTCTTATATTTGTATATATATATATTCAATAAAATTTGAATGAAAAATTATGTCTGTACAATCTTCTTTCAACTTTAGTTAGGATGCGAACTACGGTTAAACTACCCCACATAATATTTTCTGCAGATACTCTTCGGAAACTTCTACAAGCAATTTATGTAAATACAATAAATTCTATTTATCGAATAAATATGTATTCAACGAACTTCAACAATATGTACAAATAACATTACTAGTTCGCTTATTTGAACTTCTTACCGAACATGATGACTTGCAATTGATCGTACATGGAGATAACACCGGCACCGGCAACACCTCTCAAGATGTTAGCACCACAACCCTTGAACAAGGACTTGATACCTTCAGCGGCAACAACCTTGGTGAAACAGTCGAAAGCACCCTTGTACTTAACGGCTTGACCAGAGGTCATCATCATTCTTCTTCTGACAGTGTCCAATGGGTAAGAAGCGGTGGAAGCACCAGTGGTGACAGCCCAACCCAACAAGAAAGAAGCGAAGAAAGAACCTTCCAATGGACCAACAAGGACAACTGGCTTCAAGGAATCGTAAAGACCGAAGTACAAACCTCTGTAGACAACAATACCAACAACGGATGGACCGAAACCTCTGTACAAACCGGCAATACCGTCGGAAGCGAGGGTCTTCTTGTAGACATCGAACAAACCGTTGAATTCTCTCTTACCGTCACCCTTGGAAGACTTAGCATCGTTAGCCAATCTGGTTCTGGCGTAATCCAAAGAGTAAACGAAAGCCAAAGAAGTGGCACCGGCAAGACCACCGGAGGCCAAGTTACCACCGAACCACTTCCAGTAGTTGTCATCCTTCTTGAAACCGAAAAGGGCCTTGAACTTGTCCTTGAAGGCGAAGTTCAAAGCTTGGGTTGGGAAGTATCTGATAACGTTGGCAGTGTTACCTCTCCAGAAAGAACCGACACCTTCTTCAGCAGCAGTTCTCTTGAAACATTCGACAATACCGTCGTACTTTCTAGCCAAACGACCTTGCTTGATCATTTCGTCTTGGTTTTGGATCAAAAGCTTGACTCTTTCAATTGGAGCAGCGGCGGTCTTGGAGACGGCGGCGGAAACACCGCCCATCATGAAATCGATGAAGAACTTAGAGTTGTCGGAGGACATTGCGTAAGTGATGAATATGTAAAGATAGACAACAGAAGAAAAAGAAGTTATGTTAACATTTAGCGTTCGGGAAAGGGGGGCTATATATATAATTTTGGGAGAACGCGACTTGTTCAAAAAGATGCCGACGCTGATTGGTTGGAATTTTTTTCTCCCCTGCCGGGTAACTTCCCGGGCGGACTCTGTAGTTTGAATCAAAAGTGATCAAAATTTTCAATTTTACAACTTAATTTTGCTTGGAAAATTACAATTTGTTATACAGTAAAGTCTTCTACGTGTATATATCATTTATTCCTACTTGCACCGTCTTCATTTCGTTCGAAGGTGGTGCTAGACCTGTTTGAAGAACCCGAATCGGCCTGGCAGAAACTGCATATTTTTTTTCACCGTTTATTAAAAATTTTTTTTTTTTGTATTTTCGATTTCTTCAAAGGCTTTTTTTTTCCGTAAATTTCCATTAATTTATTTTTCTTCGCAAAATTATTTTTATCGGACAGTTTCGGGATCGCAAGACTACTAAACAATTGGGAATTGTGTCTTGTGCGATGCCCTATAGGAACATAATTATCGCGTGGGGGAGAATGGATATGAGAAATCAGGAATAATAGGGGTTCCACGGATGACAATTTGTATAGAAGTACCTGTAACTCTTCATTGTGGGGTGATTCAGGGATATTATTACGTGGGATCACTAATTATCATTGAGCAATTGACTTGATGAATTTGGGGAACCCTCTCGGGTAGATGAAAAGTACGAGCACTAATATATATTTTTTTTTTAATTTCTAATTTTTAATTTTTAAAGAAATCAAAAATTTTGAATCATACATTTAACCATTTTAAGCAAACAGAATTGAACGCTTTTGACACATATTAACTTTCTTCTGATCCTTTTTAACTCTGTATGGTAATACATATTGTCCAATCTTTCTCTCATTCTACAATAATTGATTCATAATTCTAATTTGTATTTATCGAATATATCTTAATGTACAGTAAATGCAGGTTTTCATGCACCAATCTATCGAGTGTACTCACCAGAAACTCTTGATACTAATGAATTAGTAGTCGAAAGCTCTGGCAAGTCCAATGATGTTCTCATACGTCTCTCAGCATATCTAGTATCGTGTGATCGTCTTCTATCGTTTTCTCCAGAAATTCTCGACATATTTCTTTGATTTTCTTCAAATTTAAAATCTTCCATTGGAATTTCTTCAGTTTGAACCTTTGATAAATCATCTTGAGTTCCATTTGAAAAATTATATGTATCAATTAAAGATCCGTTATCGTAGAAGGAACGAACGTTTGATTCTCTCTTTAATCTATCAAATATAGATTTTCTCTTCTTAGGTGATGTGGATGATTGCAGTTCATTATTTGCAGGCTTACGATGCACAATTGATTCAGAAGGTACATCCTTAGGAATACCATTGACATCTGGACTACCACCTCCGCCTAGTGGATGTGTAACTCTTTGTGGTTTAGGTTCCACAACTGCAGAACTCAAGCCATATTGAGAAGATTGACGTTCAAGGTCACTATCTGTACTAGGGGTCATATCTTTCTTAAATGAAGCATGTTGTTGAGGTTTTCTCATACTATCGACAGCATCAGCAGAATATTTGGAGATCTTCACTCTATTAGGATCAGTTGGATCATAATCAATTGGATATGCATCAAAGTCACCCCTATTTACACATTCACGAATAATGTCAATATCCTTAGGCCAAAATATCTTTTGACAGATATCATAACAAAATCTTGGAGCCAAACAAATCAATACACCAATTGATGTAATTGCCCAAAAGTTGGCACTTTGCATAATTTGTACACCAGCATCATAAAATTCCAATGCACTAGTTACCACTGACGACCATACCAAAGTCCAGAAATAAATCAAGAAAATCGACAATAAAACAATAAATGTTGAAAGCCAATCCCATCTATACTGATGGAACAAAATGTAGAAGTTACACGAGATACAAGCAATGGCTGTTACCATAACACCCATCCAGAATCTATGATCAATTGGTAACCCATTCATACCACAGAACCCCTTGTGATATAAAAGGTAAGGGAAGAAAAATGAAATTGCTGATTGATAAATCCCGTCAACCATATAAATCCAAAACTTCGATTGGGTCCATTCACTACGAATGATACCAGTACGATATAATTGAGGAACGAGTAAGGAAACAGAGCCACTAACATCTTGATCCATAACACCTAAGAAGATGACAGGTAATGAGGAGAAAGCCAAACTGTAGAACATTAAGAAGGTGAATTCAAATAAGTATGATCCATCAAAATTATTGTAGACACCATACCAAAACAATGCAATGTTGAAAATCACATTCTTATAAAAGAAACTTGGAATCATTTCACTAAATCTCTTATAAGACCATCTACCATGAGCAAGTAAAAGCTTCGCCAAGAACCTGAATTGACCAATAGCATAATCTGAAGACATCACCGCTTGACGACCTTCTTCACCAGCAATACCTACACCCACATCTGCTGCCTGGATCATGGCGACATCGTTGGATCCGTCACCAATTGCTAATGTCATAACATCAAGAGTATCTTTAACCAACTTGACAACTGCAGCCTTCTGAGCAGGGGAAACACGGCAACACAAAACAGCCTTACATTGTTTACACAATAACAAAAACTTTCTTCTTGTTTCAGGGTCTAACAATGCAACCTTTAACGCATCACCATCGATAACCACCCCGAATCCTGGATTAGGAGGGGAATGATCTTCTTTAGCTTCTTCCAATTCTTCAAAAGATCCATCCATGTGGAAATACAACGAGAGGTATTTGGAGATGAGCATATCGACAATCTCTGCATCAGTCATTTTATCACTGACTCCATACTTATCCCTTTCACTTTGTTCTAATGTAGTTTTCAAAATTAAAAGTTCCATATCGTTACCAAGTAAGTTACAAGAGAAACCAATGTTAATAGCAGTTTCAACTTTATCACCCGTAAGAACCCAAAGCTTGATACCAGCTTCACCCAAAAGAGCAATTGCATCTGGGACACCATCTTGAAGTCTATCTTCAATGGCAGTACCCCCAAGTAAGATCAATTCTCTCTCTATAGAGTCAGCCACTTCTTCCATTCTTTCCTCTCTCTTATCAAGAGATGATGCAGCTTCCACGTGCTTATTGTTCCATTCAGTATATTGACTCCAAGTGAGCTCTCTTTGAGCGATGCATAAAGTTCTTAAACCTTCTACTGCATATTCTTCCAAATGCTTAGCAGTTGATTCTAACAATTCCGGATTGTTGTGCTTCTTAGATAACCTTTCATAAATGATAGAATCTGCACCTTTACAGATTAATAATGCAGTTGGTTCATCTTCAGGTTGACTAGCTGGAATCTTGATTATAGCACTCATTCTCTTTCTAGTGGAATTGAATTCTAATGTGTTTAACACTTGATACTCCTTGGTTTCACCTTGAATGTTAACAAGAAGTCCTCTTTTCGTTGAACCATTGAATCCAAACCCAATAGCACGAGCAGTACCAACAAGGGCTTCTTCATCAGGGGATTGGGCCTTTAATGCAACTTTTTGTGGATTCTTGGGGTCTTCTTCTGTAACAACAGAATGACATAAGGCTAACGCTAACATGAAATGTTCATTACAGTCCTTTTGAATTCCCCCATCAATCAAATGATCAACAAACTCACTTGAAATAAATGACAATTCATCTTCATATAATTGAGCAGAATCTGATATACTACGTAATTTTTCAATCATAGCAACACGATCTTTGGCAATCATTTCTCTTTGTTGGGCTCCTTCGGCTTCCACATCAATTCCTTGTCTCTTTCTTAACCCGGCAAGTGCTTCAGTGTAAGCTTTCCCGTATGATATACCATTGATGGTACACTTTTTAAATTCCATAACATTTTGAGTCAATGTACCAGTCTTATCACTAAAAATATATTCAATTTGACCTAAATCATCTGAAATACTCCAAGATTTAGGAGTACATGGATAATCCAACCTTTCGTAATACATTCCAACATCTGAAAAGATAAAAAACGCTTGAGCAGTTTTAATAATTTCAATGGTAATATAAAGTGAGATAGGCACCAAAGATTGGTAAAGAATGAGAGCAACAAAAAATCCAACAAGTCCATTTTTCCATGGAGAACCAGCAATGGTTCCGAACTCATAGAAGTCTCTTGAAGTACCCGTCTGTCTATACCACATCCCGTTAATAACCCCAGAAACAAAACAAATGACAAATAATAATGCAAAATTATAATAAATGTAAACGTTTAATTCACGAGATATTCTTGATTGTTTTGTTGGAGTAATACCAGAATTAAGCATAATCTTGGTATCATCTCCTGTATATGCAACAACTCCAATGACCCACTTAGTATTTCTAAGAGAACACCCTCTAAGAAGAATATTATTTATGGTAACTGGTTCTTGAAGTTCTTCGTTGGTTTCCCGATCATTGTAATTGAGACTTGCCTGGTATGAATAGAGATTAGCATGTGGACCTTCACTTTTGATTTCGAAGTCATGAGATATCATATCATCAGCTTTGGTGATTCCATGTCCATATTTCAAAGCTTGTCTTACTTTCAAATTAGTTTCACCATCCAAGTTCTTTGTTTCTACGTAACAACAATTGTCATCGTCACTGGTGGCTAAGATAATCACATCTGCAGGGATTTCATCATTATTATAAATTCTCAATACATCCCCAACTCTTACATCTTTCCAATATTTCTTTGCAAATTTAAGTTTTTTCTCTAAAGGTCTTCTTGATGCTGTTGATTTACGTGATCTTTGAAGTGATTTTCTTACTGTCTCGTTATCAAATGGATTCTCAGTAGAATAACGTTGATGAGTGCTGTCAAAACTTTTTCTTGACTCTTCCAAGTTTTCCATGGTTTCTTTACGTTTAGCCTGGAGCTTTTTTGCTCTACCTTCTTTGGTTAAGTTTCTTTTGGAGGCACCAATGAAACGGAATAATTGTTTAGTATTCCATTTCTTAAATTTTCTCCATAATGAAACAGTTTCATCATTGACATTACGGTTTTCGTACACATATGTTCCATGTGTAGCTTCGCTTGGTTTCTCAACATTATCCAAAATATGAGTAAATTGATTATTAACCTCCATATCAGTACCAGTTCTTCTACTATCTTCAATGGCATCTTTGAATGCGGTAATAATGACAATGACAATTAAGGGTACTGCAGCCATTACTGGACTGGGGACCCCAAAAATATCGAACGCCCCCAAGATAATCATGACAAGGAAATAGATATTGGCAACGTTATTGGAAAACTGATTGAATATATTCTTTGGAAGAAATGAAAGTGGAGTATATTTAGTAGTTCTGATTTTATTTCTTGGATAATCTGTGTTTGGTTTACCCGTTTCTGGGTCTAAGAATTCTTCAGGAAGAACACGATTGAATACGATTGATCTCTTATCATGTCTTTTATCATTTGCTTCCAAAGGTTCTTCATTTTCTGAATCCGAAGTTTCATTATTTTCCGCTGTTATATCATTATTGGTCTCGTGTCTACGAGTAGATGTCGATCCCTTCTTCAGTTTTGATCTTGACAGACTACTTCCGGTTGGATTTAATAGCTTTTTAAGAGTCTTAGATCGATTCACAGCCTCCGGCTTAGGTCTACCCTTTTTATTTCTGGTGGTACCCCATCTATGTCTTTTCATTTTCTGTTGATCTTGTTCATCTCCCAGGTCTTCCAGAAATTGCAGCTCTATATCTTCATCTATTTTATTGTCCTGAATCTGTACATCATGCGGTTCGTATTGAACAACTTCATAAAAGTTGTCATCTCGATCAGATTGATCTGCAAACGGAGAAGTTGGTGGTTGCAGTCTTGGAGCAGGCTCGTTATCTTCCACTATCGTATTACTGTCCATGAAGGGAGACGTCATTGCTGATGTGCGTTTATCATGTTTCAGGACACTCAGACGAAGTAACAGCACAGAAGATGTCAGAGATGAAGTGGGTGGTGTGGGCACAGGGGAGGTTGGCACACTACTTTGTGGTGGAAGTTTAAATCTTAAAGAAGGTTGCTTAGATCTTATAAAGTCAAATTTTTTGTTATCTACATTAAGATTTGGGGTTGGGAGTGCACTAGCAAATGATTCAGTATCTGAAAATTCAGAGTTTGAAAATGAATGTTCATGACTAGGGGATCCCGGAGATCCTCCGGACATAAATCCGGCATCCACGGACTGTCTCGCTCTAGCAACACCTGCAAATGCTCTTTGATTATGATGTTCCGAACGAGTGTGCTGTGATGAATGTTGTGGTGGGACATCTTGTTCTGGTGTGGTGAAATCAGGCATTTCATCACTATCGGCAGGGGATGCAATTCCGTCCCCTGAGGCCCTATGGTTGTCAGAAAAAGGTGATCTGCTATGATCCATGGTCCTCTATGACTCTGTGTATGTTTTTTTTTATGAATTGAAATATAACTTTTCTAATACAAATGGGTTGGTAATGATTTCCCGTGAATCTCGATTTGACGCGTTTCTATCGATTGACGAAACTCTATAATATGTCAGTTCAAAATTGGATGTGTGTATGTTCTTGGTAGCGCAAGGCCAGGGCCTTGAATTGATGTGGTTCAAGGTTGGAAATCTTATAGGAAACCTGTTTTCTGTGACGTTTCAAATATAAATCAAAGATTTTTGATCAGAGCTCTGCACGACGCGATTGCCACTTAGTAATTTTTCTAATTTGAAGAAAAAAAAAAAAAAAATAGCTACCACAAAAAAAGATATCGCTAAGAAAATGTATACGGAATTATGACCGATCGGCTTGATAAATGAGGTATTTACCTGGAGTACCGTATTTAGAAACTACTACTAAATAGAGAATCTGATGCATATACAAGTATACATATACATATACATGGCCAATGGCAAGGTAAATTATAGAGGTCATTTGAAACTTTAAAATGTGGTAAAATAATTATCATCTTTGGCTATGTCCGATTACTAAAGAAATCTCGGATATTAGGCTTTAATTAGTTTTCTATGTATTTTTTTTTCTAATTCGGAACTAAAACTAAGACCCCTTCAGTTCCGAGCTATCCTTGTACGGACCGTTAATTTTTTTTTTTTAAGAAAAAAAAAAGAAAAGGAAAACAGTGCATTTCCGCTTTTATTTCCTATCGCGGATTATATCCGTTTATTTGCTCACGTGACGACGCTGGTTACAATGGCATGAGTACAACACAAAGACTACCCGGGATTAATGTAAAGTAAGCAGATTCTATTTATAACCTCGTGCTTACAATAGGTAACGGTTTTCTGTTTAAAAACAATTGGAGAGGGGGTGAGGAAGATTATAGGGCAAGACCGTCGGTGATTTGTAGTATATATATCTTTTTTTTTTTTTTGGATTACATTCAAACGTGCAAAAATCGGGAAAGGAAAATACTTTCAAGATAATTTACCACTGACTAAAGAAATGAGGATGTGTAGTACATGATCCATTCTCGAATGTGTAAAATCAATAGAATTTGAGACATCAAATATATGTGAATAATCTTACACAATACAAATAATATACCCACCTAAAACTAAATATGAAAGGGTCTACCAAAGAAGAAGCAAAAACAAAGGAGAAGATTGATTTCCTTATTCATTGTAGTTTTGTTCCATTTAATTTCTTTTACAATGACTTTCCCTTTCTCGTTCTAGTTACCCTTTTAGGTATTTGATGTCAGAGGGGATCCGTTCCTGCAGAAAGATAGATCAATTAGATTAAATTGGAAGAAGACTGTTACGAGCACTGATGTGTCAAAAAATACAATTTCATTTGTTAAATCAATTGATCTACAAGTATAATTATTATGATTAGATGAATTTCGTATTTTGTATTCGTTAATTAATATGTAGTGTTCGCTTATCTAAAGCAAAGCAACGGCAACGGCACCGACAAGAAGACCAGCAGGAGCATAGACACCAGCACCCATGTTCTTAGAGGAAGTAGTAGAAGAAGAAGAAGCACCGGAGGAAGAAGCACCGGACTTGGAACCAGAAGAGGAAGCAGAGGCACCGCTGGTGATGTGAGCCAGGTCAGTGGCGGAACCAGAAGAAGAATCTTCAGTCTTGGAAACTTCAGAGCTAGATTTGGTGGCGGAACCAGAACCAGAACTAGTGGTGGAAACAGCAGACCATTGGTGAATCCAAGCAGAGTAAACGGATTGTTCTTGAAGAGAAGAAGCAATTTCAGCAGCACTACTTGGGTTGGCAGCAACCAAAGAGTTGTAGTTGGTCATCCAAGAACTCAAGGCAGGATATTTACCAAAGTAATCGGTGAAATCACCAACAGTGTAGGTTGGGTAATGATCGTTTGTGTTGTAGAAGTATGAATAGAAATCACTATAGTTGTCAAAGGCAGTACTATATTGTTCCCATAAGGCTTCAGATCCAACACTAGCAGTGACATCAGTGGCAATTTTAGAAGAGTCAGCAGCGTTAACAACGGCAGATGCAAGGGCAATAGATGCTAAGGTAAGAAAGTTCATTATTATTAATTGGGGAATTTATTATTAATGGAATATATGTTTAGAAATTGTTTTAAATCCCTGATTTTGATCTGTTTAAATAGAGAAAATTTTCGTCTAAATCAGGTAATTGAATTTTTCTCGACAAAAAATTTCTATTTTTAAATTCATCTGTAATCCAGCCACATGTTAATAGATTACATGTACGTAATTAAATCAAGTATTTACATCGAAGAGTTGCAATTGAATTTTGATTCGAATCGATTTGCTCGTATATAGATTTGATATTACACACGATGCATGTCATAAAAGCTTCTGTTGGATGCAATATCGGCTAATCTATGGAGGTCATATCTCTTTTTACTATGAGGCAATTTGTGTGTGTGAGATCATATTAGACGACTAAAAATTAAAATTACCGGAAAAAAAAAAAATTTAGGGTTGAAATTATAAAACCCCAGCTCTTTGTATACAATAATTTGTTTCAAAAAGAGAAGCATGTAGCAATAATAACAATAAACTTGTATAAAATATTTATGAGATGGACATTATGGAAAATTTAACTCGGTTAATAACATTTCTCTCTGTCCCTGCTCCCCATTGGTATACTCTCTACTATCTACAGTTATTTAGTTTTACTTTAGTCTTTTCCACTTTTCTATTGCTAGTTTGTAAGAAATGTGTAATGTTTGCCCTCCCCCCGCCTAGGGCGTCACCCCCTTTGAAGAAGATTGCCCTTACATTCGCAGGGATGTTACAGGATCTTTTTTTTTTTTTTCAAAAGTGTCATAGAGAACATTCCATACTCAGTTATTAAACAGATAAGAATACTGGCAGATTCTACTTTGTCATAACTGACGCTACAAATCCAATGAATCGGATTTAGAAAGAAAAAAAAAAACATTCACATTTTCACATATACACTTTCTCTTTAATTCTCCTTCTTTGTAGCATACTTGGCAGTCCAGTCCTTGGCAACTTGAATGGCTGCTTGCTCATCTTTCTTCCAGTCTTCAGCAACATCATTAGCCAATGGATCATCTGGATTTGGTGCTCCTAAGAGAGCCTGTATAGATAGTAACACGGTTCGGATTTGTAAGGCCGGACTCCAATTATCTTTTAATACATCTAAACAAATTCTACCTAATTTATCAATATTTGGGTGATAGATCTTAGTTAAAAACCTCACTTTTGGTGCACACATGGGATAATCATCTGGTAAATATAATTCTAATTGAAATTCACCATCAGCATATGGAGATGATGAAGGACCTTCAATGGTGACTTCAAAATAACGAAGGTTTTCTTCAGATGGCACGGCTGTTATACCAGGCACAGGTTCGGAATAAAGTCTTTCTGTTTCCTTAATAATTCTCTTTGGTAAGGCTGCCATTTTATCAATGATGTAATGATTTTAATATGAATGGTGGCAATCAACAATTCTATGTATATATAAAAAAGAACAAAAACTTCTCAATAAAACAACCAATCCTTTCTTCAGCACAACGTCAATTAAAAAGTGGATGCTAGATAGATTGATACAGATTTTAAGTATATGTCTAAGGAACTACTGTTTAGATTGTTAAAGGGTGAGGAGATATACAATTGAGATCTAAAACTTAAACGGTGGACGGTCGTGCGGTTGTTTAAAAAAATGGTAGACAGGATTGAAGTGGATATACCGGAATCGAACACAATTACCCAGGAAAATTTTACTACAAAATCGACCTGAACAACTACAAACTAAACTAATAAAAGATACATATAAAGATGCCACCTGACCTTCCAAAGGGCCCACCATTTTGGCAGAGACTTATTGTAGGTACTGCAGCCGTCGGATTGGGTGTATATGCCTTCTTAGATGCTCTGAAAGAATTTGAACTTATTAAGTTTACTCCATTTAGTGAGGAAGAAATTGCTCAAAGAAAACTTGAAAATAGAAAATTATCAATAAGACAACTTGAACAAGTCACTTTGGATTATACTCCTGAAGCAAAGGAAAAGTTTAGAAAAAGAGCAGAACAACTTGAGAAAGAAAAGGGTTCCTAAGTTGGTACCATCATGTAGTACGCTGTGTAGAAGGTCAATATGGGTACTATACGCCTTTTTTGCATTGTCAATATTTCTGGTAGGGAAACAAGTCTCATCACTGATACAACACCATTAGTTATTTTTTCCATGAAGGCGTAGTTTTGACAATTGTACCATGTTCCAGTACCAACCTGTCGATTCCTGTCTGGAATATACACTTCAAAATCCCATTTAAATGTTATTAACATTCATGACAAGTATACATAGAACCATTTGTGGCAAAATATACACCACTACTCTATTCATTTATTTTTTTATAGGAAAGAATTCTTAATTATTTGGAATACACAAGAGTGAACTCTAACTTGAACAACTTAGTGACAGAAAAATCAATTTTGTAATTTAACGTATTAAGTAAAAAAATGAACAATTGTGGGGTAATCATCAAAATCAAAAAGTGACTGTGACTTTGTTTTGCAGTTTAAATCATATTTGGTACGGCGTCATTCATACACCGGATATGTCGCTAAGTGAAAGAACAATTTGACTCACTTGACTCCTGTGGGAATATTCCCTCTCAACCAATAATAAGTGCAGATAATGACACCACAGGTGCATAGTTGGTGGGAGGTACAACTAAAAAATTATATGATGGTACGGCACTATTTGTGCAAATAGATTGTGCTCAAGACAATGATTTGGATCAAGGTACAAACCAAGATTCACATCCCCCACTCTCTTTGTTTCAATACATTGTACTTGTATTGTTCACATGGATTGTGGGGTTCTCGTTTTGACTTTTAAACAAGAAAAAAAAAATTACACTGTGAGAAAAAAATTCAAATCTGTAAGGAGGTGGTGGGGTAAGTGGGACACAGTATTTTATCGAATAAATTACCCCCAATCCAGAAACGAAAATGTGGGAGAGTATAGCATGCATGTAACGGATATCAAACATGTAACCAAGTTGCTTTGGCTTAGATATGCAATTAGATAAGCCTTCGCCTCAGCCCAGCCAATCCTCGCAAAGCAATGCACTTTGGTGGAAAAGCCTATCGTATAATTATTATTAGCGAACAACGTCACCAAGAATTGTGGTGTCCTACACGACTGGTTGGGCAAAATGGAAAAGCAAACTAATCATGCATTCAATTTATCTGACTAGGCATTTCTTGCTGACGATGACCCAAAATAATATTGTTGGCAGGTTCAGTCCATACTAATTTCATTGAACTGAATTTTGATCGTGGACAATAAAGGAAAAATTATTTTCTAAAGAAATGGTTGTGAGTGGGAATGCCTTGCATATGCCGCATTCTTTCATTTTTTTTTACGAGTGTGAACTTTTCAACTTACTTGCAGTAATAACCGCCTTTCAAAATATCTACATTAAGCAGTTATAATTTTCGAGACTTAGACTTAATTCTAACACCTATACATTAACAGTAGCACTATGTACTCAATTCATCACCTCTTGGACAAAATTAAACGACATTGTTGGTAATTCCAAAACGACATTCCGACCGGACTTCAGTTTCTTTTTTTGGACGCACCGAGATAAACCCGTGCAGTATACTTCATATAAGGCACAGGTCAGTAGGGCAAGGGCTCCAGTACATCATTATTAACTCTCCCATTCTCTACCTGCATAATGCCCTGTGTCCCTTTTAGGCTGCGGGGCAATCAAGGGGGGTACTCCATTATAGACCCCTCATTCACATATCTGAAAAGCAACCTCTGGTCTAAATTATTGTTTAAAGTTTTAGCGATCCGGAAAAGCCTAGTTTTTGCGTATTAAAAATACCGCCTACCTCGTGGTCTAGTTATCTATATCGATGGTGAGTCCCCTTACTCCTAAACAGTTCTTTGACAGATTTCTTGTCCATGATACTTGATACTTGGCACGTCAATAATCTCAATCGTATATTTTTTTTTAATTAGTAACAATTCCCTCATCCTCCGCATATTCCGTCATGATATTTTTATTCTCACATGTCCCTCATTGTAGCCCCTCCTGACCCCCATCATCTACATTCGTACAATTTCGAGTTGCAGATTACCCCATTCGCTAAATGATACACATCTTCGGTGACACAAAACCTTAAAAAAATTCCAGCTTATTGTTCTACCCTTTCTCCTCTTCCCAATTCGTTTATGAGGTGCATTGACTAATGAGGTAATTGGTTAGGCTAGTCATACATAGATATTCTCCCCATTCGTATAGTAGTATCGCCTATACACTATGTGAAGACAAAACAAAAAAACCCAAGTGTCAGGTATTAAATTTCTATGTCTATTCTGTAGGAATGAACTAATATGTCTAAAAAGTCTTGATAGTAACGAATGGCGTGCATCCCTACATCGTATTCACTCATTAGGCCGCCATTACCCCGGATTGCCCCTTTTGAAATTCTTTGGAGCATAAATTTCAAGTACCCCTCCCGCATGTGTTTTATTTACGTTCCTCGATGCGGAAAAAAGTGGAGATTAACCCCTCCCAAAAAGGCATCTGACATGCACACAATGATACCCCTTTCGGTAACTTCAAATATGCATGGAGTGCATATAATTTCGAGAACTTGTAATGGATATCGAATCTTTTTGCTAACCTCTAGAGGAAATGGGGCCCTTAGGAGACCAAAAAGAAGTACTAGAAGAGGTAGAAAAGTTACAATTGGTAGCATATCAGTCCTTGGAAGTCAATGTAGCTCTTGTAGATGTTTAAAAAAACTAAACTAATGATTTAAGCGATGTATATATCATGTAAAGTACGTTCCCCAGGTTTGCGCAAGGCATGCGAACTTACTGCTGCAATTTAGAATTTTCAGGTAATATCGGAATTCGCCTGTGCTATTGTTCCGGAGACCCTCCCCCTTCAAAGGATATAAATTGTATCCATCATCCTCCCTAATAACTCTCTTAATACTTTTTTCTTCAGCTTACTCACTCATAATATTATACCCCCAACTTACAAAGTTACCAAGTACCCTTGATCTCTACGATCTTTATACCCAAACACATACTTGCTTACTTTAACACTCACGATTGTTATCTAACTACTACTACTACTACTACCTTCAATAAATACAATGGCTCCACCACCACCAAACGGCAGAAAACTCTGGAGAGTTCAAAGACAACCATCTACTACTGGAAACCAACAAGTCGAACACAATTCCTCCCAAGAATGCCTTCAAAATTCTCTCAAGATTGTTGCTGCTGGTAAGGCATACCTGACTAAGAGACCTCCTTTGAGAAGACCAAAGAATCAACCAGGAAAGCCTAAAGATTTTGTCTTTGTCGATCTTTCACCAATCAGATCTGAAGAAGAGGAATCAAATAAGCTTAACACTCAACAGAAAATTGCATCTACTTACCCAGCAAATGTTTCTCCTGTGTCTGAGGCTTCTAATGATTCATTTTCAGTGTCATCTGACGAAGAATCAATGTTCTCATTATATGATTCAACCAACATAAATTCGAACGCTCAATTTTCCCAATCCGGTAATGAATATAATAGTGCGTCTAACTATATGCAGTCAAATGCACAATTATTTTCGATGCCTGAAGTTGGTCTTGGACTTAACATGTTGGATGATTGGCAATTTGATGTTACTTATCAACAAAACTTCAACCAATATATTCCATCTTCCACATTTTCACAACAAGAACAACAATCTTTAAAAATGCCTAAAGTTCATCAAAGATCAGAATCCACTCCTTATATGCAGTACATGCCAACATTTGAAGCTACTCAACAAGCAACTCCAAACAGAAAAAGAGCTGCATCTGCTGATTTCTCATATAAGACTCCATCTCCAAAGAGAACTACCTTTTCTCAAAGAAATACTCCTCTGGGATTGGAAGCCTTTATGATGTTTAATGATCAATTATCAGTTGCACTTCCAAAAGAAATGATACCCACCTATGTGCAGGATAATGCTGCAAGTGTAAAATGTTCTACTACTAGTACTTACACGAGCATGCCAAGATCTGTTGCCAATGCAGCCGATGCTTTTGACATGGCCATTCAATCTGTTCCATTTTCTCCAGTTACTGATGACTCTGAAATTGAAGAACTTCACAATACCAAACTTGGCAAGCCAATTGACTTGTCTACTACTTTCGATGCACACAACATGTTAATTCAAAAGCAAAATGACTTTGACTTGAATGCATTTGTTGCTTTTTAATTTATTCGGTTCTATCTATTTTTTCAACCACTCCCACAATTACCCATTTGCATTTTGATGGCGCCTCCTTTGGCAGCCTGATCAGACTTTTTAACCCATTCTTCCACGACAATTCATTATTTCATCCACCCTTGGTGGTTTACTTTGCATACACTTATTTTTACTACATTCACCAATTGATTTACTTTAGCTTATTTCGATGCAGTTTCGATACTGCAAATTCTTCAAATCAAACTTCGGTCGGGTTCCTTTTCACTTCTTCAATCCTACAAGGGTTACTATTATTATTATTATTATTATTATTATTAGGGTATTTTTATATCATTATTATTTGGAATGAAACAATTATGACTTATTATTCAATGTAGAGAAAGCTAGTTAATTACTCCAACAGTATGAAGACTGTGAATTCAATGTCAGATAGAATGAAGATTCCAAGTTCACTTTGTCTTCATTTAGATTTCCGACTTTTCACCTTTCATTCACATCTTCCCGTTTTATTTCTTTTTTTTCCACTTTCCATATTTAGTACTGATGACAATACTACTACTACTACTACTTCTCCTACATTTCTTTTTTTTTTTGCACTTTCTATTACAATTCCCCTTAAGGAAACTAATGTTGATCTCAAAATATTTTGATTATTACTTGATTGAGAGGAAATTGAATACCTTATTGTATACTTGATCTCGCATAAAACCTTATTATAAATGCTCGTGTAATTCTTTTACTTCATATAAATAATCTACCTCGAAAAATGCCTAAATCATCTTGATCATAATATTACTTAGGCTTAATTAGGGAATCCATTGTTTCTCGTATAAACTATGGTTGTATGCAGACCAAAGTATAATTCATAAGCTTAAATATCTAATTATTATCTCATATTGTATGTGTATGTGATGGTTATGTCTTTTGTAGGCATTTTATCAATGTAGAATAATGGGGTTGGTTATAAAATATCTGCTTTAAATATAGTTATATAGTCGTGGAGTCATATTGAGTCATTGGTAGATTTTAGTCATCACGTGCTAAATATTTCATTCATCTGGACACCCACCAATAACAGATCAACTCATACAATAAGCCTCCTTCATTACATCGACGAATAAAATGCGCCATAAATAATAAGGACTATCGTACCATTTCCTTGATAAGTTCATGATATAATCAAAGAGGAAACTTGTAGTTCTTTTTATTGAAATTCAGTATAATTACACTATTTTAGATATATACTTCTTCAATAGTAAATTCTCTAGAAAAAAATTATAAATTCTCCATTATGTATACAAAGTTATAAAACTCCCCCTTAATCTTTAAGCATATCTCTATCTATTGGTTGAATTAAAAAATGAATGCCTACTGGATCGAGATTCAACTTTTGCAGATAAATTACTTATCTGCTAAGCACGACCCCCCAAAAAACTACGATACGTTGTTATCTGGTATCGTTTTCCGCGTGGACTCATAAAGAAAACCAAAGTATTTTACGTATGCCGAATACAATAAGCCCTTGTACTTGTTCATAGTCACCACGGCCTATCGCCACATATATCAATTGCCGTATATAAATGATAATCCCATGGAACAATCGAAGCCCTTTACTTGAACGGCTCCTTCATGCAGATAAGACATATCTCAAATTTAGTAGTCGATTGAGACGCAACCCTGTGCACTAAGTCAAACTTTAAATAGGAGAACCACACAATTCGCACCGACGATTCCACACGAACAGCATGGAAAAGTTAACGAGGGGATCCAGTAATATCGAAGTACAAGGTATGAGAATCTAGCTTGTACATTGTCATCTTTCAATATCCCCGAACAATGCAAAAACCAACTAAGATAAAACCCAACAAACTTAAGGTTTATCGTTCTCTAACATAGTCCATTTCCATCAAATTTTTTTCAACACATCAGGTATTATCTTCTTATCTTTATCTTCGTTTTTCCCGCATACGTACTATACTCCACGAAGCATTCAATGAATGTAACGACGATTCTGTTGATATACAACTGTAGCTTTTATCTTATGGACACAACATTATAGATTGCCAGAGTAGAGTATATACTTTAGATTGCGTAATATTAGCCACCCTGCATACCCTTCAAATTCATTGAATTTCCTTTCATTTTTGACATATTGTGGTCGGATATTTTATGGGATATGCATTTTCGCAATACGGCGCTTTTTTTGTGAACTATGGGGCTCCTCTTATCTTGTTGAGATTTGGAATTGTGGTAGTCAGTGGCTTTGGAATATACAAATAAAATGGTATAAGAAGACCACAAGCTTCTCTGTTCAGTAGTTTGTAATTCTCATTTAATACTAATCATTGTAATATGCTGAATCAAAAGGAAGTGAGCGCCTTTGGCGTGACATCTTCTCACGAACTTGTATCCTCTAATTCTAACTCTATTGTCGAAGATAATTATGATTTCGAAGATCCTAACAATTATTTTACCTTCTATGTTGATGAACTCAACCCTAAGGGGTTAAGAAAGCCCACTCCTACCGAAACAAAAACTCTCAGAAGGGTGTTAGGACATGCTCCTTACGCAGTCTATCTATTATGTTTGATCGAACTTGCTGAAAGAGGTTCCTATTACGGTGTACAAGGTTGTTTGGCCAATTTTGTTCAAAGACCATTGCCTGCCGGTAACAATACTGGTGCTCCTCCAAAAGGTAGTGAACAACAGGCCGGTGCTCTTGGCCTTGGATTACAAGCTTCCTCTGCAATCACCAATTTATTGGGATTCCTTGCTTATGTCGTACCATTGTATGGTGGTTTTATTGCTGATACCAAATTGGGTAAGTTTAAGTCCATTTGGATCGGTGTTATAGTTGGTGCTATATCTCATATTTTGTTTATCATTGCTTCTATTCCTCTGGTCATTGAAAGTGGTCATGCCATCGCCCCTACCGTTATTGCTGTCATCTCGTTGGCTATTGGAACTGGTTTCATTAAGCCAAATTTGTTACCACTTTTAATGGATCAGTATCCAGTTAAAATCGATGTCGTCAAAGTCTTACCATCTGGTGAAAATGTTATTGTTGATCGTCAAAAGTCCCTTGAAAGAATGACTTTAGTATTCTATTGGGCTATTAACATTGGTGCATTTTTACAATTGGCCACCTCTTATTGTGAAAGACTTATTGGGTTTTGGTTAGCTTTCCTTGTTCCAGGAATCGTATACATGTTATTACCAATTGTTTTGTTCTACTTGCAAACAAAGGTTAGTAGTGACAAGCCAAAGGGGACTGTTATTGAAAACGCTTGGAAGATTTCACGTGTTACATTCAGAAAGGGTTGGATTTCAAGAATGAGGTCTAAGCAACTTTGGGAATATGCAAGACCTTCCAAGATGTTAGAAAGAGGTGAAAAATATTACAAGGATAAGAAACAATCCCCAATCACTTGGGATGATCAATGGGTTTTGGATATCAAGCAAACATTCAACTCCTGTAAGATTTTTATTTGGTTCCCAATTTTTAACATTAACGATGGTGGTATTGGTAACATCCAAACGTCTCAAGCTGGTTCCATGTATGCAAATGGTGTTCCAAACGATTTGTACAACAATTTCAATCCATTGACTATCATTGTATTGATCCCAATCTTGGATTATTTCGTATATCCAACTTTAAGAAAGTACAAGATTGATTTCAAGCCAGTGTACAGAATTACCTTTGGGTTTGCATTGGGTGCTTTATCTCAAGTCGTTGGTGCCATCATTCAATATTATGTTTATCAAACATCTCCTTGTGGATATTACGCCACTAATTGTGATGTGGGTGACTTGGTTTCTCCAATATCTGCTTGGGTTGATATCATTTTACCAATCTTACAAGCTTCTGGTGAATGTTTTGCCAACACAACTGCTTATGAGTTGGCTTACACTAGATCACCACCACAAATGAAAGGTCTTGTTATGGCCTTATTTTTATTTACTTCAGCAATCTCGTCCGCAATTTCTCTTGCATTGACTGCCACTTTGGTCGATCCTCATTTGATCTGGTCTTTTGGATCCATGGGTATAATTGGAGCCGTTGCAGCTGCAGTATTCTTCTTTCAATTTAGATTCTTGCACGTTGAAATGGAAGAAGAAGCAAAGATCAGAGAAGAAATGGCAAAATATTCAGAGCTTCCTGATTACTCTGAATCTGAAGAAAAGTATGTTGGCCTTGTTGATGAAAAGAATCTCGTTCCGGTAACTTCTATCAAATCTGCAGTAGGTAAATAGAAAATATTTAACTTTTTAAGAATAAAAGTTTTCAAATTTGATTATTGCTATAGTACGCCGTACAAACGAACGGCTGATGGAATAGATAATCCGATGTAACATCTAAATCCGCAAAACAGTAAAACAGATTTTGGGGTGTAATTAAAACATCCCTAGGAATTTGATTGATATACGTTACATCTTAGGGGAAAAGAAGCCAAAAATTGGGGCATAACATGTATTAATACATATCAATTACATATAAATTGACTCATGTACTAATTTGGTTAAACGAATGGTTATAAACTTGTTAACTCCGTTGCAATTGATTTTTTCTATATGTCCGATATACATTATTTTTCTTACCGTGCATTAAATGATGACTCTTTCTTTGAGAGCGAATATACGAGAGAGGGATTAGGTATTCTACTTAAAAGAATTCGTTTGTCATATACATATTTCTTTAGAGGTGTAAGAAGACTTATAATCAACGATTGCTAACATTCATATTTGACTTCTACAATTAGATCAAAATGAAGTAACTGATGCAGAACTGTACAGTTCCCAATTTGTAAACGTCATTTAAAACCCGGTGTTTGATATTATCGTATAAGGGCTATTGCCCACTTCATGGACTTCTCTCAAAAAATTCGCAGATTCAATCTAGTTGAGTATTTTTTTCCTTGATCTTAAAATAGCTTCTGGTGTTTATACCTAATGAATTGACAATGAATGAGAGATATGTTTCTCATACATTGTCAATTACTAGATGTAGACATGATACTAGTGAGATAGGTACGGATTTACGAGATCATGTCACAAAGAAGAGAATAGGAAAGTTATATGCGGATGTGACGGAAATAAAATACCTTTGCTCATAATTAGTATCGGTTGGCGTGCACCTATTAAAGAATAAGCATGTGGCATTTTTTGCAGCCTAGTGAAAATTATATCTTTATATTTAGTGAACATTCAATGATGATTAATGGAAAGTTTGAGCCGTTAACTTCATATTTTCTCTCCTTACTTTTCACCAGATAACAAAGAAATAAGCGCACCTCCATACCCTTGCACAGACTAGCTTCTCAGCCAAAGTACTTTTAAACCGTGGTAATGTACAGGAAATTTCCAAAAAAGGAAGCTATTTTCTCTTTTCAAGAAACAGCATACGACTGATTCTTAATGAAGAATTTGCAGCTTTCAAGACGAACATATTAGTGCTGGTTCAGTTTGCACTAGTGGTTGATTTGCAATCAATCAAGATTCCTTTACGTATAAAAAGGAAAAATATATCTGTTCATATTAAGCATTGTTCTCTTTTCCCAAAGTTATTTTATACCGAGGATGCCAATAAATCTTCATGTACTCAAATTTCCGATTGGTATATTTCTTGGTGTGCGGATATAAAAATTTCCCAATTCTATATAATTAATAGTGGTACTATTCCTTCAAAATCATCTCTCATCATCTACAACAACGATCTCATCTTGTCTTACATATTCCCCCATGCTATATATATGCCAGTAACCATTGTACTTGTTATAATTCTTATGTTTTGTTCTAGTTTATACTCCCAAAAAATTCAAACCGGTGAGCATCAAAATCCAACAAATTAAAATTTTTGGCTTTTTTTTTTTTTTTTTGTCTCTTTAGAGTAACATATAAATGTGATTAAGTCTACATCACAATACATTTGAGAAAAATATCACAGTACTTTCCACCCCGCGCATTTAAAAGGCGCTATATTACCCATTGATTCTCAACTTTAAGAGTGAGTCTCTACCTATTCATTCGTTTTTTTGTTTGAAAAAAAATTTATTCATAATTATATTGAACACAATAATATGATCTGGGGTAACGAACTTATTGAATTTGCACTTCCTAGTGCAAATCTTTTACAATTTCCTGAAAGAAATACCCCATTACCTCCATCACCATTTCAAAATGAATTCCTTACTCAACTGTATAATTTTTTTATGAAGTCTTCAACTCCAATGACTATTGCTATTGTCTATTTTTCATTTGTTCATTTCATCAATCCTCATATTAGAAATAGACAAATTGCACTTGCTAAGGAGAAGAAATTGAACAATAATAGACTTCCAGCAGCTCCATTTGCAATTGCCAAAACTTCTATTTTCAATTTCTTGGTACTTGTTCATAACGTATTTTTATGTGTTTATTCTGCTTGGACATTTATTGGTATGTGTTACACAATGAAGAATACCTCACATTTTTTCAAAACTGAAAATATTCCACAATTAGATAGAGTTTCAAGATTAGTTCAATCTGTTTGTGATTTAGATCAAGGAATTTTCGCAGATGATTTACCTTGGTCAAATTTACATTTCTATGGTTATTGGTTTTATTTATCAAAATTTTATGAAGTATTGGATACCATTATTATTTTATTAAAGGGTAGACCATCTTCATTACTTCAAAGTTACCATCATGCAGGTGCTATGATGTGTATGTGGGCTGGAATTAGATACAGATCACCACCAATTTGGATTTTTGTCGTTTTTAATTCTTTTATTCATACTTTGATGTATTTCTATTTTTCATTATCATGTTTGAAATTTAGAGTACCAACTATTTTTAAGAGAATTCTTACAACCATGCAAATTACTCAATTTATTGTTGGTGGTTCTATTGCTGTTGTACATGCCTTTTTAAAATATACTGATTTTGCCACTGGTACCAAGAAACATTGCATTGAATCTTCCACTAGAGCATTACCATTGTATGTGAATGTGGCTTATTTGGCTCCATTGACTGCTTTATTTGCAGCATTTTATGTTGAAAGTTATCTTAAACGTAGTAAGAAATAAATAAGAGAACTAGGGATTTAACAACATTATTTTATAGCCTACATAATTAGTTCCAACCATACATACATACTTGTACAACAAGCCTTTGAAAAACGATCTCGTACTACTTTAATTGAAGTTTCACTTTGCAATAGATCTGAGATTTCCCCCCCTAAACTTTTTTTTTTGTTTGTCGCCCTTTTTTTATTTTTTTTTATTCTTATTTATTTATTTTTGGATTGTTGGTAAAGAATATCTCCAGATTTCATGCATATAGTTATTATCGGTATATTTTGTGGAGTGTGAACCCTTTGTTGCTGCTTTTTTAAATAATATTAATCTAAAAACTCTTTATATGTTCATAGTGTAGTATCTTTAATTTATTAGTCATGAATCGAGATTATGCACCGTTGGATGGTCGTATTGATAATCTGGACAATTCTAAAGAATTAATGCCTCCAAGGAGTGCTTCCCTAACTTCCGGTGACGACTCGTCAACAAGTCAAAGACTCAATAAATCACCTCCTATCCCCAAAACAGATATGGATATATCCAAACCTTATGACAGTTTCCATGAAAATAAAACAAGCTCGTCAGAAAATGAATCTGAAAGTGGTCAAGGATCAATAAATTATGGGCCCACAACCCCACCAATAGACGACCATATTGAAAATCCATTTGAAGACCAACCCACAACTTCCCTCATATCTCCTCCACATTCATTCAAAGATCAATATGGGAAACTCTATGACCATGTAGACTTTGACACTAAGAAATACACGTCTAAACTTCAATTCAAAGGTACAAGGCTAGTTTATTTCACCTCGGCATTTGTTTCCTTGTTTGTTTCACTTTTTGGATACGAACAAGGGGTATGCTCGGGGATTCTTACATATGTTACATTCAATTCTTATTTCAATAATCCTTCACCTGCAGCCATTGGAATTGTGATTTCTATCCTTGAAATTGGTGCTATGGTTTCTTCCCTTGCAGTTTCCAAAATATCAGATTTATATGGCCGTAAGAGAACTATATTACTTGGAACATTTATTTTTATTATTGGCGGTACATTACAAACATTTTCCACTAATCTATTCATTTTCGGTATTGGGAGAGTATTATCAGGAATTGGTGTGGGGATATTATCTACAATTGTTCCATCATATCAATGTGAAATCTCACCTTCTGAAGAAAGAGGGAAATTGGTTTGTGGAGAATTTACTGGGAATATTAGTGGATATTGTTTAAGTGTATGGGTGGATTATTTTTGTTATTTTTTACAAGATATTGGAGACGCAAGAACTTCACCACATTCATTCTGGGCAAATTTATCTTGGAGATTACCATTATTTATTCAAGTCATCTTGGCAATTATTCTCTTTATTGGAGGATTTTTCATTGTAGAGTCTCCCAGATGGCTCTTGGATGTAGATAGAGACCAACAGGGATTAAATGTCTTGTCATTATTATATGATAGTCATAAAGAAGATAACAAACCTACCACAGAATTTTTCATGATTAAAAATTCAATTTTATATGAAAGAATAACTATTCCTAAAAGAGAAAGAAGTTTTAAATTTATGTTTAAAGCATATTTGCCCCGGATTTTAATTGCATGTTCTGCCTTGGCATTTGCACAATTTAATGGGATAAACATTATCTCGTATTATGCCCCCTTAGTCTTTAAAGAAGCAGGATTCAGTGATTCTCAGGCACTTTTAATGACAGGGATCAACGGATTGGTATATTTGATTTCGACAATTCCACCATGGTTTTTAGTTGATAAATGGGGTAGAAAACCCATTTTAATCAGTGGTGGGTTATCTATGGCTGCATGTTTGTTTCTAATTTCTCTTGTCATGTATCAAGATCGTCTGTATACACCATCTGTTGTTGCATTCTTGGTGATTGTTTATAATGCTTCATTTGGATATAGTTGGGGACCAGTTGGATTTCTTATTCCACCAGAAGTATATCCACTTTCGATCAGATCGAAAGGTGTATCACTTTCAACTGCTTCAAATTGGTTAGCAAACTACATTGTTGGACAACTTACCCCGATTCTACAAGCTTCCATAGGATGGGTTATGTATTTATTCCCGGCATCAAGTTGTATCATATCCATTATAGTTGTATGGTATTTTTATCCAGAAACTAAAGGTATTGAATTAGAAGACATAGATAAATTGTTTGATGAATACTATGGGAAGAGTAAGAAGGTTAATGAAGACTCCTACTACACAGAGTTAGATGATTTAGATTATGAAGTTCAAAGATGACGTTGAAAAATGAAGAAAAAAAAAAGTAATCAAACAATAAAATACGATCTAGAACATGTCAATGCAAGAATCTTCAAATGTTACAGTTACCATATGTGGCTTTTCTTGGACGGCATCCTATACATTTTAATTGTGTAAACGTCCGCGCGAGGATGCCGTGCCGTCCCAAGGAGAGTATTTCTACATGGCAAAGAATGGTACTGCAAAGAAAAAAAAAAATAACAGGGGAAAAAAATAAAACACGGAATAGGACACAAACACCCAACATAACTCCATACATTATTATTTTTGTTAATTATATCCATATACAAAACATTGTACATACTTGAATTTATGAGATTTTATCTTTTGAAATCAACTTGAAATTTCAATGTAGAATAATGTCCGGTTTAATAAAATCTTGAAATAAGCTAAAACTGGCACTAAAGACGATTGGCGCATTTGCCTGTACACGCCATCTTTTTATTTTATTTTTTTTTTTGTTCGGAGATTTGCGCGATAATCTCCGCCAAGTAGTATTGTGCGGAATATAAACCTAGAAAAAGAAAGTCCTTCCAGAAATCACCACTTACTCCCCTCCCCCGGAATAGATCACGCATTTTTTTTATTCGCACAAAATGTGTGGTGTCTGCGTTGATAAGTTGCTTACATGATCTGTACAATAAAAGAAAACAATACTGATAAAAGATACAAACCATGTAGAAAATGGTAAAAAAAATTATTCAAATAATAGTATACACAAAAAGAAATGCCATTGAATGATGGTTTGTAATGTGGTTTTCGAACTCCGTATATTTCATTTCCGGCCAAGAATCCGGACCGAATGTTGGGTGTTGCGGTGCAGGATAGCCGTTACGTAACAAAACCACGTAACATTGCGCTTCGCTACTGCACACAGAAGCAAATAGGTTAATGCCGCAGAGATAAGAGACAAAATGCTGCTATTGTGAGGCTGCAGTGGAATCCATAGGTAAAAAAAAAGCCCGTGTTTCAGAAAACAGTGTAACTCAAATATTTTTTTTTAAAAAATATTAGTAAGAAATTTATTAGCTACGTATACCTTTTGCTTTTGTATTTGAAACCAGTATAACACCAGCTACTTGCGGACACGCGTAAAAGTATTTGTGTTGATAGTGTGAGAGAGTAGAAAATACAAAAAGAGTCACGATCACGATGGCTGTGTGTCCTATATCGATACCTTCACATAGTATCAAAACACATCTATATCATAAACGGAGTAACCATCGGCACAACAGTCAGACATCCATTACTCTTGAGAGTTATTGTTCACCATGTCATCCCTTGGATTTCTCGGAACTTGAAGTATCCGATGATGATGAAGACGACGATTTAGAGTCTGAGGACTCTGATTTTGCATTTCCTAATTCCTTTAATTCATATGCATCCAGTTCCTTATCATCCCTGGTACTGTCTACATCGCCATCATTTTCATTTCAGCATTCATTCCCAACGAAAAAACCGTCATCTTCACAATTACTGGCCGTGACAGTGTCATCATCACCAGTAAAGAAACAACTCTTTCTGACTTCATCTAGCAATAACCTTGCCAAACTCTTAGAGAAACAACAACAACCTCTGACGGTATTTAAACCGATGACTATGAGTCGAAGTAATAGTGTGACTAGTATGTCATCCACCATGAGCTCTTCATTCTCGGCATTGGCAATGAGTCCTAAGACATTATTTCAAAGATACTTTGCCACCAGTAATGTTGATGAAGTACTTCCAAAGTCATCGAGTACGGTAGACCTGTCAACATCATCAAATTCATCTATACCATGCACTCAAGAACTTCAAACATGGTCTGTTGAAACTCATGCAAATAATTTAGTTCATGATTTGAGAGAAAAACCAACTAGAAATAGAGATTATAGAGTTAATCCTCGGTTCTTGATCATGTATACTTATGATTATAATTCAAGAGTAAATGGTTACCTTCCCAATTCCCATACAAAAGAAGAAGTGGAAGATTTAACCCATGTTGAAGGAATAAAAGATTTCCATCTTCAACATAATCTTTGTAAAATATCAAGCATTTCAAGGGATAAACTTTGGGAGAATGTCGTTCTACCGGCTAGAATCGATCCATTACCTTCCAATAGTATAGAATACAAAGATTATGTACATGTTGAAGAATCATCATACCCACCACATCCAAGCTTGAATCGGAAACATTCCATTGTTAAAGTTGATGGTTGTGAATATTTCCCATGGCTGAGTCTACAAAATAAACATAAATCCGTTAAACCGGCTGGATTCTTGAAAGGAGGCAAGACTTTAGTGAACGGAATTCAACCTAGTTCTGGAATTACAAAATCTCAATTTACCATCAAGGGTTGGTGTAATAAAAGATGGGTTTCGACATCTCTTGAAGAGATGGAGTAATCACCCGATACAAGATTAACCAGGTAATCTAATCAAAGCTTCTTACTTACAAGCTTACTTAATCATCATACCAAAAATAAAGGAATATTTTCTTCCTTTTCTAATTTTAATTCTATTTAATCCAATAGTGGGAATATTTATATGTATATTTATATTTATACAAGCAATTTATGTAATTCATGTAATTCATGTAATTCTAAGAAGCCACAACTATCCCCCGTTAACTCCACACAAATATATCTTGGTTATGCAACACCAACGCCTCATTCTAGTTCATCCAATTCATGTTCCTAATAATTATCAATCTCAGATGAGGTATAAAAAAAACCTTCTAGTCTTTCAATATTGTCATCCTTGTATTATTTAGCTACTATCATCTAACTTCCCGTTCTTCCCTCGTCTAAAATGGATCTCCACACTGTTCTTTTTTTTTTTTTTACAAATTGTTTTCAATTGAGGTCACATGTTCAATTCTGATGGCGTATCTTTATTTATTTTATATTTTGTTAATTTTCCCCAACGGTAATACATGTCTTACACCAGTTTAATACATTTATACATCAATAAAAATTAAACATGTCTGAATTGTTTGCATCTTATGAGTCTGACTTTGAGTTGGCGTATCAGGAAGCCCAATCCAAGATTGGCCAAGTGCTGTCTCTTGATGATGGTATGTTTTTAATATAGTTTGTTAGATTGGTAGTAGCAATGATTAATAAAAAGGGGTATAGTATACTAACTACTTATAGCTCAAAGAAAAAACACATTAAAAGCAGTGGAATTTGCTACAGATGAAGCATTGGAAATTCTTGATCAAATGAATATTGAAGTTCAAAGTATCCCATCTAATCAAAGATCATCATACAATACCAAAGTACGTCAATATAAAGCAAAAGTAGACGAAACTAAACAAAAATTAAAACAATTACTCGATGATGAAGATAAACATCAATTATTTGGTAGTAGATATAAAGATCTGGAAGAATTTGATGGACCAGGAGATTCTCAAAGAAAGCAACTTTTAAATAATAATAGTTCACTCGAAAGATCTTCAGAAAGACTTCGAGAAAGTCAAAGGGTTGCTTTAGAAACTGAGAATATTGGGGGGAACATTTTAAATGATTTAAGGGCACAAAGAGAAACGATATTAAATTCCAGAAACACTCTTCATCAAGCTGACAACTATGTTGATAAGTCAATTAAAACATTGAAAACAATGACGAGAAGAATGACCGCAAATAAGTTCATCAGTTATGCAATCATTGCCGTCTTAATTCTTTTAATTTTCCTTGTACTTGCCAGTAAGTTTTGGTAGGAATAGGAGAGAGAGATATATAAAATAAAAAAGGAAAAAAAAAAACTTTACAGGTGGAAAACAAAGTAGTACTAATATTTCGTAAGAATAATATTATATATGTATATGTATATATATATAATAAATATATTCAAGGTGTTATGGAGAAGAAGTTGTAGGGGAGAGATAAATAGATATATACCATTATCTATCATGATATTGACACGACCTTTGAAACTGCGAAAAATTTCAAATATGACAAACCCCAAAAAAAAAACGAGATAAAAATCCAGAAATTGATTAAATTAAAATCTTTACTTATCAGGGAGTTCAAACATGTTTAGAGTTGTAAGTTCCCGTATTGTCCCATTCACTCCTGTGTATCGGTCCGCGATCAGAACATCGTCTTTATTGATTCCAAACAGACTGATTCATCAATCCATTCCAAGTTTCCATGGACATGTCCATAAACCAAAACCCGGTGAAGAACTTCATATCACATTTATAACTAAGGATGGTGCACAAAAGGAATTCGAAGTAGCTGAAGGAGACAACATTTTGGATATTGCCCAGGCCAACAACTTAGATATGGAAGGTGCCTGTGGTGGATCATGTGCATGTTCCACCTGTCATATTATTGTAGACCCGGAATTCTATGATGAAATTCCTGAGCCAGATGATGATGAAAATGATATGCTTGACTTGGCGTTTGGATTAACTGAAACTTCAAGACTTGGATGTCAAGTTAAGATGACAAAGGAATTAGATGGTATACGTGTAGCACTCCCAGCTATGACTCGTAATCTTCAAAATAAGGACTTCAAATAGAACAAGGATTAGTGTTCAATCCTATATTTATATATTTATACAGCATTTATGAAGTATTACCTGTCGTTGAAATTGGTGGGGTAGATTTTAATTGCTACCCGTTTCATATATATAGTACTTATTTGACGACATCTAACTTAACGTTATCATTTAGATTGTAGATTTAAAGATTGGGTGCAAATGTGTTTTCCTGTACACAAGGCTGGGGGATCATGTTTTGTTTACAATTTAAAGACTGACAACAAATAGAGATGGGTATATTTGTCACAGACGAAATAAATAGATCGACTGTTTGAATTCTAGCCAAGGAGGAGTAAAGAGATTGACTACTCTCTAAATTGTTGGCATACCCTTTTATTCTGTTATAATTATTTTTTTTTTTCCACAATTAAAATTCAATTAAAAAGAAAAATAGAAAACAAGAACTACCATTCATCTTTGTTTCATAATTGTTTCAAAATATGAGTTCAAATCACATACTGAAGGATGGTACTCCTATAAATAAAAGAGTTCTCGAAGAGATTCAGAACACAACTGGAAATAAGAGAAAGTCATTAGGTTTTGAAATGGTAAAAATCGATGACACATCTATAGTGGGACTAAATGATTCGTTTATTCCTCCTAAGAGAGTTTATTCCTTACCAAAAGGAGCTACCAAATCATCAATTCCAACTTCAATAGACCTTGATCTACAACATATAAAAAAATTATCATATATAAATCAAAACTTGAAGAAAATGGCACATGGATCAAACCAAACCAAGAACAATCTTAATACCAGTATTCCTCACAATAGTAATAATAACTCCACGTTGAGGTCTAGAATGAATAAAGTTGAAGATACGTATAATAAGGACATTTTAAACTTGACCGAAACTCAACGAGACCTTGATAGTCGATTTAAAGAAATGTCATCTAAGGCAGATTCATTGGAAAGAGAATTAATTGATGTTAAACGATCATTGAAAAAAGTGAACCATCAAATATCTGAAACAAAGATACATATCAATTCTCTGCATAAAAGGTTTGAATATATGGAACTGACAGTAATGAAAAATGTTCTTAATAAAGAAAAACTAGTAAACATTCAAATAGAACAGTTATCAAAAGAACTTGATGGGAAGTATCAAGAGGTTACTTATCAAGTAGAAGGTGAACTTAAAAATGCAAAGTCATATAAGGATAAAACGGTTATGGAAGAAATCAACAAGCTTCAAAGACAAAAAGAACAATTGGAACAACAATTGGAGGAGACAAAAGGTCGTAAAATACAGACTTTGAAGGGAGAAGCTCAAGATTTGGAAAAAGAACTTGATAAGTTCTTAAAGAATAAGTCTTCAGAATCCAAGAAATTATCAACAAAGTTTCAAGAACAGCAAGAAAAGCTTCATCAAATGGAAAAGGAACTTTCTAAGTTGAATCATATAAAACAAAAGAAGCAAGATGAAGTAGACAATTTAGAAAAAGGGATTATCCGGATGCAGACATTGTTAGATAACGTTTCACTGGTTAGAGCGGATTTACTACTGAAGAAGACAAAACTTGAAATAGCTATAACTGAATTAAAACAACGAGATAATTCATTGAATACAAAACTCGAAGAAACCCAACTAGTATATCAAAATTCACTTGAAAGATTTCAACGAGAAGAGGATCATCGGAAATTTCTTGAAAATTCGATATGGAATCATGAAGGTAAATTAAGAGTTTATATTCTTGTTGATATGGACAATCAAGTCAATTTTGATGAAAATTGTATCAGTATTGGAAGTAAAAAGTATGAATTCAATAAAGTTCTTAATATGAATCAAGAGACAAATTCCTCGATATTTGGAGAATACAGTTCAATGATTGACAGTGTCGCTTATGGGATAAATTGCTCTATACTTCTTTCTGGAGAAAAATTCAAGAATGGTGGACTCCTTCGTGATTCGACCATTCAAACCTTTCAATTATTAGAGGAGAGATGCAAAACTGTTTCGTCTGACAAAAATTGGCGATTTCAATTTCAATATAGTTACATTGCAGTAAACGGAACCGCTTGTCTAGACTTATTGAATAATGAAAATTCCGTTGAAACAAATAATGAAGGTTCTTGGGAAGATTTGCATTGCAAAACGACAACAATCATGACTAAAGATGATATAAAACTACATAACTATGATGGGGTAGTTGTATCAATTTTGACAATGGATGCCATTAATGAAAAACTGCTTAAATGTTTTAAATCCACCATAGTTCATATGGATATTTCAAGCTTGACATTAGATCAACAGTCTGCTTACTTGAAAGAAGTTGATACACCTTCTTCGTCCCAGAGTATTGGACGATTCTTACTGACATGTTTCAAATACAGTACTTTTTTAAACATCTCAAGGTTGCACTCAATCAATAATGACAATGTTTCTGACTTTATAAATGTGTGTGAAACATTGAAAGCAAAGAATTCGCCTTATATGGGAAGAAATTTACTTGTTTAAAGAATAAATTTGTGTATATTTATAGAGCTTATTTATTATAATACAGGGTAGAAGGAAAGATTTGTCTATGGAGTTCTTTGATCACATCGTGGAGATGAGATCGTGTAATAACCACTTCAAGTCGTCATTAGTTCCAGTATGAGAGTCTGGGATTTGTTTTGATATTTGTGCTGTTGTTGGTGCCTGTTTGTGTGGGACAAGGGAGTTTTTATGTTGAGTGTCCAGTTTTGGGTCCACAGACTCTCCAGCATCTTCTTCATCCTTGGGCACAATAGGATGACCATTATTAGAATTTGTTAATTCGTCCTTATCGTTACCCTTTTGATTCACAAGAAGGGTATCATTTGACGAAGTCCCATTTATCAACTCCGATTTTGGTGGTAACTCGTAATCAAGCTCACCCGTTGTACTCATATCATCATTCTGTAACATAACGTTCGCGAGTCTTAACTTTGGTCCACCAGGCTCGATAAGATGAGGAAACATTTCTAATGTGTCATATAAATCTTCTGCTCCCAATGTAACTTTTTGTCTTTTCCTTTCTTGTGATATTTCATCTTCTCTATTTTCAATTCTTGTTCCCAGATCTGATGATGGTGATAAATAATCATTGCTGGCATATTTGTTTTCTCTGTATCTTGCAACGTCTATAGCACTTTCGATAATATTTTTCAAATGAACTTCAAGTCCAAGTAATAATACCTCCATAACTTGAGGGTTTAATCCACCAGTAAGACCATGTTCACGCATTGTCATGATCATTCTTCTAGATAAGTTATCATAATCTGGGATTTCATAATTCTCAGTTGCAATGGGTGTATTAATACCATTGACCACATCTTGTTGCCATTGAACCAAATTATTCACGTGTGATTGTTGTTGGGCTTTGTCTTGAATCATAGGAATCTTCGGAAGAAGCGCGTGTCTTGTGAGTGTTATACTTGCACTTAACTTACCCTTTTTACCACTTTCTCGCGATATATTCTTAATACGACGTCTTTCTCTTATGGGCAATCCCATAATATTCATCTTAAACTTTTCATATTGACTAGATTTAACGTTTTTAGTCTTACTTGCCTTTTTATTCCAAAACGAAGCAAATTCAGTTTGAGAGTCAAGTGGTCCTTCCTTCAAGGAATTGGCAAAGTTCATAAGAAGAAGCTTATTATGATATTTAACTAATCCATCTTTCAAGAGAGGTGTAATTGTATCTACCATTTCATTACGTGACAACTTACCAATTAAGAATAAACTTAAAGCTTCTTGGTATTTATCCCAATCATTTCCAAGTTTATTTTGGAAATCCCGAATATGGTTCTCTAGTTCCATATGGTCAATGGGCTTGATCGCCATGGATTGTGAAGTTGCAGGTATTATGGACATTGTACTATCAAAATACCTTGTTTTAATATCACCTTTAACTACAAGCTTGTGCTTTTTGTCCGCGTTTTTTTATGCTCCTTTCTAAATTAAATCTACCCAACGTTAACTCGCAGAGAGTACCACAAACTCAATGAAATCTAATAGAAAATTGCTCCACACTCCTGTTTTGGCCTTATGGAGACTATTATGGCCTTTAGTATGATTCGAACCTACTTTTAATGATTGATTAACAACCTCTATATTACTATGTTTGGGGTGTCTGTATAACTTGTTAAGGTTATGAAAAATCGCACATCCATATTGGGGGGCGCACGACCGGTGAGTTGTACCTAAAAGAGTGAGAATAGGATATACTAACATAATATTATGCAAATCATTAAGACAATAGATATCCATTCTTGATCTAGAAAATGTACTCATTATAATTTAATATTAAATTAATCGTAAAATATCTTGATGATAAATATTTTCATGTTTAATTTAATTTAATTTTTTTTTGATGGCCTATATTTATTTAATTTTAAAATGGTTGCAATTTTTTTCTAAAATTATGTTTTAATTATCTCTATAAATAAACAAATAAGTTATAAATTATTTTATTTCATCAGTTGAGCTGGTGTCAGTCTTCTCCTCTTCATCTTTATGTACCATGGTCCCCATATCATTATTTATATGCTGTACGATGACAAATACTATAGAGAATAAAACTCCACCTGCAGCAAGTCCAGTACCGAAATGAAGGGCTGTACGAATACTTTTAAGATCGTCATTAGTTCTCTGTAAAGTCTCGGTTTCCACTACACTAGCAATGCCCAATGCCAAGGAAACTGAGTAGTTTACAACTGTGGCAACTAATGAACCTGCCATTCCTTGGTAATGTTTTGGAAGACAATCAGATAAAATAATTGTGGCTGCGGGGAAACTTAAATCCATTCCCCATGCCAATAAAAACATTTGACCAAAGAGTACTCTAAAATACGATTGATCAATAGGAGTAACACTCAACATGATATCTCCACACATAAATGCAATAGTAGAGAACAAGATAATATAAGATGGTCTTGTTCTTGAGATGACATACAGACACAACATAGCAGCAATACATCCCAATACTAGGAATGGCATGAATGCAACACTTCCTTCAATTGGAGTGTAATGTTTGAAATTAAGAACAATGACCCAGTAATAATATTGCCATACCCCAAATGAACCCCATCCCAAGGCAATACAAATCAATACAAGTCCAATCTTATAATTGAATACACATCTTGGAAGAAGAGGATTTTCAACAACCTTTATTTCAAGGTAGAAAAATCCTACAATTGCCAAGACACTGAGGATAAGAAGGACAATAATATAAGCACTCCAATTAGCAACTGGTCCTTGATTCCAACAAAAATTGAGTAAAATCAAACCAAAAACACCACAAATGGAGCCCAAAAAGTCAAACTGTTTAAGTTTTGACTCTATTACTTGTTTAGAATCATCTTCAATCTCTAAATGAGGGATAGTGAAATATGAAATAATACCAAAACATGTTGATGCAATGGAAAGTGCCCAGAATTCCCATGGCCACCATCCTAGCTGAGCAATAACAGCAGCCATAAGAGCACCAATAGTGGCTCCAACAGGTCCCAGTGCACCAACTAGTCCAAAAACAAAATTTTTACGACTTCCTGGAGCATACATGAATCCTAGAATCCCCAAACCACAAGGTAATAAAAGAGCAAACCCAATACCTTGGAAAGCTCTACAAATAATGAAAAAGGTGATGGAGTTTGAAAATACGGACAAACCTGATATTAAACTCCATACTGTTACCCAAATCCAACCGGTAATAAATACTTTTTTAAGTCCAACTATATCTCCAATGCGCCCGGAGATGAGAATAAAAGTTCCGACTGTTAAAGCATATGAACCCATAAACCAGACCTTGAGGGTTGGCTCTATATCTGTATTTGACCTTTCAGCAAAAGATTCAAGGATTAAGTTCATGGTACTAAGACACATAGTTACCCCTCCTTGGGTAAGAAACTGTGCCATACAAATTACCATCACCACGGCGATTTCCTGTGGGAAGGATTTAAGATGTATTGGTCTTTCATCAAACATCTATATTTCTTTATTTCTTTTCTATTGAATTTAAGTTATTATTAAATTTATTATTCAGTGTAAATTCTATAAGAAAAATATATCCTTCATGGGATAATTTGAAGACTTTTCATCCTTTATTTATTGATTTGTGTTGCTTAGTTAAAGATATCGAGTTCTTCTAACTTGCACGGCCCGACACACCAGAACATCCGTACACCTGAAATTTTCTGTAGCGGTGTGTGGATGTGCAGGTGTATCTTTGATATGGTGTACGGGTTTCGACCGGCGCGCCGGTAGTAATACATTATTAATTTCTATAATCTGAGATAATGTATACGATAATCTATTTGTAATTGGAAGAACAAACTTCCCAGAATTTTACAAATTTTTTATAATATATAGGTAGAGGACCCGATGTACGATGTACGAAATACGATTACGATGAGCTTAGTTGAGCTTGTGTATATTTCTTTTTTCTTTTTCTTTTTTTAAATCTAAGTTCTAATTTTATATAGTGTTTCTATTGTGAGTTCCCAATCTCTTTCAAGGTTTCGTAAACAATTTCATGATCTTCATTTTGCTTCAATCCGCTTACAGTAAGTGTAGCAATCACAAAATCACTATTTTGTAAACGAATTGGGAAACTTCCACCGTGAATAGCGTATTCAGCTTCATTTAAGGTGTTTGGTTTATTATTACAAGTTAATTTTGCTTGGTGGTAGAATGAAGAATGGTTAAATCTACGGACAACATTCACCTTTCTTTCAACCCACGATTCATTATCCAAGGCAGTATCGGAACCAACAGCAGCTCTAAACAACTTATGGCCAGTCAAGAGTGAAATATCAATAACAGCACTTGCATTGGGGTTCTTTGCAAGAACCTTTTGTCTTGCTAATTGACCAATTTCCCATGCAACAGCATTATTGAAAACTTTCAATGTTGCTTCCTTTTCTTGTTGAAGTAGTTTAACATCATCACCTGATTGGAATGGGAATGACATAGTTGTTATTACTGGACCAATTGACTAAAGAAAGAAGGGATAATCAAATTGATGAAAATAAAGACATTTAAAAAAGAGAAACATTTCGATATTTGTAAGATTTATATAAAATGTTCCGAGAATTCATTTTTATTGAGGGGCTGACACATTGTCATTATTTTAATTTTTGCTGATTACTTGTTACAACACACAAATTACATAGAAAAGGCTTAGACGGGTTTATATTACAACCTAGAAAGACTCTATATATATATAGATAAAAAACCAATAACTAAATATGACTTAATCCTAGGGTTAATGGTGGGCGCAGGACCCTTGACATCTTTATGCATGAAATCTTCCGAAATAATGTTTATCACCAGGATAAAAATGGAAACTTTGTAAATGCCCTTTTTTACATGGTACCACTCATAACTATTGATAAATCCCTCACTATGTAAAGGTTTCACAATTAAGAATTTCAAATGATAGATTGTGTCCTGTGAATGAATGCGGGATTAAATCATGTATGACCCGCACCTTGTACGTGCGGGAGTTTCGAGAGATAGCATAGATCATGCAAATACTGATAATGACTGAATAAAAGAATCAAGTTCAATAATAAAATTACTATTACTCAACTTTTCACCAACTTGAAAATCAACAGGTGAAAGACAATTTTGTACCACTGTACGAATATATATATCTGTATATAAGTGATGTAACACTGGCTGTAAGTTATCAAGTCCTACATCACTAATCAAACAGAATCTGAGTCCCGAAGCAGTTTCATATAAATGAATTCTGTACTTCATAGTGGCGAAGGATTTAAGAAGATTAGGGGCTGTTTCACTTGATCCAAGTTTTGTTGAGATATTTTTGAGCGAATAAACCAACCCAAAGAGAAGTTTGGCAGCATCTGAATCGTTGCTCTTGTTTACAGAGCCGTCATCCCGATGGTTCCACTCCCTTGTGTATATGCAATTGCAGTGTCTATCAAAAAGATAGAATGAATGAATCATTATGATGTCTGTTGTAGTACAATATTGTAGATATTGAAGTAGATGATAATTATCACAGACTTTCTAATTTGATCTATGCTTCCTGCAGGACAAAAAAAAACGTGTAAAGTTTGATTCCTATCGATCAGAAGTTTCTAAACACGTTTGTGATCTTTGTTGTGGCGATAAATGACACACACAACTGGGGCTTATTCACAAACACAATTTTTTTTTCTTGTAGACCGTGCGCACCACCACACATACCACCATGAAAATGTCAAAATGATGTGATCGAGTCCTGTATATGATGCGATATTTTGCTTTCCTCGTACACCACAGTTTCAGGAGAAAGTTTGCTGCAAAACTGTGGGGGGATGCATAAAAGGAAACCTCCTCCCAAGAGAATATTCTTATCAAGAACTATCTTACTTAACTCAAAGTAACACCTTATCCACAAAAGGCAAAACAAACCACGAAAGACTCTCTAATTTGACTTTGGAGCTTACTGATCTAGTTCATAGTCAACTCTACTACAACATTTTATTTTTTGTTGGAAACAGGTAACCAACAAGGTGTACGTCAGAACACCACCCTCAAGAAAGAATTTTTTTTTTTTTTTTTGGAAAGAAGTTTAGTCCTACTGCCTATATAACAGTCAGTCTGCTAAGCTTGCCTATATTTTCAATTATAGACCCCCAAATTTCTTAATAGGTTAACCGAACCGGCTATCCGCTTACGAAGACAAAAACTGAGCAAAATTGGATTGAGCACATTTATCCCGCATTCGCATTTTCGATTGACTGGAAGTGATCTGATTCCCAAAATAGGCGTTCCGGTTTTAATATTAAACGACCTTTAAATACCCGAAAGGTCCACTCAATTGTTTTTATACATATTTTCATCCAACCTACCGTACTTCACTTGAGTGAGATACGTCTTAGCCCACCCCACTTATTTATTGAACTGGTCATGTTTGAAGACACTCTTTGTGTGGTAGATGGAAACCCTTGTGAACAAGGTTCCCTCTATTGCAGTGACACCTGTCGAGATGTTGATCTTTCCGAAATTGATAATGTATTCTATAACGGGAATGGCTCACTCGATAGTTTGACTGAACCAATGTCTCCTGATGTCTTTGCACAAACTGAGATCCAGTCACCTGACTACCTTTTATATGCCTGCTGCTTCTGCAAGGCGACCCACGCAGCTGCATCACCTTGCGTGGAAACCAACTACACATTAAAATCCAACAATACTAACCTTGATGATCAAGATACGAGAAGTTTCTCTATCCTGACTATGTCTAACCCAACTATTCTTGAAACTTTACAACACTACACAGAAGATATAGACGAAGAAGACATGTCGGTGGCAAGAAGTAATCATTTCATACAGCATAATTACAGGAAATGGCTTGTAATGGGGAAGGCTTAATCGGGATTAGGTATTCATATTTTATATTCTTTTATAAATGGTTGTTATGAAGTCGGTTCATAATGCCAAGGGGTTCAATTTGGGGTTTATTTAGTTATTAATAGGTTGCTTTTCGTTTTAATATATGGCGCACTACAGTTATTTTGATATATGTAAATATAATTTTTTCATTTCTATTATACAGTAATTTTTATTTATAAATGGTGTTTCTTATCTCGTCAATGATAATCTCTATGTCATGCTTTATTTCTTTGCGTATTTCCGTTTAATCCCTTGGGCAAGATCACGCAATTCTTGCAACCCTTTAGGAATGTTATTCATACTTGGCTTTTTGATTTTACCAGGAGAACTACATGGTGTACTTGCTCCAACAATCCCATTCCCAAAGCCTCCAAGAATTGACACATTATTCATGGTAGTATCATTCATTGTGGTGTTTAAAAAGGTCCTAGGAAACAATTGAGATTTATTACTTGCAGTAACAAATGCAGTGCTATTAGCGGAATTATTAGTATGTCCACCAATTTGACTTCCTGTAGTGTTACTTGCCATATGTTTTGAAAGGTAATCATACTTACGTAGAGCCTTTGCTGAGGATATTTGTTCAGCTTCTTTGTCTCTGTAAGATTTTTCAATTGTAGATTTGAATACGGAATCTGTCAGTTCCACAGACAGTGCTCTTGCCTCCGTTGCATTTGACTGCTTTATCAACATATTATTCTTTTTCTTTTCCAATTTACGATTTCCTCTATTTGAAAGTGAACCTCGGAAATTCGTAGCAAGTATTTCGAAAACATTTTCCAACCTACGATTAATGTTTTCTCCTAATATATTCCCATCAAGTGGTGGATCTTGTAAAGTCATGTCACAAATGAATATATCTTGAACACTATTTTGGCCACTTGCATTATTCTCCCTATATTTTTCCAAATCAAGTGCTGTCCAGACATTTTCCTCTGTTAACCCAACTTCACTGATATCCCAATACAAAATTGCAATCTGAACTTTATAGAAACTATAAGAATTTATCAATTTCACAAGTTTGGTAAGTTTCAACTTGTCAGATTCCAATTTTGAATGAATCGAACTATACTCCGAAACTTGTTGCATGGTTGTAAACCCACAATCAAACAATATGAAAGGTGATTTGGAGAAGAATTTGTTGTTACTATCATATGTAGGTGGGAGACTTGTGAATGTCAAACGTAACTTATCAGTACGTAATATATTTTCATATTGAAGTCTTTCATGATTGATCCGAAGACTCAACTTGTTATTTAACCACTTAGAATAATCCGAATCCCAATTCTCAATCAATAGTAAAAAATTGAGTTCAATGTCTTTTGATTGAATGTTAACCTTAAATTTCTTTGATACCTTATTAATAAAATTTTGCAAATTAATCGGTTCCCACAAGTCTTGAATAGATTTTTGGGATTCATCAATGTAATTTATCAGGTCTAATTCTACCTTAGGTTTCTTAATTGGTTGTGCATGTTTCACCTTCTTTCTAGTTGCATTATTATCAAATGTAATCAGTTCAAGTTCATTCAATTTTCTTTTCTTTAATTTTTGTTTCGAAATACACATCTTTCCAGTTTTCACTAGATTTCTAATAGCATTCAATTTCAACTTTTTACTGTAAATCGAATCTGCATAGCTTTCTAGCGCCTTCTGATGGATATATTCAGACATGAGTTTTTCATATATATCCTTACTTATCGATGAAATAAGATACTTTCGTTTATTCTCATGGTCTTGTTTCTTCATGAGCTTCGGTAACATCTTACTTAACTCATTATTGATGGTGTCGTTGAGCATAGAATTTAAAACTTGTTCTGCTGCTTTGGAGAAATGAGGCAGGTCAACAATTCTTTTCTTGACAACCACTGGTGGAGCGACTGTAACATTTGGAGGAGGTATACCGTTAGTCAAAGAATTAGATACACTTTGCTTTACAGGCGTTTCCCCAGTATCCGCAGGTTTACTGCCAAATGTGAACGTACTAGAGGTGGTAGTTGGTAACGAAGTCTCAGGTTTCTGAGGTGCCACTTCTAATGCTGGTTTTACCTGTTCAGATTTCCCGAAATTGAACGATGGTATACTTGGTGGTTTTATGGATGACGGAGCAGCACGTGGCTTAGGGGTGACAATTGAAGGTACACTCAGTTGTGTACCGAATTGTTGCAGATTAGAAAATTGAACTGCTGGTTGTACTTGTGTACCGAAGACAGGAAGTCCAGAATTTTGTATTGGTTGAGGTTCAATTTTTGGCAAATTATTCTCCAATTTAAGTGGAGCCGAAGAGAACGATATTTGAGGTAAGCCAATGGGCTTAGCAGTTTGAGAAGAACCAAGGAACCCAGATAATGTAGTGGAAGCAGAATTGGGTAGTATTGGTTGTTGTTTCTGAGGAACTGTTTGTAATGAAGGAGTAGTATTTAAGGTAGATGCAAATGGAGTTGTTGCCGTAGAGAATGCAGTTTTGTTGACAGTTTTTGTAGGTGGGAGGACTTTAAAAATACTTGATTTTTTGATTTTCAAATCAGCATTCGAAAACCCACTATCAATTAATTGTTTGAGGTTATTACGAGGAAATTTGACGTCCAATTGAGGAGAATAAGGTTGACTAAGCTTTGGCTTGTCATGAAGTGAATTCAATTTGTACTTTCTTTCCCATTTCTCCTTGTTGAACAAGTCAACTGCTACCGATCCATTAGTTGGGTCTTCAACGACATCGATGTCATAATATTGGACAAACTTTACGAGTTTATCAACTGTATCAAATCCCAAGAAGTGCAGAAGTTTTTCGGCAGAGTATGGCTTACTCTTGGTATGATAACTTCTTGACATCGATTTCAATGCATAAAATCTGATTTCATTGAAGTGTGTTTCCAATAAACATGACATCAAAAATGGAACTTGAGGGCTATAAACCATTCTGAAGAATTCCAGGAACATACTAAGGGACCCAGCAGTATTGGTATATCCTCTTTCAACAATATCGCTTTGTAATACTGTATTTCTGAACATCAATGCCAACTGAACAAAATTATTCTCAAGAATATGAGGTGGTAACGTTTGAATTTCTCTTTCTTGTTCTGGATCTCGGATGTGACTCAAAAGATAATATGCCCTAAATTCAGCTTCATTGGGAGCTTCTCCACCATGATTACGAACGTCTTGATAGATTTCAAGAAGTGTTTGCAACGCCTTATTGAATTGCTCTAATTCTTGTTGTTGAGAATATTCGATATCACTTGCTGCCATGATATGAAGTGAGACAAGATGAATTCTAACAATCTTTTCGTTACAATCAATCGCCTCAGGTCCAAAGAAATTTTGGTATGTAAAATCTTGACGTATAGATCTTGTTCTATCCCAAATGAAAGAATGTGCTTCAGGTAATTGAGGAAGGATGTAGTCTATCATATAATCCAAAGTCTTACTCAAGACCTGTGGTGGACGAACTTCAGATGGGAGCGGTGGTGGTTGGCCAGCAGCAGGTCTTGAAAATGCCTTCACTGCCCTTTCTCTACTAATCTTATTCGTCACGGGGTCTTTTTCAAGGGCCTTGACATTATTTTCCAAGGCTCTTCTGACTCTTTCAAAGATAGGACACATCTCTACACATGACCCTTGAAATGATATAGCATCATTTAAATCTTTACTAATATTTTCAGCATCCACAAGACCAAGAACTTCCATTTGTTTCCGTTCTGTTTCTCTCATTTTTTGAAACTCTTCGTAGAGTCCTTGATAGTCACCGGAGTTAGATTGCTCCATTGAGAGCATCTTATCCTGGTTCTGTTTATCCCATGGGTCTTGGTGGAACGTAGGAGTTACCAATAATCGTGGTTGATGAAGCATATATTTCGGTATTGGTCTTGCACTTTGTTGATTTATTCTACGGAATCCAAGGGATTCTGGGTTGGAACAAATAGGTCCAGTAATTTGTTTTTCCTCTTCCGAGTAACTTTGTAATTTACTTGGGTTCTGTCTAGGTATCACCTTGTTGGGCATGTCCAATGGATCCAGGCCACTATATGATGATGGAGATGGAGATGAGTTAAACCCACCATTAGATGATTCATTATGAACGTACGTTTTCTTCTTGTCTCCTCGAGTATTCTTCTTGTTATTGTGTTGTCTAGTGGAATTACCATTGCCATTCTTATTACCATTTTTGTCATTTTCATTCTTGGTGTACTTTTTAGATCCACTTCTTCTTGGGTCGTTAAAACCTGACTGACCAGTGCCATTGCGAGACTTTTCTTGCTGCAGCTGTGGAGCAAATGAAAAGCCAGGGGCACCATTTGTTCCGCCAAACACCGACATAACCAGTCTCAAACGATCACAAGCAGTATGGTTACGTAAGTCTTTAAATCTCAACCAACTCTTGGTTTCGTTGATATACAAATTTTGAGGCATACTACCACCCGCACATGCAGGACATGCCAGTTATTGTTTAGATATTGAATTTTTTTATAACAACCAAGATATAATCAAATTATATCATACTTCTATTCCATTACATTCTTCTTTCTTTCTATTCTTACTTTGTTATATAGTATATTATAAACCCTTGATTTAATTCAGATGTCAAAATTTCTTCATTGACACAAAAGAGGTGTAATCCTCTTTCCAATACTTGTTCATCAAATAATTCAATTAATGCTTCATCTCTTAATTGTACACCAATTAATACCCCAGTATGTTCTGACATTAACAGAGTAAATGCATTGATAAAATGTGGGATTAAGTATTCATTGTAGATGGTGTCACATGCTATGATCAAATCCACTGGATCATTTGTGAATGCATGGAAATTTAGTAGTCCTTGTTCAGGATCTTCCCAATCGAATTCCATGAATTCAATTGTAGATATAGGTCCTGATTTTTTATTGATTGTCTGTTCCAGATATCGATAAGAACCATGTACATTGGATTCAAAATTTGATTTTAAAAGTTTCAATAATGATTGTTGATCTGTGGCGATGTATTGTTTAACTTTTGGACCTAATAATGAAACACAAATACCTCCAACCCCACTACCTAACTCGACCACTGTCATGTCACTGTTGAACTTGAATGGACACTTTTTATCACCTAGAATCCAGTCTGTCATATACAGTGCCGTTTGCCAACACACATAACCAGTGGATGTGGAAAGACCGGTGATTGATTGTTTTATATGTAAATCTATACCTGATTTCTGTAGAGAGATGTCAAGCATATCTGAGCTACGATCAACATAACCGAGACGTTTACTCGACTGTGCACGGGCAGCCAATTCATAGACATGCGAATGGATGTCCCAATCTTCGATTTCGGTAAGAGATCCCTCCATTTACAGGAATAGAAGAGATAACTCATAGAATCTCATTGTGGAAAAAAAATATATATATGTATGATATGCAACAGTAGGACAATACGAGTGAAGCATTAGATGTGAATAAATTGACACCTTTTTTCAAAATATAGATACCAAAGGGTCCGTGAATCTTTGGAGAGTGGCTACTTTATTCTACAGATGTTGACAAACGACTAGTTTTTATATTTTTTTCACTTATAATACTCTATTAGATGATGTTCTTTGCCTTCAAAATTTCAGCAATTAAGATACCTGAACCTGCAGCACCTATGATGGTGTTGTGTGACAACACAACCATCTTGAAGTCCAACACAGGGTCTTCTCTGATTCTTCCAACGGAAACACCGTACCCGGCATCTCTGTTTCTGTCCAATCTTGGTTGTGGTCTGTCGGCTTCTTCCAAGACATGAATGGTTTGCTTTGGAGATGAGTGACATCCCAACTTGGTGGCTTCACAGACGTAATCACGCAAGGTTTGCTTGACTTGTTCAACGGATGGAGCTGGTCTGTTGGCGAATCTTAAAGAGATACATTCGGTGTGACCATCACTAACAGCAACACGGTTACATTGAGCAGAAACCTTCATTTCATCATCGGAGAGTGGAACAAATTCGCTACCTTCCTTGTTGAAGTTACCCAAGATTTTCTTAGTTTCCCATTCCATCTTTTCTTCTTCACCACTAATGTATGGAACAATATTGTCCAATACATCAATACCAGATACACCTGGCGAGAATCCAGCACCAGAGATAGCTTGGAGAGTGGTTGTGGTCAACAAGTCAATTGGACCGTAAGCATCAACAAGAGGCTTCAATGGGGCAACAAGCCCGGCAGTGGAACAATTGGAGATACAAATGATGAAACCAGGTTTCTTTTCACCAGCAGTCTTAGCATCAGAGATTTTCTTTTCGATGACAGACAAATGTTCTGGGTTAACAATAGGAACAACTAATGGAACATCTGGAGATCTTCTGTAGTTCTTAGCATTGGAAACAACAGCAAGACCAGCGTTAACAAAGTCCTTTTCAATTTCACCAGCGTAATCAGCATCAAGACCAGAAAAGACAATATCACACTCAGCAAAGGCACCTTCTGGCTTACATTCAGAGACAGTGATCTTCTTGGCGACTTCAGGAAGTAAGTCTGTTTGTTTCCAAGTGACAGCTTGTTCATAAGCCTTACCAGCAGAACGAGAAGATGCACCAAGAGCATGAATCTCAAAGTCTGGATGTTCAGCCAATAACAAGATGAAACGTTGACCAACAGAACCTGTGGCACCTAAAACACCAGCTTTCTTAATACCCATGATTTATGTATATACAGCAAAAAAATTAATAATAAAGTATAAGAAAGAAAGAAAGTGATTATAATATGTATTGAATCATATTTTTCAATTTTAAAGCTATTGTTGACAGAGAATGGAGACTGATGGTCCATTCATTGAGTCATTATCACGTGATTGTATATTTTATTTTAGGCCTTTTTTTTTCTTTTTTTTTTTTATTTTATATTCTTTTATAGTAACTTCACTCTCCTACATATAATCAAGACGCGCGCAACAAGGTTTGTTCGCACGACCTTTTCAATGAATTTAGAAAACTACACAAATACACGTCAATGGAAGGCTAATAAGAAAGAATATCAATATCTCGTATTAATAGATCCCAAGAAATATATAGAATATACAATGGTGAATATTGATTTTGAGAAGATTTACCTTAACCAGCTGAAGAGTCCTGGGCGTATGAGAATAGCCGACTCTGGGCTTGGATGGAAGGCATCAGTACAATCAACCGCAACTCCAAATACCAATGCACCATTTTTGTTGCCATCTGAAGAATTATTAAATTCTCAATGGTCTCGTGGATCTCGTGGATATGAGTTGAGAGTGCAAACTAAAAATCAAGGGGTTGTGATTTTGGATGGATTTGATGTTGAGGACTTTACTAAATTAAAACAAGAATTACAAAGAAATTTCCAATTAACATTGGAACATAAGGAACATTCATTAAGAGGATGGAATTGGGGTAAGACAGACTTGGCTCGTAATGAATTGGTTTTCCAAGTTAACAACAAGCCAAATTTTGAAATTCCTTACGCAGAGATTAGTAACTCCAACTTGACTGGTAAAAATGAAGTTGCATTAGAATTCAATTTAGATGGTGGTCATAATAAGGCTGGAGATGAAATGGTTGAAATGAGATTTTACATTCCAGGAACTGTAGAAAATGAAAGTGAAAAGAAGAAAGATCCAGTAAAGGATGAAAACGGAGAGACTGTGGAAGATACTGAAGAACAAATAAATGCTGCTACTGTATTTTATGAACAACTTAAGGATAAGGCAGATATTGGACAAGTTGCAGGAGAAGCCATTGTTTCCTTTAGTGATGTTCTTTTCCTTACTCCAAGAGGTCGTTATGACATTGATATGTATCCATCATCCTTAAGATTAAGAGGTAAGACATACGATTACAAGATTCAATACAAACAAATTGAAAGAATCTTTTCACTTCCAAAGCCAGATGATACCCATCATCTCATTATACTTCAAATCGACCCTCCTTTAAGACAAGGTCAAACAAGATATCCATTCCTTGTGTTACAATTTGCCAAGGAGGAAGAAATTGAACTTGAACTTAATGTTTCTGAACAAGAATATAATGAAAAGTATCAAGAAAGATTGAAAAAGTCTTATGATGCTCAAACACATTTAGTGATGTCTCATTGTTTCAAAGGTTTAACCGAACGTAGATTAATTGTTCCTGGATCATTCCAATCAAGATTTGGCCAACCGGGACTTTCATGTTCGTTAAAGGCATCAGAAGGTTATTTATTCCCATTGGATAGATGTTTCCTTTTCGTTACCAAGCCTACTGTGTATATTCCATTTTCAGAAATTAGTAGTATAACTATGTCACGTACAGGAGCTGCAGGAGTTTCAGCTTCTAGAACATTTGATTTAGAAATCAGTTTAAGAGGATCAAATCAAGGTCATACATTTGGATCTATTGATAGAGAAGAACAACAATCAATTGAAAACTTTTGTTTAGAAAAGGGATTGAGAGTTAAGAATGAAGAAAAATTGGCCAAGGCAATGATGGCCAAGGCAATCAACGATGCTAATGCTGATGATGACGATGATGATGCAGATGTGGATATGGGCAGTGCCGGTGAGGATGAAAGTGCTGATGATGATTTCAATTCAGGATCTGAATCAGATGTTGCTGAAGAGTTTGATTCAGATGCTTCAGCTTCAGATTCTGATGAAAATATGAGTGGAGATGATAGACCACCAACAAAGAAGCACAAGGCAACCGAATAAATAATGTGTGTATTTTAAAAAGATAAAAATAAATTTTATTAGTATTATATATGAGGGTCATGATTATGTATGTTTGTCACTTCACACCTCTATTCTTAAAAGTGTGTAGTACTATTTTATTGGAAGGTAGAATGTGTTAGATTGTTAGTTGTAATGTGCTACATGGTTATGATATACCGGTTATGAGGGCACAGGTTGCGAATATGAAATTGTAGCTAGCTTCATGAGACATTACAATCAAGGATTTCTATTCCACATGGTTCATCTGTATAGCCGAGGATATATCATTTTTGCTTTGTAAAAGACGCGTATTCAACAAATCCATATGGTAGGGTTGTTTCTTTTTAGTTTCCTGATCCAGTAAGAAGTTCGCATCGGTCAAATGTTGGAACAACAATCTCGCAGCAGTGATTATCCGCTTTGCGCGTTCTGTACCTTACAACACGTTTTTTTCGAAGCGAATCTCACGATGTCAAACCCCAAAATTTCCCGATTAGGCAATGATATCATGTAGTTGCTGCAGGACCCAACAGTTGAGCTGATAAGTCCCATACAATAGAAGAAGGAAAGCCAAGGTGAGTTCCAGCCTTGCATTCTTGGAAGTTAAATTGTTAGGCAAAAAGACATTGGTACTATTGTAAGGGGAGAATTTTATTTTTGGAAGTAATAATTAAGATTTTGTGCATGAGTAGAAGATGGCTGGTGATAAATAGCCACTCTGCCTATATATTTGAGCTGGTTTAGTTCCAGAAAAGACTTCCACATAAAAATTTAAATTATATATACTAAACAATTTGGTGAGTTAGACCCTTAAAAATCGTTACTATTGTTTACTACAACTACATTTACAAAAGAGAAGAGGTATTAAAAATGTCAACCTTACAATTCACAACCCCCACTATGGGGTACCAGGAGTTACGGGCCATTAAAGAGCTTGATCACCTTGATGAGAAATCAATTGCGTTTAATAATAATTCCGATGAGATCCCTAGAAGATCCCCAGCCCGTCTTATAAACCGGGAAGCCATGGTGTTTAAGGAGAAGTTGGTAGCGGCAGCAGCAAATGCTTCTGTCGTTGCAGCCGCTGAATTCACTTCCCAATATTACCTGGATGCCAGTGATGCAGATGATCTGTTTAACTTTTCTGATGACCAGAGTAGTCTGGGAAATTCTGTATTTTCTGGAGCTTCTTCACCAGTTCTTGACAACAATTCAGCTGCTGATAGTTTAGATGAAGAGTTCTTCAATGAAATAGATGAGGCATGTGTGTGCGTAATAGATGATGTTATTCAAGTGAAGAGTGTACATGACAACTCCTCTCGCACCCGTCGGCCATTGCTGTACATTACATTGTCTGACTAGTCTCCGCACTCATCGTATGTTCCTCATGCACCACATTCCTTTGCATCTATTCAATTCTCCAAGGCGCCCCCTTTTTTGCGACTATTATTTTTTATTTATTTTTTTTCTTTCTGAGAACCCACAACACTCCCAAACGACTACCAAATTACTTACGAATTCCTTTTAAGTGTACCATATACACCAACATTTACAGCAAGAAAGTCTAATTGAACTACTTATTTCAGAAATGCGGCTTTTAGTCATTCCTTTTCATAGAAGAATATTTTTTTTTATATATATATAGTTTTAACGCTCTTATCTTGTACTGTATATACTTTTCCGGAGTTTGTGTGTAGTGAAGTGTGACAAAACCCAGCAGTCTTTGTCCCCCATGCCACACACAATATTCTCCCCCATTGTAGCATAATACTCACCCCACGATTTACAAATTGCGCAAATCATGTACACAATATACAAATGTATATGGTTTATACAAATTGTTAATATGATATTTCATCCTAGAACTTTTTATGATTCACAGCTAATATATTTCTCTTGTCGTGTTTTAGCCTCCCCGTTCAAATAGGCGTGTACCAATGAAATGATTGAAGAAGTGCCAGGGGATCATAACCAATGATTGAAATATTGAGTAACACTTTTCAATCCACACATTTATTTTCTTGGGGGGGGGCTCCTACTAGTTGCTATATTTTTTAACCCCAATTTCTTTCTTCAAACTCTGTATTGCCTATCGTGATTATTTATTGGTCATTGCTTTAGTTATAAATAGTCTTTGTACTTTAAACATTTGTAGGGACTGTGCATATTTTGTATGCATTAAACGAGCCATCCCTGTGACTTTGTGACTCTTCTTTGACACTTTCCAGCTTTCTCACACATAAACGGCTTGAGGAATCCGAGAATCACTTCTTATCTTGGGCATTTTTTGACCAAGCATTTTTTTTTTTTTCGTATTAAACTTTTCTTTCTACCTCTTTATAGATTTCCTCGTTCACACTATTCTCCAGTGGATTTAGCATAACGGTGCAGCATGAGCGTTACCTTAGGACAAGTGGTTTATTCAGCCGTGAAGCCGATCTTCAAGATCTACTTCATTATTGGATTAGGGTACCTTCTTGCAAAGAAAAATATTCTCACGGTCACTACATGTAGAGATATTTCAGACACAGTAGTGAGTGCAATCATGCCCTGTTTGATTTTTGATAAGGTTGTGACCAACCTTAAATCTTCAGATATTAAAAACTTGGGAGTGATATCCTTCACGGGTACTCTTTTATTTGTATTTGGTGTCATTTTGGCTTATATTAACTATATTGTAACAAGATCTCCTAAGAGATGGCTAGGAGGATTACTCTCGGTGGGGTTATTCCCCAATATTTCCGATTTACCTATCGCATACATGCAAACTCTTTCTGCCAGCGGGAAGATCTTCACTACTGAAGAAGGTAATCTTGGTGTCGCATATGTTTGTATCTTTTTAGCTACTCAAGTATTCTATCAATTTAGTATGGGGTTATATCAACTTATTGAATGGGATTTCCGGGAAGAATTGCAACCAAAAGTTGAAGATATTGAATCTAAAGCTGCCACAGAAAGATCATATTCTCCTACAAGTACCGAACCAATAACAAATTTAGATGAAGGTGACGAGGATGATGAAGATGATCAAACATCTATAGAATCTTCTCAATCACAAGAAAATGTAATAGAAAAGGAAGAAAATTCCCCACAAAGACCTAAACCAGTCACCACACTTTCAGTTGATGAAGAAAATGCTCAACATCTTGCCTTCTTAAGGAAACAACATACGATTGGTAGATCCACATCGAATGCCAGGTCATCCCTTTCTTCTGATAGTAGTTATCATACTGGAGGCCAATCCATAGTCATTCCAAATGAAAATGCATTACAATTGACAACTTCTCGTACATCAGATTTAAGAAGACAAAAATCTCAAGATATTAATGATGTTATTAATGAATACTCTGAATTTGAAGAGTTAAGATTAAGAAAAAGTGCCACTGAAGCAGCATCCGCAATTGGATCAACAATGCCAATTCCAAGTAATTCAAATATTCAGAATGATAATGTACTGTTAGGTTCACAGGGGAAGATTAAAAGAAGTTTTGGTGCTAAACTTCGTACAAACATAGTACCTATTCTTAAAAACTTTCTTGCCCCCAACTCCTTGTCATTAATTCTTTCAATTTCAATTGCAATGGCTCCACCATTAAAGGCATTATTTGTACATTCTGCATTCAAACATATTCCAGATGCCCCTGATGAAGAACCTCCATTATCTTTCATTATGGATTTCACTGGGTATGTTGGGGCCGCTTCAGTTCCATTGGGATTATTGCTTCTTGGTGCTACTATTTCAAGATTGCAAGTGAAGAAGATGCCTCCAGGATTTTGGAAAACAGCATTAGGGGTTACAGTATCTCGATTGATAATCTTACCCATCATTGGAGTTGGTCTCACTACTGTGTTCTATAAAGGAGGTTGGTATGGAGACGATAAACTTGTTCGGTTTGTCAGTGTCTTGGAGTTTGGTTTACCCAGTGCCACAGCCTTGGTTTACTTCACTGCCTTCTACACAGACCCAAACTCCGATGATCATTTACAAATGGATTGTTTAGCTGTTTGTTTGATTTTCCAATACTCTGCCCTTTTCATCACCCTTCCATTTTTGGTGAGTTTTACCTTGAAGGTTTCTCTAGGGTTTTAATAATTAATAGTCATCCATTATAGAATAATATTTATCATATAAGTCAAGTATGTGTGCATAATAGATTATGTTCATATTATATCTTTCATAGATTCTATATCTAACGCTCTACCTAACCCTCCAAGGTTCAATTCTCACATTCTCACAATTTTTTTTTTGCAACCGCAGCAATCAAAATGCCGGACTGTATACAGTCACCCACGACAAAGGGGATGGCAATATCATTGCTGTTGTCATAATGTCACACGAATCAACAGTTGATTTTATTTACCCTTTATTGAGACCATTCAAATCTGGTAATTAATCAATTTCAATACATTAAGAATAATAAAATGGCTTTATATTACAATTTGGTTTTTGCTTTGTTGGTGGTTGAAATGGCCTTCTTCACGGTCTTGTCATTACCTTTCCCCAGACGAATTAGAAGATCTGTTCTTACAACTTTCTCAGCCCCATTCCAAAATGAACAGTTTCAAATAGCCTTGAAATGTATCTTGGGGTTCATTTTGGTTTTATTCATTGATTCTGTCAACAGAGTTTATACCGTTACTCTTGAATTGGGTGCTTCTTCTGCTGCTAACTCTGGTAATTCCGGTGCTATTGCTGGTCTTGTCAATGATAGATCTGAAGTGCAAGCTAGAAGATTCTATGCTCAAAGAAACATGTATCTTTGTGGATTCACTCTTTTCTTAACTTTGATCTTATCTAGAACTTACTCTTTGGTTGCTGAATTGATCTTGACCAAGGACAAGTTGGATAACCTCAAGGCCAATGATTCTTTGAAATCTGGTCCAAAGCAAGATTCCGCTGAAATCCAACAATTGAAACTTGAATTGGCTAAAAAGGATGAAGATTTGGAAATTTTGAAAGAGCAAGCTGCCTCTTTATCCAAGGAATATGATTCTGTTTCTACCGGTATCAAGAGAACTGCTTAAGTTTTAGATAGATAGATATATATATTTTTTTGTATGTATGTATTGATTTAAAAAAAGGAAAAAAAGAAACATAGGAACCTATCATTTATCTTGTATTCTAATTAGAATTACTCTTGTGCTTTGGAGTAAATACGAAATTACTACTGGCCTTACCCAAGAACATTTCTGTGATCTTAATCCAATCTTTATAATCGGTGGATCCCAACAAGGTTTCCATTTCATTTCTACCCTTCCAAGCTGGTGGACGTTGGTTTAACTTGGCTGGAAGTCTTTCTAAAATACCAACTGGGATATATCTATGGGTGAAACTGATGAATTCACACATAAATCTTCTGGCTAATCCAACACCATATTCATCAGATCCCCAATGTTCAATGGCAAAGTTGGCAAATGTTTGTAACATATCTAATCTTTCACTAGCAGATTTGTCAAGATATTGTTGAGCTTCAACTTCTTCGAAAATCCATGGCTTGATAAGGGCACCTCTAGCAACCATGACAGAATCAACTCCTGGAATACTAACAGCATTGTGCCAATCTTCAAAAGAATAAACATCACCATTACCAACAAATTGAGTGGCTGGTGTATCACTAACATCCTTATCTTCCTCCTTGGCATGGTTCCAATCTTCAACAACCTTGGCAACTTCCCCAATATAACCCCAATCAGCTTCCTTGGTATATCTTTGTTGTCTAGTTCTTCCATGAAGGGTGATAGCTGCAACGGTGTTTTCAGCTAAAATTCTTCCAACTAATTGTTTTGCGTTGTTGTGACCATCCTTAGTACCAGTTCTGATTTTTACAGTCACTGGAATATCACCAGAACATGCATTCATACCCTTTAAGATTCTCATGAGTCTTGCTGGTTGTTCCATCAAGGCTGAACCTTGACCTTGTCTATATAAGAGATCAATTGGACATCCACAGTTCAAGTTCAATTCACTAACATTTGTAGTTTCACGATAGATTGCTTCAGCAGCCTTGGCAGCAGCCCAATGTTTAGAAGTGGCGATTTGAACCCCAAAACCTGGATATTCAGATCTATGGGCCTTTGGTAAAGCCCATTCAGCGTTGGTGGCTTGCAATAATGGTAAGGCAAGTGCCATTTCAGAATAAGTGACATCGGCTCCAAGAGTCTTCATAAGTCTTCTATATGGCAAGTTACCAACAGTGGTTAATGGAGATACGATTTTAGCACCTTTCAAGTTCAATTTCTTCTTTTCAGATACCTTGAATGGGGCTTCAATGTATGCAGCTTGGTTATCCTTGTTAGCCTCTTGTTTGGCCAAATTTTCTTCATTTTGAACCATACTATCCAAATAAGGAATATATTTAGAGGCAGTTTCAAATACATATTTCTTTTTTTGAAGTAAAATCTTGGCTTCGTTGGTAATCTTGTTAACTTCACAGTTTGTTTCTTTAGATTCCTCTTGTTTAACAAGATCTTTAATTAACTTCTTGGTTTCCTTATTGTAATGAGATCCTAACCATCTACATTTCAATCCCAGTGGACAATAGCCAATAGCACTGAAAACTGGACAGACTCCATCAATATCTTCAGCCTTGTTTTCCAAGTATTCTTCCACATTGTGAGTACTTCTACAATTATCAGGACCAAATTTACATTCTCTTCCTGATTCTGGATCTACCAATGTTGAACAAAGTCTAACTTCCTCATGTTGTTGTCTCAAATCTCTGTTCTTATTCTGGCCCCTCTTCTTACGTCCCTTACCGTTTGCCGCAGGTGCAGCCTCTTGACGGTCTCCACCTTCAGCTTCATCATCATTGTAAACGTCATCGTTCACTGGGGCATTCTCAACAATAAACTCTGGCTTGATTGGCGCGATCCCCTTGGCAAAATGATCATGCTTTGGTTTCTTGGAATCCACAGATTCTGGCTCTTCGTTAATTCTCTTCTCAGTAGGCATGATATTGAGAGATATTTCTATTAATTTAACCTCTTAATGGATAAGGAACCTATACCTATGTGACTGAAATCATCTCAGGGAAGAAAATGAAATATGCAGGCCATCTCCTTTTTTTTTTTTTTTAATTTCAATTTTTATTTTACTTACCACCACCAATTTCAATCAAATTAATAAAGCTATCCAATTCATGTAGATTGGACGAGAATGTTGAATTGATTTACTTCAAAACACCTCCAAACATATTCATTTTTCCATCCGTTAACCTGTTTTTTTTTTTGTACTTGATAGTCTCCGTCTTTTAATCATTCCTCATCACATCCTGTATATAATAGGATATGGAATTATAGGTTGAATTTTTCATCTCTTCCTCTAAAAAGTCAATTACCACCACCAACAAGCACTTTCCAAACTTCTAATATTGTTCCCTATTGCTATGGTCGAGGCTATTAAGAAGAGAAAGGTTGAGGCCGAAGGACCCGGTTCCGTGTCCAAGCCCCAGAAGCCTTCAAGAATTTTTTCCCCCTTCAGAGTGGTTGGTAATGTTTCCAATGATGTCCCATTTGCAGTGGGTACCCTTGGTTCAACATTTTATATTGTCACTTCAGTTGGACGTTCATTCCAGATCTACGACGCTGCCACTTTGCATTTGCTTTTTGTTTCCCAATCCCAAACTCCTTCCAGAATTACTGCCTTAGCTGCTCATTATCATTATGTCTACGCTGCTCATGGTAACAAGATCGGGGTCTACAAGAGAGGTCGTTTAGAACATACTATTGTTCTTGAAGAAGCTGGAAACTCCACTGTCAATAACTTACTCGTCTTTGGTGAATATCTTGTTGCATGTGCCGGTGACAACGTTTACGTGTTGAAGAAGAGCACTGGCTCGAAAGTTCCCTTGGAGTTGTACACAACTTTACGTTCTATCAATGCTCAACTTGATGGTGAAATCGTTGGGCTTATCCATCCACCAACTTACTTGAACAAAATTGTCGTGGCTACCGCGGGTCATCTTTTTGTTTTCAACATTAGAACTGGTAAACTTTTATTCAAGACAGTTGATCAACAATTCGGTGAAGCTAATGGAAGCATTTCATGTATCGAATCAGCCCCAATTTTGGATGTTCTTGCCGTTGGTACCACAGTAGGCTTGGTATACTTGTATCATTTGAAGAGAGGTAAGGTGTTGTCGCAAATCGCCACCAATGCAAACCAGAGTACTCCTGCCAAGGTTACAAGTGTATCTTTCAGAACCGATGGCTCATCTCATTTAGTTGCCGGGTTAAATACTGGTGATTTATTCTTTTATGATTTGGAAAGACAATCCCGTGTCCATGTCTTGAGAAATGCCCACAAGGAAGCACACGGAGGTGTTTCCAACGTCAAGTTTTTGAATGGCCAACCTATTGTAGTAACCAATGGTGGTGACAACCAGTTGAAGGAATACGTTTTCGACCCTTCATTATCCACATCGAACTCTGCCATTGTTTCACCACCACGTCATTTACGTTCTAGAGGTGGTCATTCGCTGCCTCCTGTGGCCATCGAGTTCCCACATGAAGATAAATCTCATTTCCTTTTGAGTGCCTCGAGAGACAGATCATTCTGGTCATTCTCCTTGCGTAAGGATGCTCAAGCACAAGAACTTTCTCAAAGACCATTAGCAAGCAACAAAAGACAGGCTGGTCCAACTATGAGAGAAAAATTCCCAGAAATTACTTGTTTGGCCTCATCTCAAACCCGTGAAGATGATTGGGAAAACATTCTTACTGGTCACAAGGATGAAGTATTTGCTCGTACATGGAACAGTAAGTCCAAGAGAGTTGGTCGTCACCATTTGGCTACCATCGATGGAGGTGTCGTGAAGAGTGTTTGTATTTCTCATTGTGGGAACTTTGGTTTAGTTGGTTCTTCCAATGGTGGAATTGGATCTTATAACTTACAATCTGGAATGTTACGTAAGAAGTACGTTTTGCATAAGAACAAGGCTGTTACTGGGTTGGCCATTGACGGTATGAACCGTAAGATGGTCAGTACTGGTTTGGATGGGATTGTAGGATTCTATGATTTCACCATGCTGAAATATTTAGGTAAGATTCAACTTGAGTCACCTATTACTTCGATGATTTATCATAAATCTTCTGATTTGATTGCATGTGCATTGGATGACTTGAGTATTGTTATTGTCGATGTTATCACACAAAAGGTTGTTAGAGTATTATACGGTCACACCAACAGAATCACATCGATGGATTTCTCACCTGATGGTAGATGGATTGTTTCCGTGGCCTTGGATGCAACCATGAGAACTTGGGATTTACCAACAGGTGGTTGTATTGATGGTGTTCGTCTTCCAAGTGTTGCAACCAGCGTCAAATTTTCCCCAATCGGTGATTTGCTTGCAACTACACATGTCTCTGGTAATGGTGTTTCATTATGGACCAACCGTGCTCAATTTAGAGCTGTTTCTACTAGACACGTTGAGGATGATGAATTTTCCACCATTTTGTTACCAAATGCATCTGGTGATGGTGGCTCGACTATCCTTGACGGTGCCTTCTTGGAAGAAGGTGAAGTGGAAGAAGTCGCAGAGACTTATACATCAGTGGATCAAATTGAAGATTCATTAGTGACTTTAGCTGTTTCAGAATCTAGAAGTAAGTATAACACATTATTGCACTTGGATACTATTAAGCAAAGAAATAAGCCAAAGGAAGCACCTAAGAAACCAGAAAGCGCTCCATTTTTCTTATCTTTATCTGGAGAAAGTGTTGGAGATAGAGCATCTGTTGCTGAAGGTGCTGCTCCTAAGAAGAAGTCCGATGAAGAAAATGAAACCAATGGTGAAAGTAAGTTGCATCAATTGAAGTCTGATGGAACTTATACTTTTGAATCTAAATTTACCCAATCGCTTAGAGAAGGTAGTGAAAATGGTGATTTCAGCGACTTCTTGGCTTACCTCGTAGCACTTTCACCTGCTGCTACTGATCTTGAAGTTAGATCATTGAACACATTTGCTCCATTGACTGAAATCATCAACTTTGTGCGTGCATTGACCCAAGGTTTGAATACCAACAATAACTACGACTTATACCAAGCCATTTTTTCATTATTCTTGAAGCATCACGGAGATGTTGTGAAGAACTACAACAGTGGTGAATTGGCTGAAGTTTTGGAAGCATGGGGAGCTGCTAATAACGAACACAAGGACTCCATGGACGAATTAGTCAAGTATTGTTCTGGTGTTATTAGTTTCTTAACCACCGTGTAAATAGAAATATTTATAAATATATATGTAAATTACAAATGGAAGTCAAATAGAATCATATTTTGAGACATTAATGAAGGGAAATATTTAAAAGAAGAATTCTTAAAACAAAATATCTGATACCGCTTTGAAAACTTGATTAGTTTGGAAATAATGGCCGTCAGCACTAGAAGAGACTAAATACAAAAAGATAATATCGTGCTATGTAGGATAATATGATTTCATTCTCTTCTTCTATAGTTTAAGATTATATGCGCAACCGAAACACTAGTAAGCAAAGTATGCAGTACCGAGGCATATCAATAGATTTATAGACACATAAAGTAGATACATACGATTACTTATCGATATAAAGCATAAGGGGGAGACATAATGGACATTGAGGTGATACACCCTGCAAACAAGGTGGAGATCTCCACCACACTGCGAGTGTCCGCATTGGAGGAAATAGGAGGTAATCTTTGGGTTGGTTTCGTCAATGGAGACATTTCCATTTATGAATTAGAACTGACGACTTCATCAGACTCTGAATCCCGTTCAACCAAGACAGATAGCGGCAAAGCAAAGCAATTGAAGTCATATAGATCTCTTCATGATATAAAGACGCTTTTCCGTACGGGGAGCCTTTCCTTAAAACTTGCTGTAAAGAATTTGGCTGGGAGAAGCCTAACAATTGAAAAGATGTGTCAAATAAACCACCATGAAGACCAAAAGCAGAGTCCTGGCCAAGTATTAGTGGCAATTAGCGATTCCGAAGCAGTTGCAATATATGAATGGAATCATAAAACTTCAAGTTTGACAATATTGAACGAGGTTGAAGATTCTAAAAGTTCCGTAGACTTTTTGTACATGCCCAAGAGGCAATTGCTCTTGATAGGTTCCAAAAAGCGACTAGTGGTGCATAGCGTAGTACCGACTAATAAAGGACTGAAGATCAAGATGCAAAGAATCAATGACATAAACTTTAAGGATAGGTTTAGAGCAATTGGGGAATTTTCAGACTCTAAAGTATTGATTGGTTTAACAAATGACTTTGTAATATTGGATGTTGACTCAGATTTCAAGGTGGAGTCATTACCAACGAATGAGGATGAACTCTACAATTTCAGTCGCTCATCCTCGTTCAGTTACTTTGGGTTGAACAGTTCTGGACCTCTGACCCATATAATCCCAGTGATGTATGGTTCGACTATAAAAGAATACATTCTTACGCAAGATGGAATGATTACGAGATTTACAAGTTCTGGAAATTTGTATAGTGTTCCTCTCAAGTCACAGGTAGTTCCAGTGGAAATATTATTCCTTGAGCCATGTTATCTTGTGTTGGTCTATGCCAAAAAGCTTGAAATTGTTGATTATGAAAGTGGTGAAGTTATTCAGAGATTCCAACATCAAATTAATTCAAACGCAATATGTGCTTCTGTTTTTGAAGATAGTATTGTATTGAGTTCAGGAATAGATCTTTTTAGATTCACCATCAAATCTTTTAGTGATCAAATCAACCTGTATTTGAACAATAATGAACAATTGCCTCGTCAAAAGAAAGACGGGCAATATGACCCTCAATTGGTGGGACTTAATCTGGCAATTGCATTGATTGCAAGATTGTCTCCAGAGAACTCATTTTTTGAATCGAACTCCATAAATAATGCAAAGACCAAACAGTTAAAACTTCGAGCTTTGTATCAAAAGAAGAGTGTGCTACTTTTCGAGAAATATTCAAAATTCCACGAAGCATTAGTTGAAATTGGTTCTGACTGGTTAATATCAAATAAAGTAATTTTGGGATTATTTCCTGATTTCTTAAATGGGGACGTTTTATTGGGAGGTGATAAGTCACTGAATCAAGGGAAATATTCAAATCAAGTAAAAGAGGTCACATTGGAAGATTTACGAGATGTCGATTTATTTGGAGAGTCTGGTACAGAGAATGAAGCCACTGAAGGACTAGCATCAAGGAAGGGTAATACTCCTCCTGGCCCTGTTGGTAGACCACCACATATCAGAAGATTCCTTAGAGCTGTAAACAATTTAATTATTTATCTAACTGACCAAAGAAGAATTTACCAAAACTTTTTGGGTACAACCGGGAAATCCAATCAATATCTGACTCTCAAGTGGAATGATATTACATTAAATGTCGAAGACGTTTATCAATCCACCTCGCCACAAGAGGTTGCCAAAGTTATAGATACCTCATTATTCTTGTGTTATTTTTATACAAAGCCAATGCTTCTCGGCCCGTTACTTCGACTCCCGCACAATCATTGTGACTCTCATATTGTTAATGAGTGTTTATTAAGAAATGTACATAATCATGAAGAACGCCAGGCAAGTTTCATTAAAGAACTTTTGGATTTCTACTATGGAAGATCCCTACATAAAGAAGCTCTTGAAATGTTATATAAATTGTCCCATGAAAATTTGGAAGATCACGGCGATGATTTTGATGATTACTTGAGGGGACCTGATCTTACCATTCAATACCTTCAAAAATTGAACAACCAATATATGGAATTAATATGCGAATTCTCCAGATGGGTTCTTTTGGAGAATACAAATCCGATCATTCTAGGTAAATTGTTATTTATGAATGATTCATATGAATGTGAATCATATGATGGGTTCACTATTTTAAACTTTTTCAGCTCAATAATTAAAAATGATGAATTAACCATTACATATTTGGAATGGTTAATATTCGAGAGTGATACTATTGAAAGATATAAGAAAATGGGAGGTATTCTGAAGTTGCATACACGGTTGTGTTTGCTATATATCGAGAAATTGAAACAGTTGGATGAAGAAACTGAAGAAGATATTATCTTTTATGACGATTCAGTTTATAAAAAACTTTATAGATTTCTCCAGACTACAAATCAGTATGAACCGTGGACTGTGTTGAAGTTTATCCCAACTAATATCAATCGATTTCTTCGTTTCACAGTGCTTGTGTACAGACGATTGAACGAGCATGATAAGTCCATTGATGTTTTATTTAATCAATTAGATGATTTGGATGCTGCAATGGATTATTGTTCCGATATATATTATCAACCACATAACAAAGAAGTTGGTCAAAGACTTCTTCATAAGCTTCTTGAAGATTTATTGGTCAACGTTAGTGGGAATAGAGAGTTGATAGAGAAGCTTTTATATGCCCAAGGAACAAAGATGTCAATGCTTCGTATTCTTACCTCGCTCCCTAATTCTTTCCCGATAAATCATATTTCTGGTTATCTAACCAATACATTAAGAGCATCCCAGGAGGAGTTACATGATAGTCGTATATCTAGCCAGTTATATAAAGTTGGACTGATTAAACTGAATGCTAGTTTACTCGAAGCACGAATGGAACACGTGGATATATCTAGTGGGAACCAGCCATGTTCTATTTGCCATAAAAAGTTAGGCTATAGTGTTTTCAGTGTTAATAAGAGTGGAGAAATATCACACTATGGATGTGCATCTCGAGAATAGTGTATATTAATAAAAGTTAATAAATGTACATTAGAAATTTTCTGAAGGTGTAATTAATATAACAACAAGTCAACCAATAAGACTATAGCTACAATTGAAACTTGTATTATCTCAGTGAAATTAAAATGACCTAATCATACTTGGGTGGAGCCTATAAGGTAGAGGGTGATATATACCCCAAAGTAGAAGGGTAACGTTGTGTCACGTGCTCACATCATCTCCATAATTTCGTGTCCGACACGATTTCTCCAGTATGTAAATAATTGATGGAAGTATTATATAGACGTATACGAAAGATACGTTTTTAACAGTAATATGGACTCCAATTCTACAAATGGTGAGCCGGGTCATGCCCCAGGGTCCGGGATAGTATTACCTCCCATTTCATATATCTCTGGACGCGATAGTAATGAAGAACCTTCACATGCGCCTGTTCCACTTCCACACGGCGTGAACAACATTATTTCCCCATCACTGCCCATAGAAACCAAGGTAAATACCAATCAGCCGGTACAGGCTTCAAACTCAGGCAGCCCTGAAGTGATAAAATCTACCCCTCCAGTATTTGGGTCTCAAGTAAAATCTGACAATGCGCAAGAGAAACCAATTGCTCAAGAAACTGGACATTCTGCTGGATCTGTTGATCATCAAGAGGGTGTCATTGCCAGTCAAAGTACCCCACCAGCTCAACAACAACATCTCCATCAACTGGCTCCTATTCAAACACATCAAGAAATGGTAAATAAACCCAATTCTGAAGTGATACAATCTCAAACTCAAAAGAATGCACATCCGCCAGCGGAATCTAATAACAGAGAAAACATTAAGAGAGAATCTGATCATACTGGAGCTATATCAAAGGTTAAAAAGGCTAAATCAAAGACATTTGATAAGTCAAAATTGGATAGAATTTTGACAGAGTTTTTCCCCACTCGTCACAATTTAGGAACCATCATGTATAATCCAACTACTACTTGGGCTACGCTACAAACCGAGAGACTCATTGGCTTGAAGCCCGAACATTTCCAACGATTTAGAGAATTAAAGCAGGACTTTGAAGAAAAGCTCGATGACTCCAATTTTGTGGCCGATGTCAAATATATACCATGTATCCCTGCTCTTCCTACTGAATATTCCAATTCATTATTAGAAATCAAAATACCCAGACATTTCATTGACACTTTTTTGAAAGAAGCAAAGTATGCCACTGAAAGAAAACTATGGGGAGGACTTGGTGGTATTTATACGGATGATTCTGATATCTTGAGTGTTCTTCTTCATTTGGGTCTCTTTCAAGATGAAGCAGACTTTTCAGAATGGAACTCTGCTTGGACTGGTACAAGCATTATTAAGCCTCTCGATCAATCCATTAACATAGAGGATTGTGACCTTTCTGTGACTATATTACTTTTACCGCCTTTAGAATCATATTCAGGGTATTATTCTAATGGAGTGAATTCTAGATCGTGGTCATCAGGACATCAAAAACATAGAGGACTTTCAATGGTTGTTTATAACGCAAAGTGGGAAACGAGTGGAACATATTTACTCGATTCTAATCTTGTCAAATGGGCTCGTAAAGAGCTCATGGAAGACATGAAACAGGTGAAAGAAGTTATGTGTGGAAGCTCGGGCTGGAAGTTCAGTAAGGTATATTATGATGAATTGCGTGAAAAGTATAAGAAGTTGGAAGAAGAAGATAAGAAGAAGAAGAACGAGGAGAAGGAACAAACGGAACAGAAACAACAATGAGAACCCATTGATACTATGTAAAATATGTAACATCAAGTAAAAGTAGAAAAAATATTACAACATGTATTGAGAAATGAAAGGGAAAAAAAACTAATGCTTATCTTAGGTATTAATACGTATAGAAATCAGCCGAGTGTTCGTATGATAGTTAGCTGAGCAATACCAGTGATCTGATCACGACTTGCTTTGTTTCTTTTTTTCCCCTACTGGATCTCTTTTTTTTTTTTTTTTTTTTTTTTTTTTTTTTTGGAAAGTAGTCAACTACTCCAGGCTGGACCAAGACACGTATATAATACCATACAAGAGTACAATCCCCATGAATGCGGTGACCTCTTCGGCCACTTACAACGATAGATACACGCCGCCACCGAAGACTATAATTCGAAATACGAAGTCAACATCGAACCTTCGGTCGAAAACTAAGAGCAAGTCACAAAAGAACCAGGTTAAGAAACATTCTAAAGTTGGAACCTTTTTACATAAGTTAACATCTGGGTGTAGTTTGTTCTTTCTTAGACTTCGAGCACTCTCAGACGAAGTATTTCTGCACGACGAGGTATTACGAGAGATATTTGTGGACTCTGGAGACGAAGACGAGTTAGACCCATTAACATTTATGGATCGTCACGCCAAATCCAACAAAGGTCTTAATAAGGCAGAGGAGAAATTTCTTGCGGATTTTACAAAAGAGAAAAGCCTTGAAAATATGTATATTAAACATCAGCTTGCTATAAATAATGTGACTGAGAGAAGAAAGGTTCAAGCACCGGTGCTACCATCACTTCAAGACGTACTCCGTCAACAATCACAAAGTGATATCACTTCTAGTACTCAGGATTCGTCTGAGATCCCCTTTGATGTTGTTGATGTGCATAAAATGAAGAAAGAATTTGATTTAGAGTCAAATACGTTGGAAAATTTTGGAGATGAAATAACTCTTCCAGCTCCTACAAACATTGGAGATGTACTCTGGAGATATCGTAGAGAGAAATGGCTCCAAACAAACTTAAGTCAACAACAGATTGAGCAACGGGTCAATGAGCTGGCCATAGATTTCATTCCACGAGAAGCATATGCCAAGGTATATACCCATCTCATCGATAAGGGAAAGGTGTTGAAAGATGACCGTAGATTGAATCTCAAGGACTTGATAGAAGTCATCAATGCTGGATGGGTTGCTGAGGAGAAGTGGGAAAGAGCTGCCAATGGTTTGGCATAATTAATAGCATAGAAAGGAATTTAGATAAGACTTCAGAGAAGCAATAATGACAATTAATATTAATAAGGGTGGTTGAATTTTTTTTGTAATTGATAATATTTTATATGGTCAGGGAATGCCTTAGGGAAGATATTGTACAGTGTAAGTCAATCTCTTGTAGAGCCGATTACTGACTTTTATGGGGATAAATAATATTGGGAAGAAAAGGGGAAGATGAACATCATATTTTGTCAATTCATACTTGTTCCCGCAATAATTTCAATGTTGTTTCAAGTATCCTTAAGTTCTGATCTGCCTTTTCAGCTCTTCTTTGGAGCTCATCCACAATGGATTTGTTGTCCTGATGAAGCCGTCTATTACTACTTGAAATCAATTTTTCCAAATCATTGTTACTTTTCACCAACTTTGCATAATTGTTAGCAATTCCTTCGTCTAACTGTTTATCTATCTGCTTGTCCAACTGATGTATTGTGGTTATTTTGTCTAATACTGACAGTGAATTGGCACCATCATTGGTGGAATTACTGGCAACAATTGCCTGTATTGATTTATGAAGTTGTTGAGAATGTACCTTCGTTGTCTGAAGTAAGGTCTGTTGTCTTTCTTTAGCCTGGGCTACAAGGTCACTATATGGTACGGACATTTGTTACCTCCTATATAACAATGAAAAGACAGTCAGTCTTGATCTTGTTGTATATGAATATGTAGATTCTTATCGGTTCGCCTGCAGGCCCACCAAAATATATACCACAGAATGAGAATGAGATTGGCATGAAATCTTAAGATCATCATTTGTACAATTGAACTTCAATTTTGAAAGATATTTATTGCCTTAATTACATCATAATTGACTTGGACTCATCATGGCTAATATATTAAACGATAATAAGCTTTTTCTAGAGGTACCTCAAACTGTAAATGATGAAATAATTGAAGATTCTACATATTTAAAATGGATACAAAAAGGAGATTATAAACAACTGATAGATGCAACGTATAATCTCCTTCAATCTAATGATTTATCCTTTCCAGATGGACTCAAAATCTGGGAAATACGATTAATGCTTCATTTGTTTAATAATAAGCTTGGAATAGCTAAAAAAGAGGCAATTAATTTAAATAATGCATTATATTTGAAGGAGACTCCAAACTTTGTGAATTCTCTGGATGGTATTGCCAAGAAGAACCCACTGGTTCCGTTGCAGCCTATCTATCCATTACCCAAGAATAATGACGGCATCATCAATTCCACATTATTAATTCTTTTATTGCGACTTAAATCCATTCCTAACTTAAACTTGGTAAATGAAATATATAAATTGTGTTATCAAATTCGACTTAAATCTACTGATATCGATGACAAATTGAAATTACAATTGGTTAATTTAAGTTATGAAATCATAGTTATTTTAACCGTGACTAAAAACTATCTGGCCTTATCAAATTATATTCAATCCATTCGGTATGAACTTGAATTGGAAACCAATGATCGTAATGCAGAACCATACAAGACTTATTATTCTAATTTGAGTTTAATTTGGCTATTAAACATATTCAGTCAACATTCCAAACATGGTAATTTAAATAATATATCTTCACAATATCAAAATCATTTCAATTCTATTGAAAAGACGAGTATAAATTCTTTAGAATTCGTTTTGAATACTTTCAAGGGAAGTATATCAGTAGAGTCAGAACTCCCATCATTTGAAAGTCCATTGACTTTGAATGGTTTAGTGGAGTTGGTCATACTGGGGAAAATTACTGGTAGAGTTATATGTTGTACTTTAGGGATTTGGAATTTGATGAATCGTGAAGAAGTTGGACTTGAAGGTATTGATGATGTTATTGGGCAGAATGAAAAAGAGACGGGGAAATCAGATGAGAAGAATGAAAAACAAGACGAAGACCAACAAGACGATATAGAATGTGATACTATCCAATCCGCTTATTCAATTACAGTAAAGAAATGGGGTCAAAATATAAATAGAGTTTATTGTTTAGAATAGAAGGATATGTAATGAGCCATTATTATACTATTTAATAATAATTTTTGAAATGTGTAAATATATGTGAATTGTGGGGTAAATGAAATTTAGATGTATAGTCTACAGAGCTCATAAATTTATATTCCTTGATTCGAACAAACGAAACAAGGTCTCAGCCCTAATTATCACGTGCGAGACGATTAGATGGGAGATCCGGCATATACTGATGGGAACACAAAATTAATTCGTTTTTTTTTTTATTTTTTTGTACCGACTCTGCGGTTGGGACTCGGTGTGCGAAAATTTGATGAAAATTTCAAAAGAGTTAAGGAAAATTTTGACTTGTTTGTTCTTTCTAACTAACTCAATAATCAGCAAAAATGGCTTTACAAGACGTTGTTACCCGTGAATACACCATCAACATGCACAAGAGAGTATGTCTATCGTCCGGATTGCATAGCAGTCAGAGAGCGTGAATGGCTGTACAGTGTGACAGAGACTTTAGGAGAAGACTGACTCTATGTGTTTGGGGAGTTCCATCGGGAGAGATATGGAGGCTGTAGAACTTCCCATTCCATAGGCATAGCATCCGCTATTGCTTCTCACCATAGACTTCTTATTCTGACTGGGCGTTGCCCAGACCGGATACGGATCTATTAAATTTCTATTCTCACTGTATGAACAGAGAAGAAGAGGGAGAGTGAGAGCGTTACGGTAACTTGCCTGACGGTTCAGCGATTCCTCCTTTTGTTCTGTTACATTCTACGTACCTTATGTTCCTTTTTTTTCAATTTTCATTTTTATGATGATCAATTTACTAACAAAATAGTTGCATGGTGTTCACTTCAAGAAGAGAGCTCCAAAGGCCGTCAAGGAAATCAAGAAGTTCGCCACTTTGCACATGGGTACCACCGATGTCAGATTGGACCCAAAGTTGAACGTTCAATTATGGAAGAGAGGTGTCCAAGGTGTTCAATACAGATTGAGAGTCAGAATCTCTAGAAAGAGAAACGACGAAGAAAACGCCAAGGAAAAGTTGTTCGCTTACGTTGAACCAGTCTCCGTTGCCACCACCAAGGGTTTGCACACCGTTGTTGTTGACGAAGACGAAGCTTAAATTCTTCACATTAATAAATAAGGTTTATAGTGATGTACAATAAGGATTTATCGAGAAGATGTAGTATTGAGGGATGGATTTAATTCAATTGAAGCAGATATAAAGTAACTTGCAAGAAGAGATTATTACTCAAGGAATGTAGGGGTAGAGAGAAGAGTATCGATGAAGGATTTTATGAACAAAAAAAGAGGGACTATTAGTTAATACAAACGAATTTGTAACACCTTCCCATATTGATATGTATGTGTAAACTACATAATAATATCACAAATTAATATGTAAAGGAGTATCTTATTACATATTATTTGTACAATCTACAATTTCCATTTAACAAACAGGTGTTGGCTTCCGATACAAATCAATTCAAATACATCTGCAATCAGTGTAACTATGACAAACCATACCAGGTCATTGCAATAGAACCCATGTGCCACCAAAACGGTGACGAGTCCCAAGAAAGCTCATTAGCGGTATGAAAGAAAAAAAGTTCTTCATCATCTAAGCAGATGCATTTGAATAGATTTGTATACTACTCCTTGCACAAACGGAAACATGAACATCGGTGGACAGGTATGACACCAGACATGTCCACGCCACGCACATGTTACCGTTCATGGTAGAGCTGAAAGAAAAGATAACCCTTGTTCATTAAAAAGAAGAAAAAAAACGTAAAGTTATAAAAACATTTTTCTCTCTTCGGGAGATTTTTTCTTAGGAGCCTTTAATAGAGGCCTCGCTTCAAACTGAAGCAAAATTTTTAGGGCACACTGAGTGCAGGATGAGTGTTGTGTACAGGAATTGTTATTCTCCTCCTCCCCCACACCACGAACCCGAGGTTTATCTGAGTCAACCCAACTGACAAATTCTATAAATCAAATCAAAATCAAGGTTAAATTAATTCAAAATTTTACCAAACTCTAGTAGATAATGCCTACAGCAATAGACTCTAGTGAACGACAATCACATACAGTCACAGAAGTGTCGATATCGGCTGATGTGCACTTTGTGAATGAATCTTCTCCTGTGGTTGATGGTGTCGATATATCACATGAGCTCTATACTAGATTATTTCCTACACCAGATGAACCTGAATCTGTTTCAGAAGGGAAATATGTCCTTATTAGATTACTTGGGGCTCCAGACTATTTTGGAAATTTTAATTTATACAAAATTTCGTCGATAAACCATTATAGTCCAACCCCACTTGCGGTGTCACTTGTCAATCAAACCAATCTTGCTAGATTTAACGGCCAGATAACGTTGAATAAATGTATTATTCGATCAGTTGACCCTCACTCGATCCCAATTCTTGAAAAAGTATTTGTATGTGTGCCAGAGAATATATATCTAGTGCTACAAGGTATGCCTCTGTCTTCAGTAAAGGAACTTTTCATTACCAAAGTTTTAGCACATATTGGAGGCATTGTTAGATCTGGAGACGTTGTTCGTGCTCTTAATGGTACCGTCAAGCTATGTGAGCCTGTATCACAGGGGTTTCTTAATGACTCGACCAGTATTGTTCTCGTTAAAGAGCATTTGTTAGAAGATGGAGAAATTGATACTGAGGTTCAAGAAGAGCAATTGCAAGAATCATTAAAGGAAATTGATCTTGACCTAGAATCAGATGATGGTGAAGACGTGGGATTGGACTTGTCTACATATTTAAATGGGCCTACTGTTTCTAATACTCCTCTGATAGAGCTATTAGTTAAGCCACTACCAGACAAACTTGCCATTGATGATATCCAACCATCCCTTTGGACAAAGGAAGATCATGATTTGTTTGCGTTTTTAAATGCAGAGGATTTCGTACGATTGGGGTTCCCAGTTTTCAATGGAGATTCTGTAAAACTCTCATTTGGTGATAAATCAGTGATTATCAAAATCTTGACCGTCATGGAGCCAAACAAAAGTTTCCGTCTGGGCTCCATTTACCTCTCACCTATATTAATTATTAACCTTGATCTCACCCAAGATTCCAAGATCACATTGTCCCCTATTCCTCAAAGAGGTCAATTATTATCGAGTGTTGTACCGATTGCCAAGTCTGTTACCATTGCAAGGGTATTATCTCCTATCACCATGGACAAAACTTACCAACAAAGTTTTTTTGCTGCATTGAAAACATCTTTCCATTCTTCATTTAAATGTGTTCGCCAGGGCGATTTTATACCTGTTGTGATCGATACTGTTTTGTCAAAAACCATGTTTGATACTAATAACATGTTGCAACAAAATGGCCATGAACCATTGGAAGACTCTGTAGTTCCCATTGGAGATCCAGATGCCGTTGCATGGTTTAGAATTGTTGAAATCAGTGCTGGTGAAGAAAAGGATGACCTTCTGAGAATTACCGAAACTAACCAATATGTCATTGACTCCTTAAAAACTAGAATGATTTCGTCAGGAGTTGAACATGTTAGGTTACCTTCAAACTCATTTGGTCAGTGGTTTCAATTTTTGCAGCTTCCTCAAGCTTTCCCGTTCTATAAGGTGATCCAGTCGAATCCGCTGATTTTCAAATATGCCTCGGAACTCAAAAAAATTATATGTACATGCATTGAATCGCAGGGTAAGGTTCAATTGAAGACTTCTATATTACTTAATTCGTCCTCTAGAGGTTTAGGTAAAACTACTGTGATGAGAGATTTGGCTTTGGATTTAGGTCTCAATCTTATTGAATTGGATTGCTTTGATGTTATTAACCCTGGTGCAGAACTTAAGACGATTGGGTTACTTAGAGGTAAAATAGATAAACTTATCGGTGATGCAATTCAAGGTGGTAGTATCGACGCTGCAACATTCCATGTGATTTATTTGAAACATATTGAAAACCTATGTGTTAAGACAGATGAAAACGAACAGGGATCCAATGTGACTACTTCATTATCGTTGAAAGTTGTTCAGTTGATTCAAGAATACTTGAATGAATATTCAAATTTAGTAGTTGTTATGAGTTGTAACGATGAAGATAAACTTAGTGAAAGTTTACGCCTGATGGTTAAGTTTCAGATAGATTTTGGAGTACCAAATGAACGGGAGAGACTTGAAATCTTCAAGTTTTTAATTCAAGATGGTATTTCTTCGAGTATTAAGAGAGTTGCTGAAGTGACTAATGATGATAATGACTACTTTGATTTATCTCTTGTGGCGTACGATAAGCGGAATGATGTAAGTTACCAATCTTTGGCTTTGCAGTCTGCTGGTTTGACACCTAGGGATCTTATTTCCATCATCAAGTGTGCAAAAAGGTTAGCAGTGCAAAGACTCACAGAAACATGTCATGAACAGAAACTTCTGTTACATCAATTGGTGATGGTGGGTAATGGGGGGAGAATCACCTGGATACCTGAAGACTTCAATAAAGCTATAAACGAAGCACGTAATCAATTCAGTGATTCCATTGGTGCTCCAAGAATCCCTAATGTTAAATGGGAAGATATCGGTGGTCTTGATTTGGTCAAGGATGAAATTTTGGATACTATTGATATGCCATTGAAACATCCTGAGTTGTTCAACAATGGGTTGAAGAAAAGAAGTGGTATCTTATTCTATGGGCCACCTGGTACTGGTAAGACATTACTTGCTAAAGCTATTGCAACCAACTTTTCATTGAATTTCTTCAGTGTCAAAGGTCCTGAATTACTTAATATGTACATCGGTGAATCTGAAGCAAACGTTAGAAGAGTATTCCAAAAGGCAAGAGATGCTAAGCCATGTGTCATCTTTTTTGATGAATTGGATTCTGTTGCTCCAAAGAGAGGAAACCAAGGGGATTCCGGGGGTGTCATGGACAGAATTGTTTCACAATTACTAGCTGAGTTGGATGGAATGAGTGGCGATGGTGATGGTGTCTTTGTAGTGGGTGCCACTAATAGACCTGATTTGTTAGATGAAGCTCTCTTGAGACCAGGAAGATTTGATAAGATGTTATACTTGGGAATTTCTGATACAAATGATAAACAAGCAAAGATTTTAGAAGCTTTAACAAGAAAATTCGAATTAAATGAAGATGTTGATTTACAAAAAATTGCAGAGAAATGTTCATTTACATTCACTGGTGCTGATTTCTATGCATTATGTTCCGATTCGATGTTAAATGCCATGACTCGTACTGCAAACAATGTTGATACTAAAATCAAAAAGTTTAATGAAGATCTCGTGGCAAAGGGTAAACCTGTTGTATCAACCCGTTGGTGGTTTGATAATGCTGCAACCCCTGAAGATATACACGTTTCAGTAACTATGGAAGATTTCCAAAAGGCCCAAAATGAATTATCTCCTTCTGTTAGTGCTGAAGAATTAGAACATTATTTAAGGGTACGTGAGAATTTTGAAGGAGGTAAAGAAAAGGCAATGGAAACTGCTGGCGGTAACAACAATTCGAATGGTAACGTACAAAACAATGGACATGCCATGTCTCCAGAACTTAAGCAGAGAGTACAAGAGCTCATTGGAGATGATGTGGAAGAGATTATTGATGAACATGGAAATCACCTTGGAAATGGCTACACATAGGCTTTATTTAAATTTATTTATTATATCTATCATTCCGTCGTCATAATTTAGAGCGAACATCTTGTAAGAAGGTATCAAAAAATCCACTTCTATTCTATAATGGCACAACTAAAGCTTGTCTTTTTGTTGATGTTCAAAAGTTCATAGCTATTTGTTTTTCAATATGTAACTTTTTTCCAAGATTTCCTTTGCTTGGTTGATTTTCTGTGACATATACTCACTACCATGTTTATCCGGATGGTTTGCCACCATCAATTTCCTATATCTGGCTTTCAACTTTGCCTTGTCAAAGGTTAAAATGTCATTACCCTCAATACCCAAAATTAGAAGAGCTTCTCTTTCTGTCATCTGCTGATCGAACCCTGCTCTGGGATATCGCAGCATTAAGAATATATGTGCCTCTGCATCTTTATGTCTTTTCCCATTCACTATATCTCGCTTAATTTCATCAGCTGAATGTAATTGTATGTTATTAAGGCTAGCAATCATCTGTGGTGTAAGAAGCAAGTACTTCCGGTAAGCACTAAAGGTAGCCTTCGTGGTTAAGGCGGCGACTGTTGCCCCAATTCCAATTAGAATGGGTAATACCATAGATTTAACATGTGTCGACCTGCAAAAAAAGAGTCGTAATTGTTCAGAGAATTTTGATGAAATCTCATATCGCACTCTCAGGCTGACACTAACAAATTCAAAATAACCAAAGGTCGTAGATGTAATCTTCCTATTCTCTGGTTTTTTGTTTTACACTACAATCTTACAAGACAATATTTCTTTGTTATGTTGTTTATTTACTATCTAGAGATATTAGAGTCTAATCCTGTTAGTACATTGTTGAAAGAAAACATTGAAAAAAAAATATTTCCATCTAATTTACACATCTCATGTAGGTGTTAGCTGATTTCAATTTTTACCCGAAGACATTGTAATGGGTAAAATCATGACGATAACGCATGTTAATTCTAATCATAATGAGTAATCAGATGGTATTCATTGTACATACAATTTAAGGTAAATTCCTGTGAAAAGGAAAAACACTGTGAGCACTTTGATAATTTTCTGGTGGAATCAAATTTATCTTTTTATACTATGGGAAAACTTGAGTCCGCGCACGACTGGGAAACCTGTTTTTTTTTTGGATTTGCTGCAAAATCGAAAAAAGTAGGGTTAGTGCTCACCTACTAATTAGTAGGTGTAGCAAGACTCTGGATTTGCTTACACCAATTTCTCATATCACTGATTTTATCAATGTTTCTCGAACTTCCCTCTTTATCCTCTTGTAAAGTGGTTTGGATAATAGGACCATTCGTAGTTGTAGACAGTTGTTGTAAAGTTACATTGCTTGTAATTCCCACTCTTTGTTCTAATTTGACTTGATCCTTTTGTGAAAGTTCTTCAGTCGCAGCTACAGGGACCCCACTAGAAAGTATCTTCATCCAAGAATCTATCATGTGCAACTCTGATCCAGGTAGGTCAGGCTGGAAAACAAACTTATTTAATGTAGATTGTTTACCAGTCGTCGGAATAACTGACGATTGGTCTGTGCTCCCTGGTTCTTGTGCCAGGTTAGGCATCATATAATCTTGATTGAATTTATTCGACCATAATGAGCTGAATTCTCTCTTTTCTGAGATATCGTTGCTTCCTTCGTGTTCACTAGAACCTTCTGATAAATCACCTAACGCGTCCAGGCACTTCATATTATCAAGGACATCTGTAGCATCGACGGTAGAGAAAATTTCCTGTGAAAGAGACCTTTGCCCTAAAGGCTTGGCTTCTATACAATTCAAAACCAAATCAATACTAACATTTGGAAGTTTCCCACCGCTAATAGCTTCTAAAAGCATATCTTCTAGATCATGAAGTTCAAAGTCAAGTTTTTTAGCTAAAAAATCCAAATTAACAGCTCTATATGATTTCAATAGATTCCCTAGTATATTCAATTGGAGATGTCTCATAATTTTGTTTGACGAATGAATAAATATATCATCCTGAACAAGTGGGTCCTCTTCGATTTCCATAAGGCGTAACGTATCTTTAAACCTTTTCAAATTATTCTCATCGTATTGCTTGACCAACTGAATAAGATGCTGGTATTCTGGAAGCAGAACATATGTTTGAGTTTCTTGCGATTCAAACGGATTAAATTGATTCTCTGTTAGTAAAGAACATAAAGCAAGATACTTAAGAATTTTCTTCTTTATAGAGGATCCGGCCTCATCATAATTTTTAAAACTCTCGTATAATTCCAACCTTGCCCCTTCATAATTCCCTCTATAAAATTGAACTTTTGCGCCACATTCACGAATAATACCCATAATTTTGGGATGAGTAACGGCAGTACTAATCTTCATACTTCTCTTATACAAATGGTGCAACTTGGAGATATCGATTGTGTTTCCTTGAGTGTTTACAATTATTTCTGCCGCAATTACTTCCAACGAATATGCGTTCTTCATACTCTCAGATGCTGTTTGTAAGTTCATATTTATAACCAGAATTAATTCCTTACACTTAATCCAATCCTTGTTATCGATCAAAATATTGAGCTTATGTACATTGATCTTGAGCCAAAGTCTTCTTCTGCTCCCCTTATCACTCATGTTGGTACTACTACCATTTTCATTCTCTGACTCGGTATTGTCATTCAAAAACTTTAAAAGTATATCATACACTTTAGATACAAAGGATGGATCATTAATTGATTCCGAATTGTTAAGAATCCTGCTGACGGATTCTTCCGCATAATTTGGATTTACTTTCGGGATAATAAGCATAAGTTCTTGAAGGTACTCAATCGCAGTATCATATCGATGTTCCTGAACGTTTATCTTAATCAATTGTTTACAAGCTTTAAAGATCCAATTAATGTTTTCCTCGTTTCTGTTACTATCAAATACTTGTCTTAGACCCAATAAAGCCCCATTTAAATCGTCGCTCTTTAAGCACTTGGCATTGTAATAGTTATTTTCCTAATTTTGGTTAGTAAGATTAATCTTAAGGCAATAAAACATAGATCACACTTACCATGCCATAGTTCAGGTCTTCTGGTGCTTCATTGCTAGCTATTTCTTCCTCGTCTTCATCCTCTTCGAACTCAAACTCGTACGACTCCTCCGACATGTAATCATCTTCGTCTGACATTTCTTTGTTATTATTGTCAGTATATTTTGTATTCAGGTTGTCTATTTCCTGTTTGTTTTTTTACAAAACTCAAGATTCTACTCTAACTGATTTTCATGATAAACCTTTATCAATTATTTTTTTTTTTTTTTTAATCTTAATGAAAATAAATAATTATGGTTCATATATAAATCCAATTAAATTCCTAAAACTTAATACTGATAATGAATTATGTAATAAGGATGGATCTTTGGTTGTATGAATTCTATTATATACTTATACAATGTTTGTTTTCATGAAGGAAAACTGACCTTGGTTCCTTACCTAACATTCTTAAAGTGTGAATAAAATGAAATATTATTTTAACAATATTTTCTGTAAATTTCCAAAATATTTAGACAAGGAAAATAAAGCTCAATTAAATTCGATAAATAGCAATCCATACAATTGCATCATGATTAACATATGTAATTTAATTACTTAAAGCTTTCAAAAGTGGGAAAACAAGCCAAGAAGTTAGATTTGAAGTTTGGGGCAAAAATTAAAGGAATCTTAATATTTTGCCACAACGCCTAATTGTACCTATTAATGTATCTATACTATAGACTGGAGTGATATCAGCTTGACTATAATGTTATATATTCCAGAAGTGTTAATTTGAAGCAAGTAATTGCAGATTTTTCTCGGAGGGCTAAATACGGAATTCCTGCACTCGGCTACTCTCAAAATCTAAGAAATCACAAATAAGCTTGTATGGCGCAGTGGTAGCGCAGCAGATTGCAAATCTGTTGGTCCTTAGTTCAATCCTGAGTGCAAGCTTATATTTTTTCATTTTTTTTGCAAATTCAATTCTTAATATGACATATATTGCTTGAGTTCTTGATATGACTCGGAAGTCCATACAAGTATATACTCTACAATTGTCGATGACATATGTTTTTTTTTTTTGCATTTATTACACGATCAAAGATGCTCTACTTTTTTAAGATGTTTCAGCAAAAGATGGTGATTGTATAAATTGTATAACTATAAGAATTAGATCATAACTTTGATGAATACTTAGCCAAAGGAAATGAATTTTAAAGGGAAAAAAATATAAAATAAAGTCTTTCGAGAAGGCTTATCTAGACAATGTCAACTTCGTACAATACAAAAGGTTCGTAGTCAGTATCAACCAAAGATGCATACTCATGTAAGTTAGCATTGTTCTTATCGAATGCTTCACCTCCCAAGTAGCCGAATTTTTCAATTAATTCCTTCTTGGATTTGGCCAAGTTTTTGTTTGTCTTATCGAATTTGACCAACAGACAGTCGAATTTTGGAGGTAAACCATATCTTAAAATAGATTCGACGTAAATACGAATAGCCTTGATATGGAACCAGGCTGCTAATATATCAGAATAAGCAGTCTTAGCCAAACGTAATAAATCGTTTTTGGTCTTTGATTCATTTGCTCTAGTCAAGTCGAATTCTTTACGTAAGTTATTCAATACTTCTTCGGAGTAAACAAAATCAGTACGAGGGTGCCATTTGTGTTCTCTTGCACCAGTAATGAACTCTTGTTGGTACTTTTTGAACAATGCTACAGTGTATAAAGTATATTCCAGGTCAGTTGCCACTACGGTGGCAGATCTTGGGATGACGAAGTCGGTCAACGTTTCGTACGAGTGTTGGAAGTCAGAGATCAAGTTCTTTGGGACGGCAATGAGAACTGTAGTCAAGTGGTCAGAGTCCAAAACAAATTGTTCAGGCTTGACGATATCATGGAGGGATTTGATTGAAAGATCTCCATTCTTCTTTCTGTCTGCCGCCACGTAGTTTGACTTTGCAGTTTGATAGCCTTGGTATGAAGCTCTCACATCATTATCCAAAGTAATGGCTTCGTTGGCAATTACACTAATCAATTGTTTGATTGGTTTATCCAATCTATACTTTGAAGTATTCCACAGAAATGATTCGATATAGTTCAAAACCGGCTTACCGAGAACAGATCTGGTTGGAGAAGTTTCAGTAACTGAGGACAAGATGTCAACAATCTTACTCACAGATGAGCCTAATTGTTGGTCTAATTTACTTAATTCTTCACTTTCTTGCACGAGAGAGTCCAAGGTTCCAATTTGGAATTCGTCCAACTTAAACGGGATAATTGGTGACTTTCCCCCGTTTAATGATTGCTCTAACCAACCACGAGAGTCGGCAGATTGGGGCAACGAAACAATCAAATAGCTAGCAATAGGATCCATCTTGTCAATGGGGTAACACAATTAGAATCCAGTGAAAGAAGCTCTTGAATTGAAGGTTGTTTTATCTCAAATAGAAACCTTATCGAAATTAAAAATGAGGGTTGAACAAATTCGCGCGTAAATTAGAGTCCAATATGGGTAACCGTAGACACATGTTTGAACAGCAAAAACCAAAAAATAAAAGATCAGAACAGAGACACAATTTAATGATAGAGTGATTATGAATTTAATAAATTAAATTTAAGATAAGAACTCAGATTCACCAGAACTTGTTCAATTACCTACTTACATGTAAAATTTCAATCAATTATTATCGAGTTTCTTACCATAGACTTGGGCAAAAAGTGCTCCTTTTTGCCGTAAATGCTAGTAAAATCCTACATATAAAGATAACTCCATTTTTTATTCTTGTTCTCCTGCACACTCCGTGCGATGGGGTTTGGGTTTTTTCAAATTTGATGCTTAAAGAGGATTTATAACAAATAGAGAATAAGATATATATCACGTAAAGTAATGAGTAAATCATTGGAAGTATGTATAACTAGGTGAAACTTAGCGAGCACGCTTGACCATTTTTTTTCCATCGCGGTCTTTTTTTCTATTGTGGTTGAAGTTTGATTATATTTCGTGAGACTAACCATTTTAGGAACGTCTTCAAACTCATTCATCCGCCTTTGACGGGTTGTTATCGTTGATACCAGCAAAATATTACTATGACGACGCTACTCAGGACCAGTGGCAACAGCAGAAAAAATCCAAGAAGGAAATACAACAGAATAAGCGGGCTAAGCTAGATCCTACCTCAAAAGACAATGCAGATGACTACACCAACTCCCATGCCAGTGCTAAGGATGTGATGGCAAACAAGGCTAAGGTTGCCAAGAAGGTGACCTTACCATCTGCCCACAAGTTCAAGCAAGCTGTGAAGGAAGAAGAAGAAGAAGAAGATGACGATAGTGATGTAGAAATTCCAGATATGGATGTAAGTGATGGAGATGAAGATGAAGAAGAAAAAGAACAACAACAAAATGAAGCGGAGAACTCTGAATCAGAACCATTTATTAAGGAACATACTCTGTTAATATTCGATGACGAGGGAAACGAGGTTGTTCCTGAAATTACAGGCAAAAATCTGGCCAATAAATCCAATGTATCACCAGAGGAACAAAAGAAGAAAGATGAAAATCTTGCCAAGTTGAGAGCAAAGCTTTCTGACAAGATCAACAAGTTGAAAGAAAAGCGAAAAGCTCCTGGTACAAAGTTACCAGGTGCACCAAAGTCAAGAGATCAAATATTAGCAGAAAGAAAGAAGAAGGATGAACTCAAACGTCTTGAAAAACTTAAGAGAAAGAGTGAACATCTTGATGAAGAAGAAGAAGAATCCGACTCTGGCTCCGAATCAGAGACTGAAACTGCTTCCAAAAAGGATCAAGTATTGTTTGGAAATATTGTATTCAACGATGGATCTAGAGTCACTTCTGATTTAAGTAGACTTCGTAATACTGCTGAAAAGAGAAAGCAAAAGGGCCCAGCTAATAACGATCTCAAAGCCCATCTTTTGAAGCTTGAAGCCAAGAAGCAAAGACTTGCAGACTTGACTCCTGAAGAACAAGCCAAACAAAAGAGTAAGGACCAATGGCAAAGAGCCTTGGCCCAAGTTGAAGGTGTTAAGGTTAAGGATGATGAAAAGCTTTTGAAGAAGGCTATTAAATGTAAGGAAAAACAGAAACTTAAGAGTGAAATCGAATGGAGAGAACGTAAACAAATAGTAAAGGATACTGTTTCAGCCAGAGCGAAGAGAAGAGAAGAAAACTTGAAGTCTAGAAGAGAAAACAAGGGTAAGAAGAGTAAGAACCAACCAAAGCTTAGAAAGTTTACTGGTACCATCAATAAGGCAGCTGCAGTTAAGAAGAAGAGAGCAGGTTTTGAAGGAACTGCTAAGTCGAAAAAGAAGTAAGGGATGAGGTAGTCACAAGTTAAATATGAAGAAGAAGAAGAAGAAGAAGAAGAAGAAGAAGAAGAAGAAGTAGTAGTGGGTACGGTGTATAGATATATAAGGTTCACGTCAATTGATTGTAGAAGGAACGAGTAGTGAAATTGTTAGTATTCTAATTTTTCATTACATTAAAGTATTATAGTCAAATTCACAAAATTTATTAAAAAGATCATATACTAAAGTAGAAAAAAAAGAGACACTTTTTTGAGTTATTCACGATGGATATAACTATAACTAATATTAATTCCTATTTTTTGCCCCTCTTGCAACCAGTTTATTATTCATTTGCTTCATGGTATTACTACTATAGCAACCAAACTGTTCAGAGATCACGTGCACAGAACAAACCACCTGCATATGTCGAGGGTGTTATCATTGCGAAATATATATACCCCTTATTTTTTTTGTCGCTTAATTGAATTTGATCACTCTTCTTCTTTAACTAATTAGTTAATATAATACATTCAACATGTCCTTAGATCAAGCCAAATTATTTTTATCCCACATTGATAAGGTACGTTCCAATTGAAGCCCATTGGGATTTTTTGTTTTTATTGATTCTGTACTAACCAAACATCTAGAAATCCGCTGGTGTTACCCTTTTGGGTCACTTTGAAAAGAACACTGGGTTACCTCGTTCTTACGCTGTATTGTCAGCTACTGCCGTATACATGGTGTTGATTTTTATCAACGTAGGTGGAATTGGTGAGTTGTTGTCCAACATCGCTGGATTTGTCGTCCCAGCCTACTACTCGTTACACGCTTTGTCCACAGCCTCTACCAAGGATGACACTCAATTGTTGACATATTGGGTTGTTTTTGCCTTTTTAAATGTCATTGAATTCTGGTCAAAGGCTATTTTGTATTGGATTCCATTTTACTTTTTGTTCAAGACTATTTTCTTGATTTACATTGCTGTTCCTCAATTTGGTGGTGCTGAACTTGTTTTCCAATCTGTCATCAAGCCAATTGCTGACACCCATATTGTTGGAAAGAGCATCAGCAAAGATGTAAGTGATGCTGCTTCAGGTGTCTCTTCATCTGTCCATATTTAAATGGCTTAAATGAATAAATAATGAAAAAAAAAAAATCGATCCCATATATTAATACTACTCTTTTAATATTCTTCTTTTTTTTTCCCTTTATAGTTTAAGTGTATATCTCTTTTTTATTTATTTTATTGTATCTATTATAAAGTAGACTCAAACCCAGCAAAGTCAAATGTATTTTCCTGCTCATCGCCATTCACCAAGTATTTTGCCTTGACTCTTAATTTAACCTTTGCTCCTTCTTTTCCAACAATCTTCAATACCTGTTTGATTACATCATTGGGTGATTTCAAGGTATCACCTCCAGAAGTAGATGAAATAGAAAGTTTTTGTGACTTAGGTACAGCTATCAATAATTGGAATTGAGACACCACATTACCTGCACCAGCCTGCTTAATATATGCTTCAATGATCGCTTGTCCTGTTTTAGGGAATGATTTCGATACAAATGAAACAACAATATTTTCATTACTGAAAGCATGAATCGATGATTCAGGTGGTGATTGTTGCGTAGCACTGGTGTATGTCGATGATTGTACCGGAGGTGAATCAAACAAATCCAAGATGTTTGCATTTCTACTACTTGTAGAAGTTTGTCCGTCGTTAAGAATGTCTGATAAAGAATTCTTAGTTTGACCACCGTTAACTGGTCCATCATCCATCAAGTCCAACAACAAGTTCTCCGTGGTGGTGGCGGATTCAGATCGAATAGATCCTGTCTTGTTATTATTGTTGCTACTTGACTTCGAAGGATGTAATGAAAGAGATTCTCTTTCCTTCACTGGTGGTGCAGGCATCTTGGCCAATAATCCCTTTTTCACTTGTCCATTTTGAGCAAATATTTCTTGGTATTCAATTGCTCTAATTTGGATTTCAAGGTTATTATCATAAGATTTGGAATTCAAAATTAATCTTAATTGTTCGATGGAATCCAGATTGGTGAACTTGACTGAAAGTTTCAATACAGTTGTCAAAATATGTGTAACCAATTGAGTAGTTTCCAGTTCAGAATACGTGGAATTATTAATTAAATCATCAATAAACTTTAAAATAAGTTTATCAGTAACATCAATAGGTTTTTCATTAACTTCAATTTTACCGTCTAATAAAAATTCCCCATATTCCCCAATACACCAAACAGTAATGACCGCAAGGCCAAATTGAGTAGGGTCTTCCAAACTCATAGAGAAGAGCTTACCAACTATATGCCTTTTCAATTCATAATCATTACATTGCATAATTAAGGCCAAGATGTTTGAAATAATGTCCAGAGTAACATAATTCCCAGATAACTTAAGCATACGAAGTAAAGTATCAAAATGCCACTTATTGTTAGGGGCAAACTTACTAGCAGCAATAGTTAATTGTGATGTAATATATGGTTTTAATTCATTATCATTGCAATTTTCCAAGAAGAGTAAAACTTCTCTCACCAAAACTCTTATATTTTGTTCATTCAAAATGGCAAAGGTCAATTCCAAAGCTCTTCTTCTAATGGAGATATCCCCATCAACCAAACATCCGACAATTGTGGAACGATGTCTTTGCACAGCCAATGGTTCAATATTAATAACAGTGAGAAGTGTATCCAAGGCAACATATCTAATGTTATTATCCTTGGTAGACAAAAACTTACCAAGTAAATTAACACCCAAGATTTTAAGTGATTGATCAGATTGAATAGCGAAAATAGTCTTGACACATTCATATAAAATGGCATGTGCAGCATTCTTCCCACTATCAATGTTTGATGCAACTTGAGTTAAAATATCATTTAATTCTTCCAAATAAGAATCTGGACAATGTGGATCAGTGGCCAAGATTCTCAATGTTTTCAAAAGGGAAACTTGAAGAAATGGATCAGAGATCCCAGTGACATCATAATCTGGCATATATCCACTAGTGGCAATTCTTTTCAAATGTCCAACCAATTTAGGGATAGTTTTCACAAGAACTGGTCTGGCCTCGATATCTATATATAAGGCTTCGATAAGTCTCACGGTACCCAACAAGGAACTGTGGTGACGGTCATCAATGAGTTGTGCCACCTTAGGTAAGAAAATTTCAGCCAATTCTGGATCTTTTTCAACCAATTTGGCAGCAACAAGACAAGCTTTTTTCTTTAAATAAAGGTTATTGGTGGTCATGATTTTTTCAACATTAGCATACAAGTCACGCGCCAACTCTGGAGAGGCAATGTTACCCAAGCAACATAAGGCGAGACCAACAATAAAAGCGTTTGGATGTTGCATATCATTATCCAAAGAGTTTGTCAAGAGGGTTAAAACCTCTTGATTTTCATCTAATAAAAGCATGGTTGCCAAGTACCCAAGTCTTTTATCCGCAAACCGAGGAGAAGCAAGCAACTTTAAGCATTCAACCTGACCAAAATGGGTCTTCTCACCCATGATATATAAGTATAAGAGTTTGGAAATGTTGATTCTTCTTGCTGTTTGATCCAAGTTTGGATCTCTAAACGCGGTTCTGATGGCTGCAGACTCCTTACGCACCACGGCACGTTCATCTGCAATAGTCTTCGCCTTACGGACGGCCTTGATGAACGATTTCAAAGATGCCATTCTGTCAAAAGTCGGGGCACAATTGGTTACAAGTACTAGAATAAGAACTTAGTATATGTGTTTTCTTTGACAAATTGAGAAATTGAACATGTAGGCGCTATTTATTTTTGTTTTTGTGAGATTTATGTACAGGCCACAGTATGGGTTGCAGAGAGTAAAAAAACAGTAGGTTAGAAAATTGTAATTTAGTTAATCTATAATAAAGGTTGGGTTGATTCATAAAATGAACTTGGAACCGGCAACCTCCGCAAGGGTTGCTATTGATACAACTGCGGGTAAATTACTGATTGAAATTTGGGCTAAAGAAGTTCCAGAAACCGCTAGAGAATTTCTTCAAAATTGTTTGGACCAGAAATACGTGGGGCAGGACTTTTCACGTATTCTGAAGGATTTTCTAATTCAAACCAATTGTAATGAAGCCAAGTATGAATTACCTCATGAAAAATTTTCTAGATTGAAATTCAACCGACGTGGATTAGTTGGTGCTGTTCTGAGTAACAATAGTAGCAAGAATACTGTGGATTCATTCTTCATCACTCAAAGAGAAACACCAGAATTGAATGCTGAGCATACATTATTTGGTAAGATTGTAGGAGACACATTCTATACCGTTGTACGGATCCATGATGGTGAGTTAAAGCCCGATTCAGAGTGCCCGTTATATCCTGTACGAATTAAATCGACTGTAGTAGAGATCAAATATTTCGATGATCTTGTACCAAACGTGAAGGAAAATGTAGAAAAGCCACAAGAGAAGCCAGTGAAGTCTTCTAAAAAGGTTAAAAAGGTAAAGCTTGACTATGGCGATGAAGAGGAAGGTGAGGACGAAGACGGGTTCAAAATGAAATCTATCTTTGACTTGAAGAAGAAGGATGTGAAGCAGGAAAAGAGCACCGATGAGTCTATCGATCAGAAAGTTGTTGATGAGCCACAGGCGAAAGGTGACGAAACAAGTATCATTGATAATAAAGAATCTACTGTAACAGATGAGTCTACAAAAGATGCGAGTTTGTCAAAAGATGGTAACGAATCCAGATCGGAATCAGAATCCGGATCAGAATCCGGATCAGAATCCGGATCAGAATCCGGATCAGAATCAGAATCGGATGAACCAATAATTAGAGACCCAACAATCGATTCTGACTATGATGAATTCCTTGACCTTACATCAGAGGAAGAAATAGACCAAGAAATAATTTTAAATCATACATTCAACGCGTGAAATACATACATATATAGATATATACGGAAACTTTATAGAATGAATGTAAAATGCAAATAATAAACAAGAAAGAATTGAATGATATGGTACTTCTAAATCAATAGAATGCAAGAGTTACATCGCCACACTCCTCACACTCTTCCTCTTGCTTTTGAACCACATATGTACTTGAAAACCCTGGTACATCCTCTCCCTTGGCTAATGGTGAAACTTCCACGGTATCATTGTCCCCGCAATTATTAAACCATGGATGATTGGAAAGGGCGCCTGCTTCGAATCTATTTTCCGGCTCATATTGTAAGCACTTGGAGATCAAATCAGCTATAAGTGCCACATTGGGATCGTCCTTGTTAAAATGGTACTTCTCAACCAAGACATCTTTTAATGGCCAGAATTTTAAATGAGGAATTTTTCTAAACCTAATGTTATTACTCAGGATTTTGAAATAATCATTTGTGAAAGAACATTTCGAAAGATATTCTCTACTAGGGAAATCACCCATAAGCTCAATGATTTGTGCCATATGATCATCATCCCGATCGTACGATTTCCCATTATGTGGATCAAATAAATAATCCCCAGTAATCAATTCGAAAATCATACATCCAATTGACCAAATATCAGTGGATGCTCCCCAATTTGAATGACCCAAAATGATTTCTGGAGATCGATATTGCCTTGTTTGGATTTGGTTGGTAAAGTGTTCATGAGCAAATGTCCCATTACCTAAATCAGCAATTTTGATGGATATAAAATTCCCCTCAACACTATTACCATTAATGGACTTAGCATTCGATTGTAATGAATTTTTAATGGTATCAGTAGGACTATGAGTCACATTATCAATAGGTATCTTAGGGCCATCATTGAACTTATATGAAACGTTGTTGAACATGATATCTGTGGTGATAGGTGAAGGAAGTGGTTTAGAACTACGAATGGGAGAGTCATGGTATCCACTTTCTCTTCTGCCTGAAATGGAAATTCTTGAATGTCTATAACCAGAAACAAAGGAGTTATTGGATCGGTTAGACTTTGAAGAATGATTGGAGGTTCTTCTCAGTAAGTCAGGTGTTGGGTCCGTGATAGTCTTGATGCTACTTGACCTTTTTCTTTCATTATGCTTGGCAATTTTCTCTGTCTCGAAAAACTTTATCAACTTTGTAATGTCTTGAATTTCAATCAAGATATTCTCTGGCTTCAAATCAGTATGAATAACTCCACAATGATGAATATAATCCATAGCCAAAAAGATTTGTTTGAAAATTTGTTTGACAAGTGCAAGCGGTAACCCACCATAAGTCTTTGTATGTTCCATTAACTCTTGAAGGGATTTTGAGTCTAAAGATTGAATCTTAGCATCAATAGCTCTTTTCGTTTGTTCTTGCAGAAGCAAAATATCATCTGCAGATGAAGAAGAGGTTGATGAAGATCCCCCCTTCTGTTTAATGGACGAATCTGCAGAGGTAGATTCCGATTTGGTGTCTTGACCCCCGCTACTAACAAGTCCAAGACTTAATTTGGATACTGTGCTTTTCTTAGCTTTATCATTTTTCTTCTTACTGAACAAAAATGGCGCATTGAAACTGTCTATGAACCCACCTCCACTACTCTTTCCATTCCCATTTGAAGTAGTTGTCGAAGACAATATGCCACCCAATACTCCAGATGGACCAGCCGTAGTGAATTCTTTCTTATTGAATTCGTCGTTGATGTTACTGTATAACTTCTTATATTTGCACATCAAATTGAATACATTTTCTCCCAATACTTCGAAAACCATGCAAATATGTTTCCCGTTAGGGCCCAGAATTTGGAAATTATCCAAGAGCTTCATTACATGCTTAAATCCTGGATGTCCAGTTGGCTCATTTTCCTTATTGAAATGAAATTTTCTGAAATATTCCTTATGTGCTTCGGTAAGATGATCAGCAACAAGTAATGGCCGATTAATCACTTGAAGTAAATTAATCTCATCTTCAGCTGCTTCAATATAGCATTTGCTAGACTTGACAAACTTGATTGCCACATAGTATTCCTCTCGAGAATCCAATCCATAATCTTCCATTCCAAGTTTAGGATTGTAGATTGATTTGGCAAGCCAAACAGTGGAGAAATGACCCCAACCCAATTTCCGTAATATGATGTATTCACGATTGGGAAGACTTTGGGAATAATAAGTTTCACCCTTAACCACAGGATGATAACCTCCAATTTTATAGTCGTCTGCATTTTCTTCTTGAAGTGGATCGAAATTGAAGTCTGATTCTGTTTCAGAAAGATACGCCACTATATCAGTCTCAGACTCTTCAGCTCTCGAGTATTGACTTCTATTATCAAAGTGTCGTACTCTCAAATCTTCTTGATTGGTAAATTCGTCGTCACTGGCCATTTCATCCCCAGTATCAAGAGCATCGTCATCTTGTTCGTTGTCATCATCATCGTCATCATCTGAGCGTACCTGCTTAGACATATCCAGATTACCCTGGGACATTTGATCAGGCACTATGATCTTCAATGATTCTGTTCTATTCTTTAAAATGCTACGAAGTGATGATTTTTTATGGGTAGGTACTTCATCATCAAATAATCGTTTACCTATTGGTGAATATGCCTTATGGGAATCTTCATCCATATGAGAAGTCATTTCACTATTCTGTAGTGATATACAATCTGAAGTGAAAGATGTGTATCGTTCTTGATAGTTTGAAGATGTGTTGGGAAAGAGTTGCAGTTGATGCAGCGTATGATGTGTATGACTATGATGTTGGCCGTTTCGTTGCTGAACCAACAGCAGTTGTGTATGTTGGGCAGATTCGTTACTAGGTATTACGGTGATATGATTGGCATCATCTAATATGGATGTCAGTGGTACAGAAATGGGTGGCAAGTCCAGAGCCAGAGAATTGTTTTCTACAACCTTTGGCTTGTCATCACCACTTATCGTAGGATCCAACTCTCCTTCTGTATCATCAGACTTGGGCTTATTTATCGATATATTGGGGATTGTAGGAAGTTTCTTCTTGAAAAACCCTCCAAAATTAAACTTGGAACTCTTTTTGGGATCCATGGTTTCGGACTCGGCCGTTTCATAATGTGGCTCCAAGTCCTTTGTCTTTTTATTCCGATTGATTAATAGCATGTCATATAACTAGTGGTGTAAGCAGAATCACAAGAGGTCTACACAAGCTTTTCGAATAGACGTCTAAAAACGGTAGATCATAGGCAGATCAAAAAACAAATCAAAAAATTATAAGCAGATCTGATTTATATTGTGACACCCGTGGTTCAGAATGCTAACTTGAAAGTGATTTGGATTGAATCAGATTTATGTATGACAAATTCTATGAATGTATGCACGAATTGAAGCGATAAGTTTCACACTCGTGTACTCTTGATAGTGCTGACAAAAACTCGGAATGTTTTGATAACCGGTGAAGTATCTCTTCAAATAACACTGTGTTGGGGTTGCTTGAAGATGCTTAGTCAATTCCTCCTATTCAAGAACCACAAAGCCAGGTCCTTTCTTTTTTATTTTTTATACTTTTAATTTTTATTTTTAATTTTTTAATTTATTTTATTTAGATTTTATTGCCGCGACTATCCGGAAAATTACATCATAGATTGTGGCTGATTGTTGGGTTAAAGAGAAAGGGTATGGTTACTTTTTGGAGAAGTGCATTGAAGAGGAGAAATATGTCAAGGTTTACGGTTCGAACAAGGGAGGTGAAAAGACATTTGTGTGAATTAAAAGGATAAGATGTTACCTTGCAAAAAAAAAAAAATTAGTTGGGGTTACATTTACAAAGTGATTGTGGTGGGGTTTGTCTGGGCAGTGGTGTCTCTTGATGCCACTCATGCAACATGTTTGTCGCCAATATGGCTCGGATATTTCTCACTGTGGGAAATATTTTTTCGGTTAGTCAAGTTGAGGAGATGAAATAGAACTAAAACAGTTGTACCACTTTTAAATCGTACCTACATAGGTACATTCGAGCAAAACACTTGGCGGGTAATGCGGGATGACCTTCGGGGATCTTGACCCAGGTCTAAAACAAAATAAATCATATATCTGTCAAAAATGCAGTAGTGCATAACACAATGTGCACGGCATTCAATTAAGAAGAACCGGATTTGGAGAATGGGCAGTAAATACAGGACATGAAGAATGAGAGAACAAGAGACAATAGAATAGAAATAATAGAGATTGATTGTTTGCAAGAGACTTATACAACTGTATAGGGGAGATCAAATCTCTCTTTTTCTAGAGTCATTTTAGTTAATTGAAAATTAAATTTACATAATGTTTATCGAAATGAATATTTCTCCTGATAGGGAAAGTCCCATAAGGATTGAACTGTTAGCGGCAAAACCATTACAAAAAATTGAAATTGACCGAACAATAACATTAATTCCAAGGACTAACAAGAGATGAAAAGTTGTAGGATATATATATATATATATATATATATATAATTTAATCAGTAGTACAAAGTATATTGTAAATGATGAATCAAAGACCCAATCTTTTTTACGCGGAAGTCCGAGACGGGGGAAAAACCTTAATCTTTTTATGGAAGGGCAAAAATGCCATTTATTGTATGTGTTGGGTAGAGAATTTTTTTTAAAGAATATTGCTATTTCATGAAGTTATTGGACGACTAACGCCGTTTGTTATCTGAAGACTACCCCGTATATTTAAATATTCTGTCATATGTGGAGACCCATGCATGCCGCGCCCGCCCCTGTTGTCGCTTAGTGTATACTGATTGTAGATCCAACACATGCCTCTTTGCGCAATGTGGGGCAGATTGTTGGGTAATGATTTCTTGCGCATATAATAGTAAAAAAGGATCTTACTCGCACTTTTATTTTACCGTAGGACACCGAAGATGTTGGACTTTTCCAATGCTGATTGTACGTGCTTGAACTTGAGAGTTCCTCCCGCCCCCTAATTGTATATAACAACTTCTTACTAACAAAATAGTTGATGTCAATATTCTTCAAGACCCTGTAGAATCTCCGGTTATTGAACTTACTTTTCCGCTTCCCACAGATCATGAAACTTATGTAGAACTCGACGGGAATGAGAAAGTTGCTAATACTTGGGCACTTTTCCAAAATTTTGTACATTTCTTCACTGGGATCGATTGGGATCACATTTATAAAAATAATGAATATCGTTACTCAATCAATAAATATTCTCCAGAATTTAATAAGAAGCTGGAAGAATACATGAGAAATCGCCTTGAACACACAGATGAAAAACTTGATGAATTAGTAGAATCCTTAGTAACTAAGGAAATTCAACTCAATTTGATTCCAGGGAAAGATTTCCATAAAAGATTTAAAGAGGTTAAAAAATTTATGGTTGATTATTATATGAGAGAAAATGCCAAAAATCTACCACAATTCACTCTGAGAGGACATCTTAGAATTTTTTATATAACGATTATGGGGATAATGAGGAAGATGTTCCCTAATGGTGTTTGGTGTAATCGGGAACAACTCTCAAAGCTTTATAAACAGTACTTGAAGGATCCAATGTCAATAATATTCCTCCCAAATCATCAATCCCATATAGATTACATTATTTTACATTTGATTGCAATTAGGTTTCAAATTTCCACTCCAACTGTGATTGCTGGAGATAATTTAAATGTTGCCGTCTTTGGTGGTATTTTGAAAAGTTTAGGTGCCATATTTATTAAAAGATCTTTTAACAATGAATTATATACTGAGAGAAATTTGGCTAATTATATTGAATTTACTTTGTTAAATAAGATTCATTTTGAGGTCTTTATCGAGGGAACTAGATCAAGAGATGGGAAACTTCTTCTACCAAAATATGGGATTTTGAAAACTTTAACAAATATTTATCTTAAGCAAAGAGAAGAAGAAGAGAATAACGAATTTGATCTTCTTATGCAACCATTATCAATCACTTATGAAAGAATTTATGAAGCTGATGGATATTTGAATGAACTTATGGGTAAGGATAAAAAACAAGAATCAGTTACAACTATCTTCAAAAATGGTATTACACATTTTTTCTCCCCAGCACAATCATATAATCACGAAAAATTAGAATCTCATAGTATTACATACAACAAGGGAAGCTATGATAATTCAACTAAGCATTTACATGGTAAAATCTTTGTGAAATTGGGAAATTTCTTCAAACTATCCGAATTTATTGAAGATGATTTAAAAAATACCAATGTTCCACTTGATTTAATTCCTGGATCCAAAGTAAATTTAAAGAAATTGGGGTTTAAAATCTTACACGAAATCAACCGGGCACTGTACTTACCAGAGGTATCAATTATTGGGAGTTCACTTAATACTTATTACAATTTAAATAAACTGACCCGCTTTCCAATTAGCCTGTTGATTCCAACTATGAGACTTTTAATGGATGCATTCCAAAGGGAAGAAACGGCCGCAAATAATAAAACCAATATGCAACATTTATCAAACTTATCGAACAATTCGGATGAAGACTTGATACAAGTTGTCAAAGAGCAAGTTCCTCAATTTTTCAGAGACATTAAGGTGAATTTAATCACCAATGAAATTATCATAGATGATTCAATGGAACTCTTATATTATAAAAATTTAACAGTTCATATAATTATTCACAAGAGTTTAGCAAGTTTTATCTTGTTGAGTATACCAAATGAAATGAGGTCTGCTAATACGATACATAAGATGTTTTATATCTTTACTGGATTTTTAAAGAATGAGTTTTTATTTGACTATGATTATAACCCAGAACATCAATTGAGTAACATCTTGGAAAGTCTTATTGAATTGAATAAAATTAGTAAAGACTATAAAATCATTGATTACCAATATTTGAACTGTTTTAGTGAAGTTGTGAAACCATTTTTAGAATCATATCTGTTATGTATATACAACATTCATGAGATCATTACCACGTTTAATGAAAAGAATGGAATTATTGACTTCAAACAATTACTTATTGATGATAAGGGAATTGATTTCCCTCATACTAAATCGTTGTTGAAATTAATTCAATCAAAGCAGAAATCAAAGAAATTGGTTCATATTGAGTCTACTAACAAGCAATATTTGTTGTCATGCTTATACTATTTGAACAATCTACAATTGATTGATATAATTAAAAACAAGGCTAGAACAAAGGCGTACGTGGTGATTACAAACGGGAAAGATTTACTATTTGTTTACAAATTCTTACGCGGATTATTAAATGGAGATGATACAATAACTAACATTTCTGTTGGGTATATGATTGATATTATCGATAAGAATTTTGATAGAAATTTTGAATTGGCACCCGCTGACTCAAAGGTAATTGCTAGCATTGCTGATGTTAAATTGAGAAGTCGTTTATAGATTGAATAAAAATGAACTTTTTAGTAAATGTGTAGAAGAGATAGACCAAACTTTTTGGTCCGGCTAATTTCATGTCATGCATACTAGAAATGTGTCAAAACTATGTTGCTGGTTTTGTAAATTTTTTTTGGTCAGCCATTTGCTAAAGTGGAGCCATTAAAAAGAACATTATCGAACGTCATATCGAACAATGCACAATTCACGAAGCCATACACGCATATTCCAGTAATTAGAACCATTTTTGGAGCTCAGTCAATGGTCTCTGGGCTTGTACATGGTTTTTTTTTCTGTAATATTTTGTACTTTACCCCTATTCGCGATTTCCCCCCAGTATTCATTCACTGAACCGACCCCTCATCGTCTATTAATTTATACAATGAATTATAGGTCTTCGAAGCAAGCTTAAGTCTGTGTGTTTTTCCTTGCTGTTTCTCTAGGCCACTTCTATTACGAGATTGTTCGGATAAATCTAAGTATCTGTGTGGTGAAGCCTGCCGCATCTTGTCCCCCCTCTGAAATGCAACCCCAACTATATCTTTGTTCTGTTGCGAAGAGCGCGCAACTTCCCCTATTTTTCCAATCACGCTTTGACGTCATCAGCCGCTGTTTTTCCACCCATTTTTTTCTTTTTCTTTTTTTTTTTCTATTCACTCTCCTGAATGAGATTGCTTACTAGATCTAACATTTCTTTTTCGCATTGCCTCTTTCCTTCTCTAAATTACATCCCTATCTTGTGAGACTCGAAACTTTGATATATAGGTCATTTCATCCCCCCTGTTGACTTTACTTTTGAACGTTTTGGACTTTTGCTCAAAGACTTAATACCTTCCTCTCACAAACCCAACCATTTTGTGCCCTAGTACACGCTATCGCATTCATTGTGTTTGTTTTTTTTTGCCCAGATCTTTTATAGGGGGAAATTTTAGAATTATCAACATTAACGAAAAGAATTTCAAAGTTGTTTTAATTAAAAGTATCCACGACATATTATGCGTAAGGAGCTCAAATATATCATCGGGGCCCATGTGGCGTTGATTCTCTTCCTAGTGTGGCAAACTTTTGATCTCATCACTCTTTTACATGATGATTCTTTTCAGGATGCTCTTTTAGATGTTGACCTTAATCCTCCAAATGGAGTGTTAGAAAAGCCAGCTCTTATCCCAAAGATCATTCATCAGACTTATAAGACTGATCAAATTCCTGAAATCTGGAAACCTGGTCAAAAAGCATGTGTAGACTTACACCCGGACTATCAATACATCTTATGGTCTGATGAAATGGCTCGTGATTTCATTGCCCAGGAATACCCTTGGTTTTTAGAACAATGGGACTCTTACCCATACCCTATCCAACGTGCTGATGCTATCCGTTATTTTGCCCTCGTACATTATGGTGGGATTTATATCGATTTGGATGATGGTTGTGAACGTAAATTGGACCCATTGCTTACTGTTCCAGCATTTGTTCGTAAGACTGAACCTACTGGTATTTCCAATGATGTCATGGGTTCCGTTCCTCGTCATCCATTCTTTTTGAAGGTTTTGGACTCTTTAACTCCTTACAAGAAGAATTGGCTTATTCCTTACCTCACTATCATGTATTCTACTGGTCCACTCTTCTTGTCAGTTGTTTGGAAACAATATAAACGTTGGGGAGTTCCTGAATCTGGAAAGGTTCGTATCTTACTCCCTGAAGATTATAAGACTCACACTTACTCGTTTTTTGCTATTGCTCCAGGTTCATCTTGGCATCTTGATGACGCAAAGTTCATTAAGTCCTTGGGTCATCACATCGGCTTAGCTGTAGTGGGTGGATTCCTCATTGCAGCACTTGTGTTTTATTTGGAATATCTTCTTTACTCATTTGCAATTTCAAGTCATGCTAAGAAATTAGGTAAGAAATTGAGATCTTACTTGTGTTTCTGGAACTGGGGCATTTTTAGATCCAAAACTAATACTAGCATTAAACGTAGAACTAGAAAGGATTCGAACTTACCTCCTCAAATCGAACAAATCGATCCTGAGAAATACGAACAACAACAACCACTTAATCCTGAGAATATTGTTTAATATCTCGGGCACGAAACGTTAACGAATTAATTAATACATAAACTTAAAGAATAGAAATGTAAAGAATAATGTAAAAGTATAGAATTAGTGGAATTCTAAATCCATTTAATTTCAGTTTGGTGAAAGATTTGAAGATATGAGGCTTTTTCCAGATTACTTGGTGCCATTATATGATTGTTAAGACACATATTTTTTTATAATCAGACTTACATCTCGAAACTTAATGTACTTTTTAAATATATTATTCTATCTACGTTCACCAGATTCTAACAACTTCAAGTTAAGTCTTTTATATCTTTCTTCTTCATCAACCTTAAGTAATTGTTTAACCTTCTCAGTTAATTCTTCAGCAATGACATATGCTTTACGGGACAAGTCCATCAATACCATAGCATCAATTGGAAGACCACCACTTTTGGAAATTTGAATAAGTTCTCTATTCTTATTAATAGTAATAACCAATGATCCATCACGAAGAAGTTCTTCCTGTTGAGTAGCATCAATAATGGATATTTCTTCATTCAAATCACCCTTGATGTTTTCTTCGACTCCAGAAGGATTATAAAACAGAAAGGTAACACAAATTGGAACATGCAAAATAGATAATGGAACTGGTTGTCTTTCATCAACACTATGAATAACCACATTTTCACCCACCACTGAAACATCCGGCTTACGGAAATGTTGTAAAGCAGTCATAACCCCCAAACATGAAGCATCAATAAGTCCCCCATCAAAGTCCAAGAAATGAATATCGGCTCTAATCAGCCATACTTTAGAGCCCGCCACTATACATAAAGACTCCAAATCAAGCGCATTGGATCTACGAATGGCCTTTTCAACCAATCTAGCTATTAAAACCTCTTCGTCCGAGTTTTTACCATTTTCAAAATGTGGTGATGCCATTGGTGAAATCTCAGTATTAATTGTGAAAAGACCTTCAAATGGTCTATCTTCATAAGGTTGGGTTATTTCTGCAGATATACGTACAGCCAACTTCGTACGACCCCAGACGATCTCCACATACCCGTACTGGTCAGAGAGCTTTATCACTGGTTCTCTAGCCTGTGTAAGGGTTCTACCATCAGTTCTGAATCCTAATTTGAGAGCTTCACCTACAAAATGTTCTTCATTTGTAGAAATTTCTACTCCCTTAGCCATAATTCTAATTTTTCTTTTCCTTTTTCTTTAATTATTCAAATTACCCAATATCAAGGAAACAAATAGATAATTAGAAGATTATAATACCGTTTTAATGCTTTTCTTTTAATTAATTATATCCATCTAAATCTATAGTAAAACCTCATCGATTTTGAAATTGTTAGTTAGTTAGAAAACAAACATCCAAACACCCATACCTGAAATCCCAGTTACACAAAAATACATCCTCACGTGATCGCAATATAATCTACGCCATTCATTTTTTTTGAGTTAGCCATTTTGCCCCAGCTTATTTGGATGGCAATTTTTAGTTTGATTGAACTTTATTGAATTATAGATCAAGTGATAAGGAAGACGTACAAATATGTTGCTGACTATGAGAAGATCTATGGGCAATATTGCCATCAGATCTATGTCCAGACAAATTATGCCTTCTATTGTTGCAGTTAGAAACCTTAGCTCGAATGGGAACTTCCAATCTTCACTTTCATTCTTTCAAAAGGAAAAATTACCAGCCAACACGATAGTTAGATTCGTTCCACAACAAACAGCATGGATTGTCGAAAGAATGGGTAAATTCAATAGAATATTGCCTCCAGGAGTGGCATTCTTAATCCCTGTTTTGGATAAGATTACGTATGTTCAATCATTAAAAGAATCTGCAGTGGAAATTCCATCTCAAAATGCCATTACTGCCGACAATGTGTCATTAGAATTGGATGGTGTTCTCTACATCAAGGTCACTGACCCATACAAGGCCTCATATGGAGTACAAGATTTCCAATTTGCCATCAGTCAACTTGCTCAAACCACCATGCGTTCCGAGATCGGTGCCATGACCTTGGATGCAGTCTTAAAGGAAAGACTGCAACTTAACTCCAACATCAATCGTGCCATTAACGAGGCTGCCAAGGACCATTGGGGTGTTGAATGTCTCAGATATGAAATTAGAGATATTCACCCACCTCAAAATGTTTTGGAGGCCATGCACAGACAAGTAAGTGCTGAAAGATCCAAGAGAGCTGAGATCTTGGAATCTGAAGGTAGTAGACAATCCAGAATCAATATCGCAGAAGGTGAAAAGCAATCGGTAATTTTATCTTCCGAAGCAAACAAGCAACAACAAATCAATGCTGCTGCTGGTGAAGCTGAAGCTGTCTTATTGAAGGCCAAGGCAACTGCTGAAGGTTTGAAGAAGATTGCTACTGCCATCAAGGAAACCCCTGGTGGAGAGCAAGCTGTTGCCTTGCAAGTTGCTCAAGAATATGTCAAGGAATTCGGTAAATTGGCTAAGGAATCCAACACTGTTGTTATTCCATCCAACATGGGAGACATGGGTAATTGGATGGCCAGTGGTATGGCAATTTACAATAACTTGAACAAAACCATCAACAGTGAAAAGAAGTAATAGGGAGTTCGTAAATAGTTCATGTTCATAGTCCAAAAAAAAAAAACAAATACAAAGGAATCTAAAGTTTTCATTCTATTTGATATAAATGTACACAATACAACAACAAGCGTCAATAATTCACGCCTTCTTGAAAAATCCATCCAAGGCACCTTTACCAATGGCAACCTTCTTTACCGGCTTTCTTGAAGCTGTAGCCTTTTTCGGTGGTGCTTTCTTTTTAGATGCTGATTTAGTAGTTTCTACAACAGAGTTCATATTCTGTTCCACCATCTCCAAGTCCTTCTTTTTTTGTACAAGGGAAACTAAATAAGCGTCCAATTCTGAGAAATCATAATTCTTACTCTTAAATAGAGCTTGGGTAATACCCTTTGAACAATAAGAACCACATATCAAGTCGATACAATTTCTTTGTATAGCCTGTTTGAGTATATTTTCAGGAATTGTTTCCGCATCACCAAGTGATTCATAAAGGTTATTGCGAATTGATTGAACCAATTGATAATCCTTCTTGGCACTGATGGAGTTAGAGATGAAATCAGTCAATTTTAAGACCTTTTCATGTATAAAATTTATGGATCGTTCTTCAGAATAACGATAAAAAGTTTCATCATTTTCAATCATAGCATCACAAATATTTGGAAGAATGGCTTCATACAAGGGATAAAGTTGTTGAACCCAAGTATTGTCTGTAACTGTGCTTCCAAGAGTATCCACAAAATCCTCTAGGGTTATAAAACGTTTCCCAAATGCCGATGATTGAGAGAGAATGGATATAAGTAAATAAGTCAAATTGAATTTGGAAGTCGAAGTGACATTTGGTGACTGTATAACATATCCACTTTCTTCTGAAGAAATTGGATCTTGAGTTTCAAAGATCCATGATTTTACTGATCCTGATGTTTTGGGGAGTTCAATGTTTTTATCATGATATGGGTTGTTTCCAGAAACATCGATGAGTTCAAAAAGTTGATTTTCAGAGAATAATACCGTCACGGTTTTGGAAAGATCCACTGGTGATGGGATATTGACTATCTTGAACGACGGCACATTATCTGGAAGTACAAGGATCCTTGTGCTGGAATCTATTTGCATATTGGGATGAAGTGAAGAGATGAGTTTAAACAATCATGAACGCGTGTTGCGCGTAAATAAAGAAAGTACATATCACCAAATACAGATCTCGCCTAAAACTAAAACCCTTCACAAATAGTATTTCTAATTTTTTTTTTCTAACCCTATCTTCTTCACTACTACCAATTATACTCCTTCTAATTCTACATATTTACCCTAGTTTAATACTTTTCATTTAATAAATAATTATAATCCAACCCAGCTTCGGATCATATCCTTTACACTGACTATACTGGCTAAAACAACCATAATAGTTCCAAAAACACTAAAACTTAATGAACTCATCAGCGCTGCTCTTGGGTCAACATTGAGAAGATGGGCAGTGGCAATTGCTCCGCAATTAATCCCTAAACTGACACCTCTTGTCACATAGTCATTTTGTTTCACTCTTAATAATTTAAAGAGTGGATCTCCCACCAATACCCCACAAATTCCACTCAATATAGTGCAAACCGCCATAAGAGATATGGAACCATTTAAGGCGGTGATCAATGGAGTTCCCAAGGCTAACGTAACAGATCTTCCAATGAATCCAATGGATCTTTCTGGTGCAATCCCTATATGGTAACAGAACACAGGGTAACAGAAGAAGGTAAGTGCAATGGAAACTATGATGGGTGGCATAAGGACCCAAAAGTTACGTACAAAATCTCGTCTGTGTGTAAACATAGGCAACAGTAACGATACAATTGAGATGTCCATAAGAGAGGATAACACGTCACCACATCCAGGCCATAAACTTGTGGCAGTGTAATCATCAGTCATTTTACCTATTATTTTACCACTTTCTGCCATGGACTTCCCATTGAAAAGGTTAAGGTAATTCTTCCCCGTCTTGTAGAATTTCAAGTCATCTATGAATCCCTTTGGTTTCCCATTATGATAGATCAATGACCCAATGAAACATACAAATAAAATCTCTGCAGTCAGGATCAAGATCGGATGGGCAATTTTTTTCAATTGTGGCCATTTTTGTGGGATCAATAGAGCCAAATAATATGAAAGGATGGTAATACCAAGATGGTATGGAAGGAAAGTGTGGATTGATGTGACGTAGTAAAGTGGGAGCGATACCACAAAGAGTGTACAGTAAAGAGTCCAATCAATATATTTTGTAAGAAAGATGGTGATTCTTTGAGCATTTGGACTAAGGTTCAAGGGTGTTTTAATTTCTCGAGGAGTTTCAACTGTAGACACAAGAACCGGCGGAGCACGTGTGGGTAACGATGGATTAGGTTGAAGAACCGAAGAGCTGACTATTGACGACTGTTCACCACCTCTTAAATAAACTCGTTGAGGTTGAGGAGGTGGATCATGCTCAAATGGGTTTTCACTAACATTACTTCCTCTAGGTTGTCTTACTTCTCTTGTAGCTGTAATTTTTTCATTCCTAGGAATGTCTATGGTGGTAATATCATCTCTCATGGTTGTGAATACACCAACTGAAGTGCTTCTGGGGAATTCATCAAGTTCATATTCCTCTTCTGAAGTCGATGAAGAAGATGACTCAACCACTTGATGGGCATCAGAATCAAGCTTCAATAAACCAAATCTCTTTAACACCCATTGTAAGCTCAAAATCATGTATACATCCACACATAAGAGAAGTAGAAATCCAATCACGAACACCCCGGCAATCTTCAAACATTCAATGAAAGTGATTGGGTCAGAAAGTGGTAAAATGATGAATGAAGGAATGAAAAATACATTGATCCACTTCAAAGTAAAGTTCATGGGAGGTTTAATCAACGTGAGATACTTATTGAACAGGACAGTGGCTACCTGCGCCACACGAACCTTCCAAGGGTTGTTTCCTTCAAGATTGGCCAATACATTCAACACACAAAGAAGCACCAAGTTAATCAACATACCAAGAACAGAACAAGGAAATGTGATCTTTATAACACTCGTAAGAAGTTTGTTCAAACCGTAGAGAATCGTGAAAAGTATCACTATCCCCACGGGGATAACAACATACGAGTGCCATAGATGACCTCGGGAATAATAGAGACCGTGGGAAATTCCTTGAACAAAGTCAGAAAGGGAGTATCCACCCTCCTGGGATGTTTGATTGGTTCCACCAGTGGATTGAGATGCTGCTACATAGCTAGCTGATTCCAGTGAATCTGGAGTGAATGCTTCTTGAGGTTCTGTTGAAGGATGGCCAGCGTTAGAGTGAAGGGGATCATTCATTTTCAGATTATAAACCAAATCTGTTACCAGCATATTTATAAGCTTAGCAATAGTCTGAATCACTCTAGGTTATTAATTCCTGGGGGTTTCTTCTTACTAAATCGGAGATTAGGGGAAAAGTCTGGGGAACTCTTCGAAAAACCCCCACACTGCAAATCGGTATATAATCCCTCGGTCCGGTGCGGCTCCTCCATGAGTCAATTTTTTTTAGTTATATGAAACACCCATATCTCTATGTATCCCCCCAGTTGCAATTGAATATTACCATTGTCAACTACTATTTCCTACTATATGTCCATTTACAATTTCTTCCTAAAACGTTTTTCTTTGTATTCGAATAACAACACACACTGGAAAAATATAACTTTAATGGTTTACATAAGTGCTGTCGTTTTGTCTATGAATATGATAATATGCTACTCCTGTTTCAACGTCCCACCAAGAATCAATATGTTTCTTTACTCTTCTTTTGGAACGTTCTCCTTTCTTCTCTCCTTCTTTACTTTCTCCATCTCTTTACTCTTTCCTACCACTTCTCATCAAGATCACTTCACAGTAGCCATGGACAAGTTCATCAATTGTCCAACGACCATTATAAAGTAAGTCCACATAGAGTGAATATATTAAACCTCTAGGGTTGAATACTTCAGATCCATATGGAAAATTTACGATCTAAAAAGTCGCTTACTTTTCAGCAGCTTCAATGGCTTGCTTGAACTCCAGCTTGGCGTATCTCAAACCACAGTATCCACAAGTGTTTGGCTTAGCTTGGTCCAAGTTAATGAAGACCTTTGGATGTCCCTGTAAAGTGTTACCTCTGTTACCGTCACAAACAGCAATGTTTCCGTGCTCAAGGTAACGAACTGGTTCTTGTGCAATCAAGTCGATAGCAGCATATGGTCTAGGTTGCAAATCCAAGTCCTTTTGAACGAATCTGTGTGGGTTACGGGCAATAACATCAGCTCTACCTTCTTGACTTTGCGACCAAGTGGTTTGTCTGTTTGGAGCTTGTTGGGCGGCTGGGTTCTTTTCCAACTCGGCCTTGGTCAAACCGGTGGTTGATTGGAAACGCACGTATTGCTTGCACAAAGTGCTTCTGAAAATTACTCTACTAGATAACATTGCCGACTATTCTGTTAAAATATACCCGTCTTTTAACCAATACCTCAATCAGCTTTACATGTTTATGATTTTTGTACATTTTTAATTGGTCGCGAGTTTTGGATAAATGCACGACTCGGTGCTGCTTTTTTTTCTTCAATACATGCACTCCAAATCCCAACATGTCAAATTTAATGAAGAAGAGGTTAATCGTCTGTGAGATGATATCTCTCACCAAATAGTATTTATAGATAGAAAGTCAATTGAAATGTTCTTGATGACATTGTAACTTTCAAAGTTTCCTCAAAAATATTCTTTTTATTCATTTTAGTGAGTAGGTGGTACAACTACGATGGACGCTATGACACCAAAATCTGCAAATCAGTCTCCTATGTACTTTTAACAGCCTCTTTCCCTCCACTCTTACACCCCTAGTTTAATAGATATTACACCATAATATTCTGATCTTATCACCAATACCAGCCTTATCTATACACATAGACCTCCAAAATTATTAATTGTGTCACATGACTTCGTCTCTTCATACATACACTCCTCATCCTCCTTCATTAACACCGAATGATTTCGATAGAATGATATATTCATCCAATTTAATAATAATAATATATATGTATTAATACTATATATAGAAACTAATAACCAAAATAATAGGTCGGTAATATAAAAAAGAAATAAAGATCGCCCATTGCTTACAATAGACTCATGTGTGTACATTCAGAAGGCTGTAATATCATACCCCATTCTTCTGTAATTGAAAGAAGTAGCACACCTTCAAAATGTGATGTAAAACAAGACGAATGAGAAAAGGAGATTAAAGGAAAAGGAAAGTTGAAAAAAAAAATCAATACAAAATACAAAACAATCATAGTTAATCTGGCATTAGTGACGTTATTTCTTTATTTGTCTTCTTTTTTTTTTAAATTTCCTTTCTAATTCCATTTATTTTCTAGAACATCATTAAAACCCCTTCAATCCAAATACTTTCCCCTCTTTAACTCCCTTCATCATCATCTCATTCTTAAAATTAAACACATGCAGATTACAATACAACACACTTCTTCTTCTTTTCCTTCTTTTCCTTAGTTCTTAAAGAAGCTCTAGTGGCAGCAGCGAAAACTTCTCTGACACCTTCACCAGTTCTAGCAGAACATTCCAAATAGTTGGAAGCACCAATCTTTTGTGCAACAGCTTGTCCATCAGCAGCAGTGACTGGTTGTTGTTGTTGTTGTCTCAATTGTTCGATGGTGTTGTTGTCAAATCTCAAATCAGACTTACATCCAACCAAAATAATTGGAACACCTTGACAGAAATGCAAAACTTCAGAAATCCATTTTTCTTGAACGTTATCAAGAGAATCAGGTGAGTCAACTGAGAAACAAATCAAAATAACGTTAGAATCTGGGTAAGATAAAGGTCTCAATCTATCGTAATCTTCTTGACCGGCAGTATCCCATAAGGCCAATTCAACCTTTCTACCATCAACATGAACATCAGCAACGTAGTTTTCGAAAACAGTTGGGACATAAACTTCTGGGAAAGTACCCTTGGAGAAGACAATCAATAAACATGTCTTACCACAAGCACCATCACCAACAATGACTAACTTTCTACGGATTTCAGCTGGAGGAACCATTATATCTAAATCTTGTTAGTAAAGAACTAAAGTAAAATAACTTTTTAAAATGATGTTCAAAATTTTGACGAGATAAGCGGAAGGGCAAGAAAAAAAAAATACTAAAAATAATAATTTTTTTTTAAAAATTAGAGGGGAACGAGGAATAAGGATGTCGTAGCAAACGTTTCAAAATGAGAGGCTGATGAACCTGAATGATTGGTATAGACTATATCAACAAGTCTAGAATTAACCATTAAATAGTAGAATGTAATTCGTCAAATATTTAGTAAATCCATAGGTTTCTCAAATGTTGACGTGTTGCCACTACTACCCCCCCTTGATTTGATCTCAAGAGCAATAACCTTTTCGGTGAGATTTTAACACACACGCCAAGTAAGAGGGGCTATACAATCCAACTCATTGATTTGATATAATCGAAACTAGCCACCATCCTCCATTTATTGTCGGAAATTTGGTAAAAAGGATGTACGTTGTGAAGTACAGCCCCCCACTACTGGGCACCCCCTTAAAATTTGATCCAACTCGATAGAAATATCTCTCATCTCGTATGCTCTCATCTAGTAGTCTCTCGACCTTCCATGTATACAGTAATGTCCATTGGTTACATACCTTATGTTTCGGATTAATATAGTCTAACAGAAAAGAAAATACTATACACGTAACAAACTTTTCTTGTTGCCGACTTTATTTCTTCATTCCCTTTGTTTACAAACTAAGAATTTTTTGGACATAACCTGTTACAGGCGCAGTGTCAACCTGTAAATTATGTGCAGGCCAACAATGTACTAATAATAAGGAATTATTAATATTTTTTTTTTTTTAAATTTTAATTTTTAATTTTAATTTTTTGTTAGTTTGCGTAATGTTTAGAAATACGTAATTGTAGTTTTGATAAGGATAGAAGGAGGGGGGGGGGGGAACAATCGAGGGAAGTGGTTAGATGTGTAATAGTGTATTCCAATGTAGATAATTACAATCGGTATATGATTTATGAAAGATAGCGAATATAATTAGGATGTCGCAAGAGGGGTTAAAAAATGAAAGTAAAATGACATGTAGGGGGAAAAAAATACAACAGGCTAGAGTGTACGTGTAGCAATATACCGGTTGAGATCAGGAACAAATTCCATTGTTTTGCTACACATTACATCATGTGGATTCCATTAAATGTTTCTCGTCAGCACATAAAACCAATTCCGCAATATGTACTTAATATAGATTAGATTCATAATAATGTTAAAAATAAAAATATTGAGAATGTAAGGTCACAATATAATATACTATACATGTTACATAGCCTAGTTATGTACCAGGGACCACAAACTTCGCCGTATCACGTTGTGTACGCGAGTGATCTCTGAGCGAAAGTATGTGCAGGTGAAGAAATTGCGAAAAATAAAGAAGAAAAAAAAAAAAACGTAAAATTAAAATACCCATTTGTGTGTATGTACAGAACAGCTGCAAATTGTTTGGAGACCCTCTCCAAAAAGAAAAGCCGTATAGATTTAAAATGAGGAATTATAAAGGGATCTTTTCGGGATGTTTTCTTTAAATTTTGTCTGTTAATATTGATTTCATGAATCAGTCCTCAGACTTTGTAACATCTTCAGATTTTTCAGATTCCTCAGACTTTGATACTACTTCAGACTTTGATACTTCTTCAGACTTTGATACTTCTTCAGACTTTGGTACTTCCTCAGACTCTACTTCAGACTTTGTTACTTCCTCTTCTTCACTTTCATCATCTTCATCTTGAGATTTCTTTTCTTCATCCTTCTTCATCTTTCTAGGTGGGAGCACTTCATCAAAGGCCTTTTTCCAATCTTTACCCTCTTCAAACCATTTACAACACAATTCAAAAACATGAGAGGTTGCCAATACTTGTCTACCATTCAATTCAATATACTTATCTATTGGCAACTTTCCAACTTTCAATCCTAATCGTTCAGCCTTTTCAAGACATAATTTCTTATGTCTATTCTTATCAACAATACCACCAATGATATATGTATGTCCCTCATCAAGTGATTCGAGAATGGTGTCAGTATCGGCAGTAAGATAGACATATTTGGATCTCTCCTCTGGATCCTTGGGTAAAAGATCTTCCAAATGATCATTTTCCTTGAACTCAATATTTGTCCAATTAAAGTATTGATCTACAGAATTATCAAAACGATTCTTTAAATTTTTGTTGAATGACAGAATGGTTAACCCAACTTCATAATCACAGTGTCTTTTAGCAGAGTATGAACGCGCAATCTGGTTAGACATAGAAACGATTTCCTTATTAGTCATGAGTTCATCAAATTCACAATCCATGATCACGTTTACATTGGTCTTGATTTGTTTCAGTGGAATTTGCTTTTTTTTAAGTTGATGATAATTTGTGTCTTCAGGCAGAGAATTCTTGATAGCCTCTCTTTTACGTAATTTGGCTGCTTTCCTTTTTTCTCGTTTAAGTTCTCTATATTGTTCCTTTGTTTCTTCCCATCTTTTTTCCTTTTGAAGTTTTTTCCATTGATTTTTGGACATTCCTTCTGGAATGTTCAATTTTTGTCTTTTAGTCAATGGTTGTTCATCAATATCTCCGTTATCGGATCTTTTGTCTACAATAACTTCCGAGGTCATGTCTAATGTTCTTATTCTATTGTTAAATCCGAAGTATTATCCGGTTGATTGTTAACTTCCGATGACTTTTTTTTCCTCCTACTGGAACTCTTATCCTGCACCCGTTGTATGAACTTTGAACTGGCTGAAACAAAATACACGCCAAAATAGAATTCGGATTTTAATCTTAACTCCGTTCTCATAAAAGGTTCTTATATAAGGACTTACATTAAGTCCAGAAATTATCAATATCTATTAAATTATTACCTTTATTTCTTTCAACTTACTACCATTACTACTATAACCGCTTAAACCATTAAAAAAAAAAAACATGTCTTCAGCTATCCCAATCAATGACAAAATCGGATTCGGAACTATGAGTTTATCTTGGATCCCAAACCCAAAACCAATTAAGGAATCAGCAGCAACCATTGAATATGTCACGTCAAAATATGGTGTCAAATATCTTAATGCAGGTGAATTTTATGGTGCAGATGATATCAATTTAAAGATCATCAAGGAATTCTTAGACACCACTTCACAACCAACCAATGAATTTATTATTTCAATAAAGGGAGGTCTTGATCTTGCAACTTTTAAAATTCTGGGTACTAAAGAATCTATTTCAAAATCAATTGAAAATTGTGCTTCTTATTTTGCACCAATTGGTGATTCTAAAAGACCAAAGATTCTTTATGAAATTGCTCGTGTGGACCCAAATGTCCCCTATGCCGATACCATTTCTTATATTCACGATTATGTTAAGCTGGGTCATATTGATGGTATTTCACTTTCTGAAGTAAGTGCAAAATCAATTGCTACAGCAGCAGAAATTGCACCAATTTCTTGTGTAGAAGTTGAATTTTCATTTATAACTCAAGATATTGTTACTAATGGAGTTTTAAAAGAATGTTCATCTCGTGATATTGCCATTGTTGCCTATTCACCACTTGGTAGAGGCTTACTTACAAATTATGCGGTCGAGAATTCAGATACCTTTTTAAAGAAGATTCCAGAAGGTGATATGAGACTTCATTTCGATAGATTTGCTCCAGAAAACTTTGATTCAAACTTGAAATATATGAAGAAATTGTATGAATTCGCTCAGAAAAAGAACACATCTCTTGAATCACTTTCATTATCATGGTTTGCTGCAGTTTCACAAAGCTCTACCATTGAAGGATTGGGTAAATTACCAAAAATTGTCCCAATTCCTAGTGGTAGTACTCCACAAAGAATTGACAGTAACTTTGGTCATTTAATTGAACTCTCCCCTCTGGATTTACAAGAAATTCAAGAAATCATTTCTAGTTACACCGTTCAAGGTTATAGATATAACGAACACGCGGAAGGTACTCTTTTCCAATAGATACTTTGAATAATAAAAATTTATTAATACATATAGAGAATATTAACGCCCCCTACCTTTTGTTTTTTTTTTTGTCATAAAATGTTTTTGTAGAACACTGTCCACCACAATTATAGTACACTAAATCTAAAGAATTTCATCTAACGGATGACCTAAAAAGTAATCGTACGACCATCCACTTTCAATATGTCCAGGTGAAGCATATTTACTGAAATCATTGGTGACTCCAGCATTACCTTCAGCTGACACACTGGGCACTGACTGACCCGTATTAAGTTCGTTCCCAAGTACTGGACCCGTTTCACCAGGACTATATTTCATTGCAAGCACCAGTAACCACATCAGATCAATATCTTCTTGTGGGAATTGAATATCTGGTGGCGTCGATTCAGAAGAAACATGAGACAGAGAGGTAGAAAAGTTCTTTGGTGAACCTGCCTTATCTTCAAAGTATACAATCTTTTCAAGGCCCCTAGCAGTTGCCTTTTTAATTCTTAACATTTCATCCAATTGTTGATCAGTAAACTTGTGACATATTTCAGATTCAACGGGTAAAAGTTTAAAGAATTCTCTATTTCTTAAAATTCCAAATAAGTATGAATGTGCTTTTGAAATTCTCCATGCATAATAATATCGAGTAGCGAGTTTTGTTATAGTTGCAGAGAAAAGCTCACCACAACGAATATACGATTGAAGCAAATTTTCTAACTTATTAAAGCTTTTATTATACCCAGCATCCATGAGTGAATCGATATGTTTAGGTTCATTTTCCATACTGTATACCATATACCCGACTCTAATTGCACAAGCGAGATTTGCTTGATTTGCTTTGTGCATGGCCATCAATAGGAATGGATTAAGTCGGAATCCATTATTACTATACTTCCCACATAGTATATCATATGCATGTGGAACAATAAAGAAACACGATATACAGCTAATCTTTTTCAGATAAAAGAATGAAAGCTCTTGGTTCCCTTTCGCTTCATAGTAAAGAAAAATATGGAATAGTAAAGATATTAGGGAATTTTTCAAATATAAGGATATTTTAACTCTCGTACTTTCAAATGCTCTTTTCATATTCTCCGTTGTAGTCATTTCTTTGAAAATAGGAGCTCCAAACATTCCTTCGTCAACATTTGCGTCTCGTTCAAAACTACCAATAATATGAGTGAGATCGATTAATTTCAGTCTTCCAGTAATATCCATTACCATATCAACCAAACGTCTCATGCGATCAACGCGTTTGTCAAACCATTGGTAGATTTGAAGAGTAGCAAGCTCAATATCAAGCTTCTTCACATTAGAGTTACCATCACGATAAAATGGCTCTCTTGTATCATAATGGTTTGGGGCCATAGAAGTTTGATTTCCCAAACTCAAACACGCCGTAAGATCTTCTCTAACCAAATACCACCACATTTTTCTGCCCAACAGATTGTCCCTTTCATCGTTGCATGCATCCGAGAATTTATCTGGTTCACGGTTCAATCCCAACGATATAGCTATTTGAACAAGCATAGCCGTCGAAACCAGGGAATCACCTCCATCATGACCGTCTCCTTCTTCAGGTGCATATGTATGATACAATCTATGGAATAAACAAGATTGGAACACAGCAAAATTCAGCTTTCTAGCCGGTTGGAATCGATCAAGACAAAGTTTTGCTACTTCAACCACAACCAAATTAATTGGATGACTTAATAAGTATTGTAAATCTTGTATTTCTTCCGATTGATCAGTTGACATCATAATCAGTTCATTCATTGAATTCCGATTATCAAATAATGAAATATACGTCAATCGAAGTAAAAAGCAAAATGTACTTAAATGGGCAAAATCAAGCTTATTTTCAATTTTGAGTTCTGTAACTGGTACATCTTCATAACTTTCAGCCCCCAAGATTCTTGCAAGATTTGCTCTAAAATTAATCTCATCTAAAAATGGCATATTAGGGTAAAGGTAATTAAAGAATCGATCCAATAGTTTCCATATAACTTTTTTATTTGGTAAGATGGCCTTTATCTTGTCAATCAAAAGTAATTCCAGGTCTAATCTTGACCTTCCTTGAAATAATGTCTGACCTAGGGTGACAGTACTTTGATTTAATTCTGAGTGTTCGAATTTAAAACTTCGGGCTTTTGCCTTTAGTAAATCATTATATGGAACCACATCATCCAATCCGTCGGTTTCCAACGCTCTTTTACGGAATGTTTTCTCAAGGCCAGCAATAGTAGATACATCAACATCGGCATTAAGGTCGTCGATGTTTTGATTATTAACTTCTGCTGGGCCGGAAAACACACAAAAACTTTGACTCTTTTTATCTTGTGCGATTGTGTGTTTCCATAAAAGATGAAGCCAAGGGTCCTTTTTCATAAACACACACCATGACAACGGTCCATAATTTGTCCTACGCATTGGTTGCTTCACATGGAATGGAGAATAATTTTCATAGAAGTTGATTGTGTCTTCAAGAGATCCAATAGGATTATAGCCAAAAGTTGTATCCTTCAAGGATTCTGAACGATTGTCAGAGGGAATAGCTGGGAGTGGAACATGTTGTGTGAGGGGCACAGGTTGCACAGGCTGCATGGGTTGTACAGGCTGCACAGGTTGAACTTGATGTACTGAATGAACTTGATGAACTGGATGGACTGATTGCACAGGTTGTACCGGTTGCACAGGTTGTACCGGTTGCACAGGCTGCATTGATTGTAACGATTCCAAGGGCGGTAATGGTTGCACAGGTTCTAGTGATTGTAATGATTGTACTGGTTGCACTGGCTCCATTGGATGCACTCGGGGAATTTCAGCCTGAGGTTCTGTGATGTGTTTAATAGTTGGGAATTTATTGGTAAGAAAGTATTGGTCATGTATTCCATTGGAAGGGAGTATCGATTCATTTTTGTGGAGAGGAGGGTCTGATGGTAAAGTCGAGTTCAGTAATTCATTTGGTGCAGTATCAGATGACAGGGTCGAATTACTGGATCGAGATATTTCAGTATCTTGGCCACTAACAACCTCACCTCCATTTTGAACAGATACCGAATGCCATTTTGTTTCATATGAACATAAATGACCAACCCTCATTTTTACGCATGAGGAACAAGGTAGTGATCGATCACACTTAATCTTTCTACGCTTACAACTTGAACAGACCAAGGAAGGCTTGTTCCGCCTGCGGGGTGGTTTCAGTATACCAGATACTTTGTTGGACAGTAGAACCATATTGTAGTATGTATATTAACGTAATTAAAACAAATTCAATGCTTACAAACAAACAAACTTTAAGGAAGTAAAAAAAAAAAAAAAAATTCAAATTCTAATCTATGCGGAGAGGCTAAATTATCTTCACAGTACACCGTGACAATTTCGAATTTAATTAGTAGATTAAATTTAACAGTATGTGGCTAAGAATGGATATACGACACATCCAGAAAATATACATTCAAAGTCGTCCAAGCGGATCCTACGGACCAATAATATGAAGTAGCAATCTTAAAGTTTTGTAATTCGTTCTAATACATATAAAATCCACACACCATGCGAAACGAACAAAATCGAATGGTCGCAATAAAATAATTTATGGAAGGTCTAACTATACGCATTGTTTAGGCTATTACCGACATAAAATTATGCAAACATTTCTGAATCTAGATTAGGAAAATTCATTTTTGGCGAAAAGTTGATCAAATGGTAAATCATTAAAAAGGTCAAATCTAGAAAGTTCTTCCAAATCAAATCCATGTCTGACATCTATCCCCTGTGTAGTTTCAGCTGGAGGCTGTTGAGAAGTCGATGTGGATGCTGAAGTTTGTCCTAAATTGCTTCTTAATGAAGAATCTTTATTTTCGTACTTCATAGATATCATCTGAAACCACAACAGATCAATCTCTTTATTATCGATGAAATCTGCTTCAAAATCTACCCCTACTCCACCTCCACCATTTGCAGGAGTTGCATCCTTTGGAGTATCATTTGGAGTTGCCGTTTCTGTAGTTGATGTACTTTTGGATAAAGAAATGAAGTCTGGAGCCAATGAATCCACTTTTGGAAATCTTTGAACACTAACATCAATAATTGAGTTCATGACATCTACGTATTCAAATGAAAATATAGCAAAGCATAATTGTTGTGCTTGATGGTAATTGTCGCGGTAAAACAGAACATTCATGATTGTCTTCAATAAGTATGTATGACTTTTCGTAATTCTCCAAGCATAATAATATCGGTTACTAATTTTAGAAATAGCAGATATCGATATTTCAGCACTTCTTTTCAAAAGGTTTGACAATCTTAAGATTGCTAAAAAATATTTTTTAAAGTCTGGATCTGTTTCCATTCTCGTCTCATGATTAGCATCTTGAAGGAAGTGATAAAGTACATAATTGACCCGAATGATTAAGGCAAGGTTCAATTGGTTAGCCTTATGGATAAACAGTTGAAGTGTAGGGTTGACAACAAAGTCACAAACATATTCTGTATTTCCCAACAAGTCAAAGTAATGGGGCATTATAGTACCAGTTGAGATTAAAAGCATTTTCTTTACATAAAAAAAGCACAAGTCCACACTTTTTGGTTCGTAATAAAGGTAGAAATGGAAATAAACCGACATGAAAAAGGCTTGAAGGGACATATACACCTTTATCAGAAAGTTACGTCTGTAGACTTGAGCAGGTGATGGTTTAGGTAGATTCCCTGCAGATATAGCCTCCCACAGAGAAGCACATATACTATGTTGTTGATATTGGTCTTTCTCCACTTTAGAAAGTATTTTACAAACTTCTGCCATATTTGCTCGACCTTCAACATCAAGCAAAATACGCATAAGCTTAGTCATTGGCTCTAATACTATGCCGCACTTTTGGAACATCTCTGTAACTTCTTTATCAAGTTCAAGGTTTGGAATATTGGCTGATTGTTCTTCAAAATATGGTGCTTTAGTATCATAGAATATTTTATCAATACTCATGGGGTTCCCAAACGAATAAGCTTGATGAATATCAGATAGACATAAAATTTTCCATATTTTTCGACATAAATGATCCAATCTTGGATTATTTACTATATCAGGGAATTTACTTGGCTCTCGATTCAATCCCAATGAGTAAGCCATTTGAATAATCATGGCACTTGAAACTTGAGAGTCACCACCATCTGCACCATCACCATCCTCGGGTGCGTATGAGTGGTAAAGTCGCATATAGAATGCCAATTGAAGTACCACTAAACTTGTTTTCCGCAATAATTGGAATTGATCCAAACAGAGTTGTGCCACATCGATTGTATCCACGGTGATCGGATTCAAAAATAAGTACTTCATTTCTTGTGCTTCAGGAGAAGGATCCGTAGTGGTTAATCTTTCTTCGTTTACTGAAGATTTATTGACAAATAATGATAGATATGTTAGTCTTAATAAAACGCATAATATTCCCATATAGGCAAGATCGATTCTCTTTTCTATTCGGATATCGTCAATTTTTTTATCATCATATCCTCTCGGCCCAATAATCCCCGAAATTGCATCCGTGAAACATACCTGATCGAGAAATGCCATATATGGATACAAATATGTGAAATATCGGTCAATAAGTTTCCATATGACTTTTCTTTTAGGAAGAATTGCCTTCAACGTATCTATAAGTTGAAACTCTCTACCTAATTTACCTTCGAAATATGACAATCCCAATGGTAAGGTACTTTCTTTCGTCCTTTCAGTCACATACCGTCCATTTATCATACTTTTATATGGTATTATGTCACCAAATCCATCTGGTTCTAACGCCCGCTTATGAAAGGCAGTTTCTAAAGATTCTGAATATCCTTTACCTTTAGGAAGGACCGCTGTAAGTACTTGAGCATTCTCTTTTGTAATTTCATTCAGTTGTTGAGCAAAAATGAAAGTAGTGTTACTCTCTTTTGAATTCTCCTTTTTGGTAATCATATAGTCCCATAACATTTTCAATCCATGATCTCTTTTCATAAGAGATGACCATGCGAATGGACCATAATTAATCTTTCTATTAGGCCCTTTGACATGAACCGATGAGTAATTTTCATAAAGATTAATGGTTTCATCTTCAGATCCATAAGGATTTACACCAATTAATGGAACAACTGATGTGACCTTACATAATTCAGGACAGTTAAATTGTTCCTTTTCCTTTTCTTTCCACCTTAAAGGTGGGAGCTGGATGGGGACAGACTTTGTAGTGTGGTTATTCAAGTAACTCGAATTGGTTGCGGAGTCTATACTTCTTGGTGTATCGTATGGCGTCTGATATGATACAGGTGGCACTGGTGTGGCGGAAGAATTCGATATAGACGTTTGCCTCGATGGATATCCATAATTTTCGTTAATGGTTGGGCCATTTCGTTGATTAGTATACACCGCAGCCGGAGCTGTCAATATATAGGGATTTGTATTAATTCGAGGTACTTGCGTTTGAGCTTGACCTTGTTCAACTGGTTGGTTTATTGTTTGTGGTACTGGCCGTGGCTGAATTGGGGGAATTTGAACGTCAGGAAGGGAAGTCGGAGACGCAGAAGACGCAGAAGTAGGTTTTGGGCTTAATATATTAGTGGTTTGGTTCAGAAGCGATGCTTCAATACTTCTTAGCCTCTCCTTTAAAAATTCTAGCTCAGACTTTGGTACCGTGACGTTTTCTTCCAGGTCGATCTTGCCCACCACATCAGGCTTTGAAGGGCTGCTCTGAGACGAAACCCTCTGTTGCTTCACAGAAATCCCTATGGGGTTCCTCGCACTCTGAATATAAGGCAAAGTTGCAGATTTCTTGTAGAGAGAGTTTCTTTCTAGGAAAGTCAACTCATATGAACAGGAGTCTTCCAAGTTCGATTTAGTACAAGGTGCACATGGACTTTTCTTATCGCACTTGATTTTCCTTTTCTTACAGTTCTCACACACTAAACTTGGTCTCTTCCTCTTCTTAGAGGCTGGTGGGTCGGTTTCAATCATTTTGTTAACTTAGTACGATTCAGTTTCCTCAAACCAGATATTCAATATAGATATATACCCCATATATATGTCATACAGCTTAATCAGCAGAAAAAAGTTGTCGGGAATGCTCAAAATGGACATGGCCGGCGATTCGGCCGAGAAATTTCAATCGCGCTATCTCCGCCACATTTCCATTTCGATCCGAACGGAAGGATTTGCAAATAAAGTGTACTATCCCAAAATTTTCCACCTTATCATTTGAATTCGGGACGTTATTAGTTTTTTATTATTAGTTCTTGAAAATATTTCACCTTAAGCCTTTATAGAATAATGTTCAATATACACGGAGGGTCGTTAAAATTTTCATTATATTGTTCATAAATATTCTTTCATTATCTCTTATCTCGTAATACTATATACATGGGAATTAAATTAATTAACTATTTTGTGGAAACAACTTCTCCATGGGAAGATCACTGAAAAAGTTAAATCTACTGGAATCTTCAAAATTTACCAATTGTGGGGCATTTCCCGAGTCTTGGAAATACATAGGGTCTACATCTGTGGTGTCCGTTTTAGTGGATAATAACTGAAGCCATAATGAATCAATCTCCGCCGTATTTGAGAAATTTAATTCCTCAAATTCACTAGAAATCAAGTTATTACTCGTAAATCCTGTAAGCATTGAATTGGATCGCAACTCATCATTCAAATCATAAGTACCTATCGTACTGGTGGGTGAGTTTAATGGTATCGATACATCCTTCTTTTTCCTAAACAAACTTATAGTTTCTTCACATTGGCAGTGTTGATTCACAATTTTCTCAGCCAATTTAAGAGGAGGATCATAAATTTCATTCAATTCTTCAATTTGTTCGAGCTTTAATGGTCTGGAAGTAAACTTATCTTTGTTATCAGCATAGTAACCTTCACTTGTAACGACTTTCAAAATGAAACTATGACTTTTAGTTACACCCCATGCATAGTAATACCTGGAACTTAATTCTGATAATGCCTTGATACAAATTCTTGCACATTTTTCCATATCCTCAGTCATTTGACAAGTGAGATCATAGAATTTTTTGTAATCTGAATCAGTTTGTAGCTTTTTAGGGTGAGATGGGTCGGCTCGAAACTTATAGAGATGAATATTCAATCTAACAATAGCAGTCAAATTCACTTCACTCGTTCGATGTAAAGTTTGCAAAAAAAACGGATATAGTACCAAATCAGCTGCATCCCCAAATATATCTTTTACTCCAAATACCAATGGGAATAAAAATGGTAAAATTTCACCAATTGAAACTGTAATCATTTTTTTCAAGTAGAAGAATGCCAAATCATTTTCAACCAACTCTTCATAATGTAAGAAGAAGTGATAATAAATAGATAAATAAAATGATTTCAATGAAAGAATAATCCTTAACTTCATAAGCTTATTGAATCTATAAGCAGGATCGTCAGTTTCGAGTACGTTACAGTAATCTTCTATTCTCCCAAAAATCTTGGATGTACACACTTCCAAAACGTTTAAATGTTTAGTAAGATCTGACATCTTACAACTTTCTTTAACATTTAAGGCCAATTCAAGAATCTTTTTCATTGGACCGTTAACGAAGCCATCACAAAATTGATGGAATGCCAATATACTCTCCTCCAAGGACTGGTTCACTAAATTTGAATTTCCTTCTTCGTGAAATGGTATTTTGGTATCATAATATATGTCTCTACTACTTAACGGATTTCCAAACGTTCCCGATATCACAAAATCTGATATAACCAACTGATACCAAATTTTTCTTCCTACATTGTTCACTTTTTTATCCACTTCACCGTCAGTAAAATTATCCGGTTCTCGATTTAACCCTATCGAATATGCCATTTGTACAAGCATACCATTAAAAATCTGGGAATCGCCTCCATCCGCCCCATCACCTTCATCTGGTGCATACATGTGATATAACCTCAAAAAGAAAGTACATTGTAAAATGGTTAAATTTATCTTCCGCAATACTTGAAATTGATTGAGACATGATTTAGTTATTTCAATGCAAGTCATATTAACTGGGTTATTCAATAAATATTCACAGATTAGCTTTTTTTCTTCATTCGAATCTTCAGATACTCTATAACTTGAGTGTGGGGATAAAATAGATAGATATGCCAATCTTAGAAAGACAAATAACATTCCAATATATGCAAAGTCCAAGTTTTTAGTGATATTTAACTTTGTGATGGGTTCATCGGTGAAGTCTTTGGGCCCCAATATGTTTGAGATTTCAAGACGAAAACTTTCTTCATCTACGAATGGAATATAAGGGTAAAGGAAATCAAAAAATCTCTCTAATAATAACCAAATCACTTTCTTCTTAGGTAATGCCCTTTCAATTGAAGCTATCAAGTTTAATTCGCGGTCTGGGTTCTCAGAAATTGGACCATTTCCAAAACAGTAATTTTGACCCTTATGAGCATTTAAATTCTTGATTGAAGTCTCCTTTACATTATTATTCTTGTAAGGAAGCATATCAACAAAGCCATTACTATCGACCTCCTTATTTTCAAAATGTGACTTCTCTGGTTCTTTATTGACAACTTCTGGAGATTGTCTTTTCGTGCCATCTTCTGAAGGAATATTCTTTTGTTTCATAGTATATTGTTTTAATAATCTTAAAGCTTGATCTTTTCCCAGGATGGAGATCCAAGCAAATGGACCATAATTTGTTCTTCGATTTGGCTCATTATTGTGAATTGATGTATACCCTTCAAAAAAATTTATTCGATCATCTTTTGATGCATATGGATTTACACCAATTAAGGATTCATAGATTTCTCTTCCATTTATTGGTGGTGAATTTGGTGAAGTATAACTGCTTAATGGTGGTGATTCCAATTGAATAGGTTCCTTAACTGAAGAAACAAGCCCTGGATTCTCACTTCTATGTTGAAATATAGCCTTTGAGTTCAAGTTTACAATATTTTGTGTGAGATATTCCTTGTATGATAACTTTATGACTATTTCACGAATAGTGCCAGTACACAAAGGTAATTCATAATGGTCTTCATCTCTTTTTTGAGCCTTTATGGATTCTTCCAAAGATCTTAGCCTATCCTTTAAAGATTCCATCTCTGAAGCATTGATTAATATCATTTTGTCAGACTTTTCTTCAATTTTGAAAGTTGTTGTAGGTACAGGTTGATGTGGTGATATTATTGCAATAGGTTCTAACGCACTACGAACATATGATTTAAATATAGGATCAGAAGAGTGTGGATCTTTCTTCAATGAATCAGATTCATCATTGTTTGAATTCTTTTTCTGACGTTTTGTTCCTGGTGATGTTTCTTCATCTCTTGGGACCCAATTTGGAGAATAAACACATTTGTGTGGTACATCATTTTTCTTACATGATTCACAGGGTTTACCCTTATCACACTTTACCTTCCGTCTCTTACATGGTTCACATACCAAACTGGGTCGATTCCTTCGTCTTACTGGAGCACCTTGTTGAAATGTGATCATTTTTTAACTGGCATTTAGAAGAGTAGAAGTTTAGAAGAAAATTATCAATGGCGGCAAATTCTCATGTTAGTAATCGTATATGTTACATCTATTGAATGGGTTTGTGTTTTATTTCGGCATACATGCCTATTTGGGAATAATGAAATTATATATAAAAAAGAAATTGTTTGCAAAAAAAAAAATATTTTTAAATACATGACTGCAAACAGAAACTGATAACAGTTTGCTATATATGAATACATAATCATTGAGTTGGTTAGACAAAGTGTATTTTTTTCTTCAAAATCTTCTCTATCTATATGTATATATAAGAAATTGTATTATGTATATTTCTTTTTATTGTATTAATAGTTATCTATTGCATAGATCCATAAGTTTGTTGATCTTCAATTAAAGTTTCCAGTTCTTCTTCATAAATTTCATTTTCATTGTATAAGAAGAATTGAACAAAAATAGTAAAATCAAGGGCCAAAGTTCCAAAGGAACCAGCAAGCCAAGAAGAATTGACCCATAAGTAATACCAGCTCATGTCAATGGCCAAGATAGAAATCACATAAGTAAGGTTTCCTAAACAAGCAAAAAGGAAAAACATAAATGAAATACCATCACAAGATTTTCTTTTATAATTAAGTAAGATTTGAGGAATTCTTGATCCTAAATATAAGAAGGCACAAAGCCATCCAAAGAATTGAGCAAGTGAATCGTAAACTAATTCAGGTTTACCATGATCTGGATGCTTTTTGTGATGTTTAGCTTGGTTAATATATGAAACATACCAACCTACAAGACCTGCAGAAATAACCAAAAAGACCATCAAAAATTGAATACAGAAAGATTTGGTACTAGACATCTTATAGTCCTTGCTATTATTACTGCCATTGATAATAGAATCATCATTTTCTTCATCAGAAAATCCTGCTCTTCTACCAGCAGAATCACGAGATAAAACTGTTTCTAAAACATCTTCACTCATTGGATTAGCTGGAGATAAATGAATTAAGTCAGCATTTTCACCATTTCCATATACTAAACATTGCCATAATAAGACAATATCGGCCAAAGTATAATACACCGCTAAAATGATCATGGTTGGTAAGACACCTTGAAGAACAGATCCAAGGACATTGAAAACATCTCCTGCTAACCATAAGATAATGAAAGAAAGTGATAACCCTTCAGAAGATTTTCTACGGAAATTTTCATAAATTTGCGGAGCAAACACAATAATCCAACAAGCAAGTGAAATGGAACCAGTGATACCAGACACCGCTTGGGCATCAATAATGATTGGTGGAGGAGGTACCATAGCTTCTTGACGACTTTCAAATAAAAGAAAAGATATGAAAGTCTTCAAATAAACAAAGATATATTTTTCTCTTGTTCACTATGAAAGACTCATACTCATATCTCGCACACTGGATATAGAAAAAAAAAATCTTCGAGGAATGGTAAGACCTGCACAAAATAACAAGCCACCCACCGAAATGGCAGCTAGTTGCGCCAGCTGCAACCAATATGCTAAAGATTTATATGAGACATTAAATTAGTTCATGAAAAGAATCTTACCGCTTTAAAATGCGTATATATATCGAATAAGCTAGATGTGTCTGGATTCTATATTTATAATGTATTGTGTTCTATTAACCTTCATATGTAAATATACATCTTTAATTGAAGATCCTCTCAATCCTCTTTCTTTGGTAATGTTGCTTTTGTACTGAACTTTGCTTTGTTTATATTAGTTCTTGTGCCCCTTGACGTCCCGATACGTAGGTTTTTGGCTCCCAATGTTTTGTTTTATATATATACCAATTTATCTTCCCTTTCTATCCAAACACTTATTAATATGTTGAGCAAATCTACCGCCTGCGATTTTCCTCCCGCAATTTTCACATTGGAAATAACGTGATCCTTCAGAAGATTTCAATTTAAGCTTATCCTGGCCGTAGATATCTTTTGTGGATGAAACGTTGTATGTGGGGACTTGAAGGGGATCTTTAGATCCTACTGTTTCTTGAAGTGATCTATGTCTGGAGACACTCGCTAGAGTTTGATGTCTCACTATATTATCTAGTAAATCTTGGAGTAAAGACTCCGCCTTATAGTTAGTATGGTTTTGTTATGTAGACAATGAAATGAATAGGGTTATATAATCTCAGATATCCCCAATAAATTGAATAATTAAACAAGTCCACTTTCAAATTCATTGCCATCGATCGGATCCGGCTTGTAGAAGTGCATCTCAGAAAAAAGCAATTACATCTCACTTTGTGGGATAGTTATAATTTCATGATACTTGGGTAAACTTACTAGAGCCTCCAATGTTACTGGTTGTTCGGTCATTCCCTCAATTAACCAATATTAGTATGATATCGAGTTTCAGTACTCTATAAAGTTAAGTCTCAATACGAGAAAAATGTCGCACGCGTGCCTCGAACCTAAAAGAGTTTTCGGATGAGCTATGCGCAGGAGAAACGTACAGAGATCATATTTCGATACTAAACTATTCAGAATATAGGGAGACCTGACCTTGGAAATAACGATAAATAATCAAAAAAATATCATGGCAGAGGAATCTATTGTAGTGGAAGAATTGGCCCCAGAAGATGAAGTCCAGGACTGGCAAATGTTCCGTACGGCTAACCAAGACATTATTCCCAAACGAGGAGACAAAGACTTTGAGCCCGATGGCACTGTAGTTCAGAATAAACAACTCAAAGAGTCCCGTGAAGCAATGTATCTGGCATTAGATGTTCGCAGAGGACATGGTATTAAGCAGGAACTCGTAGCAGTGTGGTTCCCACAAACTCAGGAGGCATTTGTTCCATTTTTGAAGGGACCATTTTTCAAAGATTGTGGCAGGCCTCAATCCTATGGTAACGTTCAAGGTGCGTGGTTAAGTCCTTGGGAGGCAGTATATTTATGTGAAAGAGGCTCAATGAGAGTCTATTTGGTGAATGAAGTGTATGAGACGTATTTGAACAACGCATCTAAACTAAAGGAACTTGAAGTTCAAGCAAAGTCTAATCCATCTACTTCAAATAATGTTAACAAGTTAGATGACATAGAATTTGATTATGATCTGCATTTAATCTCATTATCACTTGCTCATTTATATAGCTTGGCGTTTTCTGGGAATCCTAAATTGATAGATAAGTATCAAGTTTATGCACATTTAAAACGTCTTGGTTACCTTGTGATGCCCTTTAAGGATTCTTTGGAACTTCAACGTGTGGAGTATCAACAATTGGAAAGACGTAAAAATGATCTTCCTCCAACTATACAAAATCAAATTCTTCAAAAACTCCTCCCTATACATGAATCTATAAGGTCTTGGATAGCACAATATTGTCCAATACATCTTTTGGAAATTACCAAGAAAGTTTCAAAATATATTGGAAATAGTTTTTCAGTTGGACTCCAACATTGTCGTGATCATGGATTTGGATTTTCCAAGCGTAAGCATTTTTTCAGTTATAATTCTATACTACAATCACTTAGACTTATCCCTTCATATTCCACATATGATAGTTTAAAAGATAACCACGTTGGAAATATTGACTCATCTGATCTTTCATCATCTTCCTTTAATGTTTGGAAACCAACACCTCAATTCTCGAAAAAGAATCCACCAGTTCCAGATTTCCAAGTAAATGTTACAAATACTTCCTATGAACCATTTCCTACTCTTTCGACGATTCAACATTTATTCAATAGCTCCAGTCATCATATTATACCAAAAATTGAACCAATTGCTAAGCCAAAGACTACAAAGAAAAACCCACACGTTTCGAAACGAGATGTAAAGTTGCAACGTCAACGTGAACGACAACTGAAGTTGGACCCACAGGTCCAAAAACGTATCGAATATTTGAAACTCCGTGATAAGAAGTACAAATATGGTACAAGATGCTTTATTATTGCTGCAGTTGATCATGGGGTGATCAACTTCGTAAATCTTAGTGAAGGTGACTTTTCATTACTAGGTTATGGTACGGATGAATTGGATTCTTTGAATATTAGGTCTGAGTCTCATGGGTTGGTTTCATTATAGAATAAGATATATATATATACATGCGGAGTTACCATTAATAATTAATAATTTGCATTCAAATAAATCGATCTTTCGTTAGTTTGGCAATAGTAGTTCGAATCTCTTCGTATCTTCTAAAACGTCTTTATATTAAGATCAAGTAGAGTGAACAGAAGGCAACTAAAAAAACAACATTACTTTGTATAGTGGCACCTCGTCTCTTCCATTCTACACATGGTTTCTGTGTTCTTTAATTCTATTGATTTCTATGTCTATATTCTAAGCTTATGTATAGCGAAAAGTTGGATCCTCATCTAAAATGTCACGTACGAACTGAGCCAGCTCAAGTTCTGTTTTGATGAATGCATTACACTTATGATTTCTTGTTTGCAATAAAAAGTATGAAGTGACCTCGTCTTGGAGTGAGGATAAATATTCATCTGTCAATTCTGTGGTTGCCTGTGAATGTACAAATTGTCCACACCACTTACTTGCATCATCCGGGTTAAGACGGTACCATACTGACAAGTACAGATTGAATTGCTCGCTTAAATGATGCACGGCAATTTCCTCATCTAAGTCACAGTCTGCAAATCCTCTTGAAACAAGTCTAGGGTAAACATTAGCCTTGGATAGAAGATTACTTCTTGCGGCAACTGTAGCCTTGACCACTCTATGAGCACAAGATTCTTCCATCATTTTACTCTTTGTTCTAAGAAGTTGCAGTCTTACAAAAATGTCAAAAAGCAATGAACCTTCTCTTGCCTGTGCATTCATTATGTTTGAAATTGACAACCTTTCTTGTTTTGGTCTTCCTCGAAGAACCATTTTAAGAATTCGTTCTTCATTGAGAATAAAGGGAAGTTTTTCAAGGAATGAACTGGAGTTTGCATATATTGGATGTATAACGGTAGGACTTTCTCTTTCAGATTGATCTATCTCCGGGTTCACAAGTTCTTCCTCAAAATTCAAATCAAATTGTAAGTTGGATTTATATTTACCAAGAGATATTAATTTCGATTCAAGATTTGGATCATTTGAGACACATAGATTTATTTCTCCTTCAAGCTGGTCCATACCTTCCTTTGGCCTTTTAATAAAATGCATAGAGATTGCTTGGAATGGGTTAAGAATTCCATTCAATGTAAGTTTCGCATTATTCCCATATGGAGATTTCTTCTTCATTCTGGTAAGAAATTGTAATCTGATTTGTTCTTGTAATTCGTTAAAAGTTTCATTATTCTTAGCCTTTGTCTCGATATCAAGAGGAGTAATTGCATCATTTAAATATCTAATAATGGCAAAATTAAGGATATCTTCACCCAACTTTGTAGCTGCCTTCTTCTTAAAATCGGATATATCGGCATGTACTGCTTTTGAATCAGCCAGAACTGAAAGATTAAATAATGAATCTCCCCTTGGTGGTGATTGTTTATGCTTATCCAGACGTTGTGCATCATCTAAAATCCCAAGAATTGTATTCATGGTTGAAACAGAGGAAAGATCCATGATTCCTCTCTCAATATTAGTTTTCTCCCATTCATTTGATGTAAATGTTGGTATTTTGGGTCGAGTTATTTGCTTCAAAGGTTCTACAGTTCCAGTGGAATTGGTAGAGTTATTATCATTTCCATTCTTGTCATGACCTGATAATGTCTGTCTAAGCATTTTGGAAAGATCCAAACCTCCAGTTGATTTGGTACCATTCCTTCTGATATATTGTATCTGGCTGGATATTCTCCCCGTATACGACTTTAGTGGCTTTCCCCGGATCATAATCAGGTAGATATTTTGTAGTTTTATCTATTTATAGATAAAAAGAATATATGCTTTGTATGGGACTACTAAACTAAGACATTTAGATTCATTTGGAAAGAAAAAAAAAAAAAAAATAAGAACGCCGCTACGTACAGGAATACTCAAGTACAATAATATGTAAATGACTTTTATTTGAACTCCTCTTAATCAAGACTTTAATCACCTTCTATGTATATTTTTGAAAAAGACAGAAGTAATTCTAAAGAATCTTTTTCCGTCTAATTCAGTAGATATGTACATGGTGGACATAAGTTGCAAAAAAAAAAAAAAAAGACACATTTTAGTGTATATAGGATTCAACTCACATTAAGGTGGCGATAACCTTTGCCATCAGTTTTTGTGTCATTTGCTCGATTCATCGGGATCGGGTACAAGTTGATTTGCAACGAAAAGCAATGAGAGATTATTGAGTAGTATAGAAGTAGAGTAAAACAATATGAAGGTATGTGAATGTCGAAATAAAGGCGTGAATCGATAATAGATATGGATTTCATTCTTGGTGGTGACAGATAAGGTTTATGAAAATTTTTGGCGTTCTGTAAGAATGTCAGTTCTTTGAACAGATCTAGAGTTTCATAGAATGGTCAAATATTGATCAACACAAATACAAGCTCAATGGAATGTGACCTTGATGGATTGCCTGAAGAACAAAGCGTTCCTTAATTTGGTCATACATTCAATAGGTATTCATTGATAGTAATTCCTTTCCAGTGTCTACACTAGATCCTGTTCTTGCAACTTTGTCAATCTTGAACATATGATCGTTTAATTGTCACCCAAACTTGTTATAAATTCGAAATATCTTTCTTACTAACTGTATTTAGCAACGTATTAGTGGATTGGACCTTCAAATCCTTACGGCTGAACTTGAAAAGAATATTCTTAACCATAGATTACTGAATATCTACAATGTGGCCACTTCAAATAGACAATATTTGCTTAAATTTGCCATTCCAGACTCTAAGAAAGTTGTTGTGGTAGATGTGGGAAACAAAGTCCATCTCACAGACTTTGAAAGACCAACATTACCACAACCATCTAATTTTGTTACCAAGCTACGCAAACATTTAAAAACCAGAAGAGTATCTAGAGTGACACAATTGGGTGTCGATAGAGTTTTAGTGTTGGAATTTAGTGATGGAATGTTTTATTTGGTATTAGAATTCTTTAGTGCTGGAAATGTTTTATTGTTGGATCATGACTTCAAAATCCTTGCCTTGCAACGTATGGTTCAAGATAAAGGTGATAATGATCGTTATGCCGTTAATGAAATTTACAAAGCATTGGAAGATGGTGAAGATGGTGAAGACTGGAGAGAAAAGAAAGAGCAGATAGCCAAAACTTATACTGGAGAAGAAGTGAAGAGTTGGATAGATGAAGAAAGAAAAAAGGTTGAGAAGCGTAACGAACAAGCTGGTCAAGAAGTATCTCAAAAGAAGAGAAAGAACAAAGTTTATTCCATTCATAAATTATTATTTGTCAATGCTAGTCATTTATCTGGAGAATTGATCTTAAGGAGATTGAATGAGGATGGAATTGAAAGTGGAAAGGGCTGTTTAGAAGTCAATGAAGATGAACAGTACGAAAAAATCGCCAAAAGTTTACTGAGAGCAGAAGAAGATTATTTGAAGGTTTTAGGGGGTGAAAATGGTGAATATTCTGGTTGGATTGTAGGCAAGAAATTAAATAAGGAAAAGATTCCAGGACAAGTCGAGGAAGAAGAGGAAGAAGATACATATATGTATGATGAATTCCATCCATTTAAACCATTTAAGGAAAATGTTGAGAATATTCAATTCACTCCAGTTAAAGGGTACAACAAAACTTTGGATGCTTTTTTCTCCACCATCGAATCTTCCAAGTACGCTCTTAGAATTGAACAACAGAAGCAACAGGCCAACAAGAGACTTAATCATGCACGAGATGAGAGAGACAGACAGATTCAAGCATTGGTAGATCAGCAAACCAGTAATGAGAAGAAAGGGGAAATGATCATTTATCATGCCGACAAGGTTGAAGAATGTAAAGAATCAGTTCAAAAATTAGTTGATCAACAAATGGATTGGACCAACATTGAAAGTTTAATTGGATTGGAACAAAAGAGGGGGAACAAAATTGCTAAGATGATTAGGTTGCCCTTGAACTTGAAGGAAAATAAAATAAATGTATTACTTGAAGAATATTCTGAGGAAGAAAATGAAGCTGATACAAAGGGTGAGAATGAGAGTGATTCGGACTCTGACAGCGATAGTGAATCTGAAAGTGACTCTGATTCTGATTCTGATTCTGATAGTGATTCCGATTCTGATTCTGATTCTGAGAGTGAGAGTGAGTCTTCAAAGTTGAAATCAAAGAAGGCGAAATCTAAAAAATCACAGGCAAAGACTCCTGCTTTCGTTTCTGTATGGATTGATCTTTCACTTTCTCCATATGCTAATGCCAGTGTTTATTTTGACGCCAAGAAGACAGCATCAACTAAGCAGGCAAAGGTTGAGAAAAGTGCCACGATGGCATTGAAAAATGCTGAACGTAAAATCACACAAGATCTTAATAAGAATCTTAAGGGCGAAACCGATGTGTTGAGACATATTCGTCCTAAATTCTGGTTTGAGAAATTCCATTGGTTTGTATCTAGTGATGGATACTTATGTCTTGCTGGACGTGATGTGTCGCAAATTGATATGCTTTACTACAGACACGTTAATGATAATGATTATTATATCACTTCTGATGTGGAAGGTTCACTCAAGGTATTTATCAAAAATCCATTCAAGGGAGAGGGTATCCCACCAAGTACTTTGATGCAAGCTGGAATCTTTTCCATGAGTTCATCAAGTGCTTGGAATAATAAAGTTACCACTTCAGCTTGGATGTTACCAGCTGTCGACGTTTCAAAACGTCATTTTGATGGATCATTACTTGAAGCTGGTGCCTTCAATTATTTGGCCAAAAAGGAATTCTTACCACCATCTCAGTTGGTTATGGGATTTGGATTCTTCTGGCTTGGTGATGAGGAAACCTCCACCAAATATAAACAAATTAGAGAAGAAAAGGAAAAGGTACATGGCTTAAAGATTGTAATGGACAATAAGAAGAAGGATTTGGAAGGTTTGCAAGCAGGTACTGAGAAGTTGAAAGAGACAAGTCCAGTAGAGGAACAAGAACAAGAAGAAGAAGAAGAAGAAGAGAAAGAAACTAAAGAAACTGAATTAACTGAACCAATTGAAGAACTGACCTCTCCAGAGCCAGAAACTTTGGCTATTTCTGCGGCTCCAAAGGTTAGAGGTAGAAAGGGTAAAATGAAGAAGATGGCCGCAAAGTATGCTGCTCAAGATGAAGAAGAAAAACATCTTCGTATGGAAGTTTTAGGAACTTTAAAGCAAGTACATGCCAAAGAAAAAGAACTCCAAAAGAAACTCGTCGAAGAAAAGGATTCTGAGCTCGCCAAGCGTGAACAGACTGCTCGTAGACAAGAACTGCGTAAGAAACAAGAAGAACGTGAATTCCGTAAATATTTGTCTGGAGAAGCAGCTGAGGAAGATGAATCAAGTATGGAAAATTACTTGGAAATTTTCGATTCTTTTATGTCCAAGCCACAACCATCTGATGTATTACTCGATGTTATTCCTGTATTTGCTCCATGGGCATCATTAACAAAATTGAAATACAAAGCTAAGATTCAACCTGGGATGGGAAAGAAGGGTAAATGTCTCAATGAAATCCTTAATTATTTCACCACTCGTAAGATGGACGCTCGTGGAGAGGACATCGACCTTGACTGGCAGAAAGAACGTGAAATTGTTAAAGCCTGTAAGCCAAATGATTTGATTGGTGTTATTACTGTCAATAAAGTCAAGTTGGTACTTCCAGGTGGCAGTGAAGGAGGTAAGAAACCAAATGTTCCAACTTCCAAGAAGGGTGGTAAGAAGAAGAAATAGACATGTAATAGTATAGAATACATCCACAGACTAGTAAAGTGTGTAGACATGAAGATATTAGATAAACTACGTTATTGTTCTAGATTGCTTCAATTGATGAACATGGAGATACTCTGGGGGAAAACAAAGTTCATTTTGACTACACTTCCAATAAAATGGAGTTCAGCAACATAGTACTTATAGAACGTAACATTAATAGTATATAGTGTATATATATAGTCGATTCACTGACATAGGGTAAATGTCACGCAGAGTCTAGTAGACACAGTCCACTAATGTTGCAATGATGCCCTTGTGAGCCCAAGAATCTCGTTCTTGGCTCGTTTCCACAGAGACAAAAGTGCCATGTGGTAATGCAGTGTATTCAATCTATGATGCAGTATGAATGTAAGTGTGTGGGGGATGGAGATTGATGGGTAGAGCGGAACGTCAAAATAGTTATGGTTGTAACGCTCACAGAATATTTTTCGATCATAAAAGTCATTAATCACCGCGTAAAGCGCGTATTACCGCTGGACGACGCATCATGTACTTAGTCCACTTGTATACTTCAGGGAACTCCAATTTCAAGTTGATACCAATACGGTCTACAACATTATTCCACGGCACAAACGAAAGATCTGCAACAGTTGCACGGTCTCCTACAAGCCATACGGGATATTCAAAGTAACGCAGCTGTGAGAGTGGAGTAGTTCCCGCACTGTAAGCAGCTGCATTCTCAACGTCCAAATCCATAATGAGGGCTTCACGACGTTCTGCAAGGGCCATTTCAATGACACCATAGACTCTGCGAACTTCGTCAGTGTACCTTTCAACAGCACTTGGAACGGGACTCAGATGGAAGTAACGGAAGTGTAAGGCCTGGCCAATCATTGGTGCATGACCTGATGTCTGGAAGAATAACCAAGAGGAAATTTGAGATTGTTCAACTAAATTATCTGACCAAAGAGCGCACTCACCATTTTCTTTCAAATATTTGGATACTAAGTACAAGATAATAGCACCAGATTCCCAGATTGACGTGTTCTCATTGGTATGGTCAATAAGAGCAGGGACTCTTGCATTAGGGTTGATGGTGACAAACTCTGGGGCTCTTTGTTCGCCATTATTAAAGTCCAAGAAAATTGTGTTGAATGGAAGTTGAAGTTCAGAGAGGATGATGGCAACTTTAAAGCCATTTGGGGCCAGGCGGTGCAGGAAGAGGGTGTAACCCTCGGATGGTTGATTTTGGAAGAACTGTGTAATACGGGACTGTGACAGTTGGGTAGCTTCGCTATGGAGTTGTTGTTGTAAAAGGTTAAGATTTACTTCATTTTGCTGCTGGTCTGCTAACAGAACCAGTTTAAGACCAGCTGAAAGATTTGAGATGGTACCACTCATAGAACAGAGAAAGCGGCAAGGAATCAATAATCAGGGTTTCAAGATACTAAATGTCAAAGGGCTCACAAAGGATAAGTGAAAGTGAAAGACCGGAGAGTGGTATATCTGGTAGAAACGTGGTAGTGGTAGTGAGCGAGTTAGTCTTCTGAGTTTAGTCGCGAGTCGTGGGAAAAAAATGTCGCAATGTCGGAGGATTATAAAGAAATTGAAAAAAAGTGTGGTTAGAAGAAAGTGATTTTTTTTTTCTGAATCTTACAAGTAGGGTTGTAAGCACTATTGAATGGCGGATGTAGGTGTAAACCTTCAATATGGAATTTAAGAAGTATAGTAATAAGATGAAATTTTATAGTGAGATAGAGTCCATCAAGTTTGACTCTGAGTCTAGTCTTGTCCTTCCTAATTAGGACCAATGCCGTGGAGAATTATACGTGCCCACACCAAACCAAGCGGGCCAAAAAAAGAGTTAATGGGGGACCACCTATATGTAAACTTTCCTACATGAACGATTTTCATTTCGCACAAAAGATATCGGCACTCGGATTCCATTGTCCGGGCCATATATCAAATTAGGATAAAATTTACGCACTGTGGGTAAAGGCTTAAATCGCGATCTCTAATCTCGAATTTCTTATACATCTCTTCCCCCTCCCCCTACCTACGGGTGTGTTTCTGACATTTGTAGAGTTCTATTAAGTAGATACAAAATGACTAAATCTCCATATGTAGCAATCTTTGTCTGTGAACCCCCAATGGAAGGTTACTCCGAAACTTATGGGGATTTTGGAGATAATGCAAGAGAACTCTTGGCCACATCATCTGAAGATTGGACTTCACTGGAACGTACAGTGAAATATTTGGTTAGTTTTCGTGGTGAATATGATTCATACAAAGATGAGCTTGAAGCTGTTCATGCACAAATCCGTGAAGATGTTGCTTCTGGTCTCATTCGTGGTGTTATTATGACCGGATCAGTATCAGACTCTTTCAATACTTCAATCCCATGGATCGCTGCCCTTGACCAATTAATTCAAGAAACTCTCTTACCACATTCTCCTGCAATTCCTTTAGTGGGGATTTGCTTCGGTCACCAACTTCTAGCCAGACATTTAGGCTGCAAAGTTGGTCGTAACTTACCTGAACATGGAGTTGAATGTGGTACAACAACTTTGGATATCAATAAGTCGGAACTTCTTGCCATTGAAGACTCACCATTTGACGCCAATTTACTTCATGACAGACTTAATATTGTTGAATTTCATCAAGATATTGTATACGGATTACCACCCCCAGCACTGGTTGATCTGCTCAAAACTCAATTTGTCTGTCTTGGGTCAACTTCTAAATGTGCCGTCCAAGGTATTATCACATCATCTGGTCCGCTCAAGGTTTTCACTGTACAAGGACATCCAGAATTTACCACCCCAGAGGCTCATAGATTACTTGAACTTGACTTAAAGAAGAAGTTAATTGACCAAGCCCAATTTGACAAGGTTACATACAACACCAAAAGTTTGAACAATCAAGGACCTGTGCTTGGTCTGGCTATTGCAAACTTCTTAACCACTCATGGTAAATACACTTAGAGCTAATTAATTAATTATGAATAGATTATAGAGAAATATTTGAACTCTAAGAGTAGAATAACTTCATTTGTCAAGACTACTGTAGTCATATCAGTACATAAAACGACTCCATCCAATAATAATACAGAGGTTACTTCCTAATTTTCTCTACGTTTCCGAATATAAAGTTCTTAACTTTCTAATATACATATAATTCTATTAATCATCAAAGAACTTTTTTGTCGATGAAACCACGTTGAAGCCCTGCAACTTTCCACCTTTTGCATGATTTATGTTTGACATAGATGAGCTTGCTGATAAACTCTGTAAACTTTGATCACGCTTCCCATCGCTGTTGCGTAATGAAAGTCGTTCGTTGAGGTTATTAGCGTCATGGAGTTTCGTCTCGAGAGTTTTAATCTTCTCTTTAGCAAGTCTGATTTCATGTTTCAGTGAAGCTGTCAATTGCAGAACAACGTCGCGAAGTTCATCTCGTTGTGATTTTAATGCTTGGACTTCTATCTGATGTTCTGAGTTTGCAAATGAAGTTTCAATATCTCCATCATCTTCATACACACTAGTGGTTGATCCACAGACTCCACCGTGATATCCATTAACGCTGCTAATGCCATTACTGATATTATTACCTTGCATATTTGACTTGGCAGTTGAAACTGAGGTTGCTGCTGCCAACTTCCGTTCCAATTCGGGAACAATATCAAATTTCAAAGAAGCATTTTCTTTCAAAAGCTCATTGTAATGGTCCAACATGTTCTGGTCAACTCCACTTGAGGATTATCTACGATCAAACTCATCCACTCGATCTTGTAATTGATTTACCAAATCATTCTTGATTAACAATTGACGGTAAATTTCAGTCTTTTCATAGTCAAGACGTAAGGGTGACGGATTGGCACCATTCTCTAATAACAATGCATGTTCTTCACTAATGAATCGAAGGCGACGTTCCTTATTGAGTTTATCCTGAAGGTCGGCAATAGTCTTTTGGTAATTAATGGCACTTCTGTTGTCTTCCATCTCTGAGTTTAGGTATGGCAGGCCCATAGGACTACTATTTCCCTTAAGACGACTTTCAAGAGAAAGTTCCCGGTCTACGGCAGAGGCAAGTTCAATGGTTACAAGTTCAAGCTCGTTCAATAAATCGTTGTTACAGTTCATAATGGAAAGTTCTTCTGTTGTGAATTTGAACTCGGGTTTGACTGGAACCAGTGTTGATTGTTTTTTGAAGCTTGCTCCCGAAAACCTCCGTTGATTCGACACAGAAGGTGATCTAGAAGTAACTGGTGACCCATCTTCAAGCAGTTGTACTTCAGTTGAGCTACGTCTTCCAGGGAATTTCTTAAATAAGTTTCTGGATTTAAGAGAAAATGATCTAGATGCCTTCTTCTCTGATTTTGGAGTAGAGGAGGCAAATGATGCATTGTCTTCAAGTATTGGAGTCTTGGCCATTTCAGATACTGGAGTATTTGTGGAGGTGGATAATCCAGTGGAACTCATTGAAGGAGCAGCATGAGGTTCATTTGGTTTGCTACATTCTTCGTGATAGCTTGAGGATTCAGATGCAGAAAGGTTTTCCTTCGATCTAGAAAATGTTGTCAGAGAAGATGGAGCAGATGGAGACACATCGTGAAACCTTGAGGATCTTGCAGCTTCGGCTTTAGCCATATCAGCTTCCAATGCTAATCTACTTTGTTCTTCGTGTCTTTCCTTTTCGGCGAGTCTTTCTTGCTCAGCAAGTCTCTCTTGTTCAGCAAGTCTCTCTTGTTCAGCAAGTCTCTCTTGTTCAGCAAGTCTCTCTTGTTCAGCAAGTCTCTCTTGTTCAGCAAGTCTCTCTTGTTCAGCAAGTCTCTCTTGTTCAGCAAGTCTCTCTTGTTCAGCAAGTCTCTCTTGTTCAGCAAGTCTCTCTTGTTCAGCAAGTCTCTCTTGTTCAGCAAGTCTCTCTTGTTCAGCAAGTCTCTCTTGTTCAGCAAGTCTTTCTTGTTCAGCAAGTCTTTCTTGTTCAGCAAGTCTTTCTTGTTCGGCAAGTTTCTCTTGTTCAGCAAGTTTTTCTTGTTCGGCTTCTTTCATTCTATCTTCATGCATCCCATCTATTGGTGTGACAGGATAGCTGCTGGTGGGTGCTTTTCTGGTTAAAGTCCTCTTGACTGTTTCACCAGTTCCGCCTTCTTTCAAATTCAAAGTATCCAAACTATCCATAGATTTATTACTACCAATTGAAGGAGAAAATTTGGCATCCTTAGGAGGTAATGGTGGTAATGGCTCGTCGCCAGTTGGTTGTTTCCTTCGCAATTTCAGATCCTGTGACGAGATTGAAGTAGTGTCATCGCCCATGGAAGGTGATCTAAATTTACTAAAAGCCGTATTTGCGGCAAGGTTTTGAATAGATGGTTGCTTAGTAACCAGTGGAGCAAGGCTTCTAGCTTCTGAATCTTTTCTAGTACCTCTGGCTTTATTATGATCTTGTAAGTCCAATGCTGTGACAAATACATCCCCACTCGATTGGTTATTAGCAGAAGCTGTTGCTCCCAATGATCCTCCCAATCTCGCACTAGAATGTTCATCCTCTTCATCATCATAGTATGACTCTCTTTGATCATGGTCCATCAAATTAAACGATGGAGACCCTACCCTAACAGGTACTTCTTCATCATCATCTATCATCGACTCTTCAGGAACTGGTTGTTGTTCTTGTTGTTTAGGTTGATCGAACAAGTTCAATTTTCTCAATCTCATTGATGGTGTCTTCTTAAGAGTTGATTTTCTAGATAATTGATCATCTTTATCGTCAAATTTATAAACAATATCCTCATCCGATGCTGTTGAAAGTAATGGGGTGTTGTTCGAAGGAGGTGCTAAAGTTCTTGGTTCTTCTTCTTCTTCTACCACATTCATTAATGAATCTGTGGAGTTGACCCTATCATGCAAATGACCTGAATGACCAGCAGAGTTTGCATTTTGACCAGATTGGTTACCTAACGATAATGTGCGAGGGTCTGGTCCAGTCATATTTGGGGCAGGATATTGACCTTGATTTAAAGACATGGTTCTTGGTCCAGAGCCATAAGCATTGACTGGGATGCCGTTGGGTGGATAACCGTTGCCATAACCATTTCCTTGCGGTGGACCATATCCATTACCTTGAGGTTGACCGTATCCATTGCCTTGAGGTCCAGGACCGTTCATCATTCTTCCTGGAACAACACCTGGTGGGCCCCGATTCATTGGTCTACTTCCTGGTGGACCAGGGATTTGTCCCGGACCACCTCTATTATTCAAGGACATTGCCCTATTTCCAGCATTCATCGTGTTAATACTTTGAGCACGCCCATTATAATTACCCATCAGCATTGCCCTTGGATCGTATTGATACTGTTGTGGCATTGGAGGCATAGGTTGATGCAGATATTGCCCCATGGGTCCTACTGGTTGTTGGCCCATCAGCATCGCTCGAGCCTGTGACGATTGTTGACCCATCAGCATAGCTCTTGCACCAGCGGAGTAAGCCAATTTCTTCTGATGATTCATTTGTTTTCGATATTGAATGTTATTGGTAGGTTGTGACAGTGATGGACCCATGGTCGGAATGATTGGTGCAGTATCTAAAACTCTACCATTCATTCCATATGGCCCACGGTCACGAATGTGGCGAATGTCATCAAATGACATATTCAGATCGGCAGTAAGATCACCAATGTCTGCTCCCAAATCGTCATCAAATGCAGTTGGCTGTACGCCACCAATGTTGTTGATTGCTGATGTTGAAGAAGATGCACCTTTGTTTCTTCGGAAAAACTTATTCATCGATTTGGCAGATTGCAGTGTTAATGAGGCCTTCCTTGAACTACCTCCTTGACTTCCGGGAGCACCGAATGCTCCATTGGCCATCGGTATATGGTCTGGGTAATTAGACCCATAACCGGATGCACTAGTAAGGGACATAGTTCCCCCGGTATGGCCATTTCTTGGGCCACTGGCAGCTCCTGCGACACCATACCCCATGGGAGCCATGAAAGTATTGCCCTGTCCTGGAGTAGTACCTGGTCCCGGTACCGGAAGTTGACCTTGACCCGTTCCGGGCACAGCCCCAAAGCCATTCTGTTGATATAATTGAGGAGATCTACCTCCTTGTCTCATAGGACCAGCACCTGGACCATACCCTTGACCTGAGAAGGCAGAACCTGGACCCTGCATTCCTCCATTATGGGTTGAACCTCCCTCGGGTAAAACTAACGCGCTTCCATCTTGTTCACCGCTCAAGATTTGACTTCTTAATCGGCCCTGTGCCATCGCTGCACTAGCGGCTTCCATGGTTCACGTAAAAGAGTGTGTGTGTATGCGTATGTGTACGTACAGTGTGTCGGGACTGACGCTTACAACCTTCTTTCACAAAGCTTTTCTTTTTTGACAATCTTCTTCTTAAAGACTGCTTTGCACGGTTTCTAACCTAGGAGGCTTAAAATCGAGCTATGTGCAGGTAGGGTATGGATTTAAGACCCCTTTGAGATATTGTAAAAAAATTTTTTGTGCGTCTAATGTTTTTTTTTTTTTTTGGTTTTGGGAGAGGATAATTATTCAAATTTCGATCTTTTCTCGAAAATTGAAGGGTATAATCGCGGGTTTTGTGTCAAAAGTAAGCAAAGTTCAGAGACCACCCTGCAGAGTTAGCGCAAGTGAAGGCGAGTAATTGTTTTTTTTTCTGTAGTTTTTTTTATCTAATTGGCAATCGTGCGAATAACACAAATGAACGTGAGAATGGGCAAGAATGTTACCAATACTAATAAAGAGAGTAAAAAGATAGCAAGGAAGAAAATATTTGAACAATTCAAATAGTCTTGAAGTTCATACTATTAAAGTTTAAATTCTTTTGTTTTTTTTGCCTGTAGAGAAAGAACCTACTAGGCAGTGGGTTTATGGATGTAGTAGCGAGTAGGATAAAAATAGTTCTTGTAATGAGATATGGGTTTATTAATACATAAGCGCCATGCAGTAACCAATTGATCAGGGAGTACGGGCAGTTCGGAGAGTTGGAAATTCAAAGATGGTTAGCAATGGTAAACTCAAAATGCCAGTAATTGAAATGAGATGGTTCATTTCATACGTCTCGGCCGAGAAAATACGGGAGTAGGGGATAAAGTTAGTGGGGGATGGCTGCGAAATGATTTATTACAAAACTAGATGTCTATACGAGAAGTCTATACGAGAAGTATATATGATAATATTCATAGACTTTGGTGAGCTATGGGTACACCGCATGAGTATAGTTATCGTGTCGGGTGGCGGAATAAAAGAGTTCATGCTTCCGAAATACTCTCTATGTCGGCATAATTTACTAGTAAGATCCAAATTCTAGTATGTAGTTTTTTTGTAGGATGAAACTGTCGACAGATTTTAGAGCTACTACGTGACATTGGCGCGGAATTGGTGGGGAATGGACATGCATTGTGGTGGTTAATTTTAGTATACTCGAAATGTGGAGTCCCTTACTAGTGCGGTAATATGAACGATATTCTTGATTAGGAGGGCATTTATATTTGGCATATGATGTAATTGATTCCGTATTGATACAATAATTAAAGGCTTGGTTAATTTTGATGGAGATATTCACCAATTCGAAACTTGACTCCTGGTTACTATCGGTGGGGCACTCTGACCCTGACTCATGATTCATTTGTTGGTCCGATAACCGACCCTGAAAATATTCCAATTCTCAACATTAATATTATCTATATCTACAGACTCTATAACTAGCCATATATTGTTTTAAATACTAGACTTCTGAACTCATGCAATTCACCAAGTCATTGTAATGGATCATCTTGAGACCCAACAAAAGGTGGAACTCCTTTAACTACCAAAATAGTTATTTTATAAAATTACCTGATTCTATTCAGCCTCTTAGCGCGGCTTCATAGAGCTCCCGTGACATTGTAGATCATCTAACCCTCTTTTGTATTCTTTGAATACTTTCCCACTCCCACAAAAACTCGCCACTAATTAACTCTGTTCATGATCAACAACAATCCCCACGATTTCATACCGCTTCCGGAAAAATATACACCATTTATCAATGATCAGATTTTGTTTCTCGTTCAAATCTTCGGTATACCAAGTGGTGAATTCAAGACCTTGTGGTGGCAGCAGAAGCAGAACTTGTTCCTTCTGGTCGGGGACCTTAAGTTGTAATCGATTAAGTCCAAGAAGTCGTGATACGTCCTTCCCTACAAGTTTGTGATAGCCCTTCCCTGGCCCATAGTTTTTCGTGTTGTTAGAAACGTCATAGATGTAGCCTCGGATTGCAACATAGATCTTGGGGTTGTCTACACCATTGTACAAAGCTAATTGTGATCTGGTGTAGATTGGGAGAGTATTGATATTGATCTTCTCATTGAGTAGCTCAAACTCTGTGGGACCTTCCGACGGCATTGGTGAAGTGTAAGTTTGTTTTAACACTGTTCAAGGGCAAAAACAAGGTACAACAAATGATTGAAATAAAATATATGAAACAGGAAACTGTAAAAGAGTAACCAAATCTATGGAATCAAAAGTGTTTGAGATCTGAGACAAAACAAACCCGTGCGCGCAAAACATTTGAAGATTTTGCAAATGACAAAGATACAAGAGGTATTATAACTGATTGAGAAGTAGCTAAGGAAAAATAAGAATATGGTATGTATACAGGTTTGGGGGGCTATAGTATAGTGTGGAACAGATTCAACCAAGTTTCACAAGAGCTCAAGTGTGGTGGAAGAAACCCTTACACCTATGACGGGCATAGGTGCCACAATTCACAAGATGTTCCCATCCACAGCAGGGATTATATAATAAATTAAAGTCTGTGGAACCCATAATAATCGAGGATAAGTCTTCCCATTACCACGATTGTATTCCTCAATTAATAATTTGGTAATTTTCTTCAACCTTACTAACAAATTTTTTAGTCGGATCCAACTTCAAAATATCCACCCACAATTCAAAAGCTTTTTGCTCCAAAGCTCCCATTACAATATAAGGCGCCACTTGATTATCCAGTGGAGACTAGGAAAACTCATTATATCTCGCCTATACTGTCCTTAAAGGCACAATATACACAATATGTGACCGAGTTGCATCAGAAACAAGTAGAAGAAGAGAAACTTTTAGCAGAAAATGGATCGAAAAATGAAGCTTCTACTCAACAAATTAATGCTAAAAGATCGATTGTCAATAAGAAACGTCATCGAGAATCATTTGAACGTCAATTAAAGGAATGGAATGATCCAGAATTATTACAAAAAAACGAACGAGAATTTATGAAAGATCCATATAGAACTGTTTTCATAGCAAGATTACCATATGAGTTAACTGAATTGGATATTAGTAAGAGTTTCGGGAAGTATGGGATGATTGAATCGATTCGGATTATTAGAGCTCAATCGAAATCCACCACTGCAACTCCAAACCCAACTCCAGTGGAAAATGAAGATGGACGTGGTAGAAGTAGAGGATATGGGTTTGTGGTATTTGAGAGAGAATCCGATGCCACTGCATGTGTCAGAGAGTTGGCGCCAGTTGGTTTGAAAATCGGGGGGACGTCACGTACCATACTAGTAGATATAGAAAGAGGACGTCTTCTGCGTAGTTGGAAACCACGTAGATTAGGTGGAGGTGTTGGAGGTAGACATTATACAAAGCCAAATGCATTACATTCCAACAATGCATCTGCTGCAGCCAGTGGCAGAAGATTACACTTATCAAATAACCCATACGCTGGTGGTAGATCAGGAGGAAGTCATCATGGATCTTCTGGATCTTCATCGTACCACCAGAGTAGAAGAGGACCTGTGTCTGGTGCTGGGTACCATGGCAGTGGTTCATACGGTGGTAACGGTGGTGCAAGTACAACATCTACATCGTTTGGTGGGGCTCCATTATCGACCTCCCCAGCACCTCAAGCAGCATATTCATACACATCAAGATCTGGTGATTCACGTACTACGGACTCGGTTCGAGACAAATATTCCAAATATGCCACTTCAACTAGTAGAACACAAGACAGATCTATAAGGAGCATTAGGGGGCAACGAGAATAGACATATCCGGCATAAAGATATAGAATTGACATAGGTAAATATTGTCAATAAGGAGTACTTAGGTCCAAAAGGAAATAATAATGTATTAGGAGACTTAACACGTCTTTCCCCTCCCCCATTGTGTAGTCTTTTGAATTCTCTCTTTATTCATCATCTACTGTGGTGCGGCGTTAAGTTGCAACCATTTTTAGTCAATAATCCCTTCACTATATACTTAGTAGAAAAGAAAAAAAACACTCATAAGTAAATAGAATTTTTATAAACTAATCAGTTTGATTTAGTATAAGAAAATCGTTGCCATTAATACTGTTAAAGAGGTGGGATATGATGAGTTAAGTAGAGTTTTTAACTAGTCTTCTTAAAATGTCCTGTATGCACTAAACCAGCGCAATTAAGGTTCGCATCAAAATAGGACCTAACATTGTACATCTGACTCTAAGGACATCTCCCGTAAGAGCACGTAATTCACATGTCAGAGCTGGGTAAACGATCTACAGAAGAAGCTCCTCTGGTGGAGCGCAAACGTGCGAGATCCAACTCCGTAGTAGGGTCCGCACCTGTCCTTGAAAAGGAACCAACAAAGGAACTCACAATTGTAGAAGATTCAAAACCAACCTCGCAAGCCAATGAAATTGAAACTACACTGACGACGAAAACTGAGGTAGATTTGACCCCTGGAGCTAGCTCAGAAGCTAAACCTGAATCGGAAACCAAAACCCCAGAGGATGTGACTCCGGAAGTTAAAGAAAAACCAAAGCATACATTTGGAGGAAATCCATTCCTTCAAATTAAGAAGACTTCTGTATCCCCTCCCGTAGCTGATGGTAGCAAGCCTGTATTTGGAACCGCTAGTTCATTTGGTGGAAATAAGGTGACTCCAATAGGCAAGAAAGTAGAAGAGAAGGGCGCCGCTAGTGCTTCAATTTCATCTCCAACCACTACAACTACTGAAACAGCCAGCCCCAGTGGATCTTCCACGGTTGGTGAAACAAGTAACGCGCCAGTGGATGCTGTAACTACCACATCCACTACTACCAAAGTTTCCACATCTACAACTCCATCATTTGGTTCATTTGGTTCATTTGGTTCCAACTCTAAATTTGGAAACGCGTTCCAAAAATCTCTAAAGAAGAAATCATTTCTTGATGAAGCAAGCGAACCTGAAGATAAAGATAAAGATAAAGCTGATGCCCCTGAAGCAGAAGCTGTACCTGAAAAGGAATCAATTAAGGCATCCACTCCACAATACAAGCAAGTGGATCTTACGCCAGTATCCCTCACCACTGGTGAAGAAAATGAAAAATCACATTTCAATGCCACAGCCAAGATATTTTCTCTTGATCTTACCAAGATGTCCGAAGGATGGAAGGAACGTGGGGTTGGACCTCTCCATCTTAACCAATCACTCACAGACGCTCACCAAGTGAGGTTAGTGATGAGATCGCAAGGGCTTCTTCGAGTCGTTCTCAACATGAAGATTACTCGTGATACAGTAGCCATGAAGGGTCTTGAGGCAAGTTTATCACCAGGTAAGTATGTTCGTTTCAATTCCATAAGTGAAGACGGAGTTCCAATGCAGTACCTTCTTAAGTTTGGCACCCAAGTCACTCGTGATACCTTGTACGATAAGATTGAGGAGTTGAAAAAGGGATTGTAGAGACCCCAGTTGGAGGGCCCAGCTGTTTTATATAGTAGAATAAACACAAATGTATAGACAGAATTGTAGTATTATATACCTTGCAGGGTTTTAATAAAGAGAGAGAAAAAAAAAGGCATAGATTTTAATGAACGGATTTCAATTGATATATAAAGTTTTCTAGTTACGAGGTGGAGCTCTGGAAAAGGCCACACTACAGATAGTGCTACCCTTAACACCACCAAATTGGAAAGAAGGGTAATTAATACGATCAAATACCGATAAATCGTTAGATCCATTAGCAGTGATGATGCGAATCAATTCTTCTTCAGTAAAGTTACATGAAGTGATGAGAAGAAGCGAAGTGTCATGCATCAATTTAGACACTTGTTCAGCATAGATGTCCATCCCAATACGGCCATCAAATTCAGAAAGAGGATCTTGGTTCAAGGCAATAGCATCAAGGGTACCCTTATCCAAAAGGACATCGAAAGAAGCGGCATTGTTCTTGAGAAATGGAGCATCCACTGCTAAAAGATCAGCCTGTTCAAATCTAAATTGGGCATGATCCAGGGGAAACTTCTCCTTGACAATATCGGAAGCAAATGAAACTGAATCTGGCGAGTAGTCCACGCCTACATATTGATATTTGGACACATCTGCACAAGATTCTTCCAGTAATTCCTCGTGTAAAGCAAAGAGAAGATGTCCGTTACCAGTACCAAGATCAACAAATGAAAAATCTGGGCCTGGGGCTGGGAGTTCAGCATCATCAATCAACTCAAGAAGATACTCAACCATTTTAGATTCAGCATCTGCATCATCAAACCAACACTCACCAGTATCCTCAGGATTTTCCAGGAAGTTTTGGATCTCCTTCTTGTAAAAGTTGTTCCAACTGAAGACGTTAGTAAGAAAGAGAAGAATGGGAAAACACTTGAAAAAATTGTAGACAACCGACCCGATTCAGTGTTAATTATCATGTAGAAAATCATAATGGATCAACAGCGAAAGAGCCTCACTCTCATCCTTCGGGATCCGTACATACTACTCCTGCGTTCCTAGCTTGGACGAGTTTAACCTAATTTCCTCAGCCATAGAGAGTGTGTGGTCGATGGGGGGAGTTGTTGAAAGATGATGAGGTTTGAATACTCTGTTTCCCCATCTCTGTGTCGCATAAACTTTTCCGTGCGATTCGCATGTACAACCGACGCCATATCACCAAAAAGACGCGCAAACACAACAACAAAGTCTCATGTATAAATACTCAGTCCGATATACTACAGTAATTCGAAGTACGCTGCAATGAGCATTGAAATGAAATCTGACGTGAGCGTCGAAGAGATATCAGATGGGGGGAATCCAACGGAAAAGGGAAGCTCACCGGTGCTTGTCGATGATCAAAATGAATCGTTGGGCGATGAACCCGTTGGAATTGATTCCAAGACCCAAGAGAATTATCGGATTTGGAAGAAAAACACGCCATTCTTCTATGACTATGTATCAACCACGTCATTACTCTGGCCGCTGCTCACAGTGCAATTTTTCCCGGATGTGGAGACAAGTCCTGGGAATGATTTGACGTTACAACGTCTTCTTCTTGGAACATTCACGTTGGGACAGGCAGTCGATAATATTTCAATTCTTCAAGTTCCATACTACACAAATCTTACCCTGAAAATTGATATCTACAAACTCAATTACACGGCAGAACGTCGAGAGTTTGAGCTCTCAACGGTACCACAACGTAAACCAACTATTCTTCAAAAAATCCATCATCTGGGGGATGTAAATAAGGCGAGATATATGCCACAGAATCCAGATATTGTAGCCAGTTGTAATAATACAGGTGACTTGGTTGTATATGACCGTACCAAGCATCCCAACTTTGGGATTGGACTTGACGATGAGGTGAATAAACCAGACTTAAGATTGGTGCGAAAGGGTCCAACTGATTCGATTTCTTCGGACATTTTCGCTATTGATTGGAATAAACAGAATGAGAGCGTTATTGTTTCTGGAGATATGGAGGGCCGTATTTCTGTACATGATATTCGTCTGTCATTCACGTCAGTTGCAGTGACATCTCTCGAAGCAACCCATTCCTACACCAATGAATCTGGGATTAATGATATCGAATGGGCGCCTAAACATGATTCAATATTCGCCGTGGCAGATGAAACTGGGAGTATGCGTCTCTATGATGTCCGTACTGGTGCGGTTGTTCATACTCATAAATACTCTGGACAAGGTGGACTCAATGCGGTGAGCATTAATCCAGGGAACCCAATGTATGTAGCTCTTGGTGCATCAGATGGAACTATCAGTGTATGCGATATACGATCATCCACAGGGGATGCCATGATGACACTTCCAGCTACTTCATTCGATGGGTCCGTAACACAAGCCAAATGGCATCATCGTCACCATAACGTTCTTGCGGCATCATCTACTGATAAAACTGTCAAGATCTTTGACCTTGCAGAAACGAATTATGAGTCCAATGACCATGTTCTTTTCGTACATGCCGGTCACATGCTCGGTGTGAATGATCTTGACTGGTCTCTCCATGATGATTGGCTTATGGCCACTGTTGCTGATGATAACTCATTGCACGTATGGAAACCTGCAGCATCTATTGTACGCCCGTATCAAAACAAGTAGTGTTTTAAAAAGACCCTGTCATCCTAAATTCTTGGTTTCAGAACTGAAATAAACCGCAGTATGTCAAGTATAATATCCTGAGGCTAATACACATGGGTGAAACTATCTCTAAACAGAATAGTTAGAGCCACACAGACGAAAATACATTAACCGCATCTTCACAGTTTGATATGACACCGCAGTAGCCCATTTAATATAAAGTCTGACATGACTTTGTCAGATTAACAGACATTACAAGCTCGATATATACATAAAATAACAGGCATAAGTCACCTTACGGAACTTGTACGTCATGTCGCAGTAGTTAAGCAAGCTAGCCATTAATTCTCTACATTTATCCTATTTACTATAGCATATAGTTAACAAATCTCCTACATCTAGACTTCAGATCATTCTTTTCGTTCTTATAACTTATTTATCTAACTATACCCCTAGGCCTTGGCAAACAACTTTTCAATTTCAGCAACAGATTCACCCAAAACCTTGTCTTGGAACTTAGGGTTTTCAATTTCCTTGTTAACCTTGTCCAAAACAGACTTGATCAATTGTTGTTGTTCCAATTGTCTTTGTTGTTGTTCGTATCTAACCCAAGAGTCCAAAGTAGACTTGGCTTCGGTAGCAACGGCAAGAGTTTGCTTCAATTCGAAGGACTTGGCTTCCAATTCAGCGGTTTCCTTGGAGACAGCAAACAATTGCTTGGTGGTGGCGACAACATCCTTCAATTGAGAAACAGATTCGATTCTACCCTTGACAGCATCAACGTGCTTGGTACGGGAGTCGTTCAACAAGTCGTTGACCTTCTTGATTTCACCATCAGCCCACTCGGTGTAGAGAGGAGCAACAAACTTGGCAACAAGAGCAGTGAAAGCAGCGAAAGTGACAACAAGAATGGTTTCGTCATGCAATATGATCAATTCGTTAGAGATACCGTAGACGGCGGCGGCAGCGGAGGTAGCAAGAACACCGGTCTTGGAGATCAAGTTGTTACCTGGCATGGCGTTAATGATAGAGTTGGCCTTTTCCTTTGGTTCCACTGGAGTGGAGAGGAAACGAATACCACTATAGATTTGTTAGTACAATGTTGAAAAATGGGAAAATGAGGAGTGCCCGGGTTTAGTGTAGAAGGCTCAGGTTGAGTTCTGCCCCTCTATCCTGGTCGTCGAATGATCTCAGGCACTCTACAGATATACAAGTTGATAGCTGTCAGCGATATTCATCGGTCAAGGGAGCGTGGTCTAACGATAAATGAGTGCAAAAACTCATTGACCTCTAAAACCGTATGATAAAACTCCAACATCCAACGCTATATCAACAGGGAACGTGGCTATACATACGGAGCCTGACGAAGACCCACACGGGCAATACCTCTGAAAGCAATTCTGTTCATCATGGTGTAGTTATCGTAAGGTAGTGAAACAAGCACGTTAAAGGTTGACTTTGAAGTTTGGCTGGTCGTTTTTTTGTGCGAGCCCGGGAAAATTCAAGTTTTGATTGGGCGATGTTGACTTCCTAATGCGGAATGATTAATTGTGTGCGAGTATTGCACGGTGAGCTTAGTACAGGAGATTTGCGAGTACGGTTGATGTGCCAGGCTACATGTGATTCGTTAAAAGACTTCTATTCAATTAAATGTTGGTGGAACCTTAACTATAGAAACTAAAGTTATATGTTATTTATAACTAATGATATCTGCTGATAAATTTTCAATTTTGATATTTTACAATTGCAGAATATTTATGTAGAAGGAGGGTGACGTGTATATGGAAGATTAAAAATCAGTATATTAGATGATTGAAGAACCATGCTCTATATATGGAGACATATCCAATTCTTATTGATAGTCGTATTAGCCCATTATTGAGGGTGTGTCGTAGTTATACGAATATGTAGTTAAATAGGTCCATCAAGTATAACTTACAGCTATATATTGGAAGATCATAATCGGTGTTGTGGGTGGTTATACACAGCGATGAGTATCTGGGTCGTGTAGCAATGTCCATATATTCAGCCCGGGATGGGGATCATTATTAAGCTCGGGATGAAAATCTTTCGGCCTACAGGTTCTTAAAGATGGCTTCAAGAAAATATGATCCACTTGGTTCCAGCTTGGATTTCTCCACCACCCAATTCGTCATGTGGGTTCTATTTTTGGGAAATCACAGTGTGCTCTTTAGAGTGTGAACGAATATCATATTCCTTCATTGGAGCTTCGATTGATCAGGTTGAAGTCTTTTCAAGAAGAATCTTTCTAATAGCTTGGTCCGTCTTCTCTTTGGCTTCTTCAAAATAAAGAGCCAAGTCTTCTTTGAGATCTACATTACACCTCATTCTATCAACTTTAACAACTTCAGTCTCATGAAGTGAAGCTTCAAGAGCACGACGATGGAACTGAGCAAAGATTCTCTGCTGTTCTTTCTCAGCAATTGCTTCAACAGTTTCTGATGCTGATATTCTCAATAATGGTCTCTCAGAAGAAGCTGAAACGTCATCCTCGATATTTCCATTCGTGTATGACTTGTTTGGCTCATTTTTTTCCGTATTCAAAAGGTCAGTCTCATTTTTAACGATGTTGACGACAGGATGGACATTGGAAGTCAAATTATTCCCCGTAGATATGGCCAGTTCATTAGTTTTCTTTCTCTGTTCACGTAATGCTGCTATTCTAGCTTTACGTTCGGCCGCTTGTTCTTCAAGATTCATATTCCCTATTTATATCGACTGAATACAAACCTTGTTAAAGGAGGTGTACCAGTTTTGATAACTAGATCTGTATTGGTAGACGGACGACTCTTTGCAACCAAAGAAAAACTAATGACAACTTTTGCAACAACATTAAGAATAAAACAAAGGATTACAGTAGAATCTGTTAAAAATGACAGTCTTGTACACTATTAATAAGTATTTAGAAGATAAAGGTATGCTTTAGACTGTTTTATGATCAAGAATTATTGAGATGGGGTGATTTCTTTTTTGTATCAATTTCTAACAATCCTTGCAGAAAATATGGAAAATATAGAAAACATACAAAAGGAGAATAAGAAAAATACAGTGAAGGATAGAGATAAAAAACATCTATTGAAACAAATATCATCATTTGCTTGTATCAGAGGTATGCCTGTTACATCACCGGTAATAGAGGTAATAATCCCCGGAGAAGCTTGTCACCAGAAATTTGTTAATACTAACAAGAAAACTTCTGGAATTGCAACCAACCTTTTAAAGTCTGGCAACACATTGTCATCGTTTATCTACAATACGAACAAGAATTGTTGTATATTAAGCTCCGATAAAGATAGCTACTTTGAATTGGCAATATTAAAAGTATTCAATGGTCAGTTTTGGCACCCTAACCAAAAAATATTATATTTAGGGCCAACTGAGAATGCATGTCAGGAGAGACTTGAAGAATGGACTACTCGGTTCAAAAAATATGAGGTTGGTCTTTTAAAAGGTAATATCAACTCAATGGTTCATACAATTAGAACGTCAAATATCATCTTAGCATGCCCTTCTGATTGGGATCGTATATTTCGAGGTCGGAATGATATATCTAAAATCTTCCCATTTGTACAATTATTCTTGGTGGAGCAATTGCATAGGCTTGAAAATTTCCCCATAATGGAAACATTTGTCACTCGAATGAAAAACCTTTCCTTAACTTCTTATAAGGAACTTAGAATAATTGCCAACACATCCAATTTAAGTAAAATCCCCCAATGGTTAGGCGAAGAATTTACAGTACTACGTGATGATACTTCAAAAACTAGAAGTAATACTATTTCAATTGTACCTTATAAGAGCTCTGGGAATATGTTTCATTTTAATAGTTTTCTAACAAGGAAACTAGATACAATTATTCAAGAGTACGCATCTAATTCTACAATTATATATTGTGCAACTAGATCAATGCTGTCTCAAACAGCAAGGCACTTGTATTCATTGTATCTGGAAGTCTCCAATTTTGGAGAGGTTGGAAAAGTTTCTGATCCTGATTTGAGGGTTTTAGTCTCAAGGGGAGTTGCTTTCCACCATGCTGCATTGTCAATTTCTGATCGTCAGTTTATCGAATTCTGGTTTAAAGCGGGGAAGATAAAGGTGATATGCACAACTTCTGTTCATATCAATATCCCAGCCGACCTAGGAATTATTAAGGGATCACAATGTTGGAATGGATCCACCTTTACAGATTTTTCCAAGGATTGTCTTCAAAGAATGGCCGAAAAAAAACTGAAATGTATCTTATTAACAACTATTCAGGAACAGCATAAATTTGAAACTATACTACAGGATGAGCTCGAAATAAAAAGCTCATTGCAGAAGAAACTTAATGAATACCTATTGTGTGAAATTATCTTCAGCTCTTTAAATACGATTGATTTGTGTTCAAACTGGCTAGCAAAAACTTATTATACATTGAACGATGGCTGCGAAATATTAGTCCCACTATATTCTTTGATGGAAAAGAATTTAATTCATATCGATGACGAGAAGAATATCTCTCCTACATTTTACGGATTACTTGCCATAAAGAATAATTTGTCTATTTCAACAATATTTCAATTTATGAATTGCAAGGAGAAAAACTCCATTGATGATATTCTTTTCCTAATTTCAAATTCTGATCATTTTGAAACCTTTGCTTTGAAGCATCATGAAAGGAAGTTATTTTCACATCAAGGTGAAGCAAAAGAGAAGTTAAAAACTTTTCATAAAATAACCCTTCTACTCAAATTTGAAGCGCAGAAGAAGCTAACTGAATTACCAGCAAATATTGAAAAGGAAAGAAAAGCTATATTGACAGAGGGTCTCAACTTGCTTATTTCATTACGAGAAATTTTTATCAAGAATAAAGATTCGACATCACTAAGATCAACAATCCAGGTCATACTGTTTTTAACAAATAAATGCTGGGAAGACTCAATATTTAATCCTTGGTTAACTGACGAGAGTATAAGAATTTTCAACAAAAAAATATCTTTACATTCCAGCAAGTGTCTCAAATGACCAAGAAAGATCTATATTTGATTCTTGATCATGAATCTGCTGGGAAACTTCAAATAGGGTTGAAAGAGATCCAATTACCTCATATTTCGATTGTATTCAGAGGTGAGAAGTTGCAAAACAGTTGTCTAACAGTTTACTTCGATGTTGTACTAGCTGCTAATGACGACTATGATTTCATCTGTGAGAAAAATGGAATACTCGTAGAGTATCGAAAGGCAGTTCCTAGAAGCCAAATTATTTTAAAAGTTGACCTCATAGACTCAAGAGAAGAGATAATATGTCACTTATTGGGAAAGCCTGGAATTTGCATATGCCAGATTTTAGATTGGAAGCTGCAAGTATCTAAACGATCTCTTGATAGAATCACAACAATCATTGAGGAAATCCTGTCTGATAACACTATATTAGATTCTGAAGATACACCAGATACAGTATCCACCACCCAAATATCCGGGTGCAAACAAGAATGTGGCCATCTTTGCTATAAGGGTAAAAGAGTTCAGGCACTAGATACTTTGACACCTAATAAAAAGATCAAATTCCCTAGATTTTCCGAAAAAAGTATATTTGACCAGTTTTTCAGCGATACAGAAGAGAATGAAGATCTATTTGGAAAAAAAATAGAGAAGATTATGGGGCAGATTGCATAAAACAAACTTTTTTCATCATAAGTATGAATACGAACGCAGTCGAATCGAGTTCTATGGATGTGTTACGTTTACCACTCTTCAATATGGTCCCTTAACACCGAATTCAGGGATGAATTTCAAAATTGAGTAGAAAGTGTTTTTAGCGACGAGCATATCGACAAAAATAACAAAAACCAAGCCATATTCAACCGACTAACAGGCCATCATGAAGCCACTTTCATGCAGTTGTGAAAGCAGATCATGTTTTGTAATTTGAGGCACCCTAGGGAATGTGGACATCGTTCATCGTTCCATTAAGAATGAATGTAACGTATAGGTATCAATTCGTCAGATAGATACTTTTAGCTTTTGAATTGGTTCTTTTGCATAAAATGTCCTTCTCAATAAGGCCAAAAGATATTGATGGTACTAGAATCTTATTTACTGAAAATTGTGTTTATTTTGGCAAGTGTGCAAGTGTGGGTACTTTTAGAACTAAAAATGAGATATATTGGTAAAGTTCACTAGATGTGTAGCGCTTTTGGAAATATGTTACCGTGTACTGTTAACACTTAAAATTATTAGCTACTCTACTGAAATTTGTCTAAAAGAGATCTTCGTCTAAATTAAGAGTTACTAAATTGATTGACGTGTACGTTGTATGCTTAAGCCACTAAATATACGAAGTAAAATGCTTTGGCTACCCTGAAAAATATCAAACGTTTCTTTTGTAGTCCATTTATCTTTCCTTAACAATCTAAGTAGAGTATAACATATATACTTTAAGTATAGAATATATTTACCTTCGGAATAGATGTCACAGACCTCAATGTGCTTGGGCAAATCAACTTGTATTCTAGCTTAAAGCTTTAAGTACCATTCTCATAATGCCATATTTTCGTTTTTGTGATTTGTCCATTTTCATGTATGCTGTGTCGTGATGTTGATTTTGCAGAAATACGCGCATGCTGCAAAAAGTGTATATACTAAGTATTTATCCATCAACCGATGAAACGGTAAGTTTCCGGGTACTATCATACAATTGCCTTACGGAAATAACCCAGAAAAATTCAGGGGCACCCTCACGCGTATTCCTTGACCATTCCATTCAGACTCTCAAAGTGCCTGCTGCAAAAATATCACACCAGGACGAAATCACACACACACAAATATATATATATATATATAAATAAACGTGAATACCCAGTAACTAGCATATTTAAGGTAGAAATCCACATATAGACCCCACTTTCGCTAATTACCAACTTCTATATTCATTTATAGTACGAGCTATGTTGTCTTCGGTCGTGTACTCATTACTTGCTACAGCCTTACTCTGCAAAGATGTTGCTGCATCCCAACTCGCGGCATACTGGGGCCAGAACTCCGGCGGAACGCAAGGTAGGTTGAAGGAATACTGCGATTCCAATACTGCTGATATTATTATCTTGTCTTTCTTGAACAATTTCCCAGATGACTTGAACGTCAACTTTTCCAATCAATGTGGAGATTACTATCCTAGTGGATTGTTACACTGTTCCGCTATTGGCGAAGACATTACCTACTGTCAGAAGAAAGGAAAGACAGTTCTCTTGTCTCTTGGAGGAAGTATTGGTAACTATGGTGTTACAGTTGACAACGCTGACGAACTTGCAACCACATTGTGGAACAAGTTCGGCGCAGGTATTGATTCTGAAAGACCATTTGATGATGCTGTTATTGATGGTTTCGACTATGATATGGAAGGAGGTGACCAATCTGCAATAGTTGTGTTGAGTAACGCCTTACGTGCCAAGTACTCCAAGGATCCTTCTAAAAAATATTTCTTATCTGCTTCTCCTCAATGCGTTTACCCAGATGCTAATGTTGGCGAAGCCCTTGCTCATGCTGAAATTGACTACACTTTTGTCCAATTTTACAACAACTATTGCTCATTAGATCGACAATTCAATTGGAACACATGGACTGCCTACGTTGATACCATTTCTCCCAACAAGAATAATAAGATCTTTATTGGATTACCAGGTTCCCCAACTTCTGCTGGTTCGGGATACGTGGATATTTCTATTATAAAAGAGACAGTGAAATCAATCGGATGCGACCCTAATTTTGGTGGAATTTCTCTTTGGGATGCCTCTTCTGCCTGGGCCAACTCTATTGACGGAAGAAGCTACGCTGATAACATTAGGGATATCGTGGATTCCGTGTCTAGATCATGTGGCTCACCTTCTACACAGAATAGTCACACATTCCCATCCACAGCTCCAATTCCCGTTTCAACAGCATCAAAAAGTCCTATCCCAGGACCTAACACATCTGAAGATCCAGTTCCAATTCCAATGCCCATTACCAGTGACAGTTCAACTTCGTTGACTTCATCAGCTACTCCTTACTATGTAAATTCCACCACCAGTCTTGCCCCGCAAATAAGTACAGAAACTGATATCCATACCACAGTAATTACAATTACATCATGCTCAGATGATAGGTGTACGACCCTACCAGTTACAACTGGAGTTACTACTATCACCAAGGATGAAACTTCTTACACAACTTACTGTCCTTTGACTGCCTCTAGTTCATTTGTTCCGGAGTTTGAAATCTCCACCACTGTGATCCCAGTGACATCTTGCGATTCATATGAGTGTACGTTCGAAACAGTAACAACAGAATCGTCCACTGTTACTAAAGATGAATCATCCTTCACCACTTATGAATCTATAAGCACGAGAAGTTCGACGTTAACAAAAGTCTCTTCTTCCAAATTTCCTTTCTCTACATCTACTTTTGTTTCTCATTCTTCCTCATCGACAGAAGGGGTCTCATCAGATTCAACAGTGAGAAGTTCGACATCAACGAAAGTCACTTCTTCCAACGTACCTTCATCTAAATCTACTGTTATTTCTCATACAACTTCATCGACAAAAGAACTCTCATCAGATTCGACAGTGACTAGTTCATCAGCTGGTATTTCTCATGCTACTTCATCGAAACTTGACATCTCGTCAACATCAGCATCTGAAACCGCTACTTCTTCTAAGTTTACTTCAGAAGTTTCTTCTTTTTCAAGTCTGGTGACCATTGCGAAATCTTCACATACAGCTGGTAAATCAACTGAGATCCATACCACAGTGATCACTATTACTTCTTGCTCAGATGAAAGGTGTACCAAAGTCCCAGTTACCACTGGTTTGACTACTGTCACCAAAGATGAAACATCTTACACTACTTATTGTCCATTATCTTCTGGTGGATCCATCGTTACTGAAACTGATGTTTCTACCACAGTTATTACCATTACATCATGTTCTGCTGACAAGTGTACTAAATTCCCAGTTACTACTGGTTTGACCACAGTTACCAAAGATGAAACATCTTACACTACCTATTGTCCATTGACTTCGCCTGAAACTACAGAAACTGTCGAGTCAACTAAATTCATCACTTTGACGTCTACCATCGTTGGACAATCCTCTTCTGCTATTTCTACCCAATCTTCTTCTTCCAGTGTGATTTTATCTTCTGAAGTCGTCCAGTATTCTTCCAATGTGATGCCATCTTCTAATGTCATCCATTCTTTGCCTTCTATTGTTGTCACATCTTCTTCTGCTAGAGATGCCCCACCAGCATCTAAAATGGGGGTATCTTCTTCTTCAGATATCAGTGCACCAACGACATTCCCAACATTCCCCACTACTGTATCTACCAGCACTTTGTACAATACTGCTACAATTCCAGTACATCACAGTTCTAAAAACGCCACCAGTCCACAGGTTACTATCAACTCTGAGGGAATGGCCGTTTCTATCACAAGCTCTCTTGCTTTGATAATGTTGAGTATTCTTGCTGCAATCTTTTAAGTTCAAGTATATATACCGATATATTATAATATATATATGTATACATATTTTCTTCATACAACCCCCCCAGTAAATTCTCGAACTGTTTTGAGCAAAAATTCATTTGATATCACCATATGATCTTCATTAATCTCTTGAAATACTATCTTGTTTTGAAGATGTAATTCCTTAAGACCAATCAAATCTTGTGAATACAATAAAGTTTCATCAAGCGGAATAATATCACCCGTGACACTATCAACGTCAGCAAACCAAGCGCTATCCTTAGGAACAAGTGTAGTATCTTGATTGAACTTTATCAACACAAGCTTATTGATTTTAACAAGATTTTCTGAATAGCTCCCATTGAATGTGTCAACCAATTCATTATTAACATCAGCAAGGAAATGTGAATGAAATATATATTTGTCATATTGCACAGGATCACGGAAATACAGCGCTGGGAGTATACTACGCTGGATCCTATCAAGCCAAACTTGTGACTTGAGTATAGCATTCCTTCTTTTACACACCCAATCTTTTGGGTTTGAACATAATGGGAGATCACTAACTCCCATATGTGGCGAACCAAAGGTAATTAAGTTATTAATTGCCAATGAGGGACATCTTTCCACAAGACCACGAAGTAGAAGACCACCTTGTGAAAAGCCTATAGCATCAAACCCATTTTGTAACTGTGGGATTGATTGAAGTTCTGAACAAACCAGTTCAATTTGTAAATTTGCATCTCCAAATAAAGAGAGTTTCTCATCAGTTTCAGGATCTATATCGGCATAGGCTGAATGAATGAAAATGGTTGGATGCACTTCCTGGATCAAGGATATGACTCTATTTTGAGAACTTGAATTGTAGTTGTCACCAAGACCATGCCAAATGACGAGAGGTCGAATTGACTTGGGAGAATTAAAAGTAGTTTGATCATTATCATTGATGTTATCTACAACCACCAGTGGTGCAGATGATATGGATAGGAAATCATATGATGGAGCCAACCATCCCAATACAAATGAGCTGGAAAGAAATGGGATAAGCATTATCTTATATAGGGATTACAAAAATGGGTGTAGATAATGTGTGCCAGTTCTTTATTATCTAGTGTCTGCATATAATTATCATTGGGGATTCAGGTATATAAGAAAACCTCCGTATTTGGTTGCAGAGACACACAATACAGAAACACTTCTTAAGTATTCTATACTATTGAAGGAATATCGATATCTACAATATTAGATAAGGGGAGAAAATATTCCTCACCTAATGGAATGATACGTATCTCTTTATTTGGTTACCTTCAAAATTTTTTTAATCAAAAACTACTCTACCCCATCTATATAATTTAGGATTGAATATCTCATTAGGTAAGCAGAAATAAATTAATTCTAATGATATTATTCTTATATAAAAATACTTTTATTTTTATTAAAGTATCTAATTTTTCTAACTTCCATCATTCTTATGGATATACCCCATATCAATTTTATTTTCTATTTATCATTTCAAAAAAATTCAAAATCCTGCACATAACACCATCACCTATATTTTCTTTTTAGCATGCACTTGATGCGTTTGATGATGAGCATAAGTGAACGTTTGAATACATACTTTATTGAACATGTCCAATCCTACAGCACCATTTCTACTTGGGGCAGATGCCAAGAAGAATACATCACAATCCGCGAAGGCTTTATTTGCCCACATACGGAAGGAAAAGGGTCCAGAACACCGTGAACCAGTTTACTTAATCATTAATAGTAAGATTCAACTTGCTAAAACAAAGGATTACACTCCTAGAATCATCCCAATAACACATAAGCTTGACCGTCTTGAAGAAAAATCAGTCCTTCTTGTGACTAAAGACCCCTCAACTCCATATCGTCAACCACTTAATGAAAAGAATTCACCAACTGAAGATGTTTTCAATCAAATTTATACCTTGACAAAGCTTCGAGGTATTGCCCGAGAACCAAGAAAATTACTGAAACTTTTCAAAGAATTTGATGTGATTGTAGCTGATAATCGTGTACACAAATTCTTACCAGGAGTGTTAGGAGCACAATTTTATGTTAAAAATAAAAAGATCCCATTTATGGTGCAAATGGCTAAACCAGATGTGAATGCACAACTTGTACGTGGACCAAAGTCTACCAAGTTGAAAGACGATCGTTGTGAACCAGCCTACGTTCGTGCTCAGATGAAATCTATTGTAAGAAATGCAAGTTTCATCCCACCAGCAAATGGGAATTGTATGTCAATTAAAGTTGGATACACTGATTTGAAAGTTGAAGAGCTTGTTCAAAACGTCAACGACGTGGTGCGATACCTTGTTGAAACCAAGAACCAACCAGTAGGAGGCATATTAAGAAGTAAGAAGAATATTCAAAGCATTCATCTCAAAACTAGTGAGAGTGTCAGTATGCCTGTGTGGAAGGAAGCCGTAGAAGAGGTTGAAGATGAAGAAGACAATAGTGATTTTGAGTTTTAAATGATGAATGGTGGCTTTACTTTAATAGATAAAATAGAGAGATAGAAAGATATACTTCATCATACAGCAAATAAAGCAATTGTAGAAATAACGAGACTTTGACCACTTCAAATTTATTTACAGGTTTAATCATTTACAAGCTTCTTGGACCGAGTACAGTAGCTTTAAGCATCTCAGTCACCTGACCATCCACCAATAATTTCATTTGGTCGAAGACTCTAAAACTCGAAGTTAAACTAGAAATATATCACACCGCATCCTTCACTATACCCCGAGATCAATTCCCATGGTTGAGAGAGAGTTTTATTTCCTTGGAATCCTCAAAACATGCACTAGCTCTAACTTCTACCCCCTAATCATATCAATTTCGACCTTGGTCATGTGACGTACAGCTTTTAACCATATTATGTCTTGCAAGGGATTTAGTCAATATGACAAGCGTTTACTCTCTTTCAGAAGAAGAATACACATAAGACTGGAAGAGTATATACTGAAATATGATTCATTTAACGTTGATTTAACTACTAGTGTCTGGTGTTCCGAACCCCCCGAACAACGCCCCCCACGTTCCGGGGGCTGCGCACATTTCACATAATCTAAAAAAAAAAGATTCTATTACAACCGCAGACTCTCGGCAATTTAATCAGCTCATTAAGTTCCTCATTTCTCCTGACATAGCCATAATAATGAGTCCTCATTATGAAGGACCCATAGATCTGAACCTTGGACTGTCGTCTGCAACGCCGGCGGTGTCGTCAGGAGAGGCTACAACTAGATCAAATACCAACGGCCCGCCAAGCCCAATACTTCATCGGCTTCCACATTTGAAAGTAGATACAATTCAGAATGCCTTTTCAGGAGCATTGGATGCTCTTGATGGAGCCGGTGACCGTCTTCTTCACATATTGGATGACCCAAACCCTGTTCCTGAACATGTCGAGCATTTTAAGTATAAACAGGATCTTGAACGGAAACTTACAGTGACATCCGTGATCGGACTTGGGTTTTCACTCATGGGGGTACCTTATGGAATTCTGTCTACCCTTTGGATCTCACTTATGGATGGTGGAAATGTGACTCTATTGTATGGATGGGTAATTGTTGCATTTTTCTCAGTATGTGTAGTGCTTTCATTGAGTGAGATGTCTCTGAAGTATCCAACTGCTGGTGGTGTATACCATTTTTCGGCCATTCTTTCTAACGATAAATATTCATTAGTCAGTTCATGGTATACTGGGTGGTTTCTTCTTGTGGGGAATTGGACTTACTCTCTAAGTATTATGTTTTCTGGAAGTGAATTTATTTTACTGGTGTTGGGGTTAAGAAATTCTTACTATAAAGAAGACGTATTCATTGTACTTGCCATATTCTTTATCCTACTCACTATATGTGGGTTTATAAACTTTAAGTTACTGAATTATCTTGAGAACATCAATAGGATTTGTATACTTTGGTCAATTGCCACAGTTTTACTCATTGATATTTTACTTTTAGTATTTGCCAAAAGAACAAATTCCATTAAAGACATTTTAACAAGCTTCGACAACACAAGAAGTGGCTGGCCATCACCGATAGCATTTCTTATAGGTCTTCAAGCTAGTTCATTTACTATGACTGGATATGGAATGCTCTTTTCTATGACCGATGAAGTGAAGAAGCCAGAACGAAACATGCCCAAGGGAGCAATTCTGGCTACAGTAATTGCGGGCTTTACTGGACTTTGCTTTATCTTGCCACTATTGACGATTCTTCCTCAATTGACTGTGTTGCTCGACGAGACGCCAGAGATCATGCCAATTGATTTGGTCTTCAAGACTGCGACCGAATCATATGTTGTATCGTTCTTGCTCGTCTGTTTGCTTATAGGTACAGTGATATTTCAAGCCATTGGTCTGTTAACTACAGCCCTGAGAAATACATACGCATTTGCAAGAGATGGGGGTTTACCATTCAAACATCTTTGGATCGAAGTGGATAGTATTGATGCATCTATTGTCCCCAAAAATGCTCTTTTCCTCTCAATGATGGTTTGCGGGATCCTACTGTTCCTCGCCCTTTGGTCAGAGCTGGCATTTAATGCATTTATGGGGGCACTGGTAATTCTGTTGGCTCTTTCTAATGGAATTCCAATACTTTGTCTCATGATGAATAAAAGACAAAAAATCCAAGGAGCTGCTTTTAGATTAAGATATTTTGGATGGTTAGTTAACGGGTTAAGTGTCTTTTGGGTTATTCTTCTGTCGATAATCTTATGTTTCCCAGTGGTGATTAAGAATCTCACTGTTTATCTGATGAATTATAGCGTTGCTGTGTTTTCAGGATTCACAATTTTTGCCACTGGTGGATGGTATGCTTGGGGTAATGGTTCATTTGAAGGACCCCAAATAGATACAGATTATTTCGAGCTTGAAAATCAAACTTTACGGAATGAATTTGAACTTGACGATGAAATAGATTCTGATAATGAAATATTGGATGATGATTATGATGATGAAGAAATTGAAGGAAGAGTTGATGATGAATTGAGAAATCATAACTTTGGAGAGGAAGAAGGGGATTCCCATAGAAGAAGCAGTAGTAATAAGCGGGAATAATGTAAATATTTTATAGATTAATAGAGAGACAATATAAAAGCATATGGTAACTTCTTCCCCCTATTAGATAAAATCGGGGAATGCCCTTGTTAGAATGATACCATTTTCTAAACCTTTCGTTACATGGAGGTTTAAACCTTCCATTCAAGTATTCTTAATGCGGTATGCATTATTATTAATACCCACATACCATTTAGTTTGATATATTTTGGTTGCAATTTGCACCCATTCCCCGATATACCGCGCTGTGTAATTTTAAGACCGGAAAATTTTTAAATTTTTTTCAGTTGAGCGGCGACTAAGACGAAAATCGGAAACGGAAGGTAAAGACTGACAGATACATGTTTAAAAAAAGGTTTTCAAAATCTGCATAAATATATACATAAACCTCACATAAACCAAGAAATAATATGTCAGCAGATCATACTAGAGATCCATGTCCTATCGTCATTTTGAACGATTTCGGTGGTGCCTTTTCTATGGGTGTCATTGGTGGATGTGTATGGCACGGAATCAAGGGGTTCCGTAACTCTCCTTATGGGGAACGTGGATACGGTGCCATCTCTGCCGTCAAGGCTAGAGCTCCAGTTGTCGGTGGTAACTTCGGTGTCTGGGGTGGTCTTTTCTCCACCTTTGACTGTTCTGTCAAGGCCATTAGAAAGCGTGAAGATGCTTGGAATGCCGTCATTGCTGGTTTCTTCACCGGTGGTGCCTTAGCCATCAGAGGTGGTTGGAGACACACCAGAAACTCAGCCATCACCTGTGCCTGTTTGTTGGGTGTTATAGAAGGTGCCGGTATGATGATTCAAAGATTGACCGCACAACCAACCATGGCTCCAGCTTACCCTGACGCCCCCATGCAGGCCTAGGCGGTATATAGAGTAGTTAACGATACTCCAGAGAAGAAGAAGGGGGTGAAGGGATAGCTTGAGATAGTGCATGTATGTGAACTGGATGTTTTCAATGGCACTATATTTCCATACTCACCCTTTCTGGTAAACTGACTATAATTTGGTCCGGAGTTGAGTCATTTGACTGAACGCACACATTTATGAACTTGTACATATAGAATACAGAATGAGAGAGATTTAAATCAATGGAAAATGTAGTTTGAGTGTAGTGTAGGTGTATCAACGGAAGGTGAAACAATTGGGAAGAGAAGTGATAGATGTACTATAAAGTCTATTAAGGATGTTTTTTTTGTTGTACGTCACTATTATTGGTTAGAGATGCTATGAAGTATGGTCCTTATTAGGTTGGTTGTTTATAATCGACATCAATGTGATATAGTACCAGGTCAGCCGTTCATTCAACCGAAAAAAAGGATCATAGAAATGGTTACTCACCGAAAACTTGGAAAATAAAAATCTCCAGAGTTCCTGATTACTATATGTAGCAACAAAGAGATCGAGAGAGGTAACTTTGATAGTGGTGATACGGGGTGTACACTCATATATATATATAATCGTATTCCCCATTATCTATTTGAGGGTCCCTATTCTGAAAGTAGCAAATCTTAAATGAATTTCGGACCTACTAACCATAGAGACCGAGTCTAGAGAAAAATGAAACACCAAGTATTCTAATATGGGCTCTTTCTAAGGTGAAAAATGTGCTCTAGAAGTATTACACATTGCTCTAATTTGTTACTCTTGCCTACCAACACCCCCCTCATTACTAGCGCTGGTAGCAATTTGGGTTTTTTTTTGCGCGCACACTTTCACTTTCCCCAATCGAAGTTCGCACGTCCGTTTTGTTGATCTCCAGAGACTCCCCTTGACTAAGTAACATAGATTGTACTTCGTTAAAACTCAGTTTCTATTCTACTAAAGACGCGAGTCTATCGGTTGAACATCTATGTCGTACAATTACAATTCTAATCGGCACAATTCCATAGGGGGAAACTGGCATCTCCTGCTGAACGGCGGGTTTGTCCAAGACCTCCCACTGGACCAACAAGGTCAACCCCAACAACAACAGCAACAGCAACAGCAACAACCTCCTGGGTTCCGGAACCCCTGGTTCTCGGCACCTTCAACTGCTGCTGGCTCTGGTAGTCTGGCTCTCTCACAGTCACCCACAAAAGGCCCCCCTTCCCTTAATCCTTTATTGGCACAAACGGCTGCTCTGAGAAGACTATCGTTTGCTAATCAACTTCCCACTACATACGAGACCGAACAACAACAGCAACAGATTGCACAGGGTCATCGTGGTCTGATAGTTCCACCGTTCATCCACCCTCCAACTAGAGCTGACAACCCGTTCAACTACTATACAAGTCAAGAGGTTTCGTTGGGTGGTGGTCCAGGAGGTGCTGGAGCTGGTGTTGGAGGAGACCGTAGAATGAGTGCAGCTGCAGTGGGGACTTATGGAGGTGTTGGAGCATTCAATTATTTGAAAGCAGCTCCAGTTAACGTTCAAATACCCCCAGGGACCGCAGCTCAAGGTTATCAACTGAGTGCCCAACAGCAACATCTACAACATCAATTGAGCCACCAGCAAATGCAGCTAGGAGGGGCGCAAACGTACAGACGGAGCTCTGTTGCTGTCGGGGCTTACCAGCCACTGTGGGAAAGGGGAGGCTATTACACAAATAACAACACTGCTGGACTGCAATACTGGGGGGACAATTCTGGCCAAGAAGGAGGAAGAGGTCCACAAACAGGTCCAATAGGAACATCAGGGACTCCAGTTTCTGCCCCTGGAAGTGGCGGTGCTGGCTCGAATTTACCAGGCAGTGGCGCTGGTGTTACTCGTAAGACTCCTCGAGCTCGTAGAATCAATTCTAGATTTGATCTTCGCCCAAAACCAAATTCTCATCCAAAATATCGTCGTTGTTCCATTAATTCGATTCATATATCCCCTGTCAATGCGCTCTCTGTCTATATAACTGAGTCGTATGCAATTTGTCAACCAAAAAGATTCCAATACTCAAAGCTGACCAATCCAAAACGTGTTCTTACTAAACCTCTGGAACCAAAATTCAATAATGGTTTTGATAATGAAGACTCTGATTATATCCTTTATGTGAATGATATCCTAGGGACTGAAGAGGGGAGGAAATATATTGTTCTTGACCTACTTGGATGCGGTACTTTCGGACAAGTGGTGAAATGTCAGAATCTTTCTAATCAGTCACTCGTGGCAGTTAAGGTGATTAAATCCAAGCCAGCTTATATGAACCAATCACTTACAGAAGTACGACTCTTGGAATTCCTCAATGTGAATTCACTGGGGAAATCTTTCATTAGGCTCTTAGATACGTTCATGCATAAGGAACATCTTTGTCTTGTCTTTGAACTTCTTGCATCTAATCTTTATGAATTAATTAAACAAAACCAATTCCAAGGGTTAAACATGAGACTAGTTAAACTTCTTACCCGTCAACTTCTAGAATCTTTGCTGCAATTGAAAGGATTCCAAATGATTCATTGTGATCTAAAACCTGAAAATATATTACTTTGTCAACCAGACAAACCAGATATTAAGGTGATTGATTTTGGGCTGGCCTGTTTCACACGTCAAACTTCTTATACATATATTCAGAGTAGATTTTATCGATCTCCTGAAGTTATTTTGGGTTTACCGTATACTGAGAGTATTGATATGTGGTCTCTTGGATGTATTGTGGGTGAATTATTCCTTGGATTGCCAATGTTCCCAGGGAACTCTGAATATAATCAAATTTGGAAGATTGTAGACATGTTAGGATTACCACCAAGACATATGATTGAAGTTGGAAGAAATGCTTCTAACTTCTTTGCGAAGGAGGGTAATTTGGGAACTACAGCAAGCGGTAATGCCACTGGTGACTTGAACACATCTGGTGGATCTTCGAGCTCATCAGGACCAGGTTCATCTCTCACTAGCCCAAGCCCCATTGGTGGGCCAGCTAGTGGGGACACCGGGCATGGGGTTTCAGGCGGTACTCAGCCAGTATCACGTCCAACATACCGTATCCGGTCAATGGACGAGTACCTTGCACATGTGAATGGCAATCGAAATAAATCAGAACCAGAAAAAACAGAAAAGCCAAATAAAATGTACTTCAAACAAAAGCTACTTAAGGACATCATTCTCAATTACAAACTTCCGTCAAAGAAAATGACCCCACTGATGATTGAGAGAGAATGGGAAGAAAGATACCTTTTGATTGACTTCTTGAGTAAGGTCTTGAACATGAACCCATTAGAAAGATTAACACCGCAAGAAGCTTTGAAGCATCCCTTTGTGAATGAAACTGCAAAACCAAATCCTGGATTCACTGCTGGAAATGGAAAGCTTTACAAGTAGTAGCCTAATGAATGAGAAACGGAGACATGTACCATAACAGTGCTGATCAGGAAACAATTGATGGTATACAGAGAATGAAATATATACTTATTGTTATAAACTTTCATGGATATTGAAAACTAGTTATAATTAATTCACGTACTACATAAATTGTATGCGAGATAATTCAAATTCAATGACTGGAAGTGAGTTTTCCCGTGTTGTAGAGTATTTAGAGACTTTTTTAATTATAACCGTGTTATAGCGTGTTTTAGTTTCATAAATGCAATGAGCTCGGGCTACACCAGTACAGTTCCTCTTCCCACTGACATTCATATATAGATAGTATTTTAAATTTAACATTATATGAAGTTGGCTAGATAGTAGAGTTGTATCTTCATTTAAAGTGTGCGCGCACTCGATCGAGGCGAACAAACAAAAATGGCGAAAAGTAAAAAAGTATAAAAACACAAAATGTTCAATATATAATACCAAGAAGGATAACAACACAACAGAATAATGAACGTATCCACTTCAGCCTTGGGTGTTCGCCGGAGAAAGCCAGCCACACAGAATATTGACGAGGAGGAGAACTCGTCCGTGTTGAAGCTTGGACCAGAGTTCCAACTTAATCAAATCACCAACTCGGGAGACCGTGAACAGTTGATTGCGTTGAACTTATCTGAAGCCCGGTTATTGATCAGGGCTGCTCTCCAAGAGCGTCAGCACAAGAACGGTGGTGCGGGAGATGATGCATATGACGAGGAGCAAGAGAAGGAAGACGAGATCGCTAACATGGCGTTGGCAGGACCAAACTCCAATGAAATTATGCACAAGACATTGAACTTTTTGCTGAGTTTTGCTCGATTCAAGAACTCTTCATCGACTGAAACTGTCGAGAAGCTTTTAAATGACTTCAGTGCGCTGGCTTCAGAACCTTTACACCCTTTCGAGTTGGCACAACTTGGTACATTAGAATGTGAAGATGCTGAAGAAGCCAAATCTTTAATTCCAAGTTTGGCTAACAAGGTATCCGACGTTCTGTTACAAACTTTGTTGACTGAATTGAGAAAGTACCAAACATTATCATGATTATGCGATAAAAGTCTAGGAGGGGGGTATAAATTTGTCAAAACAAAAAGAAGGAGGTGTTTGAGACACATCAGATGGGGAGTCTAATGGCGCCCAATTTACAATAAATGTAGTATATATACGAAAAGAATACATAATAAAGATTAAGGAGGATGAGCTCTAACACTTTACAAGAAATTATTGAACGAGGTTTTTACCAACTTGATTTCAACAAATATGGTTCCTATAAACTTGGTTTCTTTTTGTACAGGTTACACTTTTTAATATTGAATGAATAAGTGTTATGAAAGGAGTGGTAGTAAATAATTAGTACTGATACTGGCGATAAATTGGTCGATGGCAATGTTCATGTACCTTTAAATATGAATTTTTCATATTTGTATAAGGTGGAATTGTTAAAGATGAGCTTTATTGATTATATTATTTGTTTGATATTATCACAGAACCTCTTTATAAGTCCATGTAATAATGCTAGCCTCAAATTACATCCTACACATTGAACAGGATTCAAATTGTAAAAATATTATAGAGACTTTTTTTTTAAACCTAGTCCACTACTATATTCCAGCCCTAGTAAAACCATATAGACATACATAGTCCTAGATTCTCTGGATTTGTACATTGACAGTAGATTGGTGTCATTTTTGGTTCTGATCCTTTAAATTTGGTCATATATCTCCACGAAATTTGCAGCCAATCTTTTTTTTATACGAACAACAGCACTTTTAAACTAATATTAATCTACAATCTACAATACTCTTTATTCTGATCATTATCAAAATCTCTATTAACACGGTATTGCCCCTCTTCTATTCATATTATCTCTAAACTTTCCCATTGAGGTTTTGTCTCCATCTTCTCTGAACAGATTCCCACCTGCAGTACCACTCATCGAGATATCAAACTGTTTAACATTACCTTGTAAACAATCCAACTAATCATCTACAACATAAGCAATTAAACCATACAGCTCAAGATGGATGGCGATGATATGTATGATGAATTTGGGAACTACCTCGGTGACAGTGATGATGAGGTGTCGGATGTAGAGGTTGAAATGGCCACAGAGATTGAGCCTATAATCATCTCAGACCAGTCGAAAGATAATGGCGACGTTGAAAATGATGATAGCTCCATTCATTCTATCAATGGTGTCAAACAAGGTACCGTTGTTAAGCATACGTTACAATCCACATTTGGTGAAGGGGTTGAAACTATAATCCTGCGTCCATTCGACGCTATGGTTGATGAACCGGTGATCAAACCAAAAATTGTAAAAGAATTGAAAGTTGAAGTGCTGACAACTATCGATGATAAATCACTACCAGAGGTAACATTTTCAAGAGATTATCTTCAACAGATATCGCATACTGTGCCAGATCGTATCAGAAATGTAGCTATTGTCGGAGGTCTTCACTCAGGTAAGACAACTCTTGTGGATCTTTTCATATTGCATACCCATTCATCCTTGGCATCACTGGTCTCGCCACTTCGGTACACAGATAATCACAAGTTGGAAGTAGATCGAGGATTATCGATCAAGATGTCTCCTGTGAGTCTCTTACTAAACGATCTGAATGATCGTTCATTTGCTATGAATATATTGGACTCTCCTGGACATCCAAATTTCCTTGACGAAACATTGGCGGCGATGCATGCGTCAGATGGCATAAGTTTGGTGGTTGACGTTGTAGAAGGGTTATCTCCATCGGATAAGACTATTCTTGGTGAATGTATGAAACGTAATCTTCCTATTTGTGTTGTATTGAATAAGATGGATCGATTAGTTTTAGATTTAAGATTACCAGTACAGGATGCCTATTACAAGATCAGACATGTTTTGGATGAGATTAATGAATGGATAGATACTAATGAATGGTCCGCTGTATATAGTCATGAGAAGGAAATGTCCCCACTTACAGGAAACGTTTTGTTTGCTTCTGCTTCATTGAGATGTGTCTTTTCTTTGGAAACATTTGTGAAAATGTACAATCATAACCTGCTATCCGTCAATGATCTTTGGAGTGATGATCTTGATGATGGAGACGATCTTTACTATAATTCAGATACCAAGACTGTGTCCGAAACTTCAGATGCAGGTAAGTTCAAACAAACATTTGTGGCAATGGTTTTGGAGCCATTCTATAAACTAATCACCTATTCAATTACAGGAGATGAACGTTTACCAAGTCTATTGAACGATTTTGGAATAAAATTGAAAAAAGAGTGCTATACTTGGGATGCACAGGAGTTGGTCAAGGAAGTCTTCACCAGAATATTTTGGGGCGGAAGTGGATGGGTTGATATGATTAGTGCTAGTATCCCCCTGGGATTTCTGAGTTCTAAAGTAAACGGACCAAGCTCTGGAGAAGATCATATTACCACACTCTCTGCTAGTATCATAAAACTTGTCGAATCATCTTCAGGTGATTCATTTTTCGCACTTGTCAAGATTCATAGTGGATCTCTCAAAACTAATAGTAAGGTAAAGATACTTGGCGAAAACTTTCTTGAAGATGATGATGACTACCGGGTGGAAACGATACATGAACTTTACCTCCCTGGTGGACGGTACCGTGTTCCTGTCACTGAAGTGACTGCCGGGGGTATAGCCTTGGTTTCCGGAATAGATAGCATTATATCGAAGGGTGGATGGATAGTTGACGTAAATCATGCAACTACTACAAAACTCCCCCAATTCCCTAACTACAACTCTTCGTCAGTTTTCAAGGTCGCGGTTGAACCTCAGGTTCCTGGTGATCTTCCAAAACTTGTTGAAGGGTTCCGTCGTTTAAATAAGGCATATTTAGCCAGTCTTATCAAGGTTGAAGAAAGTGGGGAACATGTAGTGTTTGCGCCAGGTGAATTATACATGGATTGTATGCTCCACGATCTTCGATACTTTTTCTGCGATGAAAAGTTATCACTTAAGGTTAGTGACCCGATGACAAGATTTAGTGAAACTTGCTCTAACTCATCTGCCGCCAAAATCACTACATATTCCCCATCTAGCCATAATGAAATTTCTATCACAGCTGAGCCGTTTGAGGAACCAAATTTGGCTTGTGCCCTTGAACAAGGTCAATTGGATTTACTGCAACCACTGAAAATAACTGCCAAGTATCTTCGTGACGAACACGGTTGGGACTCGTTAAGTGCTCGTTCTCTCTGGGCTTTCCATCTACCAGACAATACGGGGCCGCCAAACATCCTCCTTGATGATACCTTACAGTCTGATAAGACTTTACTAAATTCGGTGAAAGACAGTATTTCACTTGGTTTCAAATGGAGTACTAATGAAGGTCCCCTCTGTGACGAGCCTATTCGTAGGACTAAGTTTAAAATCTTAGATGCAGTTATCAGTGGATCAGAAATCCAAAGAAGCGGTACTCAAATTATCCCTATGACTAGAAAGGCATGCTATGCTGGATTTATGACAGCTAGTCCGAGATTAATGGAACCCGTTTATTCGGTACATGTGACCTGTATTTCCCAGGCAGTTCCTGCTATCTCTAGAATTCTTGCTAAAAGAAGAGGTACAGTAACCCTGAGTCTGGGTATTCCTGCAACAAAGTTATATCGTGTTGAGGGAAGCGTTCCGGTGATCGAATCATTTGGGTTAGAAACTGATATCAGGCTCCAAACACAAGGTCAAGCCATGTGTTTCCTTGAATTCTCTCAATGGGATTTAGTCCCAGGGAATCCTTTGGACAAAGATTGTTTCCTCCCTTCCTTGAGACCAGTCCCAATAGAACTGCTTGCGCGGGATTTTGTTATGAAGACTAGAAAGCGGAAGGGTTTAAGTGGTGAACCAAACTTACAAAAATTTATTGGAGCAGAATTGTATGACAAGTTAAAGGAGAGCGGATTAATAGATAAATAGTTAATAGAACAATTCTATATCCTTAATATGTCTGAAGATAAAAACTCTCTTCAATTCACTTCTACAAATTTCATATCTAGTTTTAAAAAATTCTTCTTTCTATATATTGATACATAATACACATTTGCAACTCCTCTATGGGGCCCATACTTTAAATGCCTGGGGGGTGTCTATTGAGAGTGGCTTTACATCTTCGGATTGATCGGCAGAATCACCACTTTTTCCGTCTTCTTCTGGAATATCAACGGTGCTCTTTACAAGTGATTGTCTTGCAGATTTGTATACGAGTCCCTGAACTTCAGAAATGATGGAAGATAAATCTTCATTCGATTCCTTAGCTTTGAGAAGCTCAACTGCTTCCTCGAGCTTCTTGGTGATTTTTAAAGTCGATTGGGTGAGTGCTAGCCTATCAATAAATAATTCTTCTTGTTGTTTTGCAAGAAATTGACGTTCGAGTTCGTAATTTTTTTCCATCTCTTCAACTTTTTCAAGTTTAAGATCAACCTTTGCCAATTGTTGATTCACAATTGTTGCACTAAGTTTATTCATTTCTCGCTCTTCATATGATGCAAATAAATGACTACGTGCTCCAACAATTCCAAATGTAGATGCAACCGCTCCACAAGATTCTATTTCCTCAGTATTATCCTCCGTTTTAGGATCCTTCCCGTTTTCTTCACCCTCTTTAGCCTCACCATCTTTATTCTCATTCACTTCTTTATCATTCTCCTTCGGATGTCCGTTCAGATCAGCGCCATTAATTCGTTCAATTAATTGTTTATCTACTACTTTTCTAGCACTCAAGCTTGCAGCTTTCGCAACCTCGCTATCAACTAATTGTGTCATGAATGCCAAGTTACTCATCACTGGATTATCCACTGAACTAATGGGGAAATTTGGGGCATACTTCAATAATCCCAACTTGTCCAGCTGTTCGTTGTATTTATCTTCAATAGGAAGTTTTAAAAATTTCATTACACATTCTTGAGGTGTTTTATTTCCGACAGCTTTCGCAATCTTATACCAATCATTTTTGAATTCCTTAATTGACTTCACAAGTGAATCCTCCTCTTCAGACGTCCAATTGTCCCTTTGTCTTTTACTTTGACCTTCGGTATCTTCACCGGTTCTCTTTTCTCCTCTCTTTTCTTCTGTTTCTCCTCCACTCTTAAGGAAACTTCTCAATTTACCTATGTCAATATTATCTGTGGTAGGCTTGTACGTATCAAACGGAAACAAACCCCTTGGTGTGTCATAGGTAACATGAAAGTCTCCAGTGTATGGTAATCCAACTGAATTTTCATTGGGCAATTTTTCAATGGCATATCCAGGCTTAAAACTTGGATTCACTTGATAATTAATTAAGCCCCACTTGTTAAGAAATCTGTGAACACGCATCAATGTCCCGACATCCCCAACCAAATTACGACGACATGATGTCAAGGTAAGATATTCGTTAGGATTCAATCTGTATGAATTCATCATAAAATTACGGTAATTTGCGTAAATCTTTGGGGATTTTGAAGGATGATTCCCTGTGAAAAACTCAGGAAGCGAATCCTTTTCGATCTTATGAATCTTCTTCATACGGAACCAAGAAGCATATGATGGAATGATGATTGCGTGTGTCTGCTTAATTGGGTTAGAAAGAGTATCGGCTTCAGCCTCTTCATCAAGTTCAGCATTCGCTTCTGCTTCTTCTTCAGCGTCAGCAGCAGCTTCAGCATCCGCCTCAGCTTTGGCTTCTGCTTCGGCATCAACTTCAGCGCTTTCATCCTTAACTGCGTCTTCCATTTCAATATCCTCTTTTTCAACAGATCCATTAGTATGAGAAGCCTCATTTTCATTTTCTGTCTCACTTTCCTTTTTCGGTAATGAAACGGCTGAAGGATCCGTAAAATTGTCTACAATATTATCCATATCATCATTCTCTTCGGCGTCTGGAATATCGAACAATTCATCTTCTGAATCTGAATCAGCAGGAACTTCAAGATCTTTGGAAATGAGATCTTCATTAGTAGAAGGACCTTCACCTTGGTTTTCTACATTGTTATCCATTTCAATATCTGGTGCTTCCCTCGTAACTGGTACATCAGATTCAGGAGCTTGAGGCTGTTCCTCTGCTTGTGCTACTTCGGATGATTCAGGTGCATCGCGTGCATCAATTGGAGCAGAATCTTCTGTTTCGGGTACTGTTGGGGGTGCGAGTGATTCGGAAACTTCATTAATTGTAGAGGATTCATCATTTCCTTCAACTTCAGCGTTATTTTCCCCTCCAGAATTATTAGTTGGCTCGGCAACATTCTCTTCGTTTAGCACAAACCCAACTGGTTCACTTCCTTCTTGGCCACCCTGTAAAGCTGACAATTCTTCATGTGAAATTTTGGTCAAAGAATCCTCCTTTGGTTCTCCTGTGTTGAGTCCTGACGTATTCGAAGGGTCATCTTGCTGTGAAAATTGTTCTGATTGAACTGAAGGGTCAGAGAGAGGTTGCGCATCAGTCTGTTCGGATTGATCAGCCTGTGGTTTAGTCTGTTCAGTCTGTTGAGTTTGCTCATCTGGGAAACTCTGTTCAATGTTTTCCTTTGAAACAGGCAATTCATTATTCGTTGAATCCTCGACATTTTCTGGATTAGAACTCACATCGAGCTCATTACCGTTCTCTAATTGAACATTCTCTTCTAAATTAGGTTCAATTGTGTCATTTGTATTATCAGTATTATTAGTATTTGTTTTATTAGTTTCATCTTCATGTGAACCAACGGCGCCTGAATCAATAGCAGGTTCATCTGCTGCTGGTTGTTCAAAGTTGTCGGTGGTATCTTCTATTTGTGCAGGGTTCAATTCAGACTCTTGTTCATCTTGTTGTTCAATTTGGTCTATAGGTGGTTCAGAGTCTACAATGAGGTTTGAAGCAGTTTCTGTTTGTTCAGTAACATTAACTGGTTCTGTTCCTGTAGCTTCTTGCAATTCAGTACCAACGATAGGTTCTTCCGTAGCCATTTTAGTGTCGGGATTGTCTTCCCTCGGACTGGATCTACCTTCTACACTCATTTTCCGTCCAATAATTTCAAATACTCTATTGTTGTTTGTTCAAAGATTTTTGGGAGTTTTTGGGGAGTTTTTTGTGTCCTGCGTATAGTCTCGCAATTAACAAGCAACACAAACAAATAAAAACGCTAATCTAAGAGTTGGATACGTGTTTATTCCAACTTTTGAATTCAATATTGGATAGATAATAGATAGGTATTTCTCTTTTGTTATATTTAAATATGATAATCGTATGTTATATCCCTTATTATGGCAATTTAAATTTAAAAAAGGAATCGTTTGGTTAAATTCACAGACCAAAAAAGGACCAATCAAAAAATTTTGGCAACCGTTTTTAGGGGCGTACACGAGTTTTTATTACTGCCAACTAGAAGTTAAATTAGAAGGAATAGTAATAGTATTGTATGCTATCGATAGACAAGTTATTGTGATATATTAAGGCCCCAATTCCAATTAACGGTTAATATACGCGTCTTACTTTTAAGAATCGATTCTTTCAATCTATAGCTTAAAGTAGTCAATTGCTATTGATTGGTTGTGTGGGTTGATTTTTTTTTCCTTACACCCCTGACGAGATTTGTGCGATTATGAAAGCATGGTCCTGGATGTCGTGCGCGGCACCAGAACACTAAATAGGGAGTTATAGATAGGCATGGTAGGGTATTAGACAAACTCAAGGGCCCATAAAGCAGTCCTTCTCTCAGCGTTGTCAGAAAGAAAAGAATAATTATCAGAACAAGAATCCTCAAAGGGGGATGTGGATCTGGAAGATATACAGTGAGGTACGTAATTATTATTTTTTTTTTTTTTTTTTTTTTTTGCATGTTGCAGATAAGATCAGACGCAGACAATAAAAAAAGGTTTTAGATTTAGAGGGGCAATGGACGAGTTACAAAAGAAACTAAGGATAGAAGATATTTAAAGAGAAATCTCTATAAATAGTGCATATGTAGGTACCATGCAGTGAGGGTCCATTGAACCGGAGTAGAACTGTAGAATTGGAAACCCTACGGAGGAAAATAGGGGTTCTACTTTAGGGGCGCTTAATATCATGACTTTTGTACTAAATTAAACTTGTTCCTAGTTTAACTCTAGCCTATATTTCAATTGATGGAAATAAAAGTTTCTCGGGATATACGGTTTCTAATCCCTACAGGACCGAAGTATAATATTGTATGCCGCATTGTGGCAATCTGTAGGAAAGTATGACTATAATATGCATCCAAGAGTGTGCTTTCTGATTTGTTGTTCTATGATTCCGTTCCTCTAGAAATCGAAATGGAAATTTCGAAAGCTACTGAATATATAATTCAAATACTTTCTTTTTAAAGTACTCTATCCGACACTCAGACCTATTAAATATAATGAACTTCAATTGACTGGGGAGAAAATTGCAGATCGGACTAACACATCTACTGGTTTTATTCCGTAGAATTTTATTTAAAGGATGAACTTACTTCCAAGGATACTTGCGTTCCTTGGTTCACGTGTAGAGTCAAAATGCTAGATCCCAATACAATACAATACAAAGCAATTACTCTAGCTTGATATCCAACTCTACAATCATAATTTCTACTATACTTTTATTAGTATCATATATCTACTGTAAATGCTATTCTGGACGATCAAATATCAATCGTCTTATGGTGGGCGTCACGTTTCTCCATCGCCTCGCTCCTTCTCTCATCTTTCAAAATCTTTGACTTAATGTCCATGAGGAATAGGGTTGTCAATCACTACACCTTCTCTGACTTTACCGCCTTCAACCCATCCACCATATCCAACGGTTTGGTTTTCGTATTGCTTGATTCTGTCAACCATGGTTGGTCTGAATGACTTGATCAAACCTTGGATAGGCCAAGCAGCAGCATCACCCAAGGCACAAATAGTGTGACCTTCAACTTGTTTAGTCAATTCGTAAATCATGTCAATTTCGCTTTCCTTAGCTTGACCAGTGACAAATCTATCCATCATTCTTTGTAACCAAGTGGTACCTTCACGACATGGAGTACATTGACCACATGATTCGTGCTTATAGAAGGCAGAGAATCTTTGGATAGCTCTGATGACATCTGTTTGCTTGTTCAAAACAATAACAGCAGCAGTTCCCAAACCAGAACCTTCATCTCTCAAGGCATCGTAGTCCATCAAAACATTGTCACATACATCCTTAGGCATGATTGGAACGGAACAACCACCTGGAATAACCCCCAAAAGGTTGTCCCAACCTCCCTTAACACCTCCACAATGCTTTTCTAACAATTCCTTCAATGGAATAGACATTTCTTCTTCGACAGTACATGGTTCATTAACATGACCAGAGATACAGAATAATTTAACACCAGCGTTTCTTTCTCTACCGAATGAGGCAAACCAATCACCACCTCTTCTTAAGATAGTTGGGGCAACGGCAACGGTTTCAACGTTGGCAACAGTGGTTGGTCTACCAAAAAGACCAACACCAGCTGGGAAAGGTGGCTTCAATCTTGGCTTACCAGCCTTACCTTCAATGGATTCAATCAAGGCAGTTTCTTCACCACAAATGTAAGCACCCATACCTCTGTGAATGTAGATATCAAAGTCATAACCAGATCCACAAGCGTTCTTACCCAAAAGTCCAGCCTTGTAGGCTTCGTTGATGGCATTTTGCAAGATGACGGTTTCGTTGTAGAATTCACCTCTGATATAAATGTAGGCAGCAGTAGCGTTCATACCTCTACCGGCAAGTAAACAACCTTCAACCAACTTGTGAGGATCCTTTCTGATGATCTCACGATCTTTACAGGTTCCTGGTTCACCTTCATCGGCGTTGACAACCAAGTATCTTGGACCAGGGTTCTTTTCCCATCCAGGAGGGTTCATGAAAGACCACTTGAGACCCGATGGGAACCCAGCACCACCTCTACCTCTCAAACCAGACTTCTTCATTTCGTCAATGATCCACTTGTCACCCTTTTGGATGATTTCCTTGGTCTTGTACCAGTCACCCATCTTTTGGGCAGACTTCAAGTCATGGCCGTACTTACCGTAGACGTTTTGGAAGATTCTGTCTTGATCTTTAAGTCCACCATGAACTCTGTTTGGGTTGGCTGCTGCGTCGGCAGTGGTGGCCAAACTACGGGCCACAACATTGACGTTGACGCGAGGAGCAGAAACCTTTGCAAGACGGTTCACACTATGTCTCAACCTAAGCATTTCTATTGTTTATGTGTGTATGTCCTGACAACAATTCAATCAAACTAATTCTTTGAACAATATTGATGGTACATTTTTTTTGTGTATGTGCGGTCATAAGATTTCGCGCTTGTTGATTGGATGGATTATATGTAGGATGGAGTATTCTTTGTTAGGCACAAGATGATTGGGAAGGTATTCTTAGGATGGAATGAATAACCTGGCATTGAATGGTGTTGGAATCATCAATGGGTCTGAGACATTGATCAAGCGCCATTATCTAAAAGGTCATCTACGAATTGTAGAGAATGGTGGGAAGGTCAAAATATAGAGTAGAATAAATAGAGATTATTAATTGGAGTGCAGGTAATTTGCAATCTAAAGAATCTGTCTCCTTGTATGTCATAGTGTGAAACGATAGTGTAATACTTAAAGAAATAAGTGGAGATGGAACTGTAATGATAATATGATACATTACATGTTAGTAAGAATAAATTGAAGTAAGATCGTGATTTTGAAGGTTATATTCTACATAAATCCCTCTAATTATTACTATTGATGACGCTTTCGTTTGTTTATTATAATAATTAATAGTTTTTTTTTTTTACGATTTGGACTAGTTAATCTCTATCGATGTTATCCCAATGATTATAATCATATCTCTTCTCATTCAACCATACTGATGCCCTATGTCTAAACATCCTTCATTTATTTTAATGTTAATCTTTCAATTTTCATCTAGTTCGCGCATTTTCCCCATCTCGCATCTAAACACTCTGTTGTCTATCAATAAACTCCTAGTTTAAATATTTTACCATATAATCAAGTAAGCTTCTAGCGATTCCGTGACTGCGAATACACAATGCCTCTGGTGCTCTTTAGGTCCTTAGTTGTCCTATTGACGCTATTGATAGCATCATATCTCTCTCAATCCACAGATCATTTTAAATCTACTGTTGATGGTTTACAACAACTGGTTCTTCTTAAATTAAGTTCAAATTCATACATTGATTTAAATCTAGTTGAAGCGTACCGTAAGAATAAACTACGCTCTCAGCAACATCAACAACAACAAGATCCACAATATCTTAAACAATCATGGGTGTTTCCCCAACTGCCATCGTCATATGGTCGTGAAAACGCCACTCTTGTAATGCTTGCGCGCAATTCCGACCTTGATGGTGCACTCAAATCAATGCGTTCCTTGCAGGATAGATTTAATTCTCAATATAATTACCCATGGGTATTTCTAAATGAAGTCCCATTCACATCTGAATTTATAGAAAAAACAACCTTAATGGCAGATGGGGCTCCAACATACTATGAACTCGTTCCTGAGTCGGATTGGGAACCCCCGGAATTCATAGATGAGTCCCGACTTCAAGCAAATCTATTTCAAGCTGAACAAGACAATGTTCTTTATGGGGGGTTTAGATCTTATAGAAACATGTGTCATTTCAACTCTGGGTACTTCTATCGTCAACCAATACTTTTAAACTATGATTGGTATTTTAGGGTAGAACCTGATGTGGAATATATGTGTGATTTCCAATATGATCCCTTCCGAGTACTTCGAGAAAATCATAAACAATATGGATTTGTAATTACTATCCATGAGTACGAGAACACTATCCCTACACTTTGGAATCATGTAGAGCTGTTCATTGAAACATACCCTCAATATATTCATCCAAATAATGCATGGGATTTCTTAACCTCAAAGGAACCTCTTGCCGACATTTCATTAGAGATAAATTCATCTTCATCCTATAACTTGTGTCATTTCTGGTCAAATTTCGAGATTGGAAATCTTAATTTTTTCAGAAGTGAAGCGTACCAAAAGTTCTTTGAACATCTAGATCATGCAGGTGGCTTCTATTATGAACGCTGGGGCGATGCTCCAGTACATTCCATTGCAGTAGCATTACTTCTTGATAAGAATGAAATCCACCATTTTGAAGATATTGGTTACTACCATGCTCCATACATGACTTGTCCTCTGGCTGAGGATTTACTACTGTCAAAACGATGCATTTGCCGTCTGGAAGGCTTGGAAGGACAATCGACATTCAAAGGAATGGATGTTGAGCTACATAGTTGTTTACCCCGATGGTGGAAGCATGGGCCGGGTAAAACATTCATGGATCCCGTTGTATAATAGAATTTTTCACGCATTGATTGCCGAGGTGATTAGAAAAATAGACAGATTCTGCCGAGTATTCTTATATGAGGGGCTTTGGTAAGGTAAGGTCCAGTAGTTATAAAAAAACAATTTTTTTGTACCTTGATTTGGAAAAACTTTATATTCAGTTGCATCGTCATCAATGTACCTCAATGTCATAATTATCCAGGTATCTCAAAATAAATGGAAATGTAATCAAGTATATAAAATCAGTCTACATCTCATCTTGTATAAATTAAAAGACATTACTCTATCAAATTGGCTGCAAACATCATTTAATTGGTGGTGGTTGCAACAACATCGTTTGTATGCACTACCGAATTCCCGTACATATTGGTTTGATGGATTATTGTGCTTTGTTTATATTGTTTTTCCCCCCACCCACTATATCTATAACAGAACAGATTGAAGTCTATTAACAAATTCCATTTATCCTTATTTGATGCTTTCTTAACAATAATGTTCTCCAATCAAAATTCACTATCATTTTTAAAATTTAATCCTCTTGTAACTAAACAAAATCTATTCTGAGATTTGTCCGGGTAATTCCATCGGTTTTGATGTGCAGAACTTTTTTTGCCTTTTGATGAGGTGCGACTTTTCTGCTCATCTCGAAAGTTTCAACTTGAATACTCATCACCTTAATCAAACACATTAACGATGGCTAAAGGAGGTTTGAAAACACAGTTGAAGATCCAAAAGGAGGCTGACAAGGGAAAGAAGGTGGAGAAGAAGGCCGAAAAGAAGTTGGAGGCTGTAGAAAAGAGTAAACCAGTTGAAAAGCCTGTGGTGACTCCTGGTGAGTTGAAGAGAATGAGAAAGGAAAAGAAAGAAAAGGATGCCTACCAAAGTGGTGTTTTATCCAAGAAGGAACAAAGACAATTGAAGAAGGCTGAAGCCGAAGCCGAAGCTGCCGCTGCTGCCGAAGAAGAAGCTGAGCAAGAAGATGATGAAGAAGAATCTGACGTAGAAGATGTAGAAGAAGAATTGGATTTGGAAAGATTGGCTGCTAGTGAAAGTGAAAGTGACATCAATGATGAAGAAGACGAGGATGAAGATGAAGAAGATGAAGAAGATGAAGAAGAAGACCCAGAAGCAGGAGCTTCTGAATCTGAAGCTGAAGATATTCCTCTCTCCGATGTTGAAATTGATTCCGATGCTGATATCGTTCCTCACACCAAACTCACCATAAACAACATGGCTGCACTTAAGGACTCCCTTGCTCGTATTGAGCTCCCATGGGCCAAGCATTCCTTCCAAGAGCATCAATCTGTAGTTTCTGCTGACCATACTGAAGCTTCCATCAAGGATATTTATGATGACACTGAAAGAGAACTTGCCTTCTACAAGCAAGGTCTTGATGCTGTCAAGCAAGCTCGTTCCACTCTTTTCAAGCTCAAGGTGCCGTTCTCCCGTCCTATGGATTACTTTGCGGAAATGGTTAAGTCTGACGAACACATGGACAAGCTTAAGAGTAAGTTATTGACTGAAGCTGCCAACAAGAAGGCCTCTGAAGATGCCAAGAAGCAAAGATCCTTGAAGAAGTTCGGTAAGCAAGTTCAACACGCCACATTACAAGACAGAGCTAAGCAAAAGAAGGAATCTTTGGAAAAGATCAAGTCTTTGAGAAAGCGTGGTAACAATGAATTCAGTAACGACGATGATTTCCAAATTGCTTTGGAAGAAGCCACCCGTGAAGACCGTGACGGTAGTTCCGGTCATGATAACAAGAGAAGAAAGCCTAACGCCAAGCGTATGGCCAAGGACTCTAAGTACGGTAGCGGTGGTATCAAGAGAGGTAGTAGAAAGAATGATGCTCAATCTTCCATGGACGTTTCTGGTTTCTCGGCCAAGAAGATGAAGGGTAAGACCGCTAGACCGGGTAAGAGTAAGAGAAGTAGAAGAGGTTAAGGTTTATATAAAATAGTAATGCATTAGAAAGAAAACGAGAAATTAGGGGTGTATGATGTAGAGAGGTGCTATTAAATATTACTCTTTGGAAAGTACAATTAAAATTACAGATACCCTGTGAAGGATAACAATATGGAAGTAGTATGGATTATATGGAATGGTCGTGCTATCCTATATGCTTTATGTCAATATCTACTAATTGAATCCCTCTAAATATTCAATGTTACTATCTCAAAAACTTCATCCGTAAAGTGGTTTTCTCACCATTTGCGTTACATTAAATATCACTATATTAATTTTATCAGTTTGTTGTAATATTGTAATGTATATCACTGATCTGGTTGATCGTTTTAATAATGTAAGATATTCATATCTTCTATACATTTATTATCTTTTTCAAATTTTTTAGTTTCTGAAGATAAATAGGTAAAAAAAATAAAATTCAAAATACAAGAACTTGTAATCGTAAGGTTAACACTCCTCTATTTACATATAGTACATACACACACGACTACAATATATTAATCAATACCTGCTCATGTACATAATCAAATTGATCAAACATTTATGAACGCTATCATTCTTTGGGTTGAAATGGCTGCAACATTTATATACAGGAAATAATAATAGAGAGAAATGTGGAATATGGTAGACATACATGAACAATATCACTGGTACTATGGACACTATAGCCACTAAATAGTAAGCTTCTCCTAGGGAATTCCAAAGTTCTGTTCATCTACTTTCATTTATACGAATATTTCATTGCAACATTAATGAATTGAGATGAATTCTCAACTCTAGTTAAAATACTTTAAACTACTGTCGATCCTGGGAAGTAGGGGAGCCCATGGCTATCCTTGGCGCCTAGTCCCTCGTTCTAAACATTATATACATTTCAAGTAGTCTATATATTTTGTGGTTTGACCTTCCCGATTCGTACCTACTGAACATCCTTCGATTAAATATTTTTTTTTGTTGATTTATTTATTTTTCTTGTCTTTTACGAGCTATACGATAAACTGGAAAAAAAAAATGAATCGAAAAAAAATACCTCGTCTTTTAGCCTCTTAAGAGTGTACGGTAACAAATGTGACGTCCAGTGCGCGCGTGTGCGTGGGCCCAACTTACCCAGTATGGCGTTCGCGGCTAGACATTTAAGTAAACCAAATCTTTTCTTATAACTCACGATTTCTCTTTCAATTGTCTTATCAAACTATTCAGTAAGTTTTAAATAAAATGCCTTTGGATAAAGCTGCAACTAAGCAAAAATTCGTAGATGAGTTCTCAGTTCTCGTTGAAGAACTTAGAGAAATCTTGGTTCAATACAAGATGCCTCAAGAAGCTATTGATTGGTACACTCGTTCTTTAAACTATAACACTCCAGGTGGGAAGTTGAACCGTGGGTTATCCGTAGTTGATACTTACTGTATCTTGAAAGGTGTTGATTTAGAAACCATTCCAGCTGATGAATACAAGAAGGTCGCTCTTTTGGGTTGGTGTATTGAATTATTACAAGCATTCTTCCTCGTCAGTGACGATATGATGGATGCCTCCAAGACTAGAAGAGATCAACCATGTTGGTACTTAGTCCCTGGTGTCGACAACATTGCCATCAATGACTCCTTCATGTTGGAAGGTGCCATCTATGTTTTGTTAAAGAAGCATTTCCGTCAAGATTCTTACTATGTTGATTTATTAGATTTATTCCATGAAGTTACCTTCCAAACCGAATTAGGTCAATTACTCGATTTAATCACTAGTGATGAAGAACACGTTGACTTGGATAAGTACACTTTGGAGAAGCATTCCTTCATTGTTAGATTCAAGACTGCTTACTATTCTTTCTACTTGCCAGTCGCACTCGCCATGTTCATGGTTGGTATCAACGATGACGCTGATTTGGATCAAGTTCGTGATGTTTTAATCCCATTGGGTGAATATTTCCAAGTTCAAGATGACTTCTTGGATTGTTTTGGTACTCCTGAACAAATTGGTAAGATCGGTACTGATATTAAGGATAACAAGTGTTCATGGGTTGTTAACCAAGCTTTATTGAAGGCCACTCCTGAACAAAGACAATTGTTGGACACCAACTACGGTCAAAAGAGCGATGAATGTGAACAAAAATGTAAAGATTTATTCGTTTCTATGGGAATTGAACAAATCTACACTGAATATGAAGAAAAGATTGTTGGTGAATTGAAGGCTAAGATCGAAAAGATTGATGAATCAAGAGGTTTGAAGAAGGATGTTTTGACCTCCTTTTTGGGCAAGGTTTATAAGAGAAGTAAATAAGTAGAGTAGTGGAATAGACGAAAGTAAATACTAGATCTTGTAGCTATTAGGAAGTAGCTATTAGAGAGGAGTGGCTTACAGGAGATATGGAGCTCATATTTTTTTTTTTTGGCTGCGAAAAAGTTTGAGCCAAACCTTTAACGAATTAGTTGACAATAGAGGGGGTGTTTATCAAGAGAATAGAAGTGGTTAAGAGGGAATAGCTGTCGGGGTTCTACTTGAAAACATCATGCTTAGTGTAATATCCCAGAGTTCGAAATTTTAAGTTCTAGAGATAGAGAGATGGAGTTTAGAGAAAATGCATCTAATTTAGAGACTCAGATTTTGTTTTTTGAGGAAAACATTACAGATAATTTACATAGTTGGAGCTTACTTAAGTTAGTTGTTATTTAAAAAAATGTAAATATCTTTCACATATACATATATGAGATGTTTAATTGCTGCAAAGTCTTGTTCTTGTGCTAACCTTAAATTTCATTCACCACTTCCTCGTTAGTTTCCTGAAAAAAAATCAGGTCTGCAGTTCAAGGAGTGCTACATACTTGAACACATCATACAGCTTAAATGAAACAGCAGCATTTTTGAAAGAAGAGTAGGTATTTCTAAAGAACTAAACGCCTTAACCTCATAATTCTCAATTATTCTACCTTTCAAATTTGCTTTGGTGCACCTTATTTGGCGTCAGCAAGAAATTAATACTCTTGCTATTGAAGTAATGCTAACATTTCACGCAATTGTATCTACAAGAAGCTGATCATGAACTGGGCATAACGGTACTTAACAGACACTGGGACATCCAGAATAAATTTTCTTGTATTACACAATTGCAATGTCAGTTAAGCTCCAGTATACCCATGGAACAGGATTAGACTTTCCTCTAGGATCTACATTCAACCTTATCATTTCTTTTATTATCTACTAAGCTATGCAATTTGTCGGATGCATTTAAGCGTTGACTATTTCCAATTCTTCTCTACCGGCCTTGGTGTACAAGTATTCGTTGTAGTCTCTGGCTTCGGTCCAAACGTTCCAGACGATGATGGCTGGGACGACAATGAAGAAAACTTGGTTCTTGGTTCTTCTGAAAACGTTGAAAACGGAGTTGTACAAAGCACCCTTCAATGGCTTGGTGGCATATGGAGAAACAGTGTAAGTGGTGATGTGCTTTTGGGCTGGAGAACCGATGTTACCCCACCATCCCATGTATGTCTTTGGACCAATTCCACCCATGATTTATATTGTACAAATAGTGTTTTGAATATTATCTATAAGAGTTAATCAATTTGATTAGATTTTGATATTGCGTGTAAATGGAGTTGAGAGTAAGAATGTTTTTTCGATCGCAGCTATTGGTCGAGTTGCAGGACAAAAGTTACGCAGAAAATTAGTTGTATATTGATCAAGCGCGCGTAAAAGAGAGTACGTAGAAGCTTTATTGATGTAAAGACATATATACTTTAATATGATGGACGTAGAATAACATTATGGGTATTATAAAAGCATTCTAATATTATAGTGATATATGAAGGTACTTTAACTATGTCTATAGTTTCAAAGGTAATGTAATGTAGATTGCTTTCGGTAGGATGAATCACCAGATCACGTGAGATACAATGGTTGCAATTTGGTATGGTAAATGATCAAACTGAAGTAAGCTATTGTATAAGATGTCTTAGGTATAAAGAGTCTAGAATAATCGGAAGAACTATATTACTGAAAGGTTGGAGATTTGATAGAGTATAATAATGTATAATTTTTAATTTAATTTAGTTGAACATATCTTATTCTCCGAGGAACAGAAGTAAGCGAGATACTACAACTATTAGATTTATCAGCAGATACACCATATGATTGTATTGCAATCAAAGACTTACCACCTTTATGTATATTTAATTATCAGAGAACATGTGTAAGTACTTTCAAGGAGGACTTCGACTTTAGTCGTAAGGTGCTATACGAATGATAGATACTTGAGAAAAAGTATACCGATAATCATGGAATCCACTACCTCCTCTTACCATACTTTTTATAATTACCTTACTACCTTAAGCACCCTTGAAAATCTTGAATTCTATCACTTTACAGCTTCGAATAATCAGACATGCCGATTTGAAGTGACCTTTTTATCAAAGGTGACTTCAACGATCACGAAAAAAAGACTACAGCTAATATGAAGAATGTTAGAATGTCAGTTTCACTAAGGAGTTTTATTAACACACACAACTCTTCACTTCATTCTATTAATGTTCGACAATGTCCATTCAAAATCTAAAGTATGATACAAACCAATGGTGGTATGATTTGAACTTCACACCCCCTCCCCCTCCGATGAGCACTCAATACTATCAATATCTCTACAATCAACATCTCAAAAATGGAAAATTCTTTGAACTTACAAATAGTTTCTACAATGTCTCTATGAAATTAATCATTAAAGAACTTTGTGTTTTCTAACCGTTACAGTATATTAATGTACATCGGTACGTATATAATATTTCACCTTCTTAAGCGGCAGTCAAACGCTTTTGAGCAACCAATCTACCCTTTTGTCTGGAGTTTAATCTAACCTTCTTGGCGTCGTCAGACTTGGCAACGTTTTCAGATTCTTCGGTCAAGATCAATTCAATGTGACATGGAGAGGATTGGTAGGCGTTAATTCTACCGTGAGCTCTGTAAGTTCTTCTTCTTTGCTTTGGAGCTTGGTTAACTTGGATGTGGGAAACCTTCAACTTGGAGACTTCAAGACCCTTAGATTCAGCGTTAGATTGAGCGTTTCTCAAAAGGTCCTTGATGAAGTTGACGGACTTAGCAGGCCATCTAGCCTTGGTGACACCGAATTCCTTACCTTGGGAAGTACGACCGATGGAGTGGGCGAAACGACGGAAAGGAATGGCTCTTTGGTGGTCCAAAACTTGGTCCAAGTACTTTTGGGCCTTTTCCAAGTTCCATCCGCTGATAGCTTGAGCAGCTTCACGGGTGTTCTTGTAAGAGACTCTCAAGTATGAGCCACGAGCAGAGGCAGACTTGGCTGGGTTAGCAGAGGTAGCAGCGTAACGGACCATTGTATCTATTTGCTTTGGTTGTACAGTAAGAAAGAGAGAAAGGATTCTTCTTGTGCGTAGCTTTTTTTTTTGCCCAGTGAAAATTTTCCCAGACAGTACAATTCTTGGGGGAGGGAGTGCAGGTAAGCCATCAAGAAAATAGTTTTTTACTTTTGTTTGTGTTTGTGTGTTGGACTGGGGGAGTGTGTATAAGACATGATTTGAAAAAGTGACACAAATACCATAGGAGAGTCCTCGTTACACGTGATATAGGGCTAGAGCCCTTGTCGCAAATAGGGAGATTTGTTAATCTAATTCTAGTAAGACTATTCAATGAGTAAAAGTTTAAATTTATTAACAGAATTAATTATAAACTAAAGATTGTAAATGTAAAGGTTTTGCTGGTGTATAACTACAAAATTTCAGAATAATTGGCGTTTATATGTATTTTTATCATACCTTTGTGAGAACTTGTCATTTCCGCTCTTATTTTTTTTATGACGGAAATATAGTTTAGTTGGCTGTGAAATATGCTGGCATAGCAATCATTGTATACACACTTCATTTAACCCTGACAATAATATCCCTATGAGGTGTTAAAATATATTAATTTGAGGATGTCGTCTTAATAACCAAAGAGACTTTGAAAATGTAAATAGTAGAATCTGGAACACGCCCCTTTGTAGTCACTTAAATTCCCACACTACCATGAAAATTCTTAGTCTCAATTCAACTTAAATTATATATTACAGTTTAGCTACAATCCTTTTTCGTATTCATTTAGTGTTTCATGTCTTTAGACTTTACAGAAAACTAACAGTCTTTGAGGAAGTAGCTACCCAATGACTACATGAATCTACATATTGACCATTAGTTTCTGCTGAGCGGTAAAATAGAAGTGGTATTACGTTAAAGAATCATCGTAGTTGGACAAGAAATTCCCCAATATCTAGACGCAGATCCAAAAATGTAAGTGTTCCAAGACATGACTTTCACACATACCCGTTCAAACCGTTCGCATGCCCGATGAATATGCGTGTGTGCGTACAGAACTTGACATTTTCACACTACTTGGTGCAACACATAATTGCTTTCCTACTAGTTCAACACCACAAATCTTTCAAGAAAGTAGTTCCTTCTTGGATCTTAATATATAGCAATCATTTACTACCCATTCTAGTAAAATTCCCACTTCAAGCTGAAGTAGAACGTTTCTGTCGGGTATTTTTACTGACCTACGAATTTTTATTATTCTGCGTATGAGCCTCACGGCCTCATCTCGCATGTGTCCTTTGAGGCTTTCTACTCGACGATTACGTGACGATGCCTTGTCTTATTGGTGGAACATTAATATATTCTCCTTTTCTATGAACTGTATAGTTCCCATCATGAAATCTCACAATTTTATCTCGCTTTATTACTCTATACTTTACAGTTTCTCTTTCCAAATGATGAGTGTGGGGGAAGCCTGTCTAGTCTGCAGCATATTGAAACGGATATAACTTCTCTAATCGAATAAAAGACCACATCCCATTACCGAATGGACACAAATCTTGTCACGGCTTTACGGGTAGTATACCATCCTCCTGACGAATCTCACACTTCCTTTTTTTTTTGTTGAGTGGTAGATGTCTAAGCCCCTCATTATAATTCCACCATACTGCATTGCGGCTCTTCTGGTAACCCAACCTTTAACACTGAATTTTGACCTGGAGGAAATTCTTGCTCATAAAAATCTCGCGTGCATTTACGTCGATTCTCCTGTCCGTAAGCTTTCCTATCCTAGGCTCTTTTTACTATTGCTTTTGCATCGCGATCTGGCATCTGGCACCATTTCATGTCCCTAAAAAATAAAAAAAAAGATTTTCCGCTAGGGCCCTTATCGTGCCGAGCATCCCTTTATAAACTCCGAGAATAAGGTATACGCGTGGCACCAGTGAAAGAGAGTTTATTGTGAATCTGCTCTATTCTTCGGACTTGCTCTTGTGTAACGTTTTTCCCTATTAAATTAAATTTTTTTTATTTTTTTTTTGTAGGTCTAATCTCTCTTTCGAGTCTCAGAGATTTTTTTTTATCTTTGATTAAATAGGGGACCATCCGTTGATCAACTCGAAAGGTTCTATCTATTCATTTCCTAATCTCAACTTCTGTACATATAAAATGAGACCTTCCATTGTTCTTTTGGCTGGTCTTTGCTCCTTGGCTGCGGCTGCTTCGGACAAACCTGTTGTTGGCTCTGATCCTGTTGCTGCTGTCGATCCTGTTGTTCCAAGCTCCAAACTTTCAGTCAACAAGGTTTCCCACGAGGACAATGTCCCAACCCCGGAATACGCCAAGAGACCTCTTGATCCATATTCAAGTACTGGTAGTGGAGCTGATTCTCTTTCCGTGGTAGACCTGCCTGCCATCGAGTCTTCAGATGAAGAAACTGAACCAGAAGGATCTTTCAACTCTTTCTTCATGTCAATTTCAATGATTGTTGTCAGTGAAATCGGTGACAAGACTTTCCTTATTGCCGCTCTCATGGCCATGAAGCATTCAAGATTTGTGGTATTCACCTCTGCATTTGCTTCTCTTGTGGTCATGACTGTTTTACTGGGTGTTGTTGGCCATGCTCTTCCTGCCATGCTCTCTCAACGTGTCACCCAATTCCTTGCCTCGATTTTGTTCCTTGTGTTTGGATTTAAGCTCTTCCGCGAAGGTCTTGCCATGTCCAAAGACATGGGTGTTGACGAAGAATTAGCCGAAGTCGAAGAAGAAATTGCAAGTAGTTCCATCAATTCCAACATGAATGACATTGAATCTGGATCTGCCAATTCTACTAAGGTCACCGGTGTCTCTGCATGGATTAGTGAGATTCTGAGCAACCTTGAAAACCTTGCTGCCTTGGTATTTTCTCCTGTATGGATTCAAGTCTTCGTTATGACTTTCCTTGGTGAATGGGGGGACCGTTCACAAATTGCCATCATTGCTATGGCAGCTGGTTCAGATTACTGGTTTGTCATCTTGGGTGCTATTATTGGTCATGGTCTTTGTACTTTTGCCGCATGTACAGGCGGTAAGCTCTTGGCTAAACGTATTTCAATGAGAACTGTCACATTGGGAGGTGCCATTGCCTTCTTTGTATTTGCCATCTTGTATTTCTACGATGCTATGTATAATATTGAGTAAATATAGAATAACTATCTCTTATTTTGATTGTAAGGATATATATATATATATTTATACATTGTACAAATCACAACATTATTGTTAGGGAAAAGTTTCAATACATGCAATCTTATTCTCTAAACGGAATAATTGTCACCACATCTTCAAGGGAATCATGGTTGGCAAAAAAATAAATATAGCTTGTGGCCGTCATTGTAAATCAACCTTGGTTGTATATTCCTTTAAGTCCCTTCATTGTCGTACAAGTTTGCAGGCGATCTAATGTTTCTGAAACTGAGATCAATCTGGGCCATTCCACAAAGGAAAATTCTTGCACACCAATGACTTTATATAAGTTAAAAGTAATTAGATCTTTTGTCTAAATATCAGGAGTAACAGGATTGACGTCTTGATACATAAATTTCAAAACTTGGTTCGGATGGAGTGGCTTTCGATCATTGTCGGTAATCTTGAGCTCCAAATCCTTCTTTTCCCTTTCAATAGCCTCCTTTTCAGCCTTCTCCTGTTTACCTTGTTCACTTGCAGCATGTTCTAATTCTTGAGTTGTGTTGAACCCCCAGAATTGGAATTCTTCTTGGAGTTCTTCAACTTTGGCCAGACACCATTGTGCAAACTCATCATTCAGTTGAATTGTGGCCAGTCCTTCATCATCATGCTTTCCTCGAACTAGAGCATTTTCTATCCATTCGTCGATTTCAGGAAGCGGTTTTTTCCTTAATAGAGTTGTAAGTAAGTTTTCTTGTTGCGTTGCTGGGAATGATGGTAATGGATATACGTTTGTTGTTTTAAGAATCTCGCCGTTGGCCTCGAGATTGGCTGTGAGCAGGTGTAATTGAGTAAGAAGAATCTGGAATTGACTCTGAAGATGTGTATAACTTGGAAGACGGACTTTGGATGGATGACGATTATGATGGTTAATTTGATCAAAGAGTTTCCGAAGTGAAATGTGCACCTGATTGAGACGATTACGGAGAGTTTCAAGCGAGTCCACGGGGACCGAAGAGAAGTCGACAGGAAGCGGAGCAGGCTGTTGTCTCTGACCGTTTAAATTCATATTGACACGTTATTAATGTTATGATAGTGTTGATTAGATTGATTGAGAAATTGAACTTTTGGATTTCATGTATGTCAAAATTTACCAAAAAATAATATGAAGCATATGATACAACAAGTCTAATAGAGAACTATTACTATATTTTTTTTTTCCTTTCTTCGCCAAGGATGATCAGGAGGAATTACAGTTTGGCAGATGAAAGGCGACAATTTGAAAAGAAACAACAGGCCAAGGTACAACAACGGCAAAAGCGGGCCCATCAACAATCAAGATTGGAGTCGGTTGATCCAGTTAGGTTGTACTACCGGATGAAAAGATTAGATCAAGAAGTGAATGAAGAGAATAAGAATGGAGAAGCTACTAAGAATGGGAATCTGTACAATAATCGCAAAGGTGGTCCAGTGAACCTTCTCAAGTCATTGAAAGAAGATTGGGCGTACATACTAAAGAATGAACTTCACAAGACTCAAGTTGATAGTTTATTGGCTAAAGAAAAACAAAAGGAGGATGCAGAGAAGGAAGCAGCATCTAAATTGTGGGGGAAACAGAGTGTTTACTTTAATCCAGAATTGAACCCATTGGGGAAAGTTCCGACGGGACTAGGTAATTTTACGATACCATTGCCTCTGAAATCTAGAGTTAAGACACCTTACAAAGTTGATCCTGAGATTGAACGATTAGGGGTTATATTACCCGAAGGCGAACCTCCAAGATTCTATAAAGAAGTTCAAAACTTTGGAGAAGAGGTAGAAAATACTGTAACTGTCACAGGAGAGGAAACCAATAAAGGTGGGCGAGGTCTGTTCATCCCTTCGACCATGCTTAGAGGTAAGAAACAACGACCAGACACAAAGCCAGCACCCCGTATGGATATAGAAGAAGATGAAGATGACGGAGAAGATTCAGAGTATGGTATTGATGGAGATCTCGCCCCCGAAGAAGAAGCATGGAAGAGAATGAAATCATAGTAAAACGAGTACAGAAAAATTCTTTCAGATACTACCAATTGCTTTGCCATGCATGAAATTATAAGAGGTAAATGAGTCAAGTGGATAGACTCCAGTGGCACTTCTTAGGCAATGTTACATGCGAGTAACAGACGACTAAACATAGAAACAGTATCTCACAATTTGGTGGATTGATGTTAAAGAGGTCTCTGACTATTTCAGATACATGAATGTATTTCTCAACTTATCTCGTTTAACATTACAAGTAGTAGTCATCATCTTAAAACAGACTATTCAATACGTTCCCTACAATTATTGTAATCATCTCCGGTCGTCTATAACTATATACAAGATCTTAATTCTACTGAAAATACAACACTCAACTCAATAACCTCACCACCAATTCCCAAGTTCCAAACATAATAATCGAATTAGGAACTGTTCTCAATAAATGTGGGGTTAAACCCCCGTACATACTGGCCAATCCTTCTTCCTTAATAACCAAGCGGAAACATTGTACAAGTCCCGTATACTTGGGTTTCCCCGTAGCTTCCAATGGGGCCTGTCTGAGTCTTGTCCTCACAACTTCATGTGGATAAGTAATGAGAGATGCAATAAACTTGGCAGCACCGGCAGCACCAGATCTTGCAGACCATTCAAAAATTTGCTCTTTTGTAGTCTTTTGTTTATTTTCATGACCCACTTTCAATTTTTCTAATTGGGAGCGTTTTTCTATAGCTTTTTTCATTTGTTCATACAATACCCATTGGAGTGTAGACTCAATTCCCCCCAAGTAACTGGCACTGAGCCCCTTATATAAACTTTTAACACCTTCAGTTTTCACCACATATTTCAAACAATCCCATGAGTTTTTATAATTCTTTCCCTTAGTCTTATCAAGTTGAAGTCTTGTTTTAATAAGCCAGATTGGGTTGGTTGCCGTAGAGGTGACAAAACCTGCATTAATACCGGCAGCCCAATGGATCCATGTAGCTTCTTGACCATGATTGAATTGTTTCAGTAAGAATTCTTTTGTAGATCCATAAGTGAAGAAATTGATTGACCGAGCGGGTATCACACCAACAAGGTTAGGTCCAAGACCTTTAAAAAGAGCTCTAGGTCCTTCAACTACATATAATTGACGGATTACCAGACAAGTTTCCTTGAAATGTTGTCCTGCTTGGATAACAGGGTTCTTGGACTTAAGCGTCTTGTTGTATTGCTTGTGATAATCTTCGGATTGTAATCTAGTTTTCACTACATCTAACGGACATGTAAGGATTGCTCCAGTCATACCACCGACTCCCCCAGCGACAAAATGAACCCATGGGGGAGCCACTGGTTTGTTTACCGTCGAAACAGTAGAAGTGCTATTCAAGTCACTCTTCGTATCATGCACTCGCGAGATATCCTCATATCCACGCAAAGTAGATGACTTCTCATCACTTGCCAAATATGGAAATGATTCCTCGGCTTCTTGTTCGAGTTTCTGAAAGTTTTCTGGAGCCATCAATACAATTTGAAAATGCAACGATTCTTCCTCTTTTTTTTTTCCCTCTCTCGATTGCTTTTATAGACTTTCTATGTTTTTCTATACAAAAAGAAAACTGTTCGTGAGTCTACAAAGGTTTCTTTTTCTATGCCTTTCAGTATGAAGTGTGCTTCCGCAAGTGTTTGAACGTAAAGTTGCTTGATAAGAATCGGAAAAATGGCGATGGCGGTCAAACCTGTTTGAGGTTTTGCTGCAAGTTTTTTTTCCGCTGTGTGCAAACTCTTTATTCACATGTGGGTTGACAGAATCCAGATATTAAGTTTGTTTGATTACTATTTGACTTCAGTTTCGATGCAGTTGAGCTTCTTGAAATCGGGTAATAAATCCCCTGTCTAATATAGTTTTTTAAATTTCTTCGAAGTTCGACTTGTTTTCATAGTAGGGGACTATATGACCGGAAATACTAATATTCGCCGTCTAACTTTCAACCAAGATGTCTTATCTCTCAAGATATTTCATGATTAAACAAGTATCAATTTGTAAATCATTGTACTTTTAGACTAGTTGTGATGTTCCTCTACGTGTTTGATCATAAGTTTAACTTTTATTCTATATTTACAGTCACCCTCTCCTATTTCAACGTCTTGATGAAATTGTCAAGATTGTACTCTTCTTCATATTGCGACTCATCCCACAAGTCCGCAAGTTCCCCAACTGCTCCCGCAGCCTTACCAGTGAGACCTCCAGCTCCAACATCTTCAGCAACATTAGTTCTATTTTCTTCAGCTTCCCCACTTCCGTTTTCTACCAATTTAGCATTCTCATCAACATCAAACAAATCTAACAATTGGTTAGTATCCATTGATGCCAATCCAGCGTTTTGTTGGTTAACAATAGTTGATGCAATATTCATCTTGAATTTTTGCAAACCCATGATCTTTTCTTCCAATGTATTCTTGGTAATCAACCGATAGACATTAACAACCTTCTTCTGCCCAAGACGATGGGCTCTGTCCATAGCTTGAAGATCATTCATCGGATTCCAATCGTGTTCAACAAAGATAACCGTGTCTGCACCCGTCAAGTTAAGACCCAAACCACCAACTTTAGTAGTTAATAGAAGAATGTCGATAGAAGGATCTTCGTTAAACTTTCTGACAATAGATTGACGATCTCTAGGATCAGTACTACCATCCAATCTCATGTAAGTTGCCAGAGGGAGATGCTTTTTCAAAAGTTGGTTCTCAACAATATCCAACATATCTTTGAGTTGACAAAAGATAAGGGCTCTATGCTCCGATATAACCCCTTCCAGGGGAACCATTTGTTGCTTTGAATTACGTTTATGATCCATTGAATCCCCTACACCAATTCCACATTCCAATAAAAGAGTCTTCAACGACATGAGCTTTGGTGAATGTTCGATTCCACGAAGGTCAGATTTTCTGGCAGCAAGTTGAGCAGAGATTTCTGGGAATTTTGGGTGTTCAGCTGAAAGAACAAGTGCTGGATGATTACAAAGCTTACGCATGTATTGAAGTGCTTGGAAAACGTGTGTTTGTCCTCCAGATCCCGAACCGGTATCATTTCCAGCATTTTCTCCCCCATCTTTACTATTCATTTCATCTTGAACACTTCTCTTTTGCTTGGTGGCAAAATCCTTATATAATTGCTTTTGTAAATCACTTAATTCACAGTAATAATCTTGAATAATCTTTGGAGGAAGGTCTGACAAGACATCTTCCTTCAATCTTCTTAACATAAATGGAAGGACTTGTTTATGCAAAGATTCTAATGCCAAAGCTCCAGCTTCTTGTTCCTTACTGGAAGTCTTACTATTTCTACTGGCAGCAATTGGCTTTGCAAATTTATCATGGAAAACCTTTTCAGTACCCAAAAAGCCAGGCATTAAAAAGTCGAATAATGACCAAAGTTCCAACACATTATTTTGAATTGGAGTACCGGATAAGATGAGTCTATGTTCAGCTCTGACTCGTTTGACAGATTTTGTCAATTTGGAGGCAGCATTCTTAATAATGTGACCTTCATCCAATACACAGTAGTTGAAATCATGTTGAACAATATGTTCCACATCATTTCTACATACATCATATGAAGTGACCACAATATCAGCATTGCTCAACTCCCCTCTAATTTGTGCTCTAATGGCTGGGCCACCAGCATAAACCAAGACCTTCAAGAATGGTGCATATTGGTTAAGTTCTTGTTCCCAATGACCTGTTAAGGAAGGAGGACAAATAATTAATGTAGGTAACCTTCTAAATTCCTTTAATTGGGTTTCAGCGAATTTCTCATTTCTCATATGGTGGTCACTCGATACAATACAAATCGTTTGAAGGGTCTTACCCAATCCCATATCATCACAAAGAATCCCATGAAGGTGATACTTATTCAAAAAGGCTAACCAATTAACACCCTCTTGTTGATATTTTCTTAAAGTAGCTTTAATTGTGACAGGAAGTACAAATGGCTTAACCTTTGTAGGATCCATCATTTGTTGAATGAAATCTCTTTCTCTATCTCTACCAGCAAGAAGTTCCTGTGGCATGTCTGGTGGATCAGGAATACCTGCTTCTAATGGAACAAGCTTAATAATCAGAGCGAAAGTTGTTGTTGCCAATACCCTAACATCATGGTCTGCATCACTCATTCTTCCTAAAACGGGCACAATGAGGAATACAATATATGGAAGGATATCAGCACCCATGGTGGTTGAAAGATGATAAATACATTCAATAGCACCTTGACGTTCGGTAACAGTCCCAGCATTGTTCAACATAGGGAGAACAGATTTCACCAAAAATGTAAATGCACTAGTTGGACAAACTGAACAAATAGTTGCAAAACATTTTGCAGTTGAGTATCTGAAGATTGAGTATTCAGATTGGAGACCCGGAAGGAAATGAGGAAGTTTTGATAATACTTCTGGATACAATGACTTATCCAACTTTGTAAGAAGAGCACGAAGTATACCTAATGCATCAATCATTGATTGTGCTTTGAGTGGCTCTTCAACTACAGCGGAAGTATCTTCAAGTAATTCCAATGGTGCCAACATGATTTCTTTAAGCTTTGGTACAGATGTGAAAGTTTCGGGACCATACAATCCCAACAAGACATCCAATGCAAGTACAGCACCATTTCGTTTGATTCTTGCTTGATGTACTTCTCGTTCATGTTCTGCGATATCTGCTGGATCAGTCTTAGCTTCTTCCTTCCTCAACGAAAGAATAGAATCCTTGAATCTAACATTATGGCGGAATTCAGGAACTTCCGAGGTATCAACACAAAGAAAGGCGCAAAGGTTTTTAACAATTTTATCAGAGGCTCCCTTCTTCAGAGCAAGATTTAACTGTTGAACAAGGTTTGCCACGGCGTTAGCGGATCTTAATTGAAGCACAAAAGACTCTTCTTGTTTAATACTTTCCATGAGTGAACGAATGATTGGATTCAACTTCTTTGGAACACCATTAAGAGATAACACGGAAGCAGAATAACCAGCAAAAATACTTGTAGATCTCGCAACGGCAGTCTGTCTGGCTTCATTAATCGCAACACCAATCCGATGCTTTGCATCCTCCAAACTTTGATTGGCAGCCATTCTGTAAGTAGGTGATAAACTCTTCATAAGCTTTGGATATGTTTCGGATATGATTTTCTCGGCATTTTCCAATCCAAATGCTCCTGGACCAGCTTCAGCCTCTCCCTGGACAACCACTGGGAGTTGTGGAATCTTTGAAGGTGGAACCTTGGCCAATTCCAAGAAAACATTGAACAATTGAAGACAGGATGTTCTCACTGCCTTCAAGGTAGGTACGAGTTCTCGACATGCTGGAAGAGATGTATTTTCAAGCACAGATTGTAAGGCAGGCACAAACTGTGAAGTTGCTGCTTCTGGAATGATACCACCTATTTTTTTAACTTGAGATGCATACTCCTCTATAATCATTGCCGCGAATAGACGTGGGGTGGAGTGTGGTGAGCTCAAATAATGCAATAATTGAAGAAAGATTTTTAATAAATGTTCTGAAGAAGATGAAAGTGCTGCCAATGTGTGACCAAATGCTGTTGCTGCGGTGCTTCTGGTACGGATAAACGTTTCAACACCAACTAATGTGACATCACCCTTGTATATTGGAGCGTCGATATTGATCTTGGAATCGTATGGAATATCTGAAGTGACCACGGCAAGTGATGGAGTCTTTCTCTTACGGCGTGTAGTTCCATTGCCATTGCCATTGGACTCTTCTGGCTCCATGCTCAGTCTATCATCTTGATCGACACCAACCATTTGGCCCAGGGGTCTCATGACTAACCCAGTATTCATGGCATAATTATGACGAGCAATACCAATTGGGGTCATCAACAACGACAATGCAGCACCAGACCAATCTATAAATACTTCTTCCATTGGTGGGAGTTCCAGGTCTTGACTATTTCTCATTTCTAATAAAATTTGATTGTACACCTTAACAGAAAGTTTCAACACTTCATTGTTTTGTTCAACTAACAAGTTCTGGAACAAGAGTCTAACTGATTTTTGGTTGATCCACTTCTTAGTAACTATGCTATCGATTTGAAGGAATTCAAGCAAAGTTCGAAGAACTGCCTTTCTCACGTTGGTGATAGAGTGACGAAGGAATGGGAAAAGACGAGGGACTAATTCTTCAAACAGAGTAGAAGACAGTTGTTCTCTCATGAGTTCTATAACTTCACTATGAGTACACAACTTTGCCAACAAATCCATTACACTACCGATAGATGCACTCAAGTCATCTTTCAAGTTAACAAGACAATCCCAAATCACTTGTAATAGGGTTTGTACAACCTCCTTTTTCAGTCGTACAAACTCAGATGCAATAGGTGTAAGAGTAAGAGCAGCCACAGATTGTACATCGTCATCGCTTTCTCTCAATCCATGAAGCACCATATTGACTACTTGATCCAATAATGTTGGTTGTTCCAAGAGAATATCTGTCCTAACCAGTACAAAATATCTAAGACCCAACATCCCACCATGGCTAGCTTCCCAGCATTTCATACTTGTGTTAGTTGATTGGAGAACCAATTCATTCAATGCTTCAAATGTTGAAAGGGTCGTTTGTGTTTCTAAATGGATTAGTAATGCTGCCAATGTTTGTGCTGCAGATTCTCTGACTGGGATCACAACTGTGTCAGAAACATAATCACCAAATCTATCTAAGGCGAAAAGTGTACATAATCTAACTGACAAGTCTTCTAATGTGGCGGCGTTATTTTTATCATTTTCTTCTTTACTCTTGTTCATGACACGTCCCGCACCTTTACCATGTTTCTTGATGAGTTCACGAAGACCCAAAGCTGAACCATGTCTAATTTCCCATTTCAGATCAAAGAGGTCAGCAAGAAGAAGTTCGTATACTCCTTGAAATTGCCATACTAAGCCTGCAACCTTAGAATGTTGGGAAAGGAGTGGTGAAAGTTCTGTTGGCTTAGATTCAACCACAAGCTTAGAGCCTTGCGAGGTAATATCAAACTCACCTGGGGTTGCTGTACCATTAACGGGCGAACCATTGTTACTATCCGATCCGCCTTCCTCAACCAACTTCCTTGATATCGAAGATTGAGAAAGATCAACTGGAATTACCTTGGTACTCGACTTGGCGTTAACCTTGGCCCGACGCTTTTGCATGGCTTTAAGTCGAGCTGATGTTGCTGCTGATGGCGCTGGTGTAGATGCAGTACTTGGAGGAGTCGCCATGTCAATAGCAGGTGTCCCCGTAGGAGTTCCTGTTGGTGTGGCTGATCTCGTAGATTCATTACTATTTCCCAAAGCAATTCTATCGTCAGTTGGTTCAGCCTTTACAGACCCGGATTCATCTTCTTTCTTGACTTTCGTTTCATCGTTATTAATTTGTTCGTCGTTTTCCTCTTTTACTATTCTTTTTCTTTTCAATTGTCTTAAAAATTTGTCACCGACATCATCAGGTCTTGGATCAGCCTCACCTTCCAGAGCCAATAATTTAGCTCCACTCTTTAATAAAGCAGGTAAGTTCCAAGCACCGAAAGTTACTAAATTCTCAAGGTTTTCATCAATTTTTTGTAATTCTTCCTCTTGTTTAATTTTGATATCGGCTAACTCTTGTGCTTGATCTTCTAATTTCACTGCGCTTGCAGCTTCAATCTTCATTTCTACATCTTCGAGTTCACCCTCGTGTGCAATGGCTTCGTTCGAATTAGGATCCCAAAGTTCTGCATGAGATACAATTCCACCAAAGGCTCTAGCTGCTGCAATACGAGTTTCCCACTTTGGAGATTTGAAATATGGGTAAACTCGTCCGAGAAGATTAATGGTCTCCTCCGGATGCCCGCGTGCCAAATCTGAAAGTTGATCAGCAGCAGTGTTCCGGATAAACGGAGTGGAACCCGTTTCTAAGAGAACGACCAATCTATCCAAACGACTCATATCGTGTCAAACGGGATATATGTCTGTGTTTGTGTGGGTGTCTCGTTGGACGGCCACAATAAATCACCCAATCGATATACGGTGCGCTGCGAGTCTACGGTTTAGTAGGACAGAAAAATTAGCGCCCGCTGGAATGCAAAATAATAGGTGTGTTGAGCTTGTGTGAAACGCGAAGTCTTCGCGGCGATTGAGTTGTATTTATATGTCTGCACATCGACAGAGAAAACACGAGCAGAGGGATCGAACCCGCGCCTGTGGCCAAGTACGCGAGCGCGCGCGCGTGGTGGTGGCCGAAGCAAAAATTAAAATGTAGGCGTGGCGCATTGTTTCGCTTTGACCCCCAGTTACGTATGGTACCTGTACCAGTAGCCCCGGAATCACCATCATGGTCTGGCAGGTTAATCTCTTTTTATACTTGGTTTTGGAAGCCGTGAACCGCGCAGATATAACGTACTTGACTTGGCTTGACTGTCACCGCTACAAGATAGGTGCTGATTGCACATGTTTAGCCTCGTGTACCCCTCTTTGAATTATAATATGGAGGTATCACTTCTTTTTTGTCAAGAGGTCGCAAGAAGTGTTTTTTTTTGATCATTTTGGATCTGTCCACAAGAGATCAGCATAAACTTCTAGGATACTTTTTATTGGCTCTCCGCTGCTAATGTTACTATATGTTTGTGCCGCAACATTGACATACTAAAGTAATTCCCTTTTTGTATTTCAACAGGTGTATTACTAACTACACTAAGCTAAACACCTCTATATATACCGTTCATGGTTATCATGTAGCAACAGACTCTTCCTTTCTCCTATATTGATCCTTGAGATGCATAAAACGTTCAATTTAAGCATACTTCAGTTCACGAGTAGCCTTAACTTCCCTCTTCTTGTCTTGAACATCAGAAGAAGTGGCATTGTACAGAACATTTGTGTCTTGGTTCATTGGGTTCTCTGGAGATTTTTGGAACTCCTTGAAAACTAAGTTCTTGATTTGTTGCAATCTAAGACCTGGATGTTCTTTTCTAAGTTCAGGAATTCTCTTTTCTTCAAAGGCCAGGAAAGCAGCCTTGACTCTTCTTTCTGGATGTCTATCGATGTCCTTGGTCAGAACACCACCATCTCTGCTGGTCAAAGCCAAGGCTTCAAGAGCACTGTCAAGACCACTGGCACTCAATTCAGGAATATCTTTATTGAAGTCCAAGAAGTCATCAATCTTACCAGTTCTACGGGAAGCAACCTTCGCAGCACCTCTTTGCTTTGCAGATTGTGGTTTCAGTGGGAGTGAAGCTTCTTCAGCTTGAAGCAAGGCATCACGTTCAGCCTTCTTTCTAGCAGCTTCTTCCTTCTTGAACTTTTCGTCTTCCTTCTTCTTGTTACCCTTCTTAGCTCCGGCTTCCCATTCTTCTGCTTCGGCAGCTTCCTTTACAGCATCAGCGGCTTGCTTCTTCTTGTTGGCATTCTCAGCCTTTTTGGCGTTACCAGCAGCCTTTTTGGAGTTTTCACCTGTCTTCTTGGCCATCTTTAAAATAATAAACTTTTAACTTTAAAAGTGAAATCGAAAATATTGATCACAATAAAAAATTATTATAGTATAACAGTGTCAATGTAGCATAAGGAGAATGGTAGAATGGATAGTTGAGTAGTCGTGAGTGAGAGTGAGAGTCGGTGGATGGTGGAGAGAATGCCGTTTTTCGGACAAATCACGTGCCCACTATCACTTATTGTAAGCTCTTTCAAAGATTTTCTTCTTAAAATGTACTATTGTATACTGAGCTAGTGAAGTACAAAAACTTTTCAGAGATACAAGATATTGACCCGAGGATAGAGATATTCTAGAGGCCGGATAATTTTAAGACAGGGTTTTTAATGGACGATTTGTATGTTTTGTAGCAACTTTTTTACCTTTGTAAAATTTTATTTGCAACCTAATCACGATATAAATGAAGTCACGTTTATAATGACGAATAGAATAGACAGAAGAATATGTATATGTGATTTAGTAAAGTTAATGATTAACAGTTTATATAAACTAGAGATTGCTACTTGGATATGGGGTAGATAATAATTAATGGTATCCCTTTTGTTTCAGAATTCTTTGATTTTGTGGTTTTCCAATCTGGAGATACAACAATTGATATATCCTTTCTCGTACATGTCTTCGTTGGATGAGAAATTAATTCTCCCACTCTATGTCTACTTTAAATTGAATTTGAAATATTCTTTCCTTATTACGAAACTTTGCAATAACAAATCCTACTTTTAGCTCTCAAGATATGTAAATTTCATATCAATTTCTCTAAAATATTCTACCTATGAATAACTTGACATATTTCACTTGATCTTTGCTCACAATTTAGATGGATTAAATACAATTCTTCCTAGGACTTCCCCTTTGTTCAACTTCTCCATATATTTAGGTAAGTCTTTCATGTCAACCAATGTCAGTAATGGCTTAATCTTCCCAGCAGCTACCCATTCCATACATTCAATTTGTTCAAGTGAAGTTCCCCCCATAGAAAAGATGACCTTAACCTCTCTACGACCCATGTGGAAGTTCATCATCATCAACTTAGATCTACCAAGTCCTACTACCATTACCAACCCAGCGGTCTTGACAAATCTTTGACAATGGTCAAATGTTTCTTGGAACCCACAGAAATCAAAGCAAACATCAAATGATTCTGGTAAATGGTCCGAATCTACAGGATCTACCCAAAATTCATCAGCTCCATATTTCTTTGCCAATTCTTCCGCTTCTGGCTTAATATCACATACAACCACATAAACTCCAAAATTTTTCAAGATTTGAAGAGCATTGATTCCAAGTCCACCCATTCCCATTTGAAGCACCTTTGCTCCGGGTTTCAAATGTGTGCTTGCTCTTTGGATCGCATGGAATGGAGTTAAAACTGCATCTGATGTAATGGCCGCTTGCTCATAAGATACGCCGTCTGGAATTGGAAGTAACGCACGCAAGTTCTTTACCAATAAGTATTGTTGAAAGCCTCCATCTTGGGATAACCCATAGGCATCTCCAAGATTACCCTTACAGGTATTATCTCTACCACTACGGCATTGGTCACAAATACCACATGCATCAGGAATAAACATGGCAAATCGACCACCAATTTCAAAGATTTCATCGTCTTCCAATCCTTCCCCAACGGCAACAATTTGACCAGCAATTTCATGGCCCATGATAAAGGAGTCTGGAATATATGTTTCTTGTGCAAGTAAGATATGTAAATCAGACAGACAAAGACCAGCCGCCTCAATTTTCAATAGGACTTCTTTACCTTTTGGCCCTACAATTTTCCTATTGTCATATCTTTGGATCGTCTTCTGGCCTCTTTTGAAACCATATCCAGATTGTGTCTGTGGGATTGAAGGTGTCATGATTGAATATTTGATACAGAATAGGAATATATACTTTGGTTTATAGTACTATACAAGTGTGACAAGAAAAAAAAAAGGAACAGAAGAATGAAGACTTTATGTGTTAAATAGGATATGAATTAGATTTACCCAAAGCTTCAATTAAAATGCGGGGTGTACCAAACTTGTCCGCGGAATTAGAAATATGACATTATGGTCATATAACAATGCATGTGTTGTGCGGGTATATAAAATTTAACCCCCGTATTATGCATCAAGACCGGTAAGCGAAAATTCTTCGGCCGAGGAGGGGGGTTCAAGTACGCTTGGTGGGGAGGTTTTTGCTATAAAGTGGTATAGCTAAGTGGAGAATACAATGTATGAAATATAGGGGTCCTGGGATGTTATACTTTCTCCTCATCAAAATTTTGGGGGGGGGGGGGGGGGTTTCGGGACGCTAAATCCTGAAATTATTGTTAAATTTAAGGTTTGAACAAGTACAAGAATATCAATAAAAAAGTATACAAGGGATTGATTTCTTGTAAGTGCAAACAGAGATTGAAGTATATACAATGTATTCTATATTTACTACATCTATTTATGATGTATTGATTATAAGACTTGAGGGGAAATATGTTAAAAATAAATATTAGGAAATAGGTGGGGACATGGAAAGTCAGTCTGTATATAGAATTCCAGACTATATTGAAGGAACCGTATAGACATGTATATATGTATTGGATTGAGTCTTCTACTAATCGGCATTCTTTTTTTTTTCCCGCTTACAGCATTTCAGGTACACCCTTTATTGTAGTTTGATTTGCAATTAGTTTCCCGTTGAAATATTTATCCTACGAAATGTTACTACAATTTGACTCTATCTTAAAATATTTTATTAGGTCGTAATCTAGTTCTTTTGTCTCTTAGCTTCTGGTTCATCCTCCACGTTGTCAGCAATATCCACTGGCTTGAATGCAGGGGTAGAGACCTCAGCATGGAAGTCCTTGATAATGGAATCAACATCATCAATGTTTAATTGTCTGACATCACCCAACAACTTAATCTTACTAGTGATTTCCTTACATTGATCATCCAGCAAGTGCAAGTTCAATTGGTCAACTCTTGACTTGATAGCATTCCAACCGGTCAAACGGTTAGCAAAGTGAATGTATCTGGTCAAACCGAAATCAGATGGGTTCAAGATTTCGTAAGTAGATGGGTTGGCCAAGATAGCCTTGGCATGGATACCGGCCTTGTGGGTGAAGGCACAGAAACCAGTAATTGGGTTGTTGAATGGAACGTTAACTTGAACGGCATCAGCAACCAAGTTTTCCAAATCTCTCAATTTGTGCAACTTGTACTTAGATAAGACGTAGTCTCTGTCGGCAGTGATCATTCTAGCCATAAGAGCACCCAATGGAGTGATCCCGTTTCTTTCACCAATTCCCAAAACGGAAACGTCAATGAGCTTAGCACCAGCTTCCAAGGCAGTGTAAGCATTAGCAATGGCACAACCAGTATCATTATGGAAATGACATTCAATGTCACAAGAAACAACACTCTTTAAAGTCTTGACAAGTTCGTAAACTTGTCTTGGGTTAGCACAACCAACAGTGTCAGCAATACCAACTCTGTTAACACCGATCTTATCGACGGTTCTATATATATTCAACAAGTCAACAATATCAGATCTGAAAGAATCTTCGGATGAAAATCTGATTTCAATACCCTTAGATTTGACGAATTCAATCACTTCAACAGCGGATTGAGCAATGTAGTTCATGTCCTTACCATGAGAATATTGTCTAAGGAATTGAGAGGTACCAATGACAACATCGACACCGTCAACACCAGTCTCCACGGCAACTCTAGCATCATCCATGTGACATCTGATATGGGTCAAGATCTTAGCCTTAAGTCCAAGCTTACAAATGGCTTCACAATCTTTTCTGGATTGTTCAGAGGCAACAGGTGAGGTCAACTCAATGTAGTCTACTCCGAAATCATCCAAAGCCTTGGCAATTTCAATCTTCTTTTCGGTGGTGAAAAAGGCGTTAGCGAATTGTTCACCTTCACGAAGGGTAGATTCGATAAGTTCGAACTTATTCACATTAGACAAGAAGTCTGAAGGATTTGGGCCGTAAGGATTAGAAGTAACGGACATAATATAGAGTGATAATGTAAATATAAATATAAAAGAAGAAAGAAGAAAAAGATTGAAAGAATCTAAGAGTGAAAAATTTACTTGCTTATAAAGGAGTCTGTGGAAGAGGAGGAGTAAAAAAAAAAGATAAAAAAAAAGAAAAAAATTGATAGTGATGAACGTCATTATGAGTCAGATAGAAAAAAAATTGTACCCTATGTATATGAAGTTACAAGGGAAAGAGTGTTAAGGGGTAGGAGAATTTGATAAATTTTGCGCGAAATGAGTCAAATGGGTTTAAGGGGTAGCATGCACTTGGTGTGTCATGGGTTAACTTAGTCAAAGGTTTTAATTACAGATAATAAGGTGTGGGATTACTACCAACTCTCAGGGCTAAGAGTTCCGTTAGTGCGCAAGTATTAGTCAAAATTACGGAGAACACTGCCGTGAGCGCGAGCTTTTATCGCAGCAATTCCCCCAGGATGAGTCATTCTGGGGAACAAAATGCCAATCGGGGTGCACGGATGTGCGATAGTAATTGATTATGTTATCGAAGTTTTGTGGTATTTGGTAACAAAGTCCGAGATGCAGGATAAAAATTTAGCACTGGTTAAGTGCCTTGTTGTAGAGATGTATATAGAATGTCTAACCGGAGACTACAAAATGTTCTCTAGAAGAGTAAAATTCTTTGTATGAGAAGTTTTTCAATATTATTCAAATAATAAAACATAAATATTGCTGATATCAGCGAATTTCATAAATCAACTAACAATGCATCTATTCTAAATAAACCATTCAATGTATCATCTCTTTACATAAATCTCTACTGGTTTCCAAATTTGAAATTTTCTTAACAATCATTTTAAACTATATAGTACACTAATTCACAACGTATGGGGCTTTATACCCATCCGAAACTAACCTAAATAGCCCGGGTAACCATCTTGACAAACCTTAAGATCTCAGATTTCATCTTAACCAATTCAACTTGCTTAATTGAAAGTTTACCATTCATACGTGAAGTAAGAACATTCACAACGGCATTGACGTCATCTTGAGATAAACCAGTAATTGTTTGCCAATTTATTCCAGCTGCTGCTCTTCCTCCGTATCTGGATAAAGATAAGTTAAAACATCCAACCACCAACTTCTTGACAGAAAATTGCATTTCATTGTAGTTGGCAAAATTATTAGATTGGTTAAGATATCTTAAAAGATAGACGATATCCATGTAGCGGAATAAGTAGATCATACCTTGCATAAATTGAGACAACGAAAGACGAAGTCTACTTGTAAGAATAAGTAAAAATTTATCCAATGGAAGTTCTCTCGATGTTGTATGTTTTGTTGCTGCAGGAGGGAAAGAATTGTTGATCTTTGTGGCCATATATTTAACCACAATGGTCATAAGTTGAGTTCTTTCCTGTTTGAATCCTTGAGCAGTAAGCAGAGGTTTATCGATGGCCAACGAAGGAGTAGGTGTGGCATCCACTGGAGTGGTGATTGCGGCTACTGAAGAAGCAGAAGAAGCGGAAGAAGAAGCAGAAGATTCAAACACCTCGGAAGATAAAGCGGTAATTTCCTTTTCAGTACCATCTTCAAGATCCTTTTTATTTTGATTCTTGATTTCTTCATCTTGAGATCCTTCTCTCTTCATTTCTCTTCTGATACATTCAACAGCAGCAACTGCTGGAGAAGTCAATGCTTCTTCTTCGGAATCACTAGAACAATGAGTTTCTCCTTCAGATTCGTCATGATCTGAAACCAACCATGGAACATCTTGAGCATCATCATGATTGTATTGGTTGGTCAAATTGACCGAGGTCTTGATTCCATTCATTTGGATAGCAGATGAATTGGTTTGAGATTGACCTTCGGTTTTGGAAGGGGGGTTGACCGTGTTTACCTTTGCTTGGTACACTATATCACTGATAATCACCATTTCTGATGGTTCTACAATCTAAACTACGTAGTTCCTGAGAATCTTAGAATTTCAAACTTCCAATCGATTCTTTAAAGGAGTTTCCGTATAAAGCGTCACTAATAATTGACACAGTTTGGGCTCTTCAATCGCTAAAATGGAATGCGATTTGACTTCTTTTTATTGTCTGCTTGATGTGGGTGTGTGTTTTTTTTTGTATTTTTCCTTTTCTGACTTTATGGGATCCGTTGGGGGGAGACAACAGTTCAAAAAATCATTTTGTTATAATAATACAAAAGAACAATCAATAAGGGGTTAAAAGTAGTAGTGGATTTTTTTATTTGTGTTCAAAGGTAATCAGTTGATGATACCGCACAGTTAACGTGTTGAATAGGGGCGTTGAAAGGTGAAAAGTAAAAAAAATACAGACAAGGAAAAAAAATTAAGAAAAGGTTTAAATTGGGATTTTCTCAATCTTTTAATATAAGCCTTGAAGATTCCTCTGCACTGAGACGGGGGTGCAATATTTCGAGGGATGGATGAGTCAACATTCCGGTTTTGTGGCCGGTCTGTATGCAGAACACGCGCCGCAGATTGAAAGGTTGCAAATAAAATGCCGTACTGAATTCCCAATAGTGTGAGAAATATTTATATTGAGTGGCAATTCTTATAAATTGTTAAGAGGCCCACTTAACTCCTTAAGTGGGGTACAATATATAGGGTTTACAGGAGTTATATATTGGTTATTGGAAATTAAGATTATGAGAATATTTATATTATCTTTATTTTTTTTTCTTGTTTTTTTTATGTTACCCGTATTGGTACTCTTCTCAAATAACACATATCCGTAGCGGCTCCGAATATAAATTTATGGTAATTAAAGAAAGACAGTTCTAACGTCAGACCGATTGCACTAGTATCATTCGATACATATCTCTTCTAATATTCATGGTATCTTCTCCAAAAAAAAATACTAAGTCTTGTAATATTCAATTAAGTAACAAGAACTCTTGTTTTACCCACCCATCTGTTGCCAAATTTACATGCATTACTAGTCAAGTGGTTTTTTTTTTTTTATTAGATCTCTATTTTCGTATACTCATTCTCAATATACACACCACTTTGATTGAGTAGTTATATAGTAACAGGAAAAAAGGAGCCAAAAAAAAAGGGAATCTATACTTTTAGTCAATTTTCTGATCTACCGGCTAGTCCCCCATGTCTTCTGATCCTTCAATGCGTGTTAGCCCTGCAACTCTTACCAGAACTTACAAAGACGCCATCAATGCTTTGAACACATTACAATCAAACTTCGCTTCCATTGAAGCTACCAAGAAACTTGGTCCAAATGTCGATAAGAACAAGTTATCCATCAATGAAGTGTATGAATACACCCGTAGGTTGGGATACAAGCCTGCTGACTTCAACCGTCTTAACTTGATCCATGTTACTGGTACAAAGGGTAAAGGTTCAACCTGTGCGTTTACTGAATCAATCTTACAACAATATCGTAATACCTCCACTTCAAATTCCAATTCAATCACTAAAATAGGTCTTTTCACTTCTCCTCACCTTAAAACCGTGAGAGAACGTCTTAGAATCAATGGTTCTCCTATCGATGAAACCAAATTTGCTAAATATTTCTTTGAAGTTTGGGATACTCTTAGTACTACTGAATCTGATCCTGAGGAATTTCCAACTCTTCAACCTTCATCTCAAGTTAAGCCAATGTATTTCAAATATCTTACCATTTTGAGTTTCCATGTATTTATGTCTGAAGGTGTAGACACTGCCATCTATGAAGTTGGTGTAGGTGGAACTTATGATTCAACTAATATAATAGATCAACCAACTGTGTGTGCCATTTCAAGTTTGGGTATCGACCACACGTTCATGTTGGGTACTACCATTGAACTGATCACTTGGAATAAAACTGGGATTTTCAAAAAGGGTAGTCCTGCCTTTATTTCGAGTCAAAGGGAGTACCCGCAAGCAATTGGTATTGCCCAAGAAAGAGCTAAAGAATTGGGTGTTTCATCTTTAACCGTGGTTAACGCTAACGATATTTTACCTCAACTGGTTAAATTGGGATTAGCTGGTGATTTCCAAAGAGAAAATGCAGCCTTGGCGGTTGAAATTGCTGCAACTCATTTAAAGAAATTGGGGGTGTTATCAGATGTTAATTTGAAAGAACTTCCAGAAAAATTCCTTACTGGTTTAGCAAATACTAAATGGGATGGAAGATGTCAAGTAATTAACGATGAATCCAAGCAAATTGAATGGTTCATCGACGGAGCTCATACTTTAGAATCAATCAATGTTGGTTCCACTTGGTTTAAGGATGTTTCTTCTAAGAAATCCGGTACAAGAGTCCTTTTATTCAATCAACAAAACCGTGAAAATGCAACAGACCTTCTTGCTAAACTCTACAAGATATCTGTCGAAAGTGAAGGAGGTGCTCCCTTTGATCACGTCATATTCACCACAAATGTGACTTGGTCGCTGGGGTATAATGCTGATCTTGTTTCACTCAACACTTCAAAGGAACAAGTTGATAAGTTAATTATTCAAAAGGAGTTAAGTGAAGCATGGAAAAATCTTGAACAAGACATTGGTAGAACTACTCCACTGCATATATTCGCTGACATAGAAAGTGGTGTTAAGTTTGTTGATTCAATCGAAGGACCAGTTCAAGTCTTCGTTTGTGGTAGTTTACACCTTGTTGGAGGACTTTTGGTAGTTTTTGATGGTAAGGAAGAATAGAATAGAAGAAATTATTTATAAATCAGAGTTAAAGTTACATTTGGGACATAATTAAATATAATGGAATGATTTTGGATTATGTATCTTTCTTATCGTATGTTATATCTATTAGAATATTTTGATTTACACAGCTACCCAGTATTCCCTAAAAGATATACTTGGAGCTTTTGGGGTTGCTTTTCTTACCTGTAACTTCTATTACTAAAACGTACTCTACTTCTTCCGTATAAACATCTTTCTTTCTCCCTTACAATTACTCCTCGTTCCTTAGCTTTGGTTGTCCTTCACTATGTTTTCTCTGGTAGTGTTAACAATTTCGTTTATGTTGTGCAAGGATTGCTTCCATTCGTTCAACGCCGCCTGCACGTTGTCCCAGTTTTGGGAGTTGTCAGCACCGGCAAGAACAAAACGGTTGGCTCTGGTCAAGTAGAAAGTTTCTGTGAGTTGGTTAAGCTTACCTTCGATGACACCAGACTTGATGGCGTTGATCAAAAGAGTTTCCAATTCAACTGAAGAGGATGCCAATTCAGCTGGGATGTCTTTGTATTGGAAGATGGATTGGGTGGAGGTGGCAAAGAATTTGGCCAAGGCAAGGATTTGCGACTTGGCGATAAGTTGAGGGCTCACAAGACTAGATTGAACAAGAAGCTCACCGTTGGTGTAACGGTCAAACAATTGAACAAAGTCATCGGAGGCAGCGTGGCTCTTGATGGCATGGGCAACATTGTGGTTGACCAAGAAGGAAACATCTACAACTTCAGATTCCAAAGCAAACTCAATTAATTGGTTTAATTCTTGTGCAGAGATGGTGTGTTCTTGTGTGAAAGTCTTGATTAATTGCAAAGTCTTCAAAGAAGAAGCAGAGTCCAAGGAAACAAAACGCCAAAAGGTGCTCTTGATATCTTGTTCAGAAGCACCGGCAGCACTCAACCAGCTGACCAAGTTGTCACCAATGCTACCGCTAATAAGTTGGAAATCTAATCCGGATTGAGCTACAACTTCCAAAATCTTGTTTAAAACCACAACACGCTTAGCAGATTGTTCTGGCAACAAGTTGAAAACATTGTTGAGCAAGGACAAAATGGTGGTGGACTTGATGGACTTTCTGTCACGCAAGGATGGTTGTTGAGTTGGGTTGCTAGCAACCAAGTTGGTCAAAATTTGTGGGTATTGTTCCAAAAGGGTTTCAACAGGTCCAACCAACTGGGTCAAAATGTACAAAACCAAGTTGTAGGTTGGTTCAAACTCCTTGTCTGGCAACTGACCCAAGTTGGCGGTGCTGGCAGAGGCCAACACAGCTTCGGCTAAGGCCTTCTTGTCGGTGATTTGAGTCTTGGCGTCGTTGAAGTACTTCAAAAGAGCTTGGGAAACTTCGGTGTTACCGTTGGCGGTGTCGAGGATTTGAGCGTATCCACGGACGGATTGCTCCAACTCCTGTTCGACGATGATTACTGAGTGCATTATGATAGCGTATGTCTGATCCGTGATGGGGTACACTTTCTCTGACTGGTCTCTGGCTTTGGAATTTTTCTCTTTGGCGGCGTTCTCATGATTTATATTTTTTTTTTTTGAGATTTTCTAAAAATTTTCACAGGTGCTGAGTGTCCTCTTAAGGAGGGTTTACACTCAATTGTAATATCAGGATATTCATAAATGATTGCAAATTTGGATTATCATGAAATAAAGAAAGTGGTGTTACTTACCCCAACAATAGGTGGCAATAGAAGTGAAATTTTCTAAAAACTTAAAGGGGTAACACTACAACGCCTGGAATATCATTCAAGGAAAACAATAGGATATTACCCCAATTCCTCTAATCAGAAAGAAATTGCTAAATTTAATTAGTACTACAGCAGCCAGCCTAACCAGAGGGAATCAATCTATTTCTATATACGGTACCAATTTTGTAATCCTCTAATAATATTCTTTGAGATCTAGACCTTTAACTGTTGTTTCTCGATGGTTATGTGTCCATTACTGTCCAATCTTACTGGATCATGTGCATCCACCTCGATTTGTTCTGGATGTTCATGCTCATGCTCATGCTCATGTTCATCTTGTTCGTATATTTCATTAAGTTTGACCACTTGTACCATTTGTTCTTCTGGTTCATCTTGACCATCTTGTTCATCTTCCTCTTCCTCATCAATTATAGATCTTGTTTCAAACATTCTGTTGTTTGGACCAGCACTAATAGGTTTAGGAACTCTCAACACTCTATCATCAACTTGCTGAGTATCTGTTGTCTTGTTATTCCTTTTTAAAAATGCAAATGCTGTAATTGGCGGTGAATGTGATCTTGGTAGTCCACTGGTATCAAGAGGCAGTACAATCCTGAATGGTCTACCTTTGTAACGACCAGGCTCTGGGGATACTGGTCTGTTTTCAACTGCGGGGAATGATACTGGATCATAAAGAGATGTCGATCTTACCGATCTCAGTGATGAATCTTCAGAGGTAATAGAAGCGTTACTTGACACTTGTGAGAGTCTTGCTTTTTTCAATGGAGTTCCTGCTCCCTTGAAGTTGGTGGTAGTATTGCTTGTTGATGAGGAAAGTATCGATACATCGGACGACATTGTTCGACGATAACTTGGACGTTTCCTCATGGCTTTACTCTTTGGTTGATTTGTTGGTATTAAAGAGTTACTATTCGGTCCACTAGTATGCACCGTATTATTGGAGCCACTGTTGGACAATAATTGTTTGAAATCATTATGAGAATTATTCACAGATGATTCATACATTCGATCGTCATCATCGTAATATTCAAACACCATACTGCTGTCAGTTCCTTCTAAAATATCCATTTCCAGTTCTGACATGATTGTAGAAAGCTGACTGAGATGGCTCAATTGTGATGCCTGTGAGATCACAGATGATGGTCGGGTCCTACTAAGGCGGGAAGAGCTATAAAATGCAGGATCTGGTGGAGTAGAAGTAGCATTACCCGATTCTCCAAGAGACAGGTTCGCCCTTGGTGTCAGGTAGTTGCCAGAAATTTGGCCATCTTGGGCACTCCCCTTATTTTCATCCTTTTCCCCCGACAGCACTTTTGTAGAAGCGCCTAGACTTCCAGCTTCAGGCAGTTGCAGTTTTTGCAGTGTTTTGGTCGTGTTACTTATAGTAGGGGCAACGGTATCAGCAATGCTATCTTGTTGCGTGTCCTTGTTTCCAACAGAGTTACTTCCACCTCCGTTTCTAGTCTTCCAAAATTGGAGTTTATCAAAAATCCGTGGTCTGGGTTTCTTCCGCTTTAAACTTTCTTCAGAGAGTATGGATAATCCTGATGGTATTCGTTTATGATCTGGGTGGAATGAAACACTCCTATTGGTAGGAGGTACGGATGGAGGATTTTCTTGAAGATGTGAAGAAGGATCGTGTGATTTGGGCGAAAGGGGTCTACTAGTAGGTCCACCACTACTATGAATGTGACTGTTACTCATGATACTGGTATTTACACCTTGGAAACTTCTTCTCGCACTGTCCATGGAACGCCTTCCAAGAGAAGCCGGTCTCCCAGAGTTGGCCGAAGTTGTTGTTGCTCCTGGTATTACTCCGCCAGCAAAAGACTCTCCCCCTCTACTACTTAAACTCAAAGAGGACAATATCCTTTCTAGAGGTTGAGAAGAGCCGTTGGGATCAACTCCTAACGCATTTTTAACTCTCCTTTTACTCAGCTGTAATGATTTTCTAGCCTCTTTGTATCGCCTCTTCTTTTCCTTGTAATACCGTATTTTCTTTCTTTTATACTCGCGAGTAAGTGCCAATTCGTACAATGCAGTCAATGTATTTGTCTCGTTGTTCATGATATTATGTTGTAGTTGATCGGTATTGATGTTAAGTTTGGCAAATGATTTAAGAAGTTGTCTTTCTATTTTCGATGAAAAAGGTACATTTTTGGAGTTATAATGTTGTGATATCGATATAATCGACTCGTTATCACTACGTTTAGAACCTCCGCCCATGCTACTACCACTTTGTTGGATCTTTTCGTGGTGAAGATCAAATAAAAAGTCAGAATTAAGAATTTCAGGGATTGTTGCTCTAACCTTTGGGTCCTTTGTAAGCATTTTTTTAATTAATTCAATGGCTGCTATACCATCTTCACCACCTGATTGTTCAGCTGTGGGAGTGGAAAAATTATTCAATGGGCCAAACTTTGGTTCTTCACAAACAATTCTATATCGGTTACTCATATCATCATCTTCATCAAAGGGCATCTCACCATATAACATGGTATATAATATAACTCCCAAGGACCAAACATCCACTTGAAACCCAGAATATTTACTACTAGTAAGCATTTCCGGAGCCATATAAACTGTGGTGCCGCACACTGTGGAAAGGAATGTTCTACGTTGTGGGTTGAATTCTCTTACAAATCCAAAATCTGTAAGTTTGATTAATGTATGTTTTGTATCCGCCAAGAGAATATTCTCCAACTTTAAATCTCGATGGCATAAGTGAAGCAGATGGACATATTGCACCCCTACAACAATCTGATAGAACAAGTGCCTCACTTCAGAAGGGTCCAACCGACGCTTGTTATATATGTGGTAATAAAGCTCGTTCCCTTCACAATATTCAAGTACCATCCAAAGATGTGACTCGGTCTTTATCACTTCATATAGCTTCACTATATGTTTATGTTTCAATTGTTTATGGTAATATATTTCTCTAACGATATTTGGATCATCCAAGGACCCACACTTGAGCACTACTTGCACGTTTAACAAGACATGTCGGGCTAGATACACTTTCCCAAAGGCACCTTCGCCAATCTCCAGTGTAATTTGGTAGTTCCCAATCTGTTGAAACCCTGGTGCCGTCGTCTGTAGATAAAAATCATTGAACAGGGCCGCCAATTGTGCCTTAGAATGGAGCTCTTTCCCATTCATAGTCAGCTAGTTGGTACTTGTATGTGGGTAAATTTACTCAAATATAAGATACCGAGATTAGTTGTACTCTTATAGGTAGCTATAGTAGTCGGACAGGGAAACTGAGTGGTATGGTGTGGAGGTGTCCCCCATATGGGCTGTAAGTGCAGGAATCACAAAAAAAAAGACCAAAAAAAAAAATGCAACCTTCAAGCATTTATACTATTCCAATAGTTATTGCAATTAGAATCGTCGATACATTAACTCTGTGTAAGATACGAGACCAAGAGCAAGTTAATTCTCAGTGAAATATTGAAGCATATAGGGGATATCTTGATAAAGGAAAGAAATAATAAAGAAAAGGAGAAAAAGCGTTAACTATAAGAAAAGTGACAGTAACCATTCTCGTGTACCTTCTTATAGATCCATCATAAATAACCTTTTACTATGCAACGTATAAGGTTAGTTTATCGAGCTCATTGGTCAGGGTCATCTGGTACATTATCATGTGCTCTGGTTGCTTCCCGAGCCCGTAGAATAAATATCAGGGCAAACTATGCAACCACTTCAAAGCCCATCGCACACAAATCAATCTCACAGACAGCATTACCAAAGAACTCCAACCCTTCACATGCACTCAACAAGATCATAAAACCAGCACTTTCGGAACTACTTGAATCATTCACAGATTCAAAAATCAAAAATCCTACACATCAACAACTTAATGCTCTCCCATTACAACTCAAAAACAAACTTTCAAATTCATTGAGAAATATATTGGAGTTAAATATTGACAAGTTTGTAGCTGGTTCTTCCTCTACCAATACCATCCCTGCATTGAAAATAGAACACTTTTTAAACCCACAAGTGGATGATATTGCACCAATATTGTATACGCTTCAACATAGTCCACCACCTGCTGAATTTGGTAAGGCTTTGGGAGTTTCCACAAGAAATGAACTTCTTCATCTTGTGCTTGAAAAATTACTCTTTAAAGAATACCTCAAGTATAATCTTACTGCTGTTGATTCACTTCCAGTAAAGATGGATTTCTCCAACCCTGCCGAATGGTATCCAGAGGCCCGTAAAATGAAGAGAAAAATCATCATGCATGTTGGGCCAACCAACTCAGGTAAGACATATAACGCCTTGAAACTCTTACAGTCTGCTAAAAGTGGGTACTATGCTGGACCTTTACGTCTTTTGGCGAGAGAAATTTATGAAAAATATCGTGAACAAGGGATTAATTGTAATTTAGTTACTGGTGAAGAAATCATCCCAGATATTGATGAGTTTGGTAATGTGGCTGGAATCTCTTCAGGAACTATTGAAATGGTTCCTGTGAACCGTAAGATGGACATCTGTGTTATTGATGAAATTCAAATGATTGGTGATAATAGAAGAGGTGAAGCATGGACAAATGCTGTCTTGGGGGTACAAGCTAAGGAACTTCATCTTTGTGGAGAAGTTAGTGCAGTTCCACTTATTGAAAAACTTTCAAAGATCACTGGAGATTCAGTTGAAGTGAAATCGTATAATCGATTGGGGGAATTGGTAGTTGAAGATAAGCCGGTTAATCGGTTCAGTTTTAAGGATTTACGTCGTGGAGATTGTGTAGTAGCCTTCTCCAAGTTGAAGATCTTGCTGCTTAAAAGAGAAATTGAATCTAAACTGAAATTGAAGGCAGGGGTTGTTTATGGAGCATTACCTCCAGAAGTTAGATCAGAGGAAGCAGGCAAATTCAATTCTGGGAAATATGATATATTAATTGCCAGTGACGCAATTGGTATGGGTCTTAATCTTAAGATCCGAAGAGTTGTATTTGTGACTGTGGATAAGTTTGATGGTAAGGAGATGACTAAATTAACTGCTTCCCAAGTGAAGCAAATTGCTGGTAGAGCAGGACGGTTCTCAAGTGAAGGGAAGCTGGTCGGTTATGTCACAGCCTTCGGTCAGAATACGTTGGAGTATGTAAGAGATTCTATGGACATGCCACTGATCCCATTGAAGAAAGCATACCTTTGGCCTACTGGAGAAATTTGGGCTCGCTATATTGCCAAGTTTCCAAAGAAAACTCCATTGGTTGAAGTTTTCAAACAATTAGAAAAGGATTTACAGAGGGATAAGGGTAAGATGGATCTTTATCAAGTAACTGAATTGGATTCAAGAAAAAGAATTTTGAAACAGTTTGAACATCGGAAACTTGTTGGAAAAATTCCATATGAAGATCAACTTCGTCTTAGCATTGCACCATTAAACTTGGATAAACCAACTGAATACATAAACGATAGAATATATCAGTTATTGTTTGCCATTGCGAACATGAGATCCCATGATATTCTTTACTACAAGATTAATGATCAAAACATTATGAAGAAGGAACCTAGTGGAGCCATGACCTACGAACATGCAATGGCAACTGTGGGTAGACTTGAAGAAATGCACAAGATGACTATTTTGTTCCTATGGCTTAGTCAAAGATGGCCCACGCTCTTTGTTGACAAAGAGGCAGCTATGGATTGTAAGACCTTACTTGAAAAGAGAATTACTGAAGAGTTGGCAAATTTGAAAAAGATTAAGATTTTTAAAAAGGGTTCAAGATATACGCAACGTGGGTTTGGTGATACTTAGTGAACAATGTCACGGGTACTTGTATATATGTAAATAGATCGTAATTGATACGTACATAGAATTAAAAAGAGAGAATATGTCGTTCATATGTCGTTCATATAATTGTTGTAGAGTTATGCAAACCCAATCACTACAGTAATTTCAATATGCGAGATTCCGGGTTTGATCTTCCCCGTAACTTTGTCAAATGCTACTTCAGTGTCAAGTGCCATGCTAGTTTCGATTCAAGTTTCAGATATACTCTCAAGTCTTTACTTCGATCATATCATTTCAAAACTAATATTGTAAACCTTTTAGGGTTGCAATTTTAGACACACTTGACACAACTTTTAATTCTGCTCCTAAACACAAATGTTACTCACCGTTCTGCGGGGCAATTCCGCGTAAATGCAACCATTCCGGATAAACTGTTTGTTTTCCCCCACGCGACCCCACGAAAAAAAAATGCAATACGCCCCCACGCATGAACAAGACCCAACAGCTACAAGTTGATTTAAGGAGTTTCTCCGCAAGTTGAATTTATCATTTCTTCAAACATTTATAAACAGCTCTATCCGTTTAGAAGTTTCCAATAGAAGAAGTAAAAAAACAAATAAAAGATGCTTGTTATCGTTGTTGGAGGTCCGGCCGGTACCGGAAAGACTACATTAGCAGAAATGCTTGCGGAAAAGCTCCATTGTCCTTTCACTGAGGGAGACCAATTACACCCACAAGTAAATTTGGACAAGATGTCAAGCGGGATCCCATTGACAGATGAAGATAGATGGGATTGGCTAGCCAATGTCTCGGTGGCTGCGTGTAAACATGGAGCTGACCCTCTGAACAAAACAGGATTTTCAATTGTATCATGTTCAATGTTGAAGAAAATTTACAGAGACCATATAGTCGAACTGGCAGTGGGTGAAAACGTTGAATTTAGATTTGTATTCCTCTATTCAACTCTTGAAGAGTTGTACAAGCGTGTAGATAACCGGAAGGGCCATTTCATGAAGTCTGACATGGTCACTTCACAATATGAAATCATGGAAGTCCCTAGTGGGAAAGAATTAATAGAAAATGGTGGATCCGCATTGGCAGTGGATACTACTGGTAAAGGTCCACAGGAAGTGTTTGCAGAGGTAGCCAAACACTTTTAAAAATCTTTAGACTATATAGGGTTGAAATAATATACATCTCCATTTTTTTTTCTTATAGTAGGAAATAAAAACATTACAATGTAAGAATTAAAAGGGACTCTACTCTTCAACTTTTGTGATAAGGAAAGAAGCGAGTGCATCATGTGCATATAGTAAGAGAAAAGCGGCACGCGAGGGGGGTGGTGTGGAATACCAGTACGTTACAAATACAAGTGGTGAGAATACAAAGTGGTGAGCAACTTGTACTAAATGAAAACCTTTCATATATATAATATTTCCCTAACGTTATTTTGCTCCCAGTCAATCTACAAAAGACACTAATGTGAATGGGTGGATAAATTGTTATCTTTCTCTACGTGAGCTTCTATGTGTAATTCTTGCTAATCCCATGCTAATCAGAGTTCTAACAAATACCGGCCAACGTCAACTGGCATGATAGTACATATGGCACGACAAAATCCCCTCAATACAATGTGAGTCTTCCTATCTTGCCCATTGAATCGCATTATGATCTCGGAAATTAATATATATATTTTTTTCTCTCTGTGCGGGATTGTATTTTTTTTTTTACTTTCCTATATCATCACCACCCCACTACATCTCGGACCAGCCGCCATATAGCTTCACCACCACATGTTTGATCCGACCACCTACCCATACTACAACCCATCGGTAGACAGAAAAGTCGCGATTGTGACTGGCGGGAACTCCGGGATTGGGTTTTGTACTGTTTTACATCTCTATCTTCACGGTTACATTGTTTACATAGCCGGGCGCAGTAAGTCGAGAGTAACCAAGGCAATTTCAGAATTAAAGGAACAAGCGGCGGTAAAACAAGTTCAGTATCTGCCACAAGAGGCTCGTGAACGTTACACGGGTGAGATATTTTTCCTCGATATTGATCTTTTAGATTTGAATTCCGTCATTCGTGCTGCTGAAATCTTTAAATCTTTAGAAACAACTCTTCATATTTTAGTCAATAATGCCGGAGTAATGGCACTCCCATTTTGTCTCACCAAGGATGGATTTGAAATACAACTACAAACCAATTATATTGCGCCATTCTTGTTCACTACAAGATTGCTCCCACTTCTTGAACGTACGGCTGAAACAAAGGGGAACTCAGTTAACCCACCCCGTATTGTATACCTCTCGTCAGTGGGACATCACTTTGCATTCCGTTACTTCCTGATGAATTCACACTTTAATTACTATCCAAACATCATCTTCACTTGGCTTCGTTATGGAATGGCAAAGACTGCCGCCATTCATTTCATGAAAATGTTGGCACTTCGAAACCCATCAATCTTGTGTGTCTCCGTACACCCAGGCTTTGTCATGAACACAAACTTGTTTGCCTATTGGACACGACTCCCGATCATTGGAATCGTGTTTTGGTGTCTTTTCCAAATCTTTGGCTACTTTTTCGGGGTCAGTAACGAACAAGGTGCTTTAGCAAGTTTACGTGGTTGTATGGACCCAAGCTTGCTGGTGCAGCATGATAATGGGAAATATTTTGCCACGGGTGGTGTTGAAGCTGAACCTTCTCGTGTAGCACGCAATATGGATTATGCCGCTCGTACATGGATTTGGACTTTGAAGGAATTGAGTGATCGTAATATCACCATTTAAAGTCTATATTTCTGCTAGACATAAACCTCTCCTTACTTGGGAGGTGATTACATCTCTCTTTGACTGGATCATTCTTCTGAAAAGACCCTCTTGCCCGGTCCTATTTGGCAGAAATTACAGTTCTGACTATTATTCGCTCGTCTGCTCTCCAGCAGATCATTTTTGCAAACCCTGGAATGTTTACATTTTCTTATTTTGAAACGCCTTTACTTCAGTATTTGCAATGGGAACCATGTTCATATATTTATTTCATCTATTGCTACCTATAACTAATTTATCTGAGATTCGCTAGCGATCTCACCAATGCATCGACGTCTTCACTATCATCATCGTAATCATCTTTATAGTAATTGTCATTATCATCAACGTAATTACGATAAAATGGGACATATCGACTGTAATCAACATACTCGTCTTCATAACCTTCGTAAAACTCGTCATCAGAATCATCACGGAGACCATAATCATTATACTCATTATATTGAACAGGAAACTCATCTTCATCGCTAGTATAGTCACTATCGTCATTATATTCCTTTCTTTTCCTTGTTGGGGGAGGTGTAGGAGGAGGAGACTTACTAGTTGGCTGACTAGTTCGATCTGTTCTATACACTTCAACTTCTTCATCGTTCATATTTAATGCATTCTTCAAGAAGAATTCAAAGAAATCATCCTTACTGATTCCAGATCCTTCTAAGGATTTTTTCACTTCTTCATCAAGTTCATCTTCGTCTACATCTTCATCATCTTGTTCGTAATCGTCTTGATCTCTAGTCAAGTATTCTTCAAGTTCTTGTTTGTTTGCAAAAATTGAACCCATCGTTCTCATTAATTCCTCTTCGGCAAGATCAACTCCCCCCGCGGGTGGAGGAACAAACTTAATTTCTTTGGTATGACCACTTAATTGCTTCTTTTTTATAAGTATCTTCTCAAGTACATGTCTTGAAAGACAGTCATATTTCTTAAACTCAAATGAAGAATTAGGTTGCACTTTCAATGAATTTTTCAAAAATTCATCTTCTCTTGCAAGAACTTCTAAACCGACATATATGGTTTCATTCATTTGCTTACTAGGTTCATCTTCTAACAAGCCAGCAATCCAATCAGGGACACCAATGGTATACACTGCAGTGTTAGTTTCTTTCCATTCTCTTATAATCTTTTCTGATTCACTAGTGCTAACTTTCTTACGCTTCTTCCCAAACAGTAAGGTAGATTCTATTGGCCTATGATTACCAACACCGGCCATATATGATTCAACTATCAAATATGGGAAGTGTGATAGTAATTGCGCCACCTGTGCGCTCAAGACAACCTCAACATTAATGATCCTTTCAAGATGGTTCTTAATACATTTTAATCCACCAGTATCATTGAAAAATTTCGTAAGAATTGGTACTTGCGGACAGCTATATAATTTTGTCCATAATGTAGAAATTGCAATTTCTAATGGTAATCCTGGTTGTCCAATATTTGGTCTATCAGGAGGAATGGCTATAATTCTCTTTTTATTGACCCAAACTCGATTAAAAGTTCGTGTCAGGTTCATCCATTTCGGAAGCTTGTCATATACTTGACATACTTGATATTCTTGGTCCCCTATCCAAATGTACAAGTCTGGGTAACGGCCCAGAAATTCCCATATTAACCCTCGAAGAAGTTCATGATCAACTGATTCAGGACATTCTTGAGATCCATAAAGATATGGATGTACAACTTCGTCCCATTCATTCTCATGACTTTGCAAGAGCACTGTAAGGGGCTTCGCTGCAAATGGATAGTGCTTGACAAATGGTTCAAGGAACGCGTCCAATTCAGGCATTACTTCATTGGCAAGTTTTGATTCTCTCTTCTGTTCTGACATGAATGGGTCAATCCAAAAGGCTGCAAATTCAAACAATGCCACCCCAGGATTTCCAAATTTTGAATAGAACAAATCTCCATTTCGATGGATGAAATCCTCTGGATCCCAGATATGGGCGGATATTTCATTCATGCTATATCCCTAGTAATATGTTTAATATCTATTTGTTATTAAGTTAAATTTCAAATTTGAAATCGCGAAGTTAAATTAACCGTTTGATTTAAGGAGAAGCACAGACTCGTCAAGAGCGAGAGAAGAAAACGTGCCACTAATGAAATTAGATTTCTGAAGACATCAGTGTCTTACAATCCTAGAATAGTAATCCCTCACTGGGACTAAGGTCTACCCTATGAAGCTCTAAAATAATTTCCATTTTTATATACCCCTGATGGGGAACTTTTCTCGAGAGAATATGGATGCAAATTTTATAAACAGAAGAAGGTTAAACCATATCTCACATCATGTAGAATTTGAGATTATAAATTGTTCTCAAATGAACTGCTGAGGAGTCCTTCAAGACTTCACTACAAGTCTACAGCTCATATAATTATATATTTTCATTTCATTTCTTATTTCGCTACCCTTATTAATCTAAAATTCATCTACAACTTAGAATCCTTGTCAATTCTCTCAATGACAATGGAAGAGGCACCACCACCACCGTTACAAACACCAGCAACACCGATCTTACCACCTTCTTGAGACAAAACAGACAACAAAGTGCAAACAATTCTAGCACCAGAACATCCCAATGGGTGACCTAAAGCAACAGCACCACCGTAAACGTTCAACTTTTCAGATGGAATGTCCAAAAGCTTAGCATTAGCCAAACCAACAACGGAGAAAGCTTCGTTTAATTCGAAAAAGTCAACGTTATCAATGCTGGACAAACCGGCATGCTTCAAGGCCTTTGGAACGGCCAAAGCTGGAGCAATGGTGAAATCAATTGGAGATCTGGCAGCTTCACCCCAACCAGTGATCTTGGCCAATGGAGTTAAACCAAGTTCCTTCAATTTAGATTCAGAAACAAGAATGACAGCAGCACCACCATCGTTCAATGGGGAGGCATTTGGAGCGGTAACGGTACCGTTTTCCTTTTGGAAAACAGTTCTGGCAGCACGCAACTTAGATTCGTTGAAGTTACTGATTTCTTCATCGCTAGAAATAACAGTATCTGGCTTACCACGGAAACCCTTGATGGTGACTGGAGCGATTTCAGAATCAAACTTACCAGCCTTTTGAGCGGCTTGAGCCTTGGAATAAGAGTCAACGGCAAAGTTATCTTGGTCTTCTCTTGAGAATTGATGGTCCTTAGCACACTTTTCAGCGGCAACACCCATCAATTTTTGTTCATAGACATCCAATAAACCATCCTTTTGAACACCATCAACCAAGGTAGAGTCACCAAAACGAGCACCACCACGAGCAGCTGGAACGTAGTATGGAGTGTTGGTCATGGATTCAGCACCACCAGCAACAACAATGTCAGCAGTACCAGTCAAAATGGTTTGAGCACCCAAGATAATGGCCTTCATACCAGAAGCACAAACCTTGTTAATGGTAGTGGCAACAATGGATTCGGAAAGACCGGCCTTAAGGGCAACTTGACGGGCTGGAGCTTGTCCAACGTTAGCTTGTAAAGCACCACCAAAGAAGATTTCTTCGACATCTTCAGATTTGATCTGAGGGGTCTTGGCTAAGGCAGCCTTGACAGCGTGAGAACCAAGGTCAGAATAAGTGTATGAGGACAAGCCACCTTGGAATGAACCAAGAGGTGTTCTGGCAGAAGAGACAATGTAGACAGACATTATGTTTATATTATATGGGTTGAATTGAATGGAGTTCAAACTAAAGAAGTATTCATTTTTTTTTGCAACGACGACCTTGTTGGGGCATTTATATTTGTGTAACTCGTTTATTACATGCAGGCGTATACGATACGCGCATTTAAAAGATATTTTTGAAACCGAGGGAAACGAATGGTGGGGTAGAAGGAGAAAAGGAGGTAAATTAAAAGGGTTATGAAGGGCTCATTAAGTATAGATATACATCGGATTTAAAGAAGAAATAATTTCCATTGAATTGAAATAGATATTTAATTTTCTTGAAATGGTTTACATTTTGAAAATACATCAGTGTTGTATTTAGCTGTATGGACACCAATGGTGCACATGTTGCTCGTGACATTCTCGCACGTGAAGGCACAAAAAGAAAACGTTATATAATACTATTTGAATGTAATAAGAGCAATTTATGTTATTTTTAGGGGGTATTTTTCGTATTGGTATCGGATTGAAACGTTCTATGAATAAAATTTCTAATCAAGGGTTTCTATTTTCCCATTTTACGATGGAATTGGCTGCAAATAAAAAATTAAAACTTAAGAAAAGAGTTAAATTGTTTTATTAGTCGAAGAATAGAAGGTAGAAAATATTAATGGTAGGAAGGGGATTTTATATAAAATGGAACGATAAGGTTAATAAGTTTCTGTTTCTTTTTTTTAAAAAAAAAACTGGAGGGGCATTGATATACTCCAGTTGTATTTGTAATACAACTTGTTATTATGGGCCCTCTATACGAAAATACGATTACTGTATGCACACCCGATCTCATTGATCCAAAATTGGCATTTGCCGGTACGATTAGAATGAAAAGATGAGAATCACAGCAAAAGGGCAGATTGTCCCCCCATCCATCTAAAAAGTAGTTTAGCAATTTTAGTTTTATTTTTTATTTTGTTACCCAGAGAAGGATGCAATTTGAGGCAATGAAAATGGTTGGAATGTCCACATCCAGGATAGGTATCCGTGGGATTGGTGGTTTGTATAGACCAATGATACTGTACAAGGTACCTTTATGCGGAAAGAGATTGCTTTCTTCGGTACCACCTCCAGTACAACCACAAGGTTCGAGCCAAGGTGAAGGTCAAGGACCTGAAAGTTCAAGAAATACAGCTGCCAAAATTGCTTCTAGAATTCCAAAGTTTCTTCGTCCATATACTACAGACTTTATGCATGCTCCAATTTCCCATGTTACAGCCTTCATCGTATTGCATGAGCTTACCGCCATAGTGCCGTTGATTGGACTCTGGTATGTATTCCACCAGCACCATGAGTGGATCCCTATGGATCTCCCTACTTGGGCTCTTGACAAGGGAATGGCTGTGATTGATAAAGGGTTGGATAAATGGGATTTTTCAGATTATTCAGTGACAGAAAAGGCCAAATTTATTATGGAAGGTACTTATGCATACGCCATAACCAAGGCACTCTTCCCATTTAGACTCATGTTTAGTGTAAGCATGATGCCATGGTTTGCCCGATGGTTTGTCGTCCCAATCACACGAGCATTCTCAAGGGTAATTAAACGAGGGAAATCCAATGAAACTAAGGAAATTGCATCCAGTATTGATTCTAATTTGGATACTGTCAAGACTAAAAAGGTACACAAGCCAAGATTGTAGAACAAAATTTACAAATTCCAATCAATAAAAAAAGAATGAATGAATGTGACCTAAGAATAGAAAAAGTAGGGCGGACGAGTAATAGACTACTGAGTAGGAAATAATAAAATAATTAAGGATTAGAGAAATTGTTTTGATATCATCGTAGGTATATGTAGTGGTTGTAAGAAATATGTGAAGGAATGAGAATACGCGAAACACGTCAAAATTGATTAGAGGAACCAAACATAAAGAACAAGAACAATAGTAATAACAGTAATTCAATCTCTTTATCTTGCATTATGTCCACTGTAACGGCGGTAGACTATATTCAGTCTCAATTAGAGCTCGAAAGAGAGGCCAGGGAGCTCATGCCTTATGACCCCCAGAGTTGTACTTACACTATGGGAGAATTACGTCAGCCAGTGTTTGCATGTTTAACGTGCTCTCGACAAAACGATAACACCCCTATAGGAGTATGTTATTCGTGTTCTATACAGTGTCATTCAACTCACGACTTGGTAGAACTTTTTGCCAAACGATCCTTTGTATGTGACTGTGGAACCACCAAAATGTCAAAGACCAAGGGTGGTGCTTGTAAAACGCGAGCCCGTTCAGCTATGGTAGAATCAACCACAGCCTCCAATTCCATAAGACGCAGGACAAGTAGCACCAGTAGTAGTGTTGGTCAGGCATTGGCTGCAGAAGATATCCCATCTCTGGGGAACCAGTACAATCACAATTATAAAGGGTTCTTTTGTTCTTGTGAGAAACCTTATAATCCATTAGAGGAAACTGGTAATATGATTCAATGTCACTTTGGTGAAGCTTGTGGGGAAGATTGGTACCATGAAGAATGTATACTTGGGTATAAACGAGGCAGTATACGGTCGGTACGGTCTGAAGATAGTACATCAAACCAATTGGACGATTTAGCTCCTCCTGGTGAGGATGCAGCGAGTGATACAAAACAGCCAAAAGAAGAGGAGGCTAATACTCAAAGTGAAGAATATGATGATGATGACGAAGACAATGTTTCTCTGGTACCTTATTTCCCTCGTTTGGACCACTTTGAAATGTTTATTTGTTGGAAATGTGTAGCAAAATACCCTAAGGAGTTTGAGAAATTGAGAGCTGACCCAGAAATATCATTTGTACATCTCCCATATTTCAAAGACGTAACTTCTTCAGAAGCTTGGGAATTAAAATACAAGAATTTTATTGATCCTGAGCCACAAAGAAAGAAAGTAAAGTTGGAGCTGGAGCTGGGACTGGGACTGGGACTGGGACTGGGCGATGTTCCATACTCGATATTCTTAAAACCGGGATTCAAATCTAAACTCAAGGAATTGGCAGACAATTCCATGCCGTTCCTTCAAAACCACTCGTTTTTGTATGAAGAGGACCCAATTTATGAACCTCCAGAAGATGAAGATGATGATGCTTCTTCCGGCACAGGCTCATTATTGGAGTTGGGAGCAGGAGCCTTACAATCACTTCCAAGAGAACAAGCCATTGAAGGATTACAGGCGTATGATAAAATCAAATCCAAATTAAGAGATTTTTTCAGACCCTTTGCTGAAGATGGAAAGGTAGTAACAGAAGATGAAGTCCGGAACTTTTTCTCCAAGGTTAAAGAAGAGGATAGTAATTCTTAAATATACGTTGTAATGTACATTCTCATTTTCAATTTTCATTTTGTATTCTCTAAATTTCTATTAACAGGCATTATATACTACTTACTACTCTTACTATCTTTCTTCTTCTTGTCCAAACCAGCAAACTCACCATCCCAAACTTGGTTACCTTCAGCTTCAGTATATCCAGGGAAAATCTTGTCAAACACTTCGTGGTACCATTCAACAGGAATGAACTCAACACCTTCTTTGACTTCTTCCGGAATATCATCTAAAACATTCTCGATATCCTTTGGAAAGATAATGGTAGTACAACCATATCTCTTAGCTCCCAAAATCTTTTCTCTTAATCCTCCAACGGCTAACACACGACCAGTGACAGTAAGTTCACCCGTCATAGCAATGGTGGCAGGTAAAGGTTTATTAATTGCCAACGAAACCAAGGCAGATGTGAAGGAAATACCAGCAGATGGACCATCCTTTGGAACTGCACCATCTGGACAATGTACGTGGATATCGGCAGCTTCAAAGAATCTATTCTTGGGGAATCTCTTGGTCAAGAACAGTTTAGCAAATGAATAAGAAATAGATGCAGATTCCTTCATGACATCCTTCAAGCTACCTGTTACTCTGACACCAGCATTTCCAGTACCCGAGCTGATTGAGTTGGTTAAGATCGACTCAATATAAAGAGCATCTCCATTTCCGGATCCAGAGTATGAAAGACCAGTGGCAACACCCGCTGGAAGTTCATCATATACTCTATCTCTTGGAAAAACTTCAGGTCCAATATAGTCTTTCAAGTTTTCTGGAGTGATTTCCAACTTGATATCTTCAGGGATTACTAATTTAACAGTTTCTTCTTCGTCCACTAATTCATTTTCCTTCTCTGTTTCTTGGGTTTGTTCAGTAGCTTCCTTTGTTTTCTTGGAAGCTTTCTTCTTGGATTTGGAAGGGTTGGCCGTCTTAACTTCAGTGACCTTGGCAGGTTGTGTAGCTGATTCGTCGACTAAATCCTTAGATTCAACTTCGATTGCACTGACTACGGTAGAGTCCTTAGGTTCTTCAGCTTTAACTTCTTCAGTTTTAGCTTGAGACTCATCAGTCTTCTCTTCCTTTTCCTTCGCAGCATCTTCCTTTTCTTCGATTTGTTCCACAATCTTGAATGCAGCCTTGCTGAAGATTCTAGTAATTTGCTTCTTGGCATTTCTTAACCCACTCTCTCTACAATATCTCTCGATCAATCTAGTGATTGTTTCAGTAGGGATCACAACATTTCCATTTTCCAAACCAGCTTTCTTAGCTGCTTGTGGGATAAGGTGTCTTTGAGCAATCTCGACCTTTTCCTTGGTAGTGTAACCTGAAACATCAATAATTTCCATACGATCTCTAAGTGGTGGTGAGATGTTACCCAAATAATTAGCAGTACAGACGAATAAAACCTTGGATAAATCAACCTTAACATCCAAATAATTGTCAGTGAAGGAATGGTTTTGTTCTGGATCTAAGATTTCCAAGAATGCAGATGATGCTCCACCACCTCCACGGCCAGAAGTATCCAACTTGTCAATTTCATCAATCAACATCAATGGGTTAGAAGTCTTAGCTTGTTTTAAGGCTAAGATGATTCTACCAGGGACAGCACCAACATAGGTTCTACGGTGTCCCTTCAATTCGTGCATGTCATTAACACCACCCATGGCAATACGAACGTATTGTCTATTTAATGCTTCGGCGATAGACTTGGCGATAGATGTCTTACCGGTACCTGGTGGTCCGGCCAAACATAAAATCTTACCATCAACATTACCACTGATTCTTCCCATGGAGATAAATTCTAGAATTCTCTGTTTAACTTCATCAAGACCATAATGGTCTCTTTCTAAAGTAGCTCTAGCCTTCTTGATATTGAAATGATCCTTAGAGTATTTACCCCATGGAACAGAAACAAGCCAGTCCAAGTATTTTTCAATGACATACAGTTCACCAGAACTTTCATGTTGCAGTTGAAGTTTTCCTAATTCATAATCGAATGCTTCTTGAGCTTCAGCAGTCAATTTCAATCCCTTGATCTTTTCTGTGTATTTGGCAGCTTTATCGGTAGGTGTACCCTTTTCAGAAAGTCCCGCCAACTTGTTAAATTGGTTGACAAATTCCTTAAGTACTGCCTTACTTTGGCTATCCAGTGCATTCTTTCTCATATTTTCAATTGTTGTAAGTTTAAAGTTTAACACTTGTTTCTCCAATTCAGCCATGGCTAACACTTTTTCCAATCTTTCTTGAATGTTCAAAGTTTCCAAATACTCTTGCATTTGTTCTGGGGTGGCAGTGGCCAAAGAAGCAACAAAATCAGCAAGTTCATGAGGTTCATAAGATTCAGCTTTAATTACTTGTTCTCTACCACTTGGATGTCTAGCAGTAAGATGCATTACCAGTTTTCTCAATTCCTCGGTTAATTCCATAATCATAGGATTTCTCTTGTCATAAGGTTCATGTTCCACCCATTCAGATGTAGCATATGAAACTTTGAAGTTACTCAAATAAGCTGTAGGCGAAGGTTCTTCTTCCACTGCTTTCTCACCTTCCTTGGTAGCACCTGATTGCTTTTCATTGGGAGTAGTAAGATCTTCCATCTTGACTCTTGTAGTTGGGTAGGCAAGAAGCATGGTCTTATCGGAGAAGTGGGTAACCTTACAAAGATCACAATGTGTCCCGATCTCATGCACGGATTCCTTTGATTCTATCACGTCGCTATCAGTTGAACTCTTGGAATGGAAAAGGAGAAAGTGTGGGTGCTTATTTTCAATAATGGCATCTACCGCTCGAATAACTTCCGGATCAGTGATATAAATCGAAAATACACGGCCAGGAATAGGTGGACGATCACTCATAGGAATGGCCAAAAGCGGTGGGAAAGTTCTTGAAGGTGGGGTGGCGGGGGGTGAATCTCCAGGGGGTGATCCCTTGTCTCCTGGTGCCAGAGAATTTCCTCCTGGTGGTGTAGGAGGGGTGAATGAAGAAGCTGCTCCACCAACATTTGAAGGAATCTCGATTTCCTCAATGACAATCTCGGACTTTTCTGGTTGTTCCGGTTCTTTTGGTTGTTCTGGGGTCTCCTCTGGCTTCGTTGGTTTCTCAGGTGAGCCCTTCTTTTCATCTCTAGGAGTCTTTTCCTTCTTCGAATCCTTTGCTCCAATACTAAGCTCCAGTGAGCCTAATCCTAGCTCTTGTTTCAATGCATGGATCTCGTTTTTCAATGCTACTGGATCAAAAGAAAGGGTTGAGGGAGTCTTACTAATCCCCTTAGGATCAAAGGAAAATGCCCCCGGTTGGGCTGCAATGCTGGCACTTCTCGTGCTGCAGCGTACGGCGGTCCTGGCCACTCGTACTGTGTTTCGGCGAATCATGCTAGCTATCTTTCGTCCGGATAGTGGATTCTAATAAAAGTATATGGGTATATCTTTCGCATATAGCGGAGATCGGAAAACTAGTGTGCTCCAGTTTTTGCCATTATCCTAAAATGACACAAAACTGGATATTTTCTATGACGTTCTAAAAATTTCCCACCCACGATTGATAAGAAATAGCTACAATAATATAGACATTATAAATACGTTGTAGGATCATTTAGATGAATATATTTATATGTATAGTACATTAGTTTACAAATATTTGAAAAAAAAAACTGATGAAATTGTTCTTTCTTTTGATGGAACATCATTCTTTATCTGGGAGTGTCTGTGTTTATGAAACAGACAATTTTGATGACATTAATAGTTCTCTGATTTGGTCTCTGTCCTTATCTACTCGGATATCAGGTAGTCAAAATATTCCACCTAATGGGGAATTTATTGTGAAAATGCTAGTTGGTGAGTGAAAATGATTCCAAGACCTAATGTTCTCGATACTCCAGGTACCAATGTAATAAATGACTTTAATAGACTTCTTCAATCAATTTTGAAAACATTCTTCTTCCTCTTTTTAGTGACTTTACCACTAGCTGCACGATCTCGAGCATTTCTTTTTAACTTCTTTGGTGTCTCTGTATCTTCTAAAAAGTTAGAATCTTGGTAATAATTCAAGGTGTTAGTCTCTTCATCCTCAAGATTAAGTCCCTTATTTGGACTATTATTGTTAACATCCTCTGAAGGGGTGATTTTAGTAGCTTCAGACTTCCAAAGTTGAAGTTTCTTCTTCTTTTTCGTTCCCTTTTCATCTGAACTAGAAGATGGAATCTGTCCATTCAATGTAGAGTTTGCACTTGCAAATGTTGTTTCTCCATCTTCTTCTTCTTCATCTCCGTCGGTGAGGAAATTGGTGACATTTGTGACACTTGTATTTGCCGCTTGTACTTGTTTTGAGGGCGTTTTCACTACTTCAGATGTTTCCAAACTCCCCAAAATCGACAGCAGATCTACAGCTTTACTTACTGATGCTCCTCTTACATTCAATTTCTGATCATTCCCTTTCTTGATGGGAACTTCAATATCTGTCAGAATACCTAAAGCCATGGCCTCTTCATGGAATTTTTTCATATGATTGAAATTGAAATACGAACGTTTCGGCTTGGTAGCAGCTAGATTCACCTTCCGTTTAGGTTGAATGGGAGATAAGATTGTCAGTACATCAGCAAGTGATGTGGCAGTACTAGTTGATCCACTGATAGATTTATTTAAAGAATTGGTGGTTGGAGAAAGGTAACTCTTTGAATTGAAAAGTTTACTCACATAAGGTGAGGTTGAGAACGATGAGTTAATATTATTCCCACTATGCCTTGATTTGGTATTATAGTTTGTCATTGACTGAACTGCCAGTACAGTCTCATTTTGCTCTTTGATCTGTTGTTTCAATCTAGCCAATTCATCCTTAAGTGTCTCGATCTTGGATTCAAAAACCTTGTCCTTCGTTGCATGTTCCTGCTTCAACTTGTTGATAATTAATTCGTATTCATGATTTGGTGATATTGTCGTGGGTGTAGGTTCTCTGCTGGCATTTTTCTTTTGATTTATTGATCCATTCAATCGAAGTGCTTGAACCACTGCAAGTCTAATAAGTTGTTTTCTCTCTGTATCCTTGGCCACTATCTGATCAAGCTCTCTTTGGCCATCCACCAAGGACTTAATTGCTTCCATATACATCCCCGTATGATAATCGTTGGGATTGATTGTCCTTTCACTTCATTTACCTTCTTTTGTAAACAAATGCGCAAAATATCAAAATACAAAAAAAAAAAAAATTAAATTAAATTAAATACTAGAAAAAATAATCAAACACTATGACCTTAAAGCGGATCACCCTACAGGTATACGGTGCATCAACGTATTCTACCCCCACCCGCTATCCCCCACTCTAATTTCTTCCGTAAATCTCTGCAGTCATGTCGGACTCTAGAAATTACAAGATTCGAAGTAATAAATTTGTCATGGGTGGGGGAAGTTTGTTTATTTTGTAGTGACTCACTTTGTACTCTCGCCTCAAAGACTCACATTTGAGACTCATTTTTGTAGCTGTACATAAAGAGGAAGTAGTAACATACCCTACTAATAAACTTCATATTCAACATTTTGAATTATTCAATGACTTTTCCTGTTATACCCTTTGGAAGGGAATTTAAAGCCAAGTATTTTTCAAATTTGGATCCACACGTGATCAATGTAAATCATGGAGCAATGGGTGCAACTCCAGATTGTATCTTAGATGAATACTGTAAACTGTACAAGTCAAGTCAAACTTTTTTTGATAAATATCTTAGATATGAACAAAGATATGAATATATGACCCAACTTAAAGAGATCTCGACTAAGGAATTGTTGAATTGTGATTTCAAAAATTTGGCAATTGTTGATAGTGCCACCGCTGGGGTTAATACTGTTTTAAGATCTTTCCCATTTAAACTGGGCGATAAGATCGTTTTTTCTACAACTACCTATGGTGCTTGTAAAAAACTCATTCAATTCTTGGAACGTCGTATACAAATCCAACCTATTGTAGTAGACATAAAGTACCCAGCTAGTGAAGAAGAAGTTGTTGCTGCTTATGAAACAAAATTCCAAGAACCAGGTATTAGAATGTGTCTTATGGACGCTGTAACATCTGTTCCTGGTGCAAGAATACCCTTTGAAGAAATTACAAAGTTATGTCGCAAGTACAAGATCTTATCTCTTATTGATGCAGCCCATGGAATTGGTCTTCTTAAAATTTCATTGCTAGACTTGAAGCCCGATTTCTTTGTTACCAATCTTCATAAATGGTTTTATGTCCCCAAGAGTTGTAGTGTACTCTATGTGAATCCAGAGTACCATAGAGTGATCCAGCCATTGACCATTTCCCATCAATATAGCGATGAAGATGTAAGTTTATCAACCAATGAATTGGAACAAATGAGATTTTTCGATGCCTTTCAATTTACTGCTTCTCGCAACAAGGCAAGTATTGCCTGTATAACTCTGGCCAAGAAGTTTAGAAACGAAACTTGTGGTGGTGAAGAAACTATTGCCAAATATTGTTATGAATTGGCATGGGAAGCTGCAAACCATGTAACCACTAAGGTTTGGAAAGGTTCTAGCATTTTGAATACTAAGGAAACTGCAACTGCTTTGATCAATGTGGAAGTTCCAGTGCAAGACTTAATTCCAGAAGTTGATATTAATGAAATAGCTCCATGGTTACCACAGGTAGAACATGAAATTTGTATTGACTATAATACCTTTGTTCCTTGCTTTTTTTACGAAGGGAAAGTGTACATCCGATTTTCATGTCAAATCTATAACGAGTTGGACGATTATATATATGCAGCCAATGCAGTTTCTGAGACATTCAAAAAGTTTTTCGCTAATATTGACAAATTCAAAGCAACACCTCTATGTGGTTCAGCCTTTTTAACTGTTGAAGCTTTTGACAAGATTAGTTAAACTAATAATTCTAAGACACATTTCACTTAGGATCCAGATTTCTACGGAGTGAATGAGTTCTTTAATCTGAAAAAAAAGGCGTAATCAAAGTATATCCCTTCACATTTAAGTTAATTTATTTATTCAATGAGAATTGATCTATATAATATAAATTTATGACCATCTATATAATTGATGAACGTATGTTAAAGATTTGTAAATTTCTATTGAGGATCGGGTCCTTTGTCATTTTGCAGCATTTGTTTTTTTTTTTCTCTACTTTATAGGAGCCGCGCATTTTATAGTGTAAAAGAACAAACAAACTATGTGAATATTCCCCATTTTTTGAAATCAACGTGATGAACTCCACCAAAAGAGAAACTCAGCGAGCTAATCTCTACGATGTGTGTAATGATGGGATTCGTCGAGGGGTGTTATTAAATCGTAAGAAGATTGCGCGTAAGAATAACTCCTTGGCTAAGGAAGGCTCTCAGTTGATTCTTGACAATGACAAGGATGATGATGATATCTATAGAAGTCGTGGTATAGCCATACCACCAGATGAGGTTCTACTGGCTCAAAGTCAAACCGGGATTAAGATTCCAATACGTCATAGAGAGGAATTCCCTAAAGATGCGCCACTCCCACTGGCTGAACTTCTCAAAGCTATACATTATTATGCCAGTAAAAGAGTCTCTAAACTCCCTTCCGAGGATAAAATTGCTCTTGAACGATCATTAGATGAGACTGCCTTATTGGGATTTGGTGTTATGGTTGAAGAGTTGGCAGACTCATACATAGATGAAAATGGAGTTGATATATTTGTGGAAAATGATGAGGACAGTGAAGACAAAGAAGAACAAGAAGAGGAGTCTGAGGAAGAAGATAAGAATGAAGTTGGAGCAGATGATTCCACTGAAATTTCCTCAGGAAGTGATGATGAATAATAGAACGAAAATAGGCAAAAACTTTGGTTTTATCCACTCAATAAAGTCCATGAGAAGAGGACCTTATAATTGACAAAATAACAAGAAATCCTACAACAGAGTTTGATTACGTCCCCGGGGGAAGTAACAACTACTCAATACTGATAGGGCGTAGGTATTTCAAGAGTCCCCTTCCCACATGGAAGAGGGATACTCTCTGGAAGCTGTTGCCTCTCAGACGCTGTACATTACATTGACTATAGTTTACAGGCACTTTATATTCACCAAGGTGACGACATAGACTACGTGTCAATATTTCAAATCTGGTACAGCCTACCTACAATTGAAAATAATCTCACTTCATTTTTTTATGGTCTATATATTATACAAGATGACTATTTAACTTCTTCAGTAACTTCTTCGGTAACTTCTTCAGTAACTTCTTCCTTCTTTTCTTCAGCAGCTGGGGTGGATTCAGCAGAACGGGCAGCCTTGATTACTTCCAACTTCTTTTGGTAGATGGCTTCCTTACCAGCATCCTTACTGGTGGTTTCGATACCAAAAACTCTGTATAATAATTCATGAGTGTCCTTCTTGTTGACCATCAAATTAACGTTGGTCTTACCCTTCCACAATGGCAAGAACAAATCTTCTTCATCTTCACCATTTCTTTTGACAGTCAAGAAAACACAACCTTCTTCCATTTCATCCAATCTACTGGAAAATTCAGGGTCAACTCCCAATTCCTTGATGGCAGCAACCTTAGGGAAGGCTTCTTGGAAAAGCATCTCCAATAACTTCAAGTTACAGGATAAGTGTCTCTTTTCACCCAAGAAGGTCTTGATGGTTTGTAAAGATTCGTTTTGTACTCTCCATGGACAGTCACCAGTATCGTTCTTTTGAGAAACAAACAATTTAATACCACCATGAATAATCTTAAGCTTTTGTTCTTCAATTTCCAAAATTTGCTTAAGAATTGGGGCTACGTAGTAAATAGTTCTGACTGGAGTACCAGTGGCATTTCTGACAAGAGTACAGTCACGAGGGAACTTGTCACTGAAGTCGTAAAATGGCCAGCACTTGGCAAGTTGTTCGTGGTCAGGTGGGAGGAAAATGAATGGTTCTTCATTGGCATCACGAGGAAGCTTTTCCTTACGTTGAGGAACTGGGACAACCTTTTCTTCAGTCTTTTGCTTCTTGGCGGTTTCAATGTTAGAGTCAGTGGTAGGGGCGGCTGCTCTCTTGGCTGGGTTAGCAGTAGAAGCAGTAGATTCAGCACCTTCTTCTGGGTCAACCTTCTCAATAACAGTGATAAAGAAACCACCAGTGTTTTGTAAGTGTGGGTAGACTCTCAAACATCTATCCAAATGCATGTCCTTTGCTTCTTCAGCAGTAGGTGGGAAAACAGTGGCAGGAACATCTTCAGCACCTCTTTCTCTGATTTCCATATCCTTGGCAAAAACAGGCCAGTCACTAATACCTTCACGTCTAATCAAACCTGGCAATTCATTTGAACAATCAACCAATTTGATTTGAGCACCCCATTTCTTCAAAGCAGCAGCAATAACAGCTTCGTTTTCGACAGGGGACAAAGAACAGGTGGAGTAGACAAGTCTACCACCTCTCTTCAATAATTGTAAACCACGGTTCAAGATGTTAATTTGAAGGGTATGTAATCCCAAGGCATTACCAACAGTGAAATCCTTCCAAACATTGACATTCTTTCTCATGGTACCGTCACCAGAACATGGGACATCACACAAGATTCTATCGAAACGAAGGTATTCGGCAGCACCGTTGAGCTTAATTCTAGGGAACAATTGAGCATCATGGTTAACAACCATAAAGTTAGGAGAGTTCAATCTCTTAACTTGATGAACAAGCATATGAGATCTCTTGTAATCAGAATCATTAGCAAGAACAAACCCAGTAGTTTCTTCAACAGCTTCATTGGCATGAAGAGCTTCAACCAATTGAGCAGTCTTGGAACCAGGAGCGGCACACATGTCTAAGACAGCATGGTTAGACTTGATATCCATCAATAAAGGAGGAATCATAGAGACAGCTTCTTGTCTAGAAATGTTACCCACTTCAGTTTCAATAACCAAGAAACGTTGAGTTTGGGCAAACTCTTCGTTTTTACGAATGACAGCCTTGGAAACATCTATTTGCCATCCCAATTCATCTGGGTAGTATTGCAAGTTCTTTGGGGTCAATTTAACTCCTTCAAACTCAGCATCTTTCAACTTGGAAACATGGTTGTTGACAAAGTTATCCTTGATTTCCTTGGCGTGGGCACGAGTTCCGGTGATTCTGAAAGTAAGAGGCAAGTTTTCTTGACAATGCTTCTTGAAAGTATCCCATTCATCATCTGGAATGATGTTCATGGCCTTATAATATGTTTCCCATTTGGCATTTTCTCTAAGGGCATCGGTCCATGAATCGGCTCTGTTGATTTCGTTGGAACGCTTTCCAAAGTTCTTCTTGGCACCACCGTTGGTACCCTTTCCGGTTCTGAAATTTCTCTTACCCATGGCTCGTAAAGCTCTGTACATATACTAAAGAAATGAAGATGTATTAAGTTGAATGTTGACAGTTGATAATTTTTAGTTGTCATAAAAAAAAAAGATGCGAATATTTCACGATGAGCGCGGGCTACAAACCACCAATAGATTGAAGATTAAAGCGACAGGATTGATATACATATGAAATTTGGTATAACTGCTAGGAAAGAGTAGTAGATTATTAGAGATGAAAAAGGTGGGGGTGGATGTAAATGTATTTGAATTGGTGGGTGATTTTAAATATCTCATAGGATGATAATAAAGCTTGTCGTATAAATTTTTGGGTGCAAAAAAGGAGAATTTTATGATGACAGCGGAAAGGAACCGTTCAACTCACCAATCGATAAGCTAGGTAAGAGGTTAATACTCTTTGTCTTTTACATGCTATGTTAATTTTACATATATATGGGACTTGTTAAGCAATATCTTGACAATTCATTATATTCTTGACTCATGTCTAACCTCCCTATAAATGAATAATAGAGATGGAAATGGAACTGTCATACAAGGCATAAGATTAGTCCACAGGATCCTCATATCTATATATATAGATATAGATATATATATCAAGGTACTTTTTGTATTACCTTCACCCAGTCTTATCTAAAATATCAGATTGTCAGTATTTCAAAAATAGTAATAAATAATGTCCTGGAAAAAAAATTTTATTAATATCTCTCCCACACATACTTCAAATATCTTCCTAATGATAAGCTCCTTCATTTGACTTTACTATCGACATCAACATCTACTTCATCTCTAATAGTCTAATCAATATTGTTCTGGTCAAAAACATTCTCTTCCGGGCTCTCAACCGGATGGCGCATCCTGTGTAGAGAGCCAAAATGTTGTGGTATACACTAGCAAACAGACCCTAACTCTACAATCATTTTACATTCAATTTAGTACTATAATTTTCATCAAATCCAATCCATATCAGAAAAAGATTACAATACACGTCTCCTCGAATAATCACATTCTGTACGACCCCACATGGATGTTCGAAAGAAGCTTCGGTTCAGCGCAGTACGTCTTAAGTCACACGAGACTCTTTGTTCCTTTTTTGTCTTGTGATATTGCTTTTTCTCTTTGTTCTTTGCTGTTCAATAATACTAACTTTTAGGCTGGTGCATTCTTAGGAATAGGTCTATTCAAATTAGATATTCGTTCTGGATTCGATATTCGATCGAACTACCCCATACATTTCAAAGTTGCCCATTTCTTAGCATTCATTATATTTGTGGCTTGTAATTGTATAAAATGGCTTGTTTTCGGGTCACTTTCTCATACCGAGGTCTCAAATTTGAAAAATAAAGTATCATACACAATTTGGGAGTTTTCAGTGGGATTCCTAATTTTCCTTCATACTTCTCCATCAGGAATCCTTGTTGGCTTACAAGTAGCTCAACCTCATCTATTAAAATATGCTGGACTTTTCCTTTGTGTGTTACTTTTGAAATGTTTCCATTATCTTTGCGTTGATCGTGCTCAAGTGGTTTTCCATCAACCTTCCCAACGTCTGTCACATCCATCTGGAAGACACTTGTGTCTAAGATTAAGCATTGGATTAGCGTTGGTGAATTTAGTAGATGTCCTACTCATTCATCGATTTTTCTATGAACTTTATTACAATTCAGCAGGTGCACGAAGTAATATTCTTATGGCGATTTTCGGATTCGAAATCTTAAGTATATTCCCAATAATAGTTTGGACAACTGTAAGGTTTGCCCTTGATTATTATGAGCTGAAACATTGGGTCTCAGCTACATGGCTTGATAAAAAGCTGAAGATTTTAAAAGTTGGCGAATTTTTGGCAAATTTTGTAAGATTCTCCATGACTTGTGTCTTTGCAGCCGTTTTCTTGTACATGTTTACATTTCCCTTGCATATATTACCTTCGTCATATTTAACCTTTAGGGTTTTGTTGTTGAAAACTAGATCCCTCATTGATTATTATAAGTCTCAAATGAGACTTAAAAGACTCACAACCCCAGTTTCTACATCTGACTTATCCGATGAAACATGCATTATTTGCTTTGATGATCTTTCAGATTTATCCCAAGTTCGAAATTTGAAATGCCATCATTCATTTCATCTAACTTGTTTGAAAACTTGGCTTGATTGTTCAACGAGGTGTCCCATTTGCAGAAAGGTTACATAATAAAAGAGTGCCTTTGAGTTCATTTTTCAAAGGTTCATCCAGGAAAGAACTGGCTTCTTCCTTCCTTCTCGTTAATATTTTTTCCTCTTAATACATATTTATTTAATTCTTGAAAGCCAGACTATGTACATTATTCTGAAAATTAATTATAATATAAAAGCGTAAATTAGAACTGAAGATTTTGTTTTTTTATTGTTTTATATCCTTCATTTCAATACATTCATCTAAAAGAATCCTCCATTTGTCCCTGTATTGGTGATATCTGCCGTAAGAGTGTCGATATCAGGTTGCTCTCCTGTAAGGTGGTTGGTAAGATCATCTATAGCGTTTCCATGATGCGGATGTACATGGTCTCCCTGTGTATGGTGCATTGAATCAGCACCTGTTGCGTTGATGAAATCTTCGTATGGATATCCATCTTCCTTGGTCTTCTCTTTATCATCAATATGTTCATCTCCATTGTTCTTGTGAAGCCCGCCATTAGATTCTTCGTATCTAAATTCATCTATAGGACTGTGTGAAGCTCCATTTTCTGTATTCTGGTCTATTATCCCCAGATCTTCTGGAATGTGACCGATGTGCTTATTATTGTGAGTTGCGTTGTTATTATGAATATTGTTATCTGCTTCAGATAAATCATCTTCGTCAAATTCACCATCTCCTTGTAAAAATTTATGGTCCAGTTGAGGAAGAGAATGTGAGTGTGGGTTTGATTGCATGTGTTGTACTGTTGTTCCTGGTACTACTGGCAGTACAGTATCCAAAGATGGTGAGTCGGATGTAGCTGAAAGGCTGTGTGTTGGTGAATTTTGCATCAAAACAGCTGCTGCCGCTGCGGCAGCTTCCGCTACGTCATCAGTGCCACCATTAACACTTCCTCTGCTAATACTATTATTTTTAGGTTGTCGTTTAGATGCTCTAGTCTCTCCACGTTCTTGTTTCATGGCCTGTTGCTCTCTATATTTGGCAAGGTAAATTTTTAATACCTCCGCATAGTTTTCAAATCCCAAGTCATGCATCAGGAATAAGATGTCTTCTCCATTTATAGTCTTACGTTTTTCTCTTAAACATTTATCACTAGCTTCACTGGTGATGAACGATATAAACTCGGATACACACTCTTGCATGCACTCTTTGGCATCTTTGGAAACCTTTGCAGTGGTAGGAAGAGTGTTTTTCATAAGCCTAGCAACATTGGCTATGGGTAGCCAACGGTCTTGCTCTCTTAACTCAACCTCATGAGGATTGATGTTGTTTGGGTCCATGGTTGATGAGTTTGCAAATGGGGGTGTGAAAAGTTTGTTCAAGTAGTACACAAGGCTCTATATATTGCCTAACGATAGATATGTTAACAAGGTTATGGATAGACACGATGTAAGTAGTGGCTCCTGTATAAACTTCGATGGTCAACTAATGTGGGCGGTCTTGTCTGAGGGAGTATGTTTTGTGTTGAAAGAATCAACAGTAAATATGCAGGCCTTCAATTACGCATTTTAATCAAGGGTGCGTATATTGAAGACTGGTCCCCACAGATCAAGATGAATAACTAGACTCTACACAAGTGAAATATTTCTTTTTCTGCTTATTGCTGGAATCATGTCATTGTTAGGGAAGTCTACTGCAGGAGCTTCGTTTCTTGTCGTAGGTCAAATAGTGACGAAATTGTTCACGTTCCTTCTTAATCAACTGCTTATACGGTACATTTCGCCTCAAGTATTTGGGGTTTCATCATACCTTGAATTTTTATTGACTACAGCTTTATTTTTTAGTAGAGAAGCAGTAAGATTATCTATACAGCGTACAGAATCTACTACTGGTGATAAAGAGAATAGTGAAAGTAATAATGAGAAATCAGGGAAAGATAAGTTGAAGTATCTCGATATTTCTTCTATAGATGGAACTTACCAGAGTATCATCAATTTTGGATATGTGGCAGTATTGGTAGGTGTACCTCTTTCATTGTCGATATTCTACTGGCAGTTACAGACATCCCATGTCTTGCAAGAAACGTTGTTGCCACTTCAGCACTCTGCCAAGACTCTAGCCCTAGTGGCACTCCTGGTTTTATTAGAGCTTACCGTGGAACCACTCTATGTTTTAAATCAGTTTCAACTTGACTTTAAGAAGCGTACAAAGTTTGAAAGTATTGGTGTAGTCTCACGATGTTTGCTTACATTTTTCGTTGTAATGTTAAGTAAGGGAAAATCCAACGATGATGGTCTCGCCGTATTTGCCTTTGCTGTGGGCCAATTTGCTTACTCTTTCATGATTTTTAGCTTGTATCATCTTGATTTCTATAACAGAACTCAGCACCATTATTCATTATTACCTCAGAAACTATATCTGATGAATTCAAAGACTTTATTCTACTTCAACCCTAAAGTTTGGAACATTTGGAAAAATATTTTTGTTCAAATGCTCTTCAAGCAGGCCCTCACTGAAGGTGATAAACTTTTAATTAATTACCTCTGCACAGTTGAAGAACAAGGGGTTTATTCTGTTGTTACAAATTATGGCTCATTAGTAGCTAGACTATTGTTCCAACCAATCGAAGAATCTCTTCGGTTATATCTCACACGAATTCTTGCAACTAAAGGAAATAGATTGGAGCATGTTCAAATAGCCCAACAAGTACTTCTGTACTTGTGTATTTTCTACATTAATTTGTCTTTATTAATTGCACTCGCTGGATATGCCAACGCAACGTTCCTTCTAAGAATTCTTTTAGGGGGACGTGCTAGTGCTAAGTGGAGTTCTACTGATCTTTTTACAGTCTTTCCTCAGTATGTTCTCTATATTCCATTTCTTGCTTTCAATGGAATTTTTGAGCTGTTTTTCAACAGTGTGGCTACAAAGGAGAACATCGCAAAGCATTCAATATTTATGTCCATACTGACAGTTGTGTATCTTTTAGCTCTGTTCATTTTCATCGACTACTATAAATTGGGCCTTTCTGGACTTATTCTTGCCAACGTTGCCAATATGTTCATAAGAATTATTTATTGCGGTAAGTTCATACAATCATACTTCACTAACGAAATTGGCATCCATGCTATAAATTTAAGAAGATCACTTCTGAAATTATATGTCCCAATCACCCTTGGATTAAGTATAGAATTTCTTCAATACCACCTTCTCGATAAAAATTTGATTGTTCTGACGTATAAAGGGTTCTTTATTAGTGTTACTTTGTGCGTTATGTATCTACTTGGAGCCTTGTTAGTGGAAAGGAAACTTATAACTGATACAATCCAACAGTTTACTAAAAAATCAAAAACTAAATAAATCACATAGAATAATATTTCTCTATACAAAGACTTCTAATAGAATCCTTATATTTAAAGGTTTCAATGTACAAATCCAAAATGTACAGAAAAGTTTTAAACAGTAACAAAAAAAATTGGAGTCGTCACATCAGATATACTGCAAAGGAAATACGAATTAATGCCAACCGGATCGCCTCCACCACGGGTGACAAACTGTGCTGAATTGCTTCCCTCCAGTGATAATGTCACTCATTGCTTGGGTGCTCTAGTTGATTACTCAAACTATTAAAACCCTTACCGCGGGGATCGAAACCGGACATATGATTCTCATTTCACAGAACGTATACACAGTCAATGCGCTTCTGCCACAAGCCATCACAGCACAAAAATATTTTTTTTTCTCTAATATACAGTGGCACTCTAATTTGGTGTGTATGCAGGACATTTGAACATTTAGCCCCCTCTTGAACGAACGAAGCAAGTAACAAGGTTCTTGAATATGAATTAATATACGTTTCCGATGTTTACATAAGTAGACATCATTTCTTTATATGATAAATACATAATGATTGATGAAAAAGAAAGATCAATACTTGATCCGTTTTTGGCTGCAAACTGTTTATTAAATTTATACCTAGGTCTAGAATGATCCATCATATATGTTTATCTTCATATACTGATGAAAGTTGAATGGTCTTCGAGTGTACCTACCAGTTGCTACAAACGGAAAAGTCCTGACCTAAAGTGTTTGAACCTATCAATAATAAGACCTAGGGGCGTAGGCCCAACCAAAAAAGGACATAATTATGCCACGACTGGTAATAGCGCCTTAAATTTGAAAACATTTTAGTAGGCTTTTCACATATACGTCTATAGTGTATTTTTCTTTATTACTTCAAGAAACATAACAAGATCAAACTAATAAATACAGAAAAAAAAATTTCTACATATATATATATTTAGCCAAGGAATAGAAACAATTAGCGACAAAGAGAAAGTTAACCAATTTTTAGGTTAAAGCTGGTATTTGAAAGCAACACTCAGAAGGGAACGATATTGTGTTTCTTTTTCTAAAACTAAAATTGTTATATGTATTGATTTACTTCTTCTATGGTTCATGACAGAAAAATCCATTTTTTTAGTTCCTTCAGATCCTAGTAATTGCTTGTTATAACTATGTTGGGGATACAAGAGCACCTAAAAAAATTTAAAAAAAATAATGACTCCTAGGCGGTTCGAACGCCTGCATCTTTACGATAGTAGAACTTGAGTCTACCGCCTTAACCACTCGGCCAAAGAGCCCTTTTATACGTTTTGAAAATCGTGCGAAAGATCTGTGTACCAGAGCCAGGGAATGGTAGGCGCACGACCGCCATTTTTTGCCGTCAATTATATTTATATCTTGACCGCTTGCCTTTAGTGTCAAGTGAATCTACTACACTTCGATATTTCTTTAATGGATATGTAAATACTGAGAGCGAGTGGGAAATAAAATGCATCTAATGAAGGCTTTTTGTAAAATAAAGTGTACTATCCTCTTACGAATTGTAACTTTGACCTGTGGAAGTACGCTTCTCGAAGTATTGGACCCGCAAGGGAACAAATAGGGTTTTTCATCTAGGACTTATATAGTAGTATATAATATTCATCCATGATTGAAAAAAAGCATGGGGATACTCTTCTAGTATGCGTAAGCGTAATGATATCGTTTCATCCTTGGATAGTAGGCAAAAGCTTTGCATTCACCTTGTTTCGGTTGAATCCAGTAAAAATATTGAAGTGGCTTTAATTATAAGAGCATTTAGAAATACATGTAAAACTTCTAATTCTTATTGTTGTCCTTAAACTCTAGGAACGAAGATCAAAACATCGATATGTTTAGTTGAATATCGTTCTAGTGCCAATTTCTATTGCGGGGAAAGATTCTTGGTGGAAATGGTCAACGTGTTCCATTCAAATCTTGAATGATCATTGTCAATTTACTGTGTTCTTTGTTGCTAGTTTCCGTCACTTAATATATTTATAATTAATGAAATTGTCATTTGATAAAAAGCCAATCGAGATATATACGCTAGCATCGAGAAACACACGGTAGTATCGAGATATACGAGTAAGTGTGAAAAGTCATTTTTATCAATTCCCATGCATCTTTTGCAGCCAAAAGACGTCAACAAACACCAAGGGCTCGCAACATCGAATAAAATCTCTGGAACTAGCTGATAGTTACTACCACGTAGCTACTTATGACTGAATATTGAATAATGGTCACTTATTGGTCAAACTTCAACTATCAAATGTAGAATGTTATACAAATCAATAGATAAAGTCACATGTATTCAGTGCATCTTAAAACAATTTCTGATGTATAAAAAAAAAGGAGTTAAAGTGGGGTAGACAAAGTTCAACAAATTCAAAAAAAATCCAATATTCAATGCTTCCCAATATTCATGTAATGGTTAAAGAATACTTTCCAAATGAGGAGAACTATATTAATCTCATTGGTTGAGCATTCTCGAAGAATATATTTTTTAAGAATATATTTAATTAGAACAATCAAGAAATCCTCGTATTTTAGTTTTTCTTGGCATTGAAGAACCCCAGTCAGTTATAAAGTACATTGGGGACTTAGAATAGTACTAGAGTCCAGACAGCCAGTTATTAATAACTTCAATGGGAATTAAGTTAGGACCTAGATCACCATTTGGCCACCCTTTTTGGTCACCATTCTCGGGAGTGGGAGACCCTTCGAAATGCTTGGATGAATGGATTATCATAGAAATGTCCAAATTGATTAGATCAAAAACTGATTGGAAGATTAAATACAAAAATGAAACTATCGCTAATAAGTGGAAAGCTGAGCTAAAGCCTCAATTCACTTCTAAGATGATACCAATTGATGAATTAATCGAGTATGTCTTCAAAGAACTTGCCTGGTATGAATATCTTGAACATAATTTTAAGGGACTCGCAGATTCTGGCTTCGTTATTGGAAGCGATGATAAAATCGTGTACAGTGATAGTGCTATACCTGAAGATGTCAAAACTGAATTGAGATCTAATGTAGAGCTGTTTGCCAAAGCTGAGTTTGGCGATAAACCTGATTATCACCCTGGATCCAACAATCAAGTGATTGATTTGGTACATCCATCTTTATATCCATTACAATATGGAATAACCCCTAAAATTGTAAAACAACAAAGAAATAATTATTGGGAAAAGGAACCCGAAGAGGGGGAGGTCACAATTGCCGAATTTAGCGAAGATATTGGTAAAGTTAAAACAAATGTAGAAAAGTGGGCAGTTTCCGAAAAATTTCAATGGTTGCCAGCCTTGTTCGTCCGTAAACCGGTTTATGGAATGTACGAAGATGATGGAATCCAATCATTCGAAATTGAATCATATATTAATAATTTGCACCCAGAGAAATATGGCGATTTATATAAATCAATCGAGAAAGTATTCAACAAGGCACTTCCTGGGTTAAATTTGACTTTATCTCGACTTGCCACTGGAACTCCAAAAAGAATTCAACTTGGTTATGATTCGTTTTATACCAAAGAATATCAAGAGAAACTTGATAAATTATTTGAAGAAGAAGAAACAGAAGACAAATATGATGTGATGGAAGAATTTGAACAGACAAGGCTTGATTATCTTGCGACACGTTCTATCAAATATACAATAGATCATCCAGTGAATTATGACTTCAATTTACTTAAGTCATTTAGTCAGTTACATGTAATAGTGAAGCTTGCAAATATTGAATTGACTCCTTCCAACCCAAAGTATAATGGAGGTTCGTGGCATGTCGAAGGGACCATTAATGAAGATATCGTCGCAACCATCTTGTACTATTATGATTCCAGTAATATAACCGAGTCTAGGCTTTCCTTCAGGGGTGCATTTGACGACCCTTACTATGAACAAGGAGATACTATTGGATGTGAAGCTATCTACGGTATGAAAGATGGTGAACATGTAATAAAACAAATTGGTGACATTGAATGTAAAGAAGATCGGGTAGTTGTTTTCCCGAATTGGTTCCAACACCATGTAGAGCCATTTGAATTAAAGGACAAGACAAAGAGTGGTCATAGAAAGATTCTTTGTATGTTTGTGTGTGATCCTTACAATGACAAAGTTGTCAGTACAGCAGACGTGCCTCCTCAACAGAAAAGTTGGTGGGAAGATTCCACCCCAATGGATCAAATCTCGAAAACAAACAAGGAGAAAATATCAAAGACAAAGGGCGATAAATGGCCCATTGACTTAGAAGAGATCAAAGTTGTACGAGATGAGCTCATGAAGGAACGCTCTGTTGAGGTCCTTGATGAGGATTCACACGATCATCCATTCCTCCGAGAGTTCTCATTATGTGAACATTAGATAAATTAAAAAAAAATTTAAATAATATTACTATAAAAATATATATGCCTTAATAAATTGAAATCTTAATCCCTGTAGCCGCTAATATAATATATTCACTCGAGAAGGTACTGGCTGCAAAAGAATTGGCGGAACACTTTTAGATACTATATAATTAATGCTAACTTTATATAGATAGCCAAAAGTACTGTAAATAGTAGGCAATGAGTCAACAATACGATTCTTCTATTAATCTCATCTTTTAAGCTTGTGTTTTTAAGGGCCCAAATCAATTACTGGTACATCTCCTCCCCCCACAATTTTTGGAAATCCAGAACATCGCGAAAATACAAAATACACTTCTAAAACAAAAACAAAAATCAGAGAATGTTCTATCCATTGCTCTACCAATAATGACCTCTTGGGACCCCATAGCGCTTGAAAAGAGCGTACAGGACTCTCCATATGACAATGATGCTCATAACAGATTGATATCTTGTTTACGCGGCCGCTTACAAGACAATCAACCCGAGGTATATGAAGAGCTCGAGAAGGCACGACTCTTGAAATTGAAGTTTTTTGTACTTTCACAATCAGAGATCAATAATTGGATAGAAGATATCAAGAGGATAGAAGATCACGAGAATCAGACTAAAAAGATGTTGGACTTCTACCGCATAGTTATCTCTGATTATCCTGTGGTAAGATTTTGGAAACCTTATCTTGAACTCCAGGTACACTCAAAATGTTCTGATGACATGATCAAGCAATCGTTCACTGATGCTTTACTCCACACCGTACATGACTATAAAGACAGCGATCAAATTTGGCATATTGTACTTGAATACTTCGAGAAGGTGGAACCATTCGAAAGTGCTCTTAAACTCCATCTCAAACGATTGAGCTATCCACATCGAACTCTTCAACAATCATTTGAAGAATTTTCTGCATTCATTTCTAGGAATGATGCTCCAAACTATGAGAAACATGTGGTTACAGGCAACAAACTATATAGCAAGAGCTGTAAACTGCAGAGATACTACGACATTCACGAGATTCGTCTTGCTAAACTAAACAATCCACAATTGTGGATTGAATATATAGGACAGGTTGGAAAATACTCATCTGACGGTGGTCGTGAAGTCACAACCTTGTTTGAGAGAGCTGTAGCTGCAAGTATTACTGATAATGCGTCTTCAACTTCCCCCTGGATTTCACTCTGGTTGTCATTTATATATTTGATCTATGACCCCAAGACCAATTTCACTGCAATCGAATCTATTCTTAGCAAATTTGTCAGGGTTTATCCATATTCAAGCAAATCATATGCTGAATATATACGGAACTGTCCACTTTTTGAGAATGGGAATCAGAAATTTTTAGTTGCTCGTGATAGGTTTAAGAAAGTTGATGTGATGCATTCGGATAATTACGATGACTGGAAGATTCTTGCTCTCTCAGTACTTTCATATGAAATTTCCGAAGCCCGCAGCGGTGGTGAAGATGAAGATAACCTAGACATTGTAGACATTCTTTACGAAGATGCGACTGAATTTGTCGAATTTGCCACCAATGCTAACAATGACGCATTCCATACAATTGAGAAACTTACTATATCTATTTTTGAAGAGTTGGGTGATTTAGAAAACGCTCGAATTGTTGTGGGGAAAATCCTTCAAAAGTTCTCAGATCAGAGTGAAGTGTGGTTATACCTGTGTGAATTCGAGAAACGCCATGGAGCAGATCCCCATACCATTTTGAAGATCCTAGAATCTGCGGTTGATAATGCTGTTAACTTAGATTGGCCCGAACGTATTATTCAAGAATGGTTAGTGGCGCAACAAATATATACTGGATTAGACGAGTATAAAGCCAGTCTTTTGAAGGCAAACACAGCTATTACGTTGGTAAATGTGAAACGGTTACACAATGCTAAAAGACGGCGAGATCAAGATGATGAAGAAGAAGAAATAGAACAAATGAAAGAAGTCGTAAAGAACGAGGAAGACAAAATGGAGGAAGAAGAAGCCCATTCGAAGAGACAAAAACTTGATATACAAACTCCAGATGATAACTTGGAAGAGAAACAAGATAAAACTAAAAATGTTGAGACGATTGGCTCTCATAGAAATAGAGAAAAATTCACAATAAGAGTTTCAAATCTTCCTCAAGAGATTACCGAGAAGACTTTGATAGAGTTTTTCAAAGAATGTGGACAACCAAAGGAAATTAAAATTATTCAAGAATCTGACAGGCCACCACAAGCAACGGTCGAGTTTTCAAATCAACAAGAGGTTTTTGCTGCAATTACAAGAGATATGAAAAAGATTGGAGAAAATGAAGTTCGTGTAACTCAAGCAGAGACAGCTACTGTTTGGGTCACGAATTTCCCACCAGGAATGACGCATGAAGAGATAAAGGAGTACTTTAGTGGAGCAGGTCAAATAGTTGGCGCAAGGTTCCCGTCATTAAAATTCAATCAGAACCGTAGGTTCTGTTATATTGAATATACTGGATCTGAAATTGCTAAGCAAGCGGTTCTGAAGTTTAATGGCCAAGAACTCAATGAATCGGGTAAAGTCTACCATCTCGTAGTGAAAATTTCACGCCCTGAGGTCAAGCAAGATAGAAGAATTAATGCAGCAGATGAAGGGCGAGAAATATTTATCCAGAATTTAGATTTCAAAAAAGTCTCGCTGAATGTCTTGGAAGAATTATTTGCCAAATTTGGAGAAATTGAAAAAGTTTCTCTCCCAGCAGGAAAAGGAAATGGACAGTTGAATAACGGATATGGATTTGTTACTTTCAAATCAAATGTTAGTGCCAATAATGCAATCCAGGCTGATGGATCTAAAGTCGAAGGTCGACCAATAAAAGTCTCTATTGCCCAATCCGTGAAACAGCGTGGAATCACGACTACCAATAAGAATATTAACACTATTAGTATATTGAATCTTGACGACACAGTCAATTCTGAACAAATAAAGAAATTTGCCAGCAAGGTTGGGCCAGTAAAATCCGTGGATTTGCACCCAGGTATTGGTGCTTTGGTCGAATACGAGAATGTAACTGATTCTGGAAGAGCATCCATGGTTTTAAGTGGAGAAGTATTTGAAGGAAATATTGTAGAAATTGGCACTACAGATGATTTAAAACGGAAAGTGGTGGGTGCAAAAGCAAATACTAAGGAAAAGCCCAAGCTTATGGTACCGGCATCAGTTGCTAGAAGAAGAAAAAGAGTATTATGATGTTTTGATAGAATCGAATATAAATAGATAAATATAAGAATTATACTCTAAAAAAAAATCAGAGCCACTGATATGTATTCAATTTACTTTCTTATCTATAGGATATCCTCATTTGTATAGAAAATCACCAGGTGGTTCCCACTGCATATAAATTTCATGACTAATTGAGAAACACACGACAAAGTTTTGTCAATTTTCACATCCAAAAAGATCAAATACGATGCGAAAAGATTGTTAAATCAAACTATTATCGTAAAACCCCCATAGAAAATGAGTAGCACTTTGAAGTTGGAGAATACCGCTCGTCGTGATACTTTGATCGAAATCGAGAAAAAGTACCAAAAGTACTGGGCGGAAGAAAAGTTCTTCGAAGTCGATGCCCCAACTTTTGAAGAAGACCCTACTGATGATGCTGAAGAATTACGTGAAAAGTACCCAAAGTACTTCGCCACCATGGCTTACCCATACATGAACGGTGTCTTGCACGCTGGTCACAGTTTCACCTTGTCCAAGGTTGAATTTGCCACTGGTTTCGAAAGAATGAACGGTAAGAGAGCCTTGTTCCCATTGGGTTTCCATTGTACTGGTATGCCAATCAAGTCCGCTGCCGACAAGATTAAGCGTGAAGTCGAACTTTTTGGTGCTGACTTCTCCGGTGTTCCAGCTGAAGAAGAAGAAGAAGCTACCCCAGCTCCAGCCGCCCCAGCTGCCAAGAGAGAAGATGTCACCAAGTTCAGTGCTAAGAAGTCCAAGGCCGTTGCCAAGCAAGGTAGAGGTAAGTACCAACATGAAATCATGTTGCAACTTGGAATTCCAAAGAATGAAGTGGCCAAGTTTGCTGACCCAGACCATTGGTTGAGATTCTTCCCTCAATTGGTTGAAAAGCATGTCACTGAGTTTGGTGGTAGAGTTGATTGGAGAAGATCCATGGTCACCACCCCAGCTAACCCATACTATGATGCCTTTGTCAGATGGCAAATCAACCGTTTGAGAGACTGTGGTAAGATTAAGTTCGGTGAAAGATACACCATCTACTCTGAAAAGGATGGTCAAGCTTGTTTGGATCACGATAGATCTTCTGGTGAAGGTGTCAACCCTCAAGAATACACCGGTATTAAGATCAGAGTCACTGAATTTGCTGAAGGTGCCGCTGCTTCTTTAAAGGAAAGTGGTTTCGACGTTGCCGGTAAGAACATTTTTGTTGTTGCTGCCACCTTGAGACCAGAAACCATGTACGGTCAAACCTGTTGTTTTGTCTCCCCAAAGATTGAATACGGTTTATTCGACGCTGGTGAAGGTAACTACTACATCTGTACTGAAAGAGCCTTCAAGAACATGTCTTACCAAAAGTTGTCCCCAACTAGAGGTGACTACAAGAGTGTTGCCGTCATCAATGGTGTTGACTTGGTTGGTTCCAAGATCGATGCTCCATTGGCTAAGTTGAAGAACTTACGTATCTTGCCTATGGAAACCGTCTTGGCTACCAAGGGTACTGGTATCGTCACTTGTGTTCCATCCGATTCCCCAGATGATTTCATCACCACCAAGGAATTGGCCAACAAGCCTGAATACTACAAGATTCAAAAGGAATGGGTTCAAGAAGAAATCGTTCCTATCATCAGAACTACCAAGTTTGGTGACAAGTGTGCCGAATTCCTTGTTAAGGAATTGAAGATTCAATCTCCAAAGGATTCTGTTCAATTGGCTCTTGCCAAGGAACAAGCCTACAAGGAAGGTTTCTACAACGGTACCCTTATCGAAGGTAAGTATGCTGGAGACAAGGTTGAAGTCGCCAAGCCAAAGGTCAAGGCTGACTTGATTGCCACTGGTGATGCCTTTGTCTACTACGAACCAGAATCCGTTGTTATTTCTCGTTCTGGTGACGACTGTATTGTTTCATTGGAAGATCAATGGTACATCGATTACGGTGAAGAATCCTGGAAGGCTGAAGCCTTGGATTGTTTGGAACATATGCAAACTTTCTCTAAGGAAACCAGACATGGTTTCGAAGGTGTTTTGGACTGGTTGAAGAACTGGGCTGTCACCAGAAACTTCGGTTTGGGTACCAGATTGCCATGGGATGACCGTTACTTGGTCGAATCTCTTTCTGATTCTACTGTGTACATGGCCTACTACACCATTGCCCGTTTCATGCACTCTGACTACTACGGTGCTAAGCCAGGTAAGTTTGACATTAAGGTTGAACTGTTCACCGATGAAGTCTTTGATTACATTTTCTCCCGTAGAGAAAACATCAAGACTGATATTCCTATTGAACAATTGAAGGAAATGAGAAGAGAATTCGAATACTTCTACCCATTGGACGTCAGAGTCTCCGGTAAGGATTTGATTCCTAACCATTTGACTTTCTTCATCTACTCCCACGTTACCTTATTCCCACGTAAGCAATGGCCAAAGGGTATTCGTGCCAATGGTCACTTGATGTTGAACAACGCCAAGATGGCAAAGTCAACTGGTAACTTCATGACCTTGGAACAAATTGTTGAAAAGTTTGGTGCCGATGCTTCTCGTATTGCCTTGGCCGATGCTGGTGACTCTGTTGAAGATGCTAACTTCGATGAACAAAACGCCAATGCTGCCATTTTGCGTTTAACTACTTTGAAGGAATGGTGTGAGGAAATCGTTAACGCTAAGGACCAATTGAAGACTGGTGAATTTGACTTCTTCGACCAAGCATTCGACAACGAAATGAATGAATTGATTGAAAAGACTTACGAACAATTCAGTGCCACCAACTACAAGGCTGGTTTGAAGGTTGGTTTGTTCGACTACCAAGCTGCTAGAGATTTCTACAGAGACTCTGTTGATGCTATGCACCATGACTTAGTCTTGAAGTATATTGAAACCCAAGCTTTGATGTTAGCACCAGTTGCTCCTCATTTCGCTGAATACATTTACAAGGAAGTTCTTGGTAAAGAAGGTTCTGTTCAAAACGCCAAGTTCCCAAGAGCCAGCGCTCCAATTTCCAAGACTATTTCTGACTCCTTAGAATACGTTAGAGGATTATCTCGTTCTATTCGTGAAGGTGAAGGTAATGTTTTAAAGAAGAAGAAGGGTAAGCCATCTGAAGTTGACCAAACCAAGCCAACCAAGTTGACTGTCTTCATTTCTTCCTCCTTCCCAGAATGGCAAGACAACTACATTTCTCTTGTCAGAGAATTGTTTGAAAAGCAATCTTTGAACGACAACAAGTTGATCAAGGAAAGAACCGGTAAGGACATGAAGCGTGCCATGCCCTTCATTGCTGCCTTGAAGCAAAGACTTTCTGTCGAAGATCCACAAACTGTTTTCAACAGAGAGTTGACCTTCAATGAAGTTGACGTTGTTAAGTCCGTCATGAAGAACATCAAGAAATCTCCAGCTGCTGTTGTTGTACAAGAAGTTGAAGCTATCAGTTTCGAAAACGGATCTAAGACCGGTAAGAACATTCTCACTGGAGAGGAAGTTGCCATCACCATCTCCGGTAAGATTGTGGACTCTGCCGTTCCAGGTGAGCCAGGTATCATGATTACTAACATTTAAGTAGATGTTTATAATGGCGGAAGTCAACGAGTTAATTGTTATAGTTATAAAGTATAGATTAAAGTGTATAACTATCTGAAAGTAGAAAGAAGGAAATACATGTATAGATGAGTAGATTATGATTATAAGAGAGCGAGAAAGAGAGTTTGAAGAATTTGTGTACTATGAATCACTTCTTTCATACTCTTTGTTGTTATCAGTGTACGTCCGAATTTGTGGTTAATTTCCTCTAATCTCAACTCAAAATGGATCTACCAATTTGGGTGTTGGTGCGGCGCGCACTACGAGAGATCACGTTCCTTTGCAAAATTGGAAGAGAAACAGAGAATACTTTTGACGTAACACTTGTGGTTGTCAATCCGTTTGCTTGCTTTACTTTAAGAGTTTATTTAAATTTACAAATCTACTACATTTAACTATTCTGATTGAAGCTATTTAGTGTAGTGTTGTGTCTTTTTTATACCACTTTAAGAATTTGAGTCACTTCGACCTGCATGCTATGCGATATAATCTTGACAACAATAACGCTTCATCTCATATATAGGGTTAAATTAATAGTAGCTAAAGACAGTATTCACTAAGGATACAAAACACCCGGAAAGTGCACCCCTAACTTAGTGTACTACCATAGCCTGCCAGGCGACTTTCTTTTGCGCAATATACTAGGCACGATAGAACTATCTTAACTTTAGAAATAAAATATTAGCTAGGGAAACAACTCGGCCAAAACAAAAATAAACAGGGGGGAACTTCTGAAAACACAAAAGTGAAACATTATAAAATTTAAGAACAACTGTGTTCATCAACCATCGACTATAAACTAACTAAAGATGAGCACTTCTCGGTCCAACCAACCGGAAGCGTTCCCGCTACAGAAAGTTGATCCGCAATATGACTTCAAAGTTTCTGACCCATTTGGTAAAATCCCTGGCTTGTGGAAAGAACAGCCTTCAAATGGCCAACATATACACGCGACAGCTACTAGCAACCCTGTTATTACCTCTGTTCCAGGTGTTACACCTATGCATGCGACGCAACGGACCTTATCTGGGGACTCTGCTATGAGTGGCGGGGATAGCAGAAAACGTAACTGGGCTGCGGGAGGTACGGAAGAAGAAAGTATATCCTCGTGCACAGAGTCCTGCGACGACATGATGGCTTCGGATACCGATACAAACAGTATGGTTTCCAACCAGGGGTCCATGTTGGCATATTTGCGTGAAAACAAACATGTACATCCACCTAAAAGAAGATTGATGGCTCCTTCTCCTAACAGTAGTACAGTGCTTACACCATCTAACATTTCAACTGCTTCATCTACTAGTCAGATGGCAACGCCTGGAGCTACCACTGGAGAATCTATACATCAACCTCTATTGGGTAGTGAAATTCGCACCCCTACGGCGTTCAACTCGCTGACCAATACACCCATGTCAGAAATGGATGAAGAAGATTATGTGATAGTGGAAGGGGTTGTGGAACATACACAACAGCTGCTCCCGTTACCATCACCTAGCGCTTCCCCTGTTCTGGGACACACAAACAAGGAAGATGATGAAGAAGAAGAAGCCCGGAATATTTTGACTTTGCTCCAACATTCCAGAGGTCCAACCAATCAAAAGGAACTATTGGGGATGATTTATGGACTTTCATCTTATTTGAGTGAACCTAATCACAGTCATCTTATTTTTAAATTATTACAAAACGTGAACCGGTCTACTCTTTCATCGTTTAATGATGTTATCCATAACTCATTAAGACGCGATTTGATATCTAATCTTCCCTTAGAGATAACGTATAATATTTTAAAACATCTTGACTATAAGACAATTTGTTCTATTTCAAGAGTTTGCTCTAATTGGAACCGTATTGTTAATGCCACTGGAATTTGGTCAGATCTTTTGAAAAGAGACAAGTTGGTCAGTGGAGATGCGGAAATTGAATATGAATTAAAACAACCGGATCTTTTACAATGGTCTACTGCTAACCCTAAGTCTATGTCATTACTGCCTAGAGTTAATTTAGCTCAACTTTTATTCAAAAAGAGAAGGATTATTCTTAATCGTTGGATGGACCCTAAGTATGAACCTAAACGTATAAGTGTTCCGGGGCATGGGAGTAATGTGGTCACTTGTCTACAACATGATGATGATAAGATTATCACTGGGGTGGATGATAAGCTTATTAATATCTACAGTACAAAGACTGGTGAGCTTTTGCGAGTTTTAAAGGGTCATGATGGTGGGGTATGGGCATTGAAATATACTGGAAATACATTGGTAAGTGGATCTACTGATAGAACGGTGAGAGTATGGAATATTAAGACTGGAAAGTGTACTCAAGTGTTTAGAGGGCATACTTCCACAGTCAGATGTTTGGATATTTTACATCCCGTGAAAATTGGTACTGATGATAATGGAGATGATATCATTTTCCCAGAATCTCCGCTATTAGTGACTGGATCCCGAGATCATGATCTCAGAGTCTGGAAGTTACCATTGGTTAGCGAAGATGATTCAGATATTAGTGATAACACCACGCCAGTGCCTACTGAAGCAGGTGCAGAGAACCCATATCTTGTGGCTATTCTCTCGGGCCATACTCATTCAGTACGGTCCGTTCTGGGATATGGGAATATCATTTTATCTGGATCATATGATACTACTGTACGGGTGTGGGACCTTTTAGATAACGGAAGGTGCAAACATGTACTTTCTGGCCATCAAGATAAGATCTATTCAACAGCTCTTGATTTCCAAAATAAACGATGTTTCTCAGGATCCATGGATGCAACTATTAATGTGTGGGATTTCGAGAAGGGAAAATTACTTCATACATTAGAAGGACATGGGTCATTGGTTGGGTTACTAGAACTTTCTAAAGAATACTTAGTTTCAGCGGCCGCTGATGCTACATTGCGTGTATGGAATCCTGAAAGTGGACGCAATTTAAGCAAATTGGAAGGCCACACGGCAGCGATCACATGTTTCCAACATGACAATCTTCGAATTGTGAGTGGAAGTGAAAAAATGTTGAAATTATGGGATATAAAATCTGGAAAATTTGTACGGGACTTGTTAGCAGATATCACTGGTGGAATCTGGCAGGTGAGGTTCGATTTCTGTAGATGTGTAGCTGCAGTGCAGCGAAGCAAGAACGACGTCGATGAAACGTTTATTGAGATTGTTGATTTCAGTACACCTCCCTCATAAGGATTAGTGGTTAAATATTTAAGAACAAAATATAAGAAATAAGGAAGAAATAGTTAATATGTAAATTTCTAGAGCTTAAGTGAAAGTTTTGAAAAAAAAAAAGACATGGGGATTCCATTTGGTGTCTCCTATTGATAAATTGATAACAAGATATAATTAGATGGAAGCTATGGGTGACAGAACTGAAACTTTTGATAAACACATGTAGAACGGCGGGTAAACTACTTTGGAAAGATATTATTTCTTTAAAGCTTATTTCGAAGTGCTTGGCAGCATGAAATTGGAAAAGAAGACCTATATATAGAAAATATGCACAATTGTAGAAAATAAGTACCACATACGTAATCAATTGCACGGCGTTCACAAATAATTTAATAGCTTCTATTGCATAGATAGAAGTATGGAACAAGAAATTTCAAATCCCACAAACCAACTGCAAATCCAATGGGGAAAATTGTCGACTAGCTGCAGTGAGCACAATTTCACGCACAAAATGGTTGCAAATTTCAAATATTTAATTCTTACTGTTAAGGTCCGAAGAAGAGAAAATAGTGTAGAATGGAAGTCTCGATATCTGTGGCTTTGGATTCGCCTAAGAGAAAGAGCTGTGTCACGACGAAGTTTATTTACCGTATCAGAGTCCATTTACTTTCAAGTTCAAAAAATAATAGAGACTAAAAATAAATATCTTAAAAAATATTTGATCATAGCACTGAGAGAAGTAAAAAAAAGGGCAACATATTCATATTTGAATAGGATAGAAAAAGACTATAAATAATGGTTCATTACTCCCAAGAGAGAGAGAGTAAAGTTTAACGAACAACAATAATCTTCTCTTCATGATTTCAAAACGAACATTTTTAGCTTTGGCAATTTTTGTTGCAGCTAATACGGCTGAAGCAGCTAGTATCAAAGCGCAATACCCTCTTGCTCTCCGCGATGTCAACGACATTTCACCATCATCTGATGTTATTTTCAGAAGAGCAGGTATTAGGATCCGGGCTGACCCAGTTCCCTCTGAACCTCTTCCACCAAATCAGGAACCACCAAAGCAGGAGCCACCAAAGCAGGATCCTACCAAGCCTGATCCTACTAAGCCTGAGCCACCAAAGCAAGATCCTACCAAACCTGATCCTACTAAACCAGAACCACCAAAGCAAGATCCTACCAAACCTGATCCTACTAAACCAGAACCACCAAAGCAAGATCCTACCAAGCCTGATCCTACTAAGCCTGAGCCACCAAAGCAGGATCCCACTAAGCCTGAGCCACCAAAGCAGGATCCTACCAAGCCTGATCCTACTAAGCCTGAGCCACCAAAGCAGGATCCTACCAAGCCTGATCCTACTAAGCCTGAGCCACCAAAGCAGGATCCTACCAAGCCTGATCCTACTAAGCCTGAGCCACCAAAGCAGGATCCTACCAAGCCTGATCCTACTAAGCCTGAGCCACCAAAGCAGGATCCTACCAAGCCTGATCCTACTAAGCCTGAGCCACCAAAGCAGGATCCTACCAAGCCTGATCCTACTAAGCCTGAGCCACCAAAGCAGGATCCTACCAAGCAGGATCCTACTAAGCCTGAGCCACCAAAGCAGGATCCTACCAAGCCTGATCCTACTAAACCAGAACCACCAAAGCAAGATCCTACCAAGCCTGATCCTACTAAGCCTGAGCCACCAAAGCAGGATCCCACTAAGCCTGAGCCACCAAAGCAGGATCCTACCAAGCCTGATCCTACTAAGCCTGAGCCACCAAAGCAGGATCCTACCAAGCCTGATCCTACTAAGCCTGAGCCACCAAAGCAGGATCCTACTAAGCCTGATCCACCAAAGCAAGATCCTACTAAGCAGGATCCTACTAAACCAGAACCACCAAAGCAGGATCCTACTAAGCCTGATCCACCAAAGCAAGATCCACCAAAGCAAGATCCACCAAAGCAAGATCCACCCAAGGAGGATAGCCCTGCTACCCCAGTTGGCGAAGCAGCCACCCCTCTAGGTAAAGGCAGTATTTCACCTGGTGGAGGGGCCTCTTCATCGATAGGAAAAGTCACTTCTAGCACCAATGACGCACAAATGGCAGGCTCCATTGTTGTTGGGGGACCTGTTGGATTTGCTGTTGGTATAGTCGCCATGCTTCTACTTTGAATACTTTTACTTTGAATATTGTTTTTTTAATACTTTATATGAATGTTTCCCTTATTACAGCAAATGTAATTGGCGTTGTTAGATCCGCTGACACCATTTTCTTCCCATTTTCTATAAATACAATTTTCTAAGTTTATGCAATCTATCCAATCCTTCGTTTATATCAAAATTAGCCTTTCTTTTCGTATCCTGCTTTATTTCTGACAGACTTCTTTCTGTGATTATTTCTATAAGATATTCTTGAACAGTTTTGCCATCCATACAATGCAAATGAGAACACCAAGGCTTGTGTTCATCGAACAAATCCACTTTCAATGAATCAGAATCATCCATATCGTATATACTGGACGGTTGTTCAGGTAATAATGGAGGATATTCGCAAGGAGTGAGGATATTAGACGACGAAACATTCTCACAATTAACATTGTCGCTGCAATGGGTTGGTGTACTGGAAGTATCCATATAGACTCGACCATTACATTTGCTACAGATTAAAAGTAACACCACTTGACCAGCAAAAGTCTGTACGTGCAAGTTCCAGCCAAGCAGCGCCGTGAGGTAAATCCAACCAGGAATTACACTGAGTTGATGATTTTCTTGATTTTCTTTATAGTAACGTTCCAGTAAGAGCTCATTTGATTTTAATTTGAAACTCTCAGGAAGTATATCAGATAAAGATTTAGTGTTTAACGAATTTGAGCCATAAGTAGTAAGTAAGTCAACATTATCGACCAACTCTTTGAGATTGGAAAGATAATCGTCAACCATGAAGGCATCGGTATCTTCTAAATGTGGTGTAGGATAATAGACACCTTCCAATGGGGTCGTATAAGTTCTCCATAAACAATTTGAGTCATGAGCAGATTTTGAAATTTGTTTACAATATTCTTCAGCTAATGCCGAGTTTAATGCTTGATAATCTTCTTCATCAAAGTCAAATGGAAGATATGTATGTGAGTTTATATCCTCAGTTGGCTCAGATTCATCATTAAATTTAAGTTGTAACTGAGCATGACAATACGTACACTCGATAGTATTCTTCTTACGTGTACACTTCCAACCATTTTGAGCACATAATAATTGTGTCAATGACGCGATTTTTAGATTTGGTATACGCCAATTTAATGCTGTGAATGATGAGATTCGTTGTAGAAGTAGAGTGCGGTCATGTGGATTGAACACTGTTTGGTTTCTGGCAACAGACTCTCCAAGCACCTTCCCCATCATCTCTGGAACTTTTCTTGTCTGTGTATTCCTTATCCCATTTTTGGTCCGATGGTATTCAAAATGATTCTCATCTTTAATGCTACGGAAGTACTTTATGTCCGGATGCAGGGCAAATTTAGCTGCTGGATGCTGTGTATTCTGTGGATATGACTCATAAGATTTGGTCGATAACAATCGTACGCAATCTGTTAAGATCTTGGAAGTTCCAGACTCCATTTTCTATATGGTTTTAAAAAAAGTGTGTAAATGATATTTAAGAATAAAGAACTTGATATCGCAGCCGTTTTCGGTGACTAACTAGAAAGTTTCCATACATACCACAAAAACAAGAAAAAAAAAAAAATCCTAATGTAAAACTTGAGACCAGCTGGGAGATATCCTGCAGGTGATCAAAATCTCGACGGATCTGTCCAAAGTAGCTAGAGGTCCATATTAGATAGGTCAAATAATCACAATTTTTTTTTCTACCAACATTCCACATACCTAAACACATATAATAATCATGTCGAACAGACCAGTACTTGAAGAAATCGATGACGATGACATCGACATGGACATGGACATTGCCAAGTTTGATCCAAACTTGAGAACGCCAATAGCGCCTATACAAGGGAATGCATTTCCTCCCAAAACCACCACTCCTCCAGCTAAGCCTGGACATGGCCAGTCGGTAGATCCTTCTGCCATCGTAGACCCAAATAAATTCACCGAGGAAGAGCGTAACCACTTGAAGTCGTTCCAGATTATCTACCCATGTTACTTTGATAAGAATAGAAGCCATCGTGAAGGTAGAAGAGTATCTTCCAACAAGGCGGTGGCCAACCCATTAGCCAAGACGATATCAGATGCGTGTCGTCATCTTTTCCTCCACTGTATGTTGGAGTTGGATAAGACACACCCTCAAGACTTTGGTAATCCTGGCCGTGTACGTGTATGGTTGAAAGAAGATGGTGAACCACAAGATCAACGATTCAAAACCAAACGTGAACTTCTTAATGTGATTGCAGACTATTTGACTGCTCATCCTACCACCTTAGAGAGCGTGGGACCTAACTCCGGTGTACCATTGCCCAGAGAATACGAGGTTGGATATGAACCTCTGTATGTGCCCAAGGTTAAGGGTTACCGTATGAATACCGTGGTACCAGTACATTCTCCACTCACGGTGAAACATCCAATGACTAAGGCCATTTACGATCCAGAACCTGAACCATTGCCACAAATCAAGCCTAACGCTCCTGCATCGGCTAAACAAATGAAGAAGAAGGTAATGAAAATCAGGGGTTAATATTTACGACAACAAATAGTATATATGTATGTATATATCAATAAAAGGTTAACAACAAAAGAAATGAGAGAAATCTAAAAGAGTTGACGGGAGTATTTGGTTCATGAAATAATTGGAAATCGGGAAGAAATAGTATGAGTTGTGCTTAAGATTAGGAGAGATTCATGAACAAAAAATGAAAACTAACGTATATCGAATAAATATAGCAACGCTGTAAATCTATATAAAATTATCTATTGCAAATTCTTTGGGGCGTATTGACTTCTGTAAGTCTTAATAGATTCCAATTCTTCAGTTGAGATCTTGGTACCTAAATGAGTAATGATGTCAGATAAGGAAACAATAGAAATGACAGGAATAGAATATCTTTCCAGAACAGCTTGAGTGGCAGATAAATCGGAATCCTTGGTAGTTTCTTGTCTATCTAAAGCAATGACACAACCAACAACAGATCCTTGTTCTTCATTGATGATAGAGAAAGCTTCGTTGATGGCAGTTCCAGCTGTCATTACATCATCAATGATAAGAACCTTCTTACCCTTCAAAGAAGAACCAACAATTGAACCACCTTCACCATGGTCCTTCTTTTCCTTTCTGTTGAAAGAATAACCAACGTCATTATAGTTTTCTGGGTCTAATTCAGCTAATTTAGCAACGGTGATAGCACACAATGGGATACCTTTGTAAGCAGGACCAAACAAAACATCAAATTTTAAGCCAGAAGCAATGATGGCTTCAGCGTAAGAAGTGGCAAGTGCAGACAAAAGTTTCCCAGAGTTGAAGAAACCAAGGTTAAAAAAGTATGGAGATTGACGACCAGACTTTAAGGTGAAAGAACCAAACTTAAGAGTGGAAGATTCAAGGGCAAGATCGAGGAAAGAAGTTTGATAAGATTGCATAGTTACAGGGCTACAGAGAGGAGAGGAGAAGAGAAGAGAAGAGAGGAGAAGAGGAGAAGAAGAAAGAAAGAAATAAAAGATCATGAAAAAAAACTCATCAAAGTTTGATGAGGGATAATGACATGAAGGAGAAGCACAGAAAAAAAAAAAAAAATCGGAAATAAGAACATTGTCACGTGAGAATATATATGTGTTGTAGACAGGGATCCTTTAAGAGCTAGGTGTACGTTAAGAGGTGTAGGTATATACAAATATGAGTATAGACTTGTAATGACAGCTCTTGAAATAAGTACTATAACTATTGGTAAGATTGAAGATTTTTATCTACTGGTTTAGTTCTTGAAAAAGGAAAAGAGGGGGTAATGATTAAGGACATAGCTACTATAGTGAAGTTATTTTATGACTTTATGAGGTGGATATTAGAAAAGTACAGTTATAATAGTGATGTAATTTTCTCAGACGATTATCCTTTTATCAATTTTTTATATTCTATAGAATTATAGAATTCGATTTGGCAAGATTCTTAATTCTTGTTCTTCTTTTCCTTTTCCTGTGTATATCTCTAATTTTGGCAGCCAAATAAAATAAAAACAAGTTGATTCTTAAGATTAGGGGGATTGAAGGAAACAACCATAAAATGGCCAATAAGCGGGAAAGAGCCGTGATTCTAGACGCTATTGAAGATGAGTATAGGCACGATCTTGCCCTTCATCTTTATTCCACGTTTTTACTCCATCAAATTAACCCATTCTTCCCACGAAGAAATTGGGCAAGTTGGCCCGTTCCATTTGAACAAGTCCCAGATCCAGGAACTGAAAAGAAATATGTTTTACCTGAGAATATCCAGAAGGGGGCAACTATAATGCCATCATTTGGAGTTTTAGGAGGAGGATCTATTAAGCGGCAATTATCTATCGAGCCTGAAGAAGATGATACTCTATTCAATGAACAATACGTCCCCATTACATCGATCATTATTAGTGAAACACTTACTGATCCATTGGAAGATCTTCGTATAGAACTTAAAGCATTACTTGAACGTAAAATTCAAGACAAACTCCGTGCTAGGGGGAAAACATCAGCGACAGAGATTCAAGAGCACCTTCTTGATAGTATGGTAAATAAAATGATGACCAAGATAACGGGAACTTTGGATACCACACTAGGACTGAGATTAGAGGCTTCGAGAGCCCCTAATTCAACCCGCTTGTTGAATTGGCAGGACATTATTGCTGCTCGAATTTACTCTGAAGAAGAACAAAATTGTAGAATTGATACAAATCATTTAAAGCAAGTTTACACGAAATGTGAGAAATTATTCAGGCATCACAATTATAAATATGAATATGAAGACAATGAAGATTTACTGGACGAAGAATGTATTCAGCCAGAATTTGAAGTAAATTCATATTTAGATCATGTTGAATCTATTAGTGTTAATCAGATTAATTATTCTAATTTCAAAGAAAGGGTCTTGAATAATAAAGAGGAAGAATCACGATTAGCGGCATCCCGAAGAGGGGTTATCATGAATAAATTAAATGTATATGACCGACTACATGATGTTTCGTGGGAAGATAATCTTAATATCACGGGAACAAAGTCTCGTCTGAGACTTTCATTGAACAAAAATGAGCAAAGGGCGTTGCTCAAGAGTAATATGGGAATTAATGAGGATACATATATAATTTAAGTAATAAAAGTAATAACAAGATCAAATTTACAACTTAGTATCTATCAAATCACGCGCTCTCATAATTTATATACATATCACTATTTAAACAATTAGGGGAACTGGAATAGGTAACCAGTATATATCTACTTACGTTTTTGGAAAGTGTCAGTGATTTCAGTACCAAAGACAACATCCCAGAATGGGGAGGTAACACCGAATCCCATTTCGTAATTCTTGTAATGATGTTCCAAGTGTACTCTTTTAACTTCTTGCAAGTAAGCAGGTAAGCGGGTGTGGTGCAACAAGTAATGAGTTACATCGTACATGATGTAACCAAGGGTACCACCAGCAAAACCTGAACAGGCCATGTAAAATGGGAAGATAGCAAAGACCAACTTATAGAATGGGTATGCCAAGATGATAAACAAGGTTGGTGGTAAAACTAATCTATAACCATCCATAGGTAAGTAATGATGAATACCATGAAGTAAGAAATGTAAAGTGAACGCAACTGAATGATTTGGCAAGTATCCATCCAAATGGAAAAGGAAACGATGGAGACAATATTCAACCAAAGTCCATATGAAAAGACCCATGGCCCATAAACTCAACGCAGTAAGAGCATGTTGGTTAACAAACCCCAAGTAGAAGAAGTACATGTTTGGAGGAAGCCAAACAAGTGGGACCACCCACCATGGAGTAAGAGAGAGCGGCTCTAAGAAGTTACCAAAAAGTGGAGCAGATCCCTTACCATAATGTCTTGGTCTGTGGACTTGGTCCAAGTAGAAATCTTTGGTGAAACCTCCAAACAAAACCTGTAACAATAAAGGTTTGTTCAAGTCGAGGAACTTATGCTTCTTGATATCAGTCTCATAATCCGTTTGGATGGCCATTGCTTCCTCAGGAGGAAGTTCATTGTGGAACTCATAGAGATCAATTGGAGCATCATCACTGGCTAAACGAACTTCAACTGGAGTCTTGTTCTTGTTTTCAAGCAATTCACGTTCTTCTTCGGCAGTGGCAAGATATCCAACTAACATGTCGTCATCAAGCATTTCGTAGGCACTTTCGGAATGTTCATGGGAATCACGGTCAGCCATGATCGCGGTCACGTCCTTCCCAAGATAGGGGTAAAGGAGGTCGGCTCCACCGGGATGCTCATCAAGAAATGAAGTGATGTTGTAGACCTTTCTGTTGAAAAGGGTAACATATGCATCCTTGGGAGTCGAGTGCTTGAGAACCTCGCTAGAGGCCAAAAGTGGGAGAGTTGGAGGCAGCATCGAATAAGTGATAATTTCAACGAGTGGCCACTATGAAGAAAATTATCAGAAGTAGCTGGTAAAGTGATACAATACTACTTAAATTATCGTTAGTAGAGACAAAATAGACACTACTTCAAATAATAAGCGAATGAATGTTGATGGATAAATCAGCGGACGTTGCAACCTTCTATTAAATATGAACAAATCCACGCTCACGTTTTTGAAATGGCGTTACAATTAGCAAAGGAAAACAAAAATATTTAGAAAAAAAAAATATGTATAATAAAAAAAAGGAGAAAAGAAATCAAAAGTTAAACCAAATCGGGCTATGGGAGTTGTGAAAATCGTGGTCCCTGCAGACAGTCTCCAGGGGAAGTACATAATAGCTCGTAGGGTCAAATTCTTACAGGTATTGAAAGTTGTTCACAATTCAATATAAGGACAGCTAACTAACGTTGTCCCGCAACACAGTTTCCGAAATGTCCGTTGAACGAATTTTGTGATTGTACGTGTCTTTTTTTTTTCTCGTTTATTCTGGTTGCAACTTTATTTTCTTTCCTCGCGTGATGTCCGTGAAATATTCAACTTGTTAACCTGAACACACCATACCTTATCTGTATAATCTTATGATTACGCGTCGGGTAGCTTCTCCTCCATCGAGCACTCTATATCTTCAATTCTTGTGATTCTTTATTTATCTGCATGTATGTATGAATTTATTTATAAATGTATGTATGTATGTATACTTGTAAATATATGCTATGTCTCTAAATGTGACATGTTATGTACGTCTGCAACATCCAAGTCAATGGTTATTGTTTCACCTTCAAATTCATCTTCGGCACTTATAGGTTCCTCACTTGAAAATAACATTTGTTCATCAAGAAGAATGTCATCCACGTTTTCCGTAGTTGTTGCATCACTTACTTCTGGTGTGTTGCTGAGCTGTTGTTCGAGATGTAATGTATGATCAACCAAGTTCAAGTAGGCGTACATAAAGTTGGATAAGAGAACCTGTTCTCTAAGAGATCTTTTCGGATTAGCAAGCTTGAGGTGCGACAACCGGTAAATTGCTCGTTCAACGTGTACTGGGAATCTATAGTCAAGCATGACCAATGTAGATTGAGATGGTGGTGGTAATGGAAATCCAAAAGCCGAGTCTGTAAATTCAAGAGGTTGATTCGCTCTTGAATGCCTCTTGATCGACTTTTTAAGCTTTTCCTGTACATCTAAAGTTGTTTGAGGGGTATTCTCTACCTCGGTGACTTCTTGTGTATTTCCTGTTCCCATTTCAACTTCCATATCAACATCTACACCGTCGATTTCATGTCCATACTCTTCTTCCCTCACCTCTGAAATAATATGTTCAATCGGTTGTTCTCTTTCTTCGGATTTTACTCCACTCTTAAGTTTGGCAATGATCAGCTTCTTTGGATAAGACTTTTCCTTTTCTTGTGAAATTGCAATTTGTTCAAACTCATCCCCACCAGAGTGAACTTCAGGTTCTTGGGATTTGTTACTAATATATGAATTAATTGAATTATTGGATCTGGATTGTGGAATCAGAGTTTTATCTTTCTTACCCTTACTCTTTTTCTTGAATAATCCTCCAGACGATTTCTTCTTACTTTGCAGTGAAGCCTTGCTTACCTTTGACTCTACATCCGACTCATAGTCAACAGTCACCCCGCTAGATTGTAACAGACTTTCCTTCTGTGGAATATCTTCCTCTAGAATTGCAGGAACGGATGTAGGAGTACTTTTCTTCTTCTTGAACAATTTGGAGATCATATTCTCCTTTCCAATGGATCCTCCCGACTCTTGTGTTCTTGCAGACTCATTTGATACTCTATCTGATACAACAGATTCCTTATCTCTATTCTCTGTCTCCGGGTTTGAAATGGAGCGTGGAGAAAGTTTCTTAGCGGAATGAGATTCTTGTTGATTGTTAGATGTTGACTCTACAGCTGAAGTACTTACCGCTCTTTCTTTCAACCAAGTCCATGACTTTTTCTTCTTCAATGATTTGCCATTTGTAGGGGTATCAGTTGTCGAAGCGGTGGCAGCTGCAACTGCAGTTACTGCTGCATTCACGGCTGATCCAGAAGGAACTCCTCCAATATGTGCTTTATTTTCAGAATTTCCAAGTAAACCGAATGTCTTCTTCTTTCTTGGTGAAGTCTTTGGTGTTATTGATTCCTCTTGTTGGCCGCCTTGACGTTTATCGGATGTATCTGCTTCATAAACGGTATGTAACCTTTCAACTTCAGTTGGTACCACTTCCTGTGGTTGTTCGTTACCTTGGGAGTTGTTGGTAATTTCAAATTCTTTAGTCAGCACCTTATCAAGATTTGGCGATGTCATGACATTATCATCAACTTCAGTTTCTAAGTAGTCACCCTTATTCAAATCTCCTAGTACACCATTCTTTTCTTCGTGTAACTCTTTTAATACCTCCTTCTCCATGCCCAAGGAGTCTTCGTAGCTTACATCTTGATATGATGCATCAAATGAAAAATCTGGGTCCTGTGTGATATTTATATCAGGTGTCGTGGTAGGAGTATGTTCCACATTTTGCATAGGAATAGGGTCGGTTTTATGTAAACTTTCCTTAAATTCATTGATTTCAGATCGAAGAAGATCCAAATTTTGGTTCAACTCCTTAGATTTATTGTTAACCTTTTGTAAAGGACTTTTTTGTATCTGAGAATCAGGCTGTACATGACGATGCTGATATTGCTGTTGGGTGTGCACTTGTGATGGTAATTGCTGTGGATTGCCAGGGGAGTGAGTACGGTGGACTTTCAGTTCACGATGTCTCTCTCTCGAACTACCTGGTTGATAAGCAGGTGATTTTGAGTGTCTCATATTCTCATTGTACGGCATTTGTTGGCCATATTGAGGGTATTGACTATTGTTTGGAGACTGTGCACGCTCAAGTGATTCCTGACTAGATTTTCTATTTTGTTGATGTTGTTTATTGGAATGTCTGGGATGCGGTGGGGCTTGTCTTGGCCTCGAGTTATCGGGATTAACTTGTTGTTGGTACGACTCTGGACGTGATTGATGTCCGACGGGTGAAACCTTACGCGAATGAAACTGGTTTTCAATAGGTCCATGAGTGGAAGCAGATGAAGGGTATGGTGAGTCTCTCGAAACAACCTTTTGTTGATTTGATCCAGAGGGGAGGTTTGGGTTTCGATAGCTGAAAAGCATTTGAGAGCTTCTATTCTGATGCTGTGAGTATGAATTGGTTTTGACATTCTGAGAACGTGAAGGTTTGGCAGTACGTTCTGATGAAGTCGAACTTGGGGTAGTAAGTGACGAATTTTGGAGATTGTTACGAAGTTCCAGTAATTTATCTGCCTTTGTTTGTTGAAGGTTTGAACCAGAAGATAGATTACCAGGAGGTCCAGTATTCTTTCGATAATCCAATCTGCGGCTTCTCTTCAATGGAGCTGCAGACTTTGAAGAATGTTCAGCGGTTGGAACATTTACTGGACGATTGTGGCGACGATGTTGTAAAGGTTGACCCTGGTCAAGCCCTGAGCGGTGGTGTTGTTGTTCCTGATATGGGTACTGTTGTGATTGGGCATAATTTGTTTGATCTCGTTGGGATCGATGATATCTTCTTTCAGCTCGTTGGCGGGTGGGTGACTCTGGGGTATCAAATTGTTCCGTTCCGGCTCCACCATTTGACTCCTGACGCTCTGGGCTTGTCTTTGTATTTGGAGGAGAATTCATCTCGTCAAATGCTTGTTTTTCAACTTCTGTATATCCCAACGAAGAAGTTGAAAGAGTTCTTGCTAATGTTACAGCGTCGCTTGAATCCATTCCTGCCAACTTCGAAAGATTCTCCAATTCCTTAGTCAAATCACGAAGTGAAGGGTTGCTGTATCTCTTTGGGTTCCCGCTAAGTTGCTGTGTATGATGTGGTGATGGCGACGATGTTGTTGATGTTGGTGGGGTCGTGGGGACTTGTGGGGCTGTTGAAGGGGCTTCCTCGATATTACTCTCTTCATCATCATCATTTCTATCTTCTACAAGAATAAGACTTGATCTTTTCGACATAGAGTTGCCTCGTTTGAGTTTTTTCTCCATGATTTCATCAACGGTTGATTTAATATGCATTTTGAATTGTTCAGGATCAACCTCTGGGTGGAGGCTAGCTGGGACCCATAATAACTCGTTCGGGTCAAGTGGTGTGTCCACTAAGTCTTCTTCTGTGTCAAAGAACACTTCTTCTGAAATAAGTGACGATTTCCTACGTGATTGTTGTCTATGAAGAGACTTTGCTCTTGCAAGTGCTGGGGCCATAGATGTTGGAGCAGGCGCAGACATGGGTACCTCTCTGTCAGTTTCATGGGGCCCAATGTCATCGGATTCGCTCTGTGGTTGCGAACTAATGTTAACATCATCATACAGAAACTGGAAATCCAATTCCTCGGGTGGTAGGTCTGGATCATAATTCATCATGTTTCCAATTGAGAGCCGCTTCAACGCGGCCACCATTTTCTTCTCTTGCTCAATATCTCGAGCAGCATTTTCATACGAGTTTACGGAGCTCATGATTTGTCATGGATCGGATTCCACCGTGTATGCAAAAGAACAATCTAACTTGTAGAGTATCAAAAATGAAATAAAAAGAATGGAAGGAATCGATTTGAATGCAGTGGTCCCCGACGGATCGTTGGTGTGTAAAAGAATGAAAGAATGAACGGGAACTGCTAAATCAGTACGGGCAAGCTGTAGTCGAAAGTTAGCGATGTAGGCTTACGCGTGTGCTGTTCCTGGATACTAAGCTCAATCGAAAACAGGTGACAAATCGTTCTGTGTTGGTTCAAAGTACTATGGACAAAATCTCTCCAATTTGTTTTTTTCGTTTTTCGTACGTACAGGCTTTTTTTTTTTTCGCTCTATTATTATTATTTTTATTATTATTTATTTATTTTTCCTGTCTACTGTTTCTCAATTCTCCTCTAGATTGCGTTAAAATTTGTTGTATTGTGACTTTAGTAGTTAACAAAGAGGTTGTTAGAGTATAGTGGGGAGTGAGAAAAGTGAACTTTTGTCAATGTAAGGTATTAAATACTCTTGATATCTATTGTATTCACTCTAAGGAATACATTTGTCGTCTGTTGTACTTGATAGACTTAAATCAACGTTACTACTGTTTTATACATTTTACTAATGTTGCACCCTTTGGAAAATTCCAACTTGTTTTAAGGCGGTGAACCACGTCAAATGTAGAAAAAGAAAATAAACTAAAATATAATATCTGGTAAGAACACGCATAAAGTATTTTTATATACAGATAAGATCCACAGCGAGACCAATGCAAATTGATAGTTATTGGATTAATTGGAGAGTGTTTCCAATGATTCATGAATCGTTCATATAGCGTTGTAATGTGATGGGAAAATATTAATGTTTTAGAAGTAAATGTGTAATGTAAAATGGTGGAGTGTTCCAGGAATTGTTCTAAGATAGATAAAAAATAAATAAAACGGTTAATCTACATTTGAATTCTTTTTTTTTATAAAAGTTAATTAGTCTCCCCACAAACACTCTGGACGTTGTATTATGTCACATCTATTATTTATAAACTAAAGTAAAACATAATCAATCCTAAAACCAATAATATATAATACGCAATAGGATGCATTTCTGGTTCGAAGTCTGGGAATCCCATACAATTACAAATACTATGGATAACAATACAGCCCCATATATTATTATTTTTCAACATGAAGTTGTTAACCAACATCCCAAATAATGTAGTATAAGTCAATTGCATGGCTCCATTGAATAGAACCATTGATGCGGGGATTTTCTTCACTTTATAGAGGGTATAACCATGGTGAATATGAGCAATTCCAAATAAAAATGGAGTCCATAATTTAACCAGAGTTAATGATGATTCCCCATTTCCTATCAATGGTTTGTAAATAGACAATACTAAAGATCTATATACAAACTCTTCAGAAATTGGAGCGAAAATTAAATCTCTAATACCCCAAATCAGAGTTAATTCTGCAAATAAATCTTTATAAAAAGTTTCAAAATGGAAATCAATTGTATAAAAATGATTTATCAAGGGTCCTATGTACAATAAACAAATCAGTAGAAGGCATTTAAGAGTATCAAACAATTGAAATTTCAATCCAAAACTAACTAAAACTGATTTAAAATCATTGTAAGCGCCCAATTTTATAAGTATCATAGGTAATATGATCGCCTGTAAGATACATAGTATACATACTCTTAACATTCTACCCTTAATGACCTTGGGATCATTCCGATCTTGCCCCATAGGTTGTCCAATATGTATAGCAATAACATAAGATGAAGCTACCATAAGGGAGAGTCCAACTGCAACTGATTTTGAATACATTTCCAAAGAATACAATTAAGGGTTATTTAGGAAGTTTGAAGATGTAAAATTTTTTGAAAGTGAGTATTATGAAGCGATGGTAAAGATAAAGACTGTACAATAATTCAATTAATGCATACCATACTCAGCTTCCAAAATGTAAGAAACAAAGTATTCACTCTCGATGAACCGTATACGAAACATGGCTAGTTTCAGTTTTTCTTTTTTCCTACTTATTTTTTTAGTCTCTTTTTTTGTCTTCTCTGTTTGATTCATTCTTTAGGTCATGTGATCTATTTTTTCTCTTATCGTGGTTTCAATTACATTTTGCGCGATTTCAATTGGGACATTTAAGTGACTCACCTCCACGATTCAAATGCCTTAGAAAAACTGTGATGTCGAGTTTGACATTTTCACGTGAGGGAAGTTTATAGAGGTATTGTTAGTAAATGGAAAAAAATTTTGTAGATTCACTTTCTCTATTTCTTTTCTTTCTTAAGTTAAAAACGTTTTCACAATAATCATGAAGAGATTTCTTTCAACTTCTTCGGCCCTTCGTAGAGGTCAGAATTTAACTGAGAAGATTGTTCAAAGATATGCCGTAGGACTTCCACAAGGTAAGAATGTCTACTCTGGTGATTATGTATCCATCAAGCCAGCTCATTGTATGTCTCATGACAACTCTTGGCCTGTCGCTACTAAGTTCATGGGTCTTGGTGCTACCAAGGTTAAAGATAACAGACAAATTGTATGTACACTTGATCATGATGTTCAAAATAAGTCTGAAAAGAACCTTGAAAAATATTCAAATATTGAAAACTTTGCTAAAGAACAAGGTATTGACTTCTACCCCGCAGGAAGAGGTATTGGTCATCAAATCATGATTGAAGAAGGTTATGCCTTCCCCCTCAACTTGACTGTTGCTTCAGATTCTCATTCCAATACTTATGGTGGGGTTGGTTCTCTTGGTACTCCAATTGTTAGAACTGATGCTGCTTCTATTTGGGCCACTGGTCAAACTTGGTGGCAGATCCCACCAGTGGCTAAGGTTGAACTTGTTGGTCAATTACCTCAAGGTGTCACTGGTAAAGATATTATTATCACTCTTTGTGGATTGTTCAACAAGGATGAAGTTTTGAACCATGCTATTGAATTCTCTGGTGAAGGTGTTGCTTCTCTCCCTGTTGATTACAGATTGACCATTGCTAATATGACCACCGAATGGGGTGCTCTTTCTGGTTTATTCCCAGTTGATGAAGTTCTCCTTGACTTTTATAAGCAAAGAATCCAAACATTACCACAACCACACCCTAGGGTTAATGAACAAACCATTTCTGAACTTGTTGCCAACAAAACTGAATCTGACAATGATGCTGTTTATGCCAAGCACTTGGTAGTTGATCTTGCCTCTCTTTCTCCAAACATTTCTGGTCCAAACTCCGTCAAGGTCGCTAATTCTTTACATGACTTGAGCAACCAAAATATCAAGATTAACAAGGCTTACCTTGTCTCATGTACTAACTCTAGACTCAGTGATATTAAGGCTGCTGCTGATGTCATTAGAGGTCACAAGATTGCCCCACATGTTGAATTTTACGTTGCTGCCGCTTCTTCTAATGTTCAAAAAGATGCTGAAGCAATTGGTGCATGGCAAGGTATTATTGATGCTGGTGCCAAACCTTTGCCAGCTGGCTGTGGTCCATGTATTGGTCTTGGAACTGGTTTGTTGAAGGAGGGAGAAGTAGGTATTTCTGCTACTAACCGTAATTTTAAGGGAAGAATGGGTTCTAAAGATGCTCTTGCTTACTTGGCATCTCCAGAAATTGTTGCTGCATCGGCTGTCTTGGGTAAGATTGGTGGTCCAGAAGAATTGGATGGCAAGACTGTTCCTAAAGTTCGTGAGATTATTAAAAGCATCACTGTCAACAAGGAAGCTCCATCCGTTGAAGGTGGAAGTGTAGAAGTCTTGGATGGGTTCCCTACTTCTATTGAAGGTGAACTTGTTCTTTGTGATGCTGATAACATTAACACCGATGGTATTTATCCAGGTAAGTACACCTACCAAGATGATATTCCACGTGAAAAGATGGCTGAAGTTTGTATGGAAAACTACGACCTGGAATTTAACTCTAAAACCAAGCCAAGTGATATTATTGTTTCAGGTTACAACTTCGGTACAGGTTCCTCAAGAGAACAAGCCGCTACTTGTATTTTGGCCAGAGGCATGAAACTTGTTGTTGCTGGTTCATTCGGTAATATTTTCTCTAGAAACTCTATCAACAATGCCTTATTGACTTTGGAAATTCCTGACTTGATCGACCAGCTCAGAGTTAAGTACAAGGATTCCAACGAATTAACTGTTAGAACTGGTTGGTTCTTGAAGTGGGATGTTACTAAGGCTGAAGTAATTGTCACTGACTCTGAGGGTAATGTTGTTTTGAGCCAAAAAGTTGGTGAATTAGGTACAAACTTACAAGATATTATCGTTAAAGGGGGTTTAGAAGGATGGGTTAAAGCTGAATTACAAAAGTAATAGCCAATGCATGTATTATAAGTAGATAGAATCGAATATATTAACTTAAAGTTATAAAATGTAAAGAGGACCAATTAGTCCGAAATGCTCTTGGGTTTCTCTTGGATGCAAAAAAAAACAAATGAATCAAATTTGAGAAACATTGTAAAGGATCGAATTTTACTATATTTGATGTATTGGTGCCATATTACAATTGCTTTGTAGAGCGACACCAAAACAGTGTGTTGAGGTTTGAAAAAATAAAAAATATTAAATTCGGGGCGAGCTGGGAATTGAACCCAGGGCCTCTCGCATATTTGATGAAATCCTCTAGTAAACTAGAAGTAACCCAAAGCGAGAATCATACCACTAGACCACACGCCCGATTTATGAATTTTGAAACTTGAAATTTTAGAATGTCATTATATTAATAAAATCGACACCAACGCTCATAACCTAATCAGGGTGATATAGCGATACTATTGCTTATTAATTTAGAGCGTCATAATTGCCGGCGGCACAACTCTAATAGATGTTAAAACCTGCCAGTGTTGGAAACTCGAAAAAAGTTGTGTCCCTTCGGGGGTGATCAACTAAGCTAAGTTATATATATTTATGATATTTTTCAATGAAAAAACATGAAAAATATGGAAAAATATTTTGCAGCCAACAGAGGTATTAGCAAAGGCAGAAGCATATTGTAACAGCAGTACCGAAATAGAAATACACCATTGTACATACAGACTTGCAAAACTGAGTATACAAACTTCCTTGCGAAATATGGAATTCTGTTTTGTGAGCTAGGAATCACGCAGTTCTCCCTAGCAAGTGGAGTGTCTCACATACAGACTTCGTGGAGGCGGACTGGGTAGCAGGTATTACCATAGCTACAAGGTATTTTTATATATGTATGTACAATTAATACTATGATAAATTACCAAAAAATATGAGCGATTGGCTGAGTTTATCAACTCAAAATCGATATATGAAACCTTATTGATAAGTGCGTATTGTTGTGTATATTCTCCAACCCTAGAATTTTACTATGTAAAAAATGTTGGTTCAATTTCTAATGGAGGGGAGAGCACAACATTGATATATTTTATGTATAGTAGTAAAACTTGCATATGCGGAGAATAGACCATATGGGAATATATCAACATCCCCGCATTAACTCTAAAACTTTTTAAGCACACACACATTGATGGACTGTTGGAAATTTGTTCCGACATTTGACGTACAGTAATATTTTGCATGAAAGGCAATTTGAATGCTGGTACTTCTAGTATAATTATAAAATTCCATTTCATGAGTGACACATTTCGAAACTATCGCAGATATTCATAGAAGTCTGTGCTCAGAGGAATTCTCTGAAACTAGGGATCCAAGAAAAATAAAGAAAGATACTAGATATCAGATAGCAGTGTTTGGAATTCTGACATTTGCAAGATAATATTATTCCTATATTTTCCGCCCCTCTTCGAGCGGACTTGGTAAATATCCCCGCACAAAAACCCGGAATAAGCCACTACAAAGAATACCTTCTGTAGTGGAAATTGCTTATGAGTGGAATAATACTTACGAACAGAAGCAAATGTTAACTCTTTCCATCAAGGTCATCTTACGTAAAGCTCACTTCTACCCAGATTTATTAGGTATCTTTGCCTTGAACAGCTTCAATTTTATTTGATGTTTTGGTCACTTCTTTCTGTGAAATATCTCAATGCTTTTCTCCTCTGTATAATTAAACTTTCTCCGGGTCCGTACGTCAGCCGCATTGTCTCCGCTGACGCACGTTCAAGCAAATGAGTATTCAGAAATGTTGCAAGAGTATCATCCCCTAAATATCAGGCTCAGTATACAGTATTTGGATTACTATTAAAGGGGAAGATATCCCCCATATCGTGGAGTACATATGTTTTAAGTACAACACTCAAACTTTCAACTACTCCTCATACCGAACTAAAAAGACACTCTTTGCAATTACCAACAAACAATATTATTCTGCCAAGAAAATTAAACCTGTCAAAATAATAAGAGATGGGGCAGAAGATTGACACATGTTCTATTACTTCAAATCCAAGTACACCTAGTGGAGAGGAAAAACAGAGGTCAACTCCACCAAAAGAAAAAAAGTTTCGTTGGAGGGTTACGGATGAACATTCCCCACCAGAAATCTATAACTGGACACTTTACCTTTCAGTATTTGTATTTGGTATCTTGGGTTCAGCTAGAGGCTATGATGAAGGTAACATTGCTGGAACAGTTGCACAAATATCATTTATTAAAGAATTTGGCCTAAATTCTAAGCTATTAAGTGCCACTCAGCAAGCCAATCTCAAATCTAATATTACCTCTATGGTTCAATTGGGATCTATTGGAGGATGTATTATAGCCATGTATACAGTTGATCGTTTTGGACGTATTAGAACTTTACAAGGTGTCTGTATTTTGTGGATCATTGGTGCTATTATTCAATGCACCTCGCATTCGGTTGGGCAATTATACGCTGGTAGAGTAATTGAAGGATTAGCTATTGGTCAAACAACTACCATTGGGCCAACTTATTTGTCTGAAGTATCTCCCAAGGCTATCAGAGGACTTTGCAGCTGTATCTTTGCCGGTGCAGTTTACTTCGGTATTATGCTTGCTTATTTTGCAAACTATGGGACTGCATTGCATGTCGTCGGACGTAACCAGTGGGTTATCCCAACTACAGTGAAGTGTTACTTAGCATTCTTGATCTTAGTTGGCTCAACCATTTTCTGTGTTGAATCTCCGCGTTGGAACATGAAGGTTGGAAATTCTGAAATGGCTGCGAAAAATTTATCAAAAATCCGTCATCTTCCTGTTGATCATCCTTACATTTTGAGTGAGATCGCTGATATTAATGAGCAAGTTAGTTCAGAAAAAGAGCTAACTCAAGGTAGTACTGTTATTTCGATGTTGAAAGAAATTGTCATGACAAAATCTATCAGATATCCATTTTTTGCCATTGCCACATTGGCACAAATCCTTGGCCAATGGTCTGGAGCAAATGCCATAACTATATACTCCCCACAACTTATGTCTTTGGTTGGTATTACTGGTATTAAAAGTTTAGAAATGACAGCAGTTTTAGGCGTGGTGAAGTTTGTCTCAGCTTATTTGGCAGCATTTTTCTTGATTGACTTCTTAGGTCGTAGACGCTCACTTTATATTGGTGTTACTATTCAAATGGTCACTATTCTCTATTTTGCAATCTTCTTGACTATTGTTCCCCAAGCAGCAGTGAAAGGCTCAGTATTGACACCATCACAAAATATGGCAGGGAAGGCTGCACTTGCTGCACTTTTCCTTTCTGGAACTGGTTGGACTATGGGTTTCAATTCTATTCAATATCTTTTAGGTTCGGAACTTTTCCCACTTCGAGTTCGTTCATTTGCACAATCTATTGTTATGGTTGTTCATTTTGCTAATCAATACGGTAATTCGAAGGCTATTCCAAAGATGTTACTTGCTATGGATAATTTTGGGGCCTTTTATTTCTTCGTTGGTGTTTTGGTTGTCTCACTTTTTTGGGTATACTTCCTTATTCCTGAAGTTTCGGGCAGATCATTGGAAAGTACTGAAGAAATATTTTCCTTACCTTGGTACCTTGTTGGAAGACGTGGTGCAGAACTCTGTCCAGATCATTCAGAGGTTAACAGAGTTAATTACAATGTTGATGGGACTGGAAACGCTCATGGAGGAGATATTGATTATGTTACAAAACCTTCCACAGAGTTTATTGAGGATACGAGAAAAGAGGAATTGGTTAGGAATAACCCTTAACCCCTAAATAAAAGTTCTACATATTAACATGTATAATTTTTTAGAAAAGAGTTTTACTGGATATTTCAGCAGGTCCATAGTATTTTGTTAGTTTTTAATGATAGTTTTGTGAATATTCAACTTTAGTTTGCAGCTTCCACAAACTTCCAGGATGAAGTATTAAATCACTATCAACTAATGTATTAGATAAGTCTACTGTCAATGCTTGCATTGCTAGGAGGTATTCTCATCCGAGGTTAAGGCAAAAAATTACATCTATTCCTTTTTCTATCTTCCTCTTTTACCAATGAACGCACTTGAATTTGCAAATCTAGACAGAGTAACCCGCCTTTTCATTGGAAGGTAGCATCCGATTGGCTACCTCGTAGTTGCTATGGTTATGACTTTGAGGATTCTTTATCTTCACGTGATTAGAACGGCGGATGCACATAATATGTATAGTATTTAGAGAATTTTTCACTTCATAAATTTCACTAGATGAGAAAGCAAATGAAGTGAGAATCACTAAACTCGCATAAGAGTCCTAATTAAGTGCCACATATCCCTTGTTACAAGAAAAGGCGTGTTTCTTTTTATTTCGTTATTTTTTTCGATGTGCGTCCTTCAGGTATTTCCTTTTCACATTTATCTACATACATTTACCTTAACAAATTGTGTGTGCTTTTCAGTGAAAAATGAATTGACACATATACAACACTGATAAGAAATAAAAGTTGTCTACGGGTTCCCTCTCCTCTGGTATATCCTTTGTTTACTTTTATTCCTACATTCTTTAACAATCGTCTCTTATAAAACTGCAGGATTTCCAATTACAGAACTTTAATGGCCTGGATGTCCCATTTTAGATTCAATAAAACCTTACTTGAACCTCGGTGTACCCTTTGTGAGGCGGTGGGAGTGGTTTGAATCAACATCCCAACACCACACCTGCATACACACGGATAATTCTAGACTTTAAAAACGGAAGTAAATTTAAGCGGGTACAATAATTAACCTAATACTACATGATTGTGCAACATTAAAAAATTAATCCTCTATTTGTATGATATATATATTGATAAATATGGAGATACTATTCAAGTTTCCTAAACTAATGAATGTGTATCTAAATCACCCTTTTTCTCTCTCTCTCCTTTCAAGCGGTAGTCACAAGTAGGTGAGATAATTGATGTTGCCTGCAACATTCAATGTTAACGTAGCCTCAAATGCACGCGTCTAAACTTCTAATTAATATTATTATACATCTTATGTTTGAAAGATGTACTCACAATCTTATAGTTGTACAGCAATTTATTTGAAAATTCATTTATAGTATCCGCTAAATTCATCATTAACATTACTCCATTGATGATATAATAAATAAGTGTGTCGAGTATGAGATATAATTCATCTATGAGGCTGCTCATATTAGACAGATATAATACTGTTTTGAGTACTGACATCTAGAAAGACTCTTAAGAGTATAGAGGGGAATTGTATTTCTTTTATATATTTGACTTTGATGACTGTTTATTTTTTATTAGTTTCTTTTGACTTTTGCAACACCGGCAGGGTGAATGCGTAAGGCATATAGGATTAGTAAAACGGCCTGAATTTTCCCAATCGGGGCGCACTCCGGCCGTCCCTTTTTCCAGCCACGACCATTGAGATTGTTGCTAACTGAAATTGCGCGTTGCATGTGACTTTTTCTCACACTTTTTGATTTGAGGCAAAACCGGACTTCTCTACTTATTCGCTTTTTGAATTCACTCTGCGGGTGTCCAGGTTACCTGGTCACACATCTCTTTGTCGACTTAATCTCTTATACTACATATCATATAAGGTTTATTTCTAATGTTTAATCATTTTATGTGACTTGATTTTTCATATTGCGTCATTTACTTGATTTGCTATTTACCACTGTCACGACGTGCAGATGAGGAGAGAGAGGCATTCTGATATAGTTTACATCGTTGTCTAATCGTGGCAGTCACTATTTTATTTCTTTTTTTTTTTTTCACTCTTGTTTTATTTTTTATGTTCCAAGTTTCTCCACATTTATTGTGAAATCTGGAGAACATTCGATTGCTGGAAGTAATAGATAAAAAATAATGAAACAAAAAGTATATTATATCAGAGATCTTCTGGTAGTATTCAAATACTCAACCTTATATTCTGAGTAAACGATCTTCTGTGCCCATCTGTATATGTATATGTTTATCCTTATTTACTAATTTTTGATGACTGCTGCGGATTATTTTTTTTCTTCTCCGATTTTAAGTCATCATGTCTGTACCCCTCTTCTTCCCCCACTGACGTACATATTTCCTTCGATGACAAGTTTCCCCGCGTCAAGTCCCACCTCTATATAACAGATTATTCAAAACGAGGAAATAGACGACAATGCACGAAATGCATAGATCAACGAATAAGGAAAGACTCCGATTTATATAACAAACAATAATAAACAAAAATAAACACCTACATGATTGAAACATATATGATTCCAATGATAGCTTTTTGGCTATTTTGGGACGATGAACAATTCTTTGCACCCAATAAAATATCAATTAAAGAGAAAAATATACCTATTCAAACTAAATCATTTGAAGTAAATGACAATGACTATTATCAAACAATACTGACAGCAGCTTCATTATTCCCTTAGCTCATATCATAACTACTCTTCAATTCATTATAATACGCACTCCATTCCAGGTATTCTTTTCCTCTCACAGTGATATTCCGTCCATTTTTGTTGTTTTCTAAGCTGATACCTTTATTAACAATCTTGCATAATTTCAAAATTGATTTTTGACATTCATCATAATTTTCTGCCTCTTGTCTACTTGGTTTCGCCTTCAATTTTTTATTCAAAACCAACTTGACTTGAGTGGAGAGTTTTTCCAAAATATTTTCCTCAAGTAATATTTCCGGTCTTTTGTTTATGTAAATAGACAAGTTAATCGATGATAAAACAATTATATCACTTTCACTATCCTTAAAGCCTTTATCAAGTATATTATTGATTATTTCAAAGTAGCTCACTCCGTAGACAGTTAAATCTTTATCAATTGATAAAATTGCATTCAAGAATTCATAAGTTAATTTTCTAATTTCTAATCCTTCATCAATGTTATATTTATAAGGACCCATAGGAATAGTCTTTTTAAATTCAGGCTTTGCTTCTAATTCATTATAAATTCTTGGAAGAATTTCAGATTGTAAAATAGGGAAAAACATTAATGGTTTATTATGTAAACCAGTTAATAAAGTTCCCATCAATGCTTGTTTGATAAGAATGTTTACAATATCAAAAAACTTGAGAGTCAGAAGGAAGTATTGAAGGATGTACGATTCGCCATCCTCACCATCTTCTTGTATTGAAAGAAGTTGCTTGAGCACTGCAATGAGAGTGTATCTTGTAGTAAGAGTTAGATTGGATTCTTCAGTCTTTGCAATAAGTTCAGGAACATATGTATGACTTTCAAGTTTACAAATTTTGGCCAAGATATAACCAGCAAATTTGGATTCTGAAGTTTTAATTTCATTTCTAGTTTCATTCTCTTGAATTTGCCAAATTCTTGACCAAATTTTATTAAGGTCAACCGGTTGTAAATCCGAATTATTTGCAGTCAAAATTTCTCTAAAGGCAACAAGAATCAATTCTCTATCAACTTCCGAAGTTGTATATCTTTCTAAAAGTGTAGGCAAGTATGTTGTAACATCCCTGTGAATGAATAATCCGGTAGCTTTGGCAGCTGCCAATCTTATCTCTTCATTTTCACTATTGAAAAACCCGAAAAATGTATCAATATTAGTATCTTCCAATTTGATAGAGGCACCAACATTTCCCAAAAATTGAACATTAAACAAAATATTTACTCCATTAAGTAATTCTCTTTCAGATTGTGCAATAACATCACGGATATCGCCTGCAATAGCAACTATGGATAAAGTCTTTGCGGAAATATATTGATTTAAATTCAATGATGAACTGAATTTGAAGAAAAGCTCACGTGGTTCTGCTTTATGGGTCATTTCATTAATAAGAGACGAATAATCATTCAAGTTTATTCCATCCATGTCAACAAGCTTTGTACCAGCTATCTCAATTATGGAATCAACAAAAGACTCTTCAATTATATTATCGGAATTCTTTACTAAAGAGTGTAAGATTCCAAAGGTTAACAAAAGTTGCTTTGCATCTTCAGTTTGACGAGCAAAAGTAAGTAATTGTTTGACAGTATCATTGGATTGAGGAATTCCGCCTCGCTTGGCTATTTGAAGTAACGCCTTAAGTGACAGTATATACAATGATTCATCAGTGGAAACAATTACTTGTACTAGTTTCCCAACAACAATTTGAACAAATTCATCGAAAGAGAAAACCTGTTCTCTATTGGCACATTGTTCATCAAATATTTTTCTACCCAAGTTTTCCACAGCCGTTCTCAATGTAGCTTCATAGTTTAAACCTTCTTGAAACACTTCAATACCCTTGTTCAAGTCTTGAAGTTTGATGTTGTAGAAAAGTTCACCCATACTAGAAATAGCCTTTTGTCTAAGTTCACTAGAGTAAGCTTTATTGTGACACTTTTCATAGATAGCTCGGTATAGGCCATCAACAGAATTGTGACCTAAGTCCACAAGTCTAAACTTAACAAATAGAACAATGGAAGTATTTAAACTTTCCATAATAATATTATGATACGCTTGCTCATTAGAAATAGATTTTGATAAGTCATCGACAATATAATTTACGAATTGTATCAGAATATCTTGAGCGCTATTGGTTTGAATGATTACCTTGTATAAATTCAAGTATTCAGCTACTCCATTCGTTTTCATTCTTATTCTCGTCAACAAGTCGTACAATTGGTTCAAGAAATCTTCTGGCAAACCTTCATTGGCCACGGAACACGATTCGATTAGCTTAAGAAAGATAGGGAAACGAGCTGTTTTCTTTTCCACAAGCAAATTATAGAATAGTTTATCTTGCACCCGTGGAAGAACTTCAGAAGAAAGCTGCAAAAGAGGATCAGACTCTACTGCAGCCATACTGGCATCCGAATTTCTTCTAGAGGAAGCTTTATTGACATAGAATGCTTCGTTTGCAGCCGTGGCACTAATAAGAGAGGTGACTGAAGCAATTGCTTCATCCGAAACAAAGTCATTACGATCGTCAAACGAAGAAATAAGCAGAGTGACAAGGTTTGAGTATACCAACGGTAAAATATCCCCATAGTAGACTGAAAGTGCTATAGATACAGAAGCAGCTTGCTTTCTCAATTTCCACAGACAGTCATTGTCATCACTATCGTTATTGAATCCATCTTCATCATCGGAAAATTCGATGTCTGAGTCAAGAGTATCATCCTGTTGATAATCTTCATCATCACCAAAATTCAAAGGGTCATATTTAAGGCAAGCCTTGATATATTCAAAAGTATCACCCAAGAAGGGGGCAAATTTAGCATATGGAACTGCCTTAATAAGTGTGGTGAGAGTTATAAGAGCATCTTCTCTTGCAGAGCATTGCTGTACCAATGAATCATAATCAAAGTCTGCTGTGTCAAACTCCTCGTATAAAGAAGGCAAGAGCAAAGATTGGACAATCTTGTCATAAATATGAGCAATTGCATCATCAGTAAGAAGGGATGACAGGTCGGTCTTGGGCAGGGAATTATTTAAGAGAACCGAATAAAGTGAAAGACTTAAACTAGTGACATTTGGAGAGGATGTCGACACAGCCAATACTAATTCGTTAAGTAGCTCACTGGACGAATCATCGTTGTCGAGGTATTGCAAGAGCAGATCCAAGGCAACAACAGCCCTCTTACTGACCAATCCATTAGATCCAAATACAATTTGAATCAATGCTAATGCTAATTGTCTTTCTTCATCTGGAGACAACACGTTCCCAAGGTACTTAATGAGGTATGTAAGTATTTCAATAGAGTCCACCGCCACAACAGATGAAAGTATACTAGGGATAAGTAAGTCCAAAATGCCACGTGAAGTTTGGTAAGGGAACTTTGCATTTGAGGAGAATATAGAACGAAGTGCCATGTTTGGAATTGAAATTGTAATCTTTTTGGAATCCTTCTCATTCTCCAATTGTACTTGCTCATACAATTTGCGAATCACTTCGAGGGTTGCCCCAGGACTTAAAAACACTACCAATGGAGCAAACAGCTTCACCGCCTGACTCTGGACATCTGGATTGGAGTCCTTCAACAAACGGAAGAGAATAGGGATAAACTTTTCTAATCCTTTGGTAGTTACAGAGGGCGAACTTGAGAGATATTTTTTCAAATCTTCAAGCGCCATAAACCGCAAATCAGGGTCAACATCAAGCGCCTTATCGTACAAGCCATTGAGATTGATCTCTGACATGGTGGGATTGATGGAAGTGTAAGGAACGAAACAGTTACTAGTTAAACAAACATATTTTTGAAATTCAGGTGCGATTTGTATTTCCATACACACCAAAAGCTGCAAAAAATATCAACCATAAACATCTTTACATTGCAATTCTTTCTTATAATATTTATTTGCCATCACTGGTCTCGAATAATATACAAACTCATGCCATCTTATCTATGCTATTTAGTTACTATTTTTGGACTTTTTGGACTTCTTAGACTTTTTTGGCTTTTCAGTCTCTTCCACAGGAAGTGATTCCTTTTGTTCTTCTTGTTCTTCTTGTTCTACTTCAACATCCTCATTCTTTCTCTTCTTTGATTTCTTCTTTGACTTCTTTGGTTGACGTTCTCCTTGTTGAAAGCCTTCTTCTGGATATCCAGAAACTTCCACAGTATCAACAATTAAGTTATCTTCCAATGGTTCTGAGCTAGTTTCAACCTTTTCTTCATTTACTTGAGCTTCTTGCACTGGTTCTGTGGACAGTTCTTCTTCTGGTTCAGAGCTTTCTTCATCATCTGATTTAGTTTCTTCCATAGATTCTACACCCTTTAATTCAACTTCTTCATCGGTTAAGGCCTTGATCAACACTCTACATCTAACAGCATAATCATAATCAGGTGGAGCATCAGTTTCATTCTTTTTCTTAGAATCCTCTTCCAATGCCTTGGCAGCTTTCTTCTTTGATTCTTCATCAACTTCTTCATCATCTTCATCATCTTCTCCCTTCTTAGAGGATTCCTTAGCTTCAGTGTTTGTACGTTTTTCAAGTTGGGCCATAACCTTGGCTTCGGCTTCATCTGCCAATTGGTTCCATTGCTTGACCACCTTCTGCAATTCTTCAACAATACGCTGACGAGAGTTCCCTTGTAATCCTTCCAAGTAAGCACTCAAGGCTACTTCATAATCTTGTGGAATACCTCGTATGTTCTTCAAGATCCAATTTTGTTTCTGTTTACTGAATTTCCAATTATCTTTATCAGTATGATATTGTCTCAAATAAGCCAACTGATCCTTTTCAGGAGGTGGTGCCCTAGATCCTTTAGGAAGCTTGACCCTCTTTGGTGGTTTCTTCTCACCATCATTAGAAGCACTTTCTTCAGCTTTTCTCTTTTGTTTGTTGAGCTTCTTGGCTTGTTTCGTAGTGATGGTGGAACTTTCCAAATGTGTCACGGTAAGGTTATCCTCATTACTGGGTTCCTTGATCTTCAACCCGATCTTCTTCCATGCTGGGACGTTGTCAGACATATTTGTAGTTGGTTTTATACTTTTAATCAAAGCCCTATTGATTTCATATCTCCATTTGTCTATAAAAATTTGGGGCCATCTCGCGTCCTGCATAAAACATTTTTTCCAGTACTATTTAAAGAGGTTGAGAAAAAAAAAACATTTTCATACATTTTTTTAATCTTCATATCTTTTCTCCTCCAATACTTAGACAATATTTCATATAGATAATATACAATATTGTCCTTAATGGTACCCATGTATGAGATACGATCTGTATCATCTACCTTGCTACTAATACTTTTTTCTTTTTTTTTTTTTTTGTCTATTCTTCTCTTCTCCTCCGAGTTTGCGGGTGTGATCTCCTACTAGATTTCAACTCAATTTAGTTCCTTTAGAATTATTTTGGCCAAAACACCCAGCTATATTGATAATCACATGGTTTGAGTCCGTTATGATTTACCTACTTATAATGGATATAGAGATTGTGAACATTTTTTCTTATAAACTTTTCTAGTCCTTTTATTTGTATATATTACTTTAAACTTGTAAACAATGGGTGATTAACTTCTTATATCCATCAACAGCCTCTAACAAATCGGAATTTTCAACGTATTCATTGTCACCATGAGCAACGTGAATACTTCCTGGCCCATAGAGGTATCTCTTCTTCAATGTTTGACCAACCAAATGTGGGATATCCGTTGCATATGCCAACACAATGGATTCGAATCCTGGGACATCATAATCGATGTATTGAGGTTCAATTGTAGGTCCAAGCTTGAAAGTCAAATGTTCAACTCCTTCAACTACTCCACGAACAAGCTCATCAATTTTTTCTAAACCATCAGCTACTCTAATGAAACATTCAGCGTAAGAATGGGCTGGAACTACATTGGCTGCAACACCTGCTTCAATTCTACCAATATTTAGAGTACTTGGACCCAAAAGATCAGACTTTGGTAAATCTAACTTGAGTAAATCAGCCAATACAGGAATCAAAATTTCAGTGGCAGAAATTCCAAGTTCAGGATATCCCGAATGTGATGGCTTACCTTCAACAAATAGTTCAAACATGTAGTTACCCTTATGGCCAACTCCCAACTTCAATTCCGTTGGTTCTCCAAAGATGGCAGTTTCCCAAGTAGCATTCAAGCTATTACTAGCTTGCAACATACCAGAACCATTCATCTCTTCCCCAACTACATAGAGCAAGGAGATATCACCTTCTTTAACCTTTCCTTGTGCAATTAAAGAGAGTACTGCAAATATTTGACTGGCTACAGAACCCTTAGCATCACAAGTACCACGGCCATAGATTCTTGACCCTTCGACATGGTATGGGATGAAAGGAGGAACCGTATCAATATGGGATGTAATAAGAACAGAAGTATCCCTAGTCTTCCCAATGTAGGCGTATACGTTATATCTTGGAGAATGCCCATCCTTAGCAGGAACCTTTTGAAGTTCCACAGTCAACCCAAATCTTTTAAGGAACCCCAGAAGTGCCTTAGCGACAGCAACTTCATTTTCACTAATAGATGGAATTTCAACCAATGCCTTATGTAACCCAATTAATGAATGTCCATTCACCTTATAGTCGGTTAATGAGTCAGCAAAAGTATCAATTCTAAGATTCTTTTCGAGCTCTACAAGTTTTTGTTGGTCTTGGTGGTATACATTTTCCAACCAGCCAATTGAAAATCCAAGTGCGGACTGCGAAGCAGCCAAGACTGTGGTTGCAATCACTAACAATTTCATGATCTTACCAGTTGATATTAATCCGATTAAAGGAGGAATGTATACTATATTATTTTAATGTACCATCTCCATATACGAAAAGTATGGCAGAAACTTCGTGCGCAACTCAATTGGAGATAAGAGCCACTGTGTGAAATTTAAAGGCGGAATTAGATACTAGAATGGGAGAGGCACATACTTACCATATAATCCTTCTTTTGTAGATTGGTCAGTTACCGTATTTATTTTATTCTTTTATATTTAGTGAAACTAAATTGGATTGTATATATGCAAATATATTTTCTTTTCTTTTCGACAGAGTACAATGGGACTTTTCTTTTTTACAACATAGAACGGAATTTGTTAGTTCTGTTATCATGTCCTAACATAGTGAGCATATAATAACCGACATACTTCATCAGTCTTTACATATCCTACCAATTAGGATTACTTGGCTGATTCATCCTCCTTGATCTCTTCAATCTTTTGTTGTTCCTTTCTAGACTCCATCCATCTGTCAAATTTTTCACTCAAATCATCAGCAATTGCCTTTGCAGCTGCATCTTTATCAGTAGCTGTAGCAACTTTATATAACAGAGCCAGGATGTATGAAAATGTACTTGTAATATACTCATCTATACGAGGATTTTCACCATTTGGATTGAGAATACTTCTGGCCATTTCCATGAGAGAATGTTGTTCAGCAGCCAGAGGTATTCCGGCTGGTTCTTCTGGTTGTGTGGCGACTTTTTTTTCTTCAGACATTTCTATATAATTTTTGTAAGAAACAATATATTACTAAAACAGATAAATGATTGCTTGATGTGAAATATTGCCACTTTGTAAAAAAAAATTCAATTACCCCATAAATCATATATGCAGGCGATTCCACACTTTTTAATATGCATTTTAAGGTAACTCTACTGAGAAATAAGTAAATAGGCGCAAAAACAATCATTGAATCCCCTCTTTTATTAACTAGAGTATTCACATGTACATTTTTTAATCTAATTCTAGAATTCGTACATACATTATATAATCTGTACAAATTTAAATTCTACATTTTTGTACTTGGTACTTGAAGCAATATCACTTCATTTTAGATTACCCACCCTCCTGGACTTTCTGCCTACATTTTACTCAATAATCAATAAGTCCAATTTAAAATAATACCAAAACCCAGCTATGTAATAATATCTCATTTAATCTTTCTTCTCTTCAACCTTGTTGGTTTCACCCTTACCAGCATATTGTTCAAATTTACCTAAAAGGTTTTGAGCAATTTCATTTTGAGTCTTTTCCTTGTTGTCAGATTTTTCAACCTTACCGTAAGCATCACCAACAAAATCTTGAACCTTCTTGACAGCATCATCTGCTTGAGTAGAGTCTTTACCTTGTTCTCCCAACTTGTTGTGGATGATGTCACCAAGTTCACCTAATTGCTTCTGCAATTGATCCTTGTTGTTAGTTTGTTCGTTAGACATATTATTAATGATTTTATTTAATTTCTTAAATTATTTAAAAGAAAGGTGTACAAAAAAAATAAGTGAAAAAGGGTCTACCCATATATATAGCCGCCTCAATACCGCCAAAATCGTTTTCAACCTTTTGTGATACTCTGGGAATTTTTAAAGTGAGAACAATATATACATATACATATATTATCCTGTACATTGTCTAAAACTATATGCACAATCATATACTGTAACACCTCCATTCATAGGTACAGTAAATCAACATTTCAAATTTTAATTATATTTCGATACTAGAATAATCACATTGTATCAAAGGGATATTTCATTGAAACTCTTATACTAATTCTTGATCGAACAATTTATAGTAGAAAAAAAACAAAAACGTAGATTGTAAATAAATTTCTACTATATCGTGTCGATACCAAAAAACCAACCAATTGAAGTACAAGAATTTTCCAAAATAATCAAAAAATCGAAATAATCAAAAAAAGAACCTAAGGTCAAATAAAACTTGAGAATCGATTGATAGTTGGATTGTGAAACATACTTGTCATATATATATACATTCCATATATATAGATAGCACACCCAAAGTCCAGTTCCTACGTTCCTTCCGACCACTTGTGCTGTTAAAATTAAAGTAAAATGCTTTCAAGATCCTTCAGAACCGTGGCCAAGAACACTCCAAGAGCTGCCGCCTTGAGATCATCATACAGATTTATTTCTTCCTCTCCAATTGCCAAATATGCTGCCGAGGAAGAAGAACTTATCGACTTGAAGTCCCTTCCAAGAAAACAAGTACTGGAAATCCATGTACCATTGGTAAACCCAGCAGACAAATACAAAGAACAAGTTGAAGAATTGCATAAGTTCGGTCGTTATATCATGGCTTGTATGCCTAAATACATTCAACAATTCTCTGTCTGGAAGGACGAGTTAACCATCTATGTTGCCCCAAGTGCCCTTAGACCAACCATGATCTTTTTACAAAACCATACTGCTTCTCAATTTAAGGCTTGTATGGATGTCACTGCTGCTGACTACCCATCGAGAACCAACAGATTTGATGTCGTATATAACCTTCTTTCTGTGCGTCACAACTCTAGAATCAGAGTCAAGACTTACGCTAACGAAACTTCCGCCGTCCCATCCGTTGTTCCTCTTTTCGAAGGTGCCAACTGGTTTGAAAGAGAAACATACGATTTATTCGGTATATTTTTCGAAGGTCACCCAGATTTAAGAAGAATTATGACTGATTACGGGTTTGAAGGTCATCCATTGAGAAAGGATTTCCCAACCACCGGTTACACAGAAGTCAGATACGATGAAGAAAAGAAGAGAGTTGTTTACGAACCATTGGAATTGACCCAAGCTTGGAGAAACTTTACTGTCGGTTCATCCGTTTGGGAACAAGTTGGTGAAGGTAGAGATGACACCCCAGAATCTTTCAAATTGCCAACCCCAGAACCCGAACCAGAAGCTGATGCCGAAAAGAAATAATCATAGATCACTCGCCCATTGCATACTCGGAAATCATTCTATACACATAAATGACATAGAACAGAAAGACATGTAGTACAGGTACAGTAGAATTAGCAGTTTTATTATTCTAAAACTTCTATGTAAGATAAATTGGTTGTCATTATTACTCTACAATATTAATATTCACTGTATTTCTTAAAAAAATTTATTGGGGGAGGGTGCATTTTTCTCATAACTCTATGCCTTCAACAGAGCAAGCTCTTGTTGAATAGTGGCAAGCTCACTCTTTTTGTCTTTCAAAAACTCTTCTAAAGTGTTTACTTGTGTTTCAATTTCATCTATGTCATTTTTGACATCTCCCAAATCCTTTTGACCTGAAGTGCTAGTCAGAGCTCTTAATTTTTCTTCCTTATATCTTAATAATAGCTCAAGTTCGTGCTTTATAAGGGCCAGTTCTTCATCTACAGAGTCTGAAGCCTTTGTACTTTGTGCTTTGGATAGTAAATCTTCCAAGTTAGTCAACTCTCTTCTTAATCTAACTTCTTCCCAGTCCTTATCTTTCGTGGAGGAGAAGTCAGTACCAGAATTATCATTTCCAGTAACAGAATTATGATTCATTCCAATTTTACTCAAATAACTATCACCAAATGCCTTTTTGTTGTTTGCAGATGGGTTTTGATATGTCTTTTGAGGTTGAGCTGCAGATTGGCTCAAATCATAAGAGGGTTGTTCCTTGGAAAAGGTAGCACGGAGCGAAGCCGGCACTCCTCTTGGGACTCTTTTACCATTTTCTCTTTGGTTCAATATATGTAAAAATACTAATACTTGGTCTTTATCGATAGTTTCAAAAGATTTAGGATTCACAAGATTCCAAGCAGATGAAATATCAGCACGGGGAACCTTGGTAAGGGTGCTGTATAATGAGTTGAGCGAGTCAAAACGTACTCTACCCAATGTATCGGAGTTGGAATTATAAATTGATTCGTAAGTAGATCTATCAGTTGGTGAAATGTACCAATCAAAGTCATCAGACAATGCCTCATCTTCATCGTCATCATCGGTGACTTTGTCATAGTTGGACTTGTAGTTATTGTTCCCCGTGGCAACCGCCCTGTTAGCCTGGATTAAATGTGCCTTTGAAGCTGGAATCAACCAGGATGGAAGCTCCTGTGGCAAAGTTTGCTGATTACCGTTAACCAAATCAAAGATCAATCTCATGGTGATGCAAAACTCTTCAAAGTCCAACTTCCCATCCGAATCAATGTCCGACAATTGCCAAATTCTACCCAATTGTTCATCACTTAAACGGGAGTTTTTCAACACTGGTGATACTCTTTCTCCAGTGAGTTTCCCACTTTCGGGATTTAATCCTTGGAAGATCTCCCAATACTTTTTAATTTCCCAATCTTCCAAACGTGGCATATTGATTTTATAGTTGAAAAGTTACTGGATGTTTGTAATATATTGGTTATGTAGTTGACAGATAGACAGAATAAATGATTGATTGGAAGGGTGAACCTTTTGTGTAATTTTGAGACCCCCTCACCATAAAATCGATTACGAGATTCAAGGTGTGTACAAATCGGGCCGCAATACAAAAGAAGAAAATCAAAATAGGTTGCAAGTACTAGAATATATATATATATATATATTAAGGATAAGTGACGGTAGACTGACTAATGTGATTACATGTAGTACTTTGAATTTATTAAGAGATAGCTTATTAGAATGACGAAAAATTATAAATATTACAAAACATCTTACTGAATCTTTATTTGGATTATGACACGAGTTAACTATATTATGTATATTGCTAGATAGTTCGACCAGAGACCTCATTTCTCATTATCTTAACTTTTTAGGATAGAAGCTAACATATTCTCTTGTTTGATATTGTAGTTTATTATCTAATTGCTTTCGTTGACGAAGAAACGTGCTCACCATATTTGAGTTCTAACAGTACTTATCAATATTTGCACCGTAAATGATGCAACAAATTCCTCACAAACCTCTAATAATGGAAACTTGGGAAGAAATAAAGTTTTAATTACATCTTATGAGGAATATCTCATCAATAACGCTATAATATCCACACCACCGGTTTTTATCCTACTATCTGATTATTGAAAGTGAAAAGAATCATGAAATTATATGAATGAAGTGGACTAGATCCGTTGAGAGAATATTTCTAGTCTACATGTTATTTTGTACCCATCCATTTTGAAGTTTATTTTTCTTTGGGTTAGATTTCGGTCATTCTTCTGTGGTTGCAAATTTGGAATTGTACCAAATGTTTATGATTGTTACTATAGTATTATTATTTTACTTACTTATCTTCTATAGTCAAAGTTGACCAATGAATAGTAATACGGCTACGAAGAGCTATGAGATACCAAGGTTTAGACGAAGTTCGGCCAAGTTCGGCCAAGTTCGGCAGAGCTGTAAGATTTCCTTCACAGTGCCATCTCCTATCAGATTTAGAAAAAGGTCGCGACAATAGTCTAGATTTCATCTTAAATTATGATGTTCGTTCCGAGATTCGCTTGAACTTAGTCATCGAAATTGTAATATGTTTCTGCGCAGTTATAGTATTGGCTACTTGTAACAAGTCCCCAGATTTGGGGTTTGCCTTGGGTTTTTTGCTTGGTGCAATGTCAGTTAAACCTTGTAAGACTTCATTTGAAGTTCGGCCAAGTTCGGCCAAGTTCGGCAGAGCTGTAAGATTTCCTTCACAGTGCCATCTCCTATCAGATTTAGAAAAAGGTCGCGACAATAGTCTAGATTTCATCTTAAATTATGATGTTCGTTCCGAGATTCGCTTGAACTTAGTCATCGAAATTGTAATATGTTTCTGCGCAGTTATAGTATTGGCTACTTGTAACAAGTCCCCAGATTTGGGGTTTGCCTTGGGTTTTTTGCTTGGTGCAATGTCAGTTAAACCTTGTAAGACTTCATTTGAATTATGGTTAGAATATTATCAAGAAACGTTAAGTCATCAGGACAGAACCTTAATATATCTTTTGGCCGTGTTTGGTACTATTATTTATTTGCTAATGATGTCAGGGGGAATTGCCTTAATATTCACATACATAGAGATAATTATCCACATTATTAGAAGATAACTGAGAATGTCACCACCGTCTACTGGCTGCGAAATATAACAACTATCACTATGAAATGTAGACTTGTTTTTATACAAGCGACAGATTTTGATCTTAGTGCACTCTATTCTTTTCCCTTTGCCCTGCTGTCGACAATGAAACAATGCCTTATCAATCCACACCGTAATGCTACACATGAATGAACACACAAACAGATATATTTTGCAGCCAGTTATGGAATTGATTTGAGCACTAGAGCTTATCTATTTTAAGAATTGCTACCACAGCCATGATATCACTCAATTGAATACTTTACACATCAATTTATATTGATTCTCTTCTTCACGTTGGCGTAGACGTGAGGTACCAATTAAGTATTGAGTGGATCACTGTCTGAAAGACGTTTTTCTTTGACTGAAAATTAGGATGAACATTATCCAATAAAACTATTTTCAATTACTTAATGTGTTTGAAAATTAAATACCTATGTATTGAACATAATCTGACCTTCATTTTATCATTTTAGTTTTAGTTTTGATCATATACATGAGCTTTTACTACTACTCGTCCAAAAGTCGTGCATGAACCAGAAAACGGACTAGCATAGTGGATTTAACCAGAGAATTTAGACACCAAGAAATAAGGGCGTGTGGCGCAGTTGGTAGCGCGTTCGCTTAGCATGCGAAAGGTCTCCGGTTCGACTCCGGACTCGTCCATTCTTTTTTATCTTTTTGAAATAAGATATATCATGAATTAAAGTACTTTATTATGGTATATATATACCATGAATTTGAACTACGTATTGTACTCTACTCTATACTACAGTTTCAAATTAATATTTTTTTCTTACTTATTTCTTAAATATGAATTCGTTCTATGTACATTTATTCTATTTGAATCTTCTTTCCAATCTGTTCATTCTTCTGGCGGTGTGAGCATTGTTTCTAGTACCTTGACCACGAACTGGTAAACCAAGAGCATGTCTCATACCAGCATAAGACCCGATTCTTCTCTTTGCCTTGATGTCATCAAGCATCTTCTGCTTCAAGTGACCTTCTACAGTCATAGTGGACAACTCCTTGTTGATAGACATGATTTGTGGTTCTGAGAGTTCAACCATTCTCATTTGTGGGTAGATTCCTACCTTAGCACATATTTTTTCAGCAGTTTGGTATCCAACACCAAAGATTTTCTTGGCTAAACCAATCTATAGGTTAGTATCAGTTGTTCTTAACAAGTATAATCTAAGACATATTGGTTAAATTCATTGATCAACCCCCACATATATCGTATTATTTTAACGATAGGTCGTCATAAAACGTCTATACTTACTCTGACTAATGCCGTATTCTTGATGGCCTTCCCGAAAATATGCACAGGCATCTTGGTATACTGTTATTAAAGTGTTATGGTGGAAGTAAAACTTTCGATTTCAGTGTGTGTGAAAATTATATTGAACCAAAAAAAAAAAATCCACAAAATCATTAAAAAAAAGTATATACAGGAATTTTACAAATACCTCCTTAATTGATTATTTACAGCCATTTTTATCATTAGATACTATTAGTTTATTCAAGTAGTTTTACTCTTCCCATTATAAATATTAAAAAACCACTCTAAATTATTATATTTCCATTAATTGGTCCTTTCACTCTTTATTTTATTTTTTTTGTTTTTGTTCTTTTTATTCGTATATCCATTAATTATTCTTTTATAGGTTCCTCCGTATCCTTTACTATTAAAGTAAATTATGATCAATGTCTAATCGTAAAATGAGAAGAGATCGTAACAATCCTATCATTGTAATGAAACTGGCTAGACCCACAGGAACAACTGCGAAGACGGCAATTTTATAAAAATCGAAAAATCGAGCTCGTTGTCTTCCATCTTTAAGATCCAAATTCAGGGTGACAAAGTTTTGAATTATGAAACATATTGTTAAACAACAACTAATAAGAATCCATATATGAAGCCCGTATCGGTAACCGTTTGCCGAGAAGGTGGCTACAAGGTATTGCTCCACTGTAACAATGATGGTGGACATTGAGAGCATACGCACAATAGCTGCAGATGTCAGATAGGTTACGATCCATCGTACCATTAGTCCATCTAAAACCGAATATGAAAGATAACCTGCAACGATACACCATACTCCTGTTAAGAAGTGTTCTGATGTTCTTGCAACTGTAAATGATTCTATCACCTGACCCCGTATTATGTGGCTTGTGGCATTATTATCACCAACAAATACTCTACTCCAAGATTGGAAAAGTCCATAAAGACATGGAATCAATGAAAGATCTCTACAACATGCCAATGCAAAATGTTGCCGAGCATTCAAGAACTTGAGTCCAAATTGTTTAAGGGATTTTTTCGCATGTGGTACTCGTGCTGATGCATTATTAAACGCTTCTGATGAAGTTCTGAAAAAGGCCTCAGTGTTGAATATATTGGCGGTATTAGTGGTAGCACCACCTTGTGCCTCGGTGACTGAACTGTGTCTACTCACGTTGGGGCTATGACGATGCATGAGCTGCGACGACTCATACGAAGGTACAGGTTCGTTGGGATCATACGGGAGAACCGGTTCATCTGGAACTACCAAACTTCCGTTCGTTATCACTGAGGCTGATGTATCAGCATGTGGTGGTATTCTTCTAGAGCTAATGCTCATATTAGTGGGTATATTTATACTGTCAAGACTTCTTCTCAAGAACAGTTCCTGTGTGATCTCTGGAGAATCACTATTTCGATCCATGTCAAGTTACAGGTCGCAATTGTTTGTTGTAATAAATATATGTGTACGATTTCTTTACATCTGATGAAACCTTAAATTTTTGTCACTAGTCAAAAAAAGGAAAGAAAAAAAGATTAAAAAAAAAAGTACATATCAGAAATTGAACCTAAGAGTGTATCAACTTTCCGAAAAAAGAACCAGCAGTAGAGAGATTTCTTGGAATTTTACGGATACCACTTCTTTGTACCGACGCCAAATCTATTTGTTTCAAAGAAACACTACACCCTTTTTCTTATCCCCCCTATGTATCAGGCATGTTTCAACTCATGATCGCTTGCCTTTTTAGCGCGCATTATCTCAACAAAAAAAAAATAAATAAAACAGAATTAACCTTACTACCAATTCTAAAATTTTAGATAGCATGAGCAACATATTGCCACATAAAAGTTTAACACAGCTCAAAGTATACACACATTTTTCCCTCTCTATTTACACCCACCTCCCCCTAGTTTGAGTTGTGATATCACAATCATCAATTATTTACAATTTTGATATTCTAGTGTTCTCGCTTAATGCACTTAGCTACCACTTCTGTAAGGGTCAGTAAACGAAAGTACCTGCATAAACTCTACAATGTAATAAATCTACAATGTTCTTAGTAATAAACCATTGGTATTAATATGTGCCAGATAAAAAATTGGACATCTTAGATAAATTCGCAGAATCGATCATATTTAGATAGCTTCCAATTGTTGAGAAATTTCATCTAATTCAGACTTGGCAGAGTTGTATTGTTCAGTCAACTCTTCGAACTTCTTTTCCCATTCTTCCTTTTCAGATTCTAAGGAAGCAACCTTTCTTTCTAATTGTTCAGCCTTAATATCAGTTTCTCTCAATTTTTCAGTGGTTTCCTTCAAGTTCTTGTCAGCTTCTTCCAATTCTTCTTCCAAAACTTGGTTCTTCTTGGTGTAGTTGTCGTTAGTGGTCTTCAAAGAGTGAGATTCATCAGCAGTTTGCTTAATTTCATCCAAAGAAGTTTCCAATTTTTCAACTTGTTCTTCCAAAACTTGGTTCTTTCTAGTCAAAGATTGAATAGAGTGATCCTTTTCCAAGTTTTCTTGTTCCAATTCCTTGATCTTTTCAGCCAAGTCATCGGATTTTTCTTGCCATTTTTCAGCATCCAACTTCAAGTTGTTAATTTTCTAAAATAATTGTTAGTATAGTGTTGTAAAGTGTTGTTGCTAATTCTTTTGTGGTTGTATGTTGAGGCGTAGGTCATAAAAAAAATTAAAATTAAAATTAAAATAAAAAAAATAAACGAGGCACAATTCAATAATCGGGAGTAAATCTGGTTGGGGTAACAACACAATTAATTATCGTAATTAAATTATGATTCAATAGAAGGAGCGATTCCAATGATGAATATGCTCCATTAGATAGACATTTGGAAATGCAACGTTCATGTTTAAAGACTCTAATTAGGGTCAAATATTTTTGGTGAAATATACGCGCCCATTGATCCCGTCAGATCGCCAAAATCCCCAATACTAAATAGTCCTCCCTATAAAACCTCTATTCACACTTGAACATCGTGGCACCATCATACTCTATCTCGATCTTGTCTCCAATAAATCCAATTTCAAATGATATGCCGTATAAAAAAATTTTCAAGGCTCAAACTCGATTAAATTAAATTGCCACCCTCCTCCTCTTTTTTTTAATAACGGAGAGATCGGACACACTAAGGAAACCTAGAATAATATTGACTTTAGTTCCCATTCCCAATGCATTGAATAAATCCGATCTGAGCCATCTACCACAACCATATGTGTATTCTCTGCTCATAGTATACATACTTCCTTAAGCTTATCCATTTTTATGTCAATTAATTATGTGATAATAAAAACTTATAACAAATTTGACCTATTTGATTCGTGTTTCTTTGTCGTCAAAATGTAAATAATTCCACAAACCCACGGGTCACGTGGACCAAAACAAAACAAGAAAAACACTACACACAGGCGTAAATGTATATACATGACAAACCATAATAATTTATTTTTATCCATTTTATTTTTTGGGCCTTTATTTTTCGCATCCATTTGTAATTATGCAACCAGCCATTTTACCAGATGGGGGATGCCAGCAAAATGCTAAACTTTAAAATGGTGCTGAGACGACCCAACTTGGTTACAATCAGCATCGAAGGTATTAGACGAATAACGTCAGGGGTTTTATATAACAATTTTGAATCGGTGAATAATTTTTTACTCTCTCTTTCAAGACCCTTTCATCGAAACAACGAAGGAAATATAATAGAAATATCCTTTTTCTCCCCTTGATAGTAGACTTGCCTCTAGTTGATCATGACTGCAAGCTCTTACTATTCAATGGATAGTCCACAGAAGCTCCACACACAAACACCTTCTCCGGATACCCTGAACCCCTTCATATACTTGTACACATCATCCGATCAGTCTGTTTCACCACCTCACCAAATTCCCGAGCTTTCTAAAAATGACAAATTAATTCATGACCAGGCATACCTTGACATTGAAAACCAAATAAAATCCAATGGAACTTCCCCACGAAACTCTAAGCATATTGTAACAGACCTCCCTCCAATTGTGACGGTGGTTGAATCTGTAAAACGATCTGGGTCCATCGTTTCAAATAGTGCTTCTTTAAGAAACAGGAACAAATTAAAGAGTAGAACCAAGATGATGAAAAGAAGCGACGCTGTATCAGTTGGAGTTGCATCAGGTGTACATACCACACACATACATCATAATATAGCCCAAAGAGACCCTATACACTATAACATACGACAACACGAGTACCTTGACGCATTTTCAAATGTTGATGATTCCAGAGCCTACAATGAATCTAAAGTCAAATATCGTACTAAAAATTTTCAATTTCTGGTGAAGAGAAAGACTTCACTCAAGAGGAAGTCTGCTCCAAACGGATATTCAAATCTTTCAAGTGGACCACCGAAATTTAAAGATCAAACAGACTTGAATGAATTCCTTGATTATTGTTACAAGAATCCAAAAACCAAAATTTCAGAATTGCTTCCTCGTGCAGTGCAATTCTTTGAATTCCGCCAGCTCATTTCACGTAAACCACATCTAGTGGGTGCATTCAAAGATATCAAAGACACAGAATTGGCAACCATGTTGATACTGCCAGAACCAAAACCAGTTCCTGTCAAGATACCAATAAGGGATATTAAAATATCCTCACCAATAAAGGAAAGTTTTACCAAGAATGACTTTAACCCTTACACTGCATCGAAGGATTATAACGCAGAACAAACTGGCACAACTTCAAGTGGGCTAGGTTTAGCGGCAGGTGGTGTTGCATTAGGATCAACTCCAAGGGGAAAGTCTTCTTCTAAATCTATTTTGACTGGATCACCAGGGGCTAAGAATAGAATGAGTTCAGTACCTCCACATCAATATAATACTTTACAGCCTCAGGTCACAACCCCTTATAGCCATTATCGCGACACCCTCTATGCATCAAAGTCTCTTGAACCTGTTGCATATTCGAAGTTCTTCCCCGGAAGTACCATGTCTCGGAAGACTATTGCACAAATGAATAGAACCGTGTATCTTGAGGTTCTCATGAGAAGGACCTTGGCAGCCAAGATCTCTTACAGATTGAGAAATAATAATGGGAAGCGTCTTAGTACATCTGAACTCGAGGAATCTAGCTCAACGTCAGGTGACACTGATTTCGATCCTAATCCTAACTCACACGGAGGACTTCCAAAACTATCCAGAGGGTCTGATGATTCAGAATCTGACGACGAATCTATTCATACTGCGGACCTTATCCGCCGTACCTCCTTGCTTTCATCCGATCTCTTACCATCTCCACAAATTTCATATTCTACAGGTATCTTTGGGAATATAGGCGAATTTGAATTCCCCGAGTTTGATCTGCCACTGCAGAAATCTGTCGTTTCTGTTGAATTGATCAAGAAATGGTCACCACAACAAACAATGCCAGTATCAAGCGATCGTGTATACGTGAACGACTTTAACAAGACCTATTTTGCTCAGTATGGAACTACGAATGTACCAAATTCTGGAGTTGTTAACGTGGACACATTCGATAGCATTGTATCCGAAAAGAATGATAGCCCGGAGTCTAATATTTTGCATAACAACATGTACGAGCTTAAACCATTGAACCGGTCATCCGAAACAGTCACTTCATCTGAACCCGAATCTATGGGAACACCAACTCCAGTGGATCGTTCGTCAAAGGGAAGAAGTTCGCGTACTAATAGTACCAGTGAGAACACCACTTCATTCCCAAGGGCTTTAAATAAGAGACACAGCTCCATCTCTTCGTCAATAGTACTCCGAAGTCAATTAGATGACATTGCAAGTCAAATTACCACATTTATGAATGAGGAAATCCGGTTGAGAGCACAAGAAAGTCCTGTTATCTTCCCAGTCGTAGGGGAATCTTCTCCATCGCCTCATGTCGTGTTTCTGGATAACAAATCCGAAAAGGTCGAGTACTTGATGAAAAACGCAACTCGTGTCAAACATCTGACGCATTCAATGATTGATATCAAATCAATGCAAGGCTCATTGAGAGTGGCTGGTCCACTTTCGGAAGAGTCTCGATCTGTCCGTGAAGAAGAACTGGTATCATTTACCAACTTTTCTATTAATCCACAACGAAAGACTCGTACTTCTCCACCAAACAGACTTAATCATTCACTCAAGAGTATTGCAGACAGCTCCGTGTACAGTAGCTCAAGTAAATATGACTCTTCATCATGATTATTCAATAATAATTCGCAAAGCATTACCATAATTTACATAATTTTAATACTAATACAAATAAAATAGAGCATTTATTAAGATTCATAAGTTAATGGAATCATAAATTGTTGAATTTTCTTCGCTATGTAATCATTTGAAACCCGGTCATTCACCAAAAATGAATCAGGAGTTTTATTTATGTAGAAATCATGGTCTAAAATATTCAACATAAAGAGTGGGATTTTCCCATCTCGAATTCCTTCGCAAACGACCAACACTTCATGATCCGAAAGATTGCCTGAATCATATAAAGAAATCAACTTCATGAACCACTTACGATCTTTAACGTAAATAGGTGTTGCTTGTTTAGTTTCGACAACTGCTGGAGAGTCGATGGCTGCTATAGCAGCATTGGCAATTGCATTTTCGAAATTGGTAGACATTAGGGAGGATTTATCTGAACCAACCAAATTGCCTGTTAGTGAAACCCTAGTCCTCTTTAGGGCGGGATCGACTGATTCGTCAGCTTCCACAACATCTTCTTCAACGTCTAGCCTGCTATACACTGAGAGAGAATCTTGGTGGTCGTTATCGTGATATCCCGATGATGTATCATGATTACGTTTTTTAGAACCCTTAGCAGTTGTAAGAGGTTTAAAATAAATTTCCTCAACTTCATGATTCTGATTGAACCTAGGAACTTCAGAATATATGTCCGCTGGTAAGTCATCACCATATCTCAGATCTGATTTTATTAAAAGTGGTAAAACATCGTTATGATATGCAGTGAGGTATCTTAAGTTACTGGTGAGGAAGAAATCATTGACAATTAAAGTAGCCTTATTATACGCTGAAAGAGAAGGTAATGAAAGTTCTTCCCCGTAAATCAATGCTTTAATCTGTCGTTCATCGCTTACGATGACATGTGCAGTATGATCAATCACTTCAAATTTCCCAACTTCAACGTTCCAGCGATACAGATACAAAGATTCCGTAGTATTAGGTCGCTGTAACAGATCTTGTGGTCGCTTGTGGTGTAATTTGGCATGTAGTATAAGTAAATACCAGATCTTGTATCGATGATGGTTAACGTTGAATAAATGTTGCTGACAAGAGTATTTTGTATACGTAGAATATACAGTTTCAGGGTTGGCCGCACGTAGCTGGCCAGTGATATATGCCCAATTCTTCTTGGTTATTGATGGTGACGTTCCACGTGAATGACTGTGAGCTACATCTGATAGTAACCGAATAAGGAATTGGTCCATTTTGGGAGTCCAACGCTTATACTTTGAGTCTCTGGACTTAAGGTCCTCTTGCGTAAAAAACTGATTAACCATAGAGTTTGAGGATGTGGTCTGTGCGCTTTCATTTGAAGCTATAAACGATTTTAATGCATTAGTTTCTTCACTGTTAACTGGAAGGTTATGATGATCTGTATTCAATAATTCATTATTTTCTTGTTGGTTCAGGCCAGTACCATCATAATGTGCCTGTTCAGATAATACTTCACCATCCTTTGCGGTCTGTGGGTCCCTATTATTACTTTCTATCAGTGACTTATTTAAATGTGAATTCATTTTGGCAACCAAAATTTATTAGAGTAACCTGTAGTAGTTAAACTGTAAAATATAAAAAACAGTTTAAAATCGAATGGGGACATTTTTTCTTCTTATGCATTGGGCTCAAAACCTGGTTGCAACCAATTCTATTCATACATATATACCATTGGTAAATAAAAAGAGATATCCAATTTCCATCTTGAGGTGTATTACTATATAGATACAGATTCTAACCATTAAATCTTGTCAACCCAAACCTTCCACTGGTCTTACGTCTTGTCGTATCTGAAGGTTTGGAATCCCCCAAATATTCCTTTTTCGTCTCCACTGATTGATATGGTAAGAGACGTTCCTTTTTAGTTTCGCGATATCCACGTGAAGCTTCATCATCTAGACCTGGTTCAGAAACTGATGCAGAAGTACTAACATTATGTGAAGTATGTCTGGGAATTTTTTGATGAATCTCATGTTTTTCTTGAACTTTTGTGAACTTTTCAAGCATATCAAGTACTCGTTTCCGCTTGATGGAAAGTTGACTATTAGTTCCCGCGGGAGTTGCACCTGAAGTAGGAGTTCCCGGACCAGAAACAGATATGGTTGCAGCAGTTGGTGCACTTAAGCCAGTAACATGTGATACTGACGATAATCTATTTTTCAAAGATGTGAACGTTGAAGATTGAGGTAAAATCATAAGAAGACCATAAAGAGTCTTGTATAAATATGGATTTTTCTCTGGCTCCAACAATTGCAACCGAAGTTTAACAAATATAGGAGATTCCAATAATTGAACTAAAATATCCAATTGTGTTAATAATTGAAAACTTATTTCTTGTTCACACAAATTCTTGATGATTAAAAATGCCAATTCATAATTTGAAGTCAAAAGACACAACGAAAGAGCACTGGGAGCGTTATGGCACCAACTTTGAAATAATGTCGCAAATAATGACCAATCTTCAAGTTTATAGATATCCAAGTTCTTCAATTTCTTTCTAAAACTGGAAAGTTCTTGAGTGGTAAGTAAAATATTATTTAAAGTGACTGTCATTAAATCCATAAAATCTAAATTCAAATTCTCAAGTGTAACGAGAACTTCTGATAAAGTTTTAAAAATCTTTTCTGAATTTAGAGTGACACAGAGCTTTCTGATAATAAATTCAATCTTATGTCTGGTCAATGCCCCATTGTGTTGTCTAGAGAGAGATACGCCATCTTCAGAATTATCTGGCATTTCTTTTTCAAAGAAGGTAATCAATTCAATCATAAACCCTTTGAAGAATGGTTGATTTGTTTCTGAAATCTTCGATAATAATTGCAAAACTTTCAGGATGACATTATTACTTGAATCTGTAGACGATCTAAGCAATGCTGTTAAATCAATTTTCACACCACCATTGTTTTTTCCCTCGATTTCATCAAAAAAACTAGTAGGATTGGTAGAATATAAAAAGATTAACCAATCCAACCCTGTAATTCTAGAAAGCTCATTCACTGATGTGAAACATTCAGTTAAAATGGCTTGCAAAGTTTTATTCAATTGAAATTCGGTAAATTCGTCATATACTTCACGATTGATCCCACGAAGAAGATTTTCACTCACCTGCTCCACTGATCTTTCTGGAATTCTAGGTGGCTCTTCAGAAATTTCTTCAGATCCATTTTCCTTGATATGATCCTTATCATCTACCGACCCACTTTCATTCAAGTCAATAAGAAGTCCTTGTAAGGATAAATTAAATTTCAGAAACTGGTTTCTCAATTCATAAAATTTCCCATCGGTTGCTTCAATATTTTTTAAAGTTATAGATACACAATCTGGGAAACATTTAATAAAACTTGTGGGGCTAATTATTAAGATTTCTTGAAGCCATTTTAAAATGGTAAATTGGATTTCCAAATAAACTTCATGAGTTTCATTTTTCGTATCATTATATTTCTTCCCAGCTTCATCAGGAGATCTTAAAAATGAAAGTAAGATGTCAATAATTTTAGGATAATCAATGAAAATATCTTGACCATTCAAAAATAGTTCACCATCATCCCCATTCAATGGGAAATCTTCTGGTGAAATTGTGGTTTCGAGTGCATCATCCGATTTTCTCATGATAGTTGTACTTTCAGATTTGATAGATTCTTGATCCTCATCTAAATTGAATTGATCAACATCAGATTTAAGATTTTTAGTTTCATTTCCTTCAATATTACTTTTACTAGCACCAGAATTGGCAATACTCTCGCTTGGATTACCCCCACTACCAGTACCTTCACTGACACCAGAGACTTCACCTGTATTAGTACCAGTACTAATACCAGCACTAGTACCGGTAGTTCCATCACCACTACCAAGTTTTCCCTTCTCATCATCTAGAACTTCGTCAATATCCAAAACTGCCATCTCCTTTTTCAATTCTTCTTCATGTAAAAGCTGTTGTCTCTTAACTTGCAATTTTACTTTATGAATTCCCTTGATTTCTTTTAAAAAGATATTCAATAAATTCTGGGTCTCAATTCGAACATCGGAAGGGGAGTTATTTGTTAAAAACTTAATCAATGGTTCTAAGAAATTTGGAATAAATGTAATTAATTCAAGGGCTGGGATATCATCAAATAATTCCAACCAACTAATCAAGAACTTTTTGGCAAATGGATCAATTGTATACATTCTTTCAAGCAATGTTGGGATGAATTTAGGCAAAGAAAATGCCTTTTGAACGTCTTGAACATTATTGACTTGAATGGCCACTCCTGTAGTTGGGTCAATCACATGTGAAGGAATCCCGTTGTTGGTGTCATCGTGATTACTACCTTGTACACCAGATTGAAGTTGGGATTGTTCATCCTTTTGATGTAATATGGAAACATAACTTGTGGACTTGGCACTAACGATATCTTTGATTAATCGATCTAAAATATCAGCGGCATTCTTCACTGATGATTCAGAATCGGTCACTAAAATACACAAAATGTCAAAGACTTCATTGAAATAGAGAAGGATCTCACCTCGAGCAATTTTGGCAATGTTATAAAGTGATTCACATGCATAGTATCGAACTCGAGCATCTGTATCTCTAAACGTTGCAATGATCGGCTTGATAATCTCCTCCAAGAAATATGCAATCGCAAATGATCCCAAGGCCACGGAAACACTACCAAGTGCGGTTATAGCCCCCATCTTGGCGGAATTTGTCCCATTATTGGTCAATTCAGTCAATTCATTGATGATCTTGTAAATGGTCTGACTATCATTTTTGGCTAACGCCGACTTGGTGAAACTCTCAATTTGAAAGGCTGTAGCTTTACGTTTTTCATAAATATGATTAGAGAGATCCTTGATAAGAGAACTATCAAGTACCTTTTCCTCCATGTTAACTCCAAGAATTCAACTAATCTATAAAAGAAATTATACCAAAGGGGATCAAGTCTACAATTGAATGTTATTAATAAAATAATAACCAGATTGTTGTGTCCTGTACATAAATTACCGATAAACATATATACCACTAAATCCCAATCACGCACCCTAATTTACCTTATTACCTATCATATGGTGTCATTTACTTTTTTTTTGTCGTTTAAATTGTTAGCATTCAACAACATCAGGTAAAGGGTCGTCCATCCTTAATTTCCGTTTTCTGTTATCATCATCCCATTGGGCTTTGAAAAATGCTTCATCTTCTCTTTCTTCTCCACTCGTACTGTCAACTTCGATGTCATTATAGTCGTATTCATGCTTCTCTTGTTTCTTTTGCTTTGCCCTTTTTTCATTCTCCAAGAAACTTTCTGAACGTTTGATTTTCTTTTTCTTCATTCCTTCATTTATTGGACATTCCATTTCATTCGATTTTGGATCTGGAATGTTACTCAAATGTGAAGATATTATATTATCCTCAATCAGATCTTCAATTTGTTTCCCTAGAAGGATTTTTTGTAAGATTGCAAAATCTTGTTCTTTATTTGCAAAATCATCCAATGTTGGAAGCATAACATTGAATTTAATAAATAAATTTCCTCGTTTATATCTTTTTAAATCAAAGATAACATCAGAAAAATCTTCCACTTCATCGGCATTTTGATAGAATGAACCTTCAATAGATGCCTCATTAATAGGCATCCCAAGATTCTTTATAATCTTAGGAGTACTATTACTTATAACCCCACATACTTCTCCACTCTGAATATTTTTATCGGTCTTGTTGTTGATTGCTGCATATCCATGTACATTGACATAGATTTGTAAATCTTGACCTGGTTTCATAAAATCGTGTACAACAGTCTTACCTCCAAGTAATGCTGTCTTAAGATCAATATCATGCTCAATAAATAAATCATTACATCTTCTAACAACCCGGTTTTGGGCAATCTCCTGTAAATGAATAATGACATCTCCGGGGACAATGTTCCGTCCTTCATCCCCTTCCCCTTGTAATATAATCCGGTCTTCATGTTTGGATCCGGGGAAAATATTTGCTTTAATGATTTTATTTTCCTTCACATATCCTTCACCTATACAGTTGGGACATGTATCACGTGGAGAATAATATATACCAGTACCACGACAATCGCGACACAGCAGTAATTCTTGGAATTGTGAGTTGTCATTGAACAAAGTAATCAATACCTGTCCATGCCCTTCACAACTAATACACAGCTTTGGGTTGAATCCTCCATTCCCCACACAAACTTTACATGTACTATTCTTGGGAAGTCTAAATTTTACAACTTTTCCCTTGTAAAGTTCCCACAAGGTCACGTTACAAACATGATGGATATCATTACCTCTGGTTACCTTTTCCCTATCTGGGTTTGGTACTGGTTGTACAGTTTTTGAAAGTGGTGGTCTAGATGATGACCCCATACCACCCGCATCCATATTCATACCCATGCTCGTCATATTCATCATATTCATCATATTCATATTCATGTTCATATTCATCCCCATGCCCATTCCCATTCCCATACTGGGGAATGCTCCACCTTCGAAGGCAGAGTTGATGTCATTGAAGACTTGTGAGAAAATGTGGGTTGCCTTACGAAGACCACATGATGGTGCGGCTGGTACGGGTTGTTCAGTCTGCTTTGAGGCGGTGGCATCAACTGCTGTTCCATCTAAACCGGCTTCTCCATAATGATCATACACTCTTCTCAGCTCTGTGTCTTTGAGAACCTCGTAAGCCCTCGTGACATCCTTGAACATCTCAGTGAGTACAGGGTCTCGATTGGTTTTATCCGGATGGCATTTCAAGGCAAGTTTCTTATAGCCCTTGGATATTTCTTCATTACTGGCACTACTCAGAACATGTAGTATATCGTATAATCGAGTTTCTAGCACCATTTAATTAACCCTTTTTTTTATTTATTTTATGTTATTATCGTATTGATCGAATATTTCTTTCTATTATTACAACGCAACCCCTCTGTACGCTAATATGAGTTAAAATATGGGGTAAAAGTCTTTAAAGATGCACTAAAAGTGGTTACAAATCGTAAGATTTTAGAATTCTCTTTCATGATACCTTTCTCCCTCCCTAGACCGTTGCAAATTCGATAAGCTTCCATCCTGCACTTATCTCCTTCCATAAGTTTCTATTATGTTCCAAAGAATCGCGCGTGTAACGAATTACAGTTCCGAGAGTAAGCATAAGCATGCAAGTATGAGCCTGGGTCATCCGCGTGACTTATAATTATTGCACATAACTACGATTTACTGTTCCAGTAACAACAGGAACTCAAGAATTGCAACCAATATAATATCAGTGGGGTATTGATTGAAGTCTCTTCCCCTATATTAATTTGTCTTTACCTGAAGTCGCGCATTACCTAAATTTGCATTTCTTTTTTTATTTTTTATTTTTATTTTATTATTATTCCCTGTCCTTAAAACGCTACAAAACCTAAGAACTACAACTATTTTTCTGTATGAAGTGTATATTTATCTCGAACTTGCTATAGTAGTTTTGTGCTCTGCTATACCTCACTCTAACTGTCATGTAGTACTAAAATAGAAAAAAAAGTGATGTAAAAAAAAAAAAAAAAGAATCTGAGTGTAATGATTTAACTCACATAGGTCCCAATAATTCATCACGGAAATGCTTTTGGAAGTTAATTTGACTATTCTTATCTTTCCTGTAGAATTGGTTTTTGGCTCTATTCTCTACCCTTCTGACAATCTTTTCTTGCTTTGTTACCTCTGCAACAGTTAAACCCGGTGCGTATCTTCTGTCAGTCATGGCAAGTGTCTTTTCAGAATCCTTCAAGTCACGAGAAAGGGGTAAATTTTGACGGTAGTATCTTGTCATTGATCTATGACCAATACGTGAACCGGTTGGTAAAGTTAATTCAACTCCACTGGCATCAACCTGCACTGTAGTATAGTTACTATCTTCGTCGGAATTCAATTCTTCGTTTTCATCTTCTTCAGAGGCAGAACCTGATGCTATCACTTCAAAATCTTCCCCTTCAGTAAATGCAACAGACTTCTTCTTTTTATTCTTTTTAATCTCTTGATCATCAACGTTAAAGTTATAAAATTCACTAATAACGGCTCTTTCTTCCTTACTTTCGTATGGGATCTTACAATGTCCCTTTGATGACATATGTTGTCTCACACTTTCTAAATTCTTTCCCTGGAATCCACAGACGATACATTCTAAATCCTCCATAATAACTTCTGCTAGGAACAAAAGAAGTCCATCAGGGTTTACTAAATATGATCTTTCTGGGATATATAAACCATGCTTGTAGAACATGTGTTTAATATTGTCCTCTCTCTCGGTATGTTTCAATCCACAGAAGAAACATGTTGTAGTGGTGATTTCTTCCTTAAGTTCATCGTAAGAATCTGAATCAATGCCAGAGTATTCTTCATCTTCCGAGTCGCTTTCGCTAAATTCTTCCAAGTCTGTATGCGATTTGTCAGTAAAGTTATATTCAGATGAACTATCGACATTGGAATCAATGTCCGAGTATGCAGCGTGTGATGAAACAAGGGAATGATGGTCTCCCAATGAGAATTCAGAAAATTGTGATCTAATCGATGCTGGAGATTCACTTCTTACAATTTCAGCAGCGGCTGATTCTGAATCGATTTCACCAAGTTCTCCAACCCTTCCAACTCTACCTTCAAGCTTCATTTGTCTTCTCAACTCCTTCTTGGTCAATTGACGGTTGCCCGATTTCGGTTTTCTATGATTGATTGCAAATCCAAATTCATCCACTTCATCTTCAGCCAGCTTCTGGTGAGTCAACACAAGATCGGCAAAAGTGCTGGAGCTAATCGCTGGAAGGTCAGCAACTCTTCTCTTCAAGTTATATCTGTGCCATTCTGCCTTCATATGCTTTCTTTGAAGTTCCGCAGTAGGGAATTTGATGGCACATGTATTACAGGTATATGAGGCGGTTTGTGGGTTAGACCCATGAGGCATGAAGTTTGTTGACATCGTGCTTTTTCTTAATAATTAATTTTTACAATAAAGAAAGTTTTATACAACTAGGTTCCTTTATGTATAAATCCTGCTGCTTAGCAATCAAGAGATAATGAGAGGGAAAAAAAAATCTAGCGGCAAATAAATTTTGCCACTTTAAAGCGAACAAGAAAAAAAAAAACTGATTGCAAAAAATGATTTGCAACATATTAGTCACTAGTATTGCTTCCACCATATGTTGTACTATCAACTAGTCCTTATACTCGTTTATTCACTTTTCCTCTTCTAGTTTACTTAACTTATTATATTCTAGACCTAGCTATATTACATTATTATTTATTTACTTCATACTCCGTATCTATTCCATCCATTGACTAGAAATTTCTGGCCAGACACGTCTGTACATACTCATAGCAACTGTGTCTTGTGCTGTCAACTTACCGTCAAATGTAGCCTTGAAGTAACCATGTGTACCCAAACTTTCCTTGATAAACCCACTGCGCCCAGATTTGGTGAATAATGGGATGGCCTTGAACCAGTTGATATCTTCAGCGTTGAAGAACATGTATCTCACAGTTACCAAACGCTTATGAATCTTGACTGGGTGACCAGTAAGAACAGCTCTTTCAGCGACAACTCTAGTATGGTCACTGTTCAAGAAGGTACCTTGACCAACCAATTCAAGAGATCCATCTTCGGAGTTAGGTCTAAAGAAAATAGTTGGAGCATTGCTGAACAATACAGGTGCAATACATGATGCAATAGAAAAGTTACCAGGGTGGTGGAACTTTTCAAATTTATGAACATTATTAGAATTGTTGGATGCTTGGTTGAAAACAGGGTTGATGACTTGTCTTCTTGGACCATATTGTACCACAAGAGTTTCCTTGGAGGCAATTGGTTCTTCAAAATCTTCCCATGATTCAAATGAAAAGTTAACATGAGCCAACTTGTGTTCGTGTTCCAATAAACCGTATACAGTAAATGGCTGTTGTTGACAGTTGATACGTTCAAGGATATGCAGAGGTGCGCGAATAAAGATTCTGGCCTTATTACTAATAGTCAATTGTGCTTCTCTGATAGATTGTTTAACAATCTTATTTCTGGTAGCCTTGTAGTTGTTAACTCTCAAAAGTCTCTTCCATATGCTTGGAGACTCTGGATCATGCTCATCGTAGTCCCAGTTACAGTTACCCAAAGATTTGATACCTCTGTAGCTGGCTAATCTTTCCTTTCCTGATTCCATAGGATCAAGTTCTAATTCATCAGGGAATTCCAAATCTTCATCGGCAGACGATCTGTATTCTTGTAATTGTCTGGCTTCTTCTTCTGGAGACAATTCGACAAACATTTCTGATTGGTTGTCACCAGCTTCAGTTGGTTCATAGTCTGTTGTTGCTGCTGCACCATCTTCTAATTCCATCTCATCGTCTTGTGCTTGACCTACAACGTCAGCGTCGTCTTCAATATCAGATGCATCTTCCAATACATCGTCCAAGTACCATCTACCTTGGTATTCAGAAGTACCCTTAGGTAATGGCTTACTGTGGTGAAGGTTTCTACTTCCATCATCATCGAAATAACGTTTATCAGTCATTTTAACTCCACCAAATTCGTCTTCACCTTCAAGATCCCAATCTTCGGCATCCATGTCTACTTCATCTTCGTTTAATTCTTCGAGACCTTCTTGGTTTTCAATTTCTGGGAAATATTTGGTAGTTTCTTCATCTGTTTCAGATCTTCTAACATTATGCAACTTTTCTATGTGATCAATCTGGAAATCCCCAAACCCTGGAATATGAACAAGTCTGTTTGCATTGAATCCAGTTCCTCTAACAGTACCTTCAACGACCAAGTTACCGGAGCCATTGTTATCTTGAGCAGGAGCCCAGTATGCAGCATCGGCTAATAAATAACCACGGTTATCTCTCCAAGTAATAGACTTAGGGAACTTCTGAGCCATGGTACGAATACAGTTAGTACATTCAGAATCATTTTCCAATGCAAAGAGCTTTTCTTCATTGGGGAAGAAATGGTTAAAGAAAGATTGAAGAGATTGTCTAATATCCATTTGAAGGTTTCTCTTTGGATAAGCGGAACAAACATTTGGTAATACACCGATTACAGATGCAATACCTTGAGCAATTACCGCTCTTAAGATTTGTTCACCGTATTCCTTTTCTACTTCCTTTTCAGCAGAAATACCAAACACTACATAATCAGAAACTTTAGCAGCATCTAAAATACTCAAGAAATTGGTTTGATCAGGCAAAATGAATTTCATGTTGGACTTGAATCTTTGAATCTTAACTGGAGTGACAGATGGAACTTCGAAAAGCATATCATCGTCATTTTCAGAGTCCTTGATGCAATTGACTAACATGGATGCAATTTCACTGGTGGAAACATCATCGGTTAATCCAATAATGGTGACAATTTTTTCAGCACCTTGACTACCTTCAAAGACTTTTCTAGTGGTCTTAGTCTCGAGGATCTTGGAGTTCTTCAATTGCTTAGCAATATTCTTTCTTTCAAGCTTGGAAAGTGGCTTGTTGGATTTATTATTGGCAGATGCTGATGATTTTTCAACTTTTCCCTTGTATTGATTTTTCAATTGACCCTTGGTGGCATGCTTTGACTTGAACGGCTTATGGTCGTTTTTCAACGTTGACCTATGTGAGTGTCCTCCAGCCATATTGAATCTACGTCTATAAAAGGGTGGGGTTTATAGGTATATTTTGGGGTAATTCTTCAAAACTTGATCTATGCATCAAAACTATACTTTTAGATCCATATCTCTTGTAAAACCGCGATGAGTATAGGGCACGAGCCCTACTCTAGTCAGGTGATGAAAAGACCTTCCACCTGCATACTATTTGCGAGGTTTTGTGTAATTTACTTCTTTTTTTTTTCTTCGAAAAATTCTGTTACTCTACTGCGAACAACCCAGTGGGAGGATACTGCCGATAGTGTTTTTCAAAAAAGAATCGTTGAAATTTTGTTTACATACTTTTATAGAATTACCCACATAAAGTCTATATAATTGTATGTATAGAGAGATACACAGATGTTAGACGAGACGAAATGAGACGGCAACTGCTGTAGAACCCAGTGATCAAGCAGACAAAGACCAAATGATGTTGATTTAAATTTACATAAAGTGAACAAATGAAAATTTTTTATGATCAATAAGAAAATCTATGTTCAACGGAAGTATCCTAAAATGAAGAGGGTACACAAGGAGAGTTTGAAATCTCTGATTTATGGGTAGAACCCCTTGAAGAAATGCTTGAAAAATAGCAAATATATGTCAATGGAAAGAGGTTTTGGAGTATTCCTCATACATTTGTGAAAGGTATTATCCTCACAATGTAAATCATCGGTATTTTCTGCTTCTGCTTGGTTTCACTCTCGTATCTAACGTTCTATTTTACCTATTGCAATATACTAACTAACTTTTAGACAATGGCTCACGAAACTGTTTGGTACTCCCACCCAAGAAAATTCGGCAAAGGTTCTAGACAATGCCGTGTCTGTTCTTCCCACACCGGTTTGATTAGAAAGTACGGTTTGGACATCTGTCGTCAATGTTTCAGAGAAAGAGCCTCTGACATTGGTTTCCACAAGTACCGTTAAGTTATGCTACTGAAACTGCATTTTTGAATTTATTTAATCTAGCTGTTAATCTGTGTATAATTAAGGGTTTTAAAAGAGCCTGGCTCAATATATAAGTATATTGGTTGATTTGAAAACTGTAGAAAAGTAGATGTAGAATATAGGTGGACACAAACTAATGTTAAAATTTAGAAGGATTATTGTAATCAATTTAAATGCATCGCCATAATAATGTTCATAAAGAATTAAACAACTTGTTTCATATAGTCAAAATTGCAAATTAATCAGTAGAGTTAAGATATTCAAAGTTTAACATATTAATTTCACACATTATTGTATCAGTTATACTTACATCTTACATTACATTACAATAAAAAAAATATAAAAAAAAACACATTACAAAAGATGTGTCCCATAAAAATCGACATTCAAAATCCATCGCCTCACTAAAGAGACCCGAGGACTCCAAACTTCCTAATGGGACAGTTTATCTGGGGAATGCAATTTAATAAATAAATGGCAACGAGTATAACTTGATAATTTACATTATCTCGTCGTGGCAAATATTCCCGTGCTTTAATAAGCTTTTTGATTAAAGAAAAAAAATTAAAACTGTTAAAAATGATGGAGTTCTCAGTTCTTTTATAGTTAAAATGGTTGGGGTTACCCGGAGACGCTAACATGTGCAGGGCACAAGAAAGTATTAATCACTAATAAAGAAATCATAAGTGTGATATTAAGTTAATGTATATTCAATTATACTTATATTTATGGTACCAAGCAATGATAATCTGTTAATGAATGTTATATGAGGGGTATTTTGTAATATAAAGTAGAAAAAAAAAATATACCTCTGGTGTTGGTGAGTGTATATTTTTATCCTCATTTATTGTCTTTGCAACCATTTATAATTTATTTACAGAAAAAATATACGAAAATTTTATGGACAATAAAAGGGATAAGTGAAAGAACAACACCCATTAGAAGTAATGTAAGAAATATGTTATGTTGGGAAATATCCCTCTTTAATATTAATATCTACGTAAACATTTACTGATATAAATACCACAATGTGTATAATTTGCATTTCAATTTTGTAACCTGTAAGCTTCCTGCACAAACCGTCATATGAAAGATGAACTTTTGAACTCATGACATTATAACCAAATATAAGAATCATTAATATAATTCAATCAATATGTCTGGCAATGGAGGGAAAATACTCGGATATATCTTTGTAGGTGCCATGAGTTGGTACGGTGGGATGAAGTTCTGGCAACCAATCATCATGTATGTATAAACAAAAGGCAAATCAATTACCTAGAGAAAAATTGTTTCATATTTATTATTCTACTAAATACTAACTATTTAGCGATCAACTTAGACAAGATGGGAACTTGAGAGAGGATGTATTTATCCCTGATACATCGGACCAACCAACTTCATGGACCGATCTTCAAGATAAAATCAAAGATGCTATTCATCCACCAGATGAACCATTGCCTAATACTGCTACTGTTGATGAAAAATAAATTATTAAATGTATATAGATTAAAAATAATGAGTTTTGACAATATATCCTATGTAAATGTTCTCTATTATAATTATCAATAAGTTTGTATTGATTTCTTTCCTTTCAACTATCTCCTCCCCACCATACTTGTGCACGTGACCAACATCTCATCAAATATGAATTTTTATTTTATTTTTGTATTTTATTCAATTTTTATTCTTTTAAACTTATTTTATTCATTTAAGTACCATAAAAACATTTCTTAAAATGGGGAAGCTTAAGCGTAATAGAAACAACCGTAAGGCCAGAACCAACCCTCTTGGTGAAAAAGTTGTTGGAAAAGATGAGTCAAAGGATGAAAAAACTCGTCAATCCAAAATTGTACCATTGATCAACAATTTAAGTTCAAACATTCCTAATGATAAATCCATGGCATTGGGTGCTCTTACTGTGATCTGTGAAGATGAGCGTATGAGAAAGCTTTGTTTAAAGGAAAAATTGGTCCAAAAATTAATGGAACAGTGCTTAAATGATGATAATGATGAAATAGTTGTAGAGGCATTTGGATTATTAAGAAACTTGGGGATTGAAGAAGGTTACGATGTTATCACATACTATTGGAGACAAAATATCTGGGCATCCATCGAGGCTGGCTTGGGTAAAATTGAAACCTCCTTCAAATATCTTGCTGAATTTAAGGCACTTCCAGAAGGGAAGAAGAAGGTTGATGAAAAGGCTAAGGCTCAACTTTTGTATGACTTTACTGAAAATATCATTTCATTGATTGTTGTGATTGCTAGTGGATCTGATGAACTCTATGATAAAGTTTTTGCCAAAATCGATCCAGTTCTTAAACTTGTAGTCGATTTAATTAATTGGAATTCTCCAACTTTAAGAACTACTTTAAAGTTACACAACACTTTATTAGATTTTGTGTATGAATTCTCCACTGAATCAAGTGAATTCATTCAAAAACTTGTACAATTACCAGAGTTTGATTCCGAGAAGTTGACTGTTCAAACCTCAACTAACCGTTTAGGTAAAGGGTATGTAGAAGGGATTAAGTATCAAGTATATGAATCATTGGGTCTACAACTTGGTGACAAGCAAACGGTTATTGCTGAGATTCTTACCAACTTAAGTAACAATATCACTAGCATCAATTTAGATGAATTTAAGACCGTTTTTGCTACTGATAATGCAATTGAACCAATCCAAAAGCAAGAACAACCACAATCAAACGAACCATTACAAAACATAGATCAACAGATTTCTGGTGATTCCAAGGAAAAGACTCAAGCTAAAGATGATATCCAATTATTGGAAACTTCTTTAGATATCTTCACCTCCATTTGGGAATTTCTCTCTATCAACGAAGCAGATCCTCAAACTCCAGTATCTTTATCTGATGATCTTTCCAAGATCTTATTCAAGCTTTGTTTCCCATTGTTTGTTGAACTTCTTCAATTCGACCAAGCCAACGCAAACGTTCTTCAACTTACTGATAAAATCCTTGTATGTTTTAACAACTTTTGTTGGTTACTCTTATCATGTCAAAACATTTCTACTGAATGGTTTGAACTTAGTTTGAAGTTGTGGGATCTCGTTATTAGTGTATCCACTGGTGCTCAATCTCAAAACTTATACACTCAAAAGAACTGTCTCAATGTTTGTTGGGCTGTGATAAAAACTGTCGGACCTGCCATTGGTGATAGACTCAACCAAGGTATGTTGACAGGTCTCACTGAAAAATGTAACGAATTAATTCAATCGTCAAACGGTACTGGAGAATTGGAACTTGAATTTGTTCTTTCATGTGTTGGAGTTGTGGGAAGCTCAGCTCCTTTGATTTCGGATGTCGAAATGACAAGAAATATTTCCCAATTTTTAATTCAATTGGTTGACTCATTTTCCAGTAAAGATTACATCAATGGACCCGCTAGCCTGGAAGACAAGGCCAAGGCTAATGAGATTGTTATCCAATGTTTGGATTTGATCTACGAAATCTTTGGTGACGCTGAATATCCATACGATTATCCAGTATTCGTAGAAGGTGGCTACCTTTCCAAGCTCCAAAAAGTCGAACCACAGGTTAAGGAAATGTACAAAAAAGTTGACAAGAATAAGCTTGGCGATCTTAAGGCTCGTCTTGAAGAGACTTGGAGAAACCTTAACCTTTTCATTCAATATAAAAAGAGTGAAAGAAATTAAATAGAGAAATAGACTACAAAATTATTTGCATAATAAATCACAAGAATGAATCTTAATATTAAAATATCACTAATCGATTTCAGGAGGTAATGCGTCCTCCATTCCTTCAAAAGAGCTAGTATCTTCATCTGAAGAATCATCATAACTACTGTTACGGGATTCATCTTCAGAATCGTCATCCACTGCATTATTTTTGTCAGTATCCTTTTGTGGTACCCCAACAACTCCCCACTTTATACTAGTAACCTCTTCCAAACGCTCTAGTATTTCTGTCATAGGCGAGTATAAACCAAATTGTTTATATTCACCATCATATGAATGTAACATTCCAACCACACCCAAACCTTTAGATTCACGAACGGTGGAACAATCTTCAAGTTTAGCCAAAATCCATGCTCCACTATCACCGCCTGCGGCAAAAGCAGAATTGTTTTCAAGAGAGTTTACTACAAACTCAGACGAGTGGATTGCACCATCTAACCAATACACCAACTTGATACCATTCAATGAACCCCTTGTATACTTTGTAGTAGAACCATACTTAAACACTGGAAGTCCATGGTTATTGATATTGACCGATGATGTGGAATCCACTTGCGAAAGGTCCATATCTGAAGCATGCCTATCAAGATCAATCACGGCTCTAACATAGAGATTATCGAACATCAATGCTGGGTCAAACTCATTGAATGCTATATCATCACCCAAAAAGTTTTGATCACATTTAAGAACCTTATTCACCTTGATAATTGACAAGTCTGATAATCGTTTATCGTCTTCATCGTCTTCTTTCGGTACTTTAATCAAAGTTCTTTCACCCCAAATAATTTGACCAAATCTATGGATTGGTAAGTTCTTCATTTCTTGACCTTTCCCGTCAGCAGATTTTACACTTTTCACTGGGAAAATTTCACTTAATTGATTCAATACTGCACCATATGCAGCCTTGGATTCCGCTTGTGCCATATCATATTCATTCCCGTCTTCAGTAAATTTCTGATATTGTCTAATCAATGCCTTTTTATATAATGAAATTAACACTGACAGCGGAGAAGAAACATGTGCATAATCGGTATTGGAATTATTATTGGTATTATCAAGACAAACATGTCCACATGTAATAGCGAATTTGGATGTGGTATATGACACCAAATGTGGTTGTTTAACCAAATCGATCATTGGATATATATAACCCCCCATTGTCCCTGAGGTTCTAAGCGAATTCTCCACTGAAACAGAAAGTGACATTGGTGGGTTCGACACATCTGAAGGGATTCTAAAGGGTAACTTAAATTTATACCGTTGTTGTGGAGGATTATTCTGAAGAATAGAAGTATTCCCATATTCAGGTTTCAGTTGTACAGAAGCAGATGCCAATTCAATTTTATTTTGCATGCTAATAAAATGAATCTCATCATATAATTCATGTAATCTCTGAATCAATTGTAAATGATAATCAGTTGGGTTTGGGTATCCAAAGTATAAACATAAAATATTCAATTCCTTACTGATACCACGAGTGATTGGAGCAATAAACGAACCATTTTGTTCTTTAATTGGGAGTGAAGTGTTGGCTATTTTATTCATGATATTGGTAAGCACTTCTTCATTGGGGAGAGTTTCACCAGTATTAACCCCAATGGCATAGTTTTGGGGCTTTGATATGGAAGTGGGCAACCCTCCACTACTGGCATTCTTCCTATGTCCTTTTGATGTGGATGTTTCACTTCTTGATGATTTGGTAAGGGTTGAAGCGAAGTCACTAAAGTTCTTGACCAAAAGTAATTTCAATTTGATATAAACTTCATCTTTTAACAAATTATCATACATATTCAAATAAATCTTCATCAACTTCCGTAAGTGAACGTTATTATAGGTAGTGAAGTACCACCAGTGTTCATCACCAACATAATTAGTTTGGACAAACGTCACAAATGTTTTGAGACAATCGATAGTATTGATTACTGCAGTGGAAAGATTTACCACACTGTTGTTATACTGATTTAATACATATGAGATATCCACGTGAAGTCCATGGATCTTGTCTGAAATCACATCTCTTGCCGGTCTATTTTCGTTGGAAGACTCCGGGATATCTAACACTTGAAGCATTTGTCCTTCATTCGAAGGGTATTGTTGTTCCTTCTTATCTGAGCCTCGGGAGAAATATGATGATTGCTTGGTAGAAAAGGACTTCCCCGAGCGAGAAAATATAGATTTCCCAAGAAATTCCGAGTCCTTGGTAAACATAGACGTGGTAGTAGATACTCCAGCGGTTGTGGTTGGATTCAGAATACAAGGATTCAAGTTAAGATTTGGATCGTTTGTAAACGAAGAATGATGTTTTGAAGTCCCTCCTGAAGTATCACCACTAAACGAAACAGAGCTCGATGGGACTTTTTCATCTTCAGTATTCCCAGCAAACATCGGGTGAAGGTCACGAATAGAGTCTTGAGATTCAGTTGTGTGTGTGCTCTTGGTCGAGGAAACTACTGGTTCAAGGTCCGCTGAACTGAGACTGGTCCTCACCTCTGAGCGCCGATTCTCACCTTTCAGACCGTCCAGTTTCTTGGATCTGCCGAGAATGTTTTTCATAGTCTCTTTCTAAAGTATACTTGTTGGTTTGTTTGTTAATTAATTTACTGGTGATAACAAAGCCAGAAAAAAAAAAAAAATAAAATAAGAAGTCTTGGAAAAGGGGAATGCGTATTCCCGGGACTGCAGATAGTTGACGTGGAGGAACGATCAATCAAAGTTTGGGTGTAAATGTGGGGGTCCGTTTCTATTTCCGGAGGAGAAAGTATAAATTTCTTTATAATTGTATAGAAGTATAGGGAATTTATATTAAATTCTTATACTAACTTTAATTCTAGTTCTAAGTATTTTAATTTGGAATTTTTATTTTGCGACTGTTTCAAATGAAATTCCAAAAGTAGTCACGGCAATAATAATTAGGCCCCCTTTGTCAATAAAACTATTCTTTGATACCAGTAATTTGTATTTATCTATCAATATCATCCACTCTATTAGAGAATCGCTTGAATATGTCTCTTACTCTTCAGTAGCTCCGCTTAAAATTCATTTCTTTTATTTGCTGATTTTTTTCTTTTTTTGAGTATTGGTCACATGCGTTGTTCCTCGCTTTGGCCTGACAGTCTGAGGTGTCTTCTTTTTCTAGAAGAAAATATTCGGCTGCAATGTCACACCCACCAAGCCGCCTCTGATAATGTGCAGAGTATTTAATATTAAAAGCCGTACGATCATCAGGTGTACAAGATATAGGGGGGTTGGGAGGGCATTTCCATACTTTTACAATTTACAGGTGATTCGTGAACATCATTTTCTTTTGATTCGGGATTAACTACAATAAACTTTTAAATTCATTCTTAATTCCAACAATATTGTTCTTTTCTTTAATGTTCTTCCCACTAAAATAATCTAATTCGAAAATATTCACACCTCTACCTTTCTACCAAAGAAACCCGATCCATCCTTATGATTTATCTACCAACAAACCTTTGCTTGAACCGTGGTGTCAAACAAATTCGTCGTGCATCTTTCACTTTTACCCACAATCTTCTCTTTCGATCTAGGCGTATTATTATTATTCTTATTATTTTTTTTTGTTTGTATGCATTATTTTCTTATTTTTTTTTGGTAAATCTCAATTAGTGGGGAGAGAACAGAGAGAAAGAGAGCGTCCTTTCAACTCTGATATCTGCGCTTTATTCCACACAAACGTATTATCACAAATAATTTTTTTTTGATATTCCTTATAGAAGCTCTGTCATATATCTATACCAAATCTCAAGTCATGCCTGTCTATTCGATATCCCACGTGGAAAACGTCCGTGTTTGCGTGGTTATGGTTGGATTGCCAGCTAGAGGGAAATCATTGATTGCACAAAAAATTGTTCGTTACTTGTCATGGCTTTCCATTAAATCCAAATGTTTCAATGTTGGTAGTTACCGTAGAGAGATTGCATCCACCGACATCAATGCAGAATTCTTTGACCCCAAGAACCCTGAAGGTCTTAAATATCGTCAACAGGCAGTTAACTCTGCAGTGGAAGATATGATGAAATGGTTTTTAGATGAAAATGGGGTAGTAGGGATTTTGGATGCCACAAATTCTACTCGTAAGAGAAGAGATGAAATCTTGAAGCTTTGTAGAGAAAATTATATTGAACCAATGTTTTTAGAAAGTTGGTGTAATGATCAAGATTTGGTTTTACAAAATATTGCTGATGTTAAAACAACTAGTCCAGATTATCTTAATCGTGATTCAGACTTTGCCACTCAAGATTTCTTGAAAAGAATTTCATATTATGAACAAACATATGAAACTATGGATTCAAAAACTGATTCAGATTTAACTTTTATTAAGTTGGTTAATGTGAATCTGCAAATTGTATTGAATCGAATTGAAAGTTATTTGGAAAGTAGAATTGTTTATTATGTCATGAACTTGCACATCAAGCCAAGAAGTATTTGGTTGTCAAGACATGGGGAATCAAACTACAATTTGACTGGTCAAATTGGAGGTGATGCCGATCTTTCTGAACGTGGTTGGAGATATGCCAAAAAACTTCCTGAATTAGTATTGAAATCATTGGGTGAAGAAAACCAACATACTAACTTGACGGTTTGGACTTCCACTTTGAACCGTACCCAACAAACGGCACTGTTCTTGCCATATCAAAAGAAACTTCAATGGAAGGCCCTTGATGAGTTGGATGCTGGTGAATGTGATGGGATGACATATGAAGAAATTGAACAAAAATTCCCTGAAGATTTCAAAGCAAGAGATGACAACAAGTATGAATACCGTTACAGAGGTGGGGAATCATACCGAGACATTGTGATTAGATTAGAACCAATTATTATGGAATTAGAACGTCAAGAGAATATTTTAATCATTACCCATCAGGCTGTTTTACGGTGTCTTTATGCATATTTTATGAATGTCCCACAAGAAGAATCTCCATGGATGTCGATTCCATTGCATACATTGATCAAATTAGAGCCTCGTGCATACCTGACTCTTGTGAGTCGTATCAAGGCTGATATTCCTGCTGTGAGTACATACAAGGAAAAGGGTACTTCTCAATTAGGTGAGGTTATTGGTGCTAGCAATAAATCAAAGAGCAGAGATCTTATCAATGATAGCGAGTGTGTATAGATTAGTACATGGAGTTACTGAACCAGTTGTAGAGAGAAATATGTACAGATATGTTTTACAAAAGGTTTCTTTTTTTTGTTTGTTTGTTTGTTAATACTTTCTTATTATATATGATTATCTAATGTTACAACTATGTGGATGAAACGTACCTTTTGGCTTGTTCCTTGACCTTCTTCTCATAAACAGCACGTTCCTTTTGGAAAGCTCTCCAAGCAGGTTCTTGAGCAGGGGAGTCTGGGTTAGGAGAGTCGAGAAGCTCCTGTATACCAAGGACAATTTGCTTTAAAGTGATAGCAGGACGCCAATCTTGTTCCTCATTCAAGATTGAAAGACATACAGTTCCACTGGGGTAGATGTTTGGATGGTAGAACTCGGCTGGGAACTTCACCTTGGGAGGCTTTGATGGATACTCTTCCGGAAAGGTTATGGAGATTGGATAGACAGCACCTGCCCATAAGGTGTTGGCCTTACCAGGTATACCTGCCTTCCATTGTGTCAAATCAAGGGAACCATCTGGAGCCTTGATTGGCTTAGCAAAAAAGCCAAAGGGATGGTCCTTTCTCCACTGTTTTCTTTCTTCCTGTAACCGGGTCTTACAGAGAGACATCGTGCAACCTCGTAACTTCACGAAAATATGGTGTATTGAATGGAAGCGAATCCATTTATATGTTTTGTTTGGTTGCCGTTGTAAGTAGTCAGAAGAGGTTTAGTAAGAAATTGGGCGCGGCACGACCTTCCTTGTGGTGCGATATGACTACAAAAAAATTTGAAATTTGCTGCAAAAAGACAGTGTTTGTAATTAAGGTAATACTAGGGGGTGTCAAAAAAGTTGTGATATATTAGGGGGAATAAAAGTTAGATGTATGAAGATGGTGGGGGGGGGGGGGATATGAAGAAGTTTGTATATTATAATAGGTAGTGAAGAAAAATATTTATTCATGCTTAGTATGGCATATAAAGAGTTATTGATTGAAGAATTAGAAGAGATCAAAGTATTTAAAGATGAAGAAGGAGGGGAAACTACTACTTCCACAGTTCTTTGATTTTCTAATTATTATTTTAATTGTCATTTTCAACTGCCTAATTGTATGTGGAGGTGTTTGGAATATATTTTGAAAAAAATGATATTGGATAACTTCGTATTGAATGAAATATTACAAAAAAAAACAAATGGAAGCTTTACAAAGGCCACCCATTAATCGGAAATAACCATCGTTTCAAATAATTTCCATTATGGGTTATTAATTACCATTTAGTTCAATACTAGTCTACCATTTGTAAAGTAGTGACTAACTCTTGCAGCAAGAGAAAAACAATGTCTACTAAGTAAACTCAATTATATATCAATTATATTTACAATTCTATTATTAACATCTCCATATCAATTTGATTCACCTCTATACTATTCTACTAGGAGTCATCCTTTACATAATTGACTTCCCCACCTTCTGTGAGAATATCTAAAAAAAAGTATCTTGAAGCCGATGTACAGGATCGAGAATTTGGTGATACCCCCACATGATTTTCGAGAAATTTAATCTTCCATCAACTTTGTAATTATCCTTCTTTTTCTAGACAATCAAAAGAACATGCTGGCCACCAACACCAAACCAGAACCGCCAATCGATACTGCATCTACCAAGGTGGAAGCTTCCGAAGCTCCTGCTACCTCTTCAGCTCCTGCTCCTACTACTACAGCTGAAGCGGACGATGATCTTGATGATCTTGACGACCTTTTGGACGACTTTGCTGATGATGTGTTAAATAAACCACCCGGAGCAGGTGTTGCTTCCTCGGTCACCGGTGGGTCTGTTGCTGGGACCGCAGCTGGTGACACAGAAGCACCATCCGGCTCTCCACTCAATCCTCTAGCAAATGAATTAAACGAAGCAAATATCGAAGATCTCATTAAAGATCTTAAAATAGATGACCCAGAAACTAAGAAACAATTCGAAGAACTTGTCAAACAATTCGATACAACCCATAAACCTACAGCCCTGGAGGCTGCTGCTAACCCACAGCAATTCGACAATGTAATGAAGGAAACGATGGAAAGATTGAAGAAATCAGGAAAGAATATTGATGAACAAATCAAGAATGACCAATCTAGTGCCAACCCTGAAGATATGTTGACTCAGCTTCTTGCCGGGTTGGGTGGTGAAGGCGGAGATCTCGATATGTCAAAGCTCTTGGTGGATATGCTTGAACAATTGTCTTCTAAGGAAGTGTTGTACGAACCTATTAAGGACTTGAACACAAAGTTCCCTGAATATCTTACTGAAAACAAGGGAACCATCCCTGAAGCTGACCATGCCAACTACACCAAGCAATATGAACTCACAACTGAAATCTTGGCGGTATTCGAAGCTCCAGGTTATGATGATGAAGATAAGGCTAAAAGAGAAAAAGTTAATGTTTTGTTGGAATCTTTACAAGAATTGGGCCAACCACCATCTGATTTGGTTGGTGATGCTGGAGATTTCCCTGGATTTGGAGGCGCCGGTGCTGGTGGTTTGCCCGGAATGGACTTCAACGACAAGGATATCCCCAAAGATCTCGAAAAGGAGTTAGAGGATGGTTGTAAGCAAACGTGATTTAGTTCTAATGTGTACTTCAAATTTCCTAATACATACATATATAATACAATTTTTATTTATTTAGTGACTGTATTGATTTCTGTTTTAAATCTTTAATCCGCTTCTTCCTGCAAATTCTCTATAATAGTCCAACATTTCCTCAGTGATACCTCTGGAAATCCCTGTCAATGCATGTTCAAAGTGTCTCTTTTCCACATTGGTGGCTTCCTTATTCTCCATCACGGCAGCAAGACCGGCCTCTTGACATAACAAGGCAACTTCAGCCCCAGAACATCCATCGGTGATTTGGGCAATTTGTTCTAAATCCACTGCGTCTTGGCTTGTATTCAAGTTGAATTTACGACATCCATTAGTCAAGATTTGAAGTCTTGCCTCATAATCAGGTGGAGCAACATAAATATGTCTATCAAGTCTCCCCGGTCTAAGTAATGCTGGATCAATCTCAGTGGGTCTGTTGGTGGCAGCAACAATGACAACTCCCTTCAACTCTTCAACACCATCGATTTCATTCAATAACGAGGTTAAAACATGCAGCGAGGCTGAAGTCGATGCAGATTCTCTATCACCGGATATCGCATCGATTTCATCAAAGAAAATAATCGATGGAGATGCAGCTCTGGCCTTACGGAAAATCTCACGAATGGTTCTTTCAGATTCACCAACGTATTTATTAAAGATTTCAGGACCTTTCACGGCTAAAAAGTTAAGTCCAGACTCAGTTGCTAAAGCCTTTGCTGTAAGTGTTTTGGAACATCCTGGTGGTCCATACAAAAGAACACCCTTTGGCGCCAGTACTCCCAAGGCTGCAAAAGTATGAGCTGCCTCTAATGGGAGTTGAACTACCTCTGTCAACTTCTTCTTCAATTCATGTTGCCCTCCAATATCAGTCCAGTACACTTTAGGCATTTCTAGAAATATTTCTCTCATGGCAGATGGAGTAATTTCGGGAAGTGCTTCTTCCAAGTCTTCCACAGAAACTTTAATCTCACGTTGTGGTTTACCCTCACGTAAGCCTCTGGTGATGGCCTTCATCACGGATTCACGACATAACGCGGTAAGGTCAGCCCCTACATATCCATGAGTTTTACTAGAAATGTCAGAAAGTTCTTCTGGTGATACTTCATACTTGGCCTTATTCATTTTCTCAAATTGTTTGCATAAAATGTCATATCTAGCCTCAACGTCTGGAATACCGATTTCCACTTCTTGGTCAAATCTACCGGGTCTACGGAGTGCAGGGTCAATGGTATTAGGTCTGTTGGTGGCTCCAATAACCACGATTCTACCAGAATCACCCATTCCATCCATCATGGTCAAAAGAGTGGCCACCACTCTCGATTCCGTCTCCCCACTATCATCGGAGTTCCTGTTCGGAGCTAAAGAGTCAATTTCATCCATGAAGATTATAGATGGTTGGTATTTCTTAGCTTCTTGGAAAATGTCTCTAATGGCATTCTCTGTCTCTCCAAGGTACTTGGAAACAATCGATGGACCATTCACTGAAAGTACATGTGCATTGGTAGAGTTTGCAATGCAACGAAGTAACATTGTCTTACCAGTACCTGGTGGACCATGTAAGAGAATCCCACGTGGTGGAGAAATACCAAAGTCCGAGAAAAGGGTTGGGTTATGAAGTGGGAGTTCAATGGTTGATCTCAACCCAGAGATTTGCTTAGAAAGTCCTCCAATAGACAGATATGCATTAAGAGATGGGAGATGTGGATATTTGGATCGGGATGCAGATGTTTCCTTTGTTTGAATCAATTTAGTGGCACCTTTCCTGAAAATATACTGTGGAGATACAAAAGTGGAGTCATGAACATCGTCCCCATTACTTTCCAACGACATGTGTTGGAATTTATCCAGCAACTCTTCGTCTTCATCCTCTGCATTCACATCTACAATGGTCACTGTACGAGGGATTTTATCTTCACCTTCCACCAATGCTGGAAGAAGTACTTGTGGGATAACCAATCCTGGAGAGACAATGCCCACCGAATCCAATGCCTTTTCAATGGATGAACAAACCTTCTTATCTTCAAGATCTCCGTCTACAGAAATTGTGAGTGAGTTGGCATATTCTGGTTGTTTGGAATGCTTGGTGATTTCTAATCTGTCTCCTAAAAGAAGACCACCCAATTGACGTAATGGTTGAGTGAGAAGTGCTACATTCTTATCGGGACACTCAAACTCAGATGCCTCTGAATCTGGATGGACGGTGGCCAAAACAGCGGCCCCGGCGGTATCAGCATTGAAAACACGCACAAAAGCCCCACTCTTGAGCTCCATGGCTTCCAAAACACCGCTATCCAAATACACTTTATTACATCCTTTATGGGAATAAGGCGATGGCCTAGCGATGAATGACTTTGGAATCTTCACCTTTTTGGTGGCTGAATCGTCACTTTTTTTGGCAGTGCTGCTGCTCGACTTGGAGCTACTACTGCTGCTCGTCTTAGGTGCCATTCAGAAAAGTTTTTGTACTGATTCAAATGAATAGATTTGGCCTCTCTTGTAAGTTCTTTGTGCAGCTCTCTGAATCTGTGCTCTTCTTTTTTTTTTTTCGATATATTTAATTTTTTTTTTTTTGCTTTTCCTCTGTGATAATTTTTGAGTTCCAGTAGACAGACACAATTTGTTAAGGTGGATATATATTTGACAGTTGTAGTGAGGGTGAACCGGGAACAGTTATATTCCATCTCGCGTCCAATAGCCGAATCTCCACGCTCCAGCCAATATGCTCTCTACCAGGCTAGTGCGAAGGATGAGGATGAACTGGCGGTGTTCATACAGAAGCAGCAGCAGCAGCAGCAGCAACAACACCCAACCCGATCCAGCATTGGTACTGGGTAGAGATCTCCATGAACAATTCTGCATGGCCGCAGGCGAGCCTCAGTCCCATCCATGGCCGGTTGAATCAGACATAAAGTACTATTCTTCGCCAGACATTTTCCGGCGTGCCGGTTTCCTCAAAGAGGTGGAGCTGAGAACAGACCCACTCAAGAATTTCATAGGTTCTCAATTCCCTCTCCTGGTGGCTGAGCGAATGCAAGTCATATGTGGTCTTACCACTCTTCCTTCCAGCATGACAGGGTACCAGCGACTAGTGAAAAAAAACGATCTGGGCCTCCAGAAAAGCGTAGATGATCCACCTTGTAGCATCACCAATGAATACTCTTCAGATCATTTCCGGTCGTTGGGAAGACGCATATATGAAGTTCAACTTAGACTCATTGTATTCGATTCAAACTATCTTTCCATGGCAGCAGAGGATATCGAAAATAATTTTGCCCTATTTGCAGATCCTCATTCTACCATCATACCGTTTATGAAGCGGAACACCATCTATGATTGCATTTTACCCTTTAAAGGTACTAGTGATGGGAAGTATCTAGACCGGGAAGAACGTAAAGTCAAGCAGGGTATCATTAGGGATACCACTGCTATAGCCAGTTTCTATACCTTGTTGGGCATGCTATGTCTCAAGTTTGGAACTTCCAAAGTGGCAGAGCCTTTCATTAGAGATAAAATAATCCTTGGTTCAAATGGTATAGTTAATTCACTCGCTGAGTCCATGTCACGAACCAGATCCCTCTAAAATCCCCCCCCCCCCCCTTCCAGTCTCACAACTCCCATCATTCTTCTTATGGAAGTCTACAGAGTTTCTAGCTCTAAATGTATATTAGTGTATATATCCTTATAAATACAATGAAGCACAGAAAACAATATCTCTTTTGATTCTTTCCTGTGCTTCAGTCATCTTAGCATGAAGTGTAGAATCACCCACAATCAATGCTGCGTTTCTAACTTCACGACAAATTTCATCTAATCTGGTAATCACTCTAACAATGGTACCTTCAGCCTCAACACTCATTTCCATAATCTCTTTGAAAGACATTCCTCTGGCCCATTCATATACAACATTCACCAATGCAAATCTCTTACGTTCTAAAAACTCTTCTTCATCACTGGTAAGGGTTACTTGGTTGTCGGTATAAACCTTCATGAGTTTCTCAACAATGGTTAAGATTCTTTGCTTACCTCTTTCTAATCTTGGAGTTATACAAGGATCTTCCTCTTCATTTGTTCTACCCTCATAAACAAAACATGAAAGAAGTGCAACAATTTCCTCAGGTTCAAAATCTCCCAAAAAGTTATCCAAAACCAATTCAGTAACCACAAGCTCCCAGCCAGAATTCACTTCACACGCAACTCTACCCTTCAAGACAACATTATGGTTATGATCGATAAATCCAAGCTCTTGCAAGACATCCAATCTTTGTTCGTAATCAGGAAGTAACTCCAAATTTTCATCTGAAATAAGTCTTTGTAAAGAGGCAATCTCCAGCTTCAAATGATCTTGTTTATATAACTCATAATAATGAGTTTTGAAAGAATCACAGTTAAATGCTTCAATTTCCAATAATTTGGGGCCAATCAACTTCTTTTGTTCCAAAAGTTCATGCAATGACAATTGAGTTGATTGATAAAATCCAATTTCTTCCCACTTATCCTTAAACTTGATAAGTGTTTGGATTTGTTTGATTGCTTCATCAACCAATTCCTTTTGATTTTGAATGATTCCTTGAATGTTAACTCTAAGAGCATATCTACCTAAAAAGTTAACATTCTCATAGGGCACAAGAACAACCTTAAGGTTCTTCACGGTAGTCATCTTGGGGAAAAGCCTAGAGGTGTATTGTTTCAATGGGAACCATGGAATCATATACTTCTTGGTATCTTCTTCAAAGTTTTCACCTGAGTCGAATGTCAATACAAGTAAGGAATTAGTGGTAATTTCAGTTCTAACAATGAAACCCAACTTGATGGAACTAGTTGAAACATCTCTGAAAACAACCATTCTACCTGTTCTCAATAAAGTTGTTCTTCCTATTGGCAGTTTCAGGATTTCTTCAATGATTTGTCCGTATAACTTTTGATGCTGTTGAAGTAAATCATATGCTTCCGTGGCACCATTCAATTGACATTTAGAACATGGTTCCACTTTCGTCACTTCTAATTCCTTGCTCAATTCAGCAACCTTTGTTTGATGTTCTGGCAACAAAGTCTGGGTACTATTCTCACTGAAGGAATGTTTAATCATTTCTTCCACCCTCAATGCTTCAATTCTTAAAAGATTCAAAATCATATTGTATGTGAGTCTAAATTGAGAAACCAATTTAGTTGGAGTACCCAAGGTAACTTCCTTGAAATCAACTGGCAGGAGTGGTTCGTTGAAGGACATGACGATGACAGTACCGGTTGCATCTAACCCTCTTCTACCAGCTCTACCAGACATTTGAGTAAATTCACCTGGTAACAAGTTTCTGAAACCTCTACCATCATGCTTACGTACGGTGTTAAACACAACTGTTCTGGTAGGTAAATTCAAACCCATAGCAAAAGTTTCTGTGGCGAATAATACCTTGACCAAAGTTCTGGCAAAAAGAATTTCGATACATTCCTTAACAATTGGTAAAAGTCCACCATGGTGTACTGCAATACCACGACTTAACATATCTCTAATTGTGAGAATTTGGGGTAATTCTCTATCTTCTTTCTTCAATCTGGACACAGCACGATCAATAAACATATGGATTTCTGATTTTTCTCTAGCATTACAGAAATCAACACTACTAAGAGTATTGGCAAATTCTTCACACTTCTTCTTGGAAAATACGAAAATCACTGCAGGAAGAAGGTTATTCCCCTTCAAATATTGTACAAGAGTCACCCAAGTGTTTTTGTTAGGTCCATCCCGGTTGAAGTTCCCACCAGAACGGCCACCTCTAGCTACCTGGCCACCACCTCTATTCCCACCTCTTGCACTACCACCACGGCCACCACGACTACCGCCACCCATCTTCACATTTGGAGGCTTCTTGTTATCACCTCTTTCTAAGATTTCCTTATGTTTTTTGAATTCAATATCCAGGAATTTTCTCTGTGAGTCAATAACTTTCAATAATTCATTTTTAGCCCAAATGAAAATTTCTAATGGGACCGGTCTCTTGGGAGTTGAAATAACATATATATCCTTTTGTTTAGTTCTACCAACCCAGTTTGCAAATTCAAATGTATTCGGCACCGTTGCTGACAATAAGATATATTTGACATGATCTGGAAGCATGATAATAACTTCTTCCCATACCACACCACGATCAATATCATTGACATAATGGACTTCATCAAAAATGACAAACTCAACGTCACGAATAAGATCAGCACCTCTATACAACATAGATCTCAAGATTTCTGTTGTCATGATCAAACAGTTAGCCTCTGGGTTGATTTGTACATCACCAGTGATTAACCCAATATCAATATCTTTAAATGTTTCTTTAAAATCTCTAAATTTTTGATTAGAAAGAGCCTTGATAGGCGAGGTATAAATTGCCTTGGTCATGTTTCTAGCAGCCATGGCAATTGCATATTCTGCTACAACAGTTTTACCTGCAGATGTGTGAGCAGCAACAAATACTGAATCACCTTGTTCTAAATGGTAAACTGCTTCCTGTTGGAAAGTATCCAATTCGAACGGCCATTCACGCGCCATATTAGGCACAACGTCATGGAAATTCTCTAACTTATGATCCAAATCCACCACATGGGCCCAAGTACGCTTGGCTTCCTTATTGGCAGCAAGGTTTTGTTTGAGATTGGAAAAATTGGCTGGAAGGATCCCATCGATTTCTTCTGCACTAAATGGTGCAGAAGAAACTGAACTTGAAATTGGTTCATTTCCAATTTTAATTTCACTAGTGACAAATCCATCTATTTCCTCTTCACCATCTTCACCTTCAAATGTATTAGATTGTTCTTCATCTTCAAATTCAGTTTCTTCTTCCAATTGAGCAATCTTCTCATCATCAGTTCCAGAAACCCGCAACCCTCTCAGAAACCCTTGTGGAATGTCAAACAACCCTTGGTCATTTCTATGCAACAATGAAGACTCATCTTTCTTCCCAGCAAGGGTCTTTTGTTTCACCAACCCACCAGGTTGGAAGGGCAAATAACGAGCCAGATTGGCTTCACTTTTCGGGGTGAACTTTCTGTTGACTGAAAGTGAATTACTAGCAGTAGCATTATCAATTTCATCTAATCTTAATTCTTCATTATACCCACTGATATCACCCGTGATTCCAGATCTTTTGAAACGGAATGAAGTTCTTCCAATGGATTGTGGGACGCTCATCAAGTCCTCGTATATCTTTTCATGGTCAGGTTTGGGCACATCTTGCAATAAATCTAAAAGATCCCACAGAAGTTGGTTCGAAGGTTCAAGTAATTCCTTGGAAAGTTTGGCATTGATCACTTCAATCGATGACGTTGGAGTTTGATACTCGGCCTTTGTTTCCGGGTCAAGTCCTTCAAATATGAAGTCTTCCAATATGGACTCTTCACCCATATCAAGGTTCTTCATTCTTGATTCTAATGACATCCTATACTACTAGGATTATCTACTAAAGTTTATATATGTATGAACAATATCTCATTCACAAAACCTTCACTTTTGGTGTCTTGGGAATCGAAATTCGAATCTGTTCCATATTCCTGTATACAGGGTTTGCATAGTATACAACTCCTCTTGTCCTCCCACTCCACTTTAGGGTCAATTTATGACACCTTCTACACTTAGTTTATATCTGGTGATCCTATTTCGCATTTATTTTCGTTATAGAATAGTTTATTTGAATCTGGTGTGAGTTGGTGTTGGTTTTTATGTTTTAAAAAGTTTATTTTTTTTTTTTTTTCATTATCTACAATTTTGGTTTTGGACTAGTTTGACCTCCAGAGGTGGCAACACCATTGATTTCCAATCTACCAGCTTCATTTTCTCCATTGACATCCTTCCCGAAAAACACAACTGTAACCGATAAATCATCTCTATATCTTCTTGAAACAGGACTTGGAATTGAAATCAACATCGAGGTTTGTTCCCTAGATCCTCCATTGGATAAGGCATTTCTAATAAGATGAGTGGAAACGTTACGATCTTCTAAAAGAAATGAGCCATATCCTCCCGATTGCTTTGTTTTCCTAAATGGTTGCTTTGAACTCTTATCGTTGGTAACATCTGCCACTTCCGGTAATTTATTTTCTGTAGATCCAAAATAATTCCAAAACGATTTTTGTGGTTTAATCATCTTTTCCTTCTCCATCCATTTAACAACAAGTCCAACGATTTCTTCATTAGAAAGCATCTCATATAATCCATCTGAAGCCATCACCAAGAAATCATTGTTTTCAGGACTAATTTTGGTGGTGGTAATCACTGGTTCAGCAGTAACATATGGAGGTGATTTTAAATTATTTGGTAATCTTCTACCAAAAAATTGCTTGTATATTCTTTCTTGAATTGATGCAGGGAGCTTATATCTACAATCTCCAAATGCTCTTGATGGTTCTAAAGTCCCCAAGACTCTACCATTACGGATAACATTGGGTTCATCGGGGTGTTCACTGATAATTCTAGCAACTTCGGTTGGATTGGATCCAGTTTGATCAGTACTTAATTGTTTAACAGTCCAATGATTATCTTTAAAAGATCCTAATAAAGCTCTAGAATCTCCAGTAACTGCAACCTTAAGTAACTTCGAGTTTGTGTCGTAAAATGAAAGTAATGCACATGATCCAGATAATGCAGGCATAAGTAATTCAGCTGCTTTAGCCTTATTATTATCATTCAATAATTTTTCCATGTTTTTGTTAACAATTTCATGATCTAATTTTAAAAATCCATTCTTAATTGCTTGATCAATGGTGGCACTATTAGGAACATATCTTAAACTATCCTCATTGGCTGGCTTGAAAATAGTACCGAATTCCCTAATGATATAACTGATCAATTGATCTCTCAACTTACTACTGGTGGTCCAACCTCCATGTCCATCAAAGACTCCGAAAAACATCCAATCGGTCGATGTCTTGATGTTATTGTCTTGCAAGATTGGCACCAGAACAACTTCTTCTGCACGATCATCTTCAATTGGTGAATTCAGAGGAACTTGACAAATATCATATCTAGTGACCCCCTTCCCTCTATTGACAAGATAACTCTCTTCAAATTGTCTCAATTTATGACTAACTTGTTCTTCATTTAAAAGAAATACCCCCTCTTTATGTTGCAGATTACCTATACTGTTTTGATTCATTGAAGATGTTGAAGTGGAGAAATATTTCTTGGTAGAAGAAGGATCAGAATTGGTAACTGAACTTGAAGATCCACTTCCTGTACTGGATTGTGGGATTTGTTGTTGTTGCAATTGTTGTTCTTGTTGTTTCTGAGCTGCTACAATGCTAGACCCAAATGAAGGAGTTCCGGTGTTGCCCGTAATCGGGAGTAAAAATGATGAACCCTTAGTTGTGGTTGCAGACCCAGTTAATGGAGGTGGTACAGTATCCAAATTATAATAATTCGATTGATTGAAAGTAATGTAAGAGCCAACAATAATAACCCCGGAAACCAATGCAACATTCCTCTTTCTGAATAGTTTATTATTTCTATTGTTATTAATGGTTTTATTTTGCTTTGTAGCAGTGGCTAAATGATTAGATGAAGCTTTGATTAATCGATCAGGAGAACATGATAAAAATCTCCGGGTCGCGTGCACGTGTCTACTGGCCACGTGATAGAGCCTTGGTCTAGCTGCTAAAACGTATACCATAACTTTTAAATTGATTGATATCAATAAAGAAAAATTAATTGCAATGTGATTTACTTTTTCTTGGATTGGGGGTTAACATTTAAAATTAGTATGTGGTGTATGGGGAAACTCAAAACCTTCGCGCAAATTGCTTTACAATAATTTTGTGTCGTAAGATGGAATTGTAGCGCGGAGCCCCAAACAAAAAGAACACACAGTAGAGACATTGGAAATGAATCTAGCTGTATAACCTTCCTTATTCTTATTATTTTCCTTCTTCTGCTTCTACAAGTCTACACTATTCTATTTTGTTTGTACCGATATATCATTGTAAATATACAAGCCAATAGATATTCCTTGAAACTAAATACTTAACCAATCACGCCAAATCCTGATAGCTAACACCGCAACGTCTGTGCATTATCACAACATGCTATAATAAATACACGGCACGCCTAGAGCATTTGAAAATGATATCACCACTGTAGAGAAACAAAAGATGTTTCTCACTCCTCATCAAACCACATCGCCATCAAGCACCACGCTACAAGAAACAAATTATTCTATCGACGGTTTGTTGGAGCCACACCAGTCGCTTAGACAGCAACGGTGACTTCAACATCCACACCTGGTTCAACAGTGATTTGAGTGATTCTCTTGACAGTGGAAGCTGGGGCTTGCAAGTCAATGACTCTCTTGTGGATTCTCATTTCGTAAGTGTCCCAAGTCTTAGAACCTTCACCGTTAGGGGTCTTTCTGGTGGTGATCTTCAAGACCTTGGTTGGCATTCTAACAGGACCCTTCTTGACCAAGTTGTTTTGGGCAGCATTGTTGATGATGTTAGCAGAAACCTTTTCCAATTGCTTGACCTTGGTGGAAGTCAAGGTGATTCTGATCTTGTGGATCTCTTCTTGTTCTTGTTGAACCTTTTCCTTGTTGATTGGGGCAGACATATTTACGGTAATTAGACGTTGTAAGGAAGTAGAATTAAGTTTTGAAAAAAAAAAGTTTTGATCAAGTGAAAAATTGAGGAGAGCGTGGTGATGGTGGTTTGCGTATGTGCAGGGACCCATACCCACTAGGGCTCTAGCCCTGGTATCATGTGATGTACAATGTATGCAGGATAAATATGAAGTATAAAGTAGTATAAATACTAAATTCAAGACATGTAATGAATATAGGTGGATAAGATTGGATGTAGTAAAGTGGTTAAGGATGTATTTCCACCTTAAGGTTGATATATATTTGTTTAACGATGTTACTTTTTTTAAAAAAAAATTGAGATAATAATTTAAAGTAATTGAAGTATTCTCTAGAGAGGTTTCAAGATATAGATATGACGTTTCCATGATGAAAGAAATAGGTGCACACTTAGTGTGGTTATTATATAAGGAATTTCAACTTTAAGCATTCTTACTAAAGAACATTCAATGATGAATTTAGTTGAAGTATTAAACAACAAAAGATTACTATTGACAATTACTGCCATTATCCATTAATGGGTTATAGTTTTTTAATGATAAATATTACTTATTAGGTCATTCTTAACAGCTCACTCTTACACAATAGTTTCCCCATTATAGGTAGTTAATACTTCACAAGGAAGGAATTGGTTAAAGAATGACAAAATGGGTGCAAAAAAAAAATGAACCTTCTGCAGGAAATTGGTTCCAAAGAAAGAATGGGGTAAACCCTACAACAAGTCACTCATATATAAAAAGGAGACAATGTATTAAGCTCAAATACATGTAAAGAAGAAGTGAGAGCACTCTCTTTCATTCCATCTAGTCATGAAATTCTCAACTATCTATCTTTCGCTTTTTTTAACTTCAGCAGTGTTGGCTGAAGATCGTTGGCCAGCACAATGGTGCGATAAGGAATGTATTGAAACATGTTTATTTGCCCAAGGATGTATTGAATCTGGAAGACCATGTCGTTGTTCATCCCATTTCCAAACCAAATTGAACAAATGTAAAGCTGATGGATGCGAGGAGAATTATGTCAACAAGAATTGGAGTGAAACAGTTACACCATTGCTTGATGATTGTACTGGTAAGTATTATGATGGGCCAATCTAATATACGTTTTTCATACGATTAATCTATTATATACAAGTTGTAATATATGTCTATATCAATTTTTTGGTAAAGTTGTCTTTAATTCCTTTTCAAGTCCAGCTACACATTTCCACATGAGGGAGTATTCTGCTTCATTGGCAGATCCACTGGTGGCCCATCTAATTCTTCCCTTTGCATCCAACAAGTAAATGTATCCTGAACATACATTGTCACAATTTAATTCCTTTCTAACATCCAAGGGGAAAAGCTTATATGGAGCAATGAAGTACTTGTTATGACGAGGTTCTGGAATTAATTTCTTGAGGTTCCCCTTGGAAAGATTAACAATGAATTTCTTTAACGCAGTCTGTGGCATGTTTACATCTATAATCTGAGTCGATGGATACTTTGTGGAGAAACTTTGATATCCATCTGTTAAATAATTCCCCTGATCTGAATCAAAATATGTCTTTGAACAATTTTCCCCAGAAACAGTGGAAAAGACTCTCACAATACTAACTTTCCCTTCCCAAAGTGAGCCCAAACGTTGCTCTTTATTCACCAAGGTGTCGGCAAGGAAGTCTGGGAAATACAAAGACTTGTCTCGTTTAAAATATGATACTGGTGGGGTGAAAATCTTCCCATTAACATTATTAAATGATTTGGATTCATAGAATGGAGAATGAGCAATATCATGATCCAACACTTTTTGTCTCTTCTCCTTGGCATCTGCACTGAACATCTTGTGCTTCACAGCCGTGTACGACAAGTCATATTTATCTGAAGTTTGTGGATTCAACAATGTTGGAGCCGCCAATCCAAATGGCTTGGAGATCAGATGTGAATGTTGAAGTGCGGGTTTACTTGCCTCTTTCAACGTTTCAGCAAATCTTGGGAGTTTTGGCGTGGAAAGAAATCGTACAGAGGTTTTAATCATGTTGTGTAAGGTCTCTCTAATGGTCCAACTCTGTGTATATGGGTTACTCGTTATGCTATATTACTTTCTGGTGTTCTCCGGTATATAGCGTTTTTTTCCCAAGGAAATTGCCCAACTATGGTACACAGACTAAAATTGAAATGGGATAAATCTTTACAACCCTCCATACCCCTTCACAGTTATACTGCTAGCAATCCAAGAAAGCCAATTTGCTGCTTCTTCAACCAGTTTTGCCCCCCCATTAGTCTGCTTCGCTTGAAACGGCCCTTTTTCCTAATACAGTGTACCACCAAAGAGGGAAACAAAGAAAAGAAAAAAAAAACATCGCAGACAAAATCTCGACGAGATCTAAGAGCAAACACATTATTTAGAACCATTACATCGTTCAAGAACCCTGTTAGCATCGTGTCCTAAACAGAAATCACCCCTTCGTAACCCCTGCCCCTGATTACCCCGTGTCCCACTGCTTCATGTCTATTCAATTGAGAGACGGTTTAGCTAATCAGCTGCTTAATTTAGTGCTTGAGGACCTTCTTGTAAGGTTTCTTGTAAATGTCCCAGATGAAGACTTATCATCCATAGAGCGTGTTTTCTTCCAGGTGGAGGAAGCGCATTGGTTCTACCTCGACTTTGTTCGCCAGGTGAATCCATCGTTGCCCTCCATGAGAATGAAATCATTTGCTCCCAAATTATTGGAGAAATGTCCCTTAATTTGGAAATGGGGTAACCCATCCGACGCCATTGCCCGTTTTGGGAAGTACAAGTCCACCATCCCGGTGCGAGGAATTGCCCTTTTCAATAAGGAATTAACAAAAGTTGTATTGGTTCAAGGTATTGAATCCAGTACTTGGTCCTTCCCTAGAGGGAAAATCTCTAAAGATGAGTCAGATTTGGATTGTGCCATTAGAGAAGTTCAAGAAGAAACTGGGTTCAATGCCACTGGATTCATTAATGAAAATGATGTTGTGGAAAGAACAATCCACGGTAAGAATTATAGAATTTATCTTGCCAAAAATGTCCCTGAAGATTATAAATTTGAACCAGTTGCTAGAAATGAAATTGCCCAAATTACTTGGCATGAAGTAAAGCTGCTCCAGAAAAAAGTCCGTACAAACCCAAACAATTACTTTATTTTGAGTGCGGTGATAAAACCCATCATTACATGGATTAACAATAATAAGGGTGTATTAAACGAACAAGAACTCAAGGTTGACGCTGAAATCAAGTTGAAGAAGCTTTTGGGCGTTCTTCAACAAGAATCCGGTAGTAGTAACGATGCTGGAAGAGAATTATTGAATCTCTTACAAGGTGTAAAGGGACCAAGTGGACCTGTTGACATGTCCATTAGTGAATCTGGATCGATTCAACCAGGTTTGGCTGCTGCCCTTGGTGCCCCATATCAACAAATGCTCCAATCCAACTTTCCTCATTTGTTGCAGGGACAATTTCCAAATATGGGGCCAAATGGTTTCCCCATTCAACCACCAATGTTTATGCCTCCATTCCCAGTAAACTTCCTTCCTCCACATCAACAACAACAACAACAACATCTTATCTCACCTTCGCAACCTAACCCTCAGAACTTCCAGAAGCCCAATGGTATGCGTAAATCATCTGAAGCATCTAAAGAACTCCTTTCAATCTTGAATATGGGTCCAAAGAAATCCTCCGCATCTTCTAATCAAACCCCAACGCAAGATGTGGTTAAAAATAGATCTAAAGCTCAACAGTTGTTGAGTTTGGTCAATAAGAACGTCAATAATAAAGAGGAAGAGAAGCCTAAACCAAAGATTCAAATTTTACGTAGACTAGAACAAGCTGAAGTTACACCATCGCCTGCTATTGCTGAAGCTATTCCTGAATCACAAACATCAGATGAAAAGGAATCCAGTGCAGAATATTTCGATTCATTCCAAGCTTCAAATGAATTGGAAGAGTCAATTAACTCAGCAAGCGGCCCAGAACCGGGAAAGAAGATTACAATTTTGAAGAGACCTTCAAAAGAAAACAAGAGTGCATCGGCCGAAATATTGCTGATTCTCGAAAAGCCTACCCCAAACAAAGCTTCTGCAGATCTTTTAAGTGTCTTAAAAGGTTCACCTTCTAGTAAAACTCCAGAAGTGGAAAAGCCTGTTGTTGAAGAGTCTACTGTTAAATCTAAAGAACATACACCTGTGATTCCAAAGTCGACCGAAAATGTAAATCCATCTTCAGAGCTTTTGGGTTTACTTCGTAGAAAGCCTGAGCCTGAAGTTGAAGTGGCTCGTATAGTTGATGCTACTGAACCAGAAGTTAAGTCAGAGGTTGTATCTGAAGTTGAACCAGAGCAAGAAGTTGAATCTGAATCCGAAGATAACTTTGAAGATTTTGAAGATTTTGAACAATTTGATCACTATCAAGACAATATTGAATTTGAAAAATCCAACAGTCAAGACTTCTTCGATATTGAAAGTGAAGAAGAGTTGGAACATATTGAAGACCTGCCTGTTCAACAACCGGTACATGTTCGTGAAAAGGCTAAGCTGCCAGTTCAACAAAAACAAGAGCCAGTTCAACAACCAGTTCAGCAACCAGTTCAGCAACCAGTTCAGCAACTAGTTCAGCAACCAGTTCAGCAACCAGTTCAGCAACAACATGTTCAACAACCAGTTCAGCAACAACACGTTCAACAACCAGTTCAGCAACAACATGTTCAACAACCAGTTCAGCAACAACACGTTCAACAACCAGTTCAGCAACAACCAGCTCAACAACAACCTGGATCATACCAACTTCTCAAACCAGGAGATTCCTTGATGGATTTCTTTGGTAAGAACTCGACAGTTAACCTGTCAGCTCTGAATTTCGATAATAGTAAAGGATTTTTAGATCTTTTAAATAAACCAAAAGCTTCTAATCAACATGACCAAGGAGGTGCACCACAATACCAGTCTATGTTTGGTTTGCCCAATCAAAGCTCCCAATCTCCATCGCTCAACGGACAATCCCCGTCTTTCAATGGGCAATCACTTGCATTCAATGGGCAATCACCTGCATTCAATGGGCAACATCCTTCATTCAATGGACAATCACCCTCTTATAACGGCCAACATTCATATAATGGACAACCTTCATTCAATGGACAACCTTCATTCAATGGACAACCTTCATTCAATGGCCACCAGTCTTTTAATGGACAACCACCTTACGCAAATGGACAGGCTCCTTTTAATCCATCGTTCCACCAATCTTTCCCTAATGGAAATATTATTCCAAATCAACATGAGAATCAACCCCAAATTCCAAATCAATCTGCTTCTCAGAACCTTTTAAGTTTGTTAGGTAAGAAACCTCCCACAGGACAAATGGGATCAAAGGAAACAAGGGCACAACAACCTAACCCTATGCTGCTTGAAGAATTAGAAAGAACTCAGGTTCATCCAGGATTCCAAAATGGGATCAATTTTCAAAACATGAATCAACCCAACCATGCTGCGCATGCAAACTTCCCAATGTCACAAAATAATAACCAACAAGGAGGAACTAGTTCAGCAAGAGATTTGCTCAACATTCTCAAGGGTGATAGTCGTGTAAGTAATGATTCATCTTCCAGTTTCCACTCTGCTGCATCCGGATTCTAATTTATACATAGAGTAACAACTACATTTTTGCATACAACTTTAGGTTAAATTAAATTAAGTTAAATTAATATTACATTTCCATGATTATAAAATAGTTTGTGTAGATTATCATGATATTATATTTCAAAAAATTCACTAACGTTCGTCTTTTTTGAAATGGGTTTAGCTCTTTTAATCGTGCGGGGGTCATTAGACGGTCGGAGCTTCCTTGAAACTTTGAATATGGTTTTCGGTGGGTTTGGTTCTGAAGTAGTTATAGTAGTCTTTGTCGCCACAGCCGGTGTGGGGGGGTTAACGTGATGCAGTCTGTCCCTTATATAACTAATAATATTTGGGTTTTGATTTCTACGGATAATTCTCTCTTTCCATGTGTAAGGCATTTGATCCGGTGATTGATATTCTTCATCGTATACCATGACATCATACAAGATTCTGGTTGATAAAGGGACCGCGTGTCTGTTATGTAACGCATAAGTTTTAAGTCCCAATGGGAGTCGGGAAAGGATATTGGTACCAATATATTTCCAATTTGTATGTTCCACATAAAGAGGGTTGTTGGTTGGAGTAACACTGAGATGGGATGCAAATTCTGATCCTTCCACCAACCGGTGGTTGCACTCTATATAATCCAAAGAGTTTGTGGGCAGCTGCATGAGTTGTGAAATGGCCTGTGAGCTCATTCTGGGACATTTATGAAGAACCAATACTCTCAATTGGTGTAGTTTATCGTCAAGGGCAATGCTAAGGCTCTTGAGAAACAGATCATCCATATCCAGATAAGATAAGTCTAATGCCGTCAAGGTCTTGAAATGTAGGATTAAATGAATATCCATAGTTCTGGAAAGTCTTGAAGACATGTCTAGAGCAAGACCAAGCAGGTTATGTGATACATAGTGAGCAAAGTCCTTTAAAGATACATTTGAGAAGATATTTTCCATTCTATGGAGAACTTTACTGTTACTGGGGATGAGTGAGCCTTGTAATGCCGTCAGTCTAGTTGAGCTAGTATCGGATCTATGACATCTGAAGGTGGGTTCCTTTCCAAACTGGCGGACAAACATTCCAAACACAGCTGGAGAATCTAGTTTCCGTTCCAAGATACATAACCAAACGTGTTTCCACACGGTCCAACTAGAGTCTAGATACGATGGATGGAGCTGTGATACATTTTGAGCTACAGTATCGGCGCAAATTCGCGTGAGCAGTGGTACCATACCGGATGATCTCTGCGGTTCATTTCGGGACTCAGGTTCTATAAGATCCCATCTATATAACGTTTTAATATTGGTGTCCACAAACAAACTATTCTCCTGTCCAATTTTGGTGGAAAGAAGTGAAGAAACGTCTGAAGTTGCGGCTTTCTTCGCGGGAGGCTTCTCTGTTAAGTATCTCCGCTTCTTACGTGTACGCTTCCCCTTTCTCTTACCGGAATTTCCCATATGAAGTGATATTATTCTTGTTACTAATTAGTTATCAATCTTTCAAAGATGTACCCTACCTTGTATGTGTGTATGTATGTATGGGGCTGCTTCCCTGCACACAACGGGCTGTAAAAAAAATTTGGAACTATCAAAAAAAAAAAAAAGAAGAGACAGAAATAAGGTGAAGAGCTTCATAAATATACCCTTTCTACCCAGTATTATCCACCAGTATGAAGCTTGATACCTCGCACATGCGGTACCTTACCGCGGACGACTTCAGCGTGCTTCAAGCCGTTGAAATCGGGACCAGAAACCACGAATTAGTGCCCACTTCACTTATACATCATCTTGGAAGATTGAAATCTCCTACTGGTACAAACCGTTCTATTGGAGATTTAGCCAAATTAAAGCTTGTTTCCAGATTAAGAAACGCCAAGTACGACGGGTTCCGTCTCACTTTCTCTGGGTACGATTACTTGGCGCTCAAGTCGATGCTCAACCGTGAATCATTGTACTCTGTGGGGAACATTATTGGAGTTGGTAAGGAATCTGATATCTACGCCGTCAGTGACCCCAAGGGCCAACAAAAGGTTATCAAGATCCATAGACTTGGTAGAACCTCGTTCCGTACCGTCAAGAACAACCGTGACTATCTCCAGAACAGAAATACATCCAACTGGATGTACCTTTCTCGATTGGCTGCCAACAAGGAATATGAATTCATGGTGATTTTGTACAACAATGACTTTGCTGTGCCCGAGCCATTTGACTACTCAAGACACTGTGTGATGATGGAGTGGATCAAGGGGACCCCTATGAAACATCTCCGGAAACATAAGAATCCAAAGAGACTTTATTCTGACTTGATGAACTTTATTGTCAAATTGGGTAATCATGGGTTGATTCATTGTGATTTCAATGAATTCAATATTATTATTCGTGATGATGAAGAAGCCAAGAACTTTGAGTTTGACTTTGTGGTTATTGATTTCCCTCAATGTGTTTCCATTGAACATGTTGACGCTGAACTGTACTTTGATAGAGATGTTCAAGGTGTGAAAGATTTTTTCGCCAAAAAGTTTAGATACTCGCCAGAAGATGATCCTACAATGTTTGACACTGATGGGTTTGGTGAAGGTTACAAGTATGCTTATCCAAACTTCAAGAGAGACGTTGTGAGAGTGAAGAGCTTGGACAATGAGGTTAAGGCCTCTGGGTATGCCAAGAAGCGCACTGGGGAAGACAGTGACTTGGAAAAGGCTGTTGCCGCTATGAGAGGTCTTGGTGAGGAAGATGAAGAGGAATTACAAGAAGAGGAAGAAGAAGAGGAAGAAGAAGAAGACTCTGAAGAAGACTCTGACGAAGACTTTTATGAAGAAGAGGAAGAGGAAGAGGAAGAAGAGCATGAAGAAGAAAATGAAAAAATCATTGAAGCTTTATCTTCAGGAGTTGGAAAGTTGAAGATGGATAAATTGGGAAATTATATCTTGGAGGATGAATAAATAGCATAATTTAAATATAGAAATCAAATGGCAAATAGAGATATTGTTGTAGTGGCCTATAAGGGAGTTTTATTTTTTGGCTTGACAAAGTTTTACTATTTTGAATAATCATCAGTCAGTCAGTACCAGCAGGCATGTCTGATAAGAGCCAGACAGAGTTCTCTCTTGTATCCTAACTTTATTATATCTACAATATGAATTACTAAGTGCGTATTTATTGACCCAAAAGAATAATAAACAAAATGATTTATACAAAATTATGATTACCTAAAATCTTAACGGGTGGCCATACCCTTGGTGACGGCACGCTTCAAGGCCAATTCAGCCTTTCTGTAGTCATCAGCAGAAGATTCTTCAACTTCCAAAGTAGCCAAAGCGTCAGAGAGAGCAGCTTCGATCTTGTCCTTAGCAGATCTCTTCAACTTGGCAGACAAGACTGGGTCAGTGACAGTGGATTCAACAGAGGAAACGTAAGCTTCCAACTTTTGCTTTTGTTCGTGTCTCTTGGCGAAAGCATCGTCAGAGGACTTGAACTTTTCAGCGTCTTCAATCATCTTTTCGATTTCGTCAGAAGACAACTTACCGATAGAGTTGGAGATGGTGATGTTGGCGGTACGGCCGGTGGACTTTTCAACGGCGGTAACCTTCAAGATACCGTTAGCATCAACTTCGAAGATAGCTTCCAAGACTGGTTCACCAGCTTGCATTGGTGGGATGTTCTTCAAGTCGAATTCACCCAACAAGGTGTTTTCGGTACAGTTGACACGTTCACCTTGGTAGACTGGGAATTGAACGGTGGTTTGGTGGTCAGCAACAGTGGTGAAAGTTCTCTTCTTGATGGTTGGGACAGTGGTGTTTCTTGGGACAACTGGAGCAAAGACGTTACCTTGCATAGCGACACCGAGAGACAATGGAATGACATCCAACAACAACAAGTCCTTGGTTTCTTCAGAAGTGGATTGACCGGTCAAGATAGCACCTTGGACGGCGGCACCGTAAGCAACAGCTTCATCAGGGTTGATGGACTTTTCCAATTGCTTACCGTCAAAGAAGTCAGACAACAACTTTTGGACCTTTGGAATTCTGGTAGAACCACCAACAAGGACAACTTCGTCAACAGAGGACTTGGAGACACCAGAGTCCTTCAAAACCTTTTCAACTGGTTCCAAAGTAGACTTGAACAAAGCGGAGTTAATGTCTTCGAATCTAGCTCTGGTAAGGTTAGCAGAGAAGTCTTCACCTTCGAACAAAGAGTCAACTTCAACAGTGGTTTGAGTGACAGAGGACAAAGTTCTCTTAGCACGTTCACAGGCAGTTCTCAATCTTCTCAAAGCTCTAGCGTCAGAGGAGATGTCCAAACCGGTCTTCTTTTGGAAGTCAGCCTTGAAGAATTCGAGCAAGTTGGTGTCGAAATCTTGACCACCCAAGTGGGTGTCACCAGCGGTGGCCTTAACAGTGAAGACACCACCAGTGATGTTTAAGAGGGAGACATCGAAAGTACCACCACCCAAATCGAAGATAAGGACGGATCTTTCCTTGTCGGACTTACCAGCACCCAAACCGTAAGCAATAGCAGCGGCGGTTGGTTCGTTAATGATACGTAAAACGTTCAAACCGGCAATAGAACCAGCATCCTTGGTAGCTTGACGTTGAGCGTCGTTAAAGTAAGCTGGGACGGTAACAACAGCCTTTTCGACCTTCTTACCAATCTTGGCTTCAGCAATTTCCTTCATCTTGGTCAAGACCATGGAGGAGATTTCTTGAGGAGAGAAAGACTTGGTTTCTTCCAAGTATTCAACTTCAATTTGTGGGTTACCGTTAGAGTCGACAACCTTGAATGGCCAGGACTTGATATCCTTTTGGACGGTTTCATCTTCGAAACCACGACCAATCAAACGCTTGGCATCGAAAACAGTGTTCTTTGGGTTCAAAGCAGCTTGGTTCTTAGCAGCATCACCAATTAATCTTTCTTCGGCAGTGAAGGCGACAAAAGAAGGAGTAACACGGTTACCTTGTTCGTTGGCAATGATTTCGACAGCAGAGTCGTAAGTAGCAACACAAGAGTAGGTGGTACCTAAATCGATACCGATAGCACCTTGAAAAACACCGTCAGCCATTTTAAATATAGTAAATTATGTTCTGGTTGAAGAGAAAAAACTTCAATCTAAAAATTAATTTTTCAGTCTATTACTTTAATAGATGGAGAAAAAAAAATTTTCAGTCTTCACAAATTAGTTGAAAGAAAAAACGATTTTGTGGCGTTCTGCAAGTTACTCTGGCTGGTACTACTAAACGGTTGTTCCTTCTGCGTAAAATTTAGACTGCGTGCCTGTGTTACCCGGAAATATTGTTTTTTTTTTTTAGCAAATGGGTGCAAAAAAAAATCCGATGCGCATCAGATGAAGATTGGGTAGTGTGGGAGTTTGATTTGATATAATGGAGGCATAATGGTGTTTGAAGGGCCACACTAGAAAGCAAAAAAAAAAGCAATTTTGATGATTAGAAAGTTGTTTTCTCAAGATCATTGAAGTAGAAGAGATGTAGATATCTGGCATTGATATGTTGCGATAAGGTTGAATAGGGTAGGTTTTGGACATTGGATGGAGTTATCGGCAGATTGCAGTGTGTGACAGATAGAGTAAGGTTGTTGGAATTCACATGACCGTTTTGGACTCCTTTTTTGTTTTATTTTTTTTTTTTTTGTTTCATTTATGTAAGAGCTTATTGATAAGTGATGGAGTAGGTAAGTCTAAATTATTGTATCATCCAATCCATTCCTTGGATTTAAATCATTTTGAATCATTTTAATTGCTTCTTGTACCTTATAAAGGGGCCCCAGTATAGTGATAGTTTGTGGTGTTCTCTGTCTGGATAACATAATATCTTTATGTGTACTTGATTCCAAGATCTTAATCCTACATCCGCTTGCCACTCTAAAATGGTCGATTCTTGATCCATGACGTCCAATGATATATGTAACATCTGCTTGGGTTAAAGTGATTTCCTTTGTAATGTACTCAGCTGCTTTCTCCTCTTCTTCTTCTTCCTCTTCTACTTCTTCGAGTACTTCCTCTTCTTGATCTTGTTCTACTTCAAATACTCCCTCATTTCTCTCTTGTTGTAAATATCTTTTCGATTGTATTGGCCAATAAAATGATAGTTTCAACTGTTTTATACATCCCTTACTTCTCAATTGGAGCATCTCGTGTACCGAAACATTCACTATATACCCATTGCTTGTAACTTTTCCAAATCGACAAAGTTGAAACATCTCCCGTTTACTAACTATGAGATTGATTCTCTGGAACATTGTTTTACAAAGGTCTTTACCAATAAACAATGTCATTGTAAATTCAACTAGGCTATTCTTTTCAATTTTAATTGATGACCTACCTTGGCCACTACTTCCATAGATTTGATTCCTTAATAAAAAGTCAATACAATCCAATGTGGAGATTATTATCGTAAAGGTGACTTCTGGTGATGATTCTTGATAAATTAAATCAAATTCTACATTATGTGGAGATATAATTCTATTCATTATATCTTTTTTGGAAAGTTCAACAGATATAATTGAGTTAAAGAAGTTATCTTCATCTGACGTTTGTATAGTATCTGTCATTTAGTTAGTAGTTGCTGTTTAATACAATTTATTGTTTCATGTTGTTGCAAAAAAAATTAAGTGCGGATTGGCTGTAAAATGGGTAAAATAACAATGATCAATAAGAGAAATGGTAAGTAAAGCAGGAATCGAGAAGTATCTATCAAAAAACTATCAGGAAGAATCTATTGAAAAACTTTCAAGAAGATTCTCTCAAAAAGAATAGTCATATATTTGTTATTCTTCCTCTGCTTATCTAGTGTCTCTTAATCAATTAACCCTCTAAACTATCCCACATATATCTCCTCTAATCCCTACTATCCCTCCATTTCATACTCCTCTATCTACAAAATCTAACTTATCGTAATATAATTCATCATCATCTATTGACATAATTTCAATACCTCAGCAGCTTGATATAAATACTGATATTGATGAATAGTTTGCACCATCATCATTCTTTGTGATCTACACTTTTCCACCGTATCTTCAATGATATCTTCAACAAGATCATCCTTCTTTGTATCTTTTGCCCTGCTGAGTAAATAATCAAGTACAATAAACGTACCTGTTCTTCCCACTCCAGCAGAACAATGTATCACCGGAACTGGTGGATTCTCCTTGGAATATTCACTATGCATTTGTAATTCCCTTGAAAGCTCCAAAAGAGGCTCTACCGATGGAGGTGTCTTTGTGTCGGCCCATTTGAAATAATAATAATGATATACCTTCTTTGTCTTTGTTGATGATTTCAATTCAAGTTCAGTCTCAATAAAATCTCCCTTAGCATTATATTTCTCCCTAATAAATTGAAGTTTAAATTTAGAATCTTCATCTATATTTAATCCATCTTTTTCTATTAAATTTGTAAAATCTAAAGTATCATCTTCTTTCAGTGGCCAATACTTTTCACATTTGGTAATGCCACTCTCCGATAATGGGGTCACCATCCCCACCACAATCACGTCATTCCCCTGTTTCTCAGACTCATGGTAGCACATCAGCCAGAAATGATGTATGGTTGTCTTCAAGGGACCCTGTGCAGCAATGTATTGTTTCTTGTCCGACAACTTGATATAAGACGCATTTATATAATTTGAATGTGGTTCAACTGCTGGTAATTTCACCCTAGTGGCATCCCAGGGGAACACGTTCAGATACCGGTTTCTAAACACATTGTTTGCCGTGGTGGCATCTTCAAATGAGTAGCCTGTTTTCTGATACCCATGTCCAGGTACTAGTTGCCGTTGACGATTCATGTACTGCATGCCATCCTGGACTCTTTGTGCCTCCATGGATTCAATTCTAGCAAAAGCTGCTCGTTGGCTGGCTCTTGAAGCCTTCGCGGTCAGTGTCGTCCCCATATCTACCCTTTTCCGTATATAAATGTATTCAAAAAGTAGAAATAACCTTTAAATAGTATTTGATTGGAGGGGATCGGATCGTGATCTGGATCATTCCTTAAAAATAGTCGGATCTTTTTTTTTTTTTTTTTTGCTTTTTTGCTTTTTCTTGCAACATTTGGAATGTACAGGAAACGGCTAATTTCTTAAACAGCAGGGGTGGAAATGAAACGAAATGAAATTGAAAGAAACCGAAGCGATTGACGAGATGGTTCATTCGTTATATAAGAGAAGAACATCTATAAATAGATGGTGGATATATAAATTTCGGAATGTGGGGAATTGATTGACGATATTTTTATTTTATCTAAGATATTTTTTTACTACTGTTTACAATTTGCCGATTAAAATTCTTTCTAATGTATTTCTTATTATTTCTTCTCTATCTATTTCTATACCCCCAGCCCCATTCATTCTCTCAATGAAGCCAAATCAATTGGCTCTCCAACTTCAACAATCTCATCGTAGACTAATGTGGTCAAGAAATCACTGATTTGTTCACCTCTAAATTCTGGGAGTAAATATTTTGCAGCCAATTCAAATTTGTTTCCCTCCTTGGAATTGGCAACTAATTTGGCAGTTTCTTCTTCCAAAATCTTGGCGGTAAGTTCTGGGGTAACATTGCCAGATTGGTCTCCTAATTGAACATTGTGTTTCACCCAAGAGTAAATCATCAATCTAGAAACTTCAGCAGTGGCAGCATCTTCCATAAGATGATTGATTGGAACACATCCAACCCCACGGATCCATGACTCCATGTAACACAAGGCAATGTATACATTTTGTCTGATGCCTTCAACTGTGACCATACCACCATCAATTGAAGTATTGGACAAATCTTGTGCTTGTACCGATTGTTCAGGAATGATAAACATTTGGTTAGGTGTTGGCATATGAGTGTTAAAAATATCGTTGGCAATTGGGGCTAACGCTGGATGTGCTACCCAAGTCCCGTCATAATGCATGGTCACTTCTCTAAGCTTATCAGCGGCAACTTTGGCCATTGCTCGTTCATTGGCCTCAGGGTCGGTTTTGATTGGGATTTGTGCTGCCATCCCACCCATGGCATGGACACCTCTACGATGACAAACGTTGATAAGACGTTTACAGTATGAAGACATAAATGGCACTGTCATGGTGACTTGGTTTCTATCAGGTAAAATCTTTTGTGGATGATTCTTCAAAGTCTTGATGGTGGAAAAGATATAATCCCATCTACCACAATTTAAACCTGCTGAATGGTCTCTTAATTCATAGATGATTTCCTCCATTTGATAGGCAGCTGGTAATGTTTCGATCAAGACGGTGGCTCTGATGGTTCCTCTAGGAATACTCAAAATATCTTGTGCAACATTAAATATATCATTCCAAAGTCTGGCTTCCAAATGATGTTGCATCTTTGGAAGATAGAAATATGGTCCTAATCCATTAGCAACCAATTGATGGGCATTATGGAAGAAATAAAGCCCAAAGTCAAGAATTGATCCACTGATAGGCTCGCCATCAACAAGAATATGCTTGTCAACCATGTGCCAGCCTCTTGGTCTAACAATCAAGACAGGAACGTGTCTCCCCTCGCGATTAACCTTGTACGCCTTGGCAGGAGTTTCAAAGTCAATTTGCTGGCGGATGGCGTCATACAAGTTAACTTGTCCATTAAGAACATTTTGCCAAGTGGGGGAAGTTGAATCTTCAAAATCAGCCATATATGTCTTAACTGGAGTATTCAATGCATTAACAATCATTTTACGTTCTGGAGGACCAGTGATTTCTGTTCTTCTGTCTGCGAGTCCAGGAGCAGGAATGGCCCCCTTCCATGCTTGTCCACTAATATCCAATTTATCCTTGGAAATGAAATCTAAACGGCTCAAGTCTTGGTCGATTTCCTTTTGAACTTTTTCACGATTGGCAAGAAGTTCCCTTCTTTTACCATCAAAGGTTCTATGAAGTAAAACTACAAAGTCAAGTGCCTTCTTGGTAAGGATATCTGCCTGTGATGTGGGGGAGCCGGCATCAGAAATTGGTGCTAATATTTGTACTGATGTCATAGCTTTTGTAATAATGGTGTATGAGTCTTTAAAGCCAGAAAAAAAGAGGGACTTCCTTTCCTTTTAAATTATTCCCAAACTTTTGCACCCAACGTCGGCCAGATGGATGTGCAAGTCTGCGCCCGGAGATCTTACATTATAAAACGATTAGATATCAGACCAATCGCGATCCGCATCCTATTCTGACGGCGGGCCGGAACTTGCCATCTCACTACGGAGTTTGGCGCGCCGGATCCCTAACGGGCGTCTCCGAGATATTTTTTTGTTTTTAGTTCCTAACTGCGAAAACGGCTCTCAATACCGAAGCTTAATGTTGTATTGGTAGAACTCCGGTATGTGTCAACAGATAATAACAAGGAGTTTAAGAGAAAAGAGGGGGGGTAAGTTTGATTTATGTGACAGAATTGACGAATTTCATGATGGAACGGCTAATCTATAGTTTTAGCCGTGTACACTCAAAATTCTTTAGTAACTCCGTTTCGATCCTGCCATGCACCAATCGAGTTGTACTTTCCTCGGTAGGGGAACAAGGACTCCACGGATAGTGATTCATGGAGTTCCAACGGAGCCGCTTACACCCCCCGCAGTGAAGTGTGTAGTCCCTCTGCCGGGTCTTCGGTATCAAGGATCGGAGTCGTAATTGCACCGAAAGATGTAGTTTATTATTTATCTCTGGGCCTCGTGTAGAACGTTGACATGTGCCCTTCCCTTTTAAGCTTCCTACAATTATCCTCCACATCTAGAGGTTCTCTACGCGTCAATTCTATTGCATTGGATGAATATATCGTCTAGATACTTATACTTGCTTGAGAATTCCGGACCCTAAACGTCCGTTGATGGTTGCCTCGTCGTCCTTGAGAACACCTGCGGTCTTCAACACATCAGCAGTCTTGGTGACCACAGCAGACCAATCGAGCGGAGCAGTTCCGATCTTGTTGTTGAAAGTAACGGTCTTCATCCATTCGGTGGCATCTTCCTTAGAATAGTCCAAGTTGGTGTGAATGTATGTCACGGCCTCGTCATGGTGTGCCTCGAAGTATTGAACCCCTTCATTGATGGCGTTTATAAACTTGGCCACGTCGGCATAGTTCTCCAGAAGAAGCTCTGACCGAGCAGTAACCACCCATGACGGCCATGGGGTGTAAATCTCACCAATCTTCTTGATCTCCTTGCTGTCGTAGTACTTCTTGGATGTGAAGTGTTCCCACATAAAGGCGTCACTATGGTCTTCAACGTTGTCCCCAACCAAATTCACAGAGTCTCTCAAGTTCTTGAAAGTGGACCGGGTGGGGTACCCGGAGAAGAAAGGTTCTGCAAACGCCAATTGGTGGCCCAACACAAAACTCATGATATATGAGCCCGATCCGATCCGTGACACCCCAATCTTTTTGCCCTGCAAGTCTTCCAACTTGGTGATATCTTCACGTTCCGCACCGGTGCTGACTGCCCAACATAACGGCGACGTGACGTATGTGTCAACTATCTTGTATGCGTCGTTTCCATTCCCGATGTCGGCAACAAAACCCTCGGTCAAACCAATGGCCAAATCAACTTCCTTGGCATTGAGCATCTTGACAAGTCTGCCAGTGCCTTCGAGAACTTGAACGAATTCAATCTCCAAACCCTTGGAGGCGTAATATTTCTGTTGCTCAGCAAAGAACAAAGGGGTTGAAAAATGCTCTGGGATGTATGCCACTCTTAACTTTGTCATATTAGTCGATTTTTGGTGCAATCAGTCAATTAATGATGGGGATTGACTGCCCCATGTTAAACCGTTGAAATCGGAAAATACGTCAAAAAAAAGTGTGTGGGCGAAAAGTTGGGGAGAGCACGTGATCTACGGGAAGATTAATATAATTAAGGATATCTTTTGAAAAATAGCTCGAATGAATCAGTCCCTCTTCTGTTAAGATTGAGTCCCATCAAGTTTCTTTATCAAGTTTGTATTAATTACAGATCCAGTATATTAATGAGATGGTAGTTACTTAATATGTATTCATTGTAGTCATAGAGATCACGTGGGGTCCCAGGAAATTATACCTTTGTCTCCAAGTTTAAACCCTTCAGGACATTTTAAACTTTTCACTTTAAGGTTATATCTCATTCATTATTCCTCTAACCACGGGGAACGCAAGATCATGAATTGAACATTTTATAATTTATCTGGTGAAACCTTAAAAATAGTAGAATATATTTTAATAGTCATTTTTCAAAAACAATTCTCTAAATACAATGAAGTACATGCAAACTTACTTAATCTCTGAAGTATGATCGGTATTTGACGGCCGGACCATACATGAACTTGCCTTGGCATTGTTTTTTTTACTTTCAATATTCCCTTAGGAGTCACTGTGTACCCTCTTAACGGGAATACGGTATACGAGACTGATAGTATCAATACCCAAATTATGTAATGTCTGACCACATCCAAAGGAAGTGAACAAAAAATTCCATTAGAGGAATTTCATTGACGTCCAAGGGAATAAGAACAAAATGGTACATTTATAGTTAAACTTCATAGATCATGATTTTGTTCTTCTCTCGCAAGGCATGGATGAAGCTACGCAAGTCGGGTATTTCATATGAGGGCCACAATCTTGAGACCCCAGTTGTTTTTTTTTTAAAGGGAAGACAGATATTCTGCCTTGTGGTGTCATCCAATAATTATTCTCTTTGGAGTTTCTAAAATATTTTTTTTTGCAGCCATTATACTTGTATATTCCCAGAAGGTCTATCCAGTAAGCATACACAGGTATTGCAGAATTTATCTTTAACACTTTACAATATCCAGGAATATCTGAGATAGCTTGTCCTGCTTTAAATATTCTTGCCAGTTTCATTTCATTGTTTGCACATTTCACATTATCTAGTGTATTCTATTACCAAAAATTATTTTATGCGGAACCCTCTATACACCAAAGTACGAACTTGTACGACATTTAGCAGAATACATGTTAAAGGCTCTAGATTTAGAACCAAATGATTTCAGATATTCTATAAACTAGTTAGAACCTCTTCTAAGTACCATACTATTCAATATGTTTCTTCTGTCAATAGCTTTTATAAATCAATTTCATACAATTACTGCCATTTCTGTAGACTTGTATCAGCCACTGGGAGACCGTAATTCTGGAATCGTATTTCTTTCTACATCTACAAACGTCGTTGGCTTAGTCCAAATATAGAAGAGTTCCAGTCCAGATTTTATGAGCTTGTTGTCAGACTGGTTACACTGGCAGTTAACATGGTATCTTGTTGGCATATGACTATGCTTCCACTGGTAATGCTGGAAAGACCAGTACCTTTGTACAACTCGTGTACCGGGGAAACATACCTTGTCGGTTGTTTCTTGGTTGTCCCTCTGTTCCCTGAACACAATATCCAACAAGGTCAAAACTCATGTCCACAGCAAATGCCGTCAGTAATAAGATGTAATCAAGTTCATCCACCCTCACTTTACAACCCCATGCTTCAATATCTCCTCAGCTAAATCTTACCATTCAAGGGTGGACCATCAAGAACCGATAAGTATTATTACACATTTAGCCCAGCACTTCAAGGCTCACCCAATGTCAGTTTTTGGATTGCACCAATTATTGTATTGTTTTCGTCAACTCTACAGCTCCATCATCCATGGTTCTTCGAATCAACTCAATCTCCAAACCACACATTAACTTTCCCACGTGAACAAGTACCCTTACTAGAGCTACACCTTATACCCCCACTAATATCACACAAACTACCCACGGATCATCTCTGCGAATTACTTCTATTTTCCCAAACTCATCAACTTCAACAGTTGCTTCATTAACTTCAATTTTCGCAGCCTTTTTTAACATTCTTCCTTTTTTCAATAGAATGTTATTTCTTTGTCCTACACGGTACATTTACAGACAATTAAAATATACAATGATAGTTCCTCTATACGCAACCCAATAAACAATGCACGTCAAAATTGACGATCAGTCTCTTTTCCAAACACGGAGCAGAAATACCTTCTAACAAGCACAGCTTTCCCCCGCGGTTGAGGAAGCTGCACCAGACAAGTCTACACGCCCTTCGTTGACCGAAGCGGACTGTGCGGGCAGGTCTGAAACCTGGGGGATTTTACTTCCTATTCCAATGAATACCTCGTTAACATTGTATGACGTTTTGGCACTTGTTTCAAAGAAAAGTAACCCTTCCTCCTCGGCAAGACTCTGACCTTCCTCGACACTGACCTTCCGCAAGGAATCCTCAGCGGTATCATCTTCCACCAAATCGTGTTTGTTCCCAACAAGCGCTATGGTGATATCCTTGGACGCTTGCTCATGCAACTCCTTGACCCAATGTCTGGCCTTGATAAACGAAGCAGGTTTGGTGATGTCATACACAACCAACGCCGCCTGCGCGTTCCGGTAGTACATGGGCGCCAACGACGCGAATCTCTCCTGGCCGGCAGTATCCCAGATCTCGTACTTGATGGTCTTATCTCCAATGGTGCATTTCTGTGTTAAAAACGCCGCCCCAATGGTGGGCTCCTTGTTTTCTTGGAAATCATTGCTGACAAACCGCAACACAAGCGACGACTTACCCACGGCAGCCTCGCCTAGTAACACCAATTTAACTGGCGTGGCAGGATTAGGAAAGCTCATGACCACTAAAGGTAACAAATGACGATTTCTCTATCAACAACAAAATAAATATATATCTATGTATATATGCAGTAGTAGCGCACGGTGGTGTTATTATACTATGACCCCGGTAACTTATATTAGCTCTCACAGTTATTCTGTGGGGATTATTAGCTATTTATTATTTGCAATTGTGATCTATCCAAGTTTGATCTTGTTTGCCTTCTTATCCCTAATCAAGAGGGTCATTATTTGGGGCGAGCACGACCTCGTCAGTTTGAGCGTTGTTTGAAAGTATGCGCAGACGGGAAAAAAAAGAAACGTCCGTAACTACGCCCCTCCATAAAATAACTCCTGTCGTTTAGGTGCGACTCTCTAACTCTTTTTTTTTGCAGCAAAGAGGAGAAGATAGTTGGGGAAGAGATATATATATATATATATCTAAGTAGGGTAGATGTGTAGGGATGTAGAGAGGTGGAGAGAGGTGGAGAGGTGTAGACGTACCATATGGAGGGGAGGTAGACCGGATGTAGGGAGTTGTTTACGAAGGACGACTGCGAAGGTAAATAGTTCCAATGGTTGTGGTTGGAGGGGTATGTAATAACAATCTTCTTGTGTATACGAGAACTCTGGGCGATTTGAAGATAGTCACTGCCAAGTTGAACCTCTGAGGCGATACACATCGACCATCTATCTATAAGGGGGAGGTTGTCTTTTGCAGCCATTCCTCATTAGAGGAATTACGCCCCCACGGCTAGTGGCCCACGGAGTGCTAGCGGAGCGGCTTGCACACCCCATAGAGTGGCTACTATTTTCCCTACGGTGTCCGTGTGACTGAGTACTAGCGGTCCGAATTACACCCCGTAGGGAAGTGGATACGATGTCAATAGGACGATTACTGTGCAACTCTGATGTAGTTTTAACACGTGTATTCTACAGCGGGTTGAGTCTAGCTATATATTGCAGAATTGGGGGAGGATTGGATGACCAAACGGAGAGATTATGTCTTTCTGGCAACCCAGAACTCACATTTATACTCAAAGCCGCCTAACAGTCTGGGATCAGAGCAATAAGGGGTCGAGATTCCACTCTCATGCTTTTCGAAAACAAACCCCATCTTCTCCACAAGTGACAAAAGATCGTCCCGCGATAGTTCTAGTCCCTTGCGTGCCGTGGGGACAATGTCTCGCTTCCCATCTGCGGACAATCTCTTGATGTACGACATGTTGCCATCATCTTCAAAATGCCAGAGAAGGGGCCCGAAATTGATCCATACGGCGCCTGGTTTGAGTGAATGGGAGATGGTCTTGATGTAGTCAATAATGTTCAACGAAGTGTCAAGAAAGAAACACGTCACCACAACGTCAAAATAAGCAGCATTTTCCGTCCGGAACTCATTTGCCTGCGCATCTTCTGAATAGGTATCGGACACTTCACCCATATTCTCCGGGCCGTACAAATCTACAAAGGACCCCGCAGCCATGGACATGAGTTCACAGTACGGGATCTCCGGCATGGACTGCTCAAGTTGAGCTATTTCACCCGGGTTGATGTTGGGGATGGTGATGGGTCTCAATTGGTTGACCCGTTTGGTCAAGTGAGAAAACTTGTGAATGAAGGGGAAAATCGAATGGTTATGGGCAACAAAGGAATGGTTCAACACGTAATTGGATGCAAGGAGCATATGATAACTGAATTCATTACCCTGACACCAAAACCCTTGCTTGACAAGTTCAAACACAAGTCTACCAGTGCCACATCCAGGAACCAAGATCTTGCACTTTTGTCTTGTTGGTAAGTCAGGGTAGAGCTTACATACTTGATCGATGATTTTCGTAAAGGATATCTGTCTTTCCACCTCACCATCATCACTCCATTCTCTTGATAATTGTAAAAGAATAGATCGAACTTTTTCGAAATCTTGTGGGGTACAACTTGCCCATTGAGAAGGATCGGTTGGAGCCCCCCAATCTTGCGCTATAGTGAGGGCCAATGTCCTGGTGAAATCCTCATTCATTCTGAGACATTGTTCCAAATCATCGATATGTTTAGGGTACCAGGGGATAAGTTTTAAATCTTGTTCAGTTAATGAAGAGATTTTAACTCTACGAGGAGAGATCAATTCATTATGGGCCCATCTTCCGTAATGATAGAAGGACAGAAGGGTTGAAGTGAGAGCTTTATATTCTTCTAAATCTGGTTCTGCCATGGGAGAAATAGGTGGTGAAGGGGTAGAGTTGGAGATAGAGTGGAGGAGAGAGTAAGAAGAGTAGATGTGTTTTGGATATAGATCATACTAGATGATAGATGATAGTGATAAATCACGTGAGAAAAGCGAAGTTTAGTAAGTGGAATTGGAAGTTTAAGATAGAGAAGTGGATAGAGGGAGAAAGAGATGAAGGGAAAAGAGTGAAGGGGGGAGAAGATGTATTATAATTGAAAGAGAAGTTGAGATATATAAGTTGAGATAGAGGATAGAGAGAACTTGATGATAGTTCTTCTTTTACCATGTGTCACGTGAGGGAGCTATGGAAGTATAGTTCCAGTAAACATAGACAAATATTAAAGATATACTATATATCTCAAGGAATAAATCTATTGGAACCATCAGATTAGCTCAGTAGACATATCAGTTAGTTGTAAATATCTCATTGTAACTCTAAATTATCCTTCCATGTCTCATAATTGTGGTCGCAAATTCACCAGCCAATGATCGCGCTACAAAAGAAGCTTACTATGGATGAAATTTAAAGTTGGAAATACCTACAGTTGGGTCCCCCAGAGAAGTCTCTGGGAAGTCTCTAGGGGTTAAGAAAGACGGAGAATCTCGAGCTTACCACCTATTCAAAATTCTCTCTTTGTAAAAAAAAAAAAAAGGACCTTCTCTCAAAAATACTGGAGAACTTCTGGAGTTAAGACCGAGTAATCATGCCATGTACACTAACGCATTTCCTGGGTATAACAGACCCATCTCCAACCAACCAGACTCATCATCCTACCACTAATCTCCATTCTCACTTTCCAATTACACTCTACACTCCTTACCCATTCTCACCCTTTTTCACCCATTCTCACACGCACCCCAACTTTCACTGGCCCAGATCTACCTCGCTTCATTTACCTAAATACTTTTTCTGTACAGTTTAAGAAAAAAAACCAAAAAAATCACACCGTGACAATTTTAAACACACTACAATCAAGTCTTACACTATCCACACATATACAGCAATGCCCTCGGCAATCGCCCCTGAGACGCTGGAGACGGTCCCGTCTGCCTCTCATGACTATTCAGAACTTTTCCGCCGGCTCGACGTGCAAAACACAGGCGCAATCACACTCCACGATTTCAAGCAAGCTCTCAAGACGATCAATCACCCCATATCGGACAAGCCCGAGCTTGTACAACAGGTGTTCCTGTCATTCGACAGCAACAACGACCAAATCATTGACTTTGCAGACTTCAAGATGTACTTGACCACCACCGATGATCAGATCTTGAAAGGGTTCAACAAGATCGACAAGGACCGTGACGGCAAGTTAAATAAGACAGACTTTGTCGAGTACTTGAAAAAAACCTTGAACCTCACCCCATCCAAGGATAGCATAGACAAGATCTTCAACAAGATCGACTCCAAGAATGACGGGTACATCACGTACGATGAGTTCAGAGACTTTTTAATTCTCATGCCACGTCTTCATGGGTCCCGAATCAAGACCGCATTCAACTACATCGTCGAGGAGTTGGACTTGTCCTCGGACGGGGAGGTTACTCTCATCAACTCGTTCTTGAACGGGTTTGGATACTTCCTTGCCGGTGGGTTTGCCGGAGTTGTTTCAAGAACTTGCACGGCGCCGTTTGATCGGATCAAGGTTTTCTTGATTGCCAGAACGGATTTGTCTTCCACTGTACTTCATTCGAAACGAGAAATTGCCGAACATATCGCCAATGGTGCGTCGAAACAGGTGATCGAAGCGGCCAGGAAAAAGGTTGCTGCTGCTGAATTGGAACTTGCAGCAGCCAAGAAACTCGCAGCACTGGAAGCTCATCCCAAGACTATCCGATCCCCCATCATCCAAGCGGCCAGAACTCTTTGGAAACAAGGTGGATTCCGCGCCTTTTACGTGGGGAATGGACTCAATGTGTTGAAAGTTTTCCCCGAGTCAGCCATGAAGTTTGGCTCCTTTGAAGCAACCAAGCGCTTTTTGGCCAAGGTGGAGGGTGTCGCTGACACGTCAGAACTCCTGAAGGCCTCCACATACTTGGCTGGGGGTATCGGCGGTGTCTGCGGACAGTTTGCCGTTTATCCGATCGACACGTTGAAGTTCAGATTGCAATGCTCGAACTTGGACTCACATATCAAGGGTAATGCCCTCCTCATACATACAGCCAAGGAAATGTTCAGAGAAGACGGGTTCCGCATTTTCTACCGAGGCTTGATTGTCGGGGTCAGCGGGATCTTCCCATACGCCGCTTTGGACTTGGGTACCTTTACCACCATAAAGAGATGGTTGGTGAAAAGAGAGGCCAAGAAGCTTGGAATGCGCGAAGATGAGGTTAAATTACCCAACTACATGGTATTGACCTTGGGTGCCTTGTCTGGTACGTTTGGTGCCACCGTCGTGTATCCCGTGAACTTGTTGCGTACAAGACTCCAGGCGCAGGGAACGTACGCACACCCTTACCGGTATACTGGGTTCAATGACGTGTTGAAACAAACAATAGTCCGTGAGGGGTACCCGGGTCTTTTCAAGGGGCTTGTTCCCAACATCGCCAAGGTTGCACCTGCGGTATCGATCAGTTACTTCATGTATGAGAACTTGAAGTACATATTTGCATTAGACGAGAAGTTGAAATAAGATGGACCATGGATGGGTTGAACCAATGGTGGAGCGAGGAGCACGCGCTGGGTATAACTAATGGATAGAAACTTATATTATTATAAAACTATTTAGAATCCAAATATAAGATATCCCTATAATTGACTATTAAGTCTGGTATTAGTACACTATTATATATGTCTCTCATGGGTCTGTCAGTACTCCCATCCTTAGAGGGGGATGTGAAGCCGCTCCACTGGCACTCCGTGGGCCAATAGCCGTGGTGGCCTTGTTCCTCTACCGAGGAAGGACCACTACAAAGGATTCTCCTCGTAGAGGAGCTAGGCACCACGCAGTGGCTCTCCCCGAGCAGGGGCCAGCGGAGCGGCTTGCATTCCCCGTAGGGTAAGAAGAGAGCTCCCCCCATGGGACATTGAATCGCTCCGCTGAATGTTATGTATTGTCTATTAATTATCTTATTGTCGTTCTCTAACGTATTCATTTTGTAGTCCAAAGCAAAGAAATCCAACTTCAACTTCAGCAATAGGAACAAATTTTGTTTTCGGTACATTTGTAGAAGAGACAGGTTGCGCTCGTACCCATTCCTTAGACGTACTTAGGGATAATCCATCATTAGCAACATCAATCATAACCTTGAAGAATAGATCTTGTGGTAATGATTGACGTTCTTGTTTCGAGGATTTGCGTTGTAATTCCAATTGTTGATGGAATAGAAAAGATTTGAATTGTGAATATATTTCTTCCCATGAGAATCCAGGTAGATTTATTATTGGATGGGAAGTTGACTCCAAATCTTTTAGTAAAGTTCTAATGGGAGTTTTGATTTCATCCTTTAAATTTATAAACAGTTCAAACTTTAAGATGTAACGTTCCTGATCTTTATTCGTATGTACATCATACAACAAGACACTCAACTGCTTGACATGCCCATCTTCGATACTGGCTACTGGACCCTCTGTGGTTAAGGTATCTAAAAAATCTACAACTAAAGTTTCTATGTATTCAGTAAGGGATGGATTTCTGGAGATATAAACAATCAAATCAAATGAAAGAGCTTTGGTGAATACTTCCAGGGGGTAGATGTTATTATAAAAGAGGATTTGGTAGATCCAGACCACCAAGAGTTCTTTCAATGAAGATAGGACATTTGGAAGTGATAATCGAGTCATGACTGTAGAACCCTAATGGAGATAAAGTAAGTGGCGATATATTTTTGAGTTGTGGTTAAGAGTGGTAGCACGCGGCGCGCGCACATTTCATTTAAAGGAAACGCGTCAATAGAACTCATGGGTTATCATCACAGTTTATTCCAACCAAATCATGTCTATTCGATCTATAGGTACTGCTGATGTCCATAGAATCACTTCAGGTCAAGTGATTACCGATCTTGTATCGGTTTGTAAGGAAATAATTGAAAATTCAATTGATGCAAATAGCACACAAATTGAGGTTACATTTACAAACTATGGAGTTGATAGTGTAGAAATCATCGATAATGGAGATGGGATTGATCCAAAGGATTATGAAATGGTTTGTGTTAAGCATGCCACTTCAAAATTATCAAATTATGAAGAATTCGAGGCAACAACAACCCTTGGGTTTAGAGGTGAAGCTATGAGTTCATTATGTAGTATATCGAATGTAACTATTAGTACATGTCAAGCCAAGACATATCCAAAAGCCACCAAATTAGAATATGATTCAATGGGTCAATTGAAATCGAAAACGACAATTTCAGGGAAAAAGGGTACAAATGTCTTAATTAAAGATCTTTTCCATAATCTCCCAGTAAGACAAAAGGATTTATTAAAGAATAATAAACGAGAATTTACCAAAGCAATCACCATATTAACCAATTATGCATTAATTTATCCACAAATTCGATTCACCATTTATCATTTGAATATTAAAGGTAAACGTAACTTGATGGTGGGGACTCAAGGAGGTTTGAAAAATACTATATTAAAGAATTTGGTGAGTATTTATGGATCTAATGGGAATTATGGAATGATTCCCTTTGATATTAAAATTGTAGATAAATATTCATTTAAAGGATTGATTTCAAATTGTTCATTTGGATTAGGAAGATCATCGATGGATAGACAATTTTTCTATATCAATAATCGACCAGTAAAGATGAAAATGTTTGGTAAATGTATTAATGAAGTTTATAGGATGTTTAATTCTGTTCAATATCCAATGGTTGTATTTAATTTGGAAATTGATAATTCATATTTGGATATTAATGTGACACCAGATAAGAGGACTATTTTAGTTGTTAATGAGGAAATGATTTGTGAAGTTTTAAGAGAGAAATTGATTGAATTTTTTAATGAACAAGGGAATGTTATACCAAAGCAAGGGAAGATTAAAGAAGAGAAAGGACAGAGTAAATTGGAGGGAATAATTAAAGAGGAGAAAGTTAAAGAGGAGAGGGTTGAGAAAAGAGATGAAAAAAATGTAGATGTAGATAATGAAGAGGAAAGTTATAATGAAAGTGAAGAAATGGAAGGAATGGTTGTTTCTTCAGATACTGAATTACTTAGTTATGAAGTTAAAGAATATTTCCCAGAAGATTTCAAGAAGAATAAAGAAAATGAAGAGATTGAGGTAGAGGAAGAATTGAAAGAAATTGAAAAAGAGAAAGAGATTGAAGACGAACTAGAAGATGTACAAGAACAGGATGATCTTGAATTAGAAGATGTACAAGAAGAAGATGTACAAGAATTGGAACAAGTACAAGAACAAGATGATGTCGAATCAGAAGATGTACAAGAAATAGAAGAATCACCAGAACTAGGAGAATTACTAGATGAATCAGAAATTGAGGATGTACAAGAACTTGAACAACTTGAAGAATCACAAGATTCACAATCAAATAATTTAAAACTTCAAAATACTTCTCAAGATCATCTCTTTGTCAATGATATAGAAGAATCAGATGATTCTACTTCCATCGAAAAAATTAAAACTTCTAATCTGTCTATCCCATCAACCACCAAATCTCTACCAATTAAAGAAATAAATTACTCAAAATTCAATATTGATAACGAATCTCTATTTGTTGATCAATTAGATATCAATTCATTTAAAAACCCTGAGGAAAACTTTCCAAAACCTCTAGAAACTACTGATATTTTAACGGTTCAAATTGGTGATAATCCACCTGAACAAAATCATCTTAAACGTCTGAGATCTTTTAATCCAAATCTTGAATCAAATAATAATTGCTGTGATCATTCTTTAACTCCTCCATCAATTACTCCACAAATTAAAAGGAAAAAGATAACTTCAATTCATAATTTGAAAAGGAAATTTCATATAGATTTAAAAGATATTCAATATGATCATCATGGAATTAAGAAAGATGATAAAAGGGTACCATTAAATACAAAGAAAATTACTAAAATTGATGATTTTAAAGAATCTGAAGAGAAACTTACCTTGACAGTACTGAAATCAGATTTTAAACAAATGAATATAGTTGGACAATTTAATCTTGGATTTATATTAGTAACATGTCCACCTACAAAGAGTCAAGAATATTCAAATTTATTTATAATTGATCAACATGCTTCAGATGAAAAATTTAATTTTGAAAGATTACAAACACAAACCATTTTACAAAGTCAACCATTAGTGATTCCAAAAGTAATTGAATTAAGTCCAATGGATGAATTAATAGTACTGGATAATCTTGAAATATTTAAGAAAAATGGATTTAATATTAAATTAAATGAAAATGAAAGACCTGGTGAAAGAATTACATTAATATCATTACCATTACTGAAACGTACCATTTTCGATTTAAAAGATTTCCATGAACTTGTACATTTAATTAAAGAAAATTCAAATGGAGGGGTAAATAATTTGATGGTTAGATGTTCTAAAATAAGAGCCATGTTTGCCCTGCGTGCATGCAGAACAAGCATTATGATAGGTCAATACCTTCCAAAAAGTACAATGGAAAGAGTTGTACATAATCTTGGAGGCTTAGATAAGCCTTGGAATTGCCCACATGGTAGACCTACAATGAGACATCTTATGGAGATGAAAGATTGGAAATCTTTTAATAAAGATTATGAGATATAATAAAGAGAAAAAAATTGTCTTGTTTGAAATTATACAATGATAGCCTATAGGAGAAATCATATGGATACGAGATTCATACATTCAGATCCAATGCACGGCTGTGAATGAATTAAACTTTCAAAGCCTCGAGTTTTAAACTAGAGCACCCCCCCCTTTAATCAAAACTTAAAAACACTGAACCTATGTATCTTTGAATGTAGAGAAATTCTTGTTCAATACAAGTGGCAGGGCTAGTATCCCTTGACTTAGAAGGATGGTCATTCTTCATGGACTTCCGCCCAACCCCTTATTTCTCACCAAATTAGTGAGAAAATAAATTTTCAAATTAAACTTCTACACAAAATGCAAGTCCTGACACAATAGACTTCAATGGGGCACTACATTTCCCACGGTTCGTACAATCGGCTCATAATCACCTGGAAAATACCGTTCTAGGACTATTTTCTACAAAGTCTATTGAGTGGAACAAAAAATTAGTTGTGGACTTGTGAGTTGTGGAATTCATAGTGGACTCAATTAGCGACCTTGTTATCGATTCGCTAATTGTAATTGGCGGCCCCGGTTCTCAATTTCGCCACTAATTTCTTTTTTTTTATTTCTTTTTTCGGCTCGCTAGATAGCGCGAACAATTGACTTCGTACGGCGTTCCCTCACAATTTTTTAAACGCTATCAGTAAATTACTTGAAACGGGGAGGGGCCCCCTGTTGAATTTGCACGGTAGCTTAACGCGGCAGCTTTTCCAGACCGACGTGGTCTTGCAACGGTGAACCCGCCACCGGTCACGGCCGCACGGTGCATAGATCCACATGGACGACGGGGAATGCATGTTGACAATACTCGCCTAGCCCCAGCTAGAGATCTACCCTCAGCTAGAGATCTACCCCTTTAAATAATTTTTACAATTACTGAATTTTAGTTTTTTTAGAATTTAGATTTTTTTTTTTAGTGTGTACGACTCGGTGTAAGACCCTCAATTTTAACTAAATCACTAAAAAAATGGTGAGACAACTGCGAGTGAAGACCCCTAAAGTGTCAGGTCACTGTACACCGGACTTTCCAGTCAATCCCCACTCAACAGTTTTTTTTGTGCTATCTATTTTTTTTTTTTTTACTTATTATTTTTCTTTTTTTCCCCAAAATTATTATTATTATTTTTTTTTTTTTACATTTTTACTGTTTGTGGGTAGAGTGGCGTAGACTGACTGAAACACCTAGCAAGGGGGGGTGGGGGTCACACATATTAAACCTAGTGGCCAACATGTATTCTTCTGGACTTTCTCGAAGACACCGCCCGATTAGTTCATTTCAAAACGCCTGAATTGTAGCGGTTAAATGTATTTGACCCACAGTTCTCCACGTTAGGTGGGACGGGTTTATTTTCGCAAATTAAGGTTTATTTTTTTTTTTTGTTTTCAATTTTAAAATTAATTTTTTTTTTTCTTTTTCCCTGCCAATTTTAGTCTAATTGTTTTTTATCTGGTTATTTTTTATTTGGCGTGGATATTGATTGCGCGACATTTCATTAGGAAAGGTTTTTGTGGGATACATATACACCTTGATCACACCAGATACTGTAGGAGTACACAGATACGGATTCGCTCATTGGAAAACTGCCGGCAGTGTTTGAGCTAGTGGTTGGAAACCAGTGTTGTAGATTGAATCGATGTCTACTTTCATACGAGGTCCCGAGCGTAAATGCCGAAGATCACACAAGAATTCACGAGATGGTGAGTATAAAGAGAAGGGGGGGGGGGGAGAGTAGGAGTAGTTTGAGAGAGATTAGACGGGGGTAGGAGAGGAGTAGGAGTAGTTAAAAAGGGATCTGATCTCCTAACAAACTTCAACTCCAACTATTTTATTTATATCATTACTAACATTGTCCTAGGATGTCCAAATTGTAAAGCAAAAAGAATAAAATGTACAGAGGAACTTCCCTCATGTTTCAATTGTATCAAGAAGAATTATCAATGTGGATATTTGAACTTCCCCAAGGAGAAGCTTGAGTTTATCCGGAAGAAGAATGACCGTAAGAGTCGAGAGATTCAGTATGAGGATGATCCCATGGATGGAGCGGGTGAATGGACTCAGACTGAAGTGTTGAGACCTTTTGAACGGGTGGGGGAGACTTTTAAAGATGGTCAGACATTTGAAGTCGATCAGAGACATTTTGAAGAGCAATCGAACCAATTTGGGAATTATACTCATGAGAATAAGAATAGTCAGCATGGGTCGCAGACTCATGCTGAGGTTCATTCTGATCTTCAGGGACAATTTGGTCATGGACACTCTCAAGGACAGGGGATAGGTCCTTCTAATGAACAGCATCATGGACAACATCATGCGCAGCATGATGGACAGCATGATGGACAGGCTCATGGACAGCTTCATGGACAGTCTCATGGACAACATCATGTGCAACATGATGGACAGACTCATGGACAGTCTCATGTACAATCTCATGGACAGACTGGAGAAACTCAAACTCAAGCTGCGCTTTCGCAAGCCTCGCTTTCGCAAGCTTCGCAAGCTTCGCAAGCTTCGCTTACACAAGCTCAAGCTTCGCTTTCGCATGATGACTACTACCAATTCTCCTTCACCCCCCAATCAAACTTCATATTTGATGCCCCCATTGACGATACCAATATTTCCCCCTCTTCAAATGGTTCCACCTCCCATACCAGCACCTCCATCAGTACCGTTTCTGGATATAATCAACCCAAACAACAGAATCTCCACACCCACACCCCTTCCTCCCAAACCCCAGGATCTCTGTTCCAACAACACCCTCAGATCTCCTCTTCCTCCCATTCAAATATCCCCTACACCAAATTTAACCATCCTCATCATCATCATCCATCACCCCCACCCGCTCGTAGCGTCACCCCCAACCCTTTTCAAACCCCACCAGCTAACCTTAAACCAACCACAATCAAAACGGTTCTTCTGTCGTTGGCCGCACAACCAAAATCCCAACTGCCACGAACCGCAGCGCGTCAATTCACTCGCCGGGCCTTAGAACGAGATAACCGACTTCCAGGAACCCTGCACCTGCAAGGGAACCAATCCACAGTACCACCCCTTACAGCATCGGGTGGCCAAGACTCTTGGAACCAAGCACTGAATGCTCCAGGGAACTACCACCACCACCACCACCCTTTGCCTCTGCTGATGATGAAGGCACTCCCTCACGCTGTCCACTCACCAACTTCCTTCAAACGAATTAAAAAATTGGACCGTCTCCAGAATACATATCTTCAGCGGTACCTCAAACATTACCGCTCCGACATACGACAACTTAACAACTTGGAGTTCCGCAATGTGGCGCCCGTATGGAACCATAAGATTGCTGAGGGCTTCTGGACTTCGGTGTACAACCAGTCCGTGGTGTTGGACTTGTACTTCTCTTTCTTCATGGACCGGTCTTTGAATCTCTTGCTCCACAAGTGTATCTCCACATTGGACGACGAAGGGTTCAAGCAGGAGGAGGATCTCTTCATCAAGTACCAGGACACAGAGTTGTACAAACAGTACTTTTTCCACCCGAACGACGTCAAGCTGTTGACCCACATGTCGTACACGTACTACGGCCATCTCATCAAGGACTTGCGTGAGTCCTTAACCCTTATCCATGCCGAGTACCCAGCCAAGATCTCACTCTTTGCTGCGTGGTCAACTTTTTTACATTCTCACCTGTCTGTCGACACATTTTGTCTATTGCTCAGTGGGACCACAACACTTTTCTGTAAAGTGTTTGAATCTGCCATGACATTGAATCAGATCCCACCCACGGTCAACACCGCGTACTATGTGTTCATCAACCACTCGAACTGTGCATTGATACCAGACTACGACTTCACGGTGATTGAAGAGTTGTGCAAAGACTTGATCCTGTTCAAGAACTACTCACGGAACTTGAGTGTTGAGAAGTATGACCTGGACCGGATAAAGCGTGATGTTAAATTGGCTCGTCATTCGTATGACTTGGAGCATTTCCTACATGCATTGATCGAGGAGTATTACCCGAGGATTGTAGAAGTGAATAGGAAGATGCGCCAACAGCAGCAGCAACATCAGACAGAGCTGGCAGAGCTGGCTCTGCAGCTGAACATCTACTACGTACAAGTACGAGTCTTCTACCAATTGATTTCCCATTGGTACCGGATCTACCCCAGTGAGGCGATCCCAATGGGATCCAAATTCAATACCATTCGGAAGACATTCTACTTGTTCTTCTCTGCCATTGGTAAGGCGCTTAGCCATGTGCTCACGCCGATCCGGAGCTTGATGTTGGTGGATCCGTGCAATACGTTCTGCCCTAGAACGGACTTTGATCCGCAGATCTACGAAGTTGAACCTGAATACGACAAGGATGAGCCTTTACTTGGTGATGACTTTCTATTCTACCAACAATTATCGCGCAAGTTACTTCGAATCGCATCCTTCTTCAACAACCGGGTCATCATGTACCTGTACTACCTTCTGACCACCACGGTGCTTGACCACGAGTACATCCAGCACCATGTACCGCAGTCCAAGACCGACTTGCCCGACGTGTGCCAGCTTCTCCCGCGGAAGTTGCCCGTCCAGGAAACGTTTATCCGCAATTTCAGTGCAGACTTGGTAATAGGCCCCGAACATTACCCGGTGTTGCCCGGCTTCCAAGAAGAGATTGAGCGCATCACACGGGATCGTACGCGGATCAAGACCGAGTTGGGGGTGTCTCCATCGAACAACGACCTGTTCTGCTACAAGACCGGGTTCTATGAACGCGACTACAACCCGGAGAGTTGGACAGCACTCATCATCATGCGACAACAGCAGGCATGGGAGGACGAGAGAACCACCCTTCAACAGCTGCAGATGAGGATGCACAATTTTGATTTGGGAAGACAACAAGTGAGCAATAGCATTAAGTATGAGCTGGTGTAGGTGCAAACACCCGTGGCAACTGCACTGGTGCACAGGCCCGTCAAAGCCCTATGGGTTTCTGCAAGCCGCTCCGCTGACCCCCTGATCGCGGGGTGAGCCACTGCGTGGAGCCTAGCTTCTCTTCGAGGAGTTCAGGGGAATTGATTTTGCAGTAGCCTTTGCTGCGAGCTGCACTACACGAGGTTACATTTCTCCACGCTACATTCTAGCGACCTTGCGACAGAGCCACAAGGGGAAAGACACTCCGCGGGTCTTCCATGTTCTCTTCTGAATATGGAGAAATCTCCTCGTAGAGGAGCTAGGCTCCACGCAGTGGCTCTCCCCGAGTAGGGGCCAGCGGAGCGTCCCGCATACCCCGTAGTGAAACATTGAGTACCGGCCTCGTAAGGTACGAGAGAGAGAGAGAGAGAGTCGCTGCCCTACGGGGTCTGCAAGCCGCTCCGCTGGCACTCCGTGGGCCACTGGCCGTGGGGGCTTTCTTCCTCTGCGAGGAACTTTCTTACCGATTTCCTACAGTCTACACATTACCCTACAGAAGAAACAAGTCTCCTAGAAGTCACCCAAGGTAGCCACTGGCTGAGGATTACCGGGCCTGGCTGCCAGGAGTCTGTGGATGGCTGCGAAAATAAAAACAAACCACAAACTCACCAGAATGGGAGGACGAGAGCTCCCCCACGCCACATGCGGAGCTCGGTCACCGAGCGAATCATGGGTCCGTGGCGCACCATCCGGGAGGCGTACCGGACGACGGGATGTGTGTGTGTGTGTGGAGGGTGGTCGCTTATATAGTCAGATAATCTAGTCAAAATAAAATACGAGGCGGCAAAAGTTTTTTTTTACAATTTTTTTTTCTCTGCTTTTTTTTATTTTTTGTTCAGGAAGCCGCGCGGGACTCCTCGGAGAGGAGCTAAGCCTCCACGGCCAGTGGCCCACGGAGTGCCAGCGGAGCGGCTTGTAGACCCCGTAGGGAAACGACGCTCTCTCTCTCTCTCTTTCGTACCACACGAGGCCGGTACTCTACTCTGTTGGTGCTCCGTGGGTGCTGTTGTTCGTCAGGGGAGGAAATTGGGTGGTGGAATGTGGCAGACGGGTAATTGGAATTCGCGGGACTTGTGCATGCATGTTCTGCAGGCGCAGGTGAAGACAGTCCACAAGTTTAAGAGAGGCAGAGAGAAGGGAGGAGGACGTGCTAAAGGCGCGCGCCAGAGAGGGTGACGGCGTTTGACGGATTGGGAGCAGGGGAGGAGGAATAGAGGGAGTTAGAAGGAGGGAGTTAGAAGGAGGGAGATAAAAGGGGGCACGGATAGAAAGACCCGCTTATGTGGGAAATAGTTAATAGATCTTATCTCTCTATCCTAAACCTAAATGGCATTCTGTACATGAGGGAGGAAAGTACCACAATTGGTCGTAAACGCTGGGTACAATGGGCAGTGGCAAGGGAGCTGTAGGGAAAACACGCCGCCAATCTCCATGGGGCGTCGATCGTGCACATAAATCTGCAGGAAGGATCTGAAGGAGGGAGAGAGAAAAGAGAGGGAGTCAGGGAGTCAGGGAGAGAGCGGGTGAACCGGAAGGGAGAAGGGAGAAGGATGAGGAAAGAGAGAGAAAGAGCCTGGGGGTGAGGGTAGAGAGAGAGGATGGATATTGAGGGAAGTTTGAGCAATGTAGAGCATTGCCCTGATTGCTGCGAGGATGTATTTATTTTAAATTTGGCGTTCCCAAAGGGGAAATAGATGTGGAATTGAGGTGAATGCATTAAAAATGAGACGCACATGATCATCGTCAGAGTGCATGATGGGATGCAGTGAGGTAGAGGTGGAGAGAGTAGGGTAGGAAAGAGTGGAGGGGAGGAGGAAAGAGTGGAGGGGAGGAGGAAAGAGTGGAGGAGAGGAAGAAAGAGTGGAGGGAGAGTAGGGTAGAGAGTAGAGGAAGAATAAGGTAGAGAGTAAGGTAGAGAGTAAGATAGAGAGTAGGGGAGTAGAGTAGAGAGTAGGACATGGGATCCTATATGTCTTGTATGTATATGAAGCACTGATGATTACTCACAGTACCTGTCACCTTGCCTCTGCAGTACCACCTGTTGTTGTGCATGTAGGATCAGTAGAAGGGGTCTCAGGGATAGAGTAGAGGTAGAGGGTCCAGACCGCCTGCAGTTGAAAGAAAAACCTAAAGTTCTTCAATCCTTAGGTGCCAGCCTCAAGCCCAGCCTCAGGCCCAGCCTCAGGCCCAGCGCCAGAGTCGGCGTGCCAAGTCCTGTAGTTTATAGCTCAAGCCCTAACCCCGTAGCCCTAGGTCCACCAGTTCTCTGTGGCCCAGGTCCTGTACACTTTAAGTCCTGCCCGTTGTTCATGCACAAAAATTTCAAACAAAAAAAAAAAAAAAACGATCTGGCGCTTCACATCAATCTCGCGACAGAGGCAAAGATCCGGTACTCATCATTGTGAGGACAACGGAAGTGGCACTTTTTCTGCCGACATTGTTAGTGACAGGGACCTGTTTTTGGACTCGATAGATAGCCCGTGTGCGATAGAACACGATACCGAGAGACCCAGAGGCTGAGCCCGAGCCAGTGCACGAGAAATTGAGTGTTTGCAGACCGCTAGCAAGATATAATTGACCGGAATAGTAGAAAGTCGGTGGAGCGAGAAGGTCGAAATAGAAGAGACCACGAGACCACCAGAGCTAGACCACCAGCGCGAGAGTTATCAGCACGAGAGCACCAGAGCTAGAGCACCAGAGCTAGAGCACCAGAGCTAGAGCCCCTTCCACGACTGCGGAACACTACCCACCAGGACCCGCAAGATCATTGGTGAGCGCGCGCACAATCACACAGACAGTCAGATAGACAGTCATATAACCGTATAATTACACACAACAATGGAGGACTTAGGAACCGCTCCGTGTTACCCGTGCCAGATCAATGGCGTGGAGTGCACGCGGGAACAGCCCGCGTGCTTGAATTGTCTAGAGTGCGGACTCCCCTGTGATTACTACAGCGTGGGGAACGTGTTGAGCAACTATGTTCATTACAACCGCGAGACGTTGACGGACGACCACTACCATGGGGAGCATCCCAGCAAGAGGCGAGCTAACACGTCTGGCGGAGCAGGAGCAGGAGTAGCAGGAGGAACAGGAGGAGCCGTCGGGGCTAGTCGAAGAGGCGAGAGGGTCCGACGAGGAGAGAGAAGTCAGGGGGCAGTGAGTAGGAGGCAAGTTGGCGAGAATAGTGCGAACAAAGGACAACTGCGAGGCCCGGGCGGCGAGCTTCAGGGCGCGGGTTCGAACCACGGCCCCGTTCTTGGGCCAGGACCTGGTCCAGGACCTGGTCATGGACTCGACATGAGTCTGACACTGTTACTGCTGCATCTGCTGACGGGGTCATTTTATCCGTATGGTACTGATGTGGGTTCATTCTACGGACCGCGGCTCGATCTGAAGATATTTACGCCCGGCGGAGGGCCCCCCGGTCCAGAGAACCGGAATGGGCTTTACCCACAAGGATATAGAGAGAGCTCTATACAAGAGAAAGGAGGGGATGGGTTACCTTATACTGGTCAGGATGGACAACCGCCCGTGTTTGGCCAAGGTAAGGGCCGAGAGGACGCTGTCCATTCCCACGCGACGTATACGGACCAGGCTGGCTACACAAACTACAACAACCAGGCGGGCTACACACATCCTGGCTACACCATACAGAACTACACCCTGGAGTCTACTGAGAACCTCGGCCAATTCCAAGGGGTGGATCTGCATCAATATGGGGATTTCGGAGATGTAGGAACTTCTGGCCAAGCTCCAGGAAACCAACAGTGGCTAGCCTTAGGAGGTCATAATTGGGGACCTCCTAACTGGGGAGCTCCTACTTGGGGGCCCCAGCCTTCGACTTTGCCCAGCCTGGGAACGACCAATTTGGATGCTCAGACATCAGGCCAAAGTTCAGCCCAGACTGAAGGACTTGGCTTACCCAACGCAATCCCGCTCAAGAAAACCTTCTCCCGTCTCCCCCCTTCAACCAAACAGGCAGCCCAAGCGGGTGCGGCAGCCAAACTCCACTCAATGCATAACATGGAGTTCCATATCGTGCTCTCGATCGATTTCGTAGCCTGGAATCTCGAGCTGCATCTCATCTGGCACGCCACCTTAGCGCTAGCTGCCCACGCCCTCCGGGCCAATGGTTGCAAGTACTTTGGGCTCATCCATGACCTTGCCGAGATCAGAGCGCTTCGTCATGTGCTCCACAAGAAGGCCATCAACTACTACGACCGGGCAATTTCGCTCCTTCGTGACATTATCTCCACCAACGACTTCAACATCTCGCTCATCCTTGTAGCCTCGTCGTTGCTCAACAAGGCGGCCACATACGACAGTGTGCGCAGCGATGTACCCGTGACGTTCTCCAAGGGAATGCTTTCGGTGATCAACGACTTGTACCGGAAGAACGACGTGCTCAAGCTCAGCGAGGATCTCGCGTGGAGCCTTGACTTTTTGGAGTATGCCAGCAACTTCATCTACATCCCAACGTATGATCCGACCTTTTTGGTTGAGGTTCGCGAGAAGCTGGACGAGTTTGGCGAGATCATGAAGAGTTACTTTGAGATCTATCCAGAGGACAAGAAACGTATGATGTTGACGTATTGTTATCGTCTGTTCCAGGAGTATTTCGACTTTGTCATGGGGGTCATTGAGGACTACAAACCCAAGGGATCAACAGGGTCCTCTGACCAACCGGAGAATGAACCTACCAGCGCATCTGTTGATGAAGCTTCGTCCAACCTCAGCAAGAACATCCCGCCACAGATCCTCTACCAACTCATGAGAAGATGGTTCATTATCATACCACCCTTTGCCCAGGTGCCTGCCTCCATCAAACACCCCATTGAGAAGAACTTGGCCTACATGTACCTCTCGATGAACATGGTGCTCATGGCCCTCTTCCCCTCGGTCATGTACATGTTCATGCTCTCCTTCGTCGGAGGCGTGCCCTTCTACATCGAGAATCCGGTCCATCTGTTGGACTACGACGGACTGGAACAACGTCTAGACGCCAAGTTGCGCCACCGCATGCTCAAGATCCATGTCCATAGCATCCGATTCGGGGCCTTTTTCCGCCAGCGTTTCAACACCTTGGGCATGTTTTTCGGCGACAACCAACGTAGAGAACCCCTGGTACACCCTGAGGTGGTCCGTACCATGATCAACGAGGTGCCCATCCATCGGTTTGACCTGTCGGTACTTCAGTTGATGAACTTCAACCACATCCCGGGAAGTATCTCTCTTCGCTGCGACGCAGCCATCAAGCGGAACAAGATCACCGCGGCGTCGGTGTTCCACTACAATCTCAGCCATTTCGAATACTTCCAGAGCAATCCAGAGTACAACACGTCGACGGCCGACCAGGACAACAAGGTTGTGCTTTCCTCCTCGACTGTACAGGACCCTATTCTCCAGTTCCATCTCCGGAATACCAACAACTTTGAGCCGGCGCTGATGAGCCAGAACAAGCGTGAGTTGCGCCGTGCCATGTTGAAACATGAGGCTCCAGACTACCTGATCTGGTTCGAGTGGGAAATTGCCCAGGAGACCATGAAGAAGTTGGAGGATGCGTACACGTCCTTCTTCCAGAACTACCGCGATCTCCCAGAACCTTCTTCACTTACGGACCTCAACGTTGAGAGTGGATTCTTCAATATGGACTATAATCCGATTGTGTTGGTGAGGTCGATCGACCCACTCACCATTTTCGAGCGTAGAAGTCGCAAGGACCCGCAATCGTTGACTTCGAGGGTCCAGGTTCTCTTGACTCACGAGGTTAGAAGACACGCCATAAACCAGGAGTTCAGTTCCACGACGGAAGATTCCGCCGAGCACGAAGAAGTGGAAGACGTTGACGAGTTTTACAATGATCTTCTGCCCGAGTTGTTTATCTAGTGGCACGGGAAAGGATCTCCACATGAAGCACATGAAGCGCATATACTCCCCTGGCACTCCGTGGGCCGTGAGCCACTAGCAATGGGGGGTTCCTGTTCCTTGGGCAGCGTTTGCCTGGTCTCTTTGAGAGTGTGTGCCCCGGCTTTAGTGTTACCCGAGCGCACATTCGAGGCGGTTGTATCCGCACGGGAAAGAGGCACGAAGTTGAACTGAAGGCGCTTGACGACAGGATCGCAGGGTAAGTTACGTCCAGAGAAGTTGAAAGGCTCCTCATACAAACTAATTATATGACTAAGTACCTAATATATGATGTAGCTACCAGAAGAATGTAGAAGAGGAACTTGGTATTGCTGACCAGGTAAGCAGTGGAGTGAAGGCGAGTCAGTAAGGTTGAGAGATGCAGGGGGGATGAGATTTGGATATTACTCCTACCGGTGTGAGGAGTGCCAGTGGAACTCCGTGGGCCACTATCCGTGTTGGTTTTGTTTCCTCCTGTGAAGTGCTCTGGCTAGTGAGGACGAGTTGATGTGGAAAGGCCGGCAAGGCAAACCATGTAGCGACTCTCTCCCTGAATAGGGCCTAGATGAGTGTCCCACTGACGCCATAGGGTGGACTACTCCTTTCCCTTTGGTGTTGCAATCCGCTCCGCTAACCCTTCTCTCTACGGGGTCTTCTAGACTCTCCGCTGGCACTCCGTGGGCCACTAGCCGTGGGGGCTCCTGTTCCTCTTACGAGGAATCGTTGATGGGGTTTCTTCTCCGTGGAGAATAGTCAAACCCTACTCAAGTTACCAGTAAGGGTCCCAAGGCAGGAATCTTTGAATACCTTTTCTACTTTGTAGAGCCTCTCTCTTCTTGTGTAGAGTCTGGCTGACCAATTTGCTACCATGTAATGGAGACTCTCACAGGGAGACTGTCATTGGAGGTACGCTGTCACGGGAGGTATGACATAGTAGAGAAGAAGAGATTTAGAAAAGAAGACACATCGATAAGGCAAGTTTAGAGAGAGACGTTTAGAGAGATACGCTTAGAAAGACGTGGAGAGAGAGACGACCATGGAAGTAGAATCGTAGCAGAGAAGATCTAAAAGAATATCCAGATAACAAGCCACGAGATTCGAGTCTAACTAAAGATACCTAAAGACTGAAGTAGCGCCACGACTGCCACAGTAGCAGCTTCAAGAAGACTCCGATATATGTTACCACCGAGTTTCCCACAGAGAGTATTGAATACTACGGCCACTTGTGAAAGTCACTTCGCGGCGTTAAGCTCCTCTACAAGGGGGCCCGTCTACAGAGTGATTTCCTCGCCAGAGGAACAGGAGCCCCCACGGCTAGTGGCCCACGGAGTGCCAGCGGAGCGTCTAGAAGTCCCGCAGGGAAGAGAGTAGCCCACCCACCCAAGACGGCTCACGGAGGCGTTTCCCTGGGCCCTTAATCCTTGCTTGGTGAGAGGCGTGGCTGCCGTGTGAGAACAGAAGCTTCTTTTTGGCTGGAATGTCTGGACCCAGTATCCTAGCGGGCTACCGTGTTGTTTGGCGAAAACTGTAAGAAGTTGTTCCTACATGGTCTACTGGTCTGTGCTGCTCTGTGCTGCTCTCTCTCGCGCGCACTACCTGCTGAACCTTTACGGCGTGGAAGATGTCATCATCGCTCGTGCATAGTAGTGTCGCCCATACAATTCATAGCGCCGAGTGAGGTGCATTGTAGAGCCGAGTGAGGTGCAGACAATAGAGGCAACAGATGTGCAGAACAGGGAAAGTGTGGGCTGAACCGATGTATCATGCGGCCAGCACACGGAGATTTCCACGTTGAGCGTCGGGCACCGTTTCTTGTTCACTTGGTGCAGTTCGTTGGGTAGCAACCCAGTGCTGGAGGGTGTAGAGGAGGGTATGTATGGGAAGGCCAGCACGCCCGGGCTCGTCGCCATGGTTGTGTTGGGGTGGTGGTTGCAGAGAAGGTAGGTGGGAAGTTAGGAGGAGGAGGACCTCGAGAGATAGAGGAGGAGGAGAAAGAGAGAGAGAGGAGGAATGGAGGAACCCCGAGAATGAGAAATAGAGAAGGAGAAGGAGAAAGAGAAAATGAAAGAGAAGAAGAGGGAGAGAGTCGAGTAGGAAGACATAGTAAGAGGAATAGGAAGTGTGAAAAGAATGGGTGCAATGAGCATGAGAAGGAAAGAAGGATATCAGATTGGAGGGCATACATTTAGGTTGTAGACGGCGTGCAGGATACCCAGAAAATAATTTCGTTTAGAAGGAAAATAAAAAATAAGAGGAAAATAAAACGGAGTTTATTTCCGAGAGGCGATTCCAGAGGGAGAAGGCATCGCCCAGGGCCAGGGCCAGCGGGACACGGAGTGCCAGTGGGGTGCCAGGGGAGCTTGGCTTGAAGGTCCCGAGGATGTCTTAGTCTTTGAGAGATGGATATATATGGCTTGGTAGGCGAGTTTTCTTGGGACACAGAGTAGAAGAAATGTAGTGGATGGTTTATGCCCGCGGATCAAGGATACATATTTAGGCGCGCACGCAGGAACTTTACCTAATGCATGTTCTACCAGGAGAGGGATACAGAGTAGAGAGAGAGAGAGAGAGAGAGAGAGAGAGGAGAGTGTAGAGAGAAGGAGGAGGAAAGTGTAGAGTGTAGGAGGGAGGGTGTAGGAGGGAGAGTGTAGGGAGAGAGTCGGATAGTGTAGAGAGAGTGTAGGAGACCCAGTCAGGAAGGAGTATAACAAGTCTACGGACTGACGGAGGAACCTGATCCATTAATTTACGGAATTTGTGAATTGTTGTTCATCCAAAATTCGCAAAAAGGACGGAAATTGGAAAAAAAAGACAATACCGCGAAATTGAGACACGGGATTGATTCTAAGGCGGGATCAATTGGGGGGGGAGAAAGTTGAGCTGTACATTGGTGGTTGAGACGAACAGGGGGGGTCAGGGCGAGCAGCTAGGGTGTAGAGTGCAGGGCGTAGGGTGCAGACGGGTGCTGAGCCTGAGCAGGAGGCGGTGGGATGGGAGTACAGATCGACCTGTATTCCGACACTAACTCCATAGGTGGTGATCTTGTCCAGATTGTAACCACTTCCCTTCAAACTAATCCCCAAGCTTAAAAAAATAGAGAAAAAAAAAGAGAAAAAAAAAAAAAACAAGAAAATAAGAAAGTAAAAAAAAAAAATTAAATAAAAGTAAAATAAAAAAATAAGCTCGCTCAAAAAGTTTGGGCCGCTCTGTAAAACGAGGGCAGATCAGGGGGGTGTGCTCCAGGGGGAGAAAGTGTAGACTGGGATGATGAGTGAGCGAGAGATGGACGAGGAGAATGGACAGGCCACCCACGGTCGGTCATTTCTACAGTTAGTGCTCACTCTGCTCGCACTAACTGGCACCGCTCGCTCGCACTAACTCTCTCTGGACGTAATCTTGCATAAATTAAACTTTTAAAGAGCGACTGATTTGAACCACATCATTTATTATTATTAATTTTTTTTTTTTTGGTATTTTTGAATTTGGCTTGCTCCATTTGGGTTGATACTTTGATAGTCAGGACCCGTTGCACCAGAGGCCAACGTCGAGGGCAGTAGTGTAGCATGTCTGTGGATCCCAAGGCGCAAAAGCGGCGACGCAAGCACAAGAATTCGAAGAATGGGTGTCCTAATTGTAAGAAGCGGCGAGTTAAATGTTCGGAAGATCTTCCGTCGTGTGTCAATTGTATTAAGCATAAGGTAAGGTGTGGGTATTTGGATTATACTGAGGAGCAATTGGATGAGATTAGAGAGGCTTCGATGACCGCAGCGAGTGGACCCACCTCCAGTGTTGGTGGACCCAGCTCCAATGTTGGTACAACCAGTTCTGAAGGCGCTGATAGGGTAACCATCAATACAGAAGGAGCTAGCGGATCATTGATCAACGGCATTGCCCAGACTCATTTTATCCGAGATGAAAGTGATGAGGTTGATGTGTTGGGGTTAAGTTTAAATCTGTTGACAGGAGCACTGGTGAGAAATGCAAGGGGAATCCAGAGGGATGAACCCTCGGATGGTGATTTGGAATTCCCATCCCCTGGAGATTCCATGAGTGTTGATGGAGAGCCCATGAGTGTTGATGGAGAGGATTACAGTAGCCAGGATGAACTAAATGGCCTAGGCCTGGGCCTGGGCCTGGGCCTAGAACCTGTTGGCTCTAGGGAAAGTATTCCCTACGATCAACCGAGAGAGTCTCGGTCTCTAGATAGTAGACCACTTTCCTTGGAAAGACCCATATCTTTAGAAAGATCCTTTGAAAGGAGCTCAGAAAGATCTCTTGACTCTACCCTTGCCAGAACCTCGAGACATTTTGATAATCTTCTCCCGAATGTAGCCAATGACCCGGATAATTCCATCATCTACCCAGTGTATTCGGTATCTCGAAGAACTGGAAGTATGAGAGGTTCTCCAACCTTCAGCTCCTGGTCGTCTCGTAACGGCTCGGTGGTATCCCCTATCCACTCGTCATCACGAGTCCCACATCGTCTGGGCTCTCTTTCAGACCTTATCCAGCAACAGAGATCGTCTGCCGCCACTCAAAGACCGGTTTTATGGTCTTCACAGTCATATTCAAACCCAGCGAGGCTGCAACTGCTGCTGCAACTCCAAACATTCACCCTGCCACAACAGCAGCATCATCGTCCATCATCACAGCATCAGCAGCAACTCCCCCTCAAAGGCGCACAAAAATTAACCATTTCCTTCCCAATCCTCCCCAAAACAAACGTCAACTACGTAGAACTGATGAGCAATGCCCTCTCCGTTGTAGGCTCGAAAGTGGGCACCGGGACCGCCTCCTGGAGTGAGATCCGCAAGTTGTACACGTCGTGGATCAATTCCTTCATCTACCGGTCATACTTGAGTCGAGGGATGTTCAGCTGTCTTGTCAACTTCAGCACAAACTATCTTATCTCTAATTGTCTTCAGCCAGAACACACCGAGGCGTTTTACTTCCCCGATCTGGACCGCAAGAAGTTAAAGAACCTGCTTATCGTGACGTCCATCAAGCATTATGGCAAGACCATCAAGCTTTTAAGAGACGTGCTCAACCGGAACTCCGACCCAGAGTTGTGTGGCTCCATCTCATATATCTTGAGTTTGATGAGTATCTATGACCCAGAGGCAACGTTATATTCAATCAATTGTTTCAGGGATGGATTGTTTAGTGTTTTCACTCATTATATGCATTTGGGAGCAGCGTCTGCAAGAGCGAGAGCGGCAACAACTCCAGCGATAGCTGGTGGTGGTTCGACAGTACTGACAACCTCTAGAATTCCTGGATCTGGTCATCCATCTACCCATCCTTCTAATGGACAATCCACTACATTCCCTGAAACTATCGTTCCTGGGATAGATGGTATCCCCATCGGGCTCATCCCATCACATCTCTTACTCATGAAAAACATCCTTCGATCGGTCTACCTCCCTGGATATGACCCAACCTTCCTAGAAGAATACCTGGTAGCACTTTCTAAATTCGGAGAAATCCTCCAATTCTACCTTACCCAAACTCCAACGGTAACCACCACCATGAAGTTTCTTCTGACCAAATACCATAACCTTGTCAATTTTACCAATGATACTCTCCAGCATTACGTCCCACGAATAAATTCCAACCTCTCGGACATCAACGTCCAACAGGACGTTCTCTTTGAAATGGTCAGACGATGGGTCAATCTCTTCCCCTCACGACTACTGGTGATCACCTCGAGCTCCGACCCCATGGAGAAGCTCTTGTATCTTTTCTACAAGACATTGAAAAAGGCATTGTATGCCATTTTCCCTCAGGTGAAGTTTTTCCTTCTTCGGGACTTTGAAAGTCCCTTGATGCTTGAAGTATGGGTCATCAACAACGACTACAACATATTCCATCATGAACTAGATAACCCCACGACTTGGGTACCGGATTATTGCTACGCAGTGCATCTAGACACCTTGAAAACATTGGCGCTGTACTTGATCCGGATCAACACTTTCCTTGGGAAAAGGATTGACATTCTCTACCGACACACAGTTTACAAAGAGTCGGCCAAGAAGTTGTTTCCCATTGGCGACGATTTGCGTAAATGGCGCCAAACGGTGACAGATATCGCCAAGGCCCGACGTGACTTTGACGCGTCGGTGGGGATCTTGGAAGTGCCCATTCTTTCATTTGAGAGCACTATCATCGAGGCGAAGCATTACCCGAGAATCATTGGTAGTTTGAGTTCCGCCATGGCTAACCATAGAGCACATCGTAGTCTGTATCCGCCAGATTTTTCCACCTTGATCAGTACGGGACTCTTAGAGGCGGACTATGACCCGAGTTCGTAGCGTACTTTCAGTACACAAACACACAAACACAAACACACAGACTAGTAGACTAGAGAAGTACAAACGTATATACAAATCCCGAGGACGGTTTCTTTAACGAGTCACCCCTCCACTTCTACTAGAGACGGTTCGTCACCAAACGATTTGGTGACTATATAAATACATGTATTATGAAAAGAATAACAATGTAGACAGTCCGGTCCAGGAGAATGTAGTAGGCCCCGTAGCCCCCGTAGGGTGGCGTACTCACTTCCCTTTGAGATTGCGAGCCTCTCCGCTGGCACTCCGTGGGCCACTAGCCGTGGGGGCTTGTGTTTCTCTAACGAGAAATTTTTGCAGCCATATATCTCCTTGTAGGTGGAGACCACGAGGTGGCTCTCCCCGATAATAAGGGGCTAGACTGAACGTCCTACGAGCCAAGTAGGGATGTTGAGATGCACTCTGCCGGACTGTGAGTCACTCCGGTAACAGACTGTTGGCCACTAGCTCTTTGCGGTCACTCTCGCTGTGGCAGGGAAAACCTATTGTTGAGGGCAAACTTATTTGTAAGTGGCTCTTCACGATCAAGGACCAAATCGGAAAATTGCTGCCAAGAGTCCCATTTCCATATCTCCTATAGTATAGTCATAATATATATATATATTTATTTTTTACCTCATATGAGAGTTCCTTGCGAAGGGTGATTGGAGTAAGATTTCTGAGGTCATGCTGTAGGGGCCCTTCACCCACGTGAGCTGCCACGTGATATCTCAAATTCTTCTACACCCTTCTCTCTCTTACTAACAGACTTTTGTGTAAATCAGACCGCACACGACCAAAAATTTCGGCAACACGCTCAATTTCTCAAAAAAATCGAAAATTGGCAACAAGAAGGAGAACAAAAGTTTGAATTGAAAGGTATCTACAACACCAATTTATACGGGGTTCTTTTTATTAAATTGATTGATCCATCTACATAATACCAATACGATGTCCGTTCAAATTTTCGGCGATCAAGTGGTTGAAGAAAGAGGTGAAAATGCGCGTTTGTCTGCGTTTGTAGGAGCCATTGCAGTTGGTGATTTAGTCAAATCAACCTTGGGTCCAAAGGGTATGGATAAACTTTTACAAAGTGCCAGCAACCAAGACCAAGCATTGGTCACCAACGATGGTGCCACCATCTTGAAGTCGATCCCATTTGATAACCCAGCTGCCAAAGTGTTGGTAAATATTGCCAAGGTGCAAGATGATGAAGTTGGTGATGGTACCACTTCTGTGACTGTATTCAGTGCCGAATTATTGAGAGAGGCGGAAAAATTAATCGATAGTAAAATTCATCCACAAACAATCATTGAAGGGTATAGACTCGCATGCAGTACCGCCCTTGATGCGTTACGTAAGGTTTCAGTAAATAATGGAGGAGACTCTGAGTTATTCCGTCAAGACTTGTTAAATATCTCTAGAACTACCCTTTCCTCCAAGATTTTGTCTCAAGATAAGGAACATTTCTCTAAATTGGCTGTAGATGCCATTTTAAGATTGAAGGGATCAACTAATTTAAGTCATATTCAAATTATTAAGAAGGTTGGAGGTAAATTATCTGACTCCTTTTTAGATGAAGGGTTCATTTTGGACAAGAAGTTTGGTATTAACCAACCTAAAAAGATTCATAATGCCAAGATTTTGGTGGCAAACACATCAATGGATACCGATAAGGTTAAGATTTTCGGAGCTAAGTTTAAAGTAGACTCCACTTCCAAATTGGCTGAATTAGAAAAGGCTGAAAAGACCAAGATGAAGGAAAAAGTAGAGAAAATTAAGAAATACGGTATTAATTGTTTCATAAACAGACAATTGATCTACGATTACCCTGAACAATTGTTCACCGATGCCAAGATAAATTCCATTGAACACGCTGATTTCGACGGGATTGACAGATTGGCCTTGGTTACTGGTGGTGAAGTTGTATCTACCTTTGATAATCCAGAAAATGTGAAATTGGGTTACTGTGACACCATTGAAGAAGTGATAATTGGAGAAGATGTCATGACCAAGTTTTCCGGTGTAGCTGCTGGTGAAGCATGTACTATTGTGTTGAGAGGTGCCACTGAACAGGTTTTAGATGAGGCCGAAAGATCATTACATGATGCCCTTTCTGTTTTATCTCAAACCACTAGAGAAACCTCCACTGTCTTGGGAGGTGGATCTTCTGAAATGATCATGTCCAAGGCTGTTGACCAAATTGCCGCCAACGAAACCGGTAAGAAGTCCCTTGCCATTGAATCCTTTGCCAAGGCTTTGAGACAATTGCCAACTATTTTGGCCGATAACGCTGGGTTTGACTCTTCAGAACTTGTCTCCAAGTTAAGATCTGCCATCTACAACGGGATGACCACCTCTGGTTTAGATTTAAACAATGGTACTATTGCTGACATGCGTGAATTGGGGATTGTTGAATCTTACAAGTTGAAAAGATCCGTGGTTGCATCTGCTTCAGAAGCTGCTGAAGTTTTGTTGAGAGTTGACAATATCATCCGTGCTAAGCCAAGAACTGCTGATAGAAATATGGGACATTAAGTAGAGGTTTATAAAAGAATAGATGTAAGAAGACAGACGATTGTAGGTTGAAGAGATAAGGTGATTATAGAAAGACTACGGAGAGGTGATGTACACCACCCATGGAGTCGCTATCCTCCCTGCGGGATAGTAAGCCGCTCCACTGGCACTCTGTGAGCCACTAGTCGTGGTGGCCATGTTCCTCGAAAGAGGAAGGAATAGAAGAACTCCTTGTAGAGGAGCTTGGCACACGTAGTCATCGGAGTGTCATTCGGCCCCACCGGGAAGTAAATACTGGTGTGGTTAAAAGTGCACTCCCTGGACTACCCGTAGGCCACTAGCCGAGGGGATCCGGTTCCTTGAACGAGGAAGTTATGTCTCGTTGCAGATCTCTTTCAGCAGGGGCCAGCAGAGCGTCTTGTTGACGCCGTAGCGATTATAGCAGGCACCGGCGGGAAGGGGAACTGTTGCCCATGAGTCACTGGTCGTAGAGGAAAACAACTCATCACGCAGTATCGCTGCTCTTCCCTTCAAGTAAGGACATGCACATGGCTGTAAATATCGCGTAGTGTATTGGTGCACAAGTACTAGTGCCTAATTCCATAAGCGAAACAATATTGATTATGAAATGACAAATCATTCATTACACGGCACCATCCAAAGAATGTTCGTTATTATTAAGATATCCACAACGGAAGAACGGCACCTTGAATTTCATTCTTTCCCTAATCCAGTGAGTCTCTCATTGATAACAGGGTTCTCCTCACTCGGATGCAGCTTGTTCAAACTCCTCGTGCGGTTATTACTCCGATCCTAACATCAGGGAAACTACGGGCCGATAATTTACGAAGTCGCACCTCTATTATTTAAAAATAGAAATTGTTGACACATTTAATAGAACTTACTTCAATGTCAAATCTCACCAACTGATCCCTCAATCTGAAGTGACACTTTACTGGATCAGTCCCGTGATAAGTACCTTAATAAATACATGCTATTCTGAGAATAAAGTTGATATTAAAATGCGGATAGTTGGTCGGAAACAAACTTAGACGCGAGATGCGCCAAGTCGGCTTAAAAAAGATTAAACCCGAAGGTAGGAAAATGTTAACCTTTTGACATGTGCCGGAATTTCTAGGCAATCAAGGGGAGGAAAAAATAAAATGAGCGACGAAATGAAGGTTGCAAAACTCTATATCAAAGGGAATTAGGATCTAGTGCCGTGAAATGCGAGCAAATACAACTGTGTTACCTATCGCTGAGGTTGAAGATACCTTTATTCTTGGCAGAAATCATTCGTACTACTCCACTATTGGTAACAAGGGCTTTGGATGCAAGATATGGCCAGGTGCATAACTCGGGTCTTATACACAGGCACGGCACTGGTTGGATTTCACTCACCTTAGCGGAGGACTAAAATGTCCACTGATAAGACTCGTCTTAAAGACGCACGGAGTCCGCTCGAACGCCTGTACAGTGATAAGGCCGTCTGTACAAAGGGGATATGGATTCTCTATTAGCTACCCTCCAACACATGGATGCATAATCTAGAATAGCGCTTCGGGTGAACTGGAGTTTAGATCTGTGGATTTTTCCATTCTGTGCGGAAAGTAACAGGGATTTGGAGTGGAGCCATGCGGCTTCAAGTAAATTGCGTAATCAACAATCGATTTCACACATTGGTATGCTTATTTTGTACCCGCATCGAATGAGGGAATCTTTTTATCTAGTATGCCTCACATTGCTGCTTTTTCTTAGCATTAGTCTTCAACTCGCTGTACAGACGCTGTTTTCTTATTTGCCAAGTAAAAAAAAAAGCAGCTTCTTGATGACAGTAGGTAAATGTTCTATTTCTTTGCCAAGTAGTTCCGGGATCTCATTAGAGTTAGGCTAGTTGCCTTGACGTGTTGACACATTACCACAGTTCACAGACACGACTTAAAGTCTGTGGTTCACAGCTTCCCCCAAACTGTGGAGCCCGTCAGAGAAGGTTCAAGCATGAGGTGACGACCTGTATCCACTAATTTCTATTATTTTAATTTTTTTTTTATATCCGTGATTCATATTTTGATCTGTACTTTTTTTTTTAATTTTGTCTGAATTTAGAATTGGCGTTGTGAAATCTGCATGCAATTTTAGCACTTCCAATTAACTTTGAAGCCACTTTTACTCTATACTTTGTTCTCTACCTACCAGCACCCTAGTAGAAATACTGAAAGTATGGCGTGGAGTAGTTGAAGGTCGGTCGCAAAGCGCGTATCCCAATGATGACCTATCGGTTGGCTCTCGTAGAGTGTGCCCTTTCGGGTCCTGATTCGGCATGCAGCCGTACATACGCAGCCGTACAGACCTAAGGCGATTGTTAAAAATTCGTAAAAAAAAAAAAAAAATAATAGACAATCGCTGCCGGTCTATCAGTGCTGCTGATAACAGTGCTATCATTATGTGGGGAGTACCCACTATGACTACAATTGTGGAAACTCCAGCAAAAAATATAAAATGATCGCCAGATCTCTCTATCATCTCAGCATTTCTTAAATCTTTTCTCTTCATCTTGTTCTTCACTTTTCACTTTAAGGTTTCTGTTTCTAATATTAGCAACCTCTACTAGCGGATCCTGATTGAACAAATTCTAAAAACCATGTCCAAGCAAGAATACCCAGATCTCACTAGTGTGAGATCCACGGGCAGTCGTTTGGAAGTAGCTGACCACGAGATTGATCTCAATGCTGTCACTTCTAACCCTGTCTCCATTGGTGACGTTGGTGTTTCGCTCACTGCCGACCAAAAGTACGTCATTCTCAATCGTCTTAACTACGATGGTCTTATCTCTTTGGAAGATCTTCCAACCGGTGCTCTTTTCATGATTGAAAAGATCGAAGGCTTACCAGTCCAAGAAGGTGTCGAAATCCTTCGTCAAGCCATGATTGATCATGCTAATGACGTCAATTACCCAACCAAAGATTTGGACTTTATTACCAAGTTGGTTGAAGAAGCTCCAGCTGATGGTTACACTAGTCCAGATGTTAAGTCTAAGCTTGACGGTCAATTTGCTGATAAGGAAAACAGCTTTGACGAGAAGAAGGGTGATGTCAATGCAACCACTTATGCTGAACCATCTTCTTCACATTCCGACAACTATTACGAGATTTTTGACTGGCCATTCCAAGTTAAGCTTGAAGCTGCGCTTCTTGCTTACCATTCTCCTTATCCAGAAGTCCGTGCTGTCACTGATCCTTTCGATGATCCTTCCCTTCCATGCGAAACTTTGAGAGCTTACATTGTTGGGTTTATTTGGAACGCTATCGGTACTTTTATCAACCAGTTTTTCGCTCAAAGACAACCTGCTATTTCATTCACTACTGCTGTTGCCCAGCTTTTCCTTTACCCTAGTGGTCTTCTTACCCAGTACATTTTCCCAGACTACTCGTTTAAGCTTTTCGGGCTTACTATCGATTTAAACCCTGGCCCATGGTCTTACAAGGAACAAATGTTCTCAACCATTATTTTCTCTGTTGCTGGTGGTGGTACTTCTTATGTCCAATACAATATCTTTACCCAAAAGTCTGAACAATTTTATGGAAATGAATGGGCTAGCTGGGGTTATCAAATTTTACTTATCTTGTCTACCAATTTCCTTGGTTTCGGTTTTGCCGGTGTTTTGCGTAGATTTGCTGTTTACCCTATCAATGCTATTTGGCCAAGTATCTTGCCTACCGTTGCTTTGAACAGAGCTTTATTGAAGCCTGAAAGAAATGAAAACATTAACGGTTGGACTATCTCTAGATACTACTTCTTCTTCATTGCCACCACCGCTTCTTTCGTCTGGAACTGGGTTCCAGAATATCTTTTCGCTGCTCTTTCAAGTTTCAACTGGATGACTTGGATTGCTCCAGAGAACAAGAACTTGGCATACATTACTGGTACCTTTGGTGGTCTTGGTGTCAACCCAGTCACATCTTTCGATTGGAATATTATTGATTACGCCGGTACTACTTTATCTGCTCCATTTTATTCCACCTTCAACCAATATATTGGTTCCGTCATTGCATTCTTCTGTATTGTTGGTGTCTATTGGACCAACTACAAGTGGACTGCCTACTTGCCTATCAACAGTAACGGTATTTTCACCAATACTGGTGATTCTTATGCTGTCACTGCCGTTTTGGACAAAAATGGAAAGCTCGACCAAGCCAAGTATGACATTATTGGACCCCCATTCTACACTGCTGCTAACTTGGTTGTATATGGTGCCTTTTTTGCCATCTATCCATTTGCCATCATTTACGAAGGTATGACCAACTGGAGAGGTTATTATTCTTCCCTTTACGGTGCTTACAAATCCATCCGTAACTGGAAGACTTCCACATCTATCTATGATGGTCATAATGATCCTCACTGTAGAATGATGTCTCGTTTCAAGGAAGTTCCAGACTGGTGTTATCTTGTTGTTTTGGTTATTGCTCTTGTTCTTGGTATTATCATGGTTGAGATTTACCCAACTGAAACCCCAGTTTGGACTCTTTTCTTTGCCCTTGCTATTAACTTTGTTTTCTTGATTCCATTGACCATGATTTACTCCACTACTTCCTTCTCCTTTGGTTTGAACGTTTTGGTTGAATTGATCATTGGTTACGCCCTCCCAGGTAACTCTCAAGCTTTGATGATTGTTAAGGCCTTTGGTTACAACATTGATGGTCAAGCTCAAAACTATATTTCCGATCAAAAGATGGCCCATTACGCCAAGATTCCTCCAAGAGCTATTTTCAGAGGTCAACTTATGGCTGTCCTTATGTCTTCCTTCATTGGTTTGGGTGTTGTTAACTGGCAATTGGATAGTGTTGAAGGTATCTGTACCAGAACTCAAAAGTCCAAGTTCACTTGTCCTGGTGCCAGAACTTTCTACTCCGCTTCTGTTCTTTGGGGTACCATTGGTCCTAAGAAGGTCTTTGGTGGTCTTTACCCAGTCTTACAATACTGTTTCTTGATCGGTGCCTTGTTGGCTCCAGTCTGTTGGGCCTTGAAGTTTTACTTCCCACGTAAGCTCAAGTTCTTCCAACCAACTTTGATCATTGGTGGTTTCCTTATCTATGCACCATATAACTTGAGTTACTACACTGCTGGTCTTTATGTCTCTTTTGCCTTCATGTCTTACATTAGAGTTAAGTACCAAACCTGGTGGGAAAAGTACACTTATGTGTTGGCCGGTGCCTTGTCCTCCGGTGTCGCCTTCTCTGCTGTCATCATTTTCTTTGCTGTGCAATATAAAGAAAAGGATGTCAACTGGTGGGGTAACACTGTTCCTTACGCGGGTGTGGACTACTCTGAACCAGCTAGACTTAACGTTACCATTCTGGAACCAGATGGATACTTCGGTCCTAGAATTGGAAGCTACCCTTAATCTCATTAATTACCATGTTCATGTATCTATCTGATGAGCTATATAGTTCTCCATTAATATATAATAAAAAAAATATTCTATCATAAACTCTGTAAAAGTGTCCAGATGGTTGCGAAAAAAAAAGTTGCCTCGCAACACAAACCTTAAAATTTTGAAGAAGTGGATGTAGATAATAATCTCTACAAAGGTGCTAAATACAAACATAACTACATCAAATTCTGGTCGAAGTGGGGTTAGGTACCACGCAGTGGCTCTCCCTAAGTAGGGAGCAGCGGAGCGCTTCCTACAGTGGGGTTCTTTATAGCTCTCCTTGTGGGACTGAGAAACCGTTCCGCTTCCACTCTGCGGGCAACTGGCTATGAGGGCTCCTATAACTCTGACGAGGAGAACTCCAGATTAAGCTGACAGCATCATTTTTACCACAGTTTCGTAATCTACATGTGTGACTATTTTCTACGCATGTCTACACCTTTAAAAAATAAACATGCATAACTAATTCATTCGACCCACAAACTCATATCCTCTAGTTCACCCCCTTTTTGCTGTGTACGGTAACAATCGTTATCTCTACACGAACTCTTAACAAGTTTCTCAAATGACACGTTCATAAAATATACATGGCATAATTCCGGGCATGCCGGAATATCGGAACCTGTTCCGAATGTCAACACTAGTTTCCCAAAAGGAAACTCTCTGCGAAAAGCTTATCGTCAATATTCCCAATTTTAAGATTACAAATATAGTTGTTCGCTATCTTATCAGTGCACCAGAACACTCCCACATATTCAGGCACGTTTCCTTCTCTTTTCCCGAGCTGTTTATGTGTAATCTCTTCTCCCTTCTTTCCTACGGCCACCAGACAATTATAGCCTAAATGTGTAGAAGATTCTAAACTATCACAGTAGAAAAGACCCAAGTATGGAGGTAATTCTGCAATTGCTAGAAGATTCTTTTGAGTAATAACACAGGAGTACTTCCCTTCTTCCTCAGACAGACATCCAAAGTATCCTAAATCCGTTACCGAGTCTGATCTTTCTTTGGTGGCGCTCGATATATCAAGAATATCAATAATACATTGATACCCACCAGCTTCTCCTTCTTTGTCTTCACTCTTCTCACATTTGTATACTCCTTGTGAGCTGACATCCTTATTAACATGGTAATTTAAGATATTCTGTCCAATCACCACAGGAAATGTAACAGAAGCTTGGGTGAATAAAACAATGATATGAATCAATTTCATGATGATGAACTACTAGTTGAAATTTAGATACTGAGCTATACTCCCTTTCCTCTCCATATATACTAATTGGCTCATATTATTAAAATTTCTTGTCATGACTTCTCCAATTATTTAAGCTTTAAAGAAATTGGTTCTTGCCACCCACTGATGTACCCCTTCTTATCTAAAATACTTGGCCCTTACAATGATTCTTCTCTACATGATACTATACCTTCTCTACTCTCTACGCAATTGCATAAACCAAGAAATTATCTCTAGTTGCTGTCCAAAGTGATGTTTAAGCTTAATACCTTTAAATTTTCCTCCTAATGTGTATCTTCTTATCTGGTATAATCAACTGTGCTAATGAGGCTGTGTATTTTTAGCTAGCCCTATACTATATATACGAACGATATAGCATCTTTCTTAAAGTATCTTTCTATCTAATAAGGTTAAGCTTTACACCTGCTTATGTCAAATAAAGAAAGACAAATTAGTCCATTCTTCAATGTGAACTGTCAAACCTTCCTTACTGGAAGCCCCCACGGCTAGTGGCTAACTGATCAACTTACAAACAACGTGAGGTGACTAGTTCTCGTTTTCTTGCGGTGTGTATAACGCTTGACTGGCCTCTGTTTGGTGAGAGATAGTGTGAGGTGCCTAACTCCTCTACGAGGAGTTCTGGAAAGACGCCACCTTGCGCAGTCAGTTGACCAAAGGCCAGTTTCTTCTACATCTCTTCTACATCATGGTCTTCTTTCAATACTTTTAATTCAAATATACATTTATATGTATAATATAATACACTCTCCTTCTACTATATCCCCTACTTGTTTTGAGAAAGATACAATTGTTTCTTCAAAGTAGTGACATCATCCTTTAATTGATCTCTTTCTTGCTTCATAATGAATAAATCAGCCTGTAAGTCTTGAAGCTTCATGTTAAAGTGTGCACTTGTAATGTCGTTATGATCTTCTTCTTCAATTCCTTCGACATTCTTGGTAACACCTTGTTCTCCTTCTTCAATGGTGGAAATTGGAGTCGTGTTACGGACACTCGCTCTCTTGGATGCCTTTTGATACAACTTCAACTCTTCATTCTCCTTAATTAGCTTCTTACTCAACTCCTTTTGCTTGGCCAACTCTTCATGAGTAGTATCCAAGGCCCTACTGGTGTTGTTGACCGATTGTAAGGCATCACGGTAATTGTTTTCAAATGTCTTCAAAGATTGCAATTTAGCCGTCAATTCCAGACGTAATTCATTGATTTCAGAAGCAGAACCAGCTTGTTGTTCTTTAGAGATGGTTAATAATTCATTCACTTGGTTTTGTAACTTTCCTACAATAGGATCAATGGTTGCTGGGGTACCGTTTTCTGAAATTTCCTTAGATTCACCAGCTCCAGCTCCAACTCCACCAACAGCTACCGGTGGTACTCTACCGTTATTGGACCATAAGTTGACCAAATTTTCCAAATGAGAAGAAATATCACGCTTGGATCTTCTACCAGTAGCAGAACTAATGATACTACGGCCACTAGATCCAACACCACCTTCACTATTAACCTCTTCAGCTTCATCCTCGGAAACTTCAATCTCTTCTTCTTCATGGATTGTCTTGTAGTTATTAAACTCAACGTCCAAGCTGTCAAACTTATGTTTCCATTCAAGAACCTCCTTCTCCAATTCTTCTTGTCCTCTGACTTGGTTTGATAACTTGGCAATCTTCTCCTCTTGAACCTTGATAATCTTTTGGAAATTGGACAAATCGGTAATTTGATTGTTCATAAATGGTTCAAATTTGGTGATCTTTTCAGTTAATTGATTATTTTCTTGTTCCAAATAAACAAGCTTATTATTCAATTCCAATCTTTCCAATTTATATTGATTCAATTCAGAAATTGATTTAGGTACGGCAAGAACATTCCCTTCTTCATCAATATCACCTCCAATATCCTTCTTCAATCCAGAAATAATCAGGTCTCTTTCTTCAATCTCATTCTTGTAACGAACAACTTCTTCATCAAAATGAGTGTAGGCAAGGTTTGACTCTTTCAATTGTTGATTATCATCTTTCAATGTTTGGTTTTCCCTTTCTAATTTCTCAATCTTAGTAGAAGCTTCTTGGATTTGTTCTCTAGTAGATGTCTTCAATCTGTTCAATTCTGTAGTCAATTCCGTCACAATCTTCTTTACTTCGGATGATTCGCCAGTGCCACTTGGACCACGACTACCGGTAGGTGTAGATCTATGTGTGGCAGCTTCACGATCATCTTCAGAATTGACTTCATGGAAATTGTCCAAAAATGAAGCATGCCCGTTGTGGAAAGTTTGAGGAGATTTCCTTGGTTGTTCATCAATTGATGGTGGTGGCAAGAAATTCTTTTGTTCTTCATACCCACCACCGTTGATATCTCTACTGGTGGATAATGGTTGAGTAAATTCAGATGGTTCAAAATCAACAAAGTCTCTTTCTGAGCCAATAGCAGGGGTATGAGAGCTTCCTAATCCACTAGCAACTCCGGCAGCTCCAGTGACCGCAGCAGTGGCTCCGGCAACTGCAGCTACCTCGGCAGCACGACTATGTCCACCCTCATCCTTTCTTGATGGTGAAGCGTTGGGGGTTCTGAAATCTTCTGGTCCCGTGGAAAAACTACGACCATGTCCATGATTGACCTGGTAGTCTTCATTTTCTTTAGGAATTGGTTGTGAAAGAGTAGCTGGTTGTTGTGGTTGCTTCAGTTCAATCTCCTCTTGTTCCAATTGTTGTTGTTTCTGTTTCTGTTGTTGCAACTTTCTAGGAAGTACCAGAACCTTACTTTTCACTGGCTTATCCGATAAAAACCCTTCCAAGGCTAATAAATCCAACTCATAAATCATGGTACCAACAATCTCATCCCCGACAAACTCTTCATAAGTGTTGAAATTCTTTGAATTGCTGTCGATGTAATCATTTTTATCCCCACCCATAATAAGAAGTTTCTTATAACTCTGCAAATAAGTGATTGATTGACCACATCTTGGGCCAGGACCATTGATTTCACCCTGTTCAGTCAACTTCGACCACACAAGCGAATGCAAGTCCAACACATACAACGTGTCATAAATGACCCCACTAAAGTCATTCCCTCCATAAATGTACATTTTATCATTCACCATACATGAAGAGTGTTCATTCACTGGTAAGGGAACCGCACCAGTTGTGGCAATTTGGGTCCATTTGTTGATAATGGCATCAAAACACCACAAATCGTTTGAAACTTTCTCATTGTTGTAAACACCACCAAATACATAGATCCGATTCTTGTGTACACACATCGAATGGTTGGTCAATGGAGGTGGCTTGAAATTATTCAATGGTTCCACCGTTTCCCATCGAGCTTTTGGTGACTTGAAAGTATTCAATTCAAAATAGTACAAGTCATTGAACACATCATTTTCCAATTGACCTCCAAAGAGATACAACCGACTCAGACTATTATTCAAGGCAATGACTCCAATTGTGTGGCCATATCTCCCGTTTGGCTTGTTCAAAATGTGGCTAGGGACGGTGTACTTGTTGTTGTTGATGTTGAATAAATAGAAATTGTTGTCTGGGAACCCATTGTGATCGGTGTCCACTGTATCACCTCCATAAATGATAAACGCATTACCACACAACACCGAAGAATGCCCAACTCTTGCAGGAGGGTTTGTATTGTTGGCAATCTGAACATTTTTCGTGACAAAGTTCAAGTTGTTGTTTTCATCCACTTGTGGAGTGATTTTCCAAGTGTCACCGAAAACAGACCCTTCCTTGAGTCCACCCATGATGTAGATGTCGCCCTTTTCACTGGTGAACGACGATGCAGCGTGTCTGTAACGCGGGAATGGAGAGTCAAAGAGCTTGTGTCTTTTCCAAGGACTGGTATTGGCTGGTGGTGTCGAGTCCAATGGTGCCAGACTAGTGTAATGGTCATTTTGTTGGTTCAATTTGGGGTCCAAAATAGAATCAAATTGGGCATTGGATGCCGATTGCGTGGACCCTGGTGCCGTGGCGTTGGTAACCACAATTGGAGCCCCACCATAAGTGTCCTTCTGAGGAACCAGGGGCACCACAGGTGCCTCGGCATGAGATGATGGCAGATAGGCTCCATTATTATAATTGGGGTATTCAGAAGAAATCACCGAAATGTTGGTCGAATCTCCACCACTTTCGGACTTTCTCTTGTTCTTGCTTCCAAACTTAAAACGGGCCATGGTTATCAGTTGTCTATACTACTTCAATTCAAGTCAATTCGTTTTAAACTTGGCTATATTTGTGTGCTAGTTCTTTTCCCGCAATTTGTAATTTTGTTATGTCAAGAATGTCAAAAAATGTGTGACAATCGTATTTTCTCCTGGTGTTCAGATCTTTTTCACAAGCCAATAATTCCCAATTCTTAATGAGGGGTTCTCTATAAGAAATCTCTAAATGTATACTGCTACTACTACGACTTGTTTATCCAGTTAGCTAACCTCAACTAAGTTGTTGTTGCAGTTCAAGAGAAGTTTTCGACTCTATTCCCCCCACCGTCTAGGTGCGTGTCGCCGAGTATATATATTTATAGGGCTACATATTTAGATTCTCTATACATGTCTACAGATCAGGTAACCGCACAGGCTCTACACTTTCCACTTTAACCGTTTCCGGGAATATGTCCTTCTCCATACTACACAGACACTGGTTGTGTTTTAAAAAAAAAAAAACCTGTTACTGAACTAGGTAATTAATTTTGTATGGCGTTCCCCGCTGTGGGGGGGGAGGGATATAATTTTTTTTTTTTAGCACACTCTAAAAGGTTTGGCTAAAAGGTTTGAAGCGAATTCCCAAGTTTATCTCGAGGTATACGACAATGGTAAACGTTCCAGGGATACATCTTTGTTCTGCACGGCAGGTTGTGGACATGTTCATTGAGCTAAAGGCTTTAGCTTGTTTGATGGTTCCGAATTGTGGGGGAAAGGCTCTACGTCTTCTCGTCTATGTTACCACTACTCTCTAAATTATTTTTTTAAGTTTGATCCGACAGATTTCTTTTTTCCAGCTACTAAAGAGGAATTAGTTCTCCATTATAGGAGTGACGTTGAAGGTTTCCGGAAATTTTCTAATATTATTTAGAAAGGTGGGGCGATGTAGAAAAGTGGGGGAGGGGGGGCTTACTCGAGATGATCAGGATATGATTTAAGGATGTAGGTTTTATCAGAAGATTGCGGATATAGTAGTGAAGAAAGAGTAAAATCGAGGACCCATTTTCTTGAGTTAGGAAGTCTCACCGGGAGTGTACTAATAGTCCTAGGGGGGCCGTCATGACGCTCCGCTGGCCCCTACTCGGGGAGAGCCACTGCGTGGTGCCTAGCTCCTCTACGAGGAGATCTACGGTTGAGCCCGCACAAGACTGGTTTCTTGTCTAGTTGAAGGAAAACCAAATAGAATGACCACCGATTCATCTCCAGCACTACAACCCCTATAGGTGGGTTTCTAAGTTCTATCTATACCCCGTGGTAAATTCATAGGCATTGGCGGCTAAATTTTATTCTTATCCTAAAACAATCAATTGTTCCAGCTTAATCTCTTTCATTTTCTTCTAAAACGTCTGGAAACTTACAAACCCTCTTCTTCTCTTCTCTCAATATAATAAACTTCCTCGGTCTATTCTTTTTATCAAAATTTATCCTACTAATTATTCCTATTTTGTTATCTACATATTCTTTGCAACCAAAATTTAAGTCCCTTATGTTGTACATTCGCATTAGGAACTCTCTCAACCTTTTTTTTTTTTTGTTTTTGTAATTAATATTTTCTTTATTACTTTTGTTGTTGTTGTGACTTTTGTGTTATATATCACCCTCGTCACGTGCCTCTCTCGATATACGTTAAACTATCTACCCGCTTTAAGATCAATACGAGCCCACTCATAAATAAAATCCATATACTACATTCTATATTCATGTCTTCATCATTCCAATCGAGGGATTATTCGCCCGCGGCTCATCTTAATGCACTATTCCAGAGCCCGGAAGCACTCAATGAACTCCCTGATCTTCTTCAACATATTCATACTTACAAGTCTCAATTAGATCTGTCCATCAATCAAAGTATTGAAGAATATAATCATACCATAAGGCAACTGTCCTTTGACCCAAAGAAGTTCCAACAAGACGTGAGCAGCTTACTCGTAACTATCAAGACCACTAAGTCAAAGGCTTCAAAAACAGAACAGACCATTACTTCAATGTCTCAAACAATTCAACTGCTTGATCAATCTAAAAAGAACTTGGTTCATCTGATGACTGTGTTGAAAAGATTACAAATGCTTATATCTGCCAATGACACCTTGACCCAGACGATCCCCTCAAAGAATTACAAAGAGATCTTATCATTATTCAGTGTGGTAAAGGAACTTTCTTCTCATTTTAAACCATACAAATCCATTGATGAGATTGCCTCACTCAATGCAATCATTAATAGATCTCAGGCAAAATTGGTAGATGATATCTTTCTTGATTATGAAGATGCTATCCAACTGGATGATTCCTCTAGAGTTGACTTGCAATATGCCGCACAAATATTGGAAATCATAAGTTCTTCTCAAAAATTAAAACTTATCGATTGGTTCTGTAACATTCAATTGAGAGAAATTCAAGGCATTTTCAAATCTTCTGATGAGGCAGGTTCATTGGAAAACGTGGCAAGAAGGTACATTTTCTTTAAAAAAGTGTTACTGGTGGTATCTAATGATCTAACTCATTGGTTCCCAGAAGAATGGCATATTGATTTAGAAGTATCAAAGAAATTCTGTACCTTCACTAAAAATGATTTACAAAAAGTATTGAATCATTACAATGTCACAAGAAAGTCTAGCTCATCAGGGACCAACCCAGACGTCTTATTAAATGCCTTGACGGCAACTTTGGAATTCGAGAAATTCTTAAATCAAACATTAAACACAGAGGTTTTCGATCAATTTATTCTGAGATCTTTTGAACCATACCTTTCTGTATGGGTATCACAACAAGATTCCATGATGGAATCGAAATTTATGGAATATTTATCCACTCCGAAAATTCCAGAAGAATTAAATTCAAACACTTATGAAGGATTACTTTCCATTCTTTCAACTAATGCACCTCCAAATATTGCCTCTTCATCAGCAGAATTATTCCGAACTTATCGTAATATTCTCGCTCAAACCACTAAATTGAGCTCAGGTCCAATTTTGGGGGAACTTTCAGATTTATCTGTCAAATTTTTAATTCAATACGCTCAAAGAGTGTTGTTACCATGTTTACCAACTAATATAGAGGTTCTTACGGGAGTCGAATCGCTAAAATATCTTACCATGGTGTTGAATACTTCAGATTATTGTTCCAATACATCCTCTCAATTGGAAGATAAGATTAAATCCACCATAGATGAAGACTTGAAGGAAATCATTAACTTTGATGACGCTAGAGAGTCATTTATAGAACTTATTACAAACTCAATTACGTTATTATTAACGAAAATATCTAAAGATTTGGATTTCTGTTGGAGACAATTCCAAAATATTAATTGGAGTAATATGGATAACGTTGGGGATGTTTCCAGATATATGACCGACACTAAACGGATTCTCAATGAGAACATGCGTATCATCTTACCACTTATTGTCCGTGAAGGATATGTACGCAACTTCTGCAATAAGGTGGTTGAACTTGTGGTGAATCAATTTATGAATCAATGGAAATGTATTAAACCCATCAATACTGTCAATGCTGAACAATTATTGTTGGATTTATCTGCGCTTAAATCAATCCTATTGGCCCTACCAATGTATGAAGATCCAACCTTTGAAGAGTCCATCCATCCTCATGGTGCTAGCACTTCTCCATCTGATTTGAAAGTACTGGCAAGTTATGGGAAGTTTGTTAATTCCCAAATCCACAAGGCAGAGACTGTTCTTAAAGTATTATTACTGCCTACCAAGCCAATTGATGACTTTGTATCGAATTATCTCACCTTGATTGGTGACAAATCTTCTCACAATTTTGGCAAACTTTTAAATTTGAAGGGGGTTCATGGTCAAGAAAGTTCTCCATATGTGGATAATTTCTTACTACAGATTGCAAGTGGTGAAGATTTGCAATTGGTTGATTCTAGTCCATTATTATCACAATTAAAGACTGAGGGGGAAGAAGCGGCAGATAAGATCAAAAAGCCAATTCCAACCATAAGCAAGCCAGTGACTGGTAGCACGAGCAACACTGCAAGTAATAATATCTTTTCCAAGTCTCCAAGACTCAATGGGAATTTTTCACCACCGGGAGCATTCCAAACTCCATTTCAAAATAATTTGAATATCAATAATATTGAAAAAAGTTTCAGAGAATTGGCTCTTAATGGTGAGAATAAAGTTAGTAAGATCAATGAGAACTTTAAGAATTTCGGTAAGTTATTCAGAAAGGATAACAATGAGTAAGAGAAAAGTGAGAGAAGGGAGTTAGAAGGCCCGTAAAGCTCCCTTCCCTACGGGGACGCATGACACTCCGCTGTCCCCTGCTTGGTGGAAGCCACTGAGCGGTACCTAGCTCCTCTACGAGGAGTAATGAGACTTGACCCGGCTTTCTCATTAAAGGAACAGGAGCCCCCACGGCTAGGCCCACGGAGGAGTACCAGCGGAGAGGCTTGCCGTCACCCAAGATGTTTTCTACAAGGCTAGTAGTCTGTGTGACGATATAATAGATATAGTATAGTATTTGTAATATATATATAATGTGTAATGTACCACTAGGACTTATTGTATGGCTCATACTCTATGACAAATTTAAAGTCGCGATATGGAAATTTTACAAATTTAGAGTTTTAATGAACTAACTATCCAATGGCACTTGTAAAGATTTGTGGCTTGAAAACCACTGAAGCTGCCAGTGTTGCTATTGAAAATGGAACAGATTTACTTGGGATGATTTTGGTACCAAATAGACAAAGAACCGTGGACTTGGAAGAGGCCAAAAGAATCACCTCGTTGGCAAGAAATGCTAGACAATCAAAGAACAGAACCCACCAAACAATAAACTCTCTTCTCAAGGAGCTCTATTCGAGGGAGTACTCCACTGTGGATGATTTCCAGATCACAGCTGCAGGCTTGGTTGCTGCAAATGGACCGTTTGCCGTGGGAGTTTTCAGAAACCAATCGGTGGAACAAGTTTATGAAATGGCTCAACAACTTGAATTGGACTTTATTCAACTCCATGGTAGTGAAGATAAACTTGGATATGCCCAGCCTAACAAGGATTTGAAATATGGGATCATACCTAGGTTTGTTATCCCTACCGATAATGCCGAGATGACAAAGGTTTTCAGCCAAAGAAATGTTGCCACTGGGATAATCCTTTCCTTATTGGATTCTGAGGCTGGTGGAGAGGGCAAAACCATCGATTGGAGTGCTGTTGGGGACCTTACAGAGGGTCGGTATCTCTTGGCCGGTGGCTTGACTCCAGAGAACGTCCAAGAGGCACTCTTGGTGAAGAATGTCATTGGAGTTGATGTTAGTGGAGGAGTGGAAACTTCTGGGGTAAAAGATTTGACCAAGGTTGCACAATTCATTCAAAATGCAAGAAAGTGATTAAAGACCTTATGGATTATGATAGACGATATATATTAGCTAAAAGAAAGGAAGTGTAGGAAAGAACTCTGAGTAGGAGTAAAGCAGCAAGGTGCCAGTAGGGGTGCCAGACACCACGATGTGGTGTTGTGAAACCGCTAAACTGGATCCCCCCCCCCCCCCCCCCAAGAAGGGGTAGCGGAGAGTCTTGCCGCTTCGCAGGGAAGGGAGCACTAGTGTCCCTACGGTGGTTGTAAGCCGCTCAGCTGGCACTCCATGGGCCACTGGCCGTGAGGGCTTTGTTCTTCTAGCGAGGAATTCAGTCTCGTTGCAGGCCCTGCGGTCCTCGTTTTCAGCTGTAACATGAATCTACCGAACATACATCTACAAACTCTGAAGTTCTCTTTTAATTTTTTTTGTTTCTTTGTATTCTCTTGTATATCTATGTACCCCTATAAACTAATCAGCTTGGTCCCAGTTACCTGGTCTTGGCTGCTTTGGCATTTGTGGACCACCAGCTCTCTTTGCCATAATGATTTGGTCAACAGACAAAACGGTGTTGGTGGCATCGGTGGCCAAGTTAATGGCAGACTTCTTGGCTGCCAACAAGTCCAAGATACCCACTTCTACGGTGTCAACCAATCCGGTTTCTGATTCACCGTCAATGTCAAGACCTTGTACCAAGCCTTGTTGTTGTTCTTCGTCAGTCTTATCCACGGAATGAGCAGCGTACAACTTACTCAAGGCTTCTTGTGCGTCCAACCCAGCGGTTTCAGCAAGGGCTCTTGGAATGACTTCGAATGCATTGGCGTATTGCTTGATGGCTAATTGTAACAAACCAGGAGTCTTTTCCCCATATTGTGTGATCAACTTCATCAATTCAGCTTCCACTGCACCGGCACCAGGAAGAAGTCTGTTGTCTTGAAGCAAGGCCTTGACCGAGTTGACACCATCATCGATGGCTCTTTCGATGTCATCCAAATGGTTTTGTGTGGCACCACGGATCAATACGGTGGCGGTTCTCGAGGTGGAAGAGTCATCTTGTCTGAAAACAGTGACTCTATCACCTCCAATTTCCTTGGTTTCAATCACATCAACGGAACCCATTTCTTCAGGCATTGGTGCACCCAATCTTGGCAATGGAGTGGCTCCACAAACACGACAAATTCTTCTTAAATCGAATTTAGATGGCACTCTCAAGACTAATATACCATACTTGTTGAAGTAATGAAGAGATAATTCACCAACGTTGGCACCTGCAATGACAACCTTAACCCCTGAATCCGAAATTTCTTTACACATTTGATCCAATTGTTGTTCTTCACCCTTGGAGAAGTCCAAGATTTCCTTGGCATTATGTAACAATACAGTTCCCTTGGTTTCAGTGGTGGAGATATCAATAGGACAGGTATAAATGGCCACTTTAGAACGTTCAGTGATATTCTTGATGTGTCCTTCTGGTTCACGGGGGAAAACCATCCCCTTGATCACGGTGGATTCACTCAAGGAAGATCCCATAACCTTAACAACTCTAACAGAGTCAATGTTGAAAGCCATTGGTTGCTTTGGATTCATGACACTAGAAACAGCCTCTATAACCAAACGAGAAATCAAATCTTCAAATCCATATTGCTTGGCACCGACAACAGGCTTAATGGCCTTGAGAAGTTCTGAAGGTTCAGTCACAGAACGAACCTTATCCACAGCCAAGTTATCCAAGGCTTCCATCACATACTTGTTAGCCAAGGTGTAACCTTGGATGATTTCAGTGGGGCTCAATCCTAAGGTAACCAACTTCTCAGCTCCATTTAAGAACTCTCCAGCAAGAACAATTACTAAATTAGAATTGTCTCCCATTTCCATTTGTTGTTGTTGAGATGCCATGATCAAAAGCTTGACTGCTGGGTGGACAACCTCGATCTCGTTGAGCATGGTGGCTGCGTCGTTGGTGATGAAGATCTTCCCCAATCTATTGACAATGATCTTATTTCTACCAGAGGGACCCATAGATGTGAGCAATATGGATGAGATCTCACGGACTGCTTGAATGTTACGGATGAGCGCACCATCGGCGTTCGAATGAGACTGGTACCCCTGTTTAAAAAGGCCCGCATTCGGGGCTTGTGGTAATTTGAGTGACATGCTCTACGAGGTAATATATCTGTAGATAAATTGGGTATAAGAGAGATTAGAGGTTGTTAGTTGTTAAATCAAATCTCGTTCACTAAGAAAAATTCAACGGGAGGAGCGTGTCGAAAAAAAATGCGGTCTAGAGGCGTATGCAGGCTTGCAACAAAAAAGGTGGAAGGAAAGGGTAGACAGAGGTATAGTAGTGAGTAATTAGGAGTAGAGATAAAATAGTAAGAGGGAGAGAGTTAAGTATCGTCGATGAGCTCTTGAAATATAGTATCAGTCAGTCATATCCTCTTTTTTTTCTGGGGAAAACGATTGTTTCATTTTTTTTACTATTCTTGTGTGTGACATTTTTGTAAGTACATTCTCATTTTTACAGCCATTTTTTGCCACTGTATAACTAAACACCAGAGCATAGCAAATTATTTCAGGGAGAGGTCTAGTGTGTGGTTTTACTAGTCGCACGTGGGTATGAACTGGGGGAGAGAGATGTGTTTGGGATTTGGGATCCAGGTGGCGAGCCTTGGGGCCACTAGCAGTGTTGTAGCTGTTGTTTGTGTAAATTTAGCAGCCATAAACCTCCTCGTAGAGGAGCTAAGCACCACGCAGTGGCTCTCCCCGAGCAGGGGCCAGCGGAGCGTATTGGTAACCCCGTAGGGAATTGGGTGGTAGCCACCCTACGAGGTTCAGGAGCCACTCCGTTGATTACGTTAGGAGGTCTATCGAAATTCTACAGGATTCCCTAAGTGTCATACAGAGACTGAATTCCATAATCTTTACATCCGTTTACTCTATATATTCAAAGCTTCTACTCCTCATATGTTCTTCATATGGGCCCGTCTATAATTAAGAAGCCAATAATTTCAACCATTCTGTATCCATATCTCACTGATTATCCGTCAAGGATTAGTCATCAGTTCTATGCAATGTACTTCAATTCCTCCTCATCCAAATCGATTTCTTCCAACATACGAAGTAATGTCAAAGATTCAAAGTTCTTACACTCCTTGGCATGGATCTTGATTGTCTGGTTGTATGTCTTCACAATTTGTCTATACTGGTCAAGCTTGTCCTGTAAGCCCTGCACCTCCAGCTGGTACTTTGAGATGTTCTCCTGTAACACCTGTTGTGCCTGTTTCTTCCGTTGTCTACATCTAGAGGCTGCAATTCTATTTCTTTCCAAAAGTCTCTCTTTCTTCCATGCTGCAGTGCCAGGGATTGGTCCATCGTTGGGGTTATATATCACCTCGTTGTCATATATGAGTTGATGATTTGGTGGTGGTACTCCTGCTGCTGAGCCGGAATTTGTAGTGGTGGTGGTTCGGGAGTTTTCATTCCCAAATGATTTCATATCAACTCCAACGGATTCATTAAGTTCAATCGGAGTCGTCACATGGTCGGATGTATCCAAGAAATTATTCATCTGTGGTGCTGTTTGAGGATGTTGAGAAGATTGTTGTTGTTGTTGTTGTTGGTGCTGGTGGTGATGGTGATGGTCTTGAGGCTTAGGAATCCCATACGGTATATCGTCATCAGCAGCATGATAGTCAACAAATGCTTCATGGTTGACAATCTGACCAATCTGACCATTCGATATAGAAATTCTTCTTCTACGAGTTATCCCATCATTGGTGGTGTATGGGAATTTCATGGTATAATCAAAGATTGGTGGGTTGGTCAAGGGGTAGCTTTGGGTTTCAAACGGATTATGGAATGGGATCCCATTAGCTGTTAAGGAATGTGAACTGGAATGTCCATGGTTACTGTTATGAGAGGTGGCTCCTCCATTGGTGGTATTGTCCCGTGACGTATTGGCAGCCCCGCTATTAGCCATATGTGAATGGCCTGGATTTAAGGGAGAGTTCCCATGGGTGGCAGAGCCAGTGGTAGAGCTTGATCCAGAAACAATTTGATGTACTTGTTGTGATTGTTGGTGATGTTGCTGGGGAGCAGCCCCTGACAGAGATAAGGGGTTCAGTAATAACTGGGAAGAGTCCTGGCCATGGGGCCCACTAGGAATATGTTGTTGCAGCTGCTGTTGTTGTGGCTGTTGTTGTTGTTGTTGTTGAAGTTGTTGGCCAGAAGCGTTAGTTTGAGCAAAGGAATGGAGCAATCCCAAGTCTTGAATGTTGGACGTAGCAACTCCTCCCATGTGGCCATGGTGCGGGTGTTGTGAATGTTGTTGGTCACCATAAATGGCCCCGTTTGAAACGTAGTTCATGGCTGGACTGGAATCTGTGATTTGGCAACTAGAAACTTCAAAACAAATTCAGTGGATTCAAATCCTCTATCTCAGAGTCTCTCTTCTTAGTCACTCAAAGGAAAAAAAATTAAACACCAAAAAAAAAAAACGAAGCCTAAAAATAAAAAGAAATATCAAAAAAAAAATTAATTAATATTATTTTTACAGGACTCTTTTTTTTTATTGCCTTTTTGAAAGCCACCAGGAATTTCTCTTCACAGAGGGTGAGCTGATGTGGTACTGGGTATGTTTCCGAGCTTCGTAAAAAGCGTAATTCTTTCTCTATTTGTGCCAAAGTCAATTCAAGCAAACTTGATTAAAATCCTCGTATGAGCTGCAAAAGGGAGAAGAAAATTTAAAAAGGAAATTTCAAACGAGGGAGTAAAGAGCAAAGGATTTAAGAGAGAGATATACATCTATATATATATAAGATCTAATCTAGGCAAGGTAGGTGGAGTACATGTGTCGATGGAAGCGCGGAGCGATGTGGATGTGGCTTGAGTTGTGTGTTCCAAGCTATCCCCGGGCCGATTCCACATGTGTGAACGGAGGAAAGGGGAGCACCAGAAAAACAAGAAAAATAATTACTAATGAGAGAAAAAATATATGTACAACAAATCGGCATACGCCGGCAATGCCCGCCTTTCCCCCCGTTGGTGAACCCTGGGGGCAATCCGCAGGATGTGTATGAATCCTGCTCCTGCTTAACTCCTGTGACCCGATTAAAAATAAAAGGAAAAAAAATAAAAATAATGAAATGAGTAAAAAAAGAAAAGAAAAAGAAAATTAACATTTAACAGAGAGAGAAAGATCCAAATTTCATTGCCAATGTATTCGTATATTGGGTATACAGCTAGGCATAGACATTCAAGATTGACTACGTTCAATACCTGAAATGAATGTGTTTAAGTGTAGCTTTCAATTGGAAGTATATGTTTCCCGCTTAAAGTTGCTTTCATGGATGCAACCCATTCACCATGCATACTGCACAGGAACATGAGTTCACGGTGAACTAAAATTTGATCCTAGCGTATACGTCGATTATACAATGTACGTAGTAAACCCGGTAAATCGATTGTCGAAGTTGGTGCATACGGGAATCTTCAAATCGGCAAAAGGCGAGAGTCACGAGGAGAATTCACAAGGCTTAACTGAATTTGGATTTAAGACGCCTATTTCCGAGATTCAGATGGAGAATGATTAAAGAATGTTCCAATTTTGTGTGTAGGTTGGTGCACTATGTGACCTTTGCACACTTGTGTTTTTTTTTTTACGCTGTGTATACACACACACATTTTTGAATAAGGTTTCACGAATTATTTGATACTACCGTATTGAAGTAATTTAATTCTTCGCATACCTAACGATTGTTTTTCTCCTAATAATGATAGGAGAATTACCAAAGAGAGAACTTTATCACGGGTATTTTCTTTGATAATGAGAAAAATACCATCAATCATATGCACGTGTGCGTAAACCGTATGAATATTTTTTAATCAGTTCCCCTAGCAAGGCGGGTAGTACTTGCCAATAAGAGTGAAACTGGGAAAATAAATTTCAGCCTATACAAAGAATATGGCAGAAGTAAAAATAATAAATAATCTTACATGTGGGATATGAGGAGTATATCGAGATTTCCATTTAGAGATGTGGGTGTCCTGTACGTTTCTGTAAGGATTCCTGTAAGGCTGGCAAACTGCATTCTACCTGAAACTTGGAAATTAGTGGTACCTAAATCGTGTGACTGCATTGCGACGCCTTTAACTTTTATAAACGATAGATGTTAAAGCTCCATGATTATTTATATTTCATATTAGTTGAGGAGTTATTGTGAAACAGATCTAGTATTACTAATATTATTAATATAAGAGATTTGTGTCTCTAAGACCTCTAGTCTCCTAACTCATTACAATTTACTCTATTAACCCAATTTTTTTGTACTCTAAGTTATCTCCTCTTCTCGACGTATCATCTCCTGAGGCTTATCATCTTCTCGTCTGTTCTTCTATCTCATTTTCTTCTACTTCTCTTTCCCCATATCTAGTCCCAAATGTGTAACTTTTATCTGTCACAAAATCGGCTTTGTCCCTGTACGTAGATAACATCACACACATAAACAATACAGTTTTTTTAAAAAAAAGATATCTCAAACTTTAGATTATTCACACATCTTCCCCCCAATAGCAATATAAACACTCTCCTTCTTATCAAATATGGAAAATGAATCTGTGAATGAAATATATCCAAAATTTGAAAATTTCCCACAAATTAAAGGATTTAGAGAACTTTTCAGTAAAAATAATGATAATTCATATAATAATGATTCTTTAACGACAGCAATTTTATCAGAATATAGAAGAAATCTGAAAGTTAATACCCCTAAAAATGAAATAATTGGTAAAGATATAGATTTTGAATTTATCATTGAAAATCAACGTGGGTTAAAATTTTTCGGTATACCTTTATTTTCTTCTAAACCACTTATACCAATTGTAGATCCACCAAATTTTCAACTGCTCAATGGGAATAGTATTCTTAATGCTGTAGAATTAAGGAATGATAGCATACATACCACACTTACGAACATATATCCCTTACCAGATCTAAATTGGGAATGGACTTGGGATACTTGGTATGTTGTCATGCTTTATGATGTAGATGATCAAGGATGGATATATCTGGGGTTGTTATTTAACAGTAAACATTGGAAGGGAAAATATTATTTTGGTAATTTTGTAAGACGAAGAATTTGGGCAAGATTAAGGAATAGAATTGGTTATAAAGTAAATGGATTTCAAACTGATAATGATAGAGATGATCAAAAAAGTGATTTAGTGGTGAGCTCCAATGAAATTGAATACAATGATGGTGACAAAATATATGTTGGAAAGGGGACATAATGAAGTATAGAATGAAGGAGAATAATCAAGTAAGTACGAAATGGGGACATCTAAACTGCCCGTGTCCATGTGGAGGGGTCCGAGCCGCTCCATGGGTTACTGGCAGTGGAGCCTTGTGTTCCTCTTACGAGGAATCTCCTCGTAGAGGAGCTGGGCACTACCCAGTGGCTCTCTACAAGTAGGGGTACAACGGAGCGGTTCTCATTCAAGAGAGGTGACGGATTGAATTCCTACTGGGTTCGTGGGACGCTCCACTGGCACTCCGTGGGCTATTAACTGTGGGTGATCCTGTTCCTCTACCGACTAAGTTGGACAACACTCCTGTAGAGTGGTAAAGCACCACAGAATCTCCTAGAGTATGGGCTCAGCAGCTTGGGTCCTCATTATATTGAGGTTTGATTTCCTACGAGGGTATTTCTGGTTATGTATTTAAATGGATGTCAATTATTTTGTCAATCATTGTTTATTTACTATATATTGCGGTAAATAGTTTTGCAGCATTTTTCTCAGTCTGTTGCAAAATCTGTTGTTGTTTTCCTGGTCATATTTTTATACTATGATAAGTCTTGAGCTAGATCTAGCCTTGTATTGTATTAGAATTCGTAAAGGTTCGATAAAGGGTATGTAAATGATAAATTGAATGGGTGAATTTGGGTATTAACTGTAGAAACAATAAATGATTTTTTGAATAGAATTGAAGGAGATACTAAAAACCAAAAGGAGGGTGAGACTAGATCTCCCAAGAGGGGAGTTAGGAAAGGAGTAGTTCGACAAAGAAGGGTTACTAAGAGAGCTTCGGAAAGTGATTCTGAGACTGTCCCATCAACTCCTATTGATGCAGTTCAGAAACAATCCATTCAATCAGTTCATAAAACTCCTACTTCTATAACATCACGAGAACAACGAGCAATTCGTAGAAGGAAAAACTATCAATCTGTTCCCCATACCTCTAAATTACCCTTGATAATCAAAAACCTACCTGTCGATTTGAACTCTTGCACCAAATTTCTTAATTACACTAGTCAATTGAAGATTGATGAATTCAGTGAATTCGCCAAGTCTTACCGTTCTTTGTTATACCACAAGTCCACCAGAGAATATTTTGAAACTACTGTAGCCAAGCTAACTAAGGTTTTCCTTGATGGTGACTATAACGATATTCCCTTAATCAAGTTAAGATACCTTTTTAGAAAGTTAGATGAGTTCCCATTAAATGTCATGGAAGGGAAAAAGTCTAAATATCTTATGACCATTACTTTAAACAATATAAAATCGATGAATTATAAACTATGGGGGTATTGTGACTCTAACCTTTTATTTGAAGTGTTTCAAGCAATCAGTATAACTGTTAAAAAGATTTTGATGTGTTGGATTTTAGATAACAAGGGTATTCTTTATGTTCAAGATCCAACTAGAGATCCAAATATGTTAAAAGTCATTCAATCTACTCTTAAAGGTACATTAAACCATTCATTCGCAGGGCTCGAATATGGTCTCAAAGGGTCTAGAGCTAATGATAATCACATTATTCGGTCAATTGGATCTCTCGGCGGGGGCCAATCTTTACTATTAATGAAACATTATCTAGAATTGCTACTGAAATTGCTGGTCAAAATATCTCAAGACTTTCCTGATGATATAGATGATACAAGACTACTGGTACTTTCCCATTTGATTGTATTGAATTATAGTGAGCTAACATCAACGTATTTAAAGTTGAAATGGTTCTAAAATCTATATGTGTGCTATTTATTTGTTTACAAACTTGACAGCATCTTTAGAGAATAAATAAGTCCCTCCAGAAATGATTGTTGTTGATGCAACTAAATATTCAAAGGCTGTCAACCCATATTGGAAGCTTTCAACCCACAGACTATCTCCTAGTAGCAGCTCAATACCGGGTTTCATAACAAGAAGCCCAATATAAATCATTTGAAACCCAGTGTTCCATTTGGATAATCTGGTAGGGTGAACACTTGCACTGGGGATCAGAAAGTCCCAATATCTTACAAATGTTTTAGGGGCAGGTAAAGAAATGTATCGGTAATAGATGGCCATAAATCCCAACATCACATCTCTACCGATAATCAAACTGGCCATGTATAATGGCATGGTCAGAGCATAGGATAGAGAGACAGTACACACGGTCATAAGAAACTTATCAGCCATGGGGTCCATAACAGAACCCAACACAGTGCCCATATTATATTTCCTTGCGATGAACCCATCTACAAAGTCTGTTACGCACGAGTAGACAAATATGGACATTGCCCAAGCCGTCTGGTTGTTACAAAGAAAGTAACCAATGGCAGGGGTTGTTGCAATTCTTGTAAATGTCAAAAGATTAGGAATGGTATAAATGTTTTCATGTTTGGGGAGAATTGACTCAATGTTCTTCTTTGTGGTAGCTTGAAACTCTTGTCTCAACTCTGAAGATGGGATAATCAGCAGTTTCTTGTTGGGTTTGGTTTGACGGTGTTGATCATCTTGAACAATTCTTGTACTTGAGAAGAATTGCAAAGGTCGTATTATAGTAGGGGGTTTATACAATGCAATATGCGAAGGCACACTCAACCGTGTGCACCTTAACGAGTTGAATGCCCTAGAGTATCCGAAACCTAAAGTGACTCTCATTGGTGATAAGTTGGAATAGCAATGTATCTGGGGTACTGAATTTTTTATCAATGTTTTCCATATTCGCATTTTTAAAGAGATTGAGTGAGAAGTGAAGTGGGACACATTTCAACTGCAGAGAAAGTAGAGACGAAGGTAGGGATGTAGATATCAGCACAGTAAGGTACATCCTCACTTTACAGACTCTGCCATAATGCTTCAATCCCTTCCTACAGTCTAAAAAAAAAACCACTTTAGAGGAAGAGGAGCCCACATGGCTAGCTCCTCTACGAGGAAATCTACACCTACCATTCTAAATTATAAGGTCATCATTTGACTCTTCTTTCATTTTATTCACCTCGTTATATAAGCAATTAAATCTATTTTGGTAACCCTTGTTCATTGATCAAAGTTTCCTCGGTATCTTGAGGACCAGGACCAATTTCGGTCAAGATGACCTTAGAAACACCCTTGTATAATTGGTCATCAAAGTCGAACTTGTAGTCGGTCGACTTGACTTCACCCTTCCAGCCTTCAACCTTGTTGAAAACAGTGTGGAGGAATCCCAAAACCTTTGATTCATTGTGTTCTTCGTAGTAGATCACGGCATTTGGACCAGCGTCAAAAGTGTAGGCAGCAATGATTTTGCCCTCCAATTCGTTCAACTTGTGCACCAACTTGATAATCTTCTTGGAGGTGTCGTTCAAGTAGAAGATTGGTGGGTAAGAGTCCAAACAAACAGCATGGAAAGAGTTGGAGTCCTTCATGGTTAATTCTGCGAAAAGTGGGAAATCCTTTTCAGCGATGGATTTCTTCATTTCAATGAATCTAGCAGGAACAACTTCCTTGATTCTATGTTGGAAAAGATCAGAAGTGGCAACGGTCAATTGCATACCAGAAGTGGATGGGGTGTCCTTCTTGTCGTCACTGACAACCAAGATGGCAGCTTTCATACCTGGCCAATGGCCCAATGGAGCGACTTCAACGGCCTTAGAGTCTTCACCATCGGTCAAGTCACCCATTTCCCATGCTACGTACCCACCAAACAAGGAACGACAAGCAGATCCGGATCCCTTACGAGCAATCTTGGAAAGTTCACTCATATCTTGAGGTAACTTGTACAACTTGGCAATGGCCACGACCAAGGCAGCAAACCCAGCGGCGGAAGAAGCTAATCCAGCAGCAGTGGGGAAGTTATTTTCAGAAACGATATGAAGTCCAAAGGTGGATAATTTTGGTAATGAAGCATCAGAGTCTTCAAGTTCTTTTCTCAACTTCTTCAAGTCTGCAAGACATGCCTTTGTTCTCTCAGACTCCAAGGACTCAAGCTTACCATTGAGCCACAACTTGTCCTCGGTGAAAGTTTCAGAGGTTGCTGCAGTGGTGAGAGTTCTCAAGTCCTTCTGGGACAAGGTCACGGATATGGAAGAGTTGGTTGGAAGGTTAAGAGATTTATCTCTTTTACCCCAATACTTCAAAGTCTAAACAGTTAGTACTTAGATCACTAAGAGAAAGGGAAGCAAGGTCCGGGGAGTACTTACCGCGATGTTGACTGGCGCCGTGGTAGATGCAGAGTAGATTGACATTGCTATGGGTTGATGGTATCAATGGACAGTCTACCGTTTATCTCGTTCCCACGCGTTTAAAAGTTAAACGATCTCGAGAAAAATCAACGAGCGGGAAAAAAAAAAATTCATTTTATTTACCACAAAGGATTGACATCAACTTATACCACCATCATATATATTTTGACTTTATTGATCAACCAGGTGGTTTGCTCCATTCTGAGGAACACTGGTGTTGTAGAATTTCTTGTAGAATAACTTTTTAGAATTGCAACAAATGGGCAGACGTAAGCCGCTCCGCTGGCACTATGTGGGCCACTAGCTGTGGGGGGACTTATTCCTCTAACGAGGAAGTTGGACACGTTGTAAATGTCGTCGGAGAGGATCTAGGCACCACGCAGTGGCTCTCCTAGAGAAGGGGCCGGTGGAGGGATGCACGAACCCAGAAGGGATGATAGAATCCCCCTTGCGCTCATCTCCTAGGGCCAAACCAAGCACCTCGTCCAAGTAAGGACCCCCAGTGGAAATTTCTATGGACCGTGTAGAAGGACTTATCCCCCGAGACTCCAGTCTACGTATATGAAGTTCTACAGTTAAATAATTCTTAATACTAATATTACATACATAAGAAAACAGACTTGCGCATTCTTCATTGTTCATTGTTTTGAATATACTTTTCAACTTCACCCACTTATTTCTTCTTCCATCTCCATAATCTGGCCTTACAATCACCACTACCGGTGGCGAAAATACCCTCGGTGGCATCAGAGTTAGAGCTAACTGCGACGGAAATAACCGAGTTACGGTGACCTTGCAACATCAACAATGGGTTTCCAGAAACTTCATCCCAGAAAATAACCCCACGATCTTTGGAACCAGAAATGACGTATTCATTTTTGGCAGTAAGACAAACAGATAAAACGAAATCCGTATGTCCAATGTAAGTCACTTCACATGAAGATTTTCTGGAACTTAAACTGTTAGCGGTTGGAGAAACAGAAGAGTCCTGCTTTCCTTCCAAATTCCACAACTTGACAGTTCTGTCCAAACATCCAGAAACAAGTTGTTTCCCATTGGCGGAGAAAACAACCGAATAAACGGAATCTTCATGACCGTTCCCGTTTTCATTACCGGAATCCAATCTTTCCACCAAGAATCCAGTGGTTGAATCCCAGACTCTAACGGTTCTGTCCAAGGAACCGGCAGCAATGAGCAGTCCATCGGGGGACACGGCCACGGTGGTGACACCATCTTCTATGGAAAGGGTCAACGAACATTGAGAAGATCTTAAATCCCAGATTCTAACGGTTCTATCACCAGATCCACTAACCAATCTATTCCCATCGGGGAAGAATTCCAAAGAATAAATATCTTGTTCATGGCCTCGTAAGATCTTAATGATTCTCTTGGTGGCCAAATCCCAAATTCTAATCAATTTATCTTCAGCACCAGTGGCAAGAAGTTTACCATCTGGAGAGAAACATACAGATCTGATGTAGAGATCACCATTGGTGTTGGCGGCAGCAGAAGAAGAGGGAGAAGCAGTGGTGGCCACTTGACCTTGAGCACCACCCTTTTCACCGGATTCGTTACCATTTGCACCATTGGCACCATTAAGACTGTTGGTGGAATTGTCATCAATCAACTTGGCAACCAATTCACCAGTCTTGACATTAAAAACTTGAGTAGTCTTGTTACAACCAGTAGCAATAAATTCACCAGATTTGGAGAACCGAACACAACAAACGACAGAGGAATGATCCAAAGAATGAATCAAATCAATTTCCATATTTCTTTCGAATGCTGGGTTGTACAAAACAAAGTAATCTGGATTTTGTTTGGTGAATTCTGGTGAAGCCTTGTTAATATCCAAGTCTTGCAAGAAAGGTGGGATTTCCTTAACGTGTAAGGCCTTTTGAGCTGGGTTGACAATGTATTGTTGCTTGTCAACGACAGTAAGAGCGGTGGAGGTTGTGGAAGTTGGTTCGGTGATTGGGGCAATTTGGTTAGAAGTTTGTGGAGGAACGTTGGAAAGACCACCAGAACCACCAGCAATGGCAGCAACTGCTGGGACAGCAGTAGTGTCCTTATTGATAGAAACTGGTTCTATCTTTGGGACTTGAGGAGATTCCTTTGGAGGTGATTGTTTGAGTGGTGGGGGTAATTGTGAAGAGGTGGTAGGGACTGGTGCGCCAGGAGCGCCAGGAGCAGTGCCAGTAGTAGCAGCAGCACCTGGGGCAGCTCCAGTTTCAGGACGATGGTATCCACCAAATGGAGCCAGACCGTTTGGAGGAGCGGCAGCGACAGCAGCCGATTGTTGGGCGGCAGCACGATCTCTGCTTTCCAATTCAGTCTTTAATCTCAAGATTTCATCTTCATAAGCCTCCTTAATCTTTCTATGAGCCATCTCAAGTTCATAAACAGATTGTCTGATTTGTTGCATTTCTGCAGTTTGTTGGTTGTACTTAAGATCATAGTCCTCCTTGACTTGCTTGAAGGATGAAGCTTCATTCAATGCAAAGTCAAACTCTTGTTTGACTGCATCCAAGAGTTCATTGAGTCTTTGTTGATGTCTTTGTTGTTGTTGTTGTTGTTGCTGTTGTTGCTGTTGTTGTTGCTGTTGTTGTTGTTGTTGTTGCTGTTGCTGCTGAGCAGCCACTACAGCCGCCGAATTGCTTGGATACCCCGACATTGTGAGTTATACAATGACACCTTTATAATTGTAAGAATTGGGGAAGCTGGACGTTTAAGACGGTCGTATCTTTAGATTTAATTTATTTTAAAGAAAAAATAAAAACAAAAAGAAATAATAACAAAGGGAAAATAGATTAATAGAATCCAACTTCTTGTTGTTATTTAAAGACCTAAAAAGATGAAAGGATACAACTTCTTTTTATAATTGTGAGAAAAATCAATACAAAAAATTGACACCTTCAATAAGGAGAAAAAGAAAAAAAGCACTCGGTTTTTGTTTAAAAGATTGGTGGAAAAAATTAAGTTTTGTGATATTTTAGCAAAATAAGTGAGAGAAATATAGAGCGTAAACAGGGGGTGCAAAAAGATTGGCGATTTTTCATATTTTCGAGTATTTAGGGGGTGCAAAAAAATTAAAATGAAAAAAAAAAAAACTAATGAGAAATAATTTTCGGAAAACATGATAAATCGTCATTATTGACAAGTTAAAAATGATTTAAAGGAGAGAGAAAAAAAAAAAAAGAGAGGCTTTTTGTGAAAGTTGTTATTAATTTTTTTTTTTTCCGTCTGTTTTTTTATGAACACAAAAAATAAAAATAATAATGAAGTTTGGGGTCGTGTGTGGGCGAGGAAGAAGAATAGAGAAAATAAAGCTGTGTTCATAATAAACAAAAAAGGAATTATTAAAAATGAGATTTAGAGTAAGGTGTGTGCAGGATACACCCTTTGGAGTTGGAGAATAAGGAGTATGGCATGAAGAATTGAAGTTTTCAAGTGGGGCGACCAAAGTGGGGGGGGGGGGGGGGGGTGGATAGAAAAAAAAATAAAAACATAGTAATAAAATAAATAAAGGGTCTAAAAGGAATCACATGGGTTTTTGTTAAATGACAGAGTGACATTGGAGAAAATAGATTTTTAGAGAGGGGAAAGTAAATAGAGCATGAAGAGATGGAGGTTAAGAAAGTGGATTAAATCTTTTAGATGTAAAATGGATATTGTAGAGAATAGAGAGTAAAAGAGAGGGTAGAGTAGATGTTGAAGATATAGAATGAGACACGGTGTATGAAGTAGGTGTGTTTATAGACTGAGAGCGTTGGGATATTAGGGTGAGAAATTTAGACACAATGGAATCAATTAAAAAAGGCTATAGATTGATAGAAGGTTGTAAATACAGTTTGTAATCTGGTGTGTATAGAACCTTTCTATTGTAGTAGGTAGATCACCTATGAGGAGGTATTTTTGCACCCATGTTTTATCACTCCTATTTTGGCCTAACTTAGGAAATAGCTTCTTCTTTAAAATTAGAACTATAGCTGTCTTGTAAATAGATACTTTGTATTTTTCTCGCAATGGTTCATCTTTTCATTTATTTACCACATCTTTACGCATTTTGCTGCAAGAAATAGTATTTACAACCAAAAGACTAAAAATTTTATTTAGTGTATCAAAGCCCCTTAATCTCCTTCCACTAGAGTAGAAAATATCCTATATCCACTACAAATGCCTCCTCATTTCTATAATCCCAAAACACTTTATTTCTCAACTAAATATCTTAACTACTTTTATCTCTCATCATCTTCCCTTTTGTGTACATTTTTGGTGTGAACAAAATCTTATGATCTTACAATCAAACCCCTTCTCCATACATTTCACGACGGCTAAACATACCCCATAATGGTATTATCAAGAAAAATCTTTAGAGGTAAAAGGGCCCAGGAAGCTTACGATAAGACCTTACCGGGGAAGTATCAAAAACTTCTCCAAAAGAATCATTTCCTCTTTTTCGGTCTTCCATTTATGTTATCAATTTTTGCTGGATCAATTTTTTTACAAAGATTTACTTCAATTAAATGGGAACAATATGATGAAAAATATAGACAATTAGGAGAAGAAGAAATGATGGGGATGATTGAAAATAAACGTGAAGTTAACAAAAAGGATGATTATTATCGATTACAGGGTCTTCTTGAACAGCATTCTTCCAGTGTTAGTGATGATTATGAAATCGTTAGAGTGGCACGTAAAAAGGAAGATGAACCAGTGTGGTGAACCATTGGGATAAAATTACTTGTATATAATGAACGTATTATGAATTAAAAATGTGTAGAAACAGGTCATCAAATGGGGCACAATATTTTTTTTAAAGATGAAGGTTTGGTAGCTACCCAAATATCCAGGGAATAACCGTTCCTTTGACCCTTTGTGTACGTCTATCAATGAGATTCAAGCTCTTCTACGTTGAAATGAACCCCTTCCAATGAAAGAAGGGGATACTAATCGCTGATAGGTTGAAAGCACATACCACATGCGAGAACACAACTGTTACTTTGTAGATATCTAATCTCCTAGTACTACTTGAACATTAGTCTTAGAGGATAGTGAATAGTTTTATGTGATTATCTTCATTGCTGTAAGAATCCAAGGTCACCCATAGATAACATTTATAAGCATCCATACACACCAAAGACTCCAATTGAACAGATTTTGAAGTCTTATGTGCTTCTTTTAATTAATGAAGTCTTCACATTGAACACTTGATTTCAGCTTACAATAACTTGCTGGTAAAGGTACCACTGAATATACCCAACTCATCCATTTTTCAAGAAACTCACCCCAATTCTTCAAGAGTATTATTAGATCTTCATCTCACATATGTGAAACTCTACCAATTTCTTACCTACGCCACTTCAACTCGAAAACGCCGTCACTACATAATACTATACCCTCTCAACATAAATCAGAATAACCATACCATAAACACTACTTTTGAACACTACTCTTACGCTTCACTATACTATCCTGTCTTATCACATTATCTAGTCTAATCACATGACCACCAGTATTTGGCTCATCTCATACCAAACAAAAAAAAAAAAAAAGATATGTAGCGCTATCAACACTAAGCTACCACTATCTATAACCTCCATTACCTTAGCAAATATGGTCTCATTCTCATGTGAAGTCTGCAATGACACCGTCGTCAAGAAGAAGTTGGATCAACATCAACAACGTTGTTACGGCGCCTACTTCACCTGCATAGATTGTTCTACTACTTTCCAAGGTAATGATCATCGTAAGCACACTAGTTGTATAAGTGAAGCTGAAAAGTATGAAAAGGCCTTGTACAAGGGTCCAAAGAAGAAGCAACAACAACAGCAACAACAACAACAACAAAAGAAGCCAGAGCCAAAGAAGGAAACTAAGATTGAACCTAAGGCTGAACCTAAGACTGAGAAGAAGTCTGAAAAGAAGTCCGAAAAGAAGTCCAAATCTTTAGACTTGGCCAAGTACTTGAAGACCGACAAACAGGAAAACTTGTACAAGATCATCAAGAAGATTTCGGAAGATAACTCTCTGGATAAGAAGGATCTCTTGAAGAAATTGTGTTTAGTTAAGGCTGAAGATGGATCTATTTCTGTTCGTTTGGAATAGATTATTCCTCCACATCTTCCCATATAGACTCCAGACTTACTCTGAATGGGCCAGAGAACGTCTTTGGGATAAAAATATGCATACAGTACCATGATAGACTTGTAAGTAGAAATGCTAGTTAATGTATCAAAAGAGTAAATAAAGATGTAGGTATAGACATTGGGGTGGACGCTTTTCAAAGATACTCCCACGAAATTTGACAAAAGACCATCTCTTAGAACTAAGATTTGGCAAATGTCCTCTCTTATCATCAAATCACACCTTAATTACGGTGGACGTTCATCGGTTTCAATCCGCTTTCTCTCCATGATCTCTCAGTGCAAAGCCCTATTGATGTGGGTAGCAAGGCAATGTGTAGCGAGTTCCTCCTAATTAGGGTTCGATTGGAGGTCATTTTCATGAAAATCGTAGTGGATTCACTACTGGACAGTGTTTCCGGTCAGGTAGCACTTCCTAACCCACTGGTGGTGGAATGCCCCAACATGGTGGGTTAATACGCATCCAAGGTCATATTTATCCAGCCTATGCCGATTTAGCACCCTTTATCAAAGCTCTATTAATCTTGGTATAAAATTGAGACAATGTGTTGTATGGAAATGATAAATTTCCCCAGAAGTATTCCGGAAGTACCTCCTTGAGCTTATCGATATGTTCATTGTCTGACAGAGTCATTGGCAAATAGCTAATCTCAGCAGTATCCTTGAAATCCTTGGCAATGAAAAGACGGTACAGGAAGGTCAATTCTTCACCTGAACTGCCCGTTGTCGAAGCCTGAGTGATATCAAAATGAAATCTAGTGGAATCTTCCTCATAGTTTGTAATTCGAAGTCCAGTGAGAAGCTCCAACATGTCAAGGGTAATTCCAATAGTCTCGAGCTCCTTGGTGAGCTCCTCTTGTGTGATGAGCTGGGACTTCTCGTCTACTACCCCTTGTTTCAGATTGGCACCTTTTCTTCTTCTAATTGGTGATATATAGAGGTTTTGTTGCTGTGAATGTCCTGGTGTTTGCACAACGCCATTCTTCAAGCTGTCAATGACTGCCTGCTTAGCGGCAACCTCAGCAGTGAGCTCCTGGACGAGTCTGTTACTCTCTGCAAGCTGTGCCTCTGCCTTGGCCCGATACTCTGCAAAGATCTTGTCTTGAGTTGTGGAGGTGAGTTTGGTCACCAACTCAATCACTTCTTGTGGTGAAGATGCATTCAATATTTCTCTCTCAGAGACAACCTCCACCTGCTCCTCTACTACCTTGGTATTCTTTCGTGCTCTCACCATGATCTACTCTCTATATGTTATAAAATAACAATGGGTACACTAACAATCAAACAGCTCAATTTGTTTGTTTTTAGTGTGAGAGTGTTTTTTTTTTGTGAGATCTCAAATTCAACTTCACTGACAAAGGGCAAAAAAACAAAAATACAAAACGAATGTACTATTATACGTCCCAACCACCATCCCCCCCTTCCTAGCCTCTTCACATCCCAGAAAGAATGTCATTCACCCCAGAGAGCTTCACCAAGAAGTTGGCTGGACTTCAAGAAACTCAAGACTCTATTGTGACGATTTCTCAATGGATTCTTTTCCATCACAGACATTCCAAAGACTCAGCTCGGATCTGGTCAGAATATATCTTGGGACTTGATCTGTCGCCACGATTGTCTTCCAAGAAGCTTTCTCTTCTCTATCTTTGTAATGATGTGGTGCAACAGGCAAGACACAAACGTAAGTCTGAATTTATTCGAAACTTTGCCGAAGTATTACCAAATGTGTTCAATCGAGTATATCCTAGTATTGTGGATTCCACTCGACCTAAAGTCGTTAGATTGATTGATGTTTGGGAACAACGGTCTGTGTTTGCCGCTTCAGAGATTAAAGAGTTGCGCAGAGCTATTGAGTTATCTAAGCGTAATAAACGGTTAGATGATGTGAACGATGACCAACAAGATGATACCAATGGTCTGCTGGTCTCTGGTGGTAACCAGATTACTATTGCACCAGAAATCAACCTTGCAAATACCACTTTGAACCATATAAACCAATTAAATGATCTGAATCAAAGTATTCTTCAACAAATTTCACTCCAATCTAAAACTCATCTTCCTACAGACCCATCAGCATCTGATAATTTACCATCTCCAAGAATCTACATTTCCAAATTGAATGTATTGGACAAGTTGTGTATAACTGCCACCTCCAACATTAACACCATCAAGAAAGAAAGACAATCTCTTCTACAACAATTGGAACTGCTTGTACAAATCGTAAATAATGCCTTGGAGACTGATGATAGTAAGTTGGCATTGGTACAGAAAACGAAGGACAGATTAGTCGATACAAGATTAGAACTTCAATCTATGATTGAAGATGAGAGTGATGATGCCACTTCTGCCTCTGTCACAGCTCTTGCCACGCCAACTGCATCTACCGTGGAGTCACCAGAGGAACCTTCGCCTGCCTTTGATGACGATGATGATGATGATGATATGATTCCCACTTATGAAGATGAAGATAGTGACGATGACTTACCACCAAGCAAAAAGCAAAAAATTACCAACACTTCCAACTCTAATTCAAGATCTCCATCTATCTCATCAGGAAACTCCACTCCATCTTCAAAGAAATCAGTGGCATTTTCTGAAGACGTTGAGATCAAAGAATACGAACGAGAAGAAAGAACTGATTTCATAAGCATTGCCAAGAGCGATGATGAACAAGGGGACGACGAAGGTTTCGAGGAAGATGCTCCTTCCGACGAATACACCAAGCACCACAAGGATGACTTGGAACTCAAACATGAACATGAAGAAGACGAATACGAGCCACATGAACCTTCTGGTGTGCAAGTTGATGTCTTGAGTATTTTATCTAAATTGGCAGAGCCATAATGCGAGGACAATATACAACAAAAGGACTTTATTATTTGTAGTATTCTATTTAATTATATATCACGTTTTATATACGATGATGGCTTCTCGAGAATATTAGGCATCGAGTATCGGTTTCTCTGGGCACCAGGCCTGGAGGGAATTCCTTGAATGAGATCTTCAATGGGCGGTAAATGAACCACATTTTCTAGTGGTGGGAAATGGAATGCAGACAGCATCGAGGATGTAGACGAAAATGACGCTGAATTCGAGGACAATGACGACGGCGACGAGGACAGAGTGGGCAACGCAGATACTGTAGAAGAGGATGAAGATGGCATTGAAAATGTTGATAGTATTGGCATCATTGGTATCGAGACAGAATTCCGTTGTACACGAGGCAACTGAGGGATAGGGTTGTTCAAACTTTTCAAGTTTAAACTTGAATAACTTGAAGTAGAAAGTCGATGAGTTGAAGGATGAATAGATGTTGGGGACGACGTGGTAGATGAAGTACAAGAATTTGACATGGAATCAGACCTCTGTTTTTTTGATTGGGATGATGTTGAGCTTGATCTTTTGATCGCAGTACTGTTGCTCTTAGTTGGAGATGTTGGTGAGGCAGATATGGAATTGGATGGTGAGGTTTCTCTTGATTTCAGACTCGTACCTTTCCTTGGAATGTATACACAAAGTTTATCAGAACTCTGACAGCTGCTGCATTCCGGAAGCTCTCTGCTGCACTTCTTTTTAAGCTGTCGACACCTTCCACAACTACTCTTTGACTTGGTAGGATCTGATCGATCTAATTCTGGGGTTTCTAGATTGTGTTCGTAAATGTTCATACTTCGGGGCTGAGTCAGAATCTTGAGCTCTTCCAACGATTTCTTTCTGAACACGGTAATGAATGAAGAGGAGGGGGCGTTTGCGGTCGCGATGGCAGCCTGTGCTGCTGCAGCAGCTTCTGCCGGGGAACTAGATCGTTCTGGCAGTACATTAAGTTGGAATTCTCCTAAATACCGTTGGATATCGGCATATAGCTCACTGTCATACTCATCGGAATATGAAGCATCCATATCGACTCATTTCCCGTAGATCTCTCGGAATCAAAATGCTACAGCTAGTCCAACAGAAGGATATCCTTTTACAAAGAAAACTAGTTGAAGAAGAAGGTAGAGTTTATTAAGCTTCTATTCCACTTTAAATCAAGAATAAGGCTGCATCCCACGGAGTCACAACTGACTCGGGAAAATTGCAGCCATTTTCGCGCGAAGTATTTAATTTTTCTTTTCCCTATTTATTTAATTCACTTGCTATTTTTGACATTTTAGTTCCATTGGTATATTCCGTTCCGGTGTAAAATACCTCTAATAATAATTGTTAATAATATATAATTATTAATGCATGAACCTTTTAAATTGCCCCACCATACTTAGTAATTCGCAGCGGCCCACTCCGCTACTGCTCATGTGCCGTGTGGTGACCAAATAAGGCGTTTTGCGGGATCGTAAATTCTTACTATATCGGAGATCCGGAAACGAAGGAGTCATCACCGAACCCTTTGTTTTAAAATGACTAAAGGGCGGCGTTTTTCTCATCGTGTTTTTGTGGCTTACTGTAAATATTTCATCCCTTTTGGTATTATTCATTATAGTTTCTTTTGAAAATTGTGTAAATAATTCTTTACCCACGGTAAGTTTTTTGGCGGTCGGACTTGACCGAGATAATTCTTTTGCCAATACTTGTAAATATATTTTTTTCGGTGTTACTTCATCGTTTATAATCGAACTTTTCAAGTTTGGTATCTCCTCTTGGCATAAACTAGGCATAAATTTGGGATCAGAATCTGTCTTCAATCCCCCAATGTATAGTAAATTCTTAGCTCGGGTGCTGGCTACATAAAACAATCTAGATTGACTGCTTGCACCCACATGAGAATGTTTGTTCTTTAACAAAGATTCCCAATATGGACCTGAAAAAATATTCATGCGTGAGGCTCCTGTTATGAACACAACGGGGAATTCGAGACCCTTGGCTGCATGAATAGTTGATAAATTTATCATATCTCTATCTAGAATCGGGACTTGATCTCCGTAACATCGAAGAAAATAATCCAAAAACAATTCTTGGTCTCCACTTGATAAGTCATTCCCTTTATATTGGTCATTCCAACTTTCAAAGCAAAATCTTAAAGATTTATGAAATGAATCAAGGTAGTACGGTAAATTTTCTTGTGAATTAAGAAATGATAAGAGGTTGCAATTTTGACAAATATTTAATAAGCTTTGAAGTATATCATTTGGAGTTAATGTGGAAAGCTTCAATGATATCGAATTCCTTTCTTGTTGGATAGAAGTTAAAAACAATCGGATATTGCTCAAAATATTTGGATGCTTCTTATACAATGTATCAACATCTTCGGAATTCATTAAATACTCTTCAAGGGATTTGATCTCACAACTAGCAAGTTTATTGAACAACAGTGATATACGACGAGATCCTACGGGATCGAAATGTTGCACCATGCACAACAATGGGAAATTTGACCCTCTTCCTTGCTTCAATACCATAAGAATATTAATAAACTCATGGACTGTAGATTTTGTCCATACTGCTGACAGCGATAATCGATTACAATTCAAATCGAATGTATCATTAAATAATTTGTTGATTTTTTCTAATTCATTGTGAGTTCTAGTTAATATGGCAAAATCTGAAGGTGTTAACAACCCACCCAGTTCGCATATTAATCTAGTAACTTCTGTTGCAATGAAAAAATGTTCTTCTTCCACTGATGCATGCTCTATATATGTAGGTTTAAACCCATGTGGTCGAAGCAGAATCATTTCTAATTGATTCTGTTGATCATTGTCATAGATTGAAATGGCAGTGGCTGCTCTCAATATCTCTGGTGTTGATCTAAATGATTCGTTCAATTCAACTTCAGTAATAGAATATTTTTGGAACCTTTCATCAATATGATACATTAGATCTGGTTGCGAACCAAGAAACTCGTAGATACTTTGGTTCGGATCTCCAGCGATACATAAATGTTTATATTGATCAGGATTCAAATCTTTTGTTGGATATTTCACAATTCTTTCGACCATTTGAAGTAATTCGTGGTACATATCTTGAAACTCATCAACTATTACCACTTTAAAATTGAATAATGATGGGATTGGCGAGTTCTCTAATTGTAATGACATATCCACCATCGATTGGAAATCTGTAATCAAATCCAGATATACCATCATCCCATTCTCTTTAAGGTATGCCAATAACGCTTGTATATACTCAAGGGGTACCCCAAACTTTTTCGAAGCTACCAATACTGAAATCTTACCAGTTTTTATATCTGAAAGCATTCTTTGTAAGTTTATTGGAGTAATATTCACTCCCACTGACACTCCTGATATTTTGATTGATTTACGCAGAAAGAACTTTGAAAATGCCTTCCAACTTGAATCATCCATCAATCGTCTCAGACCAAATTCAGATGAATACCTCGATCCATAATTTTCAAGAGTACTTCCACAGAATGAATGGAATGTACTTATTTGGATCTCACTGGCTAATTCTTCTCCAATAATGTTTGAAAGATTACTTCTTAACAGTTTAACTGATCTATTTGCCATGGAAAGAACCAAGATCTCATTCGGTTGGATATTTCCAGTAGTAATCAAATATGCTATTCGGTTTACTAACGTGTGTGTCTTGCCACTTCCTGGACCTGCTCGTATACTAAGTAATGTATCAGGGTCAGGTGGCGACATAATTGCCTCATATTGGGATTCCGTGGCTACAAGTGGCACATATTCATATTGATATAGTCTCGATACAAGGTCTATGGGGGCATCGTTGTTGGCACTAGGCACAATGATATTCTTCATCCTTTCTGTTATAGTACATCCATCATTTTCACCATTCATTTGTTCTAATATCCTTGCAGGTACAAAATATTCCTCTGGACTAGCCAGATATAGATCATCATCATTACCAATTGTTGTATGGGCCGCCAATTGGCAATCATTTACCTCGCCATCCCCATTGCTCATAGCGTGTGATAGACTTGTTTTAAAGTCGCAATCGTTCATCTATTCTGCTGATATTTACCCCCTTCGTTTGTCCACACTACAAAAACGAAAATTTACTCTCAATTGATCTAAAAATTGTAAGGTAACTTCTCCTTCTCTTCTACAATTCATAAACAAACGATGAAGCTAGGAGATAGTACTTAGACGTGAAACCTCAAAAGAATTTGATGAAAGAGTCATAAATTAACGGTAATATACAATATATATATATATATATTCTCGATCAATTACACGAAATTGTTTATCTCTTATTCCCCTTTCGTCTGTTTAATTGTTGCCCCAGGTTTCTTTTAGTTCTAAACTTTTTTTTTCCTCTATCCAATTTTTTTTGAGCGGGGCTTGACGCTGAGATCAATACTAAAACTCGTCTTGTATATATATATATATATATATATATATATATATTTATAGAGAGAGAGAGAGAGCTATACGAATTCTTCATATTGATTGACACAATTGTTTATGACTAGCTTGAGCATCCTTCAGCAAATCCTTCCGGTTGAGGAAAAGGACAATAACCCAGGGACCAATCCGATAGAATTGAAAACTTTATCCCAATATGCTAAACTGGTGAAAAACCCTCCACACTCTCTTGAACAATTGAGGTCAAGTTTAGATCCAATAAATCGGGCATTGGATGCCACTCCAGAGGAACTATACCTGCTCATTGACCAATTCGAACAACATAAACAGGATATAGAGTCACAGAAACAAAAATTGTTACCCATTCAAACCATTCTTTCCCAATTCAATTCAGATTTAAAACAACTCCTGTCATCTCTTATACTGTCTAGGGAAAAATCTACACAACTCTCACAAGATTTATATTCACAAAATGATCTTACTGAAAGGTTAAATCCAATCATTCTAGACTTGATGGTGCCCCCAGACATCGTCAAGTCCATTATGAAGGCTCCTATTGACCCAGAATGGTTAGAAAATTTGAGGTTCCTCACGGAAAAGTCTCAACTTGTAAAATCAGATACCAACCCATACAAGGGTTCGAAAGCATTGGAAGAGCTTGAGGAAGCAATTGTAGTGTTGACTGCCAAGTGTGTGGAACGGATTAGAGACCATATCATTGGACAGGTCAAATTGCTTCGTCTGCTGTCCACACATACTTCATCACAACAAATCCAAAAGGACCTTCTTCTTGTCAAGGAAATTTATCCATTCTTATTTCAACACCATGAGGAACTTGCAAAGCAATTAAGATTGGCTTATACGTATACCATGAAATGGTATTATGAAACCAAATTTGCTAAATATATATACGCATTGCAGAAACTTCGTCTTCGTCATGTTAACAATACCTTGGTGTTAGGAAGCTTGTCTACCAAAGAAGATAAATCTGGAGTGTTTGGGTTTGGTTTGAAAGGATGGTTCAATGGAAGTACTGGTGCTGCCCCATCATCTGCTTCGTCAACTTCTCAACTAATGAATACACCAGATTCCACAATGCTGCCCCAATCTCCTCAAACTCATAAAATTCTCATGTCAGAATACCTTCCATCTATTGAAAAAAGAATGACGATTCTTCAACCAGCTGAAGAAGGTGAACCAGACCAGGCAATTCCTTCGCAAATTGCAGAAACAACTCCGTTTGCATACTGGTTGGAGTTCTTGTACAAGCAATGGTCTGTGGCACTCATAGATAATGTAATTGTTGAATATCTCTTTATGGTGGACTTTTTCTATTTTGGTGATGAAAAATTTGATGAAATGGAATCTAAAAAGAATTGGCTGGACATTATGTTTAGTAACGTTTTTAAGATTGGACATGGGTTTGTTAACTGGTTAATTACCCATCAACCTCTGATGTTCCTCCCCGGGAGAGGAACTACCAACAATCGAGTTGTCTCGCTGACTCTCGCGGCTAGTCAAGCAGTTGTTGGTGGCGTTAGTGGTGGTTCGCTGAATGGTGGAGTTGGAGGTGCAAATGTAGGGTCTTGCGATGCATATGCGATCCTTTTAATTATCCGTATGGTTCAAAATCATCAATCTGCCTTACACAATGAGTTCCATGTTCCAATTGCTGACGAATATTTAAATTCATTACTCTTGCTTCTCTGGCCACACTTCACGAAAATCATCGATCTTAATTGTGAATCAATGAAGAGATCTGTTCTCCATTCAAAAGTAGGAGGCTCTGTCGTTGGTGTCAACTTGGCCCCCGTGGGTGTGACTCAACAATTTGCCCAATTTCTTGTTGGTCTTTTAAAATTGGCCCATGCTGGAGGAACTGATGATACAACTTTCCAAGGTGAGCCACTTTTCATTTCGATCCGAAGGCTTAGAAATGACTTTGAAAGTGTACTTACAAAAGTGAGTAACAGCATGTTTGCCAAGAAGAATGGGAAGGAAAAGGAATTATTCTTATTCAATAATTACTTTTTGGTCGTTAATATATTGAAAAATGAAACTATGGGTGATAAGTTGTTTGAAGAAGAAATAACTCATTTTGAAATGTTATGTCAAGCATATAAATCATAGGGTATACACAAATCTCACAAATCTACACAATTGAGTTGACCTTCTTGTGATATTACTTTATATACACTTATCTAATTATATTTCACACAACTTTGCAAATAATCCACATAATTGTAAATACGTAGAAACACCTTCCAATACACGCATATGCACAAACCCTATTTCCTTGATGACTTCCAATCTTTTCAGCTCGCTGATTCCTGGAAGTGTTTTGGCTACCTTGAAAGACAGCGTTACAATGTCAATGGCACTGTAACCTTTCTTCCACAAGTCATCCAATAAGGCAATGGCTTCGTCAATCTTCCCACCTTCTTCGCAGCAGTAGGTCAAGAGTTTCCTGATCACCAATGGATGTGGTTGATCAACAATTTTGAATACATTCACATCATTGACAAATCCAAACCCTGCAACTGTACTTTGAAGATTATTAATAGCTTGTCTCATATCACCTTCTGCCGTGAAAATAAGCGCTTGAAGTCCTTCGGAGTTATATTGGACCTCTTCGGCCTTAACGATTTCTAAAAGACGTTCCAATACTTGAGAATCAGCAAGCTTATTGTACCTCAAGATGGCACATCTGGATTGTAATGGTTCGATGATCTTCAGCGATTGGTTACATGCAAAGGCAAAACGGGTGGTGTTGGAGTAAATTTCCATCGTTCTACGGAGTGCCTGTTGAGCACCAGGTGTCATGGAATCAGCTTCATCCAAAATAATGATCTTGTGTCTTCCAGGAGGTAATCTAATCTTTGTTTGTGCAAACTGTTTGATTTTATTTCTAACCACATCAATCCCTCTATCATCGGACGCGTTAAGTTCAAGAGTGGCCAGTTGGTACAATTCCGGGCCCAAGAGCTCGTATGCAAGACAGTGGATCGAGGTGGTTTTACCAATACCTGGGAGTCCAGAGATGATCATGTGCGGCATATTCCCATCTTGAGCAATGAGTTTAAGACGTTCTACGGTCTCTTCATTCCCCACAATGTCATCAAGTTTGTGTGGACGATATTTCTCCACCCATGGAAGTTCCAAAGAGAGTGCAAATGACATTATTGGTTATGATTGAAGAGGTGTTGGAATAGGTTTATTCTATTCTAATGGAGTCTTGTTCATAGACGCGTATTGATGGAATAAAAAAATGTACACGTGAGTTCTGTCACGTGCACAATATGATTATACATTATGTATGGAAGTAAAGTTATTTGAAATTGTTTCAAGAGTTAAAGGAAAGATATGGGCTTCTCCAAGGAATAGTTAGCCTCTTTGGATATTAGTCGATCCTAATAATTTGCCAAATTCCTATACTGGAAGGTTTACATTTTGATACCTTCGCTGCAAAAGTGGTGCTATTTCAAATATTTTCCAACTACATCGGTTTCTCTTCACTTGAAATTTTCTACCTCTAATACGTATATATAATATCACTAATGAACAAATCTAAAGTCTAAACGTTTATTCCCAATATCAGAAGTGGATCTGATGTACTCTTCTTGCTGTTCTGTGGTCATAGACTTCCATTTCTTGTCCTTGTACTTGTTCCTTAAGATGTAGTAAACCTTTGAAAGAACACAAGCAGCAATCGCACCAAAGGCAATTCCAATTAATTGGACATTACCTCTATGATATAAGGGGGCGTCATCTTTTCGATAAATATTTGCAGCACAAATGGCAGCAGATTGAGAAAACATATTGACAATGGCAGCAGAAACTGCTCTTGACCTAACGGAATTGGAATTTGCTGAACACCAAGATATTGTTATTGGCCAAATTGGTGCATGTCCCAACAATACAGTCAAAATTGCATAGGTACCCCAAACATCTTTTTGAGATCCTGGCCAATATCTCAATGGAAATAGCCCTGCTAATACCCAGATAGGGGTGGTAGCTAGGATCAAAGCTCTTTGGTTTATGATTTCTGAAAGATATCCCGTACTTAGCATGGTGAAGATCGATAAAATATTATACGGAATAGTTAAAGCATTGGTCTTGAATGTTGAAAATCCCAATTTTCTTAATGTCAATGTCATATATGTTGCAATTGGGGAAGTTCCAATATCTCCCAAGATTCTAATGAAGTATATCGGCCATAAATCGTAATCAAGAATTGATCTAGCTAGTTCAATTGGACCAACAGGCTGCCTATTGTGCATGTCACCCTTCTGGGGGTCGTCTCGAAGAACTTTATTTACGATCAACTTTTCTTCCCTTTCGGTATACCAACCTTTCTTCCGAAACCAAGACTTCGTTTGAACCACTGATGCTGGCATTTTGAAAAACGAAAAGATTCCAATAATCAATGTGACTGTACCTTCAAGAAGAAAAAGCCATCTCCAACCTTCAGAAATACCAGCTGTTTTAATTTTCAATAGGGCGAATGCCAATAAACTCGACCAAACCTGACTCAATGGATTGGCAATGTAGAACAAAGACAATCTAGATGGAAGCTCCTTCGATGTGTAAAAATACGACATCCATAAACACACGTCAGGAATGAATCCACCCTGCAAGCCACCAACCAACCCTCTAGTTATATAGAACCCTGCTTTTGTCTTGATAGAAGCTTGTGACATAGAAACAATACTCCATAAAATCATTTGAGAAGGAATCCAAATATCAGGACCAATCCATTTGGAAATCAATTGTGAAGGCAACTCCGCACTCAAGAAACAAACTAAATTGATAGTATTCCCCAAGTTAAAATCATTTGTAGTTAACTTTAAATCACCCAACATATTATCTGATACTGCTTGAGAAATGTTACCTCTATCAATATCTAACGAGGTGAACATTACAAATGCCCAGAATGTGACATACCAATCATTCTTCCAAACAGTTTTCCTTTCTTCATCCTTAGTCCATGTGAACTCTGGGTCAAAGTAGTCCTTGCATTCATAATCGGTATTTTCATAGAGCTGGCGGTAATATTCTGCGACTACAGGGTCCTGGAAAATATGATCGAGCTTTTCATTAGAGCTAAGAGATTCTAACTCTTTGGAAATCTCCACCTTGTGGCCATTTTTCTCTTCGGGGAATCCATTTATTTCTATCACACTGCTGATATCGCTTGAATTGGCACTTGCCCTTCTAAAATAATCTGTTACCCCCATTATTCAAATTATACACAAAAATAAAGCTTAAGAATTTTCGCAGCCGTTGATGTCTTTGCCAAGAGTTCCCTTGCAGGTTGAATAAAAAATAAATTGTTGTGCGTAAAGCAGACAGGTTAAGAAGAAAGTATGCTGCCAATGGTCAATTAAATGACAATTACTTTCTAAAGGATCTCTCTCTTATAAAGTAATTTCCTCTGGACCTACTAATAATTAGATAGGGTCCATCTGTCAAATCCATATTTTATAACGAAGCCACATGATTGCGATATCCTCCACAATTTCGCAATTCCTTTACCATATCAAGAGATACACATATTCCCGATTAAAGTTAAGCTTTTGCCAACCAATGACCTTCGGCTATTATAAACTTAGCGCCTTGTGTAATGTAGTGTAATGAATTGGGGGTCTACCTGATAGCCCATGAATCTACATGTCATACATGCATAAAATGAACTATTTGATGCATCACATGTTCCAATTATTAAGAGAAATCAAAATCATCATTGAAAGAAATACATGCTCTTGCTTAATATGGTCATCAGAGGATAGTTGATATAGCTTTCTTTTAATTGAGCATCTATCTTTCCAATCTTTATCTTCTTACTGATGTGCACTCCTAATGGAGATGTGGATAATTCACGTCATTTCCGGGATATATTATCATGTATAAGTCCCCGTAAGGGTTCGGTTAGATCCGGAATGAAATATACTATTAGATGCAATTTCATCTGAGATTGCGCCTTATTGTAGTGTCTTATTCTCGTCGTGTGATTTGCAACCATATCTATAGACAGATTTTTGATGCCTACTTTTACGTTTGAAACATTGATCTTTCAAAATAGAAAACATTTATTGTAGATATATAAGATATGATCTCTTCCAATATCAATTGGGTGCCTTATTCTATTGGTAATTAAGAAATTTGAGCTATGTCCTTGCTAGGGAAAACCTAAGCAATTACACATCCACCAGAACGGTATGCTCCACGTGGGAAACGCCAGTTGTCCTTGTCTTGGGTTTGCTTCTTTGCAGCAGTAGCAGATGAAGCAGAAGCGGAAGAGGTTGTAATTTTTTGAGCGGCCATTGTTGAAGTGATTGAGATTGTTTAGTGATGTAGAATTGAAAAAATGATCTGATTCAGTTCCAACTAGACTGCTTTATATATGATTTACAAAACATACCGAAGTACTACTTAACTACTTATAATTCTCGGCAATTCTCTAGTTGTATCAGATTCCCTATTGTATTTACAAACATTCCTGTTTTGGGCCAAGTAATGAGGAATAGTTAGTTAATGCGCGTTGATAAGGCGTCTCCCAAGATTCAGGTTTCTTCCTTTTTGAGAATTGCAATAGAGAGTGAGTGTCAAAAATAACAAAAAAGGATCACCAGGATTGATATTGCAAGGGCATTGATTTACCCACTTCAGTATCTTGTAACATATTTGGTATGTGGTGGTTCAAATATGGACTACCAATGGAGAGATTTTGAAACTTGGAAATATTCATAGTTATTCACAAATCTTCCAATGGATGCAAAGCTGAAAAATGGGCCTGTGAATTTATGATGCCGAATTATTTTACAGTACGAACCAATATGAATTATTGAGCTAGTTCATGTTTTACTCGATGACTTCTTATGTCACTATTAGATGGATTATGATACAATGTTACAGGGTATGTGTTATAAAAGAAAGCATTTATTGTAGATATAAAAGATAGAAAATCTTGGAACCATGTTTATTGCACTTCTCCAGCTACGGCTGTTATTCAGGCAATAACACATCCACCAGAACGGTATGCTTCACGTGGGAAACGCCAGTTGTCCTTGTCTTGGGTTTGCTTCTTGGCAGCAGTAGCAGAAGAAGCAGAAGCGGAATTGATAGTAATCTTTTGAGAAGCCATTGTTGAATTTATATGTTGATGTAGGAGTAAAAAAACTTAGAAAATGGCTGCAAATCAACCCATTTATATACGCTACGGCTTATATACCTGAGTATCATTGAATGGGAAAAAAATCTTAATGATAATCAAGTGCCACATGTGGGTAGCTCGTATTGTACTTGCTTGTCCCACCTTCCCTTGTTGGGCTGATTAAATGGGACCCAGTCTCGAGATAAGATAATTTCGGTTTCAGGCAACTGCCTGTTTGGGATTTACAATGAAATAATGTGTAATTCTAAAATTAAATCTTTGGCCGATTATATCGAGAAAGTACCACAACAATTATATGTGGGGTACGGAAGTGTATATGCATATATTGGGAAATCAAATGGAGGAAATATGAAACAGCATTAATTTCTTGGTGAATAGTCCCCACTATTTTTCAGATTATTTTCATAAAGATCTCTTACGGCTCGGTATTCGAGTGACACCTACTTCATACATTTGTAGTATCCATTGAAATGCTCTACACAATACGAGATGTGTTTAATTAATTCTAATTTACATTCCAAGTTCTATAGAATACTTACAATAGTACAGGTTATAAGTTCTCATTTTCCACTATTCTTAATGTCACTATCCTTTTCTTGCTCTTTTGATCCTTCTTCCTTATTTTCTACTTGCTTACTCTCCTTATTCTTCTTCTTTTGATCGTTTTTCTTTGGGAAAATCGGGGCACTGGTTGAAAGTACCTTCAAAACAGGCTTACTGAATTCAACCTTTGAACATTCTGCAAGCATTTGTTCAAGCCAAGGAACATTTACATCATCAACCTTATTATCAATCAAATCGTATACACCTTGGGCTGCTCGTATGTCACTAGTGAGTCCTATAATGGTGACATTCGATATGTTCAACATGTCCGAAAGTCGTTTCAGAGCTCCTCGAGGAAGCTGTACAAGTTTTACCCTATCTTCTTTGGATTTGGACGCAGTACAGGCAAGAACTGGGAAATGTTGAACAAGTAAACTCGGTGTTATGTCAAATTTTGTCACAAGAACATACTTAATATATTTCGAATTATTTTCCTCTTGGCCCGTCTTCCCGTTAAGTATATCAGTAGTCTTCTTTGCTTGTCTTTCTAATGCACCGACAGTAGAATTGAACCCTAAAGTCATCCCATTACGTAATATCTCCGGTTCTTCTGGCTTGACAAATTCTGGTTTATCTTTCCCCGAAGCTACAACCTTATTGTAGCTCCCCACATTTGAAAAAAGGTGTGATAAAAGTTCCAAAAGAGTTTCAGAAACTTCAGGCTCTACAAAAGGCCAAAGGTTAGATTGTGTATATGGATTATCAAGCACAGGCTTGTACACCTGTCTACGTCTTTTCTCAATGTCCTTAAGAGATCCAGACAAAGGTGCAACCTGTTTATTTTGTTTTTTATTATTATTATTATTATTGTTGTTGTTGTTGTTGTTGTTATTCTTCTTAATGTCTCCACTCTTGGGCTTTATATTACTCTTGTTCTCGATGCCCATCTTAGTCAAGTAATCGTGGTGTAATACTTCTAAAAGAGCCATCTCAAAAGTCACTCTATCGATCATATCTGACCGATGATGAGTTGTACTGCACATTGACCACCAAGGAATTTGTGAACATCTACTTCATGTACATTTACAAACAACTAACTTCTGCTACAAATTTATCTTCTTATGATTCAATATTATTCTACTATACTGAGTATATAACAGTCTGTGGATAAACACCTCTTTGTTTTTTTTTTGACTTTTTGGATTTTCCGTTTCTTTTCTCCTGCAAGAGGATTTATAAAAATACAATCGATTGAAGCAAAATGCTTCAAAGGTAACCAGTTAAATTCAAGGTACAACTTCAAATCCTCATTATTTTTCCTCATCGTCCTTCTTCTTACTGTCTCCGTAAGATGGTGACTTAGGGCTGTATTGTGGTGAGCCTGGAGAGTAAGATGGAGAGGTTGGAGAGTATTGTGGGGATGTAGGGGAGTACGATGGTGAAGTTGGGGAATATGATGGGGATGTTGGTGAGTATGATGGGGATGTTGGGGAGTACTGTGGTGAAGTTGGGGAGTATGATGGTGAGGTTGGGGAGTATGATGGGGAAGTTGGTGAGTATGATGGAGATGTTGGTGAGTATGATGGAGATGTTGGTGAATAACTTGGCGAAGTTGGTGAATAACTTGGTGATGTAGGTGAATAACTTGGCGAAGTTGGTGAATAACTTGGTGATGTAGGTGAGTAACTTGGAGAAGTTGGTGAATAACTTGGCGAAGTTGGGGAATAACTTGGAGATGTTGGTGAGTAACTTGGCGAAGTTGGTGAATAACTTGGAGAAGTTGGTGAATAACTTGGCGAAGTTGGGGAATAACTTGGAGAAGTTGGTGAGTAACTTGGCGAGGTTGGGGAGTATGTTGGTGAAGTTGGAGAGTATGTTGGAGATGTACCACCATATCCTGGAGAAGCTCCACCAAAGCTTGGGGAAGTAGCACCATAGGAGAATGGAGACGTTGGAGATGGTGACATTGGTTGGCCACCATAGGAAGTAAGAGCACCAGATCCATCGGAAACTGGAGCAGTGTGGATTGGTGAGAACCCAGCACCTTCTTCAAAGTGAATCTTATCATCTTCCATGTCATATTCCTTGTATGGGGTAGCACCACCATCTTCAGCAAAGTCACCCACTTCAGCAGTAGCAGAAACGCTAATGTTTGAAGGAGCATGTTGCAACATCTTGTCATCAACCATAACGTCGAAAGCACCGGTTCCCAAAGGAGCCATTTGTCCCAACATAACGTTTTCAGAGATACCACGACAGTCATCCAATTCAGCTGCTGCACCTGCATCAAGCAAAATTTCGACGGTTTCTTCGAAAGAACAACGCATCAAGGCACCAGTGTCAGATCTATTAATACCATGACGGGTGATAGCCATCAAGTGACCTCTAGATGTCATCACATCAACCAATAAGGCCATATGACGGTAGTTAACATAGGAACCATCGAAAGCAATAACGTTAAGAATTTCCTTGAAAAGAGCAGTACGAGTAGCCTCAATACCCAAGACAGAAAGAATTTCAATAAAGTTATTGGAGTAAGTACGGGCAGCATCCACACCAGATACAGCCATAACATCTGCCAAATTAACACCATCAGTTTCCAATACCCATTCTTGACTTTGAGCAAAGTCACCTGTAGCATCAGGTAAACTAACCTTATGTTGCATCATAAACACTCTGGTGATACCTGGGATACCACGTAATGAAATAGACTCCAACATATGGGCTTCAATACGTTTCAAAATTTGATCTTCTTCTGCATCAGCTTCTTCGTCCAATGACTTAGGATCACGAACCACACGACAACGAATAATCAATTTATCAGCAGTATCGTCGGACCAAATGACAAACAAATCTTCACCGAAGTTTTGAGAGATCTTCTCAGCAACTTGTGACATGGTTAATTGCTTATCTAACATCTTTGCACGATCTAATTCAAGACGAAGTAACCATGGAGATTGCTTTTCGATGGATTCTTCAACCTTTTCATCAGGAATGGCAAAGTATGCTTCAACGGTATCATAATCTTCTTCAATGACAGTACTTCTTGGATCAGGGTCATAGAAAATTTCAGTCGCAGACGTAACATTCTTCAAGGTAGTGTGTTCAATAGCAGATTGAACAACCTTGGCCTTTTCAATGTCGGCGGCAATCTCCTTTTCTAAGTAGACTGTCAAGGCTGGAGTCTTGATGTTCTTAGCAACGTTAAGAATTTCCTTAAGACGAGGAACACCCAAGGTAACATTCTTGGACGACACACCAGCATAATGGAAAGTATTCAACGTCATTTGAGTAGCTGGTTCACCAATAGATTGGGCGGCAATAACACCGACCATTTCACCAGGGTGAACGATAGACTTTTGGAATTGAGTTTCAACTTCACCCAATACCCAATCGAAAGAAATCTTGCTCAACTTGAACTCTTCAATCACACGTCTAGTTGCCAATCTGGAACGTAACAAACATTGGAACAATAAAGTAGCATTAGCTTGTGCTTCTCTCAGTAATTCAGAATTACCACGAATGACGTGAAGTTTAGTACAAAGATCCTTAACACCATCGACAATTTCATCTAATCTCAAGTCAGAAGCCTTGTGACGACCATTGTGGAAAATTTGTTGAGCGTTTTGAATAATACGACGCAAGTTGACAGGTAATGGCCAGTTGAAGTCACCGTTAGGGAAACAAACTTCTCTCAAGTAACGACGATCATCACACAATTGTTTATATTCTTCATCCAAAACCTTCTGCAATTTAACATCACCTCTAATTTCCTTACCAGATTCGAGAAGTGATTCACGGATAGATTTGGTTGGATCCAAGACATCCACTCTGTAACGACGTTCAAAAGAATCGTCAGAGCCAGGAATAGTATCAACAGATTGTTTTTCAACTTGGGTACCATCAATACCGTCTTCACCATAGACGAATTGAATAATATCACCAAGAGAGTTTCTAGTAGTACCATCGTAATGAACCATGATATCTTCCAAAGCTTTAACCAAACGACGTTGAATATAACCAGTTTCGGCAGTTTTGACAGCGGTATCAATAAGACCTTCTCTACCAGCCATGGCGTGGAAGAAGAACTCTTGTGGAGTCAATCCTCTTAAGTACGAATTTTCCACGAAACCCTTAGATTCTGGCGAGTAATCATCCTTTGTGAAATGTGGTAATGAACGGTCAGCGAAACCGAAAGGAATACGCTTACCTTCAACAATCTGCTGTCCTACACAGGCAGACATTTGAGAAATATTAATAAAAGAACCCTTGGAACCTGAAACCACCATTTGCTTCACATTGTTTAAATCCTTCAAGTTCATTTCTGCAGAACGACCGGCAGTATCACGAGCTTGATTCAAAACACGAGAAACATTATGTTCGAACGACTCACGCAAGGTCATACCTGGTTCAGGTTCAAGCTTGTTCAGTTGGGCGTCCAAAATGATTTCCTGAACCTTATTTTTGGCCTCTGTAATAGTAGTAGTGACATCTCTCATAGTACTGTGATCGGCAATGGTATCACCAATACCAATGGAGAACCCGTTATGTAACAACCAGTAGTTGACTACCTTTTGGATGGAACTGAAAAGTTGAGCACAAACTTGTGGACCCTTTTCTCTCATCACAGTGTGGATTAAACCACCACCAGTAGCACCAACAGTCTTCTTGTCAACCACACCAAACATGATTTCACCATCTACAATTAACATACCACTGTCTTTAGGACTCAGTAAATCCTTACCGTCATCAAATCTTTGCAAATGAATACCCTTAGGGATAGCCATAGACAAGATTTGTTTACCGGACCACATTGGCTTTGGCTTCACAATTGCTGGAGGAGGAATAACACCATCCCAGTTTGGAATCCAATATAACATATTCATGACTTGGTCAAACTCAATAAAGTTATCACGCAAGGTCATCTTACGGATACCACACAATGTATCTTGGACAATTCCCATAACAGGTTTATTGGATTGTGGAGAAACAATTTGAAGTGGAACGGCACAAATTTGAGACAATTCAGCTCTAGTTTCGGGAGATTGAGGAACATGTAAATTCATTTCATCACCATCGAAATCGGCATTATAAGGCGAAGTAACAGACAAATTCATTCTGAAAGTAGAGTAAGGCATAACCTTAACTCTATGCGCCATCATAGACATCTTATGCAACGAAGGTTGACGGTTGAAAAGAACTGGGTCATCATCCATCAAGTGACGTTCAACTTTCCACCCGTACTGCAATGCAATATCACCGGCTCTCTTGTTGTATCTCAAATCAATACGGTCACCAGTGTCTCTGATCACATACTTTGCACCAGGATGATCGTTTGGTCCATTACGGACATATTCGGTCAAACGGTGAATATTGTAAGGGGTAACTATTTCAGGGTAGGATAAGGTTCTTGCAATGGAAATCGGCACACCAACTTGATCTAAATCCAAGTTTGGATCACCAGAAATGACGGTACGTGCAGAAAAATCCACACGCTTACCCATCAAATTCCCTCTCAATCTACCTTCTTTACCCTTCAATCTAGCTCTAATAGATTTGATAGGACGACCAGTCTTTTGAAGTGCTTGGGGCTGCCCAGCAATATCGTTATCCATATATGTTGCCACATGGAATTGAAGTAAAGCTTCAAATTCACTGATAACGTGCTGAGGTGAACCATCCATTTCCAATCTTTGAACATTGATATTTGCCTTCAATACATCGGCCAACTTAAAGGTTAAATCATCTTCACCTCTAGCGGTATCATTAAAGGCAATAGATGGACGCACTGGTGGAGGTGGCACTGGTAATACAGTAATCAACATCCACTCAGGTCTGGCGTAATCTTCATTGAACCCAAGTCTGTAACAGTCTTCGGAGCTAATGTGTTTGAAAACACTCAAGATTTCTGATGGAGTCAATAAACGACGTTCTGGTTGTTCATTCTCATCAAATTGCTTATTTTGTTTCCAGGTTCCCCACAACTTCAAACCATCTCTACGGACGGTTGGTTGCGTGTGGCCACATCCTCCTCTACCCTTAGTTTCTACAGGGGCACTACCTGGGAACCCATTTTGATTCTCTTCACTCAAGTTGTCAGCTTCACAAATCATCTTGGTCTTACATACATTCCACACAGCATTAAATCTCTTCTTTGGATCTCTGATCTTAATAGCTTGGGCCATGACAGGGTTGGTTTCATCCAACAATAACTTACCACAGTGCATACATACACACTCGCAGACCTTCTTAATTTTGGCAATGAAACCAATGTGGAAGACAGGCTTAGCCAAGTCAATATGACCGAAATGTCCAGGACATTCAGCCATATCTTCTCCACATGTTTGACATTTGAAATTACGGTCAATGGACCCCAATCTTGGGTCATTAAGCCCTCCTTCTCTTGGCTTCTTAGTGGTCTGGTCCATGGTTTCAGGATACTCGATCTTCGCTACGGAAATCGCACGGACTTCTTCTGGAGAAAGCAAACCAAATTGCACCTTAAAATGTTAATAAAAAGTTCAAAATAAAGAGGAAAAGAGGAGAAAAATATTGATGTGGATACTTACTTCTTTGACAGACCGAAGGGGTGCGCTCGAATATGGGAACTGGCGACTCATGGCTTACTACTCTGTTCTATCTCTCCGTGTTTTTTTTTTTGTTTTTTTTACGTTTCAGGAGTTAGCGCTGTTGTCTAGCAATCAAGTAAATGAGTGCTCGCGATAGATCTATTGTATACGTTCAGTATAGGCTGGTTGGAAGTGGTGGTGGTGTCTCTATCAATGTAGGTATTATAAACGACGTCCTAAACTTGCTTTCACTTTGACGTAGATTAATTGACAGTAACACAACAAATGGACAGGTCTCGCTGGGTAAATGGTTTGTAATCCGAGACGTGGATGGATGGAAGATGGATGGAAGGGTTAGGTGTTGTAAAGATCGATGGACAGACTGATCAATAGAGTAAAAGGCGCCTTTGTGTGTATTATCTCCAGTTTAATTTTCAAAAGTGGCGACAAACGAAATTTTCCAGTCTCGGGACAGAATTTACGCCTGAGTGCAGGACATTGTTTATTTTTGGGCGTAACTTTGAGACTGCTTACTATTAGTTAATGAGCCATGTAAAACAACCATTCCATCAAAGAAGAAAGGAAAAGGAAACTTCTAACGCGTTTAAAATCGATGGCATTTAAACGAATCTACCAGAGCACGAATATAGTATCATGTCCTATTGATTTTATTTTTCTTTTGATATGATTTTTTATGATATTGAGAAATTAGGTTTACGGGTGGTCTGCGGGCGGGGGTGGGGGAACGCATATTTTGGTAATGTGAAGGGGGAAACCGGATGTATTGCATATAGAGAAAAGACTTAAATATGTGTTGCAAAATGGGACAACAATGATTAGATTAGATGATATCAAATGTATCAATACTGTATTTTGATACTTAGAGTGTGTATGAGTGGTTTGTAGCTTGATGCTAACGCGAGATCATTCACCTTTGGTTGCTTCTAATTAGTGAACGCGTCAAAGCTGCATGTATAATTATATACTTTTAGGTGTAATTGAACTCTTATCAAGTGAAAAGTACAGTAGTGCTTTAATACTTTCAAATAAGAAGTTTATACTTACATAGATAGTTATAGTGAGTGAGAAATTGGTGTGTTATAGAACTCCAGTTGAGTAAAGTGATTTACTCTTTTTTCAATAGAATTCTATTGGTCTGGGTATGCAAAATATCATTATGTTCTTTCACAACCATCTAACACCCTAGACCCTCCGTATCTACATTCTAGAAATCAATTATCGAGTTCTAGTCGTAAAATCGTGAGATCTTTTGTTCTCCAGATGTTCGATTAATAAACAAAGAAACTGTCGCGTCAAAATTATTATTCGGTAAATTTTTGCAACCATATAATTACACACCCCCTGTATTTAATTATTTTTTCTATTATATTCCCCATTATTTATACTAAGTCAGTCTATAATGTCCATGGATATTTATCAAAAGTTGTTAGAGGTTCTTGTATTCCACCGAAATGAAGGTATTCCCTTGAAGGTCCCATTAAACTCGGTTAACGTAGTCCCTCCAAATCTATTCTTGGATTTGAACAAGCGGTCATTTAACATTTCTGATTCAGATATTAATAATGCAGAAACATACACCAACCATTTGATTGCTGCTGGAGCTCCTGAACCAGAAATCCAATATTCTTTGTATTATCAAACCAGATTGAAACAGCAAGTGGTGCTGTGCACCAGTAGACCATTGGAAATGGATTTACAGGCTGATGCAATCTGTATGTTACTCAAGTTAGCATTAGAAAGAAATTCTGAATTACTAGCCCTTCAGAAGAGAGTGACTGAGCTTGAAACTGAGATTGCACCTCTCAAGATTGAAGTATTGAATAGTAGGATTCGTATGCATAATATCCTTCTTGGAGGCGGGATAAACGGAAATGAATACCATGTCTTATACAATGAGAAGGGTCAACTCCCAATAGATGTTGGACTTGTAAACATCACATCAGTTAAAGAGATTGATGAGATGGACCCAAAACAACTCGATAAGTATCTTGAATTCAACCGGTACCCAATTCCTACACTGCTAAACGTGCTGCATTAAAGAGATGTTTATGCTTTGAACGCCTAGGTATATACTGTACATATACTTTTAAATAATTACAGGTGCTAATATACATAATTAAATTCTATCATATTTTGTTTATTCTTTTACTTCTTTTTCAATCATATATAATATGTTTAAGAGAAGAACTTGGACATAGCCTTCTTTTGTTTCTCGTGACGTTTCTTTAAAGTAGCCTTAACTTGTTGCAAGCCTTGAACAATGGCAGCATCGCCTGGTGCAACCCTTAAAGCTTCTTCCAAAGTCTTTTGTGCACTTTCTTCATCCTTGACCAATAATTGACCCATTCCCTTACGGTAAAGCGCCTTGGACTTGGACTTGTCATCAATATCGGTGACATCCAAAGCGGCGTTGGCAGCCAGAACAGTTTTCTTACCATCGTTAAGCTTCAATGCAGCTAATGAGGCATTCAAGTTACAAGACAATGTCAATGAGTACAAGGTCTTCAAATCTTCTTCTGGCAAATCATCTGGGTAGTACTCTTGTAAGAAGTTGGTGGCCTTATGGTACTTTTCATAAGCTCTCTTGAAATCACCAGCTTTGAGAAGAGTAGTACCAATTTCCTTAAGGGTGGAAACAGCCTTAAATACAGATTCACTGCTGTTGACATCGATGTTGTCATCATCAGCCATGACTTCTTCGTAGATGTCACCAGTACCATCGTCAGTACCAGCAGATTGTTCTGGAACATAATCGGAGTCAAGCTCACCACAATCAGCAATTACTACATCATCTACTGGCTTGTCATTAGCCTTTTCGCAACGTTCGATTTGACGCACCAAGGACTTACCTTGGATAACTTGACCGAAAACAACGTGCTTGCCATTCAAGTGAGGAGTTGGGACGGTAGTAATGAAGAATTGGGATCCATTTGTGTTTGGACCAGCATTAGCCATCGATAACAAAAATGGCTTGTCGTGGGTTAACTTGAAGTTTTCATCTTCAAACTTCTCACCATAAATAGATTCTCCACCAATTCCAGATCCATGGGTAAAGTCACCACCTTGACACATGAAATCCTTGATAACACGATGGAAGATGGATCCCTTGAAATGAAGAGCCTTGCCAGACTTTTCAGAGATTCCCTTTTCTCCAGTACATAAAGCTCTGAAGTTTTCAGTTGTTCTTGGAACAACATCATTGAAAAGTTCAAATACAATGCGGCCCTTTGGTTCGCCGCCTATAGTTATGTCAAAGAATACTTTCAGGTTAGTCATGATGAATATATTTAGTTATCTAATGAATAAGAAGAGAACCGTGGTGAAGTAGTCGGTTTATAATGAGCGGAGGTTGGTCTTTGATAGAACCTTCTGGAAAAAACCTGCAGGAGTGCGATATCACTCCAATGTAATTAATCTACCAAGCCAACCCTGGGGTAAAGATATATACCCAATGGACTACCTGTTAACCATATGGAGTAAACCATAGCACTCGATCAAAATCATATTTATTTTTACTTTCTTCTACTTCACAATGTCAATCATATCTAGTATACACTATTTCTTCACTTCTCTAATAGGATCAAAGTATGGATGATCCATAGCTTCCTTTGCAGTTAATCTTTCTTGGTGATCATATTTCAATAACTTATCAATAAAGTCCAAAAACTCATCGGAAACTAAATGTTGATTGTTTTCATTAATGAATCTTTTCCAAGGTCTACGGTTATAATATCCTAAATCTTCATACTCCTCACTGAGAGTTAATTCGTACTTTTGCAAGTATTTGTGAAGATCATCAGATCCCAAAACTCTTACAATTTGAACCAATTGATCAGTATTCGACTTTCCATGGAAAAATGGTTCCTTCTTGAACACCATTGAAGCCAACATACAACCATATGACCATAAATCTAATGAATAATCGTACAAGCGGAAATCAACCAATAATTCAGGACCTTTAAAATAACGAGAGGCAACTCTCACATTATATTCAGTACCAGGATGGTAATATTCGGCAAGCCCCCAATCAATGAGACGCAATACCTTAAATTCATGATCAATCATCACATTATGTGGTTTCACATCACGATGCATGATCCCCATTGAATGTGAATAATCTAATGCTTTCAATAACTCATGCATATAAAATCTAATATCCATATCATTGAATGTAGGATATAAGGTACGGAAATCTATATTATTAACATGTTCAAAAATTAAACCTGGAGTTTTCAGTTGAGGTTCACGAACAATATCCAATAATCCAATAATATTTGGACCCCCCACTAAATTCTTCAAAATTGAGATTTCTCTCTTAATCTTCTTCCTCTTAACTGGCTTTAAGACTTTGATTACACATTTTTGAGCATTTGAAAGTTCAACTCCTAAAAATACTTCAGAATATTTCCCTCTACCTAATTTCTTTATAATCTCATAGTTGTCCTGCAGTTCCCACTTGATGTTTGTGTTTTCGTAGTCCCAGTACGATTGAGGTTTTGAGGCTAGCACGTCGGTGTATACCTTCGATACAGATGTCACTGTATGGTGCGACATTTTCTTATTCGTGTATAATGATTTCTTAAAACTAAAACAGAATATGAAGGCAATTAATGCAACAACAATTAGTCGTGAAATTCGGGGTAATATTCTGGCTATCGATATCTTGTACGACTAGAAAACCGCAGTTTCAATTCTAGTATCGTCGTCTAATGATGCAACGTAGGGCCTGTTCCAACCGAGCAATTGATTAGGTTAGGGAATGTAGCAAGAAGCCGAAAGAGGACGAGGGGGGGCCTAGTAAAATTTGTGGTCAAAAAAAAAAAAGGTTCAGAACTTTTAAAAAGTTTGAGAATTGTGTGCAGGTATTTTGTATGACACCATACTAAAAGAGCAAGTAATAATAGTAGATAAAGGCTACTTGTAGAGAAGAAGGAATCCTTAAAATATAAAAAATTGTTCTTGTGAATATGTCTATGTATTTTACATTGTATAATCTGACTGAGTTTAATGTTTATTTGTTGTATATAAATCATGTATTATTAATTTCTATCATATATATATGTACTCAAAATAACCGCTCTTACCGAGAATGGTGAACCATTGAAGACTCTGTATTTGGTATTCTCTTCTTGTTTATGTCCGTCCTTTTTGCCGATCTTTAGCCCGTATGTAGTTTCCACTAATCCAAGTGAATGTAAGATGTATCTCTCCATTCTCTAACTCTTCTTATAAATCAAACCTTTGAATATATCAAACGAATTCCCATCTGGTTGCAATTCCAAGATTTGATGATTCTCCAAATCTTCCACAATCAAAAGACCATAATCTGGAGTAATTCCCTTGATTTTGCATCTGCGCACAGCCCCATTACCTCCAGCATCGACCGCAACTGTTTGGTCGGAATGGAACCATCTCTTATAATACAATGGAAGGAATGGTTTTATTCCAGACTTTTGGAAAACACTATAGAATTGTTCCACTGTATGCAACATCTTTGCAAGTAAGATTTCATGTTGGTATGGCGGTAATTCCGGAAGTCCCTTTGCTGCACGAAGAACATTCAATTTCTCTAGCACAAGATTCAAAGATGTAGTTGGTGCAGTGTTGGATACATTTACTCCTACACCCCATACAAGATGGAATACTCCATCCAAAAATTGAGAATTGATCAAAGCTCCAGAAATCTTGGCATATGTTTGTTCATCAGCTTCCACGGTACCTACAGCTTTAATAGAATCCTTATCCAACAGATTGAAAAACTCGGGCTTCATGGAGTAAATATCGTTTGGCCATTTAAGTTTAATTGGCATATCCTCATATCCAATCCCTTGACCAGCTTCTAAACTACCATAATTGAAAATCAGCTCCACAAGTGCTAATCCGCACAAATATTGAAGTGTGACAATAGAGGTTGGTTGGGGTCCACCAACAGGGACTTTAAAGAGAACAGATGTTGCCATAACCCCCTTCGGGTTCACCCACACATTCCCACCACGACCACGTCCTGATACTTGAGTAGTAGCAGTAAGAGTGAATCCATGAGGCAATTGTTGCAACCACCCAGGATTCTTATCTAATAGAGTATTGGTGGAAGTGATTACTTCAGAGTACCCAAAGGTAGATCCAATGGATCCTATTTGAGAAGATCCCGATTTTTCCCACAAGGTAGATAATTGTTTGAAATATGACGACATGTTAAAATATGGAGTCAATTTATGAGAAGGAAGTGAATCCAATGATTGGATGATTTTAACATGTTTAACAACAGAATCCAAATCAGACGCGGGGGTTTCCACCACTGTATCACTGATGAAATAATCATGATCATTTTCCTTTTCATCGTGAAACTCAAAAGTATCATTACAATCTTCATATCTAGTCGTCCCTGGTACATACATTTCCTGCAAGTCCATCTTGAGTTTACAAATGGTTTCTGGTTTCAAAGATGAGAGGTACACTGGTGTAAGTTGTGGTATACATACATCCACATCTTCATTAACCTTAAGACCGAGTTTCTTCAAGCAATCTCTCAAAAACAACTTCCTATTACGTTCATTTTCGGGCACATTTAATTCATTATAGGCATCATAAAAGGCATATTCATCAGCAGATGGTCTCATTAGAGAAGTGGTGAATTCTGGATGAGTTCCAGTAAGAAGAGCTAACCCTTTTCCAACAGTACATAAAATGACAGCAGCTCTGTCATCTGTTTCTAATTCAGTCTTGTTGGTGTAACGGGCCAATACTTCGGTATTTGCATACTTTTCAGCATCAATAAAGACTCCACCTCCATTATAATAGTTTGGGATTTTCTTCCCATTAAAATCTTCTAACCATACACATTTAGAACCTTCATGGGACTCATATGAAAACCCCTTAAAGGCACAGCCCTTAGCCATTCCAGGGAAGAAAGAGAGTTCTCTGGGACCAGATACCTCCATGTCAGTGCCAGTTTCAAATTCACATCTATCAGAAGCATAGTACCCACCAGAACAAAACCCAATATATCTCCCACCTTTACGAACAAATTGTTTTATTTTTTTGTTCCCTTCACCATCAAACAATCGACAAAGAGGGAGGTCTGCACCACCTGGAATTACCAACATGGATGTTTTACTCATCCATGGATCATTCAAAATGGCAGACTCATTGACAGCAACAACGGCGTATGAAGGAGAAAGGTGAAGTCTTAAGGACTCCAAACAGTGCTTAACGGACTCTGCTGTGGTCCCCTTCCCAGAATATACCAACACGTTCATAGCAAAAAGTAATCGACGGCTAGAAAACAACTTGTAAGATTTGTATTCTATGAAAAATTGGGAGTCAAGTTATATTTATATTTCATTTTTCAGTGCAAAAGTAAAATATTGAGTCTTTCAAAGACTCACGGAGTCATGGGTCGTGTATGAGTCGCGCCCAACATGATTCAACAAAGAAGTCATAAAAAAAAAAGAGAGAGAATAGGTTATTTGGGTCGGCTATTTCAGGAAATTGTGCAAGGTTCTAGATATAAATTATATATGTGCCTGTGTGTGAAATGATTGGAATAAGGTTCAAAAACCTATAAGTGTGAGTAAATGTGGTGGACGGTCATGTAGAGTAAAAATTGTAGAACAACCTAGAGGGATTGAAAGGGGGAACTTCCATAATAAATTTTCTGTCTCTGTCTATGGATATATATATAGAACTTTCAGGTCAGATAATTTTTATAGCTGCGGTATCTTATGTAAAAAATATTATGATGAACACTTGTTGGGCCCTACACTTTGTATACTCTATAGGTTGCAAATATTACCTGCAGTCCAGCCACTTTTTTTGGTTTGGTCACGTGGACAATCTCTTTTATTCCAATGGAATCTAGTTTACAGATAAATTAAAGAAACCTAATCATTTATTATTAAGAAAAATTAAAATATGGCCAGTCTTATAGAGCAAGGGGAAAGTATAACGCTTGATCCATTTGAAGGATTCGTAGTGAAAACTAAAATTGTAGACGCAGAAGATTTAGAGGCCCATCAATTGAAGACTAAAGTATTTATAAATATTTGCTACGATGAACAAGTACCTAAACCAGGTCAAGAATTCGATGCACTGGTGGTATTCCCCATGATAATCAGCAATCAATGGGAAATTCCCATCATAACGTCGCAAGAAAAGACAAATAAGGACAAGAAGGGTGTACCGTCATTAGTATATGATTGTTGCATTAATAAGGATTGTTTCACATGGTGTCAATTAAACAGTGATTTAAAATCAATTTTAATTGAATGGTGTATAGAAGCGGTGGAAATATTATATGACATTACTCTTGAAAGAGAATATACTCTCCCCAAAATGATTTCAAAGGGAGAATTATCCAAAACTGAAATATTGAAAAGTGAAATTGAGGGTAAGGATATGGAGAAGGAGTTAAAAAACATGAAAGATGAAAGACTTGGATTAATTGAAGAATTAAAATTTGGTAAAGATGAAGATAATGATAATAATGAGGGTAAATTCGAACAATTACCTAATATAATGGATTTAAAGGGTAATAAAAAGGGCAAAATTTTAATTGAAGAAATTGAAATGGATCACAAAGAAAAAGATGGTGTGAATAAAAATCTGCTGACTTTGCAACCACAAGTACAACCACAAATAAATTCATCAAGAATTCAAATTCTTGATGAAGAAGAATTGGGATTAAAAGAAATTAAAACCATGAAATTGGATGATAAAATAGAGAAAAAAGTAGTGGTAGATTCAAATAGTTCAAATTCCATTCAATCTTCAAGTTATGAAATTATTAAAAGTGACGAAGGATTGGTAATCAAAATACATTTACCCAATTTTCAAACTGATACCAAAAGATGGGAAGGTACAGGAGAAATTGCAAGAACTGATTTAAGTATATCATACAATAAGAGTACTAAAAAACTTCTATTAGAATCAGGAGATATCAATACCTTAAGTATAACGTTGACAGAAAACATAAGTTCTCTCAAAACATTTTGGATTGAAAAGGAAATGACTCTTTATGTATTTGCAAGGAACTGTTAAGGGAAGTTCCCAAATTGGATAGTTTAGCGCGTTCTCTCAATTGGGTATTCCGATCCGAAAAAGATAATTTTACATAATACTAAAAAAATATTTACAATTCCGTCATTTCAATCTTGATGCGCGCGCGCGCGATATTACAATAGGTGATGTTTGAAGACTTATCTTGCAAGTATGTTTTTTTTTTTTATATATATGGAGAAATCCTATGCCTTTTACAAAATTATATATTTACGTACAATCATCCACATAAACTGAAAAAGTACAAATATCCTATAAATATATTATAGATGAACGCAGAAGAACCGCTCCTTACTGGATCTTTGGACCATGAACGGTATGATGCCATCACGCAACATCCTTCCAAGGGCCAACTTGGATATGAAGTTACAATTAAAAGTGAAAGTAAGTTTATACTTAAATCTGTTGGTCCATTAGCGGTGACATTTTTCCTTCAAAGTTTACTCTCAATAACCACTATTTTCGCCGCTGGAAGATTAGGTCCTCGAGAATTATCTGCTGCTACATTAGCAGTGTGTACCTTTAATATTACTGGATTAGCTGTTTATCAAGGTATGGCTACATGTCTTGATTCCTTTTGTTCACAGGCTTATGGCGCTCAGAAACCATTACATGTTGGGATGTATTTCCAAAGATGTTCGCTCATGATGCTTGTATTCACTGTATTCCCATTACTGTTCATTTGGTGGTATTCTGGATCATTCTTGAAAAAGTTAATCCCAGATGAAGAACTTGCAATGATGGCTCAATCATATTTGAGAATAAATATAATTGGTGCACCTGGATTATTATTATTTGAAACTGGTAAAAGATATTTACAAGCGCAACATATTTTCAATGCAGGAACCTATGTATTATTGATTGTTGCACCATTGAATTTCCTTTTCAATTGGTTACTTGTATGGCATCCAGTAACTGGGTTAGGTTTTATTGGTGCCCCCATTGCAGTTTCTATTATTTATTGGCTTACCTCAATCTTACTATTATGTTATGTTTTATTCATTGACGGTAAAAAATGTTGGGGAGGAATTGATTTTGTAAAATCTTGTCAAAATTGGCATCCAATGCTTAAACTTGCATTGCCAGGGTTAATTATGGTTGAAGCTGAATATTTGGCGTTTGAAATCTTGACGATTTTTGCAGCATCATTCGGAACTAACCAATTGGCTGCACAATCGATTGCTGCCAATGTTGGTTCATTGGCTTTTCAACTTCCATTTGCTGCAGCTGTTGCTATTTCCACCAGAATTGGTCATTTTGTAGGTATGGAAGATATTCATGCTGCTAAATTGGTTACTAGAATTTCATTTGGTCTTGGATATTTATTAGCGTTGTTTAATTTTTGTGTGGTATTTTTTGGAAGAAGATTTTTAGGTACTTTATTAACATCATCAGAAGAAGTATTAGTTATCAGTGATCATATTTTGACATTGGTAGCTATCAATCAAGTTTCTGATAATGTCAATGTGATGTGTGCAGGTGTGTTGAGAGGACAAGGTAGACAAAGAATAGGATCATTATTAAACCTTGTATCTTACTACGTTGTGGCATTACCAGTGGGGTATTATCTTGCCTTTTGTGCAAACTTTCAATTATCTGGGTTATGGGTAGGAATCATTCTGGGGGTATTTACATTGGCAGTTTCTGAAACTGTGAGCATTATAAAGTGTAATTGGGTTCAAGTTCTTATTGATACAAAGGCTAGTCATGATCATTGATAGAGACTGGTCGAACCGTGTATATACAGAATATAAATGAAGAAATGAAAAATATAGAATGATAGAAGTTGACAGAAAAGAGTAATAATTTGGTTTCACACCTAAAATCATCAATTATTCCTTTAATTGTAAGCCGCTAAACCACCTAATATACCCTAAACCCATCACAGACTTCATATTTATAACTTTAAAGAATTTTTACCTTTAAACCTTTCCATAATATCACCTTCATTATCTACCAGTTTAACTTTCTAACTTGCAGCCATTCTCTCATGCAGGACGGCATCGATTTCTATATGGAGATTATAAAAAAAAATTAAAAAAAAAAAAAAAAAAAAAGAAAGAAAGTGAAAGAAGAGGTTTAAATCAAACTAGGTGATCTTAAAACGCAGTTATAAACGAACTTTTACCTTGAATATAATCAGACGACATGTCTTCAAGACGTAGATTCAACAAGAAGAACGCACAAACCTTTTCCGTGGTGCATAGAGCACACGATGATGCTTTGTTTTATGACAATGAAGCCTCAGAGCATGTTTTAGTTCCTGTGAAGGGAGGAAATCAAGCCAAGAAAACTGCTTATACTCCAACATTTGAACGTAAGAAGAAGGTCTTCACTACTGAAGACATAGCGGAGGATGTAGGCAAAGATGTCAGAGAGAATGAAGGTATGGCAGCTCAATTTGGGATCTATTACGATGATTCCAAGTACGATTATATGCAGCATTTGAAGCCAATAGGGAAGACTGATGGGGTATTTATTGAAGCTGATAGTAAGAAGAACAATCCAGCTGTGGCTGGAAAGAAGAAGACTGCAGCCATAGAAGATCTTTTCCAAGGACAATTACCTTCCGAAAGGAAAACTAAAGTCACATATGATACATTTCAAAACATCCCTGAAGATTTAAAAGGGTTCAATCCAGACATGGATCCAAGATTGAGAGAAGTCTTGGAAGCCTTAGAAGATGAAGCTTATTTGGAAAGAAGGGTAGAAGGTACCGATGGTGGAAATGAAGATGCCGATGGCCAAGATCCTGAAGATTATGCCGATAATGATGATGATCTCTTTGCCGATTTGTTGGGATCTGGAGAAGTCGACGAATATGATGAGGAATACTATGGAGAAGGTGCATATGAAGATGAATACGACGAATGGGATCTTGACAATTATGAAGATGAATATGCCAAATATGATCGAGATGAGGAATATGCCGAAGGGTATGAATTACCATATAATGAAGGTGAAGCTCCAGAAGAACTCGTTGACAATGCAGGTGAAGCTGCTGGTCCTGGTGTTTCCTTTTGGGAGAAGGATTTCAATAAGTTCAAGGCTGAAAACCGTAATAAGGAAAATGATTGGGATTCTGACAATGAATTTGAAGATGAAGATGACTTTGTTGGTGAACTTCCTTCTACTACCGCTGGGACCGTTGTAGGTGGTGCCGCATCTGCCTCGGCTGCTGCATCTTCGAAGAAGAAGTCCAAATCGAAGCTCAGAAAGAAGAAGGGAGCTATGTCTGATACATCTGCATTCTCTATGTCTTCTTCCGCATTGTTCCGTACTGAAGGTTTGACTCTTTTGGACGACAGATACGAACAATTGGCTAAGAAGTTTGAAGACAACGATGAAGAAGAAGAAGAAGAAGAAGAATACCAAGAATTTGACATGTTGCAAGAAAGAGGAGATTTGGAAGGTATGTTAGATGATTTCTTGGACAACTATGAGTTGGAAAAAGGTGGAAGAAGATTGGTAAAGAAGGATATGGAGAAGAAGAAGCTTCAAGAAGCTGCAGACTCTGTTTCCAAGGGTAAGGTTGCTGCCAAGAGAAAGAAGGAAAAGGAATTAGGTGGCTTAGGCAATTCATTTGGAGCAATGTCTCTTAAATAGATAATAGAACAATAACGTAATGAAAATTCGTAGGTTGGATTTCTATTCTTCTTGGTGAATGGATTTATATACAGTTGCTCGATATTTGTCAATACCATATGGAGTTGTTGGCCGCAAAGTACAAAAGTTAGGTACCACGTAGTAACAGATTTTTTTTTCTAAGTAGGGACCAGTGATGTGTCTAAAATTAACATAGTCACTCTTCTTCAAAAGCATTAGCTTCCTAGTTTTATCTCTATTTACCATTTATATATATATTGTTTATGAACCCACCAGACTCAGTATTCGCAGCCATATGCTAACCTCCAGAAGTACTATCCAAATTTTTTTCTGGTTATTTTTTCAATAAAATACACATCTGCTGACTCTATAACCCTTACTTAACACTATTATTCCAATAATTTATTGCCTGGATCAATAAATCATTATAAAGTCCAAACGATATTTATAGTTTTTTGTATTGTGCACATTAAGCGCACTTCCGCGTAATGTTTACAACAATTACAAACATTGAAAGTGCAACACACTCACTTTCTAAAACTGCAATGAAGGTCAACATTGTGGATTGGCATGGAGTGTCAACGTGGCATTGGAAACTTGCACCAGAAGGTAGTGGGTATGTAGATGAACTCTGTGGGATTTGTCGTGTCCCGTTCGATGGAACATGTCCAAATTGTAAATATCCTGGAGATGAATGTCCCCTTGTTCTTGGCCGTGGATGCACCCACAACTTCCACGTGCATTGTATCCTCAAATGGCTTGAACAGGAAGCATCCAAGGGCTTGTGTCCTATGTGTCGTCAAGTTTTCACCCATAGTGTTGAAGAAAACCCACGTACTGAAGATTTTGAGAACTTGCAACAGTTGGAGAATGGCCATCGTTTGTTGAGAGAACGAGGTGAAGATGTGTATGATGAGTGAGTATAAAATATACTATGAACTGATGGTTTAGCGATATAAAAGGGAAAAGTTCTCTAAAAGACATTAAGGTCATGAGAGAGACTACGTACCAAATCTGTGGTCTCTCTATCTGTGGGTAGCAGAAAATACTAGATTAGTGGGAGTTCATTGAATGTTCTATAATTGGAGCGTTAATACTAGCATCTTCTCACTATTAGAGTCTTATTATTGGAGTCTTATTATGGAGTCTTACTTTGAGTTATTGGAGTCCTGCTATTGAATCATACAATTGGAATCCTTCTATTAATATGTCTTGCTACCAGTTCTTCAAATCTGGATCTCTACTCCTCCGTATTTTTAGAATGCAACCATATAACTTGGACAGTAAGGGATGTAACTGACTGCCATGACTTTTATCACACACTTCATTCTAAGACATACCCGTTAAATAAATTAAAGAAACAGGAAGGTCAGTGTTTTTTACCATTTTTAGTAGCATAATAAATAACCCACTTACAGAGCTTCAATTCTCTGAAGTAATATATCTATTAAAACTTCATTCACAAGTACACAATTGTTTCTCTATATTCAAAGTATCTAAGCTTCAAATAGGCAGCCTCGGGAAATATGAAACATTGTTCCGTGCGACTCCAACCACAGAAAAAAAAAAGAGGTTGCCATACATAAATATAGAATTTGAAGTTGTATCATTCACCCATTTAGATATTTACAAATGTTTCCTGGTACCCTCTTACTTCGTCGCCAGCTTGCTCTGAAACAGGTCCTGATATCATCTTCCTTGTTGAGCGGCAGGGCCTCTTCAATTGGCAGAATTGTGGGATTTAGACCTATTAGATTGTACTCAGATAAGAAGGTTATCACTCCCGTCACTCCGCCCCCTGCATCTACCACACCTGTCTTCTCTCCAGAAGAACTTGAAGCTGCTCGTCTTGCCCGTCTAGCAGGATTGGGATGGGTCGCTAAACTTCCTGAGAAATGGATCCCATACGCTGAACTTCTGAGAGTTGAAAAACCAGTTGGTACTCTTTTGCTTCTTCTCCCATCTTTCTGGGCTATCACCATGGGTGCATACGCCGTAGCAGCTCCCATTACTACTATGTTGACTGCATCAGCTCTTTTCACCGTTGGAGCACTTGTTATGAGAGGAGCTGGTTGTACTATCAATGACATTCTTGATCGTAACTTGGATAATAAGGTTGCCAGAACCGTGGAACGCCCTGTAGCAAGTGGTAGGGTTTCAGTTCCTCAAGCCGTAGGATGGCTAGGTGTCCAATGCTTTGCTGGGTTAGCTGTTTTACTTCTGCTTCCATTTGAATGTTTCTATTTGGGTGCTCTACTGCTCCCTTTTGTAGCCACATATCCTCTCTATAAACGGTTTACATACTATCCTCAAGCTGCTCTTTCGTTTGTTTTCAGTTGGGGTTGTCTTTTAGGTTTTCCAGCCGTTGGTGCTCCTTTGGATTTGTGGGTTGCTCTCCCGCTCTTTGTATCAAACTTCCTTTGGTGTATGACATATGATACCATTTATGCCCATCAAGATAAGGCATTTGACATTAAGGCTGGGATCAAATCTACTGCATTGGCCTGGGGTTCTCGTACAAAGCCAATCTTGTATGGACTTCTGGCTACACAACTCTCCCTCTATGCATTTGCTGGGTTTATGAATGGTATGGGTCCTGGGTTCTACGGTGCTGCTATCTGGGGATTTTCCCGTCTCTTCTCCCAAATTAAGTCTGTCAACTTGGACAATCCAAAGAGTTGTTGGAATGCATTCACAGGTAATATTAGAACTGGTGAAATCTTATGGTTGGGTATTCTTGTTGACTACGTATTACAACTACTTGGATATTTGTAAATAGATAATATAAAAGTGTGTTAGCATTATAAAGTCTTACCATACACGAACTAACCTTACAGTGGTTTGTAATATATTATTTGACTCGTTAGTTTGTGAAAATGACAATGGAAAACCTCTAATTACATGTCACCAAAATGAGTAAGTTAAAAATTAGTGGTTAGATAATTAGCTAAAGTATAACACTAATGAAAAATATTGTGTATTTAATAATTTATATAGTACAACGTTCGAAATTTGTTTTGAAAGAATGGTATAACGAAAAGTGGAAGGGTACTTTAATTAGTCTGAGAAGTACCCGGCCAAGAAATTTGTAAAAGCATGAAAGGTGAGCAAGTGAAAAAGAACGACTTGAGCAATTCCGAGAAGAAATTTGGGACTTATAATGCAAAGTAAGTCAAGAACAAAACCATGATAGGTGAAATTGATAATCTTAAGTTTGAAGAACTACCTTCAGAAATAGCTGGAACTATGGCAGCTGAAGTGCTTGGCGATGATGTAGAAGTTGTGGAAGAAGTAATAACATCAGAGGTTGCAATAGAAGTAGATTCAATTTCTGGAAGAGTGGTGTACAAAGTGCTTGTAATAGTGATGTCACCAGTGGTAATCGTAGACACGGTACACTCTCCATTCATACAAGCAGCAGTGGTAGTAGGGCTAGTTGTGGTTTCGACAGTGGCAGAAGAGCTAGCGGTTTCCACGGTGTCGGAAGAAGCGCTAGCGGTTTCAAAATTGGCAGAAGAAGTGCTAGCGGCTTCAATAGTGGCAGAAGAAGTAGTAGCAAAAGAAGATGCGGTCTCTTGAGCTGACGTACTATGTTCTGAAGTGATTGGACAGTATGTGGTGTATGAAGTGACTTCATCATCTATCGTAGTAGTGATGACAGTTTGCCCTGTAGTCACAGGTACTGAGGTACATTTGTTGTCAGAACACGACGTAATCGTAATCACGGTAGTTGAAGGAACAGTTTTGGTTACGTCATCAGAAGAGAGTGGACAGTAAGTAGTGTAAGAAGTTACTTCATCGTTAATGGTGGTAGTGACAACAGTTTGACCTGTGGTGATTGGAACTTCGGTACACTTGTTGTCAGAACAAGAAGTGATAGTAATAACAGCCGTAGATTCTTCTGTCTTGGTAACTGTCAGAGTAGAGATACTGACATGAGAATTGGAAGAGAGCAAAGAGCTGGATTCACTAGATACATCGCTAGAGGAGGGAGCAGTACTAGATGATGGAACATCGCTAGATGATGGAACATCGCTAGATGATGGAACATCGCTAGATGATGGAGCAGCACTAGATGATGGAACATCGCTAGATGTTGGAGCAGCACTAGATGATGGAACAGTACTAGATGATGGAACATCGCTAGATGATGGAGCAACACTAGAGGATGGAGCAGCACTAGAGGATGGAACATCGCTAGATGATGGAGCAGTACTAGTTGATGGAGCAGCACTAGAGGATGGAACATCGCTAGAGGATGGAGCAGCACTAGAGGATGGAACATCGCTAGATGATGGAGCAGCACTAGAGGATGGAGCAGCACTAGAGGATGGAACATCGCTAGATGTTGGAGCAGCACTAGATGATGGAACATCGCTAGATGATGGAACATCGCTAGATGATGGAACATCGCTAGATGATGGAACATCGCTAGATGATGGAGCAGCACTAGAGGATGGAGCAGCACTAGAGGATGGAACATCGCTAGATGATGGAGCAGTACTAGTTGATGGAGCAGCACTAGAGGATGGAACATCGCTAGATGATGGAGCAGTACTAGTTGATGGAGCAGCACTAGAGGATGGAACATCGCTAGAGGATGGAGCAGCACTAGAGGATGGAACATCGCTAGAGGATGGAGCAGCACTAGAGGATGGAGCAGCACTAGAGGATGGAACATCGCTAGTTGATGGAGCGGCACTAGAGGATGGAACATCGCTAGAGGATGGAGCAGCACTAGAGGATGGAACATCGCTAGAGGATGGAGCAGCACTAGAGGATGGAACATCGCTAGATGATGGAACAGCACTAGAGGATGGGACATCGCTAGATGATGGAACAGCACTAGATGATGGAGCAGCACTAGAGGATGGAATATCGCTAGATGATGGAGCAGCACTAGATGATGGAGCAGCGGTCGAAGTTGTGGCACCAGGGATTGGGGGTTGACCAACACATGGCTTACAAATAGAATTAATACTACCTGAACAACCAGAATAAGAAACAAGAACTTGGCCAGGAAGCTGGCCAGGCTTCACTTGGAATTCTCCAGAGTATCCCGATCCAATTACAACAGAAATTTTGGAGTTCAGATTACTTGGAGTAACAGTAAGTTTAGTTCCATCATATGTAGGTACAAAGAACAGAGAATCAGAGGCAAAGTTCATTTGTATAACATTGTTGTCACCAAATCCGGTGACGGTTGGTGTACCAGCTCCAGCAGAAATAACCAATTTCGAAGATAAGCTGGAAAGATAAATAACCTGGTTGGTATCATAAGTAGATGCAGTAAAAACAGAGTTTTCGCCAACACTTACACAACCTGTTCCACTAAAACCAGGAGAAGCTGCAAGTACTTGATTAACTAAACAAACTTGACCCTTATTTACAAAAGGCCCGGCAAAGTTAAGTGAAGCTGTGTTAGAGATTGGTACCTGTGGTGACAGCTTGAAAACCATTGAGGCGCCAACCTCATTGGTAATAGGAGCAGCAAAAGAGAATTGATTCCGGCCCACATTTTGACTGTTGATATAAAAAATACCCGAGTTGGTGATGGAACCACTAGCGATTTCAACTCTTGAAGTGTGTCCAGTTTCAGAAAAGATAACAAAATTTCCAGAGTTTTCAATAGATGAAACTGCACCCGCAAAGCTCAATGGAGCACCTTTAGCATCGTTGTATACGAAAAGCAGGCCTTCAACATTCAAAGAATTAGTCAAAACTAAGCCTTGACTATCAACCATAAGCAAATAAGTATCCTCATCGATGGTAATTGGTTCTGCTGGAAAGTTTGCATTCGTCAATGTTGTATCGCTGCTATAAGTCTTAGCCCAAGTTGGGCTGACAAGCAAGGATGAGAGGAGAACTAAGGGAATTTTCAAGAGCATAGTTTCGTTTTTTGAGCCGGTCTTCTGGTTAGAAGAACCTAAATTCAAACATTCTGTTACTTTTAGGGCCATTATATACGCCCACGGAATCATGAGAATCGACAATGCCTCCATATTGGTATACCAATGTCTTTGACGCGCTTCTAACAACATTTAGGGGTAAAGAGCCCACATCTGAGTGTTAATGTTGTCAAAGTCATGTAGTAAATGCAGAGTCCATATATGTTACGAGTAATTTCCATTCACACATTCATACCATGGTGTGGTAATTTAAGAAAAATCCAAAAAGATTTTGCAGCTGTTCTTGCAGCCATGTTAAAAAATACCCACATAAACCTTTTTGGACTGTACGGGAATCGCGACTTGAAGTAAAAATACCATAATGCTCTTCTCCTAGGTACGGAATATTAGGGCTTAGGGTCTTGTTTATTATTTTCATATGTGGGCATAATTGACAGTGGTCAAAAATTAGAAGATGACGATGTGGCACCGGCATTCCAAACCATGTAGCATTATTTTTCGTTGCGTTTTCTCCGACCCAGAGTCGATTACAGGTATTTACAAAGTATTAGTCTGATTTAGAGTCTCTTCTGTGGTTCGTCAGTCGCTTGGTGTATATACGATTTCGTGGCGAAACGACTTAATAAAGAACGAAGACAATGGAATCGGCTAATATTTTTTAGGTTCTTCATGCATATGTATCAAGTCAAGCTTTCGCGTCAGTGAGTAAAACCGTCACTTACGCATTATACTTCGGTTCACACCAGCTCGCCTGAGATCATACCAAGACATTGACATGGAAAAGAGTGGTACTCTATGAGGTAAGTATATTTCTCAATATGGGTAATTGAGCTTTTAGAGGAAAACTTGACGCTCATGTATGCAAGCTAGCTTTTGAGAAGAGTAAACATATTCCTGTGTGCATCAAACTATGCGCCAGAGGAGAAATGAGGTATTGTTCATTTTATGCACCACAGAAGTAGATGTTGTGGGTATATGGCTCGTAGGTAGTGTTTTTGTTTGTGTGTTACACATTTAGTTTATGAGTGGCTTTTTTACTTTTGAAATTTTTATATTTCTGTTACATCAACGTGCAATTTTGTAAGTGGATGTAATAAAGATGTTTTTTATATCCTGGTTCGTAGGATATCTTCTTCCTATATTGCTAAACTCTCTACTCTAACTGATTTTCTAACGACTTATCATCTTCATTCGCCAGCCTAACCACTTCTCGATTAAATTTTGCATTGGTTCTACTCAATACTTTTGTAAGTAAAGCGTCACGGTGAAGTGTATTAAGCTCTATGAGCGTCTTTTGAATGTAATCCTCAAGGTAAGTGACCGGTATCTTGGAAGGGAGCATATTAAACATCTCTAAAGGTGAAAATTGGTGGCCATGGTCGTTGAGAAAATGGCGAATGGCAGCAACATGACAATCGTAATATTGAAAAACTTGCAAAAGGTTATTCTTGGACGTTTCACCACTAGGGAATGAAAGATTCAGTGGTCTAATATCCTTCTGGAAATAATAAGGTTGGAGTGGGTAGGGCAATTGAGAATTTACCGCAACCTGCTCGGCGGTAGAAAAGTCTCCCATTGCAAGTAATGACTTGACTGACTCGGAACTCTCTAACGACATGACTTTATAAAAGCTGAGCAATTCTTCAACGTCTCCCATTGATTTTGACGAATCCTTAAGGAGAGTATCAAACCTTGTCAGTTGTCCAACATAAAGTAGAAGCTCATAAATCTTAAGATAAATTATTGCAAATTCCCTGCATTCACTACGTTCCATATTGACTCTGAGATAATCTATCCAGCTGATTTTGGGCCAATATGAGGAATCGAGATTATTCTCAAGGCTATACGTCTGTCTTAAGACATTAAAGTTATTGATATTCGACTCGTCCCAATGATGATCAAAAATCATGTGGGTTAAATTGATTAGGAGATCTTCTAAAGAACCCAAGTCAAGTGGGCTTTCCCCTACTGTAGATTCCAAATAATCTATTTGGAGCTTCAGGATTTCAGGTGTGTTGGCAAAAGATTTCATTTCTAGCATAATGTGTTTATGGGTTGCCTTGAAACGTGGTTTGGAAAGGGTTTTCATATAATGGAAACCACGCTCAGGACTGAGTTTAAGAAGTTCTAAAAGATATTTGGCATATACTTTCTCGTTATAAAGGTTTGGAAGTTGTTTGAGAAGGAGTCCAGGGAGGTCTTGGTCATCTGGGCTGTCATTTTTCAATTCTCCCAGTGCCAATTGGAGAACTAACCGGCATATCTCTTCGGCAATAACTGCCTTTGCGGCAGGTTTTAATGTAGGTATAGATAGTTGATATACATGGATTAAAGCTAGATGGTTCCCACGGGTAGAAAAAAGAGACCTTATCCTCTTATTGCACGACTCTTGATCCAATATCCCCCATTGAGTGACGTCAACCTCGTTAATGAATGAAATGATTGTGTTACTAGTGGTGTACTTTCCCTCATATAATGACATTCGTAGAAGTGATAGAGTTTCGTGTGAATCCTCTTGGCGGTAAATGGGGAATTGTCGATATACATCATCAAGATATGATAAATAAAAAGCATTCAAAGGTGGCAAGTTGTCCAACCTACCACATAGGTCGAAGATACCTTTATAAAAGGTAATTGACATTGTAGATTTGTGTCTTGAGTCAGAGTATAAATACATGAGTAATTTGGGGTGAATGAGAAGTTCAGAAGTGGAAGATTTCTGAAAAGTATCTATCTTTGGTTTGGGCTTATCGGGTGTGGTTAGATCATTTGTAGTGAATAAAATATCCTTAGCGGTTTCCAAATCATTAGCTTTTAATGCAACAAGAAGTTGTAATTGTGCCAGAAATTGCCTTGTAGAGTTGTCAGTTGTCAAACTGTCAAGGGAGCGTAATTTGAGGATCAAAGCGGGGAGATCATTGGAGAATGATGTAGAGTCCACAAGCGATGAAAATAATTTAAATGCTTCAAGGAGAGGGTCTTTGCGATGAATTATCCATACTTTTGAATCGTCATGGAGAATTAACGAGCTGGACATGGTTATCGGTGAAGTGTCCCCCATGGAATTCCCCGTTTGATCAACTTGACTAAGGGCAATTGTAAGCTCTTTGTTAGTGACGGATATTTCAGAGTTGGCCTTGGTAACAGTAGTTGAGCTGGCGTTAAGCTGTGAGGGAATTGAATGATTCGGTGTCGCCAGGGTCAAAGAGGTTGATTGACTATCTTCAACTTTAAGAGATATGTTCTTTGAATCTGTAGAAGTGATCAGTTTTGATTCAATAACCTTATCCGAATCATCTTTGTCCTCCGTCTTGTCATCCGATTCATTTTGCTTTGAAGGTTCCTTTTCCTCTTCCATTATATCAGTTGGACTTCTTTGGCCATCTTCTATTAAGTCTGATGATTCATTCAAGCCCGTTATCGTGTTGGAATATACAACTACTAATTGCTCCAAATCACTAATGACGAGCTTAGTTCCTCCCTCACCATTCAGAAATACTCCAAAGGCATATGGCCATTCTACTGCCAAGCTCTCAGGATATCCTTCATCCATCCACGACAACGTCCCGCGTGTCACATCGCCCTTTAGATCAATGAACATAGCAATCGAAGACTTTTCATCAGACCGGATGGAAAGCATATACTCTTCATCGACCCCCATTTGCCTTTTCTTGTTGTTTGTATTCTCCTTCTCATCTGAACTACTAAATGGAACAATATGCGGGTTCACTTTCTCTCCTGAGTTGTACTCGAATAATGGAATCTTGCGAACTTGCTTCAAATCTACAATATCGTAATTGCTTTCGTTGGCCACAAGCGTCATGGCCGTAGTCTCGATACTTGGTTTCATGGCAACACCAGTGATCCCATGGGAATAATTCACGTCCATAACAAGTTTCAACAGATCTTTTGCTACCAGAATTAGTCGTATTTTAGTCAGAGTGAATGCAATTACTTGTGTCACCAGATCCCCAACCACACTCCCCAACACCACATCATTGACATCTCGCAACTTCCCCACGCTGCATGGAGTGAACTCGGGAAGTGTATAGACAGTGGCAACGTTCCCACAAACCACCAATGCTCGCTCAATGGATTCAAGAATGAGGATCTTTTTAACCCTATTGGAATTATTATGTCCACCACTACCACTCACACTAACTTCTGAAATCAACATGTATTCCTCGGCATCGTCAAAAAGATGGTAATGTCGAAGTGTTCCGGATATTGTTCCTAGATATACATTGCCCCGGTAAGCAGCTACTGCAGATATCCCACCATCCACTGAAGTGTCGTTCACAGACTCCGAGATCACCACCGATGTGTGAAACGTCGGTCCGGAACCACCACACACAATCTCACTCATACGAGCAATTGATCAAATATAACAGTGGAGAGATATATACTAACGAATAAACTCGAAGTGTCAAAAAAAAATAGATTCCTTATCCCTTGTTGTGATGATAGAAGAGAGATTGTGTCGTAGTACCTTAATGTGGAGATTAGAGTTCATAGTGCGATTCTCATACTCCGTTCGCACACCACGCAGTTTATCCATATACCTAACCATATTGCTCATAAACTTTTACAATTTCACATACATCTCCATCAAGTAGCTCTCTCATTACTACCTATCTTACTTCAAGTGCATACTACAAGTTCATAGATTCTCTTTCTGGGGATTATTTCCTTATATCTAGATCTCTATATACTCTCTATTCGTCTACTTTTCAACTCTATGCCAGGGTGGTCCGTGGGGGGAAGGCAATGTTATCTCTATGAGCAACATACTCACTATCAGCAAATCCCAAAACATTTTCAATTTCGCTACTCTTCATTCCCTTAATCATGGATATTTCCATAGAACTATAATTCACCCGGCAATGGCCCCTTTCCTCTGCTTCATTCAATGAGGACTCCCGTGTAGGAATAACCTTCAATGCAACACACTCACTCTCATGGAACAGTCCTTCAACTTCAACAACTCCAGCAGGGAGCAACCCAGCACGGTTTTTCCTGGTGAGTGCGTCGTAACAACCCTGATCTATAATCAAAGCGCCTCTCGTTTTCAACCCGTGCAAGAGCCAAAACTTTCTATCAGATTTAATTTGTGAATCTCGTGGTAATCCTAAGAATCTTGTATGCAATGGGAGTCTCTTGGCAAGAACTTCAGTTTGAATGTACTCGTGTTTCTGAGCAACTGTCAAACTTTCAGTCTGTTGAATATTCTCCACCACATCCAAAATATACTGTGGTTGAGAAGAAAGGGTAATAATCGTCGTGACACCTACATTTGTGGCAAGCTCAGCTGCAATAAGCTTTGTGGTCATTCCTCCAGTACCGACAGCACTACCACCGGTCCCCACAGCATTTTCAGTATCGGTTTTAACATTCAAATCTCCAACGTTATCAACCACCAAAATTGGCTTGGCATTAGGGTTTGCTCTTGGATTATCATCATACAAACATTCAACGTCGGTCATTAAGAATAAATAATCTGCGTGAACCATGGCTGCCGTTATCGCTGACAAGGTATCATTGTCACCAAATTTAATTTCCGCCACTGACAACGTATCATTTTCGTTGACAATTGGAATCACACCCATATCCAATAGTTCATGGATAGTATTTGTAGCATTTTTATATTGTGTGAAATCCATGATATCATTTCTAGTGATCAACACTTGAGCAATTGCCTGGTTTAATTGACGGAATAAATCATCAAAGAGTCCGATTAATCTACCTTGTCCGATAGAGGCCAAAGCTTGCACTGCTGCCAACCGTGAAGGTTTCACATCTAAGCCAACTCTCTTCATACCAAAGGCAATAGCTCCTGAGGAAACAATAATGATCCGGTGACCCTGACGACGAAGTTTGACAAGAGTTTCTACAATAAGTGACATGTTTGCAATACGAGGTTCTCTGGTCACCTCATCCACAAGAGATGAAGTCCCTAACTTCACTACAATAGTGTATGCTTTCCCTGTCATCTATATTTATGTAACCTATTGATCAACTCTAAAAAAGATTAAGTATCTATTGATAGAGGTATCAGTTAACTTTTTTATGAGACTTTTGGTGGGTGTATGGGTTACTACATATATATATTTTTTGAGTCATATGGACTGCATGTGAAGTACACTGGTAGTAGAATAGAGTTAAAACTATCCACGATAAGCATATCTTGTATAGATCCAAAGGCTCCATATAGATGTATTGTGGTATAGTTTGATGATATTGGTAAATTTTTAAGTAGTTGTAAGTTCAACCCGGAAAATGAAAATGCAATAGGATTTTATTCAAATGATTTGTCAAAATGGAATGTAAAATTATTTATTGATGAAATTAATCGTACTAATACTGGTTCAAGCTATTTTTATTGGAACTTACTTCTCTCAAAATAGACTAGAGAGTTGATGTATCATACCATTTATTCTTCTATTCTCTATTGGTCATGTTTTTTGTTATTAAAAAATTAATAAATATTTGCAGCCACAAGAGGACAATATAAAGCCTTAAAAAAACACATAACATCTGTGCACCCCACAGAGTTTAGGTGAGACTCATCTTGTAATCTTTCCATAACCAATTATATTAATCGTTCTACACTTTTATCATACTCTTCTATAACGTATATTAATGAATTTACTTTAACCTATCCGAAAAGTTTAATTCCATCTGCGGCAATTTCCTCATCACTGTGAGTTTCTTCTTCATCATCATCTTCTGCCATGTTAACCTTTTGACCCAATAAGGATGCGAAAAACTCGTCAATTTGATCATCTTGCCATTTCCAGCCATTACCAGGAGCTTCAAAGTTAGCGATAGGTTCCTGTATGTGGTATCTGAGCTTACGTCCCTTGGAAGCCTTGGTGTCTACATTCTTCTTTAATTTTTGCAGTCTTTGTGCACTAGCAAGAGTGATGGCCATTCCAGAAGTTGGGTTACTTGATTGAACCTTCTTATCCACAAGATCATTCAAAAGTACACGGTAGAAATCTTCATCATCGAAAATCTCATCAATTTCAGCAATTGATGACTTATTTTCATTGGCAGTCTTTGGAATATCAGCATCTTCTTCCGCTTCAATTTCAACGTCTTCGTCATCAGATTCACCACGCCTTTTCTTTTCTTCCTTTACATAGTGAGCATAGCCCAAAGGAGTTATCAATCTACGGTTGAGTTTAGTTCTCTTGACTAATCTATCCATATCACTCAAGTTGTTGGCAACTTGTTGTTCAGAAGATTGATTAATAGCCTTAAACTTACCTGCATTTAAGGCGTTGGAACCAGATGAAGTTTGGATCTTAGCTGACCACTTGGTCAATACAGCACTTCTATATTTATTCAAAAGATCATCTTGTTGAGATGAAGCTTCCAAATATGCTGAGAGAGTACGTTTCTTTGGGGCTTTTGGGGGTGTAGAAGTGGTAATTGAATCCTTTTTCAAGAGAGTGTTACGCAATGCAAATATGCTATCCAACAAGTCAAAACACTTGTCTTGAGCACGAGACAAGTATTTGTCTGATTTCTTTGTGCTGAGCTGTTCAGCCTTGATGGTGGCCGCGTTTGGAGGTAAGATATTAGAGGCTGCAATTGATTTTTGTAATTTGATACGAGCATCCAATACAGAGTCGAAGAATTTGTGTTGTTGGAGTACAGTGTAACCCTTGAGTGCATCTCCACTGGCTGACAGTGAAAGTCTACTCACAATATGCTTTCTTTCTTGTTGCAAGAGTTCTTTAAGTTTATCTCTTTTATGTGTAAGGGATTCATCTTCTTCAGGAGTATTATCATCAGAATCTTGCTCTTCAGAATCTTCATCCTCGGAGTCTATATCATCAAGGTCAGAGTTATCCAAATCAACGGCATCATCTTCGGAGTTGTCCTCACTTTCGTCTTCTTCATCTTCTTCATCTTGGTCATCTTCTTCTTGGTTCATTTCTTCGTCATCATCATATAAATCCTTACGACTAGAAACACTTCCAGTATACTTAGAGCCCAAGTCTAATTCATTTTGTCTCAATTTAGACTTGTTTACAGCTACATAATGCTCCTTCTTCATCTCCTCATCGGATGAAACTGCTTCATTATCACTATTATCTTCATGTTCAAAGACATTTTCACGAAGATCGTTATCTTCAATATCGAATTCAGATCTGGGCTTATTAAGCTCAGCAATCTGCTCAGCAAGTGATTTCTTCCCCATCTCTATAGTTGATTATATTAATTTATGAATTTATCAATTGATTAATGTCTAAACCTTTTTAGGCTCATCTCTGTATATTTTTTCAGATTACATAATAATTATTTAAATGTTACGTAAGAGACATTTTATCTCAAAAAGTTTTTTCTTAAATTGTTCTTTTTCAAAAAAGTATTTTGTCTCGGTGAGAGAGAAGATATTAAGGAATTGAACTTCCAAAGACAATCTATTCAGACATAAACACTTAGTAAATACGCACATTTCACCTTATCTGAAAAAAAAAAAAAATAGCTACTTTATATGTAATCAACTTCAATCACCCTAATATCCAACTTTCCAAGTATATTGAACTTGCTTTTCTCTCTCTCTTACAACAATTGATTGTCATTTGGCTGCCAAAATATTTCCGAAAACCAAAAAAAGACAAAATAAAGAATTAGATTTTAAAAGAATTTAGAAGCAGTTCAAAGATATATAACTGACATTTAATTGTATAATATTTGTTTCTCTTTACACCTTTTGATCCGTATACATCTGCCGATCGGTAATAAAACCAAATCGAGTAAAAAGACGTTCGCACTCCTTAACATGATCTTCGCGGGGGTTGTCTGGGGGTTGCATACTCATACTTCCATAAATAAAGAGACCTATAAACAGGTAATTTATATCAACTATGCCAGTACTTCTTTTTATACCGATACACCCCTCTCTCATATGTATATATTGTTGCATACTCTGTTGATTTCGCACCTCATAACCGACAATTGCTCAAAACCGCGTTCCTGAGGCTGAGTGGGGGTGGATATGCGAATTTATGAAATCCCTGCGAATTTCTAGGTAAGAAAAACAAAAGAATGTCAATTACCAGAAAAGCAAAACTGTTAAGTTGACCTTCTTTATAAAGCATCTAGTATGAAGATAATATCCTGCTTCTTTAGTGTCTTCACATTCTTGAGCTGTGTTGCAGCCCTCGCCATGCAACAGGACGAAGGTGACACCACCACTAACACATCTTTGGAACCCACCACTGTTTGGGTTACAATCACAACTGATGGTAAACTTGCCACTGTTAAGACACTTTACAAACAGTCCTTTGGTCCTTCTTACTCCGATCCTATCACCACTGACTTAAAGTCCGGAAACATCGGTTTGGGAGCTATTTCCGGGACCGTGGGCGATTTCAAAACTTACCAACAAACCACCGTCAAAAACGGTCAAAACTCACTTACTATGACCAATATCTATGCTGGATTAGCTGGGATCTCATTTTTGGTTATAGGAGCACTCGTTTAAACGAGCAAAAAGAATGGTGATATACTTGTAGAGCATGTATAGGAATACAATAAACAACGAATAGAAGGAAAAAAGGAGATAAAATCTTACTGTAATACATCGTCAAACGTGAAAACTTCACTACTTCTGCTAATGAATTCACTGAGCTTAATATATATTCTTCTAAAGTCAATCAGATTTCTTAAAGTGGAAGACAAGGGCACCTTTGTTCATCTTCCATATTTTCAATTATTATTCTTTTAAAAGTAATTTTACAACTACATGGACTATCGATCTTATGTTGAATCACGTACTTCCATTATGATACGCGTACAATAACGCCACAAGCATACGTTATTTATCTATTGATTGCTACCTTACGATTCGGAATTTGGCTCCTCTCCAACTAAACGAATTTTGATTTATAGTTTTTTTTTTCAATTTTCTAAAGATTAACTTTAAGCCTGACATAACCAGTCCAAGCACTACTATACAAATCTCTACATATCACAATTCTATTATTCAGATTTATTTCTCTCTATTACTATACATATACATCCCTTATATTCTTTGTACATACCATAATTTACGCTATACACTGTCTATATGCCGGCAACAGACTCTTATTTACGCGCACTGAAATTTTTCTTTTTTCTTTGATGAACATCGTCAAATTAGGAACCTTAACGTCACAAATAGAATTGAAGGATAGGTTCATATCAATCAAGTACCGTAAGTGCCATTTTTGGACCCCAAGAGTGATAGAGGGTCTGTATATGCGTGTTGGAATATGACGCCAATGACTTCGAGTACAGAAGGTATCCATAAAGGTTTTTAAAGACCAATTAAAAATTTTGGATGTAAAAATATGAACACTTTCTGTGGTGATTGTAAAAATAAAGAGTTTGCCATGTCAGATATAAACAGAAGTTTTAGAAGATTCTATTGAATTGATAAGTTTTCTGACAGATTGTGAGTGCAAATCTATGCCCCAGAATAATGGATCATTGACTTCTTGTAGAAGTACAATACCAGTACCACAGAAACACTTTATAGATGTTTTATGAATTGTTCCATATAACGCATAATTTTACAGCCTTAAACCTACTTGGTGTGCTCCCTTAAGCTCCCCTCCTTTTTTTCCTCTACTCAAAATTTGACTCATACTAACTATTAGATGTCCGAAGAATTGAACAAACAAACCGAAGGCTTGACCTTGGCTGAAGACACTGTCTTGACCAACAAGGAAGAATTCACAGCAAAGCATCCATTAAACAGCAAGTGGACCTTGTGGTACACAAAGCCACAAGTTAACAAGAGTGAAAACTGGCACGATTTATTGAAACCAGTCATCACCTTCTCTTCCGTTGAAGAATTCTGGGGAATTTACAACTCCATTCCACCAGCAAACCAACTCCCATTGAAGTCAGACTACCATTTGTTTAAAGAAGGTATCAAGCCAGAATGGGAAGATGAAAAGAACTCCAAGGGTGGTAGATGGCAATATGCCTTTTCCAATAGACGTGAAGTCCAATCCGTAATCAACGACTTGTGGTTGCGTGGACTTTTATCTGTTATTGGTGAAACCATTGAAGATGACGAAGATGAAGTCAACGGTATTGTGTTGAACATTAGAAAGCAAGCCATCAGAATCGGTATCTGGACCAAGGATTGTGATGATGCCAAGTTGAGAACTGTTGGTGAAAGATTGAGAAAGGTTTTAAGATTGGCTGATGATCAAAAGATTGACTTTATGTCTCACGATGACTCTAACAAGAAGGGTTCTGAGCCACAAATCTTGTTGTAAGGGGATTAGTTGTTCTGATCTGTATTCTATAAATTTACGCACATACGAAATAATCTAGTAGATAAAATTGTAGTAAAATCGAACTCATACAGAGTATCGATTTCTTATTTTGTAATATTCCATACTACACATGTTTTCCACAAATTCTTGGTGGTAAGATTAATTCTTGAAGAATAAGAGTTACTTGGTGTAGCTGAAGGGTTGTACTATATGGGACTCTCATATCAGAAAACCCACAACGAGCACAAAGACAGCGAGATTTAATACAACTGAGAAGACTAGAGTATAAATCCCACACTTTGGAGTAGAGTGACTAAACTTTATAATGTATTAATAACCCACTGGGTTGACTTTATCTTGAATGAACTCATGTACAATCTCCCAATACCTAGGCTGCACAACGGTATCGTTATGCATTGAAGATTCGAACTTTTGAAGGGTTTTGTCTTCGCTATTGAGAAGCTCATAGATGGCATCCATATGACTTGGAGGGACGATTTCATCACGACGTGCACTTAGAAGAAGTACAGGAATCTTTTTAGGGATCGATCCAACAAGCAGTTCCAGGTCCCACACTTGATGTACACATGCAGTAAACCATTTGAGGAATGGAAAGATGTGTGGGACAGTTTTACGAATCAGTAGGAAGGCATTTTCCAAAATAATTGCATGAACGGAGGAGGACATGGTGGCTCCAATATAAATAGCCACGGCACTCCCCAAAGATCTGCCGTACAAGACAAGCAGGGAGGCAGCAAATTGTTCATCCTCTGTTGTCAAATAGTCCATGACTCTTTGGGCATCTAATTTGAGACCCTTTTCGGAGGGGGATCCAGATGACTTACCATATCCACGGTATGAATATATAAACACATTGTAGCCAAACTCACGGTATAAGATCTGTACGATTGGCATGGCATGTCCAATGTTACCAGCGTTTGGGGAGAGCACCACAACTGTCTTGTTTGTATAGTTTGGAGCCAGTGGGTCATGTTTCAACAGGTAACATTGGAGAGACACCGAGTCGGAGGTAGTAAGTTCAACCGCCTCATAGGGCATGTCGTACTCTTCTGGGGTGGCACAATGTCCATGTCCTTCGTTTAACAGCGCAGGATATATGAGTGAAGACTGGTAAGTGTAGAGACCAAGGAGAGCAAGTGCCCCAACCAGAATGGACACTTGCGCAAAGCCACGCAAAACAGCGAGAATCTTGACAAATATAAGAGACGAGGTTGCAAACATGGGTGGTAAAAGTTGAAGAAGTAGGATGAAATGAGAGACTCAGTAAGTGGGTATCGTAGAGTCTAAATATTTAGCGGGGGGGGGAGAAAGGAACCATTGTGAGATAATATTGATGTGCCCCAAACGGCAGACTGCATACAGATATGTGAGTATCTACAGGGGGTGGGGAGATTCCATAAGAGTAAGAAAATCAGAATCGGTTAAGAATTGTCTAATTATTTCTTTCACATATATATATATATATATTGTACACGTATATATGGAATATATATACTTCAATTACAATATGACTTCAAGATTGTTATCTGAAGATGATTTTTATCAAATAAAAAAAGGGTGCAAATCATGAAATGGCTGCGAATATAAAACATAACCACTATTGTTAACGGAAATTTTCTCTATTCATAACATGAAAGTCAAATCTTATAATTTATTAGTAACAACAACTCATTCTATACTCTACTTCTAATTTATTCTTTAATCTTTAAAGTAAAAATTGTCCTATTCGTTTTATCCATACTTACCTGCATACAATACGGACATGATTAATAGATAAAATTTGGAGACTGTCAAATGAATTTTGAAGCTTATCATCAGGAAGCTTATCAATAGGACAATTTGAACATGTCTCAACCAAGAAATGGGTCCAATGCCTCCTCTGGATTGGCGAAGTTTGCCTTCAACATCTACGGGACATTGAATTCACATACGAATTCCCCACTGAATTCGTCCCTGACTGCTTCTAAACAAACCGACGGAAGTGGTGGGTCATTTAGGGATAACCAGGACTTTGGTGAAAGCCCAGAGATGTCATCTGGAAGTACTTCTTCAGGGAAGGTCAAGTACACATTTGACAGAGAAGTGTCATGCTTGTCCCAATTGCACTTCCCGGTGCAACAACATCAACTGACAAGTGTCAATCATGTAGTTGTAGGTGGGAAAAACTGTTTGAGATTGTTGTCCTTGAATAATGACCAAACTAGGATAGTCAATGAATTAAACGTACTAGACACAGGTGGTGCTAATGGGATTGGTAGTAGTAGTGGTAGTGGTGGGTTTGGCTCAGGTAGTCGTCTTCTTCCTTCCTCCAAATTGAATAGCATTAACACCATCAAGACTAAACATGATATGATTGCCTGTGGACTTTCCAATGGTGCCATCACGTTGTATAGAGTGCAAAACAATGGGAAATCAACTTTAATGCATCGTTTGACCAACCATAAGCGTTGTATCAACTCCTTAGATTTTTTGAATAACCAAGCTCATGATGACGCTACCCAGTTTATTTCTGGCTCGCAGGACGGGACCATAAAACTTTGGGATTTGAGAGCTACTTCGATAAAGCCAATGATGTCTGTGAGCTCAGGACTGCATTCGGATCCAATCAGATCGTGCCAACACTCTCCACATTTAACTACAAGAAATAAGATTACAGTACTATCGGTACATGATTCAGGGGCTTTGTATAAACATGATTTGAGAATTGGCGGAGGGGGAGGAAATGCTAGTGTTAATTATGGTGGGTCATTAGGAGGAGGGCTTCCTGAAAGGAAATGGAACTTCCATACTGGACCAGCACTTTCACTTCATATTCACCCAGAAAAAGAATACGTTATCACGGGAGGAAGGGATCAAAAGCTTTGTGTATGGAACTATGCAGAGAATTCTGCCCTGGTGACTCCACAGGTGATAATTAATGCATATGGACCAGTACTGAAAGTTAGATGGAGCCCCTATGTGAATGAAACGGTGGAAGAACATGCATTTGAAGATGATGATGGAGGAATTGGATTCATATCCAACAAGAATCCATTATTTAATTATGACTTCGCTTGCACGTATCTTAATGAAGATCCAACCATCACTGTATACAACCTCAAGAGGAAATACATTCCAAAAGAAGTAATAACTATGGAACTGACAAAGCCTGTACAAAACTTTCTTTGGGGTAAACATCCAAATCAATCAAGACAAATTTGGACAGTGACCAAAGCAAATCAATTCGCAAGTTATTCATTGGATAAAACTACTGTACCGGATGTAGTAAGACCATTGGATAATCTTCTGAACATTGGAGGAACATGGAATCATAATATGGGAGATTTTTGCTTTGTTAGTCAAGAGAAGGACGAGTTTGAGTTGGAAGTTGAAGAGGATATCGAGGAAGGTGAACAAGAAAGAGAAAGAGAACGTGAAAGAGAACGTGAAAGAGAAAGAGAAATAAATGATATTGGCGATGATGCTACTGTTACGGGTATGAATTCGACTCCTGGTAATTATACTGCAAGTGGAACCACCCTCTCACCTGAGTATGACGAATTGGACTCTCCTGGAATTCCGGTAGCCACAAATTCTCCACATTATGGATCTATCATGTCTGCATATGGAGAAAAACCTCCATTACAGCGAGCTTCCACATTTACAGCATCTAAGCCAATTACAGCACCAATTCCATACAACAGATCAACCGTGGGATTAAATGATAACTCACTGTCTGTACCAAATAATCTCGGAGGGGTACTTCGACCCACATTATATAGAAACCCGTCTCAATCCACCCAGGACTCGCTATCTTCAGCCCCGTCTCCAGTACAATCGACCCAACAACAATACTCCCAATCATTTGGACAAGTTCCACAAACTGGACACTTGGCAACCCTTGGATCACTGTCATTTTCTGGAACTCAAAACTTTTCCCACGGTGGAACTAGGAAAACATTACTGGTCACTTACCCATCTCCTTACCTTGTACCCATATCAGTCCCCATTCATCTTAACGACGAAACCATTTTTGATACTTTAGCCAATAATTATCTTATTGCAATCCCTGATGGGTTTAACTTGATTGACGTTTGTTTACTCAATGCTAGTTTTGCCGGTAGCCTTAACCGGTTCCGTGAATGTCAAGTATGGCGAGTCTTGGCGGTAAGTCTCGAGGAAGATAATCAAGGAACTTATACATATGGAGAAATCAACGGGGATAACAACAATGGTTTGTCGGGAGGCATAAACGAGTCTATCTCGACATATCCTTACCCAGAACCTCAGAACAATGACGATGCCAAGTCGATACTGTCCGAATTAGACAACTTTGTTGGATCCTTTAATTCGAACTCAACAACAAATTATGGAACCCAAAGTCAAACTCAAGGTCAAGGTCAAAGTCAAGGTGAAAGTCAAAGTCAAAGTCAAGCACAATCATCACTTTCTGGATCTCCAGAAGATAAACATATATCGGGGGAGGAAAGACCAGGGTCAGAGGAAAAAGAAATTAGAGTTTCAGGAACATTGGGTAATCCAAGCCGTAGAAGATCGTCAGGACCAGCTAGTACCGACCGAGAGTCAATTATAACTGATCTTCGTTCATTCACAGAACATCGTAACTCTTCGGGGAATCTTGTTGATATTCTTAATTCAAGTAGGGGATCTTTTATTAGCCCTTCGGCTACAAGATCTAACTCAATGTTGAATAAAAATCATCAATACCTCCGGAAAGATACCAATGTTGATACTGATGGTGATGATAATGATAGTGCAATAATCGATGATGAAGATGATCAAGGCATCTTGAGAAAGCATTCATCAATGCCCACATTCACAGGACTGAGCCCAACCAAATCAAGATCCAGTATCGATAGCTCTCCTACTAAGGGCCCTGGTCACCGTCCTTCCTTCCCTAGACCATCATTTGGCTCTTCAAGGTACCGATCAGAAGATTTAGATGACGAGAACGCCAACATCTTAGCAGCCGCTGGATATGGAACGTCGGTTTCGTCAGGAAAATCTCACAGTGGATCTCCAACACAATTTGGCCTTCCTTCAAGACGTAACTCGCGTAGGCTTTCAATTGCAACAAGGTCGAATCCATCCTTATCGTTCCCTCCAAAGGAAGAGCCACTCAATAAGGTCATCGAGGAGAAAGAAAGCCCTGGGCAATCACATCGTGACAGGTACGCCCCCACCTCGGAGCTAACTCGTGCAATCCACGACAGGGATGCTCAAGATAAAGAAGAGGAGTCTAACAATGGATCTAAAGGGTCTACTCTGAGACCATGGAAAACGAAAAATCTTTTAGAACAAGCGCTTGAATATTCTGCTTTACAAGGGGATATCGTTATGTGTGCTACGTTAGTGTTATTATTCTATAAACTGGTTTTATCTCAACGAGGGAGTAATATCAGCCGACAAAGTTGTTTGGATTGGTTAGCCCTCTATGTGGATATTCTCCGGAGGAAGCAATTATTTGTCACTGCCATGAATGTGATAAATGAAGCACCCACACAACTTGCGCAGGAACTTGCACAATTATGTAGCAGTGAAGTTGCGTTACGATTCTATTGTTCATGGTGTCGTAAGCTTCTTGTTAACGAGGAGACTAAAGCGCGTGTTTCTATGGATGAGGACAGTCGAAGCGAGTTTGGGTACTGGTACTGTGAAGAGTGTGCGCGTCGACAACTGGGATGTGTGTACTGTAATGAACCGTGTAAGGGTTTGAATGTGGTAGTCAGTCTCAAATGTGGCCATCGTGGGCATTTTGGTTGTTTGAGAGAATGGTTTGTTGATGATCTCAACGTTGAATGCCCTGGTGGATGCGATATAGTGGTCATATAGAATAAAATACCCCATATAGGCCAAGTTAAAACAATTAAGAGTAGGGAGTTAGCTAGACATGATACCATGGGATATTTGATAGAACACAGAGTATTATACGAAGGTCCCACTATACAGACCTCACTTTTCCCCAAGATCAATACTCTCTAGATTAATTGAACATCACCAATCTCAACATATTTGCGAACAAGTGAGTACTTGACAACGTAAATACCATCACGTTCCAACTCCAACACTTCCTCAGCATCCACTCGTACGCTAATAGGAAATTTCGTGATTACCTTGATGAAGACAGGATGATGGATATCTGGTTCAGATACCATCAGTTGACCTCCACTAGTGTCATCCAAAAGGGTCAAGAAGTGTGGCATTTTTTTGAGGAAACACGCGTTATAGAGCTGAGTCAAAATCTTAAAGTGTTTATGAATGTAGTCGACTTCTCCTGGCGAGAGAAGCTGGTCGGCAGACCCATCAGTAGACGCAGTGGAAGCTGCCTTATTAATGTAGAAAATATTAAACTTGTCTAACTTGGCGAGACGGACCCTGAGGTACAGACGTACCAAGTAATTTAACCGTTCAACCTCAGTCTCGACAATCATTAGTTGTAGCTTGAAATCACTCGAAATGACCCCAGATCCGGCATTGGAGTCACCGTACTCATGTGAGTCCAAGAGGTATTGTTGTTGTTGTGATAAGAGGTCGAGGACCTGTGACAATAGTTGTCCCTGATAGGGTAACACGTCTGGTGCCATTCTTTCATTGACCATTGCCGTGACTAGTTGGGCATACAAATCTGTCTGGTGCGGCTTTGTCACGCGAGAGGAAGCTCTGGCCGAGTTCTCAAACTCTTGGAGAATGTCATCGATCTCCATAATGGGGTTAATTCAGATATTGGGTGGATAGTAGTGGAAGTTGAATGTTCAGATTAAAAAAGTGAAAATGTATTTTCTATGCACCGCGCGTCGAAAAATGGGTGCAAAATGGAAGGAAAAAAGGGCATGATAGTTGGATGTTCTTATATGAAAATCTGCTTAATCAATTCACAATTACAAAAAAATCCATATTAGGGAAGATCTCGTTTAAATTCTTGAATTAATCCTCTGTGAAATGTAACGAGGATGCTCAGCAAAAAGCAAAAATAAAAGAACAAAAGAGAATAAAGTAAGGTAGTAGTACTACAAACAAGATAGTAAATACTTCATTAACACAATCCCCCCTTATTAAATAACAGTCACGTACCATACAGTATATTTGAATAGATTTACCTTATTGCCTCTATGCACTATTCTATTCCCACTATTTTACACGTATACTATTTTTACTCTACTTCAAATCATTTCTACCAAAATAACTTATGTGTTAAGTTTTTATTTTTAGTTCTTTCCCCCCATAAAATTTAAGATCTACTACCACAACAAAGTGATATATAATCCACTTATCACCTCATTAAACATTACAAAATTTAAGTATAATTGTTCATTTAACTCTCTCCCTTTCTTTCATTTAATTGTTTGTCTAGTTTCTTATTTAAAATTGCCGATACTGCATATATCGTACTCATATATGTAACTATAAACAACTCCACAAGTTTTACAATGATTCAATTGTGATTTGAGCATGGATAGACAAACGTTGTTGGAGCAGAAGAGGCAGCGACTCCAGGAGCTTAAGCTGAGGCGTCTGGCAAATTCCTCACATTCAACAGAGATCGATGAGTTAGTAGAAAGGCTTCTGAGTCCTAAAGTTCTGGTGAGTGTTGGTACTCAAACAGATGAAATCATTGGATTACAAAATGTAAACAAGCCCATAGACCAACCAGTGGAGGACAGCAAAGGAACTTCTACGGATGGTGGGGCAACATTGCCTGTGCAACTGACCAAACCAAAGGTGACTTTTGATAAAGGTGTCCAGGCAGTTAGTGTAGATGAACTTGAAGAAAGAGAAAGAGAAAGGGAAAGAATAGAAGAGAAAGAAAGAGAAAATAATAGACAAGCACAAGAATCCCTAACCCTTACTGAGAAGCAGAATGACCTGGCTGTGACAGATCCGGATGTAATCACTGACCTAGTTGAGAAGTCACTCAAGACTCTCAATAAGCTTTTGGTTCAGGAAAGAAACGAGCCAGATGTCTTTACCAACTCCATTGATATGGCGGTATCCTCGTCTACCTCTGGTACAATGAATGGGGAAACCAATATACCGTTTCAAAGATTGAAGTGGTCACTTTCCCAGCAAAAGAGGCCCGTGGTAAGTGTGGATGTGGCAATCTCAGATCCCAACCTTATAGTTGTTGCCTATGGACATCCGAAGGTTCCACTGATTAGCCTTCCTTCCGGTAGTTCAGATTCAGACTCCCCTGGATTAGCGGTAGTATACTGCGGGTCACCTTCAGTGCAAGAATTCATTCTCCTTGCCACTTCAACCATCACCACAGCAAGATTCGACGGGCCCCACCGTATTATGGCAGGATTAGCTAATGGTAAAGTTGTGGTATGGGAATTGGCTAACAGACATTCAGAAATGGTCATATTACCACTGTTAGCGTCTCCGATATTATCCAGTAGTAGTGCATTGATGACGGGGAATTCCCAGTCACTGAAGATTAAATTTCGTAACCACATAAAGCCTATAACCTCACTACTTCAGCAAGACTCATCACTGCCAGTAGTATCTATATCTCTTGATGGAGTCGTCAATGTTTGGTCTACTAGTATTCTTGCTGCTCCAAAAGTGTCCCTGGTGCAGTTATTCAAACCAAATGAAACAGCCACCATAAGCACCCGCGAGAAGTTGGCAGTGTCTAGTGCCCTTTTTACCGATTTTGTGGCTACAAATAACCGATCATACAAAGAGAACAACCCATATTTGAATGGGATAGTGGTAGGGTGTCAGAATGGTGAACTTTACCTTGTAGGCACGTCATCGTCTGAGAAAGATCACATCGAGGCAACCACTGCGCTGGAAGGTGATCGTATTACACCCCTGGGAATATCGTCTTTAATTGAGCTTCTGCAAACTTTCAGGGACACGAACCTGACTCTTTTACTCAGTACGGGGATGGATTGGGGGTTTAAAATTTGGAAAGTATTCACCACAAAGATCACATTGCATACTTATGTCCAGACTGACTATATGATCATGAAAGCAGTGGCAAGGCCAAATTCAAATTTACAATTTGTTACCATGGGGTTCAACAATGCCCCTGTTCTTGAATTCTGGAGCTTACAAGACAAGCTCATGAATCCAGTGACAAGAATTCCAATAGATATTAGTGACAACGAAGCACCTTTAGTACCGACAACCATCGAATTCTCCCCTCTGGGTAACCGTTTATATGCTGGGTTCAGTACCGGACAGGTCTTGATATGGAATGTAGACGAGGAACTACTTGGGAAGTATATAGAAACGAAAAAGTCTCCGATAGACACTGGAATAAGGTTATAATTCTACATGTTAGGTCATCAATTAAATATCTATTAATGTACATTAGAGGAAATTATTAAAGAGCCTGTCTCTTGATCTAATATTGATTTCTCCTCCAATATCTGTGTCTTTTACGGGCTGCTCTTGCTCAAGTGAAACACAATCGTTTGTAGCCAAAACCAATAGTTCAAAGAAACATCTGGTGGCCTCTCTTTTAGTCTTTCTCCCACTCACTCCAAGTGAAGGTTTATCACTCAAGTTCAAATCCTTTTCTATAACCTTCCCAAGGTTAGTCATTTCATCTCCATCCTCAATGAAAGTCTCTCTCAAATGCTCCGCAATCTGGATAGTTGACTTAGTCTTGCTTTGTTCTTCTTGTTCTTCTACGATTTCTGCGCCATCGTCACCACCACCAATATCTTCACCATCATGATCAGATTCGAGCTCAGGCAACGACAAGTCAAAGTCCAAGGTGTTATCAAATGCAGCTGGAGCATCTTCAAGGTTTTCTCCTTCCTCTTGTTGTAATTCCAAACATCTTTGTTGAAGTTGAAGATCAATATTCCAAAGGTTTCTTCTACCAGTAGGGATAGAAATCTCTTGGATGAGTTGTAATTTTTCTTCTTCAGTCAATTGAAGGGTCACATATTCATCAGCATTATTGCCATTTAGTTGTTCTTGTTGTAAGCTTTTCAATTGTTGAGTCGAAATCCCTGTTTCAACCTCATCTACGGAATCAACCACTAATCTTCTCTTAACTGTCTGCAATTGTCCATCTTCTGTAATTCCAACAAGTTTTCTTTTCGGTCTTGGTGGTTCTGCTGGTGTCTCCACTACAGCTGCAGTTTCGTCAGCCTCTGTCAATGGTTCAATGGTTTCCAAAGGTTGATCAAGATCCAATCCCAAGTCCATATCCAAATCCATTTCATTATCCTTTGTTAAATTAAGTCCTGCTATATCTGAAATGTCAGCTGCCAAAGTAGCTGGTGCAACAGCATCTCTACCAACCTCAATCGACGTATCAAACGCATCATGTGGTGGCTGTTCAGCATCACCCAAATCAAAATCTAGGTCCAAATCAAAGTCAGGACCATTGTCATGATCTTGAATAAATGAAGTTCTTCTTGGATATTCAATTGATTGATCGAAATTAAATGAGTCATCCACTATCGATCGGTTCAATTGTGACAAATTCTGAGAATCATCTTGTTGTGTCACTTCTCCACCAGTTGGTAAGTCATCATCTAAATTCAAATCCTCTTGATATAATAAATCAAATGAAGTTACTTGATCACTAAGGGTAATCATGGCAACATTATTTATAATTGTTTGTTGTGGTGTCACAACATTTCCAGTACCTGTATTATTTAATACACTCGAAGAGTTGCCAATACCTCCAGTGGCACCACTGACATATCTGAATGAATTTTTAAGTTTATATAAAATGTCATTAACGTCATCTAAAAGATATTTTGTCTTACGAGAATAGATCCGAACTATCCCAAGTAAAAGCTGCCCCGAGAGTCTGAGGGTAATGGTAGATGTTGATGGTTGTGAAGAGGATGTTGAAGAGTCATTGAGTCCAGAAGACGATCCTGTGATGTATTGTGATGATTTGATAATGCTTGTGTTTAAGAGTTGTTGTTTGGAAAGCTTTCTGTCATAATTGGCCGCTAACCAGACATGTGCAAGCGGGCCCTGTTTTGATAGAAGAAGGTCCGAGTACATAGCAATGCTAGAATAAGTATAAGAATTGTCTTACAAGAATAAAAGATTGTAAAGATTTTCTGTTTACCTTCTAGTTTATTTTCACGCGTTTTCTAAAAACCGCGTAAGTTAAGACACTAAAAATAAGGAGAGTCGCGTTGCTTCATAACTTAAAAAACGGGATATAAAGGAATAGTGAATGGATACAGGACTAATAGATGTACACAGGAATTCTATTAGAGTTAAGACTTAAAGGTATAGGTATATTAATACAAAGGTTATATGATTCTATTATTGATATCATTGTTTATTATTGATATTTAAATCAGTAATAAATGAAGAGAAGAGAGTGTAAAAGGATAAAAATTTCATATCAAATATTTCTTTTCTATGAAAAAATTGATAAATATCATAGAAGAATTCGTACCAATTTATCCTTCTAAGAGCAATATATATACATCAAATGATAGTAGAATCTTCCGGTGAAATGTGTAACAGGACCATAGTATGCTCACTATAATATTTTATGATATAAAGTATTCATCTTTTCCTTGCTACTTCATATCTCGTGATGCTATCCTGCAGGAATTCACCGTAAACTAATCCTAACCTTCCCGCCGCACTTACCTCCTCACTTTTCAAACTAATGTGAAACCAATTTTGGGAGATTATAATTTTTTTTCTACTTCTTTTCAAAGGGCCACACTACCGACCAATATTTATTTTTCTTGTCAACAAGCTCAAGTGGACGACCATATCACATACCAAATCAATCTGACCTAATATTAAAAAAAATTTAAAGCATAGGATACAAAGAAAAAAACATCGATAGGAAATTATGAACTTGGAATCAAAGCTTAATAATTCTATAGATGATATTCTTCGAAGTGCTGGGTATATTTTCGAAGCAGTGAGTCGGAATAAGAAGAATAGCAATCTTATCACGGGGACGAACAGTCAATTAGTGAGTCCGTTGATTATGGAACAATTATCAGGTAGTTTACAGAAATTTGATGATATTTTGGATGATACGATTGGGAAGTTTAATGATACCAAATGGTGTATTGAGCAAATATTGGAGAACAAACTTAGACAAGAGGAATTGAAGCTTCGAGAAGAAGAGGAGAGGCAGAGACAATTGAAGGAGGCAGAGGAAAGGAATAAACGAGAACTTGAAGAAAAGAAACGAAAAGAAGAACAAGAACGATTGGAAGCGGAAACAAGAGCAGCAGCTGAAGTTCAAGCAGCGGCCAACCGTAAGCGTGAAATGGAACTAGAACAAAAGAGACAACAAGAGGAACTTGAACGTAAAAAGAGAGAAGATGCAGAAAAGGAAGAAGAATTAAGGAAAAGGAAACAACAACAAGAAGAAGAAGAAGCACAACAGAAGCAATTCAATCAAGGATTTGACACTGGATTGGATTTCTCACCTAGCTTTGACTTCAATATGGATGATTTTGGAGGTGCGAACGCAAATTCTGTAGTTTCCACCAAAAGTAATAACAATAACAACATCAATAATGGTAACAGCATTAATGGAAATGGAGATGGAGCCACCAATCTGAAGGACTCTGGATCATTACTGGGTAGTAATGACGTCATTTCTAATGGTGTTGGAGCCTCCAATACTGCACCTACAAGTTATAATAGGGACAACAATAATGATCCGAGTGCTGCAGCGGGTACTGATGGGCTCGATACAGATATGAATACATTACTAGGTACAGATGCTCTGCTTCTTGATGGGTTTAACATGGACTTGCTTGATCTGGGTGGATTGGAAGGAGAAGATGCTGGTAACTTGGTAGGTGAAGGTGAGGAATTTGATGTTGATAGCTTTTTAAATCAATTTGGAGGTGGAGATTAGGGCCCGAAAAAAAAAGAGATATATATATATATTTGTATATAAGCAGGAGACGAAGTAGTAAAGACGACGAAAAGATAAATTAATCATTAAGTATTACAATCAATGAAAGAGTAGTAATTGTACATCATCATTACAATAGGAAGTATGGATGATCTGCATATAAGTGCAAGAAAGTGAGAGCTCACCAATAAAGGTATGGAACAATTTCACTTCCCAATTAAGAAGTCTAGAACAACCAATAAAAACCCGCGATTTCTATTCGAGGTCGGAACAGACCTACACGCTAAATGGAAAAAAAAATGTATTATGAGAGGAAGGATAACGAGACCTTGTAAACTTGTACCTTTTATAACTAATATACAATGTTCAGAAACACCCTTCGTCAGGTGGCTCGCCAAACTACTGGTGTTGCCAAGAGAGCCTACGCCTCCGAGGCTGCATCTTCTGATGCCTTGAAGTTGTCATTGGCCTTGCCACATGAAACTCTCTACTCTGAATCTGAAGTCCAACAAGTTAACTTGCCATCTGTTAACGGTGACTTGGGTATCTTAGCCAACCACATTCCTATTGTCGAGCAATTGAGACCTGGTTTATTGGAAGTTATTTCCAAGGGTGGTGAAACCGAACTGTACTTTGTTTCCGGTGGTATTGCTACCGTGCAACCAGGTAACAAGTTGACCATCTCTGCCATTGAAGCCTTCAAGCCAGAGCAATTCGATGCTGCTGCCGTCAAGTCTTCTATTGCTGATGCCCAAAAGCGTGCTACCTCCTCCGACGAATCCGTTGTCGCTGAAGCTAACATTGAATTGGAAGTTTTGGAAGCTCTTCAAGGTTTCACCAAATAAGCAAGCATGAGAGTCACTCGTACATACAACCAGGAAAAAGAACAAAAAAAATCAAAATAAAGAGGTTGAAGGGGACTAGTTCTCTTCACTTTGGTCGCTATATCCATATAGACAGGAATAGTACATATACAGAAGAAAAGAAAAAAGAAAGTAGAATCAGAAGAGATCATGTAGAGGGCCAACTATTGGGGTTATAGAGGGAAGATTGGCCCATTGTAGAATTAAGGAGAAGAATAGATTGTAGTGTTAAGTGGGTTGCAAATTGAGATTCTGGATAATTGTATAAATAATACTAAGGAGAGGAACAGAAAAAGGTGAATTGGAAAAAGGAACCGGAACCGGAACAGGAACTCGAACTAGAACCGATCAGGAATAAGAAATATTAAAAAAGAACTAGAATCAGGAAAGTTGGATTATGTGTGGGGTGTTTAAAATAGAAAGAATCATTTTCACTCGATTGGGTCATGAGCCAATTTTTTTTTGACTTTGAAATACCACGAGATTCCAGTTTTATCCTTTAGTATCTTCCAATACACTTAGGTCAGACATAGGCCAAGAATGCTAAATAAAGTAATAGTATTTCTAACAAAAAAGTCTAAAATTGTACGGTGCCATAACCAAAGCTAAAAAAGTAGATTGATCAATTAAACTTGAAAAATACCTTTATGTGTAGATTATGTATATTAAAGGTTACTTAATTTCAAAAGAACCACGCCATGTTTCTATCTGAACTATGTAATATAGTAAAATTGATTGTGGGGAATTAGTCGGGACAACAAAAAATGCCCACATTTCCAATTTTGGTAGTGCATCCGTGTCCCAACCCCATAGTTTTACATTGATATAAAAGCAATGAAGGCAGCCCTTCAATTAAAACTTGATTCCCGATACTATCATTGTATATAAAAACCTTGTCACCCTCATTGACTATTACAAGGATATTTATATTGAGACTTACGATTTCCGAGAAACCATTCCTTTCCGAGCCCCCCCTTTAAAGTTTAACCTCAACAAATTTGTGTCTCAAACCCCACTCTATATTAATAGAATTAAGGTGCATTTCAATATTCATAATAGTAACCATCAAATTTTAACCCATACTTTTATTCAACAAAGACAAATAATGAGTAATCCTTCCCTTGTTTTAAATAAAATTGATGACATCTCATTTGAAGAGTATGATTCTCCCGTGATTGACACCCCTTATGATGTAATTGTAGAGGTGAAAAAAACTGGGATTTGTGGTTCTGACATTCATTACTATGCCCATGGGAAAATCGGACCTTTCTTATTAACCAAACCTATGGTATTGGGCCATGAATCCGCGGGTATTGTTTCTCAAGTTGGTTCTTCTGTCACCGGATTGAAAGTGGGTGATAACGTTTGTATTGAACCAGGGTTACCATCCAGATTGAGTGATGAATATAAAAGTGGGAAGTATAATTTATGTCCTCATATGGCCTTCGCAGCAACCCCTAATTCCACAGAGGGAGAACCAAACCCTCCAGGAACTTTATGTAAGTATTACAAGTGTCCTGAAGACTTTTTGGTTAAACTTCCATCACATATTTCTTTAGAACTTGGTGCATTGGTGGAACCATTAAGTGTAGGTGTACATGCCTCGAAATTGGCTAAAATTTCACTTGGTGATAATGTAATAGTTTTCGGTGCTGGACCAGTTGGGATGCTTGCAGCTGCATCTGCCAAGAGTTTTGGAGCTTCCAATGTATTGATCGTTGATATCTTTGATGATAAATTGGCCATGGCCAAGAAAATTGGAGTTGCTACTCATACATTTAATTCTAAAACTGAAGGAAATGTCGATGAATTACTTGCAAAATTTGAAGGACATCATCCTACTGTTGTTTTGGAGTGTACCGGTGCTGGTCCTTGTATCAACATGGGTATCGCAGCCTTAGCCCCTGGTGGGAGATATGTCCAAGTTGGGAATGCCCCCGGTCCTGTAAGCTTCCCAATTACTGAATTTGCCACTAAGGAATTGACCATGCATGGTTCATTTAGATATGGCTACAACGACTACAAAACAGGTGTAGCTATTTTAGATAAGAATTACAAAAACGGAAAGGAAAATGCACCAATTGATTTCGAAGCTTTAATTACTCATCGATTCAAATTTAAAGATGCAATTAAAGCCTATGATTTGGTAAGGGGCGGAAATGGATGCGTCAAGTGTATTATCGATGGTCCAGAATGAATCGAAAAAGAGTTGAAGCTGAATTTGTAAAACGTCTAGTTCTTACTCCGTTGATACTTATCACTAGCTGGTATCATGAATTCATTGTATTTTCCATTCCACTGCGCCGGGAAATAAAAGGGTTCAGGTCTAGTCTTTGTATTTTTCCTATATAGCAATAAATATGCAACTCACACCCAACTTGTAAGTGCAGTAGTTGCATTAACATTTTTATCTCATAAGGAGAAAGAATGTGCCACTAATGCGGGCAACGAGAACTCCTTTGGGATCGGCCATATGAAAATGAATCCCTTTAAAAGGATGAGAGTCATCTATAAAGCATAATATTTGTAGTTTGAAGACTACATGTCATCGATCAAGAAAGTTTCATTGAAGTATGTGCAGTTTGAAAAAAGAGACAACTGAACGAATTAGGTTAAAATAAAACGATTGAACTAAAATCACTTAGGGTGGGCGTGCGGCCCAATGGTGCCTGCGCAAATTAAAAGAATGAAAAAGAAAAAACGGGGCCGCACCATTAGAATGTGGGAGATTTAAAGTTGAGATTGTAGTTAGAGGAAGGATGCAAGGATATGCCAGCTGCTCGTTGCTACGGGAAATAGGGGGTTCGTACCCATTAAGATGGTCTTCTGGTGCGTATTAGGTTCATCCTCGTATATCAGAAAAGTTCCAAGAAGTCCAGCATCGGTTTAGAATGTGCTTGTCACAGGTAGTATTAATCTTTGAACATTTGATGAAGGGCTTTCCAAGAATGGAAATGTAGTTTCCTTTTTAATTAGTCTGATGGCTATATCATTAACCGTAATTCAGTACAAAAACTTATATTTACCCGAGAGAAACTTGTACAAAGTCTTACATCTAAATTCGACATCCAGAACTTGATGTATTTTTTTCCGACTTAGCTCGCCCGGCATATCCAAGTACATTATTATCTAAATGATATCATTTTGGAGATTCTCTTGACCATCAATGTTCTTTTTCTTATTTATTTTCTCTGCCGTTTTAGCCTTCGAGAATTCCCATCTAGATGCATAAGTGTGCCTCTCGGCAATTTTAAAACATGCAGACGCAATGTGGATCATGCAGGTGGCGCACATCCCTTCGAAAAGAACAATAAACAATAGAAAAAAAAGAAGGAACAGATTAAATCTAATTCCGTATCTATTTCTTGTAACAATACCTGCCACTAACTAAAACTTTGGTTTAGCTTTATTTGATATCTTTTGCAATTGAGAAACGATAAATATGATATCTCTTAGAATAAGTTCATTCTCACTATATAGATCGTCCTTTAATTAGCATTCAATAATTCTCATTCATTCCCATTTGTCTTAATCGTCGAAACTGCATATAACAGGTTGCAAATCGGTTTTGAATTTAGGCTTTCCTCTTGCGTCAAGACCTTCAGTAGCCTGCTGCCTCCTCAATATTGTTTTACAGCAATCGGGTGATCTGCAATCTCCTTCCTTTCAAGCATTCAGAAATGAATGCAGGTACCGCTATATGTAAGGTTTGTGCATGGGCCCACCTCAAACCTTATTGGAATGCAAATATTACTCTGAAGATTGAGAGTGTACATCTCGGAAGCTTTGTCACTATCAACCAGAGATGTTGCTAATTTAAGAACACATTGTAACAGTTTATAAAAGGTCAATGAGATCACAATCTTGTTTACATCTATTTTCCTTTTGAAACATCATTCTCTCGTTATTCTTTGATATCTCGGCAATATGGGTGCACACTTCCTTCCACAGTTGTACTTACTTTTGCTCGCAGGTACCACTGTAGCTACCTATGGTGGCGACTCCAAATGTAGCCCTTCACCTGTTTGCTCAAATCTGAATTTTGGTATTCGTGCAAAGACTAACAATAACCCTTCTGCCGATTTCTCAATTTCGGAGGTTGCATGGGTAAGTGACCTCACTTACTCAGTAACCCTTGGATGTAAAACACTGGCTACTTTGGGAAAATCTTGTTTGGGATCATTGAACTTATCGTGTGGTAGCAATAATTTCAATCTTTTCGATTTTGATAAAGTTGATTTAATTCTGAGTTGTAATGACTGGTCTCACAAATTTGAAGTTGAGTGTGTTGATAAGGGTGACAAAATCTGTTTGCCAAACCTTCTGGTCTCCTACGAATGGTGCAACTCAGATGGTCATGATTCAGAAGCTTGTAAAGACTGGGATTTCTCAAAATCCTATGACTACATCTTTGGTTGTGAAGATGAACACCATTTTGACTGGTCTGACTACTGTTGGCCAAAGCCTCCAGCAGCATGTTCTACCAAAACTATCCCATCTCCTTCTGGTACTGATTGTGTTACTTCTACGTTAACAAAATCTCAATGTGTGACATCTAGTGTAGCCACAAGTGAATGCACATCTTCAAACATCATCACTACTTCTTGTTCCACGTTGGTTCGCCCAACTACTGTCTGCTCCACAGCAACTTCAGGTCATGAATGTTCCCCATCAGCTCAATGCCCCCCAAGTGATTTTGGAAGCCGTTGCAAGAAAGATAATTTCCCTCTGGCAGATTTCAGCATTTCTTCTGTGAAATTGGTAAGTGATCTTAAATATTCAATTTCTCTCGGGTGTAAGGCCCTGAAGGGTATGGATAAATCCGTATTAAATACTTTAAGTTTGAAATGTGGTGGAAATCATTTCCCACTATTCGACCATAAGTCAGAGATTGATAAGATTCTGAGTTGTCAAGAGTGGACTCATGATTTTGAAGTTGAATGTGAAGATCATGGTGACAAGATTTGTTTACCAAGTGTGTCAGTTCTGTACGAATGGTGCCAATCAAACCCTTGGAGTAGCAGTTGCTTACTTTGGGGTTATTCAAAGTCATACACCTATAATTTTGGATGCGGAAGTTCCTCAGACTATGATTGGTCTCAATACTGTTGGCCAAAGCCACCTTCAAAGTGTTCAACTTCCAATATCCTCAGCACTATCTGCCAAACCTCAACCGCACCAGCTACAACGTGTAATACAGGATTTGTACCAACAACTAGCTGCACAACAACACAGATAGAAACTACACTGTGTCAAACAACAATTAAGTCTTCATCAAGTAGTCTATCAACTCCAGTCGAATCTACTCCAGTCGAATCCACACCAGTCGAATCCACACCAATAGAATCAACCCCTGTTGAATCTACTCCAGTTGAGTCTACTCCAGTCGAATCCACTCCTGTCGAGTCTACCCCTGTCGAATCCACGCCAGTAGAATCTACTCCAGTAGAATCGACTCCAGTTGAGTCTACTCCTGTCGAATCCACACCAGTTGAATCTACCCCAGTAGAATCTACCCCAGTCGAATCCACACCGGTTGAATCCACCCCAGTTGAGTCTACTCCATGTGAAACCACTCCAGTCGAATCCACACCAGTAGAATCCACACCAGTAGAATCAACCCCTGTTGAATCTACTCCAGTTGAGTCTACTCCTGTCGAATCCACACCAGTTGAATCTACACCAGTTGAATCTACTCCAGTTGAGTCCACTCCTGTCGAATCAACCCCTGTTGAATCTACTCCAGTTGAGTCTACTCCATGTGAAACTACTCCTGTCGGATCCACACCAGTAGAATCTACCCCAGTCGAATCCACACCAGTAGAATCTACTCCAGTTGAGTCTACTCCTGTCGAATCAACCCCTGTTGAATCTACTCCAGTTGAGTCTACTCCTGTCGAATCCACACCAGTTGAATCTACCCCAGTAGAATCTACCCCTGTCGAATCAACCCCAGTTGAATCCACACCAGTTGAATCTACTCCATGTGAAACTACTCCTGTCGAATCTACTCCAGTTGAGTCTACTCCTGTCGAATCAACCCCAGTCGAATCTACCCCAGTAGAATCCACCCCAGTCGAATCTACCCCAGTAGAATCTACCCCAGTTGAATCCACTCCATGTGAAACCACTCCTGTCGAATCCACACCAGTAGAATCTACTCCAGTTGAATCTACTCCAGTTGAGTCTACTCCTGTCGAATCTACCCCAGTAGAATCTACCCCAGTTGAATCTACCCCTGTCGAATCAACCCCTGTTGAATCTACTCCAGTTGAGTCTACTCCTGTCGAATCCACACCAGTTGAATCTACTCCAGTCGAATCTACTCCTGTCGAATCTACCCCAGTTGAATCCACACCAGTCGAATCCACACCAGTTGAATCCACACCAGTAGAATCCACTCCTGTCGAATCCACTCCAGTTGAGTCTACCCCAGTTGAATCTACCCCAGTTGAATCTACTCCAGTTGAATCTACTCCATGTGAAACTACTCCTGTCGAATCTACCCCAGTAGAATCTACCCCTGTCGAATCAACCCCTGTTGAATCTACTCCAGTTGAGTCTACTCCTGTCGAATCCACACCAGTTGAATCTACTCCTGTCGAATCTACTCCTGTCGAATCTACCCCAGTTGAATCTACCCCAGTTGAATCTACCCCAGTTGAATCTACTCCAGTTGAATCTACTCCATGTGAAACTACTCCTGTCGAATCTACCCCAGTAGAATCTACCCCTGTCGAATCAACCCCAGTTGAATCCACACCAGTTGAATCTACTCCATGTGAAACTACTCCTGTCGAATCTACTCCAGTTGAGTCTACTCCTGTCGAATCAACCCCAGTCGAATCTACCCCAGTAGAATCCACCCCAGTCGAATCAACCCCTGTTGAATCTACTCCAGTCGAATCTACCCCAGTTGAATCTACCCCAGTTGAGTCTACTCCATGTGAAACTACTCCTGTCGAATCCACACCTGTCGAATCAACCCCAGTAGAATCAACCCCTGTTGAATCTACTCCAGTTGAGTCTACTCCTGTCGAATCCACACCAGTTGAATCTACCCCAGTAGAATCTACCCCTGTCGAATCAACCCCTGTCGAATCCACACCAGTAGAATCTACTCCAGTTGAGTCTACTCCTGTCGAATCAACCCCTGTTGAATCTACTCCAGTTGAATCTACCCCTGTCGAATCCACACCAGTAGAATCTACTCCATGTGAAACCACTCCTGTCGAAACCACTCCTGTCGAATCCACACCAGTAGAATCTACTCCAGTTGAATCTACTCCAGTTGAATCTACTCCAGTTGAGTCTACTCCTGTCGAATCTACCCCAGTAGAATCTACCCCAGTTGAATCTACCCCTGTCGAATCAACCCCTGTTGAATCTACTCCAGTTGAGTCTACTCCTGTCGAATCCACACCAGTAGAATCTACTCCAGTTGAATCTACTCCAGTTGAATCTACTCCAGTTGAGTCTACTCCTGTCGAATCTACCCCAGTAGAATCTACCCCAGTTGAATCTACTCCATGTGAAACTACTCCTGTCGAATCTACCCCAGTAGAATCTACCCCTGTCGAATCAACCCCTGTTGAATCTACTCCAGTTGAGTCTACTCCTGTCGAATCCACACCAGTTGAATCTACTCCTGTCGAATCTACTCCTGTCGAATCTACCCCAGTTGAATCTACCCCAGTTGAATCTACCCCAGTTGAATCTACTCCAGTTGAATCTACTCCATGTGAAACTACTCCTGTCGAATCTACCCCAGTAGAATCTACCCCTGTCGAATCAACCCCAGTTGAATCCACACCAGTCGAATCCACACCAGTTGAATCTACTCCAGTCGAATCTACTCCTGTCGAATCTACCCCAGTTGAATCTACCCCTGTCGAATCCACACCAGTAGAATCTACTCCATGTGAAACCACTCCTGTCGAATCCACTCCTGTCGAATCCACACCAGTAGAATCTACTCCAGTTGAATCTACTCCAGTTGAATCTACTCCAGTTGAGTCTACTCCTGTCGAATCTACCCCAGTAGAATCTACCCCAGTTGAATCTACCCCTGTCGAATCAACCCCTGTTGAATCTACTCCAGTTGAGTCTACTCCTGTCGAATCCACACCAGTTGAATCTACTCCAGTCGAATCTACTCCAGTCGAATCTACCCCAGTTGAATCCACACCAGTCGAATCCACACCAGTTGAATCCACACCAGTAGAATCCACTCCTGTCGAATCCACTCCAGTTGAGTCTACCCCAGTTGAATCTACCCCAGTTGAATCTACTCCAGTTGAATCTACTCCATGTGAAACTACTCCTGTCGAATCTACCCCAGTAGAATCTACCCCTGTCGAATCAACCCCTGTTGAATCTACTCCAGTTGAGTCTACTCCTGTCGAATCCACACCAGTTGAATCTACTCCAGTCGAATCTACTCCTGTCGAATCTACCCCAGTAGAATCTACCCCAGTTGAATCCACTCCATGTGAAACTACTCCTGTCGAATCAACCCCTGTTGAATCTACTCCAGTCGAATCAACCCCTGTTGAATCTACTCCAGTCGAATCTACCCCAGTTGAATCTACCCCAGTTGAATCCACACCAGTTGAATCTACCCCAGTAGAATCTACCCCTGTCGAATCAACCCCAGTTGAATCCACACCAGTTGAATCTACTCCATGTGAAACTACTCCTGTCGAATCAACCCCAGTCGAATCTACCCCAGTAGAATCCACCCCAGTCGAATCTACCCCAGTAGAATCTACTCCTGTCGAATCTACCCCAGTTGAATCCACACCAGTCGAATCGACTCCAATTGAATCTACTCCTGTCGAATCTACCCCAGTTGAATCCACCCCAGTCGAATCCACACCAGTTGAATCCACACCAGTAGAATCCACTCCTGTCGAATCCACTCCAGTTGAGTCTACCCCAGTTGAATCTACCCCAGTTGAATCTACTCCAGTTGAATCTACTCCATGTGAAACTACTCCTGTCGAATCTACCCCAGTAGAATCTACCCCTGTCGAATCAACCCCTGTTGAATCTACTCCAGTCGAATCTACCCCAGTTGAATCTACCCCAGTTGAATCTACTCCAGTTGAATCTACTCCATGTGAAACTACTCCTGTCGAATCTACCCCAGTAGAATCTACCCCTGTCGAATCAACCCCTGTTGAATCTACTCCAGTTGAGTCTACTCCATTTGAGTCTACTCCATGTGAATCTACTCCAGTTGAGTCTACTCCTGTCGAATCAACCCCAGTCGAATCTACCCCAGTAGAATCCACCCCAGTCGAATCAACCCCTGTTGAATCTACCCCAGTTGAATCCACTCCATGTGAAACTACTCCTGTCGAATCAACCCCTGTTGAATCTACTCCAGTCGAATCAACCCCAGTAGAATCCACTCCATGTGAAACCACTGCTGTTGAACATGACATCACTTTAGCCACCCCAGAAACTACCTCGATCGAGGAAACTAGTACTGAAACGGTTTCGTGTTCTACCTGCACCGCAAATGTTCCCGATGTCATTGAATCTGATATCGGTTCCATGAGTACTCCTACTTCTATCGTAACTCCCGTTCCTTCTGGTTCGGAAGTCAACAAATCTATTGATGGTGTATCTACCACCGCCATCACAATTGAGGTGACGTCTCCCCAATATTCAAACAGCAATACTGTTACGACACTTTCAAGTGCAACTGCACCTTCTGCAGCTTCCAGTGGATCCTATAGTACTCCAGCTGTCCAACCTCCAGCTGAAGGATCCTCTTCTTCCTTGTCAGCCAAGCTTCTTGCTGTTGTTGCTGCTGCTGCATGTGTTCTTATTTTATAAGGGCTTTTCAATTTAACTTTTCTTTCGGTGCGCTATCTTTTCGCAATCTTCAAGCGTATTTTTCAATTCTTGGACAAAGATCCGTTCGAGCTATACAATTTTCTTCATACCATTTTACATTTTACATATAGGATAAAATAGATCAATATAATTTTTACTTCCAAACAAGTACCATTTCTACATCAGTCATAATATACAAAATTTGTAGATTTATTTTTATTTCTTGCAGGTAGGTATTTTATTAAATTGGATTGTTTTTTTCATAGTTGGGAATAATCTATATCTGAATAATCTACATCTCAATTTTCTTAATTCTCTATCTTTTTCCCATTATCATTAATTTTAGTCTACCCTTTATAATTGAGGTTTGTGTAACATCCGGCATATAAATCCCAAAATTTTCATTCAGTAACAATTTGTTTGAAATTTTCGATTCAAACAACAGACACAATTTGAAAAGGTTTTCAACAGTTTAACAACAACATCAAAACTATTAACAATGTCGTTGACCCAAAAGGAAGCTTTCAGCAAGCTTCCACAGAAATTGCACAACTTTTTCATAAAATACCCACCTAGACCATTTGCCCAATATGCATCCAAACCTTCAGAAACCACCAGTGCAGATGTGAATCCATTTTTACCCACAAAGAATCCTGTTTCAGGAAGATGGAGTGGACCTAAATATTCCTTGAGAAGATCTGCAGACTTGTACAAGTTGGCCCGTAAGTTTGGAATTGAAGAATTGTTACCACCAATCCCACAAAAGAAGTTTTACTCTGACAAATATGAAAACAAAAACTGGATGGAGGGTGTTTTACAACCAAGATTGGCCAAGTGGGAAAAGGAGTTGCCAGAAAAACTCAAGCAAAGAGAAGAAGCTATCGCCAACATGGACGCCACTATTTTGGCTGCCAGAAGCACATACAAGAAGCAACTCGAGAAGAGAGAAGCCAACAAGAGAACCTGGTGGTAGGTGTAGAAGTTGTTTGTGTTTACATGTATATAATAATAAATCAAGGGGAAACGTCGAATTCCATTGTAGATACGAGGTGAGGAGCAAATTCCCTGGAGTTGAAGGGGAGGGGAGAGGTGTAACGATAGTGAATATTTTTGTGCCCTAGAGTGCATCTTCTGACATGAGAATGATGATTTTAAGACACTCTGTTGGCCCCTACTCGAGGAGAGCCACTGTGTTGGTACCTGGCTCCTCTTTAAGGAGATACTTATGTTTCCTTGTTGACAACTAGTTGTCGACAATGCTTACGGAGGACTGTTTAATTGTTATGCGACCACCCCATTCGGGTAAACGTCTCTGGGCACCCCGTTTTTTTTACTATTCACCTGTCATTAAAGTCATATTCTCTCTATTGACACCTCTCACTATATGATCACCTACAAGTCTAGTACCATCTTTTTGCATGCCATTTAATTTAAGTTAATATTTTATTAGTTTCTCTAATATACACATGGGATCTCCCCAATTTCTAGAAAGCTCTTCCTCTTCCTCTACTGGCACCTCCACCACGACCACCACGGAACCCGCCTCTCGTAGGCTTTCTATCGTTGCCACCGGCCAAGTCCTTGTTTCCTGGACCGGCACCCAGACCTTTAATTTTCACTACACTGTTAGCCAACAAGTTGTCGATATTCAAGTCATCTGGTAAGATGATTTGTCTTATTTGGTTCCCTCTTATGCTGATAAATTGCAAGATTTGTGGGTCTTGATGTGGTTGGACGAGTTTTATGTTCTTCAATGAGATATTCATCAGTGGAGAGCACGACAAGAGTTGTCCATTGACAGAGTTCCCGTTCTTCAACTCCACCGTTATGGGCTGGTTCGTAGCATTAGGCATGTTCATCAAGAATCGGACCAACTTCATTGTGGATATATTTTAGTTGGTGGGTGAAGGGTGAAAGAGTGAAGAGTTTAGTTATGATATTCCCATCTTGATGTTTGAGTTTGTGTTCGCGCACAAGTCCATGAGATAGAAAATTGATATTTCAGTCAAAAAGAGTAGAGACTCGCACTTTAAGTACAGGAGACCAACAGGAACTAAAATAGGGATATCCATAGTAAAGTCATTCTTCAACTGTATATAAACGAGGAATCTTTTACACTATGACTTTACGGTCAGTGGTTAACAGAATAAAGAAAGTAAACAATAATTTCTGAGAGTATTTTATTTTCAGGGTTGAAAATTAGTGTTAACTTACCGCCTAGAGAAATTTACAGAAGCTTGTTTATGTTGTTTTTTCAACTATCGTTATGTATTTATCATATAAAAAGGAATATCTACCTATGTAAACATCAAAAACGTATATAAATACATATATAAAGAGAGAGATAGAACAAAAAATAAAACTATAGACGAGACAGGACACGAACCAATGACCTTTTGCTTTGTAGTAGATTTAAATGGGCTGAAGTCTATCTTTTAGTAGAAACCGCGAGTAGTAGAGCCTTCTTGAGGAGGGACGTTGACGCGAGTGATACTCTATGAGTTTGTAGATAAGTTAATGAATGCGAAAGATAATGCGTTTCGTTCCACTGACTGAGAGCACTTAAAAGGGAGCATTAAACATAAATATTTGTTACTAGGATGAGCACATCTGAGTAGAGGAGTAAAATACCAAGAACAGACTCTCTACAGCGTGATTCTCGACGATGCCCCCCATGGTGATTCTCCCACTGCCACTCTCCTGGAGAATCCTTCTTCATTTCTCCCCCCTATATAATTTCCACCAAAAAATATAAATCCTTAGAAATACATCAACTAAAAACTCTCTAAATACACATACTCAATACCCCCTACCCACCCAAAAGGACATATACACACAATTCTACTTCTACCCATGCTATATCTTTTAATCAAGTGTGCTGCAAAAAAAATAAAATAAAATAAAATAAAAACGGACCCCACATATATTTTGTGTAATTCGGTGCCCTTACTCATATTAAATTCAATCCTGCTACGTTGCCAACAAACACCACATATATAGACACCAGACACCAGACACCACAATCCAGTCATGGTTAACTCCCCCGCCGATGCTATTAGGAACATCCCGCCGGTAACCCGGTTCTTCACCATTTCGACCATGGCAATCTGCTTTGCCATTTCCTTGGAACTCATCCACCCAGTGGACTTGAGATGTTCCACTGTAGAGATTAAATATTTTTATAACGAGCTCTGGCATACGTACCAGAATCCAAGAACATCCGCATGGCAGATGGCCAAGGAGTGCATCTGGGTGGTCTTTCAATGCTACCGTTTCTTGACCTCCTTCCTAATCCCAAGAGGAGTTCTTACTAACCGATTGAATGCCGTCATGGACGTATACTTTTTCTACACATTTGCTAATCATTTGGAGTCTCACACGGGAAAATTTAAACGTAATTTCCCAGATTGTCTTTGGTTTACTTTGGTCACCGGTACCATGATCATGTTGATGTCATTTGTATGTGAATATTTGGACAATTCCCCTCTTTCTCACCATCTGATGATGTTGTCATGTGTCACATATCTTTGGTCTCGTTCGCTGATGAATTCTGTGATCAACTTCCTTGGAATTGTCCCAATTAAAGCCTATTACTTGCCACTTTTCAACTTGTTGTTCAAGCTTTTGGTTAATGGGAAACTTGCCCTTGTGGACACCATTATTGGAATCATTGGTGCTTACTTGTATCAATGTATTCAATCTGCTACCTTGCCCGTATATAACATTTTCCCCGGTGCTTATTCTCGTAGTTTGACCCCAGTGGTAGACCACAGTGGTAGAAAAGTCGGTATTAATAATATTGGTATAAGCTTTAGTGGATTTGAAACTGCAAGTGCCGATTTCATTCCAGAGGCAATCTTCGATAAGGGGTACCTCAAGGCACCTATCTGGCTCTACAAACTTCTCGATTACCCTACGAACAACTCACAGAGAACTACAGCATTCTCTAAAAGCTTTACCAACACTCGTTCGAAGGACAAGGTTTTGAGTCCTCCACAACATGAGTCAGAATCTACAGGCTCCGCTTCCGGAGTATCATGGTTTGGAACCGACCTTCCAAACCCATTTCAAGGTAAAGGTCATAGATTAGGAGGTTAGAAAAATAAGAAGAAAAGAGAGAATAAATATATATATATATATATGTCGTAGAAAGATAGATTTGTTTGTCACGTTTGTTTCATTGTAGAGGCTCGTAAAAAATAACTAGGGGCGTGGGATTTTGTTATGTTTGCGCGCGCGCGGCTCATTAATGCCAATGTCCTTTAGAACACACGCACACCACTAAAAAAAAACAGAATGTGCTATCGTGTAAAGAGTAATCCCGATAGGAACAGCGAGGAACATGTCTGAGGACGATTCAATTGCTTTGTCACTGAGGCAGTCTCCCCGTGTTCGCGAGAGGGAGACTTCGTTAGGTCCCGCTCCTTCTAACACACTTTCGCCATCACTCAAACCAAAAGCGGGGGCCAAACTTAAACGGTTCAAGTCCAAACCACATCTCAAGCGATCATCATCTGCTGGAGCCAATTACAAATTGGTGTTTTCTGTCGATGATGATGTGGACGATGATATAATCGAGGAAGACGCCGCCAATGTAGGAGGCGGCTCTGGGGCACATTTGTCCAAGACTGATAAGGAGTACCTTGAAGGGTATAACGATGCCTTACGCTCATTGTATCAACGCCGAGGTCGTTCCAGATTGACAGATGACAGCGAAGATGGGTCTCGAGCTGCAAGTCTGAGTCGCCACAATCGGTTCAAGGCAGTTCCGGTAGACTCGGAACACCTTCCTGGAGCTTCCTCGTCAATTAATGTAGAGTCTCAAATAATCAAAAATTTACTCGGAGCGGAAGAAAGGTTAGAAAATCTTGAACGTGAGGGTAAAGTAGCCGATTCAAATAATTCCGACGAGGAAAGACCTCCCACTATAGTGGAAACTGACGAAGAAGGCACTGAAGGACTGGGACGTATTCAGTTTAATAACAATGTTGGCGCCGATGACCAATCCCCAGGTAGCAATTCAGATTCAGCTTCACTTCTTTCTTCAACTTCGTCCCTTGAATCGCTCAATCTTAGAGAGCGTCAAGATGCCATCAATTCTACCCATCCTTTCGGTATCAAGATTTGGAAGCCCTCCCTTTATAAGAAGAAACGTTCGGTGGCAACTAGAGCTGAAGAGGATATTCATGACTATGACTTGAGAGAACCTACCTACCGGATCTTTTGGGGTGTCTACTTATGTAATATCATTTGGTCATGTACTTTCGGTCTTGGTCTATATCTTGTTTGTGTTTTTGGATGTCTCTTGGTATTTGTCTTCTCTGGATTTGGTCTTCATCGATCTCTGAGACGTTATGTCCAACTTCTATTCAGTGTTGCAAAGTATTGGTTATTCCCATTTGGAAAATTTGTTCTTCTTAACAAGGATAAAAATTACATGGATGAAGATCAATTGGATGGGAGATCTTTAGTAGAATTTCAACGTTGGAGAGAACAAGAAGAAGGTAGACTTTTCTTTGCACCTCCAAGAAGATATACCACCAATTCTGAATCAAGACCATTACTCAAGGACCATAAAGGAAGACCATTGAGTGATGCATATTCATCATTGGGAGATCAAACTGACCCTAATGTATCCAGTGCAACAATTGAAGATGATGCTGATGAAGAACCATTTGAAATTTCCGATATCAAAAAGAGATTTTTCGGTAGAGGTAGTTGGTCTTCAGGGAGATTAATGTTTTATCTTTACTTCTACATAGTCATACAACCAATTCTCTTTGTGATTTCTTTCTTTTGTTGGTTGTTTGTATTCACGATCCCTATGGCGAAGATTATGTCAATTATTTGTGATCATCTTAGAAGACATCCTCTTGCACTTCATTTTGAACTTGAAAAGGAATATTATGACTCTCAAGGGAATGAAAGTGAAAGTCTTCAAAATAAGAGAAAACACCAACTGATCATTATGTGTACATATAGATGTTGTGGGTTCCATTACTACAAGTATACTATTGATGGTACCAACATCTTCTTTATTAATTTATTGAGTGTTGTTGTCTTTGTTATTTTGGATTACTACTTACTCAAGGAGAATTTTGGTTTCGAATCATGGTACACTGAGCCAACATTTATATTTTGTGCCTGTTTGTTTTCCGTTATCCCATTGGCATATTTTATTGGCCAGGCTGTCGCTTCCATTTCAGCGCAATCGTCAATGGGTGTAGGTGCAGTTATCAACGCATTCTTCTCAACAATTGTTGAAATCTTTTTATATTGTGTGGCTTTGAACCAATCTAAGGGTAAATTAGTTGAGGGATCTTTGATTGGGAGTATATTGGGAGGTGTTCTTCTTCTTCCAGGACTTTCCATGTGTGGTGGTGCCTTAAAGAGGAAAACTCAAAGATATAACCCTCGTTCTGCTGGTGTTTCTTCAACCATGTTACTTTTTGCGATGGTTATGATGTTTGCCCCATCTATGTTTTACCAGATCTATGGTACATATGAAATTATCTGTACCAAATGTTCTGCCACTATGATGGGTAGTCCAATTGAAGATGACTGTACAAAGTGTAGATTTATTCAATCTTCCTTCACCTTGGATGCGCTCTATCATACAGTGATCAGACCATTTTCTTTGATTGTAGCACTCGCATTGTTCCTTGCTTATACTACTGGTTTGTACTTTACTTTGAGAACACATGCTTCATTGATTTGGGCTACAAACTCACATGAACAAACAGCTGCTACGAAAAGGGAGGAAAATGTTGCAAGAACACCAAGTGTTATAAGTTTAGAAACTCCAAAAAAGTCAACAGTTGTTCAACCTGATGGGAAGACTAAAGTGAGAAGTGCACTTTCATCTCCAACAATTGAAATCGGTAAACAAAGGTTCCCATTAGTTCAAAAACCTTCTTCTGGAAATATGCCCACCACAAAACCAAAGACTCCAAACCAAGAGCCTTCGAAGAGGAACAGCCTTAAAGATATCCAGGAAAATTCCACCCAACTTCAAGAAGAAGATGAAACTACAGGTGGCCACGATGCTCCTAATTGGTCAAGAAAGAAATCTACAGTTATCTTATTGGGTGCAACACTATTATACGCTATTATTGCCGAAATCTTAGTTGATAATGTGGATTCTGTCCTTTCCGATTTCCCGATTAACCCAAAATTTCTCGGGTTGACGGTATTTGCATTAGTTCCTAACACTACCGAATTCTTGAATGCTATTTCCTTCGCTGTCGGTGGTAACGTGGCATTGTCGATGGAAATTGGAAGTGCATATGCTTTGCAGGTCGTTCTTATCCAAATTCCATCTTTGGTGGTTTACTCCATTTACAAGAATTTTAAGGATGTAGACATGCTTTTCACATTAGTGTTCCCTAGATGGGATATAATAGCAACCTTGATGTCCATATTCCTTTTTACTTACATTTATGCAGAAGGGAAATCGAATTACTTCAAGGGGGTGATTTTGATACTCATTTATTTTGTTGCTCTTATTGGATTCTGGTTTAATGATAAGATTGAAGATTTAGACGGCGCAAGTGTTAACAGCCGCTTTGCTGCAATGGGGAGTATTTACTAACAAAGCCTTACATATATATGACATATAAAATAAATGAAAAAAACAAATAAAAGAAAAAAAAAATAAAAGTACGAAGAATTAGACTCACTAATGTGTGTTTCAGTTTGCATCCATGTGAAATGAATTTAGGATTCAAATAAAATAAGGTATTAACAATTCTCGGGAATAAGAATCGGGGAAGGATGGGCAGATAGATACAAATTTTGAATAAGAATAACCTTAGGAGAAGTAATAGAGTCTATTAAAAATAGGACTAGTCAAAGATTGTTCCATTCCCTTCCAAGAATGAAACTAGAAATAAATAGTATTAGTCTTCGTTCAAGTCTGTTTTATTTTTACTTTGATGTTGTCTATGTGCGACTTTCGTAAATTCGCGTTAGAGCCATCCAAGAGAGGAATTACATACCTTAATATAGTGAGAGAAGGAGAGTAGTTGATACACTTTAAACACTTTAAATCCCGTGGGAAACATTAGGGATGTGCTAAAGTGGTGCCTTGCATAGCAATCTTGTTATTACCTTATGAAATTCAGAGATGTAGGAACATATTTTTAGAGCGTTTGAAGATGGTTTTATGTTTATTTTTTATTTCCGAGACCCCTGCAAGAAGATCGTTGGCGAGGTCGGGGCTTTCTTCACATTTCCGTAGTTCAAGTTTACGGCTAAGTTTGATAAAAGGATTCAATATTCCTCTCATTAAGGCAAGATTTAATTTTTAAATCGTAACCATATGTCATTAGAAGAAGTTAAATCTAGAGTAACTGTTGTGCTGGAAGAGAAGGGAACTCCCCCAGAATGTCCAGATGTAGAATTAATCGATAAAGACGTTGATGGTGGATACGCCTGGGTAGTTGTTTTTTCTGCCTTTTTACTTACGTTTTCGACTTGGGGATTGAACTCAGCGTACGGTATTTATTTTGCATATTATGTGAATTCCAACCATTTCCCAGGAGCTAGAGTTATAGATTATGCTGCCGTTGGAGGAATTTCCTTTGGTGTAGGACTTTCGTTTTCACCAGTAGTCAACTTTATTCAAGGTAAAATTGGAACGAAAGCGACCATTTTACTTGGGAATTGTATGCAATTTGCATCATTGATTATGGCCAGCTTTGCTGTTAATCTCTGGCAACTTTATTTAACCCAAGGTTTACTTCAATCATTTGGAATGTGTTTCATTAGCTTACCAGCAATGACTATTGTAACCCCTTGGTTTAGAAGAAAACGTGTTTTAGCAAATGCAATCTCTGTGACCGGAAGTGGGGTAGGTGGATTGGTGTTTGTTTTAAGTATTCAAAAAGTTATTGAAACTAGAGGGGTTCATTGGGCATTAAGGGCACAAGCAATCATTAGTGCAGTTTTAGTACTTCTTGCTGCCGTACTAATTCGAACCAAGAATAAACAGCATCACATTGAGTTCACAGTAGTAGATAAGGCCGTGGCACAATGCGTCGGGTTTTGGATTTATTGTTTCTACTTGGTCACTTCTATGCTTGGATATGTTGTCGTGATGTATAGTTTGGCGGATTTTACAATTTCTTTGGGATATACCAGTAATCAAGGTGCAATTGTATCCGCTATGCTTCAAGTAGGGTTTTGTATTGGGCGACCATTGGCAGGTTTTCTCGCCGATAGATTAGGATCAATTACAGTTACTACTATCAGTTATTTTATGGCTGCTATATTCACTTTTGGTATTTGGGTACCAGCTAAAAACTTTGCAACCGCAGTGGCTTTGGGATTACTTGAAGGGATATTTATGGGTACTGTTTTCCCCACTAGTGCTTCGAATATAATTCGAATTGTAGGTATGAGAAAACTAAATGTTGCATTTTGCATGCTGTGGTTTTTCTTCGCAGTCTCTGCTTTGTTTTCCCAGCTTATCGGGTCTTCTTTAACGTCGGGCCTGAGTGGAGGTGAATATAGAAATACTGCTATTTTTGCAGGTGCTTGCTTCCTTGGAGCTGGATTATCTACATTAATCCTAAGAGGGTACATCGCGGCAAGAGATCGTCAATCAGTGCTGGCAGAAGCGCAAGATAATAATGAAATGGACAATTTTGTACCTCCATTGGAAGCTTTCAAATACTGTTTCAAATGGACTAAGAGAAGGGTATAAGTATTTTTAAATTTATAAATGTAATTATATTTAATAAATATATTTAATAATGTGTCGATGGTAAGCGTTTGTAGATTATCATTACTATGTGTGGGGTTTGTCATATTTGGTGCGGCTCTATGACTAACAGATAACAAACTATGTCAAAAAAAAAAAAAGTTAAAAGGAGCGAGACCGCTTTTTTAAAAAAAATAGTGCCCATTGATCATAGAGACATGCATACCAGAAAACCAGGGTTCTATGAAAGACAGTATATCTGTCGAAATGTTAACAAGTACTATAACAATTTTAATGCCACTGTCCAATACAATCGCTACATAAGTCCCGAGCACTTATCTAACGCATTACGTAGATTGATTCTTAAAAATACATCATTCGCTCTCAATTTTTACCGACAAGATGGAAGCACAAAAGAACAAGACCAAGACCAGAATGGGAATAATTTTGAAGTCAAGCCAGTTAAGAAGATACTTTTCGATGATGTGGTTTCATTTGAAGAAATCCCTGACGAATTTAATGATCAATGCCTTGAACTGATAAACAAACTTCAACCTGAGATGAATAAGTTGTCAACACCTTTGTGGGGAGTGGTTGTATACAAGAGCGAGAGTCTCAATTGTCAGTATATATGTTTCTATTGTGACCACACTCTATTTGACGGAACTTCGGGTGTTCAATTCCATAGAGATTTAATCGTAGAACTTGAAGAGCTCTCCAATGCAAGCACTTTAGAAAAGATGCAAATTTTATTCAATTATGAAGACGACAGGGATGATTTACCTGCAAAACTTTCACCAGCCCTTGAGATGAAAACTGACTTATACCATAGACCATTTTTCAGCAAGATCATTAACACAATTATCAATAGCTTTTGGTATGACAAGACGATTGGAGTTTTGGATGCTTTGAAAAAAATCTTTAGTCTGTATTTTAGTGAGCTTGAAATTAAGAAACCTAGGCCCTTTTTTGAATATAATCCAGTCAGACCTGATATCATCCACAAGTATAAGATTATTAATTTCACTCCAACAGAAGTGAAGAAGATTTTAGCTTTTTGCAAGTCTGAAGGTACAACTTTAACCCCGTATATTGGAACCATTGGTATCCACTGCTTGAATAATACTATTATTCCAGTATGCACTGGTGGCGAGGAAAGTATTACGTCTTTGAGATGTAGCATCAATGGTAGACGTTTTTTCCCTGAAATCCAGGATGAGCTTAAATATGGTGTTTGTGTCTCTACTACACAGTATGAGATTGAACCTTTAGAAAATTCCTCTATAGTATCTAAAGTTCGTTGTATAGGTGATAATCTAAGGAAAACTGCCTCGACAAAGGAAGTCTTTTGGACTACAGGAGATAAGTTAAAGGAAACTAATTTTTGGGACAGTTTTAAAAAGACGGTAGGAGGCAAAAGGAGAGAAACTTTGTACACATCCAATTTGGGACAAGTCTCGATCAAGGCAGGTGATTGGGAAGTGACGAATATTTGGTTCAGTCAAAGTAACGGCATTGCCTTTCATTTTGTATTCAGTGTCGTTAGTAGCGTAGGAGGGGGACTAAACATATGTTTGGGGTATTTACCAGAGTATGGAACGCTAAAGCAAAAAAACTCGGCTGAATTTGCGATAGATGAATTTGTAAAGAAATTTAAAACTGGTGTTTTAGATTTCAATCTTTATAAATAAACAAAAATATAGAATATGAATATGATTTAAAGTGAAAGTATTGATCGGGTAGAATCGGAAAGATTTAATATATATCCGAGGATAGTATAAAGAGATTCACAAGTAGCGTATAGTACATAATCACATGGAACGGGTGTGAAACTTTCATTGCTATATATACTTTTCTAATAACAAAGAAGCGACCAGGGTCCTAATGGCCATCGATAAATCAATTTCTTGATTGGGTATTAACATAATTACACATTAAAATTGTTCAAGTGCTAGTACAATAGTGTAATATAAGGGATGATGATAGGTTGTAAGATCAAGGTGCGGGTGTAGACGAAGCTATGTTGTGCGATGCCTTTATGTTTTCATACTAAAGGGCCCATTTAAACGACTTGCGGGACCAAAGAATGACCCGAGGGTTAACACACTGGCTAAGGAGAAAAACACAAATGACAAAAGACCCGTGGAAATGCAAAGATATGAACGTGCTTGGTTGTACATAGCCTTAGCAAAACAACCCCAACCAATAGACAATATAAGTGCCACGCATACTGCATACTTTACTGACTCCCAAGTCCAATATGAACTTCTATATTCATGTAATTTCCTCTTCCATCGTACACTAAATTTAGGACTTTTCATTTTATTTGGCTTTTGGTATGTGTGGATAATAGGAAAAATTACATAACATCGGGGATCCTTTTCAGATGGGCAACCTTATATCATAACGCACGAGATAAGCAAGACAGGTTAAGTTGCGATTTCAAATTGATTTTGTGACACAAAGGATCGCAATGTCTATTGATAAGGAAAAATGGAACTCTTAAATTACTACTGGCATCACTCTTAAATCATTTCCCCAAGGATGAAATCAGCGAATATATTCCGATAGAATAGTGTGTATATGTACTTAAATGTAAAAGTGTGTATATATCAATATATGAATCAGTACTCAAATATCATTTTCTCTTGAAAATAGATGAATTTCTCGATTGCTCTGCACACGAAAATGGTCTACTCCTACATTCTGCATGATTCAGCCACTTTCGGAGCTTCTCGACATAGTTCTTTTCTAATTTTTTATCTCATTGTACGGCTTTGAAACCAGGTAGAACTCTTATACAAGACGTTCTTTTTGATTTCTTAAGACTGCCGAGTAGTTAATTTTGTAAAAAAAGTTCTAATAATTATTTATTGACAGATTGTTGCAGTTTAGGTCTAAATTACGGTTTTTTTTTGTTAACAGTCTAGTTTTTTTGTAACAATCAAGGAGAGCAGGTTAGTCAAATTTTTAGGAAAGTTAGAAGAAGACTTATTTATTGAATAGAGCTCATCTGACATTTCTTCTTTTCCTTTTACTATATCCTGTAAAACTCTCGGTGGTGAAAGATTTCAAACAGTATCTGATTTTGATGTATTTCAAGAGCATATAAGTAGAGGTATCCACCAAGTAGAATTAAGATATAGTATAGCATTATCTTAGATAATCTGTATTGAAATTTCAGTACAATGTGTGTGTTTGTTCTGAAGATTTAAGAAAAGATAGAATGTGAGCTGCAATTTTTGTGTAACATGGGATTGGGATGGAATAAATATTGTTACACAAAAGTGCAGCTGTGTAT